AAGCAAAGTTTACCCTAAACGAAGGCGCATCCAGTGACCTGTGTCACATGTCCCTAACACTCAACCACCACATGTTAATCAGTGACGCAAACAGGAGAAAGTATGTTTTAAATTTTGAGCCGCCCACACAAACTAGCTAAAAACATAAATAAAGTCGCTCAAAACTCTCAACACACACAAACACAAACACACATACACTGGGTCCCGTACGCTTAAGGACCTCTGAGCCAGCAGAGCGATAAGATTAGAGGAAGTACGTGGGTGTGAAATAGCTGTGGTGTGGGACTTTCTCGATTCACACAAACTACAGTGACTACACTGCAGGCCCTGCTTTTTATTAGAGTCCAAGCAGATGGGAATACCCACACACCCATATCCTGCAATTCTGGCCTGAGAATTGAACAGATACTGTACACACACACACACACACACACACACACACACACACACACACACACACACACACACACACACACACACACACACACACACACACACACACACACACACACAGACAGTTACTTTTTTAAGGGGCCAGGATTGAATTGGAAAAAAAAAGTTAAAGCTCCTGTGCGGAGATTGTGGTGTGCTATAAAACAAACTGAGGTAAATACATATGCCTATTTGTGACCTCAAAACACAAAGAAGAGCATGATAAAGAAGACTGATTATTTTCATTTATAGTTTTTGTATAGTTTTTTTTTTATAATAAGGCATGTGATGTATGTGTGTATCATAAAAAAGGACACACTGATAAAAAATCAGCAAAGAGATAAATCCTCCCACTTTGTCCTCTGAGGTCTCCTTAAGGTCGTGACAGGAGCTTCACTGTCAGTGTGCGCACATGTAAGACTAAGAACTTAAATAGACTATCACTGACCATATTTGATACAAAACCAAATGAGAATGTTTTATCTATAAATAAAAATGATAAGTAAGAATTTAAGAACTTTTCAGGGAACTTTACTCTTAAAAATTCCACTGCTTTGGACTGAGATTAAACCCCCTAAATTAGCTTTTAAAATTAGGGCCTGTGTCCACTAACAGTACTTTTGAGGCTGGCGGGGCCCATTTCCATTCAAAACCAGAGCAGCTCAGCATTTAAAGGTATTTGGCGTCCAAAGCCCAAAACTGTTCTTAGTGTCTGCTGTTTCCTGTTGCTGCGCCTACAGCACTTTTAGTTGAAAACAGTTCAGTTTAAGAAACACTAACATGCTTGTCAGTGTCACTTCTTCCTTACTGACCACTCATGAACAAGAAGGGGCGGGACTTAGGATATCATTTTAGACAACTTGGACAACAACTAGAGCAGACCAAACAGTGACTATCGAGGGAAACAAAAGTGAGTGCTGCCAGTTCAAAAAAATGCTCTAAGTGGACACAGGCCCTGAAATAGACACACCATCAACAGGAGGGTACATTATTTTTGATGATAATAAAATGGCTGAATTGAGGTTATCCCTGGTACTTAACTGATGCTTATTCAGCCATAGATTCTTCATATTATTTGTGGACGTTTAACATAGCCGTGTAACTACATGCCTAATTATATATCACAATAATGTATCACTTCATGCAAAGACCTGATTGTCTCCTTAAATATAGTAGGAGAATGAGACCAAACTGGAGTTGGTCTCAGCATAGCAACCCCGGGGTTGTGACTTTTGCTCTGGTCCAAACAAAGCCAAACCTAGAATTGTCAGTCGATCCATTAACAAAGCCTGAAAACCTTACAAAGCTTCCTTTGTTTCATAATTAATGCAAACGTGATAACCGTGACATTGACGGTCGGGCGGTCCGTACATCAACCTCTCTGACACATGAAAATGAACGCTGCCATTCATCATCCACAAGCCTAATGGAGCCCATAAGCCTGAATTATTAAGCACAACACAAGAGACCTTTTGTGCCAGATTAATGGAGGCATAGAGCACTGCACATTTATTACAGTGATATAGTACAGTTAGTGTGTTATTAGGTTGTTAGCCATACACAAGACTGAAACTCCAAACTATTGTGCCAGTTAATGCAACCGGAGGAAATTTGCTCTTGTTAACAGATTTGTTGTGTACACACTTCTTATCTTGATCCTTTTTTACATCTGCCTACGAAAACTAGGTTTCTGCCTGTGTGCAGCAAGGACTCACAAGTCTCATGACATCTGCTGAGGCACCGAAACTGCACTTTCTGTAAACATTACCAGAAAAGAATAAGGCACACTTGTCCTTTTTCTGTCTCCTTTGGGATGTAGATGGTCTCCAATTAGTTTGATGCGTTTGCTGAAAGCTGCTCCTGGACGGGATGAGAACGAGAAAGAGGGGAAAAGAGATAAAAAGAAAGTTTATTCAATCAATCTTACCCTTGCAGAAAGAACAGCACTTTGTGGTGGATTTCAAGGGAGGGAGGAGGCAGGATGTGGTGGGTAAGAAACAGACCTGAGGTAGGGAAAGAGCCAGGGACTGTAATTAAAAACAAAGTTATGGGACAATTGTAATCAGAGAGAAACAAAAGACTTCACATTCAAACATCATTGATGTAAAATACTTTGATTGAAATGATCTCTTGTGCGAAAAAAAAAGACTCTTTATTAGCCTATTTCCCAACCAATAAAATCCTCACATTAGTTTGATTTAGGTGTAATAAAAAGATATTTTCCCTGTGCTTTGAAGAAGTTGGTGTTTTCCTTCTTACCAAACACTACAGAAAGGAGAAGCTGTGATCAAAAATAGCAGTAGTTCTTTATATATGTCAATAAAAGCCCAGAGAGAAGCAGAATAGCCAAAGTGCTGGGAAAGCCCCCGAAACAAAGGGAACTGAAAAGGGTTCCTCTTAGAGCCTCTTCTCTATTGATTGTGTATTTGTTTATTTGGTTAGGAGGGAGCCACGCGATCAAGTTTCCCTAATCGAGGCAGATTGCAGTAAGAAATACGATGCTGCATAAATTAGGCTGCGTGATGTTACTCTTCTGCTGAATTTCACATCATAATGCCTCTGTAATTAGATTCAGTGTATTGTGCATTAGGCCTTGTTTAGGAAAAAAGGAATACAGAGAGGCTATTAGTGACAAAGACTATTATGAAACAGGGTGGTGTTTGAAATGCTGTATGTTTGTATAATTTTAGAAATGATAACCCACAAAACTGGAACCACAAAGACTTGATAAAGCTAATTTGATATTTCAAATACTGCCACAGCTTTGGTCAGATTTGTTTCTTCTTCATACTGAAAACCTTATTCTAAGAGGAAAAACAGGCCACAGCACTTTAAGTTTTAATCAAGACTTCTAAAGAAACCCCTGTCACTTTACACAACCTTGTTGAAAATGATCACACTGTCCTCGTTTCACTGCAGTTCAACAAGTCATTCAGACTGGTTTAATTAATCAGTTCATATTCAGTTCTCGTGGAGTAGCTGACAGAGCCGTCTGCCACTCCTGGGTGTTATTCAGCTGGGAATCTTTAGAGTGAATTAACACATTTGGCGAGAGGAGGCTGCAGTTTAAACTGGAGATTTAGTTTTATGGTTATGTTCTTCTATGCAGCAGACACATGGTCCTCCAGGGTGATGCCGGACTAATGTGAATCCAGACACTCATCTAATGGGGGCCATTACTGCCCACATTGCAAGAACTATTCATTTTTTATGAGAGGGGTAGATCTATTGGCGCCTTTTATCGGGGCATTCACCCTTACTGGTTACATCTGGCGGTGTGTTCAGGCAAGATTCAGAAAACATAGTTCAGCCATTCGGTGATGGATATATGGACATATGGGCTGGGTACTATGGGGATCCTTTGGAGGTTTGTGGGTCCCAAGTTGTGGATTGACAAGATTTGATTTTAGTGAGGTACTTTATTGTTTTGTTATCAGGCCTCTTAAAGGATTAAGTTTTCTAGTATGATGCTTAAATGTTGTCAAAACGTAGACACTGTCCAGTTCGTGCAAAAAATTCTTACAACTAGAGCAAAAACAACCAAACACTACCGTAAAATCCTACCTAGAAAATCCTACCATGCATTTGAAACACTCACAAGGACTATTTGGCCATGCAACATCCCTCAAGGTGTATTTTTTAATACTGGACCTGCTTGGTCTTTTAAAATTGCAGTGTAAGAAGTTTGTCTAATCAAGTACTTTAACTGATGTGCACTGCACCAGCTAAACAGGTAGGATGTTGCACAACACTCAAACGTTTCCAGATATCCTAAGTATCAGTAAACATGGAGAAACTACATCAGATTTCCTATGGCGCTTTATCAGAGACCCTCTAAGTGCTTTACATTGGCTACATCATTCATTTGCTCACACAGTCACACCCTGGTGGTGGTAAACTACCTTAGTAGTCACAGTTGCCCTGAGGCAGACTGATGGAAACGTGGCTGCTAGTTTGTGCCTATGGCCCGTCCGACCACCACGCAACACTCACAATCATACACTAGTGGAGGACACACAAAGGGAGCAAGGTGGGTTAAGTGTCTTGCCCAAGGACACAACGGACAGACTGGGGATAGGGGGAATCAAACCACCAACCATCCAGGTACTGAATGACCACTCTACCTCCTGAGCTAATTTACACAAGTTTTAGAGTTGTGTAAATTAAATTTGTTTTGTTATATGTATTTCAGAACATTTCAGTGTGGATATGAATCTATTTTGGACTGGTAAACAATCCTAATAATTCCTCTATTATTTGATTTGAGGACTTGTTTTGTTTCACAGGTCACCCATCAACGGAATAAGGATTTCTCGATCTTCCACCTGTGGTACGCACCCTCCATGTAGATTCTCATTCATCCAGGTCAAGGTTATTTTGAAGACTCCAGAAACACGCAACATTATACACAGTCCAGTCGTCTGTTTTTGGAGTCTTCAAGACTCCTACAGGATTGTGCAGGATTCCCCACTAAATCTCAACATACATCATGGTGTCCTGCAGCCAACCCTGCACTGAAATTAATGTGGTGTTGTTTTTGACTTGTTAGTTTCACTCATCTCAGGATGGGCAGGATGGTTCAGGTAAAACTGAGTGTTGCATGTGATGAGGACCACCTCTGCGGGTTGCACTGATCTGACTGAGAAAATGTGTCTTCACGTTTTTAATGATGTAAGATTATTCATGATTCTCATTACAGTTGCTCCACTCTCCAGCAGACAGGTCTTCCTCAGCGGGGGGGCACCTGCTGTCCCGCTCTGCGCTGCAGTGTCTGCGCGCGCGGATGAGAGCACATGATTATTGAACAGCTGGAAGGAGAGGCAGACCTGTAACACCTGAGCGGACTTTGAACATTACAGCATCGCGCGCACGGGGAAACGCGACAGCCAAAACGCATCACTTTCCATCACCGGGAGATCCAGAAGATGATGCCCCGTCTGCCGGGCGGCGGCAGGACGGCGTGCGGGGCGACGAGCACCTTTTTGTCGGCGTGTCTGGTCTCTGCTTGTCAAGCCCTGCGGAGCTGCGGGGAGGTCCAGTGCGGCGATGGCCAGCAGTGCTGCCCACCCGTCGTCACCGGGAACGGCAGTGCCAGCGCCGCGGTGCGCTGCTGCAAGCTCCCCATCCACATTTTCTTCGACAATGTCGGCTGGTTCACGCGGAAGCTGTCGGGCATCCTGATCCTGTTGCTGCTCTTCGCCATGGGCTACTTCATCCAGCGGATCATCTGCCCACGGCCCCGCAGGCACCCGCACCATGACCGCAGCGAGGAGCCCTCCCTATTTCACGGACACGCATCCGCGTCCCAGGACTCCCTCCTGGATCGTTACCCCGAGTACAGCATCGGGGACTTCGCTTCGCCTAACCTGCCAGCCTACGACGAGGTCAAATACTTGCCCACGTATGAGGAGAGCATGCAGGAGATGCACAGAGACCGGTCTGATGATAACTTGCTGTCGGAAAACGAGAGAGGGAGTCGGGATAGGGGGAGAGCGGCGGGACCGAGAGCCGGAGAGCAGAGACGAGAAGTCCTGGAGGTGTCAGGACCGCAACACAGCCCAAGGACGTCTCGGAACTCTGTCTGACGGGAGACAAGACATTGGGCAAAGCTTCACAGACAATACAGCGTCCTTATTTTAGTATAATCAGGGTCATTATCTTGCAGAGATATAAACTCAAGTGCAATTATAATCCTGAATGTTCAGAATAAAAGGAGGAGGCTGAGAAAACGAGTGTGTTCTGTAAGATTACGGGGGATTACCCGCCTTTTGTATGCAAATAACTGCGTGGGTTAAGTAAAGGAGATTATAAGGAAGCGAAGGCGTCTGAAATCGACACTCTTTGTGAAGGGGACAGCTAATTTGGCTGCGGTACAATCGCATTAAGTTTTACTTCAGCACCTCAATTTTAAGTGGCACCGTGAAAGAGTGTTTCTGCTGTCACTTTCTCAGACTTAATGCTGAATATACTGCTGGACCTGGACCTTCTTGGCTCTTATTTATTCTGTGCTGAATTTGCATACAAAAGAAGAAAGATTCAGTTTTGTCTCCTCTCAGTGACCTGAAATGTGGGCTGACTGAAGGGCGGAATATCAATTTTGATTACTTCTCAAGCAGCCCCGCTTTAGAGCCAGTTAATCTAAAGCTTATCATACACACACTTCACTTGGGGCAGACAGGAGAGTGTTATCAGTGACCTGAGCCATGTCTGATACTGCAAAGGCTGAAGAAAAGCAGAGGGGGGAATTTTCTGGCTAAAAAAACTCTGATCCTCGGAGCCATAATGCCTTCAGGCAACATGTATCAGTGACCCCCAGGTTATGAATTCAGGAGAGACAATGGCCGAGTTTACAGCTGGCATACTGATGGGGTGTAAGCTGCCAAGAAACAAAGTTGTTGTGTGTTTTGGGCTCAGCATATTGGACAAGATCACAGACCAAGTGCTATCCTGAGCAGTTCCTGTCTGACTGCACAGGTCAGACAGGAAACATGAGTGAGTCACAGAGAGGAGGTAAATTATCTCTTTCTGTTGTTGAGATATACTTGTTCATCGATCATGTCTGTGTATAATAATCTATTTTAATTTTCAATAACTAATGAGGAAAGAGGGTTTTTTTGAGCTGCTGTGAAAATACAACCAAACTGACACTACTAAGACCTCATCACACCAGACCTAATGGTCTGTATATATAGATTACAGCTGTATTTGTCATTAACTGTGCATTAAATCGCCTCATTATGTAATTGTACTCAAAATGCTCATTTGTCTTTACGCATTGCTTTGACATTGACTGGGCAGTGAACGGTCACACTTGCAAAATCCTCTTTCTAGACAGATTTTATGAGGCATTAGTTTATAATTAGTCCAAGGGGACAAGAAGGACCATCTCCGTCATGGCTCAAAGTAAAGGTTGTCTTTACAGTCAAAAAGATTTAAAGTTATAAACCAAATTTGGCTTTTTAGAATGGCTTCAATTCATGTCATAAGAGGTTTTCATGGGTCAAATAGCTGTTTCTGATTTCATAACTATTCAAAATAAAACATCCAAAAGAAAATAAAGATTAGAAAAATCAAAAGTTCACATTTAAGAGGATAAAAATAAGTGACTTTGTGTCATTTTGCTTAAAAAATTCCAACACAATCATCACTCTAGCTGTTTTTTTTTGTACATTTACACTTTACACTATCTAACAGTGCATAAGTGTAAAGCTCAAGGTTGGTTATAGTTAGTGTGGTTGTCTGTCCATGAAATTCTGTCATAGCCTCTAAAGCATCTGTATCAGCTGAGACTCTACAATTAAGGACCATGCACTCCTCTAATGGCCCTGCCACTGAAAGTCTGAGTGTGATTCTGGTGGCTTTTGTAATTCAATCCTGCTAGACCATGATGACAGAGGCAATAGTGAACACTGATAGCTTTCCTTTCCAGAGAGAGCATTGTGGGAAGGTGGAGTTTGCACTTAAGAGGCACTAAATCCATGGTTAAAACCACTGATGGATGGATGACATGGAGTGAGTGACCCTAGGATGCATGATAGTGAGTGATACTTGAATGATTCAAGGTGTGAATGTTGCATCAAAATGGTAACCCAGCTTCGATTTCCGAGCTGTGACGGGAGGTTTTGGAGCAGAGGGCAGTCTACTTTTGTTCCAGGGATGTATGCCAGTGATCCAGTTTCTCTATTGCTCTCTGAACCAACAAACAGATAAACTATTAAGGTCAAATCAATGCGCATTAGCCTCCCCTTAAACTCTGCATTATATCCAGGAAGTGTATTTTTAGAGGAGCTGCATTGTGAGAGCATCGATTGCACAGATGAGGACTTGCTAGTCAGTAAATATTGCGAAAAAGCACTGTGATTTAATAAAAGATGAGTATGGGATTTTTTTTTAAAGCCAGATTGTGTACTGTGCTCATTCTTTCAGTTGAAGAGTATTTATACAGAAGATAACCCATTTCAATCCTGTTTCGATGTGTGTGGCCACTCAGTTGTAATGTATGTGTAACCTGACTCCTCCCTGATAAGTCTTTCATAGATTAATGGTGTTTGGTCTACATGACTGCAGTTTATCACACAGTGAGTAAGCTGAGGAAGGAAGTGGATGGAGGGAGTAAAATAGAGAAAAGACAGTGAGTCAGAGAGAGACTTGGGCTAGAGGTGGCTAAAAGTGCAGGGTGCTGTAGGAAAACAAAAGCAACAGCACTACAGAGCGCCCCATTAATAGATTTTCCTATATCTACCATCTTTTCTGACGTTCCAGCATCCAGGCACACTCATTTCAGGGATTTCACAGATCACCTCCTCCTTTATCTCCCCACAGCATCGTGATATCGTCTCACAGTTGTTTTTGGAGAGCCCTGGGACTCATCTTCTTCCTCATTCGTCCCTCCTGGCCCACTATGGAGATGGATAGGCTATTATGGTTCCGCTGATGTACTGGCCTTCTGCCAACCAGGGGGTGGAGCTGCATGGCAAGGAGAAGTTTCACACCTCAGCAGAAAAGGAAATACAAGAATAACTCAAAAGGAAACACGTACCATAGATATATTGGACTTTAAAACACACACACAGAAAAAATCATGTCAAAGATACCCCATGGTCTTTGTAAAATTCAAGTGAAGCATCAAATAATGAAAGCAGAGTGAAAGAGGGAATTTGGCTCGATTTGTACAGTGTTTCCATCTTTTTTATTACTCAACAGTTACAGAAGATAAAGTTTTTAAATATAGAAGGTGTAAAAATATGTGTACATATAAAATACAAGCCAAAGATTACTGACAGAAAGCAAAAAATATACATTCCTGCAGGCCTGAAGCAGATTTAGATCAACTGCAATCAAACAGTCAACTGCAAAACTTGACCCTGCAATCACTGAGAAGCTGAAATGACAAAAAGGCCGAGATGGTGTCATCACTAACAACTGCAGGTTTTTAAAATCACATCATTTAATCACAGTAACAGACTGTATCATGTTTGTGCCTGTGGATTACATCACACATTAAATCCATGCAGCAGTCCTATCCTTCACGGCCCTCTTATCTGCACATCTCCAACTGTTCCTTTAAGTAACTGCACTTGTAACTTCTGGTCGATATTATTTCTCCAGCGCAGACATATTTCATTACGCTGAAGCACAGTCCATCCACCTCATTGTTGTATGTCGTAAGCACATGGGTCTGTTCACACATAGTTGCTGTTTTGGAGAGAGGTTCCTCGAACGTTAACGCCGCAAGACCCCGCTGCTCCTCACGGATGCGTTTGCAGCTTTCTCTCTCTCTTTCGCCAGCTCCATCTCGATCTTCGCCTGGATTTTCTCCCAGTCCACCTCGACCTGGCAGGAAAAGAGAAAGATGAGATAAAAGATGATTATATAAGCGCTGGATGTTCATTTGATCAGCCTTGAATGTTTACACAAAGCAGCTTGATTAGTCAAAATAGAAGATAAGTCATGGATTACACTGGAATTTTATCAAGTACTGTATATTTCAACACTTCTCCCACCCTGTTTAGACATCTATTCAGCTTTTTCAAAATGTGCCACTCATGTTGCGTCAGAAGAGCTTAAAAGTTGCTAAACCAGTGGGAACATTTGAGGAAAAAAGCACCCCATGCAGCTACAAAGACATCCACTGCCACGGCCCTATTCATCACAGTGCGGCTGACATGGTTCCCTGACTCACCCCTTCAGCGTACTGCAGGAATCTCTTGTTGGTCTCCTTTCTGCCAAATTTCTGGAGGAACTTCTGCCTATAGGCCAGAACAGTGTCCACATGAGTCTTGTGTTTGACTGCCAGCTCCAGGGCCCTGGACACGAGAAGGCAAACTGGTGATAAAACATCTATGCAGTGTAGACAAATGGGCTACATAAAACACACATTCATGCCAACTCCGAGTTTGTACCTCTCCCAGTTGAAGAGGTCGATGTTGACCTGTATGGCCTGGTAGAAGAGACCAGCTTGTAACAGAGTGGCCTCAGCCTCCTGGACCTGACCGCTGAACATCAGCATATGGGCCAAAGTGGATTCCTTTGACGGCTGCTCCTTAATAAATTTGATGTACTGAACTCTGGGTAACTGAGACAAGAGAGGGAGATGTTGTGGGCAGAGGAGAGATTTGGAATGAGATTCATTTTAACATTTGCTTAAATTGACCGTACCTCTCGAATGGCAGCGTAGGCCATCTCAGCTGTGTCCAGATCCCTGTTTGCCATTGCCATACCAGCTAAGCACGCCCACAACGATTGGTCCTAAAGGTAAAAGAGGGAAAAGAAGTCAGTTTGTTGACATGATGTTGAAAAAAAGATATTTTGTATCATTATGAAATAAGATATTCACAACTGAAGTTCCACAAAGTTAAATTTCTTGAGGTTGGCCATCAGTTTCCACATTTTGAACGCTTGACTTGACCCCAGATTTGTTGGCTGACTGAATCTCATTTGCACCAAGAGTAAAGTGTAGAGACAACCTGTTTGACAAGATTGTTAAGCAACAAAATCGGTCAACCAAACAGGGGTACTATAATAACCAGCTGAAAGAAGGTATATTGCTATTTCTACATATTGAGTGATCATTCAGTCCTTTTTCAATATGCGCCTTCATTTTATATTTCACATTTCTTTCCCCATGCCAGGTTTCTCAAACATCTAGCAGCACAGAAAAACAAAATTGTCTGACTCCACTTTTGTCAGTCTCTCTCAAGCACATCTGACAGGAAAGAAAATATTTTCTATTTTCATCACAGACCACATTACAGCTTGCATTCAGCTCGTTTAAATGCAGCCCAAAGAGTATGGCTATGGGTTTGTTTTAAATTTTCTCAGATGAAAACTGCAGCAGTTGTGTGTGCTGCAGCCTAAGTGCTCTCACAGCTGACACTCAGGTCTGTGCATAGGCTCATCATGTCCAGACACAGACTAAAACTTAAGCTACTTACTGGTATCTGCTACTTATTTTAAGCCTGGGTTAATGACACAACAGTGATAAATATAAGTAATTACAGAGTTTGAAAACATTTCAGGAGTCTGAATATCATGAATCTTCAATATGTACTACTTTTAACTATTTTGTAAAAACGAAACTTTTAAGACACTTCCAGGTTGTAGTGATTAATGCTATTACATTTCCTCTTCTGGTGCATGTGTGCAATCCGACGAGGTTTGATGGTGTCTTTATGGTCTTCATAACATCCTGCTCATAAACTGGAAGTCCTCATTATAGTCGTGCACGTGTGTAAGTGTTTGAGAAAACCTGCATGACGCATACAAAAACAAACAGAAATGCCAGTATAGACGTTGCCATTCACAACGTCTATGAATGTAAACAAATGTGTCACCCCCTCTTATTTTGTGCAGCTGCTATTATTAAAGCAGCCTTAACCACCATTTGGTCAACAGTTGAGCAAACTTCACACTGGAGTCACCACTCTGTAATTCCCCCTTTAATCAGTGTCCATCAGAGAGACAAACAGCTCTAATCGGAAAACCACGACTGGAAACAACAAGTGACTCTGTGAGCCACTGCCTGAGGACACCAGCTTTATAAACTCTTGACTACCACTATCAGTCTCAGGGTAAATCTTCCGTTTGTGACTCGCTTGATTGAAAATGTCACTTACTGTATGTTATGTATGCTGGCTTTCATGCATGGCTGTAAACCATTACATGCATCAACTTCTATCAGGTGGGCACTTACTGACAACAGCGACTGTGGTTCTGGGAAAAGCCACCCTGCCACCAAATTCTTACCAGAAGTAGAGGGGGGAGGGGCAGAGGAAAAAGCTCTTAAAACTAGTGCCACTCTCTCTCTCTCTCTCTCTCTCTTTTCTCTGTCCCTTTGCCTCTTGTGACTGGCCGTCCATTTCTCCAGAGCTGTGGTTATTGCATCATCGCCCAAAGCAAAGACAGAGGCTTACTCTGGGTTCGGTGTATGTGTGTGTGTGTGTGTGTGTGTGTGTGCATGCGAGAGTTTACACATGCGTTCAGCGGATGGAGTGTGTATTTATGAGCAAGGTCTGAAGGGGGCTAAATCCGGTAAATGGTGTCACCAGGCTAATTGAGGGCTAATTAAAGCCTGCTGGTCTGGTCTCATAAACCTGTCCACTACCTTATTTCAGACCCTGTCTGCTCTCAAACACACATACATGTATGCATGTGACACACCACAGGAGCCAGAGCTGTGCCAGCGTCCTCATCTGCTGGATATTTTTTACTATCCATTTTTTAAGTAATTTTTTTGGTTGTAGGATAGGACAGTGGATAGAGCAGGCAACTCAGAGAGAGAGAGAGAGAGAGAGAGAGAGTTAGGAGTGATGTGTGGGGAAAAGGCTGCAGACTGGAGTAACCGCTTAAAGGCAACAGCCTCTCTACATGGGGTGCATACTTGAACCAATAGGCTATCTGTACCCTATGTCGCAGTATATGTCACACAACTCACCTACTCTGTTCCAGCAGCTGCTTGTTTGTTGTGATACCTCAGGCTAGTCCATTACGGACTGCAGCGGGGTGACGCAGCTCAAGGAAGAACATTTATGATCATTTCTTTATCATTTCCTTAAAGTAATAATCACCATATTAATCATTTTGCACTGCAGACGCTCGCTGTAGTTTTTCTGCCTCAGTGTCTCGGTCTGATTGCATTTCCATGAAAAAATGATCAAAAATGTTCTTCCTTGAGCTGCGTCACCCCACTGTAGTCCGTGATGGACTGGCCAGAGGTCTCGATACAAACAAGTGGCTGCTGGAAGAGAGTAGGTAAATTGTGTTTAATCTCTTTGCGAAAGAAATTAGGCAAAGTTAAAAAGATGTTTGGTGGCTAGTTCTATAGCTAGGACCCTATATGTACTGTTGATGAAGTTAGGTGCTGTTCTGAGCATTATTTGTGGCTATAGAGTGACGTTTTGGTTGAGGTTTGTTTGTGGTTCCATAGACCGCTGTGTATCGCTATAGTGTGGTCAATATTAAAGTTGGTATAACTAGAGAAGCAAGTGGTCGGCAACATTGATCTCTCGAGGGGTTGTCTAACTTGGTGTTACAGTGAATTTGCCCCTAAATTAATTTTACGCCAGAATATCCCTTTAAGGTCTGTTACATAGGTATGAATGCTAGATGGAAAACGTGCTCCTTTTGGATTCAAGGTTGAATTGACAAGTCTATGGATGGTGCATAAAAAAAACACAAACAAACATGTACAACTATGTTACCTTGGCAAAGCGACAGAGGCGCAGTGCGTCCTCCCAGCGTGCAGAGGCGCTGTACTCGTGCAGGAGAGCTGGGTACGGAGGAACATTGCTGTACACCAGTGAACCGTCTCCTTGGCGTAGTGTCACTTTGGTGCCAACAAAGCTCACGATATGCGGTGCACGGCTGAATTCACTTTGTGACAAACAAAGACACACACCAGAGAATGAGCAAGTATTTGTAACCACAGAGAAGTCAGCAAAGAAGATCCATAGCTCATATTTTCCTCTTAACTAACACCAAAACTGGGTCTAAAAATAGAATCTATGTAGAGGGGAGAGAAAGAGTTGACTGATTAAAGTTATGCAATATGTAATGACTCTGTTCATCTTAATTTAACATGTTACTCCGTACGGGATCATGAATGTTCTGATAAAAACATATTGACCATGCAGAAGTAGACAATTTGCATATACGTGTGTGCCAGAATTCTTTATGCAAGAGTACTTTGTGGTAGCCCACTACATATACAACATGTTGCATTGATGATAACTTGCTGACAGCTCTGCTTGCAGTAACACTGTAATTGGTCCAACAACCCTTCCGTTCTAAATATCCTGAAAAGCTTGGCACATCTGCAAAAGTGAAGTATTTTTTAAGTTTTATTTCAACCCAACCTCTTACCACTGGATATCTGGTGTTCCTCATTTGCACACTGCATAAAAAGAAATTATAATGTGCCCAATGATGTAATCTGGCTGCTGAAGTACCAAAATAGTAACAGCAAAACAACAGGAAATCTTGATCCTATTAAAAACAAGTGTTCTGAAAAAGTATGATTCAGCATAAGTCGTGTCAAAACATTACTTCAAGTCATAAACCAATCAGAAATATAAAGTTCAGAACAGAAAACACAACAGCCACATGCACACATTAGAGTTGTGCAGACATGCAGAAGTAGTGTAGGTAGTCCTTGTTTACCCGGCACAGGCTTTCTTCCTCACTGCCTTGTGTACTGGCTGATGCTGATGACTTTTGTGCAGAAAGCACTTTACAGCCTGACAGCTGATGGCAAATAAAGAGAGCCCAAAGTACGGCGTGTCTTTGGAGAATGAGGTACCGGCTTAAAAAAGCTACTTCAACACATTTCCTTAGTTCTTATTAAAATCTTTTAAGACTGCTCCTCTTTAATGCCTGTTTCAGCTCACATTAAATCATGACAACGTTTTAGATTGTCTGTTACACACCTCCACTTTTCAACTCAGGGGAAAAGTATTCATCATTTGTGTGAAAATGTGTGTACAGAAGTGAGAGCAAAGGTTTGTTCTTGTCTACCTGCCGTCCTTTATGTACAGTGTTTTTGGCAGCAGCTCCTTGTCAGTGAAGACAGCGCTGGGGTAGTACCACATTGTTAATTGGCCGTCTTGGACTCCACACAAGATGTTAGCAGCGTCATTCCATGCCATACTGTGAACCATGCTGCCTACAGGACAGATCACACATGAATTTCACTGTTCGGTTTATCCACTGGTGGCAACACTGCTGTGTACCAAACTTCACATCTTGAAGAGTCAGCTCCCTCCTGCCTGTCTTACCAATTTTGCAGATTTTGGGTTCTCGCCCAAGATGACGCACAGATGTCAAGTAAAGGTCCCGGTTCTTGTCTACCAGAGCAATTTTCCTTTCATTGGACGGGCCACAGTGGTCCAGAGCTACTTCCACCACCTCCAGCTGCTTATGATAAATGACACACACAAGCACAAAAGGTAAGAGGGAATAGACGAGTGATGGATGGAGGGATGACAAAAGAAAGGAAAAAGAAGAAAGCAGATTGTACCATGACCAAACAATCTTTCTGCCAAGTGTGCGTGCGTGCGTGCGTGTGTGTGTAAATGAGAGAGAGAGAGAGAGAGAGAGAGAGAGAGACGTTAAGAGGGTGTATGTGTCTGAACCTGTGTGTAAGTGAATGAGTCTGTGTGTGTTTCTGGCCAGAGCCAGCTGGCTTGGGTGCAGTGTCTTGGAGCTGTGGTGTGCTGGCAGAGAAAGCCATGCTGACAAACAGTAAGTACTGCTACCTCTACTTCTTTTCCTTCTCTTCTGACTCTTTCTTTCTTTCTTTTTTTATTCCCTCTTACTTTGACTCCAAATCCCTTCTCCGATTTCTGCCTTTATTGTCTTTCTCCCATATGGACATAAAGTCGTGTGTTTTTAACAAAGACACTCACTCTGAAAAGACTGTTCTACTAAACTGGGTCAATTTACAAGAAACGTGATCGATTGAGTCATTAAGGAAAAGAAAAAACAGCCACTATGAATTAAACTTACAGGTTACAGGCGAAAGTTAGCATCTGCACCCGTCAATACATTTATACATCAGGTAAAATGAGTTGCAGCAGCAATCCAATAGTGTATGCTGGGTTTTGTTGGCTCGAGTACAATATTAATGTGGTCGAGAATGTGTTCCTTTTCCAGGACAAAAAGCACTGGGAATTAAAAGTAATCTCCAAAGTACCTGCACTATCTTTTAGCGAGAGCACACAAATAACCGTTACAGTGAAATGCAATCCTTTTAGATAATAAGAATAGTAATCTCTTGCGGAGGGCACACACCTATAGTTAAGGGGGACATCTGGCACAGGTATATGTTTTTAACAAGATCAATAAGACGATTAGTTTTATTTTGTTGGCATGACACGGGGCTGCACAGTGGTGGTGTGGTCAACTCTTTTATTTTACAGCAAGAAGGTTACTGATTGAAATCCTGGCTGGGGGACTTTCCATGTGGAGTTTGCATGATCTCCCCTCTAGCTTCTCCCTACAGTACATATAAGTGGTATCGATGATGTAAGGATGACCTGATGTGATTTTAGTACATCCACTTGGACATAGCTATTCAGACAGTCGCTGTTTTCAGTGATGACTTGACCAGCTGAGCCCAGCCCTGCAGAATCTGTATAGCTTTGCTCATGCCTGCCCATGGTTGTCATACTGCTGTTAAATAAGTCGTTTTATTTTACTGCCTGTCACTTTTTTCTGCATATCACATGACAAATTAAAAGGATATTCGCTAATATCCAGGCATTGGGTTATCCTAAGTAGCATATGGAAACCTAAAGGCGATGAAACCTTTCCACTTTAAGTGCATACAAGTTGTTAAAAGACTGTATAATGGAGTGAAATCACTTCTTTTGTTGCTGAATGCATGAGGTATATACGAAAGCAAAGAGTCGCCCACCTTATGAGACAGGGGCTTTCCATCCCCAAGTGCTTTCCCGGTGAGGGCATCAAACAGGAGGACCACTAATGAGGAAAGAGGAGAAGAGAATCTAAAAAGACTATAGCTGCAAAAATGTGTATTACTAAAGTGATGATAGATGTCCACTCACCTTTTTCATCGCTCTTGTCTCGAACGGCGATGGTGTCATTACTTAGCGAGACACTCTGGGCATTGAGGATGTCAGCTCTCATCCCCGGGAACTTAGGTGAAGATATTAGTCTGCCTTCATAGGAGAATGTATACAACCCTGCCCCATCCACCAGCAGGAAATGTCTAAAGGGGGAAGGCACAACACAGCAGAGTGGATGAGAGTTAAGTGGGTGAATGACTCTATGTATGAGTAGGTGAGGGAGATTACAGGAGGAAGGATGGAAGCAAGGAGTAAAAGGAGATAGATGTTAGAGAAGAAACAAGAATGAAGAGTCAATTACAGTTAATGAACAGACACAGGCAGGTAATTCAAACATGTAATGCACATTAACCAATGTCGACTTACTCAGCAAGACTCATCAAACTCAGCTGTGATTTCAGAACAGCCAGTAATCTCTTTAGCTTTATGCTGAGTGTCAGGGACACTGCGCTCGAGTATTGCACAAGAGCTACTCCATATTAATCTAATTTCCCCCTGTGGTTTCACTCTCAGCCTTATTGTATGACAGGGCTAAAGCATTAGGAGAAGTTGATAGACGATCCAACAGCCTGTTCTCTCTCTCTCTTGTTGACGTGCTCCTGGAATAGTGACTCACTTCTCTGCTTGCAGGATGAGGCTGACTGTTCCCTCCTTCAAGTCAAAGATGAGGGGAGTATTCCAGTTTCCTGAGCTGGCAAAAATAAAGAAAATACATGTATAATAAAATTCGTGAACATGCTTTTTGTCTTTCTAATTACAAAGTGTTACATCTGGTAAAAGTTAGGAGGTGATAATATCACAGAAATAAGATTTAGAGCAGAAAGACAGACATTGCAAAACGACACAAATTGACCGACCATGTTTTCTCACCAGGATTCATTAGATTTCCTGTTTGTTTAAGTGTCTAAATGATTGCAGGGTACACTCAAGAGATTTTCCCAGCAACACAACGTGGGTTATTACGGTAATTCCTTCGTATTCAATTTTATTCATCCATTTTATTACCTTCATGATTGAGAATTGATTAAGTGAGTTGATTCAAGTTTGAGTCCAGTGTAAATACAGGAGGAGAGAAAAAAGAAGCTGTGGATTTCTTACTTGTAGACATAGCACTGGAGAGATGTGGCGACCACAAGGTGACCATAAGCTAAAGAGGCTTTAATGACTCGATCTCTAAACTCCAATATGTCGACCGCATCGTTTATCACGTTCCTGACCTGAAAAAAAAAAAGAGCGAGAAGTGGGTTAAGTGTAAAAAAACCAAGCATAACATGCATTAACTCTGTACAGCCGATGAGACACATTTCATGAATACACTCGAGCAACAAAAGACAGACACTGTGCTACGCTAACACACAGTCACAGTGAACAGTCTACAGTATGTCCCATTAAATGTAAGGTAACTGTGGTCAGAGAAAGCAGTTTTTACTGTTTCAAGTGTGTGCGTGTCGGGGTGGGTACTCATTTTTCACCTGCATAGATAAATACTTCCCTCTCGCTCTTTCTGTATGAATGAAAAGGCCTTTTCCAGCACCAGGTGAAAGGTGGGGTTATTTTTACAGCTTTACAAATCTTCCTCCTCTGCTCCCTCCAGCAATCCAAATTTACATGCAACACAACCAGGAATAAAAAACATTTGACCGCAAGGTGGTAAATTTAGCTGGCTGATTCACAAACCACTGGCAGATGTGCACTTTTTAAAAAGGACTGCGAGGAGGAGAGGGGGAGGAGGGAGATGGAAAAGCGCCTGCAAAGCTGAAAATAAATGGCTGATGACCCGACTTTGCTTAGTTTACACAAATTGCACTTGGTAAAGACATCTTTGTCAAATAAGTGCATGTGTAGGCTAACATGTATGTGCATGACCTTGTTTCTGCATGTGTATCCATGTCTGAAAGTATACGGGAGTGTATATGTGTGCGTGTGTATGTACATTTGGGTGTGTTAACCGCGTGTAAACGCTACCTTGTGGTTAGCGTTGAGTTTAAACAGCAGAGAGAGGGAGAGAGGCTTCAAGACAGGCTGGTCATTGTCATTGCAGGGCTGCACACTGGCACAGTAGAAGGGTCCAACTTTAATATATGACCACAGTTAGTCAAGGCCTGGGCAGTTTTTTTCTCATACATACTCACCTCTTTACAGTCCTTCACAAGAACTGCAGTTTTCCTCAACTGCCTGTGTTCCTCTTTGGTAATAGAAATGAGTTTGGTTTTGTTAATGTTTGCTTCTTAAGTTTGTATTATTATTTTTATCACGGGGAGATTGAGCGAGTTTTTGCCTTTGCTAGAGGCAGCTGTATCATACAGCACCATCACCATTTAGACTGACCAGGAATCCAAGTGAAATTCCAGGATGAATGTCATATGTGCATTTGTTTCACTGTTTTTGACATATATTTGCATTCTGTCAATCTTCCTTTACTGTTTGTCTTTCTCCAAATAAACTAAAATATAACAATGGCATGATCCCTGAGGCAAGATTAAATTGAGCCTCTTAAGGGGTAAATAAAAAACAGAATAAATAAAAACTTGTCTGACTCTTTCTACCTGCATGGTTCTCCTCTTGGTAAGGGTGATAACAAAGTTCTTCCACTCCCAGTGTTGCTCCACCACATGGGCAAAGATGACGTGCCCATTGCCGCAGGCTCCAGCCAGCTGGGTGCCGTCTGCAGACCAGGCCAAGCTGAACACACTGCCTGTGTTTGGCTTCTCCAACGCATAGGACCACTGCAGGGAGACAGAGAATGATATGGTTAACGACTACAGATATTTCTCTGAACTCTTAAATAATCACCTGAGAAAAAAAAAACAACGACAAGTTTGGAGAAGAGAGGCAGTTTGAGTTGTGTATGAGTGAGTGTGTATACGTGGGCATATAATGTAAACTCTGAAGCAAAAACAGGGGCCCAGTCGGTCAGTCATTGAGCTGTGATGAACTGTGAGACACTGAAGTAGCGCTCGGACTCTGCCAAGTCCAGCACTTGTGCTCGTAAACATACACTCTGCTATCCTCATCTGTTACACACACACACACACACACACACACACACACACAGGGAGGAGGGTTTATATATGAGCCCCAAAACTGAAGCCAAAAGCTGATTAACAAGACCTCTCCCTTTCTTTTTATGAGAATGAAAAAGGTTCAACAGAGGTGGGGGGAGGTTTGTCTATGGCCACTGTACTACATCACGTCATTGTGGATGACTGTCATTAATGGTGAAAGACACAGCTGAGGGACATGCAATCTTTACTTCCCCAATGACAAGGACACCTCACTCTTTTTCTTTATTTGACCCCTTTATTTTGCTCTGTTTCCATGTCTTTTTCCTTCTTCCAATTCCACCTTTCCACACTCCTGTCCCTCCAGTCATCTGTGGAGTATCACATCAACTAAAAAAAGCATATTGTGCTTTGAGTCCAAACAAATCAGTGGAGACAGTCTGGGTCTACTAGCCGGTAAAAGTTTTCCGATTTTTTATTTTCCAGGATGATCACTCATTAGCTCAGGCAATGGAGAGATTAACATGGCAGACCTCCCTCTTTCTAAAGATGCATGTGGCTGACTGCTAATTGGAGTTGGACCAGGGGTTTCTTACTACATGCATCCACGCTCTAATCTGCTTTTGGAGTAAAGAAAAGAGCTAATATGATCATGCTTGTCTGAGATGGATAGACAGGTGTGGTGCAGCAGGCCAAGTGCTGCAGTGAGGTGAGGTTTGGAGAAAAGCTCTCAGTGTTTGCTGCCTCACTCGACGCAGCTGTGGGATGTGAGGTGTGGTATGAGGTAAGAGCCTGAAGGCTGCAGGTTAGAGGCCCGCTGCTCGGAGCTCTCTCCCTCTGCCTTAAACACACACCGCTCAGCTGGCTTTGAGCAGCACCCACCCAGCAGTTAATGTCATATCAGGACCCAAAATAGCTGCAGAGAGAAAAAAAAACATTTGGGAAAGAGATTGTTTGTTAAATTAAAACTAATTGCTATTGAACTTTCCTCTTTCTGCAGCTCCAAGCTTCTTTCCTCATAAATCCAGCAACAAGGATTAATTAGACTTTTTTTACACAGAATTTTCTTTTCTCCGCTCTAAATCGAAGTCTATCCATGTGCTAGTGACTGTGCTCCCAAATGCTCCACAGCCAAAGAGCCCGGGCCTGGGCCAGCGTTTACAATAATGAGGGATCTCATCTATTCTTCAGCTAACATCTTGAGATGGCTCGCTCTGTGTTAAAGCACCCCAGGGGTAAAGAAGTGGGGAGCGATGGAAGAGAAAGAGGGAATGGATGGATGAAGGGTCAGAGATTGGGCTCAATGTATACACCAGACTGTAATGAAGCAGGACATATGATATCAGCCCGAGGAGCACTGCTGGATCTGTGCTTACCTAATGCTTTTAACACATTGAGCCATTTGACTCCAGCCGGCAAGCCAGCAAGTGAGAATGTGTGTGTGCGCCTGAGTGTGGGTAGGGCTCCTCCTTTTGTGTGTGCGATGTTGGTGTGCATGTGTGTCTATGTGAGTTCAAGTACAGATGAGTCAGGAAAATGTAAATACAGTAAATTTTAGAATGGTAGAATATACTATAACAGCTTAGCAGGGTAATTTATGTGTGTGTAGATGAGGTGAAACAAATGTCCACTTTTTTTTTTTCTCCAGTGAGTGTCAAATGTCTGTTTTGAAGGTGTGTGTGCCTGTGTGTAAAGGAGGTGAAAATCCTCTGGCTTGTCAGAGTTGTCAGCAGGTGTCTGACTATGGGACACAGGAGGATTCCCATATCTGTCCTGAGATGGACCAACTGGGCCAGAAAGAGAGAAACCTGGAATAAAAATACATCGTTCAGGGCTTAACCTCATACGAAATCCCGGCACCCTTTCCTTTTTTATTTACTTCACTTTCATTCACTCAGATAAGAAAAATATACGAAAGAAAGTTCTTAGATAAAAGAGCTGGTGGGCCAAGATATCTATGTTGACGATCAGATTTGATAATTGTATATTGTAGAAAAAAGAGGTGTAACTGAGGAGTTATTTGGAGATTAGTGCAAAGAGATAAAGGGCGAGTTGAAATATGCCAAAATGAAGATACAGGTGGAGAGAGTCCACTTTCTGGTCACTGAACCTTGTCCGGCCATAATGGGCAGCTTTGTGGCCAGAGTGAAGGTGGCAGACATGACGTGTAGTTCTCAGCTGGGGAGGGAGGGAGAGGCCCCTCAGTGCTTACAATGAGCGTATACACATGGAATATGTATGTACAGTACATACAGCAGCGATGAATGGCTGTGCATGTAAGTCTAGGTAGGCAGCACAATGCAGACGGCAACACAAACGCCCACACGTGTCATAGAAGTTGCAGAAAACCAAGGCTGGCTGTCCTAACACTCGTGGTGATTACTTTGAACACCGAGCGAAACACCCACACATGCATCCTGTGTGTGATGACATGTATGTGTTAATGTGACTCATACACACAGACGTTAGTTGCATGTAGGTGACAAACCTTGAAGAGCTGAACTGGTAAAATGATTCTGTACGGTGCAATTGAGCCACACAGAATAATTTAGTAATACCACTATTACTGTCCGCAAATCCTCTTCTGACGAAGGCGTGAGATAATCATGCGCGCAAACTGGCATGCTGATAGTATTGCAGAAAATGGCAGATTTGCACCACTGCTGCGCAGCCTCTTTAGAGCCTCTTTAAGGAGCGTGCTTGCCTTCCCCCTCTCCACTTCACCTCCTGACTCTCTCCGCATTCTCAACATATGTTTACCATTAAGACTGGCAGGTGTTGTAGGCCTGCCCCTTCTTTCTATTGTTGCCCTGCAGCCCCAGCCAACACGAGGAGGCCTGCAAAAAGGTTATGCAAAAAAAGTTAGCTCAAAGGCATGGACATATTCTAACTTCGAGAGCCCGTAAAATTACAACTCAAACCTGTTGCTGAAAGCACCTTTGGAGTATTAAGGTCTTTTTGCTTATTTTTATGCACTAAAAGTAAAACATCTGCTCAATATTTTTCACACAAATCAACAAATAATAAAAGCAATGGTCTATGCCTCTATTGAGTAGGAGATACTGATTTTCAGTGGAGTTAAAGGGCGGCTGTAGATAGATTATAGTCAAATTCTTTCTACTGAAAAGCAGCTTGAATTATGTTTTTCTTCTTTGTGATTTAACTGTAAAAAGTTAAAATATGTATAAGCTCATAGCTTGATGAGTTGTATCCACTTGTCACAAGAAATGTAACATTCTTACTCCAAAAAGACGGCTGTGCACTGAGACATATTTTGCCAAAATATGAGGAACATATGTAACAAATTTCAACATGCTGCTCATATATTTTCACCTGATCCAAAATGTTATACATTAGACTTACTTGGCGTCTGCAACGCTGAATGGAACGATTCAAACAAGAACAGGCAGAATCCATCCTGTAATACAAACCACTAAATGAAAACGAGGTACACAGGCTAGAGGAGGAGCAGGGAGCAGATATTAAAAACAAAGTCAGAGCAGAAAATGAAAGTGTGTATCTGTGCCACTGCTTCGCCCCTTCCCCCTCTTTCTCTCTACACTACCTGAAACAGAACTCTGCTCTTCACAGCTGAGGCGGTGTGTGTGTGTGTGTGTGTGTGTGTGTGTGTGTGTGTGTGTGTGTGTGTGTGTGTGTGTGTTTGAGGGGTGGGAGGTGGGAGGTGGGGGGGGGGTTGTGTTTGGGCCAAGGAAAGGGTTAATGACACATGTCTGGACTAATGGCTCCCAGTGGAGCTATCTGCTGATTCAGCCCCATTACTTCACAAGCATTAAATATGTCTGCCCCAACCGCTCTATGCAACCCCCGCCCTCTAACCCCAAACCCTAATACAAGTCAACAAGATGCAGCTAATAATGAGAGTTTCAGACTCTCTCGACCTTTATAACCCTTCATCTCTGACACTTCTGACACACTCAAGCAAGGGTACGTGCAAACTTGAAGCTTCAATTTGTGTTAATGTGTCAGTGTGAGTTCCTGACTCTTGAAAAAAAAACTGCATTTTTCAGACTAACAACAGCACTGAGCCTCAGTAGAAAATAAGGTATACAATCTATATGGAGTTTTTAATGCAAAATGTTCACTTTTATCCACTGTTTTGATGTAAATGCTATCATATCTGCAGAAACCCTCAGCAAAACAATATCATGCCATTATCTTGAGTATGAAAAAAGCATTTTTCCATCTCAAATCACAGTATATCAAATCTATTATAGCCACTGGTCATAGTTCAAAATAAAATATGTTATGATGTGCAAACAAGAGTGTCCAATTCAAAGTTTCACAAATAGTTTATGGATATCATCATCTACATAAATTGATAGTTTTACATGCTAAAATGTACAGTGTTTTCCAGACCAAACTTTTTTCACAATATCTTCCAGCTTCATTCAGTCTCACTTCAGATGTTCATATGTGACGTTCAAGCGTCCATCTTTTAGTCCGATCAGTTTTGACACTTCTTTATCGTTTTGCTTGAAGTGGCAAGTTTATCACTGTGCTAGGAGGCTAGTGGGAGCTAGTGAGATCCAACCTGGACCAGGGTTAGCAGTCTTACATAAATCAGAACAGATGGCAGACTCTCTGCAAAGCCAGCTGGCCTCAGTTTGCCTGTGTGTCTGTGCGCAGGACAGGACCTGGCAGTGCAGGTACAGAGTGTAACTCCCTCCACATAATAAACACATAACACGTGTCTGAGTGTAATGGACACTAGACACACAGAGGCAATGATGAAATGCTGACAACAATCAACTCTTCTGAGATAACAACCTCTTTTCAATCAGGTCTGTGAGGTAGAAAAACTAGTTTGTGAGAGAAACTCAAACATTTTTTTTTTAATGGGGGAGGCAGGGTTATGGATGAGGGTTCATCAATCTCTGGACATACTAGAAGGCACTGTAAAAGTCGGCTTACACTGACCCTTTAATGGGGGACGGGGTTGACTATGAGAATCAGGACGAGTTCTGGGCACATATCCAGGACTGGTTAGACCTATACATGGTTGAAATTGGCTTGCTTTATGGACTAGTACTACTGAAAGTCTGATTCACAACACCAATTCAAAAGATCAAATTACAACCACGAAACAAGCTACCAGTACACATTTAATAGTCACTCTGTAAGTACACATTATGTTTCATGCAACAGTTTCACCCAGGAAATATTCTTAGTTGTTTGTGTAACACATACAACTTAATAAATGGACCCTGCAGTTAAATAACTCCATATAGATGATTGCTAAGGCCTATTATCATGATGATCTTTGAGTGAAATTAGGAGCACATACTGCACGACACTGTGCGCTCTGTACATTCACATTTGTTTAGCCAAGAAAAACAGAGAGCCTCGCACAAATGACGTGTGCAAAAATGACAACAAATAATCCTAATCTTTGTTCAGTTTTACACTTCTCGCTTGTTACAAATCGCAATGCCCATTTTCAACAATTATAGCACCCCTTTAAACACAAGGTGAACTCACAAGCACTTAAGAGCATTTTCTCTGCCTATTCAACAACAAACCATTTACATTCCCTGACTCTGCAATAACAGACAATAACTACGGCTATCCTGTAAGCCCATTTCTAAACATAGGCCGCTGAGAGGAGTGCTGCAAATCTCTGCATTGAAATACCCACTTGGCTTGTCTAAAGAGATACAGGGGCTGGACCGAGTGAAGAGTGGCACAAGTTGGAGATTTGGCAGAGTGAGGGGAAACAGAGAGAGGGGGAGAGAGAAAGAGAGGGTGGGTGAATGAAGGGGGAGTAAGACAAACTGGAGGGGAGGGAGGGGAGGAAGGAGGAGGGAGGGGAAAAGGGGGGGGTGGGGGGTGAGGAGAGAGAGCGAGAGAGAGAGAGAGTAATGATCCACACATGGTTTCATGCTGGAGCCTCAACATAGTAACCATAGACACATGCTGGGGCCTCCTGGGACTCATCAGTTGGACACAGCTGTGAGTCGGACAGCAGAATTCTATTAGCACCAACTATGCACACATGTGCTTGCAAACACACACTCGCACAAACCCACATGCACACACGAATGCACGGGCACAAGCATACACAGGTAATTTTGTTTTTCGCCTGTGTTTTGGCATGCTACAGCTGGAACATCACATAAGACCATTAATGCAGCCAAACTTTTTGGCCTGAGGTACCCCCACACTCTGACAGATGAATTTATGCACTCCTTCATTGATTCCCACCTATCACATTCTAGATGTCAAACACTATGGGTTCAACAAAAATAGATGTAGTTGAAGCTAGTCTCTCCCACCATCCATCTATTCTTCAAAGCTGACTGTTTGAGCTATATCGATGCTTTCAACTTATCCTTTTCAATGTAAAGTCATTACTTTAATTGACAATTTTAAGGTTTATTTTACCTGTTTATCCAAAACATTTTGCTTGAAGTCCAACAGATTAATTGATTCACACAGATATTGTGGTGTTTATCAAACTTTGTAATAATTTTAACTGTTAAATGTTTAGTCGTAATTTTCATTAATCACTGAGCCAACTTTTGTTGATCAAATTATGTCTGATACATTAAACTTACGAAATTCAACTACTCTCCATTAGCCGGTCATTTAACTGTTGATCTTATACATTTGGCTAGCTGTTTCAATTGTTATTCATGATTTTTAGCCTACTGTTTACAATTATATCTATAGCATTTGACTGATTACTTCAATTATTTATCCATTTCCTTTGGCTGATTGGGAATCCCAAAAGATGTGCATGCTAGGGCGACTCAACCATAAGTCATCACCCTTGCTGGTCTGCTACAAAATTTCAAGTTGGTTTTGCTAATTATTATTTCTATTGTCATAGAATTTTTGTCGTCTCTCAGCTGTAGAGCAGCCACATGCCACTAGCTCCAGATTTTGGCCACAAAGCTTGCAGTGTTACTGCCGTGGAAATAAGGGTGATGTCTCAAAGCATGGTGCAGATTGACAGTATTTTGATCTGAAAATGAGGATAAACTTGTATATACTGTATATATATTATAAATTTGTATATATTGGTTAAATTGGCATGTCACCACAGGACTAGAGCAACGTGTAACCATTCCAGACATGTGAACATTAGGCTGCAAGAATGACTTAAAACTCGTGGTGCTAGCCCTTCTTACTCTGCAAAACCAATTTGCCATCATTTTTCACACTCTGTGATTCCCCATTAAGACATGTTGAGTGAATTGTGCTCGATTTTGACTGTTTTCTGACCTCAGACAAATTGGTTAGTGAGAACTGTAAATCTCATTCAAACTGCAAAGAAATTAGTCAACTAACATGTCTAGGAATAATCAGCCAAGGAGGACCCACAATGCTACTGATGGAATTTCTACAATAAACTGATTCACATCTAATGTTTTCCACACTGGTGGGGTTTAAAAAAGGTTAGCCAATGAGCTGAGATAACTTGCAATAGGATCCCTCAAGAAACAAAGGGTTTATTTAGTGGGACACTCACAAGAAGGCCTCTAAACTGCTCTTCAAATGGTTATGTAATACCTGTTGGTAACAGCCACTCTAAATTTCACCCTCACTGCTTGGCTAGTTTTCTACGATATGACAATCACACAAGCCCATGAGTACTGGCTGTACAAAAACACACATTGAGCCAAGTGCATACATGGTATATTCTTGATGACAAGCCTATAACTTCTCTGGGAGGCAAACATGCTGTTTATAACAAATCACACCAAATGAAGGAGCCAGTTAATAAATTAACAATGAAAGTACACCGTTCTGATCTATGTGGAAGCCAACAGAAGGGGGGAGGAACCCTCGGGTGCGGCCAAAATTAAACCTTTTCAAATCATCCTTTTCTGGACCTTGGTCCATTGCTTCAAGCCCAGCCCCAGTCCTTAATAACAGCCTTTAATGAACTCTAGGCTGGCAGTACAGCTTGAAGTGATACCCCGTTTACACACACGCTCTGATTTCACTCATTTGTGAACACCACTGATGCCCTTTATTTGCACTCTGCCTTCGTCACTCGGTATCACCCTTAATCTTATACAATTTTCCCAATCATCCCTCTTTCCTCTCTTTCTGCTTCTTTCTCTCCGTGAGTGCGACATGTTTGTCTTGCTGGTGGAGGTAGTGATTTAGTGCTGCTAAGAATGATGACTCTGCCAGAGGGGCTGGCCGGGCACTGTCTCACTGTCATACGTTCACTCCAGCTGTGGGGGGAGGGAAGGATGGAGGGGTGGAGAAGTGAAGAAAAAAAAAAGAGAGAGAGAGAGAGAGGGAGAGACTTGAGGGAAAGAGAAACCACCGTCTTTTATGGAGACCAATCCTCCAAGCCTCACTGCCTAGGCCAACTTTGCAGGATATATTGGACAGTTCCACACTACCCCGCCCCCACCCCCTCCAACTGCTCTCTTTTCTCAGCTCTTTTTCAAGCTCCCCTCCTTTTTGGTTTCCAACAAGGCAAGCCTTTAGCCGAACTCAGGAGAGGTGTAAAAGTATTACCATGTCAACAAGTGCCTTTAACTCTAACCCACTTTACACAGACAGGCACCAGATCTCTTACACACACATTAAAAATTGGGGTCAATCAACTGCAAGAGATGACCTTAGTATACACTGTTCCAGGGAGTGTGCCAGAATAAGAAAACCGAAACCTTTAAGCACAAAGGATCTGGAAAACAAAGGAGAAACCATTACTCTCACAGGAAACGGAAACTAATGAGCTCTTTGGGATGACCGAGTCAGTCTACATGTAAGTATGGCATCTTACAGTCACTTTCAACAAGGCTTCCACAACCTCATTACAAGTGTGTTAAAAGGACTCATTAAAAAAATATACCGACGACAACGGCCAAGACAAAGGTGGGAGGAGAGAGCTCTGAAGGCTGATGCAGACCCCAATCACACTTTTCAGAACTTGTGGTCATTTTCTAACAGTTCTCTGTGTATGGAGGCAGCGAGCCTATGACAACGAGAGAACAGAGAGGGGGAGTGTGCGGAGCAAGAAATAGCATGCAAAAGCACAGATTTGTGAGAGGAGGGAGGGAGGGAAGGGGAGGGAGGGAGGGGGGGTGAAGCAAGTGAGGAGAGAGAGAAGGAGGGAGAGAGAGAGAGAGAGAGAGAGAGAGGAGTAGCCCAGCCCAGTTGCCTGGGGAGAAAACTGCTCTGCTGCTGACTCAGGACTCTCTTTGTTTGACAATACTCCCTCGCCCTCTCTCTCTCTCTCTCTCTCTCTCCCTCTGACACACTCTCAAACTTACTCGTCTTTTTTTAAACCCTCCCTCAGCATCTTTTTTTGTGTGTGTGCACATGCTCTCTCCTTGTCAGACTTCTACCAGCAATTTCACTCTTGACAAACTTTTCATTGTTTCTAATGTCTTACCCCTTTCTCTGTTGTTTTCTCTAGCCCCCGTCCAGCGCACGTGTCTCCTCATTCTGCTCTCTCTTCCTTCTGTTACAGTGACATTTTTCTTTCACTCAAATACACAGTACTGAATGTCCCCTTCTCATGTGATTAAAGCTGATAAAGAGTTGCAGTCTAATAAATCTACAGTGAGGTTTTTTTTTGCCTTTTCATGTTCCACTAACAGTGGTTCACGATCAGGACCAGAACTCTGGGCCGTTTTATTCTCTTCCAGCAGTTTCCAGATGTTGGCGGGCCAGTGGTTGGCAGCAGACTGCCAGCGCAGGCTCAGGTACTGTATATGCTTCCTAATGATAGAGGGGGAAAACTGTGAGAGGGACTCATTGAGAAGACAGGGAAGCCTAAAGACCTGGCAAAGAGGGAGGAGGTGGCATGAGTGGGTATGGCTTACAAAAGAATGAAAAAAAAAGAGAAGACTGGCAGACTACCGGACAGTCAAGAGTGATAGACTCTCTGAGAGAAAATAATGTTTGGCAGCTATAAGGATGGTAGACAAAGATCCTATAGAAAGAGAGGCTGCACGTTAAAGAGGGAAGGGAGGAGAAAGAAACAGAAAGAGAGAGAAAGAAAGAGGAGCGATGGTGATTCCAGCTGGACACGGACCCATTCCCAGAGTGGCAGTGCTGAGCAAGGCTCACAAAGACCCCTAGGGGACCCAAACAGAAAAAAAGGAGGTAAAGAGGGCCCAGGGGAAGGCATGAGCAAGCCAAGAGGGGGAGCACTGATAAGCAGGAGGTAGTCCAACAAACACTCTGACACAGAGAAGAGGGAGGCATGTGCAACAAAAGTGGAAGGCAAGAGGGTTTCCTACATGTCCTAAAAGTTGGACCTCCTTTCCTTAAAACAAAGAGGAAGAAAATTATGTATCTCAGGATCAAGATCAAGTAAGAACAGATGCTTATTTTTCCAAGAAGGTGGAGGTGGCAGAAAACACAGCTATAGATCATAAATCACCAACTGTTGCAAAAAAAAAAAAAAGCAGGCAGTATCCAAAAGTTGGAGAAGGCAGTTTAAAAGTACTACTTTAAAAAAAATGAAGTCACTATTTGGAATAAATTTGATCTTTGATTCATGACCCTTATCTCCCACAACTTTAAAAGGGTGACAGCTGTTATCTTTTTGTGGTAGGAAAACTGCAAGGAGACACATTTCAGTTATTACACATGGCTGGGATGTCTGTCAGAAATTGGGCTCAGCCTGACTAACAGCGTACATTAAAACCATCTGATTATCCAGACCAAGTTGCCTGAGGTTTATGTACAACCAACAAATTGGAGGAGTAAAAATAGAGGGGTTTGGGAGATGTTCACTGGCTTATCAGCAGGAGTGTGACAGGAGCACAGATCATACCAAAGCTCAGCTCAGCCACGTCTTCAACAGACAGACAGACAGGCAGCAGGAGAGGAGGAGGAGGAGGAGGAATCACCAAGTTCAGTGAGGCCTGGGTCTAAGGCCACATTCAGATCAGCATCAGTCCTGCATGAAAAAACACAGGCTGCTTGTTGATTTGAATAAGGCCAGACTGGAAAAAGTCGACCCGGGCTCAACTTTGCCAAAACTCTGAGTGATGTCACACGGCAAAGCACATGGGATATGACGCTACGGTGTTTTCTATTTGGTTGTCTGCCAAGCCCTGAATGAGCATGAGAATCAGGATGTCAAAGAATTATTAAAAAATAACACTCTTGGTTAAATGTGCAGCAATCTGTGTGTCCTGCAAAGTTTCGAAACACAGCCCAGAGAAAAGTTGAGGAGCAACAAGAACACAAAAAATATGATTTCTAACACAAAGCATGCAAGCTGAAGAAAGAGAATATCATGCAGGATTTAAAAAAGCAAAACTGAGCAGCTATTGCACTCATATAAGAGAGCATGGGTGTACAGTGGGAGAGAAAAAAAACAAGCATGGGGAGGGAAGGGGGAAGGCAGAGAAAAAGAAGCGAGAGGGTGCTCGCCTGGCACAATGAGTCCTACTTGTTAGCCAGTGACAGTGTCAGGGATCGTGACAGGGTCCAGACGCTAGACACCAGCTGCAGCGCCTCGTAAATAGACTGCTGTCTCGCGGGCACATTTGCACGGCAATGGTTGCACACACACTCGCAGACACACACAGGCATGTGGGCACATGCATATACTATGGCAGGCACACAGACAGACTGACACTGACTTATTGTCTCTCCCAAATCTTGTAAAAGGGACAGTGAACCTCTTTGTGCCTTGTGTCCTGTTAAAGCTCCTGCGAAGAGAAAGTGTATTCCTCTCACAAGAGCCTCACAAAATTTTCATGAAAATGATTGAATAGGAGTTTATAATGTGTTAATAAATATGCGGTGCTTTATGGGGGAAAAAAAAGGCAGAACAAACTGTGTTCAGTCTATAGGGAGGTTTTCTGAAACCAAAAGACTAATCTCTCGAAGGGCTTTTCCCTCGATGTAAACTTTGTGTGTGTTTCTATGTGAGAGTGAGCACCCCCCCCCTCCTCCGTCCCTGGTGATAATGAGGGGGGTAACACACTACATCTGCCCTGTGCTGTGTAGAGGGAGAAAATGTGGAGGAGAAAAAGGAAAAAAAAAAAAAAGAAAAGAGTGGGACAGAGTTGAGAGTTTAGGGCGAGGGGCGAGCTGAGCTGGACGTGGAGGTGAAGGGGTTAAATGTGCTGGGCTGATCCTGCTGAGCCAGCAGCAATACGTTAAAGTGCAAGGTTTCATTGTAGCAGATACAGAATGAAACTCCTTCCCATTAGTCACGCTAGTAACTGAAAGGAGTCTTCGCACTGTTTAACCCTTTCTGCACCACAAACAGACCACAGCAACAGCACAGGTAAAGCCTCTGTGATTGGTCAGCGGCTTCTATGTTTATGTTTAAACTCACAAGCACATAGGGACTGCGGTAATTAAAGAACAAGTGTGCTTAAGTGTGCAAAGTGGACTTTTTCTAACTTGTGCATGAGGAGAGTGAGTGTCTGAATTCACACGTAGGAAGTGTCTAAAATGGAGTGACCCTTGAGGGAGAATTTCTTTTTCTTTTCCTCTGTTTCTCTCTCTCCCCCCTATCCTCATCTTGAGCAAGCCTCCCACGCCACGCTACAGTACACGCTGTCTCCAAGGGGCTTAGGGAGGAGAAGGCAAGCATACCCTTCCTCCAGTTAGAGCAGAGCAGAACCATAATCATCATAATTATTATCATCATCACACTGCCTTAACCGAGACACACCACAGCAAAGCAAGTGGTGCAATGGCAAAACAATGGAACAAACCAACCGCGTAAACAAACCCATAATGAGAGGGCGTAAGGTGAATCGGGTCATTACAAAAAATAAGGAGCGAGTTGTACTTGGTTCCGTCTGTTAGGATTTTAACTGTGCACTATTTTTGTTTATGCCGAGGAGAGATATATGAGCTGAATTCTTTCAACGGTTTCATCAGGACCTGTCAAGAACTACAAAAGCAGATAAGCTAAACTAATAGCAAAGAATAAGGTGTTTCTCCAAACTCTATTTGGACACCCATACTCAACACAATATATTAATTAAACCTTTCCTAAACACACACAAATACACACCTTAACCTTCTGGAAAAGAGACATGTGTTGGCCCAAACCCTCCTCCAGTCCATTTGTTTTAGTGCTCCAGAAAAAAAAAGCCATTTGATCCTAATTAAATCAAAATGGAGCATGAAACGTCTGGTGTTCAGCAACACAAAAACCCAGCCCTCGCTGTTTGTTTTCATTACGACAGCTCTGAAACAGCAGTACACTGACATCTCCGAGGGAACTCAAGGAAGCCCCCTTAACGTCTCGTGAGGTCAGACGGGGAGGGGGACTAGTAATATTGTACCCTGGCCAAATGCTCAGCGATAATAAAACAACAATTACCATTCATCATTCTCTCATTTCCCCTCTCATTACAACTCCAGTTACCATCATCACCAGGTAACAAGAACATGTGGCACACAGCCTAATGTGGTTTACAGAGATGAACAATGTATGGAAACCATAAGGCCTGTAGTGAGCTACACAGTATAAACCATGCAAGCGCTGGAAAAGCTGACAGTATGCCACGGGTACTGTATATTTAAGGGAAAAGAACATGACGGATCACAAAGCATAAATGTCATATTGGTGGACAAGAATAAACAAATAAAACACACAAAACAGAAGCTTGTGTGGAAAGTACATGGAGTACAGGCTAGACATCTGTAAAGGTTGCTTGCCACAGTTGCTCAAGATAGAGGGCATCTTTTCAGCATCACAGGGGCAGTCTTACATCTTGTTGACATTGAAGCTAAGCCTTGTATTTGTAGGTTTTCATCTTAAACATCAGTGTCTAGTTTGTCAGGCACATGTATAGTTTTATCTCGCTAATCTGACACACTAGAAGCATGATGCTAACATGTTTGCTCTTGCAAAAGGTAGTCCTATGAACACAGTTTTAGTGGGGCTTACCCTCAGAAAATCCCAGATTATACCAAAGTTTCAGCTCTATTCTGACACCTTTAATCAACCTGAAAATCAGACATATATTTCCTATACTGGCCCTTGAGATCTTCGCTGATCTGTAGGCAGGTCTAGTTTTGAACTACAGAACTTGAATCACTGAAGAGGCACTTTTCACTAAAATAACATAGACCAACTTTTAAAAAATGCAAACATTCTGGCCATTCTGCACAATTGTCCATCACCTTTTTAATAGTCCTTAGTCACAGGTGAAAGGGGAATTAGATTGAAGAACATTTTTTTATGGAGGAGCACTTGAGTGGGCAGTTGTACTGGTAGTTGTTAGACTGCCAGGCTAGTATTGCAATGCAATGTTGAGTGGACAATCAAATTTAATGATCAAGTCTGAGATATTTAAAATCTTTGTGGAATCAATATTGGCTGCCTCAATGAACTTGCTGCCCAAGTGAAAGTCTGTGAGATCTTTTGGTGCTTACATCTGCTTTTTTTGCTCTAAGTGCTTTTTATTTTGGCAGTAACTTTCACCTGTCCCATATGAACTTCTTCACTTAAGAACGGCTGCTAATATTTGGAATCCTGTTGGAGATTAACTGATTCCTAGAAAAATGTGGGGATTATATCATTTACCATACACAATAGAACACAACATATTCTAGGAATCTGGAGAAAAACCTGTACAGAAGGTATAGGTGTAAAGAAAAGGCTTTTATCTTACTCCTGTCTTGTCACAGAGTCGCAGTGTGTTGAAGGAACCCACAGCAAACACCTCTCCGTCAGGTGCCCAGGACAAAGATGTGATTGAGTAGTCAAGGAACAAAGAGGAGTAGAGCAGACGACCGAAGCTGTCCCAAACCTGTTTGTGGACGACATGGTTTGAATAGCAAAAAATCCAAACATAATTCAGCACACTTTCTGGTAATATAGAGTAAACAAATACACACCTTGTATTTACAGTCTTCTCCACCTGACAGTATAAGGTCGTTGACTGAATTCCAGTCCACCTTCAGAATGATACCATCATGAGCTTTCCACTAGAGAGAGACAAAGGGAGACGGGCAAAAAGAAGAATCTTGTATTTATAAAGTTATACACAATATCTACAACCCAAAAAGGAAAACAAACATACAGATGGGTCAGGTGAGCTGCAGAAAGTCAGTAACATTCAATTTCATTTCTGCATAGTAGCAAGTTTCTGGACTGTTTCATATCAGTGTCTATGATCGCTTACTTTCTACATGATGTATTAGAGAGTAACAAAGAGCTCTTTCTGCTCTTTTTTACACGCCTACTCTCTTTTTTTCTGTACCTTACATGATGACTCTGCACACCCAAGAGATACAAAAGTAAACATGTGCAAAAGTGTGCTGTGTGTGTAACTGTAATGGCTGGAAGAGAATCTTTGAGGGTCAATCACACAAAGCTTTTGTCATACTCCTGCCTCATCAGATTCAACAGCCAGGCAATAGAGGAACAGTTCAACATTAACCCAGGCTGGCTAATGTATGTTGACCCATTCAGAATGAGACCACACAGGTTCAACTTGCATCCCAGTGTTGGTCTCCAGGGGGTCTCGCGGAGAGGTGATGAACCTGGATGTGTGTTTATGTGTGTGTGTGTGTGTGTGTGTGTGTGTGTATGCTTGTGCCTGTGTGGTAGCTCTGAGAAAGTGAGAGTTTAAAAGGCACACCTCAAACCCTCTGGTGTTTTTCTAGGGTCCCAGATGCTATTTAGCCTCAAAAAAGAATAATAAAAATGTAAACATGAACTGGAAAAATACCCACTTGTGCGCAAGGTCCCTGGTGCCGCACACTTCATAAATGCAAAGTATTTAGAGACATGTAAACAAACAGTACTCTCCTTTTTTCCATTGCTCTTGTATGAAAAAAATTAGTAAAATTCTATTTTAATACAAAAAGATGAAGGACAAAGCTGTGTTAGGACACATGGCAAAAAAAATTACGAGTAAATCTACCTAGAAGCAAAAATTTATAGAAAAAAACTGAAGAGAAACCTACAATTTGATATGTCTAGGTGTCAGGGCAGATAATCCAGCTAGAGTCTAAAAAGTTCAAGGAAAAGGGCTGGGTAAAATCCAACTTAAACACAGACAAAGAGAAACACAAACACATGTCACATTACTACAGGAACTCGATGTGTCCACAGCAATAAATAATATCTCGAATGTGTTTCTCATTAATTGCTATTCCATTTGGTAGCTGAACTGTTGCCACAATACGAAAAGATATATGTTTATTATCCATCTGCGTTGTGTTAAGATACAAAAAAACAACAACAAAAAAAATACAATCCAGATCCTGCAAATCATCCTCTGCAGAAAGGAACTGAAAAACTAAGCTGCCTGTTGTTGTTGACATATGGCACACATCTGACGGTTAGCTGATTTCACAGCACTGAGGCTGAATTACAGTCTTTGAATAACACTTAATGTCATCACTTTCATGTGGTTTATGGAATCTACCATCACAGGGATCATCCTGGATGTATGTCTCTGTCGTTTCACAGGCCAAAACCCCCCTTACATGACCCTTCATTAAGGTAATGTAAATCAAACTGTGCTTAGATTTGATATTGAAATACGGAACTCGGGAAAACTCAGTTAGCAAATGGACTCAGAGACCCAAATGAATCATTAAAAATGTCAGAGCTGATCAGTGTTAATCAAGTTATTGTAAGCTAATAATTATCTACAATTAGTAGTGACTGTTACAAAGTCACAGAATTATTCAGTTGCTGTAATTTGCTGACTCAACAGTTAATACAGAAAGCAAATCTTCAACAAAATACCTTCCAATAAGTCTGTTTTGTCTTCACTGGCTTACAGATTGTGGAGCCAGGGATGATTTCAAATCAAGCCTTGGCTGTTTGGACCAAGTGGCTCCTGCTTGGTCTGGCGAGCTAAAATGAGCTGCACCTGAGTTGCCAGTCTTTCCACCACTGCGCTCTCTGGCATCTCGTTTAGAAATAATGTGGAGTGTGTAGTTAAGATTAGAATTACAAATCTCTGAGGTGTACAAAGTTATCTTTCCTGAATGTTGACTAGAATTCACCACAAGATTTTTGACCTTGAGGGGGGAAATATAATTCTAGTTTTTCCAAAACAGAAGGCTCAAACCTGAATGATCATCACCTGTAATAAAAGAGTTTTCCCTGATACCAGTATAAACTAAACAAGGAGATTTTCGAAGTGCAAGTCATGCAGAGCTCCTCCTTAGGTGTCCCAGACTGACATTGCAAAAAAGTGAAAATTCGAATAATAAGTCTCCTTCAGGTGCTGGAAATTATGAACTAATGAGTTGCATAAGTGGCTGTAGAAAAGTCCCCATTATCACATCTGCTAGTTAATTCAATTTAAAAAACTTGACATTTAGGAAATAATTGAGTAAAGATCACAACATGAAATGTTCCACGTGATCCATGAAGTAATAGAAATTATTTTTACATATTAAGAACGAACTTAAAAACATAAGGGGCACCAAACTGACCTCAACCAAAAGTTCCTCACAGGGGCTTTGAGTATTTTTACCTGTATGACTTTTGCACTGGGCTGCAGGGGCTTGATAATCAGCTGTCTTCCTGATGTGTAGAGGATTCTGTCTGAGTCTGGACCCCAGGCCACAGAATATACAGGAGACCCTGCAAGATGCGTAGGAACAAAGAAGGTGATTGGGTGAGAGATTACTCTTCAGCAATAATCAATACATTGAGCTTCAAAAAGACAAGAGTTACATGTGTTTATATGTGAATTCTCCCCCTCTACCCAGGAAAGTAGGACTATACAGCAGTGATGAATCCTCCTCTTAGAGGGTATCATATTTCCTTAGAGCTCTCACCTTATTCAGCCTATGGAACTGCACTTAGCTTAGAGGCACAGCAGCTGAGAAAACCTGACAAACCTCTACCATATAAGCACAAATGTGTGTGAGTGTGTGCATGTATGCTTTTGTGCACATGTGGGGGAAAATGAATGTGTATATACGAGTTGGTTTGTGGCTTCGCACATGTGGAGGGGAGAGGGCCTGACATTTAACCCCACCCCAGGTGCATGTGGTTTCTCACAAATGCCAAGTAGTCACATGATCTAAACCTGACAAAGGCAATGTGGAGGTAAGACAAGTTCCTCCCTCCCGCTCATTCATATCTCACCTCTTTCAAGACCTCTCTCTCTCTCTTTCTCTCTTAAAATGGGTCAGAGTACCCCAGAACAGTGCGTGTAGGTTCAGAGTGTGGAGTTGTTGGTTCTGAAAAAAAGGGTAACACCTGCAGTGGTGTGAGAGCCATGTGGAGGATGTTGTGTATCAGTGGCAGAGATACCATATTCAGGTGCTCTAAAAATCTGTGTGACTCCTGTGAAGCTCATAAGCCAACAGCTCATTCTCAAAAGAGCCAGCTCAGGAAAAATGTTCCTACATAGTGGGGCTGATTCGCTGTTTTCTCTGCCAGGTTTTCCACAGCACCCGTCATTCAGCGAGACTGTGCCATCCATTTTCCTCAGAAGCCAACTTTCATCCACCCCATCTTTTTTCTATCCCACATCTGAGAAGAAAAGTTTAATAAGTCAAACAGCATGATGAATCAATTAATAAGTGAGCCATCCGTAATGTGAGTGCTGGACACAGAAATGTATCATTAAGAGTCTTTTTTTATGGCTCTTAATAAAACTCCCTTTCTATAAAACTTTGAAACTTTATAGAGTTTTTAATAAAAAATAAAAAAAAAGAACTAGAACTATGCTGATTGGTCCAACATGCACACAAACACTTCCTCCTTGATTGTCATTTTAAACTACCTGGCTTGAGTCGAAAGCATCAATGCTGAAAAAGATATCTGGCAGATCATTCAGCATGTGCCAACGCAGAGACACTGGCATACCAGTTTAAAAAGCAATAATTTTACACAATGTAGAACGACAGACTTAAAAAACAAAAGCCATATGAGGTCAAACTAATCTGATAAAAAGAACCACAAGGAAAGTTAATTTATGGGGCAATCAATTCCACTCTCGTGTCAGTCAGGAGCCACGTGAGAAAGATTCCTTGATACACGATAGAAACTGAATATCTCTGCAGCCTGTTCTGTTTTCTTTCTGTGTCACTTTTCCCCTCTGTCACAGGAGGCCCTCTTTGGGCCAAGTAGTACAAAAGAAACCCGTACTTGCATGTGTCTGCGTGTGTGTGTGATATAGAGCGATAGAGAAGGTGTAATTGGAGTTGGTATGTTGTGTTGTGTTTACTAAATGCCTGCAGCTGGTTGGTCAGTGACTGGCTCCTGCTGCTGGCTGGCATCTGTTATGGATGTGACCCGCTTTGAACTGTGTTAGACTGAGACTCAGATAAGCTCTCACGCGCTGGTGTTCAAATTATATGAATTAAGATTGATGTTACAGAGATGAAGTGGACTCTAACTGCCATGCATATACAGCTTCAAGCCTTATTGTGCTCACGTGTGCATGAAATAATACGTTTACCGTTTATTAACTCTATGTTGGCTTCCCACTGACTACAGTCCTTCAAAAAGACACAGTATTCTGTTGGTCTTTTTATAACATCCTAAACAACCTCAATCTTAAATGTCAAAATGATACACTGTTCTGTTGCTTTATCCAGAAAATCATATTTAGACACATATAAAAAGTGCACACACACTGGCGTGCAGAGTACACTGCAGTGATTAAACAAGAAAAAGTTTCAACTTGTAAACTCACAGAAATATTGTGTCTAAGCTTGAAGTCATAAAACTTGCTGGCTAGTGAAATCAATGGTCCTAAACTTTCACCTCTTTCTATAAAAAAATCTCAGCAGCTGCTGTTTTTAATCAGCACTTTTCCAAATCGTTTTCTTTTTCAGTATGAAAATCTCTCCTTTATTTAATTTACTTTCACATTCAGTCCATTAAGCAGCACAGAAACCATTATTGTGGCAATGAAGAGCTGAGGATGTTTGCTGAACGTACATCTTTATGAACATATGCAGCAATAAGTTACATGTGTAGCTTAATATCAGTGCAGAAAAACAAGCGTCTTCACTCCAGCCTTACCTTGGCTGGCCAGAGTTGAACGCAGCATCCCGCTTTTTGACCAGATCTTGATCTGCCCATCTTCTCCAGCTACATAATAGGAGAAACAGATGAAATGGATCTCAGACATCTAAATCAGAAGCATAAGAATTCAAGAAGAGAAAAAGAACTGGATCTATTTTTATAGCCAGCTACAGTATGTAGAAATGGAAAAACTTTATGGTCTCTAGTGGTCAGATTCCCGCTGGTGAAGCAACAGTTGTCTTTGAGGACAAGAAGCCCCTGTGATGCATAACAAGTATAATCCTCCATTTGTCAGAATTTTAACCAATAAAATCACCCGTCAATACAAATTCTCTTAGGCACAAGAACCACTCCCTTCTATTTCTACTTCATCTTTCAACTTGTGCATTTTGTCCGCCCACCCACTAAATACAAGAAACACATATGTTACTAGTTTGTCAAGTCTGTGTTAGTGTAGAAACATGATGGTGCCAGAGAATGGTCTCTCTCTATAGTAGCAGACCTGCTCTTAAATCCTTAAAAGAGTCTCTCTAAATTAACAAACACTAAACAATTTTTACATCCAGGTGATCATACACCAATGTAAACATATTTATGAATATCACATTCCATTTCTACAAAGTCTGTTCTGCCAAATAGTGCTATTTACAGAGTATCTTTAAATGAATATCTTAAATAGCTATGAAAATATAAGCATTTTCCTGTTATCTTTACCTGTGATGAGAGCAGTCCCATCATAGTTCCATCTACCTGCCAAAACTGCTCCTTTGTGGGCTTCAACACTCTTCTCAATGCGCCCTGTCTTGGAGGTCAGGTGGAACTTCCCTGAAATGAGACCAAAAGAGTCTTACTGCATGGCCATACTAAAAGCCAGACCATACTTAAGGAACACTTGAGTCTGCTGCTATTCACTTGGTATCACAAGGATGTTGTCGTATTTAGGATACAGACACCATTGTTTTTCATTATAAACATGAGAAACACTGTTCCAATGTGGAGCAAAAGACCTCAACATTTTTTTGTCACAACACTGTAGAAAATTTGTCTTTGAAGGCTTAAGAAAAATGCACAGTACCGAGCAAAAGGTCTAAATATTAAAGATTATGGATGTGAATTAGAGCAATTTTCTATTTTCTAGACACGAGGGTGATCAGGCATGGAGACAGTCATTGAAGACATAAGCCTAACATATACTTTGTGGCAATGTGTATTAAAAAATACTGACTGTTCTATGTAATTTCTGTTGGCCTGAAACTGCAAATCAGCATGCTGCTGCTCTCTCCCATTTCTAAATATGGACATCCCTACAAAGTGGATGTTACTGATCCAGCAGGTAGTAACACTCGTGTAGCTGAACCAAAAGTTTGAAAAGACCTTTTTTTTTTTCCAAATTTCAAATTGTTGTTCCATTGAATGTAGAAAAACGAGACAAACAATGTGGTTTCAATTTTATAACAACAACATAATAATTGCGTGCTATGATACATGGTTTAATAAGCCTGTGTTAATATACTTGGTCATAGTCCCTAAAAATTAAAAGTAAGTGAAACTGTTTAGCTGCTGATCAAAACATTAAGTCCTTTAATGCCCTTTATGATAAATTATGGTCTTTTATGGCACAAGGAGAGACTCTCAGTCCACACAAAAGCTGGTCAAGTGGAGGGGAAAAGTATGCATCAGAATGTTTCATTATTCTTGCAAATATCAGGCATCTCAGAGTAATGAAATTTAAGAAGAAATAGGAAAAACTGCATTCATAGATGTTGCAAAACAAGTCTTCACACATTGAAACTCGGGAAAATTTAGATTCCATATGCAATACAGAAACAAATCCAGTAAGCTGATAATGAGAAGGGGAAGCTGACTAATGAAACACATTTAGGAGACTTCCCAATATTAGTAAAGAGAACTCACGCCCAATAAAGGCCTGGCTGTTTGACTGTCCCATGTTCTACTATATCCCACAGATGCCTAACAGTGTGGTCTCTACAAAATCCAAAGATCACAACTTTTAGTGGAAAAAAATCCTCAATGCAGACCACTGTTTGAAATAATAAAAGAGGTGTGCCCTTTTTTCTACAATTTTAAAAATATAAAATTTCTTTTAAAGCCAAAGTCCAACAGTTGCAATAGTAGTAATCTTTTTTATCTTTATAGGGCAAGACGCAGAAGAGGGCTGCAAAAGTGAATCGTAACAGAGTTTTCACTTCTCTCTGGTCTGCCAAAGAAAACTGCTGCTTCAGTTTGTGGGTGTGTTTATGCAACCCTACACTGCCATTAGTGTTGTGACCACACATTGCCTGCCATAACAGTACATTCATATACTGTGTGTTTATATCTAATATAGGCCTGAATAAGAGGCCTATATTGTAAGGGGCAAAATAAATGTACATAAGAAAGAAGTTTGGTGCAACAGATTTTTTACAAATCTACCTTAGTTATGTGTCGGGGTTTAATGAAATACAATAGACAGGTACACCTTGTAATATATTAAAAAAACTCAATTTTGATCATGTTAGTTTTTCAGATAAATTTCAAACAGGCTCGGCTATTCAAGAGTATTTGTGTGTTGCTGACTTGGTCCTCTACTAATCAAGTAAGATACTGTCATACTACTTAGATTTTTTTTTAAACAAGGTGAGGGGAAAAGGGAAGTTATTCTGCTTGGTTGGTCCAGTTAAAAAAAAAAAGTCATTTCTACTCTAATTTTCTCTGTATAAGTTTGGCTGAAAGAATCACTCATCTTTCCTGTGCAGCTTTTCGATGAATGAGAAATGTGTGAAAAATAACTGGGATGATCCTCTCAGGAATAAGAGCTTGTTGGACAGACTGTAGAAAATAAGGAGACTTGCCATCAGTGCTGGTAAGTACAAAGATTTCAGTCTGGTTCTGTTTCTTGACACCGACAGTTTTGGGGAACCAGTGTAGGTCAACGGGGTAGATGTCATCTGGTAATTTGACAACGAGACTGGTCTCACTGGTCAGAAGGTTCCACTTGAGGATCTGATGATCTTCACTGCATGAGTATAGCTCATCTGCTGTAGTCCAGCCAACACAGCTAACAAGTTCCTTATGTGATTAGCTGTTAAGGAATGAAATCAGTGAGAGAAATCATCTACTTTGAGTTAAATACTATTGTAGCTTCTACATGTAACAGTAACAGTAAGTTATGAGTGGTCACTTAAGTCCTATAGCTCAAAACCTTAGCTGATGTTCACACTTGAAATAATAATAATGTGAGGTAATATGTATCGTTGAGTGAGCTGAATGTTAAAGCAAGGAGATGTGCAAAAATACACGTGGAAAAGGATATGTTTAGGTTCCTGCAGCAGCGATGTTTTCAGTCTCATTGTAAGGTGTTGGTCCCTTTTCGATGAGAATATTCGGTTAGTTGCAGAAGCTCTCATGCTACAGTTCATAGTTTCACACACGTATCAACCAACATACCATGAAAAGCGACAAAAAGGCTAAAACGACTACATTATTGACATTACCTTGTGAAAAAGGTGACTTGGCGGATGGCTATTGCGTTGAATGAAACGAGCGTCTGCAGTTGCCACGGTACCTGCCACCGTTGCTAACGTGACTCCTCATAGCTCTCCGAGTTCTCACTGGGACTTCAATGCTAACGTCTCCTTACTTCTGTCCACCGTTCTCATGTGGCGTGGAGTTTGGCTCCAAAAATGCCAACTTTACCTGACGTTTCCTCCACTATAAAATGCGTGGGTCGGCCAAACAGTAAACAGTAGAGCGTCTGCTGCAATTCGACAGGTTGTAATTAAAGTTGTCGGAGCTAACCGTAGTTAGCCATTTAATCTGGGTCACAAGCAGCTTTGAAAGTGAGTTATCGCGAGAGCTGCGAGTCTCGCTTCCTTGTAAACTGATATTTCGACTTATTTACAAACGCAATATCATACATTTGATTAAATATTTCAGCAAAGACAATTAAAATTAAAAGAACAATACGCAATGCTGATAAAACGACTCATTTGTCAAGTTGTATAATCTATTTTTTCCAGGCGTGACTTCGTTCCACTGTATCCGGGCAACCGTTTGAACAAGTCGTAACATTAAGGACTGAATACGACAAAATATAAAAGAAAAGGTTATATTATGAATATGTATAACAGGCCGTTTGCTAAAACCGCTTTTGTTGTTTAAAATGGTTGTTTTTGGCTGGACCAAGGCGGAGTTGGCTTGGTCCCCTTTTTTGAATTTTTTTCCCCTGCCCTTTGAACGGTCCATGGTGCCTTGCGTCAGTTTGTAACGAATTTGGTTCGACAGCGCAGTTTAGGCGCCATTTACGAGTTAGAGTTTTCAAGCAGGATAGCGACTCGGAATGACGCTGGACTAAAGTTTGTGGATTTTATTTACAACTCCTCGGATTCACGATTATTTTTTGTCGATTTCATCTCTTGAGGCAAGGAGAGGAGACCTTTTGACAGACCGTGTCCATATCGTGGAAGGTACTTCACTGTTGGACAGAAATTGATGACTGGGTTCCGTCTATTTGCTGAAACGCATAACCTTAGTTTCTTAACGGACTGATCAAAAACACGATTACTACAGTTTTAACATTATTGACGGTTGAAATTCGTACCGGCTGCTGTTAACGGGACTACGAATTGCTCTTAGAAGTTATTTTTCTCGCTTTTTTCCGTTAAAGTCGCCCTTTCGTGTATACACATACACACTTAACAGTAACATGCAACTTATCCGACTGTCTGAGCTTATGTTAACGTTGCAGGTGGTTGTGAGTTGGATATCGACTCTTTTGTTCGGAAAAACGTAAATTTCCTCGGGTTCCACAAACAGCAAAGGGAATGCTTTAGAGACTAAAAACTCTTGCTTCGCTTTCCTGACGTACAGTTTAGGGTTACAGTGTTGCGGTAACGTTTCGGCTGCTCAACATATACGTTTCCTAGTCAGCGTTAGCCATCACGTTAGCTTTAGCCATGCTGCATTACTTTTCCATACATAGTTAGCCACAGCAGCTACATAGAAAAGAGCGTAATTTTAAGACGAATAAATACTGCGCGTTCTTCAGACTAGTAGTACCACGTGATTTATTAAGTATACTAAAGCGTGTAATAACATTTCAATCGGTGCAGCGTTACCACAAAGTTATTTGAATGTGCTCCCCAATTAGCTTGCTAGCGAGTTTGGTTGCCCCGTCCACACCTCCGCCCCTGACAAAGTTTGGGGGATGATAGCCATTATCAGTGTCAGTTTGAGACCCTGATCAATTTAGGACGTTGAGTCTTTACCATCGAATAGGAGACACTCTTGCTGCGCCTGCTCATAAGTTTGGGTACAATACAGGCTAGGCTACGCGTTGATAGGAGAGAATTTAGCTTTAAACACCTAATCATAATTTGTTTTCGGATTATAGCGCTACGTTAACTTATTTTTTTTCTAGTTTCGCTCTGACATTGTGAGGGCCACTCACAGTGCAACTCTATGACGCGCAAATCCTGTGCACAAAAGTTATCTGATTTCCAATGATGGATGGTGCGCATTTTTTTTGCATTTATTTAAAATGAGTGCTAAAATAGCATCTAATTTGCTACATCATCATGCAGTTTTGCAACCCAAAACCCATCTAATGTCATCAGGCCGACAGCCTTTATTAATAACTCGCGTTGTTCAGGTCCCCAACACTCTTATACGTGGCGCTGCTTTGGATGTCTTTGTAAAAGTTTAAAAATGTGAACCATATACCGGCTAAAAAGTTAGTGGGGCGGCAGTGAGAATTGACTGTGGTAATGATTTAAGCCTGACAACGGGAGCTGCGTGTGACCGACTTAATGTGGAGTGTCGGAGATTGACAGGCAAAAAAACCATTCATGGATATTCTTTTTTTTGAACCAATGATTCCCTTAGATCGCAAATCATGCCATCTAAAACTGCAAAAAGCTCAACTGCCTCCGCCAAGCCAAGAGGGAAAGGGTCGCAGCCTCGGGATGACTCCGAAGACGAGCTGGATGTACCCCCCCAAGAAACCAACTCCAATGGCCAAGAGGAGGCACCGCCGACAACTGGCAAGTAACAAAGGCTGTTTTGGTGTCTGTGAATCTAAATAAGTTGTGTGCACTCAATGGCGATACGTGTATTGCTGTGTTGTTAGTGGTCAATTGGCAGGGCTGTGAAGCTTTTTTTTCCGCGCTTAAATCTCAACACGTAGTTAGAATGGCTGGGATATTTTTTTCTGAAGTGTCAGTCATCAATACATGTCTTATGATTTTTGAGATGAGTTTGATATCGTCGAGGGCACTTCTTCCTCGAATCTTCTTCACAATAGAGGTAATTTCTATCGGAAAGAGAAGTTTCTCTGTGCTGCATGTTTCTCAAAAAAGGGTGTTTGGTTTAATTCTATTCAGCAGATAATTTGTGTGATAATTTGTACTCGAAGGTTGAGATTCACGCCGCTCTTTGTTTTTGTTTGTGTTAATTACAACACTGAAATGCTTGATTGCTTGTTTGCCTGCAACGTTTTAATTCACAAACATCGACCTCTGGGCTTGTTTATGCTTATGTGAGCACAATAGATTTTGGACAGGTCGTTGTGGCTTGGTGTGATGGAAACAAAATAGGTTTTATCTGTTCAGTATCGGTGTCAAAAATAGGGTTTTATTGGTCGGTGTTTTGGTTGCAGTTCAGCATGAGTGAAAACGTGACGTTGATGCCTGAAATGATCTCTTTGTTTTTTTAATATCGACGAAATGAATGTGGCGCATCAAGTCTCACGTATCAACGCTTCTCGCGGAGCGTTTGTATCACAACGTGGATTTGTTCTTAAGCGTCCACGGGCTCTTTCTTTTTATTCGTTTGCTCTTGCTTTTGGGGAACAAAGAAAATAAAGCCTGTCAACTTCTCGGGAGTGTTGTTTTGGCTGTTGTAACTTGCTGCCTGTGTTTTGTTTGTTTGTTTTTTTTCTTGCTCCTCCACCCCTCCCCCAACGCTTCACTGTCCCCCACCTGAAACGACGCACAGAGGAATAAAAAGTTGTACTTTTTTTGTCTGTGCCACAGATCCGTCTCACGGGGAAGCTGCCGAGGCGGTTGATAATCGAAGTTTGGAGGAGATTCTCGTTAGCATCCCTCCACCCCCGCCCCCAGCAATGACCAATGAACCGGGCGCTCCTCGCCTCATGATAACACATTTAGTTAATCGCAACTTTAAATCGTATGCAGGCGAGCAGATTCTGGGGCCTTTTCACAAGGTACGACCAAACATGGTTACAAATGTCAAACCTGTGTGGGAACCACTTTGTTAATGTGTTGTCTTGAGGTCACAGATTTACCAACATGTGTGGTGTTTCTGAATTTAATTTATTTTATCCATAACTTCCTTTTATGTAAATGTAAACAACTTGTTTTCTGTTGTGTCAGACAGAGGGCACTTGGAAAAAAAATATTTGACTTGAGTATGACAGTTATTAGTATTTTTAAAAATTATTTTTGTGAAAGTGGAAAAGTCACACTCCTCCATTTTGATTTAGGGAGTGTATTTTACAATAGGTGTTGATACAGTGATGAACTTGAGTTGTCTTAAATTGTTACTTTCTCTATACTTTGATTTTATTCTTCTCACTGCTTCCCTTGCCACTGAGCATATATTGTGTAAAAATAAATCTTAACTACACCTACTTGGAATGCATTCAATGACACAATCTAACCAAGCCGAAATGTTAAATCAGAGCTCATTTTTTAAACTTTTACATCAAATGTTTGAATAAATAAGATGTTTTCATCAAGCTGATATATATTTATATTTCATCTTCTCCTGTATCCCTTTTTTTCCAGCGTTTTTCGTGCATCATTGGTCCAAATGGAAGTGGGAAGTCCAATGTGATAGATTCAATGCTCTTTGTGTTTGGATACAGAGCTCAAAAGATCAGATCGAAAAAGCTCTCAGTACTGATTCACAGCTCTGATAAACACAAAGATGTGCAAAGCTGTACTGTGGAGGTGCATTTTCAAAAGATTATTGATAAGGTAAATATATCCCTCTGTAGCTATATCTCTTTCATACACATGCACACTACACTCACTCTGACCTCCCCCAGATTGGTCAATACACAATCCAGATTGAGAGGGAAGATTTACAATTACTTTTGAGTGTACAAAGTTAATTTATTTCATTTTGAATCCATGCTTTTTTCCCCTGCAGTTCTTGAGATGATTATTTCTGCACTCAAATCACAATAATGACTAAACAGAAGCTGAAATTAGTCTTGGGAGTGACAACAAGCACCCACACATCTAACAGTCAGTTCTTATTAAGCAAGAACTGATATCTATATTTTTCACTATTTTTAGAACCTTTCATTTCATGACTAGACCACACTTATTTGATGCAGCTGTGGAAAGTGAATGAAATAGGTATTTGTAAAACTGAACAAATTAAAAGAATTATTTCAAATATCAGTAAAAGCTTCTGCAAAAAGAATTGGTGTTGAAGCTGTTTGTGTATTCAGTCTGCCACAAGGGGTGTAAGTTTTTGCCTTGACCACTGTTGAATGCATTTGGATCTCCCTTTCAAGTCCACAAGTTTCTAAAAAAAAATTAAAATCAAGTAGTGAAACAACTGAGATAATTATATCAAGTCTGCCAGCTTTAAAAATTTCCATCTCTGCCACTCCAAAAAATTCTGAAGATGTGGTGTACACAATTTTAACTCTTGGATTTGTCTCTGAAATTATTACATGTAAGCACATTTCCTGCCTCTATAAATCTGAATCATAATATCATCATATAGAAATTGTTGTTTGATTATTAGAAATGCAATTTGACAAAATGTGGTTTGTTTGACATGTACATGTAGCTTGTAGAGATGTGTTGTATACTTAAAAATATTTTTCTCTTCATTGTTTTATAAGTAGGCAGTTCTTTAACAACACCCTCGGTACATTTTCCAGTATTCAGAGTATTATCATTTGATGTGTAGTGCTGTTTGAGTTTCTCCTGAACTGTTCTGCTCTAAGCTGCTCTGTCTCTTCTGCCCCTCCCCCCTGTGAGCCAGGAAGGAGATGACTACGAAGTCATCCCCAACAGCAAGTTCTATGTTTCCAGGACTGCCAACAAAGACAATTCCTCAGCCTACCATATCAATGGCAAGAAAGCCACATTCAAAGAAGTTGGGACTTTACTCCGGAGCCATGGTATTGACCTAGACCACAACAGATTTCTGATCTTACAGGTAATTGCTAAGTTTTTAGCACTTCTTCTTCTCCTCCTTCTCCTGACCCTTTTTTTTATCCCTGCTGACATCTCATTCTGTTAGAAATTTCCTGCCCTTCGTTCTCTGCTCATTTCTCAGTCCTTTTTGACTTCATGGCTTTATTATAAGCCATGCCTGACTTGGGAATAACCTGCTGCACTGAAATAAAAGGAGAGGATGTGTCCTCTACCAGCCCTTAGACTGCTATAGCAGCGCATCATGGTTTGAAACAATGTGGAAAAGGTGCGAACCATTATTTGCTGCTTTAGAATTTTAAGGAATAATTTCCTCTCGAGCTCATACACGGACCTGGATGTGAGCCGAACAGCTACCTCAGACTTTGTAGAAGGGTGGGAATGTTTGACAGGGTTGACCTACTAGTGGGGGCAAGTTGGACCTCCCTTTCCCTTCCCTGTCCCATGTACCTGCCACGCTTTAGCAGCACGTAAATATTGGCGTGTGAGAATAGACCCCAACCCCAATATTAGCAGTGCTGCTTCAGTGTGGCAGGATCAGACACTCTCCATTACCATGCCTTTTAATATTGGTTCAGCATTTTCCTTTTTTCCAATCTCCACTGGGAATGTAGTGCATTCCTGTTTATTTCTGAATTATTATTTCTTGCTTTTTTTTTTTCTATTATAATTTTTGTGTGCGTGTGAGTGTCGCAGTGTTTTCCCACTAGTTACACTCCCACCCCTTCTGATTGTATGACATGTGTGTGACCAACCCATTATTACTTATTAACCCAAGCCTTGTGGAGCGATGACTTCTGTCAGACTAAAACAAGATGGCTGATTTTGCTGTCCTAATCTTTACATTTATTTTATACCTATATGAATGTGAAATTTTTTCAGTTTGAGTTGGTGTTGGGTGAACACTTTTTTTTTTTTTTTTTGCCCTCCCATGCGGTTTTGTGGTCAGCTGTTTGATTATACAGTATGTGTCCTGCTTGACTTTTTTTTTTTTTCCTCTGTTGATGTGTGTGCATGCCCATTCTCACTGTCCTTGGATGTTAGGTCTGAAGCTCTCTTGTCTGTAACATGGCTGCATGACTGTTGGAAGAGGTTCTAGGTTGTTCTTCAAGGTCACTTTTCCAGGCCTCTGGCTAAAGGGAAGCTGTCTATTTTGTGCACTGGTCAAAGCAGAGGATGACGTGGGACGCCCCCCCCTCCCTTTCCTCTCCTTGCTTCTCCTTTCTTTTTTTTTCTTTTTTTTTTCGTAAGAGTAATAAGTGAAACGCACTTATAAAACAAATTTAAAATGTGTTATATGAATTATTTTTTTAATGTTTATGAATTATATTTGTTTTAAATTCTACATTCAGATCAGTGCTTTTTATTTTAACCAGCCAGGCTTGAAAATAGACCAATAAAGATTTACACACATTCTGATATATGCACAATACTGAGAGTCAGAGTATTAGAGTATTATTTATGAACTTGAGAAAATCAAAACAGGTTTTCACACTATCAAAGGCCTGTGTATGATCACCTTGAATTCATTAAAAAAAATTTAACAAATTTTGTAGAATAAAATGTGGTTGTTGGGGGTTATATGGTGAAGGAACTGTGTCTCCTGCAGAAAAGAAAACTTTGCAGTGTGCTTTTAGAGCAACATTCACTCTTAACTACAACACCACTGTCAGCAGGTGGAGTTTTGTTCTACTATTTTTAAAGTAAGAGAGGTTTATTATTTTTACATTATTCTTCTTTGAAGCAATAGAACTGTTTCTGTGTAATCAGGTGTAGAGAGGATTATTTTTGGTTTGCTTGAGTCAGGAACAATATGCTGTCCTGAAAGAGTGCCTGTAGAAATAATTTTTGAATCATTCTGCCAAGTTGTGTGTGTAGCCTGAGGCATTGCAAGTTAAGACTTAAAAAATTATGGATATACATATACAAGTAATATATGTATGTGTGTATCTGTTTGTGTGAAATAAAGTGAGTGCTGTGGATTTTTAATTTTTTTTTTTACACATTAGTTTACATTCCATGTTTCATCCAGTTTTTCTTTTTCTTTTTTTTTTTCTGAAAATAATTGCATGCACTTCTTTATCCATCTGTTGCTCTGGGTTTTATGTAGGGTGAGGTGGAGCAGATTGCCATGATGAAGCCTAAAGGTCAGACACAGCATGACGAAGGGATGCTAGAGTACTTGGAGGACATTATCGGGTCATGCCGCCTCAAGGAGCCCATCCTGACCCTGGCCCGTCGAATCGAGCTGCTCAATGAGCAGAGAGGAGAGAAGGTGACACACTCATACACTTCCTGGTCTTACTCTAAAAGCGATGTTTAGAGCATGAGGACACGTTTGGAAGCTTGTGATGCAAATGTGTGAGATAAAAATGGTACATGTTGTTTTGTAACTGTCCAGTGTGTTTATGGCTAAGGCAGCTTCCTAAAACATGCAGAGTAGCTGCTCTTGAAACAGTTTTGTTTAAATTGTATAAATACATGACAGAGTTTGGAAATTTAATGTGAATTTACCATGCTGTTGCAGGTGTGTACAACAAATATAATGCTGCTAAAGACACTGATAAAGAACAATTTTTTAAATCTTTTTATTTGAAGAGCATTAATGTATATGTCTGGAAAGAAAATCACTTTGTTAAAAGACCTCTCAATGTTTTTACTGTGTCAGCTAAACCGAGTAAAGCTCGTGGAGAAGGAGAAGAATGCTCTAGAGGGGGAGAAGAACAAAGCTGTGGAGTTCCTCACTCATGAGAATGACATCTTTAAACTCAAGAATCAACTCTGCCAGTATTATGTGTGAGTGTGCGGCACCATTTCTGTATTCCTTCTCACAAAATTCAACTTAGTCATTTCATATCAGTAAAATCAGGGGGGAGGAGTGTGGGATTAAGGCAAAATTTATGTTCTATTTTTAACTTCATCGGGGGGCTGCATTGGCCCTCTCTAGTGTCACGCCTTGTTTTATTTACCCAGTGTCTAATGATTTTACCATCCACAAATTTTCTCTCATGTATCAACAACATCAGCCATGATCTCCAGAAGCGTGTGGTAGATAAGGAGCAGGAGAAACAGAAGATCCTTGAGGACACCAAGGAACTTACTGAGAAAAATGCAAAGATCTCAGAAGAGATGGAGAAAATGAACCAAGAGCTGAAAAATGTGGAGAAGTAATGCATTTTATGTTCCCCTTTCCCTGCTTGACTTTTATTAACTAATTTAACATGCTAAGGTCACAAACTTTTCTACCAGTTCAAAAATGTTATGGTTGTTGTGAGGCCTCTTTTGCCCAGAACATTTTTGTTTAGAGGGGAATTTCCCATCCAGGTCATGACAAGAAGAGTAGAAGTAGCCGTATAAATTGGGGTGTAGTGTAATTTGATTGTTTCACAAATGCTTGCTAAACTGAATAATTTTTTCTCTATGAGAAAAATACATTCACATTATTTTTAGTTTTATTTGTTTTGGCCTTTGTGACTATATATGTATATTTTTAAACTGAAAAGTAACTAATCAAAATATCAAGGAACTAAAACCTGGATGAGTTTTACATTTTTTTAATGTTATACAGAAGCAGAACCTCCTATCCCTGTTACAAACATTGTGCTTTATACGTCCTTAACAGTTTACAGTGAATTTCATATTTCTGTTGACTTTTTTCTGACATTATTGACAAGAGCTCACCCAGTAAAAATGCTGTTCCTCCACCAGGAAACAAAATAAGCTCAACAAGTACATTGAGACCCAGAAGGAGAAGTTCACCCAGCTGGACCTGCAGGATGTTGAAGTGCGTGAGAAGATTAAACACTCCAAGAGCAAGAACAAGAAACTGCAGAAGCAGCTAGAGAAGGACAAAGAAAAGGTGTGTTGGTCAGCCTGTTCACCCAATCAAGTGACTGCACTCAACTCTGTGTTACTGTTTGACACTATGTAGTTATGATTATTTCACTCCGCCAGTTTTGCAGTGAGTGTTTTGACATTATGCCGTGGCACAGAGACTTCTAATCTGTCAGAGGAGAGTAATTGTAGCCATTTTTTATAATTTAGACTACTTATCTTATTAACAAATGCTGGGTTTAACTGAGTCAAGACAAGCTAGCACCAGCGGTATGACACTCCAGTGTTACACTGTTTATTTTGTCCCATGGCCAAGAGAGAAACATGGGCACTAAAAATACAATTTCCGTTGCTCATAGAAAACACACAAGGCTGTTGTTGTGAAGCCTGAAGAAAAAGACATTTGCGAAGACTCCACTTAAATCTGAAAAAACACTAAACCTGCACACGAGTCATTAATGAACTGCAGAATAAACAACAACACAACTCCTATTTTTGACCTTTTTATTATACTCTAAGCCAGCAGTCAAATTCACTCCCAGTAACTGTAGATTTAAAGACTATTCATGTGATTTAATTCACTTCTTTAAACTCAAGAATAACGGCACTGGTTGTGTGAGTATGTGATTATACATTTTCTTACTCTGGTTGTTTTTTTCTATCTTTTATTCTAGTATATAACTAATGTGTATGAGTTATCAGAAGTAAATAAGGTGGACTCATAAGTCAAGCTCTTTCTTGAGTCACAGAATGTTGTTAGTGTCTCTGAAAAGGATTTTAAAATGAAACCTGAACAATTTTTAAGTCGATAAATCTTCCAAGAAAAATGTTTGCAAGAAGGGGGGCATTTTGAAAAGTGTCCTGATGTTAAAGTGATATTTCAAAACAGAACTGCAATTATTGTGGTAATCATCACAAGTACACAAAACCAAACTAACAGTGAACTTAAAAAATCAGTATTCAAAAGGGTGAGGGGACCTTGCTTTTATTTTTTTGTAATATGTCTTATCTTGGGGGAGCAGTTATTCCTGCTCTTTTCCTACCTGAAATGTTATTAATCCCCGAAAAAAAATCAAACCTGTAGAGACTTGTAACTCAGATTCAATGGCAGGGAGGGCTATCTGACTTAGACTAGCCACTAGGGGGCTGTGAACTTGCACAAGTTGATTATTATTGTGTTGGCCCTATTGATGGCCCTCTCGTGTTCATGTTTTACACCAAACAATATTTCTTTAATACACACCAGTGTCTCTCCATTTTCCACACTTCAGGAACACTTTTTTCAGCAAACATCTAGAGTTTAGAGTTCATCCCCAAAGCCATAAACTCTGTTAAAAAAAAACACTATCTGCTCCTACAGTCCCTGTGCTCTGGAAACATCCCGGTCAGAGTCGGGCAGACCTCATGGGAGCAGTGTTCTGCTGTGTTGTAGTCAACTATGGCCAGGCTTGTGTAACACTCCCGCCAGCTATATTCACATTTCACCCATAGTTAACCCTACAAAACATAGACTACATACACTCCTTGCCTTGTTTCAGCCCTGCCAAGCAGCAGATTATTGTGCCAGTCTTTACCAGGGCCTGCTCAGTCCTGAATGTGTTTATCATTGATTACATTTGTGTGTTTTGGCCTGCTTACCCGTGTAGCACTATTGCCTCTGACTGGCACTGGCCAAATCAAATTTAATCCTCTTACTTTGTAGCTCTTATCTTCTAAAACCTTCATTGATCCCTTTTATATCATCATCCAATAGGAAAGGTAACAAGCTATTAATCCACGCTTTGTTGAAGTATTAGATTGTGTCCTCAAGTTAAATCTAAACAGGTGTTGCTGCTGTTGCTCAGCATCAGACACATCTAATTTGTGTTTTTGCCTACTCTTGTCTGGCTCATCTTTCAGCTGGAGGAAGTGCGCAGAGTGCCAGCCAGCAGTGAAAAGGCCATCTCTGAGGCAACAGCTCGCAAGGAGGAGCTGGAGAAGCAGAGGGTGAAAGAGGAGGAAAAACTGAAGGCTGTGATGGAGAGTCTGAAGGAAGAGACCAGCGGCCTGCAACAGGACAAAGAGGTGTATATTGACATTTTGATGTTGCTCTGTCACATACTAAATACATTTTCATTTGTTTACATTTTGCATTGTTCGCCAAACTAACCTCTGCTCTTGTTTTTTCTTCTGTAGACCAAAGAGAAAGAGTTGATGGAGCTCAGCAAGGCTGTAAACGAGACCCGGTCTCGCATGGACATTGCTCAGTCCGAGCTCGACATCTACCTCAGTCGCCACAACACTGCCCTGACCCAACTCAACACTGCCAAGCAGACGCTTCAGACAACCTCTGACACACTCCGTGAGCGCCGAGCTGCCATCAAAGACTTGGAAGTGAAAATCCCCCAGAAAGAGCAGGAGCTGAAGAAGGTCAGACCAACATTAACATTATTTCCTGAATAACATTTGCATGAGACATTGTCACCTGTGAAAGGTGTAACTCGAGCTCAAATCAATACGCTTACCTAGTTTGTAGGTGTCATCCAGTTTCTTCCTTTTTCTCTCTGCAGGATGAGGGAGAGCTGGAGCAGCTGATGAAGATGGACAGTGAGACCAGGGAGGTGGTGAGGGAGATGAGACAGAAGGTGGATGAAGCCAAGAGCTCTCTGTCCTCCAACCGCAGCCGAGGAAAGGTCCTAGATGCCCTCATGCAGCAGAAGAAGAAAGGCAAGATCCCAGGCATCCTTGGAAGACTGGTAAAGAGCTGTTATCTCTGTTATAGACAGACATTTTTAGTAACTGCCTAATTTTTTGTTGTTTAGCTTGTGTGAGCAGCTTGAATCCTGTTCACATTTGTGTATGATATATCTTTTTTTGAATTCATACTTAGAATAAAAATCTTCAAACTGTATCATATGTATCAAATGGATTTTTTGCCATTAGGGAGACCTTGGGGCCATAGATGAAAAGTACGATGTGGCCATTTCCTCCAGCTGTGGTGCTCTGGACAATATTGTAGTGGACACTATCGACACAGCCCAGAAATGTGTAACATTCCTGAAAGAGCAGAACATCGGAGTGGCCACCTTCATTGGTCTTGACAAGGTAAATATTTGACAAGATGTGTTTTTGACAAACTTTCATAAACACCGATAGTTATTTCAGTTTCCTCTGATTAAAAAAAAATGTCTGCTTACCTTCCTCTTCATCATTCCTCCTCGATTCCTTTGTGCAGATGAAGGTATGGGAGAAGAACATGGCTCCAATTCAGACTCCAGAGAACAGCCCTCGTCTCTTCGACATGGTGAGAGTGAAAGATGAAAGTGTGCGGCCCGCTTTCTACTTCGCCCTGAGGGACACCCTGGTGGCCCACGACATGGAGCAAGCCACAAGGATGGCCTTCCAGAAGGACAGGCGCTGGAGAGTGGTCACTCTGAAGGGGCAGATCATTGAGATGGCTGGTGGGTTGACCTGCTTTTAGGGTCCTCTCTCTCTACATGCTTATTTGCTCTCTCAGTCAGGAAAACAGTGTATGTGATTATATCATGTGCGCTTAACAGGAACCATGACCGGTGGAGGAAGAGTGTTGAAAGGCAGGATGGGCTCCTCCATTGGCACTGAGATTCCCCAGGACGAGGTGAGGACCAGTGTGCTTATGATACACAAAAATACAACCATGTAAACAGCACAATAGCTGGACATGTCCACAAGTGATGGGAATACATTAGCAGTAGATGATAACAGCACATTAACACCCCCTAAGTATCATGGACGGGCAGCTTTTCTGTTTGGCTAAAAAGTAAAGATGTAGCTGGTCTGTGATCAGTAAATGTAGCTGTTGACTGCAGCTTGGTCCGGGTGCAACTGGTGCCACCACAGCCAAATACAGCAAGGGGATGTACCTGGAGTCCACAATTCAGACAAAACCATCACACTATTTTTCGACCAAACATTGTGAAATATTCCAAATCATACACAGAATGTTCATACTGCCTTGTTTTGACAGGGGGGTTAATTGGAGTAATATGCCTCACAATCTTCAGTCTTTACAAAATGAAGAAAACCATTTGATCAATGAAACAGAAAGATTCAGGCAAACGGACCCTGCTGTTGATAAATGATCTTTATATGTTTTTCAGCTTGACCGGATGGAGAGCAAGCTGAATGAGAAAGTTTCAAAGCTCCAGGGCTGCCAAGAGAAAAAGCTGCAGCTAGAGGAGAGCGTACAGCGACTGCGGCCACAGCTCCGAGAAATGAAGAACACCCTGGAGAAATACGCCAACAGCATGACGGTAAAGCCAACACGCACCTCTTTTTCTTTAACTGATTCACTTATTGGGTGTGATTGATTGTCATTTAAATAAGAACCTCCTCTGGTTGTATCAAACTACAAAGTGTGGATGTAAACAGCTGATGGGACACAGCGAGCCTGTTTGGTTGACTTGTTCCTCTCGACTTCCTTTAGAGTCTGGCTGACCAGGAGGTTCACTTAAAACTCCAGATTAAGGAACTTGAGGCCAATGTGCTGGCTGCTGCCCCAGACAAGGCCAAACAGAAACAGATGGAGAAGAGCCTGGAGGCCTTCAAGAAAGGTAGAGTCCTCCTGTGAACTGCAAAGAAAATATTGCACTTAATTGTTCAATTTGTTATAAAGATAATGATCACACTGATGCTGGGCTTGGATGTAATTTGTAGAATGAATTGCTCACTTAAGCAAATGCTGTCAAAAATCTCCTACGAAAATGTTTTTCAGTTGAACTTCTTAAAATAACCAAACAGATGCTCCATGTCCAATAGTAATATTTTCACAATATCTGTTATTTTCTCCCCAAAAACCCCCTCCCCTCGCTCTCAGACTTCGACGCAGCCTCTAGTAAGGCCGGGAAGGTGGAGAACGAGGTGAAGCGGCTCCACAACCTGATCGTAGACATCAACAGCCACAAGCTGAAGGCTCAGCAGGACAAGCTCGACAAGGTCAACGCTGAGCTGGACGACTGCTCCTCCACCATAACCAAAGCTAAGGTGGCCATAAAGACAGCTGACCGGTGAGGAAGCAGAGCAGGAAATGATGAATTCAAGATAACATTTTGACAAAGGGATTTCTGTCTTTTTTTTTAAAAGCAGTCGGTGACACCCCAGGATGTACTGCACATCCATCTTACCTGCCTGTCAGTTGTACGGGGGCTGTGGGTGTAGTTGAGTCAACTTGCTGGATAGGTCAGGAAATTACTCAAATCAAGCTTCATTTGACTTGATGTTACTTCACAGTCAATTTCGTGTTAGATCAGCATCTGTTGATGAAACACTGAGATTGATTGTGTTGGGCAGGTCAGTTCGATCACGGTGATCAGCTGAGAGCATATTTACTCGATCAAACACAGCGGAAGTGTGCGTCACAACAGCCAATCAGAGTCGAGCTTTTCCTGTTCACTTCTGTAAATTACCAGAAAGGTAAACAGGAGAAGTAAACAGAATGACCGAACATGGAGCTAAAGGCGGAGCTGAGGGCAGCAAAATAGATGTCAGCCATGACTTTGAGTCATCCTCTGGAGATACCCGAACCACCGCCACACAACTGACGTTGATAACATCTTCAAAGTGACGTCAAACAGTTAAGCTGAAAAGCTGAAAGCTCAAAAACCGGCAACACAACAGGACTGTTTAATCATTTGAAGTTCTCCCCAGTGATTATGCGGAAAGCATGAAAATGGAAGCGGAGTCTGTACAGCCTGTCACTGCTGACGCTACGAGTAGCATGAGCAGTTTAGCTACAACTAGCAGTGCAGCCACTAGATCAAAACAGCAGCCAATCTGTCATCTATGTTTACATTTTAAGGCATTTTTATTATCCCTAAGGGGGCGATTTTGGGTCTTGCATACCTGCAAAAACACTCAGGACTGTAAACTTATTCACTGTGTTATCTAGTATTTATCTACATTTGTTGTACTGTTGAGTTAAAATGTTTTTTATATTTTTCAAAGATTATCTTATTCAATTAGCTTTATTTACTTTGTAAAATGTTGAACTAATCTCTAGTTTCTTTAGTTTTTAGTACAGATGCTTTAAAACAGGCAGTTAAAAACATTGTGATAATAATCGAGATCGGACGATATGACAAAATATATCATCATTTTTTTTGCCAAATGGCCCAGGCCTACGTGATTGTCATTCAGTTTAAAACAGTGAAGCTGATGAATAGTCACCACTCCGGCTGCCTGTTGGGCTTCTTCCTCTTGTATGTCAGACACAGCCTTGATGCAGTTTTTAGTGTCAACATTTTCATCCTGCATAATTTTTGCACATTAGAAGATCTAGCTTTTCTCTTCAGTCCCTTTTTTATGTGTTTTTCTTTTTAATCTTAGTACGCCCCATCACACATGTATTACCCAGTTAACCTGAACACCATATGCAGACAGATGAAGCACTTAAACTGCTGTTTGGCAGTAACACACTTCTTGTATCACTCCTCTTTAAACACAACAGCAGGATAACTTTTCTGAGCCTGGCGTCGCTTCTTAATGTCACCAACTCTGAGCTGACATTTTTTGCAACTCTTTATAGACAGTTTTTTTTCCAGCAGACCTGACTATTATCAGCAGTTTTACACAGTCACTCCGACCCACTCTTAACATCTGTTTTTTTCCTTTCCGTGTCCGCTCTGCAGAAACCTGAAGAAGTGTGAGGAGAGCGTGAACCGCCTGCAAAGCGAGCTGGAGGAGAATGAGAAAGCAATGGAGGAGTTCACCGAAAAATTGAAGAAGTTGGAGGAGGAGGCTGGGGAGATCATAAAGACCTGTCAAGAAGCTGAGGTTGATAACTTTTTACACTCCCGCCGTTTGAAGATTTCTCTTTTCTAAGTTTGGTTCAGTTTTTTGAAAAATGATCTGACATTTCATAGCGAGATTTTCAAAGGAAGAATCTATTTCCTCAGTCGATTTTCTCTTTCTCATTCTCCCGTCCAGGCTGCTCTTCCTGAAGTGCAGGAGCAGTATCAGGGGGTGCTGAAGGAGATCAAGGCCCTGCAGCGACAGGAGCACGCTCTTCAGGAGGAGTCCCTCAGTGTCCGGCTCCGTGTTGAGCAAATCGAAACCACCATCACTGAACACAACAACAAGATCAAACACTGGCAGAAAGAGGTTTGTTTATATCTGAGCAAATCAAATGTGTGATTTTACAGAACCTTTTGCACCTTCAAGTTTTACTTAAGTTTGTCCTTGACATCTTTTTTAGGCCACCAAGCTGTCTCTTCACTCCATAGACGACAAACCAGCCGAGGAACTTCCTGTCCTCACACCCGATGAACTGTCTGAAATCTCTAATCCAAATGTGATAATAAACAAGATGACCATGTTAGAGACCCAGTGTGCTCAGATGAAACCAAATCTTGGAGCCATTGCTGAGTACAAGAAGAAGGTAGAGTACTTAATACTCTTGACCAGCAAGAAGTATAGTTTGGAATGAAAGATTTAGACCCACGGTCACATGTTTGTGTTTGTAGGAGGAGCTGTACCTGCAGCGTGTGGCTCAGCTGGACGAGATCACCTCAGAGAGAGACAACTTCAAACGTGGCTACGAAGACCTGCGCAAACAGCGTCTCAACGAGTTCATGACGGGATTCAACATCATCACCAACAAGCTGAAAGAGAACTACCAGATGCTTACACTGGGTGGCGACGCAGAGCTGGAGTTGGTGGACAGCTTGGACCCCTTCTCTGAAGGCATCATGTTCAGGTTTGACACCTGCCTCATCCAAGTCGACTCATTCTTTTACCAACAGAAATCCCAGAGGTTTGAGCTCTTATGTGTGTGTTTGTATGTTTCTTAACTAGTGTTCGTCCTCCAAAGAAGAGCTGGAAAAAGATCTTTAACCTCTCAGGAGGGGAGAAGACCCTCAGCTCCCTGGCTCTGGTGTTTGCCCTGCACCACTATAAACCCACACCGCTCTACTTCATGGATGAGATTGATGCTGCTCTGGATTTTAAGAACGTCTCCATTGTGGCCTGTTACATTTACGTGAGTACGAACACGTGTGTCATGATTTGTTTCACTGTGGATTGATATTGATGGGTGAAAGTGTTAGAGATCTCATTTTTAAGAGTCCAAAGTCTAGTTTTAGCAGATAGGGATTAAATAATCATGAAAAGCCTCATTATTGTTTTTAAACCCACGGGCTGCTACTGATGTCATTAATTTGAAGAATGGTCTGACTGGTGTGTGTCTGTTGTGTAACGCTGGAATAATGTCTCACCTCAAGACAAATCACATGTTTTTGGGAGCTGGCTCAAAACACTCTGCAAAGGTTTTAACTGTTCACTCCAGAGTTGATGTTAGTTTTGTTTTAGAGGTATATAAAATCTCTGCCTCTCCTCATGACAGTAAATTAATTCTCTTTTGTTTTATTTGCAGGAGCAAACCAAGAATGCTCAGTTCATCATCATCTCCCTCAGGAACAACATGTTTGAGATCGCCGATCGTCTCATCGGCATCTACAAGACTCACAACACCACCAAGAGTGTGGGAATCAACCCCAAGACCATCGTGTTCAAAGAGCACCAGGCTGTCACTGCTTAAACCTCCAGAACCTCGGCTTTCTTTTCACATCTGTGTAAATATTTTTGTATCTGTTTTTATCCTGTCCTTTATAATAAAAAGCTGCTATTCTTTATTCTTTTTAACCAATAAATCTTTCATAGTACGATCTCTCTTCGACTCAGTCACTTTATTAAACTCTCATTATTGTAGGTTTGCAGATACATTCATAGTAATTGACTTTTGTTGCACACAGTCTTTGAAATTCCAACACAAGAAAAAGAGGTCTTTGGAAAAATTTATTACGATATTTTGTTTTAAAACACTCATAATGAATATTGACAATTGCAGCAACATGAAGAGGTCTGTGTATATCATTTAACTACACATACAAACTGGTCCCTACGTGGTGTCTGTAGTAACAACTTTATGAAATGGTATCTACTCGAGCGAGACGGTATCATCTTTGGTATGAAGATTTTCAAATAGACTGTTCCTGCACCGTTTTAATACAAAGAGCACAGTCCTAAGTAAGACCTATTGATCGTGGTGGAATAACAGTCCTCTGAAATAAGGCTGTTAAGTGGGCTGAGGTAAAAGCAAGAGGGTTAAATGCACAGAGATGGGAATCATCATCCCTGTAACATGATCTGTGGACTTTGGAGTCAGGAGCACTTGTCGGGCTGTACAGTTCATAAACGGAGACTGGAGCGCAGTACTCAAAAAATCCCACTGCATGATGGGAAAGAAAGGCACTAGTTTCACATTTCTAAATATCACACTTTTTGTAATACTTCATTAGTGTTTGGATCCTCAACAAGGCAGCGTGGTTGTGATCTAGAATAATGCACATAGCGTTACACTTCATAACAAATATATTAAAAAGATTTGTAGCTGCATAGAAACCGTGCTTTTACATTTTTATGTTTACGAGAAATAAAAGATCATAAAGGCTTTTATTTAGGTACGCTCAGGATCTGTGGAATTCTCTAATGTGGCAACGGCAAAAAAAGAGTCCACCCTCAGTTTGAAAGAAATCACAAGTGGACTTTCCTTAACAGCGTGAACATGAAAGTGAGATTTACAAAAGAGTTCCAGTTGGTGTTTTCAGTGAGATGTTGGTGTTTTGAATAAGTTGGTTACCTGCTGGAGGGCTTTATCTCCCACTGACATGACGCAACAGCTCCATCTTCCTATTGTGACCTCCATCACTGCGTACATTGACTCCACTGTCCCCCACATGCATGTGATCAGTTCACTGCTCAGGCCGTGCACCACCTGACTAAACCGAGAGAGCAGAGAGAAACCGAGCGACGCCCCTCCCACCGGGTTGACCCACAGCGCAGCCAGCAGCAGCAGCAGCAGCCCCAGCAGCACCGCCAAAGAAGTCGGCTGGAGATCTTGCAGCCAACTGTCAGGCTGATCCCTCTCTGCGTCGGTCTCTGCGTCGGCTTCACCGCAGCGGGCGCAGCAGCAGCACAGTTTAGGGATGGGGGCTTCTTCCAGGCTGCCGACGGTCACAGCAGGCCAGTGCTGCTGCAGGAACTCAGACGCCCGCGGGCTGAGAGAGAGGTTGATCACCGACGGTAGAGGGGTTTTAATGAACTCCTCCACTCTCTCTCTGAACATATGCACCCTATCCAAGAAGACCAGCGGCGAGTCCTCCTCCTCGACAGAAGAACCCAAAGACACCAGGTCCAGCTGCTCCTCCTGCAGGACACCAGATCAGACCAATTTTAAAAAACCTAGTGACTATAAAGAAGCAAACTTTTATGCCTCATATCCACCAAAGGGCATCACTGAAGTAGCCAAAGGCAGATTCAGATGTACTGAGTCATCCTTTTTTTTAACACAATATAAAAACCTATTAAATCCTACAAATGTCTTGGGATGCGTTAAAGAGAGTAGAAAGTTCCCAGTCTAATGAATGCAGTGTAAATGAGCATATCAATTCTTACAGGGATATTCCAGCGTAAAATTAATTTAAGGTCAAACACACCGTAAAGCAGAATTAGACACCCCCTCGAGAGATGAATGTTGCAGACCGCTTGCTTCTCTAGTTATACCAACTTCAGTAACAACCACACGATAGCAATACACAGCAGTCTGAAGAGCCATAAACAAACCTCAACCAAAACGCCACTCTATAGCCACAAATAATGCTCAGAACAGCACCTAACTTCATCAACAGTACATAAAGGGTCGCAGCCATAGTACTAGCCACCAAGTATCTTTTTAACTTTGCCTGATTTCTTTAAGAGACTAAACACAACTCACATTCTCTCTTCCAGCAGCCGCTTGTTTGTAGTTATATGTCAGGACATTCCATTAAGGACTACAGTGGGGCACAGCTCAAGGAAGAACATTTATGATCATTACTTCATGGAAATGCAATCAGACTGAGACGCTAAGGCAGAAGAACTACCACATCTGCAGTGTAAAATGATTAATATGGTGTTTATTACTTCAAGGAAATGATAAAGTAAAGATTTTAAGTTTTCTTCCTTGAGCTGCGTCACCCCGCAGCGGTCCATAATTGACTGGCCTGAGGTCTCGCTACAAACAAACGGCTGCTGGAAGAGAGTAGGTGAGTTGTGTTTAGTCTCTTTGCTAAAGAAATTAGGCAAAGTTAAAAACATGTTTGGTTGTTAGTGCTGTTACCAGGACCCTATATGTACTGTTGATGAAGTTAGGTGCTGTTCTGAGCATTATTTGTGGCTATAGAGTGGCTCTTGGGTTGAGGTTTGTTTATGGCTCCTCAGACCGTTGTGTATTGCTATCCTGCGGTCGTTACTAAAGTTGGTAAAACTAGAGAAGCAAGCAGTCGGCAACGTTAATCTCTCAAGGGGGTGTCTAACTTTGTGTTGACCCTAAATTAATTTTACGCCAGAATATCTCTTTAATGTCTTTGTATAAGACTGATAATAAAATGTATCCACATTAAAAATGATTGCCTCAAGTGTTCACTTCCTGTGGTGACCCATTCATGCGTCAATATTGAGATTTTGGGGAACTGTGAATGTGTGAACATGGTGACATTACAAACACACCTGTAGCTCCTTGACTCTGTGTATGAGGGGATCATAAGCCCGTGACACCTCCACTCCAGCTTTATCCAGAGCCTCCAGGTAGGCATGTCTCTTCCGGGTGAGCACTGCCTCCAGCGTCTGGAAGAACTGATTGACCTCCTGTCGGTCCTGCCTCACGAGACCCTCACAGCGGGCTTTCTCCTGCTCTAGCTGCTCCCCCAGCTCACACACCTGGCAGAATGGAGTTTTAAGTATCTTTCTGTAAAAGTTGCACTAAATGGGTTTTAACAACAGGTTTTCAAATGTGTTCAGACAATTTTTTTATCAGTTCCCCACCTGAGCCCATCTTCTCTCGGATAGTCTGGCCAGCAGCAGCGATGGAGTCTGTTTTTCTCTGATGAAGGCGGCCTGCAGGTCATCTATGGGGTGGCCCTGGTGCTCCCCAACAGTCAGACACATCCCACAGATCAGCTGCCGATCCTGGATGCAGTACATGTTAAGGGGCTGCCTGTTGTGCTCCTCACAGGGAGGGGGTCGCGGCTCTGTTTCCTTCTGGTACTGTAAAGATGAGCAAAAAACAAGCTGACTGTAAACACATCTGGAGTACTTCAGACTGCAGTGAAAGGGTTGATATTTCAGGGTGATTCTCTCCTACTTTCTCAATGATGGCCCGCAGACAAACGTTGGTGGGAAGAGCTTCAACACCTGCCGGAGGCAGCTCCACCACGCTTCGACAGTTTGGGCATTTAAGCGGCAGGCGGAGCGGGCGCCAGATGGAGTAGTTGGTGGACACCTGTAGCAGGTTGTCCAGGCAGCTCTTACAGAAGGTGTGAGAGCACGGCAGAACTCTCGGGTCAGAGAACAGAGAATAGCACACTGAACAGGTCAGGTCCTCCTCTAGGTTGTCCATCGCGGTGACGAGAGGTCGAGCTCAGGTGTTAGGGGGAAGAAGATCAGGCAGGGAGGATGAAAGCTACGCGTTTTAACCTGTTCAGAAAAATATATTTACTAGCTGCTACTCTGCCCTGGTGACACTTGGCAACTGAGTTAGTCTGAGAAGTTTCAACACAACCAGGAAACTTTTTCAGCTTTTCAAAGCAGTGATAACTTGAATTAGTTTGTCCTGAGGAAGTTCACTGAAAAGCAGCTGAAGGAGAAATACAGGTGCTTTCTTTTAGGTATTCTTAGACAGGACAAAGTTGGAAAACATTTATACACAGCACATTAAAGGGATATTACTGTGTAAAATTAATTTAGGGTCAAACACAACGTAACACCGAGTTAGACAACCCCATCAAGAGATGAATGTTGCCGACCGCATGCTTCTCTAGTTATACCAACTTTACTAACGACCATATAATAGCAATACAGAGAGCCACGCACAAATCTCTACCAAAACGCCACTCTACAACCACAAATAATGCTCAGAACAGCACCTAACTTCATCAACAGTACATATAGGGTCCCAGCCACAGCACTAGCCACCAAACATCTTTTTAGCTTGCCTAATGTCTTTAGCAAAGAGACTAAACACAACTCACCCACTCTTGTCCAGCAGCCAATTGTTTGTAATGAGACCTCTGGGCGAGTCCATCAACTGCAGCAGGGGTGACACAGCTTAAGTAAGAACATTTATGATCATTACTTTATCATTTCCTTGAAGTAAAAATCATCATATTAATCATTTTACACTGCAGACTCGGTCGTTTTTCTGCGTTAGCGTCTCGGTCTGATTGCACTTCCATGAAAAAATGATCATAAATGTTCTTCCTTGAGCTGCGTCACCCCGCTGCAGTCGATGGACTCACCCAGAGGGCTCCGTACAAACAAGCGGCTGCTGGAGGAGAGTGGGTTAGTTGTGTTTAGTCTCTTTGCTACAGATATCAGGCAAAGTTAAAAAGATGTTTGGTGACTAGTGCTGTGGCTTGGACCCTATATGTACTGGATGAAGTTAGGTGCTGTTCTGAGCATTATTTGTGGCTATAGAGCAGCTTTTTGGTTGAGCGCGTGGCTCTCTGTATTGCTATCGTGCGGTCATTACTAAGTTGGTACAACAAGAGAAGCAAGCGGTCGGCAACATTCATCTCTCGATGGGTTGTCTAACTCGGTGTTACGGTGTGTTTGACCCTACATTAATTTTACGCCGGAATATCCCTTTAAATGACTTACAGAAAGAGTCAGTACTAAGTGGCCTTTTCCTCCTTTTGTGAACCTTTTAATCCATTCTCAACTTCTATTCTGCCTGTTTATTTCAGTGCACCGGGTGTTATACAATCACTCAGTGTATAATAAGTGTTACCCTGTTATATCAGTTACTTTAACCAAAGGCGATTTCCACATTTCACTATGTGTGAAAGAGAAGATTTCATAATCAAAACCCAGAGGGCAGCCAAAACCCAACAGCTCGGTTTGTCTTAGAGGCTCGGTTCTGCTGGGTTGTGTGTGTATGGCCTCTCCCTCTCTCTCTCTCTCCCTCTCTCCTCCTGTTACAGTTCGCACCACAATGACAAAGAGAGGCCTTATGCCAGCACCCACCCAGGACAAACACACACACATACACACAAAGACACATATACACAAAGACACACACATTGTTGTGAGATCAGGCTGTTCAGATGTCCCCTTAACCTGATCCACAATGGAGTCTACCTGTAGCCTATAAGGCGCCAGGATTCAAACAGGTAACAGGTGTCCTGCACAAGTCCATATAAACTTAACAGGAATCAAATTTAAGATTAAAACTTTGGTTTTACTCTTCAGTACATTTACCAGACAGGTGACCCACAAACGAGCTCACTTTTTCACAGTTATCCGGTTACTTTTACCACAAACTACTTCAAAATTGTAAAAATGACGAACAAATGTAGACGACTACACGAAAATCACCCATTCTATCTTTAATTGACGTTAAACTGACATCCCTCATCAAAGTTGAATTTCGTTTATCGCGATATTCTTCTGGCGCAAACATCCGAAAAGGAAAAGAAAAGTGAAAAGGAAACCTACCAATAGTTTAACGCCACGCCATAAATTCTAAACAACAGAAAAATGCATTTTAAGTGATAAAACTAGAGGCGAAACTCACCGTCTGTCTTGGAGTAGTGTCGTCCAAAACAGAGCGTTCATTTCCTGTTCCCTTCGTGTGCTGCGTTCAAGAGCTCCCGCTAAACTCTGTCAACGACGCAACCGTTAAGGCGTGCCTGTTTTAAACGTGCTAAAAACATTTAATATTGATGTTTAATATTTGGCATTCTCGTTGACAGATGTGTAACATGCATCTTTATCAATATCTGGGTCGTGTTGATCATTATTCGTCAGACATAATCATGTAGTTACGTATTTAGTCTTTCATGTCCGACTCTTCTGAATGCACCTTCTTTAATCGCACCAATGCGCATGCCCATAACGGTCCCCGCGGCCTATCAGGCTCCGCTTTTCCCCGATTTGAATTCCAGCTCGTCTGTTGGAGAAACTTTGGAAAACTCTTAAAGTCTTAAGGGAGGAAACCAAGAATATCAACTCATGATGATACATCACACCACTTTTTCTCAACAGACCACACACACTCAGTCTCTCAGTTTGGGTTTCACTATTTATTTTGTTGAAGACAACCTAACCTGTATAGCCTATCCCCCCCAAAAAAAGGATTTTGGGCAAACCAACTTTTTTTTCCGTCCATGTCATGATTTTAGATTTGAAACCACATGTTTGCTAACAAGGAATGCTGCAAAAAATACCCCTATATTCAACAGAAGGTGTATGAGCACAATGTGTAATCATTTACTACAGTGTTTGAAGTTAACACAAAAAAATGAGTAAGGGTAAGCAAGGGTCAGTTTGTACACCTAGCTGGTAGAAGAGGAAAGAGGAGTGTGGGGCTAAGGACTCTGCAAGGTACTAAAGGTACAGCAAACTTGTTCATGGGTTTATTTATTATTCAGGCTATCCCACTTAGGACGACTTAAGCCTGACACGTGGGACACCCTCTGACCTCGAAAAACAGGGAGGTTGAGTCCCTTCTTAGTCTAGCTGAGATATATTAGCAGATTCATTCCTGCTGCTCCCGAAATGAAGTCATTATTTTCTCAAGTATCACTAAAAGCATCATTGAACTCTAGAAAGACAACAAAGATTGTGGTTTGAGTGATGCATATTGTAGAGGTTGTTGGCTGGTCGAAACCTATGAAACCGACCAACACCTTCAGAAAGACTTCAGGCCTCACTTTGCAGAACATGTGCAAAACCATAGATTATTTAGCAAGTCGGACACTAGTGAGGGGTAAGGGAAGGGGAAACATGTAACATTTAAGCACAGTTTTACTTAAAATGAAATTAACACTGTATCCACAGCCTAAGGAAACTAAAATACCCTAAAAATAACTGTGCTATAGTTTAGTACATGCAAAGGTTATGATTCACAATCCTACGTGAAATGGCCATTGTTCTCTTCTCCCTTATGGCAACAATACTGCAAAGCAGTGATTTTGCTGTAAATACAAGGAAAATTAATGAAGTGTCACAAGGAGGAACTGGTCATTTGGTTGATAATAGTGATGGTGTCAATATTTCACAGCATCAAGCCCATGCCCGCTGCTTAGGTTAGGGTTCTGGCATGAGGGTGGAATATGATCGTCATCAATCACCTTTACAGAAGCAATGAAACTAAAAGCTGAAAATAAAAAGTATCATGAAAAGGAACACACTGGAGGCAAAAAGAAAAGACCAAAAGCCACCAAATGCATCTTACTTAATATAATGCACTTCTGCTCCATACCTGCCATAGCATTGTCCAGTGTCAATTAATACTAACTTAACATTAATTCAAAACAAAAATATTATCCTTGTGATGACGATGATTTTTTTCATATCCAAAGTTCTTCCTTTCAGGGATTTGAGGATCAGCCTCTCTCTTTCAAAGGCAGAATTTCTTTCCTGAAACCTTTGCTAACCTCAAAGTGTTGCGTTTCTTAATTTTGTTTCTCTTCAGATGTCATATTTGTTAATTTTTTTTTTTCCTGTCTCTTGCATGCGTTCTCACCCAGCCTTGCATACTCCCAGTCACGCACGCAGCCAAGCACACTCAACTCATCCGTCCATTCTCTCGTACATATGCGACACGCGCAGCCGGACTCCTGGCTCCGCCCACCAGGGGGAGAGAGGATGGTGCCCAGTCAGGGGCGTCTCGTTGGAGGAGATGAACCTGGCTCCTCAGCACTGAGTCCAGACATTCATACACAATGGGTCCATTCACACTCATGTCTGATAGCGTGGTCGATTAGGGGAGGGGCACATTGAGGGTGGCGCCCTCTGTAGTCGGAGGACCGCAGAATTGTGATGGTTTGTGGTTCATCTCAGTTCATAATTAGAGTTATTTTCATTGCTGCATTTTGTTGTATTGTAATATTTCAAGATGTCTTGGTTTATTTTTGGATGTCCTTGGTTCTCCCCGGGCAGACATCGAGTTTTTTGTTGTCATTTGAAGTAGTTTTCCGTAGGCGACAGCTCCGATAACACACAAGTTATGTCGGCATGTCTCTCAACGCATTCGATGTAGATGTTTTGCTTTTTTGCAACATGTAGCCACTCATTCTCACTCGCACCCACTCGCCATCTAAAACTTCATTTGGGCTGGTTTCCCCTGGAATGCCAAATGAAATCCACACATTTTTCTCTCAGATAAGATGCAGCCATGGATCCCACGAGCCAAGCACAATGGATCAAATTTCTCACACTCTCGCTCTCTCTCGCTCTTTCTCTCCTAATTTTTTTATGTTGAACAGAGTGCTGCATCGTGAACAAAACTCCAGAATACCCCAGATGCCGTCTAGAACTGGAATCCCTCAGCTGGCACGTTGGCGGAGTTAAAGCCGTAAGTCCCGCCCTGGATGGCCTCCGGGACCAGGCTGGTGTCTTCATCAATCTGAATGACAAGAGAAAAGAGGGCCTTAGACGTGCACTGCAGGTATCGTGGAACATGAATGTGGTATTTGTCTGCATCCACCTGGTACTTACATCGTCAGATGAGAAGAACTGATCAATAATTTCATATGCCAATTTGTAGATATCTTCATTTTCATGGTTCTGCAGCTGCTCCACCTTTTCCAAACCTAATTAACAGAAAAATTAACAGAAAATACTCGGTGAACCAAAATGAAAACACTCATGATCCTCTTTTGACGACGACAAAAGTGCTTCACAGCTTACCTCCACATTCCTCAATGAGGTTAGCAATCGTTTCGGCCTCATCGTCTGCCATCTTGAGGATATTGCTGAGGCCATCGAGAACCACCTGCACCACCTGAGCATCTTTCACTGTCAGCAGGTTGCAAAACGGAGGGATCACCTGTTTCTCAATCAGGTGTGCCACCTGTAGGTAAGCAGACGAGAAACATTAGAAGGGGGATAAGGTTTTGATGATGAGATGTATTTCAATATTTCAGCTAAAATTCGGAAAAAATGCAGATTTTAAAAAGATTCAAAATTCTAAACTTCTTTTCTTGTTACCTGATCTTTTCTTCCACTTATTGTCAGGTTGCTGATGGCCCAGGCTGCTTCCTTCTGAGTGCCAAAGTCGCCCTAAAAATGTGCAACAGATTTAACCAATTAGCTCTTTCAAACACAAATCAAACATGATCCAATTGTACGAACTGTTTTTTAAAGAGATGGATACACACCTTGTCGAGCAGGTGAATGATCATGGGGACTAGCTTGGCCTCAATGACAGCCTGCACCTGCTGCTGGTTGCCTGCTGTGATGTTGGACAGGAACCACACTGCCTCCTGCAGGACAAACGGCACAAGTACAAGTTAGTAACTGCTTTGAAATTCCTGAAAACAAACTGGGGGCCGTGGAGGTACACAAGTATACAGAGGGGGAACTGTTTATACTGTTGATGCCTTTTCTTGAGGTCCGAACTAGCTGGATCAGAATCCAAAGATCCAACCTGTAAGGTGGATCTCTGGTCGAGACAGGGTGCTGAGGGCGGGGCGAGGGTGGTTTTGAGGCTCTAATCATCAACCAGATCACAAACAGGGGGCCTCTTTTCAAGTGATTGGTCTCAGATGCACTCCTTTATCAGCAGAGACACAAGGTCTTCAGCACCCTCTGGCCACCAACCCATGGTTTCACACTCAACCACAAACACACACACACAACCCTCTCCCTCATCCCCTCACTTCCTACAACCACCCCTCCTCCAAATGCGATCTTCTTCCTCTTCATCTTCTTCTTCCATGTGTTGAACGGCTCCAACTAAGTACCTGACCCCTCTAAGCCTCACACATCGCATTCGTACAAGCACCAAGTCTCTGATTTCATCACTTCCAGAGGAACGCTGAGAGTGACAGGAGGGAGAGGCGTGTACTTGTGTAGGAGGGAGAGCGAGCGGTGCATTACCTTGTTGATTTTTTCCTTCGGGTGTGTGAGGAGTGCAGGGAAGTGGCTGAGAGCATCACAGTTGAGCACCACCTGGGTCTGTTCATCCGTGCCAGTCACAATGTTCCCAACAGCCCTCAGCGCAGCAGTCTGAGTGAGTAAAGAGTGTTTAACCGTTAGGACAATAGTATCTCCAGGGTACAGGGATGTGATTGGCACTGGACACTCAATGCCGTTAAATATTCAATTAAAGCGAAGGTCAAAGAAATCACTACAACTTCAGGTAAAGACTAAAAATGATCTTATAGCTTATCTACTGAAAATCTGCATATGGCCCAGGCTCTGCTAAAAGAGTTTGGAAGTTTGAAGTACTTGCACAGCCTACTAGTCAATTGAAACAGCTAACATGGTTCACCACTGCCACTTTAAAACAGGCTGAGTGCAGGATCAAATGATCATGAAGAAACATTTACATAAGAGCTTGCAGATGTCCTGGAATTTTTCTTATTCCACTGTGCGGTTTACAAACCCCCTTCATTCACAAAATGATGTACACATATATAATTCACGGGTCACCTCCAGACAAATCTGGGGGAATGACATTCCTGTGTCATGGTAATAGAGCTTGCCAGATTTTTTTACTTTGTTGAAAGCATCATAATCTCTGTATAATGCTGCTGCTGCTGTCCTCTACTGATTGTTAGAAATCTCAGGGCGACACAGCCTTTAAATTACACGGTAAAATATTTTTACATAAAGCTAAAGTTGATGTCATGTCTGACATCTTTGCATACCTGAACTTTAACTTCCTGGTGACTGAGCAGTGGTACAAGATGAGGGACAATGCCAGAGTCAATGACCATCTGAATCTGTTCGTTCCCGGCGTCAGTGAGATAAGAGAGAGCCCACACTGTGTCGACCAAGATCTGGAGGTAGCAAAGAGAAAATAAACGGATGAAGACATTATTCCTTTAATAATAAAGCATGCTTCTAACTTTGCTGATAGTTAATAAAGATGAGCAATACAGGCTTGCTGTATAGTCTGAATGAACCAGAATACTCACACTGACATCAGTGTGGTGGATCAAGACACAGAGAGCTGGCAGGATCTGAAAAAGGAGCGGAAAGTCAGCTGGAATTATTGAGTGAAATGAAAACAAAACATAAAAAAAGATTTCTATTTAATCCATGAAGGTGAATGTAATCAAAGTGGCTGCATGACCCTGTATGTTGAAACACACGTTGCACCTGAATTAAATTCAAAACTGTTAATTTCTCTCCACCTCAAAAGCTTAGACAGAACACGAACCGTCTCCACCAAATAAATCCATATCTCAAAATATTTCTTCTTCTAAATAGGGATGCACTAAAAATTCGTCCATCGAAAATTTCAGTCAAAAATTGCCCAACACACTGACTCAAAACTCACATTGCAATTGCATAAATTATTACTAATTTAATTTGCAATATTAATTAATAATAATTTAACATTAATTTATGTAATTGCAATGCCCTGATTTTAGAGAGGTTAGTACAAAGTCATAGCCATTAATGGAATGGTACTAATAACTGACATAATTTAATTTGGTGTTTCTTTGGTTTCCTCATTGTCGGTTTTGGCGGGGAATTCTTATTTCAGTGCATCCCTAACACTAACTTGCCTGGGTGACATTGTCCTGAACCTTATGGCACATTATTCAACCAAGCCTCCTTTTGTACCCACTGTTAGCTATTAAGGTAAAAAATAAAAAACATAACATCAAAATTTCTCAACTGTGCTCATCTCAATGAGACGTGTCTTTTCTCGATCACACACAGATGATTCTCAGGTGTGTCCTAACCTCGCTGATCTCACTTCGATCCTTTCCGATCAAAACTTTTTCCATTTTCTTAAACTGGGAAGTAGCGATCCTCCCCCTCTATCATTTCACTTCACTGTTGCAGAATCCACAATCATCTCTACAGGCAATAACCTAACACAGCTGACACATATATATACACACTCTGCTCACTTATCCTTGCTCTCCTCTCTACACACAAACACACCTCTTGGATTGTCTCCATAGGTGGTGGAGGGTCTTTGTGGCGGCACAGGTTGACCATGACCCAGGTGACATTGCGGAGGAAGGTGATGGGGATGGAAGGACTGATGAAGGAGAGCAGTGGTTTGACCACGCCCAAGCTGATAACGTAATCTCTGCACTGAGGGCCGTCACCTGAATAAAAACACACACAACGATGAACCACACCAGATCTTGAGATTGACTGTATTAAATTCTGAGCTGCTGGTGCCAACAGTGACTCACCTATGATGTTGCCAAGGGCCCAGACAGCTTGTTCGCACACATTCTGGTGAGGAGACTGAAGCAGCCTCAGGAACAGTGGCACAGCGTCTACACAGGTGAGAAGGACAGGTGTTAATCTTGATTTGAAGTCGAACATACACAAACCTTCTGAAAAGTTCCCTCAGCTTTCTGGGTGGGCTGAATGTGTTTCTGAAAATTTCATGAGAGCGCACGTCAAAGCAGTTTTGTACACAAGTATCTTACAACTTGATGATGTATCGCTCTAATTCAGCTTCACGACAACGTGTCTCATCGAGTTTGGTAAATGCTCGAGGAAAAGTCTTACAGTCCCACTTTTATGCACTTCTTAAATCTTCTGATCACATTTTTTAATGGTCACTCGAGAAGATTCATACTTTACACTTGGGCATGGCCAGATTCATAAATTCACAAGACAATTTAGGAGACCATCTGAAACCGTGCCTCTTAATGTGGACATAAAAAATACTCCAAGAAATATTAATCTCAAGAGAAAGAGGGGAAAGAGAAGGTTGAAGATGGACGACATCTGCTTCATTTAAGTATTCCAGGTCAGAAATATGTCAACTCTGCCATTAAATCTGCATTTTTCATCATGATTAAGGATGCTCTGTACCCTTGAAATAACAACCCCCAAGTTGACTAGTTCAAAGAGTTGAAATTTCTAATATCTACATCAGTTAAGCATAATGGAGTAAAAAGTCTAAGTAACCAAAGAGAGTTAAGTTATGCGTTGACACATTGGGACACTTACTGGACTGGACCACGGCTTGGGTCTGCTCTGAGGTACCGGACGCTATGTTGGTTAGAGCCCAGGCTGCCTCGAACTGCAAGGACGGGCTGTGGAGAGATGAGGGGAATATGTAAGCAGCAGTGAGTGTGAGTGATGGGGAGGCAGCTTAAAAGCAAGCTGATGAGTCATTTATGTTTTTGTTTTTTTTTGCCATTCCTGGAGGGTGAAAACTGGAGCACATTTACATAACTGCTCCACGGCTCCCAAGACTAAACCTTGCTCGATCATTTGCATTACTTTGAGGAGTACATAAACTTAACATCATGGGGAACAGGGTTTACTTATATCATAATGATTACATGTCACAGTCAATCATGCTTTTTCATGTGTAGAGACAGGAGTCTGAAAAGTGCTTACTTGTCCTCTCTCTCCAGGCAGAGGACCAGTATAGGAAGGATCCCAGACTTTATCAGGTCATCTATGGGAGGGTTACGGTCACTGGACAACAGCTTCCTGAAAAAGCAAAAAGAAAACAGGAGACCATTTTCAACAGGTTCATCCCTTCGTAGTTTTACTTACAGATGCCAACAAGTGAAAGTATTTACACAAAGACAGATCGGCCAAAGAATGTGAACAGTCGGCATGCACGAGTCAATCACTTTCCAGGTGAATGCTTAGGAGCCCGCATCAACATTACACAACACCGGGTACAGTTTAAGGACAACTGCATTGTTGAGATAAAGCTGCAGGCTCGACCTCAGCCAAAGGTAAACAAAGATGAAAATAACGATGAAGGAATGCTCTAATACGTGAACAGGTTTCAGTTATTCAGCTATCCTGTGTACCGCAACTAAAAATGAGTTACAGCACCCATGAAAAAGACAGTGCTGACAAAGTGTAAATCACTACTGTCTGACCGAGCTGGAAACATCTCTCTTAGTCTTTATTAAAACTAGATTTTGCAGGAAACTGGACACAATAAGCTGGTGGACAAGAGCAGCAGAGTCTCTGGTAACAAATACAAGGTCGAGTATATGTGTGTGATATGGTGGCCAGCATCAATTCAGTCCACCAGACAGTTATCATTTTCAGTTTTACTTCTTTAGATGTTCAAAACAACAACATTTTATAAACTGCATTCAACAGGGCCATTGAAATAGAGAGCTGGAATTAGATACCTTGGTAAACTCAGCAAGATTATGCTAGACACTGAAAGTATTCAACCTCCACTTTGGCTAACCACTGAATTGCATCTCCTAAACAAATGAGCCTGCACTTCCGGAAAATGAGCGTATTCTTTTGAAACTGGCTCTTTAGTTTAGTCCAGTGCGAACAGGTGGAGTGTGTGCAGAAAAGAAAGTAAACTGAAGACAGACAGATTGTGAAAAAAGCTAAAAATGTATTTACAAATTAACATTTTAGTAACTTTCATGTGCGTATTCAAGTATATTTTGAATAAAATTACATTAATTGATGATCATTTCAAAGATTCCCACATAGAGATTGAGTTGATGCATCAAATTTGAGTTATACTAAAAATCCAAATTCCCAAAAGCTGTATTCATCCCCTCAGCTGTCACATCACTGAAACAACTCGGACTTCTCAGATGGTCGTCAGGCAGGGAAGCATCTACAGATACTAAAAAACTGCGCTCACATAAGTTAACAATATGTGCCACTAAATAGTTATACAGTCATAAAAGACCATAGCCCAAAATTGGCTGGCTGCTTGATCAGTGTGTTTGTTCCTACCTGGCAGCCTGAACAGCGCTCAGCTGGACGCCCTGGTTATCACTGGTGGCATTCTACAACAAAACAAATACAAGAAAATTAAAATAAACACAAAGCAAATCTGCTGTGAGTCAAAAGACATGTAAGCTAGAACGTCCAAGCGAGAAGTGAGTGAATGCTTTCTAACAACACTTCTTTCAAACTGAAAAAGGACAGTCTAACTAAGTTGAATCATTTCAGGTAAATTCTGACAGCATGTACTGAATGACAAGGAAAAATAAACACATCATACTTACTTGTACTATTGCTTCGAGAGAGGTGTTTTGCTGTAAAACAAAAGGTTGAAAGTCACATTCATGACCTGTGAAAGTTTGCACTGACAGAAAATACAAATTGTGTAGTAGCAGGTTTAATCTGTGTTTGGAGTAGGGCTGGGCGATATGGGAAAAATTTATCACTACATATTTTTTTTCGCATCAGTCGATATCGATATATATCATGATTTCAAAACTAAAATTTAACAGCACTTATTGGTAGCATTCTTTTGCAATAGATAAGATAAGCTACCGCATCTGTGAGGTCTTTGTGTCTCTTCGATGTTTTGTCATAAGACGTTGCGCTAGAGAAAGCAGCTACTTGGTTCTAATTCAGCACATGATTGGTTCAGCGTGAAGCAGACCCAGTGCAACTCCCCCTTTCATTGGCTATTCGTGTAGTCTACCAAAACATGGCAGAATACCGACTATTGAAGAGCATATTGACCATGTTTTATATTGATACTGAGGGAAATTAATTTTCGATATATATCGTTATCGTTTTATCGCCCAGCCCTAGTTTGAAGTACAAAAGAAATGCTTCCTGAGGGGTTCATATCCTGGCAGCACTAAATAAGGCTGAACAGACATTGTTAGCATCCTGCTCATTCCTAATATTACTTTTGTGTTCAGAGATGACAAAGCAGGAAGGAAGGACACCAAAGCAGGGTTGGCCACGGTGAAGTGAGGTTGATGTCTGCCATCAGAACAATGTAGTAACTGGCATTTTCACTTGGACCAAGTTGGCGTTACAAAGAGTCAGCAGGGCTGGACGTGCAGGCCAGCATTCAACAGGATCTTTTTGCCAACTGGCAACCTTACCTGACGCCCTCTGTGGGGAGTTCAACGCCCAATGTAGGCCAGCTCTGTTGTGGTTCTCAAGCATCATTTCATATCCAGAACTGAATACTACATTTTCTGTTCTAAAAAGCTGGCATCTACATCTTGCTTCTGGTGCATTCTCTGATAAATTACAACAAAAGTCAAACTAGAAAATAAATTGAAAAAAAAAAACATTCAGACAAGCCAGCGTACAAAAATGAATGTCCTTGCAGTTGATTTATATTTACATTTTGGCATTCCATGGCTGCGGGGGAAGATATAACAGACAGGCATGGTCTAATTGGGTCTAGGGAAATACATGCTGGTGATAAGAACTGAGACCAAAGGCAGAGACACAGAAACTCAACAGAAAACTGAGGGTGGAGAGGGATTTGGTAAACATCTGATATTAGAAGACGGCACATAAACTCTAATAAGCTCAGCAGGCTACAGTGACCACACGACAGGCAAGAAAGCAATGTTCCCAGGACGGCAAATCAACGTGAAATTCTTAACTGATTAAAACAGCCGCAGCCATGATTGGTTTATTTATCATGAGAAGAATACCTGCGCGCTCACTGTTCCTCAAAGCCCTCACCAGTGTCTCGCAGTGAGTCAGAGCAGCATGTCATTGTTGATATACCGCTAAGCAACCCATTTTGAGTCAGCCCTCTCAGTACCAATCGGCTGTTACTGTGATTGAATTTCTGAACTGCTGAGTGGCCATTTCAATGTCATCACATGAACAGCTCTTATGTGATGGTGGGCTTCATGATTGGTATGTTCCATGTCAAGTTGTTAAGCCCAAAAAACACTGGCATAAAATGTGCCAACGCCGCTTCACAAGAGGGATGAACACGGAGACATTTCCACAGAGATTAGCGTTTCATTCTGAGAGAGGAAATACAACCGTACCGATCTGAAATCTCCATCCACATCAGAGTCCTCACAGATGTCCTCATGGGGCACATTTCTCCTCTTCAGAAGGTGCTCATCTCTTTTGTTCTGTAGGAGGTAACAAAAACTTAGCAACAAGTACATTCCAACTGCAATTTCAAGTGTCAGAAAAAAATGTAGCTTTTAAAAATGTACATTTAGCAGCTTTAAGACCAGCATGCCACTAAGAATGGCAAAAAAAAAAAAAAAACCTAGGGTGTCAATAGTTAAGAGTGGAACCTACCTTTCTGAGTTCCACCACGACCTCAGTCCTCTGTCTTCTCATAGTCTGCAGGAGAGACAATTCATTAGGATTGCATAATGAGGACTTTTAATCCCAACCATGCCTTGCCAAGACAGTGACACCAGCTAAGACACTGAATTTGGCCACAATCTGAGATTAAGATCCAGTTTGAGCACAAAGAGCTGATCCACAGTGTCATTCATACCCGAAGCATTAAGTCAACTGTCTGTACACTGCGTATGACAGCACACACACACACACACTTAACATGAGTCTGACCTAATGTGGCTCAGCTTGTGTTACTGCAAAACTATTTTTCAATGTGTCCTAGCATGCAGCTAATTCTTTGCTATTCGATTATATGTTAGACCAGTTTAATTTACCTAATGTTCTATACAGCTATCATAAGTAGGTCTGTACTGTTCAACATATCAGTTAATTTGTGTGTTTAAATGTGATTAGAACATTCAAGAGTGCATGTTGGCTCTAACTCAGTTTCTGCGTCTGTTGCTGTTCATCAAGTGTTACACGTTTCTTTTCATGATGAAGTTTAAAAAGACATCTACAGAGAAGTTAAGGGTGGCTGATAGCTCTTTTTGGCCTCATCTAACTGCATCAAAATTCAGCCATGTTACCCACACATGTTAAACATTTGCATGCTGAGGGAAATCAAATCATTTCTCTTATTTAAATGTGATTAATTCAGATGTGTTTATTGTGGATTCCTATAGCCTGATAACAATGACATTGCAATCAATATACAGTCATTTGCAAATAGAAGTAGACCAATTAATCAGCCATCAGAGACATCTCTTAGATGATTCAATTATTGAAAGACCAGAACCTCCCTCTACTTTCAACATATATTTAAAAACTAATCACCTCTGAATCCAATTTCTTATTGAATGTGTTTAATATCCTGATCAGACTGATGCAAACGACTTATCCTCTTTCAGAGAGATAGTTTTGATATTGTTCTCTACATATGATGGCATACTTTATCTAAGAGGTGGTCATGTATTTGTAACACTTTATGGCATAGCATTATGAAGTCTGATAGCACTGCTAATCCAACCCACAGAAACTTCAATGAAGGTTGAATCACAGCTGTATGAAAGTAGGTTTTGTGTCAATAATGATAATTTCTGACGGTCTAATCTGGATGTACCTAATTTTAATAACAAATCACTGTGAGACCTCCACATCTGTGATATATGTACTGATGTCTGGGATGATACCTGCGGTTATTAACATGTTTCAAGTTCAGATATAGCATTATGTAGTCTGATAGAACACAGAAACTACCATGAAGATTGAATCACAACAGTATAACAGTAGGTTTTGTGGCAATAATGATCATTTTTGACTGTCTAATCTGGATGATAGTTTTGATATTATTTTTTACATATAAGGCCATACTTCATCTAAGAGGGTGTCACATATTTGTAACACTTAATGACATAGCATTATGTAGTTTAATAGCACCACTAATCCAACCCACAAAAACTACAATAAAGATTGAATCACAACAGTATGTTTCGTGTTAATAATGATCATTTTTGACTGTCTAATCTGGATGTACCTAATTTAAATAACAAATCGCTGAGAGACCTCTACATCTGTGATATATGTGCTGATGTCTTGGGATGATACCTGCAGTTATTAACATGTTTCCAGCTCAGACAGCTGATATCTGGTGGCCTAACAAGCTCCCGTCAGAAAATACTCGTCAAACAGGATGTATGAGTCCATCTTGCTCAAACATATGTTGAGAAAGCAAGCTTGAAAACAACCCCATCCCTCTTTTCACGGTAATGAACCTGGGGGGGAGCTGAGCTAACTATAAATCAGACGCTAACTTATGGATCCGGCTAACATGTAGCTTTGATCTACAACGTCATGTGATCGTGTTAACTAGCCTGCTGCTCCTTTTCACCTTGTTTTCTGAGCATGTGGATGCTATATAAACCTCGGAATAAACTCCTGACACCGTGATATGATTAATAAAATTAAGATAAGAGTCCATCTGAGAGGCTAACTGGTTTCCGCCATTGTTTTTGGTAATAAAGACGGGGGATGGGTGGAACTGCAGCCACCAGTAACACCAAGCCTAACGGGAGCTAGCAGGCATGTTAGCACACAGCTAAATTTCAAAATAGCGGTTATTTCCAACTGTAAACGCCAACCAGTAGGAGAAATAACGAAATATGACAACTTGAATATCAAGTGTCTTCCTTTTTGGATGTGTATTCAACGCGTATGAATCATTTAAGAGCCGTATTCAGAGGTGGTATGCTTAAGTTAAACTAGCATGTCCTCCACGGGCCTGGCTAGCTCGCAGTGAGGCGGTGAACTCTGACTAGCTTTTCTCATATGATGTTTCATAACCAGCGCGGTCTCATGGCGCAACCAAACAAGCGAAACCGAGCCCGACCGAGGCCAACGGTCCAAAGTAATGGTACGTGAAGGCCCCGGTCGAGACGAACGAAGCGAAGTTCCCGATGGTGGAAATTAGAAACGACGTCACAAGGAGCCGAGAGGCGAAGCTGGCCGAGAGCGGAGCAGCAGCGGCGGCGTAGAGAGGAAAAGAAGCTCCTCCACAACCCGTATCTGCGTAACTTTTACCTCCAAATCTCGGCCCTTATTCTTGAAATTCTTCAGCCGCTGGTTGTCCAGTTTCTCGTTGTCAGCCATGTTAGCCGTTCTGGTTCCGTTAAATACAGATGAACACGTTGGTTTTAGCCTGTTAGCTACTCCTCTCTGGTTCCCTTTTCTCAGCCTTTCGTCAACGGACTATTTTCCGCTGCTGTCCGCGGTGCATACTGGGAATGCCGGTGGTGTAGGCAGCCTCGCACTGGCGTAGAGGAAGGGTGGGGAAATCCCCTTTACTCTCATTGGCTTCACTGTGAACATCTAATCTGCAGGGCGCGCCATAGAACAGCATACGAATTTTGTTAGCTCGTCCATCAAATACAAGGATGAATTATGAATATTTCCAGGTAAACTTCTTATCTATATATTCAGTATATGATCCTTTTATAATAATGATAATAATAATAACTTTATTTATATAGCACTTTTAAAAACAAAATTTTACAAAGTGCTTTGACAACAGTTGCAAAGCACAGAACATCAGTACATGGAAATAAAAGCAAATAAAAACAAAAGCTCAGTTAAAAAAAAGGCCTCCGAATTAAAGGCCAATTTCATTTTACGTAAGAAACCCAGGCAATACAAGAACCCTACAACATAAAATGAGACCATGAGGACCAAAATAAAAACATAAAATAGGTAAGAAGAAGAAATGAAATAGAAAAGGGGGGCAGAAAGCAGGAAACAGGATAGTAAATATAAAAGAGGATATTAATAATGATAATACAATCATAATAAACTAATAATGATGGTAATATTAATGATAAAATGGAATAATAAAAATGAGCAGAAAAAAGCATTAAAATCAATAAAAGACCTAAAAAATAAAATAAGAAAAGATTATAAGTAAAACAAAAGCTAAAAGGATAGTAAGTCAAAATAAGATAGAGGTAAAAAAGAGAAAAGACGGCATCACATAAAAGCAGGTCTAAAAGTGAGTTTTTAAATTTGACTAAAAAGAAGCGACTGTCTCTGCACGCCTTTTCTCCTCTGGCAGGTCGTTCCAAAGTCGAGGAGCTCTGATGGAGAAAGCTCTATCAACTTCAGTTTTGAGTGTCGACTTTGGAATGACCAGAGGATCTGAGGCTCCGAGTTGGCTCATATTAAAAGCTCTGAAATGTAGATCGGAGCGAGTCCTTTAGGTGCTTTAAAAGTAATCAATAAAATCTTAACATCAATTCTAAAACTGAAGAGAGGCTAAAACTGGAGAGATGTGATGCCGTCTACCAAAACCTGTTAAAAGCCAAGCTGCTGCATTCAGCACTAGTTGGAGGCAGGAAAGAAGAGACGGGAAGCCAGTGAAGGGAGCTAAAGACAGAAGTGACGTGCTCACATCTGTTAGTGTTAATTACAAGACGGGCAGCAGCATTTTGGACAAGTTGAAGGCAACTAAGAGATGATTGGGAGATGCCAACACAAAGTGCATTACTATAGTCTAATCTTCAACTGATTAGAGCATGGATGGCTATCTCAAGGTCATGACAGCTCAAAAATATTTTGACCTTGGCCAGGAGACGTAGTTGGAAGAAACTAGTCCTAACAACATTGTCAATTTGTTCGTCAAACTTCAGGTGTTTGTCAAAAACCACTCCCAGATTTGTGACAGTTTGACTGAGCTTTGGAAAGAAGGAGCCAAAGCCAGCCGTTACTGTAAACCCAATACATTCACTCTTACCATTATTTAAATGAAGATAATCTTGAGCCAAACACTGATCAACATCAACAATACAAGCAAATAAAGGATTGTGCGCACTGCCATTGTTTGGCTTCACTAGCAAATATATTTTATTACAAAAAAATTAAAAAAATCGGAGAGTTTATATAAACCACATCCACCGCCAGGATCATAAGATCTTATTCAAAGATTAACAGAAAAATCAGAATTTCTTGGGATGAGTATAAAAATCTAAAAATGGGTATGAAATGATGAATTGTTAAATTTCTTGAATCGAGGCATTATTTGGCTTGTAATAACTTAAAATCAGACATTTATATCTGGGTTTGTGAGGTGAACAGTCAGTGCTTCAGGCCCTGTTTGTGTAACCTTAGATTATTTTCCCCAACCAAAGTTAGGAAAGGGACATTTGACTGAGGTAGATTGCTGAAACCTTGTATTTTTCCTCTGTGACTGTAAGTGAAACGTGGCCTTGTCTCAAAATTTTGCCCAGCAACCATAATTTTCAAAAGATCTGAATATGACAAACTTTTTTTTCCAACCAAACTCCAGAGGAAATCTATTTCACTTTTAAGTTAAACAATTTGATTTAATTGCAACAAAACAATCCAGAAACATTACACAGGTTGACAGCATATTACAGTTTATTATTTAGGATCCAAGCACCTGTAAACGTAACATGAATAACACATGTATAGTATTTGAGATGTTTGTGTTGCTGAGAGGAATCTTTACAATTTAACACCTCAAATAGTGATTGAGTTGCAATCAATATAAATAAAAGAAATCAAACAGTAGGCATCAAACAAGAAGTTTTACAATTTACTCCAAAAGTAAAAGTATCAAAAGAAAGAAAGTAAAAAATGAAAGAAGCATAATTTTGACATGAACAGTACGTAAACCAGACTGACTGTTTTCGCCAAAGCTCAAATCCTTTCTCTCAAAAGTCTCATAATTCAGGGTCCTCGCTGTAACAGCACTCTCGTGTGATACAACCATGATCTGGGAACTGTTTCACCAGCATGAACCCGAGGTTCTTCCAGTCACAGAAATTAAAACCTCAAAAACTGCGATCATGCCATTTCTTTAGCCTCTGCCACAATGTGGTCTTATGTCGTTGATGGGAGGGAACCCAGCTCATCATATGAATGACTCTTTCTTTGACATTTTACTCCATCATCACCTCCTGCAGAGTAAGACTTGTTTCATGGCTGTAATACTCAATCCTTTGGACCTCATCTTAACCTTTATGTCCTCTTGAGTCTGTTTCAAGGGCGTCTTCAACAAATAGACAATCCTCCTGAAACCCTCCTCCAGTCCCATGCCGCTGATGGCTGAACACGGCTGGATGAACCAGGCCCTGCCCTCACAGACTCGTCTCAAGTCCAGTTTGAGGCAGAGAGCCTCGGGGCTCAGAGCTCCGTGAAGGTCCTGTTTGTTGGCGAGAATGACGAGGGGAACTCCTCTGAGACTTTCATACCTAAGGACCTGGAGAACGAAAAAGGACAGTAAGAAATACTTTAATCAGGCAATGTGAGACAGCCTTTTTAAGACATTTGAGGTGTTTGTAGCCTCTCTATGATCTACACAAGCAAACAAGACCATAAACACAAAGACTGACAGTTTTTAAAGTGTTACATTTATACATTTTAACGACTTATATTGCTGTGAGGATGCAGGTGTCCAGATCATTGAAATAAAAACATTTTATCACATATTAACACTTAATATAAACAATGAGTGACGCATTTGATTAAAATTTGACAATTTTCTATAGGCAGCTTTTGTGACCTGTCCACCTTTAAACAATGAACATAAAAATACTTATTCATATAATGATTTTGGTGTAATACAGTTTGTTTTCCCCTTTTTTCTAAACTGTGAACTTATTATTCTGAATGAATCAAGTTTTGTGTGCGATTGCATGTCTTACTATCTGTTAACAAGTACATTAAAGGTCCTATAAATAACTTCAGACTGGCATTGATTTTGGCGCCTCCTGTAGCCAAAACTGTCCCTTTCACTCTTTGTTGACCTTGTACTCTGATTTCTCTGAGAAGTCCTGAAGTTATTGTACAGCCGACATTTTAGGTTTGTGTTTTGCATGAATTTAAGTCAAGTGGAGAAGCCAGAAATACAGTTCATATTTCACGATAAGATGTAGGTGAGCGGGAAGGAGATTAATCTATTACATAAGTAAGAACAAGCTCCTAAATCATTCTGACAGTGCTTCTAATGGCTAAGTAGGAGCATTTACATTAAGTATTAGTTATTTTTCCAGATGTATTTACCCGATGCAGTACTTTACGAGCCTCGTCCAGCCTCTTCTGATCCCAGCTGTCCACCACAAATACCAGTCCGGCTGTATCCATGTAATGATGCTTCCAGTGGGGCCTCATCTTTCTCTGGCCCCCCACATCCCACACGGTCAGGCCCGGGCTGCTCCTGTCTGTCTCCAGTGTCTCCACATTGAAGCCCACAGTGGGCACAGTCACCACGCTCTCGTTGTACTTGAGTTTATAGAGCAGTGTGGTTTTTCCTGATCCGTCCAGACCCAGCATCAGGACCTGCGCTTGTTTCTGAGGCTTGGATCCATACATGCCCATGGCTTTTACACTGCAGCCTGTGTCTATAAGAATAAATGTACGTCCTCTCCCTCTTGTATAGCTGCGTAAACGAAGAAGTCTGCACCCGGCGTCTCCCTTTGTGCTTTCTATCTGTAGGCTTAGTGTGTCCGCTCTCTCTGCTGTCAGTATGCTTTATGTACACACAGGCTGAGGTCCCTCCCCCTTCTGTTGTGATAGGATTCCTTCTGTCCCTGCGTGGCTTTCAGTAAACCTATTTATATCCAGAGTGACGGTGCAACTAAGTAGGAATACATGCAGTTCTCCAATTACAGCAGTACAGTCTGTGGAGTCATACCCCACCTGCCCCGGATCATCATACACACCAGCAGACAGGAAGTCCTTATTTTGGCGTGATGGGAATATGGTGTCTTCCTGGCTGGATGTCCTGCAGCAGTGACATCACAGGAACATTTTGGTGGAGGGTTACTCGCTCTGGCTGATGGGTAAGTGTAGTTTTATCTGTAGAGCAAAAGAATATCTGATAAGCGGCCTGCTGAACTTTGTTTTATGCAAATTTATGAGTTGGACTTGTATAAACATTTGAAAGGTCTATGCACTTGACTTTTAACTATTTGTAATTTTGCAATGTTTCACAGCAGGACTACAAAGTATCGTACATTGTGTGCCATTACAACAAATTGTTGAAATATTTCCTATAATCTAATAAATTGGAAGATCTGTCCAACTTTTTATACTATCCATATTTGGTCAGGACTCCCGCATCATTGAGGTGACCAGCCTGTGGCACTGCTGAGGTCATACGAAAGATCAGGATGTTTTGATAGTGGTCTTCAGATTGTGTGTATATTTGGGTCAAGTGTTTCTCATCTTCCTGTTGGCAAAATTCCACAGATTCTCTACAGGGCTCAGGTCAAGCACAGTGATACCATGGTCAGCAAACCATTTGGTAGTAGTTTTGGCACTGTGGGGAGGTGCTAAATCCTGCAGGAAAAACATATCTGCACCACCATGAAGCCTGTCAGCAGATGAAAGCATGAAGAGCTTTATACCCTCCTGGCAGACTTTCGACAGTGGATGAACAACAGCAGATGGCAGGGCACCATGGATTCTGTGCCTCTTTGCTCTTTCTCTAGACTCCAGGACCAAATAAAGTCCAAAATGAGCTTTTATCTGAAAAGAGGACTCTGGATCTCTGAGTAACAATCCAGCTGTTCTTTCTTTGCCAAGATGGGAAACTCCTGATGACGTCTCTGGTTCAGGAATGGCTTCATATTAGGAATGCAAAAGCTACAGCCCCTTTCGTGATTAGGCATGTGGATCATGGCTTTTACTGTGCTGACTCCAGCCTTGGCTCAATCTGTAAGACACTCTCAGAAGATCTCAAATCAAATATTTTATGACTATCCTTCTTTGGTCATTCCTGTTGCCTGTGCTTTCCCCCCTCTAGTCACCTGTGCATTAACACGCTAAAAAACAGCACTTTGCAAATAGTCTGCCTTTTCAGCATTGACTTCCTGTGGCTAACTTTGTCGTGGGTGTTGATCATGTTCTAGACGACCTAACAGTCAGCAGTCTTCCTCATGATTGTGGTTGCATGTTCTGAACAACACGTAGTCTTTATTCTGTTGGAACAGCAGTTTACTTAAAGTCAAAAGGACATGTTCTGAGTTATGTTTTAATCTTTTTAAGCTGTAGGCCATTTTTTATTCAAAGTAAGTTTACATGAGTCTAGAAAATACTGCATAACAATTTAATTTTCAGAAAATATTGAGCTTTTTCATGATCTGATTGAATGGAGATGCTCTTGATAGTAACTCTTGATAATCTGATTCAGTCAGCTTTATCAAAGGTGAGGGCTGATTCAGATTAGTAGTAGGTTTAGTGATTCACCTCACCTCATGAAATGCCACCTGGTGGTAATGTCAGTATTAACATCATTATTAGGTATCATCACTATAAAGCCATGCAAGTAAAAAGAAAAAACAAAAGCCATTTTTTTGTGCTGCCTTTGCTTAAATAAAAAGAATTAGGTGAACTTGGGAGAAAAACAAGGTCATGATATATTCAATAGGAACATTGATTTGCATGTATTTGCTTTAGAGTCCCTTTCGACATGACAAATATTCAACCTAAGAGTCAATCAGCACAGTGTAGGAAATAGGGAAGTCTTACAAAATAAAGTACCAGAGACAAAGTAAATAATATGATCATATTTCATTTTAATGTTACCTCTTTGATTTACATTTCAAAATTTCAGAATGATCTCTTTTTTCTTTTTTTTACAGTTTATTAAAGTCAACAAAACAAGTACAAATGTCACACAAACATTCGGTTACATACATAATCGAGGAAGAATGTGAAGTTAAACAAATAAATCCTTAATCTTGTTTGTATCTCTGAAGATAAAGAATCCATAAAGAGGGGCGTGGCTGTATAAACATTGGAGGGGGGGGGGGGGGGGTCAACAACATGAGGACAAATATATACATTCATCTTACAATTTCTCGTCTCCTGGAGACATTATTCAAACAATTCTTTGTTTCTGTTTTTTGTTTGTTTGTTTTTTTAATGTGTGAGTTAAGATATGACACAAGGCTGTGCAGTGCGCATGGTTTGAACGTCATTACATTTCCAACTGAGAAGTAGTTTTGGCAGCAGACTTCATTAAAGTAAATGAACAGTTAAAAACATAAGGCAACGATAACGCTTCATTCAAAGGCTTGTTGTATTTAGTGATAAAGGTCAGGCAGATATGATGTGGCAGAATCAAGAATCTTCATCTCTAAGTGAAGATGATGATAACCAGGAGGAGGAAATGATATGTAAGAATTATAGAGAATAATGAAGCTTGAATAATACAGACCTGCCAGTTTTTATGGGTGAAAACTCGACTTTACCTTCTTAACATGTATTGGAGTAACAGTCAATGTAATTATATCACCAGATAAACAAGACAATAATATGCGTTATGGGTCACTGTGACATGTAGCGACATTATGGCCACGTTACTTGAGAAGGTATTGCTTTAAGAGATAAACTTTTTTTTTTAGAAACTATTTAAAGATGGGTCTGAATGATTCAACTATTGTGACTCATTCATCAGAGGAAACATGGGTTTGGGCTGAACAGCACATGTAAAAGTGGGATTTAAAAAGACAACTATTAAAACTGAAAATGTTTCTTATCAGCACAGAGGGTAACTATTTCTACACATTCAACAACTCAACTTCAAAATAAGAAAACAAAGGCAACTCAAACCTGAATCCACCTCAAATGTGTGATATGGTTTCTCTTCCTGTACAATATGACCAGTGATATTTGAACAATCATACGCATATTATTATTCGTGTTCACTATGTATTAAGGGGATAAAAGTTAAATGTCGCCATAATTTCCTCCGTGCAGTCACTATGGAGACTTTCAATTCAGTAACAGAGAAAAGAAGAAAATAAAGTTAGTGGTCACATTAATGTGGAGTGAAATAATGTGGAAGTAAAACCCCGTGCTGTCTTGTACACTTTGCAATTGGCTGACCATCGACTTGGTTATTAATGTGACATGAGTGTGAAATCATTACATAAAAGACTGACATCTGACACTGGTTCGCCACACACACACTCCCACAAAAATATACATATGCAAACACACACGCACACTCACACATAAACATCTGCAGACTCATGGATACACCCACAGCTGCATGGAGCTGAATCTGTTTATTTTGCATAACAGTGACCCAGTTTGCATTAAGGTGTCAGAACAATATTTCTAAACCTAAATTAGGGATTTTTCTTAGATTTCAGTAAAAGTAAAGAAAAAGGGGACGGTTTTTGTAGTGATGCGTTGAAGGACTCATGTCTGGAAATATCTGTGATAGAAATAGTCCTTGCTCAAAATAAAGGTTAACTCTCCTTTTATACCATTCATCTGAAACTTTTTTTCTCTTACATCGATCCAAACTACTTCTCGCTGGCCCTGCCTTTGAACTTAACCACCATGACCGTGATGTTGTCAGGGCATCCACGGTAGAAGGATTGGAGGACGATGCTCTTAGCGCCAAAATGCGGCTCGTCCAGTCGATCTCTGATGAAGCGCACCGCCTCCTCGTTGCTGAAGGTGTCCCACAGGCCGTCCGACGCCAGGATCATGAACTGCGGCTGCAGCTTGTCCAGGTCAAATGACATGATGTCAGGATCAGAGATGACCACGTTGAGGTTCTTCAGGGGGTAGTCGCCGAGGGAACGGGACATGGCCAAGATGCCCTGAACGCGCCATGAGCCATTGAAGCTGATGAAGCCTCCTGATATAGAGGAAAGGCGGGAAATAGTTATAAAAGGTTTAATCAAGGGTGGAGTTGGAGAGAGGATTGGGAGGTGTAACAGGGTGGATGCAGTGAAGACGTGTTAGAGAGAATTTCAGGAAACAGGGGGAAGAATACAGACGACAACAGAATTCAAGGAACAGATGTTTTCCCTGTTACAGCTTTAAAAACTGAAAATGAATTATTATTTTAGCTCCAAAGGGCCAACTGGCAGCGTGCCTGTTCATTATCTATTATATTCCAACTCAATGCTTGCTACTCATGCTCATGGAAAAAAACTTTGTTTGTATTGGATATAATTCAATTTCTGTCACATCCTGAAGTACAGCTGCTTGCCCTCTTTGACTTTGACAGATCTGTAACCAGGGAATTGTACTGGAAATGACCGAGGAGGACTCTCATTCTGGGTCAGGCTGACGTCATGGTAGGGAATCAGCAAGGCCACTAACAGCTTAATAAAAATACACTTCGACCCTGGAGAGTTCAGGTTATAAATGTTGTTTTCACCCCCAAATAAATCTCAGAATGTTGAAACAACAAAATTCCCTAAAAGAAGTTTGAGAGTCTCTGACCTCTTAAATTCCCCATAAAAGCTACAAAAGCAGTGACTGAATGATCTTCTCAGATTACTTTAAAAACAAGTGGAGCGAGTTAGTGTCAGCTATAAAACTAGTGACAGCATCAACTGGCACTTTTTAAGGTAACATTCAGCTATTTTTATTGTCCACTCATTACCATTGGCTTGTTATTCAGTAATTTCTAACTTTCAAACTCCAGTTTAAGTGAGCTGAATAAAAGAGAATTTGAGTCGAAGCTTTCAGGCTAAGATCACTAAGGATATAACAATAAAAATATCAATTTCAGAATTATTGCAACTGTGTTATCACTGGTATAAATGTAACCACTGCATTCAAGCGAAATTTCAAACCCCGCACATTATGCTTTAAACAATTTACAATTTTGAGTTTCAACATGTTATGTTATGGTTGCACAATTTTAGATAAAATTATGGGCATTATCGCAAATGTTCTTTTTTATCAGCATTTTACAGCATCATTTACCTGTGACTTATTTAAAAAATACTCTCTATAGGTGATATATAATAATTTGATCTCCATTACTATTGTCTGTATACATCTACTCACCAAATCTGTACAGAGACCAACATTTTGGATGTATTAAAAAATTAACAGTAAATTGTTTCAAGGAAAGATGGATGATCATTAACTTTATTTATCCTCATTTAATTTTGGAGGAGGAAGCCTTTGCTAAAACATTTTCATCAAATCATGTGGCTTATTAAAAATACTGAAACTCTAGATTGAGCAAATATTAGAAATAAAAATTGACAATAAGTTGTGCTATTTGACCTCTCAATGAGCTTCTCTTGTTTCACACTGAGTAGTTTACAAAATTACATTTTAAGTCGGCACTGTCGTCTCTACTCACAGCTTTTGTTTTCTAGCACAAATCACTTGATTAAGGGTTACAAAAAGTCAGATTTCCCCTCATTCACATGTAAATGTATGCAGCGAGGTGCTTTAAAACCTAATCAGACCATGAGCTCTGTCTCTGGAGCCTGTGGTGCAGACAGAAAGTTTCTATCCTTGATTGTTCTTCAGTGTCTGTCTAAGAACAGTTACCCAGCTTCACCATTAGATGGAGATAGTGGGCTGTCCTGACAGTGACCACACTGGCTGACTAATACAGCAACCTGCTGACAAACTCTGAGTGCAGAGTATGCAAATCGAGTAGGACAAGGAGCTATGCTTAGAGATATACCTTCAATACAGTGTTCAATGTCTGGCAGCATTTGATAACACACTAATTTAGAGGCAGATTGTGTTATCAGAAACTGGGTTTGATGTCTGATTTTCCAATATGCTGAACAAAAAGGATAATAGTGCTGAGCTTTGATCATGACAGGACTTATTTTATGCTTTCATGACAACAATCTCTGCTTTTTAGCTAAATCCTTTCGTTGTGCAGCTCAGACTCATTTCAGAAAAAGTCTGCTGCTCTGGACGGCATCTGTTTCCTCACCAGCCTTCTTGATCCTCTTGCGTTCTTTGAGCTGGTACGGTTTGTGATCGTGCGATAGGGGGATGGCGTTGCCGTCTTTATCACACAGAACCCCGCGAGAGTCTCCCACGTTGGCCACCGTCAGCTCCTTATCAGACAGCAGCGCCATCAGACACGTAGTACCTGAAACAAAGGAAGGATAAGGGGGAGACGGGGAAAGTAAAAGACCAGGAGAAGGATGGGAAGAAAGAAGTGTGAGTGTAGTGAATCGGTTGAAAGTGTGCTAAAGAATAGTAGGGGAGAGTGGGATAAGATGAGCCATTTTTCATATTTCGGATCACTACATCAAGGTAATCATAGTTTTGTCTCTAACTAGTGTATCTGCATATATTTCAAGATGTTGTGCATCCCTGCAAACAAACAGAACAAGTGTAAATATAACTGTCTTGATAATTTTGTTCACATGATCAATTTCTTTGACCATTTCCAAGCAACAGGGGGTGGCTCATCTTACCCCACTCTCCCCTACAGCTTTGTTGACATTCGGACCAATGTGCACGTCCATTTCATCCAGGACCTTATTGTTCAAAATCTGGATGATTGATCTGGATTTAAAAATGCACCTTTTTACCATACAGGCTCAGAAACTCTCATATAGTTTGTCAAAGAAAAACCAGATTGGTTAAACTCAAACCAGACTCCAAATACAGACTCCCATATCTAGATTTCCATTGCTCAAAACAGAGCCACTTCTCACAATGGCCACAGGGGGCATCTGTTTTCAAAATCAGTTTAGATCGGTTTACTTTTGAACAGCTATGCCCAGGTAATGCTCGCCAGTAAAAGTAAAGGTGTTACAACAAGTTTTAACAGCTCATTTTATGCTGGAGATATAAAATCTTGAGGCAGTCTATTTAGAAGTTTGAGACACCAGAAGTCAACCTCATGAAAAGTTAGTATCATGAGGGTCATCAGCATTTCTCCACATGTGATCATGGAAAAAATTAGACTCATCTATCAAATAATAGTTGCATTACTCAAGTCAAGATCAAACCAGAAAACAGGCTGAAATAAGACAATGCCATCATTAAGCATTAGCGCTCGAACGGCTAATAAAGTTCAATTACTGCCATAAACAACGCTGTTAAAAAACATCTAATGATGCTTGGCAAATCTATATCAACAGAGAGTAGATCACCAGACACGAACTCAAGGCAGCCTTTAATCTGATCAGACATCTAAGGAGACAGGGGTTTGTGTTTTTGCAGCACAACCCCAGAAAAACTCATTATTTGCAGTACACACATGTTCCGCCTGCACTACAGTGGAACACATGAAGACGTGAGCAAACACTGCAAATCTCTTTGAAGTAACTTCTCTTCCTTGTACCACTCTCCAACCACTCTTTCCTTTCTTCTCCTCCTTCCTCTCTTTGTTTAGCTTCCCAGCCGGGCAGAACAGAGTCTGGACTCCCAATCTGAGGCCTATTGTGTGAGATCCAAAGTCCTGGAGAGAAAGAACAGATCTGCCCGCCCGGCCATCTGCTCACACAGAGCAGAGACAAAAACTGCAGAGAGAGAGAGAAAGAGCAGGGAGCAGAGGACTGAAAATAAAAGAGGTGAAAGTTGGGAATTCGACTAGTCTGGACCACCCGGATATAGACGGAGGGTGGGTGGGATTGAGGACAAATCGGACATGTAGGGAGACATTCCCAGGATTTTACAGAAAAAAAGCCTCTGGGATTACAGGAAAGAGCAACAGAGCTGGTTTAAATGTCAATCTAAGAATGTGGGTAACCCATACCGCGTCAGACCTCCTTTTGGAGTTTAAAATGGTAAATATGATGTTGACTGAAATAAATCCAACCCCTCTTTTAAGGGCTCCTCACATCAGTTTTTCATTTCTTTTCTGCTGCTTCTTTCAGTGTGTTAAGACTGAGGCGAGACAAGAGGAAGTCCAGGCAGAAACTGGTTCAGATTTACTGCAGAAGAAGAGTTGAGGAGGGTTGCAGAAAGTAGAGAGATGGAGAAAGAGACAAAAAAAAGAAGCGATAACTTCTCAGCAGGACAATGATTTTATTATTCTCATTAAAGCGAGCGCTGAGAAAAAACTGAGGAACAAAAAATGTGTTAGAAAAAAGAAAGAGAGAAGGCAACGAGCACCAGCCGGTAGCAAAGATAAGAAGAATGGCGTTAATATTGATGCCACTTAACTGTAAATGACTTCCTAAATCTTTTACACTTTTTGGGAAAAATCCAATTCTATTAGTTTCATCACTGTGTGCATCTCTAATCCGTCTCCTCAAGCTTATAACTGCGGCTGCAGCTGCGGCTGCTGCTGCGCCACACCATGCTGTCCGGCTAATTATCCTTATCTAGTTCCCATGGTGATTGAGATAATGTACTGAGGTGCCTACCTAGCACTCCCTTACCCAATTAGCCCAGTCATGCCAACCACGCTTTCAGAATTACCCATTCAAGTGGCCCACGTGCACCCACTTCTCATCCCTAATTATTGGTTTGCTTTGGCTAGACACACCCTCAGCGCTCGGATTAGATTAACATCACAGGCATGTCCACAGCCCCACTCCTACATGTATCACTGTACTGAAGTAGCAGAGACTGTAACTGTCTATTAAAGAGGAGAATATTCACTGGGTTGATATTCTGCACTGCATAGAGGTGAAAAATGTGAAGGCCAGACTGTCACCACCCTGCTCGCCCGGCTCATTGTCTCCCTCTGAGCTTCTACAAAATCCTTCCTGCCCGTTTGTCCACCCACAGCATCCAGCGACTGTCTTACCCGCCTTTCTTGGACTGTTAACATTTACAGTGAGGCTATTTTTAGCTTGTTGCATACAGCCTAAGCATCTCGAGCCATTTTATCAAGTCTGTGCAACACTCTGAATTTACATACTCTATCACTGTGAATCTTTAGACAATCTCTAATATCTACAATGAATCATTTCATTCCAGTCATTAATTTCTGTCCATAAAATACAGTTGGTCTCAGCCAGTCTCAGTGTATTCCTAAGACTTTTTGTGAGCGTTAGCTTTGGGCTCCTGTGTCCCTTTTTTGCACCATTAACCATTTTCTTCACGTGTTTCTGCTTCCTTAGTGTTTTTAACTATAAAGAGAAAGAATAATGATGGTTCATCATTGTGTGTATGGGGGGAAAAGACAGGGAGAAACACGTGATGTAAGGTGTTACAGCCTCATAAGGAAAGGAAACAGAAGGAACCCTGGGAATTTAACATTTTAGTCTATAGAGTATTATGGGGCTCATAATAGATGAAAAAACACATTAAACCTGCAGGAAAGACCACAGAAGACTTACTTTTTTCTCCTTCAAACAATGCAACCCACCTGAGCTTGAAAGCCTATTATTTTTTTAAAATGGACTTAATAGTACTGCCCATGAATGCATGCCAGGTCCCCATTATCCTCCCTTTTTACACGACCCAGCAGGTGCAGAAAAACATAAAGTCCCTCGCCTGCAGCCCTCACACATTAAATACTAAAATTAAATCATGGGTCAGACATTTAGAGCACTTACAAAATGTCTAATTTGCAAAGACTTAAAAAGTTGCTTGAGACCATGGATAATTCATCACAGAGAAAAATCACCATATCAGCCATGTAATGGTTCTGCAGTCTTGCAGTGAGCATGAACTCCTTTTAAAAGTCTGCTTGTTCAAATCAAGAGGTAGAAGCTTTGAAATTTATAAGTCGGTTGCAAAACGATGAGCTGTGTTGTTTTAGGAAAAGCACTGATGTATTAAAGATGTCAGGAGCTGTCAAACATCGTGGTCTGCATCAAATCTCCAAACCGCTGAGCTTCATATTTGACGAAGCACTTGAATCTGTATTTATTTATTAAAAAGGAGATGAATGTTATCATTAACCAGACCTTATTTGAACTGACCGGGACTTGATCTGAAGATTTAAATATGGTGTTAGACTCCATGATTCATTGATTCAGTAGATCTCCAGTTTGCATGAACTCTTCCAAAGGCCTTTGGCTGTAAGATTTTGGCACTTGTGTTATTTTTCCACCAGGAACTGTATTAACTCTTTCCACTTGGGAGTTGCAATAATATTTGATCTACTTTTCTCCAGCAGATAAGTCGTGTTCATTGAAGGGAGAGTAGTAACAGCATATGCAAAAGCCTTAATAAGTCTTTCGATGTTTGCAAAGTTGTCCAGCTGAACCTTATGCTCAGTGTTGTGCGCCCCACAACTGATGATTACCTTTGAGCAATCTATGGTCTTCAATTTGGTGTAGATAAAAAAAACAAAAAACTATCTGAGACTTTCTTAAAATGTTGCACAGGAAAACAAACGAAATTGAATGGTTGAGGTATGTTGAGCTGAGTTTCACTATACTGCAGAATCAGCACTAAAAACATGCTGACTCCATCATGCCAACAGCTGTAGACAGTAAAGTTTAATAATATCCATACTGAGAGGGAACAGTTCTGGTGCGCTGCTATTTCTTTGTCTCTTCTTCAGGATCACAACATGCCACAGAATCGGAAAATAGTGTTTCTGTATTAATATGACCAAGTAGAGGAGTCGCCCAGTGTGGAACGAGTTACCATGGAAATTAACTCCAACTACAAATGGAAAAGTTTGAGACACCATTGAGGCTTTGAACCCATTGTGGGGAACATTTTTCGGGGCCATCAAAGTTTAAACGGCACTCTACTCCAGTGACAAACAGAGTCATCTAAAGTGCGGCAAACATGCTGGGCGAGAGCAAACATTTGGTTTCGGGGGAAATGGAATGTAAATGGAAAACAACAAAGCAAACAGAGATTGATATCATTGGAGCGTAAGCAGGAAAAAAAAACCTCAAAGCAATAAAGAAACTGCTGACAATGACATCAGCATTCAGCTCGTAATGGCTGTATCGCAAACAAACGCAAAGCTGTGAGAAGTAGAAGCGTAATGAACGGTGCTTTTCAAAGTGGAGGTTTATCGAAGAGTTTAATGACAAAATCTTTAGTGAATTTTCCGATGATTTACATTGTTGGGGCAATTTATGAAAGCTAGAGGAACAGATCTAACTACTTACACATTTATTTTCTTTCACTACACTGTCGATAATCCGCCACCATCATAAATACTGACTTCTACATTACCACTGCAGACACATTTCCCTTCTCCCTGCAGCAGGTGTTTGATTTCTAAAATGTTCTGCTCTTTAGCAAATGCACCTTGTGCAGGTTTGGTATGAAAATTCCTGTTTGTTTATGTGGTTGTTTGTATAAGGAAGGCTCAGTCTCCATGCATGAAGTGTTGTTTCACCAGAGTCCAAAGCCTGAAAGACCTCATAGCACAGTGAATAAAAACAGAATAGAGTATGTTTACTTCCTGCTCATGTGTTTAATCAATCAATCAAACTTTATTTGTAAAGCACTTCTTATACATATAATGTAGCACAAAGTGCTGTCCATTCAAGCAGGATATTAAAAACAATGAAATAAAATAAATACAAATACCAAACCCCATTCAACACATACAGCATTCTCACACTCACACACACAGATGCATGCACAAAAGACCAGGTCAGGACTCTTCAACTTGCCACAGATGACTAATCATGTATTCATTTATTGTAGAAGTTGAAAGATGATAAATTAAATGTGTCTTAATCCTCTTTAAAGGCATGGTTGACGATTGGGATATTGGTAATTATTATGAACCTCATTTATATGGCGATCATGGTCCTATAGTGCGATCTCTACAAAGCGAAGAAAAAAAAGAATGGAAAAAATCTGTTCACCCTAGCAGCTGCAGGGCTGCAAAAACATCAACCAATGGGAGCCATCCATCCCGGACAGCTCCTATTGGTCAATCTCCTGCTCCGCCTCTCCATCCAATCACCTCCCGTAGTTCCAACTCGTCCCCTCCCACTCTACCAGCTCTCCTCGGAGCTCTGAGCGGCTAAAAGTAGCGTAGCAGCTTAGCAATACGAGCTGTGATGAAGAAGGACGAAAAAAAAAAAACACTTCTTGCCCCACTGCCAAAAGTGGGAAGAAAACGCAAGCCGACAGAAGAAAAGGCAGGGTCAAATGGGAAATGTGACCAAGCGAAGAATCTAACTTGAATAAACATCGGGTCATCCTGAAAACAGACGCAGAGACAGCAGAGTTTTTGTTGAGCAGGTAATTTTTGCCGGTTGGCTTCTTGCTCTGCCAGAGGGGTTGTGTCATGGGCACGGCAATACAGGTTTTGGGGGGAGTTATCGTGGAGCACAGAGAGGAGAGGTTTGTGTGTGGGGGGGTGGGACGCTTTTCTCAAATCTACCTCAACGGCTCAGTTTTTTTCAACTACTTCTCAAATCGTCAACCATGCCTTTAAAAAAGAGCTTTTTAAGGAAACAAAGTAATAGTAAAATTTGTTTACATAGCTCTTTAAAAACCAACACCTGAGTCTCATACAGTTACCATCTTATCTAACCTAAAGCATGGCTGCCCTGCATTGATAGTAACTCTGAAGTCTATGAGAGCACCTGGTGTTTACCCGGAGTCCACCACACTACCCATGAAAGAGCCGGTATCCCTGTGTTTTCCCTGACTGCTGATTGTAGCACCAATGTACTGACCCTTTTGTGTGATCGTGTGGCTTTGAGTTTGTGTTGAGAGACAAGTCACACAGACGGCAAGAGGTTAGTACGAACAGAATGCCACATCAAGGAGACTGTTTCCATAATAGACTCTAAGCTCCTGGCATTTCCATCAAAGTCCCATCTCCCTTATCTTTCTTTCAAGCGCTTTTGTTCGCAGATAAACAACAGAAGGATGAACGAACAAGGGGGATAAATCTGATAGGCTGTTGTCCCGGGGACTTGGAGATGAAATGGGAGTGTATCTCTCTATTTTCCCTCTGTCTTTCTTCCCTGCCAGCTTAATTTAGGCTCTGATTGGGACAGAAAGCAGGGCGTAGCTCACCCTAAAAGATGTGATAGTTGAATCAGATACTGGGACAAGAATGCACAACAATTACCTGATCAGCAGATCGCCTCTCTTGAGACACTGACATGCAAGTTAGGACAAATAAATCCAATCCTTGAATGTCTAATGCTTGGGCAAGACAGCACAGGAGCTTGTCTCTTAGTGTTATCTGTAATCCCAGAGTCGGTCCCTCATGCCGTGCAGACTAAACAAAGGATGATAGAAATATTGACAGCTAAGAAATAGTTTCGGACAGATCTGTGGAGCCTGGGTGCAAAAGGTCACGTAGCTGAAGAACAGAGGTAGGCAGAGGGATCAGGAGGGGGGATTTTCTTTGTGGCTGTTTGGAGAGCAGCAGAGATCTGAGAGGCAATGCTTACCTAAAGCCGAGGAAGGAGTGAGGAAGAGGAGGAGGATAAAGAGGATGAAAGGGTCGAGAGCAGGTGAGTGTGACAATAGGTCTATATCTACCTTCAGATTTCAAACTTGGTCTAAGTTTTCATTTCCAGAGTGAATCATGTGACCCTTTATTCTTTACAGGACATGAGGCCCTCTCAATGGCTCTTTCATACCAATGAAGCCCTTTTACCAACCTGCGTATGAGTCACATGTCAGCAGTCTGTGCTGTCCTTCATTTAGACCTAATGCAGTTTCAGTCTTGTAATCCAATTGTGAGCAACTGTGTTATCTTTTTACTTCATCTCTTTTGGTAAACCACAACATGGGGGTTGTTTGCTGTAATTTCATACATCAACAAGCCACTTCCAGATCTAGGAACAAGTTGACACAGCTGCAACAACGTCTGACAGACACAGATGGTCCAACGAGGAGACCGGCTGAAGCAAAGGTGGCCAATATAGACTATAAAAACATTCAGGTCTATGCTCAAAAACATGCATTTCAAACTTAAAGGGATATTCCGGCATAAAATTAATTCATGCCGCAAACACACCGTAACACAGAGTGAGACACCTCGTCGAGAGATGAATGTTGCCGACCGCTTGCTTCTCTAGTTATACTAACTTAAGTAACAACCGCACATAGCAATACAGAGAGCCACACGCTCAACCAAAATGCCACTCTATAGCTACAAATAATGCTCAGAACAGCACCTAACTTCATCAACAGTACACATAGAGTCCCAGCCACAGCACTAGCCACCAAACATCTTTTTAACTTTGCCTGATTTCTTTAACAAAGAGACTAACCACAACTTACCTACTCTCTCTTTCAGCAGCTGCTTATTTGTACAGAGACCTCTGGGCAAGTCTATCGACTGCAGTGTGGTGACACAGCTCAATGAAGAGCATTTATGATTATGACTTTATGGAAATGCAATCAGACCGAGACGCTAAGGCAGAAGAACTACTGTGTCTGAGTGCAAAATGATTAATATGGTGATTATTACTTCAAGGAAATGATTATGTAATGATAGTCTCTTTGTTAAAGAAATTAGCAAGGTTAAATAGGTGTTTGGTGGTTAGTGCTATGGCTGGGACCCTATATGTACTTTTGATGAAGTTAGGTGCTGTTCTGAGTATTATTTGTGGCTATAGAGTGGCGTTTTGGTTGAGCGCGTGGCTCTCTGTATTGCTATCTGCGGTCGTTACTAAAGTTGGTATAACTAGAGAAGCAAGCAGTTGGCAACATTCATCCTTTGATTGGGTGTCTAACTTGGTGCTACGGTGTGTTTGACCCTAACTTAATTTTACACCAGAATATAAGTTGGAATCAATAAACCAAGGGCACCAGGAGGCGAGAGAGGCGAGAAGAGATCCAGTTTGAAGTGCATCAGAAATTCATCTCTGCCTTTTGGAGATGATGTTGTCCTGTGAGTGTAACATTGAACTAGGAACTCAAGCAGGGGTTTGGAGCAGAGTAGCATGAGCAAATAAGGGCTGTTAACCTCTGAGCTGAGTCTAATGCCAACGCTTCAATTTTAACCCATCAATTAATGTTCCAACTCTTACATTTGGTCATGATTTGGGGTAGTGACAAAAAGCAGTTGTAGCTAGAGGGAGTTTGCAGAAGAGCCGTTCCTTCTTTGCATTAAAACTATTCAGTTGAGATGGTTCAGGCATCCTGTTAAGAAGCCTCCTTTAGCACTTTGGAAGTTTTTCTAGGCACGTCCTGCTGGGAATATGCCTTAAGGGGGACCCCAAGCGTGCTGGAGGGATTATCGTATTCCTCTGGCCTGGAAAAACCCCGAGACCGCCAGGAACTGGAAAACACTGCTAGGCAAAGGGATCAACTTGCTTGGCCCACTACTGCTGGATAAATGGCGGAAAACGGTTGAATAAATGGACATCATTATTATCTCTGCTCAGTATTCACCATTCAGAAGTTCCAAGCCCATGAATGCAAGTTGTTGAAACTGTGAGATATCTTCAGGGAATGGAAATGTCTCACATCCCTGTGTTTACCTCTCTGCAAACTAAATCCTTTCACAGAGTTTCCATTATTGTCTCTCCTCCTCACTCAGCAACATTTAATCAAGGGCACCAGGAGAAGAAAGGACCCTCTCATGGGATCACTCTAGCCTTGAAACTGCAACATGTCAATGTAATTAGTCCTTGTAATCATCGTTTAATCTTTATTTCACCTCTCCTGCTGCACGTCCAATAAGCCAATGATGTCTCTGTCAATGAAGAAGTACGCTCATAATCACAAGTGTGAACTTATGTTGCTGGTCTCCTTTAATGTCCAGTGCTCTTCTACTTTCTCCCTGGAGAATGGATGTTAAATATATATGAAACTTATTACTTTCCCCCAGCTCTCCCAACACCGCACTGAATATATTGCTGTAGGACATTTCATTTTCTTTCCTCTACCCACAGTGGTTTTCATTTCTGATGGGTCTTTTTCATCACCCTTTGTATCTGCGCCCTCATTGTCCTCACCCTTTCATCACCCCTCGCTTTCAATCTATCCCTTTCCTCCCCCTTTGTCTTCGCTCTTCTCTTTAATTGTTCCGTGGCTCTTACAAGTAAAATGTCCTCCTACCACTTATACATCCATCCCTCTGACCCGTCGCCTACGTCTTTGCATCCATCACGCTCTCTCTCCCCCTCTTTTGCCTCACCCCCTCCCTGCCTCTCTGCTTCCCTCCAGAGATAATTACTACAAGCCTTGTGAAGATCAGCTTGTATTTAAACAGCTGAATAAGCAAGGCCTGGGGCTGCTGACACTCACTATTCAACAACAGTCAAGTGAAACAGTGAAGGAGAAATTAATAGTTTGTGTGCAGCATCATAGGGAACATTTAAAAACATTGCACTACACTTACTGGTTCTTTCCTAATTGTGCCTCCAGTAATGAGCAACACTCAGGAGTGAAATCCATCTGTTTGTGACCTCTGAGTCCACATCGAGCTAATGCACATTTGCATCATACTAACTGATAAATCAATAAAGCATCTAGATGGACCAAACCACTGCAGAGTATCTCTAAATTTCCACAAATGCTTCAAAGCACAAGGGAAAAATCAATATTTGTGATGTGAATATGCTTTTATTGTGAAAAGGAGCCGTTTTGTTGAAAAATGGATACACTCATACCTGCTTCGTTGTAAGTGGCAGAGAGCTTCTCCAGCATTTCTCTGTCCAGATTCAGGATCTGCTGCTCCAGGATGGAAGGATAGGACAGGCTGCCTCTCTCCTTTTTCTCGTCTTTCTCCTTGTCTTTTTCTCGGTCTCGTTCTTTCTCCCGTTCGTAGGTCAGCAGCTGCTGGCGGAGCGCCCCGGGCAGGTGAGCCTTGGCAAAGTCAGCAGCAGCCTGATGATGGAGAGCAGAGGGAAGAATCAAGAATTATATCACTGCAGAGAAAAGTTTGTTCCATCTTGTTTGTGCGTAAAATTTTTAGGGTCAACAGTCAATTAGGACCAAGTAGTACCAAGACAATTAAAGGGACATAGCGGCGTAAAATTAAGTTCAGGTCAAACACACTGTAACACCGAGTTAGACACCCCATTGAGAGATGAATGTTGCTGACTGCTTGCTTCTCTAATTATACCGACTTACAATACAGCAGCAATACAGAGATCCACGATCGTTACTTTATCATTTCCTTGAAGTAATAATCACTATATTAATCATTTTGCACTGCAGACGGGGTAGTTCTTCTGCCTTAGCGTATTGGACTGACTGCATTTCCATGAAGAAATGATCATAAATGTTCTTCCTTGAGCTGTGTCACCCCACAGCAGTTGATGGACTCACCCGAGGTCTCCGTACAAACATGATGAAGTTAGGTGCTGTTCTGAGCATTATTTGTGGTTATAGAGTGACATTTTGGTTGAGCGTGTGGCTCTCTGTATTGCTATCGTGCGGTCGTTACTAAAGTTGGTATAACTAGAGAAGCAAGCGGTCGGCAACATTCATCTCTCAAGGGGGTGTCTAACTCGGTGTTACGGTGTGTTTGACCCTAACTTAATTTTACGCAGGAATATGACACTGTTGTATCAAAACCAGCTGTCATTTTTCCACCAACATGAGCACCAGTGGCTCTTCTGTTGGGCCAGGTTTCACTCCCAACCTGCATCACAGAGTCTCCCATTTACTGACCTCCCTTCTGTGGACTGGGTTTGATACATGGTGATGACTGCACTCACCCTGTCATTGAGCCATCACTGTTTTATTACCCATGTTAAAGTTTCACACATTTACATACTTGCTCGCCCATTTTTCTGCCCATTTGCAGACTAAATTATGTTTCGTTTGGTCACTTAAGTCTACAGCGGCAGAAACCCGCTTCACCTTTTTCTTGCTGAGGCAGATAAATCACTGATAAAACAGAAGATAAAGAAAGAAAAAGTGCATCGCCTATCAAACTCACGCAGACTCATCCTCACACCCTGCTGTGGGACAGAGCTGAGCCAGAGAAACTGAAACCTCACCTCTATCCATTTTAGTCCACGGGTAGCACCAACTACACCAGTTTTCCTTTTTTTCAACACCCTCTTTACAGCAGTGTCAGGCTGGCTGGGAGCCAGACAGGGAAGAAGAGCTGGTCTAAGGTCATGAGGTTCAAAAAGTTACAAAAAGTACAAGCGTCAGATAATATCCTGTTTACGTGTTACTGAGCCGCTGCTGCATCCCATATTTCAAACATGGTTTTCATTTGCAGCAATTAAACAGCAGTCAGTGGATGATGAGACGGGGTGAGCCAGCCGAGCCTGCAGGAGAGAAAACAATTTCCTGTCCCTGAATTTAATGCAGCAAGGTCACATGACAGCGACCCAAAGATGAACCTTTATGTCTCAAGTGCTCAGACGCCATCCCCATTTAGTTCTCTCGTCCATCTATACCTCTTTCTCTTCTTCTCCTCATCTGTACCTCCGTCTGCTCTGGGAAATTACTTTGAAGGACTCAGATAACCTCAGCCCTCTCTGCTTCCGCTCTACACATGAAAACAACTCATCCACTCCTTTCTTGTTATACGTTGTCAGTGTTATTGAATCTTTCCTTTGCAAGCTGTGTCGCACTTCTCCTATCTCCTGCAATAGAACGGATACACTTGTGATGTTTTTCATTCGTGGATATATGAGTCTTTTGTCATTTTCTATAGTCCTCTCTTGGTTCTTTTTCTATACTCGTCTCACTCTCTCCCTTGTTTCATCAGAAGACAATCAGCGTTGGCATTCCTTCATCCTTGTCTAAGAAGCAGGAGTCATAAACTGGGTTCAAAAGGTCGTAAATAGAACAAGAAGACTTTTGTCTGCCTGGGTTTTTACTGTGCCAATTACTGAGCCCGTTAATTGTCTGCCTGTCAGTCCTTCACAAAGCACCAGGGTCACGAACCCCCTTTTCCAGCTACATCCCTCCGGCCCATTTGACCGCCCAAGCACGTGCGCTTATCAATCAGTCCTTGAGACAGTGTGAATGCATGTGTGTCAGCTGTATTGACTAAATGGGAAGCAGAGGTTAAGTCTTGATTATCTGACTATCTAACCTGCTGCCTAACATCGACACATCCTGCAGCAAAAGCCTGCACTTACAGGATGAACAGAGGTAAAGGAGGATGAGGTTAGTGGTTGGTTTAAGAGCTAACGTTTCCTTTAGGATCAAAATTTTCAAATCTGCTTGACGCCCTGTTACAAAAGCAACTTAACATTTCTTTTCTGCCATCTACCTCAAATATATCTGTAATGAATGATACCTCACTCATTATAAAAAACATCTAAATCATGTTTCTTTTTTCACTCGTGGGTTAAAGTTTGAGAAAGCTCGCACTTTTCCAAAACATTTGAAATATGATGTTATTTGGGAAATTTTAATTGCGAGAAAAGTCTGTCATGGTGAAGCGTCTGTAATTTACTGTCTACTGCTGATCTGTGGCTCACCAGAAAAAGATGAAGTGGCACAATTTTAGTTTCTTATAATAAATCAAGAAATGACAGCATTTATTGCATGGAAAAAAATCTGTTGACAAGGGCATATATCATCAGATCATGATGGGATGATGACTGGTTTCAAAATAGGTGAACTTTTTCTATGAAAATCCAAGTTTTTTTTTAGCTGTTTATCTGCAGTTTTTTGATAACTGCTGTGTAGAGTTCAAAAATTAAAGATACTGTAAGTAACTTTCACTTCACAACTCCTGTGGAAAAAGTAGCTTCCATGCTTAACTAGTATCTTCTGATTTTTGACAGTCAAATATGTCAGTTATAGTGGGGTGACCATATTCTGAATCCCCAAAAAGAGGACACGACTACGTGGGGGCGGAGTCATGGAGTCACATTAAGTTAATTTTGAGGGTTTTTTGGATCGGATTGAGTGTCTTTTAAGCGCCTCTAACTCAGTAAGTCCATGTGACACAAACTCGAAACTTCCATACAAAACCATGAACATTTGAAGGATTTTACAAACTTCCCCAGACAAGGCCGGACAGCCCCCAAAAAAGAGGACATGTCCGGGTAAAAGAGGACGTATGGTCACCCTAATTTAAAGCCTAATTTTAATCTAGTGTATTTTATGTGGAGGTTGTAAGAACAGGGCTGTTTCCTTAGCTGCTTGTCTGACTCCTACCCCCCTCATACTGGTTCGAGACATTAAAAACGACTTCATGTAACTTGTCTGTTTTGTCAGTAATGGTCTTGTTTGTTTTTGTGTGTCATGAAAAGGCATCAATTTAAATTTCACCCTATTTCACAAACATCCAAAAACTCCTCATAGAAGCTTTAGTGATAAAATGTTGTGGCAGACAGTATAATTAAAAGAATGAGCTAAATTATCATTATAAATTATAATTGGCACTGACAATTCATGTATGTGGCTCTAAAAGGTAAAATCAGTTATTCTATTTACTTACTGCCACATTTCTCAGATAAAATACATTAAGATGATTGTCAATTCTTAAGGAAGGATTTATTGATTTTGTCACCCAGTATCTCCAAACTTTATCACAAAAAAACTGATATTTTTTAAAGAGAAGAAAGTTATTTTTGTGGCTCTCGGTGCCACCACAGGAGACCTGGCTCAGAGTGCAATCATTCATGGCCGTGCTGAGCGTCACATTGGGCTCTCCTTCACACCACACTTCACTTGCACCACACATGTGAGCACAAAAGACACGCACGTTAAGTACACAAACCCACACATACAAATACACAAACCCTTCTATCTCAAGAGAGCCACCTACACACTTTCCTCTTAGTGCATCATCCACCCTGTTAACGAAAGCCTCCCTGCTGACTGCTAACTGTGAGCCACTCAGATGAACAGTCCGACAGAAATAGTCAGGCTTTTTAAACACTTCCATCCATCATGTCGCTGGGCCGGCAGAGAGGAGGAAAGTCATCTGAGTTTTCCTCTAAAATCACCCTGAGGGAGTCTCATAACTGAAGTAGAAAAATCTCTCTCTGCGGTCTCCCTGACAGATCAAGCAGGCAGACGGAGAGGAGAAGAGAAAAGGAAGAGGGAGGGGGCGAACGGGAAGAGTGTAAGAACCATTCATTAGCATCACTCAAGCACATCATTAAAGAAAGAGAGAGAGAGAGAAAGGAAGGCAGTCCCTCTACATTAAAGGACAGATCATGAGATAAGTGACAGAAAAACCATCAAAGCAGAGGAACAGAGAGGAAAGTGAATAGTCGAGGAGAGTCCATCTCTAAATATTTCTCTATGCTCTTCTGATTTCTAATTCATGCATTTAAATACATATTCACAAAAGCGATTACTAAGGAGAATATGTCATTCATCTCCAAATCCCAGTTTTATATTCAATGCATACTGATCACCAAAAGCAATGGACTCATCTCTGGACTTAATGAAGCAGCTAAATCAGAATAAATGTATCTTTATGGTAATTCAAAACGGGGTAGGGGGCTTGTGTTTCATATAAAAACACCTGTCCTGTGCAGGGGTGTAGTGTGTCTTACCTCAGGGTGACTTTGCAGATCTCAGCCCGTCCACTGGGCAGAGAACAGCATGAGCCCAGAGCCCTTATTTTATCTCACACCTGAGCCTTGTATGTGTCAAGGCAATGCCAAGCGCAGATAAAGAGTGTGTGTACGTGCAGGCGAATATTTTCCCTGCCTCATGAATAGTTGCTTTCTCATTTGTACTTATGAGGAATACGAATGCAGGCAAACATCCCCAGTAAGTATAAGCAAACCTCAATGAAAACCCCGCATAGGTTTGTTGTGGTTCTTGAGTCCAAGACACAATCACAAGTCTGACAGGATCTGTCAAAGTATAATGTTAGTGAATGAACTGTGATTTGTACATGTCCGAAAGGTTTCACACAGTCAGCACAGGTTCATACAGTGAGGGAAAGAACTGACTCCTTTGTAAATGCTCTTGCAATAGGAGCCACTGTCATCTTTTGAAAAGTTGAGAGCAGAAAATTGGGTTTTGGCACTGGAAAAGGCACAAGGAGTTCACCTCCAGGTCCATTCTTGAGATGATTATGAGCTTAGCTTTAAGATGGATAGATGGGTATTTTTCCTGACAAATAAACACGCCTAGTCTGCTGCATAATAAATATTATTGCAAGGGAATGCATTAGAGGAGCTGCAAAAATGGTCTTGTGGTGGGAATTTTGTCTTGTGTCATTCATCAGAGTGTTGATATACCACAATAAGTTTTACAGTTACATTACCAAATTCTGATAGACATCGCATTATATCATATCATATCATATCGTATTGTATCATATCATATTTTATCCTATTGTATCTTTTCGTATTGTATCAAATCACATCGTATGTATTGTATTGTATCACATCGTATTGTATCATATTGTACCATATCACATCATACTGTATTGTATCGTATCGTATTATATCGTATTGTATTGTATCATATCACATCGTATGGTATCATATTATATTGTATTGTATTGTATTGTATCATATCATATTGTATCATACCACATCGTATTGTATTGTATCACATAGTATTGTATTGTATAGTATAGTATCGTATCATATCGTATTGTATCATACCACATCGTTTTGTATAATATCACAATTTATTGTATCGTAAAGTATTGTATCGCATTGTATCGTATCGCATTGTATCGTATCGTATTGTATCATATCGTATTGTATTGTATCATAACGTATTGTATTGTATCATATCGTATTGTATTGTATCATATCGCATTGTATCGTTAAGTATTGTATTGTATAGTATCGTACCGTATCATATTGTACTGTATTGTATTGTATTGCATTGTATCATATCATATCATATTGAATCATATCGTACTGTATTGTATCAAATGAAGTAATCGGTTATACCAGAGGCATTTCTCCTTATAAGAGTTTAACTAAAGACCCCTCTGAGGATCTATTTAAGTTGCTAAAACAAAAACAAGTCCAACAGTATTACACTTTAATAACTGGCTTCCTGTGCAGTATGAGCCTTGAGCCAGATTGGGAGCATTTGCACGGCCATGAAAATACCTCCTTTAGCACAGAGATTCTACCCAGAACTGCTCTGCCCTCTTTTTTCCTTAAATCTCACAAAAAACTTCAGTAAATACTAAAAGCACAGACAAGAAAGGGCGACAGTAGTGGTGCTTAGGACTTTAAATCTTGGGCTGCCACTACCACACGTAAGCACACAGATTAACACAAACAGATGTGGCTACTTCAGCTCAAGAGACATCCAGAAATAAACCTCCCTGAACAAAATTCATATCCAAACACCCGTCCTGCCTCAAAGGGAGCATTTAATGTCCGGCACTGTGCTAAGGAGGACAGAAATGCCCTCTGTGAAGTGAATAAGGATTTCCGAGAAAGAAAATAAAAGAAGAATCAGGACCAGAAAGTTGAAAGAAAGTCCATTAAAAGTGGAAGGAAATGCTTCAGCGCCTTCAGCCTTCAGAAAAAGACATGACATACTGCCTCTTCACTGAGCAGAACCAGCTCCAGCTCTTTCCTTTCTGACGGTGAAAGAATGAGAGGTGTGCGGCTGGCACGAAGAGAACATCTGGTAATGGCGGCTGCAGTTGCTATAAGGCCTCTGATTGGCTGAACATCTGTCCCCCCTCAGCATTGGTCTCATCTACAGTCCCCTAAAACTCTGGGTCAAACAAAAAGTCCTGCCCCCGAGGACAACAGACTGCAGGTTATTGGCTCGTTCAGCTGCCAGTAAAGCAGATTTTACTGCAAAGGTGACCGGATGGAGTCTCACAGACACACACAGATGCACACACACAGCGAGACGCACAAACAGAGACAGAACTTGTCCCTCTTCACTCATAAAGTGAAGGCAACTATTATGGATGTGATTGGCATTCAGGCAGACAGAGTCATCATCAGTCTGCCGCTCCTCTTTCAATAGACTGAACTGAAAGAGTAAGACCTCACTGTGTGACAGCCTGGTCCATTAGAGGAGGTGAAAACCATATTAAAGCTAAACAGTCTATTAGACAGAGGCCGTCTGCTTGATCCATAGCTTCATATAGACCAGCCTCTCAGTTAAACCATCCTGTCGGTGTCTACAACCTCAATAACAAATGCTTAGTTCAGAGCTATTTTTAAGGATTTGAGATACGAGGTTGTGATTCATATAACTGCTGAAGCATGCAGGGTCAAGAGCTGCTTGTATTACAGCCTGACCGATACTTGATACCTGCTGATGATACCGGTATCAATATTGGAACTGATGAAAAAGTTGAGAACATACTTGACTGATACCGTCTTTTTTTAATCAAACCTTTTTTTTAAATTTCCCTCATATTTGTTAGCTTGCACTTCTCAAACGTGCAACTGTTTCTCCAGTACAAACCAGCTGTAACTAGTTACAGTTACAGTTTCACTTTAGACTGTATAAAAGATGTACATCATCAGATTAGATGTATGAATGATGGACAGATGTCAAACTTCACATAACATGTAAAGTTATTTATTGCCCTAGTCTGACTGAAACTGGACCTTTTTAAAAATATGTAAACACATAAGTCAGACTGAAATAAGACTAAACTAACATACCTGGATAATGAAGTTAGGAGTAGATATTCTCTGTGGCTCAGTCTGACTAAAACTGGCCTAAGGGTTCGAGACATGTCCCAGTGTTTGTATGCTGGGGTTTGAGCGGGAAGTTGAACGACATAATTGTAAACAAAACCTTTACAACTTGGAGTGTACCTGAAAGGGGGCATGTCGCCACCTACGAAAGCAGAGAAACTGTTTTTTAAATCCAATTTTTTTTTTTAAACTTCCCTCATATTTATTAGCTTAAACTTCACAAAATTGCTGTCATTGCCTCCGAGCGACTGGTCTCCAGAATAAACCAGCCTTAACTAGTTACAAACCCCCCTTTCACCATAGACTGTACAGAAGATGTACATCATCAGATTGGATTTATGATGAACAAATGTCAAATTCACATAACATGTAAAGTGATTTTTTTTTGCCTTATGTAAACACATTAGTGGGACTGAAATAGCACTAAACTAACATACCTGGATAATAAAGTTAGGTGTAGATATTCTCTGTGGCTCAGTCTGACTAAAACTGGCCGAAGGGTTTTGTAACACGTCCCAGTGTTTGTATGCTGGGGTTTGAGTGGGAAGTTAAACAACCTGGATGTAAACAAAACCTTTACAACTTGGAGACTGCCTGAAAGGGGGCATGTCGCCACCTATGAAAGCAGAGGCAGACACCTTTCTGTCAATAATCCAGTCGCCTGATCGAGCTATAATTATAGCTGGACTTAACTGTGCATGTCTTGTGTCTGCCTCGTACCTACACTCAAAGCTCTTTGGCTGTAGATTCTGCTGACTTTGAAGGATCTTTATCATTTTATCAGCAGACTCTGGTTCCAAAATGGTCACCAATGTAAGATGTCAGTTCTGGGTACAAGGGGAATTTCAGCTTTGCAACTAACTTTTGTTTGTCTTTCCATATAGTCATCTAGTTTTCTTTATTATTTTTTGTTTATTTTGGCCATTTCTCCATCTCATCTATTAATCCGAAGATACTTGCTGAGCTTTTCAAAACCTCTTGACGTGCGTTGTTGACCACCGCAGACAGAAAAAGAGACATTCAGAGCGTAATTTATAGTCAATCTATTCCTGTGTTTTCCGTCAAATGACTCATCTATGTACTGACTGCCTACTCTGAGTGTTTGTTTGATGCTGATCAATACAGTAGCATAATCAGAGCTATGTCTTGATCCGTTGTATGAATAATAGTGACAGAGCTATCATTCTTGCTATATAGTATAAAGCCTTGGCTTGCACCGAGCAATCAATAATGCATTTTGCTTGCCTAAAACACACCGTCTCCTCCGTGCAGTGGAAATGTTGACCCAGCAGCTTGGTGACATTGCTCTATTAGTTTCTGCAGCCCTCCTTCACATACCTCCTCCTCCTCCCTGCACCGGTTTTCAAAAGACTCAGGGGAAAGCTTATTTTCTCAATAATGTACCAAGAGTATGTTATATTTATGCATTGTTATCCTTCGTTTTCTAACAGCGGTGGTGAAGACGTAGGACCATGCATTGTTGTTGTTGTTGTTGTGCGTAATAATAGACCGAGTGGAGTAGGAGGATGAGAGAGGATCCAAAGCTTTGTGGGTGCTGCGATCACAACATGAAAACACCACCTTCTTACAGTAGCATCATGTTCTAGCACGTAAACCCCTTAATCACGGCTGAACTGTTGCCACACAGGAGATGTCTTTGATGCTTTCTAGAAAATAGAGCTCTAACGATCAGTTTGGAGGAAAAGTGACGCTTTGAATCGGTTTCACTTGTTGTCCGGACTTGTTAAACTTCTGTGCTTGTTGAGGTCAGTACAACTACACTAGGTGAATTTTTAGAGTGTAATATAATTGTATAACAGGAAGCGTGAACGTGTTAATTAGCACATTCATTTGTGTATTTTTAATCACTCTCACACCTGAAAGACATTCAGCGTCATATATGAGAGTAAAATGCGTCTCCATTGACTCTCTTGTTCCTCCCACTTTATTTCTCCACACCTTAAATGATTTTATCACCTCTTCTCTGCACTTTTCATCACATCTTTTTACTTCTATCACTCCCCTTTCCCCCCCTCACTGGGGTGTTTATGACCCATGCTGATTTATGTCTGTGGAAGTTTTTCTAATTGCCACCCATGTGCTCCGTGAGACAGGCGGGCAACGTTGGTAGTACCCGGGCCAAAAGTAATAACTGTTATGCCTGTCTATCTGTGACACACGGTAACATTTCGCACTTGCACACGAATGCACACACGGCGAGGTGCCGCTTCTCTGCAATACTGCTGCTCAACACTCAAAGCTATGCAGAGTATTTCCCAAGAAGTTACGGTGCCGTAGCGCTTAACGACTAGTGCGACATTTCATGGGTGCCATATTTACACTCTGCTCAGCTTTCTGTGTGTGTGTGATGTATAGTGTGTACCTTGTGCATGAGTGTGTGTTTAACAGAAGGCAGCAATATGGGCGTCTGAATGTTATTTACTGCCATGCTGGAGATGTGTGAGCGTCAGTGCCTCAGCAGCACCAGCATTTCCCATAACATAGCTTCTTCTGCTTAACAAGAGGCAGCAGTTTTCTTACTGCTCGCAAAGAAAAAGAGGTAGGGGTGGGGAGGAGTGCTTACAATGCACTGAGATTAAAATGAAGTTATTGAAGAAGGCACATTTGCATAATTGTAAGATGACAGGAAGCACAGAGTGGAGTAAGGGTAAAACAAAAAGCATCTTATTGATTTTTTAACATCTGGTGGAAAAAAAAATCAGTACACCTTTAATTTTGATTGTTTTTTAAAAGAATTAATTGATCAAGGCTAATTAGGAATCTTATAACCGGCTACAGAGTATGATTAAAACCTCTCAGATATGATAATTTTTAAACAAACAAAACAAGCACTTAATCCGCTTGAAGTGCTCATCAACATCATTGGACTGCAATCTTGTTATAGCAACATAATGAAGAAAACCATAGTGAAGGAAGCATTTAGGATACATAACTTTGTCTGTTTGGTGGTAGACTGAACAGAAAAAGTAAGTGAAAAGTTTAGAAGTACAATACAAAAGTATGAAAGGGAGCGAGCTAAGTTATTGCACATTTGCAACTTTCTTAAATAAACAGATGTGAAGCTAAAATGATGACTTCTTCTGTTCAGGACCCAAGGGGTTTAACTAAGCACTTCTCCGATAGCCATCAGCTCACAGATGTCCTTGCGCTGAGGACAGAGGCGGCGGTTCTACGACACAATTGTACATAACAATACATTCGCAGAGTCCTGGGGGCTGCAGTAATGAAAAGTGCTGATGAACAAGAGAGAAGAGAAGAGAAGAGAAGAGAAGAGAAGAGAAGAGAAGAGAAGAGAAGAGAAAAGAGAAGGAGAAGAGAAGAGAAGAGAAGAGAAGAGAAAGAGACGAAGAGAAGAGAATGGAAGAGAAGAGATTAATGAAATATAGATGTTCGGTGTCTCTGTAGGCTTGTCCTTTGGCATCTATTAGAATTTCACTTGTCCTCTAGACCCTAACACCTACCTCTGATCTATTTATATACACACACCCTTACACGATTTCTCTGTGTATTCTGAGTTCATACACAGCTGACATTTACTTGTCGTCATTTTCCCTATTTGGAAGAAAAAAATCCAGGAGGCGTGTATTTAGATTACACCAGCAGACAGCTGCAATACTTTTCACATGCAGAGTTGATATACTTATTTTTTCCCCAGTTTCTCACGCTGCTTTGGGTTTCACCGCTAGGTTCACCAGTTATCAATTAAAATGATATTCAACAATTGAACATCACAGCTACTAAATGGCGTGTATTTGGCAATTAACCTTGAAATTTAACATGATTTTTTCCCACTCAAAACACGATGTTCAAAAGCTTAGCTCTAGCTATATTTTTGTCTTGGCTTTCAACATAACTTATGCAATAGGTTAGCAATATGGTTAAAGTTTGCTCCGCTGTCTAGTGGTAGGAGGGAGGGAAGAAAAAGAGACGTGAAAGAGAACAAGATGGTGTTCAGAGGAAAGGTTTTAAGGTGAGGGACTGAAAGAGTAAGAGAGGAAAATCACACAACATGGCTTCAACTTTGGACTCTCAAGCTGTGCGGAAAGTCACAGTTGATGTTTGAGAGAGAGAGAGATGTCCAAAGACCTCATGTGAACTTACAGAGATCTCCCATGATAAGCAAGGTCAGCTTTACAAAGTTTCCTTTTCTTTGCAGGGTGAAACACTCCTAGACTTACAAGGATTTCAGACATGATGATGTTACTTCAGCTGCTACCATTTTGCTTTGTTTTGTTTACTTCCTGATTGCTGCTTTGCATGCCTGATTCTCAGCAGAAATAGTAAGGATGTAGTCACTTATCAACAATATTGAACATTTGTTGCATTCCCTATCACTACCAGCAACTGTCTCTCCAAATAATATTAAAATACACATACAATTCAGTAAGGGTGTCCCAATACGATATTGATATCGGATATCGGTCCGGTATCAGCAAAAAAATAAATATCGGATTATATCGTCCTATATCTAAAATCTCCGATATCAGCACTCCGATACAAGCGATCCATTCTAGACTCCACTTTGGCACCTCTACCTAGCGGCGCCCTGATCCAGCAAGCCGAGCCCATGTAATCACAACAACAGTGTGAACTAAGTTACTAACAAAGTAGCCAGGAGTAAGAGTGATGTTGGCCTTGAGTGAAAAACTTGTCGTGCACAATTTTGTGCCAATATCGAATCAATGCCGGTATCGGTCAATATTGAAGGCTACAATATCAGTATCGTATTGGAAGTCAAAAAAGTTGTATCGGGAATAAGGTTGGGCATTGATGGGGACCGGGACTAACACTCCGATTCCCCCGGAACCATTCAAATTAAAAAAAAATTTGATTCCAAGTTTCAATGCTGGTCTGCCAACCGGAAGAAATAGCTGCAGGACACCAAAAGGAAGACGCTGCTAAACACCAGTGAAAAAGAAGGCGCCGAACACCAACAAGGACGAAGCGTATGACATTACAACATTGGCAACACAGTTATATCATGCAAAGGAGGGTGCACGACCAACATGATTATACACCTCAGGATTCATGGAGAAGAAATACCTGAGTGCCCGTCTTTGACGCGCTTCACCGGTCTTCTGTTAACCAGCCAGTATCGGATAAGTGAAACAATAACTTACTTCTGTCTTCTGCTAACACTGAAGCGGCAAACAAATTGTACTGTGTACGGTAGGTCAACTTAAATATCCAACTAACGTTAGCCCTTGTACCTTTTCATAGACAAACGACCTGACAACAAAAATTGATATTTATATACTGGTTGAAAATCGCCCTGTGAGAAATTCATAGTAAAGTTTTTAAAAAGTTAATGTAATTTAAAAATTCAAAAAGAAGAACTCTGGTTAGCACCCTCATTTAAACCATGCATTTTTTTTTAATATCCTGCCTTTTAATAGAATCGTAATGGAGAATTGTTAGGAACCGGAATTGAAACGAGGAATCGGAATCAGAATCGTTCAAAATCAAACGATACCCAACCCTAATCGGGACACCCCAACAATTCAGTGCTTTTGTTCCTTCTACTGGAATAAAAAATAAATCAGATAGAAATCAGTCACAGCATAAGATTTTCACTTGAGCTATCTAGAAATTGCAGCTACAAAACAGAACCAGTCGAACTCAATTTGACGGATGGGTTCACATTCCTTTGATTTATCATAACCCTATACTCTGAGCTCAAATTCAGCATGACGCTCGGCGCTGACATGCTGTGATAATTACTGGTTCAAAATCAAACAGCTGGTTATCATTTCCTAACGCCTCAGTCTGTTTTATGCGTCTCAAATAACAGTCGTTTTTTTAATTGTTTTTATCTCAAGTGTTACTGTATTCTCTCGCACATTGGAGCTCACTCACTCTGTCCCATCGCTCTGAACAAGCAGCAGGATGATAAAACTGAGTTGTGGAGACAGCAGGCAAAAGTTTTCAAAAACAAGAGTGAGTGTTCCTCTTCCCTCTTTTGAATGTGGGGCACAAAAAGCCTAGAGGAGTAGAGCTAAGTAAATGTCAGCTACGCCTCTCTTTTTCCCCCTGACACACACACACAAAGTCACACACACACATACACTAATCGCAATCTCACACCCTTCTATTTGCTCATGCACTCCAGGGTCCATAATCACCCTCTGCGCCCACACACATACAGATCACACACACATAAAAACACACACACTTTTGGCGAGTGTTCGTATTTGTATTCCTGCGATCTGGAGCCGGCGTTCTCTGGCAGACACTGATATATCAGCTGCATGAATATTCATTCAGCAGTCAGTGGCAGCAGGCTTCAGCAGCCCCTTCCCCATCTCCTGCGAGCGTGATCCCACCATCACATAAACACACATGCACACACACGTCTCTAGTATTATGGAGATGCATTCCTAAACGTTGCTACCCCTCCACACTGCATATACAGTACGTGAGCAGTGAAGTGTTTAGCAGCACCACAGCAGGGTCTCTCTTCATGAACTAACAAGCCATGTCAGTGTCTGTCTGCCACAACAAAACACACACTGACACACACACACAAAATCTATCAGAGGAGCCTCTCTGTCTGTCTCCCGCCTTGATTGAAGTCGCTTATCAATCATTTCTTGCCTGATTAATTTATGCAGCGGATCTTCTGGTAGATTAATCGCATCTGTATGAGAGCTGTTTAATGTTTGAGCAGCTTCAATAAGAAGGGTGCAACCTGTGATTATATGCACACTCACACTCAGACACACGGAGTCCTCAGATGTCCTTCTTTAGCCGTCGCAGACAGACACCAGATTGAATCCACTCTGATATAAAGTAAAAGGAGTCAAGAAACCTGTAAATAATTCAAAAGAACAGAGCTGAAGCATTGTCTTTCTCTCTCCTCCGCTAAGCCACGCCATTATTGGACTCTCAACTGGATGTTGACGATGCCAACAACGTCATCAGAGTGGGAGTATAAATCTCCCTCGCCACTTCACCACTTGTGGGTAGGAAGCTATTGGGGTGCTGGTGCTGGAGAGACGATTGAAGACCTCTGTCAGTGTGCATTCGTCATCTCAGCACACCGACTTTCTCATACGTCTTAACGGCTCATTGCTCTGGTGCTCCGTCTACATACATGCGCTGCTTCTCTGATTTGAAATATCAATTTGCATTTTTCTTCACTTGACTGGAAGCACAATGCACATCATCGCAGTTACCATATCACTCACTCGCAGTGAAACCTTGTCCTTGTTCTTCTCTCTCAAGCTGTGATTGGTTGGGGGTGTTTATGTATAAGGCCTTCGGAAAGCAGAATCTTAACTTAATACTATCTTCTTGTCACGAACATCCTCCTACAGTTCTCGCCAGGTAGAAACATCCTCAAGACAAAAAGGCAACATGAGCACGGTGAGAAAATGAAAGTAACTCCTAGTTAGATCTTCAGATTCAGAGATGAAAGCGGAGGATAATAGAAAAGAGCATTTTTTAAAAATTCAGGAGAAAAGCAAAAGAGGATTTTGTTTACAGTCTACTGCTGTGCAAGTGTTTTATCATCTGACAAGCCTTCAGATCAGCGGGACAGAGAAGAAAGACGGAAGGAAGGATGGATGGAGCTGTTTACTTTTCATGTAAACACACAAAGGCCTTCTGTTCCTGCAGCTCCTCCGTTTTCCTCTATTTCTTCTTCCTGCCAGAGGTGAACGCCTCCCTCTGATCCGAGTAGGTGTCTTATATCAAAATGTACTCCAGCATACTACTCTCAGCTCAAAGCAGGCCAAGAACTGTTGTTCAAACATTACATTCAAAATTTTCAAACCTCACAACGTATACATGCTCACGCAGTATGGCTCTGTTCAGTATAGGGCTTTAAGTATGAAGTAAGATTCTCTAACCAAACATCTCCAAGTGTCTTTAAACATGTTGTGAGAGAAGCTTAAAGCAGAATTACTTTGACTGAGAAAGAAAGATATACATAAAACCACATGGTAGCTGGACTTGAATGAATTTAAAATAAAGTGATCCACGTTTGGTCCGCGTTTACATGGGCCCAGCTAAATCCGATTGATTACTTTCTGACAAGGCTTTTTTGCCATAATTGTATTTGGTCATAAATTCCAAATTCCAATTCCAGGTTTCCTATTTCCTGCAAGTGTCGTTACGTTATGTACTTGGGCATGTGCGCAGAATGAATACTCCAGTCAACAACCGGATATGATGCAGTCAGCCATTTATGTGTGGCATCAATCGTATTGTCAATCGGTGTAGACTACCTCTTTAATCGGATCCGAAATTTAATACCATCCAAGTGAATCGGATCCGCTAAGGTGTTAACATGACACGTTTTTGATCTGATTGAGCGTGTGATATGATTGTGAGTAGGATTTTATTACCCATGTAAACCCAGCTAGTGTCTTGCAGAGAGCTTTAAAGGGATATTCCGGCATAAAATTAATTCGGGTCAAACACACCGTAACACCAAGTTAGACAACCACTTGAGAGATGAATGTTGCCGACTGCTTGTTTCTCTAGTTATACCAACTTTAGTAACGGCCGCAGGATAGCAAAACACAGCGGTCTGAGGAGCCATAAACAAACCTCAACCAAAACGCCACTCTATAGCCACAAATAATGCTCAGAACAGCACCTAACTTCATCAACAGAACATTTAGGGTCCCAGCCACAGCATTAGCCACCAAACATCTTTTTAACTTTGCCTGATTTCTTCAGCAAAGAGACTAAACACAACTTACCAACTCTCTTCCAGCAGCCGCTTGTTTGTAGCGAGACCCTGGGCCAGTCCATTACGAACTACAGCGGGGTGACGCAGCTCAAGGAAGAACATTTATGATCATTACTTCATGGAAATGCAATCAGATCGAGACGCTAAGGCAGAAGAACTCCTGTGTCTGCAGTGCAAAATGATTGATATGATGATTATTACTTCAAGGAAATGAAATGTATGTTTGACCCTAAATTAATTTTACACTAAAATATCCCTTAACAGTTTATATACCTTAAGTATAAGATGTAGAGACAGCTTGCATGCAGGAAATTAGACAGAGGGATCACTCGAGCTGCATCACAAAAGGGTGAACTCTGATAGTCCCACAGATATTGGACCAATCGTGCAGTTAATAAGGTATCTGATCCTCTTTAAAAGATACATCCCTTTTGTTTTTGGTTCCACATATACCATCACTTTTATCGACACAAACCTCGGACTATTACTGAAATTCAGACGGAGTCGCTTCAGTCGTTGACATTCTGAAAGACTTTTACCGTCACAAGACAGCTCTCCCTGCCAAGTAGCACTTCCACCATCCTAAGCTGACAGCTTCCTGAGCTCCATTCATCCCTTCCTGTGTCCATCCATTCATGATGGCTCTCATCTCCATACAGCTGGCTTCTCTGGCACAACAACTCTTTCAATTAAGCAACATGCGAAAAAAGCCATGTGCGCACATATGGTGCAAAATATCCATCCATATTTTATATGCACACATGCGCACAATTTCCATACACACACACACTCAGCGTGTTGAGCTGCAGCAGGCAGCAGGCCTATAATTGGGGCACCCATAAATAAGGAACAGAGTGACGCCTGGATTTCTGCTGATCTGTTTTGCACGAGATGCAAGTGTGAATAAATTGATTTTTTTAAATAGCGCTTTACTCTGCCGGTGTCATCTGGATTACTTCCCCCTCTCGTTCCCTTTTTCCTAAGCTTCTATCTATATCCTCTTCCTATTTCTTAACCTCAACCTCTTTCTCTCACTGTCACTCTGGAGACAGATGTTGCATTTATCACGTTAATTACAAACCGCCTGCCTTTTCCTTCGGTCTGATAAGCAGGAAAGAAATAAAACCCCACCACTGATGTAAGACACAAATAGACAAGCCACAGCTTTTTTGGATGTATGCAGGTAATACACTCAGACTTAATCGCAAACACTGACCTCTTCATCCTCCAGGCTCTGGTCTAGAAGCACTTTTTCCATTATGCATTTTTGTCAGAGTGAGGAAAAAACACAGGGATCAATGAATTGCCTGTTTGTGTGTGTGGAACAGAGCAAAACCAAACTGCCCTCGCTGATGAAGGCACAGACATTCATAAAAATCAATACTCATCTACCTCAGTCACTGCTGATGCACTCATAAAGCTTCCTGGGGAAAATAAAGGCTTTGGGGTGTTTGTTTTTGTGTCTCTGCGCCACTTTGTGGGGAGTAAAGACCTTTTTTATTTGTTCATAACAACATTAATTTGTGTCCGTGGACTCTGTTTGGGGCACGGATTGTGAAGCGGGGAAGCGGATGAGGCCGTACACGATGAAGCCATGAATACACAACCAATAACGGAAAAAAGGACTGAAGGATATGAGTCACGGTAAACTTAAGAGAAGCAGCAACTTTCAGCATGTGAGTCATAACAAATTCAAGGACAGAAGCAGCGGTAGATCAAGCTTCACATCAGTCCCTGCGACAGGTTTGTAGGAGAGCGAGACATCCCTTCCCACACTCTGGCACAGGAGACACTGTCTGATCCAGGATAAAATGCCTCCTAACATTAGTCCTCTTCTATCTGCAGGAAAAGGAATTGGCTTAACCCAAATGAGTTCTGGTCTATAAGAAGCAAGAAAATCCCATATCATCGACACTGAGGCCCCTCTGATGTTCATTTTCCTTTAAGTTATACCTTAAACCCAACAATTTCCCTCATGTCAGACTGATTGAAGTGCTAAAAAGCCGAATGATTTGATGATGACACATGCTGCTCCATGAGGGCTCTAATTTTCAGCAGAGCGGAGTTCCCATACAACATAATGAGGACATGAAGTATAGCCAACGACCAAACCAAGTGCCCACTTTCCACACAATCCCAAATGTTGCTCAAAATAACACTGTGGGCATTTTTTTTGTTGGCTGATTTCGATAAATAGCTCACGGAAAGGACCCAGAATCTCTGCTTTCGTTAGAATCCAGCTAATGAATTGAATCAACACTTGTACGCTGAATAAACTTGCCCACGTGGGGAATAATTTTGGATTACAAATGCTTCTGATCATCTCTGAGCACTTTTGGGTTTGCAGGCTCTTGACAGATTGTGCATTTGTTGTCGTGCCTGCATGGTGAGGGAGGGCTGCGGGGACAGTAGCAGAGCCAATGGGCGTCAGGCCACGAGTCTCCAAGGCAGCCCAGTTTCCACAGCAGGTGCAAAACCATAACGGAGAGGACTCACTCCACTTTGGCCTGTTCGCTGTTTCTAGGCTTACTCACTCACCACCAAGACACTGCAAGCTAAGAATAGTAAAAGGGTGCTAAAGCCTTTTGCAGCATCAATTTAACAATTATTTTGTTTTTGGATCAAACTGGAAACCTGTAGCATAAAAAAAATGAAGCTATTGGGGAAGTGCTACAAACTGCAGTTCCTCAGGTGTCCACTAGAGGTTAATTCTTAAAGCCCAGGACAACGCATTAGCTCCATAGACTGCCATTCCGAGAACAGCACCCTCTGGTGACAGGCTGCAGTATAGGTCATAAATCCTGCCTCCGCTAGCAAAGCTTATAGGGCTGTGGACAAACTTTAGAAATTTATTACACAGAATATAATTTTGTTTGTTTATGCTCAAGTCCTCTTTTTTTCTGTACAGCTCCATTTTTAAAAGTTATTAGAGAGTTCATGTTTTCTATGATTGACACTTGATACAGCCTATGGCCATACGAAGATTGCGTAGCTCACCCGGGGGGATACGTGGTTTGAGCCGAGCGTCATCTCAGCAACTCTCCCGCCAAATGCGCACAACGCTACGGAGCAATGTTGCAGAGAAAAAACGTGGAATTGCTGAGAGCTTTTCGGCTTCAAATCCGTATATTGGCGAAAGGCCGAACCGAGTTGTCCATAGTATATACAATCTATGATCAGCTCCGATAAATAAATTCAACTTCAACTGTCACTTTATTGTCCCGTGAGAGAAATTTGCTTTGCAGACGGGTAAAAAACACAAAACATTAACAGCATCAACACACAAACTGGTTGTAAAGACAACATAGATACAACATCACCCTAATACATCAGACATCAGTTATGAGTGCTTCATACTGGATCATTTAAAGATTTAGTTGAACGATTGATTGTCTAACATAAGAGTGTTTTTAGACTTTATGGGGATTGAAATCTGAAAAGGAGAACTACGACTGAATCTGAACACTGGAGTTTTGCTCAATTTGGCACCATAATTAATGAGGCAGGCAGGCGGATTATAGCTGACGACAGGAGGCTGAAGGCTCAGCTAAAGTGAGGTCAAGACAGCATTTCCAACATGGCCATATGTTTGGCTTCATAATGACACTTCAGACACCAGTGGATGACACCACAGAGACTGCGTCCACATTTTAATCTATATTTTTAATGCAGCTTCTTTAAGTCTATAAGCTTTGTAATATAACATCAGTGAAATGGAGGTTTCTAAAAACAAGAAGTTTGTGCTTTATTTTGCACTGTGCAGAAAAGTTTTTATTTTCAACTTTGAGCTAATTGTTTATACTCAGGCTGTGCCCGGGAGCAATAAACCGACTTGACTGGAGGTAATCCTAATTAGTCACAATCTGCATGTATTATAACAACACGGTGTCATGTGGTGACCTTGTTGTTTTAGTGTTTTCTTTGTTCAGTGTTTTCTGAGTTATTTTTCTCTGTTTGAAGTTACTCCTGTGGTCCTGCTTTATTCTGAAAATTTCAGTGTTTCCTGTTTTATTTACTAATTCTTTCTCCATGTGTGTCTGGTCCAGTTTTACTTCCTGTTCTTTTCCCTCCATTGTGATTATCCACACCTGTGTGTTTTAGTCTTACCTGTCCCTCACTCTTTGTTCCTCGTATTTACTTTCTGTTTTGCCTTTCCTCTGTGTTAGATCATCAACTCTACCTCATGTCTTTGTTTGTTCAGTGCCCCAGTGTTTGATTTCTTTTGAGTTTCTAGTGTTTTTAGTTTTTCTTAACTTGTATGATCTGTTGGAAAAAATGAACTTTTTTGTTTTTTTTGTTTAATAAAACTTATGCACTCTGCGCGTAGGTCCCCCTTTTGCTTTTGTTGAACACGTAGCTCAGTTGTGGGTGAGTCTGGGAGCTAAACTGGTCTGCCTGTAGTCTCTACTTGTCACCCACTGAAAACATTTAACACACCATGAAACAACTGAATTAATTTTAAATAAAGGGTTTAAATGATTTACTTGGCATCAAAATTGTTTTTTTAACAATCTTATGCAGTTTCCAAACATTTTTGGGATCAGGGGCCGTAGTTCAAGACTCTTGTTTTGTAACACACACTAACTTGATAAGACAGGGTTGCAAAGTAAAAGAGAGCAGTCAAGACTTAAACATAGTTTAGTGTGCCATCTACAGAAGATTTGAAAGTTTCCGTTGCCTGTGTGTGTGCTCCATGTTTGCACATGGGTGTGTGCTGTTGGTAAAAGTTGTGGACTTCCCTTAGGACCAGAGGCAGTAGACTCTTTAATATTTCAGAGCAGTGATAAATAAGTCAGACAGACTGCAGAGAGATAAGGTGACTCTGCGGATAGGGGTGAGGAGGTGGGAGGAGGAGGATAAAGACAAGAGGGAGAAGAGGAGAAAGGGGAACTGGATATAGGAAGGTGGAGAGATATATAAGGTAAAGGTCAAAGAAGACATGAAGAAAAGGAGACAAAAGAGGAGATTTCTTTACTCTATAAGACAAAATCCAAACAACTCTCACAATAGAGGAAAAAAGACCGTCTCTAGTAAGCTATAAAAACTCTATTATCTTATGAACAGTCGGAGATGTGGGTCAGATTTTCAAAATGTTTCCTTACATACACACACATACGCACACAATCACACACACACGCACACAAAACAATCATACATCTCCGGTTGCAGTCCCTGGACATTTACTGACCTGGAAACACTCAGGTTGAATGACAGATTTTGATTTCTGGGGACAAAGGAGATCAGAAGAGGATCAGAAGCAGGGGAGAGATAAGTAGGTAAGGGTGGAAGGAAAGAGGGGAGGAGTAGATGAAGAGGTAGGCGGGAGGGAGAGCAAACACAGACGGTTACTGTGCGAAAAGGTCAACGGAGACGGCGAGAAAGTGTGAGGGAGAAGATGAAAAACAGGAGAAGAGGTGGAAAAGTATGTCAAGCCTTTTTCTTGAGGGAGGAACTGACCCTGTGGTGCTGCGGCCTCCAGCCTGACAGGTTTAAGATCAAAAGATGAAAAACTCCACTGGCACTTCATGCACGATCTATCTCACAGCCTGATGTACAGTTAGCCTCCATCTGTGAGGTCATTTGCTGTGCACTGACTCTTGAAGCTTGAATTTTAAACTAATGTGGTGCATTTCTGCCGCACTGTACAGGCTGTAAATCTTCTAGATAAGTCACTGCCTTTTCTTCACCTCCGAACATCAGCTTTAAGCGCTTTCTTTTGCATCTGCATCTTCTCCCTTATCCCTCTCTCTTTCTTGACCAACAACAGACACTTACCATCATTTTCTCTCTCCTCTCACCCTAAATGAAGCGTCTCTCTTCTTTTTAGCAGCAGTAGGTAAAGCTGCCAGCTTCAGCTACTGCATAAGCTCATTAAATCGAGTCAGGGAAAGGACAACATACAGACTTCTGAGGATAACAAACACATACAGGTACTATGTGTACGCTAAAAGGAGTAGGAGGATCTAAAAATATCCAAAAGTTCAGCAGGGAGGGAAAAGGGAATTAATTGGGGAAGTACATAGTCAGAAGAGTGGGAGTGGGATGATGGAAAAAAAATAAAGTGAATCCATGGAGAGAACGTATAGTCCCAATCTCCCCAGTGGGATTAGTGTAAATCTAATCTGCCCCGCTGTCTCTTCAACTCCTTTTAGCCTGAGCTTAGAGACGCTCTCAGGAAGAGAGCGGGGAGCCTAAGAGCCTTGAGCTGTTAGCATTAGCTCACATCACCGTAAGCTTCCTCTGCACCACACTAATCAATTACCAACCCTGCTTACCTGCCTCTAAACTTCCCATCCACTCAGAGTCATCACCAGCTCATGAACCTCACACACACACAAACACACACCAGACACACACACACACACATACACACACATGCGACGGAGCTGTTATGACTGGGACTCAATTACCAACACACTCAATATGATAGATTGTGTATATCTGCTGTGCTAATGGGTATCAGTCTCTGCAGCAGCACATCCCCACAGTCAAATTTATATTTTTCCATTATCCAGCTTGGATGTGAAAAACCTGCCATCATGGCTGTGTGGAAAATTATGGATTGAGGAAGCCGAGACAGTGAGCTGTTTCCATAAGAGCTGAAAAAATTAGGAGTTGACTTATGAGTTAATGATATACGATTTATTGATTGATTTGGTCTCTCCAACTTCATGCTTCTGCAAGTCTCAGAGGCTTATCTCCAGTATTAAAACCTGGTTGTTTTAGAGGGGAAATGGACTGTAAATCAAACAAAGTACATGTTTAACAGACTTAAACTTGGATGAATAGAGATATTTGTATTACTTTTCTAAGAAAATTGAAGAAAAGAGCTGGTTGATAAATAAATAATGGAAATGGATGCAGCCCAAGTCTCAATATTGTGGATTTATTTACTGCAAGAATTGTTACCAGGTTCAATCCTGACCTGCAGATCTTGGCAGCATGTCATTCTTCTCTTTCTCCTTTCCATTTTGCTGCGTCTAAGCATTGGCACAGTCAGCCACCACTACCCCAGGCCTACAGCTCTAGTTGTTGGCTATACTGTCACAATGCAACCTATTCCTAACTTTTGGGATGAGGCCATAAGACATCACCACAGGCTACAAATTTTGAGCCATATGTGCCAGTGGAGAGCCGATCTCTGATGAGGATGTTCATAGTTAATGCTCATAATTGCTTATTGTGGCCTTTAGTCACTGCTGACTTAATACAAACAGGCTGTAAGAAATCAGAGTGGCATTACTATTAAATCCCATTGGAAGGTTACTCCGGTGAACATGTGGGCTTCAATCTGTTTGACCCTCAATCTGCTTCTCCACCTCTTGTCCCTTTTGTCTCGTCTCTTAAACATCATCTGTTTTTTGCCTGAGGGCTAAGAACTTTATCTAACCCTTGTGCAGCAGATGGTTCATTAGACTGTCTAACCAGTGCTACACTGCCCCTGCTGCACCGTCTTCAATGAGGGCATTGAAAAAGTGGGACCTTGGAGGAAAACAACACGGTGGAAAAAAAAACCTTTAAGGGTCATAAACCTCTGAGGGCCACAATCAACAGTGTGTGGCACACTTCCAGCAAGACACGGCTATACAAACAATCACACATACTCGGCCCCTGAAAGCCTGTGGAACACACACACAAACCCACACAAACACATTTGTGCTCAGTGACGACCCTTTTCCTCCCGATTTTAATCACAAGCACAAGTTAATGACATCCTTTGGAGGGAGATCTGTACTCCTAACCCGTGAGCCTTCGTTACAGCGTAAATTAAAGACAACCTGGCTCAGAGTTGGCTTGCTGAGGAGCGTTTCTGAAAGATCGCATCTTGCAGAGAATGGAAACCATGTGAAAATTTTGAGCATTCATAATATCTGCATTCCCCCTGTCTGGATGGAGTGATGTCTGTGCAGCACATGTGTGCAGCAGACCCGCTCTACCAACATACATGCAAACATGTGCGGAGGGATGATATTCCTGGATTCAAAGAAAATAGTCAAGATTTATTTTAAACAAAGATCAAATGAGGCAGAGCTAAGCATCTTCACTGTCCTCACAATTCAATTATTTTTATCTTGTCAATGACTTTTATCAACTGGATATCATGCATCAGTGCAGCGCCATTCTGCATGATAAAAACGATTAACTTCTACACCGCAAAAATGAGGGCGCGAGCAGAGTTAGGACTGCGAACACAACCAGGAGGACCGGGATGCACCTGCCCTGACCACAGGCCCATCTGGCCAGTGTGAAGAGAGGAAGAGTCAAAACTCTGACCGCTGCTAGAATCACAGCCCGGGTTTCTTTGCGCACAATCCCACCAATGTCACTAACTCCAAACAGCTGCGACGTACTAGCGTCTCTCAGCCAACATTCTTCTGCCACTCTGCCTCACTGCCAAGACAGGAAGGCAAAGTCCAAACTGGACTCATCTATTTCCTCAATCCGAACAGACAAACAAACAGTCGTGGAGCTGGCGCTGGCTGGCATGCAGACTCAGGGTCCTATGGTCGGATTTAAATTGTAGATGATGCTCAACGGGAAAAACAACATTCTTTTATTCCAGCATTTTATATAACGGCTTTCAATCAGCAAAACAAAGTGTAAATAAGACCAGTCAATTCCAGCCATGTGATTAGATTTGGGGCCCTACTAATCAGCTACACACCAAAACAAACAAACATCCTGTAAGGCTGTGCAATCTAATGGCACTGCCACGGACAAATATAGCAGTGCTGGAGGCGAGCATTATACATTCAGAGCCTGGCTGGCTTTGCAACCTCTACAATTGGATTTTAAACCTACACTTCCAACACAATCAGCATGCTTGGCATTTAAAATAGCTAACACATCACATGGGGGAGAGTGTTAGTGCATGCATGGACACTGAGCGACTTGAAGTGGCAAGTAGCCGAGCAGTAAGTGTGGGCACACTGGGGGCCGGGGGGGGGGGAGAGATGCTATAATGAGGGGATGGCAGGTTGACATGGCCTTGGAGATGGAGTTTTTGTGGCACATTCATTCACTGCCAACCCTCTGTCAGAGAGAGGAGGAGGGGGGAACAGGTGAAAAGGGAAAATAGGGGGATGGGAGGGTGGCACAGGGAAGGGGGGATTGGCAGCTTCACACAACAGCTCCATTACCAAACCAAAGTCGCCTTACTGGGAGCGAGCTGGACACATACAGGAGCGCAAAGTAAAACCTAGAAACCACAAAGTTCCGACTTTTCTCACAAGACCTCTCTGCGAAAAAAGCAACAACTGAACACTATGTGATGTAGTGTGATGTGTGCGAGAACAATGACCCCATGGCTTCCTTCTTCTTTGGAGGTGTGTGTATATTTAGTCATGGAGTTTGGGGAGAGGTGTTTGACAGAGCGGGTGTTAAATTATTGAGCAGTCACTGCCAGAGAGGAAGGACTCCATACTGAGGCTGAAGAACACTCTCTTATCTGGTGCTACATGCTGTTGGCAAACACATACAAACACCTGTCAAATGGACACAAACATACACACACAGAGGAGAGTGCATTGTTTGCATGGACCCAAATATTCCTAAAATGTGTTGATTTTTGAAGGAGCCTCATTATTCATTAAAAAAAAAAAAAGATTACAGTTTCTACTCCAGGGCTAAACATCTGACAGTCAACAGCCCCATTCATCCATTTTTCTGGTGTGTATAACTCCCTGACTCGACTCCTCGGTTGCTCCCTGTCAGTCCTCTTGCTGCGAGGAAAACAAACCACACCGCCGGGGTACAAATTACCAAAAGGTCAGAAGACTTCAGCAGAATCCTTCAGCTCTCTGCTGTACGAGTATTTTCCAGCAGAACATGACCCCCCGTGTGTTTTGACAATCCACTTTACTTTACATCAAGGCAGAGGTAGAAAGCAGAGCCCAGCTTTTGCCACAAGTGACAGAAGCGGGTGCAAGAAGATGACTCTGGAACGAATGATTTAACAGATTGTTATTGTTGTCCTTTTTTGCCTGGTGAGTCAGAATCAACTGCTGGCACCACCACAAGAATCAGCTCTAATTAAGGACTCTTCAGTCGACTGAATGACTCAAGCTCAACTGTCAGAGCTCCATCCTGAGCCTGGTGGTGAAAGGACAGTCGCCCTATTCAGTGTAGCATTCTGCAGGGACGCTCATGTCAAAGTTCCTGTGCTGCTGGCCATTCTTTACCGCAACTTAAGGAGTTGGTATTGACGTGAAGTCTCAGGATAGTTGTAAGCAGCAGTTCTAAGACATTATTGCTTTGATTTTCTTTATTTCTATGTATAGTATAGTTAATAGAGAGAACCTTTTTAAATCATGTTTCATTAGCCTTTACTGTATTTGTTGTGTATCTGGTGTTGATTTTATGTTTTTCTGATGTCTCCATGCTGTTTGTTGTCTGTATGAGTCTTCTTGTCCTGGTGGTGAATTAGTTTCCCCTATGTAGGGCTTGACACTAACTCCTGAGTTGAAAAAGTAAGGAGCACACAAAGAACTTTAGGGGGCACAATGAAAATTGATCAAATAATGTGTGTCTTATTGGTCGACATAAGTAGTACTATTTGAAATCAACTTCAGGTCTTTTGGTCACATGACATGGAAGCTATTGAAGGAAAACCGCCTTTTCTGAGAACATCAACCAGTTATTTATTGACGGTCCCTTATTTAACACCCTACATTGACAGTGAGGGTGCCGAGTAGTTTTAACCGCATTGCTGTTGCTATTCCCAGTTATGAAGAGTGAGAAGACACCGGTAGATCCGCAGTGAATGTCCGTTGAATATCCAACTCTAAACTAACTTCACAGCGGTATTTACATGAAAAAAAATTTGTTGCCTTGGCTAATTTTTTTTTATGTGCCCCTAAATACATTTTACAATTCGCACACATCTATTTTGAGTCACAAATGCGAGTGAAATGGTTGCACTGTCAAGCCCTGCTATGTGGGATCAATAAAGTCTACCCTACCTTACCTTACCTTACCTTCTTGTTAGCTGGTTTACGTTCACCTCTTACTACTACGAGCTCTGGCCTCCTTCACATCTGGTTGGCCACCCTACAGTACCAAGCTATGTTAGTTGTCAAAGTAAAAAGTAAAGATAGAGAAGGAAAGTGCTTTTCATTTGTCACCCCTGCCCATGCAAGTACCCCAGTTGGGCCACCCCAGTCAGAATTGTCTGGACGCGCCCCTGTATGTGTGGTGTTTGCAGAAAAGGCTCTTCCTTGTTGTGGCAGTAAACTGTATATTTGGATGCCAAGTAGCCACATGAATCATCAGTCATTATAAAATACAGTTTGTAATTCATTTCCCATTAGGTCACACAAACTAGCTGAAGGCACTGATGTCATGTGAAATAGTGTGAAGCAGGTGTCTGGTCCTGATAGGCCTTTGGCCTTCTGGTCCCTCATAGTGACGTCGTCTCTCCCTGGAAGTCCAGATAACAGCGGACCCCCCCCCTTACTCGATCTCCTCAATTTCAATAAAAAAGAAGTAGTGTACCTTTGTGTGAGGGCTTGCAACACACATAAATATTCATACACACACATTCCTACTGCTGCCCTTTTCACACACACACACACACACACACACACACACACACACACACACACACACACACATACACGCTCACATGCACACACACCCTCTCTTCATTTGCTCTCTCTGTCTAATCCTGTAATGCCAACAGAGCAATTAGTCACGTACCAGCTCTTTCTTTCATCTCTCTAGGGAGAGCAGACTCAGGAAGGAATTCAAGCTGCTTAGTATCTTAACTATGTAACTCACCCCATGCTCTGTGAGTAATGCACAAACATGAACATGAGCACACTGAAGCACCACATATTCAAATTGCAGTCTCTCTGGCTATCAGGTATACTTCACAGTGAGCTGAGGACAGTGATCTATGCTGTAGCGCTGCTTTAGCTGCTCTCAAAAGTCCCGTCTGCTTTGAAATACAAGAGATGAAGCTGGGGCTAACCTAAAAATGACACAAAGTGAAACTACAGTCAAGCTCTAATAAAAAGAGGATCGCTTTAAAAATGGTCATTGTTTTTGTACTTGGAGCGCTCTTTCTTCTCTACTGGCCTGCACTCTGCCATCGCCTCTTTTGCAGATTTATCTACCAAAGCTCACTTACAAACAAACGCCCCTGATTGAGAGAGAGCATGAAAGAGAGCTGTGATAGAACAATGATAAAAACAGACTGACAAAAAAGCAGCCTTTAAGCTCACGTTAGACAGCCTTGTAGTGTTCTCTGTACTCTATAGCTGAGGTGATTCTGCTGCGCCCGCAGCCACAACCTGACAGTGAGGCAGGGAGGAGCAGAGTGCGGCTGACTCTCTCCATGTCGGTAAGGAACAAATGGCTCATGTTGCAGTTATATAGATGGAGAGCCCTGGGTTATCACTTTCATGCAGGTTATTCCCATATGTCAGCTGGAAATCTATCTCCATTTAACAGATAAACCCCTCCCTGAGCCAACATTTAATGTGACGGAGACTGCCCATGGATATATACACATTAAACACAGATTTTTTACACTTTGGAAATTGAATTTGGGCTGCTGTGTGTGAGAGGGTGTGTGGTGCGAAGAGATAGAGAAGCAAAAGGGGAAATTTCCGGATGCCGTTTAGCACGATAGCTGGTCATAAACTGATCGGTTAGGGTAAGGCATTAGAAAAGTTTGGTGTAATTGAGAACCAGCATTCCAGCATGCAGCGCTTACATTATGCAGAATCCAAATATGACATTAGTACAGTTTGGCAGATTGGAAATTGGATAGACAAACTAACCAGCAGGGTTGCAAGCAAGTTCAGACATCTGTGTTTAACAGTGACACAGAAAGACAGGTAAAAATAACAAAGTGTGGTTTCTAAAAGAGTTCACACATGTTCTCACTACTTCTTGTAAACAAAGGGTGCATGCATTGAGAGTCGACCTCGCAGTTCTGAGGTAGCCAGAAAAGGGAAATGCCGCACAGTGCTGAATTGTTGTCTGTGAAGGAATAGTTACAACCTGGAGCTCCACTGAAAAACCACAAGTTGCTTTTGTCACATTTCTGTTTTCGTAAGGATTAAATAAAGACAAAGAACAAGCAGATTTATGAAACTTTGGACGGAGCAAGGAGTGCTACTTTAAGTCTTTATGCTAAGCTGACGGCCTCATGACTACTCCAACAACATCACCAAGGTAGATGCAAGATTGATTCAATTTTCAACTTTTCATTTCAGAAAGAAAACATGTAGAAATATGTTTATAGTATCTAACAAATCTGATTCATTTAGTGTGTTTGTGGATCATTCTCCCAGTACGATTGCTTTGCCGGTAAGTACTAATAATACAGTGATTACAGCAGGTGCTGTGATTTCTAGCTTTAGACACAGTCATCTACAGCCTGTGCTCTTTCATAACAACTGCTGCCTGCTTTCAGAATAACTTAGCGATGAATGGTGTTAAAACAAAGACAGAAAAGAGGAAGCCTTCTGAGAGAAAAACAGAGCTAAAAGAAGATGTGGAAAGTACTCTCTAACATTTTACTACCTGAATAATTAATAAATCTAGCTTCTTGAGAAAATAATCTATGAATCAAACCTTTTGTGATTGGTTCCTACGCTTCTCTTTGTTAAATCTCCGCCCCTTTTTGACAGACACCTGGGAGAAAATGTGTGCATCTATTGCCAATAACAGGTTTTGCAAACACATTATTAAAGGCTTGTCGATGTCGATGCCAACTCTTAAGAGCTAAATAAACGCAAAAACAAGTCTTGACATTTCCTTAATGACTGTGCATGTGTTTTGGATGAGCAGAGTGTGTGGGAAGAAATGAAAGCGTCTGACACCTCGTTAACTAGCCAGCTGAGGCAGCCTGTATTCCTGGTGTCGCCTCGGGCCACACAGCAATTCCTCTGCTTCATTTCATGCCCTGTGGCCAGAAAAAACATCTAGATTCGCTAAAGAGAGGAAGTTGTTCCTGAACGCTGCTGTCTGGCAACTGTTTTCTCACACTTCAAAAGAAGGCGTGGGTATAAAAACAGACCAAATTGTTGCCTATGGACATGCTGTGATAAACAGCCTCTCGCCTACATTGGCAAATCCAAGCCTTCTCCTCTTTCTCTCAATCTCACCATTAACGCTCTCCCACTCATTTGCTACTTTTTCTGTCACATGTACATACATCTATCCCCTATTCTCTGTGTTTTTATCCCTGTCTTGTATCCATATGTGTGTCAGCTGTACACGGCCTAACAGGTTAGGTCAACCGTCTCCTGAGAGGAACTCCAGAGGAGCGAAGCATGGAGAAAGTCTGCAGGGAAAAAAACAATCCAATGACCACTTTTGGTCAAAAGCTGCAGCAGTCAGCACTGCAGCCTAAAATTTAATTTCCCCTAAAAGAACAGCTATCCTCTATGCCTTTGCCTGCCTATTTTTAGCATGTTATCGTTCAGCCTCAATCAGACCACAGCAGTCAAACTCAGAGTGAAGACGGTCGCTGCCTGTCAGCCTCAAAACAGCATGAAGTCTCTCAATACTCAGAGCGGGCTGATCAAAAATGATGTATGATGTTTTATGTAAAAGTCGGCATGAGGAAAAGATTAAAGACAGAGGAAAAAAAAGACACCCTTTCACTTACAGTCTGTATTCTTCTCTATGTGTAACAGTGGACTACCAGTTTTTGTTTTGACGGCTGATAATTAGAGAGCAGGTTGGCTGATGACTAAAATATAATCTCAGTTTCACCTGTTGGTGTTTTATTTAATATTTGATCAAATTCAACAATGTTTAAATGATAACACCAGTCATTATGCACCCATACAATCATCTGATTTATATAGTTCACCAAAAAACATGCTTTGAAAAGATCTGTGACTAATAAATCAAACGGAAATCTACAACAAAGCATGAATTTATTTACATTTATATCAGAAGCAGCATTAAAACACACTGTTCCACATATGACGGCAGAATTTCTTTCTCAACACTAACCAGTAACTGTTTTAGATTTGGTATGCTGCCATTCAGGATTGGAAAAAACATATTCTCAATTGAGGACACATTAACATTGCTCAACAGTAGCTACACTGACTAGACCGCTTGAAGCGTCTGCAACATTATGTGTTTATTTTTTTAATTGGCCTCGTGAGTGCAAGCACCGGCCAAAGCAGATTATTTCAAAATACGATTGATCAGCCTGATTAATCACTCTATCTCTACCCTGTGGCATCAGTACTGTCAGCTGAGGTCATGTTTTTGCGCCAAGTAACGGCGCCCGTGTTGAAGAAAAGCCGTGACTTCATGATAAGTCAGCGTTTTCATCCTTGCAGAGCTGTGGCATCATCTCAGATGCTCTTTGTCTCTTCTACTGTCATCTCTTCCAAGGCTCTCATTGTGAGCTGCTTTGTAAAGATGCTCCCTTGCTGCCCTGAATACATTGCAATGCTTGTGCCGTGGTGTCGGAGGACAATGGACAGAAAAGAGATTCCTCAGCTGCCTAAAAAGTATGGACTGGGGATGGACGGCAACCGGCACATCAGTGATCTAACGACCCTTTCAGTCATGCTTTCCCCTCAGTTTTGAGCTGAGAAGAAGCTAATTGAGTTCATCCTACTGCTTCATGCAATAATCATGTTAGACTGTGGAGCCTATTTGCTGTCTGCTTCCCAACAATTTGTTTCGGCACAAAACATGAGGTACTGATATTTTTGGCAAGATGTTGAGCTATAAATAGACATGACTGAGTTGCCATGCCATTTGGAAGCAAACAGAGTAAGAGTGGGTGAAAGTGTGTACAGAACTGTAGCAAGGATTTATGGACTCCTACGCACTCTCAAGAACTCTTGGTTACTTCTCAGCTTTATCCACATATACTTGATGAATGTCATTCTAATCCAGGGGCTCTTGAGGTAAGTTAGGAAAACCGATTTATCCTAACTTAAGTTGAAATCTGTATGGGAACGAGCTCCCTCTCTCAACAAGGGTTTTTCTAAGGACCATGGTTCATGTGTGCAACGTGTATGCACTTAGAGTACATTTTAGAGCTAGTGGGTACCATAATGCATGGGTTTTATTAGTCTTTTTACTACATCACTTTGAAATGGACTGGTTTACATTGTGCTTGGTTGAGAGCCAAGTGTGTTTCATGCAGATGCTAAAAGGTACTTGGTGTGTTGAAATAAGAGGCTGATGGCCATGACAGTAAAGAAAGTCTTGAGACTGAGGATATATGATTTTAGAAGGCATGTGCACTAAGAGTGGGTTTTAACCACTCAAAGGAGACTATAGGAATAGGCTGAGGGCTTCTACAACATTGGTGAACAACGTCTTGGGAATGAGAACAAGCCCACTTATGGACTTGGAAACAAAAACAGGCAACAATTGCACTTCCCTGGTTATTGTTGTGGTTAATCCCCTGTAATTTTGCAATGATGTTTTTGTGTTATTTATACATCATCCATTTGATTTTTGCAACCAATCTACATTTCACCCTGAGGTAGCTGTGCTGTAGTCCAACTTCTTCCACCATGAAGAAACTGATACTTTGCAAAGTTGTGTTTCTCAATAGATCCCCAAACCTGGATACACAATAGTGGGGACCAGAAGCAAAAAGGATGTGCTCACCCTCACTTTCCTCTCTAACACACACTGCACTCACCTCCCCTCCATGGCTGTAAAAAATCCAAAATAGAGATGGGTGACTCTTGTTGACGAGGTCGGATATATGATTTTAGAAGGCATGTGCACTAAGAGTGGGTTTTTAACACTCAAAAAAGACTATGGGAATAGCCTGAGGGCTTCTACAACATTGGTAATCAACATCTTGGGAATGAGAACAAGCAGACTTATGGACTTAGAAACAAAAGCAGACACAAGTTGCACTTCCCTGGTTATTGTTGTGGTTAATCCCCTGTAATTTTGCGTTTTGTGTTATTTATACATCATCCATTTGGTCAGTTTTAATAAGTAACCTACTTTATGTTTCAACTTGTTTTTTGCAACCAAACTACATTTCACCCTGAGGTAGCTGTGCTGTCATCCAACTTCTCCCACCATGAAGAAACTGATACTTTGCAAAGTTGTGTTTCTCAATAGATCCCCAAACGTGGATACACGCACTCACCTCCCCTCCATGGCCGTCAAAAATCCCAAATATAGATGGGTGACTCTTGTTGACGAGGTCGGTGAGCACCTCGAACCGGTCCTCCATGTGCTCTCGCCGGCCTTGGATGGAGTACACGGCCACGTTGTTGCTTTTGAACTCCCAGGTCTTGGAGAACTGTGCGTCCAGGGCGTCCAGTCCGCCGAAGCGTTCATTCTGCATCATCTCCGCCACTTTCCCCTTGACCATCTTGACGGCATCCCGGCTCGACTTGACGATGGTTTTCACTTCGTCCGTGTGGAAGAAGTAACTCCACAGAGCCAGGCTGATGCACAGCAGGAACAAGGTCTCCGGTCTGAGCAGAAAATAACGCATGATCCTACCTAGCAGAGACAGCAGGGTCATTGTATCCTCTATCATTTATTTATTTACACGCAGGAAATCGCGGCAGGTTGTGTGTCGCGCGCCCCCGCCGCAGGTTTCAGTCCATCGTCGGTGGCGTCGGCGGCTTGGTAGCGGTGAAAAATGAACATTTAAACGAGCTTTTCACACCGGACACATAAACACAACCCTGACTACACTGGGGACACTTCACTGCATTTTCAACCGGACTCACCGGGAAGGAGGTGAGGGAATTGGCGTACGTTCAGAGACAGGCGGCGGGACACAAACACAGTCCTCCTCCGGCAGGTTCCCTCTAACGTGCAGCCCTGCAGTGAGCCACCAGCGACCGTCCGCTGACCATCTGAGGCGGTCTGTCAACACGAAGGTCGCCCGTCAAGTGAAGCTAGTGTGTTGTGAGCTGCAGTCTAGCGGTGGGCAGAGCCTTTCTTCTCCCCTGCCAGCCTTGCTACTGTGTGCTCCCAGTCCTGAAATAGCGGTCTGCGTTGAGACGCTCACATTCCCAGCTGCCACACTGCCTGCGACTCTGCTGGTGCCTGACTAAACACTGGTGCTGCCTTCAAGTGCTGTTGGGAAAGTGCCGGAGTCTTCTGGAGAAAGTCTGCTGAAGATGCGTTTTATGACTGGTCTTAGAATCTGACTCAAGACTACTGGTGAATTTAACTGTGGCACTTATTTTGGCACATTTGCATTGGCTCAAACCTGCCCCTTATCTAAAATAAAACTCAATTCTAGAAATGTTACTGAGTCGTTCTCGAACACGTACACGAGTCCAGCAATGACTTTCATCTGCAGATTATTATGTTGGTTTTCTTATTTTAAATTCAGAAAAATGATAATAATAATAATAATAATAATAATAATAATAATAATAATAATAATAATAATAATAATAATGATAATAATAGCCTACATAAAACAAGTCAAGTTGTGCAAGTTGTCTATCTCTATTCCATGGTAAAAATCTGGTAAAATTATAACCTGTCATGTTAAAAATTTGTCTTTGTCTTTGTCATTGTGGCTTCTTTCTTTTTTTTTTTTTTGCATCCTTTTTTATTTGCAGCAGTGGCGTTAATTGTAACTTATGCAAAATAATTGATTTGAGTCATTTACAATGCAAGCCAGAATCTTCCTTTATTTGCATGGCACCTTTAAGCCATGGAGGGGAAAAGATTGTTATTCAAATTTTTGAGAGTAGATATTTCCTATAGTACTTAAAGGCATCCAAAACTGCCATACCACAGGTGCTCTAGGGGTGCAGAGAGAGTGATCGAAACAGTCCAGACTTGAATAAAAACCCCGGGCTTTATATATAAGAAATAAAAAGTTGGATTGAGACAAAAAATAAATCCTCTGTTAGGCTTTGAGTTGAGTGGTTCTGGGGCACGGGATCCAAAACAATACTTGATGACAAAATCATGTACTCTTAGATTTTCATCTTTGATCACTTGATAGGCATCTTGATGTCAGACTTCTTCTTTAAAATGTTCTTTAAATCAACTGGGTTACATCAAACATACTATTAAAGGGATTTGTAGGATTTAAAAACACTTCACAGGACACCCGGTATCTTAATGAACCGTGTTTCTCTCTGAATGAAGAGAATTGGGGGACTTGGTTAAGCCAGACAAGTAAATTGGATCATGGTTAGATAGTTTCAGGTTTAATAATCCTCTTCAGGAATGTTAAGACTCACTATTTTTTAAGCAAAATTAATGTTCAAGTTAAGGTCTTCTCTGGTTAACTGAGGCAGAAATCTTCTCAAAAGCATTTCGCTTTTATCCGTTCACTCTCTTTTCTTACAATTCACTTTTACAATAAATCTATTTTACTATTCTATTCACGTTTGTACTTTTTTAATCCGGAATAATATAATTGTATATTTATTCAGGCAAAGTTAAGGACAGCCCCGAAGGTCCTTTACCCACCAGTGACGTCATCAAACCTCCTCCTGTCCGTGTGGGGAAAACGTGGAGGATTTAACTTCATGCTAGTTTGTGTTTTTCCTCTGAAAACACACCTAGAAAGTGTAAGTCGATCGTCCAATTCTATGTGTATGTACAGTCTTGATTGTTATTCCACCCTGTGTCTTTTTGTCAATGTTTTTATCCGTAAAAGTTTGTCATCGGGGCTAGCACTTTAGCCTTTAATGCTAACTGTATAATGTAATAGCTATCTGCCGTGTTTCTGTTCCCAGTGATCGTGGGGTTACACAAGGATCCTCAGACTTAAACTGCTTTACAAACGTGAGCAGGATGGAGTACATTCAGGCTCCTGCCACAAGCAGTCAGGGTAACATGTAAGTAGAAAACAACAACATTAGTGGTCTCTATGTCCTCAGATCAGCTGTATACTGTGAATCCTGACACATTTAGATCTACTAAAACGTGTCAGATTAGCACCTACCTGACACCTTTCAGTTTTTATACCACTCAAATTGCTTCACACTTAATGCCACAGACACAAACAGTATATTCACTCAGTAACTACAGAGGCCCTGACTTTGACAGAGGCCCTATTTTGATTCTGATTGGTTATTTGAAAAGATAAATTGATGTGATGTTGTCCTTGCAAAGTCAAAGTCTCAATACCAAAGCTTTTAAAGGGATATTCCTGCGTAAAATTAATTTAGGGTTAAACCGCAACACCGAGTTAGACACCCCCTCCAGAGATGAATGTTGCCAACTGCTTGCTTCTCTAGTTATACCAACTTTAGTAACAACGGCATGATAGCAATACACAGCGGTCTGAGGAGCCATAAACAAAGTTCTTCTGCCTTAGCGTCTCAGTCTGATTGCATTTCCATGAAGGAATGATCATAAATGTTCTTCCTTGAGCTGTGTCACCCCGCAGCAGTATGTAATGGACTGGCCTGAGGTCTCGCTACAAACAAGCGGCTGCTGGAAGAGAGTAGGTCTAACTCGGTGTTACAGTGTGTTTGACCCTACATTAATTCTATGCCGGAATATCCCTTTAACCTGCGCCTGTCATCCAACAAACAGAGTTTTTTTGTTATCAATCTGTTATTTCTGCTGCTCTACAAAACCATTTTAGTGGAAAAAAAATAGACATCCAAGTGTTTAACATGATTTGCAATCTAATGTGAGATTGTCTTTTTCAACTCTCCACACATGTGACTTGATTGACACAGAGGGTCATCGTCTCTCAATTCAATGAGCTTTACTAGTGTTGCATCTCTCTTCTCAGTCTCTGTTGTACCTGTGGTGTTCCAATTCCACCAAACCCTGCCAACATGTGTGTGGCCTGCCTGCGTACTCAGGTAGACATCTCAGAGGGGATCCCAAAGCAGGTCACAGTGCACTTCTGCAAACAATGTGAAAGGTTTGTAATAAGCATTTTTGACCATGTCACTCACAGATAATGGGACTGTTGAAAACATTTCTTGGTTAGACCTCTAAATGTTTCATGAGAAATTTAGGGCTTAATAGTTTTTGTTTTTTTTAATCTTATTCAGATACTTACAGCCTCCAGCCACCTGGATGCAGTGTGCTCTGGAGTCTAGAGAGCTTCTGGCTTTGTGCCTTAAAAAAATAAAGAGCTCCATGACCAAAGTAAGTCTGATTTTTACTCAACTTCTCAACAATCACACAGAATCAAAGTTTGTAAAAATATTACTGGTAATAATTCTATTACTCCTGCTTTCATCAACCTCACAGGTGCGTCTTATTGATGCCGGCTTCCTGTGGACAGAGCCCCACTCCAAAAGGATTAAGATGAAAGTGACCATCCAGAAAGAGGTAAGAAATTAGAGTGGAGGTGAGAAGTGTGGGAGAATGACATTTAAACAAAGGACAAAAGCTCTTAAGGGACTCCAGATATGCAACCTGGTTTTCATCTAAAGGTTATCTGGAATATTTGTTCATGGCTAATTGGCAGCAAGCAAAGTTCATGTTTTAAATTAAGCTCTGTCTCCGACATATGTCACTATAATGATGTCAGAGTCGGACACACACATATGTAAAGTTTCTCTGAATAACGTTCGAATGATTGTATGTACCATGGACTCAGAGTAAAAACTGTTTTAGTTGAGTTCTCAATTGTCTGTTCTTGGCTGAGCTTTTTTAAGAAAAGTGAGTTTATTCTGGCTGCATCCATCTCCTTGACCTTTGGTGAGAATCTGAGCCCCGTGCTTCTCAGGGCCAACTTTATAAAGGGCTTTTGCACACAACACTGTTTCCAGATCCCATTGGCCACCACCAGGGGTATCATAAATTCATACTTAAACCACCAGTCTGTGCTGCAGGCAGTTGCCAACTAGTGGACCTGTCAGAACCACGGGGAAGTGAGCTGATCTTAGCTCTGACATGTGATGTTTTGAGGAGAAAAATATATTGTTATTTTTTCTTTTATGTTGGTAAAGTGAGTTTTTGAATTGCGTGACTTTGTCTGCTTTTTTTTCCAAGTGTGTGTCTCTGTTTTTGATGCAGTCAGAGCATGTGGTCTAACTTGTTGCTGTTTTTGCCTCTCTAGGTGATGAATGGTGCCATCCTACAGCAGGTGTTCGTGGTGGAGTATGTCATCCAGTACCAGATGTGTGACGACTGCCATCGGGTGGAGGCCAAAGACTTCTGGAAGGCCGTGGTACAAGTTAGACAGAAGGTAGGAGTCAGCTATATGGAACATAATCTTGAGTATCTGTTGTCATTTTTGTCATCTTCACCTTTAATATGAGTGAATTTTATTGACGTTTTAAAGTCCCTGTGAGGAATTTTTCACTAACAAAGATAGAAATTGATGGTGATCTCTATTCTATTCTGTTGTCTTCTGCTCTTCAAGCCAAATGTTTCATGTAAAAAAGTCTGAGAGCTTAAAGTATTTGGCAGGAAATGCATCACTGAATCTCAGGGCTGTGTGATTTCACATCATAAAAACATTTTTGAAGAAGAACCAGGATTTAGCAACCATGCTCAAAAAACTGAATTTATGAAGAGGCTCGCTCACGAACAGACAACTTCAGTCTCAAAAAAAGCGTAGCGAAGCTTGTTTGAAGTTATTGCTGAAATACCTTCTGCAGCTGCATCCAAATAAAAGCCAAAGTTCCTTCACTTCAATGAAAAGCTTTTACAGGGAAACAGCTTTGCAGGAAGTCTGAATTAACACACCACAATAGAGCACTACTTGTTCTCCTTTTCCTCCATGGTGTTAACTCGCTGAGTGAATTTTTTGAAAGGAATAAAAATATCAATGTGCTAAAGCTCTAAATGAGGGTGTTTTTCCCCTAGGTGAAAGGAGGTGACAGGATGTGTCATCATGCCAAGCTGTTATGTTTTATCACTATCCATGTTTAAATGATGTGAACTGATGGGATCTGTGTCACTCTCAGTAGAATCATGACAATTCTTCTTTTGGCACAGACTGTTCACAAAAAGACTTTCTACTATCTGGAGCAGCTGATTCTCAAACACAAACTCCACCAGAATGCCCTCAACATCAAAGAAATCCACGGTAAGTCACCTTGTTATGGGGTTTCTTTCATCTTGTTTCTGTGTATTTTACAGAGTTTATCTCAGGAGGACAAGGGACGCCACATTTCTCTTGGCATCTCAACAGATTACACTCAAAAGCCTGAAACTTGTCCTATTCGTCACTGGCGTAACTAATGTGGATTAGAGCAAAGCAGAACATAATGATGTGTCGAGTGTTAATTACCCCCCTTCCCGTACCAGACAGCAAGCCATGCATGCATATCACCGGCGCCAATCAGTCCATACAGCTGTCCTCGTGTGGGCCTCAGAGGGGCATGCGTCGTGCATCTAATCACTGTGCTGTAATCAGAGCAGGCAGGCAATACCAAATTCCTGCAATGCAAGTGTGATCCATGCCCTATTTGGAAATGCTAAACGCTACATCTCAAACTGTTTGTTCCCATCACTTCAGAGGGTTTTCCTCTGATTTGCATCCATTTTCTGGAGACTCACCATTTGCGCCAACTACTGCTGGTACTTACCTAACCTCACCACATGGTTTCCATAAACCAGATGTCTCCCCAGAAATGTAAGAATTTACATTTTAAGGTACTTGCTTTTTGTTCTAAAAAAGACGAACGCTTCCAAATGACAGTGTCTATAAACAGATTTATGTCCCCACAAAATTATTCACGCATGCCTCCTATCATGCAAACAGAGGCATCCAAACACTGAAGCACACACGCTGAGCTTTGAGAGACAGCCCAGCAGCAGCTCTCTCTGCTCTTGGACAGGACTGCGCAGTGCAGTTTTGGCTGAGTGTGTCATTTTAAATCATCTTCATATCTCGGCAAGACTTAAAAGCTTTGTGGAGGTTACAGCATGTGGCAGCCATATTTTCTCCCATCTTCACCTACTCTCTCGTGTGGGTTTTGGACATTCATATGTTTTGGTTGACACGTCAGCTCACCTGTGGTTTATTATTTTGGTAAGAGCTGATGGTATTATTCTTCTCTCAGACGGCATTGACTTCTACTATGGCTCCAAGCAGCACGCTCAGAAGATGACTGACTTCCTCCAATGCACTGTACCTTGCAGGTGAGCAACATTTAAGTATGAATCTATGAAGACGGAGATGAGCACTGAAGTGAACAAAAACATCACAAAATTCATTTTTATGTCACTTTGAGTTTGCTGGTTGGAGAGGCAGTATGTTGACATGACCTCTACAGTTTAGATAAAAAACTGCATAGTACACCTTTCTCTCCTTTAGTGGGGAAGTTGGGACCACATTCAGGTCCTTTAATTCTTACAACATGACTAACCTGGGCCACTAAATTTTATTTAAAGACTGTGATGAAATATATATTTTTTTCTTTTTTAAAGGTCAAAGACATCTCAGCGCCTCATCTCTCATGACATCCATTCAAACACATATAACTACAAGAGCACCTTCTCTATGGAGATTGTTCCTGTTTGCAAGGTGAGTAGCAGTGTGATAGAAATTTATGTCTGAAGCACAAACACCATCACAAAGCTGCCATGTTACCTTGGACCTCCTTTCTGAAGCAGCCACTGTATTGTGAGATTGATGTCAGGCATAAAGTTATTTGTCTTTCACCAAGCTCAGTAGCTAATATCCAGCTCCAGGGAGAAAGGAAGAAACCACCACAGCAAATTTTCACTTGAATCAGTGTCTTTACATGCAAGGAAGCAATTAATTCAGTCTCTGCTGAATTGAAACACCAACATACTCTTTTGAGAAACTGTTTGGTTATCACTTGACAAGCCATCAAAGGCAGCTGAGCTGCTTGAATTTTTGCGCCAAGAGTGGCGTAACATCACAGAGCAGCAATGTGAAAGACTGGTAGAAAACATGCCAAGACACATAAAAGCTGTAATAACAAACCAGGGCTATTCCACTTAACTCTTTTTTTAAACTCTACCTTCATTATTGTGTATTTTTGTACAATTTCCAGTCTGAAAAATACTCTATCTGACCTCGCTGTAACTTTCTGCAGATGTAAAACTCAAATGTGAATGTTTCATTTCAAAGTTCAGAGAAATATTAAATATGAAAATATAAAAAATGTAAATTTAACTGACAGACAAAGTTTTAAATTGTATAACCCCAATTCAAAAGGGTTGGTACTCAGAGTGAAATGCTGATAATACAAAATTTGATGGTTGTAGATCATTTAAACGCCATATTTAATTTGTGATTAACAGTTATTTTAACATATTGAATTGTTCAAAGATTAAAATTCAAAGTATGTGTTAGTATAGGGGCATGTTTTTTATATATCAGGAAAAAAAGATTCTGGTTGTTTTGCCATAAACAAAGATCAGCCACTGCACAAAAGCATCATTGTGTTCAAACTCTGACTAAATTCAAGTCTGAGCTTCCACACTGTTGTAAAGTTTTCAGCAGAAAGTCGAACAAACACAAACTCTGTTTTTTTTTTTTCAATCTGCCCTGAGGGATGACAAAGGGTTTTTTTTTTTCTCTCCGGAAACAAACTGCAAGACACAATCTGAACTTTCAATGCAAAGTTTTTTTTTTTTTTTTGTTTTTTTTTGTAACTTTTCCGTTGACCCCAGTTTGACCCCGTGTTGTCTGCTTCTCTCTGGTTGCCAGGACAACGTAGTGTGCCTCTCACCACGGCTGGCACAGAGCCTGGGTAACATGGGTCAAGTTTGTGTGTGCGTCCGTGTGACCAGCACCATCCACCTCATCGATCCCAACACCCTGCAGAGTGAGTATTTCTTTTGCCAGAGCACTGCTGAGTTTTAATCCTTTCTACCAACAGCTGTGCAATAGAAATACATAATACACCTTTTTGTGTGTAAATACAGCTGCAGTGTGTGATTGGGTATTTTCACTATTTTTAAAAGACATACCTGGATGGACTGCTTCAGTATAATTTGCTTTTAGTACTAGTTTGACAGCATTGTTCCTTTTATTGAAGTGGGTGAAATTGAAACGACCCTGCATTACTTAAGTTGTAATCATCACAAATCATCACAAGTTTTCTTCAGAAACTCGGCATTCAGCCGCTCTGATGAGTCCACAATCAACAAGTGGCTGTTTTGGCAGGCAGAGACCATGAACAGGACTGCACCGGAGTGGAGAGACTGAGAAAATTGGATCGAAAGAGAAACAGAGAGAGAGGGGGAGGTGGATGGAGACAAAGAGCGACAAACACAACAGAAAATACAAACGAACAGCCGTGATGCCAAAAATAATGGTCCAACTGTTTGTAGTAGGAGTGAACACAGTATTTTAAAGATAATTGTTCACTGATAGTGGTGATTGGAACAGCTAAGAATCCTAACAATAGTCGAAGCAGTTGGAATCAGCAGGTATGCTTTAATTATAATAATTACAGGTTTTGCATATTCATATAATGTGCCTTTGAAAAGAAATTTCACAAGTTTTTCCCGTGTATTACCATGGCAATAGATCTGAGAGTCACTGTCGGGGTGAAACCCTTCAGTGCTGTAATAACCTAACCGCAGTCTGTTAACCACATGTTCATCACAGGCGTCTGAACTTAGCAACCTCCCTCTGCTCCCTGTCACGGCATAGCATCATGAAAAACAGATATTTTCAGTTTGCGTCGCACATACCGTCACAGGAGAGTTATATGAGGAGATTGACAGTGACAGGGATGATTCGTTTCCTCTGTTCTTCTGGTGTAATCAGTTGTCATGGGAGGGGCAGAGACACTCTCGCGCAGAAACCTGACCTTTTGGATGCGGCACACGTTTTTAATTACTCTTCAAAGAGCAGGCTATTTTTACTTTAGAGAGTTTTTCAGCAGGCTGAGGAGTAGAAAGCGCCTTGAGGCAGAGTTCTGTTCTGCAGGTTTGGAGCTGCAGCCGGCGGATTAAGAAATACTTGGCTTCATGTTTGGCTGATTATGTACAGGTTTTTTGACACAGTGACAGACGCATTGTTCCATCAGGTCTATTTCTAATATGTGCAGATTGTGCTGTGAGATGTTTCAAGCAAAGCTCATTGTGTTGAATTTTTCTTATCAGAGGACAACTATCAGAAACAAAAACATAACTTTTTTCTTAACCCCTAGTTGCTGAGGTGGATGGGAACACATACTGGCGTAACCCCTTCAACAGCCTCTGTAACCCACGGCAACTGGAGGAGTTCATTGTCATGGACATCGACATCATCCGAGACCAGAAGCTAGGTGCAGGGGCCTGCATGAGGTCCAACAAGGTGAGAGGGAGTCTGGTTCCTGTGAGTGCGTGTTTGTGTGTGTTGTTGCAGAACAGATTGCATTGTTGGGGGGGTTGTGGAGCTGGGGGCATTGCTTTTCTTCTGAAAGCGAAATCAATACAGCACCATTACATTATCCCTGAGCTTGTATGCCTGATTCAAGCCAAAACAGAAACACACAGGAGGAGTGTTTGTTTGGAGGGTGCAGGGAATGAGGTTTGCAGGGACGCTGTTTGCGCTGTCTGAATGTTGCATTAGTATCGATGCACCCGTCTGAACAAATTTGAGGGAAAGAGACACGAGTAATGTTGTTTTTCTAGCCACAAATAACATTTATATACCATCTCTGTGTGTCTGTGTGTGTCTGTATGTGTGATGCAGCACACTCTAGCCGAGGTGTGGGTTCAGAAGACCTCTGAGATGGACACGAGTCAGCAGTATCACTGCCGTACGTTCCTAGGCCACCTGCTCAACATTGGAGACCTGGTGATGGGGTGAGGAGGAGCAAAAAAAGGACCAGATGTTTACAGTGAAGACTGATTGTCACAAGAACTAATACGTCTCATCCTGCAGGTTTGATTTCGCAAATTCCAACATAAACGATGAGTATCTGAACAAGATGAACCCTCACCATGTTCCTGATGTGGTAAGAATTACCTGCAGTTTACTGAACATCCACCCTCACCACACCTGTTGCCTTTGGTAGCCTCTGTCCACTTAATCTGCACTGCCCTCTGGTGGAGAATCAAAATACTGACTGTAGATTTATTTGCACACTGCAGAGAACAGCATTTCTGCACAGTATCACATAAACATGTTGGGCCAAACTGTCGTGGTACTTCCCTCTCAGGTGCTGATCAAGAAGAGCTACGACCGCAGCAGGAGGGTGAAGCGCAGGAACTGGAAGCTGCAGGAGATGGCCAGGGACCGCGACGGCATGGACACAGACGATGAGAGGTGGGAGAGTTGAACTTAGTTTTTCAAAGCAACAAAACTCTGATCACTGGGAGTAGTTTGTTGCTGGAAGGAAAGTTTGTTTTCTGTACAAACGTCTCAAATACTGGAAACAAGGAAGATGACTCGAGATACCTAAAATAGTGACCAACAACATGGCATTGTTTCAGTCGGTAAAAAATGCGCCAAGAATGCCATGTATCCCATAAGTGTTTTTTTTTCTCTCCTGTTTTTGTGTCTCCAGACAATACCAGGACTTCCTTGAGGACTTGGAGGAGGACGAGGCTCTCAGGAAGAATGTGAACATCTTTAGAGGTAGGCAGCAGACCCTGCAGACTTTTCCATCCCCCAGAATCCCCAGAGACATCAGCCCACTTCCCTTACATGTTGATCTTTCCAGTGTTTCAGCTGGAATTGTTAATACACGACTCATTTAGAGAGTTAAGAGTGTTTAAGCCAGTTTATAATAGATGATGTATTGGATAATTAATGAACAGATGTGCCGTTTGTTTTGAATTCAGATGCAGCAAAGATCCCGGTGGAGAGCGACACTGATGATGACGGAGCACCGAGGATCTCTCTGATGGAGATGCTTGAAGAGCTGAGCCTGTCAGACGCCACAGGAGGAGAGGGTGCTGACATGATGACGGACTAGCCAGTCTCCATCCTGTCTGAGTGACACCAGCGGCTGATCAGACGAAGACGGCACAGTAGAGGACGCAGTGATGTAAAATACTTTCAAGGGGAAATGGATGGGGACTTACTGAACCATTAAAAAGTCATGTTTCATCCTAACAAAAGCCTTCAGCTCATCAGACTGCAGTAGTGTAATGAGTCATTAGAGTTATAACCAAACATGGGGTTTATAATGGGGCCCTTTAGTTTGACATACTTGTTTCTACTCAGAAACCAGCCTCTCAGTGTTTTAAACTGAGCCTTTACCTCCTTCATATCATCGCTGCAGATAACCATGCCAACATCGGGCCTACAAAAATCAAGGATTTCAAATACTTCATATTTCTCAAGAATTATTTTCCGTCTATTCATGTAAATGCTGAATAAATATAAGAAAAAGAGTGCCCCTAGATCACTTAATCAAAATAAAGATTTGATAAATTCCATCGAAGTTCTTTTTTCCCGTTTTAAACATATTTAGTTGACATGTCTGGTGGGATCCAACCAGTGTAGAGTCAATATGTAGAACTGAATTCAGACTTTTTTGATGTGTTGACAGTAACTTTCAAAAATCATCCACCAGAGGGAAGTAATGTGTAACCACACAAGCACTGAGTTGAGCCCTGTCTATTAGTGTAGTCATTTGGCTAACTAAGGAAATATTCAAATCCTCACCAAACTGCACTGCATTCTCCACCAGAGAGTGAGAGTCTGGTCGGTAGTCTGATACGGAGCCACAGCTGGAGATACAAATGAGCCTTCAAACTGCTCTGGATAACAGTCGTGTCCTCAGATGATCTGGAGTGATGTACAACTGATTTCAAACACCGGCTTGTGTGCAAACAACTCCACCCCGTCACTATTCATACACCGCCACAGCGCAAATACACAAATCCGTCAATGCTGGGTCGAATTTTGTGTTTGTCACATTAGTAGCAGGTGCAGGAAGTTGTGAATTTTGCACCAGGAAGAGCGCAAATGACCTGAGCAATTTCAAATGAGATTTAAAAAAAAAGAATAAGAAGAACTTTATTAATCCCTGAGGGGAAATCCAATTGTCTGTTGTCTTACATAATATGTCTCTAAAAGTTATCTACTATTTACACAAGAGTTATAAAGTCTGATGGCTGTTGGTACAAAAGATCTTCTGAATCTTTCTGTCCTGCAGCGAACAGAGAGGAGCCGTCCACCACCATTGGTCCTTTGGTCCATCAAGGTGTTGTGAAGTGGGTGATCCATGTTCTTGAGAATAGTCTCCACCTTCCTCAGTGTAAATCTCTAGAGGCGGCTCTGCCCCTTTCTGTAGATGAAGTCTATATTCTTAGACCAGTCTAATTTATTAACCAGATTATCCAGAAAAAAAGTTATATCTTGAACCAAACTTCCAAGCGTATTAAAAACATGCGAAGATAAAATAAGGAGACAAGACCAATCTCTGCTTAAAGAAGAAACTAAACTTATCTTCAGTCATAAAGAAGTCCTATTAAGATTAAGAAGAGTAAATATGTATTTTCTGTGTTTTGTATTTACTGATGCTGAATAAAGGCAGCAAAAATCACTCATGGAGAAAATTCGAAAGGGTAATTCATCATGGCCTTTTAAAAGAAAAAAAAACTAAAATATTTACAAATGGCCACAAAAAGAAGTATTTCCATCCATGTATCAGACTTTTGCTGATTTGGGGAATCAAATCCAGACAAAGTCAATTTTAAAACATCAAATCCAAATCTTAATTTGGTTAAACCATTTGTTTCCTTTTGTTATCAGGTATGTTTTATGGCTGTGCTCACTCAGAGATATTGAGTTTTATGTAATCGTAGCCAGTAGAGGAATGTGGGTCTGTGTGTGTTACATGTCTCATATTCAAACTAGAGGAGGAGGAGGAGGAGGAGGAGGCGGCTCAGTCTTGTTTTCCACACACCTGAGCAGCTTGTTAACTGTAATCAGATCTACTTGGGAAAGTGAATGAGGTGAGTCTCCTCAGGGTGTGTTTGTGTGTGTGTAAGTGTGGGTGGGTGGGGGAAAAAATGTAGAGCAGGGGTTCTCTTTTTTCCATCATCGCCCTCGTGTTGACCTGATTTTCTCACCGTTTTTGCATGAGCACAAAATGAACCCCTTTGATAGTATATTCTTTTAAATCCCCTTTTAGCTGATTTCTAGTATTACAGAGTCAAAGTGTGAGAACATCACTGACAGGTGAAGCTTTATTTCTCTACCTTAACAGAACCATTGAGGTACAAAGAGGACGAATGCCTGATTTGAATACCCATTTCCACCTGGAGCTTGTCAGGGCAGTTTACATTAGGACAACAGTGTGTGTATTTTACTGTGAGGTGTGTGGATCGATGTAAAGGGAAATGTCACCTCCTTTGAACAAGTCATTTGTCATATTAAACCAGCCCTGATATGGAGTGTGTCCATGCGTAACCTTTGCGCCAAGGCGTCTCTGCCCGTGTTTATACATCAATAATACATGCTCAAGTGCAAGAACTGAGTAGGTCAGCAAACGTTAGGCAAATAGGAGATAACTTTGTGTCTGAAAACCATAAAATAGGTAATTAACATTTTGGACTTGAGTTGAGTTTTAGGTGTGTTAAAGTTACGTATTTTTCGTTTTACCTCTTTATTTTTGACCAAGTTTGTCAACCTTTAAGTCAAACTTCACTTCAGCTGCAGTCAACTCGCTGGAGTTATATATTATAATAACAATAATAACTTTATTTTTATAGCACTTTTAAAAACAGAGGTTTACGAAGTGCTTTGACAAACAGTCGTAAAGCATCAGCACATGGAAATGAAAACAACCGAATTGAAGGCCAATTTCTTTTGTCATAAGAAACCCAGACAATACACGAACCCTACAACATAAAATGAGACCAAGAGGACCAAAATAAAAACTTAAAATAGGTAAGAAGAAGAAATTCAATTTAAAAAAAGGGGGGTAGAAAACAGGAAACAGGATATTAAATATAAAAAGACAATATTCATAATAATAAAATAATTAAATGGTTATATTAATGACAAAATGGAGTAAGATAAATGAGCAGATAAAATAAAATAAAAATAAAAAAAGAATAAGGAGAACTTTATTGATCCCCGAAGGGAAATCCAATTGTCTGTTGTCTCACGTAATACGTCTATAAAAGTTATCTGTTTACACAAGAGTTATAAAGTCTGATGGCTGTTGGTACAAAAGTTCCTCTGAATCTTTCTGTCCTGCAGCGAACAGAGAGGAGCCGTCCACCACCATTGGCCCTTTGGTCCATCAAGGTGTTGTGAAGTGGGTGATCCATGTTCTTGAGAAAAGTCTCCACCTTCCTCAGTGTAGATCTCTCCACCACATCCTCCCCTGAGTCCAGCTTGAGCCCTACCACAGAGCCAGGCCTAAAAGGTTAAATAAGAAAAGATTGTAAGTAAAACAAAGGCTAAAAGGACAGTAAGTCTAAATAAGATAGAGGTTTAAAAAAAGAGAAAAGAAAAAAGATTTATTGATATTGATATTGACGGATTCATCACACCTAACCTCAGATAGTTTAGTTAAAAGAACAGACCATAGACATGTCTGATGAGGATACATTCACTTGTAACCACAATCCTTAATAACATCAGTCTCTCAGATGTTTTAGGGAATACGAATCGTCCTAAAATATCTCTACATCCTTATGATCCTATAAAACAAGCAAACCAAGTAGGCTGTTTCCATCATTAATGCAGGCCAGTTGAAAGGTTTAGCTCATGATTTCATTTGTATCTCTAAATCTCGGTCAGATGGAGCATATATCTGGGCTGCAGTGGAGGATCATACCAGGTTGCTGTCTCTGCTTGTTTTTCTGCTGCTGGTGCGGCTGCTGCTGTCTACGTCAGAGGCGGCGCTGCGGCGCAGTGTCGGGCTGCAGCAGCACGATGGTGGTGCGACGGATGCGCACAAGGATGCGACAAAGTTTCAAGATGCTACCGCACTAAGAAGCAGAGTTTACATGGCTGAAACAGACGTGCAAATAAGTCCTTCTTTGCTGGCGCTAAGACGGCAGTTCGCTTCAGGCTGCGTTCACACAGGTCGTTCAAGTCCTCGGTCTGTGCACCTGCATGATCTGTGAGCCAGGTGAGGGTAAGCATGAGTAGTGGGTGTGGCGTCGTTCACACAGTCTGTATGACCTACTACATATAGGCCAGTGGCGAACAAGCGAGGCAGCTTTTTTTTTTCGTTTACACAAAGCGGCGGAGCTGCAAAGCGACGCGGGCTGCTGCCTCCAGCTCGTCCTGCTGTTCTCTTCATCATTAGTTTCATCCTGAGGATCAGAAGGCGCCTACTGAGGTGAGTCAATCCTAAATCCGCTTCTACAAAATTTTAATCTGATACAACTCCTCTAATACTTATGTTTACAATAGGAATAAACTCAGGAGTGATGTTAAAGTGTATGATCTCTATGTGTAGATGGTGTTACAGTGAATGTTTGCGTAAATTATGTGCCATGCGTTTAACATGTACTTACAACAAGATCATCTGAGTCGGAAAACATCCCTATTGTAAATTGAAGCTTATCATTACTGCTAAAAAAAAGTACACAGATCACTATGATTCTGTTCGTTTATTTACATTGATCAGGTGAATTTTTGGTGCGTCCTTTCAAATGCTGTCCATGTTGGAAAAATGACTGTTTTCCTACTCTCTCCAAAGTAAATTCTAGAAGCCAGGCTGAGACACCTGTACCTGAAGCGCACCTGCTAGCCCCGCCCTCTACCTCTGTAGCAGGACCTGTTCCTGCCTGCAGCTATGTAAACCCCACCACGAATAAACACACAGCTTTTTTTTCTTATCAGATTTGGAAAACTATAAACACCATAACCCATATAAAGAAAACTTTGAAACGAAGTTTGTCATCACTGTGTATTTGTTGGTGTATGTTTTCCTTGTGCTGCTTTGGAAAACCAATGCTCATTACCGTCCTCACAGACATCACAAACAATTGTATGTATGGGTGTCCCCATGTGTGGCAACGCATGTGTTGCAAGTATGGGAATACATATGCCAGGAAACTAGGGGACTTCTATATGTTTGGATTCATTTATCTACCTACACGATCAATCCCCATAAGACCCTGAGACCTGCCTGATTGCACCCCAGGGCTCTGCTGTGGATTGGAGGGGCTTTGGGGAGTACCCCTTAGTAGCTTTCACAACTCCTAATTAATAAACACATAGCAACAAGGACTATTTTTTAAATTTAATGACTATTTTCCACTGTGGTTGTTATTAGATTAATGATAAATACAAGTTGAGCAATTCATGATTAAATTATGAATACTGTGTCAACTTTAGACAACAATAAAAAGTAAAAAGTAATAAAGGAATAACTTAAAAGAAAAGACAGGTAATTCATAGACATAAACTTTGAAATGGTAGAATAATGCATGGCTTAATAAAACACACAAATAAGCTGATAGAGTTGCCCAAAATAGAGTAAGACTGTCAAAAGCATGACTAAGAAAGTTGTTTTTCTCATGAATAATAAATGATCCTTGATATCTATTGAACAAAACAAAAACTGAATTTTAAATAGCAAGGACAAAATCTTGAGATGAGAGATTTTATTATGATGATACCAAATATAAAATGCTTGAGCACAGAAAATGATACACTGGTGTCTTCAGATTGACAGTATTTCTTCTTACCTCTGTACATCATAGAGTTATTTATTTATATTTTTGTATGCAGTGCTTTTGTGCTTTTCTGTGAATACTCTTAACCTGATGTCAAAAATGAGTGGTATCACCTCCATTTCAAATCATGATCTTCCACTTTATCCAGCAGCTGATCTGATGAGTGTTCTAGGGCAGCCAGCTGACTGAGAGAAGTGAGAGATGGTGCTGGTGCAGTGGAGACTTTCCATTCTTTGACAAAAGTTTGGGCCTCAGGCACCATTAAGAGCTCTCACAGTTAAGTTAAAAGCAAATCTGATAAGTATGCTGGAGTGATACCATTAGAAGCTTTATAAACCAATAAAGAACTCTGAAAATCAATTCTCAAACATACCGGTAGCTCATATAGAGACTCTTAAACCATTGGGATGTGGGCCAGGGATTGCCATGGCCACCCTGAACTCATGTTGGCCACCTCTCAATCCTAAACCCTAGCTGACCTCTGGCTTAGTTAGGGGCAGTACGTACAATTTATGAAAATCAATTATTACTCTACATGTTCACTTTGGACAAACATCTATTTTTTGTGTCCCTAGAGAAGTTTAGTACACTTTAATGCTGCTTTTCTACATTTTTTTTAATCATTGCTTGGTTATTCTTTTATATCAGAGTTAGAATAGATGTGATTTGAGGTTTGGGATAAGTCCTGATGGTTTACCACACCATAAACTTACTCTGTTGAACATCTCTAAAGTCATAACTCTCTTTATAGTAATTTGAAAACTTTATTTACTTTGATATGTAAAATTTTGCATAAAATATATAAAAAAAAAAAAACATGAAAAATGTATCATACTGTTAAATTACACAATAAAGTAGTACAGTCTAGCTTCCCCTTGATAACTGTGATAAATTCACTGTAAAATGATAACCCAGATATATGAAACACTCTGGCAGAGGCTATTCTTCTCAGATCCTCAAAATCCTCTGCTATACTTCCTTATCTGTTTGTTCTCCTCTTTAGATATCTCTCTTTTATCTCTCACAACTCTCTGCCTCGATTTTCTTTCAGTCCAGCGTGCACAATGAACTTCAAGAACTTCAGGGAGTACCTGGCTTGGCTCTACTACCAGTACCTGCTCATCACAGGTATCTACGTCCTGGAGCCCTGGGAAAAATCAATCTTCAACTCCATCCTCTTCTCAGCCATTGCCATGGTAATCTACACCTCATATGTCTTTGTGCCCATCCATGTGCGCCTCGCACTGGAGTTTTTCTCGGGGATCTTTGGTGGCCAGCCTGAGAGCACCATGGCACTCATGAACTAAAAGGAGGAGGAAAAATGAAGAAGGAGGAGGCTATGACTGGGGTTTGGATTTTTAGCATGAATCCCCAAATCATTTCCTGTAACTCTGCTCCTGGAGTGTGATTCTCTTTCAAGACTGAAAACACGAAGATCTTAATGGAATAATCTGGAAATCAGAGCCTTACCATCTTCTTTACATCCCAAACCCTCTGGCCTTACCCCATGGTATTAGATACATGACTGCGCTTTATTTTCACCAGCATGCTGTGAAACATCTTGTAAAATATTGTTTGTCCTTTTTTTCCCCTAACACATGTCCTGTACGAATGCATCCCACCCTCGGGTTTTTGCATGATGGGGCCATGAGTGGGTAGCTCAGAAATTTGCATGTTCGTCTCACAACAAAACATGAACAGATTTGTTTTTTTTTTCTGGAGAGATGCAAAACTATAGTTCCTTTTTTTGTAAGGGCCTACTATAAGTTTGGTTTGTTGTTTCCATGACATTAGCTGACTGTTTGTATGTAACCTAAGCTGGAGATAAGAGATGATCTGGCCTTAACTCCCAAAATAACTCTTTTAAAACACAAATAATTTTGAGTTCAGCTCAAAAGTTTATCAGAAAGACCCTCTCTGTGTGTTTCATATCCACATCTCTTAACACCATAAGTCTATGATACAGCTTCCCAACAAAAATATACATTCTCCGAACCCATGCTCAAGTATCACTTAGATATTATTGGATTTATTGAGATTTCCAGAACTGGCTGTGTCAGAATTTACTTTTATTAAACCTACTGTGTAGTCTTTATGTTATTTATTATGGACTAGTCTTGACCATATTTAGCCTTTGGACCATTTCAACTGAATAAAAGTACTGGTTTTTTTTGGTATGAACACTCCTCCTGCTACTAGTCCTCTCTTTTCACAGATGTGGAAACCACAGTGTATGAATCATGTAGTGGCAATGGTCTAAGGTCTCATTTACTCTCCATAAAGTGAACTCTAGAGTGTTTACTTCAAGAGGGATAAAGTGAATAATTTCTGACACAGCCTAGGATAAGACCCCCTCAAAGCTTCATCAAAGGAACATTGTGATCAAAATTAATGAAATGTCCCTTTAAGTATTAGTTTTTTTATAGTTATGGTAGCACCATATCATCCCTCATTTCAAATTGCTCTCTGATCAAACTCAAGTTAAGCCTCTTTCCAACATTTGTGTCAAGCACTTAGCACATCAGGTGGATCTTTGGTTTAGTATCACCACTTTTATGCACTGTAACACTAACAGTCAGGTAACTGTGCAGATTTCAAACCACCGTATAGCCGAACTGATCCCAGAAATGCCCAAGCTATGCAAAGAATTTCTCGAAAGTCACGACCGTGGATCTGTTATGCATTAGTTAAGTGTTTGTCCTAGGCTCTCATGTACAGATTTACTGATCAAAGTGAGTATTAAAAGTAATAAGTGTGTGTAGAGGCCCTCTCTTTATCCCTTGTTTTGAACTGTTGGTATGTCAGGAAGGTGTGCTCTGCACTAAGCATGAGCAAATATTGATACAACTCACCTTTGTGTTTTAGACTTGCCTTTGTTAATGATGCAGCTTTGCTTAACCAACAACATTTGGGTTGAAGCTGGGAAAAGCTAGACGCAAAAAAAAAAAAAAAAAGCTGCAGTCTGATTGTTTGTGTCTAAACCAACACTGTCCTCTTTAGCTGCAGCTGATCTGCAGACAAAGAACCAGAGAGACGAGTCGAAGTGTATCAGGTGGTTGTTATGAGCATTGCTTTTTGTGTGTACGTTGTTATAGATCATCTTTGTTTGTGCTTTAGGTCAAGGGCTCGCTGATCACAGTCCAAGCATGATCCTCAAGTTAGCTTTATTTATATGGAATTATATATTTATACACATTGGTAAATGCTTGGCTGGTTACAATGTCAGTTACCAAACCTTTTTGGATTATTTACTGTATACCTGTGTTCTCTTGTGGCCATAAATGAAACAGCATTTTATTAAGTTCTCTACCTTGTCTTTTCAACCTGAAATTGCTTTTGTACTGTTCCCATTTCACTATGTCATTACATTTCACATTTATCCAACACACGCCTATCATAGCCTCAGACATTTCCTGTACCAAGAATAAGGAACGTGTTTTTTTCACCCAAATGAAAGTTAAATTTCTACTTACAAGCACCACATGATTGCAATATTCTGAAAATAAACACATCTAAAACACACATACTGTTCTTCTTGTCATCCTAGCAGTGCTTTTGGTTTAAGTTTTCTATGCGTACAGTTTTTTAGACATGTTGCTCTATTCATGAAGCCTTTTAAGTCTTGTGTGCTTTCAGTCTTACAGGCCTTTGAAATACAGTAAAAGCCCAAAGGCTTATTGGTTGCGCATTCCTGACACAATTAACTGTACCACATGAAGTGAATTCACACAATATAAGGGCAGAGCTGCCAAACCAGTTCTCCCTTGACAGTGCAGGAATGAATGCCCAGGGGGCTTGGCCTTTCCTGCAGACACTTGGTAACCTGTCTGTGCCCACAAAGCATCCTGTACATCCACCATCTTTGCCTGAACAGACACAACTAATATCCACATAAAAGATGACATTAAAATGACCCTGTTGGGGAAATATGGTGTAATAAATGATGCAGCATTAAAATTTGAACTGCACATGCAAGTTTCCTGCAATATTTCAGTTCAAACACTGACGGATGGGGAAGTAGGAAGTTGTTTTGGATTTTACTTTAATCCCAGCGCAGAGACTGGGCAGGTAACTACATTTAAGACATGGAAGTGGACACCTCCCACTCCCGGTGGAACATAATATCTGCTCTTCCTCTGTTTTTGACAGATACATTCAGCTCATCTCTGAACAAAACTGAGGGCCCCTTTTCTCTTCTTCCTCTTCTTTTCTTATCTCTCCTTGCTTCTTTGTTCCTCTCTTTTCTTTTTATCTCTGCATCTTTTCTTTTCCTATCCTCTATACTCTGATCTTTTCTTTCACCTCACTTTCTCTCCTCTTCCTATCTATACATTCCTTTCCCTCCTAATCTTGCCTTTCTTCCTTTCCTTTTTGAGCATTATTATTTTCCTCTTTTTCCTCTCTCTCACCTATTCTTATAATGTACCTCAAATCACGTTCTTTACCTCTTTTTCCACATGTATTCATTGTATATCTCTGTCTTGCACCCTCCCTTCCATTTCTTTCTCACCTTTTCTTTTCCTTAATTTATATCTTTACACTTCTATCTCTGTCTTTCCTCTCTTTTTCTCTAACTTACCTTATACCTCACTGTCTTTCCTCTCCTTTATTTCCTCCTTTCCTTCTTGAGGATGTTTCCTTTTCCACCCTCTTCTCTGTTCCCAGCCTTTCAGTAACCTCACCCCCACCTCTCCACTTACAGAGAGCCAAATACTACGTTTTTCAATGTTTTCCGACACATAAAGGTTGTTTTAGGGTCTACATCGGGGTCTTTGAAACATCACCTTTTGTTTACACACCACATGTTAATTTGCATCCTATGAAGGAAGAGGTCAAAGGTTATCTCTGCAATAACAAGGTGTCAACAAACCTACCTGCCGACTCCCACAACACCCAGCGCAGCAGTGTTTTGTTTCTGCTGTGTTTACATGTGTCCTGTGACTGCTTCTTTCACATAAAACCGCGGGGACTCCTGGCAACAGTCGGCTCAGCACTTACACACAGGTACACACAGGTTACACAACACATAGAAAAAATACACAACACGTGTGCAAAAACAACACTCCCACTGCAGGCAGGTCTCAGTTTACAAGGAAACCCCAGAAAACGTTCAAACATTAATAACGCTGCCAGCATTCAATAGGTCCCCTCAGTTTGGCTCAAGTCTCACACACATAGAGACACACACTAAACACTCACACAAAGACCTGAACCTCTACTACTTGACAGCCTATGGCTATAAACAATAGCTATGAGCCATTGTTCAGCCCCCCTTCAGGTGTAAGTCCATACACTGAAAGTCTCCAGGGTAACCGCCTTAGACGACCGTTAAGCCACGATAATTGACTGACAACATACGACATTACAGCTTTTGTGTGACCTTCTGGTTTCAGTTTACACAAATTCATATTTTTGTTTATCCAAAGGTGGGTGTAACCTATTCAAACTCTAAACTTGAGTGTGATCCCATTAAATAACACACAGGTGTTTCTCTGAGTTACTGTAACAAGTTTAAAGGGTTACTGTAACAGGAAAGGCTAGCTGTTTGATCCCAGTTACCTCAGTTTACATGAAGCACAAGACACTGGACCCCAGACTTGCTCCCTTAAAGGGATATTCCGGCGTAAAATTAATTAATTCTTCATGGAAATGCAATCAGACTGAGACGCTACGGCAGAAGAACTACCATGTCTGCAGTGCAAAATGATTAATATGGTGATTATTACTTCAAGGAAATGATAAAGAAATTATCATAAATGTTCTTCCTTGAGCTGCGTCACCCCACTGTAGTCCGTAATGGACTGGCCCGAGATCTCGCTACAAACTAGCGGCTGCTGGAAGAGAGTAGGTGAGTTGTGTTTAGTCTCTTTGCTAAAGAAATCAGGCAAAGTTAAAAAGATGTTTGGTGGCTAGTGCTGTAGCTGGAACCCTATATGTACTGTTGATGAAGTTAGGTGCTGTTCTGAGCATGAATTTACCCCTTTTTATACACACAAAAAACTGAACAATGCATCCACTCTGAAAACTTGAAAATGTGACTCCAAACTGTTCAAGTCTAAGCCAAACTCTACTCAAATATTGTTAAGATTGAGGCCTTTAAAAACATCTGAACATTTCCAGTTGGGAAAGCGGAGTAGTCTGATGTGATGCCAAAAAGCCCTGGTTGTGCCCACATTAAAATCAGTATGTTTCAAAGGTATCAGATGAATTTTACATTGATTTCGACATCAGCTCATGTGACCAACAATAATGATTGTTTAACAGCGTGACTCAGGCTTGTGTTTGTGAAACCACATAAAATCTGAAACAACCAGGTGGTTTGTGAGTCACTTCTCTTGAACCCTTTTAACTTCTTTTGTACTGCTGGGAGTGTTAGCCTCTCCCTGTGTTTGTGAGTGTACCTGTGTTTAATATTACAGAGTATTTTGGGGGTGGCTGGGTCAAAGATTGATCAAATACTGGCAAATGATTTGTTGATATAAAAGCTATTCATGAGAAAATATCCCAGGTAGTCACATGATTTCAAAATAATCACATCAACAACAAACATCAGGCTGTATCACCAGGACTAAAGATGAATTATCTAACGTCCCCCTGAATGTTAATCCAAGATTTATTTCTGATCTCTGTGCAAAATTTGTGCTGTGGCATTTCTAACGTTTTGTGCATTTATTCTGTCTTTGTAGATCAAAGGCGAGGGAGGGTTTCACCTGGTGACCCCACTCCCAGCTTCACAAGGTATCTGAGTCAGGAATCAGTCAATATGAGTGTAGGAGTGGTCTGTCCTAGGCGCAGAAAAGCACAAAACCACAGCTGCACCCAAAGCCTGACATGGTCAGTGAGGTTTTCCAACAAATGAAAGTATGTGCACTGAACTTTGTGCCATGTTGAGCTCACAGTTAATACAAGTAGAGAGCTACATACATGATACATACATGATACATCATACCTGAGCAACACCATGATTTTAATTTGTGTGCATGTATTATATAATTTTGTTTCTGTCAGGATCCTTCAACCTGAAGCACAAGTCTGCCACCACTTGGCCAAAAGGAGGAATGATCTTGCTCAGTATATGCGGTCCGTATGCTGACATAAATCTTATCTTAAGAAAGAAAATTAAAGAGTGTTTGACATAAGTGGAGGAACAGAATCTCTTTTCTTTCAGCCACAGCCGTCTGTTTCATATTGAAGCTTATTTCACTGCACTATGTTGTATATTCATGGAAAAAGGGAAATGTTCTCAATGTGTGCAAGCTTCTGTGAAAGAAAGTTCTCTGACTTTAGACTGAGACATAAAAATAAGAGCAAAACTGTCTGTGATAATCCTTTATTTGAGGATTCAAGGAAGTTTGTCAGTCGTTTCAGAACATGTTGGTGCGTAAAGGAATGACAGGTACTCAGGTCTCAAATGAGAGAGCCTTGCAAGTCTGGATTAAACAGTTGAAAAAGAAAAACAACAATAAATGTATGGAAGAGACTGCAGATAAGTGGGCTAAATTGCACATTTGACAAACCAACATGTGACGACAGATACAGAAATAAGCAGGTCCAAGTACAAGTAGCAACATTATCATCAAATCATACCTGCTATGAAAACTTCCACGTCTTCACATTGCTGAAGATCAGGTCTCAGTCTGGGGCATTTCAGGTGAGTTGATGTGGGACCTTTGTAAGGTATAAAAAAAGAGTGATACAATGAGGCTGCGGCGGGGCAGTGCCTCAGGGAGGCGCCTTGTATTCTGTGAAGGAAAGACAGAGCAGGTGTGGTATAGACGGGGAGAGAGAGAGAGAGGGAGTAAGACGGTGCATTCATGACCCAGATTCAGCATCTCACCTCTGTCTTAGTGGAGGTTGGTCTTGTTCCCAGGAGACAAAACGTATGACCTCAAAGCACCCAGAGGACATTTTTGATGTCTTTTTGTTGTTGTTTAATCTCTATAGAAACACATGTAACATAGCATTGCTCAGTGTGCTAACTAGTGGGCTTTTACTTTGATGAGCAAATAAATAGACTTTAAATAAAGCATTACTAGCTGTTTTAATGCCCGTTTTTTTGGGTGCTGGGCAACATGTTGTTATAACTGGTTTGCCTGCTAATATGCAAAGAAAGCAGGAATAATGAGCAACAAAACAGCGAGCACGTCTTTAAACTGTAAAAGTCATTCCACTGTAAAACAAATGCTCTTGTACACATTAGAAATCCATCCGTTAGAGAGACTGCTCTGATAAAGTGTGGCCATAGAAAGAGTTGTTGTACTCTGTCTGACTACATGAGATGTGCACTCTCTGCCAGCAGATCTCTTGCCACAGTCATTAGGCACTAATTCAGTAGGATCTCGATTTTCTTTGATAGGAGCCAACAGTCAAGGACAAAAAACAGTCAGTGGTCTTACTCGAACTGATGAGCACACATTGAGGAAAAGTCTTACACGTTGCTTTATAGTTTCTAAATTTCTTTTTTGCTCTCACTCTTATGCAAACTCACTCTACACACTCTCTCCTGCTCCAAGATCTCCTTTTCGTGAATGAGGTTAATGTAAGGCAATCCATGTCCATCCATCCAAGTCGTCTCTGGTCCCTTCCTTGCTTGGCTGCACCTGTTGAGTAAGTTAACTCTTCCTTATCCTTCGCTCTGTTCTCCGTGTGGATGTAGTCTGAGGGCAGAGACGGTGCTGGTGTTAAATGAACAGACAGGTAAGCTGTGCTTGAGTCCTCTGTGGCCAGCTGGGCACTGTAAACTGACTACTGCTGTTATGTGGGATCTGAATGGAGCCAAGAGACATTGGGGGGGTTGAGGTCATGCAAGGAGAACCCCAGATTAGTCTGTCTCACTTTTGTTCAGGACTCTGTTGTACATCTTACACCTTTTGTTCGTACTTTATGAAGGGTCAAATTGGGGATAGTTTAGCTGAGGGAAAAGGAGCTTTAGATTCAGAAAAATGTAAGAAGATGAAAATGGTTTAAACAAGCACAGTCTTCTCTCTCTTTGTCCGTCCAACCACCATCCCTCTCTGTTTCCCAGATTTCATTTCCCTTCTTCCTGCTCACTCATACCTGGACACAGATCCCTCTGAGGGCATGAGGTCTTTGACAACTGAGGCATGCCTGCTGCTCAAGCATTCATTGCCACTGGAAAGTCTGGGGTTTCGAAGACACGGCTACCAGAAAATCACTTTTCTCCAAAAACCCGATGCTATCTTGTTGCACAGTAAGAATGAATCATTGTCCAGGCACACAGTATAAATCATAGTCAGCAAACGTAGCTGCCAGCAGTTGTGGGATCTCATGTGCAGAAAGTCGGTCACAGTGATCAGACAAGCGTTGCAACTGCACTGATTTGAGGGGGATAAGCTGGTTCCTTTGACAAACAGCTCAGGTTTAGCAACTGTTGAGTGAGGAGATTATCTGTGCTCTTAAAACTAAAGCTTTTTGCTGGATGCTAACCAAATTCTTAGATTCTTGTGCTGCACCACTTTGTAGATGAAATGCTTTTAATGGTCGTTGAGGTCTTTTCTCAAACAGCCCACTTCCACACTTCTGTGCTGCACTTAACATATCAGAGAGCTGTGGAAATGGTTTGCCTTTACCCGCTTGAAGCTATAGGCAGAGTAACATCCAACCTTACCCAGAGAAAGTTTCTTGTAGTGCCCTGGCTTCTGTCACAGACCCCTCTTTGCTTGGCTTTGTCCCTCATAAGAGCCTTGGTAGCTTGGTTAGATGTTGGAGGAATGCCTCTGGTATCAGATGACCCATTGCCCCACGGCCTTTGCTCCTCACCTTGCTCGCAGCGAGGGGAGTGCTCTTGGTGGGCGCTGTATCCCGTGTCACAAAAGCGCCTTTCTGCACAACAGGGTTACAGAAAACGGGCCATAGCACAGTGGTTCTCCTTGGGTCGACTCCAGACCACTGTAGCTAGATTTCGGACCTCCCCTGTGTCTCCAGCAAACACCTCTCATTGGTGGAGATGTTCTTTCACCCAAGCCTGGCAGAGATATCAGACCGACTTGGAGCTACTGGTGCTGCTTCCAGGCAAAGGCTAGAGAGGATAAATGACCATACCACTTATGCATAACTGGGTAAGTCTTACCATTTTTATTTTATTCTATTATAACAAATAGTAGGTAAACAGGCATTGGATACCAGTAATGCCTTGGACGATACATAATTTCATTGCATATTTGATTAAACATAATTGGTTGACAATCACTAACTTGCATAGTAAGATTGTTCAAAGCTTGAAATTACAATATAGAATATTTACAACTGGAAATAGATAAAAAGAAGATTAAAAAAAGAGAGAATTACACAGGAAAGATCATTTTAGTATTATGATTTGCACGTGCAAGGTTTTATCCTGCATGTATCCTGTATTATTTTGTTGTCCCTGAATGTAAAATTAATGGGAATTATTTTATCGTCATGAATAAACGCATCTGTTCTTAGATCCCAGTCAACCATGAGGATAATCTCCTGTCAGCTGATCCTTGTGGCGGTAGTCGTGGTGACACTCACTCTGGTGTCCTGCGCTGAGGCGAAGACTACACCCAAACCAAAGTACCTGTACACCAAGAAGCCAGCCCCACACATCACTGTGCACAGCCCCGTGACCACCATCATGCCCAAGACCCTCAAGACAGTGCCAGTCCCAAAACCTGTGGAGCCCCAACCCCCACCTGCAACAGAAAAGACCAACTATGCCAGTCATCTGTATCAACAATATTATGAGGGGACTGAGACCCCTGGTGTTGGCCAAGACAACTACACTCTGGATTACAATGAATGCTACTTTAACTTTTGTGAGTGCTGTCCACCTGAGAGAGGCCCCAGAGGGCCGAAGGGAGACCGAGGATTGACAGGTATAAGGCTCACTGATCTAGTGCAGTAGATAAAAATGTATATATTTAAAATAATTTTATTTGTTTTCATGTGTGTTTTTGTTTGTTGAAATATCTTCATGTTTGCTTATACAGGGCCATCGGGTGAAAAGGGGATCACAGGTTTGGCTGGTTTGCCAGGACCACAGGGGGAGAGTGGTCCTGTGGGGCCAAAGGGAGACAGAGGTGGGGGTAAAACTTGAATATGGTATTTGAAAAAGATAACCTCTTACTGTCTTGTCTAATTCCTTAAAAAAGCATGTGGAGGTGCTTGAAAGGGTAAGAACAGGACAGCCTATTATTTTAAAAATGGTTATTTTGCAGTTTTGGGGCAATGCTTTGAAAAAGGAAGAAGATATGCCCAATTACTGCTTGGTTTTTAATGGTGTTATTTATTACAGCTCAAATATATACAATTTTACAGGTGACAAAGGTGACAGAGGAAATAGTGGGACAGCCGGACCACCAGGAATACCTGGAAAACCAGGACAAAAAGGTGAAAGTTTCTCAGGCTCTTTTATTTTTTAAATTTGACAGCTGCCCTTTTTTAGTCTGAGTGTTTAAGAAAAAAAAAACTCAAAAGCCAAACCATGATGTGCAGATCAGTTATGGTTAGCTTCATGGCTTCTTATGTATCATCAGATACACAAAATAGCTATCACATACTAACACCTCCTCATAAATACAAAAGACCCAACCTGTCCTCTGGGTCACCAAAAAAAGGGAAAAATCTAACCTCGTATTGGATCCCTGCCGACTGGTTACTATTTCCCACAGACCACAATTCCTCAATGTCAAACAGAGTTTACCAAGAGCTCACAAAAACTGGTTATGTTGGAACTTTAACGGTGATCCGCATTTCAAAGTCATGTAGCCTGTGAATAATTGAAACTGTTCAAGTACAGACAAAGATATTTGATTTCAAATAAACATCTTCACTGACACAGTTTCCTTAACTTACAGGTGATGTTGGCTCAAAAGGTGAGAAAGGAGAAAAAGGCTTGCAAGGACTCAAAGGTCTTGGTGGGGAGAAAGGAGAACCGGGCCTAAATGGGACTGCTGGTGAGAAAGGAGAGCCAGGGAAAGAGGGTCCAGCTGGACCCCCAGGACCAACTGTTGGGCAAAGTCTCAAGGGCGACAAAGGAGATAAGGGGGAGTGTGGTCTGTTCGGAGAGAGAGGACTGAAAGGTGAGCGGGGTGACCCTGGGCCTCCTGGCGTCCTAGGAGCTATGGGCATCCCAGGAATGAATGGCAAACATGGTTCCCCGGGTCCTGTAGGGGTCCGAGGCGACCCAGGACTTCCTGGCCCACAAGGAGAACAAGGCATCAGGGGCCCACAGGGACCAATGGGAGTGAGAGGAATGCCTGGGCCAAAAGGGGACAGAGGTTATCCTGGGATGCGAGGCGATCGAGGCATTCGTGGAATCAAGGGAGCAAAGGGATCATGGATCCCCCAGAAGCGCTCCGCCTTCAGCGTAGGTATCTCCCCAAGAAAATCCTTCCCACCTTCTGGTTTCCCAATACGCTTTGACAAAGTCTTCTACAATGACGAGAACCACTTCAACGTCACTTCCAACAGCTTCACATGCGTTCATCCTGGAGTTTACGTCTTCTCCTTCCACGTCACTGTACGGAACCAGCCACTGCGAGCCACGCTGGTGGTGAACGGATCACGACGGGTAAGGACACGTGACTCTCTGTACGGCCAAGACATTGACCAGGCATCCACTCTGGTGGTGCTACGGCTGGGGCTGGGCGATCAGGTGTGGATGGAGACCCTCAGAGACTGGAATGGGGCTTATGCCAGCAGTGAGGATGACAGCATCTTCTCTGGGTTCCTGCTTTACTCAGACAAGCCCTAAGACTCCTTTGAATAATGGAGCGTTCATTTTTGATTATCTCTGTATAATGGACAAATACTGGTGGTGCTACTCTATCTACTCATTACTTATACTCTGTTGACAAGCTGGGCTGCACACTTGTTTCATCATTCAAGGACCAAGGATTCAACAGTTAGTTCCCTTTATAAGATTTGGTAGGACAAGAAAGATCCATGAGTACTCATAAAATATGAGGCAATGGAAATGCCTATTTACCCCAGAAAACCACAAATGCAGTTTGGCATTTTTGGAGCTCGATGTCCCAAGCACAAAAATGCCCTTAGTCAGCAACTTTGAGCCTCTGCACTGGAAGCCTTCTATCATCACTCCTCTCTTACTGATCAAACACATTTGAGAGGGTGGGAGACTTTTGGTAACAGTTTTGTCAATAACAACAAATGATTAGCTCTTACTCTGCTGCACATTGTGTATATTTGATTTTACTAGGGTACAATTTCCATAGCTGCCTATTTCTATTAAAATGACCTCTAATAAAATGAATTTAACTGATTTTTTGACAGGTTAAGAAACTGACTTTATTTAAATTTTGATGTGATCCAGAAAAGTAAACAAGTCTATCAAGAACAGAACTGATTCAATATGTATTCTATAATGTTGTATAATATAATATGATGTGATCCCTGGGCTGGTGTCAGATAAAGTGATTTGCCTTTTGAAGAAACAGGCTTTTCCAAAATAATTTTAAAGCAAACATTGTTAGCTACAGTTCACAGAGTGCTGATGTCTTTGTCTACAACTATTGACACAAACCAAAAGTTTCTTACGGGGGCTTTAAGCAGACACAGCAATTTTACTCAGACTTAACAGTCGTCATTACCAAGGAAAGCAGAAGTGCTGCTAGACAACTTTGGTAACCTAAAAAGAGTCAGAAGGGCTCCGAAACTGAAGTGGTGGACGTTGACTCCTCAAAAAAAAAGAGGTCTTAATAAATACAGGCGCTAATAAATCACACATGCAGCCACAGGATTTCTTTGCAGGCTCTCGTTTCAGCATGATGAATGGAAGCAAACAGATGAACGCACACAGCTAAAAGTAGCTGGTCTGAGGTAACATGTTGAAATACACTGAGCTGCTGTTGTATTAAATCTATCATGCTTTATTATCTAGGACATCCGTGCAGACATTTAGTCCATCACTCAATCTTGTGTTGTGATGTTGCCTGTATATGAAACAGAAATTGCTATAATAACCTTAATTAAACAACCCCAAGCTTATCACTGACAAAAGGATGTAGTTTAATAAGAGAAAGAATAAAAACTTGTGAAAAGTGAACAATAACATTGATTCTGGCATCTATATTTTTTGATAGTTGTAGATCAATATAATAACTTTGCCAGTAGTGACTTGGACAGTGTGCAGGATTCTTTTTTACTCACCTGTGCACCTACTGTACTCAAGTGTGCGGAGATTTCTTAATTTGCTTGCATTTACTCTTTAAAACTCATATTTATACATTTGCTCTCGTCTTTTTCCTCATATGTTTGCCTTTTCTTTTTCTTGCTCTGAACTTTATTTTCACATGCGTCTTCATGATCACTGATGATCTACATTTTTTATGACTACTTGAAATTTAGACATGAAATATTCAATGTAAATGTTGATTATCCAGAGAATATCACTGTGGCTCCTTTTCTCTGTCATTATTCTCATGTATTACAGAGTGTAAAAATAAGTATTGTTCCACATTATGGCTGTAACAAAGATTTTGTTAATTGAAATAAATCTCATAGTCGTTTATTTTATTATTCATTTTCTTATACGATCTCTCTGATGCTTTATTTATTGTGACAATACTGCATTGTTATTATCACCTAACACTGCTGATCCAGTTCGTTAGTACAGCTGAGATCTCAAATAGGACATTACAAAGATGTTAGTTAATCTGTTGAATTAATAAAACCCAGTTATACACACACAATTATACAATGGACAGTGATTTGTGACTATTAATGCAGAAGAGTGTCTAGAAAGTCCTAGCGTATGATACCAGATCCCTCAGGCAGGTCTCCAGATCCCTCAAACATGTCTCCAGATCCTTCAAACATGTCCCCTGATCCCTCAGACATGTCCCCAAATCCTTCAGACACGTCCCCAGATCCCTCAGGCATGTCTCCAGACTCTTCAGACATCTCACCATACTCCATGTACATATTGAGAGGTCTGGAGACCGAAGTTTGTGTGATTGGCTGGACTGTAGTTGACTGACTCCTTGGTGTTGGTGGTAAAGGGTTTGGCTGTGGATTTGAGGATTGTGGGGAAGCTGATGTAGGTTGTTGATGGGTGGACTGGGCTGTTACTGGCAAGGAGGAGTCAGGGGATGAACTCATGGAAGGAAAAGGCCGTGAGTCTCTCGTAAATGAAGGCGTCGTCTGTGGTCCTAGCAGGTAAGAAATACTTTCCTCAGAAGATGCGTAAGTGCCGTGAAATGTTCACAATTTTGATATTCAGGAGAATTAGAGTTTTAACTTGTTTAGCTGAGTGAAACAGTCTGTTAAATTCAGTATTGGCAAGTTATTTAAAGATTTGGGGATCACTCCACCTGGAGAGGCCCAACTCAGGCACTTTGGCTTGGCAACTATATTGGCCTGGAGCCTGTTTGACTTGATAGTGATTCTCAGAGGTCGCTGCTCCCAGCTGGTGGTCACTCTCATAGAAATAGTATTGTACTGGAGGTGCAGGTGCGGGGCTGTTATACTGGAGGTGGCAGATGAGCTTCATCTTACCTTCTGGAATCAAGATGCTGTCTGTATCAATCTCCAAAGCTGGCTGAGAAAGAGCCTCTGAGGGAGAGACACAGGGGAGGAGACACAATGAAATAGTTTAAACAGTGTATGTGAGCTTTTTCTTTGCCAGGCATGAAACTAACCAAAGTTTTTACACTCAATTCAGCCAGCCAAATTCTGTAGGCAAAGTCAAATTGTTGCTTTAATTTGTTAGTTTATATAATCTTACCCAAGACGTGCACAGGAGCTTCAGCTGAAATCACAGAGACCGTACGCCTGTGTGAGTCCCAGGAAGCCCTGCAAGAGTACATTCCCTCGTCCTTGAGAGTCAAGTTAGACAGGTCAAAGGTTGGGTTGGGGCCTCTTTGTCTCATAACTTCAAGTCCGTCTTTGTACAGAATCACCTCATGAAGTTCGGGCTCGCCTCGGACCCGGCATGCTACTCTCAAGGTATTGCCAACAAGGCTTGGATGAGGTGAAACCTGCAGGATAGCCCACCCTCCTGAAAAATATTAATACAGAAAAAATGAAGAGAGAAAGAATTATCACAATATGTTCTGTTCATTGAGTTTTTCTCTGTGATTTGAGTGTATTTTCATTGTTGTTTCTGTGTCCTATTGTTCCTGTTTCCCTGTAGTCCTGTCTTGTAAGTTTTCAGTTTGTGTCTGACCCCGTTTCCCTCATGTTCTCAGTGTTTTACTCTATTATCAGTTTTCAGTGTTTCTTGTTTTGTTTTGTAGTAGTTTATTCCCTGTGTTTCTAGTATTTCTTTACTTCCTCAGTTTTCCCTCCTTAGTCATTGTCTTCACCGGTGTCTCAGGCTGTGTCCAAAATGGATCCCTAACCCCTATATAGGCGACTATATGGGGGTTAGCGCCATTTCGAGGGGTGTCCGAAACCTGAGTGATCAATTCCAATGCCCCATATAGGTGACTCAAAATTTCCCATAAAGCATTGCAAAATGTAGTGACCATCTGATGGTCACTCACCAGTGTTGGGCATCCCGTCACGCATTGCGTCTCGCCATGTAGTGTCTGAAACCTCTGGTGATTGAGCTCACTACATAGTCAACTATATAGTGAAACCTCACATGGGGGTTAGGGGTTAGGGATCGAGTGATTCATTTCGGGCACAGCCTCAGTGTCTCACCTGCCTCTCGTTGCTCGTTTCCCTGTGTGTACATAAAGTCCTTGTCTTCCCCGGTTTCTTTGTTGGTTCATTGTGAATTTGTGTTAATAGTCTGTGTGTCAGTGTCTCCAGTTTCTTCAGTGTCTCCATGTGGTTTTCCCCCCAGTGCCTTTGTCTTTTGTTGGGATTTTCGAGTTGGATATTATAAGTAAGTTTTTGTTGAGAAACATGTCAGTGCTCCAAAATTATTTGAAAAACCAACAGTTTATAAAAATCAAAGTGCCAAAATCTCAATTGTTCCCAAAGTTCAGTCACATGACACCCAGATAAACAAAAAAAAAAAAAAAAAGGAAGAAGCAGTTTAAACTGCGTCATGAAATATGCAATGATATGAGGTCTTACCATCAACACTGATCTCCACTGGGAGACTTTGCAGTGTATGTATGTTTCCAATCATTGAGCTCTTCTCTCCCTGGCAGTAAAACGTCCCGCTGTCTTGAACTTTTACTTTCCACAGAATAAGGTCTTTTCCAGTTTGAGGGAGCAGCTCAGATCCCTTGAACCAGGAGAAACTCCAGGACGATTGATTGACATCATCAGGAACGCTGCATTTCAGCCGAACACTCTCCCCAGAGAAGACCCTTGACTTCTGCGACACCAGCTCTGCTACAGCTCTAAATGAGGTCACGAGTGCAACTATGGAGACACACACGTTTGGTTTGACGGTTAGTGGCTTTTATACACATGTAAATAATAGCTTCAATATTTGCCCTATTGATGCTGTAAACAGCAGGATCTGATTATGACATATAATATATCTTATCATAGTATTTGGTACATACCCCCTGGTGTTACAAGCTGTAGTAGAACTGAAAAAACTGAAAAGGGACAAAAAAACAAACATAAGGCAATTTAAAGAGGACAAAATTTGTGTAACACTGTTAGATTCAGGTGATAGTGACCCAAAGAAGACTCACCGAGAAGAGAAATGACCGTCTGCATTTTGATTTCGCTGCCACTGAGAAATAGGAACTGAAGGAGAGACTTTTATTGCTTTTGAGGAGGGAAGTGAAAATTGAGTTTATTCAGAGCTATGACTCATGACACTGGACATCCTCTGCCTTTGCTTTCCGAAATGATGTCAATCTCTCCTCAAACTTCAAGCATCACTTCTAGGAACCAAAGCAAAAGTGTTGAAACGGCAGCCCAGTATTAAAGTCTTCAACTGTTGTTGATTTCTTTTTTCTAACATATCTAATTTCTTTGTTTCTGCTTTTGACCCCGTTTGTACATTTGAGAGCTAGAACCTTTAAATTAGTGAAAAACAGGTAGTGAGAGTAGCACCCTTTTCATAGTTCAGACAAGATGAACCAACACCCACTGAGTAAAAATAGGACAAAAACAGGATTCATATTTGCAGATTTTGGAAACTGGTTCCCCATTATGTAAACAACTTTTTTGACCCTGATTAAACTTTTATCTGTAGAAACTCGCTGAAACTTAATTTTATAAATTAAAGTTATTATGGAGATTCTGAAATCTGAGTTGAACACATTTATTCAATATTTCCCAGTATAAAAAAAATCAGTTTTTCTTAATTTTCTCATTTCAATATTAAACCATTGTTGGAATTTGTTTAAAGGAAAGAGTCAGTTGTGGATTTTGTCTGCTGTCAGAAATCATTGACATAAATTTGACATTCATCTACCTCTTTAAAGAAGCAGCAGGACCTGGTTTGCACAATCCAAAAGTAACCATCTGTGATGGGATCGAGATAGTTGTGTTCATGGCATGAATAGATTATACATCTGGGAAGACACAATCACTGCTCAAATATATGTTTATCTTTGGAATAACAGATGCTGCCATCCAGACATCCCATTTTTTTACAAGACAATGCCAAACATAACCTGCATGGTTTAAAAATAACTAAACAAAATACGACAAAGGAGCCTTGAAACTGTTGTGAAGTGCCATATCAGGCAAGAAAGGGAAATGTATATAAATAAGAACTTTATATATAAATAAAATTTGATTGATTGAATTTGATTAATTGAAATTTCACTTTCAAAAATTCTACATAGTTCCCAGGTGATGGTAAACACTCCCCTGTCCCTACTTTTTCAATCATGTTGCATCAAATCCAACATTTGCTTGTGTATTTATAATACTGTATAGATTTTTAAGTTTCAACATTTGTTGTTGTCTTTGAAACCATTTTTCTATTCATTATAGGGCTTCAGTGGTTTGCAAGCCATTTAATTATTAACATTTCTATTGTTACACAGCATCCCAACTTTTTCTGGAACTGTGGCTGTAATGTACAAGGGAACTGCAAGTCATACTGTTTGTCTTTTCTTTTTATCATGGATATGTTTAATGTGTTCCTTTATGACTTATATCGTATGTGTCTCGCTACTATAACATTAGAAATTCATGAAGTCTAATGAAATATTCTTTTTCACTGAAACTAGTTCCCAAAATGTTTGTTGTGTTCCTCATAACTTTCAGGAATGGTTTTCTATTGTTACCGCTTCTTAGCCATTTTTCTTTTCCTGTATTAAGCAACTGCCCAAATATGTCAAACTCTGAGGGAGGAAACTTTCTATTTTAGCCAAGCTGGCAAAATCCCCGTCATGTGAACCATAATAAAGAGGAACTACACATGCACACATGTGCATTTTCAGTTTTTATTTATCATCACACACCCATAGATGCAAATAAACCAATACTGCCCCAATAAGTTACATTTAAATAAAAGACAGTATTGAGATCTTCCAAATGATACATTAACAAACCTATAAGGTTAGAGAGATGATGTTTTCAATGTCTTTAAAATACCAGAGAAATGGCTTCTGCATACAGTGCATTATAGTTATTCAAGCTATTGCATTAAGTCTTTTTCTCAAACTAAAATTGGACAGCACGCAGACTACACTGTTCCAAACAAGAATCTGAAAAAAATGAGTAAAACATCGCAACAGAAGAATTTTAGCTCATTAGCAAAGAGAAAAAAAAACACACACACAAAACCCTCCCAAAGATTTTTCACTGAACTTTTGTCTAAAGACACAGACGGCAGTGAAACACTCTTTTCACCAATCCACCTTTCAGCTCAACATAGTCTCAACTACCTTCATTTCATTTACTTCTAAATCAAGAGGATTCAAATCAAAGTAAAGAAAAAGTGCTTCAACATAAACAAAATTGGTCATGTAATGTTTTCTACACTCGAACATCAACCTGCCTTTGGAGTCACTTGAAGTCTTGTGTTATCTACTTTACCCAAATTCTTTGATAAAGCAAACACAAACTGCCTAAAACTGATTTTTTCAACAGAACATGCTTATCTTATGACACCCTCTGGAGACATAAAGGAATAGACAAAGTTTGTTTTATATTATCATCAGATTTCATGTAACAATGTCTTCAGGCAATGTTCTTTACTACTGTAAATATTACAGGATTAATGTTTCCTATTGCATCCAAAAGAATTGATACCTGCCACTCTATAGAAAAATAAAATCACTTCTGTACATCCAGTTTATGACCGGATTAAGAGGTCTGGCATGGAAACAAGACAAGATCCGTACACACAACTGGGGGACTTCATGACTCATTGACATAAGCAGAACATGTCCATGCAACACACACTCTCAGTCACGCAATCTTACCAGCATGCACAACCTCCACATGCACACGCACATCTATCTCTCTCTCTCTGGATATTTCTCTGAAGGACAGGGGAACACACAGTAAATACAGCACTTATCACAAGAATGATGGAGGGGTTATTCGAATGCAGGGAAGATTTGCATTACACTGATTTCTCAATTTCCTTATTTAAAAAAAACAACAACTAAGAAAAAACTATTTTGAGGGAAATGTTGCTCGATGATACTTGGTAAGTCTGTGCATCATTTAGAGTCTTAACTTCATAATTTGCACCCAAATACGACACAACAGAGAAACTGAACCCCCGTCTGAAAGATTAAAACCAAAAACATAAAGGAAAAGTCTTGAAAGATCCCGTCAAACTAGTAATCCCAGCTGCACAAATGTAACAACAACGGCAAGGATGTAGCACTGAGGTACTGACGATGAATTGTTAAGAGAGAGTTTGGAGTGGAGTCAGTTGTATCCTTTGTATCTAAAGGAGCCAGTTCAGGTGGTGTGGGCATCTTGTCAGGAGGCCTGCAGGATGCCAGTCTGTAGAGGAGCAGAGCACGATAGGGGTATAAGGGAGTTATGTTTCCCTAATGGCCCAGGAACACGAAAAGACTTGGCCCAGTCAAGTAGGCCAACTCCAGTCCTCTTTGCCTAAATCTGAAACTGCAACAGAAGAACCCAGAAGTCAAGGGTTCATCAAAAATGCTCGCCCAGATCCTTAACTTCATTACTATGACAAAATACTTGGAGTGCACAAGGTGTTTGAAACATTTTGGGAGATGATCATTTGCTTTGTTACTGAGAGTTTGATATAAAAAGATTAATAACCCTCAGACATGTGGAAGCTAAAGCCAGGAGATGATTACCTCAGCACAGGGACTTAAACATAGGAAGACACAGCTAGCTTTACTGTTAGCACCTCAGAAAATACAAAGCATTAGGTAACTTGTATATTTTACACTTTAGTTTGGAAAAACTAAATGAAATTCATGTGTTTAATGACTAAGCTTAGAAGCTTAGTGAATTTACAGGGCCTGGCTAGCTGTTTCTTCCTATCCCAAACCTCTTACATTAGCTAAACTGAGTTGCTCTCACTGGTTGCGCCTTCATAAACCATCCAAACACCAGAGGGGTCATTCATCTTCTTACTTAACTCTCTGCTAAAAAGCTATTTATTGTGGTTCCCACAATCTGAACCCATTGCTTGAGTATTCATTAGTCGTTTCAGGGCCTTTAGGGTAATGTAAAGACTGGATAGAGATGGCTGGAGTAGGATCCGTACTGGATGCCTGCTGTATGTGCATACGGACAGTAAGGGTAAGAGGGAGAGGGTGGAGTAAAGCCTCTGGATAACTTCTTTCTGGAGCAGAGCCCCTCATATCAACCAGCAAACACTTGGGGTTGAAGTGGCGGAGGCAGGAGCTCATTTTCAATGTTATCTGCGTCAATTGCTGATGAAGCTGCGGACGTCCCTTCAGTCGTGGTTTCTGTTGGGTTTTTTGTCTCTGCAGGGAAACTCTCCAGAACGCTCTGAACCTTCTGCTCAACTTCGTCCGTCCAGTCGATAAGGTCACTCTCAAGCTGACGAGCCTGATCCATGACCCGCTCCTGCCGTTCCCCGAGCCCCGTCAGCAGGTCGAGCCGTTTGTGGACCTGACTGAGAGCTGCGCTGCCTGGGGAGCAGGAAGAAGCTCCAGAGGCCTGTGGCCAGTTAGGGGACGCTTGTCCTGACATGTAGAGCTCAAACTCCTCAGAACTCATGTTCAAAGACTGGCCGTCCAGTTTTTCAATGAAGGCCACTGCACAGCACTGAAAAGAGACAGAGAATACAGAGTTTTGTGAAGAGGACGCCTGATGTAAGATTCACTTACACTTCAGAAAAGTCCTCTTCTGTTCATTTTAGCACAATTCAACTCCAACTGTTATAACTGATGCATTCTTTTCTACCCGTATTTTTCACTATACTACACTAAATATAACTGTAAATGCAAATTTCAGGTCTGTCGACTTCAACTGCCATAAATATTAAAGGCATGGTTGACAATTGGAGAGATTGGTAATTTTTATGAACCTTGTTTATATGGTGATCATGGTCCTACAGTGCAATCTCCACAAAGTGAAGAGAAAACAAGAATGGGAAAAATCTGTTCACCCTAGCAGGTGCATGGCTGAAAAAACATTGACCAATGGGAGCCATCCGTCCCGGACAGCTCCTATTGGTCAATCTCCTGTTCCGCCTCTCCATCCAATCACCTCGCTATATTTGACACACCCTTCTCTCGTAGTTCCGACTCATCCCCTTCTACTCTCCCGGCCCTCCTAGGAGCTCTGAGCAGCTTAAAGTAGCGTAGAAGCTTAGCTCCAGCAGCTGTGATGGAGAAGGACACAAAAAAACACTTCCGCTTGCCCCACCACCAAAAGTGGGAAGAAAACATAAGCCGACAGAAGAAAGGGCAGAGTCGAAGAGGAAATGTGACCAAAAATTGGGTCATCCTGGAACGGTGGAGAAAGCTCTGCCAGGATTTGGGCCTGAAAACAGATGCCGAGACAGCAGAGTTTTTATTGAACAGGTAATCTTTGCCTTTTATCGTGGCATGTGTTACATAAATAACTCTTACTAGTCTCTGCAATGTCAACACGGTAGCTGTCCGGGCAGCTGCAGTCAGTACTCGCTTGCAGAGCTGGCACTTACTGCCGCTAGTCATGAGCAATCCGACATGGTGAATCCTATTTGAAGCTAGCGTAGGATCTTCTGCCGGTCGTGTTCTTGCTCTGCCAGAGGGGGTGTGTCGTGGGGAGGGCGATACAAGTTCAGGAGGAGTTATCATGAGAGGTTTGTGTGTGGGGAGTAGGGATGCTTTTTTTCAAACCTGCCTCAACGGCTCAGTTTTTTTCAACTGCTTCTCAGATCATCAACCATGCCTTTAAGACCTGCCTATAATCGTTCATCTGCAATTCCTGCAGAACAGCCCACATACATAGATATTATTATTGGCACCATAAGCATGAGTCAATTGCAGTGATTGTGTCGTTATTAGTCTCTCTTGATCGCTCCTAAAAATGATTGGCAAATATACTCAGGCAGCCTGCCCTGGTACTGTCTATGCATGACAAACAGCAGGCTGTAATTTTTCAGATGAACTCTGCTGAAATATACACAGTTTTTTAACTTTTTATCATTTGTATATATAGGCTTAAATATTGCAACACTACTAACTTTAAAACCATAACTCAACAACAACACACTTCCTCAGAAATGTGGTAATATGACGAATCAAACACACAAAAAACCTACAGAAATGCAAGTGAGTACATGCTGGTCGTCTTACCAGGTTGGTAAAGTAGTAACCATCCTCTCCAGTCATCAGTCTGCTGGGATTACAGAAACGGGTGATGTACTGGATATTGGACTGCAGTCGTGGCGGATTTGCCTTCAGCACAATGTAGATGAGCGTAGGAAGGAAGTCATCAGCAGATGCAGCCTCTTTCTTGCTGACTTTGATGGCGTTGAAGATGTGCTTGCTGCAACGCGTGATGCATGCCAGCTTCTCCTTGGGCACGCGCTTTGAATCCATTTCGATCACATCTGTCGTGATGCAGAGGATTAAGAAGAGATCAGATTGTAGGATCACTATCATCAAGATGATCAAAGGGTGTCTAGCAGAAAAAACAAACACGTACCTGTGATTGCCTTAACGACGCTGTCAGACACCTCAGGAATTTCCTCGTCCACAGGAACACACAGCATCTCAATGGTGACCCAGTGCAGAGCTCTGCGATAAAACATGATAAAACAATCAAATGGTTTCTGTTTGACTGATTTTCTTGGCTCACAGGGAAAAGGGAGACATTACAAACAAATACGACATTTCAACACAAAAACCACTTTCTTTGCTGACCTGATTCTCTTCTGAATGGCCAGGTCTTTCTTTTCATCATCTGTGGTCTCAGGACAGAAGACTTCCTTATAGAGACGAGTCATCATGTACTTCTCCACTTCATCCATAACACTCTCCACATGATCTGATGAACCTAGAACAGCGACACAGAGAACAAAGATACATTTTTGATTTTCTGTACGCTGTCTGGAACGTTGGTTGTTTGTAGCAGATTCTCCCACAGTGCAGAGGTTTAGCTTTACCTTTGAACTGAGTCTGGAGACGTTCAGAGAGGTTCTGGTAAAAGTCTTGAACACACTCTGACAACTCATCTGCAGCCATGTCCTATACAGAAAAGATAAAAAATGAGAAATACAGATCAGATATTTTAATTTGGCCTAAAATACACCAAAGGAACAAATGCAGCTAAGTACAGATACATAAAGGATAATATTGATGAAGATAACTTTATATTTGTAGTAACTGCAAGACGGTTTTGTATGGACAAAAATGTAAGTGCTCAAGACAGATGCTGTAAAGAAATGATTGCGAGATAAGTGAGATATAAGGTAAACAAGCATTTCCTCAGTAACTGCAGTGTTTAATACAGTGGGTTTTAGTCTTCAATCAAGATGTGGGACAATTAAAAGGTACAATATGTAAACACTGTCACAAAGTACACCTCTGCTGCCACTATTAAAATTTGATTTTTCTATAGTTTTATTGATTCCGTTCTAATAAAAAGCCAAGAACAACAAACAAATTTGTTAAAAGGTTATCTTACCTTGCACGAGTATCAAACTGATATTACAAGCTTGTCTCATAAACTGGGTATTAAATCTACTTGAGCTCACCCGCTTATAAACCATGCTCTCAGTGAAGGCTCGGCATTGTTTGAAGATTTCCCTGCCAGACTTGAGAGGCTTCAGAAAATCAATGAACTCTCGTGTCGCATGGTCAGTATCCACAGAAGAATGCCGGCCTGCAGAGGAGCTGGGGCTTGGGCTGGACTGTGCGTCGAAGACAGAGTCTGATGGAAGACACTGAGTGTTACTCTGATCAAACTCAAAAAATTAATTCTTAACCTTACAACTTTATGTCTCACACACACATAGTCATAACAGCCATAATATCATATTATTACCACACTGTTCTGACTAATCACTTTATAAAACCTGCGAATAGGTTTAACATAAATACAGATAACAACTCAAAAGAATGAGTGTGGTTTTGTTTCTTAATATTTCTTATGGTGCAACATGCCAAGAAGTTTTAAATAGGGATGGGAATCGATTAAACCCAAATGGCTCAATCCATCGACATCATTTCCATTTTAATTTTAATTTTATTTATTCCCTTAACGATTCCTTTCTTCCAGGTGCCTTGAAAAACGGTCTCACGAGAGCCAGTCTACGTGAGCGGGAACAGAGACAGAGATAAAAACATGGTGGACGGTACAAAAAGTAGGCTGAAACGATCTAAAGTCTGGCTTAATTTTACTAAGAAAGACGACCACAGCGAAACGTGCATGTGCACCGAGCAGCAATTTTATGCAAAGGTGGAAACACCAGCAACATGCTTCAACATTTGTCAACGCCGCTCATCAGCCGCTCCCGCTCTGTCTCAGCACAGCATGGAAGGTCTATGTCCTGTGTTATCATGAGCACACTGCATGCCGGACAAAACAACATATCATGTATTTGACTCAATACCAACCGAAGTAAATGCTGTACAAAGTTTGTCGTTTGATCATTTTTAGACTCTCACTGAAGATGGCATACATCTTTTTCTGTTATCAGACTCATTAAATTTTTGAGTTAACAGTAAAAACCCCTATAGTCTACCTTTTGTTTTTTTTTTTTAAATTAAATAAAGGCATTGAAAAGGGAATTGTTAAAGAATTGAATCGATGAGCAAAATCGATAATAGCATTGATATCGATAAATCTTATCAATTCCCATCCCTAGTTGTAAACGGTTGCTATGACATGAAAAAGGCACTCAACTACAGAAAAAGTACAAAAGATAGATCAACGTGTAAAACAAATACCTTTTTTCAAAGGTGTTTTTGTGGAGGGAGTGAAAAACTTTGTAACGGTGTGGACTTTGCTTGATTTCTCCTTCGTTTTCCTTTCCTCAAACTTGCTGAAGGGTGTAATCGTAGACTGGGATTGGGGCTTCTGTTGTCTACTTGCGTAAGCTTCCTCTTCCTCTCTCTGCAGCCTGGGAAGAAACAGACATGTACACATGTGAGGAAAAAGAAGCAGAAGGTCCGCCTTCAGGGAATGATCATTTACTGGAAAACAGAGTAAGAGACACACTTTTCAGCCAGTGCCCAGTCTTCTTGAATCTGTTTCTGCTTCTCTCTCTGATTCTCCTCTCGCCAGCACTTGGAGCAGAAGCCCTGCCAAGCATTGTTGCCGTAAAAACCGCATCCTTTCTTGCAGAGCAGCTCTGATTGGTCCAGGTGGATCCCACGCCGCTGGTTCATCATCCTCAATCCTCAAGACTGTGGAGTGGGTGACAAGACAGACAGGAACACAGCGGTCAAGGAGGTGGACTGTAAGGTGAGAACAGCTTGGTCTAACACTTTCTCAAACACTGATTTTCAGTAGGATCATTTTCCTAAACTTTGACCTGTTTGTTTATCAGCTGATGACAGCGAGCTGACTGTCACAACAACATAGAGACTATAACACAACTTCTCATCTAAACACAATGTTTTACCTTATTATCTTATCTTGTGTTAAACTGATAAATAGGTTTCTCCAATCTACAGCCACCCCCGTGTTTACTTAAGCTAATTATACAGCAAGCTAAGCTCAGCTAGCCAGCTAAGAGGCTAGTTTGACGTTAGACAACAGAAGGTGAACCCCGCTGGCTACGTAATTGTTAATGTTCAAGTACGGCGACAATTACAGGGTCAAAAAACTCTCGGTTAACCTTATCGTCGCTCCGGCTCCAGCCTACAAATGGTAGATATTTACACTAGTCAAGCAAAAGCTAGCTTTGCCCCACAGCCATTTCAGTCGCTTCTTCTTCGCTGAAATTCCCAAAACACTGAAACGGATGGAAAACTCATTACCGCCAACTAGCGCTGTGGTGCTGAAATTGCGTGCGTTGTTGCTTGGTAGAAAGACTTTGTTACAGCTAATAGTCAGGAGGAAACCTACCCTTTACAATAGACACAAATAGCCTATGCATAACTACATTTGAAGCACTCTTTTGTTGCAAGCTCGAGTCCAGAGTTGTCAGTAATTTAGGGTGATGATGCAAGAGTAACATTTCACCAAAGATGATCACAATGCACAAAACCCAATTCCATTGAAGTTAGGAAATTGATTTGCAAATACTTTTCAACCTATATTCAATTGAATACAGTACATAGACAAGATATTTAATGTTCAAACTCTTTATTTTTATTTTTATTTTTATTTTTTCAAATCATAATTAACTCAGAATTTCATGGCTGCAACACTTGACAAAGTAGTTGGGACCGGGGCATGTTTACCACTGTGTTACATCACCTTTCCTTTTAATAACACTCAATAAACATTTGGGAAATGAGGAGACTAATTGTTGAAGCTTTGAAGGTGGAATTCTTTCCCATTCTTGCTTGATGTACAGCTTCAGTCGTTCAACAGTCCAAGGTCTCCGTTGTCGTATTTTACGCTTCATAATGTGCCACACATTTTCAATGAGAAGCCACACTGTTGTAACACATGCAGAATGTGGCTTGGCATTGTCTTGCTGAAATAAGCAGGGGGGTCCATGAAAAAGACGTTGCTTGTATGGCAACATATGTTGCTCCAAAACCTGTATGTACCTTTCAACACGACATCCACTATTTCCAAAAACAATTTGAAATGTGGACTCGTCAGACGACAGAACACTTTTCCACTTTGCATCAGTCCATCTTAGATGAGCTCGGGCCCAGAGAAGCCGGCGGCGTTTCTGGATGTTGTTGATAAATGGCTTTCGCTTTGCATAGTAGAGTTTTAACTTGCACTTACAGATGTAGTGACAAACTGTATTTACTGACTGGTTTTCTGAGGTGTTCCTGAGCCCATGTCATGATATCCTTATCACATTGATGTTGGTTTTTGATACAGTGCCGCTTGAGGGATCGAAGGTCACGGGCATTCAATGTTGGTTTACGTGCAGTGATTTCTCCAGATTCTCTGAACCTTTTGATGATATTATGGACCGTTGATGTTGAAATCCCTAAATTCCTTGCAATTGTACTTTGAGAAACGTTGGTCTTAAACTGTTTGACTATTTACTCATGCAGTTGTTCACAAAGTGGTGAACCTCACCCCATCCTTGCTTGTGAATGACTGATCATTTTTGGGGAAGCTGCTTTTAGATAGATGGATAGATGTACTTAATTGATCCCAAACTGGGAAATTCTCTAATGCCCAATCATGACACCCATCTGTTCCCAATTAGCCTGCTTACCTGTGGAATGTTCCAAAGAGGTGTTTGATGAGAATTTTTTAAATTTCTCAGTATTTTTTGTGTCTCTCAATCGACAATTGCACTCCTTCGTATTTTATTACTCACTGATTATTACGTTTATTGAGCAGACAAGCCACATCCACTGACCAAACCTTTCAGAGACTACTGTCAGATCAGAGGCAGAAGAAGTGTTGAAAACATTTTCAGAATGAAGGTGAAGGGAAACTCAACTCAATCACGCCATCAAGTGTTTAAGTGTAATCATGACACCAACTTCTCATTTGATGATAAACAATCCTGTTAACGTAAAGGGTTTTTCAACCAAGTAGTAGTTATAAGTAGGAAGACTAATAGTCTATGCTCTTTGTTATGATAGGCACATGTAATTCAGAGTAGAATAGATTAGACTCTAATTGAATAGAATAGACAAATATGGACAAGAATAGATTGAATAGAAAATAGAAAAGTCCATGCAGTACTGCTATAGGCTCAAATACAGTGCAAGCATTAACAAAGCATGTAAAAAACATAGCTATTTATGATTGTATGACCTTGTTTTATCTTTACCAAAGCAACTATAAAGAACTTTGGAAGGCATATCCGGTTGCAGGCCGCGGTGTTTTCTTCCTTGTTTCTGTGCAGCTGTGAAACCACAAAAAGATGCAGTAGGGTTTTCGGCTCTCTGTAGGCCTACTTGTAAAAGTACATAAACAAATCTGAGGTTAGACTGCCCTTCTTAACGATCATCTTGTTGCGTAAACTGCATTTGGCACATTATAACCCAGAACAAGCTAGACGGGTTTTTATTTAGGGCAGCGTATGGTAATAATGTAAATAGTTGCATATGTGTAGCATGAGTCATTTTTCTGGATGGGCCAATGAAACTAGATGGAGGGAGTTTGAGGGAGGATGTGAGCTCGGGGTGAGATACATTTTACGCACGCGTCTTCCCACACAGGAAGAAGTTTGAGGATTCATCTAAACTTGTTGGACTCTTCACTTTTATTTCTCATACATTTTGAGCAATGGCAGGTGAGCTGGCTTGTTTGTTATGATTAACAAAACAGAAATGTGAGTTAAGTCGTGGGAGCAGGAGAATGATGCGTAATGGTAGATGGTGAAGCTCAAGCTAACTTTTTCCTGTTTCCATGAACAATGGTTATTTTTCGTAACTCTGGAGTGGTTCAAGCTGTCAAAGTAGGTGTTTAGCGTAAAAAAGAGTCCATTAAAGGTGAGTGTGAAATTACGCGCACAAACGCTAAATCAGGAAACAGCACAAAGACGACAAAGTAGAAAATTAGGAATGAAAGCGAACATTTTTAATAAGATAGAAACATGAAAATACAGAGTGTTAATACAAATGTTATACGAGGTATCTGATTTCCTCGTTCCTGGAGGTAAATGAGCCTCTACTGTAGCCTACATTCTTGGTTTCGCTTTGTTTCTCACAGCCATCTTTAACACCTGATTTCCAAAGAAACCACAAATGTCTTTTCTATAAACTTATAGTTTAAATCGCTCTTCAAAAAAACAGTTTTGTTGAAGATTATTCGGAAATAACATCGAGAATAGCCATGGACACGAAGTATTCCTCACGTTTCCCCTTAAGTAGAAATAAAAATGAAGTTTTAAAATAAAGACACTAAAAATAAAAAGGAAGGACATACAGCCACCAGAACACACACATTTTCTCCTTGCAGAGACAGAAATATGCTTAAAAAGAATGTCAAGAAAAAGTACAAACACTTGAAATTGAAGTATTTTCAAATATATCTGAGTGATTTAAACTTAAAAAAGGCTACTAGTATGTTAGTATATTTCACAAGATTTCGCTGATAATAGCATTTCATTTAAATTTTTTTATTGAGCTGCTGCAGTACAGTTCAAGAAATTTGACAGGATGGTAGATTTAACAGAAATGACAAATACACTGTGTGAGAGATGAGGCGAACTTTGTAGATACTTGAAACAGCTATACAGGACTCAACTAAGACATACAGGAGCTGGTTGAGTCTTGTAGGGTGATGGTGGGATGTGGCAGCCTAGAAACAGAGATAGTAGGTTTGGGATGTTTATCCAGAAGTGATTGACAGATGTCCAGTGTCAAGTGGCATGGATGTAGGTGTCAGCATTTGTGAGTGCAGTGTGGACAGATATCTAATGAGAATCCCATTTTAAAGATTTTGTGACCAGTGAGGTGAGTTCTGTGAAGTATTTTGTAGAGTATAGTTGTTAATTGGTACTGGAGGTAATAGAGTTAATATTCTTGCAAATGTGGGTCCAGAAGTCGACAGTGGGATCAATTAAGGCCTTCAATTTCATGTTTTTAAACATTTAAGATATTCACATATCATTACCAATGAAGTCAAAATGCACATTCATAACGATTGGTAACACCTGTAAATATAAAGCATTTTGGAGAAGGTGAGTTGATCAGGAGAGGTATGTACATTGTAACATAACCATATTTCCAGTAACCTTTTTTAGAAAGGTAAAATTTCAATGTTTCATTTTCTTTATTTTAGATGCAGAGCTTAGACGTGTGAGGAGCAAGTTCGTGGATGGACCATCCACTGAACTCATCAATCAGCTCCTGGATGACCTTTTGGAAGATGGAGTCCTGAACAAGGGGGAGGCAGACTCAATAATTGAGGAAAACAATTCCAGAGCGAACAGGGCCAGGGCTCTGATTGACAGTGTGATAAGGAAAGGAGATCGTGCCAGCAGCAGGATGATCAACCTCCTCCATCGCAGAGATTCCACACTCGTTAGTGACCTAGGTCTTAAAGGTGAATTTTCATTTTAATCAAACTCAAGTTACTTGAGTTCTAGTTAAAGGAGAAGCACTCAGTGAAGAAACTCATCCCATCACGCCTTTGTACCAGTATTTTCAACTGATATATCAGCTGATAACCCTGATAAAAGGGGATACACTGTGTGCTCTCTCCCCTCCCTTACTTTCCACACTCTTATGAGGGGTGAGAGAAAAGAGAGAAAAAGGGAAAGAACCGTCTTTCTTGTACTTTTGCATGTCTAACTGAAATTATTTCTCCTCATATAGATTTATCATTTTATATTTAAAGAATTAGCCTAACATTATGTGGTATGTTCTATAATAGGACAATCACCAAGTGTAACAGTCTGTATCATTTATTATGTATTTACAGTTTTAAAAGAGGAAGAGAAAGGGGAAGAGCAAGAGGAGTCTATTCGATAAATTCATGGTAAGCTTTGATCTTTTCTTGGATTTGTTAATTATCATCAAAGCATGGCTAATCATCACTTTATACAAATTCATACTAATGGACAGTATTCTTGGGCTAATGATGTGTTTGCTTGTTTTCCAGCCATTGTTTTTCAAGAGATGCAGAACTTATCAACTTCTCCCCAGACCTTTCTGCTCAAGCACTGAAAACAGAGAAGCATGTTTGTGTTACATGGTTGAAATCCGTGTTAACATCTTTATTTTTTACCATTAAAACAAGTTTTATCTCTAAAACCTCTTTCATTCATTTTTCATTGGTGATGAAACAGACTGGAATTAAGATTGAACCCTTTTTAAAACAGAAAAAGCCAAGCAAAACCATCAGTAACAAGACTTACCATTTCTATTCAGTAACTTATAATGAAATGAAAGTTTTTTTAGACATCTAAATTTAGACCAAGTCTAAATCTGGGCTATATCTTTACTGCACAGTATATTGCTCAATAGTTATAATTATTTTGGTTAAGTACTTGGAGATCAGTTTTGCAACTCACAGTTGCTTTTTGAGATAAATAGTTATTGAATTATGGGTTAAAGTGCAACATCTACATTCTGTCTAAAAATATACAGAATCTAGATGGTTGAAATCAGGTCTAAAAAAAACTAAATGTCTAATAGCTGTCTATTGCTCAGTGGGATGCAGTAGGTTTGTCGGCTCTCTGTAGGCCTACTGGTAAAAGTACACAATCCAATGAGCAATAGACGTCTATTAGGTGTCTAGTTTTTTTTTTCGACCTAATTTCAGCTGTCCAGATTCTGTGTATTCTTAGACAGAATTTAGACGTTGCTCTTTAACTCATAATTCAATAACTATTTATTCCAAAAAGCAACTGTGAGTTGCATAACTGATCTCCAAGTACTTAACCAAAATAATTATAACTATTGAGCAATATACTGTGTAGTAAAGATATAGCCCAGATTTAGACTTGGTCTAAACTTGGTCTAAATGTAGACATCTAAAAAACCTTTCATTTTTAGATCTACGGTAGCCTGATTTTAGACCAGTCGTCTCGGCTTTATTTAGACGTCTGTTAGACCTCTTTAAGACCAAAAAATACTCAGTGGGTGCCCTTCTTAACGATCATCAGGTGGTTAAGTTTCTGCAGTGCCTTCTTCCTCAGTGCGATGGTATTGTCGCTCCAGGTCAAACTCTCTACAAGGAACTGACATTTTGAGAGGCTGAATGACTGATGCCGTATCCTGGATATAATGTCCAAAACGCACTTTAGAGGGTTAAAATCTGGCAAAGGATGTTGCGTAAACTGCATTTGGCACATTATGACCCAACACAAGCTAGACGGGTTTTTTTAGGGCAGCCTATGGTAATAATCTTAATAGTCGCATCATGTTTTATCTTGCATGAGTAATTTTTTCTGGATGCGCGGGCCAATGAAACCAGAAGAAAGGATTTTGAGGGAGGACATCTCGGGGTGAGGCACATTTTCTGCACACGTCTTCTCACACAGAAAGCAGTTTGAGGATTCATCTAAACTTGTTGGACTTTTCACTTTTGTTTCTCACATACATTTTGAGCAATGGAAGGTGAGCTGGCTTGTTTGATATCATCAACAAAACAGAAATGTGAGAATGATGGGTAATAGTAGATAGTGAAGCTTAAGCTAACTTTTTCCTGTTTCCATGAACAATGGTTATTTTTCGTACCTCTAGAGTGGTTTTAAGCTGTCAAAGTAGGTGTTTTATATTTTCAAATATATCTGAGTGATTTAAACTTAAAAAGGCTACTAGTATGGAAGTATTTTTCACAAGATTTTGCTGATAACAGCATTTCATTTCAATTTTGATATATCTTATGAATTAGCTCTTTTTAAATGTTTTTTTTTTTTGTTGAGGTGCTACAGTGCAGTTCAAGAAATTTGACAGGATGGTAGATATAACAGAAATGACAAATACACTGTGTGAGAGATGAGGCGAACTGTGTAGATACCAGTGGCGGCTGCTGGTCTTTCAAGGAGGGGAAGCTCATTTTTCTGGCCTACATCATAATTGTATTTGTTTATTAGTATGTAACAGAACAGAGTCGCAAAAAAAACAACGGCAGTCGTTTTTAACAAAGACAAAAGTCGCTGAGGATCGGTAAAGTCTCTGGAGCAGTTAAGAACAACGGAATGAATAACTTGGAAAATGCTTTGGTAGATGTTTTATTCTTCAAGATCGCTGATTCGCTTGTTTAGCTGTCAATCAAAAAAGGATTTCGCCTCAGACAGCTCATCCAATCATGAATGCAGAAGCTTGGAGTCCGGGAGAAAGTCGGGACCGCCCTCTCACCATAGAACTCCAGTGAAGCTTAGCTTCCATTGGGCGGGACAAAGCCCAGCATTTATCCAATGAGCGTCTAGTTTCGCTGCTGGAACAACCCACTTTAAGCTTCCACATTGAAGTCAGCAGAAGCCCAGCGTCCGACTGTTTGAAGCGCTGAGGCGCTGCTAGGATGAATGAGAACGAAGTTATGCCGGTAACCTGTGATTATCAGCTTCTTATCACAGTGTCTGAACAAAAGTTGAAGGCTTTCTAGTGCGTATTTAGTTAATGAAATGTACACACAGCCGTACGTATTTCACCACTTTTTCTTTTTTTTGGGGGGGTGACATTTTAAGGGAAGCTAAGCTTCCCTTGCAGTCTTAGAGCAATCGCCACTGGTAGATACTTATCCAGAAGTGATTGACAGATGTCCAGTGTCAAGTGGCATGGATGTAGGTGTCAGCATTTGTGAGTGCAATGTGGACAGATATCTAATGAGAATCCCATTTTAAACATTTTGTGACCAGTGAGGTGAGTTCTGTGAAGTATTTTATAGAGTATAGTTGTTAATTGGTACTGGAGGTAATAGAGTTAATATTCTTGCAAATGTGGGTCCAGAAGTCGACAGTGTGATAAATTAAGGCCTTCAATTTCATGTTTTTAAACATTTAAGATATTCACATATCATTACCAATGAAGCCAAAATGCACATTTATAATGATTGGTAACGCCTGTAAATGTAAAGCATTTTGGAGAAGGTGAGTTGATCAGGAGAGGTATGTACATTGTAACATAACCATATTTCCAGTAACCCTTTTTTGAAAGGTAAAATTTTAATGTTTCATTTTCTTTATTTTAGAAGAGGTGGTTCCAGATGTGGGGGAGAACTTCATGGACAGAGCATCCACTGAACTCATCAATCAGATCCTGGATGACCTTTTGAAAGATAAAGTCCTGACCAAGGGGGAGGCAGACTCAATAATTGAGGGAAACAATACCAGAAGGGACAGGGCCAGGGCTCTGATGGACACAGTGGAAAGGAAAGGAGATGATGCCACCAGCAAGATGATGAACCACTTGTATCGCAGAGATCCCACACTTTTTACTAACCCAGGTCCTTGAGGTGAATTTTCATTTTAATCAAACTCAAGCTACTTGAGTTCTAGTTAAAGGAGAAGCACTCAGTGAAGAAACTCATCCCATCATGCCTTTGTACCAGTACTGTGGGCTCTCTCTTCCCTTACTTTCCACACTCTTATGAGGGGTGAGAGAAAAGAGAGAAAAAGGGAAAGAACCGTCTTTCTTGTACTTTTGCATGTCTAACTGAAATTATTTCTCTTCATATAGATTTATCATTTCATATTTAAAGAATGAGCCCAGCATTATGTGGTATATTTGTTATATAACAGGACAATCACTATTTATTTTGTATGACCAAGTGTAACAGTCTGTATCATTTATTATGTATTTACAGTTTTTAGAGAGGACCCGGAGGCTATGTGATAAATTCATGGTAGGTTTTGATCTTTTCTTGGATTTGTTAATTATTATTAAAGCATGGCTAATCATCATTTCATACAAATTCATACTAATGGACAGTATTCTTGGGCTAATGATGCGTTTGCTTGTTTTCCAGCCATTGTCTTTCAAGAGATGCAGAACTTATCCACTACTCTCCAGTCCTTTCTGCTCAAGCACTGAAAACAGAGAAGCATGTTTGTGTTACATGGCTGAAATCCGTGTTAACATCTTTATTTTTTACCATTAAAACATGTTTTATCTTTAAAACCCTGTTTGTGAGTGTTTCAATGGTTATGAAAGAGACTGGAATTAAGAGTGAACCCTTTTTAAAACTGAAAAAGCCAAGCAAAACCATCAGTAACAAGACTTACTATTTCTATTCAGTAACTTATAATGTTTAAACCAACTGCAAGGGGATAGGAACAAGAGAAGATGATGAAGAAACAGCTCTTTGAATATTTTCAAAACAAATACCAAAGATCCAGAATCATTTAAACATGGACCCAGTCCCAGCTCTGAGAGTTTTGATGGTCTCCTATAGGGTTGCTGTACTGGAAGTGCTGACTTAACCTAGTATTTGACCATTTAAAGGAAGAAAACCAGTATTCCACTTTTTAGTTGCGCCCTCTGGTGGCAAAGATAATTGCTATGTGATAACTTACCCACGTGAAAACAAACCCTGGTCTCCCCTAATATTTGCTCTGACTCAAATGAGGAGAGGGTTAAGAGATAACTCACAACATTACTGTGTTAAATAAAAAAACTATATATATTGGTCTTTGAGACTGAAGTTGGGGCAAATTGTGCCTGTTTAGCTTGCTGAAGGAAATTTTAAGGTTTTGTTTGCTACTTTTCCTGTAAGAATCTTCTGGAGCTTCATCAAGTAGTTCATAAATTGTAAACATAGTGGGTTTGCCCTTTTTCTCCTTTAATCTTTTACAAAAATACCTGAACAAACGCATTTCTTTGTCATAAGACCATCTGGTTATGTGGTTTGATTACGTGGCGTAAGGGAAACTGAGGGTACACTTCCACAGAGGTTTGAGGTCTACCCTAAATATTGTAGTGTCTGCGCACACTAAAAGTAAACATGATACACAGTTGAACTTGTCAAACCGCACCCACTTCTGCAATCAAGCAGCTGCAGAAACTCGGTGCCAGTGGGAAACATCTCTCATCTCAACCACTGCTTTTACGCACGACACCTGACTGCACCTTTGGACTCTCAGAGGTGTGAAGACTGCAGCTGAAGACCACTCTGATATGAGATACAATGGCTGGTAAGCAGAACTGTTCACCATCTGAATACAACTCGCAAATTAAACAAAACAGGCTTCGTCGTGTGTTTACAGCAACAAATGCCAATTCCCAACAAACCAAAGTTGCTCGATGTCTTGCATAACAAAGTTAGTTAGTTAGTGGGATAGGGGCTGATTTCTTAAAGGTAGGGTCTTTAAGTATGCGAATCACAACTTCTGTTAAAGAAAAGTCGACTAAATCAGCATTTTTAAGTTGCCACCACGCGTTAGTTTCACTTTTGTGGCGCTTTTGTGCCCGCCTTTTTCCTGCGCTGCGCTTCACTCTATTTTCAGTGAAAGAGCGAAAAAAAGCTAAGGGAAAGACTTCGGGGGAACTTCTCCTTGTTTCTTTCCGGTAAAATGCATTGAAATGGGAGTTGAGAATGTATTTCTATATATCTGACCTAGAAGTCGTTTAACTGTGTGTGAACGCATGTTATTGGGCTGATATGGCCAAAGGGCAGGGCAGGACTCACCTCTACTCTTAACTGAAAAACACGTTTTAAGGTCGTCTCAAACAGCGTTGTACATTATATGGATACAACTAAGAAAAAAAAAACAAAAAACAAAAGCACTGTAATTGAATTTTGATTAATTCTATTTATTTAACCAGAAAAGGCTCATTGAGCTCAATAATCTCATAGATAAGAGTGTGCTTACAACAGTTTCGGTAGGTGCTTTAGTTCTGTTTTTGTGTATCTTGTTAGGTGCTTAATAAATGAATAAAGATTATGATGTTTTACAAATTTGTTTCAAAGGCTTGCTATTGCCAAATACCCCATGTTCTCTCGTCTAGACGAAGAGCTTCGACGTGCAAGGAAGAAGTTTGTGGAAAAAGTGTCCGAACCAGTTATCATCCAGCTCCTTGACGACCTTTTTGATGATGAAGTCCTAAATGATGGCGAGGTAAATTCAATACGTCAGAAAAACGCATGCGCAGATGACAAAGCTCGAGCTCTGATTGACACGGTGAGGAGAAAAGGAAAAAGTGCCAGCAGGAAGATGATCGATCACCTTCTGTGCAGAGATGCAGAACTTCACTCTGAGCTGAGTTTGTCTGTTGGTCAACCTGCTCAGCCAGGTGAGTTATCTTGGCCTTTTCTTGATTTAAACTGTGTTATGATCGCAAATACAGATTGCTGTGTTTTGCTGTTGGTTTAGTTACAGAGCCCCCGCGGGAGCAGGAACCGCCGACCACCCTGGGCATTGAATTGGGGCCAAAGAAACAGGACAAAGACAGTGTAAGACGTTCATTAAAGATACATAAAAATATCACATAGTCCTGTGTCTCACTAGCTGGTAGTGAGAGTTCAAGTAAACTTTTGTTCAGCTGCCTTTCTGTGTATTTGTTTTACAGATTTATCCTGTGACCAAAGATTCCTTCAAGAGTCGTGTGGCTCTGCTGATCACTAATATTAAGTTTCGTCATCTGACATACCGAAAGGGAGCTGAGAAAGACGAGGAGAACATGGAGAAACTGCTGACTACTCTTGGATATGAAGTGGTGAAATACACAAACCTCTGGGGGAAGGTACAGAAGAGAGAATATAGGAACATACATGCATGTGTTGTTGAGGAAGAGATGCAGTTACTCTCCTTTTGTGTCCTTATAGGAGATTGACAACGCTTTAACTGACTTCTCTAAACACCCAAAACTTAAAGACACAGACAGCGTGGTGGTGGTTGTCATGTCTCATGGCAAACGGGGAACCATCTGTGGCATTGACTGGAAAAAAGATGATAAGGAACCAGATGAGTTTCCCATCGACAACATTTTCAAACACCTGGGTTCAGAGAGTTGCCCAGCACTGCTCGACAAACCAAAGGTCATCATCATCCAGGCATGCAGGGGAGGTGATACTTCACTATCCCAAACATTAACAAAACAAATCATGTATTAGTACAATAAGGACTTGGTAGTTTGCCTTGTAATAAAAATATGCCTCTTGTTTCAGGGAAGCCGGGATCAGTGCTGGTTAGTGATGGCGCACATGCAGCTTATGTTTGTGATGATGTCAATGAAATGAACATGGAGGATGATGGCTCGCGATTTGTGCACAAAGAAAAAGACTTCATTCCTCTTCTGTCCTGCACCCCTGGTTAGTAAATCATCAACATTCGGCATGGATAAGAATACTTGTGATAAAACCTGGAGGTGATTTGTGACTCTGTTTGACTTCCTGCAGATACTGTCTCGTATAGGCATCCAGATAATGGATCTATTCTGATTCAGTATTTGGTCGAGATTTTCAATACCTGTGCACGTAAGGATGACATCGAGGAGCTATTCAGAAAAGTAAGTTTTGGAAGCATGATGTGAAATATACATATTTGACAGGACACAGGCGAATCGCTAACATTCATTACAATAATACAAAGCACAGTAAGCAGTGATGAAAATTTTCTTGATGTTTGAATCCTAAAGTTTCTTTATTTCCACATCACAGGTCATGAAACGCTTTGAGGACTTTCCTGCAGGAGCCACAAGACAGATGCCAACCAAAGACAGATGCACTCTAACAAGACGCTTCTTGTTTTTCAATAACCTCTAAGATGTCTTGATGTTTGACTGCAGCAGGTTTATAATTCTTTCAGTAACAGAATGACAGTACCAATTCCCAAAAAGCTCTCGATATTTCCAGGATTTTTCTTCATTTCCTGAAACCAGAGCTGCGCAGTAGTGATGCGCGCATTCAGCAGCGCAGTCGCCAAGAGTCACTGTGATGACGCTCGTCTCAAAGCTACGAGCTACACAATCCCTGAACGCCAATAGGCTGTATCAGGTGTCAATCATAGCCAACATGAACCCCCTAATAACTTTTAAAAATGGAGTTTGACAGAAAAAAGAGGACTTGAGCACAAACCAGTCTCACAGTAACTACATGTCAACTTCACAAGCAGGGGGGAGAAAAATGTATATTCTGTGTAATAAATTTCTAAAGTTTGTCCACAGCCCCATAAGCTTTGCTGGAGGAGGCGGGATTTCTGACCTATACTGCAGCCCATCAACAGAGGGTGCTGTTCTCGGAGTGGCTTCACCCAGAGAGGAGGCAGACTCTGTCCATTCTATATACAGTCTATAGTAACAGCTTTGTGTCATTTACTGTTACTATTGAACTACTAAAATTAAGCTTGTTTCTGGAGTACACGTGCACGGAAATGAAAAAATATGTCATTTTCTTTGTTTTTCACATTGTACCTCTCATGTATCATGCAGCACTTTTGTCAGCTTCAGCTGTTTTTTAATGTGCTTTTTATAAAATTGACATTAAAAACTCTCATAAAAGTATTTATTTTGCATATGGAGTGTAAAAATGATTGACAGCCACTGCTGTTAAAACCCTGTGTGTGAATGGGGCCCCTCCTAGTTCAACCTGTACATCACATGATAAGTGTGTGCTGGACCTGGCTTGACATGACTTTAAATTTGACACGTCAGAGGACACAGCAACAGCATACTCTGAGTAAATTTCTACTATTTTTACAAAGAAACTAGTCATTCAAGTAGGATTGAGTTTAATGTTGATGTGTTTTAGTTAATCGGCAAATGATGTCTATGTGAAATATATATCACTCTTGGCTTTTTCAAAGTCAGCTCAGCTGCTCTTGAATTTTAAGTGCTGGTGTGTTAAGATAATTATGGTAAATGCTTAACATACTATACAATGACATTTTTTCTAATATAATGTAAAGTTTTTAGTAAAGTATACAATGACATTTAAATCATACTGTACTATGACTTTTTTCATACTAAAAAATGTAATCATAATATATTATGACATTTTTATCATAGTATACTACGACATTTTTTTCATACTATGCTATGAAATCTTTTAACATACTACACTATGACATTTTTATCTATACTGACTTCTCTCATACTGAAATTAGAAATTTTTATCATAGTATACTGACATTTCTTATATCAAAATGTGAAATTTTAATCCTGGTATACTATAGCATTTTTATAATACTATACTATGACATTTATTAACATATTACACTATGACATTTTTTTCATACTAAAATTTATTATACAACACTGTGATATTTTTTATCATACTATACTATGACTTTCTTTTTACCATCCTATATTATGACATTAATTTAACTGGAATTAGATTTTTTTTTAAGTCCTATACTATGACTCTTTTAAATATAAATTTACTATGATATCTCATCATACTATACTATGACTTCTTTCATACTAAAATTTGACATTTTATCATCGCATACTATTACTTTTGTTTTTATCAACCTATACAACCACATTTTTTCATATTAGAATTTGACATTTTTATTATTGTATACTATAAAAATTGTTATCATAGTATACTATGACTAAATATTCATACTATAATAAAACTTTTTTTTTAACGTGCTATCCTTTTTTTTCTAGAATTTGACATTTTTATCATACTATGATATTTTTAGTATACTATACTATGACATATACCATCAACACTTGGGGATGAGCTCCGCGCCCTTTAATCTCGGTACTTTGACTCCTAGATTTAAAAATTTATCTGGGATAAGGTTTGAACCCACGACCTCAGGAGTCTCAGTCAGTCTTCTTATCTTCTGAGCCATGTGGACACAGGAGAATTCTGTTTTTTTCCTCTTTCATTCACCTTTGTAGACACCAGACTTTAAAATTCACCTTGACCTGGGTAAGGTAAGGCTCGAACCCACAACCTCAGCAGTCCCAGGCAGTCTCCTTATCTTCTGAGCCTTGTGGACATGCAGGAGAATCCTGGGCAAGGAGCTTTAAGGATACCCTTACCCCATTCCTTGCATGTATTTTTGAAGAATCGATCACCAATGGCATTGGTGACCACATTCTGATAAATACATACTAATTGATGAAACTTAGACTCATTAACATCATGTGTCCGTGCACACTCTGTGTAAAACAACAGTCTGACTCTTTCTGGGGTACTTCTCAGACAAACTTTACTTGAAAAAGCAAAACAGAAACAAAGTGAAATCAGACTTATAAAACAGTGTCATCACATCACAACACAAAGGCAACAATTTGAGTAGGCAACATGGTAACATGGTTGCAGTCTGTGCATGTCTGATGTGTTGCCAGAAAACTGATCTGGGAATCTGTTAGAGGGCTACATGAGTTCATGCTTTCACTAACTCTTCAAGTTCACTCTCAAAAAATAAACACGTAAGTAGCATGACTTAATAATGCACTCTGTTAGGAGCTTATAAAAAGACAGAAAACAACAAAGTATTGTCACTCACAGGCCTAAATAACCAATCTAACCAGACTAGACTCCATTATAACATCGTATTTGAACATATTGGCAGTGTTAAAGAGCTTTATATTGGTTTGCACTTTATACAAAACAGAGACACAGGTGGCTATTAACAAGCACTCATGTTCTCATTTCACAACTCATTCATTCACACTCAAACATGAAGCTACAAGTTAACACATTTCTTCTTTCATATCAGTGCATGCACACACTCAAACCCAACACTGGAGCAAACAATCAGGAATGCTGCACAGCCAGTAAGGCCAGATAATGTGGTAAAGTACAGTGGTGCTGCTGTTGTAAACCACAAAAAAATACAAACAGTTTGGCAGTGTGATTTTCTGATAAATCATTGGTTATATCTTTTCCCCCTCTTTGCTACAAAAAAGAACAAAACTACTTTTTTTTACAGCAAACAAAATCATGCAGACCTTCATAAAGGAGGTAGACAACAGAGAGAAGAAGTAAAAAAAAAAGAAGGTAAACTGAAGAGGAAACATAATTTTCTGGATAATGTGGCTTCAATATCACAGCAGATTAGCGGCCTTTCACTTTACCTGTACAACACAAAATAAACATTACAACCGAATAAGCATCATATTTGGAAGATGGAATGTATTAGTATAGTGTTACATACATTTTAGCATCTTTGTCATTCAAGAAACCACTTTAGAAACATCATACTGTTGACAATAATCAACACTCAGATAAACAGTTTGCAGCACCACACGTTTACAAAATAGCAACTCATGCGGAAGGAAACACTCCTGGCCCTGTGCGCTGTGTGTAAAATATGTCGTACAGGATGCGGCACACCTCGTGCTGACATTTTATAGATTGCATCCATGAAAACAGGACACTGATAATGTAAATCTATCATGTGGGTGTGGCTGTGTGTCTGTCAGTGTGGTTGTGGTTGAGGTTTAGGACAGCGTTCCCCCAACAATGGAAGCAACAACAATTCCCAGAATCACACAGCATATAATGATCATAATCTTCTTCTACAGTTTTCCAGGGCAGCAAAGAAAGCAGAGGACAACATGTTAGAAATGTTAGTTTTACTCTGTGTTACAGGATATAGTGATGAGAACAAAATGCAGTTAAAAATGTATAAAAAATACCTTTGCCTGTGAAGATTTTGATGAAGTTTTACTGAAGTCTATGAGCGTTTCTGAATCTTCTACATTAAGTCGATTTCCTGCATTTTGTTCTCACCAAAGTACACAACAAATGCTAACAGCTGTTTTCATATCAAAAGCCACTGTGTGAAGCCTCAATTATGGTGCCATTTTGTGGCAACCTGAAAAAGGCTGATATGAAAGAAAGCAACTCTGTCCATTTGAAGCCTTTTCCTGAAACAAGTGACTAGACTTTAAACAATAGACAAACAAATAAAGCCATCACACTATGACCACTCCTAGGTGAAGTAGGCTGATTATCTTGTTATAATGGCTCCTGTAAGTGGCAGTTGGGGCGGGGAATATTTGTTTGGTAGCTAGTGAGCCTTTTTGTTGACTCAAAGTAGGAAAAAAGTGAGTTGTTTTTAATGGAGGAGGTTGGGGAGAGGAGGATCACAGCCAAGCTGTCCTCCATGCTTGACAGAAACTCTCACCCCCTCCAACACACACTCACTGCACTGAGGAGCTCTTTATATGTATATCCTGTACACATGTATATAGTAAATAAGACTCATGTTTATACCTTTTTTTTAACTCTAAGTTTCTTTATCCTTTAATTTCTCTTTTTGTACTTGTATTTATGTTGCTGTAATTTGGAATTTCCCCCTGGGGGACCAATAAAGGAATATCTTATCTTTTCTTATTAGGGCATCTATAAAAGGGAGCAAAGTCTGGCCCCATCAAAAGAGCTCCTGTTGCTCAAAAAGTGAAAAAGGTTCAAGCTTGCTCTGATAGAGAGGAGTCAAAACATCAAGTCAACTTTGTTGCATGAAGGGCCCTGAACTTTGGACTTTCATGATGTAAGATCATGATGTTCTGGCTGATTGGTGGGTGTGTAAAAGTGTTAATGTATTAAAGTTCGATTTTTCCATGATAGTTCACACACTGACGTTTGATAATTAATATGTAAGACATGTCTCTCTGTCACACATTCTTCCCGGTATGTTCATTCCCAGCAAGTATGATCATCCAAACGTCTAGTCTCTGTTAATGAATATTTTGACACTTGCAGAGTTACAGATCATTGTAATATAACAGAATTGATGTTCCTTTAGTATTTGCTCCATGTAAATATCAGGCAATGGTTATACAGAACACCCAGGACAAGGAATTACAGGTTTAGACATATCTGTAAGTATGTGAATTTACTCTTTGTGGAAGGATGTGCACTTTAAAACATGTTTTATATTTAATTCAACACATTTATTTCATGATTAATTAACATGGCTTTATCTATGCAAACACACATGCAAAGCTCTACAACAGCAGGCTGCAGAACATGCACATCCAAATGTTTAATCATAACCCAAACAGACTGATGCACAAGCTGGTTCAAAAAGGTATAAAACTGTTCCACTTGGAAAAATATAGTCATTAAAATCTAAGGTAAAAAAAAAACAATGTATAGGACACTTCAGTGCTGAAATAGACCTCAAAAGGAGGCTCTGTGTGCTGTGTAAGGGTTCAGTAAACCCTAACTGAGTCCAATTGAGAGAGCAATAGTGAGGATGGTCAGACACACTGCTACACAACCTCCTATCAGGATCACCTTCTGGATGGGGTCAAGAAAAAGAGAACAAAGCGTCAGATAATGATTTTGTGTGCACTGGCATGATCTATCAGAAACAGCAGAGAGCAGCAGCAAGGGAGAGAAAGAAATGCAGAGACAGAGAAGAAAAAAAGCATTGCTGTTGTCTTTGAGGTGGGGGAATATTCAGGAAGATGACCCTTGAAGAGAAATCTGAATTTGATGATGCCCAAAAACCTTCCCTTCAATGCTGTTACAGAGACACACCAAGAGGTGGCAGAGTTGTTCCATGATAGTACAGAGGTCTTAACCAAGCAGCAACCTCCGGGCTTGAGAAATGAAGCCTGAGTTTAAGTGCCAAAAACTGCACTTCTTCAGGTGTCTGCCTGGGGCTGGCTCCAAAAGCACCAGAAAACACATACTTACCCATTCAAGGGAGCTTATCTTTACAGGAGACAAAATGTGTTTACAGCCTGGCACAGAAAAAGGATTTTGGATTGAATACACGGTGTGAGTATGAGTGTACGAGTGGGGGGATTATAGCTACAGTTTTGAAGGTATCAGGATGACAGTTCGGTAAACTGAAGGTATGGCTGACTTGACTGACTGCTGAAGAGGCTTGAAACTCACTAAACAGGCTCCAAAACTGCTTCTTGAGGAGGGGGCGTCATGGATACCACCGCGACAGCACTTTTTTCTTTTGGGTGACTTTAAAATTGGGTGTTATTTAATGCGAATGACTTTTTTCATAAAAGATATGGCAAACTGAAAACATATTTTTTGCCCTTTTTCAACAGATTTCTTCAAATTTGTGGTTGGTGTGCGATTGACAGAATAAGCACCATTTTTTAACTGGTCAAATTTTGGATGACACTCATAACTGCATGGCAAAGGCTGAAAATAGTTGAATCTGCCAGCCTGGCCTACACTGTGTAAAAATAATGTCACCAACTGGTTTCTGGAGAGACACCATGAAGCCCCACTATGGTTTTATATCCACAGTGGAAATGCTGATTTAAACTAACTTTGAGTTAACCTCTACAAAGGCAAAAAGGTGGGGTTTAGGCAGACTGTCCCACTGGCAAACAGCTTCAGTATATCGACATGTCAGTGTTAACATGAGACCCAGTTGGGATTTTTGGCTTTTGCGTTCAGCCTTGTGGACACTTAAAGGGATATTCCATCAATTCTTCACGGAAATGCAATCAGACCGAGACGCGAAGGCAGAAGAACTACTGCATCTGCAGCACAAAATGTTTAATATGGTGATTATCACTTCAAGGAAATGATAAAGAAATGATCATAAATGTTCTTCCTTGAGCTGCGTCACCCCGCTGTAGTCCATAATGGTGAGTTGTGTTAAGTCTCTTTGCCAAAGAAATTAGGCAAAGTTAAAAAGATGTTTGGTGGCTAGGACTATGGCTGGGACCCTTTATGTACTGTTGATGAAGTTAGGTGCTGTTCTGAGCATTATTTGTGGCTATAGAGTGGCGTTTTGGTTGAGGTTTGTTTATGGCTCCTCAGACCACTGTGTATTGCTAACATGCGGTCGTTACTAAAGATGGTATAACTAGAGAAGCAAACAGTCGGCAATATTAATCTCTCGAGGCCGTGTCTAACTCTGTGTTACAGTGCGTTTGACCCAAATTAATTTTACACCAGAATATCCCTTTAAAGAGTTTATCAGCTTTAAATATCTTTTTAAACTCTGTTGGCTCTTTAGCTTTTACAAACAGACTGGCTGATCTGTGTCCTATATAGTCAGGTTGTATTTTCCTCATCAGTCAGTATAATAAGAATCAGCCCCATTAATGTAATTCCATATGTGTCTATTATTGTGTTTGTAAGTTTATATACCGTATAGACGCCCTGCTGCTGAATCCCTGAGGTACACGCGCACATGTGAAAATCACTGCTTTATAACACATCAAATACTGTCAGGACACATATGCCTCTCATGCAAAATTCATGGCAGGTAAGCATGCATACACATTTACTTCACACCACAACGGCAGTACACACATGCTATGCTTATCACTTCCTTAAGTGTTAGCATATATTTTTGAGGATGCATTTTTTTTTTTTTTGCACTGTGACTCACCCTTCGGGCTTTACTCTGGTATTTAACTGCCTTCTTAGTGTCTGATACCGCCCTCTCCACATAGTCTACCGAGTGCTCCACATTGTACTCTATGCGGTCTATCATTTCCCCCTGGGAGAGGTCAGTTACAGAGGAGGTGTGGATGATATACAGACAGGAGGAAGAGAGATGGAGCCAGGTGTGGATGTACAGAGGAGGAGTAGGTACAGATGGAGAAGAAGGGAATGAATGATAGGCGAGTGAGAAGGACATAAGAGGAGAGGAAAAGGAGAAAGAGGAGACAAGAAAAGTTGAGTGATATCGTAGTCAGATCATCTCCTGTCTCACCCGTTTGCTGGTCTTTTTGAACTTTTTGCATTTTGGGATGGTCTCCTTCGCCTGATCTATGTGTTCCTGAGCTTCCTGCACAATGTGCTCAATGTTGTTCACGAGGGCACCCTACACAAAGAAAGGATTACTCAGTTACTTCAAATTTGGCTTCATATTTTCTGAAATCTTGGAAAAGTTAAAAATGAACAAAAGGCCAATGATTACTATTTTAGCTTTGACACAAGGCTGCTTATTAACAATAATTAACCTTTTTGCATGAAAGTGAATACTGAGGTAAATCAAAGATTATCATCTCAACACATGCACTTCAACAAGGATCTTCAAATAAAAGAGAAATCACAGGTGGATTACCTCGCTTTTTTAAACTGGGAGTGCTCTTCTCTGTTCTCTAGAGCTTAGAAACGTTGTGTTGATGACAGTATTGTGTTGTGGAGGAGGAAAAAAGAGGGAAAAGAGTGCAATTCTGAGAAATGCAAAATTAACCAACAGACTCGAGTATCATGTTAAATGATTTGGCACACAGTTAATAAAGAGGGTTAGCACAGTCGATCATTCCATTCAGAGCTGTGGGATTAATGCCTGACAAGACAATAAAAGACTCACAAAACTAACTGCTGTATTATTAGACATTTTAACAAATTTCACACCCACATCCAAATTATAGGGGGATTAATCTATTCCAGCATGCTGTCTTTCCAATTCAAATCACTCTCATGCCACAATTTCCTTCAAATTCAACAATCATCATGTTTGCTTATTGCTGAGCTCAGATTCCCTTTTGCATAATTCAGACTGAGTGTATCTGATGAGGGAAACGGTTAATCTCTGTGGGGGTTCAGCCCGCACACACCAGCACTCACACATATAGGGAGAGCCTACAGATTCACCTGAAGCTTAGTAATTAATGTAAAAGGACACACTTGCGCTTGATGCATATATATGGCATCAGGGAAGTTATATACAGCACTAAAGGAAAAGCATGTAACATTAATGATCGCTAAATGGTTCAAGTTCTGCATTAGGACGTATGTAAAGCCTCTCTTTTCTCCTGCAGATTTATATCTCTGACTCAAATTGATTATAAACCTCAGGGAACTCTGGACAATCTTCAATTTTTACGGCCAATTCTTCTGTACTGTTTATTTTATTCTTGAATGGTCTTGCAGAACTGCAAATTAGTGCGATGAAGTTAAGCTGCCAACTTGAAAGTCCCAGGTGTCAGATGTTCCTTTCAGCTCATGATAATTTTGTAAAAATAAAGGTCCAGTGGCAGAAATCCCAATCACAGATTACCACAAGTTTCAATCAACTGATCTTTGAGCCACTTAGTATCTGTGTCCCAAATTCTGTTTGATTTGACTGAGTTATTTTGCAAACAGACAAGCAGATGGAGCTGGAAACACAGATTCCTTCCAACTCTGTTGGCATAGAAAGGCCAGTATCTAAACTAATACAATCTGAAACTTGTATGTTATTACAAGACAGGATTACGGAGCTAGCAGCTTCTGGTGGAGACACAGCTGCTGCAGTATACTTGCTGGTTAATGATTTTACTTTGTGAACACTGTGCAGCTAAACTTTGGAAAGAGTCAGGGCACACTTTCAACTACCAACAGGAAGTCATTTTGAATCTAAAAACTTTCCTTTAACACCTTAAAAACACTTTTCCCCCCATGTTGGCAGACAGATTGACAATTAGTCTAACCCTAATGAGTGATTTAAAACCTGCTGATCAAATTTCTCGATCCAGAAAGTTGTGGGTCCTTAAAAAGATCATAGTTTTCACCTGGCTCTCCACCAGCATGGCCATATCCATGAACATGTCATGAAGCTCTCTGATGCTGTTTTCCAGCTTGATGATCTCATTGTGTCGCGTCTCAATCTCATTCATAGCTTGCTCTGTGATGTTGTCCATAATGATCTAGAAAGTTAAACAGAAAGAAAGGTTTAGTCCAAAGTATAATTAGTCAAAAAAGTTGCAGTAGTTGTCACCTGCTCACCCCTGAAGTGAAGATAGCTGGGTTGTCACTCTCCAACATGCTCTCCAGTTCATCATTTGTTGTATTTCTTCCAGCTGAAAGGACAAACACTCATATTTACATTTGAAAAAGTTGTGTTTTTAGATCTCCATCTGATTTTTGCTAAATATGAAAGTATTAAATCAATATTTCAACCTCACATTTCGAGGTGAAATATTATTTTACATCTAATATAAGCTGAACCGACCTAACAAGTCCAAATATTAATTTTGTGTTGGCAGTCGCTTTCCCCCAGTATAATCAATCAAGCCTTATTCTTTTTGGCTTGTAAATAAAAAGCTTCTCTACACAGCCGGCCATTACTTGGGTTTGCAGGAACTTTATTGCACCACAAAGTGCAACACTGACAAAAGATGATGCCAAATTAATCAATACAACACCCTGGATAGGTACAGGGCTAAAATTACTTCTCACGTCAGTGGGGTTATATTACAACAATTAGATTTTTAAAACATGCTTTCACATAAATTGGAAGGCATAGCTAGAATGCAAGTCCTTCACTCATGCTTGTTTTCCCTCTATCTGTCTGTTTGCTGTCTACACGTATCTGAGACCAGCAGTGGTTGTTAGGTAAAATAATTGATAAAAATTGAAATAGGGCATCTATCACAAGGGTCAAAAAGATGCAGTAAAATAAAACAGTTAACACACAGGGCAACAAGATCTAGCTGTGCTTTGGATCAATATTTGGTTGTACAATGGTGTAATGGTATTAAGACTTAGGTTTGCACCTTAGGTTTGCACCTCAGGCTTGCAGTACATTCAGTTTATTTGAGCTTTTCTGGACCTTGATCTATTTTGAAGCTTCAATGGAAAACAGCCAAAACTGCTCACAATGACCTCGTAGATTCTAGCATTTATCCACCATTACTTCATTAATCCTGTGCATGACACAAGTGTCATTCACCTCTACAGCTTGTTTTAGTAAAACCTTGGAGGTTTGTTTTGTATTTTTCACCTTTCAAGTTAAGTATTAGCAGAAAAGCCTTCATACTATGGCATCTTTTGTAGAGGAGAGTGTGTATAAGTTTATTGTATCAGCACAGAATTTCAAAACAGACATAAAGTGTGAAAAAAAAGAGTCAAAAAGCTTCCTGATCCTGTGAGCATAACGGCCCGAAGTTTACATTATGAAGGAAAGTTAGTTCAGTCAGTTTTTCCCAGACTGACCCAGAAAGTTCAACAGCACATCCTACTATCTGTTCTTGCTGATGTGTTTTTCCCACATGCATCTTTATTCCCCCCAACAGAGTTGTCCTACTTCATAAACACTCCTCTACTTTGCTTTTTCGCTCCACCTTCAATAACAACATCACCTGTGTAAAAAAGCTGATTATGCCCACAGAGCTGCTTCTCTTGGGGTCTATTTCTGCTTAAAGAGGTCGCAGTCAGCGTTATCTCTAAACATGCCTTTGCACATTTCAAATCCTCTCCTGGGCTGGATACAGTATAAACAGTATGAACGATTACTCTAACATGAGGTCAGTCCTCATCGGCAAAAACCACAACCTTGTTAATAACAAAACCTCAGCAGTCAGTCGTCCTGTTTGTCATCCCTCATTGCTGTTTTGCTTATGCTCATTTTATCCAGACATACTGTATAAACATCCGACAGCAGTATATCAAAGAGTCTCTTCTACTGACGGGAGATATTTGATTATTTTGAATGAACCATATTGTGACATTTTCAGAAATATTCCTTTATTCCCAAAGTTTTAGGCGATCGAGAGGAGAAGCTATCTAGCTAATCCGAGCTAAGTTTTGCTTGTGCTTCATGTTTTAGAGTTTTGACCTTCAGAAGCTGCAGCTTTTGGGGGATTTTATCCTCATCTCCAAAACCCAATCCAATTAATTCACTTATCAACATGTGTGTGATGTCAGAGTGTGTGTGCGTGCGTTGTGTTTATGTGTAATGAGGACTGGTTGCCTGGGGGGGCAGAGCGGGTCAGTTGATGGTGACTGATGATGGTCAGGACTTGGAGCCGATGATTGCCTCTTCTTACAGAATACTGATGAAGCAGCAGCCTCCTCCATATTTATCTGCACATGTTTGCCTGCACTTTTGCTCATTTCTATTCTCATAAACAGGACATGTTGCATCAAATCCAAACATCATATCAAAGCAATGAATTTCATTAAGCTGTGGTCAAGTGGTCCTCCTGTTTCGCTGCCCTACTTGAGAACCCACTCATGCCCAGACATGACATTTTACCATTTGACAAATGAGCCGATGAGGATGGCACACAATGAGGAGTGAGAGACCATGTTCTCTAAATTCCTGTGATCAATACAAGCTTTTCTGATAACAAATAATCCCTCACTTATTGAGGCAAAAACTTCAACCTCAAAGGTGGTCAGAAAAGACAGAAAAAGACAGAAAAGAGGGACAATGAGTACTACAGTATCACACAAACATAAATATTTCATTAACTAATTATTGCACATTGATCAATTTGTAATATTGTTTATGCTTTGGCAATTTTGCTCTGACTTTCACGCCAATAAAGCTCATTTGAATTGAACTGAGTCATGGGTAATTGTGGGGGAAAAATGAAGGTACCTCTCTACCCTATTTATCTCACTTCCTACACACACACACACACTCCTCATCGGCTTTTTTTAAAGCTCTGACAGGCTCCGAGGGAGGCTCTTATTTGTTACCATGGAGACCCAAACCCTGAGAAGCCTCACATGAAGCCAAGGAGTTGCACTCCATACTCATATCATTTATAGCCTATTAAATCGTTCATTCTATGCTGCTACCAGTATCCGTGTTATTTTGTGTCTATTGTTATGTAACACAAATGAAGTGAGACCCCCAAAGGAACAAGAGCAAAAAAGGCAAACCACACACAAACGAGAGAAAAAAAGAGGGATCCTTAATCCCCTTCAATTCAGTAGGAATGAGAAAAGCATATTATTGAACACAAACAGCTCACCCTGTGTTTGTTATACAGGAGATGTATTAGTGCACCTCTTTGTGTGCTCTCTGGCATTGTGTTGAGTGAGTGTCCACGGGGGAAATTAAACAAAATCAAATGTCAAAGAGGCCCTGCCATGCTTGTGACCAACACTCCCTACATCCCGCTGCGATCCTGCCTGTCTGCTCATGGAGGCAAATGAGTGTGAGAGTCTGCATGATCCTACTACAGAAAAACACTGACTTTAGATATGATAATAGTGCTTTCATTTTAATTTCTACCTTTTAAAACGATATTTTAGTGGTATATTGTTTACAAGGAAAGTCTAATGTTGATTCATTAACATAATCCTAACCTTAACCTCCAACATGGTGTTTCTGGTTTGTATGACCTGTAAGAAAACTGAAGTTTAAGCTATTTCTTAGAAGGAGCATAGACTTCCTAAAACCTGGGGATAGCCAGGCATTGACGTGAAAAGGCTTTCACAACAATGGAAATGCTGACTCAAACTAACTTTCTGTTATGATCACATGGGCAAGGACAATATTGACACCTAAGCTGCATTCGAGTTACCCTTGAAGTCAGATGTCGGAGCTGAAAATGACATCATACCCGAGTTACCAGCATTTCAGATACCAAGTCGGAAAAAAGCAAAATCGGAGGCAAAAACAAAAGTTATTTTAGCGCTTGCCTTGTCTTTGTTTCCGTGTCCGATTTGGCTTTTTTCCGACTTAGTAACTGAAACACTCGTTACTCGGTGTGGCATCATTTTCAGCTGCAACATCTGACTTCTGAGGTAACTCGAACTCGAATGCAGCCTTATTCCTGACAAACTGTTTTGACGCATAATACATATAATTATTATTTAAATGTTTTTATATCATTTTTCTACATTTCAGTGATAATTTGCCAAAAATATTTTTTTCTGTATGTAGTCTCTTTCAATCTATATGTAACATAACAAATGTTTAGAATTATTCATGTTATCATGTACAATAAGTTAATACAAAACTGTAAATAATTTAAACTGCGAGCTTCAAGAAACATGTTCACCCCCAAACTGGAGGGCATCAGCTGCACTTTTTCTCCCGCTCCCTTCAGTTCAAAGTCATTGTTGTTGTTGTTGTAATTGTAGTTTCTTTTGTCCTCACTTGCGATTAGGTATCTTAAGATAATTATTGGTTATTTGGGGGGTTAGCAGCACATAAACTGTTTCAGTTCCTTGAAGGCTAAGTAACTTGAAGAACCTGTGTTATAATGAAACGTGGTTTAAATGCCGGATGAGATAGGTTGGGTCTGTGCATTAATGAGGATGTGTGTGTTTATGACTGTATATAAGAACACAAGGAACCAGAATAACCTAGGCTGCTTTCCCTTGGCTTGTCCCTTTAACTCTTAAACACCCCTAACAGTCTTCCAAAGACAAAAAAGTATAAACTGTCTTCCTGTGTCATGATACGACAGGCCAAGGAGAGTGTCAAAACCATAATTTCCAGCCTTATTTCAAATATTTTTTACTTTTATAGAGTTTAACAACCTGTTGAACAATGCACTGCTCTCTGCAGGGTTGTTGCATTGGGACTATGATGGCTGTATCCTGAAGATAGTTCAACTCTATGTCGATGATTTGAACATGAATGTAGGACTGCATAAAAACGTCTTTTTTTTTAAATGCACAAGATAAAAAAGGCAGTTTTTTTTATTTACAGTTACATGTTTACAGTTTGTCACAGAGCTCCACTCCTGTTGCTTTTATCAGGAACAAGAAAGCAGAGTATCAGCAGAGGAAACGTCGATAATCAGTCTGGCGGACCAGACAAGGTTTCCCCCAGCGAGTTTCACAGTCTTATTGATTTCCACACAAACAAGTCAAAGTGGTCGGCACAACAGAAACAGATCACACTTCAGGTGTGAAGGAATTGAATTGTATTAGATCAAAGTATAACACTAAATCTAATCTGAAGGTTAAAATCAAACCAAGTAATGAATTTCTTTCACTGCCTCACACTCATAATTTCTCCCTCTGAGCTGTCAGTCCTCCTTCTCTGTGCTCTCTCTGCGTGTCTAATTCCTTCCTTGGTGACAGGTGATATCAGGCGAGGCCTCCTGTGACTTCACCTGCTGACAAAATCAAACTCGAATGGATCTGGAGGAGCTCACGGAAAAAGTGAGTCAGTATGTGTGTGTATGTGTGTGTTTGTTAGTCCATTAGGAGAGTCTATCCTTTGATTAGCCCCAGGAAGCACTTTATGTTGACACTGCTGTTCTTTTGACTGGAGCACATGTAGCGGGGACTGGGTGGTGCTCACACATCCAGACCTGCTTCACGGGTCCACTCTACACTCACAGATGGCCAGAGGAAATAACGTCTGTGTTGAGTGCCTGCAAAATTACGGCCCCTACTCTCCTCTGCTATTAAATGAGTCATGGTGAACTTCTCTGCATCCATGTTTGTGTGTGTGTGTGTCTTCGTGTCACAATGAGTGTGAGGGGCAGCTGGCATGGAGCTGCCTGCCTGCCTGGATGCCACTGCAGAGGCTGTGTCAGCGTCAGGTCCCAGAGCCCGAGGCCTGCAGATAAAACCTGTCAAATCATATTACCCATAGTGTGATACAAGACAGGGGCTTGGATCTGAGCTGCAGCAGGCTGGCATGTGGATGAATATGGGTGTGGGTGTTGGTGATGTATGTGTTTTAGAAAGTGTGAGGGTGGTTGTTTTGGTGCTCTACACCAGACAAATGCAAAAATAAAAATATGGATGAGATTAACTCAGATTTCTCTGCAAACAAAACAAACACCGGACTGTGTTTTCAGTAGTCATTCTGTGCTCAGTGCCACTGATGATGGGCTCAAATGATGACTGGATGTGCTCCAGGTTTAATCTTTTGTTGTTACAAATTTATGACAGTTTTTTGGAGGGGTTTTTAGCATTTGTTTGATGAGAATATTGGTCCAAATATCCGACAGTTTTGCTTAAAAGATGACCCCCAAATTCGTTTTAGAGAATAAAATCTTGTTTTTTATAAAGAAAAATTGTTTTTTAAAGTAATGATAACACAATTCAATATTAGTCTATGTATTAAATAAAAAAATATTAATTAATACCTTTAAAATATTATTGGTTACAACATCTTTTAGGTTAAAGTTTGACATGTAAACTAAATTTAAATACAGTCATCTCATGGGTAAATGGTGGACTTAAGGCACAGTATTAACTGTCATGATCAAAAAAACAAGGAAAATAACTTTAATTTGATAGTTATTGAACTATTTGTCTCAGTTAAAAACAACCACATGGAGCCTCTTTGACAAATAAAGCTTAAAGATTGCTGGTTGGTCCTGTTTTTTGGCCTTTAATCTTCATGTATTTGTTCCTCTTCTCTACATTTAAACTTCTTCTACAAGTGAAAAGCCCTACAACATTTAGTGTTTAATGTATTCTTTGTTTGTTTGTCCGTGGTTACTACTTGCTCCTGACACCAGCAGAGAGAGAGAGAGAAATTGCTACTCTAACAAACTGGTGAGTAACAGGTGGGAGGATAAGATAGAGAGGACATCTGAGTGAAAAATAATAATGCATCAGATTTCATATAGCGCTTTATCAGAGACCCTCGTAGTGATTTACATCGGATACATCATTCATTCACTCACACAGTCACACCCTGAGTAGTCACAGCTGCCATGGAGCAGACTGACGGAAACGTGGCTGCTAGTTTGCGCCTACGGCCTCTCCAAAAACCATCATACAACACTCACAATCACACACCAGTGGAGGACACACCTTGGGAGCAAGGTGGGTTAAGTGTCTTGCCCAAGGACACAACAGACAGACTAGGGATAGGGGGGGAATCGAACCGCCAACCTTCCAGTTATTGGATGACCACCAAAGATGCAAACAGTTTGCATAACAAAAAAGTGATCACTTCCCCTTCACAATCTCAATTTGTAAAAGTCAATACGTGTGACCATGAGATGCAGCTTTAGTGTTGCTGTATGAGGTACTGACAGTATGAGCAGTGTAGGGTTAATCCTCCCATGAGTACTCACTGATCTCCAGCTGTCTCTGAATGCGTCCCTTGCAGCGCTCCCTGTAGTCCGACTGGGTGGTGTTGTATTCTGACATCACCTCCACAAACTTACGGGACAGTGTGGAGTGCTGCAGAAACACAACGATCATGTCATACTGTTTGTTAGCTGTTTTGAGCATGCAGTATGTTGAAATTATCGTGCATTGTTTGCTTTGTTTTGCTGTAGATGATTGCTCTCATGCTCTGCAAAGAAGAAATGAAAACTAAACTATATTTACGGTGTTTAATTTCAGCCAATACCTACCACTATAAAGTATAATTCTCCTATCTGACAACCATATATACTGTATGTACCTGGAAAATCTGTAACAAAGCTCTTAACTACATCTTTCCCTCCTGAGCTGTACCTGTGTTTTGCGTATCCTCAGGTCAGCTGATGACCTGTTCTGGCCTTCTTCATGCTCTATGGTTTGCTGGATACCTGGAAAACATGATGAAAAACATAGAAGTGGTTATAGAATGAAATCGCCTCTTTTAAGTTAACATCTAGAAATGCAAAAATTAAGATTCACAAGATTTTTCTTTTGTGTTTTCAGGATAAAGATGAATGAATTTCAGGGAGACACACATGCACCGGATACAAGATGATGAGGGTCATACAAACAAATTTGGTTTTGTTAAGAAGGTTGCACACATTCCTCCAGGTAAAGGGATAAATTGTAAAGATCAACAAATTTTGTGGTCTACTATGTATGTAAGTTTAAGGTATCAAGTTGAAAAAATGATCACTTATCACAAGAACATAATTATTTTTCTAAAGCATATCTCCAATCAGCGTCACCCCCACATCACTGATCCATCCAGTCACTGGCCTGCTTCCTTGATCACAATCTCATAGTACTTCATTGACAGCTTGCAAACTGTTTGTCAGTCACGACTACAAAGTAACCGTCTAAACTCTTTTAATGGCACTCCTCAGTGCTCCAGGAAAATGACGAAAGCTTTCATTTGGCTTAATGTGTTCGTAATAGTCGTAATTTAGAGATAATGTGTAGTGGGAGTCGTGCTGTCGATACGGCGCTAAAACCTTTGTTTGAATCATTACATCCACACTTTGAGCTGGTTAAATCAGTCTTTGTGGTTACAGTCTCACCTCACCTCTTAGTATATTTGTTTAAAACCCACTAAACATATTACTGAGTCAGTTGTGAACCTCATTGCTGATACGCTCCTTAAGCGTCTCTGTGTGATTAGGAGACCTGCTCACAAATGAAGTGACACTACAAGGTCATCACATGTCTACTGATGAAGACCTCAAAGTAACTTTATAAGTAATATATCAGCTGTTTCTATACAAATGAACTTGTAGGACTGGCATAGTCGCCCCCTACTGGCCATCAGAAAAAAGAAAAAAAAACAACAACTAAGAAGCTTTGTTTTAGTCTTTGCTAAAACCTAAAAGCTTTTGGGGGCTAAACACAAACCAAAACTTGTACAACAGCTGCACACTCACACTAACATCCAGGTACTCTTGTAGGGGTGCGTACAGGAGCGACACAGTGAGAGGAGTGTGATGGAGAGCCTGTTCTGCCTGATAGCATTTGTTCATGTTCGTGTAGATAAAAATGTGCACACGTGTGACAAACTGTGATAATAGGTGTGTATCTGATGCCTCTGAGCCCACAGGATGAGGTCTGGGGGCTTAAGTTGTGTTCCACTTTCCCAAGAGAGAGACGGTATTTTCTTTGCATTTAAATGCAGCACATTTTCTCTCTGCTGTGTTTGAAATTCGAGTAACAACATCACTTATCTCTTTTATAAGACAGGGCAAAAATGCTGCCAAAGACTGTATTTTTCATTTGAGTCTGTGCACCAGTTGGGCCAGCCTGCAGGTCCAAATTGTCTGTATTCATTTCTTAGGAGTTTGGACAACAAAACACAATCAGAAGATAAGAAGATAATGGGCTTCACACACCCACACACACACCCATGCACACACAGAGGCACATGTGCACAGATTTGAATGTGCATAAATAGATAAAGACCATGCATACATTGTTGGTGTGATTCAGCACCAGATGCACATTTACTCATTGTGTGGGGAGCTATTTCAATGTAACATCAGTCTGTTTATATGCACACGTGTGTTTGCTAGTGCTCCTATCAACTTTAATGTAGGTGTGTAACAGTTCCCTGTCTCTGTTCCTCTGTAAGTCTCACTCATCACTTTCTCTCCTCGCCTCGCCCGGGATGTCACATTGATGAAAAATACCCAGCAGTACATTATGGATAGGAATATGGTCATTGTACTATAATTGGATCACAGAGCTGTGCCTTATAATTATGTTCAACTTTGATTAATCTGCCATGAACTCTTGTCATTAATCAATTAGTCCTCAGGCCTTTCAAATGCCACATTACAGAGAAAACGTCCCAATTAGTTTGAGTAAAATATACTACTTTCTCTGGCTCAGGACTGATGGCTTTACTGTAATATAAAACAACAGAAATAAGCAAAACCTTTTGGTGAAACACATTTATTTCTCAATATTTAGGATTTTTATTGTGTGTATCAAGTTTCTTGATACTAATCCGTTAATTTGGCTTCTTATTCAAGCTCTAACTGAAGCATTAAAAGAACTCAAAAGAGAGCTAGAAGAGTGTTGAATTATTAATAAATAAGGAAATCTATGTTTTTTGGATTTATGTTTTTGTTTATGAAATATAAAGACATTTTAATTTTGGTCTCTGATCAGTCTGAGTAACTTGTGGCAATTTGTCGTTGTTTAAAATATTGTGTACTGTAAAAGTTAAGTGTTTCAACACTTAAAAAAGAAAGAGTTTAAAGATTATTGATATAAAATTTGATCAAGAAACAGAGAGAGAGAGAGAGAGAGAGAGAGAGAGAGAGAGAGAAAGAAAGACTGTACTCACTCTTTAATTTGGAGCGTACTTTGTTGGCCAACTTCTTTATGTCTGCCATCAGATCCTCCAGATCAGCCTTTGTTTCTGTGAGGAGGAGAGCAGAAGATAATAACTGGACTCTTACAGAACTAAAACACAAATACAACAACTCATCCACGCTCACAAACCTCATTACAAGCCAGTTTCAGAGAGACAGAATCAAAAACAAAAATAACTCTTTTAGGGTCAGAGTCAATCCAGACAAATATGATGTCATGCAGCACATCTCATCCTCCGCCACGCTCTGTCTCTTGTTTCTTAGAGTACCAGCATCCTTCACTTCTTTCTGCAGTCTATCTGCTTTCTATGCAGGTTCACAGGACCAAACATTCACAGTTTATGTGATCCAGAGATGTACAGCTGAACCTCATGTGTGAATTAAAGCCCAACAATGTCCACAAACAAGATTAGCTGTTTTTGTGAGAACAAGAAGCCTCAACAGAGGAAGTAAAACATGAACTGTAAAGATAAATCTGAGCAGATTTACTGACAGACATACTGATGAATTTTAAAATGGGAACTGTTTGATTTTTGAGCCAAAGCAAGTCCCAATGCAGACAGAAGATTTATGTCAATTAAAAGAGAATACATAACATTTTAGAGCTCTTATGTTTCATCACAAATCCTAATTATGGAAATTTTAACAAGGGATTCTCTGGCAGGATGCAGTCAACTCCCTTTTCTGTCACCTACTACCTGGCAGTGATTCCAGCGGTGAAAATGATGATCTTGTTTGCTTTAAAGATCATGTAGGGGCACCAGTGTTAATTTTAGCCAGTTGATGTCTACTCACAGGAGCTTTAACTTTGTCTGTTTGTTTATTAGCATACTGTTAAAAAAGCGGATGCTACTCTATCATCAGTGCATTGTAATAATACTGTAAAATGTATGTACAACAACTCAAGATTATATTTTACATTTAAAAAAATCCAGTATTTATACTTACCGTTCTATAACAATAGTGCACACTCTGGTTTTAGAGGGCTTCATTTTAGCAGATACATAGTTAGCTGTGACCGAAAAGTCAATCAAGCTGAAAGCAAATGGAGATCTAAAGATGACTTTAGCGATTTAGAAGTTTTTAATTTTACAGCGGGAAATACAGTCTCTCAGTCTCATCCTGCTTCACTGCTGTAAATGATTAAACTTGTCTGTTTTCTTCCATTTGGTCGATGTCTCTCTGACTCAGTTTCTTGTGTGTTTTGCAACTTCCTTTTTTTCCTCACTTCCCACCTCCTTCTGAAAAAAACATAATTTCTAATTTACAATGCCGCAATAAATGAAGTGTGTACATGTGTGTGTTTCTTCCTCTGAGTCATACATAATAAGATGAAGAAGGGGGAAAGAAAAAAAAAACAGAACCACTTTCACACATTTTCTCACACACCTATTACCCCGGAGTATTAGCTGCCATTTTTAGCACATAGCAAAGACGAGTTAAAGTCATTTATCATCTTAATGCCATTAGAGACCCTAATCTTCATAAGTTAACAAGCCTGGGGAAGCCGACAGACATTAAAAAATTGTCTAAAAGGGTAGCTCGAGTCAAACTATTCAATCAAAGCACAGCACAGTGCCTGCAGTACCTCTCTTATAATGAGTTTGTTTCCGCATGTGACCTGCTTCCTCAAAGCTGCATAAATCACATAGATGAATGAGAGATAAAGGGGCAGCATTACTAAACTCGAACGACTGCAAACATCTGCATCTGACAACACAGAAAGACTCTGGAAAATCTGATTTCATGGTATGAGGAAGACTTTGATCACTGGAAGAAGTTTCATTAAGAAACATAATACTTGTTCATTTTATTTTACAAGCAAGAAACATCTGTTTTTCTCTCTTTAAAAACTCTAAATTTACATTGTTTCAAGGCTCTTTGTGGCAGCTGGGGTTATTACACTACACCAAAAATGGAAAACACATTTTTATAGTAAGTCATCATGTTCACATTAAATAATATATGCAGTATGAATCCTAATGAGCAGCTTACACCAGACTCCAGCTGGGATTAATGCTCAGACCAGTTTGCATTTAAACTACAGCAGCCCGCTAGAGAAACAGAACCCATTACAAATAGAGCAGTAAAATCCGACAAGCATCTAATCTGCTTAACAGATGTATTTCCATATCAGCAAACATCAGTCTGTGGTCTGTGACACAGAACAGGAGACATGCATGCAGAGAGCTGAATGAGAACTTCCGATCTGTGCAAAAGAAATTGTGTTGAAATATGATTTTTTTTTTTTTTGAAAAGACAGGTCTATTTAAATGCACAAGAATAGTCTCAAATTGTAATTTTTTGATAGCAGCAGAGAGACGGCGTGAAATGAGGTGAGAGAAAAGAGAAACGATTCACAAAAGAAAACGTCTGACCCAAACTGAGCCACGATCATGAGCAGCATCTTAAATCCCCGGGCCCTTGTCTTCTCCAGACAGGTGTCTTTTTAAAGACACACAACAGAGTTTTTAACCACTACAGTACCCAGAGAGGACTGTTTTTGAGTCAGTCCCTGTTTTATTTTTCACCAGCACATGCATGAATGATACTACACCTCTGAAAGAAAACTGCAGATGGTTTCAAAGTATTTTGATTATCTACTGGAAGCTGCGCCGACATGAAATAATTGGCACAAATCAATAGAGTCACAAGAAAAGATAAGGCTTCAAAGAGGAGAAACAGTTATGATATTAAATTTTTAACTGATATCTGCCTTTGAACTGTGTTATGTGGAGGGACATAATTTCAACATCTCTTCCAAGTCTAAACTTACATTTCTAATCAGTGTAGTCATGACTTTCCCAAGGGTACATTTAAGTGTCAAAGTAATCTCTGAGCTGAAAGGTGACTGCCTGATGACAATGGCCTTTTTGAACATGTCATTGCAGGTAGGGGTTGAATATCGTACATTTATAGCCAAGACCTCCTTTACCATCCTTTACAGTTCAGCAAGCAACCTCAGAAGCAATCATGAGTACATATATTTACGTATTTGTCCTGCACCACTTAAGTACAGTATTTCCAAGCAAACACTTATGCTGTATTCTTGGTACACATTTGAATAACACTGAATCACTGATCTCAATGCTGAAGGCAAAATGTGTGCAGAGCATAGTTTGTCCGTCAGGGTCACACAGAAGAGGTGGGCTGAAGCCTCTGAGGCAGTTGACTTCTAAAAAAAACAATTAATGTGTTTGTAAGATTGTGTGTAAGAGGAGCTACAGTTGCAGATCAGAGATTTTATGTTCAGTTTTATAGACAGTGAGTGTCATCTTGACTGTAGCTTTTTTTTATTCCTACAACTGTTTTGTATGCTGATCTTCATGTCGACTTGTGCTCATGTTTATACAACACCACAAACGTCCAGAGGTGTAAGGTTATGGAAAAGTGTCTTTCTCATTTTTGTGTAACCATAGCAACCTCTGGTAACCTGCTCCATGAGGTCAGCTGCACCAGTTAATAACCTAAAAACTACGCTTTGTTTTCAGCTGTGCATGGTGTGTGTGTTTATGACTGTGCGTGTACATGTGTGTTAAGGAATTAGATTAGATTTCCCCTCTTGTGACTGCCAAACAGAGGGAGACAACCTGCTCGATCAAGTGTCCATTCAGCCTCATTATTGGCTCCCTGAAAGGAGGGAGAGCGCGCACGCTGATGACTAAGTGGATGGAGAAGTGAGAGGGAAGCAAATCAGAGGGCAAAACTGAGGAGTCAATTGAGCCACGGCTTCACACCCCATCCCTCTCTCCCAAATGCTCTTGAATGGGATCTTCAGGTCATGCTTGTTGCCATCATTAAGACGGTGTTGCTATGGCAATGTGTAGTCGGCCCTCTCGGTGGCTTCGCATTGTTTTAAAGTGGCGGAGGGGAAAAAAAGCAGGAGAGGCGCTACAAAGCAAGGAAAAGAAAGAGAGACATTGAACCTAGATGGACGAAAGAGGATGAAAAATAATGGCAATCTAGAAGATTGAATAAAGTGTGATAAATATGTGTTCAAGTGTAATTTTATGGGTTATTTGTTTTATGTTAAGATTCCTTTCATCAGCAGCTGTTTAATGGTTTTTATCCAACTTTCTGTGCTGCCAGAAGGTAGCAGCACCGTATAGGCGTCTGTTCAAAACACAAGCTGCTCTGTGGACTCATCTGTACAGTTACACAAACATGTCCTATAGAAAGAAACACAACAACAGCTTGAAAAAGGACTCTGCTCTCTCTTGTATTTAAATGGTAGGCACAATGCATCTCAACCAAAGTACCTGAGAGACTTCAGTTATGACTACCTCTGCAGTTGGCAGCACACTTGGAGCTAATTCAATTTTGGCATGTTTGGCCAAAATGAAATGATTTAGTATAGTACTCAAAGACAAAAAGCAGACCAGATGTGCACTAACTAAACCCTTCAATAGTCCATTGTTCCAGTAGAGAAACAGATCACAAAAGAAGACAGTAACATTATAAAACAATATTAAATTTGGTGTTTAGGGCACATGCAAGAGAAAAAATAAAACCCAAATGTAAATGATGCTTTAAAATAAATGATGTTCGTGTTGGTTAAAATGGGTTAAATTTTGGTTTTTGTGATTCAAAGAAGAGCCTTGGTAGATTTGCTCTTCATGAGAATATTCATGTATGTTAGGTTACAAGCAGAGATGCGCAGGACTACTGGAATAATATTAGTACTGACAGACAGATGCTTAAAAGTTTTTTTGGCGTTTAAAATTATACAATTTAACATGTTAGAGAACATCTAAATCAGCAATAAAACACTGACATGAGATTTTTTTTTTTAAACTGAAATTCAAATTGTAAACAGTGTCAGAACAATGCTTTATAGACGATGAATGACTAATGATACAATGCATGACTTATTGCTTTAGTGTGTAGTTATTATGAAGTGTTCCTGGTGAGGTTCTCATTATGTAACAACAAGAATAACAAAGATTTGATTTTCTTTACAATAACAAAAGTGTGTTTATACGCTAAAGTAAGCCTTAAAATATGTGCTGCACTTTTATGAGGCATTATGTGCAAGACTTTTCCTTATCAGAAATGTTTCACTACACCCCCAAAAATGCATAGTCTCTCACAATTTTTAAGCTATATTATGTAAACAAAATGAAAATATTGATATCCTTTTTATAGTTTAGAAAGAAAGAGAATCTGTAATATTTTCCTCGATGTTGAACATAAAACAGAATTTCAGAGCCAGTATGGTGAACACCTATAAGAGGAAAGTAGAGCAAACAAGTTTGCTCTGCCTTTGCAAATGCAGCAGATCTAATTTCACTTGCACTTTACTACCAGCCTTCATGTCTACTGATCAGGGTAGTACCTACATCAATCACAAGCAATTTCCTCGTATTACAGGGCATATTATAGAGATCTAATAAGAGATGAACGTCCTGGAAGTCTTGGCCAATTCTTCACCTACATTAAGCTTCAATCTTACTCCAGAGTTGGATGGACAGCGGCAGCATTTTCCAGTCATAAAAAAACACCATTCAAGTTTTTTATGTTTCCAATGTCTGTTTTTTACACTGTCAGAAATCATACTGTTATTATATCAACACAATGTGTGTGTCAGTGTGATGTTTGGGTACCATGACACGAAGAAATCTGTTTCCTTCTTTCTAACTCAGGGTCAATTGCTGCCACTCCAGATTCGAGCTTGAAGCTATTTATCTTTTTCCCCAATCTCGCAGTCCCTATCTGTCTCCTTCTGCTTTCTCTATAAATATATAACCAGTCCTCTCTGTGGGATTGCACCACTTATTGATCGTCTGGAGTCCAGGAGTCGGATGTTTCAAATAGACAAAATGTGAGCTCATCCCTCAAACATTGCTGCTATTTACCTTACTGCTGGACTACAGTGTAAACCCAGGTAACAACAAACTGACGGCACAGATAAAGATTAACTACAACTGAAGAGTTTAGATTCAGTTTCACAGGTTTTGCACAGATTTCTTACTGCTTCATGTTTTAAACTTTTCTATTTATATGCTGTGCAGGCTGTTGCTCATGTTTATATGCAAATATTTATATTGTTTCGCAGTTTTCACAGTAAATTTGGAGGAGAAGCTGCAAACAAACCACCAACAAGAAAGTCAAGCGTGTCTGTCTGCGCTTGGCGGAAAATTACAGGAAGCACTGATTTACATTCAACACAAATATAAATTTTCATCACCAAGTAAAAGCAGCAGAATCAGTCAGAACTAAAAGAAGATGTGGGTTTTGTATTGGATAAAATCTTATCTAAAAACTCCCTCCTTCTCTTTCTCTGCAGACACCATAACAGTGATCTTGTGAGATAACACAACTGCGTTACTGTCACTCTGAAACCTCCGCCTGCCTCCTAACACTTGACATTTCAATCTAGATCAGAGCACCAACACTGCACACTTCTCACTGACTGCCGGTTCAAGAGTCAAGAGCACAGAGGGCAGTTACACTGATTTATTCCGGCATGAATGAGTTATCTCACCGGCTTTGACCTCCACTGTGTGCGTAAGAGTGTGTGTTCTAGCCTTGACCCTGGCTGTCCACATAAAAAGTGATATTGATATGCATCAGCTTAGACTTTAAAAGGGGGATGTAAGAGTAAGGAAACACAGTGAAATAAAAGAGATGAAGAGAAGATTTAAATTGGTTGTGGCAGATCAGTGGGAAAAACAAAAAGCTGGGGAAACTTCTGAATTTTGGTTGAAAGTGGAGGAGCTGAGGCAAAGCAGCTCTCTGAGGGAGGCAGCGCACTCAGCCAAAATCCAGACACTTGAAATAGTAACACTCACGGGCTGCAATTAAAACGGGCATCTCTAGAGCTGCGAGTTTTACAAGTCAGCGGAAAAGAAGCTCTTTATAAAGTGGAGACTGAGAAGTCTCACGGAACAAACAGTATGTGGTTAGAGAAGCAGGTCGAGAAAAGTTGTTAAATGAGCTCTTGAGCAGCGGTGTTAAGGAGCAGATTTTCTGCCTCTAATTAAAGCGGGATTTTTCCGTACTTTTCACGGTCAGCAAAACTCCAGCTGCAGAGTTTTCACTTTCATTTGAAGTTCTTCTGTGCAGCAGTGAGACAGCACTCATCATTTGTCCTCATTATACTCAAAAGTTTTCTCACATTTTATTCACTCAGGCTGGATGAAAGCCGAGTGAATTACGCTGCTGTAAAAACTGTAGAAAAACAAGAAGGAACATTAACATTTTATATTTCTTTTTCGTTTATTATCCACTCAGATTAAATTTGATTCTGCGATCTGTAGTTTTTTTTTTTTTTTATAAAACACACATATACTCTTCTTGTTTTCCATTAACTATTGATTTTACATCCTCTCAGAGCTTTACAAGGTCCTACCCTTGGCTGCTGGTCTCAAATGGTTTTAATGCACAAACAAGGAAGCACATTAAGTGCAACTGGGATCAATTTCCCATGATCCCAGTGCACAGTGGTTTCCACCCACAGACACATAAATAAGGCTAATTGGAGACTAACCTTGTCTGTAGGTGTTATTGTGATCTGCATGTTGCGACTCACAGGAGTCACATGTAGTTTATGGATGGATTGTTTGTTTAGTGCTGTCATTTAGATTCTTATCTGTGACACTGGAGGTGAAGACGTAGAGTAATCTTTGTGAAAGATATGTATATCCAGTAGTTTTTATTGTACATGATTTTACACAGGTTACACACACACACAAAAAGACAAACAAGCCTGTTTTGCAGCCTTTACCCACAAATGTTATACATATAAATGTGTATATATTCAACTCTCAAGTTTTCACTGACCTGGGCTGTCACAACACCAGTATTGATAGTATCCGCCTTTTCAAAGGATGTAAATATTGATAACATGCTGAAGATAAGCACATGGTGTTGGTGGAGAAGAAGAAGCAGACTGCTTGTAAGCTAACTACATCAGCCCTCATAGATAATCAAACACTTACAAGCTAACACTTAAATATTTATCGTAAATCTAAAAATGTTAAAGCTGGTGCCTCTTCAAGTGACTCATTAATTGAAAATTTGTATTTCCTAACTGTTCTTTTAAAACTCTCTTCACTAAGTTCCTCACTTACGAACCACCAGAAGTACCCTTTATACTAGAGGTAGGGGGAAAAATCGATTCTCATAAGTATCGTGATTTTTTTGTTTTATAATTCTTAAATTGATTTTTTTTGTTTTGTTTTTGTTTTAAAAAAATCGTTTTTTTTAGTAAAACAATCTTTTTTCTTTTTTTTCAAATTTAAGAAAAAAATCTTAAAAACTGACTTTCATGTGATGTGTATTTTTTTGGGAAATATGGTTCCTGGAACAGCCAGTAGACAATCTTAATAATTCAACTGTTTCACTGGTGTTAAAAATGCAGACTAAAAATCGAGAAAATTGACTATATCATAAAATCGCAAGTTAAATTGAATCGGCATCCACAAAAAATCGTAGAAGAATCAAGTCGCGTAAAAAGCATATCATCCCGGCCCATCTAAATATCAGACAGAAACATCACAAAATAAGAGCATGATAAATCATTCATGAAGTAGTGTTGTCTACAAAACTTTTGGTTACAGGGCTGGTAATATGGATAAATCAAAAATTCAAGAATCATCAGAGAGAATCGGTTTGTACTAGTTTGAGCCATCAACATCGTTTGCCTTTCTACTTATCATGATAGCCCTCTTCAACACTGACTCCTTGATTCGTCTCGTCTCTTGCAGTAAATTACACATTTATGTCTCATAGCAAACACAAAAGGAGAACAGGCATACAACTTCAGGACAGGCACAAGAAGTATTGCCAGTGAAACATTATTTAACAACTGTGTCCGAGGGCCATAAAGTAGTGTTTTTCAAAACCACCCCATTTTCAGCTATAATGTACGATGGGCAGGCCGTTAAAGCCAAATGGACTCCAAGACCGAGCAGAGGTTCCATTTCACTATAATAACCTGCACTGTGTACATTACCCTGCTATTGCACAGCCGACTACAAAAATGAACAGTCTGTCAAGGACTTCAGACTTTGAAATACTTTTGTTAGTTTAAAAGGGTGACAGATATTCCCTCACAGAACTTTTCCTTCAGACTATATCGCTGTTCTGCTTCTACGGCAGAGGTAATCTCTGCAGCTCTCTGGACCACCACCACTCCATTCAGGTTTACTGCCTTGCTGCTGTCAGTCTGGTGAAACGCTCTTTTCCATTTCTCAGATTTTATTTCGTCTTTACATGTCAGCTACAACCTTTCAGTTTTCTCTGAATACCTCGACTGACCACACAGAATGGCATATTCAACGTATAATGACATGCAATAATGCAGATCCATTAAGTATTCACAATGGTTTTAATAGATATCACATTACATTTAATATCAGCCTATACTCTCTCATTGGTAAACGCTGAGTGCAAAGGCCACTGATGGATGCTGCAGCAGGAGAGGCAACCATCATCAACCTTGACCTCCTCTAAGATACACAGTCTCATCCATCAAGTTAAGTAGAAGCAGTGCAGCGCAAGACAAAAAACCCGAGCCGAATAACAAAACAAATAATGCAATTATTTCATAGACAGTGTAAATTCAATAATGCATCAAAATATAAAAAGCATTTGTGTCTTCCCCTGCCACATTAGCGGAGCGTGCTCAGGAAAAAAACACAGGTTCAATACCCATTATGACCATGTTGCTGTTACCTAATGCATCATCATTACTGAGCCTATATAGTGTACACAGCCCACACAGATATACAAATCCTTAACACCAACCAAGCAAACAAACATTCACTCTGTATATTGCAATTCCCCTTGTGAAAATTCGCTCTGCTACATTTAGGGGGATGGGCGAGCTGTGATATAGCACGACGCGTGACGTAGGGGCGAAGGTTATGTTACACATCTCCGTGCGTGTTGGGATGTTTGTGTGTAGTAATGTGGGCTTCACAAGTGGGCTTGTGAGAAACGTTTCAGTCGGCGAACATGAGTAAGATGAGGGTGAGAGGATCTCAAGACTGTGTAGGTGAACAAGTGGGTGTCAGCTGGGGAGATGTGATGCAATTATGAACCTGATAAAGCGTGACAGAAACAAAGGGTTCAACAGTCTCACAATGTAACGCCGGGTTAGGGAAGACCTATGTGCGATTCCCTGTTACTCCTCCAGATTGCTGTTTACCAGGAGAGAGGAATATCACCACTTACAGCCTCAGCACTCTCTATTTTTGTGATATTCATAATAACTGTTTTCATGTTGGAGGTGGGGGAGTGATGAGAGCAGGGTTTGGATGAAAAACAACTGTGAGGAAAATACTTGTGGTTTAAGGGGAAAACTAGAGAGTCATTTTGATCTGCAGAGGGTTTTGAGTTTAATCTGATAAGATTGAAAAACCTCTGAAGTTGTTGCCCTCACCACACACAAAGACATATAATGCAAAACCGCTCAGAAAGACAGAAAGACGCAGAATATCAGGGAGAAGAGACGACTTTTTTCATACAAATGATGAAGGACCACACTGGCCTTTTATGTGAGCAGCATTTTCAATTCAACAATGAATCATGGGAGATTTCACAGTACAGTAGATTTCACATTAAAATGTCATCGTGCAATTACTTTTGATGACGCGCTCAGGTGTTAGCTGAGGCGCAGAAATGTCAGACCGTTACCACAGCGCTTAAAGGAACGGAGCGCACACACATCGACGGATGAAACAATGCACGTGCATGTGATCTTGAGACACACACACACACACACACACACACACACACACACACACACACACACACACACACACACACACACACTTGCTCTACCTACTTAAAAGTTGAGATCACCTGATGTTTGACCTGCCCATTGTTGATAAAAGTGAAACTAGTGCAGCAGGTAGTTCTCAAAACAACTGATCAGAAAGGATTTTGAGGTAACACTTTACAATAACCATAATTTATAAATGGTTAATAGATAGTTTTATTAATGTTTAATTATCATTTAAAAACAGCATATAGACCAATGATAAATGGCAAATAGATAGTTTATTAATGTAAGTTAATAGTTACTTCACCATTAACAAGCAATGAAATTATGATTCATAATTTTCATTAGTTATTAATGGACTATTTATTAAAGGTTTATATAGGGTGTAAATATTGGTTGTAAAACATCTGGATTTAAATGTGTGTCAGTAGCACTTTGTAAATGATTAACATAATATTTGTTTTTTAAACCATCTATATACATTACTTAGATGGTTATTGTAAAGTTGCAGCTGATGTTTGTAATACTTTGTAAATGATTAATAAGTGGTTTATAAACCACCTTTAAACATTACTTAGATGGTTATTGTAAAGTTAGAGTTAGGGTCAGGGTTAAGGTTAGGTCTATATGCTATTTATAAATGATGATTAAACAATAAACTTTCTGCGTACCATTTATAAATGGTCTATTTACCATTTATAAGATAGTTATTGTAAAGTGTTACCAATTTTGATTTGCTAACGTAAGTGGTAAAGTAGCTATTAAGGAATCATAGGAGCTGCCTGGATTGAGGTATTCAGATAATTCTAGTCCCCACTGAAAGCCACAATGCAACAGATAGACCGTGTAGAACATGCTGACCTCCATGTAATGAGCGACCCTGACATTTACATCAGCTGCTGACTGATGTGCATTTATCAGGGGGACGCACGCACACGCAAACGCACAGATTATTGATTTCAGTCGCAAAGGACACAACCTGTGAAAAAGTTCACATCTTAAATGCACCTTCCCTCATTGCTGCTCCACTCAGCGGGTCATCTACACACCTCGGCTTGTTAAAGGGCTCATTTGATGCCCGCTGCTGCAAGCGGATCGATGCTTTTTCAGGTAGGTGGAGGGTAGAGTATCAGGGGGGTGTTGCTACTGTGAGTGATATCCCCTTGTGAGAGCAGGGGGCTGGATCAATGCTTAGGCAAAAATGACAGAGGTGTGAGAAACAGGGAGGGAGAAGAGAAAGATTGGAGGGCCGATAGATTGTACTTTGCAGCACAGACTGAACCAAGAAATGAGGATACAGAAGAGGAAAAACTGAGATATATGGAGGATGTCGTCAAAGCAGACTTAAAGGGCAAACACAAGCTGAAAAGTGGTAAAAAAAAAATGCACAAGGCGACTGATAAAAGAGGATAACTTATCTCCAAAGATCTCTATCAACAGGCTGGGTTTTCTCTCCTTCAGAGAGATTGATTTTGATTTTTACCAACGTCTTTGCTGGGATCCAGACGTTATTTCTTTCCTTTTGTTCAGTGAAACTTGCTACTATTAACAGGCTTTATGCTGGAGTGCAATGAACAGCATTAAATGTGTGACTCTTGGCTTTCTTCTCTTTCTTCTTTCTGTTAAGAGCTAGCCTGACTCACTTCTGAGTCACCGCAGTATTTAACATTAAGGCTATCATTAAGCAACGTGTGTGCGCAAGGGTCTGTTGTGACTTGAACTATGTAACCTCTCCGGTTTGAGCCCATAAAGCACAAAGGAAAACAGCCCAATTAGAAGACACGACGACGCTTAATCGATCCCTGCTGGCTGTCACTCTAAAAACAAATGAATAATATCAATATTTATCAATAATAGAGGGGGATAAACTCAAGCACACTTTGTTAGAAATCCAACAAGAGGAGACAAGCAGCTGTGCAACTTCAGATCTCAGTGAGGCTGTTGCTAAATTATAGTAATGTGTGATTTAAAGTATGGATCTTATTCATCTCATTTAAAGGGAAAGTTGACTTTATCTGGGGTGTAACCAGCAGAAGATCAGTGGTTAATGTACTTACTATCGTCAAGTTCACCCAATCATCACCATTTAAACAAAGGAGACATCCTTTGGGAGTACTGTCTATACTGAGCTTCTCCACATCTATTTCATATTGATCTTTTTTTCTGTTTTTCAGGACTGTCATTAATTTCTTGAGTATCTATAAGGCTCCAACTGGTGATAGTCAAGTGAGCAGCTCAACAGATGGTTGGAGGAAGGTTTCGAATTACACGCAACTAAAAAAAGACATCGCTTTGTGCTTCATCACAATCGTATCCACACCCCGGAGGAGTCTCAAATCAAAGAAAACCAAGCACACATATATGTAGGCCAGGTGCATAGAAATCAAGATTTGCACACACACAAAAGCCTGAATGCAACAGTGCAAATGTCTTTGTTCTTGGCAGAATCTCTGTTGTACTCTGTGCGCTGTGACTCTGTTCATACATGTATGAATGAATCATTCTGAACTAAGAATAGACGCCTTGCCTGGTTGATTACAACTTCCCCCGACCCGTGGTTCTAGGAATCTTTCATTCTCATTGTCAGTATGGTTCCTCTTGTAGATACCTGGGGTTAACTCATGCAGATCGCTTTTTTAGGGCAAACGATTTATAATACATCAATTGCAAAAATTAGGCCAATACTGATTCTGATGTTGATAAGGATACTGATACTGACAATGCAGTGAAAACCTGGTGACTTCTTTGCAATTATTTGTGTCTTTTTTGATGTTTCTCAACAGTTACTATAGTCCCTCTGTCACGGTTATGCGTTAAGCAAAAAAGGAAAGGGCCCAAATGCAGAAACAAAAAGATTTATTCAAAATTAACTAAATAAGAAGCAACAAAACTCACTTTCAAAATAGTCCAACCAAAAGAAATCCCAAAGTCAAAAACACAAGAAGCCAAATCCAGGGAACAAAAATCACGAGGGGGAAAAAACCACGAGGAGACACTGGAGACATTGATATAAGGAATAAAACATTGAGAACATGAAGGAACCGGGGTCAGACACAAACTGAAAACTCACAAGACAGGACTACAGGGGAACAGAAACAATAAAAGAAAGAAAAAATACACTTGAGGGAAACACAAAACCAAGGAAAAACTAAAAACCAGAACATATGACACCCTCTTTTTGAAATGTCACAGGAGCATGTCTCCTAAATTACATGGTTCGGCTCTTTCTCAAAGACTGTGTCATAGTCCAAATATTGTGGAATTTTTTTTTCACTGTAAACCATAAAAATAAATTTAAAGATGTAAAACAGGGCTAAAACCCCTCTATTTTGAATAATTTTCTTAGGTGGAGTAGTTTAAATTCAAACGTGGCACATTATTTGTCAAGCTGCCTCTGTTAACGGCCAGTACTGATGTTAAGTATATGTAACCTACAGTAAGGAGCTATTGCACGGCAAATGCAATTAAATCACATATGTCATGGATAAGAACTCAAAGAGTTTCTGTAAAAATTCTGGGCCACCTGGTGCAGCCAGTGTGGCTTTAGAGCTCCCTAACTCTGATCACAAAACTGTCCATTCTCTTGCGGAGAATGGAAACCATTTCCTGCAGGATATTTTCTCATTTCATGCGTTGATGATTGTGGTGATAGAGCATGCTGTCTACAAGTTGCTCTGAAATTCCTCTCAGGTGCTGAATTGTGATGAGATCTGAGGCCGCTTGCACAAAGGCGATTACAGATCTCACTGTCAGGTTTCATATATTTACAAGAAACTATGCACAAAACTGACTCAGAGTACCCATTTTGCAATGCATTCTGGTTAATCTAGAGCTTTTTTGAGCGTACAGCCATAGCTTACTGAGTGATGGTGTTACAAGTTTAAGACTTTGTTCACAACAGCAGAAAGTTTTTATCAAACATTTAAAGAGACCTTTACTTGAAACTCAGAATTTCCACCAGTTTGCTAAAATGCAGGAGGAGAAAAGGGGGCTAAAAACAAGAGTTTATCATGTCCAAGTAAATTTACAAAACACAGTCGTTTCTGAAGTCCCTGAGCTCCCTCATCCTGTAGGTTCCTCTGGATCGCTGCAGACCTGCCTGCTTTCTACCTGCTTCACCAGCAATTTCCACCGTATCTGAAATGGCTACAAAAAGGCTGTATCCACGGATCGTAACTGATCGTAACCATTGATGTCAATGTGTCAATTTCCACCAGCTTCTTTCTGTTCCATTGCGGTTTGCCGGACTCCGCAGCTGATTGCAAGAGTTTTATATTTTCCGGACGCCAAAGCATGCCAGATAAATTCAGCACAGATTAACCCATGCTGGAAAGGAAGTCAGGCACAGACACAAAATAAAACATCTGGCTTCTTTTCAAAATAAAACACTACGTGTTTCAGGCGGATTGTATTTCACACCATGCAAATTGCTGGGAAAGAACAAGTGAAAGCATCTTTAGACAGCATTTCACCTCGATGACACCATGGATGAGGAGTTGCTGATTTTATAAGTCTAGAAGTAGATTTCCTTCTCTGGAAGGACACAATCTACTGCTTACATGGTTAGCCTCTGTGGCTAAAGACAACTTGTTATCATGTGATTGCACGTGAATCTGCGGGTTTTTATGAGTTCACGCAATTCCTGCTGTCCGTAATCAGCCTTAAAATTCGCCTCACAAACGGATCCAGTAGGAATTGGCGTACAGCGAAAATTGCTGCGATCCGGATGCAGTGGAAATCCCGGGTCACTCTCTCCATTTGAATCACTGTTACAAACCTAATAGTGATTGTAATACATTTTGATTCTTCCTGCTTCAATTATCCAAAAAGGAGAAAATCATTAAACTGTAAAAGTTTTTATTGCTGTTAACTATGAACAAAAACTTTCTAACCCTCAATCCTCCGTCTCTAACAGTCTTTGTTTGCTCCTAAACAATCTCTTGCTGTGTTTAAATGTGACCGAACACCACACCACACACATCAGCTCCCCCATTCTCTCACTGTGGATCCTGACCTTGATCTGGACCTGCTGTGTTCACTCATAGGCTCAACGTGAACCCCACACAGAGTCTGTATCAGGTACAGACTCTGGCACATTTCACGCCTAGTTCAACTGGTTTGGAATCTCAATTGGCTCCTCTGACTCATTCCCCAACAAGTTTGAAAGAGGCTGTGATTTTTAAAAAGGAAAATCTCACTCAGGGTTTTTATTTTTGAAGTGAAAATAAACCATAAAAAAAAAAACAGTGCCAAAGCTCAGCCTGGACACTCATGAAGCTTTTCACGAGAACAGAGCGATGTTTGGAAGAATTTAAAGAAGCAGCCTTACTTTCATCAGGGTTAGGTGAAGCAAGGATGGCACTGTGCTTCCTCTTCACCTCCTCGACTTTCTCTGCAAGAGACTCGATAAAACCTCGGATCTCCTCCACCTGTTGACAGAGACAGCGAGGGAGAGAAAGAGAGAGAGGGGTACTTTAGAACTCCTCTGTGCTGAGGCAGGAAGCTGGCGTGATTAGCCTGAGAGATGTTGATGTAACCGAACTGAAGTTATCATTATCATATTAGAGGCAGAAAGAAAGCAAAGTGAGATAGACTTGAAACCAGAACACATGGATCATGTTTTCTCGGATCCGGGCTCAGTTATCATTTCATTTCCTCACCTTCTTATGCGACTTCTTACTACAATTTCTGTATTCAAACTGAAATGTGGTAATTTAGCACACATAGGCCCCCAAACCAGTATTCAGTTATCATCATGACTCATTCTCTCTCAGGATTCAGCAGTGAGATCGACCAAAACCCAGTCAGCAGAGGTAAAACAAACATTTTGAGCACAACCATTTCTTCTTCTTCTGCGAGGACAAGTAAGCACTCGAAAGAGGTAACCGAAGCTGTGATGTTTTATCTCGCAGAGGTTGTGATCACAATCAAAACTGTGGAAAAGCAGCAGGGCTTCAGAACTACTACTACTCAAACTACCTGATCCACAGTATGAGTCACCTCGCCCTTAACACTTTTCCAACGTGGCCATTTCATGTCCATACTCAGAGTGCTGATACAAGAAAGAACACAAAGCTCTAGACGGAAATGTCTGCAGTAATAGGGCAGTTATAGTCAAGCTGCGCTCTTAAGCTTTATTTGAGTCTAATGATCCGTTTTATTTACAGTAGCCCTGTGGTTCCACTTACCTGTGCTGAACATTTTAAGTTTGCATTTCATAACTCTATTTTTGAGTATTTGGCTTTTTCATATGATCGGCCATCTGAAGAAAAGCAGGAAATGTGGGGAGTAGAGAGTGAGGGAAGACATGCAGCACAGGGCTGCAGCCTGGAACTGAACCAGCAACCACTGCGATGAGGACTTTAGCCTGTATGTGAGGCACTTAGACCACTAGGCACCCGAAGAGTTGACAATTTTATTCAACCTTTTATTAAAGGTGGGATAGGCAGGATTTCGTTAAAGAAGCATCTTTTTTGTGGTGTTTATACAGAAAAGCTTTTAATATCAGTCAATAGCTATTAGTTATTGATGACATTTGGGAATATCACAATATCGCTGTGTTTTGTTATGTCTGTGTTAGTCAACATTTTCAATTTTTTGAGCGGCCCGCTCATTCTGACTGTAAACAAAGCCATTTTCCGCCTCCCCCAACCTGATTGGTTGTGAGGCAAACGCTGCTCCCCCATGTTGTGAGGCACGCTCCACATCCTACAATAACGTGTACGAGCCCAAACAAAGTTAGAGTGCTACAGTATCGAACAGTAGAAACCAACCAGATAGTACAGAAAATTGTCTGAATCCTCCTTTAGCCACGACTGCCAACACAAGCAAGAAAACGAAGTAAATACCGGTGACAGAATAACTGGCGCTTAAAACAGAGGTAGACCGGACAAGAGCTGTGGGTAGTGTTTACATTCAAGATTTCTCCCAAAAACTGGCACTTCCTCAGATCCTGCCTACCCCACCCTTAACTGGTCATGAGTATTGGTTGGAACAGGCTTTTCCTCACTTAAAAATGTTTGGTTTGTGCGAAACAACATACCGAGTGCTGCCCTAAAAACAACAAACTGGAGCTATTTTTGCCTCTAAGAACCAGGTTTGAACCAATCACCCCCTAGCTGGCTTTTTACCAACTGTGCCGCCCCTTCCTCAGGTGACAGCTGGATGAGCCGCAGATCACATCTGCTTGGGATGCCATAAATCTCTTCTTGCATCTCTGTCTGTCATCAACCCCTGTTCACTTTCTCCTCCTTTACACCTGCTCCACCACAGACCAGCATGCTCTCCCTCCATTTCTCAATGCAACGTGTCCTCGTTTTTTTTTCTACGTGCATGTCTCTGAGTCTTATTCTTTCATTCAAAAACCACTTGTCACTTTCAAAGTGCTCTGCTTTCTCTGTCTCTATCCATCAGCGAGGAGTTTTCTTCACTCATTATTTTCCTGTTATCTCTTTAATTAGCTGCTGATTGGATCTGTTTTCTTAATAACAACTTAATTGCCTGTGAAGGACCACGAGGGAGAGACCAGACACTGCAGACGGCACAGTGATGTGACTACAGAGCTAAGTAAAGTAAGACTGACAGGTGGGGAGAGAGCACAAAGTTGGAGAAAGGAGGAAGAAGGAGGAACTGAAGCAGACGGGAAGTGAGCAGAAGATGAAACCACTCAGTTTGGAGACCATGTGTAAGTGAGTCATGAAGCGTCTCAGGTCTCAGAAGACATCGGGCATATTTTATTGGTGTGGGAGAGAGGAAACAATTCCAGACACAGCTGAAGATCTCACATACATGCAGGAACAAATAAACAGACGCACCAACTCTCACAGGAACGCCTCGCCAGCTTTCAACTTTACTTAACGAACTTTTCAAGTTTGATTTTTGCAGACCTTTATACGGCATAACATTTAAGTTTAACGTATATGCATTTATGCGTACCATACAAATTCTTAAGTCAAAGTCTTTCTCGTCCAATTCAAGTTTCACCTGAATAAAATCTTGTTTTTATCTGCTAAAGATGATGTGAGGAGGGCTTGAGGCCACAGTGAGCCCATCTTGCTGTTGCTTCCTTCATTCTTGCATCATCCAGCAAAGGATACTTGAGAGAATAAAGGCAGCCCTGCCGCAGGATGTGAGGGGAGCACTGACAAGTGTAATGGGGTTGTACGCGAGTCAACATTGTGACAAGTACAGAGATGAGACTGGATCGTACTTTATGGCATTCTGACCTGGAAAAATTGCAGTGCAGAAACTTTTTATTAAAAGTCATCTGGGGTGGTATCAGGTGTATGCTGTAACTTTTCTGCACAACAAAGCTTTAAGGAAACAAATGGAAAATTAAAATATTGTAGGGTTTAGGGTTTTTAAAGGAAACTTAACATTTAAGCTTAATTTATAGGACAGGACTTATATATATAAATATATAAAACAACCACGAGCATCAGTTCCTCAATCTCACAGCACAACAGTCTAAAGTTAATGCCTCTGCTTGGCTCCACTATTTCAGATGCTTGCAAGTGTGCACATGCAGACACTTTTACCAATTTGGTGGATTTTCTATCACATAAACAGACACAGAGTGAGGAAATGTGTTGCCTATGTCAGTTTGTACCTGCTGTTGGACGGTAAAGTAGGAAGTTAAGACATTTTCACAGCTTTGTCCCCCTGTAGTGAGAAAAAGCTGCAGAAACTCAATAACAGATGAGAGTTTGAGGTTTTTTTTCTAGTTTGATGACCTGAGAGAAATAACTTCACCTCATCTTAACAGTTTGAAAAATGTCAGCCAGCTTTACTCAGCTGGAATCTTGTTAACATGAACTTACCTTTGGACTTAAAAATCTCTAAACTCAGGATTTTGATGATGGGTTTTAGGGTTTGACAACAAGAGGACTGTTTTTCACAATGATTACTGTATTTTTTGCACTAAAAGGCGCACTTAAAATCCTTTTGGCTTGTCGGAGCACTGCAGCTACCTTAGCCTCGCTGAGTTATTGAATGAGTTAAATATCAATCTGACTGTTTTGTTTGGCTTAATGCGCTTTATAATCCGGTGCGCTTTATGTATGGAAATAGACGCGTTCATTGATGGTTCGCCTGATAATCATGTGCGCCTTCTAGTGCGAAAAATACGGTATGCCCGGGGTTTTAATGTCAGCTGCACTTTGGGTTTTGGTACGACACGTTGGTGATCAATTTTGCTGATCATATGCACAACTTGGACATTGAACAGATGTTGGGATTTGGCATAAACATAACTCAGGAGTTTTATGGTTCTGACTTTTCATTGTCAACCAGAAACAGGGTCAATCTGATGTTAAAAATTCGTTTAAACGCAAATGTCACAGTATATTTCAGCTTTAATTCATTGATTAATGAAACAGAAAAAATACACTGGGCCAGACAAAAAAGGAGTGATCACTCAGGCCCACCCCCACCGCTCTTATTGCATGTAATCACCCATTACCTCTGTCTGGTCATCTAACTTCTCTCCTTCACACTTTTCAGAGTATTTTTCCTCACCATCCCTCCGGCCCCTCGCTCAGCTCAAACCGTTCTCTGATTACCTCCTGTCTCTGCTTGCTCCCTCTCCAGCTTCTCACTTTAGACACATGTAATAGACTGAAATTCCAGGATTATAGATGTACGCTTCAAAAAGTCTGATAGAAACAACTGCCCGTCAGAAGACTGAGGCGCTGATAGAGCGGTAATGAGAGGAGACAAATGCGAGGGGAATTTTTGCAGACTGCCGTGTTCTCTCAGAGCTATAACACCACCTAATCACAGTTTTATGTGTAACTTAGAAGTCATACCATGCAGCGCAAGTCAGGATTGTCAGCTACAAGCTCAGTGGAGAAGGTCTACATTTTTTTTCTACATTGAAATGTACAGAAAGTTGAGAGTCAGAGAGGCAGAAAATTAGCAATTACATGTTGGCAGAAACCATAGGTATATAATGGAAATAAAGCTTCACACACCAGTTAAGAATGACAGTCAAAAATTGCTCCAACTGAACTCTGACATCAAAAATAGATCCAGTTTTCAGTCAAACAGCTAGAATAGACATTAGTGAAACTGAGTCCATATAGGGGCTGATCTGTTTGATTCAAGTCTATGCTATCCTGTGATCACATCAAGGACATGCATGTACTACGCCATGTGTCATCAGCTCACTTGTGTATCTTGTCATCAGAGTTGGATACGAGTTGCATGATGCCGAGAGCAGAGCTGCAAGCCACAAAGATTACAAATCATACATGCCAGTGACTAAATTTTAGCTGCAATCAATGAAATGCTTGATTAATGAATAATCATCGTTATATTCTGTCTGAGGCTGCTTTTAAGGTGTATTTATTTTTTTATCATTTCGTTTGACCAAGTCGCAAAAATGATTCAAAGTGAGGTTATAATTTAACGCTTGTATTGGACTGATATTGGAATTGGTGATGCTGAAAGCCTAGGCATTCGTATCAGTATCAATATCCATTCCCATTAAAAAGTACATACAGTTGACATTAGAAGGATGACCTCATAAATAGGATGCAGTTTGAAAATTGTATATTGATTTTATTGGGATAGTGGATTATGAATTTGAAGCTTCTTTGGGGATCCAGAGTTTAAATAAAAAACACCTCATATAGAGGAAATGTTTCTTTGGCTTTCATAAACAACTGTCAACATGGGAAGTACACAATACTTCAAATTTACACAGACCCTGACTGAATAGTAAATCAAGGTATCTCTATAACGTATTATAAACATATGTGTAATGCATTATAATCACATTACAGCACTGTATAACTATAGTTATAAACACTCAAAAATGATCATAATGCTTTATAGCAATAATCATAACACATTATAAAGCATCTTATCATGACTTACAAGGTCAGATATTATAATATATTATAACTGTTAACAACTCACTGTCTATGCCCACATAGATAATGCATTATACATATATATTTATGATGTGTTATAATTTGCTTATAATCTTGTATAACTATCATTATAAACACTCATTAATTATCACAAGGCTTTATAACAATAAACAAAACACATTATAATACCTGACCTCGTAAGTCATGATAAAATGCTTTATAATGTGTTATGATTATTGCTATAAAGCATTATGATCATTGATGAGCGTTTATAACTACAGTTATACAGTCTATAATGTGATTATAACGTATTATAGATATATTTTTAATGCGTTATAGAGACAGGCGTCAAGTTAAGTGTTACCGAAATGGAAATGTTAATGTAGGAGGATGTGGTAGGAGGGGTAGTGGAGGGAAGCAGGCAGTGGTGATAGCTGTACAGGAGTGATGCTGGGCACCAAATCTGCTCATGTTGCATTCTAAAATTTACTTCTATGCACATATGACTTTGTTCCTATCTCTAACTTTATATAACTTTAGCAGTTATGGTCAAGATCCTGAGTTATATACAGCATGTTCATTACACCCCTGCTGGAAATAACACATAAGAACTGCTTCTCCCTGTTGAAAAAAATCTGTGCATGATTTTTCATATTGTTTAATAACTGTTAAAACACTCCCAAATTAAATACTAACAAAGGGTTTTTGATTAGTGCACCTGCGGCTCCGTCACAGACAATTTCGCCTCTTTGGTCATGTGTTTGTGCAGTCTCATGTTGCTTTGGGAACTCATATCAAAGTACTGATTGTCAGAGCTCTTTCATTTTCCACAAAGGCTGGTAAATGGCATTCAACCCCACACAACCTGTCTTTGTAGCAGCATTTGTGATGGGGATGGAAACACTTCAAAGTTAAAGCCATTGGGTATGAACTGTATATCTAGGCGTTTCAAATCTGGAAGAACTGTCTGGTAACACATCTGATCTGAGTTATTCTGCTTTTAACAGGTGAACTTTTCATTGGGGGAGATTTATGAAGAGGGCCACAAATGATATTCCCCTGACTCTGTCTGAGAGAGAATGAAAGAGAATATAAAAAATAATTGAAAACTACACAGTTGTAATCCAGAGCTGGACAAAAAGAGCAATATTTTGTTGTTGAATCAATAAAGGCCATAAAAAGGAAATAAAATAGAATACACACCCATCCATGCCACCCCAGCAACAACATCAATAGCTATAAATCACATCACTGCTCCCCAGGGGAAGAGAAATGGCAAGAGATTGATTACAGCACAGTGAAAAACCAACACTATTGCATTCCATATTAAGGGACGAGTGACACCGAGGCTCACTGTAGTCCAGCAAACAAGCAGGATTTTTATCCAAGATGGCAAGTAATTATCCTAAACCCACACAGCAAATTCACTGTAGGCCAACTCACACTGCCGAGTTTCTGGCATCAGCTCTGATATATTTAACTGTTTACATGTAAGAAAACATACTTTTGTAGGAGTAATATCGCAGTAAAATTGAGTAGTGTTTCTTTAAAACTCTTTGACTCTGGACGGGTGCCTTTGCTGGAAAATTAAAACGCCGCCATGTTCTTAAACAACAAGTATGAAAAGGAGAAACTGGCATGTTTATCTCCTGTGCAAATAAGGCTGTCTTAGTTTTCACCAAAAAGTGAAAAGTAGTCGTTCCAAACAAACAAACAAGGAAATAAAATATAGATGACTTGTGTGAGAAACAAACCTGTTCAAAGAATTCATCCATGAAGCCCTTATCCATCCCCACGGCGACTTCATCCTCCTCCTCTGTCGTCTCCTTCCCCTGCACAAACACACAAACCATGAGGAAACATCTATTAGACGATTCATGAACATGATCACTGCGGTTATACATTATTAAAAAGACGTCAATGAAAGACATGCTCTGCAATAAAAGTGGTCATGACTGGGCCATGTATAATTCAAGGTTAAACAGAACAATATTAACACTCAACCCACCACTCCACCTATCAACTGATTAGAAACAAGGAGCACTTCGCCACACTTGTAATTAGAACCACAGGTTGAGTGATTATCAAGTCATTACTGAATTAGGCACTACGGCAGAAGAAACCTTTACTTTCACACAGATCTGACAGCCTGCAAACACATACATCACACACAACAATTAATAGATCACCGGGTTAGCTTAGCTATGCACAAAGACTAAAAGAAGAAAAAAATAATAAAGCAAAATCCACCAACAATCTTCACTTGATTTAACGAGCAGCTATTTACACCAGCAAGATATGACACAATTCAGTTAATCAACAATGAATTATCATCTTTTTCTAAGGTATCAAAAATCTTTCTAGCTGAAACAGAAGTTATGACAAGAACACATTAACACGGAGGCAATAAAAACAAATTAAGCCTGTTTCTATCCCCGAGGACTGCTTAAACCATCTCAATCTTGAACTCCAGCAAGCAATCATCTTCAAAAGTTACAACTTCTCAAACTTTTCAGCGTTTAGACTCTTATTCATTATGAAAGCGCTCAGTTTAATCACATATCGGCCATTAAACTACATTAGCAGCACACTCACGTGACTCCACCTCATTCATCTTGCCCCCCGTCACAATAATTCAATTCCTCATTAGACGGTTACGAGATTCTTTTGCTAATCAACACTGAGGCGAGGGAGCACAGTTTTCACCATCCTCATTTTTGCACAAAAAATTACCAACACATATGGGAGACTTATGGGTAAATATACAGGCTGTATGCATTAGAGATAGACTGATTAATCACTCTGACAATTATTGGCATTTTGGCGTAATCAGACTTATATAATGGCAATATAACGTGACAATGAAAAACAGTTCTTCAATCAAAGGGACTCCAAATGTACATTTCCATCAAAGCACCTTAATACATCCATCATCTGTGTGAATACTTGGAGTAGGGCTAGGCTTTGTGCCTTTCATCTTCAAAGCTGTTTTAAATAAGGTAATAACGGTATAACCATATATGGTTTTTCTGAGTCTCTTTATCTGGATATATCTTATGGTTACGAATTGATGTTCTGTACTATTGTTTATCATTTCATCTACAAATATTATCGCTGGAAGTTAGGGCTGGGTGATATGGGAAAAAGTTTATCACAATATATTTTTTTCAAATCAGTCGATATCGATATATATCACGATATAAAAAATGAAATTTAGCAGTGCTTATTGGTAGCATGTCTTTTGCAATACACTAAGCTACTGCACCTGTGACGTCTTTGTGTCTCTTTGACGTTTTGTTGTAAGGCGTTGCAACCACTTGCATTGTGCATGCTCTGCTGTGTGGCTCTGCTTCAGATGGTTAGAAAAATCTGAGGTATTGTCCAACTTGGTGAGAACATGTACTGGCCATAATTTGCAGTGCACATTACTCTGCTTCATGTCGGTACCTCAAAAAAAAAACAAAATACCGCCACACCCCTGATGTTTTTGTGCCAGTCTGGTCGATGATGTCGTTAGCGGTTGAGTCTTCATCTGCATTTCTGCCAGAGGTCAGCACTTATTTCCTATTTTTATTCACCGACAGTGCTGTCGGCTTCACATTAAAGTGCTTTGGTTGCATGTAGCTGCAGCCTGCTACTACGCAGTTGTTTGCTACTTGGTTCTAATTCTGCACATGATTGGTTCAGCGCGAAGCGGACCTGGAGCAACTCCTCATTTCATTGGCTCTTCAAATAGTCTACCAAAACATGGCAGAATGCGGACTATCGAAAAGCGTATTGACCACGTTTTATATCGATATTGAGGAAAATAAATTTTTGATATATATCATTATTGTTTTATCACTCAGCCTTACTGGAAGTCAAGCTGATAAAGAAACATACATAGGTAAGGCAGGTGAGAGATATTTGAAGGTGACAAGCAAAATAGTTATAGTGGATTGGGTAGTCAAATTACATTCAATGCAACAAATGATGAATGAAAAAAAAAAAAGAAGTATTCGGAGAATAAAACATTTTAAAAATTCTGAGTGATTGTCTGAAGATTACAAATTTGAGAGTGAAACTTAACAAGCTTTGAATTGTTTAACTAAGGTGCCCAGCTCTTTGGTCGTGGGTGTGATTTTTCTTGGTAAATATCTCATTTTGGAACAAAACAGCTCACCACATGGTTATAAATATGGTTTTGTGTTGGTATGGCAATAAGCTTTGTTTTAGGAACTATTAGGAGCAGAGAGAAAAGAGGCCTCAGCAGGAGGCAGAGGAGGAGGAGGACAGAATAAGCACCCACAGAGCAGTCTGCCTCCACAGAGAGATTCTACATCTCCTGCAGAGAGGAGGAGGAGGTTTTAGTTTGAGTGGTCAGAAGTAGAGAAGACCGAGTGGTGCATCCCTAATCTCCACCTCCCGCATAGATCTGAAGCTCACACTGCGGCTGTGCGCGCAGTACGCTGCACTCTTCCCTCCCTCTGCAGGATCGGACTTGAGTGTCCACACACAGCAGATGCACTGAGATGGACACGCAAACACGCATGCACACTCCTGCTGACACAGTGAAAACACACGACAGACCCACAGAGAACAAGCCTTTACAAGCTGGTCTACCCATTAGACCCCAGCCCTTTGGTTTATCCGTGTTCCTGTGGGGCTCACACTCAGGTGAAAGTGCCCAGCATGAGCAGTGGCCTGATTATGGTGTTTATTAGATTAGAGAGTTGTTCTAGGCATCAGGCCAGCAGGGAGCCACTCCATGGAGACACAAGACAGCATCTGAATGTCCACTGGAAATAGGATGAAAAGGAAATATTGCCCATTGAGGTTGTAAAAGATCCTTACTATTAATAGATGTATTACTCACAAGGAATCCTGGTTAGCTGAGCACCACTGAAGCCGGGCTATTGGCCTCGACAAAGGAAGACAGTTTTACAACATAATTTAGCTTTTTCTTTAAAGAAAACGTTAGGATGAGTTTCTTTAGCCAGTCATGTTAGCCTTTAGAGTGGTGGAGCTGTGTCACTCAAATACCTCTGATACTTTAGTGCTAGATTTCTAGACAACCATCCTCAACTAAAGAACCTTGTACACATTTTTACATCGCACAGGTCCCCAAAATATGTTCTGCCATGTTATTTCCTTCTACCATGGACCCTCCATATGTTCACCTAAAGCTCCTTAAAATATGTTGTTCTTTGTTCTTACCGTACATGGATTTTTCTAATGGTCAACTAAATGTCAGCAGTATGTTTAGAAATGTGGACAGCTATATATACTTGAACAGTCTCAGACTAACCTTGGTTATACCTTGTCATACTAGTGGCATGATGAAGCTGTAACCAGTAAAGCATTCGTGTGGACCTTCCATTTTCTAACGTGTGAACCTGGGCTAGGCATCCTTACAGAAAATAAAGAAGTGCTTCTTTTCTTTGACTGGAACAATTTTAAAATTCTGATCTGATAGGAAGTAAACCAATCTCATTTCAATTCCAGGCCATTGCCACTCTCATGCCATTATATTTTATTCCTCATGGTGTTGCTTTTCTGCTCATGAAATAGTTTGGCTATCGGTCAAATCTCTCTCTCCTTCCAGAGTTTCATTTTTATTAAAACCAATTCTCTGAACATCATCTCCATTCGTACTTTTGAAATTGCTAGCCCCACTGGAAAAAAGCCACACTGAAAAGGACGCCTTGTCAAGAAGTCCTTCGCTGCAAACCGCTGACTGCACCAGGTATAAGCACCGACAATATCAGCCCTCACTCATCACTTTCAGACAAAATTCCATGGATTCTGTGATTCGATGTGCAGACTGTGGAAAGCACAGCTGACAATGGGGAGGAAAAACACGGGAACACAACAATTACCCAAGAAGACATCGTACAGAGGGCGCAGTGACACCAGGGCGAGACAAGAGTGACAATTCAGCCGTACTTCTTGATTCTGCCAGAGAAAAGTAGAGACAGACACTTCCAGCAGTGACAGGAACCCACATGGGCAGCGCCTTATTGTCTTTCTCTGTTTCCATATTAAAACTGACTAGTTTCACCCATCTTTGTATTACAGCCAGCTCAAGCAGCTTCCTGCACTCCCATTGGAAATGACTCATAAAAATCTGTGTCAGCCGAACAGAGAAACACCAAGAACACATTAGATTTATTATTAAAATACAACAAAGTAACCTTCATTATGGAGGTGCACTCACTCTTACACACTCACTGATCTGGATGACTGATTTTATATTCCTTTTTCCTACACTGGACAAAAACAAAGATACAAAAACACCTGAATTGTAGAAGTTTTTGTTGTACAGCTGTGTGCAAACACTCATGAAGCTCTGAAATATAACAATTATGTCTGGGAGAGGCCTGTCGAGTCAAACCTTGAGGACATTTTCAACCATAAGGAGCTGAACTTATAGTATCTGCTGTGTCAACTACAAAGGGGGAGGAGAAACTAGCCGGACTTGACCTTCTGAAATAAGTGTTTCCAGGTGTAGAGCTGCTGCTAACGCCAGAACTGGATTACTTCCTATTGATTTTACATTTTCTGAGCAAAATGTCAGTAGATGAAAGAAACCAGTGAACATACAGAGCAGTTTAACACAGACTCAGCTGAAGTGGTGTGAGATGACTTTTGAAACCCAACGGGAGTTAGCACCACAGAGAAACACTGAATTTGAGGTTGGCGGCGCTGCCTTCTTCACATGCTCGGAATCTCAGTCAGGTTTTTTCTCCTGCTTGCAGGTATCTGGAGTTGGTGTGTGGGTGGAGCAGGGAAGGAGCATCTATTTAGTCTCTCAGCTCAAACCTTTAAAATGACCAATGAACTGTTCTCTCATAACAGCAGTGTCTATGATTTATACAACGCAAATCAGCTTTTCAAGATTTGTTTAATTGTCATGTGCATGTTTAACAAAGTCAACAATGCAATGAAACACCCTGGATGAGAGGTCCGCTCGACTCAAAGGAGAACAGATAAAACACAGAATAAGTACTGAGAGGAATACAATAAAATAAGGATACAAAAAATATAAGATGAATAAAAGTATAGAAATATAAATATTTATAAAGTGCACAAGTGATGCAGTAGGTAGCTGTTTGACAAGCTGCTGCATCGCTTGTGTGAACCAACCAAAATGTTACGTCAAGCTTCTAACGGACAGAAGAAAAATGTCCATATTTTTATGGCCGTAACTCAGACGAGTCCTTCCAATAATAGACACTCACCAGCAAAATTACACTCTAGACAGAGTTGTGTCGCTGCCGGGCCTGACACCCCAAGGACAGTCACCATTTTCAGGCTGATAAATTTACAGCCCATATTAAGCAGGAACAGCTGGCACTAAAACCACACAAGAAAATTGATTTCCACATTTATTTTAAGCATTAAACAGATGTTTTTATGTTGAGTGCCATTATATGAGTGTGAATTTATACTCGATTTAGATGTCGCCGTGGAATCCACACAACGTTCGCAGAGTGTCAGCGTCAAAAGACAAGGATGACATTTTAAAAAGAAGTAATTATGAATATTTTAACTGATATTAATTAGTCACCAGCAGTTGAGGCAAAACCACAAACCAACAAACCGACCTTACAGACTGACGGTCCGCCTGGTTGGCAGACTGAATGACTGTCAGAGTAAATGAGCCGCTGATGAAAGAGGAGGAGGAAAGAGTGTGTAAGGCCATGAAGACGGGATAATTACACAACCAGAGAGCAGGGCGGGTGACAAGAGGACCAAGGATGAGATAGATTGAGCCAGCCACATGTAAACCTCTGTCAGTTCCTTTTACATGCTGCGATATCTCCCTGCTGACAACAGCACCAGGAGCAATCGGGAAATAAGATCAACAAGTCTCCATCTTTGGTTCAGCGCGTCCAATAACTGTGAGCTGTTTGCAGATGTATTCATGAGGAACATTTCTCCATATGGACTGGTGGATCAGCTCATTCCTGCTGTCGACTCCCCTGTACAAAAACTCAGTTGTAATTCAAAGATGATATTGTTTGTCCTCACAAATGTAAGCCCTGGAGTACAGCACAACAAACCCTCAGGGCAACAACAGAGAGTATATTCAATCCAGCTGTCTTGCCAAGTTGGAATCATGACCAACGGCACATCCAAATCTCTGCTTTCTGTTTCTACTGATCATCTCAAGAGTCTTGGCGCTTGTTTAAAAGAAAAGAACCAGACAGCAAAAATCGATTCCAGCACGCCTCAGCTGATTTCTCTGCTGCTTGTTAACACATCAGACTAATAAAGTTGTTCTGATTGAGACTGAGTGAATCAGAGTTATCCTGTTGCAGAAGTTGCATTTCTGACCTTCTTTTTCTGTCCTTTAGTTTGCCTTCAGCTTCTGAGGGAAATATCTGCCTCCTCAGTTGCTAAGTGATCCACTATGTCCACAAGCTAATGCATATCTTAAGCCCCTTTCACACATGCTCAGAAGCACTCCTGAAAGCATCCTGTGAGAGGGGTTTATGTGAAAGCAAAGGGCCAAATCTGTTCTGCATGACGCCGTGGCGAGTCCATGTGTAAGGCCTTGTCCACACAGAGACGAAAATGATGTATTCAGGGTTCGACAGTGCGACCGTTTCACTTGCATTTGCGACTAAAAATAGATGTGAAGGAATTGTAAGATGTATTTAGGGGGCACACGTGAAAAAATAAGTCGTGGCAACAAACATTTTTTCATGTGAAGTTAGTTCTAGGTTGGATATCTGACGGACATTCAATTTGGGTCTACCGGTGTCCTCTCACTCTCCATAACCAGGAATAGCAGCGTAGTTAAATCGACTCAGTAACCTCGCTGTCAATGTCGGATGTTGAACAAGGGACCGTCAATAAATTATCGGTTGATGTTTTCAAAAAAGGCTGTTTCCTTCAATAGCTTTCATGTCACGTGACCAACTGACCTTAAATTAGTTTCAAGTAATAGTACTTCTGTCGACCAATGAGACACACCTCTTTATTTCCCTAAAATTTTTTGTGTTAAATCTAAAGGCAAATTTTGAACATTTTCTTCAATAGCTTCCATGTCATGTGCCCAAAAGACCTAAAATTGATTTCAAATAATAGGACTTATGTCGACCAATAAGACACACATTATTTGATCCATTTTCATTGTGCCCCTAAAGTTCTTTGTGTGCTCTTTACTTTTTCAACTTAAGAACACGTGTTCCTTCTGAAAAAAAGTTAGCATCAAGCCCTGATATTGCTGTTTTGTTTAGAAAGAGTTTTCCGTGAAGATGGAATCATTTCAGGAAATATCTGCGTAAACAGGAAACCTCTGGAAACAATGTAGTGCATATGCCAAGCCATTAAGAGGCGCTGTAACGCTGCCACGGGAATGCACCAAAAGACAGAAGAAGACAGGTTTATGCACTCTGGGACCTGTTTTCAAAAAGTATTGTTTACATTCACCCGAAACCCAGATACAACAAAAAACTTCAGCGTTCGCTCCTGAATTTGTTTCTGTGTGGATGGGGACTAAAAGTTTCAGGTAAAAGTCAGGATCATCCATGGCCAAAAGATGGGCGGAGCTACGACATCTCACCTCTAACACTGCTCAAATTGAGCAGTTTTGTTGCCTTAAATTCTTCCCTGTCTGTTTCATGTCCTGCGTCTGTCAGTGGTTTGTTCTCTTTTGCTAAACAAAAAGTCTGCAGTTGGAAACAAAGATGATGAAAGGGGCGAGACTAAACAAAAACGCTGCCAAATTAATCAAATCTAAGCCTGCTAAATTCCCTCAAAATGGGACCAGCAAATTTACATTTTCAGGCAAGGCGAATAAAATTTGTTCTGAGGGAGAGAGAGAGACGTTTATTACGAAAAAAACAATCATGCCTCGTTTTCTTTTTAAGGCACTGGAGGTCATCTTTCTGTGCCAAAGCCTGAACGTAGAGACAGAAAAGTAATAAAAAGGGCAGATGAGATCAAGGCAGCTGCACGGGTTGTGGTAATTCGATTTTATGAGGTAACTTCTCCTAAATCAAGGTGATAAAAATGGAAGCCATACAGGGCGGAAACTCTGTTGAGAAAGATGGTGAAAATAGACATAATGGGTCAGTATAAACATCGATTCAGTCAAATCCAAAGGCTTAAGATTATTAAACATGGTCCAGGACCCCAATTTCCTGAACAACCTTCAAACTGTCACCAGCTGGGCTCATCATACCTGTTTTAATTTTGGTGAAATATTTAAGCTCATTTTGCAGTGAGATGAAAACAGAAATGGTTGATATTAAAAGAAGAGATACACCAGCCCTGGACTTAGTGATTAGAGTCCATCAGATACAGAAAATGAAGAATAATGTGGGTGGGAGAGATGTGGCAGCACTAAAAGCAGCATCGAGTCAAAGTCTTTACATGTTCAACAATTTCCTTATTTTCCTGCAGTCCTCCTCACTGTCCTCCCCCTTATATCATCTTCTTTTTTCTTCCTCTCTCTCCCTGTCCATCATTCTCTGCATCCTTTTACAGAGTCCCTGCAGCAGCTGGCCCACACAGCATGGACTCAGTTACCTTTGTCTCACGCCTTCACTTTGTCTTTTTTCTCTACCACCCCACTACTCTTCATTAAGACCATGTGGGCGCCCATTTAAGCTTACTTAGACTTTAGATGCTTCAGTGTTGTGTCTGTCAGCCTTGTCCAGAGGGCAGCAACCTTTTCCGCTGTATTTTAGCCAGGGAACGGTCAGAATGACAACTAACTGAATTTATTTGATCATCCTCGCGCACTCATCTGCTCTTCCTCTCTTTTTCCTCTCTGTCTTTCATCTCTGTCCATCCTCGGCCTCCCTCACATCTCTCTGACCTTTAACTGTGTATTCATCAAAGTGGTGCCATTTAAACATGCCTAAATGCAAGTTTACAAACTGCCACACAATCAAAGGTTAAATAATGACTGGTAATGCAATAATAGCGAGTCTTTCCACAGATCAATAATAATCCATTTCATGCTGGAGTTCAAAATGTCTGCAGCTGCCAACCCCCACAAAACCGCTCTTTGACCGAGACTTTAAAGACCAAAAAGCCCATTTTTACTTCCATTTAACTTCTTAGCAATAGACTTCTATAAGGATTTCAATAGAACATTTTCTCATGCAGGAAATTCTTCTGGTATTGCCAAAATGTAGGGTCAGCATTTGCATTGACACAGCATCTAATACATGAATAAAATCCAAGAGTAAAAGTGTTCACTTCCATCAGAAACAGAAATCAGAAATATGGTCATTACATTTTCTCTGTCACACGATGTGTCACTAACACTATAGGACTTTTAAGAGAATTAGAAATAAAGTAAGAAACAAAGAGGAGAAGTATGTAAGTGCTGCATATTTGAAAATAAGCTATATGAGCTGAAAAAACTCCCATGCGCACTAAGAGCCGTTTGCAGCGTTGAACGGGAGGGTTAATGCACAGAGTGTTGCACAGTTAACAGTTTGTCATCAGCAGCAATGCACTTATTAGATTATTGAACAGGCTGTCGACCAGTTTGCAATCACACTGCACATAGTAGGTTTAAAAAAAACAAGTGGATTTCTTTTGTTAGTCTGAAAGTGAACATTTGGAGTTTGGACGATTGTGCCAGAATAATGCAGTTGGGCATTTTCTTATTCCTAACTAGGCGTTCTGTGCACACTCTGTGCATAGTATGCTTGGCTTTAACCTCATGCATCAACTGCATTGTCTTCTGCCTTCAGTTATTACCATGCCTCAGAGATCCCACGCACGTTTTCAACCATTCAGTATACAACCACTTAGCCTCTTGCTATCCACTGAGCATTTTTTGGTGTAAAAGAGGTCTAATAGACGTCTAAATGTAACCTAGATGTCTGTTAAAAAATAAGGCTACCACAGGTCTAAAAATAAAAGTTTTGTAAATGTCTAAATTTAGACCAAGTTTAGACCAAGTCTAAATCTGGGCTATATCTATACTACTCTGTATATTACTCAACAGCTATCATAATTATTTTGGTTAAGTACTTGGAGATCAGTTATGCAACTCACAGTTGCTTTTTGAAATACATAGTTATCGAAGTGCAACGTCTAAATTCAGTCTAACAATATACAGAATCTAGACGGTTGAAATTAGGTCTAAAAAAAACTAGATGTCTAATAGCCGTCTATTGCTCAGTGGGTAACTTGTTTGTCGACTGTTTTGGTTTGTGGTGTAATCAGAAGAAGGTCTGATAGTTACAAGATAAAAGCTTTTCAATGTTTTTTGATCTAATCTGCAAGGGGACACAATTCAGACACATAAACTTTGTTAGGATTGTCTGTTTAATTCATGATATAAAACGATTACTCTGTTGTTTACTCCCTGAGCCAGGAAATACAGTTTTAATAGTAATTTCTTATCCATGGTGGGTTTACACAGCTGTTCACTTTTGTAAGGCGGCTTGTGATGTTATCAGGACAGTACTTTGCAACTCTGCAAACTAATGTATTTGTGTATAAAGGAGGAAAAAGTTTCAGGACGTGTCTATGCAAGAGTAACATCCTGGAGGAATAATGCACAAGCTGCAGGTGGTCAGCCAGTGAGAGCGGCATTGGAGAAAAAGTCATAACGTACCAATTGAACTTAGATGATAGATTGCAGGCGGGGAAAAGAGATGTGCTGTCAACACTTATGCCATGGCTTTCTTTTCCCTCACTCCTTCTCCCTCGACTATTCAGAGTGCCTCAGTCCATAACTCGCTGACCATGAAAGATTGTGACAGCACCAATGCGCTACTAACACAATTATATTGAAGATATGGGCAAACAGTAACAGAAAGTGAGAAGGATGTCGAGAGCTGGGAGGGAGTGTCGAGAAATTATCATGGCAGCAGGAGGGAGAGATGAAGGAGCTGCAGGCAAGAAGAGCAGCGAGAAGGCAAGAAAAATATCAGGAGGCAGAATCTCACTGGGTTTACAGATATTTGTGCATCCTGACATGACCTGAGGATCTTCTCATGAACAAATGAACCACACATTTATTTCTTAACAAGTTTTTCCAAATTGATATGAGGTCTTTGCAGTTTGCAGTGCAAAATGATTAATATGATGATTATTACTTCAAGGAAATTATAAAGAAATGATCATAAATGTTCTTCCTTGAGCTATGTCACCCCGCTAGTCGGTGATGAACTCGTCCGAGCTCTCCCTATATACAAGCGGCTGCTGGAAGAGAGTAGGTGAGTTGTGTTTAGTCTCTTTGCTAAAGAAATTAGGCAAAGCTAAAAAGATGTTTGTTGGCTAGTGCTGTGGCTAGGACCCTATATGTACTGTTGATGAAGTTAGGTGCTGTTCTGAGCATTATTTGTGGCTATAGAGTGGCGTTTTGGTTGAGGTTTGTGTGTGGCTCCTGAGACCACTATGTCTTGCTGTTGTGGGGTTGTTACTAAAGTTGGTATAACTAGAGAAGCAAGCGGTCTGCAACATTCATCTCTTGACGGGGTGTGTTTGACCCTAGCTTGATTTTACACCGTAATATCCCTTTAACTCAACAAATTAGCATGTAAGGATAAATTTTCCTCATGAATTAGGCTAAAATTGGTAATCGAGTGAAGATAACCATCAGCTCTAGATCACCAGGTGGTCTAGCTGGTGATGGTTTAAGTTAGCATTGGCAGCTGTTACCCAGTACGTCAAATAAGAGCAGGGTTTATAGATATCACAGTGAGATATCCTTGTTGGCTTGGCGATGAATAGTGCCTGCTCAGTGTCATCATGGCAAGAATAATCAAATTATTACTGTAATTATTATAAACTATTCTTCCTTAACAAAGACACACAGAGTTACTTGAGGACTAATGAGGTCAATGAGGGTTCACATCAGCCTTCATTTCCAACAATTATCTAAGATCAGGGATGTTATCTGCTGCCATCCATTATTCTAAGATGATGTGGCAAATTAAAAAATCCATTTAGAGACTGAAACAAAGATGACACAAGGCTAATTCTCCACACCAAAGGAAGAACGTTTGATTACAGAACTATTGTGATTTATTTTAGTATCTTCATCAGCTCATATCTCAGGAGCTGCTGGAGGAGAGGGCGTGTAACCACATACACCCGTTATATTACTGTGATTTAAGGCAGCATTTAAAAAGGGGAAATTAGGTCTTACTCATCTGGTGTGCATAAGGACAAAGCAGTGCACAGCAATTCAATGGACTATCTATTCACACATTTCAAAAATACCTATTAGCGGCCCACGGTTATTAATGCAACTGTCACCTCATTCGCAGAGACAAACAAGTCCCTGGTGAAATGCCAGATCGGTCACACTCATTTCAAGCCTCATTAATGCAATTATGCAGCTTGTATTTGTTGATAAATGATGTGTATGTGTGGCCGTATTTGTACGTGTCTGTCTTGTCACACTACTGGAGAATGAAGAAACACTTTACTGCTCCTTAAAGCTTTGAAAACAGACAGAAAACTACTACTGCTCCGAGTACTTTTGGTGACTCTAATGTTTTTGTTGATTTGTACAAGGATGTTTTTGTCATCTAGCGAACTTGTTGCAATAGCTCAGCTTCAACATGATATAGCTTGATTTAGTTTGGTTGGAAAAGTTAGATTTAGAAGACTTTAACTCAATTTAGTTATTTAAGGCTTCATTGCATGTATGACAAAGTTATGATCAGGGCTTGATTATGAGTGTAATAAAGGCTAAACAAAAGCTTAACTGCAGGTGTAGTAAAGGCTTCATTGCGTGTTTAACAGGGGCTTCAACACAGGAGTGAAAAAGGCTTAAAGGTTTCAATTAGGGATGTCCTGATCAGTTATTGATATTGGATATTGGTTCGATATCAGCAAAAAAAAAAAAAAAAACTAAAACTAAAACTGAATATCGGATTATCTTTGCCTCCATCTAAAATCTCAGAAATCTAGGGTGACCATACATCCCCTTTTACCCAGACATGTCCTCTTTTTTGGGAGCTGTCTGGCCTTGTCTGGGGAAATTCATAAAATCTTTTAAATGTCAGGGGTTTTGTATGGAAGTCTTGAGTTTGTTACTGAGTTAGAGGCGTGTAAAAAACACTCAACCCGCCCTGAAAAACTATCAATATTAACAACGCGCGACTCTGTGACTCCGCCCCCTCGTAGTCATGTCCTCTTTTTGGGGATTCAGAATATGGTCACCCTACGAAATCAGCACTCTGATACAAGCAGTCCATTCCAGACTCCGCTCCAGCACCTCTATCTAGCAGCACCCAGATCCAGCATGCAGAGCCAACGTTATCACAACAACAGTGTGTACTGAGGTACTCACAAAGTAGCAAGGAGTAGGCGTGAGTAGGCCATGTGGCAAAAATTTGTTGCAGCTGAGTGCAAAACTTGTCATGCAAAAGTTTGTGCCAATATCTGATCAATTTTGGTATCGACCAATATTGAAGGTTACAATATCGGTATCATATCAGAAGTTGTATCGGGACACCCCTAGATTCAGTGGTGAAACAAAGGCTTCTTAAAGGCTTTGTTGCAGGTGTAATGAAGGATTATTGATGGGTGTAATAAGGAAGTGTATATACAAAAAAGCATTTGTGAACCATCAGTTAGAGAGAGTTAGACCATCACTCAGCCGGGAAGCTGCTTTGGCCTTTTTTCCTCCTGTTGTTAGTGTCACAGAGGAAGTGTCAACAGTCAAGATCAGCTCAGGGATGAAAGAAAATGGGATAGAGACATTGAATCCAGCAGGATAAAGGAGAGATGGAAGGTGATGTAAGGAAAAAAGAGCACAAATAGGAATAACAAAGGAAAAGACACACAGCACAGGTCAGTGCTCCACGTCTGTCCTGTTAGTTAATGTGTCACTCCGATACCAAACAAGCAGTGACAGCGAGTACCCCTGTGACACATCCACACAAAGAGCTGCCTGAACAGACGTTAACACTGACTAACAAGGCAGCAAAGAGGGGGCAGAAAAGGAAAGGTGAGAAAAAAAACCCAGAGGAGGTTGGAATGGCATCCGATAAATCAATGATAATAGAGGAGCAATATAAGAAAGAACAGCATCAGCCAGGAGAGGAACGTAAAAATGAGCTTGTTAAAATAGAGTTTGAGATGAGAAAAAAAAGAAGAGGCAGAGGAAAAAGACAGAGCTGATAAAATGTCAGGAAAAAATGAGGAGATAAACATTTGATTGATAACAGCCCCCGCGGTGTGTGAATACTGTAATAACCTTATCATTATGTTTCCTGTTAGGATTCAGAGCTTGAAGATGGCTAAAAATGCTCCGTATCTGCGTCATCTCATCTGTCAGTAAAATCACGCTTGGCTGGCTGGGAGTGATGGGACAAGCTGAGGTGAGGGTACAGGAGAGGCTGTATGACCATTTTGGGTATTGAGACTGACAGTTTTGAGGCTGCAAGCTAATGAGCAGAAGTCTAAGCAGGTGTTCGGCTCATAAACTAGCTTTACGCGCATATGGGCAATGCAAGAGCGAAACCTGCACCCGAACACAGATATGAGCTAAACTCAATTTGCTGCCAAAATGACGCTCCAGCACACGGATGAGCAAGCGTGCAGCATGGACATAAAAACACACACAGCTATGTGGAAGTAATGAAATCTGTGCAGCACTCGTCTTCAAATGTTCCTGTTATTCAGTTTAATGTGTTTAAGGATGCCCCAGCAACATTATTTCCCCTATTTCACCTAATGTATATATGGGTATATCACTGAGGACAAATTGGGGATCAACAGACATAAATGAGTTCTCAGCCCATTATAAATCAGCGTTTCTTCAATTAATTGCCCCCATTTAATCACAGAAAGCTGCAGGCTCAAGGCATTCCCTGTTAGCTTGCTTTTAATGAGGGCATGCCCTCAATGATCACTTGACATTTACATGACAGTGATATGAAAGTACAAATAAATGAATGAAGGAAAAGAAGCAGCGGTGGTTTAACTAAAGAGGGAGTGGGTTCCTTCTTTACATCTGAAAAGTGACATGGAGGTGCCCTCTTAGCTAATCCCGCAGTAGCTAAAAGGTTTCAAACTGTCCGTCCTGGTTTCTTCTTGGTTAAAGGTGGGGTAGGCAGGATTCTGTTTAAGAAGCATCTTTCTTTGTGGTGTATATACAAAAAAGTTTTAATATCAGTCAATAGTTATTATTTATTGATAATAACTATTGACTGATTTGGTAATATAGCCATATCGCTGTGTTCTGTTATGTCTGTGTCGTCAACATTTTAAAATTTTTGAGCGGCCCGCTCTTTCTGACAGTAAACAAAGTTGTTCTCCACCTCCCTGACCTGATTGGCTACGAGGTGGGCACTGCTCCTTAGTGCTGATTGGTTGTGAGACAGACGCTGCTTCCTGAATGTTATTTCATGAGCCAAAAACAAAGTTAGCTTGCTACAATATCGGACAGTAGTAACCAACAAGTATGGAAAATTGTCTGAATCCTCCTTTGGCCACGACTGCCAACACAAGCAAGAAAACAAACTTAATACCGGAGACTCTGGCAGAATAACGGCGCTTAAAAAGGAGGTAGACCAGACAAGAGCTAAGAAGCCGGGTCAACATAAAATGGCAGGGAAAGCTTCAGGATCTTATGGACCCTGTAACCTTTCTGCTGGACAGGTAAACCGCTTTAACATAGTTAGCCAAGTGTCTGTAACAGAGGTGTTTCTTGTTAAATGGGACCTGCTGCGTGTTGTTGCACCGCTAAACTGTTTACCTCGGGTCCAGGACTATGTCACTTTATCCTTGTTGTAGAAGTCCTGCAAACATTGTGTTTGCTGGTCGTCTATCGGCATCTGCAGTAGCACCAAAGCTTTTTACTTTCACGTTGACTGGGCTTCATTTGTAATTATCTTACTGAAATGATACGAGCGAGCAGGAGCGTCTGTTTGTGGGCGGGGCTTGCTGGAGCGGGGGGGGGGGGGGGTACTGGTTGGGAGGGGTAGTGTTTACATTTAAGATTTCTCCCAAACACTGGCACTTCCTCAGATCCTGCCAACCCCACCTTTAAAGATTTGAAAAGATGCCTTTGCAGATGTTAGTAAGTTGTATAATGCAGTATATGATGAAGTGCCCTCTGGATGCCCTTTCCAGTGAAGCAAATGCAATAAAATGCCCTCTTACATGCTCTTCTAATGATAAACACGATAAAGTGTTCTGTTGGCAGATTAACAATGTTGAGCTTTTAAGTAATACTTGTGAGTTCAAAAATTGTTGCATATCAGAATGAAGGGAAATTAGTATGAGGTGAAGAGATATCCTGGGTAGAGGACCCCAGACCCTGCTCTTATTATTCCATCTACATTCTGGGTATCAGGGGCTTAAAAAAAACCCTTTCCAATTCTGTCACCTCCAGGCAACCTATTGCACAAGCTGCCCACTTAAAACCCCTGCCTGCCTGCCTGTATTCCTGACCGGCTAAAACCAGGCCTGTGCAACTACCTAGTGATTACAGAATACCAAGGAGACACAGAAATAACTGAGCAGCTCACAAGATGGTTTGAAGAACACTGCTAGAGGCAGATCTTCACTTATAACAACTTTCTGTACCCTGCTGTCCTGTGGCATATGCACATGCACTTTTCGTTTTCACTCCAGCCTCTCCAACAGCCTGAGTACGACACCAGTGAGTTCCGGAAGGAGTCCCACTGGTACCGTGCTGGTATTTCAAATCATAAGATCACTAACTCGAGGCGCCGTATCAGTTTCAGGAGAGACAGAGGAGAATACGGCCCAGTCATAAAAATACATCAGACAGTCACTTGTTTAACTGTATATAACTCAACTTTACAAACTCCATCCATCGTCTCTGAGAGCCCAAATAATTCATCAGGGTGAGCACAGCGCAGCAGCTCCTCCTGAGCCCAGCTCCACCAGGGGCCCCTAATGTTCCCTATCTGTTGAGTTTTCTCTATCCCACCGCCAATCCTCAAAGGTCTCTGAACTGTTTTTACTTTGGCGAACAACAAGAGACGACTTTAGTTTGAATGCCCCTTACTTGGAGCTGTTTCCCTGGCAACAAGGTTCTTACGGTCAAGGGGCACAAAAATCTTCCGAGATGATAAGTCTGCAGATCTGGGAACCAAATCTGATCAAATATCACAACAACAGGAGAAACTTTAGAGGAAACAAATATGCAGCTCAAAGGCTTCATAATATATCCAGAATAGCCACCAAGTGTTTTCTCAAAACTTAGAAGCAAATGTTGTGGAGATGATCAGACCGGCAAGAGGGAGGCAGAGGGTGGAGAGTTCAAGATGACTCCACAGTGATGCTCTTATTGCCAATCCTGACTGTCAATCAAATGACCTGAAACGCCACATATAGAAAAGCAGAGAGTGTGGTTTGATTACTTTCACAGGCTGGTGTTGGGTGTTTTAATCGAATCACGTAGTGCACTTTATAAGGTGGATTCAATATCACAAACTGAGCAAAACCATCGCAAAATGAATAATAATATCTAGAAATACAAATAGAGCCAGAGCTGAAAATGTTTTAGTCACTGCAGAACTGATTTATGTAAATATATCAAGCAATTATTTCGCAAAGTTAATAAAAAGAGATGGAGGATATTTCTGCAATGTTCTTGGATTTCTACAAGCGGTCTCTAGTCTTTAAGTTCACCTTTTGGTACTGTCTCTTAATCTCAAAACATCTGTCTCCACAGCTCTGTGCCGTTGTAATGTCCTTTTCAAACCCACTGAGACATCTCCATGTCATTCAACAAGCTGCTTTAACAGGAGGCTGTAAATGGAAAACAATATTAATCCGGTGCTGATGGGAAATAACAGTCTGTGACTTTCAATTTACTTCCATTTTATTTGGTGGGGATTGGCTGAAATTGGTCTGTCTGGAGCCACTCTAGGAGCCATTCCTCAGACATTAAAGATTTGATCAAAAATAATGAGAGGAAATAGAGTCTGCAGCTGACAGATGATTTCTGTTGACCCTGAACGGTTTGTCTGAATATTGGGCGAGGTTCTTCAGCTGAGCTGGGGACGGAGATTTAAGCAATTTTTTCTGCCTCTGTCTCTCTTCTCTCTGTGCAACTGCATCCTCTCAGCACTGGAGGAGGCAGCATGGCAGGCTGGGGACACGCCTCTCCGAGCACACAAACACACAAACCCACACACACTTGGCAGAGCTGTTGTCTCCCTTGAGGCTAATTCACAGCTCGATCTCCACTGAAAACTGAGGAGTCATAAATTGTTTCTCCTCTCTTTCCTTGACTTAACTACCAATTACCCAGATCGGACAAACATCTCTCTTTCACACACACAAATATATCATTGCAATCTATCAAATTAGACATCCTCTTATTTCTACTTTACCTCCAAAATGCATCATTAAAGGACATCATGCAACAATAATTACTCATGTGAAATTGGCTGTAGAGGTATGGGGCAATTATTGAGATGTACAAAATATGTAATCTTGACATTTTAAGGTCTTATTTTGGTGACTAAAGGATGTAGGTGGAGGGAAAAGATGTGGTGATTGACAACCCTGGTAGTTTTATGACATAATCAACTCCCATCTGGTTACACACATGCACACAGTCCTCTAAACTGAGGAATATCTTGCTTTAGAAAAAAGGGCTTAGTGTTGGTGGTGACAGGCTTTATCAATAGGACTATCTATGTCATGCTGATGGACAGAAATATAACAGGTGTAATGGGCAAGTTAAGATCAATTATCTTTTTAAGTCACACACACACATGCAAGTGGCCAGATGGATGAGCGCACACATACCGGCAGCATATTTTTGCACCTCTTACATCATCCGGCTCTTTCCACTTTTTAAAGTACTCATAAATTAACTTGAGGATTTGTGACCCTGTCTAGATAACTTATTTTATTGTAGTGTGTTTTAATGTTAAAATACACGTTTTGATTATAGGGTTAAGATGTATCAAAGAGTGAATTGAAGACTTTTTTCTCTGGTCAGACATCTAGAATCGAGTTTTCCTGTATAAGACCCATGCTGGGGCTTCACAGCAGTGCGCGCCTGTAACCTTTAATAAATGACAAAATTCAGCCTCCATCAGACCCCCGAGTCCCAACTGTTGCTCCATCCGCGCACCCAGCTCTGTGGCTCCGTGCGCTCTGTCAATGTCTCTGCAGAAACTAACCACCGTCCATAACGCGTCAAACAGGTGGAAAACAATCAAACAGTAACTTACATGTCGAAGTTCTTGCATCCGGTCCTTCATGGTGCCTGTAAATCACTCTTTTTTTTCCTCCTGATGCCGTTGTCTCCTGGATGTGAGGTGATATAGCAGCGGGGCGGACACCGGCACAAGGATGAGACGCAGACCGAGGAGAAACGCGTGTGTGGCGGCTGTAATGAAGCGGTGATATCCTCTCTCCTCTTGTGGCTCTGGATGCAGGGATGGTGGGACCACTTTACAGAGCTAAGTGACGCGCACTAAAGGTGAGGCGAGGCCTTCCGCCGTTAACCCATTACACACCCTCAACTTCCTCCTTAATTTGCACTCATTGACCCCTTTTATTCAGATTAACCCCCGGTCTATGATTTCCTCTGTACTGCTGAAGTCAGACTCACAGGCTGAGTGGAAATAACCACCCTGGACAGAGGGTCTGACCGAGTGGAGAGATAGTGTCTGATTTGGTTATCGATTGAACGGGTTCAGAGATAACGCCCAGGTGGTTTCCTAAGTATGAAAGCAAACAACGACCTCTGTCGGTGAAAAATGGAGCAGTCTGATTTTTAAATTATACACCTTAATGAAAATGTCTTTCCCTAATTCTGTATGACAGCATTTTTTAGCCCTTTAATGCCTGACACCACAAATTATGGCCAGATAATTCAATTTTTTGGAGCTTATTTTACTTACTACTGAAAACCAAAAAAATCTAAATTTAAATTAAACAGATATATTTATTCATCTCATTTGGTACATTAGATGTTTTTGGAAACTAATAAACTACAGGAGGAAATTTTTATCAAAAACCAGACTGTATTCAGGTGTTTTTTTAGTAATTTGTTGATCATATTGATTTAATAGAAGTATATAAAAGTATGTATCAAATATGATACAAAAGGTTTTGAACTCACCTATTATGATAATATGAATCCAATAATATCCAGTCGGTTTGACAAGTTTAAATAATTTTTAATAAGCTACTTTGTATTTAATTAATCCAGCAGGTACTCACCATAGACTATATATACTATGGACAACTTCCGCCTGTATACGGATTTGAAGCCAAAAAGCTCTCGGTATTTGAGGGATTTTTCTTCATTTCCTGAAACCAGCACTGCGCAGTAGCATTGTACGCATTTGGCGGGAGAGTCATTGAGAGTCGCTGTGATGACGCTAAGCTCAAACAGTGTATCTCCCGAGTGAGCTACGCAATCCCTGAACGCCCATAGGCTGTATCAGGTGGCAATCATAGAAAACATGAACCCCCTAATAACTTTTAAAAACGGAGCTTCACAAAAAAAAAAAAAAGAGGACTTGAGCACAAACCAGTCTTACTGTAACTACATGTCAACATCGCAAGCAGGGCGGAGAAAAATTTATGTTCTGTGTAATACATTTCTAAAGTTTGTCCACAGCCTTATAAGCTTTGCTGGCGAAGGCAGGATTTATGACCTATACTGCAGCCCGTCACCAGAGGGTGCTGTTCATGGAGTGGCTTCACCCAGCAAGGAGGCAGACTCTGTCCATTCTATATACAGTCTATGGTACTTACATACGTTTCAATCACGTTTAAGTGTAGCAACAACAGAAGACTGAATCAGGCCTGTGAACTGACCCAAGCTGATTATGTACTGTGTGTGTGTGTGTGTTTTCCCATCCTATCAATAATGGGTGTATTTAGTAAAACTGCGTAACGAATCAAAGCAGTTTTCACAAATATATTGGTCATTTTTTCTTCAACTTCTAATATAACCTGAGAAATCAACATAATCTTATAGAGATCTCTATTCTGCAGAGTACAAATCCAATCAGGAATAGACGACACTTAATCTGATGTGTCATAAAACGGTTTAATCGATTTCTGTCCCCACTGTGAATCACTGCTAAGCAGCACAACTTACTGTGCATCTTCCAGCCAACATCTCTATGGAAAGTGGAACTCACTCTCATTTGTGAGAAACACATCACCACAGACTCAACTGAAGTAGAAGTCAACTGGCTTTTTTTCCTCTTGAATTGAAGAGTTGAAGAATAAGGAGGGTCCAAACACTGAGCTCTTTCAGGGACGATTGTGCGCAGAGCCAATAAGAGCAGCGCTGCATGAGTCACAGCTAGAAATGAGGTCTTCTCTGACGTCCGGTGTATTTTGTGTCGGCTCGAACGTCCCTGCAGACCCACAAACACACAGCAGAGGGAGGAGAGGCGTCAGCATGTGTGAGTGGAAATAGCTAATTAAGAGGTGATTCAGTAAGGGGCTACACTTGCATAATTTACAACATGAATATTTCAGCACAAGATGATAAATCTCATTATTTGTCTTCAGTCTTGCACGTACCGTCCTTGTCTTCTCCTCCTCTCTTTCTTCTCCAGGATCCAATCTCGCCCCTTCTTCAGGGATTTCCCTTTCATATTCTTGAACCGGCACCTTCGCAAAAACAGAAAGATTTCTTCAAATGCACCTTGTTTTTTTGTTATAAACAGACAACATGGAGGTCACATTAACATGTAAAAGGATGGAAAAGCTGCCTGACTGGGTTTTGAGTCAAGCAGAACGACGACCCCTTTGGATTCCTCTCGGTCTTTTGCTTTCATCAGAGCAGGTACAACTGAACCAGCACTTGTAAAAGCTGAGACCTGTTTCCTTTCCTATTGAAAACTAAAAAGTTTAATTATCTAGTGTCTCTTTTACAAATGCACAACAAAATTAGGAGAAATCTTTATTGGACGCAACTCAAAAATCATTTCATGGCTGATTAACTCTCTCTTTCTCTTTGAATGTTAAAATAATTCACTTCCACAAAGTCTGATGATCAAAAGTCTTGTTTTCTGACACAGTCCAACATAAAAAGGGTCTTCAGCTAACTTTTGGCAGGACACAAGCTAAATAATCCATAAACAAAGAAGTAACTCATCAGTCATTTGGATATACATAAATATATATATATATATACACTCACCGGCCACTTTATTAGGTACACCTGTCCAACTGCTTGTTAACACTTAATTTCTAATCAGCCAATCACATGGCGGCAACTTAGTGCATTTAGGCATGTAGACATGGTCAAGACAATCTCCTGCAGTTCAAACCGAGCATCAGTATGGGGAAGAAAGGTGATCTGAGTGACTTTGAACGTGGCATGGTTGTTGGTGCCAGAAGGGCTGGTCTGAGTATTTCAGAAACTGCTGATCTACTGGGATTTTCACGCACAACCATCTCTAGGGTTTACAGAGAATGGTCCGAAAAAGAAAAAATATCCAGTGAGCGGCAGTTCTGTGGGCGGAAATGCCTTGTTGATGCCAGAGGTCAGAGGAGAATGGCCAGACTGGTTCGAGCTGATAGAAAGGCAACAGTGACTCAAATAACCACCCGTTACAACCAAGGTAGGCAGAAGAGCATCTCTGAACGCACAGTATGTCGAACTTTGAGGCAGATGGGCTACAGCAGCAGAAGACCACACCGGGTGCCACTCCTTTCAGCTAAGAACAGGAAACTGAGGCTACAATTTGCACAAGCTCATTGAAATTGGACAATAGAAGATTGGAAAAACGTTGCCTGGTCTGATGAGTCTCGATTTCTGCTGCGACATTCGGATGGTAGGGTCAGAATTTGGCGTCAACAACATGAAAGCATGGATCCATCCTGCCTTGTATCAACGGTTCAGGCTGGTGGTGGTGGTGTCATGGTGTGGGGAATATTTTCTTGGCACTCTTTGGGCCCCTTGGTACCAATTGAGCATCGTTGCAACGCCACAGCCTACCTGAGTATTGTTGCTGACCATGTCCATCCCTTTATGACCACGATGTACCCAACTTCTGATGGCTACTTTCAGCAGGATAATGCGCCATGTCATAAAGCTGGAATCATCTCAGACTGGTTTCTTGAACATGACAATGAGTTCACTGTACTCAAATGGCCTCCACAGTCACCAGATCTCAATCCAATAGAGCATCTTTGGGATGTGGTGGAACGGGAGATTCGCATCATGGATGTGCAGCCGACAAATCTGCGGCAACTGTGTGATGCCATCATGTCAATATGGACCAAGCTCTCTGAGGAATGCTTCCAGCACCTTGTTGAATCTATGCCACGAAGAATTGAGGCAGTTCTGAAGGCAAAAGGGGGTCCAACCCGTTACTAGCATGGTGTACCTAATAAAGTGGCCGGTGAGTGTATATATACACATACATTTTTTTTGTATCATATACGTTTAGTAAATCCATAAAAATTAGACATGCAAATGTTCAATGCAAAAGTTAAAACTCAAAAATCGTGCATTGTCACATCAGGGAAACAAAAATGCAAGAACAATATTTTAATCATTTATATCTGGTGTCAAATTGGCCCCAGGCTGCACCTCGCTGACTAACAAACACTGAAACAAACTGGAGCTCCCACTCATGTAAACAGTATTTAATATCCTCACAACCCGCCTGCTTGTAAATCTCTTTACCTTTGTCCTGAAAACTGGACCTGGTTTCGATTGGTTCTGTCTGACGTTTCTGATCCCAACCCCTAAAACAAACACAAATTCATCACAGCTTAATGCAGCTGAAAAGAAACACAGACATAAAGAAATTAAGTAGCTTTTTTGTTTCTTACTTTGGGAAGGGCTCCTGTGAATCCAGCAAACAGACACAGGAAGAACCTGAAAACACAAGAGACGAGTGTATAAAAGAATTAATAAGGCAAATGGTTTTAATGTGTGATAATTCACCCCAAGGCTAATGTGACAAACAGACTCAACAGTGCCATCCTGCTCTAATTAGTCTGGGGCAGGAAGTTGACTTCTGCTAATTACACATCCTATTAGGTAAGAATCAGTTGCACGCAGCTCCAGCTAAACAATTAAGGCACAACTCCTGAGAGGTACTGACTTCTTAGCCTTGCTGCTGTTGGGGTAATCCACCACCATGCCCCCACCGAAGCCTGCCTTCATGGCCTGTGTTGTGATGAGCTCCAGCTTTAGAAGAGGGAGAAGACTGGAGGTAAGCATAACTGAAAAACTTGAATTACTGTGTAACACCAAAACAAGATTTCACCTGTTCTGAGTTCTCTGGATAAAGCTGAAAAACTGCGCGTGAGCCCCGAGACTAGAAAAAGACAAAAAAGTTAGTAAAGTTCAGCTTCTTGATGTTTAAATTTTTCATGGGAAAGTAAAAGAAAAGTGAGTAAACTTTACCAGACAGGAGTAGAGGGTACTAAAAAAGGTGTAGAGTCTCTTTGGAGGACTGTGTGTTCGCTTGTCAGCATTACAGAGCCACTGCAAGGCAGAGATACTGACAAAAGAGACAGCAAAGTATAAATAAATCATCTATTCATAAATAATGCAAGATAAATCCCAGATGTATTCTCTGTTGTTTGAACATAAACTTTGTTTTTTTACCTGACGCAGCCATCAAAGGTGCCAGGTCGAAAAGGCATCCCCTGTCCCATGTCCCCTAATAAAAGGTCTCCTTCAACCTCTCTGTCCAGAGCGACATCTGTCAGAGGGAAGACAGATACCCCTTAGTCAATTCAGTTCATGTGATTTTTCATTTGAACATCTTTCAGCTCTGGCTTATAAAACTCACCAAGCATTGCAGTGCTGATGTCGACTCCAACCCAATAGTGTCCTTCCTCTGAAAGGTAGTCTCCACTGAGACCAGAGCCACACCTGAGACAGAAATAACACCATTTACAATACAAACATTGTGCAACTCCTGATATTACAGTTAAATAAGTTAAGAGTTGCCGCATGGATTGAAAAATTGCTTGTCATCCACTCACCCCACATCCAGCAGGAAGCACGGCTGTCCCTCTGGCAGGTTTAAAAGCTCTACAGCTCTCTCTGACATCTGGGTCTGGATCTCAATCATTCGAGAGCTGTCACACAACAAAATACACCACAGATCTCAGATATAGTTTCACATGCTACTTCTGGTAATTAAAAACAACCTCCTAAAAGAATACTTTCATACGACAGCAGCTACCACACATCTGCTTCATTCCCTCTTAACTTACAGGATTCAGAATACCACAGAATCAATAAAGAGCAATAATGAAAAGCAATGACAATTAATACCCTGGAACCATATAAAACAGGTTATCCAAGCCAAGCTACAATGAGGAATTTTCACTTTGTGTCTCACAAAAAAACACTTTGAACTGCAACAGATATCAGTCAATGCGAAAATTTGCTGTGGAAAATTTAAACAAGGCTGTTGATACATTCATGGAAGTAATTTATCTTCTCACTGACTCTTTGCAGGTTGTTATAGAGACATCTAGTTTAATTTCAGTCTCTTTCTTATCCAATCCAATCCAATCCAGGTTTATGTATAAAGCACATTTAAAAACAACAAAACGCTGACCAAAGTGCCATACAGTAAAAATTAAAAACAATAAAAACAGACAGTTAACACAAACAACAAAACAAAGACACAGGAACACATTAAAAACAGGAGGACATAGATGGTTCAGTTAAAACATGATTACAAGGCCAAGTTCTCAGGAGTTAAAAGCCAGGGAGTAAAAGTGCGTTTTCAAATTTGATTTAAAAACAGGCAGTGAGGGGGACAGTCGGACATAAGGGGGTGGAGCATTCCAGAGCTTAGGCGCAGCAACGGAAAAAGTCCAGTCACCCCTGAACTTTAATCTTGACCAAGGGAAAGTCATAAAGCACTGGTCAGAAGATCTGAGAGTCCTCTAACTAGAGATCTCTCCTGGTAGATATATTTGTTAAATCAAACACTATTATTTTAAATTCCACACAAAGTTGATTATTATGAATGAGTTTGAGACAGTTTTGAGAGAAAGTGATGAGACACTTCTCTGGTTTCTTAACTTCTCTCTATAGCAGTGAACAGACATTTTAGAGTGTGGACATAAAACTTTTTACCCCCTTTTTATCAAGATGGAATAAAAACAGTAAAACATGTTATAAAAAAAGCTATACAAGAGGCACTCTGACACTGAGAATAACCCATACTTGTAGCTCTTTATAAAACATGTTCTTATTTCACTTTATTATCCTGTTGGTAAAAAGGGAAGGCTGCAACTATGATGCACCAGCATGTTGATTTAGTTCTATTTAGTCTGTGCAGACACTAAAAAGCACGCCAATGCCAAAACACACTTTATAGGTGCTTGTTAAAACAAAATCGATCATAAAATTCAGAAGAAAGTCAGACAGTTAAGAAAAAAGACTCACTTCTGAGAGTATTTCTTTGCCTCGTCTTCATTGTAGAACTGCGGGGACGAGAGAACAACAGATTCACACACTAATAAAGTGCCATCGGCTTCTTCACTTCACGAATACTCTGAAGAAGGTTCATTGTATCAAAATGACACAAAACAGAGCCAACAGGAGAGTATTTCAGTGGTATCAGAGGGACCTTTACAGATCCAAACATTCAGCCTGGATACCAAGAAGAAAAGTCAACATCGTCACTCACCACTTCTGGAGGAGCCGTGTGTTCAGGCCGGCGACAGCTGGAAGACATGGTTGTGTCTCTGTGCGTCTGAATCTAAAAAGAAAGGTTTAATTTGTAATGAAGGACCAAAAACAAGTGAAATTTGTTATGTGGTTCTAGCCACACGTGAGGATGAAAAACGTCATCACCAGGGGACGCAGTGAGTCTTCTTCGTCGTCGTAATGAAAGCGCTTCTGCTGCACAGGATATCTTTATCGCCATCTGCCGGGAACTACTATTGATCTTTTTTTTTTAATTTAACCACGAGAAAATCTTGTATTAACTGCGTGAATAAAACCTTTTTTTTTAATTCAACGAGGCATTTAAATTAGCAGAACAGCCATCAGGCATCAATACTGAACCAGGGGTGTCAAACTCAACAACAGCAGGGGCCATAATTTGGATTAAAGTCTAACCTGAGGGCCCAACAGGGTCATCATTTAACCCTTTAAACTGTCATTCTCATTATATAATCTGAGGTAAAAACATAAACAGAAAAGAAAAAAAAGGATTAGTTCAAAATTTGGGAATTTCCCAGATTGGGATCAATAAAGTCTATCTATCTATCTATCTATCTATCTATCTATCTATCTATCTATCTATCTATCTATCTATCTAAAAGATCAAAACACAGCATTAATTTTTTTTCAATTTTTTACCAGCATATTTAATTAACATATAACATATTTTGCATCAATGTAAAAAGCAAAAAACAAACAAACAAACAAACAAACAAAAATAATAATGATCAGATTTAGTATCTTCTTATGTTAGTCTTCAACTTTAAATCATGTATTTGTTTTTATTTTATTGTATTACGTTTTTACTTTCTGCAGTAATAGACTTTAAAACCAAACATTTGTAAGTGACCTTACTTGTATTTGATAATATATTATTATGTCATCCAAATATACACGCTTTTCTTTTCCAAGAAGATGATTGGACGGATGGAGTCAGCACTTCCTGTAAACATTGACTCTCATTGGTTCCTTTTCGTGTTGCGTCACCGGATACAGCAGCTGTTTTTCCGGGACGTCGTCCACCGCTTCTCTCTCGGTAAAATGGCAGAGGTTGGTCAGAGGCTGGGTAGCGGAGCGTACCGGCTGACCGCTCTCAGAAGCAGCCAAAGTCGACCCGTGGTTACCGGAGAGGGTTCGGGGTGTCTACTGGCCAACTGTACGATCAGTGACAACCGGATCACAGAGGAATCAACCGGTTCTGACAGAACCAGAGAGAGTCTGCAAGCTTCTAAAAGGGCCCTGCACCTGTCAACAAGACTACGGCCTCTTCTCCAGGAGAACCTGTGGTTAGGGAGGATGGTATCCTGGAGCAGAGGAACTGTTTCAGGCCACTCTGACATCTTCAGGTCCCCACAGCAGCTCCGAGAACTCTGCACCTTTGTTTTAATCCTGACAGAGCAGAGGTCAGAGAGGCCAGGAACTGGACTGAGACTGAAGCGCCTGAAACTACACCCTGATACCCTGCAAGCATCTCCAACCTGGAGAAGCTACAGCTGGAGAAGTGACAGCAAACCTGAGAATGCTATCCTGCTGTACAGAAGCAGAACAGCTTATTATGACATCCTAAAAGTGTCCCCAGGTGCCACACAGTCCCAGATCAAGACGGCCTACTACAAGCAGTCCTTCATCTACCACCCTGACAGGAACCCTGGGAGTGAGGAGGCCAAACAGCGCTTCTCTGAGGTCAGTGAGGCCTACTCAGTGCTGGGCAGCATCAGCTTGAGAACAAAGTACGACCGAGGTATCCTGAGCCAGTCAGACATTCAGAATGCAGGGAGACCATCCTCCAGAGAGACCCCCAGCAGATCCTCGGAGCCCCTACACCAGTACCAACAGAGATCTGGACAATTCTCCCGAGCTGGAGGGAAAACCATGTTTGATTTTGATGCCTTCTTTCAAGGTCACTACGGGAAGGAGCTGCAGAGGGAGAAAGACATGAGAGCAGTGAGGAAACGCGCGGAGGAGGTGTGTAAGGAGAATTACCGCAGCTGGAAGGAGGAGAAGAGGCCGAAGGCGATTGCGGGCTTGGTTCTGATTATAGCAGCCTTCATTTTTATTAATACCATGGAGACTTGAAATAGAAGCAGCAGCAATTGGACGAGTCCCTTCTGGGGTTGTATGGCAAGACCTTAGAGGGGAGGAGGGGTGGTGGAGAGAGGGGTGCTACCTCAGATAGTTTTGCACAGGTTCGGACTGTTGAAGATGATTATTTTTAGCCAGCTGCAGGCGTAAACAAATCCAACACACCGTTCATTTTGGACAGGAGCCACAGACAGACATTTAAGTTAGGCTTCTTCACTTACTGTATGTGTTTATAGAGTTATTGAACACAACATTCTTCTAGTTTTTTAAGGTAAAAAAATTAAAGAACATAAATTCAAACATAAAAAACATTTAATGCAAATATACAGTTATCATTAAAAAGTCAGATTGCACAGTAATAGCACTAATTGCTTCAGGATCATATAATCACCATCCAGTAATCTGCAGGTTTAGTTTTTGGACCTTTATTTATTTTTCTTCATTTCAGAAATGAAGCGAAATACCAAACAATCAGTTACTGCCACCACTCTGTTCGTCCACATGCACCTCTGATTTATAAATTGAATGTCTACTGCTGATAAACGCACAACTCATCTCTCTTACCCTGATAGATCTGTAATTACCTCCATTGTAGAAATCGAAGTGCGGAGCTGATTTCTTATTAAGAAATTGTTTGGCTTCCCCCAGGTTCTTCATGTGTAAACAAATGAATGCACTGTGCATAAAAGGTGTCCCATAATAATAATAATAATAAACGACACTGTAAAAAGTAACTGAATAAAAGTTATTCTTCTATATTGAATTTCCACTTAGAGTTAAATGAAGTTCTTCTTACCTTGTAGTGTTAGCTTTGGCCACAAGAGGGCATCTGGATATATCAGACTCACCCCTTTGTGACAGCAGAAAGATCAAGGCGTAAACAGTGTGGAATAAATTTGTCTCCTCAGGTATTCTGCGTGTTTAACAATGTGCATCTGTTTTTTGTGTCATTTACCTGAAGTTGGTGTGCGATATCAGATTTGTTTAAAGAATTCAATGTACTCGAAACACCTAAATCTGTTATCTTCAACTAAGGGTCACTTCATGCTGTACAACTATGATTAGCTCAGAGTGTACTCACATTCAAACGTTGTTATAGAACAAAGAGAGACATTTTTATTCTATAATAACTGTTACAAAAGAAAACCACATGATGCGGTTTCACACTACTGTTTTCACTCTTCAAATTGTTTCTGGTAACTTCATCCTGATATGTTTGCAACACAAGTGAATAACTGCAGAGAACCCTGAAGAGGTTTGTTCACATTTTATTCACAGAAATATAAAGTAGTACGTCAAGTACATCACTTTGTACAAAATTGCACAGACTCTTCAAAACCCAGTCAGACAACAGAAAATTCAGCTTAAAGAAGTGTTGACAAAATATAAAGGGGAACATGATTCATCTGTGATATGTGTGAGATGGGCTCTTTCAACAGACAGGTTCCACTGCAAGAATCAATCAATTGTACATAAATAAGACTGGATAGGAAAATGTAATTTACAGCTGCTGGGGGATAAAAATGTCTCAAAAGTAGGATCTAAATTGGCACATAAACTGCTTCGTCCGCTCCTTGACAGAAAGTAGAATTTCTCCTTCAAAGATAAATCACTATGCTTGAAAAGAGAGATGTGAACTTTTGATGTGTTCATCTAACCAAATAAAAAAAGAGATAAACAATAAGTTTAGTCTTACAACTAAAGGAATATTTTTATTTAGCTTATCACATTTAAAAAAAAACAGTGAACCGGGTTCTGTTATAGGTGGTCAGATTTTTGTGAGTAGCAATATGGTTTCTGTGTGACATGGCTGAGCATAAGGGGCCTTAAAATAGTCTGGTACACAACCCTACATAAAACTGTGACTAGTACAACGTTTGAAGCCTCTGTGCAGACTTAAAAAAACAACAGAGGTCTTTGTAAGCGAGCCTGATGGGTAATGGTGAAGCTTTCAACCTTGTGTTCAGTCCAATTAACACATGAGAATTACTATGCAATTTATGAAATAGACTGAAATTCATACTGAGCATGTTTGATTAATTTATATTGCAACTTTAATGCCTGAAATCTGCACAGGAGGGTAAGCATTGACCAATCAGCTGTAGAGACAGCCTTGTGTTTACATTTTTCATTTAAACATTCCCATTAAATGATAAATTTGACCGTCATTAGTCTGATTTTTTTGTGAGGTGACACTACTCATGTACAGGACACAACAAGCAAACGCTGCTTTGTCCATGGGGGGTCGCCAAATTTGACAAAAACTGAAAGTTCCTGACGGGAGCTTTAAAATGTTTCTTACTCTAGATAGAATGAATCTTTGTGCAACATTTGGGTTTCATCTTGAAATACCTAATTAAAGACATCACGTAGCAGTGTCACATCTCTCTATTCAAGCATTGCCATCTAGTAACCTTTACCCTACTGCCTGTACCGTTCCAGTCCACCCCAGCACACACACCGCCCACTCTCTGAAAGACTAGTCCTCAGTCCCTCCGGAAAAATGCTGGATTTGGTATATAATATCTTAAAGGCTTTAATTCAAAGTGAACTCCTACATTAACAGCATACGTATCTAATCTACAGGTTATTGATATGATGAACTTGAGTACAGACGGAGGGACCCTGAAAACCATGTCGCAGTAACACTACTGTAGCACACCGATCATTGAAAAATATTTGACTCTAAAACACCACCACACACTCATCGAAACAACCCACTGTGACTGCAAAATAGAAGCAATCTCGCCGTGTTCATACAGACTGACCTTGTGCTGTTTTACCTTCGTTTTTGTAACACATCTAATGACCACCTGTGTGAAGACATCAATAAAACCATGTGAACCTAACAGAGAGATATGCATGTTTAAAAAACCGACAGTTATCACCTGCTTTTTATTTTTGGACTTTGATGTAAATGTGAGATGCCGATACCCTCCTCTTCATCACCGTGAGCAACAGTCTGTCCAAGGTCAAAGGAGCTATCAGGCACTAAGACTGTTTGGGCTGTACACTTATAAGAAAAACATCTCCCAGCTATCATAAACACACCCACGATCACTGCGCCGATGTTAGCGCAGAGTAGACCCGGAGCAGGACTTTGCAGGGAAACCCTGCAGGAACAGCGAGGATATCCGGGACAGACCCAAAGCAGCTTTACAAACATTAATGGGATGCTCTCGGGAGGAACTGCTTCTTCGGGGTCATTTCAAACTCTCAACCCTTCAGCGGGGTGGTGACACAGGCTGTGCTCCCGGGGAACTTTGGGTAACGGGGAACAGGAAGTGGTTGAGAGAAGTGAATCAAAGCCATATGAGTCCACTGGATGACTTCCTCCAGGCCTCTCCTCCTCCTACGCTCATCTTCTGAAACTGCTCTCAACTCCATATGTCTTTTTTCTGCTCACTTACATTCTTGACAACTGGGGTTGAAACCACAGGCCGGACGTGTCTATCAGAATGATCGGCGTGATCGCACCTCCCTTCTTATATCTGAGAAACAGGAAATTGCCTTCAAACAAAAAACAAACATATAAAACAATGTGGGATCCAGTGATTTGGACCGTTTTCAGCCAAGTGTCCTATGTCACCGCCAACCTTTTTTTTGCATCATTCAAATGCAGAAAATCCCTGACTGAACCCTGCCCTGTGCCTTTTTTTTTTAGTAGAAAGAGTACTGGTTCTCCACCGCTCGGGCCCTGCGAGTCCCATCAGCATCATGGTAGTCCTCAGACCCACCACTAGAGGCCTCAAGCAGGCGTTCGGAGCTATTACTCCTGCTCTGTAACCCTCCTCCTACTACTCCTCCTCCTCCTCCTCCTCCTCCAGGACCTGGGTCGCTACGGGAGAGAGAGGGAAGGGCAGTGGGTGAGGAGGAGGTGCTGGAGGAGAGCGGAGGATCAGGAGGGGGCCCTGCGGGTGCTGGGATCCCGGCAGGGTGGAGAGCTGGCTGGGCTGCATCTGTCCGACAGACTGCTACATCCCTGGGTGGGGTGAGGACTGGAGGCGCGGTTACGTCTGTTGTAGATTAGAAGAAGAAGAAGAAGAAAAAATGAGTCTTTATGATGAATGCTCGATTAGTAATGCAGATCAATCTGTGCTGCTGATTATTGTTCGCTGTTAGCACTCCAAGCAAAAGGCTCCTTCATAGAGCGGCGTGTAAACACAGACAGTGTGGGCCTCCTTTATTATGCTTCCTCTTAGTGGGCAATAACACTGGTACCAAAGACACGCCTGACCAGAGTATCAGTGAAGTCTTTTATGCCCTGAATCAAACCCTTGCTCTATGTTGGTGTGTGTATGCAAGTGAGTGTATGAGTGTGTGCAGCGTTTAGGGGAAACAGAGGGCCCCTTTGTGGCCACCAGGGTGGGTTGGGGCCGGAGTCTCGGCCTGCATGCAAAACTCCTGCGGTACAATCGCCCCCTCACTCTCCTGTACAGGAGGGCATTCATCCCATGCCAGAGGAGTGAAGGGCAGGAGCAGCGTTAGCGTGAACGCAGGAGGAGGTGGGGGAGGGAACAGGTTCACTGAGTTTTAGCTCTGCTTCTTTAACTTTATAGACAAACCTCTGCTGCCAGTCCATACATCATCTTTCTAGAAGTCAGCAGCGTCCATTACCACAAAGATAACACGAGAAGCAGTCATTGGTAGATTTCCAAAGACCATAGTCACAGCTTTTGTTCTCTAAAGTCACAATCAGGGCAGGAAGCTTGAATAACTCGAATAAATTTGACACACTGTTTAATTTGATCTCAATTTAACAAGTAAAAGGACAACAAAAGGTAAAGATGCACAAGAGATCTGCGCTGATCTCCTGTCCAGTCGAATTCATGGGTATGACTGATTTTGAGCTTGTGTGTTATTGAGACTTGGAGACATTCATGCACTGTGTACCTGTGTTGGAGCTTCGCTGCACTTCTACGTAGGAGCGTAATGTGATGTCAGCAGAGCCTCCAGATTCGAGGGGGATGGGGTGGGCATGGAAGTGTCTCAGCACATCCGACACTGTGTGGAACCACAGGTGGTGGACGTGGCACTGCCCATTCTCATTTACTGACAAACGTAGATGCTAGGAGGGGAAAAAAAGGGAAGAAGGTTTGTTATTTGAAGCAACAAAGAGAGAGGGTGAGGGTAACAGAAAAAGAAAGAAAGAAAAGAAACACTAGAGAAAGGTAGAGGACTGCAGTGTGGACCTGAGTGAACGTCTGAAGTCAGGACATGATCTGAGAGACTTCTAGATGTGGGGGCAGAACAACAAATGCCAAGACTGACACCAGAGGAAGAGGCGGCAGCTTACACTTCCTCGACACTGCCGGCTGACGTGATGTGCATGGATCATGTCCCGTATAAGCAACAAAAACATTTGACATGACTGCATCTTTTCCAGGCTCCAGAACCCGGTCTGCTGTGAGCTGCAGTGGCTGAATGCCAAATGTCACGAGAATAAGCCTGAGTGGATTTAATGCTGCTGCAGAGCAGAACTGCAGCTGGCAGGGGGAGATTAATGTAATTTCATTAATTATTTAAAAGAACATAAAATAAAACCATAACAACTTTTGTACATGATTAAAAGTCTTATTGAGTAAAAGTTAAAATTATGTACATATAGAGGTGCTCCCATTTCATTGTGTCCTTTCCCATAACATCCCATCATCCCATAATGTGTCGTATCGTATTGTATTGTATCGTATCGTATCGTATTGTACCGTATCGTACCATATCGTATCATATCGTATTGTATCGTATTGTATTGTATCGTATTGTATTGTATCGTATTGTATTGTATCGTATTGTATCGTATTGTACCGTATCGTACCATATCGTATCATATCGTATTGTATCGTATCGTATTGTACCGTATCGTACCATATTGTATCGTATTGTATCGTATCGTATCGTATCGTATTGTATCGTATTGTATCGTATTGTATCAAATTAATAATTATTAAGTTATGGTAGGAATAGTTAAGTATCACATTATAATCCATTCTATCTTCTCATATCTTATTCCACTATAATATCATAATGTGTCATTATTATAGTATTGTACTGTATTCTATCACACATATCACATTTCATTGTATTGTAAAGTATCAGATCGTATCTGATTGTCTTACCTTGGCTTTGCCCTGAAAGTTGAAGGTGAGGACATACTCCCCCGGGCGAGTCTCACTCTGACGTATTACAAAGAGCCCATGACTCCTGGTGCCTCCTGCAAGCACCAGCTGAGCTGCACGCACACGGGATAATGTGCCATGGAACCATGGGTAACCCACCAGGCTGGCATCACCATCAGACTCTTTGGCTCCTTCACTGCCACCTGATAACAGATGAAACAAATCACTTTTTATGTTCTATATCTCTGGTGTGTTTGTGCCTTGATATTAAATGTCTCAAAGGAAAAGGAAATGTGTTTTTGTTTACCAGTAGAGGAGTTGGAGCTCTGGGCCTCAGGGGACTGGAGGAAGCGCTCTAAAGGCATGTGGGAGGGGTGCTGGGTGAAAGGGGGTTCCCTGCATCGGACTGAGGGGGCGCTGTAATGTTCGGCTGCTGAGGGACATGACCGCTCTGGAGCACGGTAAACACCTAAACGTAGTTTTTTCACATATATATAAAAAAACAAATACCATTTAGATCAGAAAATTTCAACTTTCTGTAATAATGTTTGCTTTCTTTTTTTTTGTTACCCTCAGACAGGAGTTCACAGCTGCAGGAGGCTACCATGGAGCAGTCTTTGGAGGCCTGACCATGAGGACACGACGCCAGCTCGATGTCATCGCCACTGTCACTGTACACAAACAGGCAGGTCAGCGGAACCACAAGATCGTTTACATACCCACACACATGTGCAAACAAACGTCACTGAGTCTGCACTCAACTACAAACAAGCACACAAATAATCTTTGTGTTTACGTCCTGAGCTGCTCCAACACCAGCCCAGGAAACTGAGGAGGAATGTCAGTGGTGCAAGCTTGCCCATGTTTGTGCAAAAGCAACCTGTCAGAAACTCCACTAATTTGATGATTAATGACTGTTGACTGTTACCCCTCTTCCCCCCTCTCCCTCTGTCCCCTCAGTCTCTCTTTCCTTCTCAATCTCCAGCCCACAGCAAATATTTATCTGGAGGTTTACCCTGGGTCTATGCAGTCCTGGATGTCAGCAACCCAGGAGTTTTTCTGCAGCGAGTCAATGGTTTCCAGGATGTACTCTCCCCCGTTTTCCACCTGTGGAAGCAGCAAAACACAGTGATTGCTAACAGAGCTTGACTACATCAGGGAAAATCTGATGTTAAGTTTTCCAACGTGCTGTTTTTGCTGTAACTGTCATTTGAAATAAGGTAATGTTGTGTCAAACTTTTTTGGTCTCACCTTAAGAACAAAAGTGTTGTCCTTGTCAGGCATCTCCAGTGGCATGGTGGTCCTCACCTCTACGATGGCTGACAGGGGGATGCTCACCTTGGGTTTCGAAGACTGATAAGAAACAGACACAAAAGAGACACAAGAATGAGGTTATATGTAAATACATTATAAAGAAAGTCCCCTTCCTTTTGGTAAATGAATGTAATATTATCTCTATTACATTTGTGTCAATAAAGCATGTTGGACTGAAATGTGATTATCAGGCAGAAAACTTAGACGGAGACAGAAGGTCAGCATTTGGCTATGATTTGTACCCGAGGGCAGAAAAACACTCTTGTATAGCAGCATGTTTATTTTTAAGATTTTTCCTCCCATTTCTATATTCCCTGTGTAGTAAAACTCAAAGAAAAATAAAAAACCATCTCAGTTGGAGATTTTTACAGCCCACAGACGTACAGTTTGGTTTAAAAGAAGACATTCCTTTAAATAACAGGCTCAAATAAAACTACAAAAAATACAACAGCTGCGTGGTGCTTTAGGGACCTGAAGATGTCCTTTTTTTTCTTTGCACTGATCACAAAATTTTGTTGAAAGTCAGTGACATTTATTGTATTAAATCCTCTATTTTTTTTTATCAAACTAACCCCCAAAACTCTCATGAATCCTTTTATTAACATACAAGGTCTGCAGGTGGTGAGTTCTCTTGGCTGACTTTCCTCCAAGTTTTATTTTATCTTTCATACAGAAAATATTAAATATGCACAATTTTTCTGGAGCTTCAAAGGTGATAAACAAGTAGAAGTTTCTGTGCCTCTGCTTTTTACAGTGTTGGACATAAGCATGTATATAGCAACACCATTTGCACCACTATTGAGATGATAGAATACAATGGAATAAGAAATTATAACTAAATGAGAAATTTGTTTCATGTGCCTGTGTAGTGTCTCTGCATTTGCTATGATGTAGATTGAATGCAGAGTCATAAACCAGGCTTTAGGTAGATTTTCATGGCCGACAGGGGCCTAAAGAAGAGCAAAGTATTTGCAAAATTAAGTAGGGGGATTTTCCTTTAATAGGCATCCAAAGTCCTGGTGGCTCCTGTGCTCATGATCTGGTTTTCTTTTGGAGGTCGTAAAGAGGCACCACTGTTAATGTCAGTCTGTATCACAAGAGCTTTAAATTAAATCTTTCACTGCATCCTGTTGAACCCAAAAGCAACACCCACAAAAGTATAAACATTATATTTTACTACAGGAATGACCTAAAATAGAGCTTTTAATTAGCGGCGCAGGAGCGAGAAGCAACACTTCACTCTCTGTGTTTACTGTAAATTACACCCGACCTCCCCCATCCACCAAACCTCTCTTTAAAGTAAGAGAATTAAAGGGCAGCATGCAGTCTGAATCGATGGTGGAGCCTTTGCAGCACTGTGCTGCATCTTTTATCCAGCTCCCTTGATTAATTCAGATGAACAGGGCCGACATGAAGAGAGTAGGTATGAGTTTTGGAAGCAGCTCCAAACTTCCTCCTGCATTTCCCAGCGATTATTTCTGCTGACCGCCTCACTAAACAGGAAGAGTTTACAAGAGGGTGAACACAGAAAACATCCTGGCCTCGGTTTGCCCTCTGCAGAGAGCTGAATCCAGACGGTAATCTTAACAGATCCAGTGAGTGTGTGTGAGGCGCTGGGCTGAGTGTGTGTGCGTTTGTGTGTGTGTATTCATTCCTGTGTGTGAGCAGAGGCAGAGCAAGAAGGAGAAGGAGGCTGACTGATGGTCTGGCAGAGGCTTATCAGCTGATCTGTCTGGAGTAACACTGTTCTCATCTTGATCTGCCAGTGCAGCTGGCTGCCATCCACACCCACAATTCCTTTCTGTGGATCAGATGTCAGAAACCACTTCCTTTATTAAACCATTTGACCATTTCCTGCATCTTCTCTCCTGTGGCGGCGCAGTCCTGGTGTTCATGTGTGTTGAGATGTGTAGTTGCTGTAAACTAGTATGAGCCAGTGCACATGACTGTATATGCTCCACCACACAACTCTGACAGGAAGTGAGTATTTAGAGTCATCAGCCTCTTTATTTTGTTGTGTGGTCGCTTTGATAAGACCTTAAAGGGCCATTTCACCTAAATGATAAACCCCCACAAAGATTCTGTTATCTTCACTGATATCACTGTGGATTGTTTCATGGTCACCACGGCAACCAGTAATGATTCATTAACATTAACCATGTGTTTGTTTTTCCCCCAAAAATGGGCGCTGTGGCTGTGTGAGTGTGGTTTCCAATGCCTCTGCAGGCAGCCTTAACCTTCAGAGCATCTTGGGGACAAAAATAGACAAAAATAGACAAAAATTTTAATAAACTTTATATCTATGGATAAGTCTGGAGTTGTTGACAAGATGTGATGCTTTGAAGTAAAAAAAATGAATGTATAATGTTTTTACTGCACTTTTATTAGACCGACAGTTTTTGGCCACAAGGTTAACAAGTGTCAGTAAATTTTAAGGGGTGCACAAGGGTTAAACATGCACTCTGGAAACTCAAGTTTTTAGCACAGGCATTATTTCTGTAGAACAGAGACTGCAGCTTGAGTGAATTTAAGTCCCGCCTCTGACAAGTCAAACAGCCAATCACAGTTTAGGATTTTGTCACCCTGTCAGGCATGGCCCTGAATGGGGTGTCTTTGGCCTTTTGGACACTCAAAAGTAGGTTACTGCAGTTTTTTGCACCTCTGCATTAGTCAACTCTGGAGGTTGCTGTATGAGACTAAAGGAAATTCCAGGGTTGATAACTTTGCAACAGTCGTATGTTTGATTCTTCTGTAAATTTTGATGAGTGTATCTTTAAAACTGTATATCCAAACAATGTAGAAATAACAAACCCTGAGCATGGCTACGAAAAGAGAAAAAGTGCATGAGTAAAATATGAAGTGATGTGACCCTTATTTACTGTAAATGTAGCACAGATTGTCAACATTTCCTCTTTAATGGTTTTCCACTTTATTTGGGCATATTAATAAATCAGCAAAGTACAAAACAAGGAAGTTTGGGGTATTTTTTTAGCTGTTTCTTTGTTGCTATGACGAACAATCCCTTTGACCTGCTCTCTGTGTGCGACTCTTTTAGCGGTCACATCTTGATTCTGTGAACCTGGGGAGTGTGTCTCATCCCTGGGCCTGCTGCTGTGTCATAATGCAGTCAGTTAGCTCTCTGCAGTGTGCGCTCTCTGCCACACAGAGCAGCCTGCAGATTGATGGCCCTCTCTGACAGGGACGGAGCCAGAGAGCCAGTCGGCCAGGAGCGGGCCGGAGTGAGATTTTATGAGTCAGTTTATCTTACCAACACTGTTGACTCTGCACTGTTGTGATTTGTAAGACCCGAACAGGACGGCAGCGAAGTAAAAACAGCTCAGAGAGTCTGCGGCGCAGGCGTGTGAAGATGTGTGTGTTTAATTAATGTGTCAGATCAGAGCGGCTCTGAAGTGTCTCTCTGTCAAAGGCTGATTTTAAGTTTCCCATGTGTGAATGTTCTTAGAAAAGAGCACGTGAAACTGCTGAAGCACAATAATTAAGTTTCGTTTTAGATGTGTCAGAGCACTAGTGCCTCTTTGTGTCTATGAGTGACTCACAGACCTATTTTAGTTCCTTTTTTCAGTTTGTCACAGCAGACTGTTTGCCTGAGACGGAGCAACAATCAATATTTATTTTCTGCACATGAAAGGGAATCTTTGTGATCTGCTCCTGCTTACAGAAATCAATGTAACAGCTTCCTCTCTCTCTCGCTCTCTTTCTCGCCAGTTCTCCCCACCTCCCTCCCACGCCTGCCTCCCACCTGTCCTCGCCTCTCTCCCCCTCTCAGCAGTTTTATCCCCACGTTCCCACCAGCCATGATCAAAGGACAGTGGCAGATTTACACACACTCAGCTGCACAGCCTCATGGCCCCCTTAAGGTCAGGGGCAATGATCTGGAAATCCCATATAGACAAATGTGCAGTGTGCATGCATGTGTGCATGTGTATGTGTGTGTATGTGTGTGTGATCTGACTTCCCACTGTGTCACTCATGGTCACGGGGGCTGGATTATCAGGCTGGGTTTTTATGGATTCATGAAGGGCTGAATAAGTGATTATTTCCATGAATGATTCATGTGTCCTCTATTTTATTCGAACATTCAAATAGATGTGTCCTACTGATTTGTAGTCCTGCCTTTAAACAGTGACTGGGCAGAGTCATTCCTTACAGTACAGAGAGACTGGTTACATGATCTTGTAAAAACTCTGACAGCATATAAGGACATCTTTTAAAATAAAGACCCTAAAGACCTGATGTCAAAAAACTCGCTGCTATCGGTCCCGATACTGAAGAAAATTCTAGATAAGTTATCGTGACAATTGGCATAGGGGCTGATCTATTCAGTCTTACTCTATGCTATACATTGTGAGTGGCCTCCACACGTAAACACCCTGAGCGAATGCCCACATTGTTTTCAAAATAGAGCGAGTGAAGGGGTCTGCTATCTTGAACTTTATCACAATATCTCAGCCTACACGCTCGACGGCCACTCGCAATATCTGCGCAGTAAACGTTCCGAGGTAATTCAGCGCGGCTTTTCTGTATCGGAATTGGATCGGTATCGACCGATACTAAACTGTAGGTATCTGTGTCTGCATCGGAGGTGAAAAAAGAAACAGATCAGTGCATCCCTACTGTTTTCTACTGCTCTGCTCTACTGTAGTTTTGGATGTTCATGACTGGATGTTATAGTCTGATTCTTCAAACATGTAATGCAATGTTGCCAAGTAAACATCTCTGATAAATGATCTGAGAGGACACTAAACTTGCTGCCGGGAGATGTACCTCGTTGAAACTTCCACGGAGCATGGGTGAGGGTTTAGCTGTAGTTAGCTGGCATGCTACATTTTTTGATCAAATCAAACCTGATTCTTTCTGTAAGAGCTTGTCTGCAGTATGAAAGGAAGATCAGCTCGACATTATCCTTTGTTTAACTAGATAATGAAAATCACAATCTATTGCAGTAGGATGTGGATGGAAACAGTGGAGCTTTATAAGGTCTTCACAGTGATTGTTTTGGCTCTTAAAACAGCAAAAGTCCAAAGATACTAAATTTATAAATGACTGAAACAAAGAAAGTGTTATCTGTCAGTGTTTTCTGGTCATTTCTGCACTAGATCTCTGTTTTCTGTCTGTTTGGTCAGGTTTGTGTTTTCAGTACCTTTGGTGGGACATAGAACTCCAGCAGGAACCGCTCCCCTCCTTCCTCCCTCTTGGTCTTCCTCAGTAGCAGACGACATTTCTGCCACTGCGCAGCTCCCATACAGTTTGTGTCATCAGCCACCATGTACCTGAGCGCCCCCTCCCTTTGGATCTCTAACATCTCGGCCTTGTGGCCCTGAGAGGCCCTTGGGAGACGCAGCTTTTGGGACCATTTTTCTCCCCCTGTAGCCTCTCCTCCTCCTCCTCTGTCTCCCCCTCCTACTCCCCCATTGGCCTTCCTGGTTCCAGAAGGACCATCAGGCTCAGGGGAGGCCCGTCTGTGCCACATCTCCTTCACCCCGTCCACCACACACAGGCTCATGTTCCTCAGGGAGAAGCCCTTCTTGAAGCGGGCCTTCGGGTGGCTGACTGAAACGTCCTCTGAGCTGCGGGACTGGCCCAAAGCAGCCACCTTGTGGGCTGGCTGGGGGGCTCTGGTGGGGCCACTGCCACCTCCATCCATCCCTCCCCCTCCACTGTCCATACTGTCCAGGGACTCGCTGGAAGCCCCGGCGTCCTTCCGCCTCTGATAAAGATCCTGACCGTAGGACAGCGGGCAGCCCTGGATCCCCAGAAAAGGAACAATACTGTACTTCTGAGCTGTGTTGGATCCCTCCTCCCCAGGCGAGGACGCCTGATTCTCCCTGGCCTGGGTCAACGCTGAGGTGAAACACTCCAGGAAGTGTTGAGCAAAGTGCTGGGAGAAGCTGGCATCAGCACCGGGTGAGTCGTAGCACGGGTTCTCCGACAAGAAGCGCTGGAACTTGTCTGCGAAGTCCGCGGCGGAGGCTCGGGCGTGCAGCTCGCAGAACTCTCGCCAGTCAGGCAGTGGACACGAGGAGGAGAGCTCCGGGCTACCAGGCACCACCGCTCCGTTCATCACTGGGCCATGCCAACCCACCGAGGAGAGGCTGAACAGGAAGAAGAGGAGAGGAGAGCGTCAGCAGTGATACAAAAGTGTAAGACAGCAGTGTTTGTTTAACTTCTGGCTGTATATCAGATGTTCAACAGATGTGTGATGGTGCAAAGGATAAAAGCGGCGTCAAGAAAGCAAGACTGTTTGTGTCTTTCATTATAATGTTTGTTTCTAAATCATAAGAGAAATAAAAGTCAGTTTATGCAAATTTTCTTAGATTGATTATTATCGTAAACAATCAACAAAATATTTCTCTCATGACACAATTGATACCAAAATTACTGTGTTTTGCAAAACAAGGGGCAAAATACAGGGATGAAAAGTGGCCATGACCAAAAAGGGCCATAAAATTACTAAAATAATAAGTGAAGTGGAGCTGTCCCTGCTTTAAACTGGATACATTAAGTCTGAAAAACACTCGATTCGCTGCAACACCTACTTATGAGTGCAGAAATGCCTTCTCGGTCTCTAGTTGAACCAAGGTACCTTAGCTGTACCTTCAAAGTTTAGGCCAACAAACCAAAAAAGCGTCACTGATGTGAATTTATTCATTTTGGAGGTCCAGATTTGACCAGACTGACCTGATATTTAAGAGCAAATTTAGTGTCACAGTAGACTGATTAGAGTCCTTTCACAGAGTCCGGCTGGGGTCTCCTGTAGCCGCTCAGAGATGACTCCTCCTGATAAATACTCATATTATTTCTATGATCCAAAGTATCTCTCTCTCTCCATGTTTTTCCACACACAAACAGACTCTCCTCCATGTGCGAGTGTGATTCAGTCCTGAGTGCTGCTTCCTTCCCTCTCTGTCCTGATCAGAGCCAAACCACATCACATCATTAATAAAACCAACATCTAACACACAGTCCAACCGCCGCTCTGTCAGTAACAGCATCCAAACCCAGACCTCCCTCCTCCTTTTCCTCTTCCTCTCTCCTTCTTTCTTCTCTCGCCTCAGACCTCCTGTGACTCATCCATCTTCAGCGCATACAATCGAACACATGTTGGTTTGATGATTGTTGTGGTTAAATCTCACAGATTAAAGAGAATCATCTGAGTGGGCAGGCTGGGTGACATACGCACGGGGACGGCCAACACCCCCCTGAGCTGTGAAAGCTTCCTCTATGAGCTGCTGCGCTTCTCTTGGCAGTTCATTCGCTGTATGCGCTCAAATGTTTGCTTTCTGAGATTGCACTCCTAAACCAAATCAAGCATACATTGGCTCTGCAGAGTTTTCCTGGAATTTCAATCCTAAGCATGAAGCTTCATTTTCATTTTCAAAGCAAATCAGTGCGGGCTGTGTTTTCATAACGGATTAACTTAAAAAAAACTACACTGGATTTAAGTCTGACATGTCCAACTACAAGCCAATTTCTCCTGCTGAATTCAACGCTATTCAGGATCAGAGACAGGATATGATGATAGGGAAAAGTACAGAGAGAGGCACCGCTGGATGCTGCGACCAGGCGTCAGGATATCACAGGAAAGCTATGATGGAAAGAGACACTCTAATATAAAGGAAAAGGGTGGGATAAAAGAAAAACAATGAGGGAAAAGCAAAGGAAACACGTCTCTCATCTGCGAGGAAGTCCCAGAGGAGTCTGAAGATCCAATACTGCCAGGCTACGCAGCTTCATTTCCCTGCTTTGTTCAAATAAAGCAGTTTGATTTTGATCTATCACTAAAGGAGCCTGAAATGAGCATCTCTGTGTAATTTTCCCCATGAGAACAGAGTACAACCAAAGGTCTCAGGTGGAGAGTTCTTTCATTAGCCGTCATTAGGTATCTGAAATGAGTTTTGTCAGGTTTTCAAAGACTCGTGGTGCAAAGAGATGAAGCAGACAAGTGGTCTGAATTTCTATCTGCTAATCTACTCGAACACTCTGAGATGAAAAGAGGATAAATACAAACAAAATAGTATCCTATACACAGCCACACTATTAGATTTACCATTGACTGACTAGAATGCATTCAAATATTTTAATATCTATCTAAAACCATCATGTATACATTATCCAGTAGTGTTGAATGCTTGATTCTGATTGGTTGAAAAACGAAAAGCACTGCTAGATTCAAGAGAAAACACTTAATCTTAATGTTTTAGATGTAAATGTACTTGTAGCGACTGCTTTTCTTCAACAGAAAAGGCCGCTAGGGTTTAGGTTCGCTTGCATCTGTGATGCGTTCAATTATCAGTCCAGTTTGAGTGTTAAAAAAGAAATGTATTGTTCGAAAAAAGTAAGAAAACATGCTGATTCAGCTACAAAACTTTTGCCTTGGAATGAAAAAGTAATAAGATAAAATGAGGTTAAAACAGGATGAATGAAATGGTGAAAAAAAATGAAAAATGTTCAACAGAAAATTATCAGAGCTTACCACTCATTGTCTGACTACACCGGTGAGATCTAAATAACCCGCCAAACATCCCAAAGAAACCTAGAAATCATATCCTACACAAAACATATTTTGGCTCCTGCAGTACTCTTTTGCATGAGTTCAAAATGTCAAAATAAAAAAAGCTAATGTTCCAACTTCACCATGAATTGCAATTTATGCAAATTACATCCACATGTAGCCTGAAGTGAATGCGCTGTTACTGAAGAGGAGCTACCAGCTGTGGAATCTGAGACACTATTTTTCTGCTCTACAAATAAATCAACCTTTTAAATCGCTAAAATCATGTCTACATCGACACTTTGTGCCAACTTTTTCTGTGTTTAGTTGGTATCTAAGCTCACTCAGTCCAGATTGGGCGGCAGTAGCTCAGGAGGTAGAGCAGTCGTCCAATGACCGGAAGGTTGGCGGTTCGATTCCCCCCTAATCCAAGTCCGTCTGTTGTGTCCTTGGGCAAGACACTTAACCCACCTTGCTCCCAGTGTGTGTCCTCCACTGGTGTATGATTGTGAGTGTTGTGTGGTGGTGGTCGGAGAGGCCGTAGGCGCAGAATGGCAGCCACGTTTCCACCACCACCAAAGTGTGACTGTGTGAGCGAATGATTGATGTATCCAATGTAAAGCGCTTTGAGGGTCTCTGATAAAGCGCTATATGAAATCTGATGCATTATTATTATTATTATTCCAATGAGCATGACCAACAGTTCGCTCACTAATATACACGATTGTTTCCTTGTTTTGATCTGAAATTGAGATTGTATTATAAATCAGGTTTGGCTGTTAAAACAACACCCCAAAAACTTATACAATACTTGTCAGCCTAAGGAGTCTGGAACCCTTAATTCATCACATTATCAACTTAATATGGAAATCCACAGTTTGTGGTTATAGTTGCCTACAACTGATCCATACAGCACTTTAGATTACGTGTTGAAGACCATTAATAAAGCTGTTAGTCTCGACCTAAAACCCTTTAGGAAGAGTGCAGTGTTGTAATCCCTTTCATTCATAAATCTGTTGTTTCATTCATCCAAGTATCCTTCCATCCATTCAACCCAAACAAGATTTTACAACACTTTAACTGCTAATCACTTGTAATACATTGTAATTACTCTGCCTCACTTCCCTTTGTGAGTGTGTGTCCGTGTGTGTGTTTGTGTGTAAATGTATGTGTGTTACCGGCTGCAAGGAAGTCAATATCCATTCAGCTATTTAAAAACCTGCACGGAGCCAACTTTCCACTCATTCAGCAGAAAAACAACAACACACAGTGAGGTGCATTTCTCAAAACTCCTGCCCTTCCGCTCAAGTGAGGATGTGCCTCTCTCAAGGATACTGAACTGACTGTACACACTGAACTTACACACATATATACACACACACACACGTACAAAGTCAGCATGAAACTGAAGCCATGAGTTACTGGAGGAAGTGGACAGCGTTTGGATTTTCTGAGGCTCAGCAGAGAGAAGAAGACTACGAAGCAAAAATGATTGACTGAGAGACGAGAGGGGGTGGAGGTGGAAAGTTAGCACATGTATTTCTGTACTTGATGAGTTAAGTATTTCCATTTATAACTCTTTTATTACACAGATCACAACATTTTTGAGAAGTACTGCATAACAGAAAGTCGGAGAAAGGTCTTGTCTCTGTAGAAGTTCTACCAACGATACTGGATCATCTCATATTGACTGTCAAGAGTCAGCTGGGTTAGGTTTTTTTAGCAAAAGAGACTCATATATAGGAAGACTGCTTTGTCCACAGGGGGCGCCAAAACTCACACAAATTTAAGTTCCTGAAAGGGGCTGTAAAGGTGGGGTAGGCAGGATCTGAGGAGGTGCCAGTTTTTAGGAGAAATCTTGAATGTAAACTTTACCCCTACCAACCAGTTTTCCCCTCAGCTCCTCCTCTCCCCTCCCTCTCTGCTCCAACAAGCCCCGCCCACAAACAGACACGCCTGCTCGCTCATTTCGTTTCAATTAAATTCAGATATAATGCAGATAAATACTTCAGATAATTACAAATGGGGCCCAGTCAACAAAGTAAACAGCATTGGTGCTACTGTAGATGCCAACAGACTACCAGCAAACACAATGTTTGCAGGACTTCTACAACTAAGATTAAGTGACATAGTCCAGGACCCGAGGTAAACAGTTTAGCCCCTATGACACGCAGAAGGTCCCATTTGACAAGAAACGTTTCTGTTACACTTGACTTACTTTGTCAAAGCGGTTTACCTGTCCAGCAGAAAAATTACAGGGTCCATAAGATCCCGAAGCATCCCCCATCATTGTTGACCCGGCTTCTTAGCTCTTGTCCGGTCTACCTCCTTTTTAAGTGCCCATTATTCTGCCAGAGTCTCTGGTATTTACTTGGTTTTCTTGCTTGTGTTGGCAGTCGTGGCCAAAGGAGGATTCAGACAATTTTCTGAACTTTCTGGTTGGTTTCTACTGTCTGATATTGTAGCATGTTAACTTTGTTTGGGCTCCTGAACGACACGGAAGAGCAGCGTCCGCCTCACAACCAATCAGGCTGGGGAGGCAGAGAACGGCTTTGTTTACAGTCAGAAAGAGCGGGCCGCTCAAAATGTTTAAAATGTTGACTACACAGACATAACAAAACACAGCGACATCGTGATATTCTGAAATGTCATCAATAACTAATAGTTATTGATTGATATTAAAAGCTTTTTTGTATTCACACCACAAAAAAGATGCTTCTTTAACAGATTCCTGCCTACCCCACCTTTAAGTCGTCTTTTGAATAATGTTTTTGCTATTTTAAAGAGTAACTCAATGGCGCCTTATCGGTCTTGTCTTTGACCTCTGACCTGAAGTTGTTCTGCTTTGGCTGAGGAGGGGTACAGGTGCACCTGGAGACTTTGATAGCCCCACTGGGTGCATTTTATTCACTGAAGTCCATTTCTGAGCAAACTTAACAACCAGAGCAGCGCGGTGTGGTTAGAGGTAAAACAGGCCTGAAATGATCAACCAGAGAGTGCAGCAAAGAGATGACGTCCACCAAGACGTGAAGGAACCGCTCTTCATTCTGTTATTGATAAGCTTTACTCCTAATACTTCAATGCTTTAATTCTTACACAAACCCTTTTTTTGTTTTGTTTTTACACACTGGGATATCAACTCCTTCACTCAAGGATTCGAGTAGTCTCTCCCCCACTCAAGGGGGGATGTTTTTGCTCCTTAGAGCAGCTGCTAAAACAATCAGTGAGTGTGTGGAGGTGGAGGAGACAAGGGGAGCATAAAAAAAGACGCACTTCAGGACAAGGGGGAACAGAGGCACCATGTCGGGTCTCACATCCCAACGACTCCCTTCAGTCCTGTTTTTCTTTCTTTTTTTTCTTTCATCAGTGGTCCTGAAGCACAAAAAAGCCTAAAAAGAGTCAAGAGGGATTTCAAAATGTTCACCTCCATCCTCCGGGGCCGGCAGCTTTTCCTGTATCTCCTCCCAGTATCTGTTGTAAAAATCTACCACTACTGTGCCCCCTCTTCCTCCAGCTCCTCATGCTGCTGCTTCTTTCCCCCAGGGAGCAGAGCTGATATCTCTGTCAGATGGTTGGGAGTTCTGTCTGTAACAGTAAACTGACCAGGAAGGAAAGAAACATGACTGTGCAGGGAGAAGCTATCAACTGCAGCCTGCGAAACACATCGTACAAGACACGTTCGCTCTCAGAGGACCGAACCGCGTCGGGCCAACAACTTTATCTGCCTGATTAATACTGCGGTGTTGTGGCGAGTAATAGAGCTACTGAGGAAGTAATACTGTAGCCAAGCAGAGCGGATGTTCAAGGATTTGTGTTTTTAAAGCTGTGTGTACACATACCTCATGTACTCCCAGACATAAACACTGCATATGCACTTTAACAGACCCCTCCATCCAAAAACACACACACATACACATACACACACGTACACACTCGCTGCTGTGAGCATAACACACTCAGTGATTGGCTGATGAAGATGATTGGTGATGTTGTGCTCCCACCCCAGGGAGTTTGAGCTCAGCCATGTTTTCTAAGATTAGCCTGCTCCACAGCTCACAGCTAGCAGCACAGTCAGCACAGCCCAGCACTTTACATACACAGCGTCTTCAAGGCTTTATGAATCCATTCATAGTCTGTTCACATTTAAGGCGCAAATATAGCAGATGATACAAACATTTTGGGACATACTGCAACATGTCTACTTCTCATACCACGAAAATTGTATTTATGTTGGGTTAAATAATTTGATGAAGAGATGCTCTGAAATTCCTTAGAATCAGAATCAAAATCAGAGTGCTCTTTATTGTCATCATACTGGAGTACAATGAGATTTGAGAGCTTCTCCATTTCAGTGAAATAGAAGTAAAAAAGAAGAAGAGAGAAACAGAAACAGAAACAGAATTAAAAAGTACAATAAAAAGAGGTACATGTCCAAACATGTATGTAAAGGAAGTAAAGTTAGCAGAGTAAGCAAGGATACAGTAAGTTAATTAAAATGTTTTTATGTGATATATTATTGTCATTTTTTTTATTAAACAAACATGCAGTGTATTTTACTAGTTATTTATTTTGCTGTTTTTGCCTTTATTAGAGAGAACAGCTAAAGAGAGACGGAAAAAGTGGGAAGAAGAGGATGAGGTTTGACGTTGGCTGGGAATCAAAACAGCCATCACTGCTCAAAGTATTACAGCTCATGTGTAGTGTCCCATTAAGACCCCCAAAATACGGTAATTAAAGCCCTAATCACTAGTGATCTTGCCCTGTAAATGAGTAATCGGGGTTTCTTCTCCCATCTGTCTTGTTCAAATACTTTTGAGTAAATACTGGATGTCATTAGTGATTTGTGATGTTTGTAAGAGACTGCTGACTCCTCCCTGAGATTCACTTCTGAGTCTAATTGGGCTCTATTTGTAAAATCAATTTGTTTCTTTTTGGCCTCGGCTCCAGACTTCTGCCAGTTTTTAAGTGAATGAGGCTGGTGCTTTGTCCACACTTGTTTTGCTGAAAACCTTGGTGGAGGTAAAAAGTATGTGACAGAGATGCAGGTATCAGCAGGAATATGTGACAGTCTGTTTTGATTTGCTGTCTGGGCTCACTAAAGGAGGACACACAGATGAACGCAGACACAGTGGGTATCACACTGACAAAAAGTGACTCACATGCAGAAGTTTAGACAGAAAAGATACAGCAGCAGACATTCAGGCGGGTGTGTGTGTGACAGAGGGAAACTGTGCAGCCAGACTGATGGAAGTGAAGGAAAAGCAGAGGAGATGCAGACAGGAGATAAAAATCCCAAGATGAAGGGATGGCAGATAACAAGGTGGGACAAAGAAGGGGGTTCAGTTAGCAGTCAGACTCCTTTACTTACCTACTTTCAGATCTGTGCACTTCAGAGCGCCCTGTCAGTGACCTTTGACCTGAACCCTGATAACCTCACCCCTCCCTGATGCCACTGAATGTCATCTGGAGTTTTAATCTGCTCTAGAAACAACTTGTTTGTCTACCTGTGGACACCATGAACCATAAACATGCTGTCTTTTTTAAGATAATCAACAATAAACAATGCATGGCTTCATTACACACATCAATAAGTGTTCCCTTTCCTGGCAGGTTCTTTTTTTTCTCTCTTGTGGTTTTTTTGGCAAAGCGGCAACAATGTAAATATTGAGTGAGCTCAGGCATCCATATGGCAGCCAGTGATAAAGGAATGGAGCGTGTGGGAGAGGGAGAGAGAGAGAGGGAGAAGGAGACGCGAATTCTGTCTTCCATTTCCTGTCTCTCACCCACAAGATCTAACTAATTTCACAGATGACCACAGGGCCTCCTTCACAGGAGAAACACTGTACAACCTGTCGTAGCATCTAGTGTGTCACTTTGAGGAAGAAATCTGTTTTTAATTCAGCACTACAGAGTCCTGTATGTTGCTCCAAAATTCGTATTTGTCGAGCAATGATGGGGACTTCTCAGATGTTAGATGCACCATATGTACATATACACCCCCGTGCCATCAATGATGTGGCCTTTTGAACTGTGCACCAATAAAAAACTGGGTGGTCCCACTCCTCCCTAGAGAAGAGGATGCAGCCTCCATGCGTCCTAAAAGGAGATGTGAAAGTTTGATAGTTTTTCACATCTCCTTGGCCCGCCCTACAAGCACTCTGGTCCTGAAAAGTTTTTCCTTTTCCTGGTGCATTTGTAGATGCAGCCACAGACTGTTCACAGACTGGTTTTTGGCATGTTGAATAGTTTTCAACACTTGATAAGGGTTTGTATTGGACAAACCATGTCCCTGCTGTGTGTTTGTGGCTCGAGAAAGACTTTGCTAAGGTAACTACATGAAAAAGTACTGATGCAGTAGTAAGTACATTACAAATAAACATCAAGCACTTATTGAAATTGTATCACATTTTATTTTGTACTTATGTTGCTCAAATGTTTAGAGGGATATTCCGGCGTAAAACTAATTTAGGGTCAAACACACCGTGAGACACCCCCTCGAGAGCTGAATGTTGCCGACCGCTTGCTCGAACAAACCTCAACCAAAACGCCACTCTATATCCACAAATAATGCTCAGAACAGCACCTAACTTCATCAACAGTACATATGGGGTCGCAGCCATAGAACTAGCCATCAAACATCTTTTTAACTTTGCCTGATTTCTTTAGCAAAGAGACTAAACACAACTCACCTACTCTCTTCCAGCAGCCGTTTGTTTGTAGCGAGACCTCAGGCCAGTCCATTATGGACTACAGCGGGGTGACACAGCTCAAGGAAGAACATTTATGATTATTTCTTTATGGTAATGCAATCACACCAAGATGCTAAGGTAGAAGAACTACCACGTCTGCAGTGCAAAATGATTAACATGGTGATTATTACTTCAAGGAAATGATGAAGAAGTAATCATAAATGTTCTTCCTTGAGCTGCGTCACCCCACTGTAGTCCATAATAGATTGGCCTGATGTCTCCCTACAAACAAGTGGCTACTGGAAGAGAGTAGGTGAGTTGTGTTTAGTCTCTTTACTAAAGAAATTAGGCAAAGCTAAAAAGATGTTTGGTGGCTAGTGCTATGGCTGGGACCCTTTATGTTCTGTTGATGAAGTTAGGTGCTGTTCTGAGCATTATTTGTGGCTATAGAGTGGCGTTTTGGTTGAGGTTTGTTTATGGCTCCTCAGACCGCTGTGTCGTTACTAAAGTTGGTATAACTAGAGAAGCAAGCAGTCGGCAACATTCATCTCTCGAGGGGGTGTCTAACTCTGTGTTACGGTGTGTTTCACCCTAAATCAATTTTACGCCGGAATATCCCTTTAAAGCAGCACCATAAGGATATAGTAAAAAATGACCACCATAAAACCACAGCACAGTGCCAGAAAGACCAAGACTGGCTCCCTAAAGTAATATGAGGGCCCATGTATGAACAGGCCTGTATCTTGTTAAAATCAAGCTTATTAGCTTCTATATTAACTGACTGAAGCCCATCAAATGAAACATGAGAGAAAGTCAATAGAATAGGCCGAAAACAGGCCTCCTGCAGACCCACAGAGCCTATTTAAAGCCAACAGTGGACCGTTGTGCAGACTGCGTATACTGGACTTCATGAATGGAGGATCAGCAGCAGCTTCCTGCTGAATGGCTGCAACTCCAGGTCCGGAAAGCAGGAGATGAATGAGAGGCTGCGCGCAAGACATGAGCTGGTACACTGATTCTGGGTCTTCCCGAGCGGGCCTGGACATCACATCAAATCACATCACATCATATCAGATCACACCAGGCCCCCCTAAGCCGCCCACTGACTGACCAGACTTCACTCCCTTAGGGCTACTAAATGGATTATCGGAAAAGCCCCTTTTTTTTACACCGCGACCCTCCTCAAGTGCAGGGCTCCTCATCCTCAACACGAGACCTCTCCATCTGCTCAATGCGCCTGTCTCAGCCTTCAAAGGACGATTTTAACGCAGGATCCATCACGGAGCCTGCAGGCTGGATGAATTAGGGTCTAACATCAGAACACAGCAGCCTCGTCCTCCTCCTCCTCCTCCTCCTTCTCCTCGGCTCCTGCAGGTTTTGTGTTATTCTCCTGATCTTGACAGCGGCAGCATTGAAAAATACTCTGCAAGATGTCTAACCTGGCGCGTCAGAATGAGCTCGACGCGCAAAATAAGAAATAAAATGCAAAGGGAGAAACAGCAGCTGCGGCTCTCACCTCAATGCAGGACTGGTTTCATTGTGACGCTGGTGTCTCAGAGGCGATCCTGGATCCGCGCTAAAGGAGGAAGACTATTCTGCATCAAACATGGTTATTCCCCCATCATCAGATGTCCCCCTCGCCGGGTTATACGCCCTCAGAGCCGGCTAACTCTGTCTCCATCTCCTCGCTGAACGCACTGAGCTGCTGCTGCTGTACCTCTGTCTCTCTCTCTCTCTCTCTCTCTCTCTCTCTGATTAGCTCTCCACCGACCAGAGACAAGCATGAAAGAGTTAAGACAGGAAGCTACTTCCTAAAAGAAGTTTCAAAATAAAGTCTTTCATCTATTCCAAAACACTCTCAACCAGATCTTTTTGGTTCTGGTGGTTCCATTTCTCAAGTTTTTTTAAACGTTTAAATACAAATTTCCTTATAATTTGTTGATGAGCAGTTTAAGTTTTTGTATGGTGGCCGAGAACTGCCACTGCTGCAAATAAAAAAAAGAATGCAAAAAATAAATAAATAAATCACAATGGAAGTTACCGATACAAAAACAGAAAAAAAGAGAAAGTTACTGATACAAAAACGAACAAAAAAAGAAACCCAAGCCCGCTGCAAATAAAAAAAGATAAAATAAAAGCCACAATGGAATTGAGCTGCCGGGGACCAATAATGATGATGCAACTGTGTTTTATGATCTAGGCACAGAAGACGACGGACGACAAGACGAGCAAAGAAGTTAGTGGAAAGGTTATTGTTTAATTTTGTGCTTTTCAATGTGTCATTTGGTTAGACCATGTAGCTCCTGAGTTGATATGAAGTTGAACTGCAGCTAACACTACACCGGCATCCTCCGGTTCAACTTGTATCGGCTCAGGTGCATCATCATTATTGGTCCCCGGCAGCTCACTTCCGTTGTTGTTGTTTTTTGTATCCTTTTTTTCACAGTAACATTGTTTTTCTTCATCACTTTTTGCATCATTAACTTCCGTTGTGGCCTTTTTTTTTCTAAATCTGCACCATTTCCATTTTTTTATCTGCAGTGGGCTTTGGTTTCTTTCTTTTTTTTTTTTGATTAGTAACTTCTGTTGTGACTTTATTTATTTATTTATTTATTTTATTTGCAGCAGTGGCAGTTCTCGGCCACCGTATTTTTGTAAGTTCAATGGAAAAACAGAGACATTCATCTATTGACTCTTTGTAGCTGAAATTAAAGTAAGCAGTTTTATCTCAGTGTCATAACAAAAGTCATATTAAGAGAAACAAATACATGCTCTCAACTAAATTCATATTAAAATAGTTTTGGTGTATTTAATGAAATCTTAAGTTATAATAAAGTTGCATTTAATCGAATTACCTCACACAGAAACAGATTGGGTTACAAATAAATTCAGGTTTGCAGTTTCATGAGTATAAATAATTAAAAAAACAAAAGTTCATGGAGCCTTGCCTTGACTCAATATTTGTACTCTGTTTAAAAACGGTTTTAAATGTATTTTTCAGCCTTTATTTAAAAAAAAAGGCCACATTTCTTTCTAGAAGGAGTGTGAACCCTATTTTTATTCAGATAAGAAGAACCGAGAAAATATAGCGGTCCAATAAAAGGATTTCACTTTTGTTCCTGAAAAAGTTTAAGAAAGCCTCAAAAAATTTTTCTGTGCAATATTCAAAACAAAACTTTTCCCAATAGAAGCCATCTAGGCTACAGGCCACACTGGTCCATCTCCACTGGTCCCCATGGGGCTTTTATTTTGAAGGCGTGTTCATACTCTGGTGTGTCCTTTGTGTCTGTGGCTAAATTGACCGCTATTTCTGCACTGGGGTGTGTGTGTGTGTGTGTGTGTGTGTGTGTGTGTGTGTGTGTGTGTGTGTGTGTGTGTGTGTGTGTGTTTCACTGATCTATTTAACAACCACCGATGACTGCCCTTAAAGCAGCCACGCCCTTTTATTGTTGCCATAACTGACTCGAAACAAGAGCTTGTGTGTGTGTGTGTGTGTGTGTGTGTGTGTGTGTATGCTGAGCCAACAGGCCCCAATACACTGGAGCTCAGGTGGCAGCTGGTTCAAACACACAGACACACATCCAATTAGATGAATGAAACAGCCATCTTCTAACTCTGAGTTTGCTCCCTGATATTTATTTACCGAGCAACAAAAGGATGAAGGATGATTTTACAGAAAAAGGTCATTTCAAAATACACGTTGTCCATCATTTCTCAGGACATAATGCTGTTTTCTCTTTTTGTCATGTGTTGACAAGTCTACGTATCAAACAGAATCAGACATCAGGGATTACCGTCATACCTGACATTCCCGTTGTCCATGTAAGTCATGCAGACGCAGGTGTCAGATGACTCATTCCTTCTTTATCAGTCAGCCCTACAAAAGAAGATAATACTGAGATTAGGTCCAAACATTTAATAAATACAATTTGTGTCGTGATCAAGTTAACTTCTGACACTTTTCCCCAAAAGCCAGACATTTTAAATTGATCATAAATTAATTGAAATACTCATTTTTATCAAGTGATGTGTATAAATCAACACGGGCACTTTGACTGTGATGAATACACCACATTTAGCCATAGAGGCCTCAAAGGTCTGAATAAAGGTCTAATGTAACTCAAGAAAATCCTCATATTACACATTCAGGTCCAGGTCTTAAAACTCTGTTGTGTATCCTTGGTCTGACACCCTCACACACAAATAGTGTTTGAGCCTCTTCACGTGGCTTTGTGATGTTTACAACTCAATGAGTGGCTGTAGTGTAACGCACTTCCACTACTAATCTTCTCTGAGGGGATTGACTCCGTGGCTTCATGGTGGGGGTCAGGACTAAAATAATAACCTGGTCAGGCCACAGACAGGTGGTAGTGGGAGTGGACAAGCTGCTTTAGAAGGTCAGCTCCTCTAATCTGAGTGTTTCGCCCTAAACTAGCTGCTCTGCATTTGCCTTTAGTCATGGCGAGCACACTGTGATCCTGTTTTTGAAAACTCTTCTCAGCTATTAAGCGGCTCCGACTGATCCACATAATGACTAACAGTAGACAGATAATTAAAAGAAGCATGTGATTGAACTGCTGCCAGGTTTACATGTCACCTTACTGGTGTGTCATGAAGGAAGCAGCTCAGGTGTTCTTCGAGCTTTTAATGTTTGGGGAACTAAACTGAGGGTTAGGGTTAGGGTTAGAAAACACAGCACACACAACACAGACTTTTTAGCCCACAGGGAACACCAAAGTTGACACAAAAAAAAAAATTCTGTAAGAAAGCATTTGCATTAGTGTAATGAAAAAGATATTTAATATAGCTTAAGTTGCTTAATATTGCTGAGGGGGAATTTGCATCAAAATTACATCTCAGGGGTTTTAAAACAGCTTTTTTAAAGGCACACTCGTTGTACTGACACACACCTTCTGGTTGTTATATCATAAGAGGGACTGTAAATACACATATGTTCAGGGTCTACTATCTTTGTTGGGACTTCTCTTGATATATGCTTTCTAGTTTTATTGTAAGTCCCGGGACTCATGGTGAACATTGTCTGGAACATCTTGATTAATGTGTGATTTTTTCTTGACACACACATTCTAATTTTAATATCTTTGAGAGGACATTCATTGACGCACCCCAAAACACTGTTAAAGGTACTGTCATGGTCTCACATTATCAGGTTTAAAGGTTATTGTGTCATTTACTTTGACAGTCTACTTTGGTTGGAAACATGCACTTAAATACTGCAAAAGTCCATGTATGCAGTAACATACTGAGGCACTCGAGCTCTGTCTGCTCCTCTCTCAAAGAAGAGATTACAGTTGCTCTACAGTACATCTGATTCATTTCCCAGAATAAACACATTGTTGAATAATCAAATTGAAGAAGCAGCACAAGAATATGATATTAAAATGCCTTTCACAGCTTGTAGGGGTCATGTGGGTACATTAAAAAAAGCTCTGACTGTAATAGAAACTTGAAAGTGTTACACAGGAAACTAAATCTGATGATTGCACCTTTTTATTTGACATGGTGGTTACAAACTCTCGTATTTAAAGATAACTGTCAGCTTCATTTACTCAATAACTGAACCAGCAAATTATCTGGAAAGGAAAATATCTTTGCTTTTGTTCCCTCTTGTGTCTTCTGGCTGCTCTAACTCAATTCTCGGTGGTTTACAAAGTTTCTTGTGACATAAATGTAAATATTTGACCAAGTGATGAAAAAAAATGTGTTAAAACTTAGAGGGTAGTTGCCATGTTTAAATATTTTATAGAGAAAGATAATAACAGACTCATTTTGCTCATCTCTCATAGTTGAAACCCGGACCATAGCGAGGACTATCTTAATGAAACAAACAGAGACCTGGGCTTGGCAAGTCTCTTCCCCGCCTCTCTCCTGAGACCCCCGCTTCATATTGATCCTTGTACACTTCCTGCCGGAAGGATGAATCGACAGAAACCTCGAGGGGGCTGGAGAGGCTTCAACCTCTGGCCATTCACAGACTAGTCACTGCCTCTCTCACGTCACCTCTCTTTTACTTCTACTCTGTATTTCTTTGTTCATCCATCAGTTTGTCACACTCCTAAGTCTCGCCATTTCACTTGAAGGTCACTGATTTCAGAGACACTTTTCTATTCTGTCCACTTTGATGGTGAAGCAGGAACTCGTGACATAACACTGAACACTAACAGCGCGGCCTCCTCTGCGAGCTCATCGACCATAGATGCACCTCATTTAGACTTCAGAAAAGGTGACACGGTCAGGGGAGGGGAGAGGGGGCTTCAAGCAAAGAGGAGGGGGGCGGGAGATGCTTTTGAGCTGATTTCCTGTGAAAGCATCTGAAGTGGTGGGGATGGAGATTGGCCCCCTGAGGCTGTTTGAGGATCAATGTGTCAGCAAGCTTTAATAAGAGGTTGTTCTTCACTGATTCCCGACCTGGAAAACACACTCCTGAGGTGCACAGACGACTCCGCTGGCCTTTGAAGGCGACACTTGAAGCCCAGCCTGGACCCCGTATGGGAGGGTTTGACAACTGAATCTGAACCTTCAATCCAAAACACTGAGAATCATCCAGAATCTAAAGGTCAAATTTGGTACAAGACAAAATGAAGAGATGTGAAGGACCACCAACAAAGCTTTTGAGAAGGGGTCTGTGTTGGAATAAAGCCAGGAGCAGGTGTGTGCTGGTGGATGTGTGTTGTCAAAACAAAGAGTTAATGAAATATGATCCAGGAAGAGCAGGTAGAGTGAAAGATTAACAGGTTTAGAAGCTTATTAGAGGGGAAACCCTGAAAACTGTCTGTAATACTCACAGGTAGGATTGAGAGTAATCTGGCAGCATTTACAGAAAATCATGGGTTTGTTTTGGGTCTTTTTCAGGTCAGTGCTGCTTTGTTTGCAGCCCTGCAAAGCAGCGATGTACCAACTGTTTCCAGACCGAGTCAGATCTTACCTCACAGTCAGTCTGGAGGTGTCAGTCTGACAGCTGAGTGTCACCATAAACCCCTCTTACTGGGGTGAAGTGAGACCAGCAGCTCTGGTCCTCAGACAATCTGCTGGTGTGTGCGTGTGTTTCTGTTTCACCCCGTACCTGAGGATGTGTCCGTCCATCTGCCTGCTTGCCTGTCTGTCACCCTAAAGGGGGCGGGACATGATGCGTGACCTGTGTGATGATGTCATCTGAGCCCAAAATAGCGCACTGTAAACAGCACAAGGAAATGACAGCAGGAAGCAAAACATGTTATTCATCAGAGATAAAATAACTTCAGTGAAAATAACAAAACGTTACAGCCGCATGGTGGAAAATATCTGTTTAAATATGGCACGGGAACAGTTTTTGAGTCAGTTTACTGAATTTATCGAAGAAAAAACTAAGAAAAAAGTGGCTTCAAGAGCAATAAGACAGCATTAGATCACGGAATCAGTTTTAATTCTTGTTAATATCGTCGTTCCACAGAGCAGAACAAAAAGATTTGGTGATGCTTCTTTTAGCTGCTACGCTCCAAACCTGTGGAACAAACTTCCCGAGGGTCTGAGACAAGCTGCAAATAAACAAATCTTTAAAAGTGACCTAAAAACTCATCTATTTAGCCTGGCTTTTATGTTTATAATTTATGTAATTACTATTATAATTTATTTGCATTTTAGTATCACTTTTTACCTTATTTTATTAATAAATTCAAGTTTATATTTTATTGTCTGTTTTAGTCTGTTTTAATAACCTTTATTTTTCTTGTCCTGATGTAAAGCACTTTGAGCTGCAATTTTATTTGTATGAACAGTGCTATATAAATAAACCTTGATTTATTGATTGATTAATATGTTTACTGTATATAATACATGATCAAATCAATAAATCATAAACAGTTTTTTCATACAAGATTTAATTCACTTACATCCTCAAAATCATGTCAACTCTCCCTACGTAAAAGTCCGAGATCTATGAGAGTTCAGATATTTTGTGTCTTAAAAATTGGCACTGCTGGAGTCAAGAGTCCAATCTCTGTATTTGAGTTTCTGTAAAACACTTGTTTAATCTGAACTCGTGACAGTAACTGCAACAAAAACCGGTGATGTTACGACATAAACTGAGGTTGCAGGTCAAAGATTAAACATTATTTGTTCTTAAGAGGCTGCTAAAGTCATGACAATCACCTGAGTCGAGGATAAAGCAAAGATTTGTGATTGTTGAGTTTATCACTCCTGCTAAAATGACTGTAACTGATATGAAAAATAATCCATTTTCTCTTTATGTTGCAGTGAGTGTACAACATCTCTGTGAATTAAGATGATATCATCCATCCGTCACTTCCTTATACCTTTCCCAGATAAGGTGAGCGGAAGTCAAGGTGGGGAGGAGACTGTGTAAAGGGGGTGGGGGTGGGGGGCTTCATATTCAGCATACAGACTTGATGATCCAGCATCACGTGTCCAAGTGATTCAGCCAGACTATGTCGGAGCAAATCAGAGCACTGGGGAGCATTCAGCGTGGAGCCACCTGACCGAAGAGGCCTGTTTCCATAGCAACACCCATGGGAGGTTGTTGGGGGGTGTAAACCGACTGCTCGCAGACCGAGCGAAGGAAGAAAAAGACATGAGATCAGAGACATTTTAAAGGTGTGAGAGGCTGAAATGATCCGTCCAAATAAAAAGGATAACATTCCCCAAAAACAAACTCAAACGGTTGGAAAAAGGGACAACTTAACCCCCGAGAAATCACGCACACAAACACCCACACACTTTTTGTATCTATGCAGCAGCCCTTCTGCAGTTTCTGAGCTTCTTATAGACACAAAGACAGAAAATCCTGAATGGCATGTTTGCTCAATGGAGAGTCTGAATGAGACTTCCACAGCCACAAACAAATGAATGAAGAGGATGAATCTGAATGAATGAGAGAGATTACTGCGAGGAAAACAGTCTTACCTGACAGAAACAGAAACAGCGATTCATCAGGAGCGGTTATATAACTCCAAAAGTTAAACTCTGTTGGGTTTTTTACTCGATTTAACAACTTTGCATTTTGTTTATCCAGTGACGAGGTTTCAAGATCATTAAGTCAGAGAGTTAGATGTGGATTATCTTCATTGCCAAATTTCTGGTTCAGGTTTAACTGGGAAAAAACTGTGTCTGTCATTTGGAGTTTGTCAAATATTGCAACCATGTACAGCATCAAGTTTTAGAGAGAGAAAAAAAAACATTGTACAGTTTTTTCCATTTTGCATTGGCAGGACAACCGCCCCACAGAGAGGATACGTTAGCTGACTTTACCTTGATTTCAAATGCAGACAAAATGCTAGCTCGCTTAGGCGCAAAGTCTTGAGTGGGAACTGGCTAACTTCCCATTGAAACATACTGAATGTCATTTTAAGAAGGCAGCATATAAGAGCGCCACTTTGGCCCAGGCGTTTAAGTCCATGTCCCATATGCAGAGACAAATGGCAAATTTACAGTCTGTATAAAACATTGACGTAATCTCAGTTACAATTCTGAAAACGCTGCATGAACCAAACTTTGAATCTACCTCACAACAAAGGTCCTCTCTAACAGCTGGGCCTACAGTGTGTTGCCTGTCAGTGAAGCCCCTAACCAAGCCAAACTTATAACCTTAATAATCTTAGTAAATTCTACAAAAATGTCAGTGTGTGCAGCGAGAGAAACAAACTGCTCAGAGCAAAATCTTTTCTTTTACAGAGCTCTGAACATGATTTTTTTGCAGTGAAGATGAGCATTTTTAAAAGTATATCTGTAGCCAGCCTCAAGTCGACACGACTATTAGTGAACTGATAGTTTTGTTAAGAACATTAAAAGGGTCGAGTAGGTGTTTTATGTCGATTTGAGTGAAGAAAAACAGCAGGGGGAAATGGATGCAGTTAAAAGCTGTGAGCAGACACAGACTGGAGGGACTGCATTCAGAGGAGTCAGCTAAATAATTCATAATAAGCATAAAACATAACTTTACTGCCCTCTGCTGAGCCCGTGATGAAGACGAGGAGTCTAAACCAGAAAAGAAACATGAAATAATCTGACAGGTCGATGGTTTTCTTTTAAAGATCCTACAGTGCAGATTGTTTCACTGACTCTAAGGTAACATTTTCTCTCCATAGCACTCTCATAACAAACATGGTTTTGCAGAAATTAACATGCTGACTCATCGACGTGCTGTCGTCAAAAGATCAGTCGGCTCAAGTGAAATAACCTGTCCACTGCAGTTAAAAAAAATCACATCAGACCATTAAGCTTACTTAAGACTTTTGTTATTCCACAGATGGAGCCTGTTAATATTTATGGAGTCGTCTGTGAGCAGCTGGAGGAGCAGAGACGAAGGTTATGAAGGACAGAGGCGGTAAAAGGTGTGTTTATCAAAGTTTGAGGTCAAAGGTGAATGATGCTGTAGAGGTCGGAGTGAGGCTGTAATTGTACCGAGATTACTTCAAGTCTGCTCTGATTGATAAACAAGAAAGGATTAATATTGGGGAAAGAGGAAGAGAGAGAGAGTGTGTGTGTGTGTGTGTGTGTGTGGTCTGGCAGTCTGGTTAGTCTTTAATGGCTGTGAGCCGAGGAGCTCTTTAAGAGGAGGCCTCTCATGAATAATGCAGTCTAATTCAGTCATACTCAAATGCAGGCAGCCGTCAGAGGGACTGCTGAGGCCTGAATTACTGATCAGCACATTCATCCCCCGTGTGTGTGTGTGTGTGTGTGTGTGTGTTCAGTGCAGGCATTAGTCAGTCACCCTCCTCCCCCTTTTTCTTCTTAGATCAGCTGTTAAACTGACCCGCCTCACTTGGTGCTCACTATCAACACTTCTTTTCTCAGGGCTAAGCTGGTTTACACTCTCAAACTAAAAGTGATTTGACATTATAAATCTGTGAGGCTTTAACACAGACTCTTAACATCTGACAAATATGCATTTTAATGTGAATCTAATTATGTTTAATCTTAAAAAACTAGGAACACATTCCTTATCCAACTTTACTCGACCATGCATCTAGATTGGGGATCATTTTCAGGTACTTTTTAAACAATAATTTCATGAAGGAAATAAATCTTACTGTGTACGTTCATCAAAACAAAAGAACATATCTACTATATCTACTGCAACAATGTGATTTTGACATCCCCTGCAATGCTAATTTACAGGACGCATTTATCAGACCATGAGCAGAAATCAACCTATTATACCCTCCACTACAAATGCATCTGTAACAGGTTTTAGTAAATATTTACACAGTTTGCATTTGTTGGATAAATTCGCTTCTAGTTCTGGTCTTTTCGTAAAATTGACTGACATCGAAATGAAGCAAAGAGGACGGTTTTACCTTGCATCGAGGTGGAAGAAGGTGGAATGCAGAGCGCATATGACAGACACTTCACAGTGACGCACATCTCAGTGGAAAAATTAATACAAAACACACTACTGCATAGTCTTTATTTGGAATATCAAGAGGGCAAAAGCAATCAGGTAAACATGCACAAAAATCATAGACTCAGTAACTGTTAGTGTATAACTGTTTCTTATCATTATCTATCAGCATCTGCATATTGATTACGTCCAACTCCCCTAATAAGTCATAAAATCAATAAACTTAATTTGAGCAGATTTAATGAACTTTAAACTATTTTAACTATCTTTAAACCCCCCACCACCTCTATCTCTTCACTGTGCGCTCATTATTTAAACACTGAGTATATAACCATCTGTTCTACCAAAGTTTTATATTAATTCACTGATTTAATTCTCCGATTATTTAAACTTCCAGCTAAACCCAGGAATAAACTGGAGTATAATGGTCCCCTTTAGGAAGGAAATACAACAGACCCTTACGACTTCATTTTACAGTACTATTCATTTATAACTTTAATTGTTACATTAATCTTAAAATAAAAGAAGAACCTTCAAAAATCAAAAATCAAGTCTAAAGTAAGGAGGCTTTAAGCGTCTAGCAGCCCTGTGATTATCATTAGCACAGCTCGAAACTGCCCTCTAGTGGAAAGGTTAGATACTGCAACAAGAAGAAAAGGTAAAGCTCTGTCTGCGTACAGACTGGTCAGAATTTCTATAGAGCATTTATGAAGCTGAACGCCAAACCAGCATCCTCTTTTGGTCGATCACAGCTTAAAGGTTTTGCTCGTTCTCATGGAAACGGTGCAGGTGGTCCGCGTACCTGTAAGTAACAAAACACACAAAAGAATAACTTCCCTGCATCAAAACCTGCGGATATGATCAAAACGCAGGATGCACACACTCACTTTTGAGCGCAGAAAGTTGCACAGTCCCTGCCGATACTCTCGCTCCAAGCAGTCTTGTACAGCACCTAAAAAGAAAAACATCACAAACACTTTAACCGGGTATCTAGAGATGAGCAGAAGTGTCTTTGCTGGTTTAAAGGAGGTTTACCAAGAAGACCAAACAATGCAGGAATAGGGTGTAGAAGAAAGCGATAGTCCTCGCCATCTTGTTGGAGAGAATCACACGACCCTGAGAGACAATGAAGGACAGGAAGGTGAGTCAGGGAAGTAAACCAAATACATAAATATCCCTGAGGGACGCTGCTGAGGGATGTGTGCTGTTAGTTTTTCATTTTAATGACTGATTTTAAAAATAGTTGGAAAATAAGAGGTCAAACTTTACTTTCAGACTATTATTTCATGCTATTCTATCCGCTGTTTACTCACTGGACCAAGATATTCAAGGCGATAAATCAACTTTAAAAAGTATCTTCTGTGTAAAACAGCCAACAGTGTGTGTGTTTGAGTGTTACCAGGCTCAAAGTAGCTTTATCCCAGGGGCTGAGGCTCAGGTATCGGCGCTGACGCTCCTGTAAACACACATCAGTTCATCAGCAAATATCAAATAACAGTGAAGATGTTTGACAGTGAATTTGCATTGGAGTTATTTGAGAAGTGAAGTATTCTATGTTTTAAAATCTCTATAACTTGTTTTAAACCACTCCTACATAAATCATGACCAGAAGACAGCAATTTATCAGAAACTACTGCACAAAAATGAAGCAAGAAGAGATAGAGGATTTCAGAGAATGTTTCTGAGTGAGTATCTTCTACCCTCTTGCTGAAGGAAGCAAACGGATCCAGTCTCTCCTCATACTGGGAGGAGTAGCGCATCACAGTGTCATCACTTCCTCCGGCCTGTAGCAAAGAGAGAAATAAATATTTAGAGTTTAAGGCTCCAACAAATCAACAAGAATGTCGCCTTCCGCTCACGCACTCTTCCAGGGTAGCTTTGCAAGAATTTGATTTTCTCGTAGAGTTTGATGTTGTCTGCTCTCAGGCTGTCCAGTTCACTCTGCAAGGCCTGCATGGTCTGCTGCATGGAGCGATTCTCCTGCAGGGAAAAACAACAAGATTGAGAAATCAGATCTCGCAACAACAACAACAACAGCAACAGTAAAAGCAAAAGCACTGGGATAAGAGGGAGAGTGGCAAGGGTGAAGGTGACTCACAACTTCCAGCTCCTGGTTGCGGGAGCGGAACCTCTCCCTCTGGCTGGAGATGATGGAGAGTAGAGAGTCCATCTGGCCCTGGGGCAGCTCAGGATGGGGGCTCGCACCTGAACCGCCGTATAACACAGACAGAGCAGTTTAAACATTAAAAATGAGTCATCGTGTTATCAGGTTTTTTGCATACAGGAGGGTATATGAAAACAGGTCAATACAAGTTTCAATCGACTGGGAGGATGTCAGTCTAAATCTAGTTAACTCCTTAACTCTCAAATCGGTCCTGATTGTCACTCGTAATGAATAAAGCACTTTAATCCCTCTAATCAGGCTCATTTGCAGTATTTAAACAGACACACCTCCCGCAGAGGCTCAGCTCAGCAGGTTCACCTCAGTTCAATCAAAGAAGTTGTTCCGTCAGCAATCACTTTCACAGTTTTTGTCTGTCGCACTTAGACTTGAGCGCCCCTACTACTGCAGAACAAAGAGTTTTGAACGCTTCGAGACAGGGAGATCAATTTCAGAAGTGAGGAGCCGTGATAAAATGATACTGTTAATTACCTGGACGAGTCTAATCAAGGTGTGCCTAAAATGACAGTTTTCATTTCCTAAGCAGACAGTTTAAATGTCCTTGATAGTTTTAATCAGCATGTGGTCTGTAATAACTCTGACAGGACTTCTTTCTTCTTATGAGTAAAATTATTATAAGTTCAGACAGGGCAGACAGTCTGTGTCAGTGCTGGGCTGCTGTCAATCATGGTGAATAGCTGTAACATGTCTATCACTACTTTGGATATAACAGGCCCACTGAGCAATAGGCGGCTATTAGATGTCTAGTTATTTTTTAGACCTAATTTCAACCGTCTAGATTCTGTATATTTTTAGACAGAATTTAGACGTTGCACTTTAACCTGCTATTCGATAAGTATTTATTTCAAAAAGCAACTGTGAGTTGCATAACTGATCTCCAATTACTAAACCAAAATAATTATGATAGCTGTTGAGCAATATACTGGTGGACCTCTGTTAGCTGGCTAGTCTAAACTCGGTCTAAATTTAGACGTCTGAAAACTTTCACTTTTAGACCTGTGGTAGCCTGATTTTAGACCAGTCATCTAGACTACATTTAGACGTCTATTAGACCAAAAAATGCTCAGTGGGAGGAATGCTGGAAACTGATTTTTGACTCGAGCAACATACCAGCAAACATCGCAGTAGCTTCTTTGATCGGCTCTGGGATGTTCTCCATGTTAGTGACCTCTGACCCCTCTGCGTCCGGGCGGGGCAGGGAGGACATGGCCTGAATGGTGCTCAGATCATGCTCCAGCTTCAGGATGAGCTCCTTCTGCTCAGCGCTGGTCCTCACTGCAGCTGAGAACTCCACCTGCAGGTCTGCATAGCGGCCTGTCAAGAGCAGAATAAAAACTGCAGATTAAAAACAAAGGTCATCATTTGTCTCTGGGTTTTATTTATGGATCTGAAGTAACTCACCTGTGCAAGCAGAGGCAGTCCACAAAATATTCCCCCTACTTTCTGAATCTGTCCTGGCTTTCTACCTCGTCTCTTTCTCTGAGAATACTTTTCCCAACACTCATGTGTTCAACATTCCCGACAAAAGAACAAAAAACTACCAAGGCACAATTTTAGTATTTGTATAAAAGAGATTTACTTCAATTATCACACCTAGGGTGCATGTGAATAATAATGATGATGAATCAAATGTCAATCATAACAAATACATTGTGAACGTTTCATACAGTGATATTGCTTTTCAATGTTGTAGAAGGGACTGTTTTACAGTGCTGAGAACAAACAACATGATACGTTTAGTAAATAGAAAGATAAAGAAACGATGATACATGAGGAAAAACGAAAGGGGAGGGACACCCCCAAAGGAGAAAAAAGTATCTTAGGAGTGACAGAAGTGCTTGGGAAACATCTTTCCAAAAAAAAAAAAAGAAAAGAACAAAAATATCTTAACCATCCCTTTACAGTCATGCAGCCTTTTGTACTACAACACACATGTACTCACACACACTCACATTTAAAAAAAGCAGTGGGAGAAGTTATGATAATTATTACTTCCATGTTGTTGATGACAGATTGGAAAACAAAATCATCTAAAAACACTCTGTATTCGCTAAAGCCTCAACAAGCATCTTAAAGCTTTCCATAGGGGGAGGTGTAGGGGGGGTGAAGCTCTCCCCCCGGGTCATTTGGTTGTCAGACTACACTGTGGTTTAAGCTATGGGTGAACTGAAGCGACGACACAAAGGTAGCAACATTCAGAAAATCTGTCAGCAACCTTTCGACAGAGGTGGAGAGCTATTTCACTATTTGGCTTTTTGCTTCCTCTTTTTTTTTCTTTTTTTTTTTTTTTTTAAGTCTTGCGAGCGTTCGCTGAAATGTTTTTTTTTTATTGATCCAGAGCTGATCTCTGGGTGTTAAAAGTGTATGGATTAGCACATGAAGAGGAAATGGTTTAAGACTTAAAAGTTAGCAGGAGCCAATGTGAGAGGTGAGCGAAAAGACACACAAAAAAAGCACGCAAGTAAAAGTGAGAGGAGGGAATGGGGGGAGTTAAAAGGATGAGTGTATTGTGCTGTATTATGTGTGTATGTATTACTGAGTGTGCTATGCATACAGCACCACTGATTCGGAAAGTGTTTCCGTACAAAAACCCACTTCATAAGATATATTCTAAAAGTATTACAAAAAACATCTGAGGTTTTTCTTTCTTTCTTTTGTTTTTTTTTTTTTTTTCCTGAATATGGTGACCAGTGCTGCTGTTCGGGCTTCCATTACAACTAATATGTCAAATGAATAACCACTATTTCAACAGATCATACAGTAAAGCTTTACAACTTCAGAAAACATGATATGATATACAGCATCTGTTACACCTTTACAATGTTATTCAACAGTGTATAGAATCATCTGATTTAAATTTGTAGAAAAATATCTGTGGATCATGGAAAAGTCCTGAATCGTCCCTTCTCTCCTCCTGCCTTCAAAATAAAAGCATACTGTGACAATAGTGAGTCAATAGCTACTTGATCGACTGTATTTACACGTCTCTTTTCCCAAATAACCATTAGAATTGGCACACGTCATTATCAATACCTGTAGTGCCGTTATTAATGTCACAGCAAACCTGACACAAACAGAAAAATACAAAATGCCCTATGAAGAAATTCAGTGTTATTACAGTGTACGCTGTTTCTGCATGCTTCCTCCTTCATTCAATGCTCTGGCCTTTCGCTGCTAGTTATGTACAACGGAAGAAATGCATTGTGGGAAAACAAATGTCTAAAAAAAAAACAAATAAAAGAGAGAGAGACCTGGACAGGAAAATGTGTCTGCAGGCCAGTCATGAAAATACACGAGTTCCATTTTTCTTCTTTCAAAGTTCCTTTTTTTCCGTTTTCACTGCACTCCAGCAAATATATGCAACCCTCTGCAGAGAGCTGAGACTTTTAAGTACCAATATGAAGTGTGTGAGAAATTAACTTGGATCAAGGTGTGGGATACATTATGAACAAATCAGGTGAAATCGTCTACAGCTAATGACATCACTAGTTTGGTGCCCTGCTTGGCAGTTAAAGGCACAAATCTGATGATCTCACACGGTTTGGGAAGGTTGATGGATCTGACTATAAAACGGGTAACGGGTTAAGTGCTTATACTCTACAGTAGCTATTCATCACCATGAAACATACTGTGGTAGTCCAGTCTGAGCAGTCCCACAGAAGGCTATAAGCCTTCAGTATTTGCAGAAGACAGATGTTTCACATCAGTAATCCACAGGAAGCCATTGTTTGTGTTTTACAATTATTCGTTCCATTAGAAAATCCAATTTTAGCTAATGCATCTTAATGCAGTACGATGGAGTGATCAGTTTCTCCAGGCTGCATGTACAATCAAGGAGAGGGGGGGCTTTGGGATACAACTCTAGAGATTCTGGATAGAAACCAAAACAGGTGTTTACTTATGATATCTACAACTGTACAAGACAAAGGTAAGTTCTGTCACACAGTTATGTGCAGTCTGAATAAAGGGGCTGCTGTATCACAATACAGTTTCTCACGTAGAAATCAAGGGTATAGCATACTTTTGTTTTATTTTTTAGTGTTAGGGTGCGGATGAGAGTCTGTGCTTGGTTCACAACCACTTTTTAAAAAAGGCATACATTTCCCAGGACCCTGGGATCGTACTCTGTTGTAGTGTTACAGACCCTGTCCGAGGTACGTCTTCAAAAACGATCCTAATAAGTGCTTTGTCACGGACTGCAATAGAAATTCTGCATAATCATAGGCTGGCTTTCTGTTCAATGTGGCGTAGCTCACCTGCTCGCTGGTACACTTCTCTAATCTCAATTTGGCAGATATGACCTCTTTCAAGTTTAACATGTGATCTCATGTTTAGGTAATTTCACTTGACCTTTTTGACAAAGTGTATAAACTTGGACCTGTTAATGACGTGATTAACCAGTGGGCGAACTCTATCTAAAAGAAGCTGCGTGCCCTGTCGAGCGTTAGTGTTGGGCTTGCCCGAGAATAAATCATTATTGGAGAATAGAAAACAGAAAAAGAGATATGCTAGAATATAGTCACTGATCATGATATGTCCTCTGATTCTCTAGCTAGCAATTTAAGAGCATAACTGTTGTGGTAAAAGCTTAATGCTTACGGGAGCATGAACTGTAGCAAACACATTTTTCAAAGCTATTGAAATGACACTAAACTTTAGGATTCATGAATATACAAACAAATGAGAACTAGTACATCTTTGTAAATATTAACCAATACTGCCGGCAGTCTATACGTCTAATAAAAATGTTACTTGCCCTCAGGAACAGTATAATCCCTTAAAAAATAGACAACTCAAATGATAAGACATTAAATGAAAAATACAGCACCTATAAATAAGCAGAATAAAAACCAAACTATAAATGCAAAATAGCAATAAAACCAAGCTACAGTAAATCATAGTATTACACTACTTTGTGAGAAGATTAATGTAATGGTAACGCATCAAACAGCTTAAAGAAGGGTGTCAGTTGTGCACTAGTAGTGTGTGCAAGTAGATACGAGATATGACCCCACTCATTGGAAACACTGAACACTCCTCAATCTCACACACACGCGCGCACACACACACTCACGAACTTGTGCACACGCATGTATTGACAGGCGTGTGTGTACATGCATCCACGCTGACACACACACACACGCACACAAAGGGGAGGCAGTAGGCTGACAGGCACTGAGGGCTTGTGTGGGACAGAGAGGAGGTGATATGCCTTAGAATTTGTAGTGTTTACAGTAGAATTCAATGCAAAAAGACTTACATCCCTGGATACAGGAGAGACTGGAGGAGAGTGGTAACTACTCACACCAGGGTTGGGGTGAATTCACTTTGACAGCAACCAACAGAAAGTACAGATTAACAAGAGCTGTACATTGCAAGTATTTTTTTTTTTTTCAGTCAGAAATGTCATTATTGAAAATCCGCTTCTTAAACTGGAGTGAATTGACCTCGACCCTGACTTAAATGCAGGCAAATACAAAGACACACAGAACGCGCACACATCGACGCACTAACGCACACACTCTTCCTGAATTGGCCTATAAAAAGACGTGTTTGTGAACAGAGAAAATTTGTTGGTGGTGCAAGCACACGCACGCACACATACACATACACGCACACGCACACACACACACACACACACACACGCCCAGCAGGTCCAGTGCTGGGGAAAAGCTGTGACGTTCACAACCTAAAAACAACGAGACACATTAAGTATCACCATGTCAGACAGCTACAGTACTACGTGAAATCATCGTATCGTATTTCAACAATGCAACAGTTTTCCGTTCTAATTCGTTTTTCTTTTTTAAAAACAGTAACTTATTTTTCTTTTCTGCTCTTAGTTTTTACTAATTAAAAATGATTCCTAAAATTCCCTATTTTGTACTCTTTAGAGTCAATAGACTGTGCAATCTCTTATTGGCAACCAAATTGCAATATGAAAAAAAGAGATCATCCTTCATCCTTAAAAGAAGGGTTTAAGGAGGCAAAGAGAGGGTTCCTTCCTTCCTTCCTCTTCAGATGAGTGCGTGTGTTTGTAAGGAATTAAGAGATCCTTCTGGCCATCACATGGCTGTCAGCAGGATAGGATATGGGACACAACAGGTCAAAGTTCATCTTTCTTACATCAGTAACCATGGCAGCTCAGCCGGCAGGCCTTCCACTACCCTCTTAAGAGTGTAGGAGTGAGATAAAAAAGAAAACATGCTGCCATTGAGAAGAGAACACACACACGCGCGCACACACACCAGTTTCGGGTGTGCATACACACGCAGACAGGTGCACACTGACACAACCCCTAACATACAAACATACGCATATACACACACGCAGTGAGTGAAAAAGGCAAAGGGTTTGTAACAGTCACTCTACAGTGTGAAAAATGAGGCGTCTCACTGAGTGAGGGGAGGTCTGTGGACACTTGGGAGGTGAGAAGAAGAGCGGAAAAAATCTCCTTTAAGAAAGTGAGAGTTCTTGTAAGAGAGTTCCTGTCTCTATCTATCATCTATCAGTGTCTATCACTGTGACAGCTGCTGTGTCAGGCCTTGCCTGTGTTTCTGAGTCCAGGTTTCAAGCCCAGCTGTGGGTCAGACCCCAGCTCAGGACTAACCAGTCTGGTGCACCAGTGGCTGGTGATAGGGGGAGGTACAGCAGGGCCGGAGGCCAGCAGGACGGCTAAGTGCTTTTCTCAGTACAAAAACAAAACTCAGTTTAAAAAAAAGGAGAGACACATAGGTTCTCTTATTTTGTTCTTCTAGGTATTCAGTAAATCTTCTTTTAAGGGTTTTGCCAACCACTCTTTGTTTCTTTCCACTTTTGGGAAAGCTTCTATGTAATAAAAATGGCTGCTGAGCTTGACTTTGGCTGTGTCCACTCTCCAACTGGAACAGAGCAGGAGGGGTCCAAGGTTAGAGGTCGTGAGGTTATGAGACAAGAGGGATGAGGGATGGTCAGGGGGAGCTAGAACTCCCACTCTGAGGGATCCTCTTTGCTGGCAGCCTTCTCCAGCCTGTGGATGATGTTATTCAGATTGGCTGCTTTCTTCTTGCGCAGATTGTTGTCCCTGGGGTTTCTGGCAGGGCCTGAGGGTGGGATGTTTGTACTCGAGGCAGAGCTACTGGGGGACGCCTCTGTGAGGCTAAAAAGCCCCAGTCCACCCTGTCCACAGCTGGAGCCTGGCCCGGCTAAGCCTGAGGTGGTGCAGTCTAGCTGAGCAGGGGAGTTATTAGAGCCCCCTGCCTCAGACTCAGCCTCCATGTCGTGGTCTTTGCATGCTCCTCTGTGATCCTCCAGGCCGAGGCCCAGTCCTTGGCGTGTCTCCACTGTGCCCTCAGATTCTGTCCCATCGCAGCTGTCCCCCTCTCCTGATTTGGACCCTCTAAGGGAAGGGGAGCCCCCATCACTGCCGGGCCCTACCCCTCCAGCTGCCTGGATCTCCTCTATGAAGAGTTCTCGCCGGATGCGTGACCTGGAGGAGACAAACACGTTCAGTCACACTACTCAAACCATGAAGCTGAACATTTTTCCCCCGGGTGCACAGCAAACATTACTGAGCTCAAAACATTGTATGAGTCTACTGATGTCCCTTTGATGATGACAGGGCAGAAACCAGAGATAATAACCAAGGCAGTATCCAATTATCTACCAAAACAAAGTTATTACAAGTCAGCTAAAACCTTTTCTCAAACCACAATTATGAAGAAAAAGAAGGGACAGCACCAGTTTCCATCAAATATAACTATGAGCCAAAGATTTATGCTGTTCTTCATTAACTTAATCCATGTTACAGTGAGTCTCTTCTTCAAATACTGACCTGTAATTATGAAACCAGTTGATGACAGTACTGGTCTTTAGATTGAGCTGGGAGGCCAGCTCCTCAATGGTTTTGGGGGAGGGGTAGGGCTTCTGCTGGTAGGCCCTCTTCAGAGCCTCCTTCTCCTCTGGGCCTAGAACTACCCTTGGCTTCTTCAGGTGCTGCTGTCCCGGGCTTTGGGAACCCTGGATGTAATCAGGCCCCACTAATCCCGTGTCAACAGAGTGGCTGTCACTTAGGGAGCTGAGCCGCCTCTTCATGTAGGCTAGACGGAGACACAAAAAGAGGGGGAGTCAGTAACACAAGAAACCATCATTTCATGTTCAGCCTCTTTCTTGTAGATAGTTCCTCAAACTCTCTGCTGGTGGAAGATTTCCTGGGGTCTATTGGTCTAATTCGAAATACTATTATCAGCTGATTACACTCAGGATGCAGCTATTACTCGATTATTCAATCTCAGGACAGTTTGCCTAGATTTTAAGGATCATAAAGGAAGCCGAAATAGAGGAAAAATAGCCTTGCTCCTGCTTCAGATCTTTCTACTACAAATACGAATAAAAGTTTGCTGTTGTTTTAATCTAGACAAAAAAGACAACACGAGAATCATCTTTTGAGTTTTGGCTCAAAACCAAACAAAAACAGTTGATTGGTGATGTCGCAATATTAACTTTCTGATCAGTTTTAGGTTATCTGTAATATGACTAAAATGTTTTATGTATGCGTTTCATCCCACAACTGTTTAAAAGTGACATTTTTACATAAAATGTCTGTATTTAGAATCAGCAGTACCACACACATTACTAACTTAAACAGTACCTAACATGGTCCCATTTATCTGTGCTGTAATTAACTTCATTACTGAACAGAGTTTAAGACTTAAAAGATTTGGGTTGTTAGATTTAAGCTGGTTATAGTGGGTGTGCCAAGTTGAGCAGAAAGATAATGTTCTTTGTTAACTATTATACATTACAAATCATTACCCTGTCATTCTCCTTAACATCCACTAGATGGTGCTACTGTCTTTCTCAGGGATTCCAACAATACGGACAGCTCTTCCATTTTACAGCAAACTAGCAGCACTGTTCTCTCCAGGCACCAGTGGCTGAAAAATGAACAGCTCATGGCAGCTTTGCATGAGGTTGACATTTTCTCAACCCCAATACACGCTGCCAGATATATTAGTGTTGCTGGGAAAAACCCCTCAGAGCAAGGTTAGAACCACTCTGAAAGTTGTGTGCTGCCTTGCAGGCTTGTACCACCAGGGTGAGGGGTCAAATACGGTTACCCCAGACTAGGTCTGTGTCTTTCCTCTGGGCTCTGCTGTTGGCCAGGACTATTCCCCATTGCTATTTGGATGCATTACTTTGGGGTCAATAATCAAAAACGAAGTTGAACTCCAACTGCCCGGGCCCCAAACGCACTGGTGTAAGGTCAGTTTTGTTTTTCGCCCTTGTGCATGGTTCGCAATATCAGGAGGGTAAACTGATCCTGGATGCTTGTGCCTACTGGCAGATTCAAACATGCGCATCCCATCTCCATAGAGAGAGCTTCAAGTGGGCAGTTAGGGGTCACTGTGAGGCAGCGGCGAGGGCGAGGCCCCTTAGCTTTGCTGATTCTTAAACGCATCATGCAAACAGAAGGGAAGAAAGCATGATGGGAGTGATAGAGCGCGCTGAGGGGGAACAAATGATAAAAATACAAGCTTATAGACACTGGTGATTATTATGATGATGACGATGATGAAGAGGAGTGCTGATGACTGTGAGTAAGCAGGCCCCCGGCAGTCCCCTAGCTGTCACATCTAATACAGTATGTGATGTCTGCGGCCCTGATTGGTACTGACATCACACCAAGATGACTGTGATCTGCACAACATGCTCTTCTGTCCTGCACAAAGGATATTGTGTGTGCAGATGTGCATGTGCAGCTCAAAGGCTGCTGCTCCAATCTTTTTGTGATTGTGTTAATAAAATAAATGCATACTTAAGCAGATAACATGGCGCTTTTTCCTTTTGACTCAGTGTTGATTCTATCTGAAGCCATGCTGTTCTGCATGGGTGTGTGCATGTCTTTGCCGTTAGTGTGATTTCACCACACACCTTTCTTCTCCAGGCGTTTCATGTCCATGAGTTTCTCCACACTGTGTGGGTCCTGGAGCCAGAGCTGCATGCGGACAAAGGGCTCTCTGCCCTTCAAGCTGAGCTTGTGCCAGGGTTTGGGCCTGGCCAGCAGGTCTGAGACAGAACCCTGAGTCAGACCCAGGATAGTCTCCCCAAACAGACGCTGGCCTGGTTAGGCGAGAGGGAGAGGAAATGAAAAAGTCATTTCAGGGAACTGATTCAAAGGCTGAATAATTCATCAAAAAATAAAAGAGGCTGGGGGGAGGGGAAAAAAAGCGACTAAACTGCACAAAAAGCACCTCCCGAGTTTCTTACCAAGGTTGTTATCAGTCAGCACCTCCTTAACCTTCTTGGTAATGGCGTAAGTATCAAGCTCAGGAGACATTGCAACCATTTCCTGGATGCTAAGACCTGAATGACCAGGCAGAGGCAGGGGGGTGCCGGGCTGAGACTCTCCACCCGAGGGGTCCTCAGACAGAGGTTTGAGACTGGAGGACTGTGAACTGAGCGGATCCCCTGCAAGACCGTTGACGGACTCCTCAGCTGAACTGAGAGGGGACTCTGGAGCGGGGCTGCAGCTCGCTGATGTCTTCGGTGTACCTTCTGTGTCGGAAAACGAGACAGGGCGAGACGGATCATACAGGTTAGAAGACATGTTACTGCGTGAGAGAAAAGAGCTTCATCTCCTCTCCCTGCTGCGCTTGGGAGGGACTTCAGTCACACAGCATCAATTAATTTAATTCCTGTTAAACAAACAGCAAAGGTGCTTAAGTTTTCAGTTTGAAGCTTTTTTGGCTTCCCCCTCCTTTTCCTTCATCTCCCTGTCTCTGTCTGTGTAGTACTGCTGTGCAGCTCAGCAGGCTGGAAGAGAGCAGTCATGAGGAGCTGTCAGTGTACATTAGCTGCTGTTTACACCCCCAGAGAGAAAGAGAGACACACACACGCACGCACACGTACACACGCATACGCACACATACGCAGAGCTGCCATCTGGCGCTGCAACACTAACTTGTCTATGACATGACAAACCAGCAGCTTGCTGGCTGACACTGCCACAGCACTGAGGATGGGGGGATGGTGGGAGAAGGAGGGAGGAGGGTAGGGAGGAGGGAGGAGGAGAAGGAGGAGGGTGGGGTGAGTGACAGACTGACAGTAACAACTAGCCACTAGCTCTAATCAGGCTTTCAGAATAATGTTCTAGCCTAAGGAGTCTGGTTGTGTGAATCCACTGTGTGTGTGTGTCTGTATGTGTGTCTGATATGTTTACCTTGGTTGGGGGCTTGCTGGATGTGTGCGTTTTGCCCCTGGTCTCCATTGAGCCACGGCTGCATGCGGAGGTACGGCTCTCGGCTCCTCTGGTTCAACTTGTTCCACGGTTTGTGTCGAGACAGACTGTCACTCAATATTCCCTGAAACACACAGCCAGAAAAAGGCTCAGACATGCAACCGCCGTGGAGTGAAAAACGCAGCAGAAAAACTGAGTGAAGGCAGGAAAAGCACACACACACACACACACTCACACACAGCTTTTTTTCTGCCTCACTCACCTCTTTGGAGTCCTCCAGGTTGTGGTTCTCCTCTCCTGTTTGGCTGCCTATGGCCCTGCGGGGGTCCGTATGCATGTTGCTCCACCACTGCTCCCTCCAGTAACCCACCCCTCCAGAGCTCCCCGAGCGGGTTGAACCCTCTGAGCTGCGACCCAGCCTGAGAGCTCCATCAGTAGACATGTCCATCCCTGAAGAAGCCCGGCTCTCTCGCTTCACGCTGGAGCTGAAGTCCAGGATGGGAGATGGGGACGAGGGTGAGGACAGGAGGGAGCTGGTGGGCTTCTTGAGGGAGAGTGCCAGGGGGTTGTAAGGTGGGAGAGGAGCGGTGAGCGAGGAGCTAAGGAGGTCCCTGTGGGATAGCGATGAACTGGTGGATGAGGAAGAGGATGAAGCTTTGAGTATAGGCTCCAGGGCAGCCTGTTGAGCCTCCATCTCTCGGCGGGCTTGCTCCAGGATGGAGCGGATGGCCTCGTCTGATCCGCTACCCCCTCCGCCTCCTAAACCGCTTCCACCTCCTCCTTTCAGTCCTGTGTACGAGGGTTGGGCATGGGACAAGTCTGTTGAAAGAAGGACAGAAGGGTTCATGGGGGACACTGACTAACACTTTACATCTTAAATGTATCATCTTCAATGCTCCGAGTCCTCTGAGGACGAGTAGGAAAAAACACAAAGACTCACCAGCTTTCTGCACCTGCAGCTCTCTTTTGGCTTGTTCCAGAATGGACTTGATAGCCTCATCTGAACCTGCCTCTGGGGTGCGGACACGGGCGGTAATGTTACCTGAAGGAAGAGGAAGAGGGAATGGGAGGAGATGAAAAATCTTGTCAGATTAAAGGGGCGATAAACAACTAGAGAGCAGGGAAAGAGAACAGTAACAGAGCCTATAAGAACATTGAATAATTACACCATAGCACAGCACAAAGAACAACATTCCCACCACTGAGCTACAAGGCAACTAGCTTAACTGGAGGGATTGTCATACTTTTATTCCTGGTCCCCTTGGAGCCCATGCATGCACATGTGCTACAGGGTTCATACAGTAAATGCTCCCCACAGAATAACAACTAGCAATAAAATCCCTAAATACACATGCTGGCTTTTCCTTGACGCAAGTCGCTGACACTGTGCGGTTACCTTCAAGGCACATGTATATCTGTATTCCTACTTGCAAATTAATAAACCCAAACTCACACATAACATAAGCGCGCACAAACATACACACACACGCACACACACATCAGAGATACAGTTCACCCCATTACAAACATGCCACACGGACAGAACGTGCTAGAATCTCTGTGTGTGAAGGGGACAGACCTGTGTGTGAAGCTGTATTGGAGAAGGCTCTCCGCTTCGGGACATCCTGAAACACTCGGCTAAGCTGGGGCTGGCCTGAGCCCTCTGTTAAAAACAATATACCACACACTATGTTACAGCACGTGTCTGTTTTCTTTCCTTTATTTTACAGCTAGACTACATGGTGCCCTATAATGATCTGCAAATATATGGAATGTGTGGATACTTCCATCCAATGCACATTACAGTACCATAAATGCATTGATCTTTACTGTCTGCGGCCCCACTAAGAATCAAAGCTCTACCTCTCACAGAAATATTAAACCAGTACACAGACTGGCTGGAGGAGGAGAAATTATTTGACAGGTCATTTCAAACTAACTGCACCCCTATTTTTAAAACAGACTGCATGTCCTAGACTTGATTGGTGGACTTTACTCCATTTTTTTGTGCCACCTTCAATCAGAAATGTCCTGATGCGTTAACAAAAGCAGGCCCAGGCTAATCGAATCCACCCGTAGTTAACAGTACCCCTGCCTACCTCCTAGTTCCCCACCGATCAATACTATTGATGTGTGAAAGGTTTCTGTATTGACCACGATAGCTAGGAGAGGCTCTTGGGATCAGTGCGTGACTGGGAACTCACTCAAAACACACAGGTGTGGCACAGGATGGGAGTTAGGAAAAAAAGAGAGAAAAATAAAAAGCTAGTCTGTATTGACAGGCTAATCAATGGCTCTGTGCAGGGCTATATAAACACACATGCAAGACACACACACTCTCACGCACACACAGAAGCCTTAAAGGTACAGGGGCTCACCTCTCTGGCGTCCCTGGATGCTGCGCAGAGCGAGGATGTTCTGCTCGTCGGCGAGGAACTGCCTCATCTTGTGGAAGGGCTCCTTCCCCCGGATGGTTAGCTTGTTCCACGGCTTTGGTCGGGCCAAGATCTCACTGACAGAGCCCTGGGAGAGTCCCAGCACATAGTGGCCAAACACACGCTGACCAATGTTGTGCTTGATCAGCTGCTCTTTAACCTGCCGGGCAATCTCTGCGGTGTCCATATCCTCCCCGTCCAGAATACTTCCTGTGGTGGCATCAGAGTGACTGGGTGACGGGGATGGAGCACTGCCGGCTGTGCTGCTCCCATTGACAGGAGCCATGTCTGGGCTAGCTGGGGGTGGCTGGGGGCTGCTGGCTGCCAGAGGGATAGCAGCAGAGCCAGAGCCAGGGGTGGAAGTAGGAATGGAGCTAAGAGTTGGGGTGAAGGGTGTGAACAGTAGAGCTCCACTGGGGATCCCAGACGACTCCTGCAAGGCTTTGGAGTAGAAGGTCTGCAGCAGCTGCCGCTGTATCAGAGAGTTCAAAGCCATCTTACCCCCCACCAGAGGGAACACGGGAGAGTAGAAGTCCTGGCCAATGCCGGTGGGAGTGAACGGGTGCGCTTCACCGCTGCTGGTGGTGGTGGCAGTGTTGAGGGGATCCGTGTGAGTGCGAGACAGGGGTAGCTGGGAGGATGAAGGGAGAGAGGGAGGAGGAGGAGGGGGAGAGGAAGAGGGGTCGCTGGGTATGGTCTCCTCCTTTGGTTCGGACTCTTCTGTCCCTTTTCGCCTGGCTGACCCTACAAGAAAGGTCAAACACACCATGCATTATGGGGGAGTCAACAAAAAAGGGGTTCCAAAAAGAGAGAGAAAAAAACAAAAGTTATCTTAATCAAGTCTTTTCCAAATTAGTGAACTTTGTTTTCCTTTTTTGCCAACCCCCCCAGACAAAGTGCCCATGCATTTGTGATTTCAACCTTTCTTGTAAGCTACAGCCTGGAAGAAAAAAAGGACAAACAAAACAATTGACACTGTGCCACTTAGGCAGATTAGCTTGGCCCTGGGCTCAGTCGCTCTCTCTCTCTCTCTCTCTCTTTTGCAGGCAGAGTGGAAGTAACCGGACAGGGTAAAAAGATGTCCTCAGAAAGCCAATACACCATGAGAGTCCTCTTCAGTGCCGCCGCTGCTGCAGTGGGTTCCTAAACACTGAATGAATCCATCGCTCATGCAGTATCACAGTCTTAAGTTCATAAGAATACATCCAGGTCAAAATGGAGCAATAACACTCACTTAGAAAAAAAACTTTTTTTTATAGTTGAACAGAAAATAAATGCATGACACCCTGAAACAGAGACTGCAGCTCTGCTGGCTGAGTAAGAACCTCAGTTCACTTCTTTCCTATATAGTTATAATGATCAAGTTTCCACATTCACCAAAACAAACACAAAAATAAAATGTTTTTCCTCAGTCTCGTAACAACTGGAATTCATCTCGATGATAAGCTCTGGAGAAGAAATATTATTCTAATGCATAACCATTGAGACTTAACATGATTGAGTAAGACAGTAAGCTCCCCTTACTGTGAATGTTAATCAATTCAAAGCTATTCAACTATTCAAGCCTAAAGCAATGACATTTCAAACCCATAAACACTGTTGCAGAGGCCAAGAGACCTTATGTAGGGGCCGTAGTATGTTGTCCTCATTTTTGTGTGTTGCAACTTTGTTACTGTTGACCTCCTGCTGGGGTACGCAAAGGCACCAGATATTCTTTTAATTTCGCTGCAAAAAATGTGAGGCTAAACCAATGACATTTCAGAACCGTGGTAAGAGTTTTGCATTTTTCCTGCACATGACTCAAAATTGTAAACACATGAACGCATGAAGAAGTATTCTCAGAGAAAAAGAACAACGCTAGTGTGAGCTACAACTGATCCTTCACCTGAGCTTTAACTAATGCTACACTCTTTCACATTTGCAAGTCCGTGCAGAGATCTTGCAAGGAGTGTTGTTGAACCCAACTGTGACCTATGACCTCACATCTGAAAAAGCAAAAGAAACAAACACTCACCGCTAAGCTCGGTGTTGGCGATGCGCAGAGCAGCGCTCTCAGATTGAAGACTACGGTTTCTCTCCAGCAACAGCACCTCCAGAGGTTTGGAAGAGTCCTGATGAAAGGGGAGGTGGAAAAAATCCAATACAGGCTTAGAGAAAATATCTAGACTCCTACTCCTTGTTTTTTAATGTATTACTTCAGCACAGCTTTATGTGTAAGGTTTGGTGCTTAGCAGTAATTTATTCTTCCTTGACTTTTACCTGCACAGAGTCAGATGTGCCAAACTCCATAGACTTGAGGATACTAAGAAGAGACAAAGAGGGAAAAAAACCTTCATGTCAACCTTAACAAAAGACACTTTTACCATGCAGTGAGTCTGCTCGCTTTTCTATCTCTATTTCTAAAGGACACGGGAAGGATTTTGGGTCACGGAGCAAAACACAAAATGAGGAGCTACAGACAGACAAGCTTCACCTTCACAGGAGCACTGAATTGAATTACACATCTTAAAGAAAGACTTGCAGCTTGTTTAACATTGTTAAAGACATCAGACGCATGCAATAAATAGATCAATGCTGGGAACACAGATACAAAGACACACACTCCTCCTCGCATGCTCCTCACCTCAGCTCCTTCTTCACCTCCTCATAGTCGGCTTGATTCTGCAGTTTCTCCTCTAGTTCCTTTAGATGACAAAGAGATGCAATAACATGAAATAAATGAGTAAATGAAAGGAGTCCTTGGATCTTTGTCATATACTTATTCAGTGTTTTATCTCTAGATGACAGAACAGAGTGAGTGAATGTGTCACTATAGTTACAGGTGGGACCAATTTACACAACAAAGCAAATGCAGAAATAGTCCCATTAGAAAATTAATACCTTAAACCCTTGAAAATATAAATCCTTGGGGAAAAAACTGAAGATGTGGGTTGTTTTCGGTACCTTGAGTGTTGCGGTTTTAGTGCTGAGCTGCTGCTCCAGCTGTGTGATCTGGGAGCTGGTGGTCTCTCGGAGTTTGGTCAGGCTGGCCTGCAGTCTCTGGACATCCTCCACCAGCTGGGCGGTCTCCCTTTCTTTGGCCCTGAGCTCCGCCTCCAAATTTGAGTGGGTCGCCCCCTCCGAAGCCTGTTCCTAAAGGCCAAACAAGACCACACTTTAGTCTGATGAGCAAGATCCTCCTGAACCCATGTTTAGAAAACCTCAAATACAAACTCTTGCTGTCAGATACGTCCAATAATCAATACACTGATCAGTTCATCAGAGTCTGACAGAAGCTGATGTATAAAGATATTGTTTGGATCAATAATAAGCGGGAAGGCAATAACCAATCACAGCAGATACCTTTTTTTTTTTTGCTGAGTCACACACATTCTATAGATCCAATAAATCAATAATACAATCAGCTTTTGTAACCCTGGCAACCTTTCCTCGGTTGTCAATACATAAGACGACAAATCAATGCATTACTGATAAATCCAACGCCTGACCTTTAAATCAGTGACCACAGTGATCAATAAATTGAAGCTTTAATCGACTGATCACTTCTAACATCAAAAGGCAGACTTGATCTTTAGCCGATCAATACCTCTTTGCCATTGGATCAATGACGCAGTGAGTTGTGTTACCGTGTCAGGGTCGGCGGCCTTGGCAGGGCTGCTGATCGGCTGCGACTGGCTGCCCAAGGACAGCTGCTCTCTGAGTGACTCTGCGTCTCTCTGAGCTGCTTCTGCTCGCTGGAAGTAAAAGAGAAAATGTTGAAGGAAAATTACCCGGCAGACTGTGTGAAATTGTCAAACATTATAAATGTCCTCCTCCATCTAATGCTACTTTTTAAGTAGTTTTCTTAGTGCATAAAAGTTCACTCCACTTGTCTAAACTTCCCGCTCGAGAACAAATGAAAACATTCTTAATTTGACAAGATGTATAAAGGAAAGAGAGGGAGAAAATAAACCCTCCTATGGCAGCAACTTTAAGACCTTTAGGGAATCATGTTGTTCGGTTTCATCACCAATTTCTGAGTGATGAAATCATGAAAATAATTATTTAAAAAACTGTCTCCAGGTCAGTGGTTTCCGGCATGTACAATACTTCATACCCTACACTGCACAAGTGCCTGGTAAGTGGCATTCCAAAATGGCAATCAAATCAGAGGAGTGAAGTTTTCCAACGCGCCATCATCCTCTCCCAGCCAACTGTGCGTCAGTGTCCCTTCCAGCATAAACAAATATAAAATAATACATAACAGGGAAGGGCAGGGAGAATGCAAAGTAAGTGAGGAACTATGGCCGAGGGTGAATTTTTCGTTAATTGAAAATATCACATTAGTCCTGAGAATTGAGATGATACCCGCTGCCTCGTATTCATAGCGAAACTGCCAAGCTCCAGCAGGGACTCATCTGCAATGCTGGCCAGCTTGCCATCATTAGGAGTTACAGGGAGCCGATTCCACAGTGTTTCTAATTGCAACCACATTGAGAGCTGTTATTGACTGGGTGGGAGTTGGACTGTTAGTTGCAAAAGAAAAATCCTGTTTTCCATTTTCTCCTTATAAAAGCTTATAAAAAAAGTCTGTGACTGAGCTGGAGGCCATGCTGTCATCCACTGTAAACCTCAAATCAGAAGTGTGAATAGTGTGTGTGTGTGGCATTATAGTCAGAGTGCTAACCTTTAGGCTAATATTAACATTACATGCCTATGCTACCCCTTTAGCCACAAATCATACTCTTAGGCTAATAATGAAAGTTAACAACAATGACATTAACAGATACCACAGGAATATTTACAACACGGGGGCAGAGGGCGTGCTGGGGGGCGCATTTTATTTAGCTGGATGGGTTGAGTAGGTGTGTTGTAAACGTTCAAAACAAACAGCAGCTCCAACACTTGAAAACAAATCATTTGTTAACATTGACTGCTTTTCACAGATGCCTAGAGTTAAAACTATTTGTATTTTAAAAACATTATGGTGCTCTGTATAAGTAGTTTATCCACAACCCCAGTCCCACAGGAGTCAGTGTGTAAATGTTTGCAAATCATTCAAAGCCTATATCCAATTAGAAATAAGGCAAAGGAAACAAATCGTTATCAACACTGTAAACGACTTTGTTTTAAGAAAAATATATGCTCATGACAGTTGGGACAAGTGCATGTTGACCATTGTGTTGCGTCACATCTTCTTTTAATGACACTGTAAATATTTGGAAACTGAGCAGGTTTGAGGATTCCTTTGTTGTAATGTTTGTCTTGACACTTCAAATTTTTCAGCAGGTAAGAAGACAGAGCAGGCAGGTCGGTGTGGCTACTGGAGTCTTCTACAAACTGTGTTTTTGGCATCTTCTTGTTGTGGTAGTATGTCAGGCCTACATGGAAAAGGCTTTGTCTGGATCGCAGCATATGTTGCCTCAAAACCTGAGTGCATTATTCAGCATTAACGGTGCCTTTCCAGATGTGTATGGGGATACATAAGTGCAACAGTCATTCATGCATCCCCTTACCATCAAGGATGCTGGCTTTTTGAACTACACACTTGAACAAAACTGGGTGGTCACCCTCCTTTTAGAAACCGAGTCTGTGGTGTCCATGGTTTCCAAAATGAATATTAAACTTTGATATGTCAGACCACAGGGAAGTTTCCACTTCACCTCAGACCATCTTTAGTGGACCTCGTCCCAGAGCAATTGCTGACATTTCTAGATCATGCTTAAATAAGGTTTCCTTATTGCATGGCACAGTTTTACCTTCATTTCTGGATTCGGCAACAAACTGTCTACAAGCAAAGGTTTTTAGATGTTTAATTGAGCCCATGGAGTAATTTCCACTGCAGAGTCATGTCTGTCCGTCTGCAATCGGTTTTCAATCTTGTTTTTTTTTTTGGCAGAGATTTCTTCTGGTTCTTTGTGTCTTTTATGATGAAATCCTCTAATGTGTTTCCATTTTATGCTCAGGTACATTTTCGACTGGCTGAATTGTTTCCTGAGTGACCCATCATTTCAGCATTCAATTTGTTGTTTTTGCTGCACTTTCAATTAAACATACACTTAATGGGATTTTGGAAACTTCAAATTTTGTTTGTATCAACATTTTGCTGTGTCCAAACTCCGACTGAATCAGAGTTGAATTAATTCTTTTTTGGGGGCCAGACTCACCCTACAGGAGTTTTTTAAATCAATTCAAAACTTGAGTGTTTGTATTATGGAAGACTTAAGGCATTTTCTTCTTTAATGTAAATTTTGAGTAAAAAAGATTATCGCAGGCTACTTGATATAATTAACATTATAAATCGTGCTACATGGAGCAATGCACAATCTCAGCGTATCCCACCTGATCCCATCTGACCAAATTCAGGGTAAGATGCAAACAAGACCAAGAGTGGCCATCAATGGATCAGAAAATTATGGGCAGAAACAGATCGTTTGGTCTCCAGAAAAAGCTGGGGATGTGTTTTCAATTCAGTTTTCATATTACTTAACCCTAGTGTGCCAACAAACACTAAAAAACATCAGTACTGATGTCTTCTTTTCCACTACTGCTCATAAAGTACTGTCATAACCACCCAGAGTTCATATTCTAAATACTAAATGTGCTAAAAATAAGCAGAGTGGCCCTGCAAATTTTGAGGCAGTCCTTCCTAACTGGATCAAAAATCCTCTGAACGCTGGTATCAGTGAGGGTCCCTGATCAAATTTCTTCTTCATTTGTGCAGGTGTGAATCGGGGTAAACTGGTCTAAGACTCCTGCAGTATCAAGCTGGCTAAGCTTTTAGTATCTTTTTTTTTTTCAGTTGAAGAAGTAAATATAATAGAACAAATATTAATATATGAATAATATATCTAGAGGGTTACAGATTTTCAAAGAGATGTGCCAAAAAAACAACCACCATAACTTTAAACATTTGTTCCTTTACCAGGAGTAAATAAAACATTTCTTTGGGACTATTTTCAGCTGCGGATTAGCTCACATAGGTGCTCTAGTAATTATTTAAGGCTCTGGGACAGGTTGTGTCGGGATAAGATCAAAATAACCGAAGAGCCTACAGTCAATCAAATCCCTTTTAAAGAACATTTTTTTGAATGAGAGAAAAATATGAAGACCATTAAATCGAGTCCTTTAAATCTAATTAACTCGCATCAATTATTATTTATCCTGTTAATCGATTTATTTTATTGATCCAGTCAAAGCATTCAACTGTTCCCTCTGTATTCTATCCATAAAACATGTAGCGTCTAGTCTCTGACAGACAGCGTGGCAGTTAAAAAATAAACAAAATGTGCAGGCATTACCTGATTTGCCCTTTCGAGGTCAGTCATCACCATCTCGATCTCATCAGCCCTGAGAAAGACATTTACTGTTAGAGCAGAGTATGGGACAGTGCTTTTAAAAAGACTCACTGAAATCCAGCACATGAACAAAAACAAGTGATGGATGAATAAACATGGATGAATAAACACTCGGCGCACTTCACGTGCGTGTGTGTGATTGTTCAGAGAGAACACATTTAGAAAATGCCGGTGTCGTGTCCATTAAGCTACTGTCTAAATTTCACCTTAATCCATTGATTGTGAACTCTATAACCCAAACAGCTTGTATGCGTGCATGCATACATGTATTTAAGCGTGTGTCTGTGTGTGTGCGTGTCTATGTGTGTGGGTGCGCACATGTAAGCCCCTAAAACCCGGGCCACACTAAAACAGAGGGATTACATTAATAGAGCTCTAAGTCCTAATACAGCAGACTAATCTGCTATGAAGCTGTATGATTGTGTCTGACTAATGGTCTGGATGGAGGCCATGGTTCACCTCTCACTTGCTGGAGGTCAGACAGCAGGAATACATCCCCATAATACCACATATTATTGGTCTTTGGAAAAATAGTTGAATAACCCGCTTTGATAAGTGCCATCAACACCTGACACTTTTCTGCCAACACAGACCGAGATTTGAAGAAAACTTTGGCAACAACAAACAAGAAAAAAACACATGAAATGTACTTTTGAGGCATTAAATTATGTTAAACACCATGCCGTCAGAATTACATATAATGTGATTACCTTCTCTGTTAATTAGTTGTCAGCATGTGTGTGTTTGTTCTCGCCCTGGGATGTATTTTGAGTACATTTCACCGCAGGAGGAACTCGCAAAAAACAAACGCATGAAAAGTCAAACAATGCTGTGCAGCATTTGCATGCGTGTTTATTCAAGACTTGCTGATAAGGATACAGGGGCTGCATTGAATGCAAAGATGCATGCGAACGGCTGTGTCCATTAGGACCTTTTGATGTCACTACAGCCCTTTGATGGTGAACCTAATAACCCACGCAGCTTTTGTATTTGTGTGTCGCAGTATGAGAAACAGCGTTATGTCCCATAGGCTTGAGTACTACTGATTTGAATGTGTTTAACAAAACAGACACAGTTGATATTAGGTCAACATTGTGCCACGGGCAATGCAGCAAAAAGAATCAGATGTGGGTGGGAGAGCTTTTCACTCGCTGCTTTTTATTCTTTCCCGAACAGTTAAAAGGATCTAGTATGCATTTAAGCGACATAATAGTACGCTACCTCACCAGCTTTTATCCTGTCTTAAGCTATAGTGTGCAAGGCCCACGTGTGCACTCAGTTGCTCTCCCATACACACACACACAAATGTTAAGGTCAGCGAGCCAACAAGCCAGAAAAGCTTGTAATGGAGAGCGTTTATGGGTAGTAATGCAACCCAAATACACCACGGCTCCCGCTCCAAATGTGATCATTTAATCAAAGTACAGATGCACAAAGTCTTCTTAAATAACCTTTGGATTTGGCTGTATTTGGGAATTATAAAGGCAAAGCTAGGGGCTGAGGGCCAAATCAGATCACAGGGAAGGGATTTTCGGCATATCCTGATACAGTCAGTCAGTCACTGGGCAGGGCAGGAGCTGTCCATAGCGGCTGAATGCACACTGAGGAATTAATTCATCAAACACTGAATGGTAAAAAGGGGGGCCCGGGTAATCATAATAATCCTGGATATGTGCCCCTAAAATGTATTTATCAGGCTCCGAACAACAGCCACAGGGAGGAGCTATAGAGTAGATGCACTTGAAGTTTCTACATGCACAAAAACAAGACGCACACATACACACACACTCTCTTTTGTACCATGAAAGCCATCGGGTGCAGCCAGTGACATCAGTGAGTACTGTAGGACTTCTGAAACAAGCCCAGAGCCTCTAAGCCCCTACTGTACTTCCTCCATCTCAGACAGGCCTTTTCATCTCTTATCATCTTCTCTCTCTCTCTCACTCCTCACTCAACCGATCCTTTTCTTTTCCACCCTCTATCCTTTTCCCCCTTCTCGTTGCCCTCCACTTTTTCTTCTTTCATCTTATTCTTCCCCCTTCTACCTCCCCTCTCTCATCTTTTGCCCTCTCTTCCTCGGCCCTCTGTCCTCAGTGCCAGCAGGATATTCCCCTGATTTAGATTTTCATTTCCCTCCTCTATCACACTCTTATCCCCTTCTTCCTTGCCGTAGCCCTCAGCCCGGCTCGCTTTTTGCCCTCTAGCTTTCATCACTCCATTCCTTTTCTTTCCTTGGCTTTCTCCACATTGCGTTTTTCACAGCGTGTTACCTTGGGGATTTCAAGGAGGCTTAAAAAGAAGCTAGCTGTTAAAGTGTGTCTGTGTGTGTACAGTGTGCGCCATTTTGTGTGTGTGTGAGCTTGAGATGGACACAGGAAAAGCCTATTGACTTCTGGCTAATTACCAGTAATTAAATGCTTTCCCCAAAATGCTATCAAGCCTTTATGCAGAGATAAAACTAGGCAGAAACATACTGAAGAGCACATGCACAGACATACACACGCAGCATCCTGTGGGGCCTGGGATCAATATATCATTAATCTTTAACAGGAACTAAACGGGAAAAATGCGCCCAGCCAGACCCTCACAGCGCCAACACAGAGAGGGGGCTACGCTACATCTGCAGGCCTGCCGCCCGCCGACGCTCACACACACACTCTGGGGCACTGCAACATCGACCAAATTCTCAGGGAGCGTGTGTACGCCCGCTTGTGTGTGCACAAGTGTGTATTTTAAAAGGCAGATTACCCGAATGCAGCAAGAGGATGGGGGATTTGTCACGCAATGTCCTCCTTAGTGGAAACTTTAGAGCGAGTGTGTGTGTGTGTGTTCATTTGTGTGGTTTGTGCAGAGAGAGAGAGCGCCTGATATGTATGGCGTTTGTGTTTTTGCAGTGCCAAAATATATGCAGTCAAAGGGTTAAAAGTTGTGTTCAGCCAAACACTGGCGATTTGCTCAGCCAAGCAGTAAACGGGGGAAGGACTCCAAGGACTGGGAGGGTGCAGGGTTAGAGAGGGTTTGTGTGTGCTTTAAAGCGTTGCATTAAAATTTCAGATCACAGCACGCCACATAGTCAAGGACCCTGACTGCCTCAGGCTCATGAGTGAGTGTGCGTATTTGTATGTGTGAGTGTGTGTATGTGTGTGTGTGTGGATGTGAGCTGGCATGTGTTTATTAGCTTTTGTAAGCAAATGGGGCCTACTATATGTGTCTTTTCAAAATGTGTTTTCATCTGACATAAAAGGAACAGACAAGGACAGAAAAAAGAAGAAGGAAGTGTAAAAAGAAGAGATAAAGAAGAAGAACAGGGTAACATGGTCATGAGGAACCAAAGAGGCGGAGCATCCGATAGACAATAAAACCTATTGATCAGTGCCATTACACTGCATGTTATATCTTCCTGTGGTCTTTCCCTTTACACTCACAAAAGTACAATGTAGGAGACACAAGGCAAAGTGTGGGAGTGAGGGAGGGAGAAACAGGGAAAAAGTATTGTGAGGGAGGGAGAGAGGGAGAGAGATCGATCTGTTTTTAACAGCCAATCAATTTAACAACTCTGTTAATGGAGAGACACGGTGAGTTTGGGGCCTGGTAAATGGGACGGGGGAAAACCTTAAAAGCCAAGTTGATACTTTGTCACACTTTGTGAAGAGGGCACACGCAGGTTGCTGGAAACCATTTTTAGAAGAAAAAATGAAGATGGACTTAATGTTTGAAGGTAAGAGGGGTATGTTTTTGTAGAGCACCTGGTTCAGACAACACAGAGAGCGTTTTTGTCACAGAGTTTTGGAAGTTTCAGGAAGGGTGCCAGCTGAGAGGTTTTGGGTCCCAATACTAAACCCTGAGGGACACCAAGTGAGAATGTCATAAAGTGCCACTTCACAGTGTGGAGTGCTGACATGGAAAAGCTTCTGTTCTCCTCCTCACTACTACTATGAGATCAATACTGATAGATGCCCAGCGCTCAAGGAACTGGAACTACATTATCTACGGGTCCTGATAGTGGCCTGTGTGGTTTCAAGCCAGTGACCCCTTGTGAGCCCCTAGTCCTGAAGTTGGGGAATCAGAGCACTTTAGCTTGGGCTGCTTAAAAAAAAATCTATTTTTGGTGCTTGCTGTAGCAGCAGAATGCATTATAACCGCTGTCAGTATTTACAGTGCGTGGGTAATGCTGGGATTTGGAGGCTGCTGAGCGTTGTGGGAGACAATCCAGCTGTTAGGGAAAGAGGGAGAGAAGGGCGGGGGGGTTTCCAGGCAAGGAGATTCACTACACAGGATGATGTCAGGGACAGACTTTTGAGGAGGCAGAGGGGAGAAGACTCCCCACAAACACAAGCATAGATCAGCAAGAGACATACTTCGCTGTAGATTCCTCATCGTATTTTGTCTTCAAATCAAAGAGCTCGGCCTGAGTTGTTTCAAGTGCTGTAGAAGATGGGAAAAGTCAGTTGTTAGTTTCTCAACAACAACTAAATAAAGTCTCATATCAAAGTATAAACAACCCTGTTTGAAAGGCTTTGAATTTTCCTTAACAGCTCATTATTATGACCAAAGGCTGCTGTGTGATCACACAAATTTCCGATGAAGAAAAATCAGTTATTTTTAAATCCAGAGGTTGCTGTATCTGTACTTTTCATACTAGCTAAACAACAGTGGAGTTTTAAAATTATGTAGCCGAGCCATAGTCAATCTGATCAAATCACACCCACCAAGTCCAGATTAAGTAGATTAAGATTAAGCATACACTAGAGGAGAAATACTTGAAATATTCAGGAGGCTAACTACACCTCACATTTGATACTAAGTCTGAAATTTAATGAAAGCAGGTCAAAATGGTAAGGTCTGTAAGTTGGTACCTGTCTGTAGGGACTGGGCCTTGTGCTCGGCCTCTTCCAACCTTGAGGACATAGAGTCCTGGCTCTCCTGGAGTTTCCTGCAGCAGCAGACAGAAGGCGAGAAAAAGAAAGCGGGGAGGCAGAAAGTCACAGACAGAGATACTGAGTCAGTAAATCTTTGCGTTCACACTTTGTGGCAACTGCAACTTTTCTCTATTTTCCCACCATTTCTGAAGTGTTTTCCCCACTAAAATCCTCCCCAACACAACCCACTCCTCATTAAGCAGCCCTATTAGGCAGGAATGTCTGGCCACTGGGGCACGTTGCACCCGGGGGGAGAGAGAGTGAGAGAGCGAGGCTTGAGTAAGAGAGCAGAGAGAGGAGGAGAAGGAGGGGGGCGACAGAAACCACAAGGATAAAATAGATTCATTCTTAGCATATAAAAAGTTGGGCTCTGCTGAGAAATTGCCACTGCGTGTAAAAACATCAATAATCTAGCACAAAGACGGTCTTTATGGCACTCTTTGATGCCCCCCTTCTCCGCCAATCTGTCTCTCCTGTCATCTCTATTTTTCTGCCCGCTACTTCATCCTTTCATCTTGCTCTCTCCCTCCTTCCCTCACTCCTTGCAGGATAAAATGCATCAGAGGTGCCATCCATTTACTGCCCCTCTCAGACACAGGAAGTCAGCTCTCTGCAGACAGGAAAGGGCCTATAAAACACTGACGTAAAGGAAATACAGTTGGACAATTGATCTCCTGGCGTATGTCTGAAAGGGACGATGAGCTTCGGCACAGCTTAACAACAAACAAAGATGACTGACACATGGGAAAAATGTGTCTTCAATATCAACTTCAAGTGAGCAGCGGACTTTCAAGAAAAAAAAAAAGTCAAAGAGAAAAATTTACACAGTGTAATATGACGGTAGTTGAGTGTAAAAAATAGAGTAGCAGTTTATGGGAGTGCTTTTAGAGAAAAAAATACTTTTGACAAAACTGTAAAGACATCCAGATCACAGTCTGAGAGAATTTGGAAATGTCACAAAAAAAATTTTGTTAACCTGACAAAACTCAACAAAAGTTGCTTACAAATCAGAATTTTGTGTGAAAATAATCAGACTTAACCTGTGAAGAAAACTAAATCACATTTTTCCTATACATTGTTTTTTTTTTTTTCAATTAACGACTACTACGGCCAACACCTTTAGCAATCAGAGTCATCAGCTTATAATAAATGGTAAACAACTTTGTGAGATTTCTCTTCAGCAGTCTTTGATAGTGTTCATATCTGGTTTTAGTCGTCAGAATTGTTTTGTCCATTTATAAATGTCTGGCAGTGATTTTGAGCGTACATATCTGCTTTCACAAGCTTTATGTGATCTGAAAATCAAACCCTTCTAAATGTCCTTACTATTAGTGAAATAAAAAAAATGGAATCAAAATGAGGGACACACCTGTAAATTTTCTGACTCTTGTGGTGGGCTGTATTTATTTCTTAAAATAAAAAAAGTGGGAAATATTTTTATGGTTTGGATGGAAAAGTGAGTCCAAAGTGTTGATTCTCATCAAGACAGAACGACAAGCACCCACATGTAAAAAATGCTGGCATTGTCTTCCATAGAGGTTATTTTCCGTTCATGTGCAAAAAGGGAGGCAATATCAGGGAAGCAATAAGCCATAATTTGTTGATTTCTCTGATAACTATAAGGAAAAGTCAAAGCACCATTAGACAAGAAGAAATTATGTGATATTTTAGTCATGAATAGCTCTGCTAAATAAAGTCAAAAATCACGGACCTATCATTCAAAGATTAGAATCTCAGTAGTTCTGCCTGAGGGCACAATGACCCAGAGGTTGGAAATGGCAGAGTAATACAGAGGTTATTACTCTAAACACAGAACACACACACACACACACACAGTCGTACCTCTCCTTCTCTGCATAGTCATTGTGTAGCTGGAGCTGCTTTTCTTGGGCCAGGTTCTCGGCCTGATTCTTCAGAGACTGCTCGTACTCGCGGATTTTTTCCTTCAAGGCCTTTATGGTCACCTCTGGAGGGGGTAAAAGCAGAAATTCGGGATGTCAGGAGAAAGGGAAGGAAGAGTTAAAATATGGGCAACATGCAAAACACACAGAAAACAGACTGTAGCAGTTTCCTCGGTGTGATAAATGACAGTGTTGACGATTCGCTTCTTGAAGGAGGGGGCTTGACCTTTGCTTAAGGAACAGCATTTCATATCCCGCATTCTTCCTCTGTCAGCACAGACGGAGGCCTCGGCCCCTATGGCTCCTGCCTAATCTTTACATCCTCAACCGGTATAGAATATTCACTGTTCACTAACAGTAGATATGCTGTATTCATTAGGACTGCATTAGTACTGAAACCCCATAACCTGCTGACGGCTGAGCTCTGTATGGGGCGGCCTGAAATAAATCTAACACATAACTGGGGTAATAAATAGGCCTCCATGTGTGTGTGCGTGAGTGTGTTTCTCAGAGAAAGATATAAGTGAGTGAGACAATGATAAAGAGCATTGCTGCCTTTGACTGAGGGCTCTTAGCACTTTGTGTATGTGTGTGTGTGTTTGTGTGCGCGTGAGTGTGTGTGTGTGTGATTTAAACTCCAGTCTCACTGCTCTGACACATAATCAATAGAGGAGAGTCCCCTCAGAGCCCTCTTACCCCTTAACTGCTTAACTGAACTTTAAACATTTAGGTTGTGGGGATCAATGGCCCCTGCACTCTCTCTACTTGTGTGTGCGCGCGCGTGTGCAAGCGTGCGGGTGGGTCCGTGAGTGCGTGTTTAACAGGAGAGGGAGTTCCACTGTGTGTTTTGGGGTTTAAATATCCCCCATCTATTGAGGCGGGAAGGAGGGATAAAGGATGAGGGAACAGGAAAATCAATGGCAGAATGGAACCCTGCCGCTATCGAGCTGTTCCAATTAACTCTCGCTGAGGAAAGGGGGGATTCCAAAACATTCCCCGCTCACCCTCCTGCTCCTCCTTTTTTTTTCGGCTGAAATTACACCACTTTTATTACTGCTTCTCACTCATCCTACTGCCTTTGTCAGTTTTTCCATCTCTCTTTACCCTGAGGTAGCCTGTCGTTTTTTATTCATGAAAGTCTGCCTCGTGTTTCTCCCTGAAAATCCTATTTGAAAATGTAAAATCTTGTACATTTTTTTGCGTCTCTTAAACATTTATGAGGCATTGAAATATGTTCAAATAAGGGCATCTTCCTTTGAAAATGGGCTTCCTTATGACCTTACACTCGCACTTTAAAGTTGTTACAAATGATTAACATGTAGTCCTAATGATGAGGTTCTCCTGGGCGTAGTAATGCCTTTTGATCAGTAAATAATGACTTTTTTTCTTTGTTCAAACAAAAGTGAGTTTAGGGCTATAACAATCGCCCAAATAATTTAACTAACTCGATTATAAAAAAGCCTTGAGGCAAATAAATTGTGTAGAGCCCAGTTGAAATCCAGACTATACAGCAGACTGTTTGGTTACTGAGGCTGGCACTCTGGCAATTGAACAAGTATTAGACTGAAATTCTGAATAGCCTTGCATGTTTTTATCTACCAGCAGTAAAACAACAACAGTAACCCAAAATACTTAATTTATATTTCTCAGGAAATTAATTAAATTCATTTTGAGAGACATCGTGTCAGGGCCAACCTGCTGCTCTGAGACTGACTGCACTGCTCTCAGTGTTTCAAGACAAGTCGCTCTGCAAAGTTGTCCAAACATGTCACTGTATTTTTATTTGTTGTATACTGTAAGTACAGTGTGAGTCACTGAAAGAAAATATTTATTTTCAATGTTATCTTCTGTGTTTATTCCATGTTTAAATCCAGCATGGACAGCAGAGTTCTCCCTGTCTCCCAGCATGGTGAAAATTTTCTTCAAACTTCATCCTGATCAATTTGAAAAAGAAGATTAACAACAATCGACGCTGTGCACGCATGGTGCGTCGAAGTCACGCATATTAAGCTCTGACTGACCCTTAATCCTCCTCCTACCAGCACTGGAGTCGCCCTTTAGAGTCTTTCTGGGAAAGAATTTGAAGTTTGGTTGAGTTTCTTTTTATTCATTAAAAATCAGCAGAGAAATGTCTTTCTTGCAGCTTTTGTTGCATGAACTTGACAGCCTGACAGCAGGTAGATATACAAGGGCGTGTCCAGACAGGGGTGCCATAATGAAGCACTGGCATAAATAGGTGGCCAGGGTATCTGTGCAAACACAGACTGTTTACCCACTCTGTCTTCACTGTCTACTTAAACAGCTATCATCAAAGTGCCGCACAGATGTGATATTCAAGTGTTAGATTCTAGTATATTAATGCATTGTAATTACATGAACATTGACTATTCTAATGGCTCTTTTCCCACACATCAACCCCCTACCTATTTCCTGCTCTATCCAGTTTCCTATCTTGTCTGAAGAAATAGCCCAAAAATATGACCTAAAAAAAAGAAAATCACACCGAATATCATGTCCCTCACTTTCTTCCAAGCCACCCCATCTTTATACCTGGATCGTCTGTGGTTAAAGATTGTTTTAAAAGTGAGTGACAGGATATGATTCTGAACTGCCATCAAAATTCGGTGAATAAATCATACTTTTAATTATCTTTTGCCTTCTTATAAAGCGTGGTCGTTTATTGTGCTTAAGTGTTTTACCAAGAAGATATCACCCAGAGAGGCAAGCTGAGCAAAGCATTTTGAATACATAGCCAACCTAGTCGCATGAATCATGAATCTAAGGAAAACAGCAGTATACCACTAAGTATAAAAACCTTGCTGATTTGATTCTAATAGCTATTCAAAGTAAGACAACAGGTGACCAGCAGAGCGGTGTTGCTAGTCTCAGTAAACTGGTCACATAAAATAAGCACCCTCATTCCCTTTCAGCAATAGTGGGGGCTGTGTTTAACCACAGTACTGGTAAACAGCAAGGTGGTATTAATAGATGGTACAAGAAAAACGCAGAACATCCATATAAAAACTATGGACCGTTGAAGCTAAAGTCTTTAACCTTTCTTCTGCCGCGAGTTTCCCCCAGAAGTAGACTGTCTTATATGGTGGTAAGAAGTTTGGATTATATCCTAGATTTAACAGTATGTGTTAACAATTTTTTCATACAGGATTATGTGTGATTAATAGAGCGGCCTACATCCATGCCAGTCTCAAAGTGACTCCTTCAGTGTGTTGCTCAGTGTGTATCTATGTCTCTAACCTTGGTTTTTGACCTCTGCAAACTCTTTGTTGTAGTCCTCCAGTGTCTCTCGAAGTTTGCTGTTCTCTGTCTCAATGTCGTGCATCCTCTGGAGCTTCAGCTGCAGCTGCTGAGCCAGCTCCAGCACAGGTACAGGATCTGGCAGAGACAAAACATACCACATTAACACACCGTAAAGCAGATTACACAAACAAGGGCAGAGAGGTGTGCGACATGAGCTAGGAATAACTACATTCAAGGCCCCTGTGAGAGCCAGTGCGCGCCCTGGTGAAGTGTCCTCGAGCAAGGCAATGAATCTCCAACAGCACCAGGAGGACTGTTCTGAGGCTGACCCTGACTTTTGATCTCCCTCTGTGGAGCGTTACAAGAGCCAGCAAGGACCAAAAAACCACAATTACAAAGACTGTTATAATAAGGTGACAGCTTTAGGTCTGAGCTTGACAGCTTTTGCATCTGTTTGCTTCTTCTCCTTAGAAGCGTTCAATTAATTAAAATGAACCAGACATGTGTTTTAGAACATGGTCTCGCCTTTAATAATGCCTCCTCATTTGTTATTATCTTGGATAACAACATTTACAGCAAAATATGTCCTGCTATAAACCTTCAAGAGCCAAATAAGACAATCCTGTTGATTATTTTTGGGTTTCATTCCTCTCACATTTGTTAAAAGAGAGCAAAAACACCCGCTACTGTTTATAATGTTCAGTAAATACTTGGTGAATGTTAGATGATTAGAGAAAAAGAACAAAACAGCGAGATTGCTACAGCAGTTTATATCATTAAGAGGTCACAGCGAGTGTTCTTGTTCTTTATCGACAAAACTTTATCCCCAAAAGGTCATAAAATGTACAATATCAGCCAATGGATTGGCAGACTACTGTCCCATTTGGAGATAAATGTTGGATTTTGTTTGTTTTGTTTTTTGCTGACACAGCAAGAGAGATGGTTAAGTGATACACAGACAGACATTAACAACTGAGATTAACTGGGCTGTGATCAGTCCAAGTGTTCACTATGATGCAGCTTGAAAGAAAAAAAAATAAAAGAGGAAAATGGGCGCTGACAGATGGACAAAGTGGAGCGGTGAAAAAACAGGCAAAGCAAAAGGTAAATAAGAGATTAAAGAAACAGAGACAGACGGAAGAAAGAAAACTTTCTGCAGGCATTTTACCAACATCTCTGTGAACACGCGGCAGGGTTAACTGTCAGTGTGATGAAGAGAGCCCTGTCAGTCAGGCCAATCACATCTGATTGGTGCTCATGGGTGGCAGACTGGTGACAGGCAGCCAAGAGACGCGGGCGACGCTCATCAGCATGCCAGCTAAAAGAGCAGTTTGTGTGTGTGTGAGTGTGTTTATGTGTGTGTGTGTGTTGTACAGATAAGAGGAACTGACAGCTTACAGCTGGGGGTAAGGGCTGTGTGTGTATGTGTATGCCTGTGCGTGTACAAGTGTGTGCGCCTCATGTCTGACGCAGTTAGATATCTTAACTATGCTAATGAGAGATCAGCAGAGAACGATTGGGGAATTTCATGCTGATTTTGTGCTGTCAAGGTGACACGCCATGCAGGGCTTAACTCTGACACACACACACATACGCACACATATACCTTGTCACAAACACAGACTCTCATACAAATTCACACAAGTACAAAAACAGGGATGAACGCAGCAAATTCCTTACTTTGGACCGATTTGTGCCTCTACAACTTGAAAAATCTACTTTTTCTCCCCATCAAACCTTTGTCCGTCACACCTCCCTCCCCCAAATATAAAACATACAGCTTGATAAAAGCAGTTTGACTCGTGGGCCACTGGTGCTGAGCACTCTTGCCAGACACCTTTAATCTTAAGCAGAGCACACTGGGCTGACTAACCAGGCCTTCAGCTGATAGAAGACAGAACAAAACACACTGTTTCCTCTTTCAAGACTGCTGCATTAGTCAGGCTGGTCTGTGTCTGTGTGCGTGTGTGCATCAGGCATTACATCATTGTCTCGCTGCAAGTTAAGAATAGCCCCGTCAGAGCTGGCGCTGACTTATTGGGAGCAGTACAATCCAAAGATATTACTGTAGGTCTATCCATGTGGGAATATGATGACCTCCTTACGCTATAGATGAACTCAACTCCTCTCTCATTCCTGTGTACGCAGCTCCTCCAGGGCTCCCATACAGCTGAAAACCTCCAACCAGTGGCTCTGTGACTGTGTGTGTTCTGTTAGCACTTTGCCGAGCGGCGCGTCTCTCTTCGGCCTCGGTGTGTCAAACGTGACTGCTTGTGTTTGCTTCATTGCAACTGATCGTGGGCGCACTGTCATCCATATCAGGACGCACCTTCTGTGAAGACCCTCTAAAGGCTGCACCAGTGGAGACGAGATCTCATGGGGACACATTAAGGCGTTGCGCACGCCTGGATGCGCAGGGAAGGAGCACCAGAGGGATGGTGTCATGCTTTTCCTTTTTCCCCTGTTGGTGCTGTCTGCATGAATAAGGGGGGGGTCTCTTGATCATTTTTCATAGACTCGGGAGGTGTCTTGATGAACACACTAATGCAGACCAACACAAGGATGTACACAGCCAAACCCTGTTTACATTCACACTGTTCTAACATACCCCTGCTGAGCCACACAAGAGTATTCAGTTGAGGCCCATCTTTATTCACACCTGTCCCCATTGTGTAATCCTGGCATATATAGCTGACCCCTAGTGTTCAGATAACCCTACTGCCCACTTTATAGTGGCCTTAGGAGGTGAAACCTGCTTGGGAACACACCTGTCCATCACAAACCACCAGAATAGTTAGCTTCATGGGCTTTTAAAAGATGGGTGGCATAACAGCTCGTCTAAAGTGAAGCCAAAATATGTTGTGCTTAATGCCTTAATGCCTGTGGATTAGTGTAGCCCTCTACCTACACAGAAGTCTACATGGGCAGCCTGATTTACACATCCAACACACATGTAGTCCATGCCACTACGGAATAGCTACAGCACAGTCAGCAGATAAGGCTCTAAGGTGCACTCAGCAATGCTAACTTGCCCCATACCATGCTGAAGCATCATGGTCCTCCCTCCCCTGTTCCCTGCTGCCCTGCTCTCACATCGCTCTATGTCATGGTAGGCCCAGATTTCCATTGTAACTCCCAAGTTTTCATGGGTTTCATCCGACAGACTCTGAATATTTGTCTGCCCAACTTGGGAGTATCCACCCAACCTTTCCTTTACATTAATGTAAACACATCGATTGAATGGTTCAGAAGAGGACCATACCTGTGCCATGCCAAAGCGCACCTCTACCAGCTGTGCCTGGACCCCAGAAATAAACCATGCTTGAGCACAGAACAGGACTTTAGGAGGTGAAACCCACTTGGGTAAAGTATGGACTGCTAAAAGTGAGTCCTCCCTCATAGCTATGCAGCATAGGTCAAAAACTGCAAGTCCACCTTCACAATGTTAACAGATAGGACATTGAAACTTCGAAATAGAAATACACCTCAAAGACAAACATAGTTCCTGACATCATTTTTTTTTTTTTTTACGGAAGGGGGGTGGAAGTTAATGTCATGGCTCTAACAGCCCATCCCTGCTGTGCGAACTCAAGCTCCATATACACCAGATGTCAGTGCCTGTTGTGAGGGGTATTTTGGCAATTTTGTACAACAGGGGTAGGCAAAGACATGTCGTCCATCTTTACATTCAATCATCTAGCCAGACAAAATTGTTCCATTAACGAACATAACAAGGTTAGACTTTTCTAGAGGTTCAAACTGTCAGAAATTAGCAGAACAGAGTGATTACCAAAGAGTACAGGACATAAAACGGAGAATGATTAGAAAAGTTGTGCTTTTTTTTTGTCACTGAAGATTTGTTTGACTTTTGTTAGGGAGCCCTCAGGACATTTTCACTACATAAGATATGTAGTCAAATCTAACACATCTCCACACCACATCTCGAAGTGGTTGTAGTGATAAGATCATAGTGTAGCTTTGAGACCTTACACATTTTAAATAGGATGTGCCCACTACTGATCCCAATACAGATTTAAAGACCAAGTGTGTACAAGGTGACAGACATCAAAGTTGATCTTACCTGGAACATCTATTATTTTTTTGTACACGTTCAAGAAGGCGGCCTCTGCTTCTTTACTTCTCTTGCTCAATGCATCGATCTGAAAGAGGAGAAGAAAAAAAAGGTTAATTACCAGTTGCGTGAACCTCACATACGAGTGCCACATCACATACGGAAAAGCAGGCCCATTAATTTCACAGTAAGACTGGTCTACATATCTGTCTATCCTCACTATGTGTCAGTATGTTGCATGAGATCGGGGTTGTCTTGACAGCGGCTGGGTTGGTGTTTCCTTCCCGTGAAGTCAGTTCAGCTGTTCAGCCGATGACGGATGCGTTTCGTTTGCCGCGTGTGCGTGCGTGTCCGCGTCCGCCTGTCTTCGAGTGTATGTGCCCGAGTCTGTCCGTCAGTCTGTCTGTGTGTGTGTGTGTGTGTGTGTGTGTGTATGTGTGTGTTCGTTTCCCCTCCAGCACGCTGACATCATTAAACAGCTGGCTCAGTCTTTCCAGCCACAGCAGGGGCAGATTATTCAGTCAGCTCTTAGCAGCAATACAGTGTGGATCCATTACTGATGCAGCCATTAACACAAGAGGGCACGGCATGCATTCCATCACTGATATTATTGAAATGGACAGCATTAGAATGGATCCATAAGAGATTAATTCTAAATATCAAACAGCGGGGGGAAATCTTTAACTGTTTTCAATGCTGAAACCTGAGGCGGAAAAGCTCTACAATAGCCTCTGTGTCACACTTCAATATGAGAAGCAGACAGAGTAGGCGAAAACGCATCTGAAATCAAGACTAAATCGAAGGAAACAGATGCCAAATAAAGACATTCAGAGGGTGCTACTGTACTGGGCAGAGCTACAGCTGACTACTCTGGCTCACGCGCTCAGACTAAACAGCTCTGTGTTTCTCTTCCAACTCCTCCAGCGCACTCACTGAGAGAAAGGGAATAAAGACAAAAGCCTGTATAAGTCCAAATATAAAGTCTTCACATTCCCAGCCAAGCCAGTAGTGTAGTTGATGGGTGGTTTAGGGGTTCTTGCCACTGTAAACAGAGCGGGCTACATGTAATACTGCCTGGGCTCCTATGGGAACCTAATAAATCTCTTCACATGGCTTTGATTCATCTCTAGTTTTTTAGCCGCAAAACATCTGGCCCCGCGTAGGCTGGTGCCAGCACCCCTCCCTCTTTTTTCCCCCCTTTTACTTCTCCATGTCTCTCTCTCTCTCTCTCTCTCCCTCTCCCTCTCTCTCTCTCTGTCGAATTCTCCCTCTTGTCACTTCCATGTTTTCTGACTCATTTTTTTTCCTTTCCCCTCGATCTTTTTCAGTGTCAGTCTTCCTCACATGTTTCTCTGTCACACACTCATGTCTGCCTGGCATGCACCGGCCTCCTGTCTTTTTTTTTCCTCTCTTTCTTTTCTCACTCACTCACACATACACACACATTGTCCCAGCGACTATATCTCATTCTCACATCATGCTGCATCATGCACTTTACCCTCTTCATGTGCTGTGTGACATTGAGCGATCAGGATCCTCAAATGCAAGGCCACTAATGGGAGATTACTGATGCTGCAGAGTACTAATACCTCTCACACACCAACACCAAACCTGTTCATCAGTGTCCAAATGTGTGTGTGAGTATCAGAGCATGTGATCTGAGTGGCACAACACAATATCATGAAGAAGAGGAGCTCGTAAAGCGACGCAACGAGAAAAAAGATCTGCCTATAGCGGTGAAGGAAGCCGGCTGTGTGACTGTACAATGACTGGGCCAAGGTCAGTGGTACAGCAGCTTTATATAGCCCAACATGGGAGGCAGGAAATAGACATTTAATGTAGGACACACCCTACAGTTAGAGGCAGGTTAACTGCAGGACCAGAGCCATTAGAAGACCACCCAGGATTTGCAAATACAACCCTGCTGTTCCAAACTGCAGCTCTCTCCACCAATCCCAATGACATCTGCTATTACATGCTCCCCTGCCCCCATCGCACACACACACGCACGAAAAAACCAAAGCAAAACAAATGAAGTGACACAAATGATACCTCACCAGTATCAGTGGGTTACCGATGAGAAGTGCTTGCAATTGCAAAAGGTATCCCTGACACTTCCACGCACACAAACACATACGCACATACGTCAGCACCTCATGCCACCATCACTCAGCACCGCCTCGCTCCCCTATCTAACCCGTAGTGTGTGAAGGGCATCGGGCTGACCTGTGTATGTGCGTGCGTGTGTGCGTGTGTGTGTGGCCCCAGTGGAGTCTGATAAGGGGCGGCTATGGGAAGCAGAGACTGAAGCCTTGGATAATGGAAAAGCTTATCTGATCGATGGACCAACAAGAACACTGAGTATGTAACGTACACACACACACAGACACACACACACATAACCCGTTTACTAAACCCAGGCCTTGTGGAAACAGTACTGTTATTGGTAATAATTACGACCCCAAGGCATCCACCTTTCAATGACGAAGATTAAACAGAGAACCGAGACCTCCAAGTTCCTGGGCTAAAACTTTTTATTGTCCTGTCTTGAGTTCCGCACTCACTTAGTAAAGATTCAAACTCCTGGGTTAAATGTTTAAGGATGAGTTACTGTGAGACTTCCAACAGGAAGACCCTCTGGTTTCTGCTGCTGTCTCGTCCTTGATCAAAGCACCACGGGGGTAAGCAAACAAAGCGAGGCTAAAATTACACATTCTCAGAGCTGCTCATGTTGTGGCACGCAAGCATGCAGAATAGTCGACTGATTGATGGGCTGCTCTAAGACTGGCGCGGGTGTACAGTATTATCTCAATAATCATAAGATAATGTCTTTCTCAGTTCCGCGACCACCCACTACGAGCCTCGGCGTGTTCTGGTGTGCACGCCGAGCGAGGTGTGTCAACACGAGGATGGTGGAAACAGCTGACAAAGCCCCAATTATATTGCTGCCGTTTCTATTCTCTAAATAGACTGTGGATCATCAGCAGAAACACGGTGCAACCACTAGAAATTACAGCATTTTTTACATAACCACTGGCTGTGGTTGCTGCTCTAACACAAGAATATGGAAAGTAACCCAGTGTTAAACTGTAATATTCTATGGCCAGTAGCAAAGCAGTCCTGTCACTACCCATTGAGATGATTTTGTTTGTGTGCGTGTCTGTGTGTGTGTTTGTAAGTGTGCTAGGGAAGAGATAGCCTACTGTTGGGCTTAACGTCCACCCACTCCAACCCCCAAATAACGCCCCAGTCTAAACCAGCCGCTTCCACTCCCACCCTCTGACTTTCACATATGGGAGTGAACTGGAGATGCACGGCTGCCAGAAAGGAGGAGTCATGATGGAAATAGGCCAAAATGATGGAAGAGGAGATAGAGGGAGTATGATGATATGTCATGCACACTGAAGTAGCCTCTTATAGGTAAAGGTGCTTGAAAATTTAAGGCACATTAAAGTGAAATATGCTGCTTTGAATGGAAATGGCTCGTGTTTCACCACATCAAGAAAAAAAGACAACAAATAACCCTACCAAATCATGCAGACAAACAAAGTCTGAGGAAATAGCATTTGGTGAGTTGTGACTGGCTAGAGCCGGGGTTTTGCGGTGCCTTTTTTTTTTTTTTGCAGGATGCAATTTAAACACACCCTCGGGCTACAGGACTTCATGAATAGGACAGAAAATCAAGAGCAGAGCAGAGCGAAGAAAAGAGGGAAAGGAAAGAGGGGAAATGAGATAGTGGCAAGTGAGAGAACAGGAGATGGCAGGAAGGGAGAAGAAAAGAGAAGAGAAAGAGTGAGAGAGAGAGAGAGAGAGGGGGGAAGAGGAGATGATTTAAGAGGAAAGACTGAAGCAGAAAAAGGAGAGCCGGGCATAGAGAGGGAGCAAGACCAAGTCAACGAACGTCAAACAGGCATTTTTGGAATGCTGTGCTTGAGCGTGTCTATCACTGTGTCAATAAATGTTTCCAATAACACACTTACCTCTCCTTGAAAGCTCTTGAGCAATGGGGCAACCTGTTTCCGAAAATCCTACAAAAATAAAGAGAAGAGGCGGTTAGCAAGCTTGAAAAATGAGATAATCCACAGATCAATTTTAATCCTCTAATAACAGTTAATACACAGGAACATGTGGCAGGCAAAAACCTACTGAGTTTTATACCAGCAGACCATGTTTTGATCTTATAATCAGGAAAATAATGTAACAACCCTTCTTGCCAGAGCCAATGAACAATGCGTGAGCAAGTGATGAACATGAGGGTCGGGAGAATGCCCGGTTTGTGCCCCGAGGTGCTTCGGCGGACTGCGATTCTCACCCGAACAGGTGCAGCACCACCTGGGCCACCCAGAGGCACCACTAGTGCGTGTGAGACAGAAAACAAGTGAGCCACAGAATAGGCCTACCGTTGATGCAAATTCTCCCAGTGCACCAAGTTTTTACTATAAAGCAAATGCTTTTCATCCCTCTAGTCCCATTGCATGACTTTCCAGTACGAGTCAGCGGTTTCAGATTAGATAGCCAGTCGAGTATGTATCAGGGGAACATGCAAATCACCATGCTGTTAGCTGAGCCTACATCCTGACTAACTGAAGTGGAGCGTAGGGTAAAAAGCAGAATAGGACATTCTGCACAGGAACATTTGATTTGCACAGTTTGTGGACACACACATACTCACAAAAAAAAAAAATGCCTAATGAAGACGTGAAGTAGGGCAGCGGCAGATGTGTGCTCAGGAGACTGCGCCTTTTAGAAACCTCCCTTTAAATGCCTAACCGATGCAAAGAGGAAGAGCGCATCCCAAACTGACCCGGGACCAGCGTCTGGGGTTTGCCTAATCCCAGTTTGGTCCAGACAGGGAGCTTGTCTGGGGCTGAGGACAGGTCGTGACCTTGCTGACCCTGGCCCATTGTTACCTCATCAGGGGTCGCCGTGGCTGTTTGTCTGGGCCAATTCAATATTCTCCTGCTGGGAATAATGACCCTCCTCCCGCCCAGCAACCCCCCCCTCCCCCAACTCCCTCCCTCTGGCTCTCCCCTTCTCTCTCTCTCTCGCTCTCTCTCTCTCAGATTCAAGAAGACACACACACACACACACACACACACACAAAACAAAAACACCCACACAACAACACCAGAGACGTGGTACTTCTGTCATTTGCATTAGATTTTGAAAGCATCCTAATATATTCGGCATTAACTCTTGTTCAAATTTTCAAAACGTTTCTGATATTCTGTTTACTTTATTTTGCCAAAGCTTTCACTGCTTTGTCGGAGAATAACAAAGTGCGCTACAACATCTCTCAGTATAAGTTTTAATACACACGGGACACATTTTACTGTCGTGCTTGTGTGACTGTGGCTCAAAATTTATAATATTTGTATGCAGTGAGTAGCCAAAAGCAGGAGCTTGTGTCCAATGTAAAGCAGTCAAGTCTGGAAGTGCTCAATAATAACTACCTGAGTCGAAATTGAAATATCATTTTGTGAGATTGTTTCGGCACTTGGAGCCGCCTCAACACATCATCCTTTTTAAAACGGTCTTTAAGTACTGTTTAAATCTTAGTGAAAGTTTTAGAAAGGTTAACAATATTTGTCATGTTATTTAGCGTTAGATTGTATTCAACATAGAGGGGTTAACTTGAAACCGTAGCTTTATAAGCTTGCGTTTACATATAGCAACCACAAAGACAAAAAACATTCAGAGGTAAAACCCCAGCTCTGAACCCCTTTGGTCCACTCTCTTTGCTCTCCTCCTGCCCCCTCCACTTCCAAAGATTTATGACCATATAACATAACAATGCACAGAGACACCATGGTCAATCTGTGTGTGTGTATATATTTATACATGTGTGTGTGTGTAGTGTGGGGAGCAGAGGGGGGCCAGGCAGCGGGAGATGGATGGCTGGTGTGTGAGCTGCCGGCAGACAGCAGACAGGCCAGCCCGAGGAATCCTCCAGGGAGTATGGAACTCCCATTCGCTGTCTGTCTGCCCTGCAGCTAAACACAAACGTGTGTGCGCACATGCATGCACACACACACACACTCGTGCACGCACAAAGTTGTTTTACTACCAGTGCCTCTGGCTAGCAATCTTTGGGACATTTTACAACCATTCCCACCCTTGACTTTATAACAGTGCGGTGGAGGAGTCTTGACTAACTAAAAGGAAATTAAGAAGTGGATGAATAATTCAGGCAACTTAGGAGGCACAGTGAGATGTAGTCTGAAAAAAACTCAACACTGTGTCAGTCCTAATGAATTATGAAAACTTTGTTTTCACGCTGCATTTCTTTGCACTACTTTCAAAATGCTACAAAAGCCCGAGTGTGTGTGTGTGTGTGTTATTATGCAGACCATGAGTGCAGTTCATGCCGAGTACAGCTCAGCAGACTAGACACAGTCAACGTGGGCCGGTCTCCTGGTTGTTGAATAATGGATCAGAGACGGACTCCCGCTCAGCCTAATGCAGTCTGATCTGATGTGACTGTGATCTCCGCTGACTGCTGCAGACCACAGAGAGCTGACAGCCCGGTCTATAGGCTGGTCAACCACACACACACACTCACATTCACACTCACTAACACATACAGAGACAGAAAAGGCTGCTCTGTGAATGCGCGCGAGACGAAAGGGGCATTTTTAATCAAGTGCAGGCCGTTACACGTTACAGAGCCGCACGTTTGCGAGGCTGCCATGATGCTCCTACACCTCTGAACGCTGGAAGTTTTTAAGGCTGATTCCTATTGAGCCTGTTACAGCCCTGTAATGAATCCTGTCGCTCGTCTGGCCTGGCTCAGATTCCTCCTCCACATACCAGGGAGATGCCAGGGGCCACACAGACGCCAGAGGAGCCTTCCTAAATCACAGCCTTGTTACACTGATGAATGTGTGTGTCCTGTTCTGTGATCTAGGCTATCTGCCTCTGAGTGTTTGTGTGTGCGAGTCTGCTTCCCTGCATGTTTTCTTTGTGTGCTTTGCCTCTTTCGTTCTGCATCTCTCCACCTCTGTGTGTGCGCTGCTGGATTTGTGGTTATATCAGATTAGAGATGAATGTGTAGGGTAAAGAGAAATTAGCGTCTTTTGTACGCAGGTAGAGTTTTCTCCTGTGAATATTCCTCTTTGCTGGGTGGGCTACAAGCTGAAGACGGCAGTCACAATTCTCCTTCTGTGGTAACTATAATAGGCCTACTGTCAACTCCGCCGAGAGTTGACAATTTTCTATCCACCGTCTACCCTGTTCATACATAATTCATACTACCATCAATAATTCACCATGGTGACATTACCAATAATAACACAACAATACTTTGTTTTCGCTGTGTGGTTTAAAAATGCGTTGCCTTGGTAACGGAGATGAAACAAAATATTCCCAGAAGGGGCGATGGGAACACAGGAACAGGACAGAATTCCCTCATGATCCCACTTAGTAGTGTTGTCACACTCTCTTTCTTTTTCTCCCTCCTGCACTGACTCTCTTCATTTCTCACCGTCTCTCTTGCGCGCGCACACACACACACATACACACACACTCACGGACCTCACTTTCTGCACGCATAAAAAACTAGGTCAGATAATACAAACTCCTGAGGGGTTTTCTGTTTTGTCTCTTTAGGATTTCAGGGAAACTAATGGAAAGACTATTTTTGGGAGCAAAGCCCCGCATCTCCTGTGCCGCTTCCTCCTCCTCCTGCTTTCTCAGTAAATAATCACGGCTACGTTTACGAAGAGGAGAAGACACGCTGAGAACACAGAGAGGCTGAAAAGTACGATTGTCAAAAGAATCACAGGGATGTATGCGCGGCTGTGTGTCTGTGCGTGTCTGTGAATATCTGATTCTCTCACCTCTGGTGTGCTCTTCTTGAACTCGCGGCTCAGGTCGATTAGTTTCTTCCGGGACTGTTCACTCTCGTCCTGTCTGTTGGCAAGCTGTGTGGCGGTGGCGTCTAGTTCTTTCTGCAACACAAACACACACAATTGTCAGTTTGTTTTGGAGAGAGGCATACACCTTATCACATTTATAATAACCGTTACCGTCATAACAACCAGAGCGGTATCATGAATATCAGGAGGACATATCAGGAGCAGTTTTCTGACAAGGAAACAGACCCACCGACCCATCTGGTGTGCTGCAGATTTCCCATCATGCCTCAGCTGAACTCTCTCAGTACGTTGCGGCAGCAGAGTCGGAGTGAAAATAACCACAACACGGAGGTCCCGCCAAGGAAAACTTGTCTACATCAGTAGTTTGTCTGCTATGAGCGCACGCAACACATATCCAAGCCATTCAGCCTGTCAGTCAATCAGCCACCACTGTGTCTGGCATGACAGCCTCTGTAGCAATAGACTACTACAACTACTACTACGACTACACAAACACACAGTCAACAACAATTATTGACTGTCTATGGCAGACAACCCCTCCCCTGCCCACATAACAACAGCACAATTATCAACAACAGCAGTGTTGTCACGGCTGAAGCGGGGTCCGCCTTTATCCACTTTTGCATTGTTATTAATAGCTATTTATGGGACTTGTTCCAGATGATGGGCCAAGTGCTGACATTAACAAGGCGTTCAGGCCTTGTAAAGATTGTATCTCTCTCTCTGCTGAGTGTGTGAGTGTTGCTGGATTATGTTTCTCTTGGATTCTTGCCTTCTGTCACGCTCACTCTTTTTTTCTCTCTCTCTCTCTCATTTTTCCATACTCTCTCCACAGATCATCCACTCACTCATTCAACCAGCGGTACCTCTTCTCCTCCTCCCTTGTACAAAAAAAAAACTGCTCTCTTCTCCTTCACTACGCCTTTCCCCTTGTCTACAACCCCCCCCCCCCCCCTCCTCACTCCTCCCATCCACCTCCTGTGAGGCCGCCCACCCCTGAGAGTGATTAAACGCTGCTGAAGGGCCGTTATGCTAACTAACACACTAATCATTTAATACACACATTACCACAGGGGCCCTTGTGGCTCAGTCTGCTGACAAGGTCCCAAAACACTCACGCACACATGCCCACCTCCCCATTTACCCACAACTCTAACACACACACACACGCATAAGAAAATACAACCCTCTAAAGGAATAGTGTGATCAAGTACTAATTAGGAAATTTTTCCCCCCTCAGCATTAAGTTTAATTCCCTGACCAGCCGTGATCTCGTTTTATCCACAAAGCGTAAAAAAATATAACAAATGTTGGTCCACTGTCCTCTGCGTGGATTTTACACAGCAGCACAGGACGTTTAAAAAAAAAAAAAAAAACTGCTCACTTGCTTACATGCCATCTTGCTCTCGCTGCCCATGGAGCAGTTGATGTAGCAGCCTGTCTGCCCATGGCCATGGAGCAGCTGCACTATCTGTTAGTGAACTCGAGCGTGTGCAGAAGCTTGTGCAACGCTTGATGAAAGGAGGAACCTAATAAATTTTAATCATGTTAAATTAATTGTCAAAAAAAAGAGGATGCTCTAGTTCATGAACAGAGGTGTAATTATTATATTGGTAAAGATTAGCTACAGGAATACGAGTCCAAAGCCCAGTTGGCTAAAGATACTGACAGATATTAGTCACTGGGAGATATTAATCACAATATGATGTAGAAGGCCTTGAGGCTTACTTCTCCAAATCCTTTAAATATAATAAATCAGATGATAGCTTTTGTTCAAAGGCTGATCTGAAATCTGAAGGCATTGGTGGCACCCATGACTATAATAGGGATATCCCAAGAGAAACGAAACAATGCCTTTAATTATCTAAACTTTGAAATTAATTATAAAATGCTGCATCTCCCCCCTTGGCCGTTTCAATATGTATTTTTCATACTCTAAATACCATAGATAGACTGACATTAAAGTTTGTTTTGTGCAACTCAGGACACAATTAGGGCATTAAGTTGAAGAAGAACTTTGAGTGAGTTCATTAAAGTTCCTGTGAGAAGTTTTTAGGTGCTTATATAACAAGATAAATCTAATATTGATGCTTCCTTATGACCTCAAAAAGCTAACAAAGCCGTTCGCATAACGATTGCCTAGTTCAGTATAACCATTTTTTTATGTCTAAAACCAAGAGCAGAGAGTAGGTGTAGGATGAAGTGCTTAGCTTCACAATGCCCAGGTTTTTTATTTTTCAATTTTCCATAGTTAAGAGTTGCATGTGTGAGTTTGACAGCATTGTAAGATTTTTTTGATTAAAGAAGGGACTGAATTTTACAATATTTCATCTCTAAATTTATTCCTGCAATTTGCAATTCTCCTGTTGCTACATAGGGGTACTTATTTCGGTATGTATTTCAGTCTGTTGTGATAAATTATTATTTGACATTTAAGGAGAATTGTTACAGTTTATGCAGTGACTCTACTTTAAGATGTCCTTCACATGATAGATAGAAAGTTTGGTAAAAGCAGAGCAGTCATGTTGGTCTCCTGTTGTTAGCTACTTCTTTGAACTGCAGGTGCTGGCACATGATGTGAGCTTGGATGTGTTCCCTCAGTGCTTAACTTTCTCGTTGCAAACTTTGCATATGGATACATCATGTAAAGCTGATTTTACATCCTGGAAGACTGGAGCATCCAAAGTGGACCCATGGGGGAACAACTGCGTACTATGGAAACTATATTCAATGCCTGCAGCTGGGTTTCTATGTGTGAACTGACTGCAGGTGGAACTGAAAAATATATTTAGAAATGAATTATTTTTTTTATACTCATTCATTTGATTTGAAAAGATAACAGGAACTGGTAATTGTGAATCAGAGGTGAATCAGTTTCCCCCCACCTCTATTCAGAAAAACTGCTGAGGTTTTTCAATCTTTACAGCAGGCGCGAATATTGTCACAAACTGGAAGAAAAAAATAAACATGTAAGGAAGTTTATCTAAAGTTACAAAGTAGAAATGTAACTTCAGGTCCTTTCACACCAGGAGCGTTTTTTACGTGCGATTATTTTAGACGTCAATATTTTTATTCGAACCCGTATCCTGTCAATACAAGCGTTCACATCAGCGACGTTTTCCTGTGATATTGCGTTGTGACATCCGATTCACCGGTATATCCAACATGGCCGACCAGCTGATTGTTTACGTGTCGGAGAACAGAGTGCTTTTTGATAAAAAACACAAATATTACAAAGATAACAACCGGGAGGACAACTTGTGGAGAGTCATAGCGTCTGACCTCTCATATGACGATGGTTTGTGTGCTTTAACAGTTTGCTAAACGTCTTTGTTTTAACTTTCATCTGTGCTAAGTAACTTTAGCTCGTAAGCTAACCCGTTCAGATACAACATACCATATGTATTTTCACTGTCTCAAACTCAATCGCGTTGCTGTCACAGCACCATTAGGTCTCGGTTGTCACCGTACGTTTATGGATTATAGTTTAATGTGCTTAGCAGGTACTGGCCCCGACTCAGTACATGCTATCATGACAGACAGACATCTCAACACTAGTGTCTGATCAGAAATGAAAAACAGTCAGTCTGCTGTTGTGTCAGTCTTCTCGCTTCCACCCGGGACGCATCTTTTTTCCCCCCGGAGAGTCGCATCGGGCTTGATGTGTATAGTCAGGCGCGTCAAAATTCGCCTCTAAATATTTCGCAATTTCACATTATATATTTGCGTCGGCCCCGGTGTGTAAGGACCTTTAAGCTCTGTTTAGCTTTTATCTTTTAGCACATTTAAGTTCCAACTTTTGGCAGTGTTTCTCGTAATGTTAAAATAAAAAAATACACAGTAAACAGACACATATTTATTAATACAACAAGAATGCTCTTTGATATGCAAATAAGCCCGTGCAAACTTCAGGTGGATCTATTTCCAACAAAACACTTCCCCAAAAATCAAAGGATTTCACCACAATGAATCAGTCTATTTCTGTAAATTGATTAGTGAGCTCTGTGTCTGTGCAAAAAAACTTAAATACCCACACTCCTCCATTGGGGTTCTGCTTTAAGAGGTCGTGTGCCAATCCCTGACGCCCTTGATTCTACCCAATCCCTTTCCAAAACCCTTCACATATCCCAATGTGCTACCAAATCCCTATTCCAAAAAAAATTCTCACTGCTAAGCTAAATAAACACATCACACATGGAAGAGGATTGATTCAGTGCCAAGTGGGCAAGTAATTATGGGCATGGTCTCACACTACAAAAAAAAAAAAGGACCCTCAGACCCAGTGAGGTTTTGACTATGCAGCAAACTGTGTGCCCACATCAGCAGACACGGGCAGACTTTACACTCATCTTGCTGATAGAGCGTAACATCCAAAAGTGCACAATCCCTGCTGCCCGCCCCTTGTTCACACACATCACATCTCACTGACCATTAGGAGGCCAATACTAACTCCATTTTAAGCAACGTATAAGCACGAGAGGCTGCCATATTCAAGTGCCCGGCTGAGAGCTGTTTTCTCAACGTAACAAAACTGCACTGATCTGTGGTCAGTTTGTATGCCAAAAAAACTGCAGACTGAAGCAGGAAACACACAAAAGACAAGCTATTTTTTCTCCTTACACTTGTGTTTTTTTAAACAAACACACTGGTGATCTAGGTGTGCCGAGACTATTTTTTATATATAAAAACAGACTTTGATGTAAAAACAAAGGCTGTTTTTTTTTCCTCCAACTGAAACCTTCTTAAAAAGGCAAGCTTCGGCTCTCATGGTGTCAAGACTCGGACTCTTCTGCTACAGGAACAAGAGATGCAGGTTGTTTCAGGGCTTGACAGTGCGACCGTTACGCTCGCATTTGCGGCTAAAAATAGATCTGTGCAAATTGTGAAATGTATTTAGGGGCACGTGCAAATAAAAAAAATCAGCCGAGGCAACAAATGTTTTTTCATGTAAATAACGCAGTGAATTTAGTTTTAGGTTGAATATTCACAACATTCACTGCGGATCTACTGGTGTCTTCTCGCTCTCCATAACCGGGAACGGCAAAGAGCAGCGCAGTCAAATCTGCACAGTGGTGAAGTTAGTTTTAGATTGGATATCCAACGGACATTAACTGCAGATCTACCGATGTCTTCTTATTCTCCATAGCCGGGAATAGCAACAGCAACTCGGTTAAAACTACTCGGCACCCTCGCTGTCAACGTCAGGTGTTAAATAAGGGACCGTCAATAAATTACCGGTTAATGTTCCCTGAAAAGGGTGTTTTCCTTCAATAGCTTCCATGTCATGTAACCAACTGACCTAAAATTGATTGCAAATAATAATGTTGACCAATAAGACACACTTCTTTAATTCACCAATTTGTCCTCATAATTTTAGTGTTAAATTTAAAGGCAAATTTTGAACATTTTCTTCAATAGCTTCCATGTCACGTGACCAAAAGACCTAAAATTGATTTCAAATACTAGTACTTGTGTTGACAATAAGACAAACATTATTTGATCAATTTTCATTGCGCCCCTAAAGTTCTTAGTTAGTGTCAAGCCCTGTGTTCACAAGCAATATCCGACTTATAATTAAAACAGGTTGCTGTTAATTTTAAAATAAGATTTTGGTGCCAATAATAGAGCCAACCTGTTTGAATTCGTTGCAGCGAGGTCCACATACTTGATCTTTTATAACACCGGTGTGATGTCCCAGTGCTTACCGGTGTCCTGACTAAAGATAGCAGATTAATAGATCGCCAAATAGAAAGATCTTTATTTTTATTGACAGGAGTGGTGGCATCTGTCACCGTCCATCCAAAGACATTAAGGATAATTCAAAAGACAGTGCTGTTTCTTTACTGGGTGGCCAAAAGGACCGAGGGTAATCAGTGTAAACATGGGCTTTTTTGAAAACACAACACAACAGCATCCCACATCAATACACCCTAATTAGGTAGATAGACAAGTCCAAGTAATGCAGCAACAAAGTTTCCAACTAGGAGTCTTTTATTACAGGGTTTATTTGGAATTTATTAAGCTGCATCCAATAACAGTGAGGCAATGCAGCTATTTTGTTGGCTTTTATGAGCTTCAAACTTTTTGGAGAGGAATACTGTTAACTTTGGGCAAGGCTGCTCGACAGGGGCTCCGCCATCTGGCATACCGCAGGGATTTTCCTCCAATCAGCTTTGACATCAATGATTGACAACATGCTAGTTTGATAAACCTTCCAAATTACAATGTTTGACAAGGGCCAAAGCGTGAATGAAAAACTAATTAACAAAATCCAAAATCATGCTAATTAGGGCAGTCTCTGGATCATAATGCATCAGTTATACTCTGATGAGAAAAGTCATTAATGCCTACTGACAGAGTTCAAATACCAGCACTTGTGCGGATGCTTTAATATAGCGCATGCAGTGCACAGCAGAGCACCAAGCAACATGCATGAAAAACTTGTGTACTGCGTGTCAGGCCCTCAGGCGCAGTATCTGAGGTCAGCGCTCTGTGGCTCTCTTTGGCCTGACTTTGAAATATTTTACTTTTCAAACCTCAAGAACTGTTTAATTTACTGGTGAATTAACTCATATAACCACCCACATTAACTCCATAGCTGTTTCTAAATGTAGCTGTGGCTGGTCAGGACTGCAGTGTCTAGTTTAGCAGACGATGGAATATGGTTGTGTGCAGGGGAGCATTAAGCAGGGCTGTAATGTCTGTGTGATTGCTGTAACAGCCCTGCTTGGCTTGGCTGTACTGGCCCACAGCAGCAGTCCCTGTCCTGGTTCATTTGGTCGTCTGGTCAGCTGTAAAGACGATTGGAACAGATTGCCAACACTCCCTAGAGAGACTTCAACACCGACTTGGCCAAGATGCCTCCCGCACGCTGCTCTACACGCGTGAGCTCTCACATGAGTGCACAGACAGGCCGCGGCAGTAACTTGGGGAGCCCAGTCTTTCCACATTCTTTTTGAACTCGGTTTCAAAAAGCGAAAGTCTGCTAACATGTCCCCCCAGCGAAATTTGGCATGGTGAGCCATGTTCACAGCGAGGAGGGGACACTGGGCCAAAGGAAAATGAGTATCTCTGAGTCCTACCACTGTGGTAATAATACTAATCACAGATAACAGTCACGGGTAAACAAATCCTATTACGACTGGCCATCGGACCCAAGGTGTGTGTGTGTGCTCATCTCTTCTAATGAAATTCCTTCCACTCGTCTGCAGGCAGAGAGAGGCCTTCTATCTGACTAATTTGCTCTAATTACTCTAATGAGCCACAGGTGATGATACAGTGAGACTGATTAATTAAAAGGGAGGCACCAATCAGGCATGTCTGATTATGCCAATCATATCGACTGCAGACTAAATGAGATAACAGGAGACAGACGCACTTTAATTGAGGTATCAAAACTTTGTGGAATTCCTTATGCCCTCACGCTCCGACGATGCCGAGACAGATAGGCTGCTGGAATGACAACAAAGTTATTGTTGTGTACACAGTATGAAGTCGATCCACGGCAGCCACGGTGACCAGGAGTGCACACAGAGGAGGGGGGCACCACACAGGGATTCGCTTCAGATCTCATTCTCGGGAGAATAATTGGGACTGTAACTGCATGAAACACTTTGTTTACACCTAGTGTGCAGTCACACATGCCAAGTAGTCTGCCATTACCCCCTTTAGTCCAAACACAATGTAGGTTAACTGCTCCACATTCGGTGCATGTTTTACACATTAGTCTAATGGAGTACCACTCTTGAATCCAAGCCAGGCAAAGAGAGACACGGACAGAAATACATTCACTCCATCTCAGTAATAAAAACACTATATTAGTCACACTGCAGAAGAGGCTAATATTTTAAAATGAAACTTTTCTGCGCGAGGAGCCTTTTAACAGCCTCTGTACTTGGCACATGACACACATGTTTAGGAGATGAAGTTTTCTGTCCTACCACTGCAGTCACTAATCTTTCCTTTTATCTCTGACATGTCTGAGGCTGTTATGTGGTTATGATAGTAAACAGTGGAGGCGTCTGGAAAGATGTCTTATCTGAGATCTACGAGGCCTACCTCTGAAACTCCCCCCTACTTCTCCCCTAGCAGCGTTCCACGTACTATGCGGCTGACTGTTCTGTATGCCAAACCTACTGTGTGTGTGTTTAGAGGGGAAGAAGAGGGGGGGTTGGGGTGGAGTCATGGGGGTGGCAGCTCAGTCAGGAGCGACAGCCACGCTTGCTACAACGACACGGTACATGATCACAGATCACAGGCACGCCCCCTCAAAAACACAGCACAACAGCAGCATAGATAAGAGGCTGTGATCCTGGCTGCCTGTCTGCCTGCCTACCTGCCACATAGCAGGGGTGCACGACTTTAACTGTGCCAGCAGACGCCGTTTTCACAAACCACACAGGGTTAGACGCAAGTCATATCCTCCTGAATCTCTGTTTATGCTTTTTTTCCCTCTCCTCCGTTGGAGTCAAAGCCGCAAAGTTTTCTTAACCACAAGCTAACACAATAGTTTCTCTGTGACAACTGAGGCCTGAAACACTTTTGTATGTGTGTGTTTCTGCAACTGTGATTGTGTGTGGAGCGGTTGGGGGCGGCGGGTCAGCCTACCACTCTCCACAGTCTAACAAGATGCTTGTGGTCCCTGAGCGTTTTGCTCCTTTTTTTGAACACAGATCCATATCTACCAACAGCACAGGAGCTGTCAAGACTCACCTCGCTGACGCTGACGCAAGCCTGGATCAAAAACAGCCTTTTTACACCGCAGCCTCGTTTGTATTGATCCATGTTCCTCTGCTGAGAGACTGGTTGTTGTTTTATCTCCCCAACATCCATGCCTTAACTCTCCTGAAGCTTACTGAGAGCCAGTCATTATTTTACCCGACCTATTGTCTGACAAGGGGGTTTCAGAGGCCAGGCCTGAGCCTAAATACAAATATAATGAGCCTACGATGGTTTCTGGCGCTGAGGAAGTGCAGCTCACTTGGTCTCATTTTTGTAGTGTTCGAATTTAGCTGGAGGCCTGTGTCACGAAAGGCGAGTGGTGCAGAGGGTGCGATGGATGGAGAGGGGTATGGTGGTATGGTAGGAGGGTGTAATGCATTGGTGAAAGGGCAAGATTTTTCATCCCTGCGTTTACAGGGTGGAACGGCGAGGATATTGAGATCTGAGATAGGATCAGAGGGTAGTGAGCTGTTTCGGCAACGATAAAGGCCACGCATTACAAACAGAGCACAGATATAGAGAGGGAGAGAGAGGGGGAGAGAACCAGAGAGAGAAAAGAGGGAGAGAGGGAGAGAGTATCACACCTCTCATCCCTGAATTAATGCCTCCATTCTGCCAGGAAGCCATTCGGTGCCAGTGAGAGGAGATTGGGGAGGGGATGAGTGCACAGATACGGACTAAAAAATGGAAACTGCGATCGTGGAGAGGGGCGATAGGGATTAATCAAGTCTTGGAGAGGAGTGGAGCTCTCCAGGCCTTGTAGCACACGTACAGTGAAGGCCTGGCTCCCAAGGACTCAGGCAAAAAAAAAAAAAATGGACATCGCCGCTATTAGTTTATATGACATCAAATGGAAGTAACCATCAGTGAATAATGACAGGGTCACAGGTGCAGGCTGGCAATGCTACAGATGTCCAATCATCATCCACGCTCGTGTGCGGGCGAGTCATTCTGGCCTAGAAAGCCTCTGAACCCTGACAATGAAGCAGTGTTCGAAGTTGCACTAATTCAGTTAAGATCTGATCTGTTCTCAATTCATTAGCCTATTTGATTTGTTGTAATTCACTTAGCCTTCCATTTAAGGACTACAAGCAGCTTCATGCTATTGGCACTGATACAGGACAGTAAAAAAGAAGGGCCACACCGCTCTTATGTGTCTCTGGTACATTAAACCCCTGCGCTGCGTGATGCCCTTTTCCACATTTTAATTTCGCCGTGTCTTTCTGTTGTATCCATAAATTTTTTAAGATGCCCGATGACACATTAGTCGTGTGTTTCCCATAGCCTTTAAAAAGGCAGCTTGCAGACTCCTCTGCATGTAGTCAAAAGCGTACATCAAAATTTCCTCATTAGGCTCGATACATCTAGACTCTGTTCCTGCGCCCTGTCCATGCTGTCACTATTTTCTAGCATGTTCTATCCTCCTGACTGAGTTTGACACCCGTGGTCTATACGATCAGCGTCAACAGAACATGTCCTGGGGCTGAGTCTTAGTCAGCCTTTATGAGTAAGAGTTTTCTGCTCCGCTTGCACGAGTTTTGAGAGGCACAGAAACACAGTGAGGACGAGAGAATGAGCATAGCTAATCCTTACAGTAATGACAGAATAATTAGCCTGCATTAGACTACGTAATGGGTGGTAATTATATCATTTATTCTGTGTTGCAAGAATATGATATAAAGACATGCACAATGAAAGAAGAAGAGTGGAGCTCAGTGGGAAGTAGGATGGAGCATGTGTAAGAGCTCAGGCTCTTTCTATTGATTGATCCAAACATCAAACGAAACCACTAGAGTAATGGGGGGGAGTGAAGGACAGCTAAAAGCTATTTGGAGCCTTCACTGCATAAAAGACTTGACCTGTTCCACACAGCCTACATATCAAAACCATCAAACAGCAATCAATAGACCAAAGCGGTCAACTCAACAAACCGTCACCCTACTAAAACATCAAACCCTCGGCCCAAGCGTCAGATGATAGGCTACACTCAGCTTATCCATTACCATCAGATAAAGAGGAGATAAAACACAGAGCCTAATCCTTTCATGTGTCGTGACAGCCACAGCAGCCTCCAAGGCATTCCTTCAGTCTGGCTCTCAAATAGTTTTATGGCGGAAGGCAGCCATTCAGTCAGCCAGCCAGCCAGTCAGGGCTGTTCTGGTCTGTTTGTCTTATTTCACAGTTTACACGCTGTTTTATAGCTAGTTATTATGGTCACCATGGTGATGCCATACGTTTTTTATGGTCTTTTGGTCTGAGGGCAGAGAGTGTAATAAACGAAAAAAAAACACACACACACTTACACACATGAAAACAAAGACTCACAAAACACACTCCTGCTGTGGAAAGGTCTCCTGTCCCTCCCTTCCTCCCTCTCTCCTTCCCTCGCTCTTTATCAGTCTCACCAAATGCCTATCTGCCTTCGTTCTGCTTCATGTGAAACATGGATCAGCAAATGCAGAATTGTCCTCTCTCATTCCACATCTGGAGCTGATCAGAGGGCCTCCTGGAAGTTGAGGCCTCTGGGCCTATTAATAACCATACCGCTGAACTCAGGGTCAGACAGCAGTCAGCGGATGAGCTTGTGTCTACTAAACACATAGTCCCTTCCCCCCTTTCTCCCTTCCTCCTTTCCTCAAGAGGGCAACTCTTACTTTTACAAGTTAGATGGCGGGCTGGGAAGTGCAGCAATGGACACCAAGTTCCAGTTTTTAACTCCTCAAAAGAGGCTCAGGAATAAGTTAAAATATTTCCTCACACTTGGGCATTTTTCCTCATGTAAAGCATGTAAAGAAAGAAACCTTGACAACACACTGGTCATTTTTATTGTGGGACAAAAATCAGAATGAAACTTCTACCTTCACATTTGGTTATCTTTTCAAACAGATGCATAAACTTCAGCTCTGGTTTATAATAAGACACTTTAATTCCTTAAATTAATGTTTTTTCATCTCAACCCCCAAACAAGTTCAAGTTCAAGGAGGCTAGACCTGTTAAAAGGCGAGACAGATGGTAGAGTCATCATCCGTTAGCTCGAAAGGTTAGACCAGTCAGACAGTCCAGGTCATACTGGGGGCTGAGGGGTCAGACCACCTCTGAACCCTGACTCCAGTCTGACAGCTGCTCAGGTCAAAGGTCAGGGAAGGGTTAAGGTACCGTCTGAGGACGACCAATGAATTTCACAGATACAGGACTGTGTCAATTACATGGAATTCACCAGGTTCTGGTGGGCAGAAGTCAGGGACCAGTAAACTGGTTATTAATCCTGCATTAGGGCGGACTGTGTGGCTTGTATAGCAGGGTGTGAGCAGTGAAAACTATTTTAAGTACTTCCTACAACAGTTTGACTCACTGAATCAAGTATTTCGGTGATAATGTTTCACCAAACTTTCAAAAATCCACATTAGCAGATACCGCTCACATATCCTAATTGGTTCCTCCAACTGAGCAAAGTTCCCCAGCCTACAACTTCAAACTATAGCAGTGAATATCTCAGCAAACACAGAGTACAATTTGTTAAGCATAAACCGCCCCCATACAGCACACACACACATACACACGCACCTGTGAATACAGGGTAGTTGAATCATCATAATCGGCGGTAGTTTTCTGCTGAGCCCAGCCAGCAGTCTGTGTTATTTTTAGAGGGCTGACACAGAAGCAGGCCGTCCATTTACTCTGTGAGCTGGCAGCAGGACCATCACAGCTCTGGTTGCTTTTTAAACTACCAAAATGGGAATGAGCTCAACATAAACACAGCAAAAAGGTGTGGACACTCAGAGAAATGAAGTTAGCCATGAATTAGGACCATTACTGTTCCATTACATCTGAAAAAAAGCCAAATCCTCTCTCACATTGAACCATTATACTTATAACTGTGAGGAGGATGGGGGAAAGTTCTTTCATCTTTAGTTTAAAAAAAGGAATTAGAGAGGATTTGAAAGGTAATAGAGGACAGCAACAATACTAAAAAGCTCTAATAAAAAGTATAATACAATAACAAACTCCTGGATGGACAAGTCTGAAAAGATAAGTAACATAAGTTGAAGCTAAAGGTTGAATTCTGTTCCTATCTCATGTGACTGATGAGTTGGGCCTGAAGGCCTGTTATGGATCCAGCAACAGAAGCTGTGATTGACATTAAAAATTACACAGAGTGAGCTATTAGCAGATAGCATGCCATATCATAATTCAATCCTTACACCATCAAAGTGCACCAATATCATAATTCAATACGAAGAACCATTAGCCCGCAGCCCACCAATATCATAATTCAATCTTGAGGCCATCCACCCACACCAATATCATAATTCAATACTTGGACCATTAGGACACACCAATAGGCCTATTAGAATTCAATACCTGTGGTCAATGATCTAACAGGACACTGATACTGGAGTCATGGGTTGACATGGGAAGAGGTCTGCACATAGGGATCCTTCCTCAGGCCCTATTTAGCCCGGCAGACTCCTTGATAACAGCGAGATAAACAACACTAAAATTAGGTAGAGCAAGTGGTTCACCAAAAGGCTCGGCAACACCAGACGCTTAAGGTCACCGGGCGTTTGCTAATGGAGCTAGTATCATTCTGGTGGATATGTTTGAAATGTAAAAAAAATAAGGCACGGCTTGGAGTGGGCTCAGCCGAACTTGTCAAGAAATGTTTCGAACACCATCCCCCACTGTGTGACCGAGCATCTGCAGTTGGTCTAAATTATCACATTGCGGTACCTTGTGGAAATGGGACTCCCGTTTTGTTTTCTGGTCCATTGCCTCTGTTTGTATTTCCATGTTAACTTCGTGTTTGACTCCTCAGAAACACTGCAAATCTCATCCAGGCTTTGGTGTTGCTGGGTCATCAGAATTCTGCGCTGTGCGAGCAAATCGAATGGCTTTTTAAAAAGCTCAGATTTCTTGTATTGCCTTTAAGTCAGATTTTCACCCAGAGTTGTCATTACTCAGGAGCTGTTCTCACCGCACATTTCTTAGGTTTCCACACTTGACTCTAATCGTCATGTACTGCACACATAATGTGTAAAATGACTCTGAAGAATGGAAAATACAGGAGAGGCTGATGAATTGATGAAAAATAAAATAAATTTCTCAAATGTCAGGAGAGTAAACGTCGACTTTTTTGGAAAACTGATTAGCTGTTTTTGTAGTAAAAGATCTGGACAGTTTTGGCACACACTTCCTAAGCTGCGAGGGTCTTTTGATTTTCTCCATTTATACATCATTATGAACAGAATATCTTTGGACTCCTTCTGGCACTCAGATTAAAAAAAGCAATCAAAACATGCCATCTCAGGCTTCAGGAAAATGTGACAGGCATATCAAATATCTTCTGACACTTAATGGGTCAAACAAATCTATAATTAATCAACAAGATAATCTGCAGATTAATCATTTGAGACTTCTACTTTATTACACAGTGATACACACGTGTATGACATTAATCAATAGAGAATGAATATATAGTTTGCTATCCGCAGGTCCGTACCACTCAAAGCTAACACGTATTGACTACTGAATAAAAGGCTGACATTTTTTATCTGATCATATTGAAGAGAGTGAAAAAGCATGAGGTAGACAAGCCAGAAAATAAGAACAAAAGCATCAAGAGAAATGTAACTGAGGCTTGTTTTTCAACACAATAAGAACTCGATTTTAGCCTGCTGCTGGTCTGCACTTCTGTGTGTGTGTGTATTTTTACTTTACCAGTCAACTATGGACAAGAACAGACGTTTTTTCCCTTAGGAATGCGAGATTCGTGTTTACTGAAAACCGTTGGCTTAATATTACACGTAGAACAATAGACTATACAAGATTACATCGGCCTTGGAGGCACTGGTTGGTTTTTAAATAAAATAGTGGGCACCGTCCTGAAGTAGGAAACAGCCAGTATATTCTAAAAGTGAACCTGAAGAGAAGTGTCCAGTCACTAAAGCTCTCTCTGCAGGAATACAGAGCAGCAGAATAATGGATGCTTCTGTCATGAGATACGCTGAAACTCTATGATGCTGTAGGTGAGAGAGAGAGACTCCAAGTGGGGCTGTAAATAATGCCTGCCACTTGAAAATAGGTCTCTGGAAACTGCCCCCATGTTGTGCTTGAGCTGTTGGTTGTTGGGTGGAAGTTTTGTGTAGTTACATTTGAGTGTTTTACTATTAGGTGGTGGAAAATATATAAGCAATATAACAAGATTTTGTGTGGAAATTTTGTAGCAGCGCCAACTACGTAATCAGTCACATTTCAAGGCACAATAATGTCTTTTATTCTGCCGTAATACTCTGATATTTTGGGGTACCTGGGAGATAATTTGTGATTGTATGGTGCTAATAAAGTCTGAATTAGGATGCTAGCTGAGCATGAAAAAAAACACTTTTTTAATGACTGAAACCTTCAAAACACTTCTTTTAGGTGACTAGTGTGTACTCACACTGGAGGTCTCAAACTCAGTGTGTTTCAGAAGAGCAAGACAAAGCACAAAGTAATAACGTTAGATGAAAAAAGTTTATATTCTTTCATAGAAGCCAGGCGGCCTCTCTAACACATTGTGATGTCTACAATCAGCCTGTGAGGGAAGCTTCGTTAATTTTGAACAGCTTATAAAATTTCTTTTGTGAAATCAGTCTTGATGATTCATTTCAAAGTGTGAGAACATTAAAGTCACTGCAACAAAAACTCTCTGTACTGTCTTTGTGCTGTCCTAGTTTTTTTTCCAGGCATATCTCTGCATGCAATCTTTGCATATATGATTAAACAACCTTCAAAATTATGAATGCAGTCTTGTTTTTCTCAGGGTTACAGAAAACACGCTGGAATTAAATGGCAGAAACCTTGTAATATAACTAGGATCATTAAAGAGGAATTTCATAGTGTAATAGTTTTTTATTTTTTGGAATATTTGCGTCTTTTTTCTTTGACATTTCGAGATTGTAGCTCAAAAACTAAATGCGGCCACATTTCGGGTTTCAGTATTGCTTATTTAACATTACAAAAAAAGTTTCATGCAATATTTGGAACCATAAGCAGAGACTTCCACACCTTCAGGAAACATGTCTGTTTTTCACACAAGTTTGCTTAAAGCCTGCATTAAGAGCTGCTGACTCCATCTGTTTGGGTAGGCCTATTTTTAGACTTCTGTTTAATGCTTTTTATCTTTTGTTCAAACATCAGACCACGTTGGACAAAAATTCTCTTACCATGCAGGGTAAAATTAAATATTTGGATATTGACTTTTGCAGGGTTAATTATATTTCCTTCAGTATGAAAATCAGACATAGCAGGTCTGGAGCAGTCACTCCTCAAAGCAGGGGGAGGGTGGAGGAGCTGTGAGACGTTCACTAAATCACTGAAGAGTTTGGGAGTTTGGGCCCCGGCTGGGAATCAGCCACTGATAAGATGGACAAAGAAGATTTTTTTTTTTCAACTTCTGAGAGCTGTGCATTTCTTCCAGTCTTATGTGCGGTAGGATAACCTCTCAGAAGAGTGGGATGACATAGCTCCAACCAAAGCAGACCGAGGGCAGACCAAAGACCTGACATGCACTCGTCCCTCTCTCTCTGACTCATGCTTAGTCGTTCACCACCCACCGACACACAGTGAAACCTCAGTCCCAATGCCAGGTTTTGTCACTGGGCAGAGAAGCGGTTGGCTACAGTAAAAGTATGACGTGATGCCCCCCTTCCTCTTTGCTCCCCCAGCCTGTGCAGCAACAGAGGGGTAAAAATATCCCACCAGTGAGTTCAGACAACCAGCTCATAAATTAACACTAAAACTCCTACAGACAACAGCGGGCCAGTTGCTGAGAGATTTAAACCACTCAGGTTGCCTCTGACCACAGTTCTGGGATCAACTTACAAAAGCCTTTTCCTAAATTTACCCATTAGGAGGTGTTGAATAAGAACAAGCTCGATCAGTTTTCGTCCGAGCTGTACGTTAACATAGTTAACTATTTCTTCAAACAGCTCTAGGGCGCTTTGTTCCAGGAAGTCTTATGAGGTGAGATGTACGCTACCAGGACCTAAATTGGGAATTGTGTATCACAGGAAGGTCTGTTCTTAATTTTAAGAGCTTTCACAGAAAATATTAAGTATAGGTTTGGGCTCAGCTTCTCGCCCATATCTTATTGAGGCTTGTCTGCAATGGAGCGCAATCTCTCGTCACTCTCAAGTAGAAACACAATGTTCCAGCAAACTGCTTGACTGGGTCAAAAAAAAGGAAAAAAACAACAGGAGAGAAGAGTGATGATCCCCTCTAAAGAAACTCAACTCTGTAATGGACGGACAGGGATTACAGACGTTAAAACCTCCTCCATCTGTAATTCACTGTCACCCTGCCATCATCTCTGAATCACTGATCCATTTTGCAAGTGTGCGAGACCTTGCTAAAAGCATCACTGTTGCACCCATTTGTGTTTGTAGTGATGGTGGAGTGGGGAGGGAGGGGAAAAAAAGGAGGAAAAAAAGCACACGGAGAAGACAAGTTAACAGCTCGCTGTGCTGTTTCAAAGCACTCTCTGTCCTGTAACAACCACCTAGCTAGTTTCTCACACAGCGAACGGGACACACTGATCAAATAGGATTTTAATGAACATCAGCAGTTTGGAGCCTGAGGAATAGACGCTATGATGGCTTAAAGCTACTGACATCTAGCTTGGGTTGGATTTTCATCATCAAAAGAAACAGAGAGAAAAAGGGAGAAAACATTCCTTTGCTGGTGCCTCTCACACAGACAAAACAGACAGTGAATCTAAGTACACGCTGTCCGTTCAATCACACACTAGAAGCAAATGAGAAAGCAATTGGCTGACAAGGCCATGTGTAGACCATGATCATATCATACTAACCCCGCATTATCGTCAAAAACCGGATAAGAAAAAAAAAGCTTCTTCTCCTCTGAAGGCTTTCCTCTAGGAGCCTCTCAGTGGGAGGGAGAGTAAATAAGATGTCATCAATAATAGACAGTGAATGTTCTGAGCAGTTCTGCACACACACAAACACACACAAGCTCCGACTGATTCCTATCCTGCAGACAGGGCTGCCAACCGCCAGGCTTTTTGCACACGCTCAGATTCACTGTCCTGACTAATCGCTTGTGATAGGGGCCTTTGCCATAATTACCCAGGGCCTTATCACAAACTTATGCGATGCATTTTTCATGTCCTGGCTGCTGGCAGTGCCTTCACTGTCCGCGCTGGCAGTCAATCCACGAAAAAAGACTGATCTCAGACAAATTCTCACACACACACACCAGTTCTTCCAAGAGGGCGAAATGGGTGAAAGCAGGGTGAAGGGCCAGGGAAGAGAGAGGGGAAAAAATGATAAAGGGTGGGAGGGGGGAGGCAAGGGAGAGAGAAGATTGGGAGGAGAGGGGGGCAGACAGGCAGGCAGGCAGGCAAGCAGGCAGGAAGGGGGTGGGAGATAGATAGTAAGGAAAGAAAAGAGAAAGCAAATTTTTTACATAATGCATGAACAAGGGGGCACGAGTAGGAGGACCAAACCAGATCAAATAAATAGGAGAAGTGAAGCCTTGATGATGTGGCATAAGTGCGACACAAAGCCTGCTGGGAAGACTTGTTCACTGTCCTTTTGTCTACCCAGTTCATAGGGGCATCATGACCTAAATAAAAGTTTAAATCCCATGCCTTGAGCAATTCACAAAATAATGTATGAACAATTGGGACTTGCCTACATAATGCAATTTTATGTAAATGAAGATGTGGACTAGACTGCTAATATTCATAAATTGTGATTTGAAATTCAGCAATGCACGTTAAATGCCACGGGAAAACACAACAGTGCCATTGTCTGCGTGTCTTGTGATAGGTCAAACACGCTCTAATTTACACAAGCTATATTCACACACTGAATAGGCCCCAATATTTGCCTCCTGGATCTCTCGTGCACGCGGCTAATCTCACAGTGCACGAGACTGGGACATAACCGGAGTTCATCTTAATTAACACGGTCATGATCTTTCAATATTTCTAAACCATTTTTATATTGTTACACCGCGAAAATAAACACTGTCCCGTCCCAGTCCCACTTTCTCAGACGTGGCAAAAAAAAACCTCTCACTGTGTATAATTGCAGTAAGGAGAAACCGAGAAAGGGAAGAAACGTCTGACTTTATCAACCATTATCACTGAGACGACTTCTATTTTAACTGCTTCAAAACCGTTAGCCGATAACGCTGCTAATGTTTTCACTTGTGTTCGAATAAACTTAACAAATTGTCAATTAAAAGCGGAAAAAAACACGAGTAAAAGCGCTGTTGTGTGTCTGAGCAGCTCGTCTCAACGGTTGGTGTCACCACAGCGCCACCGTATAATGAGTCGCACTTATTTTTCCCCCAAATTATCAAACCTTCCAGCGGCTAAAGCGTCGGGCTAACTACGGCTACTCGCTCCGGTAAAAGTTGAAGAACACGCAATAAAGATAGCTATCCGAAAGCTTTCCACCAAAGCCCCGCCGTTTTGTTTTTATTTCAGCGCATCCCCGCGGCGTCGCCCCGGCTTGCCCAGTTGCAGTGTCCGATCGATGTTGAATTGAACAAAGAGGATCAATTTCTGATCAGCGAGAGAGCCACTTTCATCAATGTGAGGAAGAGGTCTTGAATTCTCTTCCCAAACACCTACGAGGCAACGGCAGAAAAAAAACACAAAACACAACGGCAGAAAGGCACAAGCCAGCCTAAGCGAACACGGGGCTAGACGGTTTAAACAGAGGGTCAACTGACCTGTAGTTGTTGTAAGTCAAAGCGCTTCCAATATTGAAACATCGATCCTGCATTGGCCGCCATCTTGAGACATATTGAGACAGGAATGAGATGCTGATAGAGAGCGCGGGGGTTGGAGTTCAGTGGAGAGGACCGGGCGGCTGTAAGACCCGGAGTGGATTACTTACAACTACTGCACGGTAACATCTGGAATACGGAACGGAGTCACTCTACAGGAGTGTAGCCTTAATAACGCCATTATAATTGCTTAAATAGCTTTTTATCAACATACAGATATTACAGGTAAATAACCGAACTGGCGGTTAATTGTACTTTATTTCATTATTACAATAACATACACAAAATTCCAACCGTAATGCTATATGAATGCCCGTTTGATGCTGCAGTTAGTGTGATCTTTATGTTTTATGAAGAGCAAAGATCATGCAAAAATAATGCCAGGAGGCTACTTGGAAGCCATATCTAAAAGAGGAAAAAAAATCCCACCAGGGGAGCTCTAAGGACCAATGTTTTGTCTGAGCTAGAGGGGACCGTTAAAGAAAATGATTCAAACTAACATATGGAAATGCATTAATTGAGAAAGATTTATCCTTTAGCATCACCATAAAATAAAATTTAAAAAATCACGTTTACTGACAGGATTGTCCTCTTTGCACCCACCTTAATTTACATGATGCAAGCTACTAAACTTCAAAAATTACACAGATTTTCTTTTATGAAAATTCTACTTTTAATTAGAATAAAATAGGAAAAACAATTTTTTTGATTACCAACGGTTTGAGTTTTATTATTAGGCCCACATGTTACAGGCATTTTTTCTGCTTTAACAGACAAAGAAGGAGGTGGAGGGAGAATTGCAACTTAAAGTGAGTAAAATGTACATTAAAACATTCTTCAAGTAAATAGATAATTTAAACTGTTAAAGTAGGAGCTTATGAAGCTGTAAAAGTGCTTAAAAATAACACATTCTGAATTATAAGAAAATGATGATAAATCACATTTTTGATGCATTTCCATTCCTTATTGAGATGGTTCTTTTACACAAGCCGGGCGTCTCGTGTCCTGCCGAATACAGACTTTAAAGAACGGGTAAAAGATGTAGTGGACTCATATTTTTCAAAACCAGATTCATGGTTATCATAATTTATAGGAAGACTTATAAAAAGTCTCATTTTAGGCAGTCTTTTTTAACTACATTAATTAAGCAAATGAGATTGTTGCTCTGTTGATCAGACAAGTCATTGCTTGCAGCAGAATAAGCCTGTGGTAACCGTGTCAATGTGCATACAAATCTGCAGCTGAAGTGACCTTGAGCAACACAATGGACCCTAGCTGCTCCTGAGGCGTGACTCCTGCTGACCATGTCCTCTGACCCCCTTCAGCTTATGGATATGCAAAGAATTTCTAATTACTCTGTACAGTAGGTATGTATAGAGTGTCCTAAATTCCTCTGTCAAGCTGCGTAGCGTTGTGCACCTTTAACACCTCACACCTCAGCTTCCTATTGCTGTGCACACTGAGCCTCAGCCGAGCTGCACAGGTTTATCTGGGTAACACATCTGTCGAACACATTGTTCTCATTTTTAGCTTTTTGCGGGTTCCAAATTTTGACTCGTGCAGCGTAAAGTAAAGGGTTGAGTCTTTTTTTCATGCGCACTCAGATACTACTGCTTCTCTGTCAGCCCAACCTTAAAGATCTCTATTTAGCTTTATATTTTTTGTAATTTCTCTACAGCAGTTGCACTTAAATTGCGCTCAAGAATTTTCCATAAATAATGACACCTCATTCACTGCACTCCCAAGGAAACAAAGGTTGGCATTTTTGTGCTTAAAATTAGCTCAACTTTCAGGTCATTACTTGATTTGATTTTCTATTTATGTCTCTCCACTTATATATGAATGGATCTGAACTGATATGTAGCCTCGATAGGTTTTCCCTATTTCATACACCATTTAAAGACATAATACACTTAATTAAAGGTAGTCATATGCTTTTAATAACATATACCGAATCACCCTTCATGTAACAAATATAACAGCTGTTTCAAAGGATAAAAGACACAAGAGCCACATGATTCTTGTTACTGTCAAAGTCAATTACAAAGTATTTCTCTATCCTTATCTTCTTTCTCGGAAATACAGCCTACTGATCTCCACTAAAGGATATAAGTTATGCCTCTTTTAAAACAAAATAAAGCATGTGAATTCAGAAATCCTGTCTTCAATCCTCTCATTTCTTTCCCTTTCCGCCATGTTAATCAGTGCTTCCTTGGCTCGGCCTGCATGACTTGTGATGCTACCTACCATTAAGCCAAACCAGAAATACAGGTCTGAGATAATCTGTACAGGCTTAGTAGCTTTGCAGCGTGTCCATTGTGTCGTGTTTGTATAGTTTTGTCTCCCAGTCGCACAAAAAAGGAACATGGTGTGTTTAAGGCCAAAGATTTTGCTATGATAGGAAAGTAGTCAACAATACTTTATCAATGAAGAATTCAGCCTGGAGGCAAAATGCATAAAAATGTTAAATGCCTCTTTTTGGTTACAGGGTTTGGTTCTAAAAGCCTTTGAATGCTGTACTTGGTGTTATTGCTTCATAGCTCTGTGATTATCATGCCATCTCCCAGAAAGACAACATAAATTGTTGTCTAAATGTGAAACGTTGGTGACGTCATTTCTTCAACGCCACAAATGAAGAACTTAGCCTCCTTTCCAGAGCTCTATAAATAAAATGCCTCTCCACCCATCCTTGAAAAAACCTCCTTAAAAAAGCTTTTTTAATGAGCTATTGTAAAGAAATCACCAACTTGCAGACAAAAAGTGCTTTAGTTCAATCCTCAAACAACTACACCCCAAAGACACAAGAAAGAAGCATTTTTGATGGTGTGATAATGAGATATGTTTCTATAGGTGCGTAGAGAAAATTCTGTCTTTTATGTTAATTTGTGTGTATAATCCCTCCATGTTTTGAAGCTAAAATCCATTCAGTAGAGCCGTTACTTATACTGGAAAATTATCTTGCTGCTAAGTAAAAGTGAACATTATAAATCAGTTGATTTTGTAGCTGCCAGACGCTCTCCTCTCTAACGCTCTGAATCTAAGCACACACCATCTCCACCAGGATTTGACTTCAGCTCCACTAAAGGCTGTGGATAACTTTGAAGCAGTGGGGGGTACACAGTGTAAGTCGGTGCAAGTAAGACTCTGAGTTATCAATCCACCTACAAATTACCATGTTCCTGCCACTGAAGCTCATGCATGTCTGGCACGAATGACTTGAGAGGGTTTTTTTTCCCCCACACTTGTCTTTTTATTACACTCTATGGTAAAATTAAAGAGGGGGATAAAACAACATAAATTGTTCTTGACAAGGACGGTGAAGGGAACATGTCGAGACCCACAGATTCGGAATCTAAAAAGCCTCATCAGTTCATGTGAATTTGGTTAAAGTTTAAATATAGAGGAGTAAACACACATTCTTTGTGTCAGCACCATTATACAAGCAGATCTTCTACCCCAGCCAGAGCTACAGGCTACAAAATAAAACAGCCTTTCTGTCCTTCAGCTTCCCCTCTTTTTCTCTGTTTGTGTCCCGTTTTCCTCCCGCTCATTGACTCTGCCTGCAAGGTGCTTTTAGCAGGGCCTTGTGTGGCCAGGGTTAGAGATGGATGTGTGGCCCTTGAGAGCCGCAGGCAGGGAGCAACACTGATCATGTCAGACAGGACTGGGGAGGCTGCATAAGATCATCGTCACCCAGCAGTGGAGTGAATCGCCGCAGTGGCACTTTCACACAACCTCTGACCCCTTGGGTAACCTCACAGGTCATGATCAAGGGTCAGGGGTCAGCAAGGGCCTCCATGAACAAGCCCCTCCCCTCTACCGCTTCCTACACTTTTACCCCCTCTCTATTTTCTCTCCGTCTTTCTTCGTTTTTTCCCCCTTCCTCTTTTTGCTCATCTTCTATCTGTTTCCACATCACTCTCACTCTTCCTCTCCAGCCGGGACCGATTGAGACGTCCCGTCCCCCGGGAGAGCAAAAAGGAAAAGCAAGAGAAAATCAATAGGGAAGATGAGTGAAGACCTTGGGGTCCCATCAGAAAGTGAGTGCTGCTCTCTGTACTGGTATGATTCAAAGACAATCACAGGCAGAAACACATACAGACACACAGTTTTATTACTTCTAACAAACAGGAAAGTAGCACTAAACATGGCCTTGGATGAAACTACAAAAAAAAGAAGTCTGCTAAATGGGAGTTTTTTTTTCTTGTTTATACCTGCCATCACATTTCTAAGATCCATTTCCCCCCTGATTTCTGTAAGATGGCATACTCTCTCCATTAAAGGTGACCTAGAAAGACCTTTTTGTGCTCTGCCTGAGTCTCATGCATGACCATCTCCGTAATATCAATCCCTGCATGGAGACTCAAGTTTTGCACATGCAAATAACCCTGATGACAAAAAGATCTGTTCTAGCTGGAGGAAAAAGGACAAATATAGCATTCATAAATGCCAAGCTTTCTGTCTCACCCTGGCTGTACTTTAAAAGGAATGTAATGTCACCACATTATCAGTAAATCAATTTTTATTTAGACCACATTTTCAATAATATTTGCAACATTTGTGCTTTTTTAAAGGAGTAAAATAAACAACTCAAAGATGATAAATAAGGCTTATTCCTGTTCCATCTCTTGACCTCAGCCACCTCTTCTCTTTCTGAGGAAACACATACATGTGTTAATAATGTTTGGCCTCAGCACGTATCCATAACTTATGAGTTCACCATGCTTTTTCCCCAACACTAGATAACCCCGGGCAGGACATTAAATGATCGTCTGAAAATAGAACTGTTCTGATGAAAGGGGGGATAAATAATGCAGAAAGAATACAAAACCTCTTATGGGGATAACTAGTCATATGCACTTGCACGCACACAAACACACAAAGAGAAGTGGAAGAAAGAGAGATCCTTTTCTTTTTGCTCCACGGTGAAGAAAAGTGAATGGATGGAACAGGAAGGAGGAGGACCCAGTGGAGACACACATGCTTCTTGCTTCATCTCCTCCCACTCCTCCGTGTCTGCCATTTTTTTCCGCTCACATACAGACTTCATGACATGTTCTGTGTCTGTGGGGAGAAATAATGTTGTCCCAGTCACAGCGTGTTTTTCCAGCCCACCAGAGATCATGCACAACGCGCAAGGCAACACCAGAAAATTTCCAAACCCTGATGCCTCATAATTTTTTGATAAGTTTCTGATCAGAACAACACAAAACGCCGACCAGGCCTTCTGGTCCTCAAACACAACATACAGATTTACACGTGAGTGTATGTGTGTCTCGTCTTGGCCTGTGTTTGTTTAGGTTAGATCACCAAATGAAAACTGTGAGTCATTTTATTAAGATTTCTGGTTGGAGGGCTTTCAATGCTGGGTCATATCTGATAAATAAAACATTGAAGACAAACCTTTTCAAAGCCTGGCTGCTGTCTGCCTAATTTCATGCTGAAATGTTTATTCATTAGGTAAATTAAACATGCATGCTTTGAGAAAAATCCGAAAGAAACTAAATCACAGAGGCTGTACTTGAGGAGGTTACGCTTGAGTAGGGAGACACCTAGTGGTGGATGATATTTGTAATGTGTTTGTATTTATAAAGTGATGAATGAGGGGCCTTTTGGTTTATTGGCTTAAAAAGTTAAAAAAATACATTCTGTTTGCATATGGCGTGTTTAAACTTTAATATAAAATATCAAATAGAAATTTTGGCAATTTCCTGCCACCTTAGGCTCATAGTTTTCCCTCATCCTTAAACACTGTGCTAATAATACAATGAACAGGCTCATTTAACTGGATTAATGACAAACGTTTCTTGTTGTTTCATAAATATAACCTCTGATTACTTCATCAACAGGACACCGCTCCCCCAGCCAGCGTTTTCACCCAACCCCAAAAGTCAGCAGGCCTCACAAAAGGCCCATTCACTAGACACAGCAACCCAGACCAACGCTGCCACGTCGAAAAGTTTGCGCAATAAAAAAACACTTTTTACTCCAAGAGGACTCATGGTACAGGTAGGAAGATTATTCAGGAGAAACAACAATTCAGAGAGCAGCTAGTTTGCACCATTGCGAGATATTTGAACGTCTTATCTCTCCTAATAGTTTCCGCGTTAGGCGTGTCTGAAGGCTGGTATAAACAAAAGTGCTGATTTATTTGCTTTTTTTCCTGTTAAGGAGCAGCAAACGAATAGAGGAACCAGATTCTGCAGGAGGGGTTTGAGCTGAGAGGGGAAACTGCAGGGTGGCGGAGGTCGATGGGAGCTGGAGCTCAGAGGAAAGCAGCGAGAAGCTCCACAGTCTCAGCCCACAGAGCAGACAGGCGGAGGAAATGCTGTGACTCTCTACTGAAAAGGATTTCATTCTCCGCGGCTGTGGCGACCGCCGGGTTTCTCTTCGTCCTCGGAGTTTGTTTCCTTCATCTCCCGGACCCACTTGACTCCGCGGAAACGCGCGCGGTGACGCTCCTGATTTGGACGCATCCGTTCGGTCGGTATCGCAGACTTCCGGACTGCCTCGCGCTCCACCAGATTGAAAAGTGCACGCTCACCGATGACTGGAGCGCGTACCTGGAGGCGGATGCTGTGATCATCCACCACAGAGAGGTCGCTTCGGGGACTGTTTTTCTACCACCAGAACCACGGCCCGGTGCGCAAAAGTGGATTTGGATGAACTACGAGTCTCCCGCGCACACACCTGGACTGGGGAGGTTTGACGGTGTGTTCAACCTCACGCTCTCCTACCGAACCGACTCGGACATTTTCCTGCCCTACGGGTATTTGGTTCCGATTAGACACACAACTCGCCGGAACCGCTTTGCTCAACCACTCCACGCCCCCTCACGCTCACAACTACTCCGGCCCCGCCTCCTGGCGTGGGTCATCAGCAATTGGTCGGAGTCTCATGCGCGCGTGGCTTTTTACCACCAGCTCCGTCAGTACGTTAAAGTGGATGTGTTCGGGCGCGCGGGCCACCCGATACCAGAGGACAACGGCAGCGGCAGCGTGGTGCGCATGCTCGGACAGTATCAGTTCTACCTGGCGCTGGAGAACTCTCAGCACACAGACTACATCACAGAAAAGCTGTGGAACGCGGTCCGGGCCGGGTCCATCCCGGTGGTCCTGGGTCCGTCCAGGCAGAACTATGAGCGCTTTATGCCTCCTGAAGCCTTCATCCACGTGGACGACTTCCCCACTGTGCGCGCGCTGGCCCGGTACCTGCTAAGGCTGAGGCGAGATCCGGTCAGGCTGAGGAGGCACCTGGACTGGAGGGGGGGCTACAGCCTACACCAGCCTGCCTTCTGGACTGAACACTACTGCACGGCCTGCAGGGCGGTTCGGAGGAACCAAGGCAGAACTGAGGTGGTCCGAGACCTGAAACAATGGTTCCACTCGTGAGAAAGAGCTGGATCACCTCCAGAGCCTGACTGACACTGTTTTGATTAAAATTAAATGAACAGATAAAAGCCTGTATTTTTATATAACTGATATGAATAGAATCACATAAAAAACTTTTGTATTTGAAAATAGGGGAGAGTGGGGTAAGTTGAGTCAAAGGGTAAGTTGAGCCACCCCCAAATTGATCATGTGACCAAATATTTGGGAGATGGGCATCAATTCATGGAGTCTGTGAAGGTTAGAAGCACATGGGTGAGGGGGTTAGACATTTATTTTTAAAAAAAAGTTTTAATGTAGAAGCCCTAAGCTCAGTCACCTTGCTGACTTTATGAAGCGACTCTGACAAGTCTTATAAATAAATAGATAAATTAAAAGTAATTGAAATGTAGTCAGGAGAACAAACAGTCTAGTGATTAAAGCAAATTAAATATATCCAAAATGATCAAACTTGAAGTCTTAAACGATCAAACACATTTGCATTAACCATAGACATATACATTTCTTCACACAAAGACAGTGGACACCTTTCAAACTTAAGAGCTGTATTTCTTGTTTATGTTTTGTACTTCATACCAAGAATGTGATCACATAAAATTTCAAAAAACTGTCCAACAATACCAGAATTAACTCTTCACAAGCTGCACTTTGTATTTTCTATAGAATGCACTTAGTTTTATGAACAAATACAATTGATAACAGCAAGTGTATTTTGTCATTACACCTTGTTTTTATAAGCATGATCATTTTTGTCTCTCTTTATTGTTCAGCATGTTAAGGTGCAACCACCAATTCCAGCATAACAACAACAAAATCAGCCTTGCGCACTCCCTCAAGAAGTAACCCCTTTCCAGCTAAAGTGTCACTTGTGGGCAAATAAAAGTGGTTAAATTTCACCTAGCTCATGCAATTGTTACATGATTACTCTATATACTGAGACCATATATAAAACAGGTAATCAAGAAACCTGGGCAGGTAAAAGCTGTTATGTAAAGCTGCCATGTGTGTATCCAGCTTATCAGCATTTTCACTGTCCTTCAGCATTAAGACAACCAGCCGTGTGAAAAGAGAGCTGGAAGAAAGAGGCCAACACGAGCGCCTGTGATTAAAAACCCCCCAAAACATCCACAGTCACTTGATACGGGAATCAGAAGCTATGATGTGGATCATTTAAATTTACACCTCTGTGTTAGTGCTGTGACACAGAATTAACACTTTGCACACTCAAATGAGACATTTCCTGCAGGCACCCAGGCAGAAAATAAAAAGCTGCTCCTCATAATGAGCTGATGCTTGAACAGCTGTTGAAGCTGCAGACGTCTATCAGGACTAATGCTTCTAGACGTCCAGAACAGCCAGACCCATCATCTCTGTCATAATCCCACTCATGCACCTGAGGGAGTTATTAGCATGTCTAAAGTGAGTAAACTCACATCAATTCTTTGTATTTTAGAAATAAGTTCTGCCACATGTCCTGTAACCGTTTGTGTTTCTTAATTCAAAAACCCCATGACCCCCACAGAAAGGCCTTGATTTTCCGGACAGGAGAGCAGCTGGACACTTGAAGCAGCTGTGATAATCATCCTCAAGTGGGTATATGATCCTGGTACAGGTGCCTACATAGTCCACAAAGAAAGAGGCCTCAGCTTTGTAGTTTTTTTTTTTGCTTTTGGGAGCCGCACTCCCTCATCTGGTGACCTTCCTAACGCTCCTTTACTGACATTTTTTCACAGTGACACTCAGAATATGTCAGCTGTTTTCTTTGGATATCACACTTTTTCCTTTTTAATTATTTTCAGTGTCATTTTAATGCTGTTATCCCCTCATTATGCATGTTTTGGTTCGAGCACTGGTTCAACTTTTTTATGAGATGAAAATATTTGGAGAAAAGGTCAAAGGTCAGTGAGTGGGTTTTTATTGAATCTGCACATGGTATTGTTTTAGAGCTTTATTCTATTAATTTTGGAGTTAGAAAATAGAAGGATTTGTGTCAGAAAAATTGTTTTTTTTATCATCCTTTCACAGCTTTTCTTCAGTATATGCTGAAAATCAAGTTGTGCGTGCTTCCCAGTCCGGATTTTCTTTTCATTTTCTTACATATAACACCCACAGTAGCCAGGCTTTGACTTGAAAGTCTTATCTAAAATTAATATTTGTTTCTTCTTGATGGTACATTATTGTTTTAAGTTAACTTAATCATTAATTCATGCTCAGTTTGAGATGAGGATTTAAGTTTGAAGTTGCTTTTCTTGTCTCCCTGAGGAAAAGCAAATGTTTGGCATTGAATGAGTCACTGCATAAAACATGCCAAAGAGGACGCACTCAACTATAATGCAGTGTAGTCTTCAGTACATTATCTGTAGTCTTGCTTAAAAGGGATAGTTGGTTTTTTTTGAAGTGGGGTTGTATGAGGTAGTTGTCAATAATAAGTGAACCAGTCAAAGAAGATCCTGCTCTGCCCCACCTCTTTTCCAAGACACTGTCCTGAACAAAAGCTATACCATTGATTGTTACAGCTGGAGCAACATTTACCACATAATTTAACAAATGCAAAGAAACTCTGACCCAAACATTAATGTAGGAGGACGTGTGTGCTCTATCTTGAAAATGGTCATTGCTTCGTGATGAAAAAGCCTGTTTGTTTTTGCGTTATTCCCAAATGTGTCACAGGCTATTCATCTGCCTGCATCAGAAAGAAAACTCAGTAATGACCCGTACTTGAAACTAAATCAGGGAACACCCAGTCTGCTGAGATGAACAGATACTACTTTCAGTTCTTGCTGTGTTCAGGAAATGACCCCAAAGTGACTCATGATGCCTTCAAGGCCCCTAACCTAAAAGAAACAGTTGTCTTTGTAGGGCTGGTGTGTGCTGGTTTGTTCTGCACTGACTTCTCATGAATGTCTCTGTATAGCTCTCGATGCTCCTCCCAGGAATTCCCCCCCAGGTAACTGATAACTATGCATTTGTTTGTACGGCAAAAACATGTAAATCATTAAAAAAATGTTCCATATAATGCATACCCTGTTTGGTGAAATACATTCAAAATCAAAGCAATGGAAACTGTAATTCCTCCTTCCTGTTTCTCTCCTGCAGGATGAAATATCACCCGGTGTCACAGGCTGACAAGTTTACAGAGGATGAGGTGAGTTGTTGCTTGGCAACAAGGTGAAATATCAGAGGTATCAACATGAGATATGTGATTTAAAGGAGCGGGCGGTGGAGGTGCCGATGAACAAGTTGAAGGTGAGCGCACATGAATTCTCAGAATCTGAAGCAATTTGATGTGATTTAAACCCTTTAACTACCAGCTCCGGCTTATTACAAAGATCATTCTCAGCTCTTTTTCTACCAGATCCCTCCCTCCTGCAGTAACAGTGCCATTCATAACCTACATGGCCCCTGGCTAGAGACACAGTAATCTCATTTGTGCAGCAACAGATGTTTCTCTTAAAAACATCCGCTGACTGGGGAGTGAAAAGTCTGCCTCTCATTCTCTCAGGGGATCAAAGACACCAGTCTAATCGCTATGAAATCTGTCACATTTGTACTGCTTTGAGGAGACATATTGACTTACAGTAGGCTTACCATGTTGTGAAATGTAAACCCAGGCTGCATTTTGCTAGTTTCATGCTCTTCACATCAAAAGGTTGCACCAAGGAAGAGAGGAAAAATGCATATGAAACAACAAAACCCCAAGACAAATAAACAGCACGGCGTTCCCATGGCAGCACGGTGTAGTAATCTGACGGCTGGTTTCCCATGGCTGTGTCTCGCTGCCCCATAGACCTCCACTCTGTCTCACTGATGGCTCCTGTGATTGCAATCATCCATCTTACTGTCAAAGGCAAAAAAGGCCAAGGAAGAAAGGGGGAAATCACACACACCATCTCCTTCTCTCTCACTCCCTTGTGTCCTACAAACACGCCACCCCACTGTGAGCAGGGACAACACATGGAGTACAATCCTTCTGTTTTGTGCATGTGTTTGTATACATGTGTGTCCATGCTTATATGATCTACAGGGGAGAACATGTGTGGGTGTTGGTTGTCTGTGCCTGCTCCATTATACTGCACGATCAGTCAGTGGAGTGTGCATGAAAGGGGGGGAGAGTGGCGGACATGTCTGATCTTGCAGCTGATCAAAAAGCACCAGAGACTTGTTCCCTTGTGGCCGTGCAAGCAAGGGGCCTCATATCAACATGTCTCTGTTCAGTAGACAGGAAAAACAAGAGAACAGGCAAGGAGGAGGAGGAGGAGTGGGGGTGTGTACATCAGGAGAAAGACAGACACTGGCACAGATGAAAGGGTGCATTAAAAGGCCAGAGTGGTATAGATGACAATGATACATCAGCGCACTTATCTCCCCGTTCTGATGAGCTGATTGAACTGTAAAAGGCAGATCTGCATTTATCTGTAGATTAAAAAGCACTTGTGATCTTTCTCTGCAAACATGGCAGCGCTCTTTATCCCGGGAAAGAAAACGCAATCGAACCTTTACCTGTTGGCATATAGATGCATCAGATGTTTGCGTGCCCAACAGAGGACAAAGGGCAGGAGTGAAGCGAGGAGACAAAACAGAATGATAAAAGCGGCAGGATGAGAAAAACAGTCTCGACATGCTGTGAAGTTGCGTTGTACGGCATGTGTTAATGTAATTATGTGTAATAAAGTAGTGACTCAACAAAATGAACCCCTTTGTTGTTGTGACTTTCATCTGACTTCAATTATAGGCACAGATATAGGCTATCTCTGCTTGGCATAATGTCATTTTAATTAGACTACAAAGCAGAACACCTGAACATGTTTGGTATGAAAGAAAGTGAATCATGCAGCAGACACAACAAAAGAGCTGTATTTAAAGCAACCCTTACTAATGATATATGAGTTATGCTTGATGGTGGATTCTTACAATCTTGAAAATTAATTTAGATTGAAGTTTTTGAGAATAAATGTGCCATCGAAACAGCTAAAAGGCCGGACATCCCCAAAAACTTCTTATGTTCGAGGTCATATCAGGGTGCATTTCCATGTGACGTTCATTTTGCCTCCCGCCTGGTGTGGTCCTATTTTTTGGGGGAACTCCTCCTCCTCTCAGAGTGTGACACTATGAGTTTTCCCATGGACTGTATATACTATGGACAACTTGGTTCCGCCTTCCGCCGGTAAACGGATTTGAAGCCAAAAAGCTCTCAATATTTCCAGGTTTTTTCTCCGCTTCCTGAAACCAACATTAAGCAGTAGCGTTGTACGCATTCGGCAGGAGAGTCGCTTAGAGTTGCTGTGAACAGAGTATCCCCCAGGTGAGCTACGCAATCTGCGTACGCACATAGGCTGTATCAAGTGTCAAACATGAACCTCCTAATAACTTTAAAAAATGGAGCTGCACAGAAAAAAGAGGACTTGAGCACAAACCAGTCTTACAATAACTAAATGTCAACATCGCAAGGGAGAAAAATCTATGTTCTGTGTAATACATTTCTGAGGTTTGTCCACAGCTCCATAGGGATTGCTGGAGGAGGCAGGATTTATGACCTATACTGCAGCCTGTCACCAGAGGGTGCTGTTCTCACGGTAGCTTCACCTAGCAGGGAGGCAGACGGCGTCCTTTCTACATAAGTCTATGGTTTTTCCTTACAAACTTAGGACTTTATTCTCTCAATATTAAATTTCAACTACAATTTTTTCCACATAAAGATACAATTTGATACAAAATGATACAACTTTATTCTTGTACGTATACAGCCATCTCAAACTACTATGACTTTATTATCTTACACCTACAATTTATGACTTAACTGTAGAAACCTATCTATTTATGTTCTTTATGTATGATTATGAGTAATTCTATTTCCTCCTGCCATCACCTGACAGTGAAGCCAAAGAGAAACAGTAAATGCGACACAAGAGAGGTGCCGTGCCGCGAGGACTCTACAGTGACTTGGCAAAATCTACCCTAAACCCTGAGGCAATCTTAGTAAATCAGGAGGAACAAGAAAACCTCACATCAGTCTGTCCTTGCACATAATGCACGGTCATTCGAGCATGAAATCAACATTGGCGTTCACCTCCAGTTCACTTTGATTCAAAGGGATCAAAAGGGCGAATAAATCATTTGCTTCCTGTGACACATTTCAACTTGGAGGAACTTTGACTCCAAAAGTCACACCCTTAATCAACAGAAAAGAGGAGTGTGGGATCGACTCCACTTTGCTCTGTTCACATTCAGCCCAACAAGGTATGAAACTCACACTCACAGTGGGCCTGTTTCCTTTAAAGAAGTTGAAATAGTTGACTGGCAAAGTAATTGGATTTCATTAAGATGTATTTTCTCCTGAGTAACTTTTCAGACTTCTTTCAAGATTTGACCGCAACTGGTCCCAAGAGGTAATTGGGCGTTTAGGTTGTATTAATGTATCTGTTTTTCATCAGGCGAACTCTCCAACAGCAGGATTCTTAACTCCTGTGTAATCTGTGACCCCGTGGACAACAACCAACTTTGCATTTGACTTAAAGCCTCCAGTATTCAGGGTCACTCTTTGAAACATAACCAATAGTTTTACCTTCATCATTGTAACCTGTAATCTGGTTGCAAGATAAGAAGTCATACTGGCGATTTCTGATAATGATTTATTTGAAGAAATCTAAACACTGAATCAATCTAGTATTGTTGGCTAGCTTCAGAAGCTAACAGTAGTTTCTGGAGTAACAATTTCTAGCATAACTAGTTTACTTGTGCATATGTATCTCCTTTCCCATCATACATGTGATTTTCAAGTGTGATGGTAACTAGGACGTGGTCTGATGTTAGCGAATGACCAAACATGTTATTGTAAAACTTAAATCATGAACTAATCTCTCTCCTGGTTCTCACTTTTTGTCATCTTTGTGGCTGCCAGTCAATCAGGGAGCCATGACACGACCACAGAGTCAGAGTTTGTAGGTTTATGATCGGGAACAAAGTGACACAACATATGAGTTTCTCACCCTGAGCACGAGGTCACCAGAAGAAGTCAACCATGGGAAATATGGTACGTTGGGCAAAGTCTCAATCCAGAACCTAGACTTGTCATATTTGCACTAGATTATCTCTTGCACCAGAGGTTAGCAAGGTTTGCATGTTCGTCCTCATTTTCTGTCTTTTTGCAAAGCTACACTGCAGGCACCACTTTCATGTCAAGCCTAGAGTCACATCACAGGTGTCAATCCTCTCTCCAGTTCTTGGCACTAATATAAAATGAGCATACACCCAAATAACCTGAACTATTCCTTAAAAATGGACCCTGTTGTGAGAAAATTAGAGGTTTTAGTAACAAGCTAAACACCCAGGGACCAGCGGACTCAGTCTCGTTGCGACTGTTGTACAATGATTATATCAGCTTGAAACAAACCTCAGAGGTGGTTTGTGAAGAAGTCTATGTAATCATGTCATGTTAAGAGCTCAAACAGCCAGTCTCTTAGGTACACTAAAAACTTGCAGCCTTTGCGGTTTCCAGGCCAAAACTCAACAGCTTCAGAATCTCCTCCTTTTGTGATCCAGATGTGCACTCTCCAGATGTTATTCATTTCAACTAACTTAATTTTAAGCAGATATTCTTGGAGGCTTGTCCTGTCTTACTTCAGTTTTAACAAGGCGGCCTGAGCAGACAGAGACAGAGAGGAAAATGAAGAAATATGTTTGACAGGTTAACAATAGCTGAACCCCGGGGTCTTTCCAAAGATCAGTTTGACACAGAGTAGAATATTTTAGGTCCAGCTCATAATCCAACCCAAGGGGGTTCACAGCGTCAGCCAGGGGAGCTGGTGAGTGTTTATTAAACTGTCTTCTATCTGAGAATGAAAGGATGATGCCAAAAGCTTCATGACACTTTATGAGACTGTATTTCATTGTGCAACCTCGTACAAGTGCTGTTGCTAAAATTTTGTCAGATCAACAGGGTCAAACAGTCTTCTCATATGGATGAAATGTTCAACATCTCATGTCTGCAAAGAGCCTTATTGTTACACTTCTACTTATTTGTAATAAAAAATATTATATTATTCAAGGCAAATAAATTGAAATAAGCATGAGGCACATGATATAAACAGTTATTATACGTCCAGTCAAGTAAAATCTGCCACATCCAGCACCATTATACACAAAACACACAATATTAGACAGTACTCTCAGAGGGAAGTGCGTCTTTGTCGCTCCCCAAGTGCTGGAGTTAGAGGAGGGGTCTGAACAGGCTGGAGGCGCTTAGTCTTTAAAGAGGAGAAAGACAGGGGGTCCAAGATGCTGCCAAATCCAGATCCTTCAGAGTTGTCTGTGCGGAAACATGACACAGAGAAAGAGAGTCATTCATAAAAGTACTTTCCCTTAAACACTGCTTTGAAAGACAGACTTTGACAGTTTAGGAATGTGCTTTTTTAAGGTGAGAATGATTGATATCATCTTCAAATCTGTCTGTTAAATATGAAGCTAGTTTACTGGAAATAGAGAGAAGCAGCTAACCTGCCCTGGAAATACCAACGCTCAGAATTTCTGATCATTTCTAAATAATTCCAGCCACTTTAAAACAGAGAACTGGAGTTTACACGATTCGGTTTTTGGCACAGATTAAAAACTTTCATGTGACACACTGAGAAAATTATAGAGGTGCTGGTAGAGGCATTTTTGGTTCCATTTTAATCAGAGCCAGGCTCGCTGTTTCCTTCTGCTTTCGGTTTTTACCCTAATATTAGGTTTGATGTGAGAGACTATTCCAACCATAAACTGTTTAATACATGTAACTTTTAGCCTTAATAGTATCAAACAAACACCAGTAATTTATAAAAACGAAATTGATGGGGTTTCCTCGGCTTTTTATGAATTTTTTATTTTTCAGCTGTGAAGGTTGCCGCTTAGTTATAGTCTATTCTTTTTCAAAAAAGGCGATTTCTTTAAGTATACGTTTTTAGGACAAACTGGTACTCCAAATGTGAAAATACACATCTTGGACTGATGCTTGCAACTTAAATTTAAATTAAAAAGTAATTGAGGTCTGCACTCTGACCTCTAGAAAAGTACAGACATGAATTTTAAGGGGCGGAGCATTTGAAATAGTGGTGTATTTATTTGGTCATAAAGCTCAACATTTTCTCTAGAATAATCTGAAATAAGTGAACTGAGCAACGGCTAAGTCAGAGGCTAACTGTTTTTCTGCTGCTAGTTAATCGCTTTCTGGGTCTTGATTGTCCTCTCATGTAACACCCAAAAAACAGCCAAAGCATTTTTAACCCCCTCAAAATGTCAAACTTGTCCCACATCTGTGTTATACTCCTCACCGTGAATACCAATCATGTGCTCCAGGATCAGGACCCTCTCTGCCAGTATCTTCAGGGCCTCCCTGAGCTGCTGCACAGCCTCCCCCTGAAAAACATCACCATGACTTTTCCTCTTTTTTTGTCTTTTTTTATTCAAACGACCTCATGAGGAAAATATACTGATATCTCTCACCTCATTCAAACCTTCTCCGGGCTCTCCTTTCGGCCCTGGTGCTCCCTACAAAATGAGATTAAAATAATCTCGTCATCTCTGTGTCATCTGTGCGTGTGTGTTTTTTCTCTGCAAAACACCAACCTCATACTTACAGGTGGACCCTGCTGGCCTGCAACACCTGGAGACCCCTGGTAGAGGAGGAAGAGAGAGGGAGAATCAATGTCTTCTGCTTACACACTCATTCTTTAGTCCCTGTGTTAATCTGCCTCTTCACTAAATCTCCCATCTTGATTTGTACAAGTTCAGAGCAGGATCAGGTTAAAAGACAGAGGCCCACCAGAGAGATGGATAAAAGTGAGAACCCGCCACGGCTGCCCTGATTAGTGAGGCCTAGGCTCGATCGAGAGCGAAGAGAGAAAGAGGGGGATTAGTTTCGGCTCTGAGTGAGTCTTTGAAGAACGGCTCGTTCACCTTTAATGTGTTTAAGATCGCATGACAGCCAGGAACATTTACAAACCGTACAACACAAACCGTTTTGAAAGTTCATCAGAATCAAACATGTTCAGCCGGCACGCTAATCCAATAATGAGGACGATTTTTAAACAGCCTCACCTTTTCCCCTGGATCTCCTTTAGGTCCAAGATCCCCGCGCTTGCCTTGGAGGCCTTCCTTGCCCTTATTTCAGGAAAACAGATGATCAGGCATTAATGGACCTAATAAAATCATAATAACTGGATTGTTCCAAGGGCACAGTTACTCACATCCTGTCCTGGTGAGCCTGGTGTCCCTGCAGGTCCTTGCAGTCCTGGAGACCCTGAAGTGTCGATCGCGAGGAAAAAATAAACATCAACACATGAGAGAGATATGGAGGTGGAAATGCTGAAAATTCATCAAAAATCAATTTAGTCAATTTATCACAGTTTAATATGATTTATAAATACCATTGTTCTGTGAAGCATCAGGAGGAATTAAACAATGAATTTAAAATAAACCACTTGGACCCCCACAGTCTTTGTTTTTTTAAATTAAATTATGAGTCTTTTGTAATGAAATAAAATACCGTGACATATTAGAGTCTGTTTTACCTGAGCTTTTCCTCTAAATTCTATGATTTCTCATCTTTGCTTCGACACAAATACTATAAAACAAATCAGAAAATGATCTTTCTGTTCACTCTGCTCTGAGGATGATCACGTCGTGTTACCGTTCCTTGAAAGTAAGCGTCTTCTTCACTGAGGCTTCAAATAAAGTTTTATGAGTCTGAGCCGTGCTTTTCTCCCCTGACTATAACCATAAAACACATGTATGTTTCATGAGAAGACTGTGGACCTGCTGCAGTGTTTCCCCTGAACCTCTGGACAGGAAATATCTTATATTCATACCTGAGGGGCCGACAGGACCAGCTGGACCAGGAGAACCAGGAGGTCCAGGAGGCCCGGGAACAATCTCAGGAGCAGGGAGAGCTGGACTGACGAGGAACTCCTCTGACAAGAAAGCATGAGGAAATGTAAAAAGGTAATGTTTGGTTAAACCTTTGCACAAAAATAGCCCGAACTGGTGACAGGAAAAAATAATGGCTGAGTGAGCTGACTACAAACAAAACACTGCCGGTTCCAGAAATGTCAAAATGTCTGTTGTATCCCTCGAGTTTTAAATCAGTTTTAAGTATTTTCTGTACTCAGAGTCAACACTGTGTGATGATAAACGATCTGATCATGACAAAAGGAGTTCACTTTAAATGATGAGTGTTTATAAGGCCTCATAGACACACAAGGGGAACTGAAACAGCCACAAACACAGAGAAGAAAACAGAAACAAGAAGTCAAACGAGAAAAGTTAAAGAGCCCATTAATGTTTCATCTCAAGTTAAGGATCCCTAATGTCCTTTTAAATAGTTGATTTTAGCATCAACTGGTGCGCCTACTCAGACAATAGAGGTCTTCAACAGCCCGAACTGAAGGGTGAAGATATCAAGAGTCTCCAGTCGAGTTTCATCTGCAGTTAACAGAAGGATTAGATCTGGTTCCTGATTGACAAGAGCAGCTGCACAATCTAAAAGGGGTCCCATTAATGGAGCAGTAAATGTTTGGACATGATCTCTGCTCACAGAAATCTCTCAGGAGGGGGAAGTTGTTCCTTGTTCTCAGCATGTAGGATGTTTTAAAGTATGCTTGTAAGTTTAAATTTGTTTTCAACCGCGCCACACTTCCTCTCCACTTTAACATATGTTAAGAATCAGTCTTCCCCGTGTTGAGACAGCGCTGTTACACCGTGGCTACAGTCCACAGAGCGGCTCTAGAAGGAGCAGATTTCCCTCTGGAACTAATTTTCTAATGTTACAGTCTCCTCCAGCCTGGCTGCCTCCCCGAGAAACTCCACATGAGTGGCAGACTATCTCCTCCCTCGTTCATAGCCGGCCCAGATTTTGGCTCGGGGCCTCGGCCTGTTCCCCCCAAATGCAGACTGTTGTGCTGACAGCTAACAAATTAGGCCTGATTTACAGCCAGTTGGCCCCCCCTCAGCTTACACGGTCCCACAGACCCAAATCTACATAGTTCCAGACCCGCAGACACAGTCCCGGGCTCAGAAAGGCAGACGCAGCCAAAAAGCCTAATCGGAGCCAGCAGTCCTCATGAGGTAGTGATTACAGTGTGGACTTCTGCTGCCTCCCTGTGGTGAAAGCCGGGTTTTAAATGTCTGAGACGAAAACTCTCGCACATGTTCATGTCTTCTGTAAAAGATATGGAGGTTTTAAAGTTTGACACCATGAAAAATCAGTGATTTCATATGTAGTTTGAGTACGGATCTTTGTGAAGAGTCGTTGAAGGAAAAGGTGAATGGCACATGTCTATGTCTAAGTTGTTTTAAAGCCACCTGAGTTAATTCATACATGTTGATTTTGGCTTCATTGTTGTTGGTGCTGCTTAATGAGGTTACAGTAAACAGTGGCTCAGCAGCAGCTCGACACCTGGAAACAATCAGACTAAACTAAGCACAGAAAACAATACATTCTCCATCACATATTTGAGCCCTTTGCTGAAGGCTGGAGACACATATTGCCCACTTAAACACTTGGCAACAGCACTGCTTTAGTCCCAAATCTTCAACCTGTGCCCACTTTAGACAGCCCTCCAAATCCATATGGCAGGAGCTCATGACAGAAGGATTGAAAAAAGACCAACAGGATAAACATAAAACATGAAAACTGGTGTAGCACATGACTCATTGCAGGATGACCTGTGTATAAATGGAGCTGTGGTTTTGGCCTGAATTCAGATCATCCAGAAACTGAACGCTTCGATGGTTTTACAGATTGTTCTTGGGTCAGAAATCAACTGTGTGTGTGAGATCTACGTCTATTATGTTCTCATTTGAGGCCATCTGGGACAATTTAGCCTCAAGTAAATGTAAAAGAGGGAATTCGTAAGGTTGAAGAATTTGCCTACCTTGATTATCCACGTGAAACACGTCACCCCGCTCTCTGACGGGAAGGGAGCTCGGCCCTGGGGGACCCGGTGGACCTGGAGGGCCGGGGAGACCTACTTCTCCAGGTAGACCTCTGCTACCCTTTGGTCCTGAGCACAGACGGAAAATACAAAATGCAACCAACCAGTTCATCAGATTTGTAAAACGGGCACTTTTCATCGCAATTACCTCAAGTGTGCAGGTTAAAGTGGAAGAGCTCAACCCTGATAGTTTACCTGTAGGTCCAGGCAGGCCGGCTCGTCCAGATGGACCAGGAAGTCCTGCAGAACCTGGAAGCCCTGGTGGTCCAATTGGTCCTGGGGGGCCTCTACTTCCTGAAACAATTAAAACAACAGTTTGAGAAAACAAGAAAGCAATGAAGATTTCAAGAAGTAATCCACTGACTGATTAAAAATTAGCTACAATACATGTTTCCTAATTCTGACTCAGTAATTTCTACTGTACTGAAGCCCCACTCCTGGGGGGGTCTCTGTGGGTGCTGCAATATTGTGACTGGAGTTGCACAAAGACCCCTCTTGACTAAACAACAGTTGCTTAGTCAGCCAAAAGGCAGCAGTGGCGGGTAGGGCCCTAAAGTCAGCGCCATCAACATTAATCGCTGATGTTTGGACACATTTTGGATTTGGATGTGAAGAAGTTGACAGAAGTCATGTTGTGTGTAAGCCCTGTGAGGCCGTGTTTAAACACTGCATCATTATTTGAGTCGACATGGTGCCGAGGTTTACAGAAAAATAAGGAATAAATCTACCTAAACATATAATGCAAACAGTGTCATTTCAAAAGTATTATAAAGTTCTGCGATGAAGTAAATGAGTAAATCTGTCGTCTACAGAAGTGACCAAATTTATATTGAGCCACTAGCATGTTAATCAACACTGAATCTTATATAGAATCAAATTGTGACCCAAATAATCAAAACCGCATTGAACTGGGAGGTTCTTGACAATACCGGGCCCCTCTATAAAAGGGTTTTCTGGGGAACTTAACCTTTGAAAATGTGGAGATGTGGAGGAGGAAACAACAGGGGGCTTCTGAATGTCAGCATTTCATCAAATCACTTCCTCTGCCGGCGGCGCTGAGCACCTCAGAAAAAAAAACCACTTCAAAAGAACAAACTTTCCTATTAAGCATATCCTTTTTATAGATCATAACGTTTGAAGAATGTGGTCACACCTTGTGGCAGGTACACCGGTGGTCCAAGAGGAGTTGGTTTGGGTGTGTCCACCTCGTTTTCTGTGGAGCCCTCCGGTGAAATTTTGACTGTGGACTGGGATGATCGTCCCTCTTCGAACAGTTTGATCTGAGACAAGAGGAGCAGATGACAGAAACATCACCACACTGGTTATATTGTTTTTTCAAATTCTGTCGATAAAGTTATTGATGGGATGGAGACCGACTTTTTTCTTTTACCTTGGATTCAATGGTGTTTATTCTGCTGTTCATGTCAGTGAAGCTGGTGCAGTTCAAACACTCTGTATGAAAGAAAAGCAGACAAAGATCGATTGAGTTTCAAAGTATACATGCGTGATTTTCTTCTCTCTTGTCTCTGTTTCTGTTTCCATCCTGACACCACCAGTCACGTTTCTCTACATCTTGTCATCTCTACACCGGAGCAGGTCAAACCAACATACAAAAGACCAACGTCCTTGAAATCAGACCCCAAAACTTATGACGGATTTTTCCTGAAATCACGTTAAAACATCATTGGTTCTCTTGTAAACTTCTTCCTCTTACTGACCCACACAAACACAGACTTGACCCCTGACTCTGCAGGTCTTTGAGGCCACACTCACACCCTCCTCCAGAAAACTAAACTAAAACTAATGCGAATGTAGACAAAATAAAAACACATATTCACGCTTACAAACATACACAAACATTGTTGTAGAGCGTGTTTGTACCCTCTCATTTCTGCAGACATGTTACAATTAAAGTCATTTTCAAGACTGAGTATATATTTACTTCAGTTTCATGTTCATGTGAGGAGTTTTTATTTGGTTATGATGCCTTTTTATCATCTCTATCTAGATATTTTTAATGCTTATTAACTCTCACTGGGTGAATGTAAGATGAAGTGTGTTACACCGATGCCACAAAAGCCACAAGATATGAAATTTGATGCAAACCAAAAGTGTATCTCCTGAGTATGAACTTACCGAGGATCTTTATACCAGTAATTGTCCTGATATTGCATGTTTTCCACTTTTAACAGTCTCCAGACAAGGCAGAAAACCATGAATCAATCCAACCATCACCACTGTCTATTTAGCCAAAGCTTATAGGGCTCTTTTTGTCGTGTCACAGACCTTAAAAACTTTAATAAGACATGTTTTTAAACTGGGTAAGATGCTTTCTGATTATGATGGACATGAAAAGTGTAAATTTGAATCAGTACAGCAGACTCAGTCTCACTGTGCGAAGTATATAAACTCATAAAAAGTCATCTAAAACTGCAATATTATCTATCCTTTTTTGAGTGTTTATGAAAAATCAGCTGAGCTTTGTACCTATATCTGTGATCTGCAGCTCTAATAGAATGGCCGCGGGAACAAACTGCAGCTCATTCTGACAGCATTTTAGTTGCTATTATATTTACTCTTGCGCTTGCATGAACCTCCAGCTGACATGCAGTATCATTATTATCCAGTCAACTCCCTTGTGAGTGCTAAACTAAAATTTAGTCTCTGTTTCGGTCTGTTCTGTTTGACATGTTAGTTGATACCTGCTCCGCTTTGGTCGGCAGCTACATTTACTTAGTCTGCTGTTTGTGTCAAGAGAGCCTTTTGGGGGAAACAGAGGCCCGCCGAAGCCAAAGCAACACAGGTCAGAGCTGTGTAATTGAACTACAACCGTAAAATTGTGGCTGTTAAACCAGAATAATGGACTTAAAGAGGGTAAAATACTCTGGAGAATTAAAGGGAACTGCGGAGTTTGGAGATAAGTGTTTGTAAATTGATTAGATTGGGTAAACCTTCATATTGATTCAACTATTTTAAATACAGGATCTTATTGGTTAGAAGAAAAGTCCTGGCTTACTTTTCCATGAGCACCTGCAAATTTAAAACATACATGCAAAATATCAACATTCTTGAGCCACTTTCTATGCCATCATCAGCTTGTTTTGAACACTTGGGTCTCCCTTAAATTACACCCCTCAAACCATCACCAAAACCACTGATACCTACACACTCCCCACTGTGCAGCAATTTTAGATGCTTTTACATGTTTCCAAAATCAGAAACACAGAATAGCACAGTTTTTAGGAGAAACCTAGTATTTGTTCTAAATGCAAGCATCCCTCCGGTCTACGGCTCATGAGACGTCTGGAATGTCAGCTGTCAATCCCGCAGATGTGACCCACCCACATTGTGGTCATGGCGGGAATACCTTGAATGGCGAACAACTGGTGCTCATGAATAAATAAAAGCACAAACAAAACTAACCCAAACCTCTCTTTTTTTGCCTAAATCATCGTCTCTGACCGCAGGACACAGGGTACAAATGGCCGCCTCTGAGGTTTCTGCTCCACCGAAATAGCACAGGGTGACCATCCCAGCCATGCCTGTGAGTGTCCACAATCGTGTTCATCCAGTCCAGCGGTGTAGAGGACAATGTGGGTGCGGTCTCACATCTTGAATCTCTTCTTTGAGCAAAGTCTCAAAGGGAAACAACAATCAACAGCTTCACTCGAAACACATTCCTCAGGATTAAAAAAAAGACAAAATACAGGGAGATGTTTCACCAGAATGACCCCACATGAGCTGTTTGTTGTGACTGACTGCACAGAAGTCCCCTCAATGACTTCACCAAGGACACCAAAGAGCACAAAGGCAATGACTGCAGGCAATCATAGGCTCCACAATATGATAGAACTGATGAGTTGATATGGCTTCATCTCCCGCACAGTTATTCATCATCCGCCCAGAGGAAGTCTCCACCCTCTGACACTCTTTCTCTTTAATATACGACGCATCAATCTGCCAGGCATCCCAGCAGTTTTCCCTTGATGATGTGGGGAAATTTAGTTTTTAGCAGCACTTGTAGTGGTGTGAATCTGGGAACGAAGTCTGGAAGTCAGTTGGATGGTCCCACACTTTGATTCAGACTGAAATAATCAACCGCAGTCATAGTTTCCAGAGGATTCATCCTGATCATTTTAGAGATGCGTTTCTATCCCGTTAGCTAAACCATGTGGTCAGGGCTTTAGTTAAAATACTTTAATAAGTAATAGGTTATAAAATTTGGAGCAGATAGCTGTCCATATTTTCCAGAGGATCAGTCCTAATGATGACTTGTCCTAATCCGTAATCTGATTTTTAGAGTTTCAATTCACCCTGGAAAGTGTCTGGTATAAAGATTGGTACATATCGATGCCCGGTTTGTCTGAAGTAACTGTCTGCATTTTAAACAGTGCTGTTAACAGGCAAAAAATGTCCCTTAAAATTGGGACAGATCATCAGTTAAAGACACAGTGTAGAAATGGGAATATTTACTTATTTTTCATGGTCAAATCTAGATTTAAATGCTCCTTTGCGCAAAAGTGACAGCGGTCTTTGAGGTCAAGACGCTCCTGTGAGGCCCAATACGTCCAATCGTCCATTTGTGTAGTTTTCAGCCTCCTATGTCCCTACATAGTTCCTATATAAATATGAGTCTCGTTCTAATTTAACACAAACAAAATAACTCCTACAATCAGGTAACTTTACACTAATTCCAGTTCAACCAAGTCTGTCCTGATAACTTTGGCTAAATACACACTGCACCTTTAAAGGAGTTTAAATAAACAATCTTAAAAGTTAAAACCTTAAAGTTCCTGTGGGTCACTTTCTGTTTGTGTTAATTCTGGCGCCCCCTTGTGGACATAGCAACAGCTCTTAAGCATCCACTGATCTTGTCCTGTGTGTGTGTAGGCTGTGTTTTCTGACAAAAATGTCATCCTCACTGCTAAATGTTTCACTCACTGAGAATAATTGCCGCTGTGTAAAATAAAGACTTCGCTGTCAGTCATCTGCTCTGACACCTACGTCTTCACAGTGGTTTCACATTAATTTGAAGATAAAAGACGTAAATCTCATTAGTGATGGATGAGTTTTCCTTTGTAGGTCATAAAAAAGGCATCACCGATTATTTTCAGTCTGTTTCAGAATCAACAAGGGGCTTTGACATCTGCTTCAACCGCACGAGTCGTGAACAAATTGAGAATGAAGCTTTGCATAAATAGTCATTGCAACGACTTATTTCAACTGGAACTTCAGTGTTTACATTCAAGATGCACAGAAACCCTCAAAAATGTCCACTTGCTGAATCAGATACGCCTTACAGTTTTGATTCAGTGGATGTTCTCATTAGACAGCATTTTAAAATATAAGTGAAGAAAGTAAAATAAACCTTTTCCATCCGTGACGTTTTTTTTTACCCAGAAGTGCAGGTCAAGGTCTTCACACCTAACGAGTTAACTTGTCTGATCTCTTGTCTAATGGGCCACAAAGAAACCACCCAAGTATTATTATGCTATAAACACACACCACAGGAAAACACCAGAACTGAGCCACTCTACCAAAAATATGAACCAGAGCAAAACATCTCTCTTTTTTTGTTGTTGTTGTTGAAGGTGGTGGGCGGGATTACTGTTCCTCAGTTGGAATTTAATTATGTTGGGTTAGAAAACCAAACTTCCGCTGGGCTTGGGCTGATGTTTGGAGCGAGACCACAGCTATAGAGTCTGTTTGGATCCATAATTACACCATGGCAACATAAGACCGGGTTATTTTTCTTGGACGGGGCTCAGCTCATGGGAAAGATTGAGAATTGTGTTGTTGTAAGTGGGAAGGCAAATAAACAGAGGGAACGGGGAGCTTTTTCTGCTTGAGAGAGACGTGAAGGAAGAATTTTTATAATGGTGGAGTTTTCTGGAATTTTGAGAGACGGCTGGAAATTTACAAAAGGATCATTTAATCAAACCGGAAAGACACATGCATCTTATTAAATGACTGAAAACTTACAGAAATAACTACAGAGCATTTAATCACATGAAAAATGATGGATAAAAATATTAGATTTCCAAGTAATGCAGCGTGTAAAAGGATAACGTGCCCATGAATAACACGATTTGGTAGCCAATCTGATGTTTGTCTTATGCGATCATCTCGACTGTTAAGTGGATGAAAACTGAGAGACAAGAGCAGACGGGCTGCTTGGATCAAACTCCCTCCAGGCAAAGCACAGCAGATAGTAAACAAGATTAGAAACTCTTGGAAGATAAATCTTCATTTAAACAAGAGAGGAACCAAAACAAAGACCATGTTTCATCTCAGCAAGCTAAAAAAAAAAAAAAGCCAAATTAATACATCATTCCCTCCAGTATTGTGAGATCTACTGTACAAGACAGCGCTGGATATTTTGGCATGAGTGAAACTCAGACTGTGGGCATCATCTGTTGAGACGTTTACTACATCAGACCTGGATACTGATCAAAGAAATAACTCTTTTCTTGCAGCTTTCTTGCACACACAAACACAGACAGACAGACAACCTTAACCACAGAACAAACTATGACGCATGCAGCTGTGGACGGCCGTTTTCATTCGCCGCAGAATACTTTCTCTGTCCGTATGAGCGAACTGAACGGAAGGATGATGTATTGAAACATCTTCTTGGACCGTCTCAAGAGTCGCTGTCACATTCCCAAGATACACAGACAAGTGTGTGCCCAGTCTGCAAGCTGTTTGTGAGTGTGTGGGTGTGCGTATGCAGACCACAGTCGGAGTCCAGGGGCTGGCGATGTCCCAGGAGCCTGTTGTGTGTCGGCCCCAGCCAGCAAATGGTCAGCTATTGCTGGCGTGGAGAACAGCTGGCACAAAAAAACACACACAAAAGACAGACGGACAGACACACACACTCACTCACTCGCTCCTTTCTCTCTCACTAAATCAGGCTCCCGCTTTGACTTGCAGTGGCAGTGAAAGACTGTACAAAGCTTTTTAGAAAACCACAAAGTCTAGTAGTCAACAGTGGGACCATTTAGCATTTTTCATCGTGATGCGAGCTGACAGGCCACACACAGTTTCATTAGAGCAAACCTTTGAAGCAGTTTGCATGTAGGGAAATTGTGTCCAATAGTGGAAATTCCCATTAAACTTGATGCTTGTTGTCAAACGTGGCCTTTTTGATAACTCTTGCCTGCATATTGTGCACAACTTAGACACACAAAGATAAAAACACGAGCAAAACGTTACATATCTAGATATCTCGATAGCTAGATAGCTAGATAGATAGGTAGGTAGGTGGTAGGTAGGTAGGTAGAAAAATAGATACTTTATTAATCCCAGGGGAAAATTCAAACTTGTGTCCAAACTTAGCTAACTAAGAATATCCAATGGGCCTTGAAGGCGGCAGATTAACACACTAACAGAAAAAGCTCCTGCCGGCAAAACCCTGAGGATTACACCAACCAGTCATGGACACATGTGGCTTTGATAGACCTCAGAAACCCCTCCAGGAACCTTTCTAGGGACTCATGAACTGTACCTGCTTAACTCAACATAAACAGATGTATGGAGCTGCAGACAGAGAGACAGGAGGGACTAATGGAGGCAGGAAAACCTCAATGATAAGCTGCTGAAAGAAATGAAAAACCACAGGAGCACCAAAAGATAGATCCTCATCCATCAGACAGATCAGACGGGGACCAGGAACAGCTGAGCAATCCCATAGCTCCCAGCAGGTCATAGGTCACCTGGCTGACCTATATTTGAGCACAGCCAGGGACGTAACAGAGACATCAGTCATATCCTCGCACTGTGCAGGCTGCACATGTGGGATACTGTTCTGTTTTATCACTTTACTTTGGAGAGGGGAGAGGAGAGCGGCAGATCTAAAGGACGGGAAGTTAGATAAGTTAGAAAGCAGCAAGGAATATATGAGATAGAGAGCCTGGTGGTGCTAAGAAAACCAAGGGCAAGGGAAGGGCAAAACAGCAAAAGTCTGCAGAGGGATGAGGAGATAAAATGGAAAAAAAAGGAGAGGAGGTATCTTCTATCTATGATTTATCATAGCTGGTGTTTAAGATAATCCTACCAACAATGGCACACTTCCCATACTTCCTGCTTTTCCATCCAAAGAGGGGAAACAGTGACATTAGCGGCTTCAGAGCCGTGGTATTAACAAATTAGCACATTTGACATCCTAAACCTTCAGCCAACTTTTCACTTCTTTAATTAAATTCATCACAAACTTCACCCAAGAAAAATGTCTGGCACACCACAGCATTAAACTTTGTTAAACTCATTTCCCTGAGCTTTTGCATGACATCAAAGGTTCAGGCTGTCATCGGAGGAGGTCCTGGCACTTATTATTTTTGGACGAGGCTCCCTGGCATACAGACGTTACCCACAGTCCTTACTGTTAATATGATCATGCATGCAGATAGGTGCTGGTATGCTGCTGTGACAGATCGGAGAGGAGAGGAGGGGGGGCGATGGCAGGGAAATTACGAACACATTTCTCCCAAATGTGCTTCAATGTGTTCCATGCCGTCATGTGTTAGCACAACTCCACTGAAAGCAAAATGTAAATCTTGAGATGCACTGTGCTGCAGCACCGCCAGCACAAACCAGAGTGTCAAAAGTATTGACGGGTCAGGGTGTCAAAGAAATGTATTCAGAAAACGCCCACTTTCCATTAGCCAACGCAGAAAAATTCAGCCTCTGTGACCTGCTCAGCCTCCAGCTCCATGATATGACTTTATAAAAGGGGATAAAAGCCCACACAGAGTAGTGGATGTATTAAAGCAAAACACAAACTGAGCAGTCCTTGAACGGACTACAGAATCATGTTTACAGATTTAAGGCTAAAGAGCTGGAGGTCACTAATTAACTCATATTTGTAGTAAAATAATTTGCACAATTTCTTCGTGGAAAAATAACAGAAAACATGAATCAATATCAATCCCAATAAGGCAAAGCAAATCTATCAAACTGCATGTTTTGTAACTTCAACTACCGACCAAAATAGTCAGTCAAAGATAAAGAAAAGCATTTAATCAGATTGTTTTATGGATTTGCACGTCTTTTCAAGAAAGGATCCATGTATTACAAAGTTTGGAAAAAGTTGAAGAATCTTGAATCTTGCAGCGTGCAAACACTCCGTCATGAAAATACAAGTCTGGCCTCACTATAGCGTAGAGTATTTCTTTTATAATAATAACATATATAATATATAATTTCATATACCCTTATTGCATGGCTATTTTTGTATTTTTAACTCAGCAAAGATGATAAGCTGGATAATAGTTTAGGGTTCAAAAGGATGAAAACTTGAAGAGCGTGTAAAGGTGAGAGAAACAAGCATTTCCTAAGCTTACAAAGGCTTAACTTTAACTCGAGCCTTCTTTATGAATCTTTATCTACATCTCTGAAAGCCTCAGGGGCCTCTGAAGTGGAGCCAGAACCCCATCAAACCAAGACCAGAGGTGATGTCATCCTCATTGGTTAAAGCTGTCCTCTCTGGCTCTGATAAAAACAGCTGGCTCACAGCCTGTGGAGCTGCGTACAGTGTTGGCTGAGTGACATAAAGACACAAGTAGATATGCGCAAACATATACATGCACACACAGAGCTCCGTTATCAAAGAATATGATCCAACACTGTATAATAATCGGAAATCAAAACATGCTAATTTGCGCTCTTGTTGAGAGTTTGATAAGAAGATTGGAACCAAGCTGTCTGTGCAGGGAGATAACAACAGTAAGTTAGCTTAGCATGAAGAATAAAGGGAAATCATCCGACTCTTCAAAGAAGTATCATTTTATTACATCATCCTTGTGATTTCAAAGATGTCCCTGTCCTAAAACCCTACAGTTTGGCTGCTGGTAAGCTGGTATATGGCTAAATGCTGGATTTAGCTGTTGTATATTAGCTTTCTCACAATTTAAAGACCCTCTGAGCTCGACGTCTTATTTAGATAACTGTGTGAGGCAATTCTGCAGTAATATGGGGTTAGTTTGTCAAAGAACTAATTAAAACTTCTGTGAAAATGGACACTTGCACACAAATCAACCTGATACAAACTAATTGTAGCTAAAGAAAGTGCGTTGGAGGGAAATTTGTTTAACACGCATTTGTATTTTATATCTTGCCCCATGTTCCATCTGTCATAATGGAGAAGGTGGGCTTTCTGATCTGTATAGCAGTCAGCCACAAGGAGGCGCTTTAGATGTCTTCATTCAGGCTATCTGTTGTTCTGCCCGTGGTACCGTACGGTCCATGGTTTTGACCATTAAAGCACCTGTGGGTAACTCTGAGTTCAGTTGCAGACAATAAAAGTAATCTTTGCTTTTATTGTCCTTTAACCTGTTATCGTCAGGTCAAAGGTTTAGGTCACACAAAACAAGGACCAACAGACTCAATGATAGCTTCTTCCCGAGAGCTATCACTGCAGTCAACAACAACAAATCCAGATAAACCTGTCCCCTTCAACCAACATATATACTGATCATATTGATCACAGTGGAATGAATGAATCATTTATTTGTGCAATAAAACTGGGCTTCACTGTGCAATAATAGGATTTTCATATCCTTTTCGGTTTTGTATATATCTGTATATATTACTGCTTCTTACTTTTCTTATTTTTGTGTTTTTAATGGATTTTATTGGTTTTTATTTAAATACTACTGTTTGGCACCAAAGGTAGAGGGGCTCAAATTTCTTTGTACTGTGTACAATGACAATAAAGACGATTCTGATTCTGATTCTTCTAAGAGGTTAAGTCGTGTTCGCCAAAAAAGATCTCATCCTGCTGACTTTTGACTCTTAAATATCTAAATTATTGTGAATATCTTCTGTTGAAATTCTAAAAACAGCAGCTACATTTTTTGCTACTTGACAGCTGACACCTCTCTGCACTGATTCAGTCTTTAAAAATGACATTATACAAATTCAGTCTTGCCCCTGTTGGCCTTACTCACTTTTTGATATCACAAAAAAGCATCAATATGAATTTCAAGCCATCATATAAACATAAGAAAACTCCTTATAGTAGCTTTAAACACAACTCTTTGTGTGTTGTGTGTGTGAACCAATCAAAAAGCTTGCTCTACAACTTTAAATCTTTTGCTGCAGCCCTATGAATGGTAACTGTTAATTCTCTACCATGTCGTCATGATTCATTATAAAAAAGTACTGCTGTCAATTATATTTTGCTAAACATAGTTTTTTGACATTAAAAAAACTTTGTCTTAAAACTTTAAGCTCATTTTCTCCTTCATTGGGGATTAGACCTTGCACTCCACCCATCCACTTACATTGTGAAAGAGATGTCTGTAAATCAGAGGGATTTTTCAGGCACAACATCCTCCCAAGACAAACACTTCATCGCGTTTGTTTGTATCTTGATTTCCTAACTTTTGTTAAGTCTACTTGTAGCTGCCAGAGTTTTTTTTTTTAAACCATAAGGGACATGCACTGAAAGTAGCTTGCAGGGGTTGAGTCACAGCTCAGTATGGATACTGCTGGGGAGTTTTAGGGACATGAGAACGCGTTTTTGCCTCTTTTTGAATTCCTGATATGCATTTGTACTGTATCTGACTTCCTTGACTTTAATCCTCAGAAGGGGGACTTCATCTTTGTTCCCGAGCCTGATCTGAGCATGGTCACGTTTGTTAGAAAGAGCTGCCGGAGGAGTGTCATGCCTGTTAATCTCTGTGGGGCCACTTTCCCACAAGAACAGGCTCTCTGCTCTGCTGCCGTCTGGGCAGCTTGGAGCAGCTGGAGCAGCGCTGTGGGACCAAATCTCTCCTCATCCACACTTTCCTCTTGCTACACAGCCTTTTCCATAACTGCCAAGTTTAACACCTTGTTGTTTTTTGTGCACTCATCCTAACTTTCTCCCCTCAGTGTCCTCGCCTCTCTTTCTCCGGCACACTGACCTCCTGCCAGCTCTCCCTCCTCTCTGCGGTGTGAAGCAGACTGTGCAGTGACGTCAACCTGTGTCTTTAAGGTCTCCTCACTCCTGTCTCTTCCATATGGAGGCAATTTTCCTCCTTCTCTTTCTCTCTCTCTTTGACTATTACAGCCATTAGAACGTACAAACACTTTTCAGCATACGTTAAATAAACAGCCAGATTACTTCTTCACACTCCTGCAACCACTTTGGTCTCAAGTGAACCATAATCTCTGGCGTTACAGACTCAGCGGATGTGTTAATCTTTGTGTGGAATAATATCCACTGACTGGCAAGTGACACTTTCCAAAATGCATTGTAATAACGTCTGTGTTTATTCCATTAGTTTAAAAGTATGTTTTCTTAACTCGTGGTGGATCTCGCCCTTCCAAGTGCAACAGTGAATAATTCGGCAAAATGGAACAAGATGCGGTAATTATGACCAATAACAAAACGTGCTCATTGAGGTAACTGTTAATGTTGGATTAATTTGGACTGACTGAGCCAGAGCTTTTCAATCACAGGCAAATTACAGCATTGTGTGACAAAAAGAGTTGCTGGTTTGAACAAAGAGATTCGAAAAGAAAGTTCTTAAAACAACTCTGCATTTGAAATAACTCGACCACAGCAAGATCCCACTTACATGCATCACAGTGTTGAAAACACAGTGCGTGAAAACATGTTTGTCACTGTGGTGGCATGCTGTGGCTACACATACACATAGAAATGTACATCTATATATAAATAAACAGCCTGACATTAGACCTTCATCCACCCTCTCCTTCTGTTTCTTTAGGCCGGCTGCGGTCGCTCACCCCTGGGTGAAAATGTGGGTCTTTACTGGGCTTGCAGTCTGCGGTTTGTGGTATCCAGAAGGCCCAGACTGCATCCCACTTTACAAGCTGCTCCGCTGGACGTTCCTTTGAGATTTTTCATTCATTTTTTTTTTGACTCCTAAAGCCAAAATGATATTTAAAGAGACGGCTAAACTGCCTCTGTGCTGTCTACAGTTAGCATATGTGTGTTTTATAAGCGTGTGTGCTAATAACAGGGATACAGAGGGAGAGTTTGATTTTCTAATCTGTCTTCCAGGCACAGAAACGTTGTGTGATGGCACGCCTGTTAAAGAAAAGGTACAAACCACATCAAACATCAGGATCCCTTTCAGCTGTTGTTTCACTGCAGATCCCAATAAAAACGGCTTTCAGTCTTAATCCACAACAACTTTACAGTTCAATCAAAAGGCCGACCCCTGCACAGAAGCTCTATTAGCAAGCTACCCTACTACACACCACCAAACATAAAAAAGTCATTGAAGTGGGAAAAAGCGGCCTGCTGCTGCTAAAGAGACACAGATGAACACATGGCCTTCATTTCAGACCTTCATCATTCAGAGAGAGTTGGAATTTTATATCATTTAAGGAGAAAGAAAGAAGCCCACACAAGAAACTTACCCTCGCGACACTCTTCTCCGACAAAGCCCGGGCAGCATTTCCACTCCAGCGCGGTCACCTGCTTGTAAGCCACCTTAAAGGACGGCCTGATCAAGGTCCTGTAGCTGGAACAGACGACAGTCAGACCTCAGGAACATGTACTGCAAAAGTGCTTCAAAGCAGACATGACTCCAAATACTTTTCTTTGATTCCCTTGAGAAGTGTCTGTGAGGCATGGTGTGTGTGTGTGTGTGTGTGTGTGTGTGTGTGTGTGTGTGTGTGTGTGTGTGTGTGTGTGTGTGTGTGTCAGGTCATGTTAGGACAATACAGAGGAAGGAATGAGAAAGAGCAAGAAATGTCTCTGACCTGAATGGAAAAAGAAACACTATTTTTACTCTAACGTCCATGTTTGTGTTAATGTATCAAATGCACTCATATTGTAGAGAGAATTGGAGCTTTATTTAATTTATTTACAAATTTAAGCACAGTTTGTGAATACTAAATCAATGGCGATAAAATGTTCCTGTTATCCAAGAAGAGAAACTTAATGTTTGCCTTGAAATCTGAGTTTTCTGGAAGAATCAACCTCCACAAATACAGAAAATTTAACATAAAAGAGAACTAAATATGGCAGGAAAAGACTACAAATCCCATCACCCGCCCCTGAATTACTTACAGAGCTCATAGAAAACCAGAGTGTGACCAAAAACAAAGAATTAATGCAGGGAGTCTTGGGGTACCTGATGACTTTGGGGCAGGGTCCGGGCCATCTGCAACCCTGAAACACCCTCTGTACTGAGGTTTCGGTCCCATTGTGCACCTGACAGGTCACTGTTTTGGAAACAGTGTACTGACACCAGTTCCTAAAATACAAATGAAAAAAGATTTTACAATCGGGATTTGGACATAATGTAAGAAATCTCTCAAAAAACATAGTTAAAGAACATTGTGGATTGGTGTAAAACTTTTAATAAACTAGAATACTTTTGTGACTTCAATATGCTGCAGCACCCACAAAAAATCAACATCTTACATTTAATTTTCTTTAATATCTGCAGTATTAAGTCATAATATGCAGTCTGTGTATGTGCTCACCTGAGTTGGGTGCTAGACCCGGTTCCTGGTGGTCCTGTGTTGCTGCTCTGCTCCGATTTGATTCTCTGCCGCTGCACAGTGATGCCTGGAAAGCGATAAACAAACCCTGTTCCCAGCGAAGAACACACCAAGCTCATCCACATGCACAGCGTGTAGAGGTATGATAAAGTCATCATCTCTCTTTGATTGATCTCTAACACCGATATCCGAAGAAACTGGAGACTTTCAAGTAAATCCTTAAGTTATAAATCCGTCTTTGTCGGGTTTTATGGGATGTGGAGGTCTAAGGAAACCCCACTGAAACCCTTAACAAGTTTGTCATTTCATCTCCCGCGACGAGAAACAAACTAACCCTCGAAAAAGCCAAAAATGAATGACACACCGCGTCTTCCTATAGAATAACGCAGCTCTATGACGTTTGACATCGTGCCGGAGACCGAGGAGTCAAATATCCATCGTGCGTAAAAAGCGCGCGGAGTGTGAGGGTTGGGGATGCGGTGCGTAAAAGCGCATCTGGGGGCGATCGAGAAAAAAAAACAACAGTTTTCATGTCGGTCTTGGGAGGTAAACTGAGCGGCTCATATTGAACTTTATAAACTCAACTCTTTTTGTGGTCCCCTAACCCCCAACTTTGGGATTTCATAAACATTTAATGCATGCCTGAGCGCTGACATTGTATGTTTTCTATTACTTCCTTTGTGGTCATATAATCTGGAGCGTTTTGCCAACTACTATAGGAGCAAATGTTGGAAAACGCCTTTAAACTGATATAAAAGTAAGGCCTAACCAAATAGATAAGATATATTTGTGAGGACAGTTTTCCCATCAGCTACATGCATGAGGTTATAAATTTGGAGCGCCATGAAAAAAGTTATTACAAACAAAAGGAAAGAGTTACTATCAACTATAAATCAATCATTATCAATTTTTTCTCTCTCGACAATTCGACTGAGGTCAAATTTTTGATGAAGCATCTTTGTCTTGGTCAGCCAATTGTGGATTAATTTCCTCACAGCCCAGTCCTGGGGAATAAAAAATAACGGATTTATTACTTCAACTTCTGACAGTCTCGTAAATCAGACTTTATATCATATTGCTACACTCAAAAAGCCAAGTTTTTGACTTATCTCATAACTTTGACTTATTGATTCAAGGTTGACGCATATTTGTAGTCTGATTTACCCGTGTCTTCATATTTTCTTCCAAGCTGAGAAACTTAGGTCGTTAATTATGTCATCAATGACCAAAGTTGAGAAACTTAAAGTAAACTTTTTTTTTCTAATGAAAGGACTCACTCTGTAATCCCAGAGCTCCACTCTGTAGTGATGGGCAGGACAGTTCTTTTAGATGTACTGAATCACTATAATCAGTTCACTAAAAAGATTCGTTCACCAAATCACAGAATCATGTAGCACTTCGTGGGAGAAGACCTGCGACTCCAACCTCCTGAACTGAACAATTCAGGATTCAGTTCAGTTCAAAGCTTCTGGGACCGGGAGACGAGAGTGTTTGTCTGTGTTGCTTTGGCAAACAGGTTTGTAAAAATGAACTTGTTTATAAGTCATGATGTTTTAAGTGTACTGTCCTATGGTATGCTATTTATCAGGTCTGCTCGGTAAATTGGGCTCAGTGAATGATTCGTTCACAGAAGAATTCACACTGAACGTGCACTGTTCCCTCTCACACCTCTGCAATGGCAGGATGCTGCGGGTATTATGCACTACTTGTTACATGCTGTGTCCTATTGTATGCAAGTTTTTGTGGTGGCAATTTAGCGGTGAAAAAAAAACAGAAGTGTTGTCCTACAAAATGATTCCAGAGAGTGCAGTTCAATGCGTGATTCGTTCACCAAGTGATTCAGGTGTCGGTGCATGTGGTCCCTCGTTCGCTGGCTGCTCAACTGGCAATGCTGTTTCTCACTTCAGTTAAACTAAAGTGAGAAACGAACGAATGACTAGAGGAAGTGATTCAGTTTAGTGCGTTCACTTAGGGTGCATTCACACCACCCTCGTTTATTCCGGTTGAACCGAACCCTGGAGCGTTTACCCCCTTGGTGCGGTTTGTTTAGGTTGGTGTGATCGCTGACCTCGAACTCTGGTGCGGACCAAATAAACGAACTCTGGTTTGCCTGAAGAGGTGGTCCCGCTATCAAGTGAACTCTGGAGCGGTTAATTTCCGGTGTGAACGTCATCTACACCAATCACAGGAAACGCACCACACACGTCATTAATGCCTGTTGCCGTCTCGTCTTTATCCGTCTGTTGTTTGCAGCACGTCTACCCCAGAATGTATTAATTAATGCCGCAGTTCACGCTCACCGGCTAACGAGCCGTTCATACGCACGATCGACTAGCGTCTTTTGATACATGCTCCAGATGAGTAGCAAAAGCAAAATCAGCCTACGATGCTCCGTGACAGGCGAAGACAGCAGAGCAGGGTTTGTATTCCCGCATAAACTACTGACCAATAACCGAACGATATTCGCGGTCATGTGACTACCAGTTCCGTTTTTGTGGAGCGATTGCGTTTGTCCTTTGTGAACGCAAACCGAACCGGTTAAACAATCAAAACAAATGTATCGTCTTGCCTTGGATTTGAATCAGGAAACGGACCTTTAGGTGTGAACAAGACCTTAAACGATTCGATTCTTTACAACGGATCGTTCGCGAGCGACACATCACTACCACTCTGGTCGGCAGCGCCCCCTGTTGACCCTTCAGACTCTGTGCATGCCGGAGGAGGAAGGAGACGTGTACCACACAGAGATTAGCCTGAGCGGACAGATGAAAGTAGACAGCACCGGTGGAAACATGGAGGAACAAGCAGAAGTTGAAACAGCAGAGAATCCATTTGAGCCTCTCGTCGAGTCTATTCTTCAGCAGCTGGAGGACCAGGACCCGGTGTTTCTGATCGGGTTGATCGTCGCTCTGGCGGTCGTTGTTATCACCTGCGGTGGGTAATTTAATGTTAGCATGCTCACATTAGCCTAACATGCTCGGTTTAACGTTTAGCTTTACCAACAGGTGGACTTTGCTGAAAGCTTTTTGACAGTTTGGGTTTAAATAACTCGTCTTTAAGCTGTTTAACCCCAATGAGGATAATTAGGAAGCAAAAAAATATATTTATATGTTCGTAAAGTTGAGTTAGCAAGCGAGGAAGCTAGCAGCTAAGATGAAACACGTCAACGGTTTTCTAGTTTGTCATCCTAAAAATAAAGGTTTGAAGTTAAGTTAGCCCTCTCTTTTTTGTCTTTGCAGTTTTTCTGAAATACTTTCTATCCAGTAAAACAGTCAGAAGTGCGGTGCTGCTGGTCGGACTGTGTGACTCCGGGAAAACCCTCCTCTTCAGCCGGGTAAGTGTGCAGCCGAACGTGGTCCCCATCGCCACGTTGCGGTACCTGGATGTCACCTTTATGCCTTACTTTCTTTGACCCTGGAACACTTCTGCTAAAATGAGTAACACCATCACCATCACCGGGTGATTTTTACCAGAAACAGTATTCCCAAGAAAAAGTACTTGTCATCAAAATATACCAAAATAGGACCATACATGACAAGTTGGTTTTCTTTTATCTTTAACTGTGCAAAGAGAGGAAATGGACAGTGTGGGGGGCTTGTCTGATTTGGAGGGGTAGCTAGTTCCATAATTTTAGGACCAACAGAAAAAGATCTATCCCCTCTGAGAACCAAAATATGGCAGATTTTGAGTGAGTAAAAATGACCAGCTGACTAAAATATTTCTTATCACCATACGAATTCCGTGGAAATCCATCAAACCTACTTTACCCTCCATCACTATTGCTGGTTGAAAATCACCCTGTGAACACGTGCCCCTAGGAAAAAGCAGGTTTTTTGGATCAGGGAAACAAATGTGTCTTCAAAGATGTCAAGGGCAATGCTGAAGCTACCCAGGGACCCATGATACTCAGACAAACGCAACACAAGGAAAATCACCCGGCGATAGTGTTTGAGGGTTAAGACAATAATAAGCCTTTTGAAAATGATTTCTTGATTTTACAGCTACTGTCAGGGAAGTTCAAGCGCACACAGACCTCCATCACTGACAGCAGTGCTCCTTACAAAGCTAAAAATGACAAGGTAAGATAAGGGCAGAGTTATTAACGCTTGGAGTTGTAAATCTGTCTAGCTCATAGGTGACCTCTCTCCTTCTTATACACAGGCAAACACCTGGACTTTGATAGATCTACCTGGGCATGACAGTCTTCGCCCACAGTACCTGGAGAAATTCAAATCTGCAGCCAGGTGAGAGCAGAGCAGGACAGCCCGTGCGGATTAACGGTTGCCATAAAACCCTCCATCTACTTGTGGGATAAAGTTACTGGTGACAGCATTTATACAACCTGATCTGGCCTCTCATTATCACCCTCTCCAGAGCAATTGTGTTCGTAGTGGACAGCGCCATCTTCCAAAAGGAGGTGAGGGATGTGGCAGAGTTCCTTTACATCTTGCTGACAGACACTGTGATCTCCAGGAACGCCCCAGCTCTCCTGGTAGCATGCAACAAACAAGGTTCAGCAACCCCTCTTCTGCAAAATTATATATATTTTACCTCTTATTCTTCATTGCAAACCTGCCCCAAATGTTGCTGTAATCCACTGTTCTCTTTGTTCCACAGATATCACTATGGCAAAATCAGCCAAGTTAATTCAGCAGCAGCTTGAAAAGGAGATGTAAGTCCTCTGATTTGTTTTAGTAGCTTTAGTTATCAAGATAGCGAACATTTTTTTTAAGCCACCTTTTGTCATATTTCTTTCAGGAACACCTTAAGAGTGACTCGGTCAGCAGCGCTCAGCTCTCAGGATGGCTCTGTCGGTGGCAGTGTGTACCTGGGGAAAAAAGGCAAAGACTTTGACTTCAGCCAGCTGCCCATGAAAGTGGAGTTCCTGGAGTGCAGCGCCCGTGGCAGCAAGGGTGAAGATGGGGATGCAGATTTAGTGAACCTCGAGAAGAGTCTGGCTAAACTGTAAAACCAGCAACATCCTTAAAGGGCAGAATATTTTTCAAAAACACACTGAATCAAACACATCCAATCCATTGCTTCTCAGTGGAGGATTTCTTTGTCAGGAGTGAGTCAATAAATATGGTCTGATCTGTGCTGACTGTCAGTGTGACGATCAAAACAATATCAGATGGTGGAGGAGCGTGAGACACATTGAATCATAACATACCAAAAAGACTGAGAGTCATGTAGGAAGGTGCAGAAGCTTTTCAGGTTGCTCTGCAGTGCTGAGACGTTTGTGCTTTTTCACCGTCAATCCAACTGTGAACATCCACCTTAAATTGCTTTTTGGCTTTGTTTATAAAAATGTACTTTCAAGAATTTTCCTATATTACATTTGCTGTTTAGAATTTTGCGTAAATTATAAAGGCTGTCAAGGAATTTCAAAATTTTTGTTTTAAATGTAAGTAGTGTGACCTGTAAGCTGCCTTGATCAGATCGTTTTTGTCCAGAATTACATTTATTCAAACCTGCTATGTGCCTTTTTTTCTGGTGTTAGGAGCGTTTTCTGCTTGTGTGCAAAAGAATGATAGTGTTCTTGTATAAAAGTGTAGTATGAAAAGAGAGTGTTTGCTATGGATGTTTGAATTTATTAAAAATGTGTCTGTATGTACTTCACCTGTTTGACAACTGGTATAGATTTTTCTGATGCAAAGACATTGAAGAATTGATCAAAATAGCAGTCTCTTAAATTTAGAGCCTTTCATCAACCTATGGTAGAACTCGAGAACCTGCAATGATAAATGAGCAGCTAACGTTGTTAAATCTTTGCGTTATATGAGGTGCTTATATGTAACTTTTCATTTCTTAGAGCTTAAAAAACATAAAATGTGTTGCCTTATTTTCCATGTTTAAATCCTCAGAAAGCATTGCATTAAATATGACTGAACAGCTGTCAGTTTGCCCATAGTCTGTCTTTAATCTGGATTAGATTGGGATTTTTGTGCTTTATTTCAAGATCCTCAGGTTCATTTCTTTCATGGTCTGGTGTGGTAGCTTCACAAGGCTTAAGGGGAAATTCTGGTGTAAAATTAATTTAGGGTCAAACACACCGTAACACAGAGTTAGACACCCCCAACGAGAGATGAATGTTGCCGACCGCTTGTTTCTTTAGTTATATCAACTTTAGTAATGACTGCAGGATAGCAATACACAGCGGTCTGAGGAGCCATAAACAAATCTCATCCAAAACGCCACTCTATAGCCACATATAATGCTCAGAACAGCACCTAACTTCATCAACAGTACATACAGGGTCCTAGCCATAGTACCAGCAACCAAACATCTTCTTAACTTTGCCTATTTTCTTAAGCAAAGAGGTTAAACACAACTCACCTACACTCTTCCAGCACCCGCTTGTAGTGAGACCTCAAGCCATTCCATTACGGACTGCAGTGGGGTGACACAGCTCAAGGAACTCAGTGTTTCGGTGTGTCTGACCCTAAAATTAATTTTACACCAGAATATCCCTTTAAATACTTTTTACCCCCAAAACATTTCTACTGATTTCTAAAAGGGCCACGCATGCAAATGCCCTGGTTAGCCAAATCCAACTTGATTACTCTTAACTCATTCAACAATTTGTCTATTTCTGCAAAGATTGCTTGTTTAGGGAGGCAGTACTGTTGGTTTCTGTTTCACAGTTCAGATTTATTTTAAAGGAGAGATAGACCCCACTCACTGTGGTGATAATCAAGTCACTAAGTCGTCCAAAATCCAAATAATCGGTGTAAAACTGCCAAAAATGTCTTTAAACCCACAATAAGGTATATTCAAAGTAGCATGCTGTTATTAGCCAGAGCGAAAGAAACAGTTTGTAATGAAGTGCAGGGTTCTATAGTGGAGACAGAGGGTAGACTGAAAGACTGGAGCTCTGATCTGCAACCACTACACAAGGCTCTCCTTTCAGCACTGCAGGGCACAACCAGTTCACCTTGTCTCCGTGATCAATGTTCAGTTTGGGTCCAGACTTCTCTTCTGTCACCCCCTCTGCACCTGCAGCCTCTGCCTCTTCACCCTCCCCCTCAGCTGCTTCTTTCTCAGCTGTAGTCTTCGGTGGCATCTTTGCTTTGTCTCTGGGTTGCTCTTTCCTCTTTCCTTTGCTCTTGTTCTTCCTGCGAGGAGCTGCGGCCACTTTAGCTTTTGCATCCAAAGATACGACTGGGTGCTTACTGAGGTCCCACAGGGCGACCTGGCCGTCATTCCCACCAGTGACGAGCCAGTAAGGGTGAGGAAGGAAACTAACAAAGTGGGCTTGTGAAGCCCCCTGGCTGTGGGCTTTGATAATTCCCTGCTGTTCCAGTTTAGAGCCGCTGCCAATCCTCATGAGATGCACCCGTCCGTCCTCTGCTGCACAGCCCACAATGTTTCCACAACCCGCCACAGATACACAGTGGGCTAGGGGTGGGTTGAAAAGTTGACCAGGTTGGGGCTGATGGCCGTCTTCTTCTTCTGCTATATCCTGGAGGTTGATGGTCCATAAGGGACGTGTCTTTTGTAGACCCCACAGCATCACCTGAAGCAACAAATAATGAAGCAAATTACTCTCAAGACAGACACATCAACCAAAGAAGACATGCTAGCACAGATTTTCTAATCCTTAGTCTCCCATCTGTCTTACCTGCATGTCCAGTCCAGCAGACAGCAGGTTATTTGGCCTGTGTGGTCTAAACACCACAGAAGAGCAGATGTTCGTGTGTCTACGAAGAGTCCTGCATACTTTCCCCCCTGGGAGCTCCAGTACCCGAACTGCCCCAGAGTCATCAGCCACTGCCAGGGCTGACCCGCTCTCATTTAGTGCTAAAGCGTTGATCTCCTCCTCTCCTGCACCCTGAAACTCTTCCACCGGGCCCTTAAGGTTTCGGGGGTCAAGTAGACTCACAGCCTCTCCGTGTGATACATACAGACTTTGAGCCCCAGCTGCAAACACAACACTGGTGCAATCATCTTCGCTGGAAAGTCTGAGGCGTCCGGTAATGGTTCCCTCTTGGCTCCACAGGGTGACCTCTCCACCTTCAGAGCCCGAAGCCAGGAGACCCTCAGGACCTGGAGACGCCCCAACACACAGGATGGATGAGGAGTGGCCGTCAGACCACTGCCGGGCCATGCTAAGCCTGTGAAATGTGAGTGAATAAGGCAGAGACAGGGAAGAGTTTAGGTGATCTTTGAGACAACAGTGTAGACGGCGTCACATCACTCCAATTTTAGCCTCAAATAAAGTTGTTATTATTATTATAGTTAACAGATATATATATTGTAATATATCGATCCGTTTTGTCTATTTTAATATGGGGCTCATGTGCAAAGAGAAATATGCTTTAAACATCTGTATTATAAATTTACAAAACAGCAGGTTACAACTTTGAAACAGCACAAACAACCAACACCAAAGTCCTGATTCTACTTTAGCTTTCTGCTAACGCGCAACACACGAAGCTAAAATTTTAGTCCCTGTTCGACTCAAGTGCTCGCTGTGAGAGCTGATGTGCTAATAATATTCTGTTTATATGAAACAACCAAATACGACGTATTGTTGATATTCGCGTTATTTTTATGAGAGCAGATAATTTACTCTACCTCAGAAATTGTCCTCAAAACTTCCTCGGATTGCCATGTGCGGTTCAGTCGCTCCCGGATGACGTCACAAATCCATCACAAATCCCCTTTGCCCTGAGTTTCGCATGTCAGGCGCATCGTTCAGGTTTTTATTTATTTTAATCCTTTTTTTTTTTTTTAGCAGATTGACTGAGTTTTAACTCCTCAAACAAGTTTTGAGAGAATGAGTCAAAAGGACTGGCCATCCTCTACTTTAACTGCCTTTTCACCAAGCAGTCTGTTCAGCTTTGGTGGGTATAGTAGGGGAGAGTGGGGTAAGATGAGCCATTTTTCATATTTCTGATCACTACATCAAGACAATCATAGTTTTGTCTCTAACTAGTGTATCTGCATATATTTCAAGATGTTGCATCCCTGCAAACCAACAGAATGTAAACATAACTGTCTTGATAATATAGCGTGCAAAAAAAAGTGGTCTCCTATGGTCAACTTACCCCATACACAGGGTAAGTTGACCATAGGAGTGGGGTAAGTTGAGCGATATCTCTACTGGTTCAACTTACCCCAGAACTACTATTATGACTTTATTAGTCCTCTAAGCTAAAATTGTGGACTTTATTGCTAGGATTTTGACTTCATGTTGTAGCTCATAGATACCACAATTGATGTACAAAACAAATTTAAAAGGATCGTTTTTGGTCCAATTCTAATAAAACTTATGACAGATTAAATTAACTTTCAAGAGTGAAAGATGTTTTTTTTTTTGTAAATAAATGTCTAACCCCTTCACCCATGCACTTCTAACCTTCGCAGACTTCATGAATTTATGCCCATCTCCTAAATATTTGGTCACATGATCAATTTCTTTTACCCTTTCCGATCAACAGGGGGTGGCTCAACCTACCCTTTGGCTCAAATTACCCCACTCCCCCCTATTTAAGCATGGTCCAAAGTTAGAAAAGGTGCCAAAAGAATAATACCCTCAAGTTGGGGAACCCAGAGCCAGACATCAAGGTCCACTACGCCAAATTCACCTCAAATAGGCTGCATGGTAGAAACGCACCATTTTTTCTTTGGGGAAATCTTGTTTCCTGCCTTCAAACCTGAGCCAATTATGAAAAAAATCAAACAGGTGTACTGAAACGCAAAATCCTGCCATATGAATAAATACAAAACTATAAAATACAAAGGAGCATTGTTCTGTACAGTACATAGAGAATTAGAAATAAAAAAGGAGAGTGTAACACAGTGTACAGAGAAGACAGAACACCCCATTATTGTTCAGCGGGTCCCCCTCACCCTGCCCTTATTTCCACAATGGCTGCTCTCCGCTGATTCATCCAAACCTGTTGATCTGATGAGTGCGGTCCATTTCTGGGTCAGTGAACAGCTTGCCAAGCTGCTGCTCTGAATAGGGAACAGAGGAGAGAGGCCATACATTTTAGACTCTCACCCGAAAACACACACAGGCCAACTACACACTCACACAACACAAATACACACATGTTACACTGTTAACCCACTATTCAAATGCTGACACATACTGTATGTCCTGCCAAAGGAACAGCGGAGTTCACGGAGAACTTTAGATGTAAGTACTCTGCACTCGTTTACCTTTCTTTCCCCTGCAGGTCACCTGTGCAATAGATACTGCTTTTTTTTCTTTATTATTATGATGCAATTATGCCAAGCTGTAAAAAATAGCAAATGGAAAAGTATTACACATGGTTCTACAGTTGCTGAAATTGGACGTGTGAATTCGTCAGCAGGTTTAAATGACAGTTTGTGGTCTAGTTAGTGAGAAGATGTTTTCACATTGTTTCGTTAATTTTGATCAGTCAAGAGCTCAAGGTAAGAGATGTGTTTCAATTAGTTTCATTCGGATGCTGCAAGAAATATATTAAAGAATTAGAGTTTGATCATGAAAACCTTGCAAGTGACTGACAATGCAAATCCTAACTGTTCTGGTTGAGGTAGCAAATACTTCTTGCTTATGAAAATTGGCTTTTTAATCTGTTTTTTTTCCTGACACGATAAAGACTAATCATACTTTTTGTATAAGGTAAATTAAAGGAAAAGTAGACATGTGGCATTGGAAGAAAACTTCGATGCAATTACACTGTGATGCCAAAATGCCAGCCTTACTAAATAAATAAATACATTAATATACAAACTTTCTAAGGACTAACCTTTGTCAGTCCGTTCCCTGATAGCTGGAGTAAAATCCCTCAGCAGCTGATTCTCTTCATCTCTCTCAGAGGATTTTGTTACACACCAGTGAGAATGAGGTCGCCCTATTTCCCAGCGAGGTCGGTGCTGTTCCGCAAGGAGCCAAATGGGGTGACATACCGAGTCCCAGCTCTGCTCTACCTGTCCCGCTCCAGCTCCTTCTTGGCCTTTTGTGAGGAGAGACTCAGCCCGTCTGACTCTGAGGCTCACCTGCTGGTCATGAGGAAAGGGACCTTCTACAGGAACTATGTGGAGGTCAGTGAAGGAGAACTGTACTTTTTTTGTTTGCTTCTTGTTATCGGTATGAATTTCAGTCCATTTCACAAATGTGCTTTAAAACTCCTATATGGAACTTTATTTGGGGGGTTATTGTAGAGCCCCTTTGTACAGACACCTCTTCTTTCTTCGCTGATTTTGTCCTACATATGTGAGAAGGTTTACTGAGGATGTGCTGTCTTTCTACAGTCTTTAAATAGTTTGTGCTGGAAATGAAAAAAGGGGTTGTCTTTAGTGTGCTGTTATTTGTTATTCAAATGTACATTTCATGTGTTTTCTGGCAATAACAGCCTATTTTCTGTCGTTTTCAATATCTCAGGATAATTTTCTGGCAATGATGGGATAATTGTCCAGCAATCTAGAAAACAACACAATAGGCTGGTCATTGTAAAAGCCAGACAACAACATGCCATGCTGCCATTGCACACACTAATAGAGCAGGTTCAGTCTGTGTTTGTAACTGTAAAAGTTATGATCATCTGATATTAAAGCTCCTGTGAGTGGTTTCACACTGGTTGTGAAACAGATTGAAATTGATGCTGATGATGATTTAATATTTAACATCCACATTTCATTGTCAAAAGAAAGCAGGATAAGATTTTTTGTAAGAACATTTTATCATTTTTGTCTTAGCTCCACCAACAATTGGTATGAAGCAAAAGTTCCCTACAGGAGCTTTAAGTCGTAATCTTGAGAGGCAACTGAAATTGACTTTTTATGACAGGACAGTTGAGTTAAAATGAACATAAAGATGCTTTTTACTGCTTAGCATATCTGTAAATGGCATTAATATGATAAAGAATACATGAACATAACCATACTGATGTATCAATAGAGATAACACTAACATTATAACAACTAGACTTAATTGTCTTTGTGCCATCAAGGCCATCAAGAAAGTACAAACAAAACAAAGAAACTCAGTTAAAAAAGTGAATAAGTTATCTTTGAGTGTAGACTAGAATATCAGAGATGGAATTTGTGAACTGAGCCTCTGATTTGGAGTATTTCATCATGTTTAACTTTGTCTTGAACTTTATCTTCGGCCCTCTGCTGCCTCTGTTCACATTAAATGTCATATTTTTGACAGTACATGGTTCTCTCTGATCGTCCTTCCCTCTGTTTTCCAGTGGGAGGACATGCGTGTTCTGGGCACTGCCTTCCTGCCAGGTCACCGCTCGATGAACCCGTGTCCGGTGTACGATGAGTTCACAGGTACCCTCTTCCTGTTCTTCATCTCTGTCCTGGGACACACCTCTGAGTCCTACCAGCTGGTTACGGGGAAGAACGTGACCCGACTCTGCTTCATCAGCAGCACCGACGACGGAGACACCTGGAGTCCTGTCACTGACCTCACACAGAGAGTGATAGGAGACACTATTAAAGGTCAGAATACAGAGCCAAAAATCGACTGATTTAAATGTCCAAGTTGAGAAAAAATCAGTGTGAAGGGTGTAAACTACATCAATATTAAATTCTGATGTCACTTCCCTGCAGAATGGGCCACCTTTGCTCTCGGCCCAGGCCACGGGATCCAGCTGAAGTCTGGTCGCCTGCTGATTCCTGCCTACGCCTACCACATCGACTGCAAAGAGTGTTTCGGCACCTTCTGCCAAACCACTTCCCACGCCTTCTGCTTCCACAGTGACACCCACGGGCGAACGTGGCGCTTCGGGGAGGCGGTTCCAGGCCCAGAGAGCGTGGAGTGTCAGATGGTGTCAGTGGATGAGGAGGATGGGACTAATGTGCTGTACTGTAACGCTCGCAGCCCTCTGGGTTACAGGGTGCAGGCGCTCAGTCTGGATGATGGAGCTGCGTTTCAGGAGGGACAGCTGGTGCAGCGGCTGGTGGAGCCTCGGAATGGTTGCCATGGTAGCATAGTAGGATTTCCTGCCCCTTTGCACCTGTGTCAATCTCTGCCTTATCACTTACAACAACCTTCACATCCCTCCAGACACTGGGCACCCTATGTATCCCACTCAGATTCCACCATACCTCCTTCTCCAAATCAAAGCCCCCCTCCAGATTTCCTCACCCCAACCTGGGTTGTTTACTCCCACCCAACATGGACCACTGCTCGCAAAGACCTGGGCGTGTTCCTCAGCCTATTCCCTCGGGATCCTGATAGCTGGCGCGGCCCCTGGGTGATCTATGAGGGCCCCAGCGCCTACTCCGACCTCGCCTACTTGGAGTTGCCGTCCTCACCTGGAGCCCCGCCCGCTGTGGCTTTCGCCTGCCTGTTTGAGTGTGGCACCGCCACGGCTTATGATGAAATCTGTTTCAGCATCTTCACCCTCTACGAGCTCATCGATAACCTGCCTGGAAATGTGCAGCTCGGTCGCAGCTGTGAGGAATGGAAATGGCAGAGGAATAAAAAGCCTGAAAAAAGTGGACATGATGCTTTGGTGAGGAAGAGGAGGAGAAACAAGCTCACAAAGATGTGCTCTGTGTCTTAGAATTACCTTGTGGAGTTCTGCTACCGATGGAAATGATGAGCTTAGATAGATGACGGCTGTACTATCAAACAAAATGGATTTGGAGTTATAATGAGGCCCAGATTTCACATTTATGAACCTATTTAGATAAATGTTTCCTCACCTAGGCCACTCTGGTGTGCCTAAATTCAGATATCTTAAACCTGATCTGGAGCGAAAGAGTAGTTTTGTTTTGACTCCAGAGAACATTGATTCCCTGATGCCTTCTCAAATATTGTCTTATGTGGGCTAAAAAAGGCTTGTTGCTGTTGTTGTGTTGAAATGATGCCTTGGTGTTTGAGAGGATTTGATGTATTAAAAGTAATCAGGTTCACAGATTTGATGTCATCTTCTTCAAAGCTCATGTGAGGGACTTTCAGTTTGTGTTGATTTTGTATTTGAAGTTTGAAGTTTCGCCCAGCTGATCTGTATGATATGACTCCTTCCCAAAGGTTACATTTCATTCTTGATGAACTTGTGATTTGTCAATACGAAACATTTTGAAATACATTATTATTGCTTATGGAAATCATGTCAGTAACCTTTGTTTCGAATGGTTTCAATGAAGGACTTATAAGAAACTCCACGTGTTAAAACCTTTTTAGGGGCTGAGCTGTCCTACAAGTCTGATCCTAAAATCACTGCTGCTGTTAACATATCTACTGAATAGGGCTGCTGTGATGTAGAGGTATTTACAGTGAATGTTTTTACTAAAATCGTAAGTATTGATATGAAAATAAGCAAATATAATACCTGAGTTCATAGCTGAGGTCCTTTATGCTTTTTACACGTCATCCAACAGAGGAGAGATGAAGACGCAGCAGCAGCAGCAGCAGCAGCAGAGAGCTTGTGAACTCTTTCTTCTAAAATTCAGTATTTTATAAACTCATATGCAAAGCTGTAGCTTGCCCCCTTTCTAATCAATCGAACCTTTATGCTTTCTATTTTTGACTGTTTTCATTCAGTTCTGTAACTTGCTCATATTTTTTTTTAAAAGCATGATTTTACAATGTGTAAACAAAGAAATTTGGACAGAAGACAGAAAAATATGAAAATAAAAACATGGCATACAAAAGTTTTAAGATGCAATTTTTTCTCTGAAGAAGTTTCCCAGCCAGTGATGAGGAAAAATCGGACATTTGAGTGTCATAAGAAACGGGCAAGAACGTGAAAGTTGATTGTTTTAAAAAAATGAAGGTGAAGTTTCCGGCAGTGCTTTTGCAGTTGATTGTGCAGATATGAAGAAAGACTTGGATCTTTGCATCTTAACAACCCTAAAATGTGCCTCATGATGTTTTAATCTGACTCAGAGAGTTAAATTTCTTTCTCATTTAATCCGTCAGGCGAGGCTGTAGCCCATCAAGCTCACATATTAATCACAGCTGCCACACCAGTAGAAGCTCTAATGGGATAAATGTTTCTCCACTAATCAGCTCCTCCTGTGAGGACTCTGAAACATTCAGAGGCTGTCAGCCGAAGTGAGTTCTTGGAGAACAAACGAAGACCAGAACCAGATTAAAGTGGAGTGATTTGTTGAGTTAAATGCCTCATAAAAATAAACAGGAAGACAGCAGGATCTGGACAGTCTCTCCTCTCTCGTTTCCCCTCCCTTCCTCCTCAGTTACATAACTCAGCTGTCAGGAGGTTTATTTCCCAGCCTGTAGTCTCTCGTAGAGGAGCTCTCTTCCCTATTATTCATCTTAAACAGTGTATCATAATGATCATGTTTATTATCGCTGCTGTGGTGATGTTTTCGGGGGTGACTGGAAGCCTCAATGTGACGGAGAGTCTTGAGGCTGATACAGCGGACATGTTGGCTCATCCAAACAGCGTACCGGAGTTCACAGAGGAGGAAACAGAGATCCTTGGACAGGTAAGAGGAAAATAACCTCCACTCCTTCTGTGTGTCACTATTTTTCTTCTTTTTAGGTTTGATTTGCTCAGATTTTAAAACAATGGCTGAAAACTGCAGGTTTTAAAGAATTAAGTGCTTGTAAGAAATTGTTGAGACATGGGAAGTTCTCTTTAAAAGACATTTCTTTGTTGCATACATCATAACATCCGGATCATTCTGTACACAGTACAAAACCCATAATAAGCCCGAGTCAAAACACAGAGCTTTCCACTGTTTTGCAAAATGCTGGCTGCAGAACTGAGAGGTCAAACTGCAGTAAAAATAATGGTAATAAATATGTTTTCAGCAGGGGTCAAACGTTTGGTTTGTAGTTTGAACGACACTGTGTACTCACCTACCACAATGTTAGATACACCTGGAAAATGTACAGAAAATCCAACACAACAGCTTTTCCACAAACTTTCAGGAAGCTTCCACAGTTTCAGTTTTTGTTACGTCCAGACAGGAGACAATTTTAACATTATACTAAAGAAGATGTGATGGCTGGTGGTGTCACAATGTCGTAGTTTGTCCAACTGACTAAAACAAGAGCAAAAAAATACTAAGACTATCTTTCTGGCAGAGCTGTTGGATTGAGTTGCATGAGATCACCCTGGTGTTTATAATCTTGTGGCAGGTAAGTCTGAAAGTAAAATGTCCAGCTTTTATGGCTCTACAAATTAAAGTCGTCTCATTGTCGAGGCGAGGGTGAGGAAGGTGTTCACGTCAGAGTTCAATAACTGGGCTAATTTGAGAGATTTCAGCTCTTCCACTTGTTCTTCTTCGCTGGCAGCTGCCCAGTAGCTTCCAAGTACTTGTGAATAAGTTCCTCTTGTGTAACTGGCAGGCAGGGCTGGTATCTGCTGTACTCCATGGTATACTCCCCTTTTCCCTGAAAAAACAAAAAAACATCAGAAGATAAGAAAGCATCAGAAAGTTATCTATGTTTTCCTGCTCTTCTGTAAACAGTGATTTTGTTGATCTGTGTCCTTCAGTCTCAGACTGATCTCCTCATTAAAGACTCTCTGACCATCACAGCACTAACATGTTGATATTGTAATCTTAGTGTCCTTCAGAGATAACTGTCAGCTCCTAGAATTAGACTTTATTTCAGACTATGTTAGGATGACCATATTCTGAATCACCAAAAAGAGGGCTCTACTACGGGGGAGTGGAGCTGCATGCAAAATTTTGAGGGTTTTTCAGGTCGTCCAAACTACACAAACTCAAAACTTCCATACAAAACCCAGACATTTGAAGGATTTTATAAACTCCCCCTACAGGCCAGACAAGGCCGGACAGCCCCCCAAAAAGAGGACATGTCCCGGTAAAAGAGGACGTATGGTCACCCAAGACTATGTTATATTACAGACCGTATATCCCTCTTATTATTACATCAACATCTGCCAGACTTAAAGCTCCTCTGAGGAGTTTTTCCACCTTTGTAAAATAGAATGAAAAAAGATCAAACTGAAGTCTTTGTCTAGTGTTTATGTTGGACTTTGGTTGACTTGGTTTATGTGGACTTCAGGACGAGGTAAATCTCAAGAGCTCTGTGTCCCACCTCTGAAAGCTCAAAGTGATCTGGATTGTTGTGGACTGACTGTACCTCTGTGAAGGAGCGCAGTTCTGTAGCGTAGCCGAACATGTCATTGAGGGGAATCTGTTGGGAGAAACATACTTCATCTAAATGGTGTTGAGCAGAGACAAATCAGGTACTCTCAGTGACAATACTGTGTGTAACTGGTGTAAGTTTATTGGGTATAAAGTTGACTCACATCAGCATACAGAGTCATGTATCCATCAGATCCATCCTGTCCTGAGATGACACCATGCCGACGGTTCACACCAGCGATCACAACGCCCTGAAACTCCTGAGGCACCACGATTTCCACTGACATGATTGGCTCCAGGATGGCTGTGTTGGCTCTCTCCATGGCTGATAAGAAGATATTAGAAATCAGCGTAAACAAACAAACAACAGACGAGAAACGACATACACAAAAAAGAGTCAGATAACAGGTTCATCTTAACCTTGTTTGAGAGCGCCTTCTCCTGCTCGGGTGAAGGAGAACTCATTGGAGTCCACCATGTGATTCGCTCCGTCTTCCAGAAGGAATTTGACTCCTGAAATCTTGTGTCCGCTCAGGGGTCCCTTCTCACAGGCCTCCCTGAAACCCTGCGGCGTGAGGGGCAGAAACAAGAAATGAATAATCAGAGAGAATATAGCGGAAAGTATGACGATATTTAACATTTATAAAGCTACCCTGTGACTGTCACCACATATAAACCAGGGAAATTAACCTTTTCCACAGCTGGTATGAACTGTTTGGGGACGTTGGTTCCGATAGTCTGGTCTTCAAACTCCAGTTTGGTGTAATGCTCCGGTTCTAGAGGTTCGAGCATTCCAATAACTTTACCATACTGTCCCGAGCCACCGCTCTGCTTCTTGTGTGTGAAGTCAAAACTGCAGGAAAAAAAAATCAATATTTCAAATTCATTTTGGATTGTTTGAATCTTTGGAAACTTCATTAGCAGTGATGCTGAGAATACAGAGAACAATATGTCAAATCCAAATCCATGCCGGCAGTTTCGATTGAATAACTGTTGTTCTTTAGGCTCCTATTGCTTTTCTGTGAAGCTGATCCACAGAGGAGGCAGGACTGAACACAAAGATGGTCTGTCTCTTTAAAAAGGAGGCGGTCCTCTCAGAGCTCTGCTGTCAGAGGAAAGAGGAAGTAGTTTTTCCACTTGCATGAGGAGCGGCTGAGACTGAACACTGGGCTGATAAACTTTCCACCTGAAGGGCCGGGTGACAACCAGGGATTTGCAGTTTTCTTTTTGCTTTACAGGCAAGACCAGCTTTCTGATCAGTTCTACTTTTCTGAGAGACTTTTGCAGGTATTCTCTGTCTTCTACTTTCTTAAATGGATGTTCCTATAGTGTCTGGACATTTCTCTTATCTACAGACAAACCCTCTCCTGCTGACACCTGAGGGTCAAAGTCCATTAGAAGCACAGCCCTGTTCATTACAGCAGCTTCTGTTATGATTTACTCCCATCGTCTCTGTCTGACTCCTAGATCTTAGACGTGGAGGCTGAGGGGGATGTTATGGCGACTGGAGAACTGAACCCTAACCACTACCAAGCTCAGAGAGCGGCTAAAGTCGTCCAGCATTACCTCAACACTCGCAACGGCTCTCCATTCAGGCTGTTCAGACTGTCGAGGGTGCACAGTGGAAACTTAGAGGTCAGCTGAACTCTTCTCTTTTACAGTGACAGAATACAACAGCTGTAAACTTTTAACTACACAAGTTTCTTTCTTGTGTTTTCAGGATCTGGTCGACTCTGGGAGAAAGTATCAGCTGGAGATCACCGTGAAGGAGAGCATAAGCAATGTATGATTTTTGTTTTTTTGAATCAGTCAATTTTAACAACTTTGAACTACTTTAAAGTTTGTGCTCCCACTTTGGGTCTTTCAGACAATAGTGTGGCTGGTACTAAGAAAGTCAATATTTCTACATTCAAACTGTGTTTATAGACACTTAGTTTTTCTTTAGTGTGCAGCTGGATAATCTCTTGCTTTTGTGTGAGCTGGTCTGGCCAGACTTAACTAAACAGCAACTTAAAGGAGTCAGTGTGGTGCAATCATGACTCACTGGCTGTCATAGCAACATCTGGACCACACCTTAGCTCTCTTTCTTATCGAACTTGCTTTTTTCACCCTTTTTTTATACCCTCTGCTGTCTGCTTTTATTTTGAAAATCCTCACAGACTACAGAGAAACTCTCTGCATCAGTTTTGTTTCCGAGGGAAGAGCGGCAGGGCTCAGCGCAGGTCCAGGCCTCCTGTGATGAGCTCCTCAAAGTCAACATTACGGCTCAGGAGGAGGCTTTCTATCAACAGTATAAGAACAGCCAGAACCTGGTTTCTGCACAATATTTACCTGGTATGTACGGTCAGACACTCTCTGCATACTCTGGTCAGCTCTGATATTACACAACATCTGCTGCAAAACTAAAGCAACTTGGTATTTCAGCACAAACTGTTAGTGGTTTTCTGCTTACACAATATCTCCAAGCCTGACAGAGTAACATAAATACTAACATCCTTTAAAACACAGCTCCTCTCTGACCAACAGATAGTCACGGCCGGATTGATGACGACATGAGGCCTTTCTGGCACCTCAGCATCGTAGCCTCAAGCTTCGTCATGCTGAAGGAATCAAACGAGAACACTCTGTACAACATGGCTCAGGTTGCCAACGTCACACAGCTGGTAGGCTGTTTCACCTCTTGGTGTCGAGCTTTTGCTGATGTTTATCTTATTCATAATCCATCTATAAATGAGGATATAGAGGTTTATGTTTGCTTTGCACTCCTTTGCGTCTCTATCATCCTCTTTCTTTTGTCTCTTCTGCTGCAGGCGACGGAGAACGACCAGCTGAAGTTTGATGGTCACATACTGCTGCACGACATGGTGTCACAGGTAATTGTTATTGTAATAATATTAAAAGCTGCATGTCAGTTGGTTTCAGCATCACTCTTAAAAAAAGACCGTAGCTTTGATTAAACCGTTTTTAAGTAAAAATACAACTATTACGTCAAAAATAATCAGTCAATCAGCAAAAATGATCAATTTCGACCTTTCAAGCGGCTGTCAGCAGTGAGTGCACATTAGCCGTTTTCCCCCTCCTGATAACTTAAACTATTAATTACCTGTCAGAATAACCAGCTCTTACATTTTAGCACTGCAGGTACTTTACAGTTAAGTGATCTGGGGCTATAGAGTTGACACTTGCGAATTATGCACCATGTGAGGTAAGGTTTCATTACCTAACAGCTCGAATTAATCTGTCAATCTTTGTTGTTTTTGCAGGAAATCATTCACTGGAAACTGCAGTTCACTTGGTCTCCTCCAGAGGGAGTTAAAGTGCTGCAGATGGAGCAGCTGCCGCACTGTCATCACTGTGAAAAACCTCAAAACTCAAACTGAGGTGCAGACATTTACCACGCTGTCGTCATTAGCAAAGCGAAGCCATTTAACAACACAAACTTTTATACTTCAGATAGATTCTATTAACTGAGCAAACTCACCAAATATAATAAGGTTATGTGATGCCTTTGGCTGCAACTGTATTTTAGCTTTAATAAACTGTTTATACAGACTGCTGCCTCAGTTTTGTGTGTGCGTGTATGCAAGGAGATCAACACTTACGGTACAGGGTTTGTGATCGTCTCTCTGAATGCCACTTTGGGCTTTCCCATTATACATGGACAGTTGTATTCTCTTTCCATTCTCTGGAACAACGTAATGAGAAAAAGGAGAAGAGAAAAACGCACAAAAGATCAGAAATCTGGAGTTTAAAGAGTTTTCAAACACAAAGACTAAAAACTATTCCGTGCAAAGTTTGTTCAAATGTCTCTGCTTTGGAGAGAAGAGCTTCATTTTAATGATCTGGCGCCAGAGACCCAACTGTACAAAGTTACAGTTGCAGTCCTACAGCTCCGAACTCAACAAATCAAAGTCGAGTAGAATTCAAACATAACCAGAAAATAACTGTGTTATTTTCTGTTAAAAAATTATGTATAAAATGTGGAGATTATGTTTCGGTTGCATTCTACCTGGGCGTAGATTTCCAGGTGCAGCTCGCCCATCCCTGAGATGATGGTTTCTTTGCTCTCTGTGTCATAATGCACCCTGAACGTGGGATCTTCTCTCGTGAATCGATTCATACCTTTGGAAAATTTTTCCATGTCGTTCTTACAAGAAGAAAGAACAATTGTTACTCAGTTAAATCTGCAGAAATTGATTTTTTATAATACATATGAGTAATATTCTTTTCTTTTACCTTGTTTGAAGGTTTCATTGACATGGAAATAACAGCGTCCGGCACGTGAATAGACTCCTGTGAGACAAAGTGACAAAAAATGAACACAAGATTCTGCTCGCATCTTAAAACTCTTCAAATAGCCGCATCTACATCATTTCTTAGCTGCAAACAATTAACCTACTCACCATAGAGAGGTTAGCGCTGGCCCTACAGGTAAAAGTGTCTCCACTGGCACAGTCAATCCCAAACAGAGCACAAATATCTCCTGCATAAACCTCTTCCACATCCTAAAAAGGAAAGCCATGAGAGTGGTGTTAAATCTGATGAATGTGCTGATTTAAACGTGTTTGTAACAGCGTATGATGGAAGCCTCATGTCTTGTTTTGATGCCAAAGGATGGAAAATGGCATTCAGGTGTTACAGAGGATGTGGTTGTTGTCTTAACACTTTACTGGTGAAAAGGAGGAACCTCAAAGTTCTGGCTAGTCTGCTTTTTACACTGCAAACCACAAGTGGAAAACTGAGACCGCTGACTTTCTGCTGAACGTTTGCTCATTCTCACCTCCATCTGGTCAGCGTGGAGGCGCACAAGCCTCTGAACTCTGACTCTCTTGCTCGTGCGTGTGTTGTAGATGTATTCTCCTTTCTTGAGACAGCCCTGGTACACACGCACGTAGGTCAGCTGGCCGAATTTCCCTGCCTGTTTATGACAAACACAACAGGAAACAGCAGAATGGGACGATTAAAATGTTATCCTGTGGAAACAAAAAGCAGAAGTAAAACCAAAGAGTAATTTCTCACCTCCAGTTTAAAGGCCAGACCAACAAACGAGTTTTCAGCGTCTCTTGTAGGGTTCATTAGAATCTTTGATTTTTCACTTGAATCTCTGACACAGAAGTAAAACATGATTTAATGCTAAATGTTACACAATATGAATCAAACGCCATCTACTTTTACTACCTGAGTAAACTTAGTGCTTAGAAATTGAAGACCCCGCTCAGTACTCACTCATCGTTGAGGATAGCATAGTTTTGGACTTCGCAGGGGTTGGGCAGATAATCCAAGACAGCGTCCAGGAGAGGCTGGACCCCCTTGTTTTTCAGTGCTGTGCCCACCAACACCGGGGAGAAGTGACGCTGCACTGTGGCTCTGCGGATCGCAGCCTTGAGGAAAGAAGATGATGTGAGCACTGGGCAACAAAATGATATTTGCTTTCCAACACAGATTTAGGGTTGGGTGAACAGGGATGGTTTTAGAGGGCTTGGGGAGTGCCTTGAAAAAATAACTAGGGGCTGGATTAAGCTTAAATTGATCTTTTACACTGATCCTCTGCATCCAGGGTGGCCTTAGCATGGCTCATACTGACTTTGGTTGTTGTAATATCACACATTGCCTCGTGAGTTAACCACTGACAGATCTAAGGAGGTCAACATGGCAAAATAAGTAAATAAAACTACTTCATGCCAGCGTGTATGCTACGCCACTGTTTGTTTACTAGCACCCTTATCTTACTTTTAGCTCAAAGACCATGTTCCCCAAATAAAGCTTCACCAAGCTCTTAGTATGACTGTGGAGTTAATACTTTGGAAAAGAAGTTCTGTAAGTTATTTCAGAACTGGCATTGAGTCACAGTTATAGGTCATATTTTTAACAGGAAGTGGTGTGCAGAAAGATGTTAATACAGTCCAGTATTTTCCTCTTAAATCAAGAAAAAGCCATTATCAGCTTATTTCTAAAACATTGAGAGCTTTTATATTATTTTATATTTTATATAATGGTTCATACATGTTCTCTCTTTTCAAAGAAGCTTTAAAAATTTTAATTATACCATATATCTATCCACACAAAATCTACCACTCACTGTGAAAGCCTTCCCACAGGAATGTGTATTTCTTTCTAAGAATCTGACCCAGTGAGAGCATTAACAGATTCTTAAAGAAAGAAAACTCTGTCACATTGTCAGTCCTCTAGCTGATGTTGTTGTTTACTCTTTATCACAAAGAGACATCAGTATCAAACCGCCACTGTTTCGTAATCACTCATAAAATGCTGATGGTGCCTTCTCAGGACACAGACCTTCAGGTCTTCGTTTGTTGGGATCTTTTCCTCTAAGAACATCTCCCCCAACGTTTCATCAGCGTTGGCCACACACTCCACTAGCTCCTGCCTCCTGTCTGCAGCCTCAGCACGGAAATCAGCCGGGATCTCGTCATAGCGGATAGTCTGACTGCGGGGAGGATAAAAAGTTGAATTTGGTTTCACACTCTTCAGGAAGAGAGTCTTCAAAGTTTTGAAACAGAGATATAAATTCAGAGATGACGAAAATGAGAAATTGAGCAAGACTCCCCAAGTCCATATTTTGCACTATAACAGAGATGAAAGTATTGACAGTGAAGCTACCACAGGGGGATTTACCCACCCAAAGGGCCCATCGAAATACATGCTCCGCTCCTCAACAAGGTCAATGATCCCACTCATGTTCCCCTCCAGGCCAATGGGGATGTTCACAAAAGCTACATTGTGGTTCAGTTTAGATCTGAAGAGGACAAGAAAAAAGGACAGATAAAAGACTGATTAAAATGAGGAACCTAAATAAAGGAAGAAAAAACCACAGCTGACAAAAACAGTTATTTGGAATAATGAAGTCAACTATTTATATAACCAGCTGTATATATCGAACACACACAAGGGAAGTACTGTAAACATGTGTAAAAGCAGCAATAGTCATACATGTACTATTATTACACCAGCAGTGCAGAGAGTCAAAGTAAAGCTCAACATGAAGCTGATGAGGATGTGTGTGTCGAACCTCATCTGCTGCAGCGCCCTGACAGGGTTGGCACCCATTCTGTCCAGCTTATTGATAAAAGTGAGGAAGGGAACGTTGTAGCGTTTCATCTGTCGATTCACTGTCATAGTCTGACACTGGACTCCTCCCACCGCACACAGGACCAGCACGGCCCCGTCCAGAACTCGCAGTGCTCGCTCCACCTCGATGGTGAAGTCCACGTGACCTGATGGAAACAACAGGGACGGTGACTTTATGAAAGAAAATGTTGGTAAAAAAGAAGGCAAACTGTTTGATTAATGAAGTACAGTGCTGGAGACTGTATAAGTCACCAAAGCAGTCTCAATATTTATCATTATTTATGATGCTGAGCATATGGGACAGTGCAAAAGATGTAGCATCTCTCAATGGAGGTAACTACATATATTAAACAACACAGAGTCAGTCAGTAAAAGTAAAAAACAGCTCCTTTTTTAATAGCTTTAAGTGTGGAATATGATCGTTATCCAACTTTTACACTAAAAAGTACACATTAACAATTAAACAATACTACTAGTCTTGCTAATAACTTTCCAACACGCACTACCTTCACACAAAAAGTACTGTAAGTCCAGCTAGGAGAAGATAAGTTCTGGTAAAATTAAATGCTGACACTGCAGATTCCCCTTACAAATAACAGTGAGTTTGTTCACCTCCTTACATCAGACAGGGAAAAGTGGGGTAAGATCAAGGCAATCATAGTTTTGTCTCTAACTAGTGTATCTGCATATATTTCAGGATGTTGTGAATCCCTGCAAACCAACAGAATGAGTGTAAACATAACTGTCTTGATAATTTAGCATGCCAAAAAAGTGGTCTCAGGTTGAGCCGTATCCCTACGAATCTTTTACCATTTCCAAGCAACAGGGGGTGGCTCAACTTACCCCACTCTCCCCTGCCCACATAAAAATAAAAATATTTTTTGCTTCTATGCTAATTTTATTGGTATTGGTGTTCTTAACAGCTACTGTGTGATAAGATAATTCAACACTCTACTTATTCACATGTCCTGAAAAGGCCCTGGAACCTCGTTTGACCGTAACCACAGAGAGGACAACAACAAGGTTTTCTTGACTTGGCTTTTAGCAACTATTACAAATAAACCTGTGCTTCAAAGGGGGGTCATCGGGGTTGACTGACATGTTGGGATCAAAAAGGGTACAGAATCATTAATGCAAAACCCAATGTATGAGATTATAAAACAGGATTATTAAATCTTCCCATATTACCACAGAACTGAGGGCCAATACAGACACAACAGTTTGTTACCTGGTGTGTCAATGATGTTGATGTTATGATTCTTCCATCTGGTGTATGTGGCAGCTGACTGGATGGTGATACCCCTCTGTCTCTCCAGCTCCATAGAGTCCATAGTGGCCCCCACACCGTCCTTCCCCCTCACCTGAGATATGAAATAACACTCAGCACACGTGACCTTTACAGCCACATCCCTATCAAATATACACAAATAGATAAATAAAGGTCTGTCCAGGCCTCACCTCGTGGATCTCTGCTATCCTGCCGGTGTAGTAGAGGACACGCTCGGTCAGGGTGGTCTTCCCTGAGTCGATGTGAGCTGAGATCCCGATGTTGCGGATCCTCTCATTGGGAAAAACACCAGAGGAACATGATCTACAGCTGTTTATGAGAATCTGTGGGTATTAAAACAAGAAAACAAGGTCAAAATCAGAGTCCATTTATCTCTGTTTACCTATTGTGAAATGCAAGAGACTGGTAGCAAGACGACACGACGTAGATGCCAAATCTGGTACAATCGGGGACACCGTGATCACCCTACGTTACCTTTTTAAGAGTGACATTTCCTGGTGCTGAGAGATGCTTTTTGCTCAAAGCAAGACCAGCTTGTAGTACTCTCATCTCGAAAACTGCTCTAGGTGGTCTTAGTCCCCTTTTACACACGACCCCGGACTCTTGACAACCCGGTGAATGTCACGCCGGGATCCTGGTGGTTGTGAAACGCTACTTCCGCAACTACGGAAAAGCAAATGCGCCAAAATTAAGAACAATCGCAAATACTGATATACATTTTCGACATGGAAGAAAAAATAGTATTTACATGATTTACATGCTAATGTCTCGAAGTAAATGTTAAACCCTGAGGCATTGAAAGCATAACAAAAATCACACGGTGATGAGCTATTTACGGACTGGCCCAAGGTCTCCCTACAAACAAACAGCTGCTTGAAGAGAGTAGGTGAGTTGTGTTTGGTCTCTTTACTAAAGAAATCAGGCAAAGTTAAAAAGATGTTTGGTGGCTGGTACTCTGGCTAGGAACCTATATGTACTGCTGATGAAGTTAGGTGCTGTTCTGAGCATTATTTGTAGCTATAGAGTGGCTTTTTGGTTGAGCGTGTGGCTCCTCAGACTGCTGTGTATTGCTATAGTGCTGTCGTTTCTAAAGTTGGTATAACTAGAGAAGTAAGCGGTCGGCAACATTCATCTCTCGAGAGGGTGACGAACTCAGTGTTAAGGTGAGTTTGGCCCTACATTAATTTTACGCCGGAATATCCCTTTAAGCCTCCAAGTATTTAATATTAGGTAATTACGTATAAAAATGTAACATATAAAGGCACATGAAGTACAAAATAGAATTACACATCTTACAACATCAACGACAATTATTCCGGGAAGCAGTGAAGGCAGCATTTCAAGACCCCCGCCCCCTGAGAGTTTGAAGTGACCTTTTAGGGCTGGAGTAAGCCTTTGTGTGGAGGGTTTTATCAATTTGCAAAGAAACAATAATTACGGAACTATTCCTCTTGGGGAAATAGATATTAAACCATCAATCATTCTGATAAAGGGGTCAGCTGGTTTGCTCTATGAAGCTGTTTTGCCTTGCTGCTGTATCACTGGAGGTAGGTAACTGAGTCCTGCCCCTTACAGTTTGTTCCAACCCCCGTTTAACAAGCACTTCCTCTTCTTTCCAGCCACATGCTGACAGCACATTACACAGCAGCACCGAACACAGCTGTAAACGGAGAAATCGTAGGCACACCTCCTTCACATCCTTCTGAGTTTTAAACCTTCACATGACTGACAGACAGAACAGCTTCACAGAGAAGAGAAGACACCAACAAGAGAAGAGGGAGAACTCCTAATCTGCACGGTAGGCTACTACAGTATTTCACTTTTTCATAGTCAAGCTGTAGACTCAGCAGGTTTTATTCTTAACAATTTCTTTAAACCAGCAAACAGAACCCAGTGTTACTCTTGAAATGATTTGCCAGTTGAAAGTTTGAGGAATTGGAACATTGTTGTGTCTCATAGAGAGGATTTTACTTATTTTAGTAGATAATGTTCACTTTAGAGTTAGCACATTTGAAGAACTAACTTTAATTAGAATCTGAAGTAGTCTGAGAGGAAATAATTAAACTTCCTCTTAGAAGCTTTTATGTTAGTTACTCTGATATTATTGTAAAAAACTATTTTGACCACTGTGACTGCACAGTGTGTCCTTTGGTAAAATAAACAGATGTCACATAAAAAAGAGGATGTCATAAATTACAACCGTGGCCCAGTCAACTGTTGCTCAGTAATAAATAATCTTTTTATTGTTTTATAGGCTTATGTTTGAACATCTTCCCATTAAGTGTATATATATATATTTTGACTGTGTGTGCTTTTGTTTAAATGATATTGTACTTTCAGTTAGTCATCCCACTGTGAATCATCATATGTGATTATTTATGGTTTTGATTACACAAGAATGTACTGGAATTTAAATTGTGTGCGTGCGTGCGTGCATGTGTGTGGATGCATGTGAGCTGTTTTTTCCACCGTTATCCTTCCTGTCTCATTTCCTTTCTGCCAGCATTCCTCTCTGACAGCGCATTGACTGTCAGAGCTGTCACAATACATGATGGTGAATAATACTCAGCTGCTCATCCTGTCCAATTTAAGGGACTGGGAATGTTCTTAGTTTTCCGGATTGTATGTCCTTGCTTATGAAATACCTGAAATGCCTTTCAAATCTTGTATTTCAGGGTTTTGGGTTTAGTGTACTGTTTACTGTATGGAAGCTGCTTAGAGAAACTTTAGATTTGTGTAAGTCTGGGTGCTCCCGTAGACAAAGTTGTCAGTTTCTGTTACCTCTTACTGATGTTGTTCTGTACACAGGGCAGCATTCTCTCACTAAAAGTCTGATTCTGTTTTCCTTTTGCAGTCAAAGATACTATGTCCTCATGTGAAGATTTGACAATGTTAAAAAAAGATGTTTCATTAGCATGCAGTTAATAATCTAATCTGATCTCTGATACACACGCCCTTACAGTGGTAACAGCCATAGAAAATTACAACACTAAAATCTTCAGTTGCATTGTTGATGGTCTCCTTTGATTTTGTAGGTCACAAAGAGGCATGACTATACATTTCCATCTGTTTCTCAACCAGCTAAAAAAAAACTCATAGGAGCCAGGAATGCATTCAGTAGTCTGAAAACATGTGACTATGACAGTGATTAATGAGTCTGTGTAGATTAATCATTCCCGTTAGTCCTCAAAATTCCACTTAGCAGGTTAAGAAGCTGATTAAAGGTTTAAATTATTTCCTAATAATAATAATCCTCCTCTTTCCAGTTTCTTCCCTCCAAGCATAATTACTTTGTCTTTGTGTGGTGACAAATTTTGTGGTTTTAGAAAGTGGGTCAGATGAAGTAAATCACTCCTCAGTTCTTACAACACTGTTTCTTTCAGTCACCCTCCTGACCCAATAGTGTATTCAGAAGAAGAGGTGTTGCAGGGACAGAAAACAGTAGAGAGTATCTTTAATGTTATTTTTCCACATAGTCCCTGTGTTTAAAAATGGTTGTGTGGTGCTGAAAGATATAAAACTAGTTGCCTGTCTGGGATACTTAGGATATCATTGATCCCTGATCCTTGATCCTGAATCCATTCTAAAAAGTAATCCTAAATCACTATCATCTCTAATGAATGTGAACTTAATTATAGGCCATACGTCAGCACCTCTTGTAGTTTTTCTTGTTAACATTTTGAATTTGAATTTATTGAAGGGCAGCCCCTTGAGACGTAGCATCTCATTTTCAAGGGGGTCCCTAAACAAACATACAAAAAACTCAGGACACATTACAATACTTTAACATACATAACATATAACAAATACAGACATCTTGCTCACCCTACTCCCACACACAACCCCAACAGACATACAAAGTAGACAAAACTTGTTAACAAGGAAAAATAATGTGAACATAAATGCAAAAAAGTAAAGAAAATGAATCAGAAACATGAGCAATTTGTTTTGAGGTGAGAGTAGAGTGCCATTCTGAAGTGATAAAAAGAAGTAATAGAATGTGAAGAATGATCTTTTGCTAACTTCTTTAAAGATTGTAGGAACAAAGAAAAATGGGTCGTTCATATGTCTAAGAGAGTATGGGGAGTTGTATGGAATCAAGAGTTCTTTTAAATATGAAGGGCAATGGAGAAATGCATTTAAAAAGGAAATGAAGCCAATGAAATTGCCGTCTTGATTTGGGTAGTAACCAGTTCAGTGAGTCAAACATAAAGCAGTGGTGCGTTCTAAAAGGACATCTCAAAACAAATCTACATAAGGAGTTAAATAATACAGTCAGAGGTTTGAAATGAGAGTCAGAAGTGTTATGGTAAACTATATCAGATAATACTACTACTACTAATAATAATAATAATAATAATAATAATAATAATAATTTTATTTGTATAGCACTTTTAAAAAACAGAAGTTAACAAAGTGCTTTGACATGTAGTCATAGAGCACATAGAAAAAAAAAGAGAAAAACAAAGAGCTCAGTAAAAACGGAATTGAAGGCCATTTTCATGTCATAAGGAACCCAGACAATACAAGAACCATGCAACATAAAGAGACATAATAAACATGAGTATAATCAACAAGTGGTAATATCAGTCATGATATTCCTCTTTTTCTGACATTTATAGTAAAACAATTGATTAAACAATACAGTGATGCAAGACAGCCACGTGAAAATCCATGGTAAAATATCAAGTATCATGGCACATGGCAAAAAGGCTATAGTTAATGACAGAAATACATGAAAGGTGCCACTGAGATGTATACAAGTGAGTAGGGTATGTCTTCCAGACGCTAGAGGGCCTTGTTGCACTAACTCTGGAGAGACTGAGTCTGGCATTCAACATTTCTATATACTAATCTATTTTCTTCTATCTACCCATTCATTATACTTTCCTTTCAACCTTCTCTCTCAGTTTTAAGGCATCAGTTGACCTCCCCTCTTTTCAGTATGTGGGCAGTGTGGAATCTGAATTCAGACATTGATAAATAACAATAGTTTTCATTCTTTGGTCAGACACAAGGAGTGTTGTTTTCTGAGGCCTTTGTGTGCTATCACTGGAAAAAAAATAAAGTCTGATTGTTCAATTACCAAAGGGAATTTTGTGGGAACATGTGAGTATTGTTGTAAGCTGTTGTCATACACTAAATTATTCATTCTATGTTTCCACAGATATAAATGAAACCAATGTGGAAAAAGGGTGGATCGATTTGAGATTTCCCAGGCTTAATGAGTGGATAGAGTGACTAATTAGTTACTGTACACCGTGGGAGTCCAAGTGATTTCAACTATTTTCAAAATCAACCTCTGAGGGTGTGTCCGCTTCAGTGTTACTACTACGGCATGCGGGATGGGCCAAACTCGCTCAGTTCTCTCGCATACCACCACGACTCCAGTCAGAACGAAATGGAAACCAGGCGAGACAGCCCAGCGACTTCGCATCCGCACATTTAGGAGCGGAGAAAAGCGACGTGGTGGCCAGATAACCAGGAATCCGATGAAAAATAAAGTGCTGTCGTGTTTGGGAAGGAGAAAGCGAGACTCCAGTCAGACAGAAGGGGATTCGGGTTGCGGAAACGGGGCTGGAGATCCAGCGACGCGCCGCGATCACAGAGTAGGAAAGTTGCCGAGGGACGAGGTTACCTCGTTGGACGGGGAACAACGAGCATCCCCGAGTTGCTTTGAGTCACAGTTCGGCCTACATGATAATACGGAGGGGATCAAACACGCCGTGAACAACCGAGGAGCACCGGTTGGCTCACCCGATGCGTCCAGTTTTGACACGCGGAGCGGTGAAGCAAGCGGTGCGGGCTGCGAGGAGCCGAAATCCGGACGAGAGGACAATGCCTCACACCCCCCAACGAGGGCCATGGAAGACCAGCCACCGGGGGAGAGCAAGCAGGACCGAGGTGTGTGTGAAGTTAGGGAATTAACAGAGACTACTGTGAGTACAGCACCGCCGTTGACCTCTGACCCTGACACACTGACCAGCTCAGATCAACCGCTGGTTTGTGGGCTGTGGTCAACGGCCGAGCACGCGGAGGACAGAATGACTAAAACGGACCCGTGTACCGTTTCAGCCGGTGACCAGATTAACTGTTGTCCGGCACCCCAGGGACCCCCAGGAGGAGGCCAAAGTTTCCCCGGGACCATACCGAAACTCATCATAACAAGAGACCCGAGTCCAACCCGCTCTCAGGGGACACCGTCCGCCCTCAGCGTCCGGACAGAGCTCAACTCCGGCTCGTGTCTAGAGCCTCACCCAGACGACGAGTCCCCCTGCTCGGACAGCGGCTGCGGAGGGTCCCCTGCGCTGATGAGATCCCCGAGGAAGCTGTCCAACTCCTCCTCCATCGGCCTGTCCTCAGCCTCGTCCTTCGAGGAATCAGAGGACGACTACACCGGGAGCGACATCGAGTCCAGTCTGTCCCCGGCCCGGTCTCTGTGCAGCCCAGACGATGGACCAGGGGTGAGTGCAGTCTCATGGTTGACATTGACTGTGCGTTTGAGAAAAGGCCTAACTGTGAAAACCTAACTTTTTGACCTGTGAGTGCAGAAATACAAAGGTTAGGTCACATTGTTTGAGCTAAAGCAAATAGGGGAGACTGGGGTAAGTTGAGCCACCCCCTGTTGCTTGGAAATAGTAAAAGAAATGGATCATGTGACCAAATATTTAGGATATGGACATCAATTCATGGAGTCTGTGAAGGTTAGAAACACATGAGTGAAGGGGTTAGACATTTATTTACAAAAAAAAAAACATTTTTCACTCTTGAAAGTGACCTTAGGAGACCACTCTCTGGCATGCTGTATTATCAAGACAGTTATGTTTACACTCATGTTGGTTTGCAAGGATGCACAACATCTTGAAATATATGCAGATACACTAGTTAGAGACAAAACTATGATTATCTTGATGTAGCGATCCGAAATATGAAAAATGGCTCATCTTACCCCACCCTCCCCTATTTGATGCAGTTATTGTCTTTTTGCCTATGCCATGTCAAACAGAGCTGTTCAATTAATTAAATGCCACATTGAATAAACTATTCTGCCACTATACACCTCAGAAGACGTGGTTAGAAAAAGAAAAACAATGTTATGGGGTAAATGTTGACATGTAGGCTAAGAATCCACATACACACCAATGCAAGACACAGGACACAGATCCTGCTGCAGCTTTTGCCCCAGGTGTTAGGATTCATTAGATAGTGCAGCATGACAACATGCAAGTATTTCCATATTTCCTGTTGTGCAGTTGATGTACCAAAATACACATCATGCAATTTTAGTCTCAGCAATCACTCTCAGTTGTGACTGCCTTGCTTGTTTTTGATACTGGTTTACAGATTTTATCCCAGCATTCGATGATCATTGAATTGCTGTTGGATAAAATGAAGAAAATACAGCCTCAGTCAGCAAGAAAGTCTAACACACATTAGATGTCTGATGTGGTTTGGTTTATTTGAAATTATTTGTCTGTGTATTTTTATATTTGAAAGAACTTAATAGCTGGAGTTGGACTGCCCTACTATTCAAACAATACAGTACCAAACTTAGCTTTTCTCTAACCCCTCCTCTGTGTCCTTCTATTCCCATGGCTAATGATCACATGGCTCTGATGTGCTCATCCGTCTGACCATTTAAACACCATCTGAATGCATTTTTGAATTATCAGTCATCCTATCACAGCTCGCCTTTCAACTGTCCGAAAATAAAAATAGATCATCAGTTAATTCTCCCAGAAGCTTGGGCTGCTCCTGTACTCCAGACTTTTCATGCAGTTTAAAGTTTCCAAGTCTACAGTCGTGATGTGTCACCCTGGAGTCTGGAGGCTTTAAAGCCCAGTTGACTTAGAAATGCTCGGAATGAGTCTGAAAACAAGATGCCTCTGTGAGAGATAATCTTCCCGTATCTGTACTTGTTTTAACAGCGGTGTGTGGATCCAGTATGCCCAGGTTGTCTCTTAGGCCACGTCAACAAACATGTATTGCAAGAAGTTCACCTGGCAGCATTCATTCATGTTGCCTTGTCAGAAGTGGACACTTTGCTGAAGTTGTGCTGTTCAGTTTTGTATAATCTCACCACAAAGATTTCCCCTGTCTGCTGTTTAATTTCCTTTTTCCAGAGAGAGACATGACACAGAGGAATGTGATCAATTTAAGCCAGCCTGGGCCCCATTTCATCCTACTAAGACTGTCATTGCCATGTAGCTCACGCTCTTTATCCGACCATCACAGTAAACACAATTTCCTCTATATTTACTGTGACATGGAAAAGGTCTCTTATTGATTTATTGATGACTTTCTCTATTATTTTCTCTATTAAAAAAATCTTTCTTAAACTTGATTTACTTTTCAGAGACAGTGCACTCTGATGGACATCAATTTTACACACAAAAAACAGCATTTTTTTTTATCTCTTGGCCTGATGTTAATTGATATTAAACAATAATAACAACACATACATGAATGAATATATAAATTACATCAATATTATATGAACAAAAGCTTACACAAATATTGAATCACAGTCAAGCCACAAAGGATGACATCTGCAAATATTTGTGGTGTGTCTGTCAGTAATTTATACAACACAGATGTGAGGTTTCAGCCCAGCAGTAACAACAACAACAAAAAAGAAATACAACAACCAAAACTGAATTTGTTGTTATTGCTTGAAAAAATATAAATATTTTAAAAAATCAACTGTAAAAGCTACTGATTTTTCTAAGAGGAGTGGCTAAAAGTTAATTCCTTTTTTCTTTTCTTCTTTGATATGTTGGCGAACCTTTATTTGCACAGCTTCAGTCCCTTAAAGAGATAAAAAGAATAATTGGACCCCTGCTGTAGCATTCCTAATGTCTCTCTTTTAGTCTGTTTTCACTCTGAGTAAAGTCATGGGAGTTTCTTCCATCACATTTCTCCACAGGACTAATGTACTGATGGGCCACCAGTTACAGTAATGATGTTGAGCAGGTCAGTGGATGGAGTCATTTCCAGGTTATTACACCGAGAGCCAGGAAATGAGCAACCTCAAGTGTTGTACTTTAGCTTTTGTAACAAACAGGATCACGTCATTTTGTGGTTTGCGATAAGAGCCTAGTTTTGATGGGCATGTTTTGTTCTCCTGGAGTTGAGTTGAAGGTCCAACGTTAATTGTACACTCAGTTATTCATAAAACAAGGGTGTGCGTTTGTTGTTACTGTCTTTTAAAAGCTGTGGCCACAGTGTCTGCTAGCAGCCAAACCTGTTAAGTTCTGTGTACTCGATGACGTGAGCAGATACTTGCTCAAACATGCATACTCAGAGATAGACACACTCATGCAGCGATGCTGTCTTGCCTTCAGAGTTCAGTGTGTGTCATGGAAAATTGGGCTGAAGGCAGAGCTGGTTGCTAGGCGACGTCTTTGCCATATATGGTGCTATTTTTTATACTCCTTGTCTTGTTCTCTCTACCTGACACAGACAGTATCTACTCTGTGCCTGACGTTTGAATGTTTCACTTAAAATTCCTTCAGATCAAACCTCCTGGCAAACAATGGACGCATAATTTTAGATTTTACTGTCACAAAGTTCTTCATTATGAGACACTCTTTCCCCTCAAATTCAGCCTTTTAACAAAAGCTTCATATTTTCTCCCTGAAACCTTATGAGACACACAGTGGAACAGATACACAAAAGGAAAAGAAGAATAAAGGCGGGCTAAGACGTACTGAAACTTTGAATACCTAGCCTACAAGTGACGATTTTCCTTATTCTGCTTATTCACAATAACCACAATAGCAGACTTGTTTTTTCTGCGGCAACCATTATTCAGAGTCCCACACTACACTCCCACACCACTTATACACAAAATCCATGCTGCAAAGCAAAACAAAAGGAGAGTACAAGAGACACAGTTGATCATTTTTTGTTTGAATCCATATTTCTGATATATTTAGTGTATAAAGTTTTCTACATCATGCATATACTAAGGTTTTTAATGTCCAGTGTTATGAGGAGACTGTTTTCAGATCCTCTGTTTGAGTCAAAGTAACATAACATGTAAACCGTGCTCCATGAAAAGGAATCCTGCATTCAAAATGAAGTTCATGTAAAAGTGCGCCAAGAAAAATGTTGATTTATGATTTTAAAAAGTAATTGAAGCTCCTGTGAGGTGTTTTTAGCTGGTTATGAAACAAAATGAAATAAAAATGGCTGACAGGAAACAAGATGAAAAAAGAGCAGATAAGCAACAAAATGAGAGGTGGTCTCTTGTCCACATGGGGGGATGAATTCATATCAACCAGAAACTTCTCTCCTGGGCCTTTTAATGCTGAACAGATTAGTATGTAACGTAGTTTTCTCATTGGTGATGCACAGATGTAAAAAGAAAGAAGTGGTAAGGAGATATGGGATGGACATAATCCTCTTATCTGAACATTATTTAAGCTCACATGTGCACGGTCAGAGGTTTGAAACAGAGCTGTTATATTTAGCTTGTGAGTGGCTTTGAAAAACATGATCGAGATGCAGTTTACAAAAATTATATGATATAGGAAATAGTTGCAACTTATAAAACATTTTTATTTTCTACTGCTTTGTGCTTCTCCTACTCTTTATTTTTTGTTCTGGTCCATGAATCCTTCTATGTGACAGGTTCTACCAGCAGATGTATTTGTATCGGTATAATATTCTTGAGAAACAGCCAAAAATAAAAGCTTGTTTATGAAACTCTTGATAGCTCTTGATATTAGTACTATAGTTAAAAAAAGAGACATTTTCAGCATGGCAGGAGAGAAAAGCTGCAAAAATAAACACTGCAATACTGAGCAGTACTTTGAGACTTCAGCAGCCTACGACAGCTGAGCCGCTCATACAGTGAGGTCTTGTGTCAGGGGAAAGGGATGTGGTTTTAACTCGTTTTGAAAAAGAAGCTCTGACAGTACCCGAAAACACCCTGTAGTTTATGCACATGTAGTCACTCCTGTAGGTAGGGATAGTTGTCTGACAGGTTTTGCTTTGTCCCCACACACACACACACACACTCATGTGCACACCACACCACACACTGTAGGCTTCATAGTACTGAGGAATTTGTCGTAAGGACAATAGTAGTAGAGTACAGAAGCTCTGCTGTCCCTGCCCCCCGCTGTCACTTGGTCATGAATCCGGCAGGAGATTGGCTCAGCGTAGGGCTCAGGATAGGCCCTGCAGGGATTAGGGGATGAAAAGGAGAAGAGGAGAGATGGAGAGAGGACAGAGTGAAAAGAGAGAGAAGACAGAACATTGTGAAGAGGCTCATAGCTTCAGGGAAAGACGGGGAATGAATTAGGAGAGGAATTTAACGGAAAGGGGACTAGTTGAAGCAGGCAGATGGTACAAAAAAGAGAAAAGGTGACAGCTTTAGGTTAGCTCCATGGCTGAAAGACTGTATTTAGTGTTGAGAAAATCTCAAGAGAGGAAGGGAGGAGTGACAGGATGTTGAAACAGGAGAAATTTTGAATTGGCTTGTTGAGAAGGAGAAGGGGGTCATTGTGAAAAATAAGTAGGGGAGGATTATTTACCAGGCAACACAAGCCTCAGTTTGCAGACCGATTGTAGTGGGAGCAGGGCTGAATATTAGCCAAGAGCTAACAAGACCCTCTGGTGGAGACGATTATAGATGATTGTGAAGGATATCAGGACAACAGGGAGGCACACATCCCTGGTGGCGCTCGCCCGTAGAGACTCTGTGCTGATGGTGCGGAGTATTTTGTGCTGGCTGCGTTCCCGTTTCGTCTCTGGAGCTGTGTGTGCTTGTGTCAGCGCCTGCCTCCTCCTCCACTACTGCTCTGTTTGCCAGGTAGGAAAAGGAAATATTCTGAACTGATTTAGATCCATCTAGTGGCCTCGGATTTTCCAACGTTACGCTTCTATGAGGGCAGATTGTATCACACGTTGCCGACGGATTTGCATATTGAAATGCCGTGTGATTGACATGGCGGTGTGTTGTGGTGTGGCTGTTACAATATGTGATGGTTTGCTGGGCACACAGTTCCCAGCTAGTCCAGTGTGATGATCTTTCTATCTGGGTTAAGTAGTGAGTAAGCCATCCAGTAGGATAATGGTGCTGCAGGCTGGTCTCACACTTACTTTCATTTCACAAAAACACTGATGCACCTGTTTGTTAAGATCACCTGGCTAGATTTTAAAAATAATAATTTGGATTGATAGCAGGACAGTGCTAGTAGCAAAGTGCACCTAAAATTATAGAGACCACGTTCCTTAAGGTGTATATATTTCAATATCTGTGTTTACATGACAAGGCAGCAGGTCAAAAAGAGCACAGTGGATAAATTACTAAGGGCTACGTCTACAAGACAAGCCTCAAATCCTCAGAACAGAGGCCTTTTTATTCAAGGCTGGAATGTGGGTTTAACTTAAAGCCACTGTAGGGAATTTTGGGTCAGTTATTAAACACCTGAAATTAACACCATTGACTCATAATGACTGACTTAAGCAAACAAGACCGTCAGCATTCAAACTGGTATCTGGTATCATGTGGTAATGTGTCTTTACTTTTACTATTTCCTTGGCAAAGATTCTGAATGGCAAATAAATCAGAGTAAGTGCTTTGTACAATGAGGAAATCAAAACAGACCAAACCTGTAAGTTACACAAAGAAGCTTCAAAGATAAAATTAACAAACATGAAGTTTGTAACTTAAAGCAGTAAATGTTATACATTTAAAACCTCTTATTCTGCACGGTTTGGCGAAACAGCTCCTGTACTGTGTGTTTCTTTTTCTCAAAACTGACTTAGTTTGAGATGAAAATAGCTTAAACTCTATTATAACTCTGCTAGTTACAGTTGTGTCTGACTAAATGGTTAAACATACCCCCTTTACCCAAACTTGGCAAATCATTTTGACATTATTTACACACATATTTAGCAATCCCATGTTGAGCATTTGCATTAATAAACTGTTTTTAGACCGTAGTCAGAAATTAAATGTGTGTTCAAATGGCTTGAAAACTAGCTGCAACCCAATGTAAATGCTGTGTTCAAATGGCTTGAAAACTAGTTCTTCTTAAAGTAATGACCTGACCCGAGAGACAAGACGCAGTACGACTTCCTTTAGATTTAAAATGAGAGGAAATGAAATAAACGAAAGAGAAGGATGACAACATTTATGACGCAGGAGGCTTTTAGAAAAATAGAAGGGTGAAGTATTCTGCGAGTGATGCATATGTGAGTTATATAAAAGAGAGAGAAGTGGAGTTGGTGGAGGTTTGACTGAGAGGGGTTAAAAGTGACCTAAGTGTTTAAAAAAGCTCAGATGTGTGGGATGAAAACAGCGGAGACTGTACAGTTTGCACTGCTTGAAATAAATACCAAAAGCCTAGTCTTTCTCAAATATAGTTTTTTTTTTTTAGTATTGTCACGTCTAAAAGTCCAAAAGTAAAGTCCTCCATGCTCAGAAATCTACAGCGGGTAATTTTAGTCAGGTACACTTGACCCCACAGACGCAGAACATGAAGCTGTCAGCTGGAGGCAATTAGAAAGAGAGGCTGAAAAGTGAAAGAAGAGAGGCTGGAGATCTGGGTGTCTGCTTCCCCTGTCAACCTCCTGGTCTTCTATCTGTCACTGATAAAGGCAAATGATGCTAATTATAGCAGTGTTAAAAGATACCAGTGTTATTTTGGTGCATTTTGACCAAATACAGAAGCTCTTTCTAGAGATATGGTGCTAAAGATTTCAAAATTCACTTTAGTCTGTCAGGAAACATCTATATTTTGCAGTATTAGCTATGCACATTTATCTTTCAGTCCTCTAAATTGTATAGCTTTTGCATATTTCTCTCAAAAATACTTGATGAACTAGAAGTATAATTTAGATTCACCCCTCTTGAGTGTATGTTGCTGAGCTGACACCTCAAACTGTCTGTAAGACCCTTGAGTTGTAAACTCCACATAACAGGTTCATGATTACAGCTTAGAACAGCACTTTTAGAGGCCAGCCACTGGCGACAGTTTTACTGAGTGTCTGAGGGTGTTGTTTTTTATAAGACGTATGTACGTTAAGAGGGGGGGCTGCCTGTTAATCTGTTGTTTTTCTCCTTGAAAACTGCCAATCTGTTCGAAATACAGAGAAGAAGAAACACGCCAAACAGGAGAAGAAATGCTTTCGTAGAATATTTAATGCAGAGGGTTTTTAAACAAGAGTAACTTCACCAAAGAAGTTTTTTCAGAGTTACATTATTTGGTCTTTTTAAGTCTTTATTCATAGAAAATTTGATTGTTAATAAAGCAGAAAACTGGGGGAGAGGGCTGAGAGTGACACATTAGACCATACTGGCTCTGCCAAACAGGCTTTTTAATGATCTTAGGCGTAGATCACTCTTAAAGCAAAGTGACCTCTTTTGTTGGGCACAATGGGTGTACAGTCAGGGCTTTATTGTCCTCGATATATGGGTCAAACGCTGCTGAAACTGCTGTGCTTGTATCTGACACAGTGTACTTTGCCAGTTCATTGAGTGCATTAAAAAAAGGTCCCTGAAAGACATTACTGTACGAAACAGCCCCCCTGTGCCCCACCTCTGCCAGTTGATCATTATTCATGATAACATGCTCTTGTTTTGCAGAGTTATGGAGCATTACAGTTTGTTTCCCACCTTGAATACCCCAAAAATCGTGCGATCAGAGTCACCCCTCAGTCTATTTAAAACCTCTTTATTTGGAGCTGGTTCGACCAAGGACGATGGAACATTCAGGTCTTTATTTCTTTGTTTGTTTGTCCTGACCAGATGAACCAAACACCCAAAGAAGAGGCAACAATTGAGAGTCCTAAATTTGATCAGGCCAAATTGGCCTCTGACGTCGGAGGAAGACACATGCTTAAATGCTCTGAATCTCTCATGCAACACTCTAAAGCAGCCTCTGTTGTCTGGTTTCACTGGCGATGAATGAAACACGTCAAAATGATGGTGAAGAAATAATCTCGATTTGGAAATTGTCTCTTCCATGTTGCAAATTTTGGTGAAATGCACTCAGCGTTCACATGTTTCATCACCGTTCTTTGTCCTGAGTCGGCTGGAGTGACCTCGGGGTTAATCCGCTGATGCGATCGAAGGCTCAGCTCGCAGGTGTCTACTAGCACTCACTCTCATTACTCTCTGCCTCTTGTGTCTCTGAAATCCTGAAGTTCACCAGCTGTCTGACCAAGCAGAAACCTGTTGCACAAAGTTTCATCATGAGGAACCCACAGAGGAACCACAGCTGTTGAATGCAGGCGGATAATCTTATCGTTTCCCCTCCTTTTGCTTTGAGATCCAGAAAATGGAGACTGTAACTACATTTGTGAGAGGTTATATTACACTTAGAGGATTAACAGTTGTTATGAAGCAGACTTATCCGCCCTGTGTGTACATGTAAGTGGAGCGGTTTTGTTGCAATGTTAACATTTGAAAGTCTTTATTTTTAGATGAACTATTCAAGAAAAAGAGGTTTTACCAAAAATGTTTCGACTTCTTTGTGTTTTATTAATCCGATGAAGCAGCAAATTAATCGTACGTACTTTGCACAAGCTCTCTCATCTGTCCTACATCTGCACTTTTAAGTGGTCACAGAGTTACAAAACCCTTTTCCTTAGGCTCAGTAATGACTGTTTTTAACCCGTAAGTTAAACACAGTGTTGCAGTTTCCGCTGCGTGTGTATTCCTGCATTAAGGCTGTTTTATTGTGACAGAGTTTCAACAGAGCAGCTGTGGAAAGAATGCCTGCGATGATAGGTGGACATGTAAACATGGCAGAGATAGGCCAGCCTGCGAGCAGCACAGTCATTCACAGGCGTAATATAGTTATAAAAAGATTAGCATCATTATTGTTACAGCTTCATGGCTCTACAGTTTTACTGCTCAGTCTCACCTCTGTTTGGTTACTCTGCTCAAGTGTCTCTATTAAACTTGTATTTGCGTAAATAAAAAATCAGGAATAATTGGAAACAAACTGAGAGGATATCCGTTCATATGGTCTTCTTCTCGACTGTTAAATCAAGTATAATTTAACAAACACTCTCACTCACACATTCCCATCCTGAACAGCCCATTTGTTGTGATTTCCCACACACAGGTTCTAATCGATCCATGTCATGTTCGGCTCAGATTGCTTGCGTCAAAGAGCCCCCTGTTGCAAACTGTCCTTGCTCTGGTGTTTCCCAATGCAGATAACCATTATGCACACACACACACATAACACACACACTCTCTAACACACACAGTTAGGGACAGTAAGGTTCTGTTTTACGACACCGCCGTGGTGACTCTGGTAAATGTTTCATGAATGGGCTTTGTGTCACGTAGGTTGTGCACCTGGCCTTGGGTAAAGGGGAGGATCTGTCCAATGTCTACTGAGGTGTGTGTGTGTGTGTCGCCATGTGCACAGTACAGGGTGTGTTTTCATTTAATGAGTAATCATCCTTTTAGCTGTTATTGAGCAGAAAAGAAACTATGGGGTGACTCTATTACAGTTTTGGATGTTTGTGAGGACCCAAACCAACTTTATTTTCAAAAGAAGAAAAGAAGAATGACGGTCTTTTTTGTGTTTTGTTTTAACAGAATAAATCCTGGCAGAAACTGAAGACCATGGTCCACTGGTCCCCCTTCGTTGTGTCCTTCAAGAAGCGTTACCCATGGGTGCAGCTCGCTGGCCACGCAGGTATGCATGCAAAGATCTTCGCCGCCCCACACATGCATTGTTTGGTCTTCGGTCTGTAATCTTCCTCCCTTTGTCTCCTTTTTCAAGGTAACTTCCAGGCTGGTGAGTTTGGACGCTTGTTAAAGAAATACTGTGAGTGCGAGCAGCAGTGCCTACAGAAGCTGATGAAGGACAGCCTGCGCCCCTACGTGCCTGGTTATTACGGAGTAGTACAGAGAGATGAGCAGGACTACAACCTGATGGACGACTTGTTGGCAGACTTTGACTCGCCTTCCATCATGGACTGTAAGATGGGCAGCCGGTAAGACTCAGAGCACAAATATTTTCATGATCTTAGCCATTTAATCAGAGCTCAACCTTGAAAAAAAACCTTTGTACTCGGTGTACTCTGACTGTTTTCCTCTCTCTATCATGTTTGGATGATAATATTGGCATTTTTTTGTCATCAACAAGCTGAAGTTAGGCTATCCGTTAAGAAAAGTGTTGAAACTGAACCCAGAGCTTTTATTTACTAGAACATACTTGGAGGAGGAGCTGATAAAAGCCAGAGAGCGACCCCGTCTGCGGAAAGACATGTATGACAAGATGGTGGCAGTGGACCCCGGGGCCCCCACTGAGCAGGAGAGGGCCCAGCAGGGAGTCCTCAAACCCAGATACATGCAGTGGAGGGAGACCCTCAGCTCCACAGCCACCCTGGGCTTCCGCATCGAAGGCATTAAGGTCAGAGTTCATCCCTAGAGATCCTGATAGCAAGAGTAAACTTTATCTGAGCGTTCAGTGGACAGACTTCACATGCTCGACTAGAATCGGTAAACGTGGCGTGTGACAGTTTTGGCTGCATGTGGAGCCATGAGGGGGGGCTGTTTGTGCCGTCTAAAATACATCTAGAGCTTGTTATCAGGGCAGATTATAACTGTAGATTTGCATGTTACTCAGACGTGAATGGAAACATCTGATGACATGCAGTGAGTGAAAGTCTGCGATGGCTATATTTTTCCTGTGGAACAAGCTGCCATCTGTGGAAGTACAATGCTCTCTTAAGTTCATGTGGCTGTTTTTCAACACTGCATAAAACACTTATAAAATGATAATTAAAGACATAAACAAATCTTTTAATGGCCTCTTTTCCTCACAGAAATCTGATGGGACTTGTAACACCAACTTTAAGAAGACAAAGTACAGGGAGCAGGTGATGCAGGCCTTGGAGGACTTTGTGGGCGGAAACACTCAGATTCTGGTATGTTCACTGCTCTTCTTTTATTTTATTTTTTTTGTTGTAAGAGGTGTGTTATTTGTGTTTTCTTAAGACATTTTAAGATACCTAAATTAACACCGCTCACATGTCTGAAGCCTCAGCAAGATACCGATTAGCTCAGCATCTTTCAACAGGAAGCAAAAATCCACTTACTGGCACCTCAAGAGGTCATAAGTTAACACCATGATCTTGTTTGTGTGATCAGGGACCGATGACTTCCAAGAAACTGGAGCTAACTAGGAATAGGGGTGACAGAAACCCACTTGCAACAGCCATGTCTGCACCCTATTTTACTGATTATACATGCAAATCTTTGTATTCATTACTTAATTAAGGGAGTGTGTAGTGAACAGGTGGATATGCAAATTTGAGTCCTCGCAGGGTGAGCAGGATGCCCCACTTATTAGTGTGTAACACTTTAATGCCTGACACCACAAATTATGGCCAGAAAATTCAAATTTTTTTGGAGCTGAAATGTTTATTTCACTTAATACTGAAAACCAAAAAAATCTAAATGTCCTTAAAATTTAACAAATACATTTATTTGTCTTGTTTGATACATTAGAGGTTTTTGGAAACTGATAAAAAACAAGAGGACATTTTTAGTATTTATCGGACTGTATTTAGGTGCTTTTTTAGTAGTTTCTTGATCATATTGATTTGATAGAAGTATATAAAAGTATGTATCAAATAATACATAAGGCATTAAAGGGTTTAACTTCACGACTAACCAAACTTGAATGAGTTGACACAAATGATTGATTAAAAGATGATTTATTGATTAAAACACTTAGATTCCACAGTGGGAAACACTTCCACAGCAACAAAAACTCACCACTCTCTCTCTATGTTTCTCCTTCCCTCAGAAACTGTACTTACAGCGGCTGGAGGAGCTCCGATCAGTCCTTGAGCAGTCACACTTTTTTAAGTCACACGAGGTGAGACACACAGACAGAGTTTTCTGACTTCCTAAACAAACCTGTTTTTAGATATCAATCCCTCATTAGCTTCTATGATGATTCGCTCACACACCTTAACTCACCTGTCTCACCGGTTTGTCTATTCTCAGGTTGTGGGCAGCTCACTTCTCTTTGTGCATGATGCCTCTGGGAAGGCCAGAGTGTGGATGATCGACTTCGGGAAAACAGTACCCCTACAAGCACCCAGCACGCTGGACCACAGGACGCCCTGGGTGGAGGGGAACAGGGAGGACGGCTACCTGTGGGGACTGGACAACCTTATAGACATCTTCAGCAGTATGCTCCCACAGACACCTTGAGCAGGGGACATATTCGTCTACCTCTAGATGTTGAAAAGGTGGAAAACGGAGGAAGGGGAGATGACTTTTATGACCTAAGCCAAGATCCAAGTGTCTTTATCCAGCTGAACTTTTTTAAGAAGAGGATGATCAAAGACAAGCACAGGATTTCCTCTGCAAGGTGGAATATGCCAAAGGCCAGCATGCTCTCTTCATGGGACTTTGTTGGACTAAAGTGAAAAAAGAGAGAATTTATGGCAGGAGTGTAATCTTTATCACGTGGATTGTGGCTGTGAGAGAGAATACAGTCCTCAGAGCATTTCCCTGAACAGACATTTAAATCTGCTCTTCTTTTTTCAACACCCCCTCTGCTGGTAAAAGTTGAACATTGCGCTCTGACTTTATCCAGGGGTATGGGAGTCTTCTTTTTTTTTTCTCATGGACTACTTTTGATGTTTAACCATTCATTAACACTAAAACACTGGTCAGACCACGTGTGAACTAACTCGGTGTGTACATAGTTTAATTTAAACTCTTTTTGCCTTGGTTTAACCTCCTTATCTTGTTTGTACTATTTTCTGTGCCTACAGCTGTTTGATCATTCCAGTGCAGTGGACTCCTGCTATTTTTCTTCCAAAGAGTTCACCCAAGTGTAAGCTGATCTAATCTCGAAGTTTAACTCTATGTAGGCTTTCTGGATTTGGATTTTTGTATTATAATGCAGTGACATTTACCCCTCTCACTTAACTGTACAGCATGCAGCTGAGCGGCCATGTTTGTCTGGAACATTTGATGCACTATAGATCCTCACAAAGCCATTCGAACAAATCAAACAGTGCCTCTGTGATTTTTAAGACGAGAAGAAGCAGTCGAGTGCTGGGTTTACAGATGCTGGAGTTTGGAAGTTTAACATAAACCTCATTTTGGTGTTTTCACTTCATCCTCTCTGATCAGTGTTGCTTTGGATTTGCAAAGTTTTTGCAGTGAACCAGTGATGTAAGGGGGACAGGAAACTGGATTAACGTAATTTAACAGATAAGTCTGTCAAGGCTTTTGTGAGGTTTGAATTATGTAACAGTCTACATGTGAAACTGGAATTTTTTTTTACGTGTCTTATGATTGAATGGATGACACAAACAAAAATCAAAGAAACACTTCACTTAGCTGCACCAAAAAGGAGATTTGTGGGCTGAAATTTCATGTGCAAGTTGGAGTTTACAAATAATTATTGTTATATTTAGATATTAAGTCAAAGCTCCATGTGTTGTTCTTTGACTCGGAATGTGGCAGGTCAGTGAACACATCAGTCTCCAGTCTTCCAGATAACGTCCATCTGTGTCAGGCAGCACTGTGTGAGTTGGAGGTGCTCAGTCAGTCAGAAGATACAGTTTCTGCGTGAGTGCTTCAAATATCTGACCACATGAAATTGGAATTCTAATTCAGACTTTTTTCCCCATAAAGAGTACTAAAAAGTTTACAAATCATTATAATCATTCGCTCACAAATCTTCTTTAGCTGTTAAAGTATCAGGTTTGAAATTGGGTGATGCTTTATGAGTAGAGGAAGAAAACTGGATTCACAACCAAATGTTGTACTTTTAAAAAGCAGTGTATTTAAAGTCACAAAACATGCTGAAAACTTATTAATTACCAGGTCATGGATTGCAATAAACTGGAAATAAGAATATTTTCTCAGTCATTTTTTGTTCTCAAAATGTCTCGTATCTGACTAGAAGTGTTAAAATATTTCTTTCCCTTATAAACCCAAACATTCACATTTTAGCAGGATAACAGAGCTAAACAAAAAACAATAACTGATGGTTTGCTAATAATTTAAATACTGATTGCATCAGAGGTTTGGAAGTATGGACCACACTAAATTGCTTTTATCCAGTAAAGCAATATGAAGTTACACACTTTAAACTTATCCTTTTCATTACATTGATGCAAAAAAACTGTTGATATTGTCATTAAAGGCACCTTAAGTGAAGGCCTAATACAGCTGAAGAGGTGGCTCTTAAAACTGATATCAGCTCATCGTGTCTTATCAGTCAGCCTGAAGATGATACTCAATATGAGAGCTGTGGCATTTGTAATATCATAACTGTGATGTTAATCTCACATTTTGAAGATTAAGATATCACATTGTACAGCAGTAAAAGCAGCGGCTGTTTTTTAAATGAGTTCAGCCGATCAGATCCCTGAGAAGACACAACATGTCACAGTGTTCCTGAGCCTCCAAAGCTGCACGACGTTCCTTAGTTGCACTTATTTCTACTCCTTTGTCCTCGTGTGAAGTAGTACCGCCTTTCCAGCCAGCCCAGCTTCCACTCCTCCTGCGGGAACCACATACTGGGTCCCATCATTTGCCCTCAGAGGGTCCATTGTCCTCAGCTGCTCGTTGCTTTGGGCAACAGTGTCCAAACTCCACAGCTGGTAGCGCAGACTTTTACCCTGCTTAGCTAGGACATGGACCTCTTTGATGGCTGCGCTGTCAGGACGAGGGATGCTGCTCTCAGTAACGAGGTGAAGCCAGGACAGAGTGGGATCAGGTTCAGTGTGTTCTGTGCTCACACTCTGCTGATCCAAACCCAGGAGCACACCTGGAACAAGCAGACACAGTTTTACTGTGGCTTGAAAGAAATTTGGAATACAGTGATACTTTAAGCTTCCTCCTGTGTTAGCTTTTAATACGCACCCACCATGTTAAAGGTCGGTTTTGACCTGTGTCTTAAATCAGCTGTAAATTACACTAAAAACAATTCTCTATCATCCAAATTTGGTTCTCATCTCTAGGTTAACTTATTGGGCTTCAGTATCCATGAAAATATTGCTTAGAACAGTTTTTGTAGTGGGCCTCTGGGCCTTTCTTTGTCAGTATACCCCTAATACAGACATCTATCCTAATTCATCTCACATGTCTGGACATGCCCGATGTTGTTTTTTGTGCAGGGAAAAACATGGCAAAATGAGAATTTCCTAAATCTCACATGACTGGAACAAGATCTGACTGTCAGTGTGGTGCCTGTCAGTGCACATATGATTTCAGTTTTTGCTCTAATTATTAGATATTAATCTAACCGGGTCAACAGCAACCCTAACATGACAAGTGGCATAATTTAAATAAGAGCATTTTATAATTTAGTCAATGTAATATTTTTATTTTTATTTTGTTGACATAGAGGATCCTGACAAAAACGGGTCGATGCAGACTCTAATACAGGAGGAGGGTTAACAAGGAGTATTTTCTGTAAATGTGGGATTATTTCCCTATGATGCACACTATGTTACCAAATTATAATCCCTCAGATTTTCAGTAGATTTGTCAAATTAATCTCTAACCATTATCTTCCTACACAATATTTCCCACGAGTTTCTGTAGCTAAGGGCAATACAGTTTTGCCCATTTCCTTGCTCTCGGTTGATCTGATCTGTGCCTAATGTGTCAGCTCTACAGAGTTAGGTTAGAAATGCTTAGAAATGCTTACTGACACTTGACTCAAGTCTTACCTGAAGCAACTGCCCAGTGTGCCCTGTGGCCACTGCGTTGGCATGGCTCATGATTGTAGTCCTCATCATATCTGAATATTACTGTAAAGGAATTTTGTCTCTTGATTACAAACTTTTCTTGACAAAAGTTAAAGTGAACAAAAGTAATAAAACTATTTCCCCCCTCATTGTGGTTCTGTTTGTAAAAGGATACGGTATGAGAACAGGTTGTCTCCCCCACAGGTGTGTGATGATGCTCTCTGCATTGCTAGCCCTTAGTCCCCCTGACAGCAGGTCTGCCTTGCAGCCACACACCTCCTCTGCCAGCAGGGCCATGTCATCAGCTGCAAAATAAAAACCTTAATGAGCTCATAAAGAAACTCAACAAAGTGTGTAACTTCATTTTTAGTTGAACATCTGTTTAAAGCAGTTTAATGTTTGCACTTGAGGCACCATGCAGTAATGTTAAGGTTTGTGTTTTGCCTTTGCAGATTTCGAGAAGTTCTCGTAGTTGATCAAATAGGACAGAAACTCACCCTCTTTTCTTCGCTACCCACCATGTTATTTTCATATTCAAAATAGACTGTCTTAAATCAGTTTACATGTTTGATTTTTCACCCGAAAACATTTCCCCCTGAGCCGTGTAGCCTTTCCTAACCGCTGTCTGAACAACAGTCTCCATGTCAACACTCAGCTGTGGCTGTCGAAGCTGAGCTGCCATCCACAAAGCCACCAGACCACACCTAAAGAGTTGATAAATGACACACTTACAGGCACACCCTCACAAATATATCATGTTCAATTACTTACAATGCCATTTCATTCAGGTTATACTCATGACACAATAGCCTCATTGTACATGTGCCAGTTGTGATAACTGGTTTTGTTATGTCAATGTTTATGCAAATCAGGTAGAGTGACCAATTTTGCAGACTTACTGTGGGCCATCTTGAATGAGGGAAGGCACATAAGTGTTCACAAGTATCCACTGCAGGTCCTTCCTAAAGCTAAAGCACAGTGAAAAAACAAAGAATTTCAGAATTACTAAACAATCCAGTACAAATGACCTCTTTTTTTTCTAGTAATAGTATTTTTTTTCATAAGTCATAACACTTACTCTTTCTTCTTTCAATCTTTCCAAACTAAGCATCACAATCTTAAAAAAAAAGGCGGGGATAAAGAGGGAACATTCTCACCCACAAACACACACACTTCACAACACACATAAAAACACCCAACCACCCACACTTCATTAAACACAGTCTTGCAACACTTTCTAAATGTATGTAAATGTTATGTGTTCTTGCTGTATCTGTCACTTTGTCTTGTCTCCATTGTCTGTTTGCACTGTATATATGTTGTCAACCACCTGTCATGATCTGTCCTGCATCACAAATGACCTTCTTAAAGGAAACATTATGACATGTCAAAGTGGAAAAACCGGAACGAACACTGACAACAAACTGACCAGAGCCATCAGAGCCTTTCTTTGCAGCAAAAACTTTGTATTTCTTTGGTGACCAGACAAAATATCTGTAGAGCGAAAAAAATCTTTGCCGTGTCTGCTGATAATATTCTCTTTTTTGTGACTTTGGAAAAAAGACTGTATATTTTAATATTTGAATATAAAATACTAAATTTAAACTTTAGAGCATTTGTCTTTAGGTAAGTGAAAACAATGGTTCCAAACTGATTCACTGGGATTGTCAACAAACTAACTCTAGTACCATCATGGTCCCAGTAAATCTAACTGGACCTGTAACTCTCACCTGCTCTCCCTCTGACTGAGCAGAACCCGGGCTTCAGTGTGGTTCCCCTCTACAGGACTCATGCTGCTGGCTATAGTCTGATACAGCTTCTTTTTGGGAGCTGAGGCTGGAGGTGGAGGTGGAGGTGGGCCTGGAGCAGGTGGGGGTGGTGGAGGGGGAGGAAGAAGTGGGGGAGGCATGGGAGACTCCACTGACATCCTTTAAAATGCTCCTTTTGGGTGAGGAAACAGGTGAGATGGTCAGTATTATGTGCATTATGGTGTAGGGACGTTAGATCTGATTATTTAGAAAACATGTGATGAAAATTTATAGAAAAAGATTCATAGATCGTGATAAAAACAACTTACCTGTCCACTTTTCACTCTTCCAACCCTTTACAGCTGAGCTAAGTCGCTACAAGCAGGGCTAACATTGTTGTGATCGTTACTCGTTGTAAAATGCTATCCTGACGTCCACCTTGGTACAACAACACCCTCAAAGTAACTATTATCAGTCACTAAAAAAAGCGTCAAACTTGTCCTGTCTTGCAGTTCATCCACACGCTAACATAGCTAGCTGTCAGCGCCGCCGGTGTTGTGCCCATATTTGGCAGTGTTCGCCTTACTTCTTCTTCTACGTTTTTGTGTTGGCTGAAATACCAACGATAGAACCTCGCAGCACCCTCCGCAGCATGGATGAACTGACGATAGTGTTATATCCATAGACTCCATATATAATATAATATAATATAATATAATATAATATAATATAAAAATATATGGTTATATCAAATTCAGCGATGCCGGAGCACTGTGCGGCGTATTCCTGTGCCAACAGGCGGACAGCAGAGAAGATAGGCAGGGCTCAAGAAATAACTTTTCACAGTTATGATTAAACGTTTTTTAAACATTACACTTGACTGTAGAGTCATTTGTAGGCCAAAGATCTAAGACTATCGGTCAACTCCAAAAGGATAAATTATGATTATGATGATGATGATGATGATTATTATTATTATTATTGTATTTTTACGTGCGCCTTAAGAAATCCCTGATTGTTGTCTCTGTATTCATTCTTTGTTCTTGAGAGAGGTTCTAAGAAACGTTAAGAAATAAAATAGAAAGAAAAAGGAAGAAAGTGAGCTCTGTTTTATTATCTGTTTTATTAAAGATTTCTTTGTGGTGATCTCCTGTTTCATTTTGGAGATTTCCTAAGGACAAAAACTTGAGGAAGAAGTGGGAGATTGCTGTTAGAGGGAGAAATTCGCAGCAAGTGATTCCTCTGTGCTGTGTAGCCAACAAGCAAATTGATATGTAGTTTAGATGCTGTCCTGTCATGCTGTTCTTGTGTTTAAATTTTTTTGATATGTAGGCTATATATTTGTGTGTATTTTCCAGTTATTAAAATAGTGCTTCTATATGACATTATTTGTGTGTGTCTACAAATGGATAAATAAAATTAAACTATATAAAAATTTATAATCAAATCAATATATATTGAATTGGCCTATTAAAACCGCCAGTTATTAATAATTATTGAGACATAGCAGGAACCTAGCTCTAAAGCTAAATATATCCTTGATTAATTGTTATACTATAATACAGCCACTGCTGCCATGTTCTAAAATATCATTTTATTCATTCTGAGTATTTGAAAACGCCAAAAAAAATATGGCCTCTATCATGCCTCTTTGAATGGCGTTTGCAGAGAAGAAAATTACGTAGTATTGAGCGAACTATGATTCATTTAATGCGCTCAGACTTCATTCCGCCGGTTAAACAGCAGTGCAGAGTGAGGCGGATGACCGGACCAAGATGGCGGCCGCATTTCTCGACAGCGCCCATTCGTGGTAGCGGCCGATGCGGGGTCTATCTTTTATTATGTCTATGGTTATATCCATAGACTCCATATATAATATAATATAATATAATATAATATAATATAATATAATATAATATAATATAATATAATATAATATAATATAAAAATATATGGTTATATCAAATTGTACCGTGAGTATTGTATGTGAAAACGACATAAGATCATTATAGAGCCATGTTTAGAAGATAGGCGGGCTTGAATTCCTTCTAAAATGTGATATATCTCAGTTCTTGCTGTTTTATTAGTCGTAGCTCCTTCATAGTGATCTAGAAATGATTAAATAATAATAAATTATGATTATGATGATGATGATGATGATTATTATTATTATTATTGTATTTTTACGTGCGCCTTAAGAAATCCCTGATTGTTGTCTCTGTATTCATTCTTTGTTCTTGTGAAATTTCGTAATATTTTACTGTATAAAAATGTAAAGTGTTTTCATACTAATCGAGAAAATGTATGTTTTTTATATGTTTGTTCCAGTGCGCCAAAAACAAGTGTAATACGGGGAACAGATGCGATGTTGACACTTAACACGAGAGTTGTAAAATCACTCCGCCTGTAGGGGGCAGCATAAAGCTCCTTGCGTACAGCCTGCCGGAAATTCAGTAGAAGAAGAGATTCGTAAAGTCCGGGCTGTTCGTCTATTCATTCATCGTCCGGCGGTAAGTATTCCTATATCTCTAATAACCTTTGCATTTTAATGTTGGGTGGTTTAGCGTCAAATGTGGGGCGCTATCACTATTATTTAACGTTTCTATGTCATTCGAGGATGTTTAGTTTAAGAACTGCTTTCTCCTGCTAGTAGCCTGTTAGCTTTCAGGCTAACGTACGCCCCACGTTTTCCAAGTCGATTGTTTGCTAAAACTGCCTATCTTACTGTCGATCAAAAAATCTGGCCTGAATGCTCTCAAATGAACTTTTCGGCGTTTCCTACACTTTGTTTGCAGTTTAAACGATGGCCACTCCGGAGGTGCGGCTAAACCATACAATCTACATCAACAACCTGAATGAGAAAATCAAGAAAGATGGTGAGTTTAAATTAAACAGTTTTAATGTGTGTCTTAAAATCAGCTTTAGGGGCTTTTAACTTATTTTATCCTTTTATGTGTGTTTTTTTGTGTCAGAGTTGAAGAAGTCTCTCTACGCCATCTTCTCCCAGTTTGGACAAATTTTAGATATTTTGGTGGCACGAAACATAAAGATGAAGGGTCAGGCCTTTGTTATTTTCAAGGAGGTGAACAGCGCCTCAAATGCTCTGAGATCCATGCAGGGATTCCCTTTCTATGACAAACCCATGGTAAGAATCACCTACATGTTCTCCCTTAGTTTAAAAACACTCATCGACTAAATTACTGCCTCTGTAATTCGTGCTGGTTCTGAAGCTGTCTGTCTCCATCTACAGCGCATTCAGTATGCTAAGCAGGACTCGGACATAATTGCTAAAATGAAGGGGACTTATGTGGAGAGAGACCGCAAAAAAGAGAAGAAGAAGATCAAAGGACCAGAGTCATCGGGGGCTAAGAAGGGTGTTCCTGGAGGGGCTGCACCCATGGTTGCTGGAGTTCCTGCTGCAATGCCTGTAAGTGGGGCTGTGAGTGTGTGGAATGGAAAAATCAATGTTACTAACAGAGTCTGGCTACTTACACAGTCTATAGAGCATCAGTCATGGTGTCATGGATGATTATGGTTAAAGGGATATTCCAGCGTAAAATTAATTTAGGGTCAAACACACCGTAACACAGAGTTAGACACCCCCTCGAGAGCTGAATGTTGCCGACCGCTTGCTTCTCTAGTTATACCAACTTTAGTAACGACCGCAGGATAGCAATACACACACTTTGCTAAAGAAATTAGCAAAGTATAAAAGATGTTTGGTGGCTAGGACCCAATATGTACTGTTGATGAAGTTAGGTGCTGTTCTGAGTATTATTTGTGGCTATAGAGTGGCTTTTTGGTTGAGGTTTATTTATGGCTCCTCAGCCCGCTGTGTATTGCTATCCTGCGGTTGTTACTAAAGTTGGTCTAACTAGAGAAGCAAGCGGTTGGCAATATTAATCTCTCGAAGAGATGTCTAACTTGGCGTTACGGTGTGTTTGACCCTAATTTAATTAACATTGGAATACCCCTTTTAATAGAGAAAGTGGTCAACCTCTGACTTTACCCTGTAGGGAATGCCGCCTATGAGCCAGGCACCCCGTATGATGCACATGCCAGGACAACCACCTTACATGCCCCCTCCCGGCATGATGCCTCCTCCAGGCATGGCCCCAGGTCAGATGCCCCCAGGTGCCATGCCACCGGGCCAGATGATGCCTGGACAGATGCCTGGACAAATGCCCCAACAGGTACTGTGCCTCCTTTTCTAGCATATTGTCATGTAATGTTTAAACATAGTTTATTTTATTTTATTTTTTTGTCTTGACCTCTTTTAACTTTTGTCCTCAGGTTGCAGAAAATCCTCCCAACCACATCCTCTTCCTCACCAACCTGCCAGAGGAGACAAACGAGCTCATGCTGTCCATGCTCTTCAACCAGTCAGTATCTACTGCTCTAACAAATATATTACTGTTTTACATTTCTCTTTTATCCATTTGCAAAGGACTGATTCTGACTGTATCATTGTGCGTTTAGGTTCCCAGGGTTCAAGGAGGTGCGTTTGGTCCCAGGTCGCCACGATATCGCTTTTGTGGAGTTTGAGAATGAAGTGCAGGCCGGTGCTGCACGTGATGCCCTGCAAGGCTTTAAGATCACACAAGCAAACGCCATGAAGATCTCATTTGCAAAGAAATAATACCTCCGCTGATCAGTCTTTTGATAACACACAAAGGCCTTTTTCTAAATCGTTCCCACTGACTTAAAATCACAAAACATATTTTAGAAATTGACATTGCAACTTGGACCATCAAATTTTCTGCCAGGATTACATGTAAGTACGAACTCTAATCAGAACTGCTGATTTCATCCAGCAGGTCTGCGTCCTGTTGATGCAATTTTGAGTTTTGACACAGTACTGGATATTTTTTTGTAAGTTTATACATACCTCTTTTATTTCAGTTTTTTCTTGTTTTGTTTTGAGTAACTGTTTGTCAAAAAGCATTGCACCCAGAGTCTGGCCTGCCAGACACTGTACCTGGAGCTTTTTTTTTAAATAATTAAATGTTTTCTTTGGACTGTGCTCTGCCTCACTTCTTTATTGTTTATGTTGCAGTTGGAGTTTTTGGGCCAACAGATGGTGCTATAAACCTACTTCCTCCTACCTCAAACATTCAGGTTTGTTGCTTAGGAGTAGGTCAGGGCGTGTATTAGCGGATTGAAAAATTATATATCAGCTAGTTTCTTCTTTAAGTAACCTAACAGTGAAGTGTGTATTTTTTTCCTTGTCTTAATTTGCATGGTGTCATTTTTTTCCCTCAAACTCAGTACTCAGAAAAGCTCTTGATAATCAGCCAGGGAAAAATCAGAACTTTATGACAACCAAAAAGTATCTCCATGTCATGACCAGGCTCCAGGGATAACAACAAATAATCTATAAGTCTTCATCATACAAATTAAACAAATACAAATTAAAATGTCAAATTAAATATTTGCAGATTGAGGTGTGGTAAAATCAGTTTTGTGTAATTTGCATGAGTGAATGTGTGCATGTGTGTGCAGATGTTGTATAATGCAAACATCAATCCTAAATTTAGGCAAACAGAACCACATGGTACTATATAAATGGCGAGGAGAGAAATGGTGATTACAGGACTGAACTACAATTTACTGTGCCCTGGTGTGTTGTTAGTCTAATCAGTGTGCTGCAGAGGACAGACTCCACATCACGACACTACAGGGGCTCCACACTCTTACTAGAGTATATTAATGAAGGGAAGTTGTCTTGCAGTATAAAAAAGCTGACACTGAGCCTGGTGTGAGGCAGCACTGCTCGTCAGACCTGCTGTCTCTATTAGTTGGATGGGAATTTGAAAGGACATGTAAGGGAGCAGAGAAGTTGTCATGACAACCGGTGGCTTTGGCTGGACAAAATTCCCCTTAAACTCGTACTTAATGAAAGTGGGATTACTTGGTTTTAGAAAAAGTATAGATTTCCATCAGCTAGAGAAATCACAAAGAAGACTGACTTTTAATAACCATGTCTCATCTTCCCCAAATGAAAACAACTAATCTCTTTGAGTCTGTTTATTCGAAGAATGTAGATTATACCAGAACAACCCATCTTGAACTGTTTTTGCCCTTTGAGAGCCCCTCGATGCACTAAACCAAACAGCTGAATCGTTTTAAAATGTACTACATGGAGTAGATTGCATCATTTTTGACCCTCTCTGTCTTTTTCTGCATTTCTTCTCTTCATTCCAGTTTCAGGTTTAATGGCTTTTTATCTATCCCCAAGAGCAATTCTTAAACCAGAGAAAAATTATTTGGTTTTTGTAAGTCATCATGTTGTAATTTCCTTGAGATGCATGACTTGAATTGGATCAGTGAATCAGGAACTTATTAATTCAGCCATGGCAAAACGCCTGTAGCATCGCAGCTGATATGTTTTGGAAATACAGAATCAACTTTATAAGTTAAAAAAAAAAACTGGCTCTTCTGCTATGTGGCTTTCTGGGAGTTTAATGGTAGTAGTGTCTCCAGCATTCAGGTTTCAAAATAAGTAGGAGTCGATGTTGAAAATAATCAGTAACATCTTAAAGCGTTTTGCAAGTATCAGTGATATGACGTTTTATCAGCACAAATGAGTGTAAACGGAATTTCCTTGTTAAATAACTGCATGATATCTACCAACACATTTAAATACATGCAGCATTTCTCTGTTGCGGTAACTAAATACTTTATAGGTGCATAAAAAAGCCCAGCTGTATTTCAGGTTCTTGCTCCAAGTTTCTCACAGTTAAATCTACCGTTTATTATTTAAAGCTCTCAGAGGAAATTGTTCCAGTAATGACTGTTAAAGGCCTCATAGATTAAAAATTACAATTGATGATTAATTAGTTTTAAACAAATATTTAGTGGATTCAAATGAACACAGCCACCGTCGTGTGTACCGTCTTCTGTTTGCCAATTAGCGAATGTCAACTGTCTGCAGCAAATCCTCGAAGGCCCCTGGCAGCCGTCACATTCTGCTGGTTTATTGAGTAATTAGATGCCACTGAGGACCACCTCATCCTCTCAAAGGCTGATTCATGAGTGTGAGGTGGTTTTCTGTGTGAATAAAGCCTGAAAAGCTTAATTCTGACTCACACTATCAACTCTACTTAGTACACTCATGGGCCTCCCTGTTATGGACTTTAACCGTGCCCTGAGTAATTGTCTTCAGGTCTGCTCAGCAGTGTACACAAAAATGCACATTCTTCTTTAGATTCCCAAGCCTTTCCACACTCCCTTATTTTGCCTTGAGAAAGTGCTGACCTTAGCCACCAGGGCGCCATGTGTGTGAGAGTGTGTGTGTGCGTGTATGTAAGTGAGTGTCGCATGCTCTTGGCAACTTGCCTGGTGCATTCCCATTCACCAACACAGGGAGCTTTCAGTTGAAGGGACCGGAGAGCAACTTTTCCAGTGGGCTGTGTGGGAGTTGGGTCTGAGATCAAAAAATCATCTCTGAGACAACATCTGTGTCAAATGATGCCAATTTGCATGCATGGGCAAATCTGTGTAGACTTGTGCCGTCGGAGGATATTGTCCTGAAAGGTCAAAGCCGAGTTAAAATCAAATTTGTCAGAAACAGCTGCTGCTGCTGTCCACAATCTCTGACATACTTCAATTTAGTTATCTCTTCTACTCTTTTGTCCTGAAGATCAACTGCACAGGCATTGATTGATTGATTGACGTTTATTTTGAATATGCAAACCAAAAATATACAAAATAAGACAAGAAAAGTAAGGCTAAACATAAAACATAGAAATACTTATTTGAAAAGGAGTGAGAAGAAGAATAACTTAAGAGCTCCCACCCCTTCCCTTTAAATAAGCTTCCTTGCAACTTGTTTAGATGTACCTAATAATTATAAAGTATAACTTCCCTCATGCAAACTGAATATTTCTGTATATTTATCGGTAGATGATTATTTTTTAGCTTGAAACATTGTTTGAGCTGTTTGATATTCCACAATGTCTGTGAATTTTAACAACTTGGACTGCAGAAATAAGAATTGTGTGTGTCCATGATATCCAGCATTGTGTTTAACTCGTATTGCTCTTTTTTTGAACGGTGGTTAGTGGCTGTAGTGATGTTTTACAGTGTTTGCCCCAAACCTCAGCACAGTATTGGAAGTATAGTGAGACTAGGGAACAGTAAAGAGTGTGAAGTGATTTCTGATCCAAAACCTTTTTTGCTTTGTTTGTTATTGCAATGCGTCTTGAGACTTTAATTTGTACATACTTGATATGTGATTTCCGTTTGATTTCCGATTTGTGTTTGATATGTGGCATCATGTAATCATCATGGGACACATAGTGTCTTAAGATGACGACTGTTCGGAAAGAGAATAGGGAATGAGGGTGAGAGAGAGAGAGACAGGGGACAGCAGCAACATTAAAACAACAACAGCTCATGCAGAGTTGTGGTTGCAGAGCGAGTAATGACGAGCCAATATGAATTCACTTAACAGGATCAGGATAAAAATAATAATGGACTATATTAAATTATTTTAATGTGATTGCAGTCAGCTGGCCCAACATCAGTTTAGAAACACATCTAACCTCTAGATGGCGCCAAAATACACCTAAGACTCTCATTTAGGAAACAAGCCACACTGTGTCAAAGTTGCACGTTTTTAAGTGACTTATCAGGTGATCCATACAAATACACCCGCACACACACAAAGACAGGCCCTGGCCCGGGCTCGTGGCCCAGTCCAGTGACGTCAGCGTGCTTCCGGCGGGATGGTTAGAATTCAGCTCGTGTTTGGAGGTCAGTGGCTCCTCTATGCAAATCACTCCTATGCTCCTCAAGAGCCCTCTGTTCCGCTCCGGGGTCACTGCAGAGCACCGGGCCGCGGAAACACCAGCGGTTGTCAGGGAAGCTCTTGAGCAACAAGCCTGTGATAGACCTTCAGATAGAGAAGAAGGAGGAGGAGAGTGCATCTCATTTATTAAGAAGGTCCACATTGTGCGGAGTTTTTGAGTCTAAGAAGATACGTTCTTGGAGTTAGATGTGGAAAGTACGCCATGTGACCACTGCCAATATTTAAATAGACGCATATCCACCCCGGCCTACAGTTCTCCTCTATGTTCCTCTACGCTCAGCTGGTTATTTGCAGCCTGCGGCTCCATAAAGCAGCGGTATGTGCGCACATTCACAGGCCAGCAGCTGTCGGGACAAGCTTTATCTTCACGGTGTTGGGTTGTCTCATTTCCTTAGAAACCGGTGTGCAAGTTCGAGCGCTTGGGCACCTGCGCCACGTGTGCCAAACGCATGCGCGCAGCCACAAACAGTTTTCCAAGCTGATTTAGCGTGTGTTTCAAAACATGGGCAACTTCAATGTTACCATCCATTGCACTAGAGGTATTTTAATTACGTTGGCCTATTGAAACCTTTCAGAGGCCACCCGAGCACGTGAAAGCTGAAAAAAGGTTAATTGGCGCGGCGGAGGCTTGAAGTAGAAAGTGGTGAAACATGAGGAGAAAATAGAGAAATGTCACAGATAACCTGGTAAAGACAATTGAAACTCATTCGTGATTGTACCCGGCTTAAATGTGACTGAAGGAAAAAAAAAGTTTGGTGAGCTAGAGGTGCGAAAAAGGGGGAAAGAAGGATGGGAGCATCGGTGCGCGCTGGGAACGGTCCGAACAAGAGCGGATAGACGGATATTCCCTGCCTCAGGACACACCCTCTGCTCTCTCTCTCTCTCTCTCTCTCTCTCTCTCTCTCTCTCTCTCTCTCTCTCTCTCTCTCTCTCTCATTGTTTCCCACACTCGCTCTCTGTAGCCGCTGGCTTTTCGTATCTCAGCCCCTGACAAATGACCAGCAAGCCTCCTGGATGCGAGGAGCGCAAATTGAAATCATTTCGCCGGAGAGACGCAACTTTGGTGGCAGCTTCGCCAACACGCGCATCGCAAACTCGGACTAATTTGTGTGCGCATAATTTCATGCGTAAAAGAAACGCGAGAGGGGAAGAAGAGAGAGTGGCTGCTAATTAGGATGAGAGTTCAAGTCAACTGAGCCGGCAGATTGGACCTTTAAAGCTTCTTAACGCAGGTGGTGGGCGGAATACAGCGCGAGGGGAGTGTGTTTATGTGTAGTGTGTTTGTGTGTGTATGTGTCACTCCCAGTGGAATTACACTCTGGACACAGCGGCAAGAGAGGAGGGGGTGATCAGGTGTGTATGAGTGGATGCAAGGAGACAGGGGGTTAGTTATGGCTTTTCCGTCCAGGACGCGATGAAGAGGCTCTGTGGGAGTTCCAGGATTTAAGAGCGGAGAAAAGGGGAGCTGGGAAGACGGACGGACGAAGGGAGCAAGAAGGAGGAGGTGGTGGAGGAAGAGGAGGAGAAGGAGGAGGGGGACACCAGCGTCGCCAAAGCGCACAACACTGTCCCCAATCCCTTGACGCAGGGATGGAGAGCACGAGAGCGCACGGGGAAACTCTGCTCGTTACAAGACACAGTGGGGGAAAGATCATTGGATCAACGGCCATGATGAGTGACCCACCCCAGGGACACCTCCACCTGCGGCGGGCTGTGATTTTTCTCCTCGCGCTCACGATACAACCGCAGGTAAGCCACTGATTAAGTGCTATTTTGGGCTCTTAAACCCCCGAAGCTGACTTTTAACTGTGGTTTAGCCTGTTTTTTCTTATCACAGCTGCGTGCAAACAGTCAATAATGGAGTCCACAAACACACACACACACATGCACACACACACACTGTCCAATCCTTCTTTGTGCTGCCCTCATTCTGCTCCTCCATGGCGCTGTGCCCACCTGTTGTTTCAGCCCGCTGGTGTCTGTCAGCCCACGCAGAGAGCTACTGTAATACTGATTTAGAAACAGAAAAAAGACATGTTTGCTCATGGGAATGTTTAGCAAATTCTTATTTCTTAGCTCTGTGAGTAAGTGACTGTTTATTATAGCACTGCTTGTATACCAAACAAAGAGTGTAATGAGGCAGACATAAAACAAATTAAGCTCAATGATTGCTGACAGCTGCTGCCTGTGATTTATTTTGGGGATTTCAGTGACAAAAAAAATTGAAAATAGTTTCTCTGAAAGGGCTTTGGTGGCCCCTGAATAAAAGATGATGGATTTAGAGCTCCTTGAGAACCAATCACGCCCTCTGCTCAGTGTCCATTCCTCTTTATGAGGGATGGATGCTTCTGCATTCCTCTGCATCTCCATTTCAAAAGGTTTTTTTTCCTGCTGGTTCTTTGTTTCTTTGCCACTTTCTGACATTTTCATTTAAACATTTTGTTGCACACGTCCTTTGTGTGTTATTTGCAGGTTTTTATGAATGACATCATGTCTCAGCAGGTCCTTCCCTCAGCAAGACCTTTTAAAAACGATTCCAGCTCCTTGTTTTGAGCATCATTGTGCCAAAAATATTGATAACAAAAGTGCAAAACTACATTTTTTCCCCTGTCACCCTCTGAGCTGTCAGGCAGCTGCTGATCATGATGCCTATGATGTGTGACAGGACTCAGCAGTAGCTCCAACAGGCCCAGAGGTGCTCCACTGTGTGCAGGTGTGTGTGTGTATCAGTGTGTGAATGTGTTTTCTGAACACAGAGCTCACATCCAGCATGTGCGTATCCTGGGTGTGTGTGGAGCCCAGGGCCACAGCAGAATAAACTCCAGGGCGTGTGAATGTTGAACGATCGGGCAGCTCTGTGTCTCTCTCTCTGCACCTCTGCAACCCCTGCACAGCTAAGAAACAACACACTCCACTCCCTCTGCTCTCTGACTGCACTGCAGTGTGAAACACACACTTTGGATCCTCTACTGCTGCTGAGGTGGCTGATGGTTATTAATGCAGGAGACAGGGGAGCATGTTTGTGAGAACAGGTCTAGAAATGTGCAGAAGAAGAGAAATGATTGAAGTTCAAATTTTTGCTGCATAGAATAAGCTTGAAGACGGTGTTATGATGTGAAATTACATCTGTGAGCGATCATGTACAGCTTTGCAGATTCATAAACACTAAGTAGATCCGTTTGGATTGAACACACTTGATTTCTTTTCATTTTAAGACTGTTTAGGACCGCGCTCAATCACTGCTGCTGTCTCCTAATAACCCGCCACTCTTCTTGCTATTAAGATTAACTTGCTGATGATCTAGTTTAGTTTATTGCAGTTCCTCATCGGAACTTTAACTCTGTCTTCTTTATAGAAAAGTCTAATAACTTAGCAGTCTGAGTGCTTTTCGAGGTCGCTGGTTTGATTCCCAGCCATGACCCTTTTGCTGCATGTCGTCCCCCACATTTCCTGTCCCTCTTCAGCTGTCCCGTCTGATAAGGGCAATAAAAAATAATAAAAATAAATGTCCCCCTCAAAAACCCAATAATACCCGGTTATGCCAGGAAAAAGAAGAGAGTCTTTGCTTGAAATTGTCGCCCCGTTTTTATACCCTGTGCAGAAGTTGACCCATTTCTCTAGATCTTCAAAAGCAAAGCAGTGAAATCCATGAAACTCTAATCCACAGCAAAGGTCTATTTACTATCCGAGTAAAACTGCCACTTTATGATATTTTCTTCCTGTATTTGACACTGAAACTCCTGTAAGGAAACTTTAAAGTTGTTTAAGCACCCCCTGAGGACAAAGCAGAACCTCTTATCTCTTTTCTGACTTTGTCCTGTTCATGTTGAAGTCGTGTTTCTTGGAAAGAAAAGGACTCACTCTGCTGTGTTTGAACAGTCTTTCCTGTGGAACATGTAAAAAGTCTGTTTTAGAAGCACACAGTTAATCTCTGTCTGATACCTGCCTCTTACTAGTGGTTAAAATGAGCTTTAAGTGCACGTTAGTCATCGATAATAATCGCTCTTCTTGTTTGCTTTTATAGGCAAGAAAGTGGCAACAGATATTCTATTTGAGTTTCTGACTAATATGAAGTACAGCTGACTTTGTCTTTGAATTGTGCTTCACTGGTTTGTTTTTGTTGCTTTTAACGTATCCTTTAACTCAGCGCTCTTGTTTAGTCACTTGGATTACTTGTTAGGAGTTTGGACAACCTTTAAAACTTAAATACAGCTCAGACGCTGAACCATAAATGCACTTCGATCCTCAGATGCAGAGGATTTGTTGTTGAAGTTGTGCTTTGGTCCGACTATCTCCTGCAGAGCTGGTCTTAGCCTTGGCGTGGTTCCCCCCCTCTCTCTCAGTCTCTGTGTCTCCCTGACGTCTGTCTCCTTCTCTCTCCGTCTCTCCTTCCTCTCCCTCTGGTCGGACTGGGCGCTGAAACGCTGGTATGCCGAGAATGATTTGGCCGGCGAGAGGAGGAGAGGAAGAAAGGAGGATGTAGAGTGATGAGCGCCACTGTATCTCCACAAACCTTTTGATGTCGACCAGTTCGACCCCTCTCCCTCCCCTCCATCCCCGTGACCCCTCCCACCTCACCCTCTCTCAGACAGGGACAGGGGCAGGAGAGGGACACACAGGCACACAAAGGGGCGACTCACACTGTGGTTGTGCAAAAGACTGAGTATATATCAGAGCTTGTTTGTTGTAGTGATACCTATCCATGATCTTTACTCCACTTGGGGACACATGAGTCAGAATCTTGGTTTTAATGAGCAACCATTAAGTCCGGTTTTGAGCAAAAATGCCAAAAAAAAAGCTGGAATTATTCAGATTTATTCATCGATAGAGGTTTCATGGCAAACAGAGATAAAAAGTGCCTCTGTTTCAGTGTTTTCATAAGCCAAAGTCATTATTTCGTCTGCTACAGTGACATACAGACCCACACATGCACGCACATACCTGACCCTGGTGCCCCGCTGCTCTCAGGGGGTCTTGTTAACTCTGCAGTGTGTGTGTGTGTGTGTGGGAAGGGATAGTGTGTATGTGCGTCTCCTCCGCCCATCTTTAAACAGGGAGGGGAACACAAAAGAAAAGAAAGAGAGGCAGATGAAAAGGAGAAGGGCAACAATGCAGAAAAGAGCTGATGGCCACAGAAAGAGAAATGACAGGAGAGATACAGCTCGTTCCCAGATAGAGAAAATAGAGGGCAGGAGGAGGGGGAGGAGGAGGAGGAGGTGGAGGAAGACCATGAGCAGGTTCTCAGTGTCATCGTCCCCTGGGAGGAGAGAGTGAGAAATAAGAAGGGAGTGGTGGTGACACATAGAGGAGTAAAGAAAAGAGAGAAAGACAAGGAAGTGGAGAGATAAACAGTATTAAATGGCAGGAGTGAGGGGGTACTTTTCCATGATTTAGATGGAAAGACTTGTGGGAATCAAAGTTGCTGTTTGATGTCTGTGGTCGGGTAACTCGCTGATAAACAAATTACACAAAGGCGACAAGAAGGCTGCTGCAGAAGTAGGAACAGCACTCTTCAGGAAGCATGATAGTCTAAACTAGAACTTTCTTCGATGTATGTTGTCCTGTGGTTGTGTAAGAATGATGCGTCAATGCGGGCATCAGTCTCGCCTCTGTCCATCTCTCTCTCTCTGCATTTCTCTCTATCCTTTCTCTTAACCCAATGCAGACTTGTCTGACTTGTCTGGTTCTGCTCAAGGTCTCTGCCTGTTAAAAGGAAGTTTTTCCTCCCCTCTGTTGTTGCAGTCTGTTTCACTATCAGCTATAATCTTAAGAAGCTCAGATGTGCTATACGAGGAAGTACCCTTGGTGTTGAAATGAAGGCTGACTGTAAAAGCTCAGGAAGTCCCATTTCCATACATGCGCATAATACGCATGTATTTGCATGATAAAAGGTGTGGCCTAGTTGAGATGTAACTGTCTGCAAGGAAGCTCATGGCCTGTCTCAGATCCACGTCTTTGTTTCCATGTTGACTAAGTTTTACTGAGTTGGCCTCATCAAAAAAGCAACAGCCATCAATTAATAATAATAATAATAATAATGATATTAATAATATCTTGCATTTGTATAGCGCCTTTAAAGATACCCAAAGCGCTTAAAGGTGGGGTAGGCAGGATCTGAGGAAGTGCCAGTTTTTGGGGAGAAATCTTGAATGTAAACACGACCCCTCCCAACCAGTTTTCCCCTCAGCTCCTCCTCTCCCCTCCCTCTCTGCTCCTTCAAACCCCGCCCACAAACAGACGCTCCTGCTCGCTCGTATCGTTTCAATTAAATTCAGATATAATGCAGATAAATACTTCAGATCATTACAAATGGGGCCCAGTTAACGTGGAAGTAAACAGCATTGGTGCTACTGTAGATGACAACAGACTTCCAGCAAACACAATGTTTGCAGGACTTCTACAACTAGGATAAAGTGACATAGTCCAGGACCCGAGGTAAACAGTTTAGCGGCGCTATAACACGCAGCAGGTCCCGTTTGAGAAGAAACACTTCTGTTACAGACACTTGGCTTACTTTGTTAAAGCGGTTTACCTGTCAAGCAGAAAGGTTACAGGGTCCCTAAGATCCCAAAGCATCCCCCATTATGCTGATGTTGACCCAGCTTCTTAGCTCTTGTCTGGTCTACCTCCGTTTTAAGCACCTGTTATTCCGCCAGAGTCTCTGGTGTTCGTTTTCTTGCTTATGTCGGCAGTCGTGGCCAAAGGAGGATTCAGACAATTTCCCGTACTTTCTGGTTGGTTTCTACTGTCTGATATTGTAGCATATTATGTTTGTTTGGGCTTGTGCACGTTATTGGAGGACGTTGAGCAGGGTCAGCCTCACAACCAATCAGGTTGGTGGAGGCGGAGAATGGGTTTGTTTACAGTCAGAAAGAGCGGGCGCACAAAAAATTTAAAATCTTGACTTCACAGACATAACAAAACACAGCGATATCGTTACATTACCAAATGTCATCAATAACTAATAGCTACTGACTGATATTAAAAGCTTTTTTGTATATACAACACAAAGAAAGATGCTTCTTTAACGAAATCCCGCCTACCCCACCTTTAACTTTGCAAAACATATGCACCCGCTTTGGTATCTTCTCTGTAACTAGCTTCCACCAGAAGTCCCCTTAAGCAGTATAAAAATAGTGGAAGGGACTTGGCTTGTATGGTTCGGTGTAAATCTGCCTCTTGGTGCCTTTGAGGACAATTAAAAGTTTTGATTTTCATGTGCACTGTGCAAATGACTTTAGCATTTTAATACCTGTTCTTTCTAAGTTTAATTAGTCCAGATATTAATGCAATTTTCTCTTTCCTGTCCCTGCCCCTCTTCTCTCTCTGGACCCAGACCGTCTGTGCTGTTGGGATGTTTGAGCTCCAGATCCGTCACTTCCGAAACCCACACGGACTCCTCCAAAATGGGGACTGCTGCGACCTCCCAGCCATTGGGGGGCAGCGCTGTTCTGCTATGGACCAATGTGACACATACTTTCACGCCTGCTTGAAGGAGTACCAGAACCGGGTCGCCCCCACTGGAGCCTGCACCTTTGGGTCAGGCAGCACCGGGATCCTGGGCGGAAACTCTCAGTCGCTCCACCACAGAGGACACGATGGAGGAGGAGGAGGACTAGGAGAGGATGGGACTAATGGACACATTGTCATTCCCTTCAAGTACGCCTGGCCAGTAAGTACAGGGGCAGTGCTGGTTATCAGTATGGTTACCAAGGGAACAGGCAAAGCTTCAAGTACAACAATACACTCAAAGTGAGGCTCGAGTGGAATAACAATGGCACTCAGAGTTCAGGCAACCATGCTTTTACACCCTCACTGTGTGTGAGTGAAAATTGGCCTTAAAAAAACACACAATAGATAGAAACTGGATAACAGTGACTGAACACCTGTGATCCATTTGATACATCCTCACAGCAGTGTAAACATGTGAAAATACACTGAATAGATTTTGCCAATGTGGATGAAAAGTCAGAGTTATGAAACACTCTTAGAAAAGTTTGTATCGTAGGAATACTTCTTCTTCATTCTACACCAGCTTCTCCCAGACAGCAAAAACAAGAGTCGCCTGAATGTGTGTGAGGAATAGTTATCAGAGTATTTCAGCCTTGTGTTTGACATCTAATATGCAGGGTGTAACGCACAGCAGCTTACAGATCATGGAGTCAGAAAAGTCAGACAGCGCACAGCTTGTGCTCATCAAGAGGTGATACATCGAGGATCATTTACTTTGTTGTCAGATTTCTCTTGAGCCATAAAGGTTATGGATGTGACATGAGCTGTTTGCCGTACCACCCTAACTAAACATCCCATGATGTGATTACAGGTGATCAAGGAAATGATGCAACACTGTTTGAGACTTTATAAATGGCTTGCTGTGCACAAGTCAAAGTCTCTCCTTCCTTTTCCCTCTGCCTTTTCTTCCTCAATTAATCTGAAAACTCTGTCTCTGTGTGACGAACTCTGCGTCTCTTTATTGCTTTCTTCACTTCATATTGAACAATTTGCCTTAGGAACAAACATCACGCTGTGTGCCTCTCTATCTCTGTCCTCATTAAAGAGTGGACCAATTAATCCTCCATTAGCACAGCAGTTGATGAGCACAGCCAAGAAAGAAGTATTGATTCTTCATTTAGTCCACCTTTTTCTTACCTCTTCTGTACCTCCCTGCCTCTACCTCTATTTTTTAACACATTGTTCAAGAAAAACAAAAACAAAAAGAATCACAAATATCAGTGTAGAGATAATTAGATTATAATCTAGAAGTGCTTCAATCAGGAAAGACCACACATTAAGTGTTATGGTTGAAATAATTTAAGCTGGGTCGATCTGCTTTTCTCTGGATTCGATTCTTCTATGATTTTTTTGAACGCCAATTCGATTTAAATCGCGATTCTACGATATTGCCCATTGTTCTTGATTTTTAACCCCAGTGAAACAGTTGAATGATTATGATTGTCTACTGACTATTTCAGGAACCATATTTCCCCCAAAAATACACATGACATGTAAGTCAGTTTTTAAGATTTATTCTTAAATTTAAAAAAAAAAGATTTTTGAACATAATTATCAATTAAAAATTGTAAACCAAAAAAATCACAAAAATTATGTGAATTGATTTTTTTCCCCCCACACCTATAAGCCGCCCCTTTTTTTCATTATTGACACAAGTTATGAGGCATCAGCGGTAAAACAATCAACGGTAACCATGATTTGTTTGTCAGCTTGTTTACAGTTGGAAATTTTTTGGGGCCAATATGCAAAGAAAACTCCGTATTTAATCTTTTCAGCATTAAATATTAGTGCTTTTTTTTTAAATCAGCTTCAGTGTCTTCATATTTTTATATCAAGAAAATTTATTTCATTTTATCTTATTTAATCTTTATTTAACCAGGTAAAATCCCATTGACATCCTTATCATAAATATCACATGTCATAATAAATGCAATAGATATAAGGGAACCAACAACAAATTCACGGTTAAAGTGCAACAATTTCGGACAATTACAATTTATAAATAACCAAATATAGAGCAAAAGAAAGCACCCATGCTTTAAACTGATTCATTCTTCATTCAATTTGGTTTACAGAAAATATAAGGAGTTATAATTCAGCAACACAAAGAAACCATTATAACTCGTATTTGCTGAAATCCACCAGTCTACCACTCCATCAGGCCCATCTTTTACTGACTTTTCTCTTCAGTCATTAGAGCTTGTTTGTCAATATTGTTTAAAGGGAAAACCTTGGAAACCTCTGAAAAGACTTTGCAAGGACACCCTAGAGAGCTACAGTCTTTTCAGAGGATTGCAGAGGTTTTGTTTGTCTCTGGGTTTTACTGAAAGAAATCCTTTTACATTTTGTTTCCGATCACCCGAGCACGGTCTGTCTTTTATTAAAGTATGACAGAAGTTCCTGCATAAAAGCATCATGATTATATTTTGTTATATATCCCAGATGGAGGTTTAGATAGGTTAACAAACACTTTAATTACAAACACACCGACTTAACTGCACACACCATCCACACTTGCATGCGTACACACACACACACACAAGAATGTAACACACAGTTGGCTTAGGTTTCTTCTTTGTGATTAGTATCAGCCCATTTACCTGTGAGACTCTCTGTCCCAGAACCAATTATCCTCCCTTATCTGTGTACAATACATTTCTGTGTGTGTATGTGTGTGTTATATGTGTACTTTGTGAGTGTGTGTGTGTGCGTCTTTCACACATTTTCGTGTCCTTTCCTGTACATTGGGGAAGTATGTGATTGGCAGGCAAGAGTGTGAGAAAGTTTTACCGTCAGAAAGTGTACCTGGATCAGTTTCAGGGCTGGGCCGCGGGGCGAGCAAGGCTGGACTGCAGAGGGAGAGAGAGAGAGAAAGAGAGAGAGAGAGAGAGAGAGAGGTGGGACACAGAGGAGCGAGTAACAGTGCATCTCGGGCTGAAAGACTCGCTTTATCTGACCATCTCTGTGAGGTGGAGGGTGGAGAAGGAAGAGGAGGGGGAGAAGGAAGGGGAGAGAGAGAGTGATCCTCCTGCCCCAGGTGAGGGGATGAACAGGTGAGCGAAGTCATTATGAGGGAAAGGTGAGCTCTTTCTCTCCCGCCTCCCCCCCTCACTTATTCAGCCATTCTTTCTCTTTTTCTCTCACTAATCTCTTCAGGGAAATGTGTACATGAGTAGCTGTGTGTGTGTGTGTGTGTGTGTGTGTGTGTGTGTGTGTGTGTGTGTGTGCTGTGTGTGTGTGTGTGTGTGGGCTTGTATTTGGTTATGAATCGGAGTGCTGAGATAATTCTTTGTGTTGTGTTTGTTTTGTGTACGCTGTCATCGTGATTGCAGGAGGGTTTACATCCCTGTGAGGCTGCCGTAAATCTGAGCAGGATTTCTCAGGAACTTTTTACCAGACTGTTAATATAATCTGGATTATTTTCTGTTAGTCTTATAAAGTTACTTCTGATTGACAAACTTTTGACCAAATATCCAACAAAAGATCCTGATCTCTGTCTCATACAAGGGGATTTACTTTAGGGCTAAAGGAAAGCTGTTTTGGGTATGAATGCTCATGGACAGATAATGGAGAGGACGTATTTGTGTATGAATACAGCAAGTTGAATGATGGCTGATGACTAACATCGCTGCAGATATGCTCCACCTTAATGAGAAACAGACAAACGGTTCACAGTCTGACACTATGAGCACTTTGTGTTTGTATTTTACTCCTTTGTGACCTTTGCCACGCTTTTGTTGTAAATACCTCACAGCACAATAGTCTCTCTTCTACTCAAGGTGTAGGCCATCTAGTTGGCACTAGCTCCTCACTTAAAAATTAGAGTAAACAGTCTTTGAACTCACTAAGGCAATTTTCATATATGAAACTATTCCTGTTTGATTAAGAGGAGCCGGACTGAAATTTCACTTTAAAGGGATACTCCGGCATAAGATCAATTTAGGGTCCAACACACCGTAGCACTGAGTTAGACACTCCTTCGAGAGATGAATGTTGCCGACTGCTTGCTTCTCTGGTTATACCAACATTTGTGACGACCGCAGGATGAGATACCACGTTGTAGTTGTCCTCCTGGTCTGGTTTTAAACAGTAAAACTCGAGTGATCAGTTACCCTTGAGATCATCTGAGGGACATGGCTTCGTTTTCACCCTGGCATTAGAATCACAGACACTTAGTGGTCAGGGATGGTTTAGCGGCGGCGCCTCTGCAGAGATGGGAAAAGTTCAAAGGTTTCCTTAACTGCGAGGTTATTTGTGGTGGTTTCACTGATGGTTGTGTTTGGATGACGAGGGGGAACAGAGTACATTTTAAGGACAGTTTTCTGTTATCTGTGTGTTTTACTGAAGAAGCAGTGAGTCCAGTTCAGTTCAAGCTAAAATGAGGCAGGTCAGCCAGTATCAAATGTGCTAGTCATGAAGTGAAATATAGTTCAAGGTCAGTCAGATTTTCCTTTTCCCAGAACTGTTGTCAGACATTGTAGAAATATAATCCCTTTGTCTTTGACCTTTCACACTTAGAAGTAGTCCATCAATTCCTGGTTCAGACCTGCTCTTTTGTTCAAATGACACCTGACTAATGACAATATGATAGATGCTATAGAAATACCATAAGCATGAAGTGAGTGGAGTGAAGTCCCCACCGTTTATAACCTTTGAGTGAAAAAAACTCATTCATGGTCAGGTTCACTGCCAGAGGCCATCGCCGACTGATCCTGGGAAAGACTCACATATCGAGCTGAAAGTGTGTGAACAGACGAATGTACCAACTTTGTTCCTGTTGGCTTGTCACTTTTCATTCCTGGTGACTGGTTCTTGCATGTTTGCATAGATAGGACTCTAATATATTTGTACTGGCTACCCCATACTGAGTCTGATGCCAATTCATACAGCATGTTCACAGCACTAAGAAGGCAAATACAGTTGATAGATATTACACTTTGTGCTGATGATGTACTGATATCTCATCTGATAAGAATGGTTCCTAAAGCACTCGAGTACTGCTTTGTAAATGTTACAATTCTGCACTCTAGTTTATCCTAACAAAGCTGAACGGTTTTCTTCATGAAGAGTGATCATTGTTGTTTCTGAAAAGGCTCACTTTTGTATCTGTGTATCTAAGGTGAATATTTTTGCTGCTCTGAGCGCCACAGTTGACATTTCTTTCACTTCCATTGTGCGGCGGTCGCGGATGATGTCTTTCAGGCACTTTGTGGAGAACATCAGTGCACGTCTCTCAATTAATATTCTGGGCGTCTTTTTATATCTTGGTTATTTGGTCGGTAAACATGCACAAAGGTGAACATAGCACCTCCACCTCAGTGAAATTCTTCTCAGGCGACTTCTTCTCTCAGGGCATCAAGTTCAACATGCAAAGTGTGGCTGTCATGCAAATATGTGCCGGTGTAGCTGCTGTCGTCTTCACATGTCTCTATTTTCTCTACTGTTATTCTTTTATCTTTCAGATTTAAAAAAACTTGAAATGTCCAATTTTTATTTATTTTAAAGGTAGTCGACACCAGAAGACCAGAGTATGATGTGGAGAGTTTGTGAGGGCTGTAGGTGGTTGAGGGGGCTGCTGCCATTTTTAATTACTTTATATGGTTCAGTAATTTAGCCCAGTTAAATGGAGTTGAGGGGGCTCTCCATTTCTAATTGGTCCCAAGATAAGTGGAAGTATTGTGAGATTATAATAATTAGGAGAGAGAAAAAAATACAGCTCTGAGAAAGAACTACTCATATTGTACTTTTGGAAATCCTTTATTGTTTTAAATAGATATTGATTATATTATTTTATTGGATTTAAAGCCCTCATCAGAATTGATTGTTTTGTTATTTTCTCTTTTGTGGACATGAAAAAAAATAAAAAATAAAATAAATAAATAAATAAAATAAATCAAGCTCATCTAAAATGTGATATAAACATGACTCTCTGACTACTTTTAACCCAAATATTTACCTTATATTTTTTCAGATTTTTAGTGATACTTTCCTGAGCCAAGGTTTTGCTGATTAGATTTTTTAAAATCTGAGAATTCACTTAAATTCAGCTTTTTTTGTTTCTGATTTGTTCGCATCAATAAATTATATTTTGTCAAACAACTAAAACAACAACAATGCAATGTCGGCACTATATATCAGCAATCGGTAGACCTGCTCCCAAAGGTCTTTTTGGGTTTACAGTCTTGGCTCTCACAGGTTTTAGGAAGTGCTATTTATTTGCTGAGCACAGATTCAAGTGAGACTTCTGCTCTCAGTTCCTGCATAATCATATGGACTTTTTTAACATTTGGATTTCCTTTAAAAAAAAGTTCATATTGGTATAGATATAGAGGTAGAGGTCTGAAAGATACTTGGAAAGCACAAGATGTGAAACTTGTCAATTTTGTTACCTTTGAGCAGAGTTTGGTGAGCTTTTCCTGCTCTTTCAGAAAACTAAAAATACCACTATTCACAGTATCCTCCTCTGAAATGTGGCTAACTAGAAGTATAAAGCAGCTTGAAATGAAAATGCTAATGTCATGTAAATGTACTTTAGATTGGTTCTTTAATTTTCTACTTTGCTTCCTCATTTAAGCGCTTATAACTATTCCCTTCAATACTTAACCAGCTTTGAAGAAACACACACACACACACACTCATTGCGCTGTAACCAATGCATTCCTGCTGTGTGGGAGCGAAACAGGGGGAAGTCAGTGAAGGGAAACGAAAGGAGAGAAGCATAGTCGGAGCTTTCTTTCTCTCCCCAGTCTCTCTTTCACTCCCTCTCTTCCCGGCGTTTGTGCTCTCCTCTCTTTTGTCCCCTAATTGACTCACCTTCGCAGCCCTGCATACCTGCATGTATGCTGATACTGTTGTATCGTTTGTTCACGCAGACCTGCAGGCTTCTGCACACACACATATGCACACACAATTTAGTCTTTCTAACCTTCTTTCCCTAAAGACACACAACAAAAACGCACAGAAAAACACAAAGAAGGTTAAATCCAGTGGGATAAAGAGCTTGTGGTTTTAGAGATAAGTTAATAACTCGGGGGTAAACGTCTCGAGGGAAGCTTGTTTTAATGATTTCATTTGTGTGCAAATTGGATTTAAAAGTGGGAGTCTCTTGGTTAGATGAGAAAGAGACAACTGAAGCTTAATTAACATGATGACTGTGAAAATACAGTCTGCAGATGTCATTGTGTTTCATTTAACGTGGGTAAATAGACAAATACACAGGTGTGATTAGAGTGAATAGTTTCCTTTTGTTTGCCATCGATCTATTCCAGCTCATGTCATATCTCCACGCTGTCCTTCTCTAACGTCTCTCACCTGTCCTCTAGTTTTAATCAGTCCTTGTAAACCTTTAGTTCTTTCCAGTTGCCCTTCAGTCACAGCTCATCCCTGTGGATCACAGAGTTACAGACCGATTTATCATAAATCCTCTTCTCACTGTGGTTTCTTATGTTTCAACAGGAGCAGCCACAGGCATTCTGAATCATCACATTGAGAAACATGTTGTGTTTACGAATTTCACTTTGTCCCATGACGCCTCTTCCTCCCTGGTTTGTCATTCCCGTCACGAAACAATAACTCAATGTCCAAGTCTAAGTATACTAAACATAGATTATACCAAAATCCTTTTGAGATGGGTAACTCTTGGCTTGAGGAGACTGTGGTGGCATATTTATATTTTATTTCATCTGCCACAATAAAAACAAATCAACATATTTGGAGGAAAACATGCACAATAATGGAGAGATGACGGTACATGGATATTTTCCAGCTCATCGCTTATGCTGTTTCTGCTACATACCCATAATTTTTCCACCTAATTGCAGCGATAGTCGAGCTCTGCTCTGATGGAATTAACACTCAATATGCAAAATCCCATTGTGATAGTCCATTGGCAGGTTCGGAAACAAAAACCAAAGCTAAAAAAAAGAACATCTTTTCTTTGACGAGCATAAAAAAGGCCTTGTCCTAATGTAGTGTAGTATGAAGTGCTCACCTTACCTGATTTAAAATGTTTTTAACCACTTTAGATAACTGAAGTGCCACCCCCTCATGTAGTAACAGTGGCAGAAATATAACAGAATTTTGAAGCAATAATCATCCTGTATCAACGACATTTTCATATTTAAGCTCTTGTGAGGAACTTTCTGTCTCTGTTGACTTTTGTGCCCCCTGTAGAAGTATTAACCCTTGTACTGTTGAGGCACAACACTGTTAATTTCAGTCTGTTTCATATCCCATAGTGTTTTCAGGTGTAATAAAGGCTTTGTTATAGGTGTTATTGATGGTTAATAAAGGCCTTTGGTACAGGTGCCATAGAAAAAGGTAAATAAAGTTTTTTTGGGGGCGTATTAAAGATTTAATAAAGGCTTAATTTCAAGTGTAATAAAGGCGTTGTTATGAGTGTTATTAATGGTTAATAAAGGCTTCATTTCAGGTGTAATACAGGCTTCACAAAGGCTGAATGAAGGCTTTGTAACACATGTAATAAAGGCTTAATAAAGGTTGTTTTAGGGGTGTAATTAAGGGTTAATAAAGGCTTCATATCAGGTGTAATAAAGGCTTTGTTCTGAGTGTTCTCAATGGTTAATAAAGGCTTAATTTCTGGTGTTATAAAGGCTTTGTTATGAGTGTTATTTATGATTAATAAAGGCTTAATTTCTGGTGTTATAAAGGCTTTGTTATGAGTGTTATTTATGGTTAATTAAGGCTTAATTTCTGGTGTTATAAAGGCTGAATGAAGGCTTTGTAAAACATGTAATAACGGCTTATTAAAGGTTTCTTCATAGGTGTAGTAAAGCCTTTACTGTACAGCCTCAAATAAGGCATTAAGGACTTGTTTTTGTTTTGTTTTGATGACTGAAAACTTGTAACTTTGATCATTTTGGTTGACTGAGAAGTTCTTCCATCTAGAATTGATTGGATTAGAAGTTCAAAGACAGAGACGTTAAAGTAATTACTTCATAATGGTCTGCAGCTGGTGTCTGAGATCCCTGTTACAGCATCTTTCCGTTGTTGTTCTTGAATCTTTTCAAGTCGTTAATAACACACCTCTTAAAGGCTGACAAGTCTGGCTGTGTTGGCAACTCTGCAAAGGTCGTAGAAAATTAATGGATCACCTTTTTTTCAAGGCAAAGAAAACAAAGCACCAAACCTGGAATCACCAGATCATCCATTTGACCATCTTTTAGTGTATTTTTGCCAAGACTCACCATAAACTTTTCACTTCTTTGATTTCTGTGCAACTGGTGGTTTCTGAAGATTAAGCAATCTGCGAACACACTGCGAAATCCCATTACTCCATCAGACACACACCACTCCCACTCTTGTTCTCTTTTCTTAGTCATAATTTCTCTGAAAGTGCAGCGGTGAATGTGAGGCGACTAGACAGGGTAATTTCCTGCTAAAGTCAGAGATGAGGAAAGGGGGTGTCAGAGGGGGCGAGGGCGTTCAGTCTGGGTAGGGAGGAGGAGGGGAGGGTGACGGGTGGTAGAAAGAGCACAAGGTTGATGTTGATGTCAACGCGGCGGAGGCGAGACCGAGGGAAGTAGGAGTCAGGAGATGATCTCAGTGTGAGGCCCGCAGGTGTTTTGGGTGGGGGTCTGGGAGAATCATAAGCAGCAGGAGGTAAGCGGGGGAGGAGGGCAGGATGGAGATGGGGCAGGGCGACATGGAGGATGAGGCCTCATCGTGTCGAGAGGCCTCTGTTGTTTGAAGTAGCTGCATAGTTCAGTGTAAGCCAATTAACCCTGCAGGAATGTGACTGTCCGACACAGGGAGAAAGAGAGAGAGAGAGGGTGAGGAGAGAGACATACTTGTTACTCCAGTATTTTTATTACACGCTACTTTTTACTTCTACTCCTGAACAATTCAGAGGGACAGATTGTCCTTCTTAATGTTTGTTTAAGTTTTAATGTCATATTTTGAAGTTCCAGTGAGTTTTTATCGGTGATCAACCTTCTCTAAACTGCTTGTGCAACCAAAATCTTGCAAATTACGCACTGAAACATTTTCATTATTACCATTAATTTTATTAAACTGAGCAACTTAGTAATTTTTATTTGCAATGCTACACTCATAAGTTTTGACATCAGTTTTAGCTCTGCATGCACTGGTTCTCCTTGGTCTTTAATCAGTGTGTACAGATAAATCGAGCCACGATCATGGCTTGAGTCGGTTATTTAGCTGGACTGCTGTTCTTGTCTCAGTTTACATGTAACTGATTTACTGGCAGATGCAGGTGTGCCTCCGCTATGGCTCATTCCAGCTGCTCTAATTTGATTACAGTATCCATTTAGTTTTATCCTTCTGCTAAGGGCTGAGGTGAACACCTTTTGTATGTGTGTTTAAAGTCTTCCAACACCTCCAACTCCCCTGTGATTAGACTTTTGACCTGGATGGCTGAGAACTTTCAGATATCCCACTGAAGGAGCCCAAACTAGGTCCCCTTTAAAGGCATGGTTGATAAAAACTGAGCGCAGAACAATATTGCACTTGTGAATCTCCTAATCCTAACCTGACAGATGATGATGTTTCACAGCCATTAGGAATAACCAATCGGAGCCCAGCACTTCTCGCCAATCAGAAGCGAAGGAGGGCGGGATCTTCCCCTACCATCCAAAATAAATAAAAAAACATCGCGTATGGGACGAATGGCTCCCATTGATCAATGTTTTTGCAGCTCTGCACCTGCTAGGGTAAATGGATTTTTTCCATTAATTTTTCTCTTCACTTTGTGGAGCTCGCATGATAAGATCATGCTCGCCATATAAACGAGGTTCATAATAATTACCAATCTCTCCAATCGTCAACCATGCCTTTAAGCAGCTACTCCATCAAACTCAGTACTGAGTTTGACGATGGATGGAGCAGACCAGATGATAGTGGAGAAATGTGATGGAGAAGTGGAAAGTGTGTCAAAGGAAGGTGAAGTCTTGTGCTAATTATATCAGGAATGAAAGAAGAACATGGAAGATGGTCGAGAACGCGAGAACAGAGACATTTAATTATAGAGATGAAGTCATGGGAGCAGGGTGGGGCAGACTGTTGCACAGTGGGGGTCTAATTCCACAAGTGGTGCTCAGTGTGTGCGTAGGTGTGTTTTTAACCTGAGGGCAGGGAGAGGGCCAACAAGGGATAAAATCCACGGAGACGACTGAAAAATTCCTGACTCAACTTAATATCTTCTGCTTTCCTGCAGACAATCCGCTGTTTGATCCAAAGTGATTAATTTTTGTTCTTGGTCACGGTGAGCTCAGAATCAATCAGCTCCATGGAAATCAGGTTTGATAAAAAGCTTTTCAGATTGAGTTTCCGTATCCAGAATCAGCCCTCAGACATCATTTTAGTGGAAATCAATCAGATATGTTTCATTACTTGGGCTTTTTGACCCATTACCAAGCCCAAGGAGCTGACAGCACGGTTTCATCATATCTACCGTACTTACCAACAATGATGTCAGCTCTGCCACCAGAATAGTAATGCCATTGTTACTGTGGTTACTAATTTGTAGTGCAGGTGAGGTGTCAGCCAATCCAATCCAGCTTGGGCACAGCCGTCGTCATGACAACAGTTTGCATGTTTGTGTGAGTCTGAGTGTGTCAGTGTTTGTACATGTGCGGGACTATAATTACTCCGGCTCTCTGATGTTAAGGGCGAGAGCTGGCAGGTGTGTGAGAACAAAACGTGTCGAGCTGCGGGTTATGAATATTGAAAGTTTGGTGGAACACTTGCAAAATTAATTCTTCCTTCAGCAACACAGAGAGAATGGGATTTTCTCTATTAGTCTCCTGCTTGTAAGAGTGTGCTGACATGTTTATGTGTGTAAAGGCTTCAGTGAGTGTGTTATATGATAGGGCTGCTACGATTCGGCCTCCTGTGGAGCCAAATAGATTTTCAGATGCTGCAATAAACCCCCCCTGTCAGTATACAGTGGAGTGATAAACTAGATATAGGGTACTGAATCAATTTGATTCAGTATCCATCCACCAGTAATTCTCTATCAAATCGATTTGTTCAGACTTATGCAGTTTTTATAACGGTGTTGTTTGAATATTAAGAATCTTCTAAGAGAAGTAACAAAACTTTGTAGTTTCAATGCTCTGTTTCACTTCTGCACACACTTTTGGAACTTCGCTCAGTCACACACCAGCGAAAGGTTGCGTGGTTTGAGTATTCATGAGGTGCTTTGGAAGGCAGCATGATCAACAACCCTGCACAGATAAATATCCTAACACAGGGAAGTCAGACAGCCTTGTTTATTTTTGCAGCATGCTGAGAGCTGGATGGTCTAACTTCAGCCTAAATGTTGTTTCCAGTTGGGTTTGCCTCAAATCACATATTTCCGCAGAGAATACACGTAGGTGATGGCTGGTTAAATTGTTTTAGAGACACAGTATTTCACCTCCATGGTCCATATCTTGCATATGGATTTGCTTTTGTCTGGCTCTTCTCTGTCTGTGAGGTTTAAGGTTTGTCGGTGCCTTCAGTGCAGCAGCTCTGGTCCTGCTATGCTTGTCTGGAGGTACCAGCCTCTAGAGTGACCAGATTTTACTGAGCTTGAGCTGGACTCATGTGACCAGGGGCCACCTAACCTATGGCAAAGTGGATATTTCGTAAGTTCAATCTCAGGATTTCATAAATCAACAAATTACTAATAGAATGAAAAGGATTTGGATCAAAAAAAATAATTTCTTTACCCAGCCCTGCAGGGTATCTGGATGTTTTCTCATTATATGTGTATGAAGGAAATTGGAAACCTGTTTTTGAAATGATGTGTCATCCAGACTTTTTATCAGTCATTTCACTCCTGATAGTGAAGTTGATGCTATCATACATCTATATTATATGTGTGGTACTGTATATATCTTGTACTTGAATAATAATTGTGTTAATATATATTTGAGTGACACTTTATTTTAAAGAAGAGCCTGTTTCTTGAAGGCTTTGTATATAATTTACAAAGAGTTTCAGTGTAATTTGTTCCTTATCAAATTAAAAATAGAGACAGGGTTTGTTTGGCAAACCTCCAGTAAATTAATTTCAGCTAATTACTCTCACAGCAGGTCCACAGAACAGTCAACAATGTGAAATCAGCCTGCAGGCAGCAGTATCCTATGAATTCAAAAAACAGAGTCTATAAATGTTCACTTTTCTATACAGCATTTATATATTTTTTTCATTATTCACACGAGTATGTGAAACCCATCAGAGACATTGCTTAAAGGGATAAACTGACCTGAAGCTGTTGCGTGAATCTTCAGCTCCCCTCCACTTATTAACTGTTTAATAGATGACTCCTGCATGCTGTTGAGTAAACATTATTGACTTTATAAGTGATGAACCTAGAGTAACAGAGGTCCTATCTAACAATCAACCAGTTTGCACCATCGATTATAAAAATGGGCAACACAACAGCTCACCACAAGTGAAGTTAAACCCTTGAGAGGTCCCTCTAGTGACTGGCTGCAGTGTACATCCACCATGACAGCTAGTTCTCATGAGGTGAATTATGTACATGTGTTCATTTTTCTAAGAAATTTGGTCCTAGTTAGTGATTCGACGGTATAAAAGGAGACAATAGGATGTCACGATGAACATGTTGACTAATGCAGGCTCTGTGCTGGATTAACAGCAGAAGAGGAAAACCGAAAGAAACCAGAACACTTAAGTCTGGCACACACCAAAGGGTTTTTAACCTCTTAACCAATTTAAAAACATCAGAGACCCCACACATGGCAACAAGTGATAGTTTTTTTTCCTACTGTGGTATGCAACAACATGGTGAACACAGCTCAGCACACACAAGGAGACTATTTCCATGAAGACTCACCAGCAGCTGAAGTCCGGAGTCTCATGATTTCAAGTCTTTGCAGCCAAAGGATTTACACCAACCCCTTGACCCATAGACTGTATAACCACTGGACATGGCATCAGTGATGTCGTCAAGCTGTTACTGAAGTGGAATTTTAAAACCAATCGCTGGCGGTCCCCATATTGGTAATGCTAACTCAACCTATTATTTGGTTAACCTTTCTGGAGGCGGGACTTTAGGCTCTTCGCAAATGGCTGCAGTGTGTCAGTCAAGTCACCCATGGCTCTGATTTGCCGATCTTTTAACTCTGATAGCTTTGACACAAAAAGAGAGAAGTTTATCCATAAGTAACATCAGTCAATGGGGTCTGCCTGATCACTATATGCATGTCTTGTGTTTAAACTATGCTTGTGCACATTACAGCTGTATTTGGGCTTCACTTGTTGAAAGTTATTTAAGTGCTTGCCTTATCTTCAGACAAGGCAAGCGCTTAAATAACTTTCGTAGATGTAGCCATCTTGTTTCAGGCCTCCAATTTAGATTTTTTCTCGACTTGGTAACTGAAACACTGGTTACTCGGGCGTGACGTCATTTTCAGCTCCGACATCTGACTTCTGAGGTAACTTGAATGCAACATAAGATACATCTTCCTGATACTCAAAGCGACTCTGCCCCTAATTTTGCTTGACTTCTTAACAGTAATGACTAATAAATAGATTGTTATACTCAGGTTCGACCCCTGAACAGTTGTCACGGGTGAAGAAATGAGCTCCAGAGCGACAGTCCAGTTTTTGTTTTTTTTTGTACCAGACTATAAACATGTTTGTGTGTGGGGTAAAAATCTGGAGCCTGATGAGGTTTGGTTGTTTTGAAGACAGCCTTAAGCAGTCACTGTGAAAACAGCATTTTTTGGCTCTTACACACTGGCTTTACATCACAGCCTTACTGGCTTCAACTCTCAGGGGGATTGGCTCGACAAATAAGCAACAGTTTGCTCGCAAGTGGAACATAACTAATTAGAGGGTGTTAATGAGAACAAAAATTGTTTTTAAGATTCAAGTTGGATCGGAAGCTCTTCCCGTCTGTGCCTCAGAGTATATCAGAAATACATGAAATAATGCAGACCTGTAAGATGAAGTTTAACCTATATGTCTGTTATGGTTTCATAGATAGACAGCAGCTATTGTTTGATGATCAAAGCACAAAATCGAGGTGTCGAAATTGACAAATGGCACGTTTCTTCTACTACAATCTCCTTTGTACTGAGTAGAAAAATAGTTTCTGTGCTGATGCAAGCATTGTGTGGAAAAATAAAGACCCCCCCTCTCAGAAATATTGGATGCATATGTGTGTGTGTCTGCATTGCGTGTGCGTGCAGGTGTGCGTGTGAGTGTGTGCGCATTAGTGTGTGAGCTCGGAGGGGAAATTCCTCTCTCAGGGCTGGGAGTTCTTCCTGTCGTAGAGCTGTGTTTGTACAGCCTGGCTTTGTCGGGATATCCTACCCTGCCCATGTCTGAGAGGGAGAGAGTGGGAGAGACGGTGGGAGGGAGGGAAGGAGGCATGGCGGGGGGCAGAGAGGGGCACCCATGTGGAGGGAGGGGTCACACCGAGGCGTTTGGAGGAAAGAGAAGTGGGCCAATTTTTTTATAAACCTTCATTTCATCAAATTTGGCATGCATTCACATACGTCTGTGCAGTGGTTTAAATTTGCATAGCTCACCATAATCCCGAGCTTTATCGCTGTTGGCCTGGTGCAAGGCTGGAGAGAGGGGACGAGGCCAGACGAGCAGACAGCCTACAGCCTGGGGGAACGCACAATTTATAATCAGAGCTAATTCTCTTGTTTGGATGTTGTCTTGTTTTTGGCTGGGAAACCTATGTCAGCCCATTCCAGGCTCCAACCATCTGCACATGTCATGGCAGGGAGCAATCAGAGGGGGAGCTGACCTGAACCCAGAGGTGTCACTCAGACTTACATGCTGCAGAAAAATCAATCTGTACTGCTGAAAACTGGAAATAGAAAGGATACAGGGGAATTAAAACCCACTTGTACACTTAAAAAATTTGTCTTTGCATCTGCTGATTCCTGCTGCAGTTCATCCTAATGCCTGTTAAAATGAAACACACAGCGCTTTATCTGTATTGATTTAATTGTTTCATGTTTTCTTCTTATGTTTTTTATTTATTTTCTGCACTTTTCTTCCCCCAAAGTAAGACTCAGAGAAACATGAACCCTGCAGTTACATCCAGTGAGTCCAACAGAAGACAATAATGTGTCTTTAAACTCAGGTTGGAGTCAGCCTTGTTGTTCGCTGACCTACTTTATGTAGCACAGGATGAAACACCATGGCAGACTCGAGTGTCATGAGTCCCTTTTCACACAACACATATTGAGTTATCAGCCTCAGATGTTACCGAACAAGTAACTGTAAATCTCTGCCTTTAAGTTTATTACGGCATACTCGCAGACATTGAATTTATAGTCAACCATCTTGATACAGTGTTAGTAAAATGGGCCGGAGATGTTCTGTGCCGGCTGAATCCTGACACCTCTATCAAATTATCAAATAAATGAATATTAATAGAGATGAATGTTGCCGACCGCTTGCTTCTCTAGTTATACCAACTTTAGTAACGACCGCACGATAGCAATACACAGCGGTCAAACAAACCTCAACCAAAACGCCACTCTATAGCCACAAATAATGCTCAGAACAGCACCTAACTTCATCAACAGTACATATCTGTATTGCTGTCCTGCGGTTGTTACTAAAGTTGGTATAACTAGAGAAGCAAGCGGTCGGCAACATTCATCTCTCGAGGGGGTGTCTAACTCGGCGTTACGGTGTGTTTGACCCTAAATTAATCTTACAACGGAATATCCCTTTAAATCGATTCTATGCTTTGTGAGACAGGTACTATTTTATGTGTTGCTACGTGTGTCCTGTACTGTAACAGACATCAGTGTTGTTATTAGTTCCACCTTGTTAAAGTATGTGCTGTAAAAATGTTAATTGTATTTTTCAGAGGTCAGTAGAGAAAGATTTCCCTAATGTTGGAAAGTTTGTAATGATTCATGTTTGTAAGGTTTATAAAGAGGGTAAACCAACATTTAGGGCCCTATCATACACCAACCAAAGCGATCTTTGTTTACACTTGTTGTGCACAGATATCTTCTCCACCTTGTGCCCAGTATCCATGTCGTGTTAAAAGAAATGAAACTGTAATTAAAGATTGTAATATTTTATTGCGATGAAAGAGTTAACGCTGACAGCTCAAGTAAAGACAGTCTGCTCAAAGTTTATGTGCTAATTAAAAATGCAGTTAATGTTAATAGAAATAGAATTGTAAGTCCTTTGTGTTCTAAGATTTGCTTCCCGCAAATAGAAATGCAATCACTTTACCCATCAAGCAGTGGGGGAGATCATTTCTGTTTCGCTTCGGGGATTATTACAGAAGATGAGATTGACTCACAGTCTCATCATCCTGGAATCACTGCTTTCTTTTAAAGAAATGCTTATCTTGTTCAGTTTCTGTGAGCCAGGTTTCAGTATTCAATGTATATTGTGAGTCCTGTATAGGGGTCAAACAGTAAAATCATCATTCTTTGAGGTAAAAGTCAAGTTCAAGTCAAATATAACTTTTGCTTTTATATTTGAAAGATGGAATTGACGTATTTTGATTAATTTCTTTTGACTGTTTTGAGATTGACTATCATCCTTTGTTTGGTCTTCTCCTCTAAAATGATAACTAAACACACTACATTTACACACATGCACACACACACACACACTCTTTTCCCATTATGTCATTTCCCTGCTGTCATCACTTTGGCCATTATCTCCACAAATGGCTGAAATAACACTCAGATGTCTGATGCTGTTTGTGGCGGTTCGGGGTAAAAATATCTGCACTCTTGAGATCTTATCAGTCTGTCTCGGAGATGTTTACCATGTGATTTTCCTCTCTGTGCGTGTTGTTTTTTCTGAAACAGAGAGCGAGGTCTCCGCCTGGCCTCTAATGAAGCCTCAGGCGTTGGCATTGCAAAAAAATTGCTATGGTAACCATGTGTGTAAGCGTGCAAGCTGTTGAAAGGCTTTCAGGAAGGGTATTTTGGTGAGTGATTGTCTTGAGTTTTAAACACAATTGTTTGGAGCTGTTTTAGTGATTGTTGATGTGATTTTAACTTGGTAACTATGGTAAGTTTGACCCCTCCTGGCTGCCATACAAGAAGAACCCTGATGCGGGGCTTTCTGCAGGTCCACCCTTCCTGTATCGATGACTGTATCATGTCAAACCTGGCTGTAAACACTCGTGGGTGGAGAGGTGTAAGAAAGAAATTCGCACATGGATGGCATAGGGTGTGGGTGGTAAGGAGAGGTACGTATGGTGGATGGAAGGAAGGGTGAGGATAGAGGGAGGTTGATTGGAGAGATGATAAGTTTGAGAGGTCTGTGAGGCGGCCAGGCGTGAGGTAATGCTGTGTGGGCATTTTGTAGAAGGGGACAGTTCATCATAACAGGCCTGATGCACAAATCACTTCAACTTGAGCTGTATTTATACCCTCTGTGCGTCTATCAAACTGCCGCAAGAGCGAAGCTAAGAGGATTACTCAAGTAGTGTACCTAATTACAGTTTTATTGCACTTTGTAAGTAAATATGTAAGTTTATTTATAGTGCTTTAACAGCAGACTTCCTAAAGTGCTTCACTGAAGATTAAAAGATTAAAAAGGCAAAACAGAGAGATGTTAAATACAGACGGTGCAGCTTAGAAGTGACATCCTCAAACACACAGCCACCTGGCAGATCATGGATGCTTTGTTTAGACGAGTACAAGGAGAGCCAAGAGGAGACAAAAGCATGAACAAACATCTCTGCTCAGCTATAACAGGTCTGAGTCTGGCATTGTTTGTTAAATTGAAAAAAGGAACGAGCCTGATCCATTATGACTGTGAGATTATGTTAAACAGGTTAGAATAAAAGATAAGATTTGTTCTCACCTCTCCACCTCTAGAATCTCATGATCTGGAGCAAAGATGATAACCTCAGTTTTATTCGTATTCAGCTGTCGAACATGTCCTGCAATATAAGTGTTTATAACCTTCACTCTGTCAGGTAAGAACAGACTACTTAGAGACAATTTGTGGTTTAAAAGACGTGATATAAGAAGTCTTTTAAAGTCCTTGAACAATATCTAAATCTGTCATCTGCATCTGGCAGTGGGGGGCCTGCAGAAAAACAACAACAGAGGGCCCAAAACAGAACCTAGAGGGACACCAGAAGACAGGCCATCTATTGGAGTTAGATGTATTATATCTTTATTCATACTTAAACACTTATGTACACTAATTTGGCAAAATCTTTTACATCTCTAAGCAAAATAAACAGCTTTTTATATGTGGCTAATACTTCTATAGTTCATGTTTTATTTTATATCCTGTTTAATTTCAGGGGTTTCTTGTCTTCTGCAGTTTTTTGACTGTATACAAATTTTGTTTCTTATTTATTAGTTTTAATTTGGTGCTCACTGTTTGGCACTAAAAACATCCAGAAAGCTCTTTGAAAGCGCAGCAAATCCATTTCTGATTTAGACTCTGATTTAACGTACTTATAGTAAATTATATCCATTTTACAATGTTTTTTTAATTTTAAATCTCTACATTTCAGAGAGACATCAGACTTTTTATTGCACAGCATTTATCTGAAATCTTGACTTATGGGTTTATTAAATTAAAAAGTCTCATTAGAGCATGAAATAAGTGTAGAGAGACACCATCAAAGTGCTCACACACCAGTTTTGTCACAGGCTTCTGGGTTTTACTGTGAACAAGGTTTTAGAAAAAACTCAAATGAATTAGGTCTGAAAAGTGAAAACCAGTTTGTGTGACACTTTTCCCTGTTCTTCTTAGCATTTTTTAACATTATTTAAGGCACTTTTTTCTCTTCGTCTTAGCATTGGAGATTTTGCAACTCCTGGACTGAATACCAAACTGTTTATAATTGTAATAAAACATGCTTCATTGTGTAAAACTCTAGTGTTGGATTTTCTAACATTATTTAAGGCACTTTTTTGTTATAAAAGGCACTTTCTACATATATATAGAAAGGGGCTGATATGTGTCAGGACGTGACAGCAACAAAGCTGTTTGCTCATGAAGCACAGGTGATGCAAGTTGGAGCAACACAACACTCCTTTTTAACAGAATATCTCGAGAGGCTTCATCTCGAACAGCACCGAGAGTTCCTGACAGGTAAAAACCAAAAAGTGTCAGCTCCAGCAAAAACCTCCTTCTCAGCCTTTACTTCAGACATTCAGCAAATCTATATATTATCACAGCAACAGCCACAAGCTAAGGGAGCAAAAAATCATTGTATTGATTGCTCTCAATAACCTGCCTTTCAGCATGGGGGAATATTTGGGCTTTAGTAGACCGACTTGGTCTGGAGCTTCATTACATGACGCCTATAGCTGGCATCACTTACCTACCTGAATCTTTCTCTTGGCTCTCGATGATGCTACTCATGTTTGCCTCACCACCACAAAATATCTAGACATCAGGTACAAGTTCAGTCCGTATGGGTTAGGGCAGTAGTTCTCAACTGGTCTCACTCTGAGACCCACATTTTCCCATGGTCCAAGTCACGACCCACTTGTATAGAATTAAAACCAAGCAAAAAAAAAAAAAAAAACCTTTAAAGACTCAAATCTTTAACACAAATACACCCAATTTATTGAGTAAAGTGCATTTTAGAGCACATGAGGACGGCAACTACCGAAGTTGCATATACAGAAAATATCAAATATCAAATAACTATGAAATTACACAAAATAAGCTATTCTTCATAATAAAAGACACGTCAAACATCAGGTGAGAATTATATATTTTCTTTTTTGAACAGCTGTTTGTGACCCATCCAGAACGTGTCCGCGACCCACTTTTGGGTCGGGACCCACCAGTTGAGAACCACTGGGTTAGGGTTTCATCAAATGTGATTTACAGGAATATTTTTTTCAGGAGAGACCCAGTCCTTTACAGTGGTGTAAATCTACCAGGAGCTTGTAAATAAAAGCATATTAGATATCATATATCTTTATCAAAAACCAATAACATGTACCTTCATAAACACACAGGATCATGTTTCTGTTCTCTTTAAAACAGCTACAAGATTTTCTTTTAACATTTAAAACTCTTCCTTTCTAAATTCACCATCTGATGTTTGCTTCTTAAAATTATTCTGCACAGATCTGACGTGATCGTAATTACCTGCAGGATTTCACCGTGTAAAAAAATGTAAATCATGAATACTAAACATAACTTCAGGTGTGAGTTTCGGGGCTGCAGCTTAATGCATCCAGCTGGTCCGTGTCTGAGCTACCTGCTGTCTGCTGCTTTTAATGAACTGGCTGCTCGCCCTCTGCAAGCCACCACATCTCATTAGCACCATGACTTCTCCACGCTGTGTGTCTGTGTGGGTTTTGACTGAGTGGGTGTTCGTACACACACCCTCACTATTTTTGTTCTTATCACTCCTTCTTCCTTTTTTTTTTGCTGTCTTCTGATCTTTTCAAAGCCATCATCTTTTCATTCCAGCTCCCTCTGACCTCTTTGTCTCCACATCTGATAGTTCTACAAACTCCAGGAGTCCTGGGAGTCGTTATCCCTCCACATCTGCCAGAATTCTACCTTTCTTTGCCCTTTTTCTTAACACACTCCCCATGTAATTACCCTTCCTACACCTTTTTCTCTGTCCTTTCCTCCTCTTCTGCTCCTTTTTCTCCCCTCTGTTGCAGCACAGATACACCAAACATGCCTTCTCTTGAATGAAACTCCTGACTCAGTGTTTTCTACCGCACCAATTTTCACTCCCCCCTAACATTTTGCACCTTTCCTGCAACCTTTCATCTTCTCTCCTCTTCCTCCTCCTCTTCCCTCCCTCTAAAGCCCTGACCTCCTGCACTAAAACTTCTTCTGAATCCGTACCTATCGCTCAGCTCCTGTACCAATCACTTGCTCCCTACTTCTATAACTCTGTCCAACGGCACCTCCCCTTCTCCTCCCCCGTCTTTAGGCTTTCACACAAAAGACGTGACTACACATCCATGCAGCCCTTTAGGAAGAGAAACCTTACCCATAATGCTCAGAGTGGAAGATTTGCATGACAGGCGTTGGTGGTTTGTTTCACTGAAAGAGAGAGAGAGTTGTTGGGGAAAGTGTCGGTCTGAATTATTCATAACTAGTCTATAGGATGAACTAATGCACCACAAACACCTGTCCTCTGTTATCTCTCCGGAGTGTGATATCTTTGTACGCTCAAAGTCATCATTTGAAGATGTCCGGCTTTTTCCAGAGTCCCCCCCCTGCTTGTGTACTGCAGCGCAGCTTAACACAGGTCGACTTAATCTTTACACAAGGCTCTGAATTTTAATGAATACGAGAATATAAAAGTACAAAACTTCCACAGCTCCTTCAAGGATTAATGTGTGTGCCGCACTGCGGGCCAAGAAGATTTTGGGAGCATTAAAAAAAACAGAGTGAAGCAAGACACCTGGTCTGAGTGTGTGTTCAGTAGATTGAACATGAGGTTTTGGATATCCTCCCACAGCTTCGTGCTCATTCTCTCTGTCTCGCTTTGTATGACTGCAGGTTGAGGTTTTCTTGATTCAGCGATAATTTGCAGTCCTGACTTGTTTGGGCAGTGAATCATCTTTAATACTTGTACTTTTTTTCAAAGTCTTCGGGCAAGGAAACGCACACACAAATACACACAGACACACTCTATTGTGTTGCACAATCTGAATCTTTTGGATAGGGGAAGAGGCTCATCTGTCTGTGAGGAACTGGGTTAATATTTCACTTATGTAGGAGGGATGTTCCTCAGCATAAAATACAATGAATTTTGGTGAATTTTCGGAATAAATTATTGTTAATATCTGGAGAAATCTCTGCACAAGAGACAAGACCCAAAACCAATGTCTGTAATCTTTGGACCCTCAGACAGCTCTGCATCAAAACAGCCATGACTCTGTAGTGGAAACCACAGCATGGGCTTAAAATCACTTCCTTAAGTACCAGAAACTTCTCTTGACATTCAAGATAGACTAAGACAGAGTGAAAAACTGTCCTGAGATCAGAAAAAAAACAAGAATGTATGTTAACCCTGCATCCTCTGCTATTGAGGGACAACTGCATGTTATCAGCATAGTGTAAAGTCCCACTCCAATCTTTTTTTTTTTACTACTTAAATTGTTCTCAGTGGTCTTTAAATTGATCACGTTACCAAGGTCATTTTCAAGGACTCTTCTTCTGCAGAGCTCCAGTAGATCATTAGCGATTCGCCTCTGACTGGTGGGCAAAGACAGCGCTGCTCTGCTCACTCATCTTCACGTTAGCTTGTAGCCTAACATTGCCGGTGTATTAGAAAAGGCAGGTAACAAAGAAGCTATTTGGTTCTTGGACACTAATGTCTTTAGGGACACAATGAAAGCTAATCTCATATAGCGGGGTTCTGGGGATGGAGCTTGAACTGGTTATGTATGAATTCTTACTACTTCTGAACCTGCTTTTTGGGTCTGCCAGAGATTCACAGCAATTTGAATGAAGAAATACTCAGAAAAGCAATTTCGCATTTACTTTTTTCACAATATGTCCTGTAGCATCAGAAAAATGCCATATGAACATATACAAGAAAAACATGATTTTCATCGGAGTGGGTCTTTAAAAGTCAGCAGCAATGTTGATACAGGGACGCATAAGTTACCACAGATTTTGGAGTACATCCATCCAAACAATGCCAGTTGTTAGAGGAGACGTTGCATAATACAGCAAGAAGATGCCAAACCACATCCTGCAAAAATGTCCTGCTGCTAAACTCAATTTTTGTTTTGCAATATCTCATCTTTTTTTTTAGTAACTAGAATAACATCCTGCTTCTTAGAAAGTACATCACTGAAAAAAACAAGAAGTATTTCTTTTGATAATATTTTCAGTCAATAAATGATAGCTTGCACCCGTACTTGTGTATAAATGATGTTTATTTACGATGGAGTAGGTACTTATGATGAAGTATTTCTGTGCAGGAAGATTGCTGCTTTTATTCGTCTAGGATTAAAAAATTTCAAAAACCACTTCAGCCATGGATGTTTTTTTTCATTCTCTGCTTGAATCCTCATCTGAGTTGAGTGAAGGACACTGTGTTTTAATTATACAGGATTTAAGTGCTCATGCAGAGGCCGTAAAATGTTAGTAAAAAAGAAAACACTGCAGTCAAGCTCTGTACCTCTTTTTATTTATCTATCTATTAAATCATGTAAGACCTGCCACTCTAACCAACGGCTAGCCAAATATGCCTGAGGCTCTCAAACACCAGTATCACATCTGTGTTAATATCCAAGTGCACTGGTATTCACAACCAGTACTGCTGCTGTATAAGTAAAAGCCTCATCCATGTTCAGGTGAGGGAAAAGATACACCCAGAGCTGACAAGCTAGTTTATTTGTAATCATGTGAAAATAAGCAGGCTGCAATTTCCAAACAATTTCTGAGTAACAAACTGCATTTTTTCAATTTGAAATCCATAATGATGGAGGCAAGGAACTGCATGAAGAACTCGATATTTGTCCACAGAAACAAATCCACAGCAGATAGACTGAACACTGTGATTTACCGCTGCATCACTTCTGTCGCCTTCTTATTCGATAAATTACTGTGAAGCCACCAGGTGAATTTCCACCTTATTTGCAAACGTTTGCTGACTTTCTTTTACTGCATTTCAGTTCAATCCTACGACATCTAGAATCTTACAAAACCGTGTGAAATAATGAACTCTTAGCATTCAGGGAAATGATCTGAGTGAATAATGTGTGAACATGGCCCACTCAATCAGTCTTTTCATTTTGGGATGTTGTTTATGAAAAAGGTAGACAGGCTACATAAACATAAGAGTGTGTATATTCATAGTTTGGTTGCACTTGAAAGCAAATCTATTTGATGGAGCTGCTCAGGAGCAATTGAAGGTATTTAAAGTTTCAGACACTTTGCAGATGTAGCTTAATTTTCAAGTACATGCACAAACACAAACAAGCTAAAGTTTCAATCACACAGGACAAGAGTGAAATAAGAAATGAAGAAATGACGTGTTTTCTCTGCTTTCCCCCTCACAGAAGTCCTTCTCTCTGGTGTTGGAAGCTCTGGATTACGACAATGACACAACGGACCCAGGTGAGGCTGCTGTAAATGTGTTTGTATTTTGTCTTTTCTTCATATTCATCTAGAAACCTGAAGAGCACAAGGCTGGAAGAAGTTATGAAGCGCTTTTGTTTTGCTGTGTGAAGTTAACCTGAGCCGCTGAAGTTAAAGTTATTCTAAAAATCTAAATACATAAAGCAAAAGAAGAGGTTTGTTTTCACCACAGTTGAGCCGTTTCCTGGAATTTGTTGTATTTTGGTATTAAGCGTTTTTATGGCATCACATTTCCATGGTTAAGCAGATGTCAAAATGCAAGATTCTTGTCTCTACTTATCTTTAACCAAATATGCTGAGGCTGTGTTGTGGCATTAAACTCTGACCCATTGTCTCTCCAAGAAAAACACATCCATCATATCTAACTTTAAGTCAGGTTTTCAGCGAGCAACATCGGCCTAAAGGCAGACAGCTCGCGCTTGTTTACGACTTCAACAATGTGAAACAATGTGGAAATATCCCTTGTGTCTTCATTTCAAGGCCAGGAGGTCTTTTATCCAGACCCTTTAATTTCCTGCTCGTCTCCTTTATGTTTCTCTTCATAATCAGGAAAAGCTCCGTGACAGAGAATCTGAGCTGCATGCTATAAAAAGCACGACAAACACACACACACACACACACACACACACGCACGCAGAGGAGACAGATGTTCTTGTGCCTTCCTCATTCCTGTCATACCACAGTCTTCCCTTTCATCCCACCATCCACAGTCATATCCAAAAGATGGCCGAGATAATGAGAAACTTGGAGATGCACCAGAACTGTGTCTCCTTCACCGTGTTCTTGTCCCCTGTCCTCCTTCATCCCTCCTTCCCTCTGCCCTCCAGCGCTGCTCTTACATCTTGTTTGCATTATCTGTCATTTCCACCTGAGCCTCTGACAGCCCTTACATTGGGTCTAAAGCCATTCAGCTTAGCTCAACCCAAACACAGGCGTCCTGCAGCAGTCTGAATAGACTTATCAGGCCCTGCTGCTAATCAGGAGGGATTACCGAGTCCAAACGTACTTTCTGCAACAGTCCTTGAAAACAGAGGAAATATGATGTCCTTTGAGCGCCGACAGTATGACATTCACTGAGTTTTGATTGAATTAAACGTGGCATATATTAACTTGCAGAACCATACCTTTGTCTATTCAAGACCAATGCCATGTTTATTAAAACTGTGGTTTCCCAGTTTTGCAAGGACTAATGGACATTTTGTCCTACAATTTGATGTCCCTGATATGCAGTATGGTAAACAGGCCTATGCAAAGTTATTGAAACTGCTAATTTATGCATATCAGACAAGCAAACAAGGTTATCCATCATGTCAAGGACTTCAGTTTGCAGTTTTTCAAACATTTGCCTTTTCTGGGGTTCAGTATGAGCACTGTTTAGTTTAGTTTAGATCCCAAACTTCTTTTTTTTATGCTGCCCTGCACTTGTGACTTAAACAGCCTCAGGATTACATGACAAAACTGCACAGACACAACAATACAACAAACATCCATGCCAACCCCTAACACCTTAAATCATTTTATTACCTCCCATCAATGGGAGAGTTATCAATCATGTCTAAGGAAAACAAACACTGATGTTCAAGCCACCTATTTAGCTTCATCTGTTCATTAGTTTAACCACATATGGCATTAAAGTTACTTGAAACATTTCAGAAAGCATACCTGTTCACGTAATTAAACATCTATGTGAATAAAGTAGTATTTGCAAAAGTAAAGGTTTCCAGAGGTCTTTACTTTTACCTATTTCCACTTAATCCTCCTCCTGTGTTAGGGTCTGTACCGACCTGTTTTTGTGTTTAAAGGCTTAAAAGATCGACATAAATTAGGTTTTCTGCACTTTTTGACTTTGTCAGGAATCTCTATTTCAACAAAATAAAAAAATTAAATTGACTAAATTATAAAATGCTCTAATTAAAATTATGGCACTTGTTGAGTTAGGGTCGCTGCTGATGCGGTTAGGTCAATATCTAATAATTAGAGCAAAAACTAAAAAAAGTGCACCGTCAGGCACCACACTGACAGCCAGATCCTCTTCCAATCATGTGAGATTTAGGAAATTCTCATTTTGTCATGTTTTTCCCTGCACAAAAAACAACGTCGGTCATGTCCAGACATGTGAGATCAATTCAGTTTAGATGTCTGTGTGAGGGGTATGTTGACAAAGAAAGACCCAGAGGCCCACAACAAAAGATATTATAAACAATATTTTCATGGATAATAAAGCCTAACAAGTTAACCTGGGGATGAGAACCAAATTTGGATGATAGAGAATTGTTTTAGGTTAATTTACAGCTGATTTAAGACACCGGTCAAAACCGACCCTTTACATAGTGGGTGCACAGTAAAAGCTAACACAGAAGGAAGGGTATGTGCTTAATTTGTGTTTGTTAATCTTCATAAGTGTGTTGCGTATATTCTCCTGCACATGAAAGACTTGCAAAGAATATTTCTGAATGATTTTTAAGGAAAACTCCTCTACCATGCACAATAATACAAATGCATGCCAGTGGGCTCACAATATTCAACAAAGAGTGCGCCCACTCATAAAAGTTGCACATTTAGTGGCGTAAAACACCACACAGGGTATTTTAACTGTACCAGATCAGTACTGTAATAAACCAAAATTATGTTAAATTGCAGCGGTTTTATTCTGTCAATGCCTCTTTTCTTGTTCTCGTATTTATGGGGTCATTTTGGGGGCAGATTTGCTGCTGTGTTCAGTCACATTTAAATCGTATTGACAAAGAACTCGCGGCCACAAAATTGCCACCGCTGTTGGAAAGAAAGAGAAATTCAACAGAAGAAGTGTTTTAATCTAGACTGGCTTGTCTATAAAGTTCAGCTCTAAAGTCTAGACATTGTGCCTTCATTCAGACGGGTTAAATTACATGGGGACACCCTCTAGGAGAGCTACAATTGGACTAGATTTCTCCAAAACTTTCCCTTACGCTAAAGTGCACGGGAGGTAAAACAGTCTCCAGCTGCTCCCTTGGTTTTCATTGGTCTGCTGTATCGATTCGCCTGTTCAGGTGACTCTGGAATAAAAAATCAAAAAGGAGGCGCCCTCTTTCCTGCTGTGTTTTCTCAGCCATTGCTGAGGATGAGCACTTCACATTCGAACACATCAGTAGGGGACAATCACCAGAGGCCAAAGAGAAAGATTTAAGTGTTTGCTCCCCGCAGAAACAGCCCATGTGTGGCTGCTGCTTAGCCTCTGTTTGCTTCTCTTCAAGACACGGCTCTGGATTTCTCGTTGCCTCTGTCATCTGATATTCTCCATCCCCCTCTCTTCACTCTCTCTTACTCACTTGTTATCGTGCCATCTCATCTAATCACATCACAGAGGAAATCAAACTCTGTTATACACCTTCCCCGCTGCGCTGCCTGCTAATCCAGTTATTTTTCTCCACTTACTTCACGACTGCTGCTCTTTTCATCTTTTCAGGAATGGTGATGATGAAATTAGCCCTCTGACATGGCAGAGTCATAAAATAATGAAAAACCCACAATGCACTGCAGAGGCCTGATGTGTATTTGGAAAACTGGGCCTTCAGATTTGACTACAGGTGTAGGACATGCGGTGCAGGCACTGTCACCCAGCGTCCAGTCTGCTCCTGCCATGCTTTTATTATACACACTCACACTGATAGAGGCACACAAATACACACACTCATACACAAACACACACTTGCCTATATGTGCCCCTGTTTTCATTCCTTTGTGTAAAACAGTGATCTCATCTCTCCATCAGTATATATGTGTGTGTGCTCACTAATAGCTGCCTCCCTTCCTCTTTGGTTCTGTTTGCCTGTGTCACACACACACACACACACACACACACACACACACACACACACACACACACACACACACACACACACACACACACACACACACACACACTCTACGACCTCCCTCGGTCCCATGCTGACATACCACCAACAAGACTTCCTTCACCAGGCAACTATCTAGCAATCTTTTCCTTTATCCTCACCACCATCACATACATTGGGACACACACATATTCTGACGCATACACACACATATCCTCGGTCTTTTGTGTGTGTTAATACCCTGTCAGAGGAGATTATGAGTGAGTTGGAGCTGACAGCGCCTCTGGGAAATCCCCTCCGGGGGTCAGGAGCAGCAGCCGCTGCCCTCAGGCCTTGTCTGGTCCTCTCTGGTGTTCATGCTGCCCTCTCTCTCTCTTCTCTTCAGACCCCAGACTGTTTTTTTCTGGTCTGTCCTTGTCTCATCAGAGCTCATAGTGAAATTGTTTCATGTTCACTCTCTGTTTCCTCGCTTTTTGGTCAAGTGGTTTGATGTTGAAGGATGCACTTAAGAAATTGTGGGCTGATTTAAGGATGAGAGTGAGAGAGTTCCCCACTGAGCCAGACCCAAACACTTATTCATGTGTGAGTGTAAATCAATGCTTTTTATACCACCCAATCAAGTTTGATTGTCTCGTGATCTGAGTTTTGCCCATATTTCTGGAACATATTGATGGCACACAGAGAAGTTTCTTTGAAATTTCTGCTTTAAAAGACCTGCATGTGGCAACAGGAGCTTGGTTTTGAATCTGCAGGGGTAACACACTTCAAAACTCTCTGTGCAGATTTAACATGTTCCTCTTGATTTTTAGATTTTATGGGCTCTTGTTTTGCACTTCATGCTGTGGCTTGACGATCTCTTAAGTGTATTTTCCAGCATCAGAGGGCTTCAAAACCCAGTCTCACAAAGCTCCCACAACAATGAACATTTGGTAGGGACAAAGTAATTATGAGTCACTTTTTAACAGCTAGATAGATGTATCCCTCAAATGTAGTATAGGAAAGAGTAAGATAGGATAGGATAGGGTGGGATAGAAAAGTATATACAGTGTAGCATTGTACAGTATAGCAAAGTTTTTTAAAGTATAGTATAGTATAGTAAAGTATAGTACTGTGTAGTTTGGTATAGTGTAGTATAGTATAGTATAGTAGAGTAGAGTAGAGTTTGGTTTGGTATAGTATAGTATAGTATAGTATAGTAGAGTAGAGTAGAGTTTGGTTTGGTATAGTATAGTATAGTATAGTATAGTATAGTATAGTATAGTATAGTATAGTATAGAATAGTGTAGTAGAGCAGAGTAGAGTATAGTATAGTATAGTACAGTACAGTGTAGTTTGGTATAGTATAGTATAGTATAGTATAGTATAGTACAGTACAGTGTAGTTTGATATAGTATAGTATAGTAGAGTAGAGTAGAGCAGAGCAGAGTATAGTATAGTATAGTATAGTATAGTATAGTATAGCAAATTTTGGTATAGTATAGTACAATATACTATAGTGTAGTATGGTATAGTATAGTACAGTGTAGTTTGGTATCGTATAGTATAGTATAGTAAAGTATAATAAAGAAGAGTATAGTATAGTATAATATACTACAGTGTAGTATGGTATAGTATAGTATGATATACTATAGTGTGGTATAGTATAGTATAGTATAGAATAGAATAGAATAGAATAGAATAGTAGAGTAGAGCAGAATAGAGCAGAGTATAGTATAGTATAGTATAGCATAATTTGGGATAGTATAATATAGTATGTATAGTATAGTATAGTATAGTGTAGTGTGGTATAGTTTAGTATGATATACTATAGTGTGGTATAGTATAGTATAGTATAGTATAGTATAGTACAGTATACTATAGTATACTATAGTATAGTATATATATAGTATAGATTCTCAGAGTATATTCTCATCTATTTGACTTGAATTTGCAGAATAATTGGTTCTGACTCTTAAATTGTCAGTGATGTGTCTGTTTGTGTTCATTTTAATTCTCTCCCACAAGCTTCCTTTTAATCCTTTATATTAATTAAAAGGTGTTTTTTTTTTCACTATCCCCCCTCAGGTCAGCTGATAGAGCGAGTCCTCCTCTCCGCCATGCTGAACTCTGGTGAGCAGTGGCAGACGCGCCGCTCCCACGGACGCACTCTGAGCTTGGAGTATCGGCTTCGTTTCCGCTGTGACTCAAACTACTATGGCCCTCATTGCAACAAGTTCTGCAGGGCCCGTGATGACTTCTTCGGCCACTTCAACTGTGACCCTAATGGTTCCAAAGTCTGCATGGAGGGCTGGACAGGACCAGAGTGCAAGGAAGGTGAGAGTTACAAACAATGTAACAACAAGTTTGTGCAATTTACTCAATGAACTTTAAAGCATGAAAATCCATCTGGAGGCTTCTCTGTGCCTCATTTATCCACCTGCTTAGCTTCTCAGTTATAATAATCTGATTTATTTTTAAAAAAAAGTTTATTTCAGAATATATTTTCACCAAAAGTTCATGAGAAGTTGAGGATGGTGTTTCATTTGGTTTAATTCTCTGTCATTCCTGTGTGGGGTTTTATAAGTTTTCCATGAAACTTTTCTTATTTTCTATCATGAGCACTTTTGAAAACTGATACTATAACAAAGAATAGTTAAATAAACATAACCCACACACAAGTGTCATTGTTGAAGTCATGAAAAGACTTCTTCACCTTTTGAAATCCAGCCTCACAAATGTCCTCACTCATGGAAACAAAAATAGACAGAAACAAACATTTACTCATTGCACTGACACACTCTTGTTCGTCAGGATATACAATTAGTTTCAGTAGAAAATGTGTGTGCGTAATGGGGGGGATTATCCCCTGTCTGTCTGTGACTCATCAGCTGGATGACCTCACAGTGCGACCTCGGAGCGTTGCCGTGGTGCTGCAGTGGTAAAAGTGAACGGAGGAAACCAGACTGGAAACCATGGGAACCCTGAAGGACACATGCATTGCTAGTTAACGGACATCCTCATTTCATCTGACTTCCTCCTCAGCAGGTCGTTGATTGGACCGCGGAGAAGCAGGAAGTTAGAAAAATTAACCAGGGGTCCCTCTGTTCCCCTCCTGCAGGTTTATGACAATGATGAAGTTCAGGGACTTCTCAGTAATGGGTTCTCCAACTGGATAATTTGGAAAGATAATTACCCAAGAAATAACCGCTTAATGAAATATGGGCTGAATATTTCAGCCAAAGTGAGAGGACACTGACATTTTTCAGCTTTTGTCTAGATGATACTAACTTTGCACAGTTTAATCTGTGTTATATATATCTGTAAACACATTGGGGTCATTACAAATTAATTGTTTTTAATTAGGCAATGCAGATACAGTACAAATTTATAACACGTCTCTTTGTGTGTCTTTTTTTTCTGTCTTCATAGCGATGTGCAAGCAGGGGTGCCATCAGGTCCATGGTTCTTGTTCTGTACCTGGGGAATGCAAGTAAGTAAGAATCACTCATAATGAGATTATTCCAGAATTAAGGAGAGCACTACAGTGTGGAAAAGAAGAAATATTGATATGTTTTTGAGTTTATGAGTTTAGAAACTCAGGGGTCTAATATCCTGCAGTGTCTTTTGGGGTTTACTGTACAGAGGTGCTATTTCCTGCAGAGCAATTAAAGGTAAATGCTGCACAGCCTGTGAGATATTATCTATTTGTCTGCACATTTCCACTCTAGCTCTGCCATAAAGGAGAATAACTGAAGGAAAGTTAAAACTAGAGCAAAATAAAGGCAAACAAACATCAGACGAGAAACTCCTTCAGCAGGACAGATGTGACTCAGTGGTAGAGTGGGTCGTCTCTCAATCAGACGGGTCATGGTTTGATCACAGCTCCCTCTGTCACATGCTGAAGTGTCCCTCAGCAAGACACTGAACCTAAAATTGCCCCTGTTGGCAGAGTTAGCGTTGTGTGAATACTTATGAGCAGGAGAGGTAGTCCTGGTGGTCCCCTTATAGCAGCGTCTTCCATCTGTGTATAGATGTGGAGTGAAATGGTGAATCTGACAAGTAGCGGAAAGAATTGATCAAATCTATAAAGCAGGAACAATAGTTTATCCATGAAGCAAATCCTCCAAACATGTCCGGTTTCTTGCAAATGTCTCCTCACTGTGGTTTTATCTCCAGGTGTCAGTACGGGTGGACGGGCCCTTTGTGTGACCAGTGTCTGACGTTCCCCGGCTGTGTGTACGGGAGCTGCACGGAGCCCTGGCAGTGTGTGTGCGACGTCAACTGGGGAGGACTGCTGTGCGACAAAGGTCAGATAACGTGAAGTAAAACTTTGATGTGCTTTCATGACGGTGGTTGTTGATCCATTTCTCTTTCCAACACAACAGAAACCTCAGCGTACAATAAACCATATCATTATTGAAATTCTGTACTCTAAGTTTCTTTATACTTTAATTTCTCTTTGTATGTCTGAATGCTACTGTAAATTTGGATTTTCCCCCTGTGGGACTAAAAAAGGAACATCTTATCTTATCTTCCAAACATCATTGAATTGTTGTGTGAATTAAGACAATCATATTCACAGTTTCCCATTCTGACCAACATTATTTCATATGATGCATAGCTTTATTGTACCAGATGAGAAACACACATTACTTCTTTGATTGTTACAGACGAAACTTATCGATATTCTTCTCTCATGGCCTGTCAGTTTGTCAGATATGTTCTCTTTACTGTCAATTTCAAAGCATGAGAAACATAATGAAAGCTTTGTCATGTATTGGGTCTGTTTGTATGTGAGAGAGAAAGACAGAGGGAGAAACATTGTTTGCTCAGTATATTTGTTCATCAGCCGTTGCTCCTCACACACCTTCCCAGGCTTTATCTGCTCATCTCTCACAATGAGATAAGTCGCAGCTCCCTTGGGGCTTTGTTTTCTTTAACTTCTCCCACCACACTGTAGAAAGTCCCTTGACATTATCCCTGGATACAAACCACCCCATCTCCCACCTCTATCCCACTCTGGGATCTGGGAGCCGAACTAGAGCCCATGGGACCCTGCATTGTGCAGCGGAAAGGTGATAGCCTTGGGTAAGGTGAATGTGAGCCGTGTCAGGCTGGATGTTCTCAGCTAGGTGGGGTCTTTAGCTGTTTCCATGTAGTCTGTAAAAAGGAGTAGAGAGACAAAGCAACTGTGAGAATGTAGGAGATCATTAGAGGAAGCAGGGCTTTAATCAGCCTAAACACTGGAGACAACATGGCCTGCAGCTTCTGGGCAGCAAAGTCAGCACACTAAGCCAACGCGGATACACTCCGGCCTCTGCGCTGTCAGTGTGTGTGTGTATTTGTTCATAAATGCTCCTTAAAGTTAAACTCGACCTGTCTCTATCTTTTATTCCTCTTCTCTTCACATGGTTTCCACACTGTTTTGTCTTTAAAACTAGAAAATAAAGCATGCTTGAACTTTTTTATGTCTGCAGATCTCAACTATTGTGGCACCCATCAGCCCTGCAAGAACGGGGGGACCTGCGCCAACAAAGAGCCAAACGAGTACCAGTGTGACTGCCAGGAGGGTTTTAAAGGACGTGACTGTGACATTGGTAAGTGCTCACCTACCAGGTCCTGATCCATCGAAAAATGATAATAATAATGCATCAGATTTCATATAGCGCTTTACCAGAGACCCTCAAAGTGCTTTACATTGGATACATAATTCATTTGTTCACACAGTCGCATGAAATAGAGGAAGCAAAATTAGTCTGAACACAAACACCACCAGCAGCAATCAGTGTTCTGCCTCGCCCTCCATCTCCGCCCTCAGTCACACCTTGGTGGTGGTAAACTACCTTAGTAGTCACAGCTGCACTGGGGCAGATTGATGGAAACGTGGCTACCAGTTTGTGCCAACAGCCTCTCCGACCGCCACAACACTCACAATCACACACCAGTGGAGGACACACACTGGGAGCAAGGGGGGTTAAGTGTCTTACCCAAGGACACAATGGACAGACTCGGGATAGGGGAAATCAAACCGTCAACCTTTCAGTTATTGGACGACTGCGCTACCTCCTGAGCTACTACTGTAACCTAGATCAAACTCTCTGTGACAATATTTCCTCTGTAACTTCCTAAAACATTCATACTTTAAACCTTTTGAACATTTTCAGAGTGATTTTTGCATTATTTCACACTTCCATCCTCTTCTTGTGTTTTTCTTCTTCCATCAGTGGAACACGCATGTTTGTCATCCCCATGTATGAACGAAGCTGTGTGTGTGGAAGATTCATCCAGCTTCAGCTGCATCTGCCCCGACGGCTGGACAGGACACACCTGTGCTGAAGGTGATTGCTTTACTCCCCCAGCCCACATACACACACACAGACACACACTTAGTGCCCACACAAGACTTTGATCCGAGGGGCCGGACAGTGTGAGATTGTCTGTGATTGGTTGTTATTGGATCAAAGCCAGTGAGTGACTCTAATCAATGAAACAGAGGAAGCAAAATTAGTCCGAGCACAAACACCATCAGCAGCAATCAGCGCTCTGCCTCGCCCTCCGTCTGGTGTTATTGTTTACATGGATTTACATGACCTGAAGAAAGGTGGAATATCTTTAATTAGTCTTGATTTAATTTAGAAAGCCACAACTGCTAATTTAGTCTCAGTCTCAGTCTGGATTGAGTAAAAAGGGTTTAGTTAAAATATGTCAGTAGTGACAGTTGATTGCTGAGTAAACAAGGAAAATTCCACTACTTACCTTCTAATGAAATGAAATTAATCAGTATTTTTTTCTGCCTCAGCTGCTTCTCTCTCTCTCTCTGTGTTCACAGAAAAACTCAAAGTTGTTTTTGTTTCACTGATAAATATGGTGTTATCAGATTGTTTGCTCTGCGGGTAAACTGAGACCAAAAAACATTAAATACTTAACTGTTTACCGCCATACTGACTCTTGGCTTCTGCCCTTGTTAACTGCAGTTTCGTGTATCAGTCGATGAATGTTTGTCCTTGAAAATATGCAGCTCTCGTTTATTTCTAAGACAAAACTTTACATGATACACAGCAGTTACATTATCTGCTCTAAAAGGAAGTAATGCAGATGATATGGTGGTGACTGTAAGTCTGATTCTGACTTTAAAGTGTTGTAGACAGTTTACTCACTGTAAGCTTACATATTAACAATGCAGAGTCTTAATTTTGGAATGAAATTATTAAAATAAAAATTAATTCATGCATTAACTTGAGCACACGTTATTTAGATAAATGCTGCAGTGTCACTCCAGTGTGATCTGAAATCATGGCAACTTCAAAGTGTGTCCCACTCAGAAATAGGGCTGCTGGCTTTTATGAAGTCTGATTTGCTGCCCCTGTGTGCTCAGACTAAGAGCACCTAAGAGATATTTTGATCATGTTTCACAAAAAGTGCTTATGTCTTTGGACTTGTCAGTTAAACTGTCTCGAGTTTTGTGCCATTTTAAAAGCACCCTTGAGTCTTTATTTTTCATCACCATGGCAGCAGGAAGCAGGTGTACACTGCTGCTCCTTAACTAATCAATGGGTAAATAATTATTCACAGGTATGTAAAACTGGCGAGTGTCCTAAGAATACTAATTGTCCTTTACATATGTATGATTACAGAAGTATATGATATTATATGAATATATATTTGCTAAGTTATAGGTTTCTGTATATGGGGGCGATGTGTAAATGTTTATATATTTAAATCCATATTTGTGTCTCATTATAATAAAATAATTCAGCAATAATCACTGAAAATTGAAGGTCTTTGAGAAAGAATGATTAACATATTTGTAGGTTTATAAAAGGGGATGCTAACAAGATACGTACTGAAGTTAAACTGATTGAATCTGAAGCAGAAAAGCAGAGATATCCCAACTGTTTACTGCAGGTCTGAGCTGAGGTCAAGAACACTTCCTGGCATAACTCCCATGATCCCACTTGTCTAACCTGAGCAGCCTCTGATGACTTGAACTGAGCATTTTCACACTTCAATCACTAGCTCACTTTTTTACAGCACACTACCAAGCACAAGCAGTGAGAAGGTTTTTTTTTTTTTCAAACAGGATTCACACATTTTCAGGCAGTTTAATGTCAATGAAACCCCCAGTGCAAACACTATATAATAGTGCAATACTGCAACATTCACACCTTATATGATGTTTGCCTCCCACGAGTCGAAGCGTGGACAAAGGTCAAACCTGTTGTTGGCTCTGATGTAACAACTGAGCCGTCACAACAGTCCGTCTTTGGCTTGATCATCATGTAGACTGCGTGCGTGCGAGTGTGTGTGTGTGTGTGTGTGAAACTTGTGTATACAGAAGCTTGTGACAGCTGTGAATGTGTGTGAGATTGGATCACGCAGGTTACGCTCCGTCAGAGCTGCGTATGTAAACAAGCTCCGTTCCACATCCCCTGCTTTCACCTCCATCAGGATAAAGTGCAGGCTTGGACATCAACACAAACAATAAGAAGCATCTCTGTGAAAGAGAGAGAGAGAGAGAGAGGGTGTGTAAGAAGAGAGTAACAAACAGAGGAATAAAGGAAGAGTTTATTTTTGCTCTTGTTATTTGTCCCTGTCATGATTAACAGTCTGGGAGGCTGTCTATCTCTGTCCCTGTGTGTGTTGTGGGGGGGCTCTCTTGGGAATACACAGTGAGAGGATTGTCAGGCTTGCAGGGAATGACAACCAAACCACAACAGAGCTCTGCTTTGAGAGTAGATTTATATATATAACCAATATTAATTAAAGGCTTTATGTTTGTTATGAATTCTCCGTCTAGTTTTGGCAGCGTGTTATTGCTCAGGGTTGGAGTCGGGGTCGGGAGGATGGAAAATGGTTATGTGCAGGGTTAGGTAAATGATAAAGGTTATGAGAGAGACAGAGTGATGAGAAAACAGGAGAAGTATGATGCTACATGAAGTTATGCATGGTTAACCCCTGAAATGAGGGCTTTTTTCGATTGTTGGCAGGCTTTTTTCTCACATTCACTCTCAGTCTTTATCTGTTTTTAATTCCTTTTCAGAGGAGTGGAACCAGGCGTGGCTGCTCCATTTTCCCATTCTATTTCTCTCCTATTTCCCCCCATTATTGTTGACTTTATTTAAATTCCCTGGTCTCTCCCTCCTCTCAGGGAAAGGTTTGAGGTGTCACCCGTGCGTGTGCAGCAGATGATCATATTTATCACTGTTTGCACAGAAACCGGAGCAGCAGAAAAGAGAGTAAAAACACGCTGCTGTCAAAGCATCCGCATACCAATGCTTTAGTCCAGATCACACATGTCCACATGGTGGCATCGCACACATACACACTCACAGACACACTAATTGTCTCTTTGATATTCACACACACACTCCGATTACACAGATCAGTAGTTCACATGTGATGTTTTCTGTCTTCTCTCCCCAGCGGTGAGGCAGTGTGAGCGAAGCCCGTGTGGACGTGGAGCGACGTGTGAAGACACTCCTGGAGGATATCGCTGCATCTGCCCGCCAGGATGGACAGGCCGCACATGTCAGCTGGGTCAGTGGGTCAGAATTAAATATGTTCTATGTATGCAAATATACACACAGGCGGCCTCTGCCCCTGAATAATAAAACCTTAATAAGCTTGAGGTATGCTTCAATATGTGATCAAACACCACTGGAGTAGGCTGCACTCTCATGCCGACTGCTCAGTAATTCTGGTACAACCAATGTGGCATTTAACGACTCTGAGCCAAGACCTCCTTTTCCATGTGACTGACTTAAATGGTATCTTTTTTTTGGCTCATTACATGCCTCAGAGTAGGGCCCGATGATTTGTTTCAGTAAGTGCTCAGTCCACTGTGCATTAGGCAGCGGTTTCACTCTAACGTCATTTCGTAGTATGAGTTTCAAAAAGAACCTGTGTCCTCTTAATGTATAATATATGGGGTTTAAATCTAGTAAAATAACAAAATCATTGTATGAGTTCAGTTTCTGCATTTGTTTGGAGAAATTAAAGCTACTGTAAGAGTTTTAACTGGTCATAAAACACACACTGGTGTTTGTAGTGGTACCTGTTCATCACCTACAAAAACAAAAAGATCATTAGCAAGGAGTCTGACAGTTTCTATGTGTAAATCTGAACGTAAGGAGGTTGGTGGCAGGTTGAAAACTAACTAAAAACAGCCTGTTTTCACTGTTAACAGCAGCAGATATCTATAGTATGATAAATCTGACTGCTAAAGGAGGGTAAGATTATATTTTCATCAGATAAAACAACGCAGTTTACGGGATAAAAAAGAAAAAGATTTGACTTTGTCCACAGGGGGGCGCCAAAATTGACGCAAACAAGAAATTCTTCACAAGATCTTTAAGTTACACAAGCTTTATTTTATAGATTTTAACCAATTTCCAAGACTATTTAGACTCTTAAATTTCCATGTTGGCTCCATAACTGAGGTTTAAAGTTCAACCTTACCCTGTCATAAACTTGAACAAACTTACTTTCTGACTAAAGTTTGCTTAAAGCAAAACACAACAGCACTTTTCAGTGTTAAAGGTGGAGGGGTAAGACAATTAGTAAGATGATTCGCTTAATGGGAGGATGCAAAGTAAGAGGAGGGCAATCGATTTTAGTTTAATGAAACATTTTGGAGAAACAAGGACAATTAAGGCGACAAAAGAGGGTCCCATGCAGTTCAAATTAGTGAACGCTTCATCAGACAGCAAAGCTTCATCAAGGGGAAAACTACTTCATTAACTCAGAGTGATAATGCTCAGAAAATGTGACCAGGTTTGCACAGATGTGAGGCGAAATTTTCAGCAAGCCTCTCAACTTGGTACTAAAAATGCTAGGTGTCTGTTAGCTGGCAAAAGACATAAAATTCATTCTTAAACGAGTCTATTTATGTAATTTTTACACTGATGTTCTGACAACCTAAATCATCCTGAGCTTTTCAAATGCAGAATTTCAACATGCAACATGTGGAAAAAGAATATGCATCCAAAAGAAGAAAAAAAAGAAAAATGTTGCATGTTAATTCCCCTATAAGACCCCATATTGACTGAGAATCAGTATTCTCTAAATGCACTGTCACGTCCCTTTGGGCTGCAGCCACTTGTATTGATGAGTGAACTACCAGAGGGGTCTTATGTTAGATACAACAGCAGAGTGGAAAATATATACGTTCAGGTCACACACACACACAGAAGACATACTATATGCACATACAGAGGCGGCTCGAGGGGTTATGATGTAGAAACGTAGACATATTTCAGGATGACAGCTTCCCCTGCTCCTCTGTGTTACAGCGATATGTCACTTTGACACTTGATAATCCCCCATAGTTCCACATCACAGGTCAGTACCTCACAGTGTCTCTCTCACACACACACACACACACACACACTACCACACATTTGGTGTTCAAACACAGGAGATAAAGCTCTTTATGGCCTCAGCCGAGAGGCAGAGCATCCGTGCCTTAAATAGTGAAATGCAATTATACTTTCTATCAGTTTCACTCTTTTATTAGTCGACTTCTGTTCACACACTTTCTCTTGTGGTGGGCAGAATCCTTAGGCTTTTCCTATAGATAACACACACACATACACACACACACACATTCTCACACACACTCCACCGGGGCTAAATCCCAACAGGCCTCTCACTGCGGTAACAGGTTTAGATTACCTATAACTGTCTGACTATTTCCTCCACATTCATTTAGCGCTTCTTTCTAATCCTCTCTCGCTATCAGAGACGAGCCCTCAGGGTTTCCTGACATTAACACCTCCAGTGTGATGAGGAAAGGAGGGGGCCTCACAAAGTTAACACGATCACAATCGCAGAAGAGGGGTTGGTGCACAAACAAAAATGTAATCAGATCCTTTTAAGTGTTAGTTTGGACTAACCATGCGCATAAATATATAATTATCAGACGCATCTTTAAGCGTTTGTGTGCCAGAATTTTCATCAGAATTTTTTTGTTTTGTTTATTCAGTCATGAAAAATTAGCACATCCGCAAATAGTTATCTTGACAAAATCAACACTGAACACCAGCCTTGCTACAGATGCTGTTGTTTGCTTTTGTTGGTCACCTAGAAGCGTCAGTATCAATTTCAGTTTGTTATCTAACCAACAAAAAACTCCTTACAGGAGCTTTAATTGCTTTGGAAACAGCAAAAAGCATGAAAAGAAGTTTAAAATCAGGACTATCATGATCTCTGTTTGAGGTATACTTGTGTGGGGGTTGTCAGGAGGACACACATCATGTTTACAGGTGCTGAATAATAATGATGTGAACAGGAAAGTGTTTATCTTTTTTTCTCTTTCATCTTTTCTTCAGACACCAATGAGTGTGAAATGAATATCTGTGTCCACGCCCGCTTCTGTCGCAACCTGATCGGTGGATACCTGTGTGACTGCCTACCTGGATGGACGGGGCCCAACTGTGACATCAGTGAGTATGAAAGAGAGGCAACAGGAAAGGGAAGGAGAGGCAGCTGAGGTGAAATCAGTGGAAGCAAAAGAAACATGGTGGGATTGGATGAGATGGATAAAACCAAGAGAGAGAAGAAAAAAGTAAAGAAAGGAAGGAAAACTGAAGTGAGGAGAAAGGAAAGGGTGTGTGAAATACTTTAAATGCTGTGTTTTTGTAAAAAAAATGTTCATTAATGTTTTATTTTCCATAGGGAACAGCAGCTGTCATGGTTTGTGTCTAAATGGAGGACAGTGTGAGGTAAGACTCCAGGCTTTTCTATCTGTCTTATTGCACACAGTGCTAACTTGCTGTAATGTCATTTCCTCACTCACATTTTATTGTAGTGACATTGCTGCTGCTTTCTTCTCATCCTTCCTTTTCCTGCTCCCTTAAATGGAAAACTCTTGAAAAGTGCACCATAACTGTGAAGCCCTTGGCATTTCAGCCTCTTTTCGGGACATGAAAACTTCTTTTTGAAAATTTTTTGCCTCAAGATGTGTGCAGTGTTTAGTCTCAGAGGAGAAAATGCTTCCAAGCCTGAGGCAGATCTATGACAGTTTCCTTTTCTTCTCTCTAGCTTGGTGCTCTTTCCCCAACTTCATGTAATTATTGATTAGTCACACATGAAATAACAAACATTTTTAATTTCCCACAGGACCAGGTGTCAGGGTCCAGATGTTTATGTCCGCCTGGTTTCTCTGGGAAATACTGTCAAAATCGCCCAAATGCTTGTGAAAGCGCCCCCTGTCTGCATGGAGGGCAGTGTGCGGAGAAGGATGGACGGACGGTCACCTGCAGCTGTCCCCAGGGATATTCAGGATCTTTTTGTGAGGTTGGGGAACATTTGTTTTTCTGCTGAAACAAACATTGTAAAAACAGGTATTTAGTGACAAAATGACATGTGCGTTGAAAGCTCATCTTTTAATTTCTGTTGGATGTTGCACTCCTCAGATATTGTCTCATGTCTGACTCTCTGGGTTTATAAAGAGCTTCGTGTCATGAATAATCTCACTTTTTGCAGAAATTGCTATTCTAATCTGTTATTGGTATCCCTTATTTTATTACCGTTTCTCTATTCCTGAGCCATGCATATACAAAAAAAATCCTAAAGTTTATATACCATCTCAGCTAAACACAGGTGTAGATGTCTTATGTGTACTAGATTGGAGTAGCAGTTCAACAATTTGTTAGTTGTTTGCTCAAGTTATTGTTGTTACTCAGTTTCATTAACAGTCACAAACTTTTCTCAGACCCATCACCCTGAAGTGTTAAAATAATTTAACGGCTTAAGGAAAGTAATCAGATAATGCTGGAAAAAGCCCAGGCTATTATCGAAAAGACTCCTTTAGGTATTTGTTTCTGAAAAATCTAAGCAACAGTTCCAGTTACTTAGTTTTTTTGTGTTCTGCCTGTTATTCCAGATTCCTTTAGATCCATGCAGTCCCAACCCCTGCCAGCAGGGAGCATCCTGTCACAGCTTAGACGGCAGGTACATTTGCACCTGCCTCGAGGGTTACTATGGTAACCAATGCACGAGCCTCAAGAATCCTTGCATTGGTCAGCACTGTCCAGGTATGAAACCTGAGTTACTTTTCAGTCTTTTAAGGTGCAAAATTTGCGTTGAAGATGAGTCTAACTTCTGTGTTTCCTTCTCTGTGGATAAAGGAGCCATGTCTGACCCGACACACCAGGGGATCAGCTTTTACATCATCCTGGTGGGCGTATTAGCTTTAGTGACGGTTTGTGGCTGTGCTGCCTGCGCTTTCATTCTCTCTCACCTCCATCGGAAGAGGAAAAAGCAGCAGGCCGTCCCACAGGAAGAAGGCATCAACAACCAGAGGGAATTTGTCAACCTCATCAGAAACGTGGACCGTCCTGTGCCCCTCCTGCCCCCTGCCATCCCGCCTTCACAGCCTCCGGCCCCTCCCCCTGTCACGCGATGCTATGAAGAGATTGAACTGACCCTGCCGCCTTCACCTGCACCTTCACACCCATCTCCAGCACTAAAGCCAGCCCACCTGCCCAAACTGGACATTTCAAACCGGGAGAGGGAAAAGTTGAATCGAATTTACTACACAGACAATCAGGAGGTGGAGGCCTGATGATTCAAAAGAGCTCCTTTCTTAACTTTATTTTGCGTTTTTTTCGCACTGTCTCGCTCACAGAGACCTGTTTTCAGTTACTTGCACTGTTGCAGTCATGAAAATAGAGAGACCTTGTTTCCCTTATATGCTCAGATAGTTACCTGAGGAGCGAAGGCTGCTACATGAAGGCTCTTAAGTCTTACTGTGTCATTTGATTTGACCTGTTATCTACAAATATGAGAAGCAGCAGGTGCATGATGCTCGACTGAAACACTCAACTTGACCCTTATGTTCTGGAGACAGACTTGCCTCAGAGTGCCTGAGATACTGACAAGAGAAAAAGAGGAGATCGTCCTCAGCAGAGACTCTTTTTGATCCAGACCAACATTTCTGTATAAGACCAAACTCTGACGGACCGAGATTCATGAATGGATGCTTATTTAATGTTTAGTGTGTTTCTGTGTCTGGTTGTGTGTTACGTTTGTGTGGTCATAAAATAGAGAGTGTTTCAATTTGAGTGTATGTGGTGAAAAGTGGAAGAATTAAGACAGTTTACTTCAAGAAAAGAAAAAGTTTATACACATGTGAAAAAGAGTGTGAACTCCTGCTCATGAGGCAGTGTTTTTAAACTATACACTGTTGCCTATTGTCTCTGATATACTACAGTTTGTTAAAGATGTATGATTTTTTCATACCTGTGTGTAAAATAGCCTTTTTGTACATGGATATATTGTACATATTGATGCTCTTTTTGTACTGTGGTTTGGTCGAAATGTATCACTTTAATACTGTGCTCTGTTTGTCCCATTTCACTTTCTATCTGGAGCAAATAGCACATGTGAACCGTAATAAAAGTGCATTTACCTATGATACTTTATTTTTATTGCCTGAAATAACTATTACAAGCTTTTGGCACATGTCTTACGGTCAGTGCAAGAGGGAGGATGAAACAATGATCTCTGCAAGACAGCATGAAGTTCTTCCTTTTCTCTTTGTGTTAATGTGTGGCGATTTTTCAGATGCTTTGACAACCGTATCATACTTCGTGATGTGTTGTCAAAAGCAGGAGGGAGGATAAGACATGATAGAGCGCATTGGCTCACAGCCACTGTGACTAGGTTAGTGGGTCACTGTATGCAAAGCAACTCTCTCTCAATCTCTCTCACTCTCTCTCTCTCTCTCTCTCTCTCTCTCTCTCTCTCTCTCTCTCTCTCTCTCTCAATCTCTCTCACTCTCTCTCTCTCTCTCTGACACACATCTACAAACAATGATCTTGACTGTGCCAGGAAAAAAATGGCAAACCACCCGACTGACCTCGGTTTTACTGCGATTGTGAGAAAGTCGTCTGTTGTTGGAAAGTCAGCTCGAGCTTTGAGGGCTGCAGGACTCCTTAAAACCTTAAAATATCAAACACCTGTTTTTTTTACATCCTTTAAATGTGTTGTTATCAACTGAGAATGCCATAGATGTAAAGCCTTAAAGAGAGTTGTGGAAATATAGTGTTGGATAATGTCAATGTGAGTGTTCAGTGAGAAGAAGTTGGGGGAAAAAAAGGAAATTTTAGCAGAGACCTAGTCATGGTTAATGGCTTATAGATCCTGTATAAAAATTAAAAACCACTAAACAAAACTGTCATCTTCTTGTACATTACACACAGTCTCCAAACCAGCATGTGCATTAAGTTGAGCCTGATAAACTGATAAAACAGCCGTTAAATTAAAGTGTACACAAGAGTTCACATGTATTGTTCAGGGTAACGACACTTCAAGACATGTAAACCACACTCAACCGGCAAACCAACCATCAAATTTGACCTCTGACCTGTGCAGACGGCAGCTAGCTGGAAATTTACTCAGGCTTCCCGTCTCCACCCAGGTCAGGAGGAAATATAGGAAATAGAGTTTAACACACGGACACACAACCCTCTCTACACCTGCTATTTCCATAACAGAACCAGGAGATTAGAAGGTGTTATTTCAGTTCAGCTGAGTTCTTCTGCTCAAAAAAACCAAAGGGTTCTGGTAATGTTGACTTTTTTGCTTGAATACATTTTTATGAAGGAGCTGACACAGTGACCTGAGGTAGAGAAAAGACTGATCAACTGAAATGATATTTTCCTCCATTGTCCCCAACTCGTAAGAGCCACTATAATTACATAAATGGGGAGTAATCTGCAGTCTCAGGGATAATTGAGCTGTCATTAGGATAATACTAATACCGAACCTGAAGTAAACTTAACAAAGCTGACATTCAACATCCTGCTTTGGAGGGGCATTATCATTTATGATGACTCAGTTTTTCCCAAATGACATTAGAAATATTCATCACAAAAACAATTGAAGTTCTCCTATTTGGTAAATTCATTCAAAATTATTCTATTTTATTAGGTAGGAATGAAAATAAATGGACTTTATGATTTCTTGTGCTACAGGGACATCTTGTGGCCAGATCATATGAGCAAATTTAAGTTTAATACTAATACTATTGGTAATTACAGTAATTAGAATATTACATAAATTTGATCAAAAATCAACCAACAAACTACAAACAATGTTTCTAAAATTCCTGATACCCCCCAAAACAAAATAAACCAACTTTAAAGTTATGAACAACATCTACACCTCAAAGGAACTACTCAGACGGCGATTTCATATAGAAGACAACATGTGCACTTTTTTTTGAAAATGATACTGAAACAACGGACCATATATTCTGGGTTAACATTCACAAATGGATTAAACAAAAAATTAGAGTTTTTCCACAATGTATTTCTCTAGAAAACATTACTTTTGGAATGATACTACCAAATAAAAATGATGAACTCTGTTGCATTTCATCCATAAAAATAAAGTTATGAGATCATCCCTCAGATTTACTGTTTTCATAAACTAATTTAAAATGTATTTGAAATCTCTTAAACCGTTAACTAGTTTGAAGGAACAAAAGTTATACGATAACTTAAAGAATTTTCTCACTGATATGAACAGTTAAAAATGTTTTTAAAAGAAAGAAAACCCTTGTAAAGTTTTGCAGAGCATAAATCATTTTTTTTATTTTAAGTTACTTTTATGTTTCAGTTTGCTTGTCGTTCTTCACTATCTACTTTGTTATTGCCCTACTGTTTTTTCCCCCTGTCTAAACATGCATTGTCGCTTTCCCATATTGTCAAGTATTTCTCACTGATATGTTATTTCAATATTGAAATTACTGTATTGAACTGATTCTGCTTTGTTTGGAATTGTAATTTTGTTAACTATAAATAAAGCATAAAAAAATACAATAATTAGATTAGGAAAATGTGCCTTTACATACTTATAGGGCAATTGTCACATCCACTATTTAAAATTTAAAGTATATTTCAAGTAAATTATTTAGTGTTTTTACCTGAGCTTTACTTCATGAACTGTTTGTTTTTAGTAAGAGTACAAAACAATAGACAGTATATACTATACTATACTGTACTATATACAGTCTATGTAAAAAACCATCACTGCACTTTGGCCTGAGTAGATACAACAGCTCCTCCTGCAGGCTGATCCCAGTACTGCACCCACACTCACTTTTAACACAGAAGGTGAAGGAGGCGTGTAACAGCAGTTCAATGCTACACGTCGCCTTTGACTGGCCGAAAACAACCCAAGTTTCTATCGGTGTTCATCAAAACAGGTACTCAATCAAATTCACCACGGCTCTTATTATCTGTGAAGCTCTGTTGCATGTTTTTATTGGCTGTGAGACACGCGTTTTTGCAGACCAGCCATGCTAAATCAGATTGAGCTAAGCTAAGCTAAGCTAGGCTAACTGCAGTTTAGGCCCTGACTGCATGCGCAACCAAGTCAGTGTTGAGGTTAAGAAACTCCACAATAACTTTAAAAACAATACTCACAATTCATCATATCGATTAGGTATTAAAACATCAAATACATGTGATAATGCCAGGATTAAAGGACATTGCACAGACATAAACAAAGCTATAGTGTGGTTGGCTTGACAACGTTGGTGTGAGTTAGCAAGGTTAGCTCTGTGGCTCTTAATAATATAGCTACTAAAGAAAACCTGAATGTGCTCAGTAAACAGAGATAAACTGAGGTGAGGTTTGGTTAGAATAAATGCATTTAACTCAACATTAAAGCTCACAAATTGATGGTGCTTCCCTAAAATGTGCAGTAGTCACAATTTTTGAATTATTGCTTAATGTTTGCTTTTATTTTTCTGTCAGAAGTTACTGGAAATACAGAAAACTCTGCAAAGTAATAGAAACACTCTACTGTAACGTACCAGCTTTTCCTCTTTATATGTATTGGTTTAAACGTGATCACAACAAGCATTTCATGTCAACAAAACAGAAGCCACACAAAAATAATTTACTTTCTGTAATTTATGATTGAGAATTAGATGTTGTGTTGGGTTACTTAAGATTGCTCACTTCTTCATGATGTTGTGGCTGATCAGTAACTTCTTCATCCTGTCTCTACTAAGCATTTGTTCATTCAAACCCATCATGTTTTCTCCTCTGTCATTGTCATGTATCTATTAAAAAAATAATACTAAAATTTTGACTCTTCTTTGTCCCTTTACAGCAGCCGTGCCCCGCCGCGCCCCCACCCCCAGCGGCGCCGTCATGTGGCAGGAGGCCCGCAAACATGAGCGTAAGCTCCGTGGCATGATGGTGGACTACAAACGCAGAGGAGAACGCAGGCGGGAATACTATGAGAAGATCGTAAGTCTTGGTCAAGTCGTGGTGATTGCTCTTTTCTTGAGTTGCCCAGTCTGTTCTTGCCCTGCCTCACCACCTGCTGCTGTATTTGTTAAAGGTGGTGGTGTTTGTTTGACGCGTTCCTGTTTAGGTTGTGAGTGATTTAAGACCTGAGATGACAGATGAATACATTAGCTCTCAGACTTGCAGCAGAGTTTTGTACAATAGAGATGTTTGTGAGCCTTTTTCAAACTTGTTTCCTTTTTACAGCTGTTTGACTACCTTTTTGTTTTGTCCCAACAGAAAAAAGATCCAGCTCAGTTCCTGCAGGTCCACGGCCGAGCTTACAAGATTCACCTGGATCCAGCTGTGGCGCTGGCTGCTGAGAGTCCCATCAACATGTGAGGAAACACACGCACACCGCTTTTCAATATTCATAACACAGACCAAATTCTGAGCTCCTGTAGTGATCACATATATACTTCTTTGCTCTTGTTTTGTCTAAAGGATGCCTTGGCAGGGAGATGCCAACAACATGATTGATAGGTTTGACGTCAGGGCTCATCTGGACTACATCCCCACATACACGCCTCCTCTGCTCAGCACATCGTAAGTCTTTAAATGAGTGATTTGAGTTAGTGCTTGCTTTTTTCCCTTGTAATTCTATATGATTGCTGGGCATTATAGGAAAACTAGGATCAAATCAAAGAGGGTAAAAAAAAATCACCTCATCTTTACACTGAGGTCATCAGCTTTTATGAATAGACAAATGGGACATTAATAGTGTTTTTAAATCTATTAACTCTGGTGTAAATAAGCAGTGCGTTAGGTTGCTAAAGCTGTAAGCCGTGACCATAAATACAGCAAATCCATACGGTGTTTGAAATTAAATTCATATTGAAAACATAAGCCTCTCATTTCTGACCTTTGCTTCACAATGACAGTCCTACTTTATTGTATTCAGTGTTGAGTGAAGTTATTTATGTGAGAAATATCTTTTCTCTTTGTCCCTCACAGAACCCCCGAGCAGGAGATGGAGGAAAGGAAGTGCAATTACGAGCGTTACAGAGGCCTTGTGCAGAATGACTTTGCCAACAGTGAGTGATCCGAACTTTGTAGATGATGATCTTTCATTAGTGCAGAATCTTAGAATGGAATAGTACTTAATTCAGACTTGCATGGTGTGCTGTTTCAACATCAACTTCACATTACATGTTACTTAATGTTGCCTGGACACCTTGTTGTCATCCTTGTTGTCTTTTGAGTGTGTTGATAGCATTTATAGAGGCTGCTTAGTGCATAACAGTGTTGCAGCAGTAGTTCTTGGGCTTTTATAAAGACACAAAATATGAATGAAATGTAAAAATATGACCAATATGATAAAAATATTGAGTATTGTGGGTTGTAAAGGTTGTAAATCTTAGCATAAATGTCTGGTGAAATTTTGTGTTTTTTAAATCTGTAACCTTTATCCTGTTTCTTTCTCTAGAATATGAATATGATAAAATTGGCCTTTAGTTTCACAGTGAAATGCACTTGAGCCTTTTAAAGCTCCTGTTGTTTCTTCTCACTCATGCACACTGCTCCATGTGAGCTTATTGTGGCTATAATAGTCTGTTATTCTGCCCTCAGTAGGTTTATTTTGCGGTCGTGTTGTGTGCTAAAACTCCCTCATGTCCCTTTTCCAGTCTCTGAGGAGCAGTGTTTGTACCAGATCTACCTGGACGAGCTCTACGGTGGCCTACAGAAGCCAAACGAGGAAGAGAAGAAAAAGTACGTCATTGAAATGTTATTAAAAAGATTGTTCTCTTGTCGTGCATATTAACATGATTATGTTTGAGCGTTTTAGTTTACTCTTTATTAATGAATCCTCCCTCTCTGTGTGCAGACTGGCTGAAAAAAAGGTCGCCATCGGTTACACCTATGAAGACAGCACTGTGGCAGAGCTGGAGCCCCAGTCAGACAAAGAGGAAGAAAATTCAGAGAACAGTGAATCAGAGGAGGATGAGGGCATCCCAGATATTGGTGCGGAAGTTGTTTTGGCACTTAAGAGATTTACATATCAGGAATATCAAAACCTCAGTGAAAACAACGAATTTTCCGAGCACTTGATTCTACAAAATATCTCAAAAGATATAGTATCCTCTCTGTTCCTGCAGTCATTTCTTATTACATGTGAAAGGCTGATGTATTTCCTGATTTATCACTGTGCTAATGAACCTGGGTGTCATATTGTGTTCCTATGCGTCGTATAGATGTGGAGGTGGATGTCGATGAGCTGAACCAGGAACAGGTGTTGGATCTAAACAAGATAGCGACCCCTTATGGAATGGCCGAAGGAGACTTTGTTAGGTAACACCTTCAGTGATTATATCACCACACCAAACAGGTCAACTGTTGAGAAAAGCAAAAATACAGGTTCAGAGAATCACACCACCTATTGAGTCCAAGCTGCTGCTCTCACCACAAATTGCAACACATGCTATTGACAGGCCACTCGCAACCACCGTGTGAATGCTGGTTTATAGAATGAATTTAAATCTTAAAATTTAAGTCAAAGCGCCACCATCTATCCCTGCTCCAGCCTCAGCAGGGACAGCACAGAGTGATTGAATGATAAGCTGTTAGTTCATTTTGTTTTTTCTAATTTTCTAATCAGTAATTCCACTGGAGAATAATGTCTGTATAAGAAACTAGACCTGGCATATTTAGAGGACAGACATTCTTTCCCTCATTGACGTGTCGTGTTTATATTTTAACTAATATTTTAAATTTTCATATTAAACTGCTAAATATTCAACACTTTGATTGAGGTTATTGTTGTAACTCTTTCCACATTTGACCTGTTTTTTCAGAATGCTGAGGAAAGACAAGGAGGAAGTGGAAGCCATTAAACATGCCAAAGCTCTGGAGGCGGAGAAGGCCATGTACTCTGTAAGACCTGCTGAAGAATCAACTCCTGTGTTTGTAGTGTGGTGTGACTTTTTAACGAGAGGATTTTTAATCATTTCAGGGCCGCCGTTCTCGCAGACAAAGGAGGGAGTTCAGAGAGAAGAGGCTAAAAGGTCGTCAGATCAGTCCACCAAGGTAAACTTATGCACTAATTTCTCTCTCATTGAAAGATTTCTCTCCTTAAACAGAGTTAACGTTTGTCCTCGCTCTGCTGGTTTTCAGCTATGCAAGGAGAGACAGTCCCACCTATGATCCATATAAACGGCAAGTTCATCATCTTTTCCTTTTACTCCTAAATGTCCTGATTTGATCATCTCTGTAAGCGTGTCTGATTTTGTTCTGCTGCTCTCCTTCAGGCCAGAGTCGGAGTCTAGCTCTGAATCGCGGTCCCGCTCCCGTACTCCTGGCCCAGAGAAGATCACCTTCATCACCAGCTTCGGAGGCAGCGACGATGAAGCTGCTGCAGCAACACAAACACCCGCTCCTCACTCTGGCCACCCCCCTCCCAGCATCCAGCACCCTGCAGGTCATAGCAGGGGCTCCCGGTCGGTAACTTTCCGTCTCCTGGCTTTTCATTGGTTGTTTTCTTCTTCTTTGCTATTGGATGTCTATTAAAATGACCGCAGCTGTTGTGGAAGAGAGCATAGTCAAGAATTGTTTTTTCTAAGTGGCAGGTGAGATGAAGAATGGTTTTTAATCAAGCAGAATGAAGTCATAACATAAGGAGTTTAAAATGCAGTGAGGAGAATTTAACAAAATAACAGTAATACTTTTTCAAACATAAGAAAACAGACATATTGTGGACAGTAGGGGGGAATTTCCCTGATTTTCTGGCTAAATTGTTTCTCTTTTTGTTTAGGAGGCGAAAGTCATCGTCCAGCCGCTCCCCTTCCTCCTCCTCCCGCTCCTCCTCTCGCTCCTCCTCTCGTTCTTCCTCTCGATCACGACGTACCAGACGAAGTCGCGGGGGAAGGGACGGGCGGCGATCCAGGACACGATCGCGATCGAGACGACGTTCCAGATCTCACTCCAGAAGCAGGGGAGGAAATGGAGGATCTGCATCCTGGAGGAGGCGTGACCGGACACGATCACGGTCCAACAACCGAGACAGAGAGCGAGACAGAGACAGAGAAAGGGACCGGGAAAGGGACAGGGACCGGGACAGAGACAGAGACAGAGACAGGAGGCGATACTCAGCACGCAAACGAACAAGGTGAGACACCCAAACAGTCTCCAAACAGTTTTTAATTTCCAACACAAAGCACTCACACAAGTTTTGTTTTTGTTGCCTGTCTGTTTGTTTTTCCATCAGGTCCCGTTCCAGCTCACGGCAGGGGAGCAGCTTTAAGCGAGGGGGGCGAAGCAGTGGAAGCCACCGACGAGGCGAGAGCAACAGCCGCAGTCCCTCTATGTCCCCAAAGCGCCTTAACCACAGTCCCTCTCCTGCCCACAGAGGAGCCCAGCCCTCTACCCTCAGCATCTGTGACAAGCTAAGAAAGTAAGAAGACTGAGTCAACGGCGCATAGACATAAACCTTCATGAAAACACCTTTTAATAAGTTATCCAGTTAGAAAGGACGAAAGGCATTAGCTGAGGATGCAGTGATCAACTTCCTAAACCTTGAGACCAATTTGCAGAGTTGCACCGCCCTCCTCCGCTGGTCACTGCTTAAACTGCAGGGTCTTCAATCAAATCAGCACTGCACAAGATTTGTTTACTTAGTATCGTACTACGGTTTTCTTTCTGAAAGTTTATAATCACGGTCTGATGGGAGACAAAATATTAGAAAGTTTTGGCCAAATGTTAGTCGTGTCACTGGGTGATGGTTGGAGCTGCACCAGTGGTCATGCCAGAACATGTCAGTGATAAAGCTTTGACTACCATAGCATAGGGTGACCATATGTCCTCTTTTACCCAGACACGTCCTCTATTTTTAGGGGTTGTTTGGAGAAGTTTATAAAATACTTCAAATGCCTGCGGTTTTGTACGTAAGTCTCGAGTTTGTGTTTCGTGGACTTGCTGCATTAGAAGCTCGTACAAGACACTCGATCGGACACGAAAAACTCAAAATTAACTTTGTGCGACTCTGTGACTCCGCCCCCGCGTAGACGTGTCCTCTTTTTGGGAAATCAGAATATGGTCACCCTACCATAGCACCATCTTCTGAATGAAACACTAAAACATGAAAAAATACCTCACTGATCCTATACACTGGTATGTCAAAAGTAACACTCATTTTAAAAGTGAGAAAGTTCAAATTCAACTTTATTTTTATGGCACTTTTCAGACAACAAATGCAGTTCAAAGTGCCTCACAGAAGCTAAAAACAACAATTAACAACAATAAAACCCGACCCACCCACCCACACGCCCACCCATGGACCCACACATACACACAAAGGCACTCACCCACACATACACACACAAGCACACAGTGTGAGAATTTAAATTTCTAAAGTGACAGTTGTTAAAAGTGCCTCTTATACACATAATTTGACTGTACTTGAACAGAAACACCATGCTGTGTTTGATACCCTGTATATCGACTGTTTTTTTTATCAATCCATTTGTGGTCGTTCCTCCAGCTGATCGCTTTTCCCCCCTTCTCTCCGCAGGCCTGAAACTCCGGCTGGTAAAGAGACGGGAGCTGCCAAAGTCAGTAAGAATTTGATCTAGCTTGGTTTCTTGCTAAAGCCTACGCCTCCCTCATCCCTGACAGGCTGACATGGTTGTCCACCAGACTGGGATGTAAAAGCCATTGTTGCCCACAGAAAATGAAATGATGATGTGATTTTTTTTTTTCTTTTTACCCCACAAAGTGGACACGCTCGGCAGCCGTAGCCCTTTATCTTTATTTGCAGTTACCATTACAGTATTCTGAACGTAGAGAGGGGCTTCCACTTCTGCTCAGAGTAAACACCCTGTGATGTCTGTTTGTCTGGATTGTGATTTTAGTCTGGGTTGTGCATGTATTTACATATATATATATATATGTGTGTGTGTGTGTGTATTTACATTTATACGTGTGGGTGAGAGAGTGTAGTGTCTTTATATCTGTTTGTAGTCTTAAATTCACAGACATCTCCTAACATATCAGTGTCCATAACAGGAAAACTGTTTTGTTCCAGCGTATCAATCATTATTTAGCAGGTGATTATCTATGTGGATCAGAAGATTAGCACAGAAAAGCAGATGGGATGTTCTTCGGGCAGCAGCTTTCTTTGCTTGTTTAAACAGGCAGCAGAGCGTGTTCTTACCAAACAAAGGTGCTTCCAGTCCTATAAAAAGTTTTTGAACTACAGATGAGAGCTGAAATGAATTTAGGAGATTTTGGAAAGAGAACTACAATGTCTGCTTTGCTCCTTACAAAGGTTTTAAACCACCCCTTAAAGTCACTAGTTAATTACTCATATCTTCTTTAATGAGTCTGCATGAATAACAAAAGTGTAAAGATGACAAAATGCGGTTTTATTGCCAGGCTGGCTGCTTCCTCCTGCTTCGAGTCTCTATTCAGATCTTCGTTATGTCGCTAGTCTTGGTAGCTGAAGCTTAATTGTACACATTAGTTACATTCATCCTCTGTTTAGCTTCTCTTCAGGCAAGTGCAGTCATCTATTATTTAAAACTAAGCAAGATACATATTCTATCTGGTTTGTTCAAACATCCTGGACTGACTTCTCTTCTCACCGCATTTCCCCTGGCAAGTAAGGGAAGATTTGCGTGTACTCTCACGGACAAACAGTCATTATCTGCCTCTGTGCTACACATGCCTGCAGTGTTCTGACCTGCAGTTTTTCTTGCCTGGCCAGGTTTAAACGGCCCAGTGAAGGGTGTGTCTCTGACAAAATGCCACTGGCTCTTTCCTAACTCGGTGAACTCAGCGGACCTGAACTTGCCCTTGTTTCACTTTGCAGTCCCGTTCTTCTCTCTCTATAGCTGTCCTCCCATTTTTGAAATCTCTGAAAGTGTTTGTATGTAGGAACATATTTTGCATTACAGGTCATATGACGTGAGCCCGTCTCTAAACTATTCTACGGGTTTGTCTCTGTTCACACATACACCAGAGTCCTGCCAGGGTACAGCTTTGCAGACCTGTGTTTACAGTCCTCTGCACAAACTGACCTGTTGCTGCAGTTAAATCAGAGTCAAATTTGAGACCACCTCAACACATCCTGTGCTGAGTCACTCACTAAGGTTTTATTGCAGAACTAGAACAGCAGCCCTTTTGGCAGAACCGGTCAATAATGAGGCTTTACTCTGCTGCATCTAGACCGTGACATCCCATAATTTTTATAACATAATGGTCCAAGTTTTTGTCATGATCACATTTGTTTCTTTGTAGTTCTGACACCTTTACAAAAGTATGATCTCACTTGCCGCCAAAACTGAATCCTGACCCCTAAAACCACACGAAATATTTCTTTTCCTGTTGCATAACTTTTTTGCAGGTAACTGGTTGAAACCCTGTGCAGGACTCATTTACACACATGCACTCACACATATACACACTCACTGCAAAAGTTTCGAGTCTTCTTGTTGACTTGACAAAAAAAATCACAGATTTTGAAAAGTGAACTTTAGGAACTATTGAACATAAACCTGGAACCATGCAACAGCTCTGTGCCTTGGAATTTAGCTTTCTGTCACACACACAACCCTCCCCCTACCGACACACACACACGCACATAACACTTAAGTCTGACCTGTCAAAAGATGTACTAACTTTCTTGTGTCACCTGCAGCCCAAGATGACCCCACAGGAGCGGCTGAAACTACGAATGCAGAAGGCGCTTAACAAGCAGTGTGAGTAGAGCTGAGGACAGCATGTGTTCGTGGTTGTTGTCTTTTCCATATTTCATAATACGAACATGTTCATATCGTATCTTCCAACTTATTTCCATTTTCTTTTTTCCCATCTTACAGCTAAGGCGGACAAAAAAGCCGCTCAGGTGAAGATCCAGCTGCAGGAACACAAGCGACAGGTGTGTGTTGTGTGTTTTCATCTGAAAGAAAGTTAAAATAAACAACTTTAGGCATTTTATACAAACCCCTCAATGTTTTTTTACAGGAAAGAGAGGGAGAGTTGCGAGCCATGGCACGCAAGATCCGCATGAAGTAAGAAACTGTGTTGGCATCTAAAGGCTAAAGCATACAGGATCCGTATTTAGCGCGTATCAGCAAAGCATACAGGACGCATATCAGCTCCGTCGCAACATCACATCGAGAGCAGCACTACTAAAGATATGCAACAAGTCTGTTTTTGCTGCACACAGAGAAGATCATGTTGCTTTTTCACGTATAGTAGCGGCTCAACAGTCACTGAATTATATCCAAATTAGCAGGAAATGGACCCCAGACAGGCATAACAACCTGTAGTGAGCATGTTGTTTCCTCTATACTGAGCCCAGCTGACTGCTGCTGCTGCTACGCTCCAAATACGCATCCTGTATGCGATACCCAGTGCTGCTCTACGGAGCAAATACAGAACACGCTCAATACAGATAAAGTGGGTTGTTTGGTATGTGTGTGTGTGGAAATCGTCTGACCCAAACATTCTGCATTTAGGGAGCGTGAGAGGCGAGAGAAAGAGAGGGATGAATGGGAGAGGCAGTACGGGCGACAGAGCCACTCGCCCTCTCCCTCCAAATATGGTAAGACTTAATGTTTCTGATCACAAATAGCTGCATGTATCAATAATAACAGTTAGATTTAGTCTGTGTGTTTCTGTGTGTGTATTTCATCAAAATCAAAAAGAACTAACAGAAATATTTAATGACCCCGGCGTATGTCGGACTCGCTGGCATTAGTTTGTGCTCTGACAGTTTTATGAGCATTACGATGTTATGGCATGCGATTGTTTTGATGGTGTCTCTGTGTCCTCTGTCCCTCAGGCCGTGAACACAGCTCATACAGAAGGTATGCAAGCAGACGCAAGAACCTGCACAGCTCTGATGAAGCACAGTGAATTGTTTGATTTGTTTACTCTTGATGCACAATAGCTGGTAACAGTGGCATGCAACACTGTACAAGAATAACCTGATACAAGTTTTCATATTGCCAAAAAGATGAGCTTCAGCTATAAATTTAAATATGTTCATCAGATCATTTTAGGAAAGACATATTCATTTCATTTGACAATACTCTGCTCTAATCTTTGTACTTTGTTCTCAATCTTTCAGGAGGTCGCGGTCTCGGTCACGGAGTCCATACTACAGATACTGATCTGTGGTACTCTCTGCACAGTTCTTCATTAATACACTTACTATCAAACCAAAAGGTTTAGAAATGGAAATATGAAGTGATAGACTGATCCTCTGTGTTTACACATAACACTTTGACTGCGATACCTTTAATCTCACTAAACACACACTTGATTGGTTCGATCTGCGCTTTTTATTTCTGCTTCATCTGCACAGAGACTGAAGGTGTTACTATGATTTACTGTTTTCTGCCGCATGCCGTTTCCTCTCTTCTGCCTGAACTCATTTTTTACAATGTGGACCACTCTGGATATCTGTACTTCAGAGTAATTAGCAATATCTTCTCTTTTTACCTCGCATCTTTTCTTTTTGTGCATCATCACACTCACTCTCGGTGTTTTTACTTCTCTGTAAGAAATCACGCTTGAACTCAAAAACCATTTTGAAACGCTTTCATGAGCTCATGTACAGGATATTTATAGGCAAATGTGTTTATAAAAGTTCATCTTTGAATTCAGTCCATCAAACGTTTTTATACTCTCTCCTCTGCCAAATGGTAAATAGAAGCAAATAACTTTTTGGTTGTCGTTAATGTGAAATGTTAAACACAAAACAGCAAATAAATCTCAATTTTGGAACATTTTTGTGCTTTTTGTTTGTGTTTCATGAAGAGTTAGGTGACACTTCTTGTGTATATATATTGCTTTGCTGCAGTTTGTTATTTGTGCCTGGAGGTGGCGCCAAACTGAGGTCTACCTGCTGAAGATGCTCCACTGCACCTTAGTGTACAAGAGCGTCTTTCTGTTGAGTTTAAAGCCGGTTTCTGAGATTTTGTTTCTTTGCATGACTTTATACGAAGGCACTGGGCTTGATAAGAACAGAGATTATTTATGAAAGGCTTTCTGAGAGGATTTAAAGAAAGAGAAACACCTGTGGGAAACTAATGCAAAGCAGAGGAGAGGGGACAAAATATTGATTTCCACTCGAGGATAAGAAAATCCTCGACAGAGCGTCCTAAAAACAAGAAAAAAGCGGGTAAACTAAGAGGAATTGGTTACACAGGAGCGTATCGGTGGAGTGTTACCCGAGGAGGGCGGGGTCAGGGTCGTAGGAGCGGGGCGGGCGGTGCTTTCACTCGCCCATGCCCCCTTTTGCCCTCCACTGGCTGCGGGGGAAGCAGCGTGAACTTGAACGCAGCCTTCACTGCTGCTCAGTGCGAGTCCAGGCAGAGGCCAGCAGAGCAGACAGCCTTATCACTCCGTCCCCGTCACTCGGGTTTTCGGTCAACTTATCGGTAAAGGAGCAGCCGGTTGCGTGTGCGTGTGCAGGGGGGGTTCATTTATTTATCCAGCCTGTTTGCTGTTTGGGACCCGGAGAGGGGCTACCAACACGCGGACCGCACGACGCGATGTCCAGGCGCAAACTTGGAAGCAGACCGCAGCACCTGAGTGTGATTCAAGGTAGGTGTGGGCACGAGGTGTGGACGTGTTGTGTTGACGGTGTGGGTGAACTTACACATTTCAAGTCATTATTCCTCATTGTGTGTCTGTTTGGTGCCTGCTTTTTGGACGCGCGCTGGCACCGGTCACCAAAGATGAGTGTTATTTACATTTTGGAGAAACACCTAAAAATACGATTCAAGTTTCTCTCCGCATGACCTGACCTCAGTCAAGTTGATATGGATGCGTTTAATTGGCCAGGCGGGCTTTAGAGTTAAATATTTGAATAAGGGATGATAATTTTCTTGTCATGTTTGTCCTGATGTATTGCTGCGCTCATAGAGGACGGACCGGTTTACTGGCACGCTGTTTTCACAGGCTACAGGTCCGAACATGATGATTAATATATCCAGGTTAGACTCTGATCAAGTTTCTCTGCTGGGCTCTGGACACTTTTACACTTTTACTCTTTTACTCTGGTCAAACTTGCTTAATCCCTTAACTCTTAGTTATTTTGTGTTATGGACAATTAGACCTGAACTCTATCCTCAATTGAATAAAGTGAGAAATTTAATATTTTACATTTCTGGCTCTTCAAACTCTCCTTGTTGACCTCACTGTTTTCACAGGCTACAGGTTCAAACATGATAATTAATATATCCAGGTTAGACTGATCAAGTTTGTTGGGCTCTGGACACTTTCACACTTTTACTCTGGTCTAACTTGCTTAATGCCTTGACTCTTAGTTATTTTGTGTTATGGACAATCAGACCTGAACACTATCCTCAATTGAATAAAGTAAGAAATTTAATATTTTACATTTCTAGCTCTTTAAAACATAAAGTAAAAAAAAGCTGATGTGTGAAAAGGAGAGAGAAACTTGACCGTCATTTATGTTTTACAGTTCTTAGTGGGGACCAGTGGTGCGTGTCTGCTGTGACCACAGGCCCTGACTCAACCGTGTACTCTGTGTGTGTGTGTGTGTGTGTGTGTGTGTGTGTGTGTGTGTGTGACCGCGCCTTGCAAGTCTGCACAAACAGCGCGGCCCTGAAACAGGAAAGGTGACATTTTTTCAGAAACAACTGGCGAGATCCGACTTCAGACTGTACTGTCTGTACCTGTCCTGCTGTGTCGGCCTCATGTAGGAAAGTCCAGGCAGCTGGATCAGATCAGGCATCAAGGTGTGCCCATGACCGAGTTGAGCAATAGCCTACTGACCCTCCTTCTTTCCTCCCCTCCCTTTACCTGGGAGACTGTTGAGAAATGAGGTTTTTAAAAGTTGTGTCCACTTCCCTAACGTGTTTACAGACTTCTGTGCATTTGAAAGAACTCTGCATCAGCTGCAGACTGAAAACACACACTCACACAGACACACACACACACACACACAGGCTGCTGTTATCTAGAACACCTTCAGTCTTCTTTTTTTTCTTCTTTTACTGCAATCCACTTCCTGTTGAGAAACTCCCGCTGCCTGTGGCTGGACGAGCAAGTTGCTGTGAGTGAAAGGTGAAATCCTCTGTCCAAATGTTAAAGTTATAAATCACTCATTTCACCTGTCAGCACATGGCAGTTGCAGCGTTGACGAGAGGTAAATGTTTCTGCTGATGTGGACTGTTGGAGGCCTCAGCGTGAGCGTGCAGACCTGTTCTGGGTCGGTTAAAGGAAGTGGTCAGTAATGGTTGAGCAGATTGGCCTCATTGCTTTAGAGCTCACAACTGAAACTAGCACTTTCAATCAACACGCCTGTTTGTTGTTCCACTTACTGAGGTCTAACTGTTCTTGCTGCAGCACATGCAGTGTGAGAGAGGGGATGGTCATCGGTCCCCAAAGCAGAAGCAGAAAGACAGAGGCGACCGGCACATCACGGTGACAGAAAGTGTGACAGTTGATGTCAGACTCGGTTTTGAAGTTGATTTCTCTGAATGTGTTTTGGAAATGTGACTAAAAGGTTGAGTCAAAGTGATACCAGCCTCAAGAAGATGAGCTGTCAGAGAAAACCAAATCAGAAAATGACCTGAACGGCGACACAATCAGTCAACTCGGCTACATAAATGAAATGACTTCAACCCACAGACTGAAGAAACAAACACTGGACTGTACAGATTTAGGGGGGTGTTTTGTTTTCACTTTTTGTTCATATACAGAAGATTTCCTCAATAAAAATAGACATTTTATGGATTAGAGTTAAAGGCGACATATTTTAACGTCTCTCCTTGTTTTGGGCTTATTTAAAATACAAATAATTACATTTACTATCAAAGACGAAGAAGCTTCAGTGCTCATTGATTAATTTTAAGCCCTTTCTCTGCCCTTCACCATCCGTAACCCACTCTTTCTTCCAAGTTTACTCGTCTATCTACTCTCACCTTTTAAAACTGGCAATTAAAAGTCTCATCAATAATCTTAAAATAAGACGAAAAACTTAAGTAACAGTTTAAAAGCTGATTGGAACAAGTCCGGTTTCTCCATGCTCACTGATTAATCTTTGCTGCTTCATGAAAAACATTTTTGTGTTTCTATTTTCAACACTTGCACACTCACAGTTAATACTCAGTTAGAGATGGGAATCGAGAATCGGTTCTTGTTGAGAACCGTTTACATTTTATCTTAACGATTCCCTTCTTCCGAATCTTCTGATTCCTACAATGCATGAACAACGTCCTCTTTTACCGAACATGTCCTCTTTTGGGGGGCTTTCCAGCCTTGTCTGGGGGAGTTGATGCTATTGATATTATCATGAATGATGATGATAGTGATGGTACTGAAAACAACATTTTTATCGCTATCGTTATTGTCAGTGTCACTTAGTCTGCTCTTCTTCTTCGTCATCGTCTGTTTGTTCCCTTATTTGTTTGGTTTTTCCTCTGTGTTGTTGTGAAGCAGTCTGGATCGATTTTGTTCTGTGTAAAGTTCTCTATAAATAAAGTTGAGTTGAGTTGATAAAATCCTTTAAATGTCAGGGTTTTGTAGGAAGTTTTTACTTTGTGTAGCGTGGACTAACTGAGTTTGAAGCACGTAAAAAACACTTGACCCGACCCGAAAAACCCTCAAAATTTTGCCCATGACTACATAGTAGTGTCCTCTTTTTGGGGATCCAGAATGTGGTCACCCTAATTTGACTTAATACCAACCGAAGTAAATGCCGTACAAATAGTTTGTGGTTTGATTATTTGTAGACTCTCACTGAAGGTGGCGTACATCTTTTTCTGTCATCAGAGACTCAGTAAAATTTTGAGTTAACAGTAAAAACTTTTAGTCTTCCTTTTTTCAGATCGAAGAAAAGCATTGATAAGGGAATCGTTAAAGACTTCGATTGATAAGCAGAATCAATAATGACATCGATATCATTAAAATCTTATCAATTCCTATCTCTATACTCAGTTCACTGATCTTGTTTTCACATCTTTCTTCTTGTTTAACTTGTTTGATCTCAAATTTTGTTTCCCCAGATGTCACCAACATGGCGGATGGCACCAGCCCCTCAGACGACCAGCCTCTTCCTCCTCCTCCTCCTCCTCCTCCTGCGCAGGTCAGATCCCCAGAAGATGGCCGTGACCTCCTGACCTGCGGGCAGTGCAGCCGGGCGTTCCCCCTCGCCCACATCCTCGCCTTCATCCAGCACAAACAGGGGGGCTGCCGATCCGCTAATCACGCCCCAAACACCAACGCCACGCCCCCCTCACCTGCCAACCGTACGCAGCAGCGCGTCACCAACGCGGACCTGGGACCGGGCTTCATCGAGCTGAGGAGAGGGGCGTCCAGAGAGCGAGGCTGGGGGGAGGAGCTCAGCATGAGAGTGAAGGCAGAGCCCGGCAGAGCAGGTAAAGAAGGAGGGGGCAAAGATGGCAGGTTGCTAATTAGTGACTCTGTTTTTCTTTTTCATTTTTTTTCCTTAAACTTCCCCCCCTCCTCATTTAACAACTGGTCCCCTCCCTCCCTCCCTCCCTCCCTCCCTCTCGAGTCCAGCTCATTAGATAGCCGTTGCCATTAGCAGACCTGCATGAGTTAGTGACGCGCTGGCTAATTGTGAGGAAACGATAGGCGTCAGGAGCGTTCGAAGGGCACTCGAGGGTCCCCGAGGGCTCAAACACTGAGCAACTGAGCTCCAGAGAAGCGTCCCATCTCCCTGACTGTCAGTCTCTGAGGTGGAGCGGACAGGTAAACATGTTTCTCTGTTTCCAGCCTCGTCCTGGACAACTGAGACTCAAAGTGGAGCTCTCTAAAAACACCACAGCTCGGAGCAGCACCGTGTGAGTGATCACGGCCTCTCCTCCTCCTCCAAAGAGCTTCGATGGCTGTTGTTTGGCACGTCAGTATGAGACGGTCAGAGAGGTGGATGTGTGCGGCTGTTTCGTGCAGCGCTGTCATGACACCGTAATGGAGAACGTTGCATCATGTGCAGCTCCTCCGCCATCTCCCACATGTTCTGCCCCGGGCCGAGCCACCTGAGCTCCTGGGAATCTGCTCCTTCTTCATCAGTATTTTCATCATCTCTTTCACCTTCTTCTTCTTCTCCTTGTTGTCATATTTTCCACGTCTTAAGTCGGTTCAAAATTAGCACTGGGTTTTTTCCTGATTGGCTTTTCTCGTTTTTTTTCTAAGAATTGAGGTTTCGTGTTCAGTGGCCGCAACGCTTTTGTGATGGCGGAGAGTTTCCTGCAAATCTCACGCTGTATCGAAATGACCAGCGTGCTTGCAGATGGAGGCGGCATCGTCCTCCACGCTTATAGTCAGCATGAGTGCTCCTTTGCATATTTTGAAACCCTCCCATGTCATGTACACACACGTTCGCAGTTCCTTCCTCTATGTAACGCTCAGGGGACTGGCACATGCATCGTTTCCGTTGGTCCACAACCTCTTTTCTGTTTTTCTTCTCTGCTCTCGGTCTTTTTTCTTTTCTCTCTCTTTCAGTCAAGAGGGCACATGAGTTTGGTAATTCGGTGTCTACTGGATTATACACAAAACAGAAAACATGTGCGAGAGGGCAAAGAGGGAGAGAGAGCGAGTGAATAATGTAAGAGTGGATAAGTTTGGATTAAAGTTTTATTAGCAAATGTGGGCTGCATTATTGTAGGTTTAACTCAGCTTTTTATAGTTTTTATGTTTTATGTGACAAAGTTTTTTTTTAAGTGTGGTAGAAAGCAAAGGACAGTTTGTTCTAATGGGGCATCCAGCTGCCTTGTGGGTAATAATTAGTCTTGTTTGACTTGTTTTGTGGGAGGGAAACCGAGCATCTGAACCTTCAGAGATGACTGAAAGTGAAAGAGCGGTTATCCCACAACAGACAGGCCCTGCCTCAGTTTCTGTATTCGAGGACGGATGAGAGAGAAAAAAAAGGGGTAGGAAAAGGGAGCGGGGTGGATTACTGAAGAGCCGCGTGCATCTGTCTCATTCCTTTTTATTTATTCTCCTTGTTTGTTTTTTTTTCTCCTCATCTCTGACACCACCCCCTCCTCCTCCTCCTCATGCTTATTTCTTCCCCCCATCTTCAACACACTTTCGCTTTGCCCTCTTTCAATTTCTCACCCCCTCTCCCTCCCCTCCATCCTCCTCCTCCTCCTCGTCCTCCTCTCTTTTCTCCTCCCTCTGCCTCCCAAGGGAAAAGAGATTCTGCCTGCTGCTCGTTAGTGCTCCCAGCCAATCTGCATTTTTAATTAGTAGTTATTGCTTCTGCTTAATATTCAAGTGCTACCCCGGGCCAAATGGGAATCCTTACAAAAAAAAAGAAGCGAGGAGTGAGAGAAGGAGAGAGAAACCGGCTGGGTATTGTGTTTCACTCCAGGACCCCGAGACAAAAGCCCCCCCTCAGGGAAAGATTTGGAAGGTTTTTCGGGGGTGGTAGGGGTGAGGAAGAGGAGCCGAGGTTGGAGGATGGGTCTCAAGTACAATCCAAAGGGGGTGACATATTTTCGTGGTGTCTCCTGGCCCCCCGCACTACATTATAATCTTTTTATCTCATTTTCTTTTTATCTCCTGAGCCCTGACCTACCTATCTCTCTCTCCTTCTCCTTCTCTCTCTCTCTCTTCACCCTATTTTTAAAAGAAGTATCTCAACTTCTCCTGGGTTTCTCTCCTCGGGCTAGGTTAAAGGACATGAACAGCGCAGCTCCTCTCGTCTCCAGACAGAGAAAAGAGGGAGGGTACGAGCGCGAAAGAGAAAAAGGGAAAGAAACAGTTGCTCTCTTTTTCATCTCCACTCTCCTCCTTTTTCCCCCCTCCAGTAAAATACAGAAGGATTTGACTTGAGGAAACATGAAAGAGGCTTATACTAGAGTCGGCTTTGAACCTCTCCAAAAAAAGAAGGAGAGAGGGAAAAAAGAACTGTTTCCCCCTCAATTTGGGGATCTTCTCTCCAGTTTTGATTTATGCAGAAAGGCCTCATTTGTCAAGCAGGCTGAGTCAGTGCCTGATTTGCATAAAGCGTTCGTTTGCTACGTTCTGCTAATTAGCAATTTGCAGCTTAATTGGAGAGAGGCTCTCGGTTAGAAGACAAAGCTATCCACACATGAAAATATCTCCAGATGTAACTCTGTGTCGGCCTTTCAGCTTCCGGAGACCCATTTTCTCACTTTGCTTCAGGTCAAACTTTTCTCTAATACTGTACCTCTCATCTTCACTGAGTTCCTTTTCTTACCTTATTTATATTTAGGTAAACATGAATCACTCTGTGGTACCTCTGAGGCTAATTTTACCATCACTATGTTTCAGCCCTAAAGTTGCTATAATCAATATATTTAGGTCAACAAAAGAAGTGGCTGGTTTGTAGTCTGTGCCGTGTGTGAAACCACAGATTACGAACACTCAAGCCCCTACTTTTTTAACCTGTTTTTGATTTCGAAACCACAAGTCTCCTTGAGTTTGCTTTAAAGCTAAGGGTCGAAAATAAAAGACACACTGAAGATCAAACAGAGTCAGCAGCTAAAGATAGGCCCTAAAAATAAAACACTGTTTTGACTAATCCTCGATAGCGCCAAAGTTTGACCCCCAAAACTGAAACACATCAGTATTTTACATTGCACTGTACATGTTTTAATCACACATGTCCTTCTTCAGGGAATTTAAAATGTATTTTTAAATCCAGTTGGTTTTTGTCAGTGTTTAGATAACATCATTTAAAGGGATATTCCGGTGTAAAATTAAGCTAGGGTCAAACACACAGAGTTAGACACCCATCGAGAGATGAATGTTGCCCATCGCTGCTTCTCAACTTAAGTAACGACAGCAGATGTCAATACAGAGAGCCATGAGCTCAACCAAAACGCCACTTTATAGCCACAAATAATGCTCAGAACAGCACCTAACTTCATCAACAGTACATATAGGGTCCCAGCCATAGTACTAGTCACCAAACATCATTTTAACTTTGCTCAATTTCTTTAGCAAAGAGACTAAACACAACTCACCCACTCTCTTCCAGCAGCCGCTTGTTTGTAGTGAGACCTCAGGCTAGTTCATTACGGACTGCAGTGGGGTGACGCAGCTCAAGGAAGAACATTTATGATCATTTCTCCATGGAAATGCAATTAGACTGAGACACTAAGGCAGAAGAACTACAGCTGCGTCACCCCGCTGCAGTCGATGGACTCGCCTGGTCCATTTTCAGCTCTATTTTCAGTCTGTTTGTTTCTATATAAAGAACAGATAAACTGTTTGTTCTTATAAGAGTTGCTCTGTTAGTCGATTTGACCAAAGTTTTTGTAAATTATATTTTGTTTTCTGACCTCATTTCCTCCATCTTTGTTTTCTAGTGCCAGACGAGCCCTCTTACTTCACCTGTCAGCAGTGTGACGGAGTATTTCCCTCAGCCTGGTCACTCCTGCAGCACGCTCAGCACACACACTCCTTCAGCATCTACCAGGAAGACCAAGAGGAGGACACAGTGACGAGAAGAGGAGGAGGAAGAAGAGGACTTAAGGAGCATAAGCCTGCTGCAGCCACTCTGGACCCTCGCCACCTAAGCCAGGCCCTTGCCTCCGCCTTTCAGCCTTCAGCCCTGCGCCTCAGCCGCTCACGGCAGATGCAAACCACCTCCACTTCTTCTTCTTCCAGTAATCTCCAGGCTCTGAACTTTTCGGTGCGGCTCAGGAAGCTTGCTGAGGGGAACAACACCACCACCTGCAGCTCGCCTGGAGGCCTGGTGCTGTCTCCATCCTCCTCTCCACCTGCAGCCTCTCCCTTTCCTCAGACTAGTTCCCTCCAGGCTGAGTACCAATGTGAGCTGTGTGACCAGAACTTCCACTCCATGTCTGCTCTCTCCGCCCACCGCCGGACTCACACCTGCGATCGCCCGTATCACTGCGGGGTATGTGGGCAAGCTTTCGGTCAGAGTGGCCAGCTAGCTCGTCACATACGGAACCATCACAGGGAGGCAGGAGGTGGAGGAAACGGGTATGAACCTGTGGAGGTCATGGTGATGGAGGAGGACGTAGGGAGGCGAGGCAGGTTTCAGATGCAGTCATCTGGAGTGATGGGGAAGGTTGGAACAGACACGAGAGCTCAGGGCCCGTCTGAGCTGGACCTGACCCTGCCCAAACACCCATCCATCGCCTCAGGCCTGATGGTGCTGACCTCACAGGTCAGGCCGCCAGACAGGGAGCTGCTCAGGCTGTACCAGCGCCAGAGAGAGGGCGAAGAAAGAGGGGACGAGGAAGTGGAGGGACAGGGAGAGCCCCAGCCCACCTCACCCTGTGCCAGCCCCTCTGAAGGCTCACTGGAGAGCGGAGAGACAGGGGGGAGTGGCGAGAGCGGCATCGCGAGTGGAAACTGTACACCCAAACGTCCTGAGATGGGTGACAGAGTACGAGGAGTTGGAGAGTGGGAGAATGAAAGGGGTGACATCATGGAGAGGGAGACAGAGTGGAGCTCAGCCAAAGTGAGCGAGGCGGTTCAGGAGTGGCAGAGGGAGAACGAGCGGAGGAGTGTAGGAGGAGGAGGAGGAGGAGGAAACGTGAGCAGTACACCCACAAGTTCAGCTGGTAGGAAGAAGAAAGACGAAGCGTGCGAATTCTGTGGTAAACAGTTCAGAAACAGCAGCAACCTGACGGTGCACCGACGCAGCCACACGGGCGAGCGACCCTACCGCTGCGGCCTCTGCAACTACGCCTGCGCTCAGAGCTCAAAGCTCACACGCCACATGAAGACGCACGGTGCCCAGGGTGCTAAGGCCTCCTTCCTCTGCCAGCTGTGCGCCGTGCCCTTCACCGTATACGCCACTCTGGAGAAACACCTAAAGAAAGTTCACGGCCTGAGCCACGCCAGCGTCGGCGCTTATGCGCAGGCCAGTGCTGCCGACACGCTCGCCGCTATAAAAGCTGAAGAAGCAGCAGCAGAAGAAGTGGTGGTGAAAATGGAGGAGGACGAAGCCAGCCTGGATCAAATCGAGATAGAGGGCAAAACGCAGAGCGAGGCAGTGAAGAGCATGGAAGTGGAGGAGAGGCAAAGCCAAGAAGAATATGTGGAGAACAGCGGGAGTCCGGACAGAGTGGGTGATCTCCCACCTGAGAGCAAAGCAGAAGTGAGCTTAGCTTTGAGTTCTGTGCCCTGAGAGCCGCTCTGCCGCTTTACTGACTGACAGAAAATAGCACTGTACAGGATTTAAGTCACCCACTCATTGAAAAAAGAAGTCGTACCATCATTGAACTGACAGCAACGTCACACTGGAATCAAAGAAGAAGAAGCTGCAGCAGAGTGGAGAGCAGCAGGCAGTCCTCCTCGTCCTCCCATTTCCCCCTGCCAGCACTAAGGCACACAGCAGCCATGTTTGTCATGATTGTATGCAAAGCTGCTGGCTGACACCAAGTGCCTACAGTTTCTCTAGACCACAGAGCAAAAAAACACACAAAAAAAACACACAAAAAAAAACAAGGCCGTGACATTCAGCAGGGAGATTACCAGAGCTCTCAACAGGAAGTGAACCACCACAGTCCACACCGACGCAGGAAACTGATCACCATGTTGCAGAGCAGGATGCAAAAGACGAGTGATTTATCTTTCTGGTGACCCGCTGGACAGGTGGAGACGGCAGCCAGCTGTCAGAAGAGAGAAGATCGAATAAAAACCAGCAATAGAACATCGTTCGTGTATTTTATAAAAGAGGTCAGACTGTGCTGGCTACTGTAGCTGGTTTTCCTTTGTTAAGACCTTTTAAAGACTACAGATGTTTGAAGAGACGCAGGGAGTGAAATGAATCCAAATACTGTCTGCCTGCAGTTTCTCACACTCCTTTTTTTAAAGGCGCTTGCTTGTCACAACACTTGTCACTTAATGTTTACAGGGCCAGAGCCCGGCGAGGTTGTGCTCTTGACTTTGTGAAAGTACGTGTGGAGGATTCTCTGTTCTTGCGTTTTTTTTCTTACTTTATAAATGTGAATAAGGAGACTTTTAAGTCTCACCTACTGAGGGTTTTTTTTCCTGTTAGTTTCTATGCATAAAAAAAACTGCAATTTTATCTACACGTGAAACGGGTGTGTATTATTTTCTCTAGTTGTATCTCTTCTTGTGATGGTAATTCCTCTCTTTCATTGTTTACATTTGTAAAGTGCCGGACTGCTTAGAGCTCGTGCATGTTTCGCAGCCATTTGAACCTGTTCCTGTTGTTTCTGTTTGTGTTTGAATTACTCCTTATTTATGAATGCTGCATGTTTGTGGTAGTGAAACTGAAAAAGTCTGTTCCACTGAAAAAACTACAGGGTCCTTTTGGTCAAGTTTTGTGGATGGCTGCCACGTGAGCACTTGGGTGAGTGAGTCTTTTGAGTTTTTGTGCGATTGTTTTTGTGTACATACTGGGAAAAACTTTCCTCAGGAGACACCTCTTACGTGCGACGCTCTGCCCTGTGATGTGTGCTCGCGGCATGAATCAGCTGATAGCAATCGCAGCGTCATTGCCTCTGATGTTTTCATCTGTGATTTACGCTGAAAAATGCACACTTAGCAGGAGGACGTCTGATCTTTTAACACGCCACAGGACAAAGCTGTCGAGAAGAGGGCCCTCAGCTTTTTTTTACGACCACTGTGATGAATTTGTGTTACAATTTCTTGCATTCACGTCAGGGAAAACTTCTCCTGTGGATGCTGCGTACTGAATGAGTGTGAAAGAGTGCAGCGTAACTGTTCAGGGATAATATTTGTACATAGATTCTTGCTATTGCTATCCATGTTGCTGTTATTATTGTTATAATTAATATAATTGCCTCCACCTTTCCTAGCATCGTCTCCTTCATGCTAAACACTGGCTATTGTGAAGCTGTACCGCTCTGCTGTCTTTGTAAACTTGACACCATTTTGTAATTGAGGAGCCTCAATAAAGAATTGAGGTGAGATGTTTTGTTTTGTCGAGTTGTTTTTCACTCACTCGTCTCATTTTTCTGCTTTGAATGCATGTTTTTTTTTATTCGTCTTTATTCTCGTACCCACAACAAAGCTACTAGAAACTATTTTTAAGCATCTTCTCTCACCAGGACGTTGTCTTAGTCAGTGTGGGTCCTTCCTCTGAGGACCACAGTCAGCGTTGACTTATTAATTTTTAATGCCAGTGTTTGGATTGGGGACCCTCATTCCTTGTTTACATCCTTGTGATGTTTTGGGCTTTGTCTAGAGACACTGTAATGTAATTCAAGCTCTGTGTGTGTGTGCCCCCCTACTGTTATGTGTGTGTGTGTGTGTAGATATACTCGTGTTGGTGTCAGTCGTCCTGCAGGCTGTGAGATGGGTGCAGCGAGCTGTGATGGGACACAGGCAGCGAAGGTTTCTCAGGACACATACTGAAGGTGGGGGGGAAGTTTGGTTATTGTTTGTGGGCATGTTAGGAGGCAAGGCAGGGTGGATGGGGGTGTCAAGGGGGTGGGATAATTGCTGACTCCATTTTTAAGGGTATAAAAACCTCTGCACCAGCATCTCTGGCCTTAACCCCACCCCCTAATGAAAATGATGTTCTATGATCCCTCTAGCTCATTAACAGCAGGTCTTTTAATGAGCTTTCAACAGGGTGGGGGCTGGGGAGATGAAGAGGAAGAGTGGGGTCTGATGATGGAGGATGAGTGTGTATGTGTGTGTGTTGGGAGAAGGGGGGGGTGATTGCACCAGATGCACAAACGCCCACTCCCACCAATTACCATTGTGTTATAGAGAATGAGGAGGAAGTAAGGACCGAAGCCCCCTCGGACCCAGATGAGTCAGTTAGTCCATTTCTCTCCGCAGAGACAGAAAACAACCCAGAGCAGAGGGGAGGACAGATCGTACAGGTGACAGGTAACATTCTCGGATTCTCCCACTGGTAAACTCTGCCCTCCTCGTCTGTTGGGCGCCACAGCAGGCGCCATTTGGTGCTCGCATGGACCCAATTATGTAAGTAAGGTGATACAGGGCAGAACACAGCGCAGTAGCCCCTAAAGCAAGTGGATATCTTTACCATGTACCCAAGTGCCCTTTGTCTTCCTGCAGTCCACACCTCTCCGTCAAACTTTGCACAGGCCGGTGTCAGCCAATCACAACATGAAGAAGTTACAATGTCTGCCAATAGAGGTGTAAAGCTGACGCTGCTGCTTGTGTGCGTGCGTTTTCTGACCAGCCACTGCCCCTGGGCGGTGGTAACATGGACTTTGAGATCTAATAGTTGAGTCTCAGGTCCACAGAGGAAGCTTTTGTTGGTCTGGAAGTTGGGTGAGGTCGCTGCAGGACAGAGGTTTAGACACACAAACCACCCTTTTGTCACACAGAGAGTCCTAATATGCTGCAACACATCGAGACAACTTTTGCTTGTACAGTTTTCTTTTATATCTAGAAGATAGGGAATAAAGTTATGACACTTCAAATGTTGCACCACAAGCATGAAAAGGCCATTAAATGTAGAAATTATTAGGCTGTGTAGGATACTGAATGCAGCTACTGTATGTGCATTAGCCCATGTTTCCTGAGCCCAGACCAAAATATCATGAAAGTTAGATTTCATTTTCACTTCATTTCATTTTCATACTTTATTTCATTTAGTTAATATTTAAAACATTTGATACAAACAAGGAAAAATCTCAAACATGTGAATGAAAAGGAGCAGAAAGAAGAAAAATCTTATTGAGTCTGCCCCTCTTTTATAAGATATAAATCAACTAAACACAATAAAAATAAACAAGAGCTGCAGTCCGACATGCTTTTTTACAGTTCGTTATTTCTCATTTTTCAAAAACAAACAGAAAAGACCACGTTAATTCACATTTTCCCACAAAACAAACATACCAAGACTTAGATGAACATATTTCCCTGTATTTGCTCAACATACTGGCTTTGACACCTCTTTTGAAGATGAATTTTGATTTAGCTTCTTTGGTATTACATGTTAAAATAAGTGAAATATCCACCTCTTCTTTAAAAAGTCAAAATAGCTGGACCATTATTTAGAGGGAAAGCCCTCTAATGAATCAAACAGGAAGCATGAAAAAATAAAACAAAATGGGACCAGGACAGAACCCTGAGGAACTGATAGTATAAATTTTGATTATTTTATATTCAACCTTTCAGATTTCTCATGCCTTTATAATTCTGCATATTCCCCATATTCCCCCTACAGTAGATCATGTTTTGGATGCATTTCAAGTATGGGTTGACATTTAGAAGAGGAGCTCATGGCAACCATGTCTGTTTGTTGGTCTGGAAGCCAAAGTTAGAAAATGAAGTAAGTAGCTACATGCTTATGGCCACACAGGGACATTCAGAAGTTCATGGTTCTGCTCTTCAGCTCCATCTACATCATGTGGCTGTGGGGGTTTCATCTACTCAAATTCATCTGTGTTTAAGAAGTCAACATAATCTTTGTAATTCATTCATCATCTGCCATCTCCGGATTTTAACTTCCATCATCGAAAAACTTAAATTACATCTTTTGGGAACAACTAAACCCAAGACTAACATTTGTACTTGAAAGAACTTCTTTTCCGCAACAATAATAGAAGACAAACTTCCATCAGGAGTGACCTTCAGGTATTGCCCCATGAAGTTTATGTTGGTTTATAGTGTCAAAACTAGATTTAGATCATTACCATGAGCTGCCCAGTTGGTCGAGTTTAGTATAAAGGCTTTGGATCAGTCAAAACTCTGAAATCTTACTCCTCTCTAAACCAATGTTCTCTTTTTCATCATCTTTTACTGTTAAATAATGTTGTATGTTTTTTTCAAACAAAATTCCACGAAAAGAGGGCTTTTGCGCCTTTCAGTGTTTGTTTTTCCACATTTTCTTCCAAAAATTAGGCACTGAAACTGCTCAGTCTCATTGGTTGTCTTTATAAAAAAAAGGAGTGCAGCTTTCTGGCAGTAATGGCACAGTCACAAATTCAGATTAAACTTAAGATGATTAGCTCCAAAAATGCACACAACAAAGGGAATGTATGAGCTCCGTGTTTGCTTTTCTGTAGGGCAGGCCTGTGGGCATGAGAGCCTCTCACTAATGTATGAGAAGATTGTGCTTTATCATGGAAAAAGCCAATTAACTGTGAGTTTTTAATTACATTTCTCATGCTGTACCGTCTGAAGCCTCCAATCATCTCTGCAGTCCCTGTCCTGTTGTGCTCTTCCTCCACAGAATAGTTGAAGAGACTGAGGATTAAATCATCAGCAGGGGCAGACTGAGACGGGGATAACAAGAAAGAGAAAGATGCATTTGGGAGTGATCAGCCCAAACCACAGGACTCCCTCTTTGCTCTTTATCCTCTCAGAGTTCCCACAATTCCCACCTTCTCTCGTCCATCCCTCCTCCCACAAAGACCACGGAGTGAAACCTGAACCCCGGAATTACACCCTCTTCACCTCCCTCTCCTCATCTGCCCCCCCTTTACCTCTAACAGTGAGAGTGTGAGAGGACAGAGGGGAGAGGCAACACGGGGCGCTGGCAGCCATCCGTCAATCCAGCGCCTCTCATTTTGCCATTCAACACCTTTAGATAATGAGCGGAGGGAAAGACAAGGAGGCTTCATTCTTCTTTGGCCTTATATAATGTCACTGATCAGTGAGGAGCAGCTCTGTGGGAGGAGTGTCACTGCAGTTTGGTTTGTTTATGGGGAAGTACTGATGTGACCTGAGACAGTTTGTTTTGAAAAAAAAGGGAGGAAGTTAACTGATTTCTCTTTTTTCCACAGTGGGACAGACGAGCTGAAATTATAGCTGAAGTTGTTAGACAGTTGGACTAACAGAAAAACATACAAACCTGCTAACACACTCCTGAGAGAATCATTTCAAGACTAATGCAAACGTATGTTTGGGTACAATAGTCATGTGACCTTTATTTCCACAAATTAACACGCTTATTTTGTGCTCAGGTTAATATTATCTGCAAAATCTAATTGGACAGATAGAGATGTATCATAAATTGCATATTGTATGACAACTGAAACATATGATTCTATATGGTTTAACATGTACTCTGTAATACTTATTAATAGTGTGACTCAGGGCACTGTTTTGGAACCTCTGCTATTTACAATTTAAATAAATAGTATTAGTCTGAATGTTTTCATTTGAAAATAGGAGAGATATGATACTATATTACTCATGACACTATATTATATTAATAAATGGCATGCCTCTGGGCACTGTTTTGGGACCTCTGTTCTTTATAATTTATATTGATAGTAATAGTCTAAATGTCTCTAAAGCATATTTTTATTTGTATGCAGATGATAGTTATTTACTACTTCACTCCAACACAGTATCATGCTTATTATCATTCATTAGATGCTTTCGATATCAAACAATGTACTTTTTATGAGTTGAAATTGAACTCTGATAAAACTAAACTCATAATTTTTAAACCCCAAAGACAAAGCTCCTATCCCTGCTATCTGTTACCATGTCTAAAGGTGTTGTGATTGAATCTGTATCATCTTATAAATACCTTGGATTTCTTAATTGACAATGCTTTGTCTATTAAACTTCATGTCAGAGTTTAAAAAAAGGAATCAATAAAAATCTAACCAATTTAAAAGTCTCGTGACTAACTTTTAATTATGTTAATTTTGGCGCCCTCTTTAGACAAGGCATTCATGTTTTCCATGACTTCCTCAAATAATGTCCTCAGATAAAAAAAAATCTCATCCTGACTGACAGTCAAATGTATCATTTATTTAGAATAATAGTAAAAATTGGGCTGACACCTACCGCCGTTAAATAGGTTTTGAGGCCTTAAACCTAGAGTATAAAAATTACCAGTCTTGTTGCTAATGGTCCAATCTGAATTTCAGCCTGTTTCAGAAACTTCCAAAAACTCCTTACAGGAGCTTTAAACACATACCAAACTAAATCTCAAACGTCTGCTTGTCTCTTTCCCTTTCTCTTTCGTAAACACACACACCACTTAATTCTTGATGCACCCAGTGACCCCCTAAGTGAACCTGACACACACACATGCACCTGCTCAGTCGCTTGGGTCATTACACACACAGACACACACAAAAACAAATTCAGGTCAGTGTGTTTTTTTTTTCTCTTGTAGCCCAGAAACCCCCACAAAACCCTGAAAAACTGGATTTGACCATACACCCCTCAACTGACCCCACCCTCCTCAGACACACACACACTGGGCCGGGGTCAGAGGTGCAGCCTGGGTAACAGGCACAGAGAGGTGAGGAGGTAGAGTTCAGTCTTGTGACAGGTGAAAATGCTTTCATGTGTTTGTTGTTCCCTGCAGGCCTGAGGGCAGGTGAGCTGCAGTGTTACGACCGCCTCGTCCAGAGTCTCTGCACGCAACAAATGTCCACTGTCACCTTATACATGTGATTCTTTAGGTTCTTTAAATACAGTGATTAAGAATTTATCAGAAAACTACAAAGAATAGGACACAGAAAAGTATAAAAAGAAGAATCAAACATAATGACGTAAAAGCAGGTCTAAAGAATCTTGTGATTTCTCCTATGTGCGCCAGTCGAAGAGAATAGCGTCTGTCTCTTGATGCCCTCTGTCTGGTGTGCTGTGTCTGAGTGATGCAGCAGAAAACTAACCAGGACAAAGCTGGTTAACCAGCAGGGACAGAGGCTTGGGGAGGGAGAGGGGCCCGGGGCCCACTGGTGCTGGGGTCGTGGGATCAGAGCAGGTCGTGGAGGTGTGGGAGTGTCTGCTCAGCCCTCTGACCTTTATGACTGAGGCTTCCTCTAATCCCCTCCTCAAAGAGCATACGGGCATAATAGAGAGCCATGAATGGAGTTAAATGGTGACCATTAGGTGGATCTGTGTCGTTATTCTTCCTGTTTGTTTAGCCCTGGTCAGCCTCACGTTTTCCGGTGTAATCAGGCGTGTGATGGAAGGATGGTTGGAGACGCCTGGAGAGAACACCACAGGACAACAGCCTGTTTGAGATGGATATCCACCTAATTTTAATGAAAGACACGACATGAGAAGGGAAAGGAAGGGGGAGGAAGAGGAGGGTTATTTGTGCGTCCACTTCAGATTATTTGAGTCCTGACCAGAGTTCACAAGTGGTCCTCACAGGAGGCGACCGGAGAACCCTTTTGGAGGCTTTTTGTTCAGTTTAGTTATCACTGCAAAACAACCAGATCTTATTTGAATAGTCTATTACACATGTTAAATTCATGGGTTAAAATAAGCACAGTTGTAATTAATATCTTTATTAATTATGTAAAAGCATTAAACTAAAAGCTTTTAAGTGGCTAGGTTGTTAAATTCCTTTAAGAGAGTCTAACTTATTCACCTACTTTATATAGGCCACAAAGCTTGAGTTAATAAAAGATTAGTCATTAATAAAAGGATTTTACAATCAGTGTGAGTTTAGCTTGTTGAGTTTTGGAGACAATTTTTTTTCCTTTTAAGACCAAAGAAAGAAAGATCCCAACCAATTACTTGAAATTAATACTTCATTAAAAACCTTATTCATAGCTTTAAAGGTGCAAAACCGTCTCACAGTAATGACAACATGCACAGTGCAGACCGGACAAAGGATACCACGTAAACAAAGAGTCAATATTAGTATTATTTCATGTCATCGTCTTTGAGGGTCAAATACTTTTGAGTGTGTTTTCCAGGTATTGCAAAAAGTCATAACAGTTTTATCAATACTATCAATTTGTCATAGAGTAACATTGTCTTGTATTAAGGCATATTGTCAGTGATATCATAGTCATGCAAAGCCAGTGTTTCTCACAAAAAGATCCAGTTTATGCATTTTAGCTTCTTTACAACAAAGTGCACCATCATCTGGTGTTGTATATTAACTTTTATCACAAATTAGTAGAAGATTTACAAAATTCTGACACTGGTGACCTGCTGAAAACTGGTATATCAGGTATTTTATCGCCATCTTTTCTCTTTCACATACTAGTGCAGATGGTGATAATAAATAAAACTGAAACAAAACAAACTGATTATTTTGATTTGTAATTCAGCAAAGCTTAAAGACAGAAATATCGAAAAGTGGAGAAAATCCATTATCAAGCTGTCTTTCTATCCTGTCATTGATCAGTTTACGGTAAAACCTCGTGTTATCTTCATGTGGAGTAGACTGACCCCTAGCGTCAGTGGTGGAAACTGACAGGAGCCTCCTCTGACAAAGGTAAGCGCTGAATATATAAAAGTATGAAAAATAAACATGCCTGAATAAAATATGTCAGTGGATGAGTGAGTGGCATTAATTAATCTAAAACCAATCAGAGTAAAAATATTGAGATTTATATATTGAGAATATTGAGATGATTCCTCTGCTCAGGAGCAAATCTGAAAAACAGAATTCATGAATTAAAAAAAAAAGATTCCTTCGTATTGATCCATTTGTTTGTTTGTTTTCTCGCAAAGAGTTAAAACCAAAACAGTTAAATAAGTCTGTAATTTATGGGTATTCCTAATTGAATATTAAAAACAAAAGACAAAAAAAATCTTTTTTTTTCATGAGGAAAAGAGGGAAGATTCTTTCTCTTCTCTCTTCTCTGATGTTGACGGTGTTGATGGACCATAAATTAATAAAGATAAAAGGTTGTTGTTGTTGTTGGCACCGTGTCATTACTCCGACTCCAGCCCTCCTCGGCCCCCGGCGCTCTGCATACCTCCCCCGGCTGGGCCGAACTGGGGAGGCCCCTCTCTGTGTCTCTCTGCTGCGGTGGGTGTGAGCTCTTCTGAACTGTTGGCTATTTAAGCACCGGCTCATCACTCATTGTGCATCTCCGATCAACAGTTTCCTTTTTCAATCAACGAGAGCATCATGGCAAGCAAAGAGAAGGCTCCACTGGGCTCCATCGGGAACCCGATCAAGTTCAATGATCAGGACTTCCAGACCCTCCTGAAGGAGTGTCTGAAATCCGGAAAGCTGTTCGATGATCCGACTTTTCCAGCTGAGCAAATGTCCATCGGTATGCCGGAAGATCCGGATCCAAAGAAGGCGATCAAGTGGCAGCGACCCAAGGTAGACAGGGTTATGTTGTGTCTAATTAAAGGGAAAGTTCCTGTAAAGGTGTAGGTTTTGTAATTGTCCTCAATCAATTAATCCATCAATCATAAAACATTAAGCTGCAAAATGATATCTCCATAACTTTAAACAGCCTGATCTGCAGACTCACAAACACTTTACCTTGTCTATTAATCATCTTTATGAAACTCAGGGTTATCTGAATGCAGCCTACATGTTATAGCTTGTTATTAAACAGTCCTGCATTTTTATACAGTCAGGTAATTTGAGTTGTACTCCCTGGTAGCTTTACTTCTTTACAAAGAGTGAGTCTCAGAGACTAACCACAGATTTAAAGCTGGCAGGGATAACACAAGGTGTGGCTCGGGTCTGAGAATCATGTCACCCAGAGTATTTCTTCAGGAGATCAACAGAGTAACCAAAAACATGAGCTAAAGAAGGTCAATAAAATCAATAAAAAATAAGTGACAAAGAGTTATCAGTGAAAATTCTTGTGCAAACTAAGGCTGCAATGAACAATTTCTGAAATAGATAGATAGATAGATAGATAGATAGATAGATAGATAGATAGATAGATAGATAGATAGATAGATAGATAGATAGATAGATAGATAAATACTTTATTAATCCCAGAGGAAAATTCAATTAATATGCTGTTTCATCCTCGATTAATAGTTAGAGAAATAATTAACTAGGCAAAATTGACACAAATATCAAGGATAATATCAAAAATAAAAAATACAACCAGCAGATACTTTTACTTTGGAATTTTTACTTGTAAGTTTCTTGCATTTCCGTCCTTTAAGAATTTGTAAATAATTAAAAACTGTGTAAAAGTTTGTACTAGGCCTGCTTGTGAAACCAGAAGTACTCAATTATCTTGTGTTCACACTGTCCTTCTTTGCTCTAAAGGAAATCAGTGACAACGCCGTGTTTGTGGAGGGCACGACTGGGACCACAGACATCTGTCAGGGCCAACTGGGTGAGTTCATGAGCGAAGCATCAGCATCCCTGAGCGTAGCAACGATGATGAATGAGGCTCTAAACCGGAATACGTCATGCTGATTGTGGAAAAGCCACAAAAACCCCCAAAAACTGAAGTATTACATTACGTAGCTGTTATTTTATGAATACAGTAAAATATAATGACTTCAGGACTTATGCTCCCCACAGCCTCAGGGACCAAACTTCAAACACTCAGCATGGGGGGAAATAGGAATGGCAATGTGTTCCCTAAACCCCCTATCTGCGGGGGGTTCTGTATCATACCACGGGCCTGTTTTTAACAGCCCACAGATCCTCCTCAAATCTGTGTTCTTCAGTCTGTCTCTTATTTGTGGTGAAGTGAAAAATTGTTTTGTGCAAAACAAAATGTTCTCTCATCTGGGACTCTAAAATAATAATTTATTCCACCAGTTGTGTGCAGATGTGTCACTTAAAACTAAACATTACCAACCCTCCCTTTTGTCCGCATCCCAGGACGGTTCTCCTATGATTTACGCAGACTCTAAAAGTATCCGTGCAGCAGTAACAGGAGAAACATCACAGAACAGATGTTTGCTCTTTGGGAGGAATGTGACTTACTGCATGTTTGTGTGTGAGAGAGCGAGTTTAACCTGAAAAGCATTGACAAAAACACGAAACCCTAAAACATCCTCCTGGGTTCTTAAATAATCTCACATGTAATATTGCACAACAAAGCACCAAGAATGTCCCTCATGTTCAGATCTGTTTCCTGTATCTTATTTCTTCTTATCAGGAAACTGTTGGCTGTTGGCAGCCCTCTCCTGTCTGACCATGCACCCCAAACTCTTTGTGAAGGTGGTGCCGCCCGGCCAAAGCCTGGCGAAGCCTTACGCAGGGATCTTCCACTTTAGGGTAAGTGGAGTTATACGACTGTAAAATACACAGACATAGTCGAGCTGGTGTCTGGTGTATTGGAAATGCTGACTCAACCTGCCAAGAGACAAAGAGGTGGAGATGAGATCAGCCTATCGTCTCCTTGCAAACAGACACAGTGTACCTGGCTGTTGGTCAAGATCAGCCTTACCTCTCCTAAATCCTAACCTTGATATCTTTGACACACATGTGCAATAATAATCTGAGTAATATCACTGCCATGTAACAGTTTTGTTTAGACCAGACTGTAAAGATGCCTATTTTTGCTCTAAAGATGGATCTTTTTGAATGAGTGCGAGTATTTTCTAGTGGTTCTGCAGACAGCCTCGAGTAGGCACTCAGAGATCTGTAGTTTGTAACACTCGTGAATGTCCTCTTTCAAGACTGGAGGTTGCAGCTTGGTCTTCATAGGTTTTTTGTCATTCATTCAGGTCCTACCCCACTGAGCATTTTTTGGTCTAAAAGAGGTCTAATAGATTTCTAAATGTTGCCTAGACAACTGGTCTAAAATCAGGCTACCACAGGTCTAAAAATGAAAGTTTTTAGATGTCTTAATTTAAACCAAGTTTAGATCTGGGCTATATCTGTACTACGACAGAGCCTTCTCTGCTGCCACCCCCACCCTCTGGAATTCACTCCCCAAACCCATTCGAGACTGTGGAGACCCCCATACTTTTAAATCACTCCTAAAAACACACCTTTAAAAATTGGCTTTTAACCTGTGAACCTTTCTTTTATTGTCTTTTCATAATGTGTCTTTTTTTAACCTTTTACATTGTTGGTTTTATTTCTCAAAATGTTCTGTATTTCAAATTGTGTTTTTTTCTTTGTAAAGCATCTTTGAGCACCTGTAAAAGCGCGTTTTAAATAAAATGTATTATTATAATTTTTTTGGTTAAGTACTTGGAGATCAACTATGCAACTATGCAACTCACAGTTGCTTTTTGAAATAAATAGTTATCAAATAATGGGTTAAAGTGCAACGTCTAAATTCTGTCTAAAAATAAACACTGAAATTAGGTCTAAAAAAAAACTAGATGTCTATTAACTGTCTCCTCCTCAGTGGGACTCACCAGTTTAAATTGTATACACTTTGAGCAACAGGTGGGCACCACTACCTGTCTGCTTGGTGTCATTGTCTCATTCATGCTTGTGTTACATGCTCATATTTAGATGCTAATGTATGTCTAATCACTGAATCAAACACCTATTGCCTCAAGCAAGCAAGCCTTACAGCAGAATGAGAGAGGAGAACAGGGGTTTAGTGTGTTCCTCAGAAGATCGATCTGAACTACCGTGACACCCAAGTGCTGACTGATCCCTTATGTGACACACAGTTTGTGCATGACTGAGCAAGAACAAGCACCAGTTTGATTTATATACCTTCCAACCCATACATTAAATTTACACTCATTTATATCACATCATCAGATGTAATGATCGTTAGGCTCTATTATTCTAGGCTCTGCTTAGTTTTTGCTTCAGGTGTCTACCTCAGCTCTAAAACAGGTATAAACTCATCCTGAGGACAGTTCTGCGAGGTGGTCTCACCCATAGAAAAAGGATAAACACATAATCTCATCTTTATTACCTCATTTGATGTGGCGATTGTAATCTGGAGAGTTCATCATTCACTGGCTCTGACCTGCACAGAACGATAAATATCTTCTTATCAGACATATCAATCTTCTCCAAGCAACAATACAGACGCTTGAGTAAGACATCGATCATTTTTACGTCTTTTTTTGCTCAGCATTATTTTACCCTGCAGCTCTGAGCCTTTAGAGACTGTTATGGAGAATTTGACATGACTTAACAAGCAGGACGGAAGGACTGGAAACTCATTTTGCCCCGTCAGGGTGATTGGAAAGCAGTCCAGACATGTAGGTAGTGACTACCCCTGGGACACGCACAAACACAAAAACATGCACACACACTCACACACACTCACACACGCACAGCTGCAGGTATGAAAGGCCAGTACAGGCCTGCTCGGCCTCTGTTGTGTACACACAGTTAGCAGTACAGTACAGCCCCCAAGACATGACCAGTAACCGCTTTGGGTTTAATAGATTAAGTCAAACTGGAGAACAAAGAAACAATGGTCTTATTCACTTTGTCTTTTTGCACACAGCAGGGTTTCATTCCTAAGATCTGGACAACTGATAGACCCTGAGGCTTGATTTGTATCCTGTCTAAAACTTTCCACATTTTGTTAACATATTTGTCATAATTTGTGCGAAAATATTTCATCTGCAGAAGTATTTATGAGTCTTGTTAAAGTTGAAGCTGTGATACCAAAGTTTAACAAAAGACAACTAACAAGGAAAAGCCTTGTGTCAAAGAAAATAAGAGCAAGTAAAAAAGTCTTAACTTTAAAATGTACCACAAATACCCAAGTTCAGGTACTTTCAGGATAAATTAAATGAAATTATAGGGGAACCACTAGCCTGGCAGTCTTTGTGCACACTCCAAGTGGGCACACCAGTTCAATTCCAGCTTGAGTTTTCTTTAATGCACACATGTATGTCAGTCACTGTTTTGTCTTGTCCTCTCTAAATAAGGTAACAAAAGCCCTAAAACATAACTTTAAAAAGTATATTCCATCAATTCATATTAACAAGCAGCTCATGTCTTAATCTAATGTTGCAGCATCTAAGTACTGATTTTATATGTTTCTTTTACATTAAATGAGAAAATCTTCAGTAAAATTATGTACCTTAATTAGCTGGAACTCCATTTAATGAAGTTCATATTTTCATTTATATCAGTTATGAGTGTTGCACAGGTTTCAGGGTGGTCTTACACTCTACACAGAGACCACTGCTGAGCAGTGAGAGAGGCACAAAGATGTCCAAAGGAAGAGGGAGAGTACACATGAAAATATAAAACATGTGAGCTGATGTTATTTGATAATTGACATAGCTTACCTGCAGCCAACAGGACTCATGAATTCACTGTGGGACAGAATGAAAAGTTGTGCATGTCACTTTTTTACCCAAAAAACTGTCCTGGGAGCATTGTGTAAAAACAAGGGCAGTCTCCTCATAGAAAAAAAAAGGGACTTTTGCTTTCAAAAATTTCAGAAGTGTTAAAATATCATATTTTTCATTCTCTTGACACAGATATAAAGAGCCAACGCAGCTGAAAAGTAAGCAAGGTCAGGCTTTACCGTGCCAAATCACACTGGACTGCTCAGTAGAAATGATTGGCTCCCCTTTCACCCAGGCTTTGGAGTTGATATACCTTTAAATATTAATAAAGCTGCTTTAATTTTCAAAAGTTCCTGTCTCTTTGGACACATTACAGCATCATGTAATATAATCCACTGGAAATAAAATTGATGTGTAAAGGCCAACAGTTATGTAGGATAGCGGACATATCCATTTTAAAACAAGTAATATATAGTGTTTTTGCTGCCCCCTAGTGGCCAAAAAAAATTAGAAGTTGATTTTGGTGACAGGAAAAAATTGGGGAATTTTTTGCCATAAACTTTCCTCCTGATTCATTTAATCCATTTCTTCTTTTCTTACATCCTTTCTGTGTCTCTTTCTCTCACTCTATCTGTTGCTGTGTGTCCCTGTGCAGTTCTGGCAGTATGGTGAGTGGGTGGAGGTGGTGGTGGATGACAGGCTGCCAGTACGAGAAGGCCGTCTGCTCTTCAGCTACTCTCACACCCGCCACGAGTACTGGAGCGCCCTGGTGGAGAAGGCCTATGCCAAGTCAGTTGCCACTTGCAGCATATGTTTCTGGGTTGTAATGTCTGAGATCTCCCACTCCCTTCCTGTGTGTGTGTGTGACACGACTGTAATTTGACAAATATACACAGCCATGGGAGATTATTTCTTTCACCTCTGATATGTAGGCTTGTTGGGTGCTACGGAAGCCTGAAAGGGGGCAACATTTCAGAGGGGATGGAGGATTTTACGGGAGGCATTGCATACTCACTGAACGTGTCTTCTCGTACCCCTCGAGTCCTCTGGAGGTCTCTGACCGCCGCCCTCTCAAGAGGCAGCCTGCTCAGCTGCTTCATCCAGGTACACATGTCAGACTGCTCACAGCTGAAATGAGATTAGATAAAGTACAATTAGATCACAGCTTTTTATTCACATAAGAATAAAATATGAACCGACATGTTTGTCTCTTTCCTCACAGGCCTGCAACTACAAAGAGGTTGGTCAAGTGACAGGAGATGGGCTGATAAAAGGCCACGCTTACGCCATCACTGACACCGACAAGGTCAGTATCACTCAAAGACAATATAACCGCTATTCTATCTTCATCTTAGTCGAGGCCTTTTATTTTGTTCCTGTTGGTGGTGCCTGTAACAATCAGTTTTTCTACTCAAATATGATGTGATAAAATCTGAATTTCTATGCTATCCCATTTCGTCTCGTTTTGATTTAGATTTATCTATTCCAATTAACTACATGTCTCCTAAATGGGACAAATTGTCTCGCTTGTAGCCTTATCTTTTATCATCCCCTGTCAGCACAAGCACAACTGAACTGATTAAAAGAGAGGAAAATGAAATGTGACCCAATCCATCAAATCCAATCTTATCATAAATCAAGTTTTCGCATTATTTCCACCATCATTGGTTCACATTTTGTTGTAATATAACCTGGATTGATGTAATTTCCTTAGATTTATCAGTCTATTTACACAGCAAAGGTTCATATAAAATATTATCTCAACACACTTGACAGCAAGGGCAGGTCCAGATCATCCCCTGCTATTATTTCATATACAAAGACCAACCATCAGGAGAAGAAACAACAATCCTATTTTGTCTATATCAACCGTGAGTCAAGCCCTCCGCGACAGTCATCTGTTTTTAACATGATGGGCTTGAAAAGGGGTATAGAGGGAGGAGCAGAAAGAAGGATGGACATAAGCAAAGACAACAACAACAACTACAAAAAAAAAAAACATCTCTCAAACTTATAATAATGCTAAAAGAATGTGCACTTTTCTGCAGGAGCAACAACCTAATGAATGTAGACTGACTGTAATATTCGTGGCACTTAAAGCTCCTGTGAGGAATCATAAAAGCCATAATGACGCCTTTTTTTGATGATCAGCATCAAACCAGACTATCAGCCTTTTTTTTGCTCACAAATAACTACTGAAGGATGTAGGACAAGTCGTGACTGCTTTATCCACACAGGGATGGTAGATCGAAAGTTTCTCACGGAAGCTTTAAAGTCGACAGGTTATAGTAACAATTGGAGTAAAAATGATATTAGTTATGACAGTTGGAGGGACGCACTTCTATTTAACATCATAACAGCAGTTGAAGTCAGACGGGATTGCAGCAACAATCCTGAAGAACCGACAAGACAAGGGAGCTCAAAGACTCCTGGGATAATCTGTGGTTTGTTACTCTAAAGGGACATGAAGATCTAAGATTATTTAGATAATATCATCCTCTTGAATCCTCTACAGATGACAGTTTCAATCTGATTTAATCAACATCATTTTAAATCAATAATGAAGCACTGCAAAGAAACTACCATGCAAAAGAAGGATGCCTTTCTCTTAAATTCCTCTCTCAATCCTTTTTTAGGTGAAGAAAGCTTCAGAGGAGGTTCTGCTGCTGAGGCTGAGGAACCCCTGGGGTTTTATTGAGTATCGAGGACCCTGGAGTGACAAGTGAGAAAGTCTGAGCATATTGTCGCCCTCAAACCCAAACCATAAATAACCCCTGGCAGATAATGTTGTTGTTTTTCCTCAAATGTGCGACTGCAGGGGTAGTGAGTGGGATCAGGTGGACAAAGCGGAGAAGGACAGGATTAACCTGAAAAAAAAAGAAGATGGAGAGTTCTGGTACGTAGGAAGGAAGTTCTCACATCATTTACTTCGATAAAAGTTGTAACGCTGTAAGTTGTAAACTGGAGCCATCATACAATATCACCTCTGAGTTGTGGTTGAACACAACTTTGAGACTGTATGAGACAGAAGCACTCGACTGAAATAATCCAAGTAGGAAAGTGCTGCTACCTTGAATCTGTATGCAGGTGTAAAAGTCGATGAGTTTTCTGTTGTGAACTCTTCTCCATCAGGATCTGTGCAGAGGACTTCTCCAGACTCTTTGACATTGTGGAGCTATGCAGCGTGAACCCCGACACTCTCGTGGAGGGAAACACTCCTGCTTCACCTGCGTCTCCTACCTCTCTGCCCCCTCCTTCCCAATGGACCATCAGTGAACATGAAGGATTCTGGGTGTCAGGGAGCTCTGCTGGCGGCAGCCGCAGATACAGAAGTGAGTATCTGACTTTACGCGTGTACAAATTTGCTCTTAACATTCTCACAGAAGAGATGTGATGATACCTTTTCTTTTTCTCTTTTTTACCTCAGAGTCTTTCTGGAAGAATCCTCAGTTTGAGTTGATTCTCACAGAGGAGGACCAGCCGGATGAAGATGATGAGGATGATGATGAGGATGATGATGATGATGACGAGGAGGAGATGACTCCAGAGGAGAAGAAAAGAGCAGAGAAACAGAAGCTGAAAGCCAAACAGTGCACCGTGCTGGTGGAGCTGCTGCAGAAAAACCGCCGGCAGAAGGATAAAGTTCACTTTTTGTACATGGCTTTCCACATCTACAAGGTCACATGTTCGTCTTTCATACTTTCAAATACTTATTGATTAATCGAACTGATTAAATCAACTTACCTGTATCTTCATTCTTCCCCGCAGGTCCCACCCGAGGTAACTATTTAAAGGGGAAAAGTATAACCTCTTCAATTATCATCAAAATAATCTTAAAGTTTAATAAATAATCTTACATTTTAATTACTTAATGCTGTTATTTTTCCATATAGCTTCAGGGTGTGTGCCTGGACAGCAGCTTCTTCACGAAGAATCGTCCAGTGGGTCGCTCTGGCAAATACCAGCCTCTGAGGTAAAAGGTCATCACATGAAAGAAATGAATGCAAATTTATTCATAAATACAAAAAAAAATTGTAGTTGTAATTGGTAGTTTTAGAAGTAGTTCAGTGAGTGAAACTTCTACAATGCAGTTCTGACAAACGTATATATCACTGTGCTTTTTTTCATCATTTGCACCTCAAAATTAATACATATATTTGCACAGAAATTAAGTTTTGAATTTACAACTTAATTCACAACCTGAAGATGCCCTTTAAGGCCTGACACCACAAATTATGGCCAGAAAAATCAAATTTTTTTGGAGCTGAAATGTTCATTTCACTTACTACTGAAAACCAATTATATCAAAATATCCTTAAAGTTTAACAAATATATTTTATTTATCTCATTTGGTACATTAGATGTTTTTGGAAACTGAAAAAATGCAAGAGGACATTTTTATCATTTATCAGACTGTATTCAGGTGTTATTTTAGTAATTTGTTGATCATATTGATTTGATAGAAGTATATAAAAGTATGTATGTAAGGTCAGGTAAGGGTGCTTTCTTTATTTATCTTCAGTGGTCCCAGATTAGGGAGTGGAAATAAAATCTATTTAATTAAAATACAACATTCATTCTGTCTGCATGCAGCACATCTATAAAATGTTTTCACACTGTTTAAATGTGAAGGTTTCGTTTGATCTGAGAGTCATAAAGCTGAGAGCTTTACCGTTATTCCTCAGGGGAGTGTGGAGGAAGCTCCATCTGGACCCGGGTAACTACATCATCGTGGCCTCCACATATCGCCCCAACATCCCCGGCGAGTTCTTCATCCGCATTTTCTCCAAGACTGGAAACACTCTGGGGTAATACTCAAGAGATTAAAGTCCCCAAATCATAATGAGCATCAAGACTACTAGATATTTTGTTGTTGTTGTTGTTGTTTTTAGCATAGAGCCGACGGAGCTCTTTTAACTTCTGTACCTTGTGTAAATGTTATGTGATGAGTGCGTGCGTCATACGTTTTGGTTGAATAATGACCCAGAACACTTCCTGAGGGCTCCCCAGCTCCTGAATCACCTCCTGCCTCTCTGACTTAAAACAGCAGAGTCACAGTCACCCACACTGCCCTCAGATTGAGTTCATATTGCTATCCTTCTGCATATTTAAAATAATGCACCAACTTTCTAACAAGAATAGGGCGATAAAACCAAATATTATAAGGAAAGTAGTTAATGCTATAGCAGAGAGCAGCTAATACTCACTCAGACCCTGTTAAGAGAGTGAACCTTTACTCCATTTTAGTGGAATTTACTGTCATTTTAAATCCACACTATTCAAAAAGCAGTTTAAGCTTCTTCAATCCTACAAAAATCTTACATCCTCTTGTTACTTTTAAAGCCGTGAAAAAACAAGCAGTTTTACAGTCGCAGGTAATTTAACACACTAACACTGGAGATACTGTGTAAAAGCTTAGATATATCTCTGAGCTCCTGTTAAATTATCATGTTTTACCTCAGATTTTTAGTAGAAATATAATCACATTTTCAATCAATTAAACCCTATTTGAGTAAAATACTGTTTTGTGCACAAATTTTCCCAAACCCTTTTAAGGCCAAGTAGTTTTAGTTTGATACTTTCATGTGTCACATAATGTTGTACAGATTTTTTTACACTTTTTTAACAATCTAAACTTTGAATGAAAGGAGCAGTACTGACTGTGTTGTTTCCTTTGTTCTGCAGCACTCAGGACTTTTCCTGCACATCGGGATTCCTCCAGGTGAGTCCTCATACATCAAAAAAAGAGGCGACAGCAACTAGAGAGGAAGTAAGAAAACATTGTTCGTGTTTGTTTCACATGTTAAACAGGTCATGTCCGCTCCTGCTCTCCCTGAGGATCATGTGAGAGTTGAGAATACATTTGATGAAGAAGCTGGTCCAGTAAGACTTTCTTTTCATTAAACTGCTTCACTCCAGCTGATACAAAAAATCTACATTTTGTGCCTTTTTAAACCATTTTTTCTGTCTTTCTCAACAGGATGACAGAGTGGACATGAAGGAGCTCATGGCTTTGTTTAACTCAGGTTACTTTACTGCACTTTCCATTCTATTAAACTTTCATTATGTGATGTCTCTAGTGGCCACTAGATGGGAGCAAAGTAGTGAAACTTTCTCTCTCCAGTTAAAACTGTGAAGCCACAGAGGTCAGCAGTCTAGACAGAGGCTCATTGCTGCAGTCAGATCCATGCTGACTAATAAAAGTGACCACACTTGTCCTCACTTTCACCTTTCCTCAGCTCAGACTAGTTTTAACCCTTCATTTTCTCTCTGTACATCAATCTGTGTGTCTCTGTTGTGATCCCAGTTTTGGAGAAAAAATACCACCTGCCTCTGGAGACATGCAGACAGCTCATCTTTGGAGAGGATGTATCCTTTCTCTGTCTATATTTTCCAATACTGTTCCCTCGTTTGACCCTACTGACTATATGTCGAGTTCACACAAGTTTATAGGACTTTTACATCTGCTAGCTTTGCACTTTATCTGGGGCAGAGTCTTGCTGACAAAGAGGTTTGAAATCTTAGTCCAGAGTCGTGATGCGCTACCCCGCTGTTCAGTTTCACTCCCCTCCCTCAAAACTTTATCACCTTGTCTTCTGTCCGGTGTGATGACCTTAATTTTTTCCGGCAGACTAAAGGGCGATCCAGTCTCAGCCGTAAACAAACAGAAACCCTGCTGTCTAGTCTGCGCACGATGCAGGTACAGCCGAGCGTGTGGGTGAGAGAGAGAGAGAAAGAGAGAGAAAAAGAGAGAAAGAAAGAGAGTGAAATCTTACTCTGTTGCCTCTGTCTTTTGCAGTCCATCTTCTTCCAGTTTGATGAGGATTCTTCTGGCACCATGAGCCCCTTTGAGCTCAGTAAAGCACTGGAATCTGTTGGTGTGTGGTACCACACACACACACACACTCACTCACTCACTCCTACACATGAGTGTGCTGTATGCTGGCACGCAGATGGTTTGTCTTCACACCTTCCTCCTCTCCTCTCCTCTGTGTCACAGGGATGCAGTGTGATGGTCAGGTAGCTCAGCTGCTCACTGCTCGGTTTGCATCTGGAGAGCTTCACCTGCCCTTCCACGGCTTTGTGTCGTGTGTCACCAGGCTGCGCAAGCTTTTTGGTAAACCAAACACAAAAACTATGTTACACATTAAACTATACAGTACTTTTCTCCCTTATTTGTTTATTGTCAGGTGAGTCTTTGCAGCTATGAGCCTCAATCTATCAACACAGACACACAAAAATTAAAACAAAAGGTTAATTAAAAAAAATGAAGTTTGCTTAGTTGTTATCATGACCAGTATGCACCGAACCTTCAAGATGGATTGATTAGTTTAGTATAAGATAAAGAGAGAAGCTTCATGAGTGCAACACAAATTCACTTTACCCTCTTTCCCCCCTAAAAATCATTATTTTTGGCTTCTTTGAGGCGTCCCTCTTGTAAATTCAGCTGTGTTACTAATCGAACACTATCCAAATAACAGCCACACAGGACATTGTTGCTCCTCTGGTTCTTTAATAATGACCAAACTGTGTCTTATTATTTTTATCACAAAATAAAGTCACTTACGTGGGCCCCCTCTCAATGTGTTACGTGTGCGCACTTTGTCTTCATAACAAGCTTTATGCATATTTGTACTATCAATAAATAAACTCGGTACACTTGCCAGCATCTCTATTATGAAAATGAACACAAGTTACTGCATGTCAAGCCTTCATTTCCTCTCCTTTTCTCCCCAGCTCTGTATGAGTCAGAGACCAGTCAAGAGGTGAAAGACAGAGGGATCAACGCTGTAAGTACCCATGAAATATATAATAATGTACTATATATACTTTAGCATGAATGATATGCTCCCACTGACCTGAACATGGACATATTTGTCACAGTTTTTCTTGCTCTTTTGTCCCCTCCGCAGTGGCTGCTTCAGTTCTTGGTGTTGTAAGGACACCTCATGAGGACAGACTTTGTGTCGAACCCGGCGGATCTACAGTCTGCTGTTGTTCCTAAAACATAAGTAATATTCATACACATGCATTTTAGACATATTTTAGTCCAGTCCCACCATGTGTGCCGTATTTCAAGGGTGCAGCTGTGGATTTTCTCTGTTATTCATCCTATAATTCTGATTGTACACATACATATACATACGGTATATTTTATATGGTTAAACAGCATAGCCCTCTGCATGCTTCACATACTGTCTGCCTTAGTCACTTTCAAAATAGACAGCGAAATTAAATATATAAATAAATAAATGTGCAAAAAAAAATGTCTGTATTAGCCAAAAATCTTTTTTACTGTAGTTGGTGGCCAAGGTGTTAAAAAGGCTGCCTAAAATACATCAGAGACTGAATGACAAAAAAACAGGACATGCAGTTTAAAGGAACAGGACACAAAGTTAGCGGGAAATGTCTGAATAGATTTAAAGTATTAAATTAGCATTAAACAGTTTAATAGAAAATTGAATAGAGCAGTGGAGGTAGTTGACAGAAACACGCACAGTAAAACATAAACCAAATAATCACATATTTCATATATAAATGCAGCAACATCATTTTATGGGTATGTAACACTTTTACTCCTCCACATTGTAATAAAGTTTAATTCATAAAAACTAATATGAGTGTTTTCATAATTTTTTTTGTCCACATTTGGATTTTTTTCTTGTGTGATAATAAAAGTTTTTCTTTTTATTCCTGCAATAGTTTAAAGAAACAGTCCACATAACTGTTATTACACAACTAAGAAAAAAAATGTCTGCATCCCCAACACTTTAGTCATCTGTGCACACATGAGCATACCCTGGATGTTATCTGCACGCACACACACAAACAGAATGAGTGCTGCCTGCCCCACTGAGGGTGTGAGGGTGATGTCTCAGCAGCGCTACACGCACCATCTCTATTCATATCGCACTGACGCCACGTACAGCGTCAACACACACTCGCCCCCTCCTCCACTACGTTCCCTCTCTCTCCATCTCTCTCTCTCTCACTCTCTCTCTCTTCCTCCATCCCTCACTCTTTCTCCCCGCTCCCTGCCTCCCTCCTTTTCTCTCTAGTAACTGTCTGAGTCTCACAATCTACATCCTCCTCCACCTCCCTGTTCCATGCTGGCTGCTCCCTCTCCCTCTCTCTATCACACACACACATACATACATACATACACACATATGTACACACACAGGTATCTTTGCACGTACTCACACATCAGCAGAGTGAGCAAATGTTCTTTCTACACACACAGCTATTAATAGCACCTTTGCTCACACACACCATTTCCTGTTCCTAGTTAGGTGAGTACACACAGGTTGTCCTCGGCAACCGTCCATCTGCATTGTGATGGAAAGAGGAGGCAGAGAGAGGGGAGCAAGGACGCTCATTCATCTCGGAGTCTGGCCTCTCCATCAGCTCTTTTTAATAATTGTATCTTTCTTTCAAATATTTGTATTTTGCTAAAATCGTCTGTATCTTGTTTCTGAGTCAGTTCCGCAGGAGGTCAGACAATGTGACATCTGGAGCTGATAAAAACAAGCATCCAGGGGCCTTCATTGTAACCTTTTCTGTTTTCCAGAAAAGCCAAAAGAACAGCCACACTAAGAGATTTGCAGGTTTTAATCTACGCTTACAATGAACATGCCAACATGTGGATTAAAAAAAAAAATTTACTTAATTAATTAAACTAAAGTAACTAGAGGTGTTATTTGCACCAATGATGTACAGATGGTCAAAGTGCAAAAAAAAAAAATAACAGTTAAAAAAAAAACACAATTCTGTTGCTTTATCAATTTTTTAAATTATTAAATGTATATTTTTTATCACCAGAAGTGCAACCTTAATAAAATAACAAGGCTAATAAAAATGTTACTTTTTGCACATATGTTAACAAATAGCTTACACTTAGTTTATTAGTTTACAGTGATTAAGGGCTTAACCATATCCATCCTACTGCAGCCTGAAGTGCAAACAAGAAGACAAAGTAAACCGCGGTCCAAAATTTAGAATATTGGACATATGTCTGATTTTGCAAAAATAAATAAATATGTGTATGTACTGTATTTTACATTTTATCCTTCACAAAAAAACACTTGCAATGTTTTTCTGTACAGCAGTAGTCCTTTATTGCCTTTTGTATCACATTTGATACATACTTTTATGATACTTCTATTAATCTATATGATCAACAAATTACTAAAGAAAACACCTTAAAACAGTCCGATAAATGATAAAAATGTCCTCTTGGGGTTTATCAGTTTCCAAAAACATCTAATGTATCAAATAAGATAAATAAATATATTTGTTAAATTTTAAGGACAATTTTTTGGTTTTCAGTAGTAAGTAAAATAAACATTTCAGCTCCCAAATTTGAATTTTCTGGTCATAATTTGTGGTTTCAGGCATTATAGGGTTAGGAGATTCCCATCTCTTCAAATTTCATCAACGGATTTAAAAGCATATAACAACTGGCATGTTGATCTTTCTGTAAAGGTGGAAGAAAACAAGGGGCTTTGACCAGCAGTAGTCAGGGCGGATCCAAAGAGTATGAGTGACAACCCCAAATCCCAAACTATGATCTGCTATTGAGGTGAGACTGTGTCACTACAGGTTGGAGTACCTCACTAGTTATTTTTATGTGACTTTGGACAAATATGTGTCTCCTAAAATCCATCAAGATGAGTAAAGACTGAGGTGTTGCCACTATTGTGGAAATTTTTGCAATTCCAAGGTGCTTTGATAATTGTAGCCAAAGTACATATGATTGTTGAGCATAGAAAAGCTAAATCACACTTTATGCCATACTCAAAAAAACCACCCCCCCAGTTTGGCCTCGCCCTAGTGTGTGCTTATACAAGGTCAGAAAGTAGAATGGCAAATGACCAAAAATTCAGTCATTCTAAAAGCACTCATTACCTTGGGGGGTTTTTAACATTTTAATGAGTCACAAAACCCTTGAGGGAGGATTAAATGAGTTTGTGGAGTACTCAACAGAGAGAAACAAAAAAATTAGATAAAAATGTAATAAAATTCATGTCAATATAAATGTCATCATCAATATGCCTTACTACTACCATGCCACACCTGAATCAACACCACCACAGCCTGGTGGTACATTTACACTCATACAAACACTTCAAAATAAAAAAAAAAGTAATATCTTATCTGTTTGTGCACCAGCCTTAAGGATATCTATACTTGTTATTTAATCATTAGTGTCATCTAAAAGCTACTAAGTTTCTGGAATAACATAGTTTAATTGGTGTGAAGGTGACCGGTTCAAAGAGAATTGGTACAGTGATTTCCTCAGGTGGTCCTCATAAATATAGTGAAATAACAGCACACTCTTCCACAGAGGAGCTCCCTCACATCAGAAGAGAGAGAAACAGTTTGAGGTGGATCTAGAGGATCTCACTGTAAACTGTACCCTCCTTCACAAAGTCTATTTATTTTATCTTCTCTGTCTCTGTTGATTCCTTTCTCTCAACAGCGGCTGTTCTCATCCCTCAACCTGCTCTTCATCTCTTCATCTCCCCCGTCCTCATCCCTCCTCCCCTTCCCTCTCCCCGGCTGTCCTGTGGGATGAGATGATGCTCTGACAGGCTTGGCGTCTGTTCTTGGAGGTGCCGGTATTTTTGGGCCACGGTGGTGGGGGCCTGAGAACAGGAATAGTGGCAGAGTTGTAGTGTGTAGTGTGGGAGGGCTGGGATGCTTTGAGAACTGTGAGATTTTTTTGAGCCGTTGTATAGACAGTAAGGGAGACCAGGGAGGATTGCGTAAGTTGGCTCCCTGGCTGCAAATTTAGCCTGGGCTCGCTCACGCAGAAATTTGATGAGCAGTGCAATCTCAGTCGTCAGAGCTGGGTATTTAAAGATGTGAGCGTGTGTTGGCCTGGGACGTAAGGGTGTATTTATCCTGCGTGTTTATTTACAAGTCGTGAGGGTTGATAATGTGAGACGCAAAGAGTGCCGCTGACATCCACAATCTGCTCTGCGTTCCTCTTCCTGTGGATGTTATTCCCTAAATGTCAGTCTGTTACAGACGGTGATAACCAGGTGTTTTATAGAAGATGACTGTTTGTAATTCCCAACTGAAACTATTATTAAAGTCCTACATCAATCAACAGAGACACTCTGCACATATAAACTGGGATTGGGAGTAAGGTGTTTTTAACTTAATTCATCTCTTTACCTGTGAGTGTGTACTCAAGGACAGTTTTCTCTACCATCTCTTTGCCAGATGTTGAATCAGCCAATCAAGAATCTAAAATAGTGTAAAAGATGTCAGATGTAAGGGATATGTACATCAAGAGATTGTGTTGGTTGAGATTAGATGTATGCATTTAAAAACCCTCCTTTGCACAAACTTGTCCTTTAACTTTGGGATTTGAGAGGGTGAACACTGCTGATCAGTCCAGATCTGACTACAAGTTTAGCATTGATTGATGCATTCTGAATCTGCGTCACATTTCATTCTGTTTGATTTCACATTCTGTTACACAGCTGATGAATGTGTCAGAGGCACTACTTTTAACATGTACATAATGTGTGATGTCTTTGTATTCTTTGTATAAATAACTTGGAAGTGTGTGTCATCCTTTCTAACTCTCTGCATGTTGTCAGAGGAATGACCTTATTAGAAATCAGTTTTCTCTCAGAAACAGGACTTTTGAGTAACATGTACATTGCATTTACTTTTGCATAGCAGTGCTTTTACAGATAATCTTTTTGTGCTTTTTAAGTGAATGATTAAAGTTAATGATGTATCAGCTTGGTTGTGTAAGTATAGAGGGTTCAGTTAGTGTATATGCTCGAATGTAACTGCCTTAAACTGTTTCAAAATAAAGTTTTTATGACAAATTAGTGAAAAGTTTAAGTTGTGATGATATCCCATTTCCCATATGGTCAGTAAATGGGATATGAAAAGTGTTGTATACTTTGAAGGTAAAGGAAGCACTCTAAGGTGAACCTACAACTTAACTCCACAAAAAACATTTACCCACTCAAGAAAATATTTCACTGAGAGCTTTAACTATGAAAATCACAAAATCATTTCATAAATTAGAAAGATGTCCATTAAAAGGTTAAAGAATTTCTCCCCCTGTGGAAATTTTTTATGAATTGCAAAAACTTTTTACAAAAGTAAGAACATGTACAAATATATATATATATATTTATGTATATTGAAGTTGTGTTTTTGTGGCATTTTTTAAACATTTTATCAAATACTTTTACATTTTGTGAATTTTTTTTTACTCAACAATATCACTGATCTAGAATTATCAATTTTTACAAACCTAACACCTTAAATTGCTTAATTAAGTTTTTTTTTTTTTAATAGAAGCCTATTTAAGTAGGCTTTAACCAAATTACATGTCGTCATTCCTTTACATTAAAGTATTAATAATATATATATATATATTGACATTTAATATTTCATACATGTAGTATTACTTTAAAGGTACACTTAATTTGTTAAATGACAATTAGACATTTTAAATGAGATTACGAGAGAAATTACTAAAAAATACAAGACAGACAGACAGACAGACAGACAGACAGACAGACAGACAGACAGACAGACAGATAGATAGATAGATAGATAGATAGATAGATAGATAGATAGATAGATAGATAGATAGATAGATAGATAGATAGATAGATAGATAGATAGATAGATAGATAGATAGATAGATGAATTTGCACAGAGGATTCAGTGAAGAGCAGAGGGATATAAGAAGAAGAAAGAAGGATCGCATTGCCAGAGCCAAGGGTAAGGAGAAGGGGGAGCAAAAGGTGAGGAGAGGGGAGCAGTGTGTGGGCACACAAGGCCAGTAAGGTGAGGGGGATGACGAGGACATACGCTGGTTTGTGTCTTCCTCAAGTGCTCACTACACAAACAGTCTACCCCCATATCTTTCTTCCTTCTCCGTCTCTCTCTTTCATTGGATTTCTCCCTCCACCAGTCCCTCTCACCCACTCACTCCCTTTATTCCTACCTCTTACTGGTCCCTGAAAAAATAGGGCAGTCCTTATGTAAGGGAGACCAAAAAAAAGAAAAAAAAGTGGGGGAGAGGCGGGGGGAATGTGAGCTGAGGAAGAAAGTATGAAACAAAGCCTTCTGGATAGAAACAACAGGCAGAGTGAGTAGGGGGAATAATGAAGCTGGCTTCCTCTTTCTTTATCCAGGTGGAAGATATTTAAATCCTCCTAAATAAATAACGCTCTGCTTTCACTGCATTGTGAGAAATAATAAGTCTTCTCTTAAGTAAGACAAGAAACCATTTCATTTTCCTTTGGTCCAAGTGATGTCAGGACTTATGAACTGCACTATATTGTAAACAGCATTTTAAATTGCAGCTGCATTGTGGGACATCAATATTTTCATTCGCTTTTTCTGCTCGAGTGTTATTAAGTGGATACAACGTTAAAATCACCTTTACCTCAAAGCAACCATACAATTTGAAACTGCTTGTTAAGGACTAAAACCAATTACATGCGACTGCCTGATCGAAGAAGCAGCAGAGAAATGTTGCTCTAGTTCCTTTTCACTCAAAAACAATCTGAGGTATACTCCTCTAATGTATGTCCATGTGAAGCTCTTTCCCTCTAGATTTAAGTAAGGAAGTCTGGGATCAAGATTTTACATGCAAAACAAATTAGCTTTAAAATGATTGTGTGTTACACCCACAGACCAAACAGCGGGAAAATGTGCAGAAAACCTGCAAAATAAAAACTACTTAAAGCATCCAGCTATGACAGCTGAATAATGAGTACTTCACCTTTTGAGTGCCAGAACATTTAGCTAAATCACATACTTGGCTTTTACTGTAAACATGTTTATAATTCTGTTTCACTTAAAGTTAGCAAACTTGAACATTTCCGATGAGCTCATTACATTATTATCTAATAATCAAAGCTGATGGGCTTTTGTTATTTTACAGTGAGCTCTCTGTGTTTACAGGAAGGAAATGGGCCGCCCCCAAAGAGTCCGTCATGATGCAGCACTTTCAAGGATTTAAGAGAATGGCAAAGAGAGGGTTGAAATCCATATCTGTGTGCTGCTAAGCCCCCCACAACGATTCTTAATAAATAAATAATACTAAATAATACTAAAGCTACCATGTTGATATTGATGAGTCTCTATAATGCTGCCATTCTTCTGATCATGTATCATACATGCATGGGTTAAACGCTCAGAAGATTTCTTTTTAAATCCTGCTTTCATTTGAGGTTTTGTAACACCAAATAGAAGCAGAGGATGTTGTGACGTGGTGCCAAAAAATTTTAAAACCATCAAATTTTTGTTAAAGTCTAGAGTGCTTTCAGAGGCATAAGTATTTGTTTTGGCCTATTTTATAACCGCCTTCAGTAGTTTTCCCACTCCAGCCTCTTTATTTGATCGACTGTGCAGGAACATTCAGCATTTTATGCTTCAAACCCTTTGCTGATACTTCTTGACTTCAAAATGTTGGGAAAAGAGCAAAAATAATCTAATAACTTTTGCATGTGATGTCGAAATCCTCTATTTACTTCCATGTGGCAGAGGTGTAAAAACAAATCATCCACCAGAGAGCGCAGACCTTCAGCAAGGCAAATAGTTCAGTCTGCAGTTCTGCAAGCATAGTTATGAATGGACATTTGTCCTCATCAGAGGAATTTAGCCCAACTATGATAGCAGCTGGAGTATGCACATATCAGCTTCATTCATGATGAGAACCCAGTTTAGGAATTCAACACATAATGTACTTTATAACACCTGATCCCGTAGACCCCCAATTTAAAAAAAACATCACTGTGAAACATGTTGATCAAAACACCTATCATTCAAAGCCTATATGGATTTCACTTGAAATACTGCAGACAACACGTCAAATGTTGAAACTGATCAAACTGTTGTATGTTTTACGAAAACTGATTGTTTCAAATTTGATGCCACGGTACAAAAAAGTCAGGACAGAGACAGACATATGCTGAAAAGGTTGTTTGATGCTGTAAAAGACTACCTGAAGGGACATGTCCCAGCTCATAAGGTTAACTTGCAACAGGTCATTGAATACACAAAGCGCACTCCAGCAGGGATGAGTCTCTCAGAAGTGATGAAGCGAGGGGATTCACCTTGGGAATCTATGAGAGTCAGAGGCTCAACAGTGTCATAATCCTGTTTCTCAGCTGAAGATTGTGAAGATTTAGGGGGTTTCATCATCTACTGTACAAAATATTATTGAAAGATGCAGAGTCAGGATAATCTCTGCACAAAACAGACAAGGCTGAAAATCATTACTGGATGGGCATGAGCTTCAGGCCTTCAGGACAACAGTAAAAACAGACATGACTCTGTAGTGGAAATCACTGCAAGGGCTCAACACCACGTCTAAAAATTATTGTCTCCAAACACACTTTGTTGCTGTATCTACAAATGCAAGTTAGAACTCTACCATGCAAAGAGGAAACAAAATATAAGCCCGATCAAGAAATGTTGGCATTTTCTCTGAGACCACTTTAAGGCCTACAGAAGAGCACTTCAAACACAGAGACATGTCAAACATGAACCTACTTTAACTTTTTTATTGTTTTACCTGATCTTTTATTTACCTGCCCCCACTGATGAAATCCAGACCTCAAAACAATCAGAGCACCCCGACACAAGCTAGAAATAAACGCTCTCACTGCCACTGCTGACAGCCTGTGTCCACCGACGAAGCAGATAATTTGACTCGTGCTTGAATGAGACCACTGAAGGGCTATTTTGAGGGTCAGTGTGTAAAGTTTGCTCCCTGCCACGCGCGTACTTCACATGTCTCTGCGTACAATGACACAGCAAAAATAGAGCGCTAACTTCAGGGAGAAAAACTAAGAGTCACTTGAGGTCTTCCTGGCTGATGATTCACATTTTTGACTTTAAGGAGGGCTGCCCTGAGAAACACTTAAGCTCCCCCCGCTTTGATGAGTCAACATATCTTCAATGAAAGAGGAAATGCAGGTAATTCTATGTATAACTGCCTTAAATTATAAAACCCTCAAGTCGAAGCTTCAACCCTGTCTTTAACAACAGTATTTAACTAAATATATTGAGCTACTTTCCCCTCTCTGATCTCATCCTCTCTCTCTCACCCTCTTGCTCTCTTCCCTCCCTCTCGCTGGCTCTCTGCCTCTCTGACTGGCAGCGAGCCTGTTGAAAGTAGGCTAGGATTGACGCGCTGCTTGAGTCTGAGTCACAGAGAGCTGTGGAATACTGAAGCCCACTGATTGCATTTAACTTTAGGCATCCGACTCCCATGCAGTGCATGATACAATAGAGCCATCCGCTCCGCTTTCTGCACCTCAATGCTGACGTTTATGGCTGCACTTAGGCAAAAAAAGAAACAACACAATGGTTCTGACGCTGAACAATTGGAAAGATGGTTATTTACAGGCACTGCCAGATAAAGTAATGATCTCACTTGCCACGTATTACAGCACAGACACTTAAATTTGATGATCCCACTTGTGGTTGCACACCAGGCTGGTTTGTGGATGGTGACAAACAAACTGAATAATCCATCTTGTCTTTTTACCAATCTCTCACACAAAGCTCTCTTTTAATTTTGCTCCGTCATGAAGTCATGTCAAGAGCTTTTTCATAGTGGGCCGGGTGTGCCACGTTCAACCACAGCCTTCCTCACCTTGTCAAAAGAAGTGTCAGAGGCTTGATACAAATCCCAAAAGAGGCTTGATACCAATCCCAAATAAGATGACGTGAGAAGATTTTTGTCTTAAAAGAGCCCACAATCAGGCCAATGACGCATGCACAAATGGATGTTTTATCCTTGTCACAGATCTCTATGAATTATCGCTCAGCTTGTGCGCTGTGTGGGTTCCTGTAAACACACAAGATCTTTTTTTTTAACTAAAGCGCCTCAAGGATTTCACCATATAAACACGAGTACATTAACATAAACAGGGCAAAAGTCAGCAGCGAGGGAGCCCGCGCCTAAGCAAGAAAAACAGGAAAGTCAGAAGAGCAAAGAGCAAATAATGTAAACGGCTCCTCACACAGAAAGGGTCATGGGAATTTTCCTTTTCAGATGACACCAGTTTTGTGGTTTGAAGTGTCTGTGTCGTCTGTTTAAGCCTGTGTTGACAAGGGCTTTAGTTCCAGTGCATCAGCTCTTTGTCAAACTGAAACAGAAGCTGCGTATGCATCCTCAGCAGAAAGCCGAGCAAAGTTTTCAGTTTTTGCCTGAATGAGGAAGTTCATGTCGGAGAGTTTCTACTAAGACTGAGAGTCTATCGTACATTATTCCCTCATAGGCTTGTCTTGTTGTCAGTGAGACTCTTTGGTTTGATGTCATGTAAATAGTTAAACAGTGTTTGCATTTACGTAAACCTAGAAGTAAAGAGATTACTGTGGGCAGGTGGTTTGCGTGTTTAATAAATACCTTATCATAAAGGTATTATGAGCAGCATTGCTGTCATTGTGTCCTGCATATTGGTCAAATATCTCTACTCTGTCTCTATGACCACCACAGGGAATCGGGGGAATGTGCATGCTGGTATCGAGGCAGTTTGTTTGTTATTTGGCTCTAAAATAAACAAGGAAAATGGTCTCCCAGCTCGGCTCCTGCTCTGTGGCATGACTACAAAACAACAGAGTCAGCTGAGAAACTGCACTCTGCCCAGAATGAAAGGTTTGCATTCATGGCACATAAGCTGAAGGAGACTAAAGCTGCAAAAGCATATTTTTTAATGCTTTCACTTAGAGAAAATTATATGAGCCAAATACACAGGGGAGGATGCAGAATAGCAGGAGCCACTTACAAAATAATCAATCCAATACCCTTGCCTGGGACAGCTCAAACTACCAGCCTCAACAAAGTATGCTTTAACTGCTGGGCTGCTGCACTTTTGTGAAGGTGGTTTCACATAGTATAACATTAAATCAAAGTCGCCTCTTTGACTAGGAAAAATGGATTGCAATAATGACTATAAATCCAATAACATTTAAGTTTGAATCATAAGACGGAAGAAAGAAAACACACTCCTTGCATAAGTAAAGAAACAGGGTATACTCAGTTCAAAAGCTTTAGGTTCACAAAGCCGTGAATGAATACAGGGCTCTCCTCCTTTAACGTAGACTGAAGCATTTCTGTAAATATAAGATACAAAAGCTATATTTACAAAGGCATACAGGAAGTTCTTTGACTCTGCCAAGAAAGAATTAATGGCTTTAGACAAGAATAGATGTTATTAAACTGATACAAGGAAAGACCTGAACTCCCACCTGGTGGATCATGTAACAAGAAGCTGCAGGAATCTGTAGCCAAAGGCTGCATTGAAAGTAAACTCAAGTATTGCCTTTTTATAAACAGTCTCAACCTCAGTTTCGGTTTTGTTGTTGTGAATAGCAGACAAAGACTGAGGGAAATCGCTGAGAAGCCGAGAGTGGAGCTATGGTATGAGGACGTGAGACATTTTGGTTGGCTGGAGGAAAAAAGGCCGATCAAATTTCTCTCAGCAAGGAGGGAAAAGCCTTTGAGAGTTATGCAATGTTGTTGGGATAAGGAGCCAGAAGGGGTGTAAACAAAACCACTCTGAAGTGGGACAGGCCTAGTCGTTGCCTGGTAACAAATATTTTGGGCAGGAGGATCAGGCAAACACGGCCCGCCTTCCAGAAGGAAATAGGGGCTGGCTCCATGAGCACAGCGCAAGACAGTGGCTTCCCGAAAATACACCAAGAGACGGGGGCAAGCAAAACAAAGCACATGAGGGGCATTAAAATCTGGGTCTATTTTTTTTTCTACCTCGTGCAACTGGAGTCTAGACCACCACAAGTTGTAAACAAACAAACTTTGGAAAACACAAAAGTTTAGAGAGGATTATGGTCTCATTTGCAACCCTGGGTATGTTCCTCTTTTTGAAAGTGGTGAAGACTAGTTTAATGATAGCCTGTAGATAAAGCCATGAAGTTTTTTTGCCATATAATTATTTAGGCAATTATGTAGCCTATGATGAAACGATTCTAGAGCCATAAATTCAACTTCATACACTTTCAGGGTATTACCTGACTTGTTAAAACTTCTCAATGTTTGATTCACTTGAAATACTGCAGCTCTTCAGTATCTAATCTGTGGAAAAGTCAATTTAACTGGATAAGGTTCAAGTGAAAATGAGATAGATCTGCAAAAATTATGCAAAATAGGATAATCAGAAAGCACCTTTCCTTGAATAGAGTGGAACTTTTTGCCACATTTTAATTATTTTTATTTTTTTTTTACCAGCTCTGTCTGACATTGAAACTGTTTAAAGTATCTATATTTTAAGACAATACGAGAAAGGAGAAAACCAAAGTATACAGTTTCTCTTTGGCTCTTCACAATAAGTCATTACCCCAAAAAAGCAGAACAACTAAGCTAAATAACTTACAACAATGAGTGTAGATGTCTCTTCGCTTTTAAATGTTTCGACTCCTTCACGGGACAAACACGCCGTTAGTAAACATAACTAACGTCAACTTATCTTTCCCCGTGACAGCCTGACGTTATAACCGCAGACACAATAGCCGCTGACGGTTAGAACGGTTTGAAAACAACAACGGTCGTTGTAGTACACTCCGTTGTTGCTGTTCCTTTCACAGAAAGAATCCGGAAGCCATGTTGTGTGCTTCTGCTGTCTGTCACTCAGAGCGGGTAACCACGGAAACCGGTTGCTAGGCGGCATAACAAAAAAGACCAAATTTATACGCGCTTGCGTCAGAGCCGACGGCGTATCCATGGTGACAGAACGCTACACACATGTAGCAGAGGAAACCCGTGGATAGCACATGGTACCGGCAGCTTGTTTTAGCCCAAGAAAACCTTTTTTAAACCGGCTAATACTGACTGTTCGTGATCGATCGAACAACATTGTTGAAGAAAAGTACCGTATTTTGTAACTCAAGAGTTATGTGTACATTTTTGCAGTCATGGCGGAAGGCTTTTAGTCACACGGTGATTCCTCTTCCTTATCCTGTGGAGTCCTGTTATTATTACTTATTTCCCCGAGATGTGGGATGTTCGCCTGCGTTATCACCATTCACCTCAATAATTCCCCATCATGAGCAACTTACATCGGCGGAGTTAGTCATCCCGGTTTAGCAGCATGGCACCGGCAACGGCAGCCCGGATGGGACACAACGTCCTCCGTGGATCCTCGTCTCTGACGTTGTTGTAACGCTGACTAATAATTTGTTATCCCCATATCTTCCCTTTTTGCTCACGCCTTTTCACACATTAGTCCTGTACACAACAGCATGCCCGCCCCGTGACATTAGTTGACATCATAACGACAAATTTTTAGAATTTAATTCATGATTTGCCACCAAGTCTTCCTGAATTTAGCCTGTGGAGCAACCCCCCCAAGCAAAGCTAACCTCCCACCTGCCACATTCCCACTGGTGTCCGCATGTAGGCTATGATAATGAATCACTTTGTGCTCGGCCGGGTGATGTTTGCAATGACAGGAGCCGATTTTCGTCATTGCTGCCCACTGTCCATGACAGAATTACACTGCTGTTTACCACTTGATGTTTTTCGGGGGGGTCAAGTAAGGCTGCTGTTGCGACTCCTTCTGCTCTGCGACACAGCCTTGCGAAATATGTGACCAAATTCTGACTGTAACTGAGTGTTGTGTGTTGTATTCTAACTTTTCAGTGGAATCAATACCTGGCACCGAGTCTAACTTCAGGTTTGGGGAGTGTTTAGACACAGATGAAAAGGAGTCTTTCCTCGGATTACACGTTAAGCTCTCGAGCTCAGAGGACTCCCGAGGGCGTGTCCTGAGAAACTTCACAGCAGGATTTCCCTTGCATGCCAGTCGGGATTCCGTCCCGAAGCGACCTAGATATCTGGGTGTTTTAAATAAACAGTGAAAGGCTCTGAATAACCTCACAACATTTTCTAGGTATTCTGTGAGCCTGCGTGGTATTTACAGGAGCAAGATGCCGGAGTTAGGCAATGGGATAGTTTGTTATCTAATCTTAATCGTGACTAAATCATCAATCTGAAGTCAATAAATGACCCTAACATCACTCACCATTCTTAAAGATATATAAGGCATTCACAGAATATTTCTTTTCTTGACGTGGCAGTGACCCCAACATTTTCCCATCGTGATATCCGTAGCCTATAGATAGCCCTAAATGGAAACTTTCCATTTTCATCACCGACGTTTCTTAAAATTTCCTTTCTGAAATTGTCAGACGGTGAAAAATATCTCGTGCATATGATAGTATAAAAAAACAGCTATTATTATCCGCAAGCGAGGTGAGCTTCTGGTCCATTTCAGTGGGAGAGGGAATCCCTCAACGTCACCAAGGATACCAAACACAACAGCACAAAAGTACAAATATGGTCATGTACGTCAGCGGAACTCCGAGGCGGGACTTCAGTGTAGAAATGCCTTGGTTTACTCGAGGAGGATGGATTCATTCATAAGACAGGATCTGCTACTGTGCACCGTAATACAGGCGAACGTCCATCGGTGTCCAGTGAACGGACTGTATGGCTCTATAATCTCATTGTTGACAAGGATAAGAAAAAGAAGAAGACAACTCTTAAGGATTTACAGCTAAACCGAGCGGACTTCTTTACGGACTCAACTTGGACATTTACTTCCCCCTTAAACGCGGGGAATTGGATTAAGCTTCTTCATGCAACTTTTTTGGAAAGAGACCAAGAGCATCTCACCGGAGAATAACAGAAAGATCAGCAAAGGTAAGACAGCGATGCATCTAGTAACCCTGGATGTTGCTTTTATAGAGTAGTTAACCGTGTTCAGTGTAAACCCTCCTGCAGTTAAGTTTCCTCAATCATGGGGTGATTCACAGCTTCACTTAACAGCTACCAATATGTCAATAACGCTGGTTTACCTTTAACACCAGTCACTCTCTCTTTGCAGTAACATACCTGCTCTGTAGTAACTTCTTGGTTGTGCCGGTGCCCTGTCGCTGCAGGTGACATCGCCCCCTTTCTGGTAACTGCAGGTGTCTCGTTCTCCCTCGATCCCTCCGGGGAGATGTACCAAGGGTTCCCCGGTGACCCAGATAGCGGATCCCGTGGAAGCTCGTCTCCATCCATCGAGTCACAGTACCTTTCCTCCGTGGACTCCTTCGGGAGCCCGCCGACCACCAGTGCTCCGCAGGTGAGTTTGACACTTAAGGCAAAACAATGCACATCAACTATGCTGGAGTCATATTTTCCCCCGAGGTTTAGGCCCACTTGTGGTCACGTGCAATGATGATCCTGTGTCTCTTTATGTGTCAATGGGCCAAAACGATCATATGTTTGCAGTGGTCAGAAAAACTCTATATTGATGTGGGCCTATTTATTTCACATTAGACTTTTGGATGTGTGCTCCCCATTGTTTTGTTTGTGACATGTGTGCTTTGGTATGGACAAACCAAAAGACAAATTAATGTTATGTTTTTTTTAAGTCTCATCTTCATAGAAGATAATATATTTGGGTATTCAATGATTAGCCTATATATGAATGCAAGTACAAATTATAGACAATAAAACAGTTGACGCGTAAAAAGTGCTGGGATTTTAAGCTTTAGATTAAAAATGAAATATAAAATGGACGTTCTGTTTTGTATATCTGATGCTAATATTCGTGAGGTCAGTGCTTTCTTGTAGTTCTCCATCCCCTCTAAGTAGATATATTGACCCCGGTGTGTTTCTTGAAGAGACCGGTAGCGGCTCTCAAGCCTTGACAACGTGCTCCGTTTACAGCACGCCGCAGAACGGATGACAGCGTCCTGGAACTCTCCTACGTAAGCGCGGAAGCCCCGCCCCGCCCTACTGCCCGCTTCTCTCCTTCCACGCGCTCCGCTCTCCTCTCACAGGCCTCGCCGTGACGTAAATGCTTGTTCTATTTTGGAGTGCTACGTCGCGTTGCCAAGGGGAACACCGGGGGTGTGACGGGGGAGGAGGAAGAAGGAGGGGGGAGACGCTGATTGGCCTAGAAAGCCGTTTTAAGAGCCGCCTGTCCCGATGTCATAACACCCTTTATATGAATATTAATGAAAGTCAATACTTTGTGTCTTGGGACTGAAGTGAAACAAAATAAGACGAGCTTTGCAGCCGAACTTTCCTTAAGCGTTTTCGCAACTATATGTTGGTTATTAACTACAGTTGTGCCTCTACAGCAGCAAAATTATCTGGACTGTCTGTGAATTCAAGCCTGAAACTGGATTTATGGTCAACTGAAAATGTTTAAGATAATGCTTTTGTACTTTTCCTCTGATGGTTATATTCAGCTTAAAACAGCTTTGAAACAGTCTTTTTACTTGAAGTGAATCATTCAACATCTCTACATTTGTGTTTCTGCATTTTTCAGGAAATTGATACACATTATCATTTAACAGATTTCTTGTCATTTTTCCCCACAAGAACTTCATCTACTCTCGATTGAACTTTTATGTAATTGATTAAAAGTTTGATACAATGAGTGTATTAGCAGTGGAATAAGAGAAACTGAAGCACAGTGTAGTGAAGGTACAGTCTAACCTATTGGGTGGCTTCAATACATCTTGTTTTCCAGTCTAATATCCTGGCCATGCGTATAGTGTTAATTTCCCTTAAGGAACCTTCCCAAAAGGATCAATAGAGTTCTATCTAATCTAATCTAATAATGTATTTACTGATCTGTGGTGGGGCTTTGAATGGTGTGTAAAACCATGTTTGGTTTTGTCCCTTGCTCAGGAGTGTGTGTCAGCTGGAGCTGGCTTGAGCATTGTGGGCAGCGGGCCAGGGGCCAGTGTCGGAGGGGAAATGCCCGGTTCATTCGTGCCCACCGTCACCGCCATCACCACCAGTCAAGACTTGCAGTGGATGGTTCAACCGACCCTAATTTCCTCGCAGGCCTCTGGACAGAGTGGGTCCACTGGCACAACAACCATGACCCAGCCTGCATCACTAGTCGACCCATATGACATGCCGGGCCCAAGTTATTCTTCAGGGTCAGGGTTCACACCTTCAGGTTCAGACACTCCAGGCCCAGCACCAGGGCCCCTCCGCCAGTCCAGAACCCGTAGCCGTCGCACACGAGACGAGTCTGTGAGTGAAGATGGAGATGTTGGTGTGTTTGTAAGTGTGGGTGTTTGGACAGTTTGCTAATTGACCCTTGCATGTGCAGTAGGCCTATAGGTACAGTATTTCACTAACAAAATAATGTCAAAGTAAGAACATCTGGCTGTCTGTACGGTACTGTTTAGCAGTAAGGTGCATAAGCACTTCCTGTATGACCTCTTATAAAAGAAATGTTACTTCACAAAGAGGGGGTGTCAATTAGAGGGCTATGTGGAAGGGCTCAAAATACACTGCCACATTATGAAAACTACAATTAGACTGAGCATACAACCATTGCTGGTGTGCTCTCTAATCCAAATTTTCAAAACTAGTTACGAAACTTTTTACCCTAATCTGTTGACTTTTTTTCTCTTCGTCCCAGCTAACACCTGAGGAGGAGGAGAAGAGGCGTGTTCGGCGAGAGAGAAACAAGCTGGCAGCTGCTAAGTGCAGAAACCGCAGAAGAGAACTCACAGATAGACTGCAGTCGGTGAGCTTGGCCCTGTTATAAAAGCTGGAATGAGTAATGATCATAATTGCATACTGTACACTACCTCTCATAACATCAGTGAGCCTGTTGATAAATGTGTGCATGTGTGTTAAAGAGAGAGGATTACTGTCAAAGTGTTTAGCATTTGAAAGGACAATTAGTGTTTAAGGCAGACTATTGTATCCATGGTACATTTAGCCCAATTAATGGCCTTTTAACATAAGCCATTTAGCATATCCAGGTAAGAAAAGTTTATGTACAAGGATGAAAACATCCACCTCCACAAACATGAAGTAGAGGTGAAGTTTAGCTAACACCCTCCCTCTCTCTTTTTTGCTTCATTTCTTCTTCCCTCCTCTATTCATTTCAAACACCTTTGTCCCGTACCTATGCCCTTGTTTCTTTCATTCTTTATACCTGCCCTTAGGAGACAGACATTCTAGAAGAGGAGAAGGCTGAGCTGGAAGCTGAGATCTCTGAGCTGCAGAAGGAGAAGGAGCGCCTGGAGTTTGTCTTGGTGGCCCACCAACCGAACTGCAAGATCCCATACCAGGACCAACCCCAGCAGAGCTCCACACAGCTCCCTCCTGTCCAGCCCCAGCTTGCTCCCCAGACCTTACAACCTCCCGTTTCCATTGTGGGCTTGGCTGTGAAGGAGGACTCTTTCTATCTGCCATCCTACTCAGCCCATCCATCCTCCACACAGTCCCAGCCTCCGGTTCAGCCACAGCAGCAAGTCCAGCCGCAGCCTCAGCCAGGGATGATGCAGGAGGTAGAGTTTTCTAGTTCTTTCTATGGCTCAAGTGAGCCGGCACCTGGCGGGCCGTGCCTTATGGCCAGCGACAGTGGTGGTGGTGGTGGTAACCATGACGATGCGGCCATTGGCAGCTACAACACCTCATACACATCTTCATTTGTGTTCACCTACCCAGAGGGAGCCTGCGGGGTCAGTGCCAACCAGCGGAACAGCAGTAGCGAGCAGTCATCTGATTCCCTGAACTCGCCTTCTCTGCTGGCGCTCTGACTGACCGACAGACACACGCGCACACACATCAACATGCACACACATTATGCTCGCTGGAAGTAGAGCCTGAGGCAAGTACATGCACAGTACCCACAGTATCAGCCTCTCAGATTAAAAAAAAAAGTGACCAATCATTTGTGTGATTGGAATTAAGTTTACACTTTCTAAAACGCATTCCAATAAAGAGCCAAACAGACAGTTGGACATGGATGACATTAGATCTAACCTCTGACATCCAGCGTAGACATTGATAGTCCCTTTTTTTGTATTATCATTGTACCCGCAACTGGACAAGAGAAGTGAATAAGACTGAGTCACAAAATCAAGTCCAAGTTGCCAGCAAGTGCTCTGAATTAACAGATTATTTTACACAAAGTATACAAAAGCTTCAACGTGTACAGTACATTTACACGCCAACAAGCACCAGTGCCCCACCTAGTTCCCTCTGTCGGTTGCCCAGTGCTCTTGCTCTCATCCCTTTCCATCCTTTTTCTCCCTTCTTCCTCTTGCTGAATGTATTTGTGCAAATCTGAACTAGGGACAAAGGACACCTTGTTCAGGGTCTTTTCCTTGTTGGAGACAGAACGCTGATTTCTTGCTCACCCTAACTGTTCATCTGCTCGACTTACCTCTGCTTCTTCATCTGCTGCTTGGACTTGGCAAGTCTTGGATCTGGTTGTCAAAGTCGCCACTATATCTTGTGCTTTCTACTATCGATTTTTTCTTTTAAACTTCCTTCTGCCGTCTGCCTACCTGCCATGCAACCCATCTCTGCCCATCTGTTTCTCCTCTTCTGTCTCTCTGTTTTTCCTTTTCTCTGAAGTCCTCGACCCCTGAGAGCCCGAAGACCCCTTCCAGCCCTTGGGACCTTGAGTGAAAGACAACTCTACTTACTCTCATACAAGGACATGGAGGCAAACCCCCCGATTCAGAAGAAAATTTTTTCTTGGAGCGCATTGCTCTGAGCGGATCCCAACAGAGAACAGCAGCTAAAAACTATTATACACGCACACAGACACATAATCAATGACGCAAAATGCAAGACAGGTGCCACTGTCTTCTGCTGAGCCATTTTTCGATGATTAGACAAATCTTTGTTGCGAGGTTTAAAATGAACGTGGAGAGAGAGATTTAGCAGGAATTTAAGAAGGAAACGCGACCAAGTTGGACGGACTCAAATGGGAAAGTAATGGGAAAAAAAGGATGATGCTCGTTCAAACCATCGATTTTTGGAACCAAATGTTAGAAGCAAAGAAAGAGCCAAATGTTAAAAACAAAGCAAAAAAAAAAGAAAGAAAGACAGAAAAAAATTCTGCTTTTGCCAACCGTGTGGAAAGGTGACCTCAGAAAAACACCTCCATACCACAGAGCCTCATCACCCTGGGCCTACATGCGCACATTCACAACACCGCTTTGAAGTCTCTGAACCGACGATACAGACGTTTTGTTGCAGCGCACCAGCTCTGTGTTTTGCTCGGAATCAATCATATGTGAAACAATGCCTTTATTTAGAGAGGAGATGTTTTTTGTAGAGATTCAGACAACCTCTAAACATTGGGCTCAGTGGTCTCTGTACCCCTCCTCTTCTCTCAGCGAGTAGACGAGGCGGGGTGCATTTATTGTGAGTGCATCCACTCTGAGGCACCTAGCCCGTTTATTTCTTTCTTTATTGAGGTTGATGTGGCGAGTGAGCACAAAGCCAAACCTGGAAACAAAAGAGGAGAACATGTGGGCCGATGTTGAGGAGAAAGCGTCCTTTTGCCTGTGAATTTGTACTTGTTTTCCTGTATGTTTGAGTGAGGATTGTTCTATATTTTTAATGTCTATGTTTGTTTGTGTGTTTGATTGTTTTGCATAGACCTCTGCTTTCATTTGTACTGTTGCCGTATCTTGTTTTTTTGTTTTGTTTTGTTTTTTTTTTAATGGGGAGATTTCCTTAGAACTGTTACTATTATTATTGCTGTGTAACAAACGTTTCATTATTTTTATTGTATTTTCATTTGGCAACTTTGGAGGCATGTTGTGCACTACAAAAAAAAAAAATCTTATTCTTAGTCTATATGCATATACATATATACAAGGAACATGTATATATAAGTGTATGTAACATGATTGTAAAGTATGAATGTTTGCAGATCTAAATGGGATATTTTTGTCAATGAAGAACAAGATAAGATGTTACTGAGGTTTAGTTTTTAAATGAATATTTTTCTAAAAGAACAAAAAAAAAAGCTATGACACATTTAGAGAACTGCCCTGTCCCTCAAAATGAAGCACGATGTCACTGCCTCTTTCAATGTGTATTTATGTTATATAAACAATATAAAGCACTATACAAGTTAAATTCAATGTTTGTTTATGATGATGATAGAAGGTTGTGGTAACACTTTTGTTTCGTTTGTTTGTTTGTTTTCTCTCTGTGAGGTCTGTCCTAATGCTACTGACACCTTAATGCCACTTGATCCTTAGCAGATGCAAAATGAGGAAACATAGCTAGTGTGATTAAATGTCAATACACATATTAAAAGTGTTAAGACTACAACATAATGACTAAACTGTTTCATTCAAGGACAAAGTATTACATACCCAGTATGCATTTCTGTCCAATATAAACATATCACTCAATAGCATTGTTATTTCTAACTGAAATGTGTGTTTGAAGGATAACCATAGCTTTAGCTTTGACATTAGCTTTGTTTTGTTAATCCATTCTTGTATCCAATGTGTTGTCTAATTGACATAAAACATTTATTTTGATTGTATTTGCTGGATAAGAAGCTTTATTTTCAATAAATTAAAGTGTTTATTCAAAACAATGGCAAGATCAATCATGTAAATTTTTTTTTTTTCAAATTTGGCTCTTGGTGGTCAGAAAAAAGGGCAGACCTCATTTTTCAAACATTGAATTGATGGCTATGTTTGTACAGATGTCTGAGATGCCTTTTGATTTCTCTCCAAATGCAAATGTGATGAGAATACTGTATATTCTGATGTGTCAGAATAAGCATAAAACATATTCAATAGTTCTCATGTATATAGGTTTTTGTGGTGCTACTTATAGAATACTATAATGTCAAGGCAGTTTCACATTATAAGGTGGAAGGTTTCAAATTGTCGTGGTTTGGGACATGATGATCAGAATGGAGGCCATGAATGGTGAATTTTTCCAGCAGCTAAAGCTCTGAGAGCCAAGAAATCCCTAATTAATTTCATAACAATTTCATATCAATTTCATGCTCCATCTTAAAGAGGTTTACAAAGAGTTCTCAGAAGGCCCCTGTACTGTGCCTGCACTCAACATACTAAAGGCCCTGACCAGCTTACAGCAGATTCACTTTTTCCAACAATAATTATAACTCTGGTTTAGTTTCAGTTGCTGTAGTTTGAGGGAATTGTCTTTCCTCTGTAAAGCTGAATCAATAACAGCATTAAATGGTAAAGAAAAAGGGGAAATATTTAGATACCAATAATGAGTCAAAGACACCGCCAGCACTTACCTTTAATGCACAATGGCTATGTTGGTTAAACTAAACAAAAGCACCCCTGTTTTTTCTATGCTGGGTCAACTGTTCATTGTTTTTTTTTTTCCTTTTTACATTTCCATGATTGAAAATAAAATGCAATACTTATTATCCTCTTGAATAAACATAATGTAGCATACCACTCAGTGTTTAAACTGACTGCTACTGTATGTCAAGTGTGATGATGTATTGCTTTAGTTATGACATTTTGTTCAGATATTATAAGTTTTCCTTGTCTTGTTGTAAAATTTGGATTTCAGACCACCATCATAAAGAAACTGTTTTATCGTTAGCATTACAAATGCTTGTCAGTTTGGTTCAGGGTAGGGGCACTTGTAGTTTCTATGCATCAAAAGGTCAATGCTTATTTTCTCATCTATTTCTGTTGTAACTCACATTCACTCATGAAACCATGTCCTTTTTTGATAAAGCATACAATTTTGTCAGACACGGGAACAGGTTCTGAAATTTACTGGTAAAGGGTTTGACAATTTTTTTTTTAACTGTGCAGTTGCCAAAATTTAATGAGTAATATAAAACACAAAAATAATTACAATACCAGCTCAAGATGGTGCTCTGATTTCAGCTGGCTTTACTTTTTTTGCAAACAATCAACCAAAACTTTCAAGTTTCCTGCACAGTTCTTACAATGTCTGTTTACTTTTTTTCAAACCTTTTTTCATTGTTTTTGGGGCCACAGTTTATGAAAGAGTTGTACTGATGTTTTTGCAAACCCTGTCCAAAAATCTCTTGGGTCCACATTTCAGCTTCAATTATTTTTCATGGAAAAGTTTACATGTTAATTTTTTTTTTCCTCATGGGTTCTAGACTGCAAAAGTTGGTGACGATGATGATTTGACCAAATGCCATTTCTTTCTAATCTGTGAAAAAAATACATAAATAAACAGCATTAAATGAGACATATGTCTCTGTATTTCAAATGTGAGGTTTTCCTTGTGATGTGTCCTATGTAAAAAATGTTTTTATCTGTGTTTATCAAACTGAGACTCAAGCAGAGCTGATATTGAACTTTTAACCTTTTTTGCACTACTAAGGTGTTTTTATTCTCATCTACTTTTTTGTCATTTATTATTTGTTTGGCTAACTTGTACTTAGGGGAGAGTGGGGTAAGTTGAGCCAATGGGTAAGTTGACTTGGAAATGGTAAAAGAAATTGATCATGTGACCAAATATTTTGGAGGTGGGCATCAATTCATGGAGTCTGTGAAGGTTAGAAGCACATGGGTGAAGGGGTTAGACATTTATTTAAAAAAAAATCTTTCACTCTTGAAAGTGAATTTAGTCTGTCATAAGTTTTATTAGAATTGTGTTCAGAGCAAAAAAGATCATTTTAAATGTTTTATACATCAATTGTAGTATCTATGAGCTACAACATGAGGTCAAAAACATAGCAAAAAAGTCCACCATTTTAGCTTAAAGGACTAATAAAGTCATAATAATAGATCTGGGCTAAGATGAACTAGTGGCTCAACTGAGAAAGTAAAGAAGTCTGATGAGAGGAATCAATCATATGTGAGTTCAGATTCAGTTCAGATTGTTGACATGTGTTACTTTTTCTTTTCAAAAATACAGCTGTGGATGTTCTGAATCACTTAAAGACATTCTCATGTTAAAATGGCTTTTTACAAAACAGCTTTTTAGCAGTTATATGCAGTAATAATTTAAAAAAATATTGTAACAGTTGAGTAGTGTTTAATAGATAAAAATACACATGAATGTGAAGAAGTGACTGTTATTTAGGGAGAGAGAAAGTCAGGGGTAGTAGGGATATGGCTCAACTTACTCCGCTCCTATAGTCAACTTACCTCTTACACAGGGTAAGTTGACCATAGGAGACCACTTTGTTTGGCATGCTACATTATCAAGACAGTTATGTTCTCACTTATTCTGTTGGTATGCAGGGATGCACAACATCTTGAAATATATGCAGATACACTAGTTAAAGACAAAACTATGATGGCCTTGATGAAGTGACCTTAGATATGAAAAATGGCTCATCTTACCCGACTCTCCTCTACTTACTCTGTCATCTAACGACAGATTAGGCTACAGCTAAATGAGTTGACAAACTTACCAAGAAAACTTACCGGAGACGAAAACAGAGGACTGGTGTGAAAGAGGGTGTCTATATTCATGATAAATCTCTGCTGTGAGCCTACAGTATACATTGACGGTCTTTGTTGCTCCCTAGCGTCCAAATTTTAAATTTCTTAACACCTTTTTCTTTCCGGTTTCTGGAGGAAGTTGCGTCGCAAGAGCTGCGCGAGCTTTCCGGATGTATCTGACGTCACCGCTCATTTATTGTAAACATGGCGTCCGTGACAACAGGTGAGAGAACAGAGAGGCCCGGCTAACAGCCGAAGGGAACAATTGAAATGTTTTGCATGTGAAGGTTAATCGGGCGTGTTCACTTTTAAGAACATTGTGTAGAGTTTTAGCAGTCGGGATTGATTTATATGGGTGCTGATGTTGGTCGAAGTTGTCTTTTAATTCAATACTGGCGCCATCGCTAGGACAATGCTAACCGCTGGTACTAATGGCTTTTCCAGATTCTGTACTCCGTTTAATGTCTCATTTCACGCCCTGTGATTAATATAGATGTCAAGAGAGGACCTTGATTTAGTTTGGAGGCTTTAAAGACATAAAATGTTTGAGCCGGTCGGACAGCGTCTAAAGCTAACGAGCTAACATGCTCGGATTTTACTTCGATCTTTCCACCCGGCTGAGCTTCTCCTCTATCCGGTTTCATAAGTTTTTATTAATGGAAGTTGTTTGGCTGTCATCTTTGATTCGGTCCCAGTCAAGCACCGAGGTGTCACCGTGTGAGCTATCTGTCTGCGTAGCCATGAGTTCATCAGTATTAGTCACAGCTTGTAGGGCTGAGCCATTGTTCTGGCAGCTGTTGTGCACCCATCACCCTGTATCTGTAACTCCAGCTACAAGACGACACTTCATAATTGGTGTTATAAATAACCTCCAGCTGGCCGTGGTCAGCATGTGTTAGACCTCAACATGCTGCTGTCTCCTCAGGTTTATGTCTCCCACTGGCAGTTTTTTCCCAGGCACCTCTCTCACTGTAGTCTGCAGACTTATTCATGAGTAGCTACAGAGTACAACTCAAACACCTCCTATTTATTTTGTACTATTGCTAATAATCTATTTCCTTTTTCTTAAGCCACCTCAGAGTGGATCCAGTTTTTTAAGGATGCGGGGATCCCAGCTGGACTTGCCGTAACTTATGCAGTCTCCTTTGTGGACAACAGGTAATCTTATCTTATGCATTCTTTTCTTACCATAGATCACTATAACCTCTCAGTGTCTGGCAGTGTTAATGCAAGTTTGTAACACCAATAAACAGTGCCATCACAGTAAATCACATTACTTCAATGAATTAGTATTCTTTTGAAGTAAATATCAGACTCTTCTGTGATGATTTAACTTTTTACTTGTTGAAATTTTGATTTGCTCCATGTAATCCTGCTGTTAATTATGGCAGTTGCTGTAATGTTAATACTTTGTGTGTCACTTTTTATAACTCACAGTAAACCACAGAGTATGTAATGATGGCCAGTCCTCCCTCTCACGTCTCCATTTAGTACAAAACGCAGCCACCCGACTCTTAACTGGAGTACGTAAGAGGGAGCACATTACTCCCGTCCTGGCCTCCCTCAGTTCATTTTTAGATTATTTTATTTGTTTTTAAATCTTTAAATGGTCTGGCTCTATCTTACTTCTCTGAGCCCCCACACTGTCCATTTTTCAAACTCGTCTTAAAACCCATTTTTCTTCATTGGCTCTCAACCCTGCATGAGACTCGGCTCCTGTTTTAGTGTTTTATGGTTAGTTTTTAGTTATTTGTTTCTATTGTTTTTAAATGAGTTTTTAAAAACATTGAAACTATATTTTACTTTTTAATACCTGCTTTTATTTTTATCCATTGTTTTAATTGTTTTTTGATTGTTTTTTATGTCTGCCTTGTTTTGTCTATTTATGTACAGCACTTTGTTCAGCTGTGGTTTTTTTAAAGTGCTTTACAAACAAAGTTGAGTTGAGTAGTGACTATGCTGACCTGAATTGTTGTCACTGTCTGGGTGCGGGAGTGAGGTGTTTTTGACCAACTTCTACTACAACCTGATGTCCAATCCATGGTTGTTGTGGAGTTATAATTTTTCCATTTATTGATTAAATGAAAACAAACAAAAATGACTGATACATCCAACTTACTACGATGGTGTGGCTCGTGATGAGGGTGACAGTGGTGTGCTCTTCCTGTTCCCCCCGATCACTGCTTCACCTGTGTCCCTTTTGTAGCATTTACCTGCCCATTAACCTGAAGTGCCCCTTGTTGTGATTGTGCGAGTAACAAAACAAAACCCTTCAAAATAATCTGGATAAAATGGCTCATTCAAATGATAATTTTTTCCTTGCAGAATTAACAAAAACATGTTAATGGACCTCAGTAAAGACATCATGATGGACCTCGGCATTACAGTCATCGGAGACATCATTGCCATCCTTAAACATGCCAAGCAAGTCTACAGACAGGTGAGATCAGACTTGACGTTAAAATGTTGTGAAGTAATGAAATGATTTAAAGTGGATGCTCTATTCTCAGTGGTGTAGGCATGTAGAAACAATTTACCGCCTGAATATCTCTTCTATTGTTATGAGTGCAGTCATGTAGAAAGGATGTCTTTTGAAGTTGCTGTTGTCAGGTCAGTGACTCAGTCTACGCTGTTGGTTTATATAATCTCAATTTGTGCTCTCTTTTCAGGACATGTGTAAAATGGCCACAGAAGCCATCTCCTCAGGACAGACCAGTGTTAAAGCTGAGCTCAGAAGAACTGCCAATACTCGTACGTATCCACATTGCACTCTCCCTTCTCTCCATTGAGCATCAGTAAAACATGCTAACTGCAATACATTACAGTACCAGAGAAATACCATACCGTAGAAGCTGATATTTCATGGATGAAACTTTTCCCGAGACAAACAGCGTATTCAGTGGGATTTGTTGTTGGTATCCATTTATACTATAAGAGAAGTCCAGTTTTTGCATATGCGATACATGTCATGATTTGCTTCATCGATGACAGAGTGATAGCTGACACAAAAATGAAAAGGATGTAGTTAAAACCTTAGTGGGTGAGATTGAGGCTCTCAGAGGTACAACTGTAAATGTGTCCAGTAGATTGAAAGCTGCTTCTTTATATCTGTGCCCTTCTGTATTTCTCACAAAGGAATTGTCCCTGGCCTGCTTCAGGGCCTTGAATTCAATTACAGGCTGGTGGATCATTCCTGTTATATTACAGATTTTTACATTATTGCCCTTCTTTCTGTCATAGTCCTGAGTTGCTCCCCTGCTCATGTCTTTTTTTACATTCCAGACTCAGTCTTTCCTCCTGTAGATTGCACTTTTCTTCCATCTAGCCTTGAGCTTAAGTATTTCTTGAGGGTTTTTTGAGTTTCCAGTTGTGTTTCCAAATGTCCTCAGATCACTCATTTTATCACTGTCTGTCTGTCCCAGTGAAAGTACATTTATTTTTCAACGAAACTCCTTAATGCCTCCCGAGCAGCATCTAATTCTCCTGCTGGGGAGCATGCTGCAAGCAAGCTCAGATTTGTTCAGTGGTAGATAGTCTCTCCCATTTACTGATTACTGTCCTCCAGCGAGCTAACATAGAGCTATGTTTCAATACTGCTAATGAAAATTGCTTGTTTTGCTCTGCTACTAATTCCCATTCAAAGTGTTGATCAGGGCAGCCATGGGGGTGGCTGTTATTGTAAGGCAGCCATAGGACGTGTTTATTTTGGCGGACATATTTGACTATAGTGTCTATTTGTTGATGTTTTATGAGGGAAGGGTTAGAGGAAGATAAAGCAGCAACTGTTCGCTGTTAGGATACACCCACACTGTCGTTGTTATGTCATGAAATGGAGCATTATAAACTGTACTCATTAGGAGATGAAAACACACTGCTTGATCTGATGTTACCAGAACAACTTGTTCTGTATTGCAAGCTCATAATTTTGTCGTGTTTGTTGAGGTCTCGCACGTTTCCGATGACCACTCTGAAGCCCAGCTGTCCTCTGATCTGGTCCTCGGGACAGAGTGTGATGTGTTCTCACAATCGTATAGGAAATGAGATGTATGACACCTCCATTTTTTTCTACTTCTACTCAGCTGCCACGCGTATGATTGCCAACGCTTTGAGCCATGACTCCCCACCAGCCACTCCAGCACGTCGACATGACAACCGCCTCTCTGTCACGGTGTCCAATATGCAAGGCAGCAAGAGCAGCAAAGCAGGTACATATAACAGGGAGCTCCATATACCCGTCAGTCTTCCGTTTCCTATCTCTTGGGAACCATGAGCCCCGCCTTTTTCCGCCTCTATGTAATCCTCTCGTATCCACCACTTTGTTCCTCAGTTGTCAGTCAGCCAGCTGATGAGGGGAACGGTGTGCAAGGAGTGAAGCGCCGACGTGTGACAGCTGAGATGGAAGGCAAGTACATCATCAACATGCCCAAAGGTACCACGCCTCGTACACGCCGCATCCTGGCCCAGCAGGCCGAGAAAGGTAGGCCTGACCCGGTGGCCTCACTGACAGCTTGTTCGATCAATGCTGTTGCTTACCAAGGCTAATCATTACTAACTGTCTTCGTCATTTTCTTACGGAATAAAACTGGGTGAGGTTACTCAAGGCTAAAAATTTGAGTCTGTGAAAATTCACCCTATTTTCTTCACTAATACTCCTCACATAACCAACAATTTAACTCGCATTTCAAACGATGTCTGTGTGCATGTCAGGTATTTTGCTGTGAAGTCAAAAGAGAGGCACAAGGTCATTTTTACTGTGAGATTTGATTAGACTAATCCTACACTGTAATTGGCTATTTGCCTAGTCATGGATGTATCTTTAAAATCAAGGATTGTTGCTTTTGATTGTAACTCAACAGGCTGCTTGGACCTCTTTGCATTTTTAATGGAGCCACTTTTCTTTACGTACTTAAACTATGACTTTGGACAGACATCTTTGTGAGACCATAATGATGCAAGCAAAGGAAACTTATCTTACATGCTTCAGCTGGATTGCTAGTTTCTAAATTTAAAAAAAATTCACACAGGAATATGATATCTGTTTGATATATAATACGGCTTTTTCATACAGCAGTTTCAAGGCAGGATGCCTCTGTTAAACCTCAGTTTCTATGTGTAATGCCTCTTTCAGGGGTTGTGACAGAGGAGGAATGAGGGGAAAGATGGTGGTATGTGGCACATGAGCAGATAGAGCAGAAAAGCACTGTGTGTGTGATGTTCCCAGTGTGTATTTCTTTCCAACAGAGCTGAAAAATATTATCAGGATAAAGTGCATATTTTGATGTTTCATCAAAGTCCCTGCTCATGAAAACCTTGACTTTAACCTGCAACTATCTAGCTGTGATAACTCATGCTCCCAGATTTGATTTAATTTTCCAAGGGTACCAAGTCCAAGTCTAACAAAGTCTGTTTTATGAAATATGAGGCATACAGAGCAATTCTATACAAGTGACTTTGAGTTCGAACTACAAGACCACTTTCATAAACTCGCATCAGAAAATACACGCTGAAGCCCTCTGGAAATTAAATTGAAGATGTTGCTGGCACAAAATTTACTAGACACAGGCCTTTAACAACATGCCAAATTTCTTCCTAAATGCTAATTAGCAATTACTCTTTGCCTTGAAAAGGTATGAAACGCACTTCTGTGTTCGCAAGACTTGGAGCTGAATCAAAGGCAGACACAACAACAGGCACCAGCAAGGTGAGTTCTGTCTGTGTTTCTTGATTGTTGACTTCTTAAATGCGGGCAAAAAGAGTTGTGTATTCATCACGTTCATGTTTCTCAGCCCACTGGGGTGTTCAGTCGCCTGGATAGAGGGGGAGAAGAACCCAGACCGGGCAAAATGGCGATGGAGGTGGAGGATGAGGATGACAGTGACGGGGAAGGCTCTGTCCTACAGTATGCTGGCGTTCTCAAGAAAGCCCCTCCCTCCCAGAAGAAAGAGCAAGCTACAAAACCCGCTCCGACCACCCTGCGGCGCCTGGGGGGCAAATTCAAGCTACCTCCATCTGACTCTCCCACCCCTTCCTCCTCATCTTCATCACCTAATGGTCTCCCCCCTGCTAAGATTAGTGTGCTTCAGAGACTGGGCAAGATCTCTGCCACACATCCTAGCACAGCTGTGTCACCCGCTCCCGCCGACACACAGGACAACAGGGTGACGAGCACTCGGCCTAGAGCTCAGGAGAGACTGACCATAGCAAGCCCCAAGGTGAGCAGCAGCACAGGAGCTGTAGGGGGGGAGTCTTTGGGGGCACAGATGGACGTCAGGGCTATCAGTGTTTTTAAAAGACTGGGTAGCAAGAAACCCTAATAACCCCCATCCTTCAGACAGCTGCTCAGACTCTTTCAATCAACCTTTGTACAATTTGTATCGCCACCTTTTCACATCTATCCTGGCTGAATACAGGACTGCAGATTTGAGAGTTTCCTTGTCACGTATGTTTTCACCCTGAGGAAATGGAACTTATTGCTGCTTAGTCTTAGTCAAAAGTAGATGTTTTTTTTAATACTCCTCAGTCATGCTGCCATTGAAGAATAAACCTTTTATAGTGTTTAAACCTTTAAGTTGAGGACTCAAAGTTCTCTGTATGTTATGTTGCTTGACCCTGAAGGACTTTTCCTTGTTTCCTTGTCTGCCCAGCATAAGTTAAAAACCATATCTTTTTAGCTATACGTGTTGCTAAAAGCATGAGCATGATGTCAGCCAAGCTTGTTTTTATTTTTAATCCTGTACGTCTACACATTAGGATGCTGCTGCTGCTGCTGCCTGGATTCCCTTTTTAAAACATATATGTGCTTACAAATGTCTCTTTAAGATGAAATAACTGGTTCTTTGAATGAATTTTTCCTATCCCACAGGAAATAGTTGTGCAACAGTATTTATACAAAGTAGGACTGGAGAAAAAATGAGCTGAAGTCTTTTCTACACTTTAGACAATTTAAGTTTTTTCAAGTGCAAAAAAACATCCAAAACAGTGACATGAGACGAGCCATAAGGCAATGGTTAGATTTTCTTACGTCTTATTACCTTCACCACTTACCTCCTTTATCATAATTAGAAATGTAGAAAATATGTAGAATTGAAAGACAGACTGCTTTATTTCAGTGTATAAAAAGATATGTTAATAGTCACACAGAACAACCTCTCAGAACACTCAAGTGTCATAACGAAGCACCACACCTCTTCTTCTTCAGTGCTTTGTGGAGCAGAAATTCACACCTCTGACTTTGAGACGTGCATGTCAACTTTTCTACCGTGATACTGAACATTTTCTACAACCACCTACTTAAAGGCTGGATCACGAAAATATGGTTTATTTTCAAATGCAATGTTTAGATTTGTCAGACTTGATTTAGTACAGCACAGAACCTGTTCTGTTGCTTATTTTTCTATGTGGACGTTCTTGTATCATGTGTTCATGTAAAGAAACTCAGAGATGCCATCAGGCCTGGTGTCAGGGGGCCACATTAGGGATCTCAGTAGGTAGTTCACCTTCACCCAGAATGGGTCATAAACACCTGTGTACTGTTTTGCTCTTTTTAACTTCACACCAGAGTTTTATTACACTGTAAATAAGTGAGTGTTTAAAGTCACATTAAGGAATTTTTATTGTTTTAAAGAACGAGGTAGGGCAAAACACCCTGAATTGTCATGCATTTTTTTAAAAAGAGAAAAAAGGTTTGGGAAAAATGTGCTAAAAAAATTAAATAAGAAAAAGGGTCCAAACAAATTTTTGTGTTCTTTCTTTACAAAAAAAATGCAACGCTAACACTTGAAACTGCACAGAGCAAGTCTTTAAACTACTACCAAGACAGTTCAGTATATATTTACTTATGTAAACAAATGTATACTTATTAGTAAGCTGCTGCATTGAAGTAAAATTGCAGTTTTATTACCTCCCCAGTACAAAAAAACACAAATATAGTTGACAGTGCAACTGTGATTTTTTAAATTTGTTAAAAGATATTGTTTTATTTGAGGTATTGTAGGTATAAAATTGAACACTTGTTTGTGCATCAACATGATAATGACCACCTGCTTGTAGTAAAAAGGATGTAAGTGACCTGCACATGGTCTGAGTTTTTAAATATTGACTAGCTCTGCAAAAAGGGGCGGTAGTAGCTCAGGAGGTATCATGGTCGTCCAATAACCAGAGGGTTGGCGGTTCAATTCCCCCAATCCCAAGCCTGTTCATTGTGTCCTTGGGCAAGACACTTAACCCACCTTGCTCCCAGAGTGTGTCCTCTACTGGTGTATGATTGTGAGTGTTGTGTGGTGGTGGTGGTGGTGGTGGTGGTGGTGGTGGTGGTGGGCGGAGAGGCTGTAGGCACAAACTGGCAGCCACGTTTCCATCAGTCTGTCCCAGGGCAGCTGTGACTCCAAAGGTAGTTTACCACTGCCAAGGTGTGAGCAAGTGAATGATGTATCCCATGTAAAGCACTTTGAGAGTCTCTGATAAAGTGCTATGTGAAATCTGAAGCATTATTATTAATGTGTTACATTTATAGTAGTTAAGGTCATATCACAGTGTTCCCAGGAGAACAGATGATAAAAAGATGGTCATGGAGAGTAAATCTAGGTGTTAAATTTAGGATATTACTGTAGATGTTGACTCAGTAAGAAGACTTGGTGCTCTTGGACAAAGTGGTCTTCAGGTGTGGGGCTTTCTTCTGCTGCTCATGAACGACATGAGTCACACATCATAAATGCCAGATTGCTAACAAAACTGTTTGAACATTTTTTTTTAACAAAATCTAAAGATTAGTCAGTTTTGCCTAGAATAACGTGGCATTAATGCAAGATACAGTGGATATAAAGGAAGAAATTATTTATCTTGATTTAATTTTTTTACATGACAAAAACCTGGTAGTTGAACAGGGGTTTGTAGACTTTTTACATCCACTGTAGCTGGCTGCTATCCTGCAGTTGTAATAGAAACTCTGTCCTCTTGAGGTCGCTCTCTCCCTCTTCTTCCTCTCCTCCTCCCTGTTGTGGTCACTGCCTGTCTGCATCTCCTTGAAAACCTTATCAGCTGAAGTCATCAGCTCCACTCCAGTTAGGCCACAGTCTGCTATAAGTAGACTGAGTAATGGTTAGAGAAGAGGCTGAATCGTTTTTTTACGGTGATATTTGGCTGCTTTTAAACAAATGGAGTGATGTCATCTGCAATATGTTGAGACCCTTTGTGTCATTTACACGTTTAAGAAATAAAAACAACACCTTGGATTGTGTAGATTGGACATATCCTTTGCCATTTGCACCTTTATGGTCAAATTGAAAAACACCAAAGAAATTAAGTTGGTAACAAAGAGTATTTTTATTTTAATTACCCATTGCTTTAATGGTAATGTGAGAAAACACTTGGTCATTCTCAAGAGAGCGAAAATATGTGTCTTTTCATCTCATTTATCCGAGTTTTTCTCATGTTAAATCGACTGCAGCAACGCCTCACGACTTCTCTTTTTTTTTTTTTTACCCACAATGCCGTTCGGGAGGGGTTGTCGTATGCGTGTGCTGTTTGTGGTGCTGAAGCTGCGCGTGCCTCGGAGGTTGCTACCATAGAAATCCATTCGAGCATCCTTCCGCGAGACGACCACAACGGCGACTCCGCTCCTTCGACGGTTGTAAAAATTCAGCTTGTTTCAGCCGGCTTTCTAGCTTTATTTGTCTTTTTATAACCACGAATTTATCCCGAATTCATCTTTTAAGCACAAATTGACAGAAAGTAGACTTTTTTAAAGCCTTTTTCTTGGCTTTTTTTCTTCCCCGTGGTTCACCGTCCCTCCGGTGGCAACGCCTGCTCAGCCGTTTTTGCCGCTCCATACCGCATCCTTTATGCACAGCACGCTGCTCCGGTCCTCCCCAACAAAACACCCGTTCGTGTCCGAGCACCATGGCCCGCTCCAGCCGCTTTCACTGAAAGACATGGAGGCCAAACAGCACCAGATAAAGAGCCTGAAAAGCTATCCGGAAACCGGTGGCCGGAGCCTGGCAGCAGCCGCCGGAGTCGACAGCGGCGGCGGGCATCGAGGCGGTTCAGCCGAAACGGAGATGGAGGTTAAGATCCAGAAAGCCATCGACTTCAAGGTAGAGGGTCATCGCTGTTACAAGGAGAAGAAATTCCGGGAGGCGATTGGCAAGTACCACCGGGCGCTGCTGCAGCTCAAAGGGGTGCATGTTGTTGACGGGACGACGGGCTCCGAGGTCAACCTGCTGAACCAACCGGCGGCCAAGCTGACCGAGGAGCAGCGGAGAGCCGTGGAGAGCACCGAGATCGAGTGTTACGACAGCCTGACAGGTGAGCAAGCACCGGTGCACCCTCAACATTTCACCCACACCTCTGTAGCCTTCAAAAGGGACTGCTGACACGACTGTTCGTCCCGGTTCATCGGGTTTATAGGAGCCAGCTTTGGAGGTTGTAGTTATTACTGCAGGTGAAGAATCGCTGTTGGGTATAAAAGTACACGATGATCATTTGTGAGATATCACTGGATGTGCTCTTATACCCAGACAAAAATAAGACATTATTCTGTTGAATACACTCATCCTGTTACTTCTAGGCCTGTCTTTTTCCCCTTTGTGTTTCAGCTAATTTTGGACTGTCAGTTTTCAGATTGTTGCCTCATACAAGAAAACAAAAGACATTTAATGAATACAGATAAAAGCAGCATGTCATACACAGTTTTATTATGCATGAGACTATCTCGCCAAGCTGTTATATTGTAACATCAACATTTTATAAGAGGGTCTGAGGTGAGAAAATGTCCTCTGAATCATTTGCCGGATGATGCAAGCCCTTGTCTAATGGCACCTCTTTGCAGTGACTTTACTACAGGGTTAACTGAGAGAAGCTTAACTCATTACTCTCCTTTCATTGTAGTATTTATGCATCATACTACACTCAATTGGTCACTACATGCTGTACCAACACAGGCCTGGATTTTTAAATAAGGCTGTCCAATAAGGGTCTGTTAAACTCACTCGTTCACAAAGTCGATATATCTGTATGAAAATAGGAAAATAGGTTCTTTAGTTATCAAAACCATAATTTATTACTACTATTTTGATGTCATTTGTCATTTTTTAGCGCTCCTCACCAAATCAAACTGTTTCAGCTTGGTTTAAAGGGTTAATTCAAGCTGTAATATGTCCTATTGTTGCTTGTTAAACAGCAAACACTGTCAAGTCTTTATTTAATATATGAAGGAATACAGAAATATGGTCACAGTATTACAAGCAAAGATGCTACCTTTAGTAAATTGTGTAGCGTTGTTGAAAAAAAAAAAAAGGTAATAATGACTCCAGTATGTCCACTGCATGAAGTGTGAACAGCAGCTCGTGATAAATGTTGACATCCCAGGAGGAATGATGAATGGTGTTTCCCAACACTACAGCGGTTACACATCATTATTGCACTTGTGAGACATCACTACATATGTGTCTGTTTGGACGTTCTGTCATGAGTGTGGCATGGAAGAAGGGAGGTAGGGGGGTGTTGTGTCTCTTTGGAGTCCAAGGCACTACCTAATCAGTCTGCCATGATGCATTGAAGGTCGCCTTGTTCCATACAGCGTTCAGGGCCTGCCTGGAGCCTGTGGGTACACCACTGTGGCGTGAAGAGGGGATGGGGGAGGGAAGGAGAAGTGGGTAAAGGTAGGTTTGGGGAAAGAAAAATTAGGCATGGGGAGGAATACTAGTAGTAGAGAGCAGTGAAACAGGAAGGGGCAAAAGGGGAGGAGGGGGCTGCTAGCACACGACAGGGTGCCATATTTACCATGGCAACCATCACTTGGCCTTTTTCCTGTGGTTGTATTAATATGGCTCATACCCTTACTGCTGCTGACTGGAACAAGAGTGTGTGCGCACATGCGTACTCACATAACTAAGATTTAACATCGTCTATTGAAACATATTTGTGTTTTAACATTTAAATTCCTGTTGATGAGAATAAGTGTTTTTTTGACTGAATATATCCCATCCACATTAAAGCTCATTGAATTTTGTCATCTTAGAATTTAAGCTTAAACCGTCATATCTGTTTGTTGTCATTTTATTGTCATATTGTTGAGCCATTTTTGCCAAAAATGTAAACAGACAGAAGCTAACATTTATCCAAATAATCTCAGCCCTTTAATGGCTGATGCTGAATGATGAAATATGTAGGTTAATATTGTATAAAGCTTCAACACAACTATTTCAATTAAGCTACAGTTTACCTTGGGTGTGAACCCAATATAAAGCCCCCCCACAAGGCTGTTACATAGCAACCATATTCCTCTTACGTCATGCTCACGGTGGGAAGTTCACACACTGTTGTAAGTACTGTGCCCCAGATATGTAAGTCACATAACTGTTAGTAATATGCTTTCGTGTTATCATTTCACCCATAATTTTTCCTACCAAAATTTGAAATGGTAAGAAGACATGGAGAGCCAAGGTTAGAGTGCAGCAAGTAAAAGTCAGAGAAACTCACTGCAAGCAAGTGGGAGGTAAAGTTTATATCACACGACCTGTGTGATTGTTGTGCACATAATGAAGCTGCTTCATGCTCTTTTCTGCTTTACAGTAGGTGCTTTCTCTCTTTGGTCGATACTGTGGATTGTGTTTTTTTTAAGTAACATGACATAACAGTGTCACTGACATTAAGTAAAAAACTGTTGTTAGAGAGTATTTCTGGAAAATATCAGGGGCAGGCTGTCCTACAGTTGTTCAAAAATTTCCTGGAGTTCAAACAAGATGAGGGGCCAGTATACTTTTGAGTCTCCCACCGTGAGCATGACCTTGAGGAAAATGGCCCCCATGTGAATTCAGTGAACATGGTTAATGTTGGCCCTGTGAGTAATTTAAGTAAGAGAAAATGGCTCTTGGTTTAGCAACAAAAAAATGACAGGGTGTCCTATTTAATGTAGAGTAAAAAAAAACAACTGTGGCACTGACTGAAACGAAGCAGTGACTCATTAAGTGTATACTGTAGTAATCCAGCAGCAGGTGTTTGTTGGACGCCTCCACCTGGTTACCCAGAGTCCTGCTGGGCCGATGCTGGTCACTGTGGATGTGTGCAATTTGATGGGTCGGATGTCTTTGGCTGTGATGCATGACAGGAGGGTAACAGCAGCACCACTAACACATGTAAGAGTGCGTTTATGTTTTAGGATTTCATACATGTTTACAGAAGTGTGTGTGTGATGTTTGTCTCAGCATTCACAGAGACTAAAGGGATGAGGAGTGCTTTCAGCACTGCCTGTTCTGTGGTTTTCTCTGAACCCCCTGCTGACATTGCTGATTCTGCTGAAGTGGAATCTAGTGGTGTGTATCTGGGTGCATTTTTGTGCCGGTGTGTTAGTGGTAATCTTGTCTTCTTGACTTTGTTGTGATGAGAGCAAGCATTTTCCCTCATTGCATTTGTGGAATCTATGCAGTCACTCAAGTACTGCGGAGTATTAATTATAACCACTTGTGCTTCACTCGAGTATTTTCACTCTGTGCAGATTCATCCTTCCCATATGCTCACATTTCTAAGAGATATATCTACTTGTGTACTTTTATTTCACAGCTATTGTAGCTACTGGTAGTTTAATTACTTATTAGCATAATCAACATGATAAGTACACATTTAATTACAAATTTCTGTTGGCCAAAATAAAACTATCCCTTAATAAGCTTTAGGTATTTGTGATGGGAAGGTCCAGCAGTTCTTCTGTTTATCAAATAGTGGTTAATGAGGAAAAGAAGTTTTAATTATTTTTTTTCTCATTTGGCAAGCTTTGGGAAGGCACTTTTACAGTGGTGAAAAATAATAATAGGTAGATTTTTATTTATTATGGTCTTGCAACTTTGATTTACTCTGCAGGCTTGGTACCTTCGAGTCACTTTGTAACCGAAACAGCAGTTGGATATCATTTGGATACAAAATCTAAAGGAAATTGTCGTTTAAACTATTCTGTGACTTTGTAGTTTATTAAAGATATAGGTTAATTAATATTAAGAAGAAATCTGTGATGTTTTATGAATTGTAGCTACCTCAAGGTATATCTAACTCTTTAGTTGTAGTAGGTAAAGTTATCAAAGTCATGTTGACTTACGCTCTTTGTAAAAATGCTTTTATACTGGTAACATGTACATCACTAATGAGCTATTATTTAATTTTTACTTGTTTGAAACGAACATAGCTGTTGCAGCAGACAGCATTTTTTTGTTATTGTTGTTGTTTTTTGTCGGCAGCTTTTAGAAATGTCAGAGAGTGAGAAATTTTGCTGAGTGAGTGCTGAGTAACCGTTCCACCTGCTCAGTAATCTAGTTCAAAACACAAGATGGGAAGATGTCAGTGAAGGATAAAACATGACAGGGGACAATGAAAGGAGAAAAAAGAGAGACTTTAAGACATTATTCATAAACAAAAGATTTTTGTTACAACAAAGAAATTTTAAGTCTTTTAATTTTTTATAAATAACTGAACACAGTTGAAAAGAAGAAAAAGTAAAAAGATCTCTGAACTACCAAAAGTAAACTACCTTATGCTGTCAAACAGAGATGGATGCTGGGTAATGAATGTCCTATTAGCTTGCCCCCTTAAAGAGACCCCGGTTCTGTATGTCCCTCTTGGGCTGCATCTAAGTGGGCTAGACCAGCACCACCACTCTCTATCTGTCTGTCACAGTTCACACTGGTGCAACATGTTGGCCACAGGCAGACTTCCTGCCTGTCCGCCTCAGTCATCCATCCACCCACCCACCACAAACACACTGAGAGGCACATACAGAAATAACAGATGTGACTGCAGTTTGTTTCCTCTTTTTCCTGATATTGATCATGAAGAGGCACAGAAGCACAGTTTCCTTAAACAGCACAAACACAGACTTGTATCCTGTTTTCAGGCTATAATAAGTTTGAATCACTTTAAGAGAGTGCACAGAGAGTAACGCTTTTGTGAGAGTAATCAATCTGGCATTTTAAACTCCTGCTTACTCTAATCTCATCTAGAAATCTGCATTTGTTCTTCCTGACCAGCTCGATCTGTGAATGAGTCATAAGCCACATCTTTAGGAGAAGCACAACAGGAGGGGGATGAGTAAAATTGTTTGTTTCATAACACCATCCACCTTTTTATTCAGCTGCTTGCCATATTGATGATCTAGCAATTTCACCCACTCTGCACACTTTTAAAATCACAAGGATGTGAAAAATACAAACGCAAACATATTCTGCTGTCATTTCTTTTGCAGCCTCATCGGTGTGGGTTTAAATGAACATAAAAATGTGGTTTTTAGAAATCAGAAGAGGCCATGCTGTTGCATAATTCAGCCTGAATAAGACACTTCCTGACAGGTTATGAGCAGTCAATAAACAAACATTGTTCAGGCTGGGGACATAATGTTCTCTCTTTGTTCGTGTGAGGCATTTAATGTACCTCTAACCCTCAATACAACCAACTCTGCATTGTTTTAATTTAAAGTCTGAAGGGAATATGTTGACATCAATAAAAATTCTTACTGTATTTTTTTTTGTGCTGAGCGGGTTGTGTGCAGAAGGTTTAGAGGATAGCGGAACAATAGCCTTAAACATAGTAAAATACTTCCTTTAAATAGTAGGAGAGTAGGGTGATAATTCAGATCCTGTAGTTTAACACAACCCCAGTAATTTACACTACCTGACATTGAATCTAAGCCAAACCACAAGAGTCTGCTATAAGGAACAAGTGTCAGTCCACAACTAATATATTGTCATTTAAGCCACTTTAGAGTTTACTTACACACTTACCACTACCTGTGATATGGGAAAAAAATGTTTTGTAACTCATCACTCAATGACAGGCTGAAATAAACAAATTTCTGATGGCAGAGCTTCTGTTTCCCTTTCTATCTGATTCAGATGCCTCAAACACAAAGGGCCACACTGTACTGGTTGTCACATGCAGTTTTGCTGTGTGTACAGCCAGGCAAATGCAAATCCAAGCGAGGGAGATGTCACTCAAAACGTGATCTGCCATGCCCACACAGTCTTGAGAGATGGTCTAATAAGCTAGTAAAACCATGTTATCTTGTAGATTTGAAGATCCATTTTGGCTAGGATTTATGTGGCTGCCTGAGAAAATTAACGTGCATTTTTACTCTTCAAGCAACATTTCCAGAAGCTTTAATACAAAATATCTACTAATAGACCTGTTAAAGTTATACCTTTGGCTATTTACAACATGTCCAAATTGACTATAAAACAAGGTTATGAATGTAGTTACAAGAAACATCACAGAGCCAGCCTTTCAATTCATAACCTCATTATCTGAGCAGTGATCTTAGAAAGCAGAAGTGCTATGTCAATAAGATGGTGCCCAGATCGGCCGCCTGAACGTTGGAGACAGAGCTATGCATTGAGAGCAGAGGCAGAAAAACACTCATGGAACAACCACGGCAAGCGCTCCAGAACAACATGTGCCAATAAACTACGCGCGATTAGAACAAGAGGAGGTACTCATCAAAGTTTTGCTGCCACTGTGACAACAGCATGTAGGGCTGCACGACATTGAAAAAAAAACAACATTGCAATTATTTTCAACCCTGCGCTATATTTTGCGATATTAAAAAATACAGGAAGTTTCACAAGATGACTGACATTGCTTTTCTTTTTGGCAACAAGTCTTCATCTTCGGTGGTTTTCTCTTGTTCGTTGCTCATTTTGCAATTGTTGTTGTTGTTACCGGTGTTGTGCCAAGAAACACATGTCCGCCAAGAAGTGCAAGCAACTCGCGGAAATGCGCACCGCTTGTAGTGGAGTGGTCCACGGAAATGTACAATTTAAAACCCATACAATTCTTATTTGTGGCGCTAAACAGTGATGAGTAAAGTTCTGAAAGTAATTGTTGGCGGGCATGCGTTTCTCGGGGGGGTGGTTTCCTTCTCTCTGATGTTGATTGACGGCTGGTAGGTTAGTCTGATTGGCAACTGAGTGAAAAACAAATGTGATTGGTGGATCGCTGCACAGCACATGTAGAGTCACATACCGCGAATCTCAGTCAGCTACCCTTGAAATTAGAAGAGTCCATTCACCTTCTACATTGCAAGCTCTGCAGTGTGACTATGGCGCACACGTACATTGCGATGACGAATCTCAAACGATGCCTAAGATGCCACATAATTCGACTGCTCCTCCTACTTTCGTGTATTTCCTGTGGAACTTGGCTTTGCAGCAACGAAGCACAACTACAGGAGCGTAGGAGGGAGTGAGAGTGCTTTTGCATGCATGCCTGTGCAAATCACTCCTGTAGTTACGTCACAACAGGAGCTTATTAAAATCACTTTGTGAAAGCTTTGTTTTCACAGTGACAAAGCAGGGCCTTTTTTACTTTCACAATTTTAAGGTTGTTGGGCTGAAGTTTGCAAACTGTAGGCAAGAAAAATGTGTTTTTTATCTTATGAAACTGTTAAAGGCAGTCAATGTTTCATGTAGTCCCTACTGCTGTTACACTAAGATCCATTTTTGTATAGAACAATGTAAAAAAAAAATCATTTTAGTGTCATAGACCAGCACTAAACATATTTAAATGCATGCAACCACAAAACATGTAACACTAAACTGCTATCTATATCTGGATGCATTAACTAGATAAAAGAAGAAAGCCTGTGTCCACCAGCTGTAAATGTGCCCAGAGAGTACCGGGATCAGACAGACCACATCTTATGTAGGTTACATACTGTGGCCCAGATCATCTGTTCATAGCAGGTGGAACCATGTTTCTAATCATATGTCCTGTAGTCAGAGCTATGCCGAGGCCATCAATGAACTTTTGAACCATGACATGCAATTACAGGACCTATAGCAAAGATTTAATGAGCCTGTTGGTGGCTCCAACAGCTGTTCAGTGCCGGGCCTGAAAATAAACTCTGCCTTCCTCATCAATCACTACACATTGAGCTTTAGTGCTGTTGAAAAAGTGCTTTCCAGCCTTAAAGACTCACCACATCATTGCCTCTAAACCTCACTTCAGATGGAGGCTGTTGGTGATGCACGAAAAAAATGTCAGTGCAGCGCTACGGGTTGATTTCAACAGTCCACTGTAACCTACTGCTAGTTAACAGTTAAGGCCTGCTTACAAAAGCAGAACAGAAAACTCACAGCTTTTATCTTCTGCCAGCTCCGTCAGCAGGGGACATGGCAGAGTGCATGAGATAAAGGCAGAAGTAGAGATGGAGGATGAAAGGAGATGGGGAGAAGAAATGTACGATAGAGGGGTTAAAACAAGAACAAAGCAAGGTTGGAAGAGGAAAAAGGACAGGCCTAGTGCTTCGAAGAGAAACAGTGCAATGTGCTCGTAGGAGGATGGAAAGAGATGCTATGCGAGGGTGAGAAGGGGTGTGTGAGGGGGGGGGGGGTTTAGTTGGTGTTTTTCCTCCCTGAGTGTCTGCCATCAGAGGGGTGGACAGAGCAGAACGAGAGTTGTCGGGGCGCTTTGTGCCAGGGCTGCAGATGGCATGGCATTGCTGTCATGTGTTCGACTGGCACTCCCTCTACTGTAACACTCACACTGTACTCCTCTCACAGATGAGAGAGAGAGAGAGAGAGAGGCAGAGAGATTTGGAGAGATGGGGGAAGGGGTGAGTCGGTGGAAAGATGTAGTGGGCGAAATGGGGGGATGGGGTTAAACCAAAGGAGTGGGTTAAACTGGTCAGAACTCTTAAATATGAGGGGATTATAAAACAGAGGGGGGAGGGGCGACTGTAAGTGACACATGGTGAAGAAGAAGAGGAAACTTTTGCTTCCCTGACCTCTAAGCGGCGAATTGACAGTCGTTGAAGTTTTTTTTCCATTTATTTATAGTGAGGAAGGCCGCTATGAAATTCAGTCCAGACCAAAATGATGTATATCAGAGCCCTGACAGGCCCTGATGACTCCTGTCACAGGAGTAAATGAGATTTAGTCATCTGTCAGTAAGGAAAGGACAGAGACTGGATAGGCGAGGACTTGAGGGGGCAGAGAGGGGGACAGAAAAACCGGACACAATCGCAAAAAGCAAATATTTTTATTCTGTATTTTTGTCTCATCTATTTTTACTCAGGAGCCTTGTCGGTGTTCACAAAGTTGGTTCAGTTTCAGTTTTTCATCGAATTTAGCCAGTACAACAGAACGTCATGATCCCAGAAGAACACAAATCAACAGAGCAACAGAGTGAAGAACAAACAAAACAAAGAGTCAAAACAGACGTAGATGCTTACGCCAGAAAGCTCACAATGACAATAGTTTGACGCTGATGCAGAAAAGGTTTGTGATCTTAATTTAGCATGCTAACATTTGCTGCTCATCAGGATTTAGAGCAGATAAATAAAGGGGAATGCACTCATTGTGGATGGTTAGATATAATATCAACTTAAAGTAGAATAGACTAAAGATTAGATACATTAAACAGAATAGGGATGACATCTGCATTAAAGCACTGTGGTGATTTTTTTATGTTTTTATTTCAATCCAATTATAATGTGTGCTGTATATTAAGAATGCTTGTGATGTTGTAGTTGTGGTTATTTGATGTGGACTGATAGTATGAAGAAAAGGACAAAAGAAAAGTGTCCATCAGATCTTTTTTTAGCTCGTAGCTGAAAGTCATGGCATCAGCTGAGAGGAAAGTGAAACAGATGCCCTTTTCTGACACCCTCAGAAAGAGAGAGAGAGAATAAGAGAGGGGGCAGGAAAGTGGAGAATAGATAGAGAAATGCAGACTATTCATCCTCTGTAAGCCATCAGTAATAAGAATTTGCTGAAGCTGTTTGTGCATATTTAAAACCCTTGGCTCTGTGGACGCTGCAGAGCAAACCAATTGGCTGTTTATATTTATCCTTAGGGCTCCATGCTGATAAAGAGCCATGTTGGTCACTATCTAAGCTCTCCCCACGCAGCCTGCTTTGGCCTGACATTGAATGCTTCATTACATACTCTGCCGAGGTTTGACATTGAAAACCCGTCAGCGACTCTGAAATGGAAAAGGTTGCATTGAGCCTGTTTTTGCTGATCCCGCACCGAGGGGGATCCTTGGTGGAGCTGTTTTACCATCACTTTCACAGCACAGCTGTTTAACATTAAGTTTATGTGAGAGATTAATGGGAAATTCACAGCCACAAGAAAAATACCTCATGGATCAAATGACTATTTGTATATAAAATGGGTTATCTATGAGGATGACATTAGTTATTTTCTCAGTTTCTTGTGCACTTTGTTTTACTTGTTTTGTACAGATTTATCAACTCTCTCAACTAAGCAAACCATCAAAACTTGTTCGCCATATTTTCGAATCAAGTTGACAAATATACGCTTAATGGTTTTGTGTTTTGTTCCTCTGCTTTACTGTTTTGTTTCAGGGAACCATTTTGAGCCCAAATTTTAATGAACCAGAAAGAAAACAACAAAAACACACACAATCTTTCTAGGCTCGGCTTCAAATGTACATTAATACTGAGTGGCTGGTAAAAAATGTGAGTAATGGCAGCTAAACGGCAAGAAAAGGTAGAGGCTGTCAGACTTCCGATCATGTAATTGGACACAAACACAATTCAAGGTGAAATTGAATGTTTTCCCTTGAGCTACTTTTCCCTGAAATATAAACACTTATGAAGTGACTGGTTTACTGACAGCTTGTGATCAGAGCCTAAACTTGTCAAAAATAATCAAATAGAACACTAGATGGTCGTCATATTGTGTATCTGTGCAGCTATGACTAGTTTTCTCATACAGTAGGCAGCCAAAGTGGCTGTATCATTTCTGTGAATTAAGAAAGCTCATGCTTCTGCCATTAATTTTCTCGAAGTACTTATGGGAAGGGTTTACTACCTTGCAAATAACAGCTGACTCCATCAGAGTCTGAGCCAAACCATTTGGCACTTTTCTCTCTTGACCTCTCCAGAGACCCTCTCATCTTTCTTCTAACCAGTTTAATGTACAGAGCATGTTTCTCCCTGCTATGATATGCATTCCCTATCCAAACAAACTTGAATGTAATGCAGCAGTCGATCAATATTAGCTTTGAAGTCCTTTATTTTTTTCTTGAAAAATACTTTTTAATGCTCAGTGTGGTCAGAGCCAATTCAGAAATTAGACCACAGAAGTCAAACATCTGCAGAGCTGACAGCCAGAGTCTGCTTAGTGTCCAAAAATGACATTGCCAATCAGGTTATAGCCCAGCTAAGGATTACAACCAAATTATGTCTATGTCAGGGAGTTCAACTGTAGATATAACCTCAATAAAAGTCTCTTTTATGCCTTATTAAACTGCTCTTATCTACTGTTTGAACGCCTGTCTTTACTCATGGGAGGAAAAGCTAAAGTCCTGGCCCCCAGACACAAAAGGACATGATATAAGAAATCAAGTTGTAATGAGATAAATTAAAACATGAGGTCACGAACAGCTTTTTACTCTTTACAGTGGCAACAAGAAACCCCACAATGACCCCTCACCCCGAGCACCACGAGCTTATAGTTCAGCTTAAGTTTTGGAAGCAGTGGTGTGCAACGGAGAGCATTAAATGATTTCATCTTTGGTCAAGTCATGGAGACGATAGCTTCCTCACTTTTATAAATTTTTAAGTAGATGGGCATTAATCCTGAGTCAGCGACTATTTTGGGAGAGCAGAACAATGAGGAGCAAGGTAGAGGATGAAACATGGGACATGCAGCAAGTTGACAAGTGAAGTACGAGGCTAATGTCCTATCCTGTCTGTACGAATGAAGCTTCAATTCTCCGCTCTCTCTGTGCCACCATGTACTCCTGCTGGACCAGATTTTACAGCAAACAGTAAGAGGAGTGGACAGTTTGATGTTGTTATGACAAAAAAAAATCTCCCTGCTCCATGCTCTCTGTGACTTCTAACACTATAATCTGGGTACTTATTTCCTAGGATCAGTGCTGCACTGTGGGTAATCCATGCAAATATGTTTAATGTACCAGCAGAATTATGAAGAGGTCAACATGCAAACATGAAAGTACTGAGAAGGGGTGAAAAGAAAATTCCTTACATAAATATTGTAAGATTAAATGATTTGATACAAATATGTCTTGACATTTTTAGGAATATGTTTCAACAGTTCGTGCCTCTTTAAAGAGACTCTGAAATAGACTTCCCCTTGGAGCTTTTTGTAGGTGTGATGGAAAATTTTGGGAAAGCTTTCTTTTACGGTACACTTATTACCAGGTAATTGACAGGTAATTACCTAGTAACAACATGAAATTATCTGGTAATTACATGATAATTACTAAGTCAATACTGTCTAGTTTTTCTTTTTTTCTTTTTTCTGCGCAGCTCCATTTTCAAAAGCTATTTGGGGTTCTTATTTTCTATGATTGACACTTCATACAGCCTATGGGCGTGTGAAGATTGCGTAACGATACGCTGTTTGAGCCGAGCATTATCACAGCGACTCACCCGCCGAATGCTACTGTGCAAGTGGTGGTTCCAGGAAGCGGAGAAAATCCGGGAAATACCAGAGTAATTCAGCTTCAAATTTGTATGATGATGGAAGGTTACCTACCTGGTAGCTAGACAGTATTGACTTAGTAGTTATCATGTAATTACCAGATAATTTCATGTTGTTACTAGGTAATTACCTGTTAATTACCTGGTAATAAGTGTACCGTAAAAGAAAGCGTTACCATATTTTGTTTAGATATTCAAGAGTAAAGGGAGTTTCAACCTTTAGAATTACAACCAGGGGCTAACATGAACATTTTAAATGGGGTTATATCCTTCAGATGCAAAGATGCTTTAAACTACGTCTCCTATGCTCTCTAAAGTCATCCAGAGAACTCGTATTCATTGATAGCAGTCGATGACTCATTTGTAAAGCTGGTCTTGGCACTTAACATTTCCATCTAGGGGCCTGTGGAGGCCTCTGAGACGCTCACAGTCAAACAAAAGCGGGTAATTATGCGCGCATTTTTATTTGATACCATATGGAGCTGCATTAGTCTTCTGCTACAATGACACACAATCAAAGAGATTATCTGCGCCACGTGTTTCAGGTCACAAGATGAGCTTTTATCATATCTGTGTCATTACATACATACATACACATTACCTCCTTGGAGGAGAAGAGCCTATTTCCTATTCATTGTGCCACATTTTCACCGATAAATGAGACATTGAAACGCTCATCTTATCTGATATGAGGTGACGGCTTCTTTAAATCAACTTTTGGTTTAAAAAAAGCGATTATAAAACAGCTGGTGGCAAGTAAATGCTGTGTCATATCAGCGCAGACATACCAGGAGCTGAAGCCCTGTCCCTCTTAATAACGGAGAAAATGCTTTGGGTGGAGCTATTCTTAGTGGGGCTGAGGAGAGCAGCCACACTGTCCGAGAGCTGTGACGTCAGTATGTGGGATCAGACTCTGCACAGAGAGTGTTTGTCAGAGGCAATTTTATGTTGATGACTATGCATGCACGCTTTATTTGTCTCTGCGAACAAACCAGCTGAGTCGTCTTCAACACTATAAATCTGTTAGTGAACAGCAGACAGTGAAAGGTGAGAGGGGTAATGTCGGGTGGAGGACTGGTGAAGGACACGGGTCAAAGATGGAGGCATGTGTAAGGGATTTTGTGTCTGAGTGAGAGAACCAGTGAGAGTGATGGGTCTCCCCATCTGCCATTATCTTCCTTGCAGAACTAATTACAAGGTGATGGACAGCAGACTAATCACCAAGGCCACGAGTGGCTTTAAATTAGCTGGATGGTGGTGTCGCGCCTGGTGTGATGAAGAGGGACAGGAGACAAGAGAGGAGGGGGGATGTGGGTCCAGAGGAGAAGACAAGGTGATACACAGACAGAGAGGAGGAGTTAAAAATATGTACCTTCATACATCTATTGTCTGATTATTATCTCTGTGCTGTGTCTGAATTTTGTTTTGTCTATCTCCATCTCTGTCCTCTCTTGCCCTTTTCATCTCTCTTGTCTTGTTTTAGCTTCTTGTCTTTTTTTCTTCCCTCTGTGTCGCTCAAATCTCTCCTTCTTTTATTCCTCCGGGCTCCGGCGCTCTGTCAGCCAAATGAAAGTGAGTCTCTGTGCAGCCTCTTGTTTTTTCCGACATGATGCTTGAGGCAAACCAGTGGGGTTCCTTAGCATGTGTTAACCACTCCTACTCACCCCACCTCTTGTTAGACATACAAGCAACAGATATGCACACAGTCACACACCTGAATAAGGGTGACTTTTTCTGGGTTAAGAGTATATTTTTAAACGCATTTCTACTTTGTTTGTCTTCTTCCTCTTCTTCTAAGGTTCCTTAGAAAAAGAGATATTGACGCTCATGACACTGACACATAGTCTGTGCTAATTCTTCTGTCCCTGTCAGGTCGCTCATTAAGACAAATCTGTCTTGCCTGCACCACTAATTTCCTTTGTGCAGTCACATCCGATTATTTCTCCCTTTTAGTCTTAACATGTACCAATCAAAAGCGTTGAGAACTCCTCATTTTAATCAAATCAAAAATCAGTAAGATGTACCCAATTTTCCTCTGATATCAGATGAGCAACTGCCTCCAGAACAAAGACAAATTTCAGCAGAGATGAGGCCGGAGGGGTTTCAGGATCTTGCTCATGGAGGCTGAAGTAAAACAGAGATGATCGACTGTGTCCTTAATCACAGTTGCTTGTTTTTTTTTATTAGCCTTGTGCTTCTGTTTGCTTAATTGCTGTATTAATTTGCATAGAATTAGGAAAAAGATCATTACAGTTTCTAAGAGCTTGAGGTGGATTTTTATCACCGCAACCATCACCTAAAACCCAAAGATGTTCAGTTTACAGCAAGTTGGTAATCAGATCTAAATAATTGGCATATTTTTGTGTTACTTTAACAGACATTGGAAATTGTCAGATTGCATTCAGAGGTTATACTGTCATCCTCTCCATGGCAAATTTTGTTGAAGTTCATTCAACAAAAAAAAAATTTGTGATACTTAAATACTTTTTGATACCATATTACCATTAGAAAATATAATACCAAAGAGTATTTAAGCCTATGAAAAGCCACATCTATAATCATGTTTTCAACCCAAACCTTCTGCAAAAGACAGAGAGAGAAAGAGAAAGAGAGGTTAAGTTACATTAAGATGAAGTAAAAAAGTGCAGACACCAATCATAAAAACGCAGCAGCAAAGCAGAAAAGACTTGATTTATCAGCTTGTCAAATTTTGGTCTCTGTTCAGTGACTTCTTTGAACCGGTGCTTTTAACAGTGTGGTGATAAAAACCAAATGTGACCAGTTGTGTGTTCCCAGGGATTTAATTTTTTAAGCTCAAGTGTTGAAGGTTGTATCAGTATTAGTTTGGTTTTATTGGTTATATTGGTTTTTATAAGTATCGTATCAAAATTCATTATTCTGGTAACTCTACCTCGGATCATACCAATAAAACTAAAGTGGCTCAAAATTAGAGTTTTTCATTTTTATTTGATAGTTTATTATTTTAGTGTTTATGATAGGACAAATTATACAATTCAGCTACTGCATAATACAAACAAGCTGTAGTAACTGACTTTTCGCACATAGCAAAAAGTTTGCATATACATTTTAAATTCCCCTAAGGAAATCTTCACACAAGGATCAACAAAGTTCTATATAATCCAATATAATCTAATCAGAAGAGGATACGGCTATTGCTAGTTTTCAACTTTTGTTCCTAGTTAGGCTTTTGGATTAATAAAAAAATGAAAGGTCAATATTTAATTGAATAAAATGCATTAAATAACAAACATTTTAAAAAATACAAAAGAGGACTTGAGGAAACATATTTACATCAAAGTCATATAAGATTTGAATAAAGAGTTCAACATCATACAATAGTTAAAGATACTCATATATCTGATTTTGCCTAAGCCACCCGTAAACACTTTTGTTGAACTTTTTTTCTTTTTTACCACATGATGATTTAATTTCAGTTCGCAGTCTGTTTCACGTTTCAGAGCTGATGGCCCAAAGGAGGTCTTTGGATGTACGATTTTAACATTGCCCAAAGCCATGTCTCTGATTATCCTGACACTTTTTTGTGCCATGAAGAAATTTGCATAAAACTTCAGGTGCTAAATATTGCAAGCACTTTAAAACATTTTCAGGAATGAAAAATTATAAAAATGTATAAAAACTGAGAAATGATACCATGTAAGTATGTGACAGTGGTGCCATGTCCTTTTTTCCATTATTTTAATGCTTCAGGCATCAGTTCCTTTTTGCGTCTCCACTTCACACCATGCACATCCACCAGTTAAGATAAGATAAGATAAGATAAGATAAGATAAGGACAACTTTATTTATCCCTGAGGGGACATTCAGATGGTTAATATTTAAAAATTCTTCAAAACCCATTATGTAGTAAGAGAATTTGGTCAAAGGAAACAAATATTGTTCGGTTTTGGCAAGAAAAACATTTTTTAAAGGAGGTAAACTATGGCTACAGGCAAACACTGATCTCTGGCTTTAACATGCTACATGCTAAACAGTCATTCATACACCTGCCGTCCTACAAAGAAGCTACTCAGATTCCAATCCCTCTGACCGTAGCTCTCAGCAATCAGGACATCTTGGCTCCGTTGTAATTGTTCGGCTTCTTTTTTTATCGTGCCTCATCTGTCTGTCTGTCTGCCCGTCTGTCTGTCCAAGTCCCTGCTCCGCCTGCTTCGATGATCCCATCATTATCACACCCTTAATGCATCTCACCACACACTACATTTCCTCTAGCACGCCACCCATCCGCCTAATGGGCCAAAAGGGGTGCGGCCGGCCAGTCATCACTTGTGCACACTGCTTTTGTGTTTACGTAAGTGTGTATTTGCACAGTCATGAATCTTTTGAAAGCATTGTTTGCCTCAAAAAGTTCAGTCAAAGTCGTCTGTTTGTGATTATGTGTGCGTCTGTGTTGTGTTTTGTTGAGTTTTATCCATCCTGTGCCCACACCCAACTGTTTGTTTTCCTTCAGCTACGTTACTGTGGATATTCTGGTTCCTATCGCCTGTGGAAACTGTGTATCTGCTGCACGCATTGTCAGTATATGTGTATGAGTGTGTGCGTGCAGTACCAGGCCTTTGTGTGTTTGTGTGTGAGTGCCGGCAAACTCTCTAACTGCGTCAGCCATTAAGCCATTATGGACTGTAACTGAATCCTCTGAAAGCTCTGCTCAGGTCCACTGCTGCAGGGCCAAGATGGATGGGTGTGTGGCGGGATGAGAGCAGTCGCGTTGTGGCTGTACGGTTGTAAAAACAAACAGAGGAGTGGAGTCTGTGGAAAGAGGTGTGCAGGAGAGGTAGAGGCCATCTGAGGTGATTCCCACTTTACCCGAGACCATAGACGGGAAGCTGCTGTGACCTTGGTGCTCCAATCTGGGCTGAGTCATGATTAGAGGATGAAAAGACCGTCAAGGTCGTTTTACTGTTGCGTGAAGAGATCAGTCTGATGATCATGGCTTCATCACTACTTATCTTGCTATTTTTGCACAAGAAAGAAAGGTTGAGGAGGAAAAAACCAAAAACTACCGCAGTAGTGCACCACTTCAAGCAAAATGAATACAGCTTATCAGTATCTTTATATCAGTGTTGTGAGTCATGCATTTCCAAGTAATCCTGACTGTCACTCCATAACTATCTGTGGTAAAATCATTACTGCTCAAATTTAGTTATGTTGTTACAATTACAGGAATCTCAAGAGTCGTACTTGTTCCTTTACGTCAAAGAGCTGACATCCATCATCCACTCTGCAGGTGAGGTTAGGCCTACGTCAGCGAGGTTGCATCTCGAGAGAGATATTTCACCTGCAGTAACTACACACAACTGCTGATGATCATTCATGAGGGAGCTTTCTGTCTTACACACACTGCATTTTTTTCTTAGTGTCTTAGTCTCTGTCTTAGTCTCTGTACAAGATGAAAATAATAATATTAATTTTATTGCACTTTTAAAAACAGAAGTTTACAAAGTGCTTTGAAGAACAGTCATAAATCACAGAACATCAGCACATGGAAGTAAAAACAAATGAAAAACAAAAGCTTGGTTATAAACAAGGCCTCCGACTTGAAGGCCAGTTTCATTTGTCTCATTTGTCATGAGAAACCCAGACAAAACAAGAACCCTGAAACATAAAATGAGACCATGAGGACCAAAATAAAACATAAAATAGGTCAGAAAAAGACATTTAATAAAAAAAGAGGGGTAGAAAGCAGGAAACAGGATAGTAAATATAAAAAGACGATATTAATATTGATAATAAAATAATAATGATGGTAATAGAAATGATAAAATGGAATAACAAATATGAGCAGGAAAAAACAATAAAATCAATAAAAGGCCTAAAAGGTTAAATAGGTAAAGGTTATATGTAAAACAAAGGCTAAAAAGACAGAAAGTCAAAATTAGATAGAGGTAAAAGAGATAAAAGATAAAACAAAAAAAGAGTAAAGATGGCACATAAAAGCAAGTCTGTAAAGTGAGTTTTTAGATTTGACTAAAAAGAAGCGACTGTCTCTGCGTGCCTTATCTCCTCTGGCATGTCACTCCAAAGTCGAGGAGCTCTGATGGAGAAAGCTCTATCACCTTTTGTTTTCAGCCTCAGCTTTGGAACAACCAAAAACCTTGTTCAAAATTAAAAGTTTTATTTTCACAAAACACTCAACCAAACTAAACACTTCTAACTCTAAGTTGGGGCTTGATTTTGAATAACCACCAGCTCCACAATCTGTAAGCCAGGAAGGGCGAAACAGACTAAATGTTGTTCAAGAATCTTTTCAAGGATGCACAATATTATTGTGTAATGTCAGTATCAGCAGAATTGCTTAAAAAGCTGTTAAGAGTGATGATGCACCTGTGATAACGACTCACATAACCTGTGCGAAATAGTCAGCTGATGGATGTATTTTGAGGTGTTGGAAAAAGTCAGCAGACACGTGAAAGCCTAATTTTGGGGGGGGAATCAATATACCAACACTGATATCAGTATCTGTATCGGTATTGAATATTGACTTATTAAGTAAGGCAAAAATCCAATATCTTGCATTTACTGTGTAAGTAAAATAGGAGCAGGAGGATGGGAGTGTCATGAGGGATAACGGCTAAAAGGCCAGGTGTCTCCTGAGACTTCCAAGCATAATTATAATATGATGTACTTAATTTAATGCCACAGATATTAATGAAAAGTACTTTTAAAAAGGGCAACGTAAAGGTGGAGATGGCTCGATGAAAAGAAGTCCAAATGTTAGTGTTCTCATAGTAAAATGTCTTCCCCAGAGAACCATCCCCCCTATTTTAATTGCCAGTGATGAAGCAAAGTTCACGTGCACAGCTGTAAGGCTTCAGGCTGTCACAAACACACACAAACACACACATTATGCTGCCTTCACCCTACAAGACACACATGCAGCTCCAGCCACTAAATACCAAAACACATTGATTGCTATTGAATCGCTGCGTCCCCTGATGGCCACCATGAATTATTTAGTGTTTTGCACTTGGCTTGTTGATGGGCAAGGCCAGACCATCTACAGTTTGTCTCTGAGGTTCAGGGTGAAACGACATCTAAAGCACCACTAACTGCTTCGCACACACACACACACACACACACACACACACACACACACACACACACACTCCTCTCCTCACCCTTCATCCTCCCACAGACCTCACCCCTTCTCCCCCCATATATAGACCTTGTCATCCCTCTCCCTCTATTGCAGCTAGGCCCCTCACCCCCCATCTTTCTCTCTCTCTCTCTCTCCCTCTCTCTCTCTCTCCTGACTCACCCTGCCTCTCGGCTAATAGCGCCTGACTCATGTTATTCACAGAGCTGTCTGTGTAACAAGGGCAGTCTCAGTGGAGAGAGGGAGGAAGGAGGGAGGATTGAAAAAGGAGTCAGAACAGGGAAGAAAGGGCAGAAGAAGTACAAGAAGTGATTAAAGGAAAACCATTTTTGATAAATCTTCGGATAGATTAAGACTCTGTGAGGAGGAAAAAATGTTAATAAAAGAAAAAAATAGAGAAGTTTAAGAAAAAAGGAGTGCTTGTGATCACCAGAGAAACTGTGTTTGAGTGATCAGATATCTGATCCATCAGGCTTTGAAAATCGTGGGTCGACTAAAAGCTACGCGTGGATTTGTGTGTCTTTACTAACGAAATTATTCCAACCTTTGCAAAGTGCCTCTGCAGGACACATCGATATTACTGATCATTACAATGAAATACAATTTGATGTCACTTGATGCTGTTTTAAGCCTCAGATTTAGAGAGAGAGAGAGAGATTGTTTATTTGATCAAATATACACACAGTACAATTCTAGACAAGAAATTCACCTATTTTTGGAGATCGAAAAGGAGTAGGTAGAAGCTTTTTAGCTTATTTTTACCTACCTTTACATGTCTCTAGAATTTTAGGATTTCTTAAGTCGCCAAAAGTTACCAAAGCTCCAAAGTCTAACATGAATAAGTAACAAATCATTAATACTGAGACAAAGACCTTGTATATACATATATACAGTCATACCTATATACACATATACACACACAAATATGCACTTTATATATATATATACCTATGAAACTTCAAATCTCTCATTTGTACCATACCCATATACAATATAATAAGTGTGACAAAACGAAAGTCACTTTGATGAATCACATATAAGTATTTTTCGACTCTGCTTTAATTTACATTTAAACTGTGCTATTGTTTTGCTTTGTTTTATTTCATCGAGCAATCTGTTCCATAGCTTTTAGTTTAGATCTCTGACTTCAGTTTGTCACTCGATCCCTGCATCCTTTTCCTTTTCTTCTTGTCTTTTCAGTTTCCTTTTCTTACTCCCATCTGCTAAGTCAGAGAAATGAGACTTAAGCATCCTGGCACTGTGCAGTCCATCACACTCAGGCTGAATATTCTCCCAGTGTTCTGTTTTGCATGTAGAGACATTACTCTCCTGCCCCAGGGCCCAAACTGCTCGCACGATTTTTTTGTGTGTCTTCAGCACACTGTGAGACATTAGTATTGGCTATTTATAGTCAGCTCACTGCCATCCTAAGGAAGCACAGCGGAGGCTAAATTTCACTGTGGCTCTATTAAAAGGCACAGAGTGAGATGTCAGCAAAATATTCCCGTCTTTGTTTTACCCTCATGGGACATGTTCAGGGTGTTTGAGCAGACATAATCATTAAAACTATTATTACAATACATTTTTAAGCAGTTTAAAACTTCTAAGCCGCTCCCTCTCCTCCTCCTTCTCCTTCCCACAGCGTGCCTGCTGCAGTCAGAGCTGGTGAATTACGAGCGGGTGAAGGAGTACTGTCTGAAGGTGCTGAGCCATCAGAGAGACCACTTCAAGGCCATGTACCGAGCCGGCATCGCCTTCTATCACCTGGGTGACTACGAATGTGCCCTGCGCTACTTGCGTGATGCCAAGAACCGGGAACCCACAGGTGAGAATTCCTGTCAAAAACAGGTCTGCTTTTTTGACCAGTACCAGTCTTTCAGTGATTTGTAGACTTCTCTGTGGATCAAGTCAAAAACTATGTACAGTGGGTAGGCGGTTATGGGAATCAGGGTGAGCAGGACCCCATTTTGATGTGGAGGAGTCTTGTCTCACCTGCTTCCATGGCAACAGACGGTCATCAGCCAAATTGTGGGACGACTTAACATTTAACTGAACATTTCAATTTGCAGTGAGGTTAAAATATTAGCCTGCTTATTGGTTAAAAGTCACATCAAACTGAAAATTTTCAATCAGTTAGACAAGGGGAACAGACTTCTGGGAATATTTCTGTTTTTATTTTTTCCTTGAATAGCTTTCCTATAGTGAGACAAATGGCACACTAATGTAAGTATCACTACTGCTAATGGTTAAAGGTTCTTTGTGGTAATCTGCAACACTGAGATGCAGAATTGTATTCCTCGGAGCATAGTAGACTTTCAGAAACTGCTAACATATTCCCTTTGTAGGCAAAAATGTAATTGAACAGATATAAAAAGTATAAGAAAACCCTTCATTCTGGTCTTGTCATAACCCTGCATTTGAAACACCTCTGAAATCACTCACAGCCCTGTTTTGGTTCCCTTAAAAGCAGCCTTGTTGAGTTTCTTTCAAAAGTTATGTTTAATTTATTTACATTTGAAACATTTTGAAAGCATCCCTTGAACTTAATTGTAAATCTTTTAAATGCCTCCTCATCCTCATAGAAATAGAATTTTTCAATAACTAGAATTCAGCATTCCTTACATTCATAGTTTCTCTGTCCTTGTCTTTGTTGCGTCCCTCTTAACACTGAAATAGCATGTTGCCTCTGACGGTGGCTGAGTACCTGTTGGCAACACAGTGGGAAAGTAACATTTATGTAATCTCTCTAATGAGCCACGTGCACTTGAGTCAGCAGGCTTGGCCATTTAGAAAAACTAAATAATGCGAGTTTTTTTATTTTTAGATCGTGACTTTTTACACAAAGATAACCCTTTTTCTCATTTGTGCTCTTTGGGCTCCGTGGGATTTGTAGTTGATGCTCTTAAAAGCAGTTAAACTTGGAATAAGCTAGTTGTGTACAAATCAATTAATCAGTCTTTATAATATAGCACTTTTCATACACACAAACTGCTTTACACAGAAAAAGGAAAAAAAAGAAACAAAGAAGACCCAAATCTACCCCAACCTAACCCCTCATTCCCACCCCACAATCTAAATGCAACAGCAACAGTATTAAAATGCATAAACTTAAAAAAGGCTGGAGGTTTTGGTTAAAATCTAAAAGCAAAGTAGCATAAAATGAAATTTAAGAAATAATAGAATAAAATGAAATAAAAACAACAGTAAAAGGTACTAAAATAAGAGCGCCAAAATAGCTCAATAAAGGATGATCCTGTCATTAAAACTAGACAGAGATAAATGCTAAAACACTTCAATAAAGTTAATGATATAAAATTTAGTTAAAAGCAAGACTAAAAAGTTATGTTGTCAGTTTGCTTTTAGATGTTGAGTTTGTTGCCTTTCCTTTTCCTCATGCTTGGCTGGTCCAAATTTAGGACTTCAGGAAAAAAAACAACCTCACTTATTTTTGGAAACTTAGACCTCTTTTTTAGCTCAGAGTCATCGTTTTGCCTGACTTCTCAGACATAAAAGAAGCCTGAATTTAGCTGCATCACCAGACGACACCGAAGTGACTGAAGTCAAGATGCCTCACATCCAGTTTTCTGTCTCCGTTTCAGACACCAATGTGCTGCGGTACATCCAGCTGACAGAGATGAAGATGAGCAAGAGCGGGCAGCGGGAACGAGAGAGCGGCAAAGAGACCCAGGGCTGACCCTCGACCTTCTCACCCTCCCTGCCCCTCGACCTTTGACCCTTGCAGCAGTCCCTACGTCAACCCTCCCTCTCTTCACCCGTTAAATCAACCCCTGACAACAGCACAGCCCCACAGACAGAAGAGACAGACCCAAACACCCGCCAGCGATGGGAAACAACGGGAGACAGATCAAAAGCCGTCTGCAAACCGACGTCCTTTTTCCCTCCTCCTCCTTCCTCTTTCTCTTCCTCTTCCTCCCTCAGGTGCTGTGCTTCCTCTCCCTAGACGCAGACAGTCGTACAAACAAAAAACATCAAAAACAAGGAAAATGCTGTATTATACTTATGAAACGGTCGATGTGGCGGAACGACAAAGGAGCTTCAAACATACGAATAACGGACATTTGCGTGGTTTAGTTCATGTTTTTAAGGCATAAGACGCATTTTGTTTCTGCTTTCTTGCCCTCTCTCTTTTTCTCTGCCTTCTCTTTCTCTCTCTGTCTTATCTGGAACTCTTAAGGAGAATATCAGGGGGGCGGGAAGCTTTACCGTGCTGGGAGGAGGTTGGGGGACCGTGAGGGGTGCGTGTGTGACACATATCAAGACCATAGCCCAGATCTGATTGTACATCCTTCTTCTCCAACAGGGCTCACTCAGACCCCTTACCCAGACTGTGGGACAGACTAGCGCGAGAAATCTTTCATCATGTAGAGAAAAAAAAACCTCTACGCTTAATCCATCGCTCTTCTGTTTGACTCTTTCTTTCTTGGATGCCATGTATCTCAGTATCTGGACTGTTTTTTTCTTTCTTTCGATTCAAGGGCTACTTCTATTGTTTACCTGGTTTTGGGGTTTTCATTTGGCTTTTGATGTTCATCGTTTCATTGTACGTGATCATTTGTTTATAACATCTGTGCGCACAGCAGACAGACACAAGCCTCCAGCGGTTCTTGCTGTTATCAGGTGTGATCATGTGGAAACTTCTGTGTCTTGAATCCGTCGCCCCACCTGAGTCGTGCGTCGTCGTTGTTGATGTTGTTTAGACTATCGAAGCCCCTCCCTCCTTTCCCCTCTTCCTCTCTGTTCTCCTGTTAATGATGTCACTACGGAAAATAGCCAATAAGATCGGAGTTCCATCAACCGCAGTTGGCTGGATGGAAATCCACTCTAAAGTTTCTCATTGAGAAATGCTTTACAATTTCTTAAACGAAGGTTCAACCAAGGCTGACGCTGAAGGTTTCCCAGACATCAATAACACACCGAGGAGTCTAAGTGCAGGGAAAACAATCACACACACATCGGTCCTGGGCCCTGGCAGTCTACGCCGCCATGTTTTAGCACTCAGCTTTAGTGCTCTTTAACAAGAGTGTGCCATTTGAGATTTCCTCCTCTTTACATTATCTGTGTTTGAAAATCGCTCCCAACTTAGATATGCTTGGACAGAATAACACAGCATTAGCATTAGACAACACTACGAGGATTTGTGGATGTTACATGGCTAGCTGTCAAAAGATACACAAATAATTTGCCGCTGCTTCTCTCGTGATTTGTGAAGCCATTGATAATGCAAACATCGCTTTTAAGATCGCTTTACCACAGGCTGTTCTGCAGAAGGTTGGATTGATGATTTGTGAAAGCATGACCTGAATTTCCCTTCTCTCTCTCTCTCTCTCTGATGCCATGAAAATGTTTCCCCTCCTGCATGTGACGTGCGACTGCAGAGAGTTACTTCAGATGTATGGAATCAGGATTATATCTGCTCTATTGCTTTCCATCATGGCATGCCGCCACACAGTTTGATCACGCCGCTAATTTATCATTCTGTCCTTTACAAACACAGAAGGTGGTGACAGCCTGTGATTGCAGACGCAGGAATGGTTCCAGATAGATCTAGAAATAGGCGGTCTTTAATGAAATAGGGTCATCTTCTGCCTTGGCTAAGGTACGAAATAACACTCCCCTGCTTTAAAGTTTCAAAAAAAAGGGTGGAAGAGCGAATCAAAAAAATACTTTGTAGAAGATTTCCCCTTCCCTTTTTTCCAGTGACCTGCAAGGAGGTAAATAGGTACCTAAGTGTGTCAATAGGACTCTGGAGAGACGGCACCATGCAGTGAGGAGACCGGCATGATGCTTAGAGGCTCCAATGGAGGGAGAAGTAGGCCATCATCAGCCCCAGTGAAGCAGCTGCAGCGGAGACATGAGACAACAAACAGAAAAGAGCAGAGAGTTCTTCACGCAAACTAGAAAAAGGTCAAACATATGCGGACTTGATTTTTAAATATCTCTCACATTTTAAATTTAGGCACTCTGCCTCCAGCCTGGTTTCAAAAATGTTCCCACATCCAGTCCACAGAGCTAATGTGGACAGTTTAAGAAAGAAGATAGTTCCTGTTACTCAGGCAGAACTCTTCTTAGATGTTTCAAAGGGTTTTTCCTCTTAAATTAAATGTCCTGGAAACTATTAAACTCAAACGAGTGTGGTTTTAAGGACTGGATCAGAAACAGGAGATTTAATCAGCATAACTCAGTTTAAAAACATCAGACGCAGAGGCCTTCCTCACTCCTCATGTGCCTCCTCTTCTCCTCTCCCTCTGGTGTCCCAGAGGAAATAAATCAACAAAACAACAGTGAGGAATAGCACCTGCAGGCTCTGTCTCCATGGCTGCCTGGGCTGAGTCTATTCACCCATGGGCCCCTCGGGGATCGGTCTCCTCCCATGGTCGCCTCTCCATGGCACCAGTCTGCCATCTTGTTTTTGTCTCACTGAGCTAAGTCATCCTAGCTTAGCATGTCCTCCGGCCGCCAAGGGGATAAGAAGCTGCACACAAAACAGTCGCATTTCTTGCCGGTCAGTTCTCCATCAGTGTCATGGAGGTTGTTTTGGTGCGCTGATAACATGCTGTCTGTGCAAAAAAAAAGAGACACTACATCTCTCCATGGGTGTAGCTTTAAAAACAAACAACAAAAAGCACAAGAAAAAAGAGAGAGAAAAGTCAAACTGGCTGTGTTATTTTTGCTCTTTTTGCTTTGATGTCATTTGAGGTAAATGTTTGTCAAATGTCAGAGTAGTTTTTGTGATTATATGATACAAATGTACAAAAAAAGATGAGAAAAATGGAAAGTTTTATGGTTGTGAAAAGCTTTACTTTACTGAATTACTTTATTAACCGAAAAGAAAAGTAAAAGATAGAAAAGAGAATTTTACAGAAGCTCCTCCTCAGAGCTGCTTCGTGACTGTGTCTGTATTTCTTGGTATATTTCTGTTGACGTCCCCTTCCGTCAAAGGGGAGAACCGACTCAGAGCGAGTGCAGTGCCCTTTGACCTGCCCCCCCCAACACTGGAATGACCTTTGACCTGACTCGTCTGTTTCTGCAGTACGAAGTAGGAGTGGAAGAAAACTCTGAGGAACTCACACCAGAGCGCAGAGCTGCTCCTCACGGCCACAGATCTCCGTCCTGTTTTCATGGAGAGAAACCAAAATCGGAAGCTGGGGACGTCGAAGCTATGACTGCGTTTTTGTCCCGCCTCACTCCGAAGAGGCCTTTTCCATTCAACATCCAAACATCACAGGCGCCCATCACTGGTTTTTCTGAACTGCTAGCCCGGGAATGCACTATTGATTGGTAATGAAGATTATGAATAAAGTTTCAAACAAAGAGGAAAGCTGCTGTTGTTGTGTCGTCATAACAAAGTTACATAAGGCTTTTTGGGCTTAAAAGAGCTTCGTAATCATTAACCATAAATATTACAGTAATACTATTAAAATCACATTTTACCACAATATTTGAAGGTGAATTCTGAGACTGTGACAGCCCATAAAGATTATATGTTGCAAAAATTAATTCTTGATTCAATTCAAGCTGAGTTTACTTCTTTAAACTTAAGATGCTTGAGGTCTGTAGTTTTGTAAACTTAAGCAGACCAAAGATACCCTGTGTTTCAAAGCTGTGTTTTTCACTTTATTTGTATTTTTTAGGGTGAAACACACCGTAACACCGAGTTAGACACCCCCTCAAGAGATGAATGTTGCCGACCACTTGCTTCACTAGTTATACCAACTTTAGTAGTGACCACAAGATAGCAATACACAGCGGTCTGAGGAGCCATAAACAAACCTCAACCAAAACGCCACTCTATAGCCACAAATAATGCTCAGAACAGCACCTAACTTCATCAACATTACATAAAGGGTCCCAGCCACAGCACTAGCCACCAAACATCTTTTTAACTTTGCTTAATTTCTTTAACAAAGAGACTAAACACAACTCACCTACTCTCTTCCAGGAGCCGCTTGTTTGTAGCGAGACCTCAGGCCAGTCCATTACAGACTATGGCGGAGTTTCGCAGCTCAAGGAGGAACATTTATGATCATTTCTTCATGGAAATGCAATCAGACCGAGATGCTAAGGCAGAAGAACTACCGCGTCTGCAGTGCAAAATGATTAATATGATGATTATTACTTCAAGGAAATGATGAAGAAATGATCATAAATGTTCTTCCTTGAGCTGCGTCATCCCGCAGCTGTCCGTGATGGAATATCCATTTAAAGCCCTAAGAGGAGAGTCTAGCTGGTCTTTAAACTAACTGATAACAAAACTTATGCATCTACATGACAAACAAAAGCAACAAAAGGTAAGATCAGCCACAGATTTGATTAACTCTGTATTTCTATTTTCTTTGTGTGTCACTCCTGCCTCATGGTAGGTGTCACATGAGGTAGTTCACAGCACCCAGCAGAAAAAAAACACCCATTTTAAAAATGTCCCAAATATCTATCTGCTGACAAAAACCATATAATAAAAGTTTAAGTCTACATATTAAAGAATAATCATGTCTCAACTTTATTGACGAGACCATCAAAAATATATACGTAGCTGTCCTATTTGTCCACATCTCTTGTTGCATCCCTCCTTTAGAGTGCCAGCAGAAACAAACACACCTGAACCTTTCCATAATCACAACATGACATGACTGCTCCCTGCAACAAAAGAGGGAGAAAGAACAAAAGCTGCGAGTATTCATTATCTCACAGTTAAGAGCAAAAACTGTTGACAAATCCCTGAAGGAGACAAAGAGGGGGATAAACGTGAGAAAATTACTGCTGTTGTGGAGGACAAAAGACAGAGAAAGCACACAGTGTCTTCTTAGCAGACAAAATACTGGACTGCCTCTTAAACACCTCTCTCTCTCTCTCTCTCTCTCTCTCTCTCTCTCTCTCTCCCTTCAATTTCAGGCCCGTTGTCCCTTTTTTTCCATTTCTTTGTTGGTGCTTTTAATAGCATCACCATGGAAGTGAGGAGAGGTTGCTAGGTAACTGGCTAGCGTCTGGAAAAGGTTGTTTGATTGGCGGTCACACCGACAGACACAACAGTGGAGTAATGATTGTATGATTTGTAGATATGTCTGGATTTATCTTTTATAGCAATCTAACGGGAAAAAAAACACATTCTGGGTCCTTTTCTGAGATTGTTTCGCTCTTAAAAACCTCAAACTGAATATCCTAGAGTGTTTGTTTCCTGTGTTTAAATCAATGAGTGCAGCATCAGCAGCTCTTTGTGGTCACTGCAGAGTCAGAGAGAGAGAGACTGTACTGGAGGAATTCAGTGCATGAGGAAAAACAGCAGAGCAGGGGTGATATGACATCATAGGACACAGTGGTGCCACCTTGAGGATTTTATCAGCCACTGCAGGCGCCTTTGTCTGAAGGCAACATGCATGACTGCAAAAAACATACACTCTGTTATGAGCTGTTTACAGCTTTAAAACAAGAAAATTCAAATAAAATAAAATAAAGATATTAGTGTAAGAATTTTGGTAAAACCCAGCAATTTTATGACAGAACTATTCCCTTTTTAAACCTTTACTTAACATCTAAAACTACTAGAAATAAAACAGTAAAATATGTATTTCTTGACACAATATCCTACACTACAAAACTTAGTCAGGGTTGTCAAATCAATTAGGTTTTGTATCATGATTTATCACTAAATTTTCAAAGTTAATCATGCGCAATCGCCATTTTAATCACATGTTTTGAATAGATTATTCACATTACAGAACAGTTTTAAAGTTTAATGATGTTGAGCAGTTATTTCCAGATTCTAGATTTAGAAAACAAATAATGCAATGAAGGTCATTTTATGGTTTTGACTTACAGATTTATAATTAAAATAAAGTCCTGGATGCTTTATCATCCTGTTGACCTGAGGACATCCTTTAGTCCCCGGTCATCATCGTGTTGTCTGACTTTTAGTTGCATCCCCTTTAAAAAGTGCAGCAGCTGATACCCCTGTTCACACACTCTTTAATGATCTACCTGCTTTTGTGCTGAAGTCGCATGCTGACATCGGTCTGATAAGCTGCACTGGTATGTTTAGCTCATAGGAGGTAGTTCAGATTACTTCAGTGATATTTTATCTGACATGTTTGTAACAAAGTGCAGACTACTTTTTACTCCTCAGCAGATACGTGTGCCCTTCAAAAGTGCAGCTGTGTCGTTATCTTCCATTCACTACAGCAAGAAATTTGAGTTTATGCTTTTTCATTAAAAAAAAACAATGCATGCTTCATTGATTTAATGGACATCAATAATCCCCCCCAAAAAAACAGATGTACCACTGTCTGACTGAATCATCTTTGTTTGTTGGTTGTTTTTTATTCGTCTCATTCATCACATTTCACACTTTTTCCTCACTGAACCCAGAAATGTCACAGGTTGAGACTGGAGACAACATGGATGTTTCACTTTCTCAGGTTTTTTTTTCTCCTGTTATATTAACAAATATATACAGATATCCCAGGGAGAGCATTGTAGTAGTAGTAGTAGTAATAATAATAATAATAATAATAATAAATCCTTTCCAATAATAACAATAAATTTAATAAATACTCAGTGTTCTTAACCACACGAGGAGAATGAGTTTGGGCTCACTCTTTAACCCACGGGATTGTCATCATCCCATACAAATAACGATATATACACATTTTCAGACACACACGCACACACGCACATACTCACCTAGAGAAATTTGCACTGTCAAGTAAGGAGCACTGTCCACTGTGCGAAAAAAACAACTCAGCAGATAAAAATTGATTTGTCGGCTGTGAATAGAGTCCACAGAGAGACCGTTAGCTTGCACAACATGGCTCCAAAAAAGTGCCACCAGAGGAGGATACGAAGCATCCAAACAGTCCGAGGTCTCCTCAGAGTCCCCCTTTCTGTTTGTGTCCATTTCAGTGGCGGAAACGGGATCCAAACAAAGTGCTACTGGCTGCTAGTGAGGATTTCCCTCCCCGAAATAACTGACGAACAGATGAAACGTGCTCTTATTTTGAAAGAGTGAAACAGCATTCACACGTAAAACAACATGCACTGAAAAAGCACCAGCACGCAAATAAAAAAACAGCCCAGTTTTGTTCGTCCATACATGTACAGGAATATATACACATACCCACACGGACAGAAACACACCTGGTCTGCCACACCAATAGAAAAACGTTTCGCAACAGGCCGCTGCAGGAAAGGTGCTAGTATTGAGAAAATGAAATCTGAACGAGAAGAGAAGAAGGCGGAGAAGAAAACCAAGTCATGAGAAGGTTTTTTTCTGTTTTAGCCTTGGAGGGAAAGAGGACGATGATTCTCGTGCGGAGAAATGACACATGTGGAGGGTTTAGGGGGAGATGTCTGTGCACCTGCAGAGGAAACGGCGTGCAAAATAACAAACAAAGACACTCTAACGAAACCTTACACAGTCCAGCTCCTCTTTTTTGACGGATAGGTAAAAATGTGAACAAACGTTTTTGTGAGTGCAAGCAGAAAAGCAGTCGAGCAAAAGCACAAGCAGGTGAAATGAGCGATTAGCTAAGTCAAAAAGTGGCTTTTTAAGTACTTGGATGGCTTTTTGAAGGTCTTTTAGGAGATACAACCTGGTCAAAGGGGCACTAAGAAGCAGGTTGGGATGGCTTCCAAGGAGGGACAGAAGTGCTGTGAGAGATTATAAAAGGCCTTGGAGGAGCCTCGGGTTAGAGAGCTGAAAGGTTCACACCTTACTTATAGGACACATGAGAGCAACAGCTTCCATTAAGAGTCAAAAGCATGACAAGAAGTGGGGTTTTCTGTTTTCAGTGAGTGCACTTTGCTCGGCTCAGACAACAGTAGGCATTGACCGTATTCGCACAGGAGCCGTTTTCCTTTGGGGTCACGCTCAGGGTGGGAAGCTCTGATTCTGCTGTGATGGTGTACTGCTGCGTTCAAGGATGCAAGTCTGAGGATTCAGAAAATCCGATAATCATTATTACTGATTTGTGTAACAGATTTTGAAATCTGTTGCTCAGGGTGTCTTTGGAGTGACCTAATGTGAAATTTCAGGATTTCATTTCTTACGTTCACACTACTTTCTGTGTATCTTACAAACTGGAATGAAACAGTACAGCGTTTTAACACTGGTGAGCTTCCCGTTCTCAGCATGTACTCAAAGAAAACTGCTGATTTGTTTCTCAGCCCAAGCTCTTTTGTCCTGATTCAGGTTTGTATCCAGAAAAAGCAGGTTTGCTGTTTGTCACTAAGAGTATTGTTGTCCACACAGTGTGGCAGGCTGCCGCTGTCCACACAGAGGGACAGTATGGTCCGAGCTCTGGCCCTCTACGTCCATGTCCATCAGGTTCGGTCGTGTGGTGCCAGCGCTGCTGCTGTCCCCAGAACCGAGGGGGCTGTCGCAGCTGCTGCCCGGGGACGAGCTCAGGGTCCGGGAGAGAGAGCCCAGCTTCCAAGGGTCGGCTCTCATCCTGGCCGGGGTGGGCCGCGGGCGGGGTGCGAATTCAAGAGTCTTAGGTCTCTCCAAAGGACTGATGAGGCAGAGCGGATGAGAGTCAGAGACAGGAGGAGGTGGGGCTTTGCGTCGCTGTGGGACTGGGAAAAAGGTGGCGGGGTCTGGAAGGCGAGGGAAGTCCAGGCTGTCTGGTGTACCTGGATGAAATGCAAGAGATAGAGAGGTTTCAGTTTATGTTTGTTTTGTCCCCCTGTTTTTAATGTCTTCCTGTCTCTTTGTTTTATTGTTCGTGTTAATTGTCTGTTTTTATGGTTTTTAATTTTTACTGTACGGCACTTTGCTCAGTGTTTTTGTTTTTTTAAATGTGCTTTATAAATAAACCTGTAAATAAATAAACCTGGAAGTCATACTTCAGCTAATATTACAGGAATAAAACTATGATTGTTCGACAGAGACTGTGTGTGTGCACATAAAAGTGTTTTGTTACTATATCAACTTATTTTTTTCTCCTTCCTTTATCCTTCCTCCTGTGTTAGCTTTTACTACGCACCCACCATGTTAAGGGTCGGTTCTGACTCGTCTTCAATCAGCTGTAAATTACACTAAAAACAATTCTCTATCATCCAAATTTTGTTCTCATCTCTAGGTTACCTTGTTAGGATTCATTATCCATCAAAATATTGCTTATAATAGTTTTTGTTGCGGGCCTCCGGGTCTTTCTTCTGGGTCTTTCAGTTTACCCCTCACACAGACATCTATACTGAACTGATTTCACATGTCTGGACATGCCTGATGTCGTTTTTTGTGCAGAGAAAACATGGAAAAATGAGAATTTCCTAAATCTCACATGATTGAAAGAGGATCTGACTGTCAGTGTGGTGCCTGTTAGTGCACTTGTGATTTCAGTTTTTGCTCTAACTATTAAATATTGATCTAACCGGGTCAACAGCGACCCTCAAACCCTAAAAATAAGAGCATTTTATAACTTAGTCAATTTAAATTTTTCATTTTTATTTTGTTGAAATAGAGGTTCCTGACAAAGTCAAAAAGTATTAATGCAAAAAAGCTAAATTAAGTGGTTCTTTTAAGCATTTAAAATCAAAAACAGGTCAGTGCAGACCCTAAGACAGGAGGAGGGTTAAAGCAATATGTCAGAAGTTATTTTACAGTTAAACATGAAGAATCGATAAATCATAAAAAGTGAAAACATCTCCATAAGTTCTGGACGACACGTTGTTTACACGATGAGTCAGTGTACCTTTGTTTGGAGTCTTGAGGTGCATTCCAGGTGGTGGTGGCATCGGCATGCTCCCATCTGATGGCGTCCTGTGGTGTCCCAGTGTCTGAGCACGGGGTCGAATCGCCCCGTCTGAAGGGGTCCGTCTGTGTCCTCTGTTCATGGCCATCGCTGCAGACACATGGGTGGGTGTCAGTGACTGGTTGGGCTCCTTCTTAAAGCTCTCCGCCCGAAGGTCCAAGAGTGGGTTGAGGGCGGGAGCAGGTGTCGCTGCTGGAGTTTTGATCCTTGTCACCGGGGTCAGGGGATACTCGTCTGGGTCTGATGGGAGGAGGGACTTCGTGGAGTTGCAGTCGGACAGAGAGGAAAGGGAGAGGAGTGTGACGGAGGGGGAGGGATCCAAGCAGGGGAGGGTGGAGTCGTGATGTCTGGAGAGGGAGAGGGAAAGGTTTCTGCTGGGCGGGGAGGTGCTGCGACGGAAACGTCCCGTCCGCTGGAAGATACCCTCCTTCTTCTTCCGCTGCTCCTCTTTGAGGTCCTGCTCGTCTTGAAGCACCTGAACGAAACATAAGCACAAGTCAAAAACATGATTCTCCCACCCAAAAACACTACCTTTTTTCTTTGACAATAACTCCTACTTCACCCCCCATACGACAAATGATCATGACCTAACGTCTCAATTTCTTTGTCCATCTTGACTTACACTCTTTTTCTTTGATAACAGACAGAAACTCTTGAAACACAGAGTCAACAAGGTGCTGGAAAGCATCCATGCAGACCTTGATCCTTGCTGACTCGACAGCAGCACTCATTTCCTGCTGATAATTTGGCAGCTTGTACATCCTGTTTCATCCCATCCTGAAGGTGATCTATCAGTCTGACATCTGGAGGCTGAGCAGGTGATCTGAGTCACACCTCTGGTACTATTACTCGGCTGGATTGAAAGCTTTGTAATTGAATAAAGTTAATTTACCATAAATGAAAACTTTAATATCCTGTATGGGATTTCTTGTTTGCACACAAGCGTCACGATATGTTCTGTTTATTGAGTTTTTCCCTGTGATTTGAGTGTATTTTCCATCGTGTTTCTGTGTCCTATTGTTCCTGTTCCCCTCTAGTCTTGTCCTGTGAGTTTTCAGTTTGTGTCCGACCCTGTTTCCCTCATGTTCTCAGTATTTTATTCTATCAGTTTTCAGTGTTTCCTGTTTTATTTTGTAGTAGTTTATTCCCTGTGTTTCTAGTCTTGTTTTACTTCCTCAGTTTTTCCTCCTTAGTAATTGTCTTCACCTGTGTCTCTGTGTCTCACCTGCCTCTCGTTGCTTGTTTCCCCGTGTGTGTGTACAGCCCCAGTCTTCCCCTGTTTCGTTTTTGGTTCGTTGTGAATTTGTGTTGTTAGTCTGCGTGTCAGTTTCTCCAGTGTCTCCGTGTGGTTTTTCCCTCAGTGCCTTTATTTGATTTTGGATTTTTTGAGTTGGACATTTATAAGTAAGTTTTTGTTGCTTTTTATTTAGTTCATTTTGAAATAAATCATTTTGGTCCTGCACTTGGATTCTTCCCCTTTTTGTTTAACTCCACTTTGTGACAACAAGCTTGAAAAATCAATCAGCCTGGTCAGCTTTTTAGGAATTGACTTTAACGTATTAATCAGACGCAGCGGTGATATTTAAAGGCAGATCTGATTGAAACAGTGACAGCATACGCCTGAAGCATTTGGAGATGCTTATATTGGCGATATATGTGTAAACTAAAAAGGACGTAGTGCTGAGCTCCAGACTTCTAGCACAAGTAAACTGATGTTTATCAATATCCCCTTAAAGGGATATTCCTGCATAAGTTTAAGTCATGGCCAAACACACCGTAACACAGAGTGAGACATCCCTTTTTGCCGACCGCTTGCTTCTCTAGTTATACCAGTGGTTCTCAAGTCCAGTCCTCGAGCCCCCCTGTCCTGCATGTTTGGATGTCTCTCTGCTCCAACACACCTGATTCAAATGATCAGCTCGTTATCAGGCTCTGTAATGGCTTAATAACGAGCTGATCATTTGAATCAGGTGTGTCGGAGCAGAGAGACATCCAAACATGCAGGACAGTGGGCCTCGAGGACTTGACTTGAGAACCACTGAGTTACACCAACCTTAGTCATGACCACAAGATAGCAATACACAGCGGTCTGCGTCTCTACGTGCAAACCACAACCAAAACGCCACTCATAGCCACAAATAATGCTCAGAACAGCACCTAACCTCATCAACAGTACATACAGAGTCATATTTATACATATATTAACTAATTTATTTATGCTTTCTGCTCTCTGTTGGTTTCTGTCTCACCTGTAGTTTCCCGAGCTGCAGCAGGTCTTGTCCAAGGGCGACAGATGCGAGCAGAGAGGCACAGCCCAGCAGCAGCATGTCGCTCTTCTTCCTCTGGCTGCTGCGGCGCAGTGAGTCCTGGTAGCTCGCTGCTGTCCCCGCACTGCCGGGCCCCTGACAGGAACCACTGACTGCAGGTAACGTGTTCGTGCTCAGGCCGCCCCATAGGGACCCCGAGTCCTCCACTGCCCCATTACTGCTGGTCTCTGAAGGCTGCAGGGACCCTGGAGACTCTTCGAACTCGCAGAATTCCTCTGTTTGACAGAAGTGAATCAGCTTAAGATGAAGTTATCATCGCTAACTGCATGAAAACTTTTTTATATGAGAAAAAAACTCACCCATTTCATTGAGACTTGAGAAACCAGCTGTCATAGGTGCATGTTTGGGGGATTTTCCTAAATTTGGTGCACTTGATGACCAAACTTTGCTTCCTTCACCTAACGACTTTAGCCTGCAAACACACACACACACACTAAATTAAGCAACAAAGTGCTACAATGATGTTCTCAGACATACAGAGATGAGGGTCCAAAAGGTTCACGTCACACAAAAACAACCGTCGAACACGACATGGATTTTCCTCCACAGATATTATCTCTGCTTCTCACCGGTTCACACTCTGTAATGAGAAATTGATTGACAGGGTTTTGTTTCTCTATTTTGGGGGGAGTAACAATCTGTCCAGAAATATATGAGAAAAGGTTGTTTTTCTCTTGCCTGTGATAACTGTGATAACCCACTCCGTCTCACTGTGAGTGGAGCGAAAACAAACTAATGATCCAATTTTAGCCTCTCTGTTTCTATGAGGACCATTATTGTTGTTGTTGTTGTATCTCACCTTTTTGATCACTGATGATGTTTCTGCAACATTTGTCTATGTAGCTACACTTTTGTTTGAGTATAATTATTAGTTATTATATGAATCAAATAATAAGTGGATGTAAATGAAAGGAGTCTTACTTTTCCTCCCCGCCCACTCTCTCTTTCTGGTGGGTGGAGCTCGGTCCCCAGGTGCGCCCCTTCTTCTTATTGGCCGTCAGGTCTTCTTTCTTACAAACGGCACTGCGACCCCAAGTTTTACTGCCATCACTGGGTGTGACTGTGAGACAGAGAGAAACCTCAAATGACATTCCTCCCAACCCCTCCCACGGGACGCTTCGATCGATCCGGACTGTTTTTACTCACGTCTGATGGCTCTGAGTCGGGGTATGACGCCAGGGCTGGCAGGGGGGGTGGTGCTCTCGCTGCCCTGGGTCTTCCTCTTGTCGACGCTGGGAGACGCCTGGACTGTGATCTTATGCTCAAAGCCTGCGAGTGAGATAATGTTCAATACGTGATATTGATTTTTATGTAAAGAGATGCTGAATCAATGCTTCTTCTGTCACTTTGTTTCTTAGTTCATTAAGTGGAAATAACAAAACCTTCTTCTTATCAGTCCAGAAAATGTGCAAATATCTCTTATTTGTCTAAATCATCTATCAAAGAGATCAACTGCTCTTAAGAAATCATAAAATTTGCATTGAGAGCTGACAGTGAGTAAATGCACAAACATTCAGAGTGTGAAATCTCAGAATTACAGTAAAAAAACACGACTTCAATCTGAAATTATATATATTTTTTAATAAAACAGAATAACTTTGTAAAGCACTGTTAAACTGAAACTTTTTACTATTTTGCAGGCTCCTAAAGCTGAATTTGACAGTAATTCTTCATCTTTACCACCAGGTTGGATTATTTACTCAAACTAAGTGCCCAAATGTTTATATTATTGGACCAAGAGTGCAGTTTCTCTTTCACCCACCAGAGGGCAGACTGATGCAGTTGCTGTCTCTGCCGAGCTTCAGCAGGCGGCTCTTCTTGAAGTGGCCCTTCCTCTTCTTCACGCTGGGTTTCTCCTGGTACACCTGGTGGATGATGATGTTCAGTTCTCGCTCCACGATGTCGATCTCTCTCTCCGCCAGCTCCTGCTCTCGCCTCCTCAGCTGCTCCTCCTGCTCCCTCTGCTCCTCGGCGGCTCGGGCCAACGCCTCCTCCCAGGACCTCAGCTCCTGTAGGGAAGGAGGAAAGATGAGGAGGAGAGGAGATAGGAGAGGTAAGAAGAGGAAGTAAGAGAAGAGGAGCAAGAGGAGAGGATGATCAGGTGAGGAGGTGAGGTGAGAAGGGGATAGATAGGTTGGTTATAAAAGAAAAGAACAAAAAGTTAAAAGATTTTAAAAAGGAGAAGATATGAGGAGGGGGAAAAAGTAGAAGAAAGACAGGAAGAAAAGGAGGAGGAAACGGGAAGGAAAAATGAAAGAAAGAGGAGAAGATAGAGCGGAGAAGTAAAGGAAAGGAAGGAAAACAGTTGAAGAAGGCGAGGAGAGAAAAAGGAAAGAAGGGGAAAAGAAAAAGGGAGAAAAGTTAAGTAGGGTGGCAGGAGGTGAAGAAAGGTGAGGCAAAATGAGGATGTGGAGAAAATAAAGGAGAAGAAATGATAAGAGGAAGGAGTAAAAATAGAAGGAGAGAAGGCGATGACGAGGAGAAGAAGAAAAGAAGAGGAGATGAAGAGGTTATTGGCACGTCAGCACCTCCTTTCACACCTCCTCTGGCAGCGGGCTTGTTGCTAAGATAATGTTGCTAAGGTAATCCTGATTTGCAGAAACACCTCAGAGAAAGTGAAATGTTGAGATTCCTCACACCTTCAACATGAATGTTCCTCTACAGACCAGAGACTAAATTTCAAAACCTGCATGTTTTACTCAAATCTCAGTTTCTAACCTTCTCTTTGGCTCGCAGCTCATCAAACATCTGCTGGATCTCCAGCCTCCAGTCCTCCTGCAGCGAGTGAAAGGACTCCAGAGGCATCTGAAACATGGCTGACTGCTCGATGGCGAGCAGTCTCCTCAGGATGCTGGTGAAGGACGGTCGGCTGTGCGGGTTTGAGCTCCAGCACTCTGAAAGGAGAGACAAGAAGAAAGTGATTGTTTATATATTCTCCAAAAGTTCTCTTTGTCGTTAGGGATGGGAATTGATACGATTGATTATCGATATCGTTGCCATTAAAGATTCTGCTTATCAATTGAATTCTTTAATGATTTCCTTATCAAGGCCTTTCTTTGATTTAAAAAAAGTAGACTATAGGTTTTCAATGTTAAATCAAAATTTTATTGAGTCTTTGATAACAGAATAAAGATGTAGTCTAAAAATAATTCAACGACAAACTATTCGAACAACATTTACTTGGTCGGTATAAAGTCAAATCAGGGTGACCATACTCTGGATCTCCAAAAAGAGGACAACATTTTGAGGGTTTTTCTCGTCGGGTTGAGTGTTTTTTACGCGCTTATAACTCAGTTAGTCCACGCTACACAAACTCAAAACTTCCATACAAGACTTGTTGCCGTCTTTCTTAGTAAAATGAAGCCCCGCTTTAGATCGTTTCTGCCTACTTTTTGTACCGTCCACCATGTTTTTTCCTCAAAGTTTCTGTTCTTGTTCATGTAGACTGCCTCTCACAAGACCGTTTTCCAAAGCACCCGGAAGAAAGGAATCTTTAAGGGAATCATGGATTGAACCACTTGGAACCGGTTCTCAGCAAGAACCGGTTCTCTATTCCCATCCCTATTTGTCATAGTTACTTTAAATAATTTATAATGGATCAATTATCATTTTAAAACTACCTTTAAAAGATAGGGTCCAGACTACATTTACAAAACACCTAACGAAGGATTTTTTTATTCAGGATTTGCTTGTCAATAACTGTTGTGAAAATATCACACCTCTTTTGTCTTTTCTTTCCCATTTAGTCCCACATTTCTCTAAAAAATGCTGAGTCTTTCTAATCCGGCCTCAGAGACGTCGTTTTAATGAAGACAATCATTTGCTCAAACAGCTGGTCTGTGGTTTGATAACCCAATAACAGGGACTACTTCCAGCAGAATACGAGTGTACAGTCGGTGCACCAGTGAATATTTAGAGCAGCAGAGCACCGTGTGAGGGATTTACTCTGAATCCACAGTGTGACTCACTGATATGTTTTAATACCGCTCTAAAGAGAAGTCTCTGCAGCACACAGGATGAAGATACAGGGAGAGGGAAAATGTTGTACTGGATTTGTGATTGTTATACAATAAAGATGATGCAGGATTACATCTTTTCTCTGTATTTATCATCTGCATTTGAAATTGAAAATTGATTTTGATTTCATAATTCACAACAGAATAATGTCAATTTTAAAAGAATTACATTTCAGACTCATAAAAAAGGAGTTTTTAACTGTGGTGTACTTCATCCTCTTTTATTTTAAATATTTACTTTGTAAGTCATAATAAATTTTGGGTGTGGAAATTTTAAAAATGCTATCAGTGAAGCGTGATATAAACTGGCTCATGTAACAGCTACCCAGAGGCAACATTGAAAGGATTAAAAATAGCTACAAAAATGATCAAAAATCTTCACTTATGTCTTTTTAAATTGCTTTTAGGTCATATAGAGGCATCAGTATTGATTTTACACCATTAAATAATCCTCAAAAAAAAAACTACAGGAGCTTTAAATGTAGGTTTTTTTTTATTATCTTATTTTCTAAAAAAATACAAACTTAATTCTCATAAAACCACCTAAATCCAAAATCTAAAGTTATTACTGTTACTCTTATCTCCATCATATTGACCAGTACTCAGTAGTATGTTCATATATTTTTAGTATGTATAATTATACACCAATCTTAAAAACTTAAAAAATATCTATAAACACATTGACCAAATATCTACTAGAGACAAATATCTTTTAAACACTTTCTGACTTCCTTTTTTCCCCTTTTCTTAAATTTATCTCGCAGGATCAATAGAGACTAATTTATGTTGCAATTAGGACAAACTCTGCTACAGTACTTCAGCTTATTTGCACTGCCAATTCACGGAAACATAACAACATAACATCAAAATTAAACAATTCAAAACTCGAACTATAATACTAAATGATCTGATAGCAGACTAAAAATAAGAATATCTCTAGTCTCAGTTGTCATGTGTCAAAAAGTGACATATAAAAATAATTTATAAAAAAGCAATATGAAAAAATCTATCTTATAATATCTGTCTCAGTCAGACAGGTTATAAACACAAATCTAAGACAAGTGAACCTTGAATTTTTAGTCTGGACAGTTTTTTCTTCCCTGGCAGTAAAAAAAAAGGCAACATGAGATGTGGAAGAGAGCAAGATGGGACGGCATATGGCGACCATCATGAGCCAAACCCTGAGCGACAGTGTTGCAGAAACCCGGTGCACACCTACAGTAATCTGCTGAGCAGCACACTGATCACTGCTACCTCTCCAACATGAAACCAGACACAGACGTCTGCTGAGGAAAGCATCGAGGAAAGGCAGAGCAAAAGTGTAAACCGGAGAGCTGTTTCATAGTTTCCAGCAGGTAACATTTATTTAGGTAACCTCAAATTAGCATAAAGAGTGAGTGGATAAAGTTGGAGCGAGAGGAGATGAAAGTGAGATGATGACAGGAGTAAACAGAGAGTGGAGAGAGCGAGCGGCGAGGGATGAAAAAGGAGAGATTAGCGGATGAACATGGATAAGATGAAGAGGAGTGGAGTGGAGGATGAGGAGGAGGAATAGAGCTTTGGGAGTAGAGTGGGAGGGAAGTGGAGGGTGGTGAGTGAAGTTTGCCTGACAGTTAAGAAACAGCTCCTTTCCTCTTATTAGACATAGAAACCTGGCCTGCAGCTTACTCTCCCTCACAGACACGAGCTTTGGAGAAAGGAAATTTTAAAAACGACAGGTGTGTGTGTGTGTTCAAAAAGAAACGACCTGAACTCTGAAACAAGAGCTCTTTAATACTCTACCACTGTTCACACTGAGCTGCTGGATTATTTTCAAGGTGAACAGGAGAAATTCAGCTCCTGGGAACTCAGGCGCACGGCTGCAAATGTATATAGAAAAAGCAGCCTGATGAAGACATTCACACACTCGCCATCCTTTCTTTCAGCTCTCAAAAAGGATTAAAAGAGTTGCCCATAACTTTAAAAAAAGGTGTCCGCTTGTTTTTAGGTTTAGGGTTATCAAAAGGGTGTGAAATTTCCACTTTAACATCATCCAAGTGTTTGCGGCTGCTTACCTGCCAGTAGCTGAGCGAAAGGCTCAGGGCAAGTTGATGGTATGGGAAGAGTCAGCTTGTTCATGGCGACACCGTAAGCCACCGCCAGAGCGTCTATCTCCCTGTAGGGGACCTCGCCTGTCAGCAGCTCCCACAGCAACACACCGAAACTGAGACGGATGGAAGGAAAGGAGAATGTTAGGATTTCATATCTGCAAGTAGTTTACAAGAATGACAGTTTCAGATTAAGATAAGGTGCTTGTTCCCTTATAATAATAATAATAATAATAATAATAATAATAATAATAATACATTTTATTTATGATGTGCTTTTACAGGTGCTTAAAGATGCTTTACAAAGACAGAAACACAATTTCAAATACAGAAAATTTTCTGAAATAAAACCAATAATGTAGAAGGTTAAAAAAGACACAACATGAAAAGACAATAAAAGAACAGTTCACAGGTTAAAAGCCAATTTAAAAAGGTGTGTTTTTAGGAGTGAGTTGAAAGAATGGGGGTCTGTACAGTCTTGGATGGGTTTGGGGAGTAAATTCCAGAGAGTGGGGAGGCAGTGGAGAAGGCTCTGTCCCCCCCAAGATATAGAAAGGACAAGTGCCAAATGAGGAAACCCATCCCATCGCACCCGTAACATGACGACAGATAAGGATAGATGTGTAATGATAGCCTCCATTCACTTGTGTTTCAGAGGCCTACAAAACTTAAAGCAGGATGATGATAGAGAGATGAAAGAGAGAGGATATGGACGCTCTACCTCCCCCTTCTCCTTTACTTTTATGAGGGATGAGAATCAGAGAGAGCATATAGAGAAAAGTGCATGGACAGATGACAACAGAAGACAAGGGAGGAGAGCTCAAGTGACAAGCCTCTCTTAATATGAGATCAGACTGTACGCTCTACCTCCCCCTAGTACTCTATACTGAAGGAGATGATCATTTTTCTATGACGAGCTGATATAAGTGACCCTTACAGGCCAATTTATCATGACTGTGATCATATGTGAGCTCTGAAACTCAGAGACAGGTGCTGTACCTCCACACGTCGCTGCTCTTGGAGAAGAGGGAGAGCTTGATGACCTCTGGGGCCATCCAGGCGTACGTCCCTGCCGCGCTCATCTTTGTGGTCTGGTGCCACTCTCTGGCCAAACCGAAGTCTGTGATCTTCAAGGTTTTACCGCTCAAGTCGTCCCGCGCCACAGGCTCCAGGATGAGAACTGAAGAGGAAAACAGGGACAACGATCGGTGTTAAAACATGACAAAGGAGCAAAAGAGGGAACATCACACCTGTAATTTTCTGATTTGTGAATGCCGACATTAAAGAAGTGGATGTTAGAGGTGTTTATGTTCAATAGCACTGTCATGTTTGCATTAGAGGTGTGGTCAGAGCAGTTTGTTGTTCAGGTTTCAGCTAAAGGCGAATATATCAGTTCTGGTCCAGGGGTCAGCTGTGAGGGACCTGTGGGTCAAACTGTCTCTGTTCATGTCTACAGTCTCTTCTTCACAGTATTCTTGTAAATGTTAGTGTTTGAAATCAGCTCTGCGTCGCTCTGTATGACTTCCTCCTCCATTTCCGCGTATAAGCTGGTTATGGAAATGTTTGGAGTGTACACAGTTCCCAGGCAGGTGGAGGTTGCCTTCACTGTCTCTCTCTCTCACTTATCTACAGGCGTATGCAAAGAGAGGTGGAGGGAGAGAGAGAGGCTACGCACACACAGCGGCGTCTTTGTTTACACACACACACACACACACACACACACACAACCTTTCACGTGATACAGGTGTGCCTTTCTGTTTTCCGCCCTGTCCACAAGTTTGCTGGGAGACCAGTTTCGCTGATAAAGAATTGATCCAGTCTGCACATATTCCCACAGTTAGAGATATGTTTTCTTCTTATGGAAAGGCAGGAAAAACAAAGTGTTGATTATTAATATGCATGTTCAATTTTAAAGCATTTAAGCTCAGATATATATGCTTGATACTGTTAAACTCTTGTGATAAACTTTGGGGTGGTGGTGTTGGTTCTGGTACCCCCTGTGGATAAAATGGTGCCTTTGGTCCTGTGCGTGTGTGGGTAATGTTTTCTGACTGACTGACCAACCAACTGACTAACCAAGTAACTAAGTAAGTAAGAAAAAACGAAAGACAGAAAGTAAGTATGCATGAAAGTAAGAAGATAAGTAAATAAGAAGTGAGAAGTAAGTGAGTGAGGAGGATAGAAGGTGAGTAAGTACGGAGGATAATAAGTAAGGAGGAAATTGCACAGGTAAGAAAGGAAGTAAGAAAGTAAGAAGAGAGGAAATAAGTACGTATCTAAGTAAGACAGAAAGTAAGGAAGGAAGGAAACTGGTAAGTAAGTTAGAAGGTAAGTAAGTTTGTAAGTAAGAGGAAAGGTGGGTATGTAAGAAGGAAGGAAAGAAGGAAGGAAGGTGAGTAATCAGTAAGGAGGTAAGTTAGAAGGTAAGTAAGTAAGTATGAGGGTAAGTTACTAAAAGTAAATAAGTAACAGGTAGGGCAGAAAGTTAGAAAGTTAAAAGAAGAAGGTAAATAAGAAGATTGGTAAGTGAGTTAATAAGGAGGTGGAAAGTACGTAAGTAATCAAGAAAATACCAGTGACAAATAATTTAAAACACAGTTTCTACTGTCCTAACATAACTAACAAAGAAATTAAATTAGGGCTGGGCGATATGGCCTCAAATCGATTAACTTCATCTACTTCAGTTGCTACAACTTTTGAACCGTCCTCCATCTCCTCACCTGTCTTTTCCTTTTTGTTACAGACTGGATGGGTTGGATTCACGTCTCTGACATAAGACAGCGTCTTAAAGGGACATGAGACCATAGCCTACCTACACACATCCAAAAACAACTTTTATCTATTCATTTTTTTTGACAACCAATACATTGACATGGGCAAAATGACGTCGCTTTTTGTCTGCATAACCAGCTTAAAACTCCCCTGAAAAGCTGTCCGTTACTTATAACCTAATTTTCTGTCTTTGATACAAGATTTTAAAAATAAAATAAATAAATAAAAACTTATCTGCAATCAAACTATTAATGAACTGCAGCCATAGTTTATAGGGAAACATTGGGTTTACTCCACAAAACTGAATTCTCTACATCATGCAACATCTTGTACAAAATTACTAGAAACTGCAGCTGTCAAAGAAATTTAGAGTAAATTTACATTTGGAGGCAGAATTGCCCAGGAGATGTATTTCTCTGCCAACCAGTCAAAATGTATTTTACATCCAGATGTGTTTTTAACATAAGACACTGTAACTTCGCCTCAAGGGGGAGCGGATGTTAAATTTGGAACATTTTTAAAAGAATATATCAGCCTCAACATCAAGGAACAACAGAGACCAACATTAAACATGAGAAACTGCACCAGAGGATTTGAGGACAGTAATGTCTCTGTAATGTGTTTTTTAATGGCTCATGCTTAGCAGAGAAAAGTAGAGCAATCTGGTCACAAATACCTTAAACCTTTGGGATTAGAGTCATGAGTTAAGTCAACAGAAAGTTAAATTTCGCATGATTGAGATGAGATCAAGCCAAAAAAAAGATATTATGGTGTCACAGTACAACTGGGAACAACTTTGACCTGTTTTGATGTATTATTAGTGGTATATTGTCCTTTAAATGTTGTGTTTAAGTTATAAATAATCATAGATGGAATTACTTAAGTGAAGAAGTGACTTTTCTATTCTGACTCTGTCGTCTGTGTGAAGGACAGCTGTCTCCCTGAGGCTCTCTCACTCTCTGTTTGCCCTGAAAAACTAACGCTCGAGTTTAGACAGACGTGGACAGAACACGAGAACGAGGTATGTTTGCATGCTGAAATGGGTGTGTTCTCCTGCCTCTCCTGTTTTGTGTTTCTGCGTACGACCATGGAGCACATCCATACAGGGAAAAAGGACATCAGGTCTGCGGGGTAGAGGAGGGGAGGGCGGGGCAGACCAAGAGAGGACAGAAAAAGAAGAGAATGACGACAAACTGGATGGCGAGCATGTGAGAGCTGAGCAACACTTCCACCTGCTCCCACTCTGCCTCTCCTCTCTGGTTTAATTATAAATTCATTATCATGTTTCTTTCGCATCTTTCTCAGCTTTGAGATACCACCTGCGCATGTTTCATTCATCAGGTTTTCACTACAGCCGGCGTATCATCCGTATAAGAAACGAATGGATTATTATGTTTGTTTACAGCCGCAGGCGGAGACCTAAAGAGAGCCGCCGTGCACAAATATCAACAGAGGTGTCAGAAGCATTGCAGCGCAGTGACTAAAGATGAAAAATATCTCCTTAAGTTGTGTGGCTTTCAGACGATTCAATAAAAGTGCCACAGGGAAAGTTTCCTCAATGTAGAGCAGTGAGAAGGCAGACAGAGACAGTGCGAACAAAATTCCTGCTACAGCTAAATCAGTCAACACCAACATTTAATTAGAAAATAACACATTTAATCCAAAATTAGCAACACCTAATAAAATTTACACCGGCGTATTCACACAGCTTCATTATTATTAGAGTAGAATAGTTGTTTTTTTACTCTGTGGTTCAGAGTCACACTCGCAGTTCTGTGAGGCTGTTCATGTTTGTGTCAAAGTTTGGTTTTGATTCTTCGCAGCTTTGATGGTGGGGTAAATGTTTGGAGGTGTCATGTCACAATGCTCAGGGTTAGCAGGTTTATAGATTAGCATGAACTACAGAAGTTTAGACAGCATTAGTTTCAGAGTATTTGTCAGTATTAGGGGTGGGAATCACCAATGGCCCCACGACATGATAATGTCACGATACTTGGCCATGATATGATATTGCGATTTTTGACATTTTGCAATATGGTGAGTATTGCGATACAATCTATTGCGATTCATCCATTTTTTTTTTCATCTGTTTAGCTAATGTAAAGAAAAAGTTAGTATTCTACTTTTTAGTTGCGCCCTCTGGTGGCAAAGATAACTGCAATGTGACAACTTGTGACAACCCATGTGACAACAAGCCCCGGTCTCCCCTACTTGGTAAATGAGAAGACACGATATATCACCAGACAAAATATCGTGATGCTATGCTGTATCAATTTTTCCTCCCACCCCTAGTCAGTATCATGGACCACTTTAATTTTGTTTTTAATTTATTTGGTCCATTTGTCAGTATCAACACTGTTTTGGGGTATTTCTAGCTTGTACTCTGTTGTCAGATGTCAGTCCATTTCTCCGGTTATTTCAGATTGTTCCCGACTGAAATGTTTTGTGAAGGTGTACCCATTAAGGACCGGCAATCTATCAGTAAACCAGTCTCATGGACTGTAGACTTTGAGGACTGCAGGGGAGCCATTAGAGCCACAACTCAGAAACTCTTGTTTCATCTGAGTGTCATTACTCATCCGTCAAAAACACCTGCTAATTGGCCGGAGAGTGAAAGTTTCAGCCCACAGAGAGCAGCAGTTTTCTTTGAGCCCTGTGTGATCAAATGTTGATTCAACCTTTAAACTGCTTTAGTGGGTCTGTATCCTTGGACTCTGACCCCGGCTGAGTGTTTAGAAATACCACTGAGTCAGTGTTCAAACACCGATAGAGGAGTGACCAGCCAGGCTTTGAACCAGCTAATGATCCACAGACTGGTTAGTCAGTGCAGGTGACACATTAGCAAACAGCTCGATCAGACGTGTCACCACACAGGAATGCAATCAAAGGTCCTGAGTGATGCTTTTTTTACTCCTGAGCGCCAATAACATTCAAGTTTATAACACCTTCGACAAGACACGCAACATGTTTGGCATGTGGTGGCTCTAATCTGGAAACTCCCCGACATCCCAAAGTAGAAAAGCTGCAGCTCTAACAGTCAGATTAGGTCAGCGCTTAAAGATAAACACATAACAATCGCAGAAAATATTCAGAAATTGTAATAATGCAGTTTCAAAGAGATGATTGTAGTAATAATAAACTTAAACTGAAAAAATAGATTTGTCTTTATTTAACAGTGAATCTTTTCTTTCAAATGAAACTACAAAAAAGCAACAAAACACCCCATCTAAACACCGACGGAGCCAAACTCTTGTTGTCTGTCTCGAAGCTGCCTCGCCTTAAATAAACAGTGAGTTGGAAAGCGACCAATCAGCTGACAGAGTTTTGGGCGTGGTCTTCCCAGCAGTCAGCTGAGAGATTAAGTCAGTCTGATCAGCTGATCAGGATGCTGCAGGTGGAACGACCTGTCCGAGTCTGCTCTGCTTCTCTATCTCATCTCTTTGTATTTAAGCATGATCTCCCAGTCTCAGGATTCAATACAAGGCCGGGAGAAAATCTGATGCAGATCTGAAGTTCAGATACTCTTAGTTTAAATTATTTCTATTATAGTAATAACTATTAAATAAATTACAGGTAGTAATGGCTTCCTTTGGCCTGTTATTCTCCGTTTAAAAGTAATTTTCTGTTATTTTAGTGAAGGATCAGCTCAGTCCGCTGTGTCATTAACTTGTTGTTTTGGTAACAAGAGCAGGGGTCACAAAGTGAGAGTATGAAGCTGAGGGCACTAGAGAAAAAAAAAAAGTACCATGACCATGTAAGGGTGCTTTGTTTTCTTTTTGTTGTCTGGGTCAAGCTTATTTTTAAAGGGTTAATACACAGATTTTTGACTAAACTATTTTAGTTTTTGTTCATAAAGTTCTAATTTTATGTAAAGAACAAATTTAAACATGTTCACCATGTCATGTCAAATGTGTGTTTTCTAGATGTTTAATTTAATGCACATTTTGTTTCTTTTGATAGGCGTTACATTAAAGGGATATTCCAGCGTAAAATTAAGTTAGGGTCATTTTGCGCTGCAGACGCTGTAGTTCTTCTGCCTTAGCGTCTCGGTCTGATCGTATTTCCATGAAAATTATCATAAATGTTCTTCCTTGAGCTGCGTCACCCCGCTGCAGTCGATGGACCCTTCGTACAAACAAGCGGCTGCTGGAAGAGAGTAGGTGAGTTGTGTTTAGTCTCTTTGCTAAAGAAATTAGGCAAAGTTAAAAAGATGTTTGGTGGCTAGTACTGTGACTGGGACCCCATATGTACCGTTGATGAAGTTAGGTGCTGTTCTGAGCATTATTTGTGGCTATAGAGTAGTGTTTGGGTTGAGTGCGTGGCTCTCTGTATTGCTATCTGCAGTCATTACTAAAGTTGGTATAACTGGAGAAGCAAGCGGTCAGCAGAATTCATCTCTCAACAGGGTGTCTAACTCGGTGTTAGGTGTGTTTGACCCTGACTTAATTTTACGCCGCAATATCCCTTTAAAATCCATTCAAGTTTGAGTCATAAAAAAGTGGACTGAAGCGTCTCAGAGTGTTTGCAAATGTCACGTCTCGATTTCCACTTAAAATAAACTTCATTTTATAAATTTTAATTCTACATCTTTCCAAACAGAACTTTCGAAGCTCCTCCTTTATTGTTCCTCTTTCACTCTGCTTCATCATAACTTTCTTTTTCCACCTCATCCTCCTCTCTTGTGCAGAGACAGGTGTAGCCGGCAGAGTGGAACAGCTGTTGCTGCATCGCCAAGTCAGCAGTCCAGACTCTATGTACCGACAAACCCTCGACAGCATTTCTGATACCGCCCTCCCACTTTTCACAACTCATAACACCCTCTTCCAACTACCCACATCTGCCCAGAGCTACTTAGTGTTTAGACACAACACCGCGAATATCTCGGATGTCTGTTTCAGTTCAAGAATGTCAGGGAGACAAATCCAGCCACTTGACTGACATGGCGACGAGTGCGTTAATGCAGCTGAAATCTAGGCCTGCCCCCCGCCTTGAAGGCCCCGCCGACTCCATCTCTGTTTCCACGTCTGTAAAGATCAAAACCTGGCAGACAAAAAAAGCAGCCTCCCCCTCCAACCCTGCCCCTTATGACTGTCTCTTCATCTCTGTATCCTCTCCTTTACCCTCATTGCATCTCTTCACTCCCTCCCTCTGCGAGAGCCCACTCCCTGACTGTCTGCTGTTTCAGCTGTCGCCAGCCTGGCTGTGATTACAACGCACTGGGGAGAAGAAATGGAAGAAGAGAAAGATTGGATGGAGTCAAAAAAAAGTGACTGAGAGGTGGATTGTGTGTACATATTGTTGGAGGAGGTAGGAGTGGGGAGGGTAAGAAGATGAGGAGGCAAGGCGGGTGGTGGTCTATAGGGATGAGGAGAGGTGGGGGAGGGGAGACACGGAACGAGAGAGGGAGGAAAGAGGCAAGAAGGGGACAAAAAATGACATGAGAGGAAGAGCTGCAGAAATTAGGCCAAGAGGAGTGAGTGAAAATTTGGGAAAAAGCAGCTGAGAAGTGAGGTAGGGCCAGTATGAGAGAGTGAGGGGAGGCAAGAAAAAGAGAGAGATGGAGAAAAAAAAAAGGGAAAAAGCGCCACGAGAAAGGGGGCTATAATGACAGGATGAAAAGATGCGCGCTTGTAGAGGCAAAGAGAGATGACTGGAGGGAGAGCTTTTGTCATTTTTCCTGGCAGCACATACCAGCTGTCTTTGTATCTCAATAGGTCTCTCTATTTTCCTTCGGCTTTCACACATCTCATCTCTCAAGAGATTTCAAGCACCAAAGCACGCCTGCAAAGATGTGCACATGAAAACACAAACTTCAAATCTCGCCGTTGCCTGTAATTTAAGTCTGTTTAGTTCAAATGCAGCATGAAAATCAAAAACAGACATGTGGAGTAGATTTACAGCTTGGAAAAAATGCTGTCCCTGCATCAAAACCGCTCAATTCAGAAATGTAAGAGTTAGCTTGTACGACAGTTTGATTATTTTCATCAGACATGCAGCAAATCAGAGTTTCTTCCCTGTGCCCCCATGCTTTTACACAGAGGTTGTAGTGAGCCTGCTCCCATGTCATTGATACCCTGGCTTGGCTCCACGTGTACCACTACAGGCCATTGGGTCTCTAATCCTGAGCCGCACAGTGGCACAGTTTCACCCCGCAGCCATTCACTTTGTGTGCACACAAATGCAGCTGCCAGATTCGTGTGACCAGGCAGACTCTCTCTCAGAAGAGATTGAGGTATTAAATGAGGCAGCTTTCTTTCAGCTCTTCTTGAGAAGAGTCCGTGTGAGTGTGTGGATGTGTGAAATGAAAAAGGGAGCACCTAAAGTCTGGGAATTTATGTCGAAGTATGAGCTTTAATGAGGTGCTGACAGCAGACATGGAAATAATGGTTTCCTAAGTCTGAACTCTGACTGTGTCCAAAATGGATCCCTAACCCCTGTATAGGCGACTATATGGAGGTTAGCGCCATTTTGAGGGGTGTCCGAAACCTGAGTGATCAATTCCAATGCCCCATATAGGTGACTCAAAATTTCCCATAGAGCTTTGCAAAATGTAGTGATCATCCAATGGTCCCTCACCGGTGATGGGCATCCCGTCATGCTTGTCACAACAGTGTAGTGTCCGAAACCTCCGGTGATTGAGCTCACTACATAGTCAGCTATATAGTGAAACCCCATATGGGGGTTAGGGGTTAGGGGTTGAGTGATTCATTTGGGACACAGCCTCTGTTTGCACAGATTTAAAGTGATATTGGGCAGCAGTTTATATCAGCTATGAAAATCAAATCTGCTCCTCAGATCAAAATTGAAATACATATTTTTTTTAATATTTAACATTAGGGCAAAAGAGCACTTAAGGGTTATTTGTTGATTATTTCTCAGCTTGCATGCCTGCAAAATTATCAGCATTTTAAATCCTTGACAGAAGAACATTATGTCCTGTCATGTCAACCTTATACATTTCTTACACAGTCACAAAAACTGCAGAAAATGTGTGAGAATGCTAAAAGCTAAAAAGAAATAATTAAGACTCTCAGATCATATGGAAATGTTAAATAAAGGTGTTAAAACAATCAACTAACTGTAGAATATAAAGCTGAAATAAAATATCTAAATATCTATGCCTTGTGTTATAGGGATGCAAAGGGAACTAAGATGATGCTAAAATAAAGAATGAAACTGAAAATGCTGCTGAAGATGATACTAAAGATCTCTAAGATCAAAATACAAATGATGCTGTCCAATTGTGAATATGATGCTGACGGTAGCAAAGATGATGCTAAAAATTATGCTGGTATCATAAAGATGATGCTGAAGATAAAACTGAAAACAAAACTGAAAATGATGCAGAAGCCGAAAAAGATTTTGAGGAAGAAGCTGATAGATATTCAGGATGACGCTTAAGATGATGAAGATACTGCTGAGGATGACTAACATGATGCAAAAGATGATGCTGAGGGAAAACAGAAAAATGCTGTGGATGCCTGAAAATGATGCTGAAGAGATGAAGATGATTCTGAAGACAACACTGTTACTGAATGTATGATGCTGAATATGATTAAGATGCAAAAAAAGATTTTGAGGATGATGCTAATGAGTGTAATGGTCTAATGAGTTGATGGTAAAAGACAATGAGGGTGATGCTGAAGTTAAGAAGGACTTTGATATAAATGCGACTTGAGGTAACAAAGATGATGCAGAAATGATAAAGATGATACTCAAATATTCCAAGCTTGTTGTAACACATAGCTGTGTTTTCTGTTTTAATTAATTTATCAGTCATGAGTTATAGATAGACCTGAGCTCTCAGCAGGTCATCCAGGAATCCAGTCAGGTGGTCTTCACAATAGCAACATGCTAACATATGTGATCTCTGCTGCAGCGCACAAAAATGTTGAATAAAACATCCCGGCATTGACTCCCCGGGTTCTTCGACTCTGAACATGCATCAGCCTGTCTGCTGTCTGGCTGAAGTGTCCTCTTGTTGACTCCACTCCGTAAGTGGGTGAAGGACTTTCAGCTTGTGGGACATCCAGCGCCCTCACTGCTTGGCTTGACTCCCTGCTCTCGGTGCCAGGCTGCTATCCAGCAACAATGACCCTCTAACAGGCCAGTTATTGAACGTACAACAGCCCAGGAGGTGTCAATGTAAGTGTGACATTAACTGTGGTTATCACTTGTCTACTGTAATCCTTGCCCACACAGACACACAGAGCCACACTGTGCTTTTAAATGAACGTATTATTCCTCTGTAGATCTGACATGTAAAGTCAAATAAAAAGGAGCATAAATGTGCTGTTTCTGTTCTCTCGCCGAGCGCTCGCCCTCTGTGTACTCTTCTTTGTCATCTCAGTTTAATTTCAAGCAACCTCTCGTGCTGCTGCTTCTCAAACGCTTCTACTGACTGAAGAGCTGAGGTGAATATGAGGCGATGACGAGGAAACGAACAGCCCGTGGCGTTTAGCGGTGGTGTTTACTCCACTACTGTTTGCCTGTCTCCTGACTCAGAGCAAAGTTAAGCAGTCTGCAGGCCGGTTTTGCAGAAATGGATGGAAGAACACTAAAAGCTGCAAGATCCAACCCTTTTTGTAGAAACAGGAAAATTCAGCCAAATTATGAAACCGACTGCTTGTGATTATGAGTACAAATGCAGTTTCAGGTACAAAGTGTGACTTAACCTTCGTGACCTTTCAACAGCAGTCGCAAAACACAAGTATACATGCAGAGGAGTTGCATATACTGTTTGTTTTTAACAAGAGCTTTTCATTATGCTCAACAACATGGAGCAGCGTAGTGTGTAAATGTGTGTCAGTATGTTTAGCAGGTCCACAGAGAGCCTGGGCTGCAATGCAGTAAAAAGGGAGCAGCCAGTCATTACTGTAAACTGGCTTTGATTCAACTTTTTATTGACCAGTGGAGAAAACAATTGCAGTGTGTGTGCGTGAATGGACGTGTGTATGCATGCATGTGAGTTCATTTGTAATCATGCAGCCATTGACTTGTGTCACCGTTCGGTTGAGTTGGGTAACTCTCTCTGTCTCTCGCTGAAGCTCAGCGATGTGATTCAAACATCTGCTCACACTGTGGCCGAGTTCACACAGAGCCAAAGACCTGAACACGGTCCAAAGTCCCTCTGACAACCAACTATCTGTTGATTGTGACGTGCCATTGGAAGGACTTTGTCTTTACCAGAGACATATGTTACTTTTAACCTGTATCTTAAATCCACTACTGCCAAGAAAAAACTGTAGTCACACCACTTTTAGTGTGTATCATGATCATCAGAGGAGAAATCAGAGTCTCAGCGGTTTTCTTCTCGCTGTTGCAGCAGACAGAATCACATTATCTGTCTGAAATTGGGTCCTTGATCACGAGATAGTAGGAGCTGACACACATTTTTACCCACACTGATGTCTGAAATGGCGTGCTGATACTAAATCATTAGATGTCTAGTCTAAACCGATAAAGCCAATGTAAGAAAAATACAAGCTAATCACACCCAGAGAAGCACGAAATACTGCAAGCTGTCCACAGTCACACCACCAGAGCTCGAGCAAAATATAAGCATACTAACACGGTGACAGTGACTGTGCTAACATGCTGATGTTTTGCAGGTTCATCATGTTTACCATCTCAGTTAAGGAGGACTACAAGCTAATATTTGCTCATTAGCATCAAACGCAGAGAGAAGACTTTTTAGTACTGACTGTATCAGGTCTTACAATGCTGACCTGGTGAATGTACAGTTGAATACGAATAATAAGAATAAGAATAACTTTATTTTATCCCCAAATGGAAATTCAATTGTCTGTAGTCTCAGTTGTTAAGTGATGGCAGAACCATAGTATCATTACGATTCAGGTTAAGGGGAATGTGTTAATTTTAAATTTAAACCATGCAATTTCTGTTGAGATATGATATTATAATCATCTGTTTTTAATCCTCTGGTGGTTCTGGAGGATTGGTAGGTGATCACAAGAGCTTTCCAGTGGGAAACATGAATATACATACTATACTTTTGACCAATAAATGCATTTTTTATTTATGTTTGTTTATTAAAAGACAATTTTCAATTGTATGGTTGATTACGTTTCTTGGCTTTTTAAATGTCCTCCTTTCTGCTCAAGCTTTCAGTCGGATAAAGGTGCTATGTGAGGATTCATAATGGACTAATGTTCATTGTCGAAATATCCAAAAGTCACAACATAATTTTATTTGTGAATCAAAGATTAAAAATAATACTTCTGAGGCTGTTTTAATTGCAACATTAACACCTACAGGAAACCCTTCTAGTGTTTTATGACTGCAGATAATTGATGATTTGTATATTTATCTCAAACTTCAGTTGTACTAAATATATTCATGCCTGTGGTGTACAGCCATACAGAGATGTATTGAAAACTGCAGCCTACAGTCCAACAAGACCTTAATCTGTAGCTGTCCGCTGAGAGAGAGAGAGAGAAGAATGGTTTGACCTCCTCACAAACTGCCCTTATACTTCTCTTGCCTCCATCTCTCCCTCCCCCCATCCATCTCTCCATTCCCTTTCCCAGCCGAGCCTCCAGGGGATTCTCTATAGCCTCTACTACAGCATTCCTGCTCTGCTCCTTTACCCATCCTGCCTTGCCTCTATCCATCTGAACACACTGTCATTCACAGCCTACAGTCGCCCCTCACTGCCTCCGACTCCATTCCCCCCCACATCCCTGCAGTGACTCCTGCCATTGTGAGTCCTGCTCTTGCTCCTCTGTCTTGGGCTGCTGTGTGAGAATGGGGTCATTGTTGCTCTATTGCAGTGTGTACATGTGTGTGATAGTAGGAGGGTGAGTTCTCTGCCCTAGTGTTGGGATGCCCTGCTGTCCGACCTCTATGCACACACAAGCCTGCATGCTGCTGCACTCACATCAACCTTGCAGACGTGTCCAATAATACAGAAATGAAAACACAGCCTTTCGCTGAATTGCTGTCACTTTTGAAAGTCATTTTATTCTTTTGCTTGCAGAAAATGGCTTAAATTGAATGAAAGATCAAAGATGTAGCATGATAGGGTGCAAGAACTGTAAAAATGCTGCTATCTAGCGTCGTATCAGGATTGGGTTTATGAAGTTTAAATACTAGTAACTAGAGATGTGCATGTTAACTTGCCTTAACCAATCGGCATCCCCATCCTCACTAATTGGCACCAGAATAACCAGTTCAACAAGATACTGGTAGTCTTATTATTGCATGCTTGAAATGCTGGTATATCAAGCCTGAATGTCCGACCACCTGCATGAGTCTGGATCAATGATTTTCCTACTTTATGCTTCAATGTTCTTAATAAGCACTGATGACTGATGGTATCTCATTACATGGCATATTTTTGGCTGTTTTTAATACAGAAAATGGAAATAACGTTGGAAGTCGGCTGTTTCTGGTTAATTAAAATGGCTGATAAATAATGAGAAATACATCCAGCACAAGCATGTGGATGTTAACCTTCAAGGAGGGATGAAAGCTGGTGGTGCTAGCTCTGGTTTTTGTTTATCATACTAAGGAATCAAATTAAATTCTAGTTGACTCTGTTCACATGAAAAACTCCTTGCATGAGCTTTAATTAACCGGGTCGCAAAGGGGTGGAAAATGTCCGGTAAATTTCCAGAAAATTTCCATGGAAAGTATGGGAATTATGGGAATTTATGGGAATTAACTGGAAATTGGGGGTAATTTAAACAAACTGTATCATATCCAGACTCAAATGTTAATATTTTTCCTTCAACATTAGCTTGTGTGAAATGCTTCCACACATCGGATGACAAACGTGGCGTTTTTCTGTAGAATAGAATAACAAAAAAGCATGTAAAAACAGTGATGCAATGGCATGAACAGAAGTATAGTTGGCAAAACAGTCGGAATGGTCTTCAAAATATTTGCCAATTGATGTATAAATTATTGTATGGTTGCAGAAAACTGTCTTGCAGGAGTCAAGAGAAACAGCATCACATTTGAGGTAGCTACCACCAGCCCCCAATTTAAGCTAGCCCCTTAAATAGTCAATAGCTTACATTTAGCACCTATTTTTATTTAATTTTTGCAAGTTAAATATTAATACTATTATAGATCACATATATATTAACCCCATAATATTATCAAAACTTACTTGACTTTATATAGTCTATGGGCTCAAATGTCTTGTGCTTTGGGCTCAAAAGTGTGGTCTCCAGGGTTCAAGAAATCATCTACAATATGCTACAATATATTTTCCCCATCTATATTTAAGTTCCCTGTTGCGGGACAACCTTCAATTTTGTAAATTTATTCCCATACATTCCCGTTAATTTCCATGGAAAGTTTCCAACTTTGAAATTTGCAGCCCTACAGGTCACTAATTAACAGTTGTATTGAACAGTAAGTTATATTGTACACTACCTATGTTACATCTAAGTCTTTATTCATAACAACCAGGCAAATTTCAGTTGCATGATGAAACATTAGCACAGGGTCTCTTTCATTGAAACATCATTTCCTGGCTGTGCTTTTGCATAAGTGTGGTCTGGTAACAAAAACAATTTCATGCAACGTAAAACATGTTTCTACCACCAACACACCAATAAGCCACAAACCTTTACCTACATTAATACACATAGAAATGTAAATGTCATTCTTTAAATCTGAGACTATGAAAACTCAAACTCCTTAACCTTTAAAAAGTTGTGATTGTCCTTTTTTTTTTTTTCTTTGTTTTGTGCCCTCATCATACTGCTCACTCACAGTCCGGTTGGTCACAGTCTCGGCCTCCGCAGCTCTGTCTCTCTGAGGGATTAGTAGCAGGCACTGGCCACCACTCTAATCCTTTCCTCAACAGACTCACTCTCATATTCTCAAACACACACAGACCCACACATACACACAGGGCCGCACGCAGACTTTTCAATCACCACGACTATATTTGCCAATCACACCTTGCTTGGTATTACTGCACTCGGTGGGAGTACTGCCGCTCAAGTTAAAAACAAATCAAAAGAGAAGCCGAAAGAATCAAACGAAACTGACATTTACTCTTTAACATAAGAGCAAACAGCACAACTGACAGGCCTGTCTGGAGACACCATTTACATGATTGTTTACTGTGTAAACATGGCGTCCATTTGAAGCTACTGCAGTAAAAACAGCAGGTAAAGTCTGCCAATATCTGTCTTTCTTTCCTGTTGGTGCCTCAGCCTCTGCATATATACCTCACGCACATTTAAACATTAAAAAGGCTGAACCGAGGACCACTAACAAACATATACATATAGGTTATGATCAATGTGTTGAATTAAGGTGGAGGCATCTTATGTAACAGCTGTTCAAAGGGAGGACAAACATTAGCTATATGTATACAAATATTTACAGTGGGACATAATTTGTCTATATGGCATTTATATGAGAGCCGACTACTGATATAGACACAACCCTAGCATGAGTCCTGCTGCAGGTGGCATCAGGTGATCGGCTCACCTGCCCTGCCTATTTGGCAGCTGACTCATCACTCCTATGGAGCTCCGCGTAAGGTGTCAGTGGCTTTCTGAGAGGAGCCCTGACTCAGTCTCATATCCTGACAAAAACAACTCATTAATAACCTTTGCCAATTTATTTTGGAACTTCTATCACACACAGCCACTGTTATACTTAATATGTGTTTTTGCCAATATGAATATAAAGTGAACAAGTAGTTTTTCTCATTTGTGTAGAGTGAGAGACTTCGACTTGGATTCACCTGGAAATCTGCAGCTGCTAAAAAATTCATATCACACATATTAAGTATGGTTATCAAGTCACATCTCATATACTTCATGGTAAAAGTGTATAAACTACAGCGCATTATAAAGACCCAAGAAAAAACACGAGTAACAAGAGATCTGGTCACACAACCTTCACCAGATATCAATCAGCTACATCAGCAAGTGAGGTTTCCTGATGTTGTTGTTGTTTGCACTTAATGAAATATGAAAATGTAATACCGAGACAAGAAACAATATAATAACAAACGAGAGAACAATACTGAATTTAATTAAACATTTTACTACATAAATCTAGGTTGTGATACCTTTAACCTCATGGTTTAAGTCACACAGAAAAAAATGGTCTGTTTGGGAAAAAATGAACAGCAATCAAATCTTTGCACTGATGTAATCTGAAAGACAATTTGAGGATTACTATTTCCATCCATCTTTAACCCCTAAATTTAACAATTTATCAAATTTACATTATAAAATTGGATTCTCTGGCATGCTGATGATGATGCCTTATTTGTTTTTAAAGAAATTTTTAATTTTAAGGAAATATTCAAAAGACAATATGTTAGCATTCATTTGTTAATTACACCAAACTACTGCTCATAAAACTGGCTAAATTCACTGTTATGCAACATTTAAGAAAAATAACATATGGTGCCAAAATGAGAAGATAGTCAAAATAGTCACCATTAAAAAAGTTCTGATATTGCATCAACTCTGTGTATCTAAAGCACTCTCAGTCTTTTCATTGTTTCTGTTTTAATCCTGCGTGTCAGTCGAGCCAATCAACAAGGACCGGTGCCCTATGCTGTGGGACACAAGAGGCTGATCCAGGATCAGGGTGACAGGTAAGACATTACCACAGGGAGCATTGACCTGCCAACCCACAAACAAGCCATGACATCACTCTAAGGAGGTCATGGTAATCAGATTATCCCTTTTACAGAGACTAACTCAACACTGTGAGCCTGACTAAGAGTAACACACAGCAGGTTAAAACACAGAAATACACGTCTTAAAACTTTAACTTGGCTGAGATAAAATTAGATAAAAGCATCAAAGTGAGACAAAAATAAACTGCCTGTGTTGTAAAAGGTTCATGAAGCTTCAAACACACACTGTCTCTCAAAGCAGTGTCACGTTTTTTTTTTGTCTTGATGAATTCTTCTGCGGGAGAGTGAGAATATGTTTACCGAGCCCAGAAGAAGCCAGCTGATGATGGGAGACAGAGGAGAGGCTCGGGGGCCTGAGCTGCTCTGTAACCGCGCTGATGCCAAATGGTCGGCGGTTTTAAAGAGGACACCTGAGACCAGCGCACCTGGACAATGAGCTGAGGTGTAACCCTAAACGGAGATGAACCGTTGTTTATCCCCCACGCTCTCCCTACCTCAGTTTCCCATCAGTCACTTCATGTATCCCCTCTCTCTCTGATCTGTTCCCCCCTTTATTCCAGCAGCAGTCAAGTAACTTAGTACTGTACCTTAGAACAAAATATAAGTACTTGTACTTTGCATAAAAGTATTGACGTCATATAGATTCTTTATCATTATATATTGAGTATCCTAGCAGTATAATCTGTAAAAATGAAGAATCTGGCTTCAAAACTAAAGGGATCAACACATCCACGCCTTTTTCATTTCAATCTTGTTGGTCGGTGTTCTGTCAAATAATGCTACCTGTCCAAATGTGCCCCAGAGCAGCTCTGGATCAGTTTTTAAAATACACTTATTTTGACCTGGATTCTTGAATTTAGGTTTCCTCAAATGTCCAAAACATGCTTTACTTTTTCTTAATTTACACATAAAGTGAGTCTTGATGTAATCAAAGATGACGATGGTGATGAGATCAGCTACCTTTGCAAAATGTTGCACTATCACGGCATTTTTTTTTCAAACAAATTATCAAATCATGGCATGACAACATTACCACAGCAAACTTTATATTTGGCTCAGTAAATTATCAGACTAAAGTGGATTTTTTCTTTATCTCACAAGTTCAAATGAAAAAATGTTATTTGCCTCTACAGCATTTTCACACACACAGTACTTTTCCGCCCTACATGCTCCCTCTCATCCAACCATCACAACTCTATGTTGACATCCATGTTGAGGGTGCGATATCACAGACATAAATACTATTACACAGGCAGTATGCAAAGAGCTTGGGTCTGTGCTTTGTTTTTCTTGGAAACTGATCATCCACTCGTCTTTACACCTTGCAAGTGAATCGCTTAAGATCCAAGGGTCTGAAATATTGAGTGTGAAATTGTTTGAAACAAAGGTTCTCAGGAAAGCTGCAGGGATCCATACTATGTTTCTCAACACTGCTGCCAGCTGCACTTTTAGGGGTAAAGCTATTGTACTGGTGCACACACATATATGATCCTGAAACAGGTCGTTCTGCTCACTGAGTGCTTGTACAAGACTTTGCTTGACAAGATGTTTTTCTTTCTCCTTTTAATAAAAATATCTCGATAATTTTCCAGCCATTATATTCTCCCAGTTTCTTGTCTCACCCCCTCTGTCCTCCAGCCCTTTTGGGCATAGCTGAGCTAACGCAAACACCCCTCAGTAACGGTCTGAGTCAGTCTAATCACATACTTAACTACGCTGAGCACCCACACATTTTCAGCAAGATTCGTCAATCAGGGAGAAAACAAAGACATTCTTGCATGTCTTATGTAGCTATTTTCTCACAGACAATACTCCAAATTAGGGGACTGACATTTTGCGCAGCAGCTGACAGCAGCTAGCAGCTGTATGACTCAGTGACACGGAAGCAGGGCCCATGTCACCATGGAAAGGCAACGTTATGGTGCTGTTGCCAGGGCTCTGCTGTCCAATACACGTCTGAGCCCTCATCGTCTATTAGAAATCACACAAGGGAGGAGGACAGAGGGGGGGGACTGGGTGCATGTATTAATGAGTGAAACATGATTTACAAAAGTGAGAAAGCTGAGAAGAGGAGAGGGATTGAAGATTAGGAAATATTCTGGAGATCAGCAGTGACTGTGTCAAAGCTAGACTAAAAGGCCTTTAGTCAGCATCCTGCACACTCCACCCATATTTGTGCACTCCCTCCCCCATCACTCATGTCACTTAGGATAAACACACACAGTCCAACCTGCACGTAAACAGTACACTCACACACACACTCGCGAAAAATGCACTTAGATGCTCGCTGCGTGTGTTATGTCTTTGATGCACCAACAACTGCAACTGCGTCTTTAAACAGCAAGTAGCACAAAGACCCAAAAATAGCACAGTGAGTTGCAGAGCAGAACTGCTCTCCTTGAGGAGGGGAGGAAAGAGGAGGAGGAGGAGGAGGAGGAGTAGGGAGAACAGGAGGAGGTGCAGAGAGGGATGACAGGGAAAAGATGGCAGAAGTAGACCAGCTCCCCAGGACTTGAGCCACCCTACTGGGTTCAGTTTAAGTTTCACATCCAGTGTCAGCTCCGATAAAACCTACAGTACGTGTAAAGATATTCAGAAACAATGCTTGATAATACCATTTCTATAATGTCATGAAATTATTATGATTATGTGTAATGTTCACTTGTTGGTGCCAGTCCATTTCACAAGGGTCAACTGGAGGATCTAATAGATTTGACCTCAAACGTGGGTCTGAACTACAGACAGGTCAATAGCAGAAGTGGGGCAATTAATCAATGCTGATTCATTCTGCAACAGGCTCTTTAACAGGAGTTTAACTATCATGTTTGTTACAAGTAGACGATATTGCTCACCTTTTTTTATTTTTAAATTGACCATAAAATCATTGATTTTGCTGATTTTTGCAGACTTTACCTTTTGAAATGAAAACATAAAAGAACTAAGACTGAATTTCTGCACCATGGAAACGAAGCCTCAGCCTAAGCGAGTTAACCCTAGAAGAAAAAGATGAATCACAAGACTTCGCATGACTCTCTCCATAAGGATCAGACATATTTTTACTCTCACATCTAAAGCTGACTGAAACATTAGACCAAATTTCTAACGCACACAAAACGTTCTCATATAGTCCAGTTTTTGCACCATTTGCATCTCTATTTTGCGCTGAGCTAAGCTAACTTTGGAATCAAGTCTCATCTGTAGAGCATGTGCATGCCAGTGGTGTTTATCTTCTTATGTGTCAGTGAGAAAATATTGACATATATTGTTCAAAATAATCGTCTAATGGTCCATAAGACTTTAATTTGTTTTGTTTTGGCTATGTGTGACAGCATAAACCTTATACTGCTGTTACTACAGGCAACATGTAGTGATAACATGAGGCTATTATTCCCACCTTGTGTCAATATCATCTGTGTGATTCACCAAATACACTCTCCCTAAAAATTATAGTCAGCTGTCTTTTGTTAGCAGTACCCAGCTCAAGCTGCTGTCCAGGTCAACAGCTTGTCATTAATCCTGCCATCATGACTATTTGTTTTCCTTTGTCACAACTGCTTCAAAAAATAACCCCAAATCCTGTTAGTAATGTTCTCTGTCTGTATTAAATGTTCTTCTCTCTTTCTTTTCTCACAGAGCCTACAGTATGTACCTGATGTTTAACTTCATCCATCCTCACCGAGTAACTGAGGATACATAAGGATCTCCAGTCTCACATCACTTGCCAGATTGAGGTGATAATGACATGAAAATAAACTGGATCTTTTCTTTTTTTTTAAGAAGAGGCTCAAGACTCATCTTTTTAACCAGGTTTTTCACTGATTGACTTTTCATATTTCTCTTATTGCAAATGTTCATTTTAATTTAAGTTCTTAATGTTTATTTTATGTCATTTTATTAATTATCTCTGTTCTTAGTCTTTTTCTTAATTCCTGTCATAGAGGTTTTTACTTCCCATAGTAAAGAGCTCGTACTTTAATGTTATTTTCTTGTTTTAGTCAGGTTTTAGTCTTTCTTTTGACCATTTTTGTCTTTATCTCCAGTATTTCCCAAAGGTAGCTCTTTCCTCACGTAATATCTCGGTGTCAGGTCATGTCTCTTTAACAATATGTCTAAAATTCTCACTTTGTGTGCGTTTGTGTGTGTGTATGTGTGGGTGGGAGGGTCGGGTTTTATTGTTGTCTAATTGTTGTTTTTAGCCTCTATGTGGCACTTTGAACTACATTTTTTTGTATAAAAGGACCATACAATTAAAGCTGAATCATCTCTAGGAACAAGGAGAAAATGCCACCTCATAAAGTTCACAATACATGGTAGAAAGCCCAAGAAATTAAAGTTATTTAACTTATCAACTTGACTCTCAGACCTAAAACAAAATAAGGCTGACAAAAACTAAGGGTTGTGCAGGTTTAGTCCCTAAGGATTAGTCATTCTTGGGGTCTCCTATTTGGCTTGATTGGTGCATGGGCGCCTAATGTACCAAAGTCCTTGTTGCACTGCAGGATTGGCTCCTGGTCCTAGCTAGTCTGCACCAGAATTAAAAGTATGTTTAACTAATCAGTATTTTCATTATTCCAGATCTGAAATGCTGGTCATTTGTCATATCCAAGCTCTAGCACAGTCACCAGCTACAGACTGAGGCTATTCAATATCAACAGTTAACGACAACAATCATCATGCTATATTGCTCTAATGTTCTATGACCCTGTCACAAACAAACAAAGATGACAGATAGCATTTTCAGCGCAGTTTCGCAGTATTTTGTTGTAGAAAATGTAGATTAAGTTTTATGTAAGACTGGAAAACTGGGCCAGAGTAGAAGGTAGTGGTGGTGCTAGCCATGCTAATGTTAGCCGCACTCTCCAAACTGATTTGACATTGTTTTCCTGTTCCTGATTCTGTGATCCCATGTGTTTCATCATTTTAACTTTCTTTCTAAACATTTTCCTCATTTCAGATGTGCCAGTGAAAAGGAGTTGGATTTCCGTTTCATGGAGTAGAAATTTTGCCCATTTCTAAAAAACCTTCCTTAACTGGACATTGGTAATAACCCCACAATACTAGATACTGTAAGTTCTGGCTGTAACTATGATCATTTTTGAGTTTTGCTCCTTTTCTCTGAATTAAACTTACATGAGATCTGAAAAAAACTGACATTAGGCTACTCTGCTTTCTTTCTGCCATTTGTATTGTGATTTGAAAAAAGGTTCAGGAAATTAAACCACATGAATGTAGTGCTGTTTTTAGGTTAATATATAAACAAAACTAAACTATTGTCTTTCTCATAGTTTTTTACTTCTGTCTGGTGTTCTCTGAGAAAACAAATCCCTTGTTTTCACCACACATTCAGCCTTTTAACAGCGAATCTGACACCAAGCCTACACAGTACGCAAAAAAATGCCATGTGTGATGACAGTGTTAGATGTTAGGGTATCACCATGCAGTGTGGTAAATAAATACTTAAGAAGGCACATCTAATAAAATAGCTCATTTTATATATCTATCTGCTCTTCTTCACATTATCTGTGATTTCTCCTTAAACTAGGACAACTCCAAAAGTAGTTTCACAAGATTATCACCAAGTAATCTGAGGTTACAATAAATTAAGATTTCTTAGTGTGCATGTAGATTTGTGATTAACTGTGCAGCCCTACACTGAATTACACACAAAATGGGTCCAGTTGTACGACCAGTGCACTTCTGTATTGATCAACCATTCAGACAGGCTCTACAGTTACAGTTCAGCTCTTCAGTTTTATCTTTGCTCTACATTTACACAAAACTAGAACAGAAAATTGCTGCTCATTTACACAAAGAAAAGGTAGCTCAAGTTTGCACTACTTACTGTTGCTGGACTTGAGGTCTCTGTGGATGATGGGTACAAAGGCCTGGTTGTGCAGGTAATCCATTCCCGTGGCGATCTGGACCGCCCAGTTCACCAGAACCCGTGGAGGAACCTTCTTTCCAGCAAGTGCCCGGTTCAGAGCCCCTCCTCTGGCATATTCCATCACCAAGCACAGGTTGGGCTCCCGCAGGCAGACCCCACGCAGAGCGATGATGTTGGGGTGCCGGAGCATCCAGAACAGTCGGGCCTCCTGTCGCACGCTCTCAGCTGTGACACTGATATCCTCATCGGGGTCTTGCCTGGCGGCCTTTACTGCGACTTCCTCTCCTCGCCATATTCCTTTGTACACTTTCCCAAACCCACCAGCTCCAATCACCTCCTCCAGGAGCAGTTCTGAGAAGTCCACCTCCAAGGGACAATCACCCACTCCACCTGCCACTAGTCCTCCTGAGGTCAGCTGCTGGTAATTGGCAGAGTCTCCCCTTGTGACATAGTTGCTTGGAAAGATACCCACCTTGTCCTGGATCTTGCCGGTCCACCAACCCTCATCCCCAGACACTTTAGAGTCTTTGGAGAGGACCTCCAGAAGGTCCCCACGCCGCAGGGTTAACTCCTCATCTGCTGTGGCCTCATAGTCAAACACCGCTGTCCAGTAGGGGTTGGGGTTGTTGCCCCCACATCGGTGGCCCGGGTGGGAGTCCGGGGAGTCCGAAGAGGACATGGTGGAGGAGTTCCAGCTGCTGCCATTCTCTACTTGCACCACTGGAGCCGGAAACATTGGTGGTGGAGGGGTCATATTTAGGGGGATGGAGGAGGAGGAGGTAGAAGAAGGAGGAGGCCCTGGTGGGATTAGACAAGGGGGAGGCGGGGAGCAGCAGCCCCCACAGCTGGTGCAGGACAGGGGGGCCGCTGTGCTGCTCGCTCTGCCGTATGGGTTCATGGCAGCCTGACTGCTGTTAGACTCTGTAGGCCTGCCCTCTGTCAACTCAAGCACAAAATCCATACAGGGCCCATCTAAAGAGACGAGGTGTCCTCGACCACCAGTGGAGGGGTGGGTGGGGGGATCAAAGGAGGCTGTGACTGCTCTCCCCCATCACCACATCCTGTGATTGAAACTGTGCCAAATCCTGTCACCAGTTGCTGCGGTGCTGTGGCTGCACAGTGTGTATGTAACATGTATTCCCAAAGGCAGGTTCACACGGGGACAACGATCAGCAGGTCAAATAGATGCATGAGTGTACCCCCTCCCCCCAAAACCGAAGTAATCGTTTCCAAAAGTGTTTCTTTTAGAAAGCTGCCAGAGTTCGCCTCAGAAGCAGCAAGTCTGATAAAAAGATATCGAGAGATGTCTTCAGCATGAAATGTACTCTTACTTATCTCTAAATTTCATACATTGCTGTTCAATCAAGTGCAGTTCATCCAGTCCAAACAAAAATATAATTTGGCTCATAGTTTTGGTAACTCGCCCTGATAAATGCATATCAGCCCATTCAGGAATAGTGCCCTCACTCTGAGGGTACAGAGCCACTCAGATGTAGGCCTAACAGTAAAGCCACAACGGATTAGTTTGAGAGTAGAATATGGACTGTTTAATCTGCCAATAAAAACCACAGTCTGTGTTTGAAATCCTCTAAGCAGGGGTCCTCATTATTTCTCATCTGGCCCAGTGTACGTGCACCTCCCCCGTCTGCCATCTCCATGAACACGGGCTGATCTCTCTCCTCTGTGGTAGTGTGTGTGCGTTTGGAAATACCCGCTAGATTTTCGCCCTACATCCCCATAAGTATGCCCAGGCTAAATCCTACATGCATGGTTCAACATCTCTGAATGGCCTCTAGTAGAAAAGCTCTATCCATTTGGAGGAATCTAAAGGCAGACGCCGACGCCTTCACGGCAGGTATTGAGCAGAGAGCAGGAAAGTGACACCGTGTTCAGCATCCAGCAGCCGAGTCTCCCAGCACAACAAACCCGCCCCCGTCTCTGTGCAGCGGCCTGCTTCAGTCGCCTCCGCTGGGCTACATTTGTGATGGTGACGAGCCCTTGGTTACAAAAGAAACTCTTCTTCGCTGGAGACATTAAAGGGATGCCAGCATGTCTCATTATCCCACTGCCTCGACAGTACAATAATAATAACCTACTCTTGCAGTGAGCTCTGTGTTTTTTAAGTCCACGACTTCATCACACGGCGGCAACAAGGTGGAAAATATTGTCAGCGAAGGTTTGCATGGAGGCTGTGCAGCATTAGAGAAGCTCTGATCTGAGAGAATACGCCAGAATAAGGCGATGACTTCCTTATCGATAGATTGACACTCCGTCTTAAAAATAATATTGATGTAATAACAATAATAGAATTAACAGTTTTTATTCTACGCGAGTGATATCGCAGGATTTCCCGTCTTTGCGTGCGTCTTCCGGCTCTTGCAGCTTTTATTCAAATACGTGAACATTTGGCGTTTACTGTAACCCAACCTGGACCCTGAAGGTAGCAACATCCACCGACATCGACGCTTGCTTGGGCGTGTGGTTCCATCAGAGTAAAACGGGGGGGGTCCATCCAGGTCATTCGCCCACAAATGAACACAAAAGCTCCTAGGAGTCCCAGTCCGCGCGGCTCAGCCAGCTGTCCGGAGCTTCATCTTACTCAAAATGGATTTTTTTTTTGTTTTTATCTCCAAAGAGGCTGTGACATTCCGGGCCACCGCGTTGACAGTCTGCTGGGCTGATCACATCCAAATACACCGGGGTGCAGTCCGCGTACGTATCGACAAGTGCTTCCTCTGTCGCTGATCTACAGAACATACGGACGGTCAGGGAAGGCAGGGTTACTGCGCACTCACCTCCATCACGTGAGCGCAGATCAGCGTGCAGGGCGAAGAGGGAGGATACTAGACTCTGTAGAGACGAAGCTGAAGGGGCGTGGTTGCATTGTGGGTGATGAAGTTTCTTAAGGATCTCCTGCTGACCTACATCACTCTGGCAGCTATTAACAGTGATTAACTGGCTTTATATCAATACATTAGTTTGAGGATTATTGTCATTCGCGATATTGGCCAGCTGAAATACAGATTAACATCTATTTGGTCATGTAATTGTAATGATGTATTGCATAGCATTGTTTCCTCCTTAGGTTGTTCATGGGTCAAAGGTCAGACTAACAGCCCTGTTGCTGGCCAGTTTCAGGTTCACGTAACAGACATTAACCAGCACCAGCTATAACAAAAACAATCAGTTTTATAACAGCTAAGGCTGACTTTCAAATCCTGATGTTGATCATACACTATAAAATCCTCCTTTTGGGTAATCATACCAAAGCAACACACCATAATTTGGCCAATTTCTGGATAATGGTGCAAGATTTAATTTCAGGGGATAAAAAACAAGACACTGACACTGAGCACAGACACAAGATTATGTAGGACTTTGATGGAAATCAATAAAATAAAATTTGTTTTACCCATAAAAATATAAAAATGTTTCAGAATCTGTTCTAATTTAATATAAATTCAACCTAACAATTTTCCATCAATTTTTAAGCAATACTGACCTCTGGTGACAAATTAGTGAAGTTCAGTGGCTCTATACTGATATATACACAGTAGGGTAGATCTATATTGATATTAAAGTATGCCTACTTCTATGTACAATTTTTGAGAATTACAGTACTGAGAAAAAACTTTGATGGTTTACAAATATTTGAAATGTTTAATGTTCCAATGTATGTCCTACTCTTGATAATGACTAGATACTAAATTTTGATTACACAATTGAAACGTGATAGACATAAATCTGACGCTGTATATTATGTTACGGCTGTATGTTGGTTGTGTGTGTTTTTCCCCTTCCTCAGTGCTGCACAGGTAGAGTCACAAATCGGCTTCACCTGCTCTAAAGCGTTAAAGGCCCAGAGCTGCCTGCTGACCGCCAACAGCATTTGGTGGGGGGAACTGCTGCCCTGCCTTCATTTGTCTTGTGGATACTTTATGTTTAGTTAATTTGTGTTGTCTTTGGTTATAATAAATCCTTGGTAAACTTTTGAAGGTGTTTGATGTTACTTTATTGGGTCAAAATGTGGGTAGTTGTTAGCCCCATACAGCCGCCCTCAGTGGGGCATAACAAATGGGGGCTTGTCCAGGATAGTACATCAATGAGGTTTGTTTTAGCTATTAACCCATTTTTTAAAATCTATTGACCACATTTGAATTTGGTAGTCTTAGGTTTGTAAGGACATCATTAATTGTTTGCTTTTCCTTTAATTCTAGTTTCTGAGCATTTAATTTCTAGTTCCTGATTATTTAGACACTGAGCAGGTAAGAGCTTGCCACTTTACTGTTTTGCCTTTTCTTTTCAATACCCTTTGCAAGAATCTTTTTTTTTAAATATATTTGGTCAATAAATAAAGCGGGCCTAAACTGCTGATAAAATTTCAATCCTCTCAGACCCACAGTGCATAACAATAAATTATAAGAATAAAACTATAAAAGTCTAAATATAGGATAAACAACTAAGCTAAACAAAGACTACCTTAACTACTCACATCAATTTACAAAATAGAGATAACGATATAAACAGCATAACAGTATAAACAGTGTACAGTGTAAATATAAGGAGGAAGGTGAGGGGAGGAAAGTGAATGTTAACAGTATGGCAGTGCCATACAAACAAAAGGCCAAACAAATAAAGTTGAATTTGTTGTTTCATTGTAGTAATAAACAATACAATAATCTCTCTAGCTAAAAATAAGAGAGATATTATTCATCTTTATAAACCAGAAAAGGCAGGGAACTGATAGTGTTTACCAACCACAAGGTAGTGCTATTGACTAAATAAAGGGAGATGCACATTGAGATCTTGGTCATGCAGCGTAATGAATAAAAATAATGCTTTTATACTGTTTTTTTTCGCCAATAAGTCCTCTCGGCTGGAGATTACAGCTCCTGTATTATTCATAGTAAAGCTCATATTTATTAGATGGTCAGTAAAACGATGCGTGTCCACAGGCTCAGCAGTGTGGTAGTAGTAGTCTGCCGCCCCCTGCGTGTTACTATCAGTAGGTTGCGCCAACCGTGTTTGCGCATGCGCAGTGACTGTGCGGGCGCAGCTTCGCCGTGGTTTCGGTGAGCATTCTTGACAACGTCTCGCTCAGTGAACAAGCCTCCCGACCGTCGGCTAAGTTGTGTTTCCTAAATGACTGGAAATACACTTTAACGGAATAGGAGCCGACTGAAAACACCGGAGCAGCGTTTAAAAGTAAGGTAAGGCAAACTCTTTGGGGTTTCTCTCAGCAGTTTTAAGTTAGAGTGCGGGGGATTCAAAAGGAACTGGAAAACGAACTCAAGTGAAGTAAACGTTAGCGAGCACCGCAAACACCGAGAGGCAGCCGAGCCGAGCCGAACAACTTCAGTCAATGCAGGGAGCTTTACTACGGCTCAACCTCCCGTATGAGTACTAACTAAAACCGTTCACACCGACTCTGTGCTCTACTTCCACCTTCGGCCATTCAACAGGGTACGAAATTGCCCTCAAATGTGCCTCTACCCGCTAAAAAAGTCTTAACTATCAATTATTCTACAACCTTCCTGTTCATTAACGTTTCAGTGCGCATGCCCACATCGCTTCGCAGACTTCGGATTTGTAGTTTTTCGTACCTGAGTTAATCGCAGTTGAGAGGGCCAAGAGAAAACGGTAAGACTACAAGTTCCAGACAATGGGAGCTTTGTTTGGGGAACAGGGCTAGCCATTTAGTTAGCCTGTACGAGCTTTGAATTTCGAGTAGCACAGTTCTGCTGCAAATCGGAAGTTGCCTCGGCTGAAGATATGTTGAAGAAAGAGCTGCGTGGGGATTGTTTTGGTTTGCCTGGTCACACTCATATCTTGAGTTTTTTTTTCTAAGGGTTAATGGAAGTTTTTCTGTGATTGGTCGTGCAACATGTTTGATTACATGTGGTCTTGGAGGTGCAGACTCTGTTCAGCTGTCAAAAGACGTCTGCACGCAGTGGATTTGCAAGTGCGTAACGCTTGTGGACATATATCCGTGTGTATGTGCGTGTACAGTCGAGTGTGCATACTGAATGGGGAGGTGATGATGCCTCGGCTTGTCGTCTTCCTTTCATAGTGATCCCCCCATGCTGCTGCTGCTGCTGCTGCTGTATCCCCCAGCCCTCAGGAAATGACACGTCGAAGATCAGGATGATGGATCTGTCGTGCAAGAGCAGCAGAGCATGGTAGCACTGCACATATTCTGGCCATCATTGACTCTCATTCCCTCCCATCCGGAACTAAAAGAATAATTATAACTGGGGTAAATCTAAGAGTGATTTGTTGCTGGCTAACCCGGGTTATCTCACGGTTTACCTGAGTGTAGAACACAGCAATGCCCACCCTTTGCAATACAGTGAGAAAATAATGCGTTTAATCTTTACTTTGTGCGGGAATCAGATCTGAAACTGTTTTGAACTGTGAGGTTATGGTGAATAATACAGTCAAGGTCCACTCTAATATCAATCTAGTTTCCTTTGATCAAATGCTGTGCCCCAGACTGCAGGAGTCAGTCACACAATGTGCCTTGTTTAGAGTTTCCCTGCAGACATTTCCATCCTTTAGTTTGTTAAAATGTTCATTTTCAGGATTTCACAGCACTTCCGTCCCCTAACTCACCTATCTCTCTGCCATAGCAAAACTGTCGCTTTCAATTGATTTTTAACACAAATTGCAGTTCACTTGAATTTCAACACGGCTTAATCTATGAGTGACAGCAGCAGCATGCTCCCTGCAAGCTGTTCATGTTTGATCTATTGGAAACAACTGGAGCCTGTGATTTAAAAGTGATAAAGCAAAACTGCAGAAAAAAACATGGACTTTGGTTTGGTGCAGTTATCATCTTCATATAAAATGATTATGTTATAAACAGACAGTAGTTTTATTATAGAGGTGTACTTTATGTGGACCTTTGACACGTTGTCATGTGGTGCTATTACTGTTGTGTTGTGACACAACATTTTCACATGTATCCAAACAGAAATGACACCAAAAAATGACACTCCTTGTGCACGTTTTTAACATTTTTTATATAGATTAAGCCAAATGTACATATGAAGTGCTCTAATTTCTTCACTGTCAATCAAATTTCATGCAAAGAATCGTTAAAATTGGCCTTTCTAACTTAACAAATCCTACATTTGTGATTTTCTTAGTCGTGGTTTTGTTTGAAAAAGTGTGTCAGTAGATTTGCTCTTGAAACCTTTTAATATGTTTCATACCATAGATTCTTTTCGGATCGTGTTTTTCCTTTTGCTGCCAAGCGCCAACTACCTAATTGTTGAAACTCCTGCCAGCGCTCTAATGACTGTATAATATCCTTGATTGTTTGGTTGCTGGAATTTTAACCACTGTATCACATTATCCACTTTTATTTCCTTACCTGCGTCATATAGTTGCAAAACACCCAAATCAAATTATCTTATGTTTGGCTTCTCTGGGTATGAGATAATAAATAGTTGTGTGTATGATCTTGGGGACATCGTCAGGATTTCTGCTCGTCGTTTTTCTGTAACATAGCACACATCTGCAGGAACAAAGAGTCTTGTCTTCAAAGAGAGCCGAATGTGAGCCACCTGAGTTATTTAGCCTGTAAACATTATGTTGAATCACTGTGTTACATCTTGGCAGAGATGACTCATATGTTGCGAGATTTTTCTCTCTGTTTCTTACTCTGTAGAAGGATTTTGAACTCACACTCAGACATGCAGTCTTGGGTGGGAAAAACATGCTCCCAACTACATCTTGTGATGTTATTTAGATACAGCCAAGATTTAGTTTCATCTCCAGCTCTAGTCAAAGTTGTTGTACCCCAAACTGTTCCTTTGAGCGTCCTTGTTAAATAAAGGTTAATAGAAATGGACAAGTGTATGCTTTCACAGCGTGCAGGACAACACATTCAAGCATCTCAAACATTCATCACAGTCACTGGGTGTATCCTGATAGGTCACAAAGAGAGAGAACGATGCCTTAGGCTACCTTATGCCATCTGGTCTATGTCAAGGTGCACAGTGATGGCTGCGTGTGTGTGCATAAATCTCTCTTTTTTAAGGGGCTTGAACATGCGGCATAGTTTTAAATTTGAGCTCGTAGATTCCAGTCATTGTGTGACAGACAGTCATTTTTCAGCGAGCCATATCCCTCTCCCATCTCTGTTTATTGCTGCTTCACACTGTTATTGGTTTATACTCCTTTAAATCAACACTGACGCAAGTTCAACCCATGTTAGCAATTAATCTCAGAGGGTTAGCACACGTCATCAAACCTGGGCTCATAGCCTCCTCCTAGCTTGCACCAAATGCAGCGTTAAGTATTGGCCGTGTGGGTTTTACAATTTATGTAAATATTTCTGGTTAGATTTTAAATTTATTGAAAATTAATTTATAGAAAAACTGATCAGGAGGTGCAGATGCCTAAACTTTCTCAGTACCTGCTATCAGGTGAAGCAAAAGAGATAAAGATTATTTGGTATCATGCAAATAATGTATTCAAAGGGTTAAATACAAGGTTAGGAAAAAGATTAAAACAACAGAAAAAAAAACGTCAAAGATTAGATTTGAACATACTAAACATATTTAATTCGCATCTGACATAAATTCACATGCAAATCATAAAAACAGCCCCGTTAAAACTGGTCGAATTATAATATTTACATAAGTTCTTATTTTTTGTATCCATAATCAGCATTTTGTATACTGAGACAGTGAGACAGCAGCACAGAAAGCAAGAGTACAGGTTACGTGTGTGGGCAGGGGCCAGCTTTGATGCATACAAAAACTGAGACGATATTTTGTGTTAAAATTATGTAATGTTGTGTATTTCCATGTCACTCTGAGAGGAGCTGTGAATGTGTTCGACACCACAGTGGGAGAGGGGAGCTTGTGTGAACGGTGAGAGATATATCTGCCCAATAAAATGCCTAACAGGGGCCTGAGACGTTACATGTGTCCTTATAAAACGCTGGGCAAACAAGAGCCAGCTGGAAAGCATTTTAGTGTACAGGTCCACTGTTTACAATAAGGGCATATTGGGATTCAAGCAGTATTATTTACAGTGGTGATTTTTTTCCCTGAATCTTAACTCAAGCAATGAACCTCTGACAACAGTTTTATGTAAATAGACCAAACAGACGTCACGTTGTTAGTCAGAGTGCAGGTGTACAATCCGAGATGAAATAGCACTGGACAACCAACGGTAATGCAACACGCTCCCTCCCCACCCTGCTCTTTTTGATCTATTCGCCTTCCCTTGAGGGTCGTATCCATAAGTCACCCCCTATGACTGTGTCAAGAGGTCAGAGATTTACAGAAAGAGGAGAGCCCTACATGTTTTTTGAAATGAGTCTAAGCTTTACGGCCTACTGTGCGGCTATAAAGCATTTTGCTAGGTAGGAGTTGATCAAGGCTGCCTCGTCTTTTCATGTTCTTTTCCTCACTCCCCCAAAGGCCGTATTCCCTGAAGGTGTTGTTAACCAATCTCTGTCTTCCTCTTAGGAAAGAGAGGATGAATCAGACAATTGCTAACTGTTGATGCTGCCAGTATACTGTTGTCGGTCATCCACAGAGGCTAGAGTCTTCTCCGTTTTAGCCGGTCTCCATATTCAATGTCCAAAGCCGTGTCTTTCCTCTCCTGATTCCTCTCAGTGCTGGGTATGTTTGGCTGGGGTAAATATAGCTCTGTTGGTTTGAGCACAAGGATAAACACAGATGTTGAGGAGGCCTTTTTTGCCACAGGTCGGCCCGTGTCTCCCCCCTGGTCAGCAGTGGTAGCAGACAGAAGAGAGTGAGAAGGACTGCCTCCACATCCAACCACAGCACACTTAAACAGGGCTATTGGACTTAACACTAAACTTTACACAGGGTTAAAGGAGATGTATACATTAGCTACAAAACATTTAGACAGTCTGACAAAGTGCTTGTGCATAAAGAGTGATTTACACAGGCCCACAATGGGCGTCCATTTAGCAGGTTACTGCGGGTTAGGCCGCTCTGCAGACTTACAAATGGATATCCACTTAACAAAAAGCCTGTACTTAGCTCAAATACTTAGATTAGTGTTTATTGAGGCACAAAATTTTCACGTAGAAGCCTGCAAGAAAGCCAGTCTCTACTGTTTGGGTTATTTCACAATCCTCACAACTGAAACCAAGGACATAGAGTAGGAATCGCTGCAGAAACTGGCTGCAGGCCTGCTTAGTCCCTGAGCAGCACTGAATGTGCTCATTTCCATAACATTAAGAGCTCTTATCTGTTACTCTCCCCCCTTTTATAATGTTTCTCTCGGGCCTATACGCCTCTTTCAAAGAGGGACTGATGATGTTAAATGGTGTTTCAGTGCTCTGCTGTAAGGGACTGTTGCTGATAGAAGAAGCACAAATCATGCATTAGATCTCTGGGGAACTGGCTTTGTTCTAGAGACTTCCAAAGCATTCAGATACACATCCATTAATGCGAATTGTCATGCAGCTGAGAAAGGCGGCAGCCACCATTCACTCTGTAATGTCTCCATTTCCTTTTTTTTTTCTTGTACATCTTGTTTCTCCTGACAAGAGAGTTGAGCTTGTCCTCTGCTGTCAGGGGAAAAGTGTTGTTACACCTGCTTCAAATCTGTCCTTAACTGAAGCTTCACTCACAGAGTGGACAGGTGGTGTGTGTCTGTGTGTCCGTGTGTGTGTGTGAACAAAGAGCTCTGTCATACACCAACATAGCAGAAATGCTCTGGAAAAAGGAAATCCGGCATGAAGGGAAAAGAGAAACAGCTGATCTCTGTCTGTCAATTTTTATGGACTGAGGAGGAGTGAGTTAACCCTGTGAGCCTCAAATACACACAGGATTGACCAGCACATGCATCTGTCCATGTCAAGTCAGAAACATGAAGAATCTGTATTAGAGTTTTAACTTTTTGTCAAGTAGATTAGTGTTACTCTGCGGGTCAAGACTGTTAGTCTGACAAAGCAGGGACATTAAGGTGTTCATCTCTGAGATTTCACCCACTGAACAAAACATTTACAGAGTAAGAAACATTTGACAGACTCCTTTTGTCTTTTACTCAAAGTATGTAAGAGAATAAGTGGCTACAAAACTCCAAATACCTGTTATTGAGACAGTCAGTTTGTTTTAGAAACTCGCATAAAACAAGACAAACATTTGATTTTACTAAAAATGACACTTTCTGTTTTCGAAGTGTAGACATTCAGGAATGAAAAACAAACAGGAACAGTGTGGAATAGATGTCGTCAGTCCGTTGGGTTTCAACAGATGTCTGCGCTGATGAAGCTACTGTAAGTAGCATTATAGAGGAGCTCATTTATGGGACTGGAGATGAGGCTGTGGAGTTCAGCTAAGGCTAGGAGGTGTGATGCCAGCTAGGTACATTGTAGTTTCCAAGTACGTCATTAGCCTACAGAAACCCTCATTTTCACCAAGCAGGAAGGCTGGTTATTGAGAGCAATGATATCACTCAGTACGTTTACATGACACTCTAGAAAACCGAATTATTGCCTTACTCCGATTAAGAACGGACAACTGAAGTGCATGTAAACACGTTTGTCCAACTATAATCGGAGTTTGAGAACTCTGATTGGAATCGGAGAACTCTGATTAAGACACTCAGATAATGCAATTAGAATTTGATTTTCTCTACCAAGTAACCAGCCCACGTAGCGCATCCATCATGTACGACAAAAACAACGCTGTACGATGCTCCATCTTCTTGCTCTAAAATGCCCGGCAGCTGTTGTAGCCACTTCTGACGTCTGGCACGGACCTGCTGTTGTTGTTGACGGTTGTATGGCGTCGGAAATAGCGTTGCTGAAAAGACCCATATTGGCCCCTAGTTTTGGGTGGAAGGACACGCTTACGTCAATAATTCAATTTTCTCAGCTGCATGTATACGCAGAAGTCTGAAAACGACTTATGAGCTTGGTCCAATTAAGCTCTGCATACAAAAGCACTGAGTGATTTTGTGCTTCATTTCTTTTTGGTTGGTCCTTGCTATATTTCATAACTTTGTTAAATGACTGAAGTGGAGACCATTGACAGTTTTTTTTCCTGGAACTGATGGTTTTTGGTTCTTACTGGCAGAATTAGTAATTTGCTTTTATCGTCTCAACACTTGAATTCATCTTAACACAAAGAATTCTCAAGGCTCCAGCGATCAAGTGACATTTCAGCGAAAATCTAATGACCGGATGTTTGAAATCAGTCATCGAGAATGAGGAAGTTTGAACCTCTTCATTTTAGTCAATGGCCTGAATCACTGGATCAGCAAGCGTCTGTAGAGATTCAGCCCACTACGTGTGAACAATGAGTCAATTCTTCATTGTCAGGGATGTGTGTATGACCACATTTTTGTGTCTTTTCTGAAGAGTCACGAAAGCATCTTCAAGCCCCCAGACACCTCGTGTGAAATTCCATCTGTGTTTTATTTGGAGGAGCTCTCTCTCGCAGACCTCTCCGCTCCCGCTGGCTCTCTGTGCTCCGAATTGAAGGTCAAGCAGTCACGCAGGAAGTGAGTATGTGTCGAGGAGGATGCGAGTGTGTGGTGGAGATGAGTGTGGCGGTGAATCAGACAGAAGGCGTGAGGGGGGAGAGAAGTGGGCTCATACTACAGAGATCAGTCACAAAGAGGAATGACCAGTTCATAACTCGTGAGTAAAATCATTCCTAGGGTCTGAAGAATGTTAACACAATCATGAAGCAGCTGGTATTTTGACCTGGACCTTCATATTTTTCGCTCATGCATGGTTGGGACTGTCCAGTATTTGCTCATCTCAATCCCTATCACAGAACAGCTGCCCAGACTGAAAATAAAAAGTCGGAGAAGGGTGTGTAACTGCAAACACCATCAGGAAACATGTAGATAGATTTGCACGTTTCCTCTTCCCTGAGTCCTTCAGGATGTTTTGCTTTGGTGACCTGCTTGTCTCTCGAAAACACAGACAGATAAAAACACACTACCTCCTCTGTGTGTTTATGTGTCTGAGCTGGACAGAATGAGTTTTAGAAATGTTTTCAGTTTCCCTGAGTCCTCTGTATGGAGTTTTTGTGAAAGGACATCAAAAGTCAGTGTGTGTTTTGTGGTATGTGTTTAGGGAGGCATGCATATATCCACGGAGCCGTTCGGAGAGGCATGCATACACACATATGGTCTGTCCCACCCATTTCCTCTTCACAGTTCAGATCTCCGGTTATGGCTGCTGACTGTGGGGACATTGTTTTTATGTTAATTGAGAAGAGCATGTGGTCATTCCATGAATGCCTCTTGGCCCACTTTTATGGTATTAGATCAAAATGTGATTTTTTTTCTCCCCCCTTTCCTAATTCCAGATCTGATTTGAAACTGGGACAGAGGCTATTTTAAAGGCTATTTTCACACAAGATAATTTGGTCCACTTTGTACAGATTGCATGGTCTGCTAAGGTTTTCAAATTGTTGCTAAGGCAGGGCACTAAATTTATGTATGTGGGTTAGAAATTTGGGATTTAAGCTGAAATATACATGTGTTGTTTTAGAGCTTTTGGTAAAATTCTACAAAGTTTGTAATCTACTGTGTGAGAGCAATTTTGTACCTGCAGACATATAATATCGCTCTTAGTGGGTGTTTGAAGAAATGAAAGGTGCGTCACTTAAAGGGATATTCTGGCGAAAAATCAAGTTAGGGGTCAAACACACCGAGTTAGACACCCCTTCGAGAGATGAATGTTGTCTTGGTCTGATTGCATTTCCATGAAGAATTGATCATAAATGTTCTTCCTTGAGCTGCGTCACCCCACAGCAGTCCGTAATGGACTGGCCTGAGGTCTCGCTACAAACAAGCGGCTGCTGGAAGAGAGTAGGTGAGTTGTGCTTTGTCTCTTTGCTAAAGAAACCAAGCAAAGCTAAAAAGATGTTTGGTGGCTAGTGCTGTGACTGGGACCCTATATGTACTGTTGATGAAGTTTGGTGCTGTTCTGAGCATTATTTGTGGCTATAGAGTGACTTTTTGTTGAGGCACGTGACTCCTTGGACCGCTGTGTATTGCTATCGTGGGTCGTTACTAAAGTTGGTATAACTAGAGAAGCAAGCAGTCGGCAACATTCATCTCTCGAACGGGTGTTATGGTGTGTTTGACCCTAAATTAATTTTACACCTGAATATCCCTTTAAAAGCCTTTTAGCAAGCTTTCAAATCAAAGACTTAAATAAATCAGGTTGCAGTTACACCATAGAATTAGAGCAAAGCAGACAAAAATAGTTTGATAAAGCTCTTTTTTATCAACTATGCGTTTACTCTGTACGGTTAGATAACGTCAGGGAGGCAGTGATAAGTTATTCTCCAGCATGGCTTCTGCTGCTGTTGGCCTCCAAATAAAGTTTCTGCTCATCCAGCACAACACGCACACACATCTCCCTTTTTTTGCTGAGTCCTAGCAAAGATTGTCCCTTGGCGGCTGCATGTGAGAACTTGCATGCCTTCCAGTGCTGTTTATTTAAGTGCTTGATTAAATTTGTAGTATTGTAATTAACTCTGCTGATGACACCCTTTGAAAGACTACATAATAAGTGTCTCCTTGGCTGGTTTTACTCCGCAGTTTTAATTGTTTCTGCTCTGCACAGCACTGTCGAGTTGATTTCAGCTTAATACCGCACTGGTGTGAAACTTGTATCTAGTCTGTTATTTAGTAAAAAAGAATGAAAAATCAAGCAGCCATTAGTGTGATTATTTGTAGCATCCTTGGATGGTGATACCAACTTTTGTCCTCCCTGCTGTGACACTGCATATGTGAGAAAGTGTGTGCGGCAGTGACAGCCTTGTTAACTGTCCCACAGGAGTACAGCCTAGAAAGCAGCAAGGGGAGAAGGAAGTGACAGAAGTCTGGGTGTTTCTGCACACAACAGTAGGGTCTGTTATCATCGTGGGAGAGGAGGAGACGGATGAGCTGATAAGGCAGAGGGGAGAGAAATGGCTTGACAGGGGAGGAGGGACGGGAGGACGGGCGGACAGAGGGGGAGGCTTAAAGGGAGGCCTGTTGGAAGAAGAAAGCCAGCCCATGTGTACCCTTCTCCTCTTTCACCTCCTTGATGTGCCCTCCTTTTTCTGTCCGTCTTTTCCCCATGACCTCTGCCGCAGAGTCAAGATTGAAAAGCTGCGGTTCAGTTTGTCAGGTGAGGCCGCACCTGAGAAATAAAACGGATCATCAAAAGACGAAGACTGACAGTAGTGGGAGTAGTTGTTTGAAGGTGATACAATCCTCCCTAGAGGGAAGGGGAGAGGGTGTATCGTGTGTGAATCTGCCCAGACAAAGCTGTTGTGTGGTCGTCTCTAGGGAGGGTTTGTATGTGGAGCAGATCTCCTCTGGCAGTGATGACTACAATTAAGAGACAACAATGAAAAAAAGGTTCAGGGGAAGAATTCTCTGGACCATTTACTCTGAGCATTAGCTAACAGGTGACTACTTGGTTTTCTGTGTTTGCGTATGTTTGTTTGCAGTAGGTCATTGCTATCACCACACCCTGCTTGACCCACTTTGTTGCCCAAAGGCACTCCGACAACCACAACGCCTCCCTCCCTCTCTTATTCACCTCTGACATGCACTTAAGCAACCTCTCTCTCTCTCTCTCCTCGTGAACTCTTGTCACTGCTCTCAGCCTAGACACCTCAGCACACACATGGCTGCTTCCATTAGGCACAATACTGCCATGCAGCTACTGCAAGCACACACACAAACACACACACACACACTCCCACCCACCCACACACACACTCTCATAAGCACAGTTGTCTACAGAGCTGTGTTTTTCCAGCGGTTCCCACGTCTGACTTTGACAGGAATGTTGGCAGCCCAGCTGGGAGCCATAGGCTGTGGAGTTTTTTCCTTCACAATTTGTAAAGTAGAAGGTCAACATTTTTTAGAAACACAACCTTTTATTCTGTCTTCTCTAGAAGTGGATGAGAAGATCAATACCTTTCTCATGTGTTGATGTTAAATATTAACCAGGCGCCAGCATGCACTTAGCATCATATAGCATAAAGCCTGGTAGTGGGGGGATACGGCTAAGATAACATTCTACTTCATTGATTCCCAGTGGGGAAATCAGCATAAGTTTGAAAAATTGGGCCAACCAGCATTTCTAAAAATCTAACACAGACATGTTTGGTGTTGTTGTTTAATTCTACATTAAAACCAACATGTAAAAATGGCTGCAGGGACCAAGTTCACAGGGTTTCCAGTGTAGTTAGTAGGGGTTAGAATCACCATTGGTCCCACAATACGATTTTATCACAATAACTGGGCCACGATACGATATTATCATGACACCTGGGCCACGATATGATGTTAACAAAATTTTTAACATTTTGCAATACAGTACAGTAAAGTATCGCGATACAATATATTGCGATTTATACAAATTTTTCAACTGTTTAGCTAATTAAGCAGTTGTCTTTCCTTTATGTTTGTCTTATTTACACAGTTTTTTATTTTTATATAGCACGTCTTGAAAATCTTATATACATATTGTTGCACTAACTTTCTCCTGTTTAACTTCATGTTAGCAATTAATTTGAAAAATCGATACTTGGTCAATGAGACGATATGATATATCACCAGACAAAATATCGCGATACAATGCTGTTATGATTTTTTTGTAATGATTACAAACACTTTGAAAAACAAGCTCTATATGATGACCAATCATAGCTCTTCTGTGAAGGAATAGAGCGTGTGCTGAATTGGACCTAACAAGGTGAACATACAAGCAGTGCAGTAACAGATAAACCTTAGTTATCTTTTTGATCTTAAAATCTAAGATTAAGTTTTAAAACGATGAAGACATGAGGTTAAATGTTAGTCCGAGGGACTGCTGTGTGGTTGCTTTACAGTAGATTATATTCCTGCTTCTTTGCTTTCATTCATTTCAGGAAAGAATTAAGGATACACACTTTCTTGACACACCTCTCTTGTTCTCTCTTTCTCTTTTTCCTTTTCTATCCATTTTTTTCCCTCCAAACTTTTTGTCATTAGTCAAATGTTTTCACTCAACACCGCAGTTGTCTGGGCCTGAAAAACAACTCGGCCAGTGTTTGCTCTTGTGAGCACATGTGCAGCTCAGTGTGGGTGCACATGCATGCATGGCTGTAGAACCACACCCTGGACTCACGCCACGCTTCAAACCAAACACGGAGAGAAAGAGAGGCGACTTCTGCAGGGATTTAGCTTGTTGTGACAGCGCTCCGCACTAGTTTAGGCCCAGACAGTGACGATCGCACAGTGAACAATGAGCGGAGTGACAGCCATGCAGGCCTCGGAGCAATCCTTGCTCCAAGTTTGAGGAATAAAGTGATGATGTTGATACGCTGCTACAGTCCCTACTGGAGTTTCATTTGAGGCTGGTTGGAGCAGACACACCTTCTACTCGGCTGTTATTACTGAGCAAATTCCACCTCAGAGATGCTGCTGTTGGTCCAGATGCCTGAGATAGTTTTGAGGGGTTGAGATCTTTATCAGCGTGTAAAATTCCCCCCTAACCTACGCTGAATGATTGATGCTGTGTCCTAAAACTGACTGACTGACACACACAGACATAAATTATCACTAAATACTTTCGCTTCAAAGCCAAACGCTGACTGAGAGAAAGATGGGTTTCAAAATAAGTCGGGGCTGATATTGACAAAAGATCCTGTATCTCTTCTTCACTTTGTATCATGGAGTGTTTAGTGGCTAATGAAAGAAACACACACACACACGGACGCACACACGCACGCACATAATGCAACTGTGGGTTAAAAGGAGCCACACCTTTCCCCTCTAATCCTCTTTCAGTGAAGACAAACCCCTCTTTATAATACCTCCTGAATCTACTGTGTTGTTACCTGCACTCACCACCTGCCTCCTATTCTGTAGGAATTGTGTGTGTGTGTGTGTGTGTGTGTGTGTGTGTGTGTGTGTGTGTGTGTGTGTGTGTGTGTGTGTGTGTGTGTGTGTGTGTGTGTGTGTGTGTGTGTGTGTGTTTTTTTTTTGGCTGATTGAGGATATTTTTTGAAGGTTTTATCATGAGACAGACCAGACAAGACCAAACGTTAACACGAAACATCATCACAAGAGAGAAAAGAAAAGCCCGTTACACAACCACTTCATGAAAAATCATAAAACAAAGTTAATAAAAGACAAGATAAAAGTGAATTAAGCAGAGAAAAACAAATGTATCTAACTTTTTTAGATCATCCAAGCTGAACAACTTGCATTCACTTACCTGCCAGATATTCTAACCTGCTAAAAACCTTTTCAACCCTGAATAAAGTAGGATCCGGTTTCACCCTTTTACTTTGGAAGGATCGGTTTCCTGGAAATCAGAGACTCTAAACACTGATGTTTATTTTATAGAGCAGGGATTAGCGTCTTCGGTAACCGCGCTAACTCGCTCTGTCAGTAGAGATTGGTTGCGAGGGATATTATCAAACCTTCAGCACACACTCAGATCTGCAGTTACCTTTGAGATCTACCTCCGCTGCTGTTTGCTCTGTTTTAATTCCCCAGCTTTTGGCCTGCATTCTTTGTCTCTCTCTTTTCTCACAGCACCAGTTTGTACAGTACCTTCTGCAGCTCTGTGTTTCTGCTCGGTCTCAATGGACCTACTGTACTCTGTTTGCTCTCACCAGTCAAAGTCCCACAGGCAAACAGTGCCTGGTCTCTCTGGGGCCTGGGACTGTGCTAGAGACGAGCCAGGCCTGCCAAGATTCAGTACTATAGTTCCACTATAGCTTCATGTTACCACAGAGCCGCCAAATGATGCTTTTGTTAAAAGTAGGGATGTGTGTGTCTATGTGGGGGAGGGGGCCTTGCAAGTGGTCTTTAAGGATTTAGATGCTTATATATACAGAGCATGAAGATCAATAAAATAGTCGCACTGATGTTAGAGACATGGGTGGGAGACGTGGGAATCCTTGACCACACAGTGCAGTAGGTGTGAGAGGAAGAGCAGCAGACCTTTGTAAAACAGACACCTCTTCCTCCAGGGTGAGAGAGACGAGTTGTTGTCCTCCACATGGTTGTAATGACCTCCGCCTGGATGAAGTTCACATTTTAGTGCACGTCTATTTCGATTTAATCCCTCTCCTTCTACCTTGTATCTTCTGTGGGACTTGAGATTTCCTCCCCCCAGCTGGAGTTGGCAGACAGAGTGAGGTGGAGGGGGGGGTCCAGGGTGATTATGAGACTTGGGGTGAGCTTTAACCCACTTACCACACCATCTCAGGGTCTCCTGCCAAAACGGTGAGCTTAGTGCTTTTAATCCTCTTCCCAAAGTGAGCTGATAGTTTGTTGCTCGGGGCAATTCTCTTGTCTCAATGCATGGAAATATTATCTTCAAGAATTTTTTTATTATCCACACCAGCACGATACTTTCATTTGTTTCACAAGTGGATGCATATGTGTGTGTGAAGTTGTCTAACTGCAGTAAGTTCGGTGGGTGTGTGTGAGTTGTCAGGCAGTTTCCTGGTCATAAACACGCCAGTGAAAAAGCTGTGCTTTGGTCTGAAGTGAGCCCCCCTGTTGGCCCTTGCAGCCCTCACAGTCAGCCAGCCAGGCATGTTTATTTACCCCCCTCCAGACCGGTTTGTGCTGGGCTGGCCTCTGCCCCAGGGGTCCGACTACAGTCCAGTTTGGAGTCCATCCTCTCCCAGCTTACTGCCAGCATCACATGCCTGTTTTCCGCAAACTATGCTGAGCTCCCTCCTTTAATAAAATGGACTCATAATGCCACGTTCCTCACATTCTTTAAGTGCAGGCCTCTCACCCTCCTTTTTTTCACATGCAGAAATGGATTGCACAAAGAAATCTGGACCACTATTAATAAAGCCAGATTGTTCACAAAGCTTTTGGTTTAAGAGGCTGAATAACATTTGAAACAGTTTCCTTCTTTGTGCAGGTGGAAACGCAAAGTGAAGAGAAGGAGAGGAGTAAGTGGGAGGGACAAGTACAGGCTGATTCAGTGGTGGGGTGGTGCGTTGTCAGAGCAGCAGCAACCCTGTCACTATAGGTTTTCGTCTAGACCCCCCCCACACACACACACACCTCCAGCAGTATAAAGTCATGGCTGAATTGGGGTCAGCCACGCTCCCTTAGTTGCTTCCCAGTCCTTATTTTATCCTTCTCTCCTCAAAACAAACTCTCCTGCCGGTGTCTGTTCACATATCTGTCATTCCACCTCCCTCAAATCACTCAGTCTCACTTCCCTCTCTACCTCCCTCCTCATCTGCGGGTGCTTCCCTGAACCCTGTAAGCAGGGGGAGGACAGGGTGAGATTTATAATTAACAAAGGCTGGTTTAAGCACTGAAAGGAAGAGTTGTCTGAGGAGCGCAGCATAGGGTGGGGATGGTTAACAAATTAGGCTTTTGAGACCGAATATCAGATCGAGGCTGTGGAAGAAAAAGCGCACACTGATGAGACACAATGACTGATTTTTGCTGTTTTTGTGTGCAAGTTTTGGCAAAGTCCAAGCTGCTTAGGCACGGCAGACCTCCACCTTAAGAGCAGCCTCTGGTACAGTGGTATGTAGTCCAACAGTGCATAAAAGCTCTGATGAGGTCAGGCAGGCATGAAGACTCATTACCATCTCATAAAAGATCTCTGTCCTCCCCAGGCTCTGTTATCTCTGGCAAAATTACCGTTGATTCTCTGTGTTGGTGTACATCCATACTTTACTGCTCCTGCCATGGCTGTTTGCATAAGATCAGAATTTATGATCCAAGTCTTGTTAACATGAAAGATTGTGGGATATCCATGTGAAAACAAATCATTTTTTTACTGGCACACCTCATAAAATCAACGCTTTTTGAAAACAGAAGTGTAGTTTAGTATCAGTTCACACAAGCCAGGTTACCTATGTGCTGAAGGAATAAAGTTTGAGAGTGGGAATGCAAATTGCATACAAACAGAGTGTTTGCATCTCTGAAAACATCCCTCCACTTTAAGGCCTGACTTGTCTTGGCCTGGCCTTGCACAGTCTGGTTGATTTAACAGATGGCTCAGAGCAAGTCAGTGTCGTGGCGAGAGGAACCCTGCAGTCGGACTCGGACCCTTCACCATCTGGGCTCCAGGTGACACCAGGGTGACTTCTCCGTTATAACTGATAGATACCCTCATATAATAAGGTGATACATAAACCTTCCCCCCTGGAATGTTCAGTTTTGCTTTCTGGCACCTTAACATGAACTGGAAAGAATAATCTTAATGGTACTTCATAAAAAGGGTAACAAAAGTACTTATGTACTGTATATGTGCTCTGTATGAATTCAGGTGCATATAGTTTATAAAAATTAAGCATTTGTATCTGACATGTCCAAAAAATTAAAAAAAAATGTAACATGGAGCAGCCGAATTTAAAATCCTTTTAAAAATAGTTAAAGTTTAGTAATCAGCAGGTGATACATTAGTTTATCCTGAACGTAATCCAAAATGTTACAGATTTGTGCTAAAGGTTAATAGGCAACCTTGTAATTAAATAAGACTCCGGCAAGTCACGCAATAATCCCGCACAGAAAGCCGTAGAAAGCCTTTAATTGTCTTTGTTAAGCTTAACTGTCTTCTGCTTTGTCCTTATCAACAACTATCCCTGTTTTATAGCAAAAAGTTCTCAAACTTCCCAGAATTACCTCAGGGAACAGACGAATTTTGTACCTCGATTTCCTCCCAGCCTACCAGTGTAATCTCAGGGTAAAGTCGGGTTACGCTCGTGTGAGAATAAGCAGGTGTTCTGTCTAGTTTTGCTGCTTGGTTCAGGAATGCTACTGTAGCATGAATTGATAGCAGAGTCGCAGATTCATAAGTGTGCCGTAACAAAAAGCAGAGCATGTTTGTGGTTCTTTAATATGACACTGTTATTTAAGATTTCCAGGGAAGTGTATGATCCTGGTAGATAATGTTCAAAGTTCACAATCACATGATACCCAAACACCACTCTCTCTGTTAGCATTGTCAGAGTAAGAAGATCATGTGTTTAAAATGCTGTTACAAAATCCTTACTTAAGATACTTAAGAGTGTCCTTACGCACGCATAGAACCATTTTATCACACATTGAGAAAGGAAGCATAATTTAACTGAACACCGGTGAGAACCTGGATTTACGTGTAACAGGATAAAAAAAAAGCAGAATGCGGAGAGACTAAAAGAAACATGCTTCTCCTCTCTAGTATGTTCTTTCCTCAGTTTCCTCAATCATCGATTATAACACAGCTGGAAATATACGGGTCTGTATTTAGAGAGGACAGAGCAGAAAATAAGAAGCGAGTGTGAAGTGACATGGAGGCCACACGCTGGTATCAGACCTGGGGCATAATAGTGCTTTCCAGTTACCTCGGAAGTTAGATGACAGAGCTGGGAATGACGTTACACCCGAGTTGACGGGGTTCCAGTTAACAAGTCGGAAAACCAAGATGGAGGCCTACAGTTAGCTGTTGTCAGTTGTTAGTTGTTGTTAGCTGTTGGTAGTTGTTGTTTGCTAAACCAGTTGTAAACAACGCATAACACAGTGTTTTACTCTACAAACGCCATAGCACAGTGTTGGACATGCTATGGTGGCAGATGTTGGGCACTACAACACCACTTACTTAATTTCTCAAAAAAAAAAAAAATAACAGAACGGCCAGTAAATAATCCATTACAAGAGCTTTCACTGTTACTCTTGACTGTTGATGTTCTGCACTGCCATCTTGGATTATGAAGTTGTCATCAAGTCGGGGTTGGTGAGGATCGTCCGACTTTCCGAGTTGGAAATCCGACTTTAGGGGTGCAGTTCAGTTGAATTTCCGACTCAGAGCTTGGAAATTCCGACTTCCGAGTACAACTGGAACGCAGCATAACCTCCTTATATGGGTTAAGTGTGTAGACCACTAGGCTAACTTTTTGACTTCCAATAAGATACCGATATTGTAGCTTTCAATATTGACCAGTACCGATATTGATCCCATATTGGCACAAAATTGTTTATGACAAGTTTTTCACTCAGATGCAATGTCTTTTTCGGACTTAAAAAATACTGCCACAAGGCCAACAACACTCCTACTCTTTTCTACTTTGTTCGTACCTTAGTACACACTGTTGTTGCTCAGCTTGCTGGATCAGGGCGCTGCTAGATAGAGGTGCTGGAGCGGAGTCTGGAATGGACTGCTTGTATTGGATTGCTGATATCTGAGATTTTAGATGCAGGCCAATTTAATTTGATATTTGTTTTTTTGCTGATATCAGTCCAATATCTGATATCAATGTCTTTACGGGACACCCCTAACTCTGTCCACTGTCGACTCATCAGCAGAATGACTTTGCATTACCTCTCCAGACACAAAACAACAGCTTGGCGGAATAACATGGAGACAGTCCCACCTTGAACAGGCTGCAGAACAAGGCTTTAGCTTCCCTGAATTCAGCTGAGTGAGCATACATCGGACAAGTGAGTTTCTAATCCTGTATGAGTCAATAAATGAATAGGCAGGATGCAGCTCATCAGAAGTTACAGGCTTGTTTGAACTAGTCACTGTTTGAACTGCTGCTCTCACCTTACCAACCCATATGTGATGACAACCAGCCTCTCTTCAAAGAAATGTGAATCGCGGTGTTTTACCAGACAAACGAAATATGTCACTATTGTTTTCTTTACTCACTCACATACATTGCAAGTAATGCGCTGAAGTGGGTAGTGCGGCTTTGAACATGTGCTGCAACATTCTGAACTCAAGTCCAAGGTGATGTGGTGAAACACAGAGGCAGAGCCCGAGCCTGCCCTCAGTCAATATTTGCCTCAGTGAGTGCTTTGCCACTGGCAGGAGAACAAACTGAAACGGTCTCGCAAATGTCTTAAACAGAGGCGCAGAGTTTCTCTCAGAGGCCCTGGCTTTAGCGTTCAAACCTCCTTCAGCTGCCACTGAGTATGTGTGACACCTGTTCCCCATGTTCTCCAGGTCTGTGTTTATAAAAAGCACCAGAGCAAAAACCACAGCACTAAGTGGCTGGTGGGCGGCTGCAGCTGAAGCTTCATTAAACGCTCAAATGTACAGCATTTGCGCGTCTTTTGTGGGTGTTGCTAAAGGTTTACCTTCCCTCGTGCGCCGCTGTTGTGACACACACCGTCATCTCACACACAGGCCACCCAGAGAGTGAGACGCTCTGCTGTTTGTCACCCACTTTGTCTCCCTCTGCTCTGTCCATCTGGCAGGCAAAGAGAGAAAAATGAGCAGCAACTCACAGGTGGGAAGAGCTGCCTGTTCGACACAAAAACAGCGAGAGAAAAACCAGTGGAAGTCGAAGATGCCAAGAAAAATGGAGCAGAGTCAACACAGAGAGATACTTAAGAGCTAAAAGGTGTGAGGGTAAAAGTGTGCGGGATTCTGCCACACATGCGGCGCGTAAAGAGACCGGCTCTTCTCATTAACCAGACCTTCCACTGAGACTTTGAAGTTCGCCACAACACCCCAGTTGCTTCACATTTCCCTCCTTGAATTACAGTGTGGGAGCGCTCAGGAAGTTGTAGTCCTGTAGAAATAATGTTCAGTGTAGTTTTTGCTGACTTTTCTTTTTCAGTATTTTGTCTTTTTTTTTTACTTGAGTTATTTCATTCTAAATACATCAGTTTTTTTATCAGCTTTCTGCCTGGGAAAAGATCAGCTGACATTTACAAAAGCAAAGCTCTCCCACAGTTTCTGTTTGTACTAAGTCAGGAGGTTATTGTGTGTGCATGTAGGCCAGCGTGCTTTCGGTATGGCTGCCAAAGAAACAAATTGTTACTCCTTGCTCGTGGAGGTGTGCGGTGAGTCATGGCGCAGCGAAACTCGATTGCCTGCTTTGCTCACAATCATCCACGCTGCTGAGATGAAGTCGTATTTCCTGTTTTGCCAGGAGTTTCAGCAACCGGCAGCTTTGTTTGGGGGTTGTGGATTTGGGCTGTTTGAACGTGTTTACTTGAAACCGTTCCACAACAGTGACTGACATGTAGACACAGACAAAATAAGTTGATTTTTTTTTCTCTGTGAATGACAAACAAAGTGGTGTGATCAGTTTTTGTTTAAGTTTTTGAGGTTAGGATGAGAAACTTTCCCATGGGGAGGAAACTGACCTACAACATGTCTGTTCAACACTTTTACAAACATTTTGACAAAAAAAAATATTCATAGTAGTTTGACAAAAACATGGTGTCAAGGGTTGGTGAAATCCACCTGATCTAAATGATGACACAAACACCCTTTTGTTATAAAATAAAATCTGCTAACATGAGCAAAATAGCCTTTTGAATATTGCAACTGTAACTTCAATATGATTCAATATGAGGCACAGGACCAAGTCACTCCAGAGTTGAGTGGACATCAGAGGTAGTGATGTGGGTGTGGTGCAGAATCACTGAAATGTCTTAATGCTTCCACTGCGCCATAGTGTCATATAAATCACATACTGTTCTGGGATCACGTTCCTATCTTTCTGCACTGAATAATTTTGATCGCTCTACATGAGAATCTCTGTGCAGAGTCTCGTCAGTAGTGAAGTCGAAGTCAGCCCTATAAAGTTTGACTAAGTGACTGTTAAAATAAAGAGGATCATATTTTGGGGCTCCCCCTCGCATTCCCTCGCCTTGTATTTTCCATGTTCGGTCTCCTGAAATCTTATCCCAGACATTTCTCACCATCCCGACCGCAGACGCAGAGAAAAAAAAGCCAATAGAGAGAGAGAATTTACTTCGACTGTTGAAGACAGAGATATTTTGGTTAATAATGATTCTAATTTAGAGAAAATCCTTCGTTATTCAATTTAAAAAACAACATTCACAGTCATTTTTAGTGGATCTCTTATGAGGTGAACACAGAAGCTTCAAATGCAGCTTTTTCTCTTTTACAATTTTAGACTCAGGGACTGCAGCAATAAATATTCAGAGGTTTGAAACTTAAGTACACAGACTTTAGCAGGAGGTACCAGTATTTGGCTCCACTCTAGAGGGGAGAGAGGAAAAGGGAGGAACAAGGGAGTGGTAGCTGTGTTTTTAATTTCCTCTAGCAGCTCTAAGCCTTCTTCTGCTGCTCTACTGCCTCCATCCAGAGTCCCTGTGGTGGACTCAAAGGGGTCTGTGTCGGGATCTCCTCGGGACAGGGTCATGTGGTGTGGTTTCGGGGGGTTACAATCAGTCTTAATGTAGCGAAAGAGAGAGGTAAGCTAAGGACAGAGGAGTGACATTTAAATAACATAAATTTTCAAGAAACAAGTCTCCCTCTTTCTTTCCAAACACTTACAAACACTTATACTTCCTGTCCCTGCATGACAAGAGTGTATAACTCTCTCACCAGTTGGTCTTTACTGACGTTATATCAACCATACAGAAGAGTCGTTTGACATTTACACGAAGATCCTTATACTTACATTGTCAGAAAATTGGCGTTTTGTTTGTTAAAGCTCTGTAAAACAATCAGATCTGTGAGTACTGTCTTCAGAGATCAAAATAAGTCTGAACCTGTCCTTTTTTGTCCACTCTTGTTAAAACCATTCTAAATACTAAATGGAGCATTACAACATTTTCTAGTATGTCTGAACTCACATTATCAAACGCATATGAATGTGTTCCGGTGCAATGTTGGGAAAAGTCAAAGAAGTGATTCAAAACCACAACCTAGCACTCCTTTCTTGACCGGGTCTTTCTCAAGATAATTTCTCAGTGGATATTTGGCAATCCAGCATCATCTTGTGACACAGTGGGAAAGTTTGGAGAACAAAATGTGGTGGTAAGATGTCTGGAAACACAGTCTTTGTTAGCCAGTATTTACTCATATCTTTCTCAGTAAAACAGATGAGTGTGACCTGGCTGTTTGCATGGACAGTTTTCATGATACTACAGATAAAAACAAGGGTAGTTTGGTTTGATTTGGCCTTTTAATGGGGGCTAATCTTTGTACAGTGCTGTGGCGGTCACTGTCAAGAGTTCACAGGTCAGGATCGGGATGGGAATTGATCAGATTTTGTTGATACCAGTCCCATTATCCATTCTGCATATCAATCCAATACTTTCACCACAAAGACTGAGACATACTGAGTCTGAGGTAGAGCCACGTTAAAAAAAAAAAAATTCAAGGTGTGGCAGCTTTTATTTTGCCGTGGCATGCTGTGGGGAAAACCTGGAATTTAAGAGACACAATTTCGGTACCACATCTGCCGGTGAGTTTGTGCGAAGGCGTGGAAGTTTTTTTAGTTCTCTAGAGCATAACCACTGTTAAAGAATCACAAAACCACCTTAATTTCCACAGCACTGAACATAAAAACAAAGTGGATTGTATTGTTTGCTGGTATCAAAAAATTTTGACAACCTTACCTGTGCATACCTTTCACTTTATCATCACGGAGGTGAACTTTGGCTGAGTGCACTTTGCATTGACACTTTGTACCTGGGAGCCTTTGAGATAAATTTAAATCCTGTACTGTGAAATTAGTCCGGGCCAGTATCTTTGAGTTCCCCGTTTTTTGAAAGCCCAAGCAATCAGCGTTGGGTTTTGCGAACAAGAGGGAAATTAAAAGTGAGCCTTTCTCATTTCATGGAGGAGAAATTGCACTGAATAATCTCCAAATTCACCAGCGGTTAAACCCTTTTTACTTGTTCTGAGATTAAATTGACCTTACAGTATTACACCAACAATATGCCAATGCTTCCCACACTCTGTCTGGACCTAACCACTGACTCGGCTGCAAATCCAGTAACAGAACATTGTGTTTGTATAGAAAATCCCAAAGGAGTCCATCATTTCACAGGCATCAGAGGAACTGGCGGGCATTATTATCTCTATCGCTAACCGCTATCTCCCGGCCCTGCCACTCTCAATCTTATCTAGGCCATAGAGCTACACAAATGCCGTGCAGAGTCAGATGTACTTTTCAAGCCCAAAACTAACAAAAGTAATCTAGCAGTCTATCATCAATCTCTCCACCTTAATTTTCAAGTGTAGTGATGTTTTTCTGAGCCGATAACAGACTCTGACCCCGAGTCTGATTCAGTTGTTTTTTATTTTTCTGTAGAGACTGAGGGGGAAAATGATCTGCGACAGTCAGGTTTGTTTCTGAGAGCTCATTTATTTCCTCATACAATAAGGTCCTAACTGCCTCTTCTTTCAATGCAACCATTCAAGGGGTGAATCAAACGGGGGTGACGCACAGAGAGAGACTGGCTGGATTTGTGTCATAGGCCCTCTTTGTTTGACTACACTGTAACCCCACCGCACACACTCGCAAACGCACGCCCCTTGACCCCGTGCTCTTTTGCTTTTGTCGATGCGTCATGCACAGTAGGTTGCAGAAAAGAGGACAGCAGTGTCACTTCTCATTAATCAGCCATTGAAAACAAGACTGATGGAGACGTCACTGAGTTTACATTCGTCTTCTCTCTGCTTACAGAAAGGAACGTTAGCCTTTAGCACTGAGGCTGAAGCTGTGCCTCTGTTTCATTATTTCTCCAGGGACTCCAAATTCCTGTCTCATCAACCATGATGGTGACTTCAAGAAATCTTTACATATTAGGCCAAGAGACAGTTGCATGTGTTGTTCTGATCTTTTGCATTTATTAGCTGCAGGGAGAACTATATTTATAGATAAGAGTCGGTAAAATGAGGTCAATAGAGACGGATAAAAACCTTTGAGGCCACCATCTCGTCAGGTCACAGGAGTTCCTCATGATCTTTATCATCTTACGTCCCAAGTGAGCGTGCAAAAGTCCTACTTATTAATGTAAAAGTTCCTAATGTTGTGTGGGTGGGGTGCATGTGTGAATATAGGGTATACGCGGGGTCTTAAAAAGTCTTAGAAAGTCTAAAATCCAACAATTTAATTTAAGGCCTTAAAATATCTAAAATTCTCTGTAAATCTCATAAAATGTCTTAAATACGATTTTGAAAGATCTTAATAAAGACTGACTGATTTAAAGTAATGTAAAATGGTCAGATTTTCCTTCATGTCTTTTGCGCTTTTTTGCCATTATCTATGTAAAATGAGTCTTAAATTGTATTATGGTCTAAAAAGGTTTTTAAAAGTCTTAAATTTAACTTGTTGAGACCTGCAGAGACCCTGGAATACAAACAGCTGAATCTGGTCCAGCCTTATCTAAGACCTTTATCTGCCAACCCTCTTGTTAATTTTCCTCCATGAAATCAGGATGAGCTGATGTGTGAACACAGCAGGTGTTAGTCTGAAGCAGTCAGATTGATGTTATTTACATGAGGCAGAGCTCCTCTGCTCTTTACTGCACTCCTCAGTTACTTTTACATGTTGTAGTGGTAATGATATAAAAACAGTCACTGTTTTGGAGAACTCCGCCCACCTCTGCATGTTTGTACCAATTAGCCCCTCCTACTTAAATCTACTAGATTATTCCAAGGCTGTAAGGTTGCGCTGATGATAACTTTCTCCCAGTATCAGATACATGTTTGAAAGGGGATTTTGAATGTAAAGAAATTGTCTAGAATAAATCTGCAGTTCTCATATCTAAAGGGCTTTTCTTGTTGCTCAAGTACCAAGGCCCTGTCACTGACCTCCTGCTTCAGTGTCTGAGGTGAAAAGAGTATGAGAGTACCTTCTCAATACAGCCTGATCGCTCACCTCTGTTTAGTCTTTGAGCTCTTCTGACTGCAGAGTTGAACTGTTTTCTCTTTGAGTTTGTCTTGAACGTGTTCAGATCCCGGTCTAAGCCTCAAATCCCATTTCTGGCTCATTTCTCATCATGCACTGATTAAATAATCTGTTTTTAGTGAGGTGCATGGAGGAATGCGCTTTAGGAATTTTCAGATTGGGGCTTACCCTGAGCTTGAACCTCCCTGATCCGGTCACTAGAAGTGGTGAGAGAGACTTTTAAGTCTGTGTCTTGGCCACTGCTCTGGTCATGGCGGTGCTGCTGAATGAGAGCACACATCTGTTTACATCTGTGGCCTGCAGCTTCGCAGTGTCTGTATGTCTTAAAATGATAGCTGTAGGATAACAAGAGGGGACCTGAGACCAGGCAGTTAACTGCGACATCTGACCCCACTTTAGAGCAAGAAATATTAATATGATGGTCACTTATTCCTCCACTGGACTGCTTTCTTTTGCAAATCTCCAACCATAGCTCCCAGTGGATTATCGCAGATGAGGAGAGCAGCTCTCTCCTGCCAGATATAGAGTTTCTATAAAAGTAAAGCTTCCGGAGAAAAGCCCTGCCTCCTTCCCAGCTGTTTGACACATTTTCTCTCCTCCCGGCTGGAGGCCATCACTTCTTGAAGCCTCATCATCATTTAGCTTCATTAGTCTGTCGCTGCTCTGATTCGGTTACAGGAAGAGCCTTGGAATAACCACAGACTAACACACTTTTTTTTTTCATGCAGACACAGCCTTGTCTCTGTTTACTCGATGGAAGTCATTATGATAGAAAATTACCTGAGAGTATATGAGTGGGATGTTGTTACTGCATCGGCAAGACCACCTTATGTTCTTGAACCAGTGTGTTTAATTGTGTTCACACAACTTTATTAGAGCTTTTTCTTACTGTGTTTAGACTAGGGCCCGACCGATATGGATTTTTTGGGGCCGATGGCGATACCGATTATAAGGGGGGAAAATATCTGTTTATTACCGTTTAATTGGCCGATGTTTTAAATTTTTTATGAAGTTATAAAAAATATATATAGACTGTAGATATTGACAGTATACTGTATATTGTAGATACACTGAAGGCTTCTGCTCTTCATGCTGACAGGAAGACCGACTGATCAAACTCGGACGAGAAAAGCTTTTTCAACACCCCGGCAAAAATCTGATCAGATTCTCACAGGAACACAGGTGAAAGACAGGTGAGGAGATGGAGTACAGTTCAAAAGTTGTAGCGGCTGAAGTAGACAAAGTTAATGTGGGAGGTTGTGGAGTAGTTATCGTCCATTTATCATTAGTGAGGTGAACTGCTCAATATATCATGATATTAGTTTAAGGCTACATCGCCCTGCCCTATAACCTCAGGTGAAAGACTGCCTGGCATCAGCTTTGTCGATCCCTCGATCTTGGCTTTGATGATGGTGACTTTTGTGCTCATTTCTGAATTTGAGATTTGTGTCAGAATCGTGTAAAAACTTCCCTTTCAGCTTGACGACTTCATAAAAGTCTGACTGTTTGTAGTACAGCAGTGAGAGTCTTATGAAACAGGGCATTCTGCTGTTCTGCTTGTGCCACGGCACCAAGCATTCGTTCGACTGCTCCTCCTGCACTGCCAGGCTTGTAGAGCATGACTGTCAACCATCAGCAGCTCATCACTGAACTGCAATTAGAGCTGTCAGCTCCTTGACTGGTGAGCAAACCTGAATCCAACATTACACCCAAATATGAAAGGGCATGTCTGTGATACAATGCACAGGCAGGTGTGTGTACCCAGCTGCCTCCTGTCAAAGCAGAGTCATATTTTGCATAGTTTTGTTTGTGATGATTACTCATGGCAGTGATGTCTGTGATTCACTTGCCGCAGAGAAACAGGAACCATCGTTCCTTTTTTTTGTAATTTGCTAATCTCAAAATGAGAACTGCAATTGTGAAATGTAAATAACCATCATTTAAAACATTTAAAGCTCTCTTGATGTCTGCTGTATCTCCCCTGAGCTTGCCCTGTACACGTGCGAGTTTGTTCGAATGACTTAATCACATTGCTTTAATATTTAAGTGCTAAAAGAATAATAACAAATGACTCATTTTGTTAAAAGAACAAGAAAATTGTTTCAAGGGGCACTCACAGGACTATAGCTTCAGAAAACTACTGAATTATTTAATGTTAATCTGAAGCCAAACTATGCAGTGTTAAGTGCCGTAGCCGACATGCAGCCCTGCTTCTGTCAGCGTATAAATGAGTGCATGCAGAAATTTGTTTCCTCCGTCGTCCATGTGCGTGCCCCGAAGGAAAATGTGGAACAGTAGTGGCCTACTGCTCTCCCCTGAGACATCTCTGAGGGAGCAGCAACAGCTGTGACGGCATAAGTCACCCCGAGGACCCGTCGCTACTGCTGCTGCACGCGTTCACACAAACACACCCAGTCTCACTGCACACGCCCATGAGGATAGAGGCTGAGGCCAAGGGCAGGAGCTGAGGTCTCGTAGCTTCCTGTTGTCTGTCTTCCGTTTGTTTCTACATGATTAGCGACAATCCAAGCGTCTTTATTATAGTCTGTCGCTGTGTTTTTGTTTTATCACAGAAGCATTTGCTCAAGCCCTTTTTGAAATACATAAAATTATATTTTTCCACATTCAGATTCTGAACACTTAACTTGCTCCACTAAAAAACGCAAAGGTGTGAAACCTGGACAAGTGTTGAGACTCCATTCATGTCACTCGTGTCAGGAATTTGCCCTTCGGCCCGAGTTTGGATCAAAGAACCAGAGCGCTCATTCCAGCAGAAAGGTGTCGACCGGTCTCGTGTCTGACCTGCACGTCACTGCTCAGGAATGCGTCTGGCAGTTTGCTGTACAGTCAGATAAAACGCAGGCTGGGCCGTCTGCAGCCGCAACAGGTAGCTAGCTGACAAAATCTAGATGGTTATCGAGGCTCTTACAGCCACCTGACGCCAGGTTATATGCTTTGATGAGCCAGGAGAAGGGCTGTGTGTTGTGTAGATATCTGCGTGGGGTTTAACCCCCCCTTTTGAATATAAAATATTGTAAATATTAGGGCCCGGCCGATTCATCGGCAAGCCATTTAAATTGGCCAATTTTACCCCATTTAAGACTTATTGGTAATTGGCCAAAATTCGCAGACTGTCGCCAGTATTTTCAGAAATAAAATGCAGAGAATAAGATTTGGTTTCACTTCAAAAATGTTCCGTCATTTGAAAAGTTCCCCGACTTATCCTGTAGATGGTGCAGCGACCGTGTAATGTGAGTTAAGACGTGGAGGCACCGATACGCTTTTCTGGTCCGAGTTTGATTCATGATAAATTCGTGGAATATTACTGAGGTTAATGCTACTGAGAAGTGTTTGAAAGGCTCAAAAGCAGCCATTTGTTTAAAAAAAAGTCAATATGTTGATAAATTCCTAAATTAACAAAAACAAAAATTTTAAAAATCAGTAATCAGTTTTGGCCCCAAAAAATCCATATCGGTCAGGCCCTAGTAAACATGCTGAATTGTCATTTACAGCAGCTGTCTGAGGACATTTGTGCATTTGTCAAACAACTATGCTTTGAAATATCAGTCTGAACCACTCCAGGTCAAGGGCCTTTTTTTTTAGTTGCTTGTAAAGTCGCTATATATGCAGAGCTGAGAGTACTTTGCGGTTGCCTAACCCATAAACTTCCTGTGACACAATAAGGTTTCCATGTCCCTCCTAATCCTTGTAATTTACCTTGTCACCAGGTTTAAGCCTTGTAGAGGTAACCAAAAGCCCGCATAGCTCTTGAGCTTGGCATATGGCTGGTTAATTCACCAGAGATAGTGAGATAAGACAAGCATGTATAGAAAACAAGAGGAATTAACTAAACTGGATTACGCCGTGGAAACAGAAACAAGTAACAGATGCTGGAAGTCTGCTGATGAGGGGAACTTTTACAGCCCAGAGTCTTTGAGAGTTTAGTGGCCGTCTTTACATGCTTTGATGCTCCCATGGTGAAGAGAGAGAAAGGAGAGAGCAGGCGAGGGGACGCAGTCAGACTGATTGAACCACAGAGTGAGACGGAGCAGATCTGAGGACAGCTGTTTGAATGTTCTTTAAAACAGAGAAGCAAAATAAACGAATGAACAGAGTCAAGTCCTCATGCAGTGTGAGGTTTGCTGCAGTGTGCTGCAGCGACGGCACACATGGCAGCACAGTGACCAGCTGATGGCAGTGTTATGGTGATTACTGCATTTGAGTCTTATTATTTACTGCTTTGCTTTCAGGTTGTGTGTCCTGATTGCCTGTGGCCCGCCGCCTACATCATACATCTTTTTTTTTCTTTTTTTTGCCAGTGCACCTTCTCGTTCCTATGGCAACCAGCACCAGCATAGCGATCAAACAGCTACAGCAGCTTTTCCTAGCGGTTTGGGTTAAAGGAGCTCTGTGTGTTGCATATGACTTCATCACTGTATTTTCCTCTTATGGTGCCCAGAGTTTAAAGCACATGGCCAGTCAGGGAGCCTTACTCTCCTCTTCTTATATAAAAAAAGAAAAAAAACTGAGACACATGAGTTCGTTATTCAGACTTCTTTGTGTAATCATCAGTTTTCAAGCAAGTAATGATTAAAAATATGATCCCCGATAAATGATGGTTGGAGAAACACCTACACACAGTTTGGGATTGTTGTCAAAAATGCTCCCTGAACAGATAATTACAGCCTGAAGCAGTTTTGGATGGGAGAATAGCTGAAAAATGATGCTTGTTTACTTGATGTGAGAAGAGAACTGTTCATCTATCCATGACACTTATCAGATACAGCAAGTTGCAAATTTATACGAGAGTGTAGAAACATCAATCTCTCAGGATAAATCTTCTGGAGCTCCTGGTATACTCATTTATACTAAGGATGTCCCAATCCAACTTTTTACTTCTGATACGATACCGATGTTGTAGCCTTCAGTATTGGCTGATACAGATATTGATCCGATATTGGTACAAACGTGTGCATGACAAGTTTTGCACTCAGCTGCAGCGTTTTTCGGACTTAAACGAAAAATACTGCCACACGGCCGACATCACTCCTACTCCTCGCTACTTTGTTAGTACCTCAGTACACACTGTTGTTGTGATTACGTGGGCTCTGCATGCTGGATCAGGGCGCTGCTAGCTAGAGGTGCTAGAGCGCCCTGGAATGGACTGCTTACAACGGAGTGCTGATATCAGAGATTTTAGATGCAGGCCGATATAATCTGATATCATTTTTTTGCTGATATCAGATTAAATCCAGTATCAAAATCGGATCGAGACATCCCTAATGTATACTAAAGAGTTCTCTCTGTGTACCTCATCCTGACTACATCCCAAATACATGTTAAATGGAGCTTCAGAGAAAAGGCCCAGTTAATTTAAATTAAAACAGCTGGAGAAAGAAGGCAGGAAGAACAAGATGTGTTAAAGGATGAAAGTGTGGCAGTCCCCACCTCTGAGTACTTCTGTGTGAATGGGGCTGCCCACTCTCTCTGCAGGGGGTTTTCCTCCTACTTATACAGCATAAGTACTACAGAGGATGGCAGAGTATGTAAAGGAAATAAACGGTTGTAACCAGCTGTGCATTGTTGGAAACATAAATTAAAAGTGGAAAGTGGAAAGTGGAGTCAGATTGAGAAACTTAATGATATTGTGTTTCTTTGAACGTGTTTGCAAGATAATGCTGAAGGGTGAAAGATAAGTCTTGACTACATTGTGTTTGCATTTGTACAAATACTACAATTTTGGTGGATTAAAATGCATGAATCTGTCTCATGTACTGTAAAAATTTACTGTAACTCTGTAGCACAAGATTTACAGCAGCTTTTCAGTCTTTTCCACTCACTGTGTTTGTGTGTGTGTAAAACTTTAGCAGGCTAAACTCAGGAGGAGGCCTGACTCAGCAAAAGCTGTGAAATATTTATGCGTCAGAGATGTGACAGTAATCCCGTCGTAATCACAACATGAAGCCAATGATGGTGAAGAAGAGGACAACTCTTTTTATCCCATCAGGGATGGTTGTCTTTGATTTGCATGTCTCCTCTAGCAGACAGTTTTACTTATTTATAGAAATATTTATGCCTGACTTGCAGTCCTACTGTCCTGAAAGCATACGCCGTACACACACACACACACACACACACACACACACACACACACACACACACACACACACACACACACACACACACACACACACAAGGAGCAAGCCAACTGAGTTTGGCTGTGTGACAGTTATTCTGTCTGGCAGGAGTCACAACCACAGAGAGTGACTCTCAACTAAATTTACTGCAAAGTCTCTCCACAGACGGGCCCGTGTAGACGTCTGCTCTGAACCCAGCTCTGCTCTGCCCTGTGAGCTTCATGCTGTTGCACCCAAAGTTTCAGCGATGTGCGGATGTGCTGATGTTTGTTTATGGTGGCCGCAGAGGTCGTTTATCTTCATCCCAGTGCTCATGGATCTTCTGTCAGACTTGGTCTGCGGTGTGTTTTGAGACCTTTACTGTAATATCAGGCAATCATCAGAAGCCAGTAGACCTTTTAAAAGTTTGTCATGCTGTTACAGATCCAGCACCTTCCCCTTAATAATTTACTGACATTAAAAAAAAAAGGAAACAACCGTGTAATAATTAGTTCAGCAGGTGAAAGAGCTAAAATACCGGCTTCCTGATCCTCATTCTTCACATTTTAAGCTGAGCCTGTGACACAAAGGTGATGATTCAACCCTTTGGCAGTTTGTGAGGCTGTATTTTTGTGGTGTGTGTGTTTGTTTTACAAGCTTTGTCAGTATGATTGCTTTCTTTCATGGTCTTTAGCTCTTGAACACTTTGCCAGCTTTGCTTATAAATGTGACCGGACAGTGAGATGACAGTCGGCTACCGTGGAAACCTTTTAATCGCAATATTCATGCGGCAACTCCGCAGATAATCAGCAAGTTTTTGAGGACTTCAGGTAGAAATGCTGCTACTTAATTTGCAATAAAAAAAGCCTGAGCACTGGCGCTGCGCAGCTGGAGTCAACCTTTTACAACTGCACTCATGTTTTAAAAAGAGTTGAAAAGGAAAGGCTGGTATTTACGGATGAAAATCTTCTTGTTTTTGAGCATAGGTGTGAAATAATGAATGCATACAGCAGGAAAGTGAAATCACTTTGAGGCAGGGGTCTGTAGTTTATAGTTTGCCATGCTTAGGACGCTTTCACTTACATTTTTAATTTCATCTGCAGGGCAGTGAAGTGAAGCCTGAGCCTTAAATCCATGCTGACACTGCTGATTTGTTAAGCACTGACGAGCTGCTTTTGGAATATAGACGTTTACTTTATCTCTGACCCCCATTACCCCCCCCTTCCTCCCAACTCCAAAGGCATAGTTAGTATGCTTGCTGTGGCAGGATGAGTGAACCCTGATTGATCAGTATTGATTAGCACTGTATTTGTCAGACAGTAATGGGCCTCCCCCTCAGGATATCATGTCTGCTGATTCCCATTGCCCCCCTCCTCTGGCCTCACTTCACCCCTCTTTGCATGTCCTACTTATGCCCTTCCCCTCTGTTCTTGGGCCCCATGACCTCTAATCAAAGAGCACAGCCTCCTTTATTTCCCCCACCCACACACCCCACAGACACACATACACACACACACAAACACACACTCCCTCTTGTAGTCCAGGGTTATTATGTGGAGGCAGGGCTGAGAGGTTAATGGAAATAAAATCAGAGTGTGTGCAGCATTCTGTATGCTTATGAGTGCAGAATACTGAATAGAAACATCGGACTGTTCTGATATGATAAAATGTAGGTTTCACATCGCAGGTTTGGGTTTCACTCTGTGTGTGTGCGAACATGTGTTCTCATATGTGTTCATAGCGCAGATGCGGTGCAGAAAGACTCGCCTCGGGCATCTTCTGTTCAGACTCACAAACAATAGACATGTCTGTGAGGATGACCTGATGAGCATGGAAAGGATTAGAGCTTTTCAGTTACTACCAACACACACACACAGTTCATATTAAACACAAAAAGATCAAAACATCACTTCACAATATGGAAAATCAGCACCAAAGTATTCCAGAAATGAAAAAATGTAGAATTCAAAGCAGTTAAAAATGCATATAACCGAAGGGGAAAAAGCTTTTCCATGTACCTTGAATAAGAAAGTTAAAATGACAGAAAAGACATTGAATTTAGTTCAACAAGTTTAATCCCTTCTTGTTCTTTTTTCTTTCAGCGTCAAAGACTGAGCCGTCACTCCCTGTACTGTGACATCAAATATCTGCTTCACCTGCATACCGCACAGCTGGAGGCAAGGTACATGTGACACCTTTATAGTGTGTGGGTGTGTGTGTGTAGAAACGTACATTTATTAGTTCACTTTAATCTGCAGTCTGATCATGTTTTAGAAAGGCTGTAACTCTATTATCAAGTTGTGTTTAATATTCCTAATATAGTAATAAAGAATTTCTCCCGTCACTGTGACGATAATCTGTAAGCTTGTCTTGCAGGCTGCTCAGATGCCATTTTGGTCTTTTTTTATCTAGAGTCTAGATTTGTATCTCTATTTTTGTGGTCTGTTGTGCGCTCAAAGTAAGAATCTGTCCCAGTCACGTTGTCCCCACTTGTAAGTCTGTCTCTTTTTTTCTGGTCGCTTTAACTTGAACTTCCAGGCTTTTCACTCGTGGTGCAAAGACCTGATAAAAGGTTAATAGACTTGATGACCCGGATATTTTTCTGCTTTGGAGGGGTGAGCCGTCTGCTCCGCTATTTAGCAGATAAAGCACTTCCTTGTCTGCGTTTACCGCAGATAATGAAAAGCAGGTCACTTATCGTACACTCTTTTATGATGGAGAGCCGCTTTATTCACCCAATCAAAACACAGAGACTGCCATCAAACAGCTGAAAGAAAATTTAGCCGTTGAGTCTGCTAGGACAACTTCTGTGACATTGAGATAAACATGATGAGGTTGATGAAGGAGGATGGTACTGATGTGGGTCTGCTATGATGAAAATACAGCTGCTGTTGTTTGGTTTCAGGAAGTAGTTTGACCTGACGCTCAGCCATTACTTGAAACTCCAGTGACTACAAAAGTAGACGCCAGAGTGATGAGATCTGTGTGTGTGTGTTTTATGGCTTAATGGCTGTAGCCTCTGTACATGGAGCATGTTTAAACCATCAGACGAACACCCTGAAATGCTTGTGTTTTGACAGTTTTATAAACATCAAGGGCTCCAGACTAACTTTTCTTACTAGGAGCACAGTGGACCCTAGCTTATCATTTTAGGGGTGCAAGCAGATAAGTTAGGAGTGCACACCGAAATCGAATCACAATGTCTTCCTATCACATTCATTGTATTAATGACAAATATTTTGACAATAAATGTCAAAACTACAAGCTTTTAAACTAACATTTTATTGTGCAGTGGTTTTGACAACAGAAACCAGTTACACAGCTTAATAATACGTCTCCCTGAAATATCTCAGCCAAGCTAATTCACGCAGCCACTCATCACAAAAGCAGAATTTCCTGGATTTTTTGGCCATGACCGTTTCCTCAGAATCTGAGTTGGACTCATTCTCAAGATTTGTCTCCTCAGGAACATTATTTTTACTGGAAAGAAAGTAAGAACTGATAGTCCTCTTCGCCACCGTTGTGTACAAAGGATACCGGTTTATGAAATTTGTGAATTTGCGTGGTAACCCCAAAGACCCACCTCTTTTCCTACATTAGCCTATCACAGTCATCATTCGTCCCCACGCTCTCACATTGGGCACCCTTCTTCTTCTGTTTTCGTCTCCTTTCTTCTTTTTTTTGAGTGAATGTCGGTTGGCAACTGAGCTCATTTTTGCATTACCACCAACTAGTAAGCTGAAGTGTGGAGCATATGTTTGTAAGCAACAAAAAATATTAAGTGAAAAAAAAATCTGCAAATTTACTGGTTGCACAGAAAAATGTACTTGCACTGTCTCGGATTTTAGTCGCAGTCTGGAGCCCTGACATTACTACAGTACATTCAAGTGTTTTAGAGTTTTAATTTAGTATCTGCTGCAAATAGGAATGACTTCTTTTTAGCCATGTTGGGTGTGACCTTTGCGCCGTTTTGATGAAGTATAACACAGACCACATCTCCATAGCTGAAAACCATATAACAAAGTAAACTACCTACCCCCTTTGCAGCCACAGCACAGCAGTTTTTAAAACAGTTTGTTTCATCTACGAACATTAAAAAGCCTACGACTGTTCTTGTAATATCGCAAAAGTGAATTTATTACATTTCTCGTCCAAATCCAAAAAGACCTCCAAGATCCATGAATCATTTTTGACACGTCTCTACCTGGTTCGATCGCCCCTCATCAGTGGAAATGAGGGGTAGTGTTGGAAAAGAAAACTTGTCTGCTGGCATGTATTTGATTATTTAACAGAATTTGGCAAACTCAGATTTGAACATCATCTTTTAAGTACTGCAGTGTAAGAAAATTCACTTACTCATCAGAACCTGGCAGTTTCTCCTCTCCACCTCCATCTCCTCAACTCCTCCTTGTTTTCTCACCACCATCCCTCTGCTTTTTTCCCTGCAGCCAAATGAGTGAATAATAATGAATGTTGATGTGGGCTGCGTGATCTGTGATCCACCAACTTGATGCAAAACAGTCAGCCAGTCATGTGGATTCCTTGTGTGTTTGTGTGCGCTTCAATCTTGTCTTCACATACTTGTAAAACATGTTCTGCTCTTTTCATCCCTTGTCTTACCCTCCTACGCCTCCTTCTCTCCCTTTTTCGCAAGTAGCGCCAGTGTCATGGGACAGCAGTTTGATTGATGGACAGGCAGACGGAAATGACACTAGCAACATCAGCGCGATTCCGCATAACAATATAGACGGAAATCAGTGGAGACAATGACAGCAGGGTCGGGAAAGTCTCGAGGAAACAACTGGGGAGGAGAGTGAGAGGGAAGGAAAGCAGGGTGACGGGGAGAGCAGTGTCTAAGTCAAACTCCGGTTTGAGGGGAGAGATGTCGCCTACAGATAAGCCAGAAAGACTGTAAGCCCAATTTAGACGAGAGTCCCAGGCTTCTCTGTGTGTTTCCTTCCAGCTCAGTCCCCTGTTATGTCACTTTTGTTTTCAGTGTTTCCTGTGGAGGTTTCTGTTTTATTCATGGGTAGGAGTCTTGACCTAGCTAGAACCGGAGACTCAAATCCTTCGACACCAGGATCAGTGAGTGAGAGTTTGTACGACCATTATTTGTGTTTCAGGTCGGATGACGTCTTTTTACTTAAATTAAAACCACATACTATTGAGTGTAACGGTCGCTTCCAGACAGTTGAAGTGATATTCCAGAGTAAAATTAATTTAAGGTCAAACACACCATAACACCGAGTTAGACACCCCCTTGAGAGATGAATGTTGCCGACCGCTTGCTGCTCTAATTATACCAACTTAAGTAACGACCACAGGATAGGTGCCATAAACAAACCTCAACCAAAATGCCACTCTGTAGCCACAAATAATGCTCAGAACAGCACCTAACTTCATCAACAGTACATAAAGGGTCGTAGCCATAGTACTAGTCTCCAAACATCTTTTTAACTTTGCTTAATTTCTTTAGCGAAGAGACTAAACACAACTCATCTACTCTCTTCCAGCAGCCGCTTGTTTGTAGCGAGACCTCAGGCCAGTCCATTACGGACTGCTGCAGGGTGACGCAGCTCAAGGAAGAACATTTATGATCATTTCTTTATCATTTCCTTGAAGTAAAAATCACCATATTAATCATTTTGCACTGCAGATGTGGTAGTTCTTCTGCTTTAGCATCTCGGTCTGATTGCATTTCCATGAAGAAATGATCATAAATGTTCTTCCTTGAGCTGCGTCACCCCGCTGTAGTCCGTAATTGAAGTAAGTGCTACATTACTAAAGTTGGTAAAACTAGAGAAGCAAGTGGTCAGCAATATTCATCTCTCGAGGGCGTGTCTAACTCGGTGTTACGGTGTGTTTAACCCTAAATTATATTTACATCGGAATATCCCTTTAAAAGCAGGAATGTTTAAGGGATAATTTGTGAGATGAAAACTGTTACACCCTGATAAAAATGTAGATCCATCCGCCACTCATCATTATCACCATAACAACAAATTTGTTTATCAAATCTGTTGTTGTGGATGGGAAAGCAGGTTGCCTCTATAATCACATCAGGGAAATGCAGATCATCACCAGCAGTCGTCCTGTAACCTCTCAGCGTGAGGCTCGCCAATCGCTCCTCTTGACAGCGCAAATAAAAGATCCAGACCTGAACTTTACTCAACATGTAAAGCACATTTAAATCCATTAGAACTGTTGAAAGTCTATTTGCATGAAGTCTACAACAAGTCACAGGCCAGGTCCATTGACCATCGAAGGATTTGTTTCAATTTGAGTCCCCTTCTCATCTCAAATTCACACCCTAAAAGTGTCATCTTTTGTGAAAGGCCCCCCTTTGAGGTCTTGATCAAAACAGTTGGCTTGTTTTGTTTCCCAGGTCTTTGACTGTGTTGGACCCTTTCCCTGAGATATTAAAGGTGTATACATCCAAAGGCTTCTCTGTTTTGTTGTATTTGTGCTGTTTGAGGATATCACCAGGTTAAAGGTTAAGACTTGTTTGTTTTTCTTTGTGACTCCAGTAAGTCAAGTTTGACATTTTTTAGAGTGACGGCAGCCGAATCAGAAATCCACAGCTTTGTTTTTCATTTCCTCTGGGTGACAGAAACTGGAAAGAAAACCGTACACGGTTTGCCAGCAGAACACACCTCACAAACAGTCTCACGTGGCCCGGGGATATTTTTATGTAAGCTTGCGTCTCCATCTCCTAACCTCTAATAACCTCTGCGACATTCGTTCCTTCGTGTGATTTTCACTTCAGTGGCTTTTAACCTCGCAGTGAGTTTGTTCTGGTTGAGATCAGGGTCAAGGCAGACCTGATGGCAGCCCCACACGGTCTGTCCGCTCCTTCAGAAGAGACAGGGTGCCATGAGATCTGCCAGTGCTGTATTGTGTTGTATTACAGTGTCGTGCTCCTGTCTGCCATCTGCCACTCATATGTACCACCATCTGTTCATCAAACCAGCCCATAAACTTGTAATCACTCTGGCATTGCTGCTTAATTTAAACATTTAGTAGCTGCTGCTGATGTTTTTTTAAGGATGTTTGGATGTGCATTTTATTTATTTCTTAATTTGAGTTTTTTCAGCATGTTTTAAGATCCATCTGAGCTGCCTTGACATACTGTAAACCGTAATTGTCTGCATTTTTTTCCATCCTTTCACTCTTTTAGATTTTCAGAAGCCGTATGTCTCGAGCATACATCTTGTTGTTAGACTTTTGCCTGCTGATTCACATCCCCGCTTTAATCTTCAATGTAATTAAACTGCTCTCTGTTTTGGCAACAGCAGGGACAGAAACATATGGCAGGTCTCTCGCTCTTCATCTTTGAGCCTTTTTTACGTTCGTTACAGCTCCACACTGATCGCAGGTCTGCCTGCAGCGGTCTGACATGCCAGCATGCAGCAGCTCCAGCAGGCATCTCCTCCACATCAAGCACCCTCATTCCTCTGGAGCAGCACTCCTCCGCTAACTCTGTCATTACTACCATCTTACCAGCGTAATTACCATTTTGGTGTGTGTTTGTGGTGCACAGGCCAAGCCTGCGTCATGCAAACCCGATGTGAGCGTGTGGAGGGAGAAATGGAGGGAGGGAGGAAGGGAAGAGGCATGAATGGGAGAGATAGAGAGAGTCAAAACATTGGGAGGGATATCCTACAGCTGACTAATTACTATATGAGAGTAATTATCAGGCATTAAATGTCTACTCTTCATCCTCTGAAGTCTGGGCCAAAGCTGTGTATGTGTCTGCTCAGGTGTTACATGAGAGGAAAAATTAATCTACATCATTAGAGGGATTTTCCCTGGATTATATTATTGAAGCCACTCTTTGAATTTGTCATATAACTAAAGAAAAAAGCACATCACAGTTTTGATTAAAGATTTCATTTGTTTCTGTAAATCAATACTCAAAGTTTGGGTCATTATGCGTCATTTCTACTTGTTGAGGAGACTTTTGAATTTGGTTTGAAGCTTCTGAAGAGTTCAGACTTTTGAGTTGAGACAGTTGTGTTTCACACATTGATCAAAAGTCTGAGACCGCACTTCCATGCATGAATCAGTATCGTAACTTTGACAGTAAATACGTCTCTCTGAGCAATTACAGACATCTTGGCAGGCTTGTAGCATATTAAATCCATCTCTTCCTGTTAATGATGTCTGTTGCTTGTAATAACTTGTTACTCTGGTACTTTTAACAGATGGCTGAGGGAGGTCTTACTGTATTTAGTTTCTTTCTTGGTTACAAGTGATGCACAACACTGCGGTTGTGGCATTAGTTTGTGTATGAAAATCTCAAACAAAGACGGCTAAGAATGAACTTAAGATGTGATAATGCATTTAGCAGACTGGTCCATTGCTTGCTAATACAGGACACTAAAATGGTAAAAATGCAGCCTAGCAGCATCGTCTGTTTCCTAAAAGAATTCAGCAAAATCCTGCTTTCTGTGATTTGGTAGATACCTCAAAGTTTACCTTAAAAACTCTGTTTTACAAGGAACTGCTGTTTGAGTTCAGTGATTAATCCTCACATTGACTTCTTATCCTAACCAAGGATTTGATAAACAGTGATGGTTCCTAAAAGTAACTATCTTCAAACCACTACTATATCCTTGGTTAGTTTAAGGCATTTATTTTAAGCACCCTAAACACAGAGTCTCGCAGAGCTGCAAACTTTTTCGTCTCGTTTTATTGGAGTTGCTTCAGGGCGAGAAACTTTTATCCCACTGGAAAAACTCGAGACAGTTTATCCTGTCTATTAAGTCCAGTCAGCTCTGTTTCTCACTGATAGGCTGTGACAGAGGTCACTTGCAGAGATCAGACCACTCTCCCTTTGCCTCCTCCATCAGACCCCTTCAGACACATAATGAAGCCATTCTGCAGCTCCTGCAGCTGGGCCCGGATAATCTGGGATTGGGCCTGATAGTGGATCACAGGACAGCCCTGAGGATGAGGACGGACTCTGTCGAAAAGCGTGATAAGAGCAGGAGTCATTTGCCTGGAAGTGTCTTTAGATGTCCTCAGACAAAGACATAATACATTTCCACATCTGTGCGACTATAGGGGGATTCTGTTTGCTGTGAATGAGTTCTGTTGATGGTGCTCGTGTGCGTGTACGAGGGAATGAGTAATGCAGTCTTGCAGCCAAAAACTGAATTCAGCGAGGACTCATAAAAGGCGCTGTGTATCATAAAACACACACAAACCACTCTGAGCTGCCTTGACACAATGAAAAGCTCGACTCTATGCAAATTGGACCTCATAAAGAGATAGTTACCCCAGGAGTCGGCATTTGTAGAACTCACAGAAACTCAGGCAGCTGGAGAAAGACAAGCAAAGATTTGTCCCCTCAACAAAAATGTTCCTCGTGTAGACTCGGTGAACGCAGTAAAACTCACTGAAAATAGGTTTCATAGATAATAATTAAGTTTTAAAAAACTATTGAAGTGGAAAAGCTTAAACAAGAATGTCCCAGAGTTTTTACAACGCCTTCAACCTCATTCAGTATTTGTCTGTAATTGTAAGTAACAGAAAATATTGTTTATGTACCTCAAATTTTTGTCATGAATACAACAGAAACAGCAGACAACACTGGCTACAGTCTGTTCGATGCACCAGGCTGTAGAGATGGAAGTAGGGCTGGGCGAAAAAACAATATATATGTTGAAATTAATTTCCCTCAATATCGGTATAAAACATGGTCAATATGCTTTTCAGTAGTCGCCATTCTCTTGTGCAACACCTTAACAACAAAACGTCAAAGAGACACAAAGACCTCACAGGTGCAGTAGCTTATTTTATTGCAAAAGACATGCTACCAAAAAGCACTGTTAAATTTTAATTTTTATATCGTGATACATATCGAGATCGACTGATATAAAAAAAAATATTGTGATAAACTTTTTCCCATATCGCCCAGCCCTAGGTGGAGGTTTTCTGGGGTTGAAACAAGATGTCTGAGGGAAAACTAAATCAATGCCTCTGAAATGATCATTGAATCTGATCCCATCTTTTGACTGAACAGTAAGAACGTCTTGAAAAGGTTGTTGGTTTTTAAGACTCGCTGCAGCCTGAATGTCACATCACAGCACACAGTTGTGGTTCACTGAGCAATGCTCCGCTCTCCTCCTTGCTCTCTCTTGACTTTACCCAACACCACTCTATTTCTGGAATTTACCCTACCTCACCTCTCCAGCTGTTGGGTCACTTCCTGCCTTTAGCCTTTTCTGCCCCCTTGTAAAAGCTCATACTCATCTTCACATCTTAAAGTCATTGGGCTTCACTCGAAATAAAACACCACCGTCTGTGTCAGGGAGCAGACAATAGAGCTTAAATGGTCCTTATGTTTACTCTCTGCACTGATGATATTAGCTGAAGTGTTTCAGGGTTTTAATCTGCAGCAGAGCAGCCGCAGTGTTCCTGTCCTGTGGGTGTATGAGTGTTTGTGCATGTGCGTGCTCACACAGAGTGTGTGATGATAATAATATCCCTTGTCAGCCTCCTAAAGATTAGCCACAACGGGAGAAATCCTCTGTCACATCCCCTCACTTTATTTTCCCTCCCACTCCGTCTTATCAGCCTTACGCTATTTTATAGCTGACTTACTCGCTCTTTTCTGGATTTAATACTCAGCTTCTTTTTACACCTGTGGAGAAAAATTGGGTCACACACTTACAGATGATTGAGAGAAGTATTTTAAATGAAGTCAGCATTGGTTTCCCTTTTTAGAGCTGATAATCGGAGCTGATTTGTTTGTAATGGTGTTTTTTCTTTTGTCGTGTTTTCACAGATCTGCAGAAATAGAAGAAAGGGACTGACTCATACTGGTTCTCCATGGACCAGTGAAGTCTGTCCAGGCCTGACAGTCATAAGCAATGTTTTTGGGAGCTGGAGGACGTAGCACCGTCAGCAGAGTGTGTGTGGGGCCCCTCCTCTCCCTCTTTCCCAGCACCCCTCCTGACATGGGATGCAAGCCCCCAGCCTCCCTGCCCTGAGCTCTCCTGGGGTGTTATGAACAGCTACAGAGACAGAGGGGTCACTTGCACCTCCTCGGACCTCCTGGATGGAGTTGGAGGAGGAGGCGGGGGAGGAGGAGGAGGGTTACCCCAGCAAACTCCATTTCGCCACACCCCTAATGGCCACCCGGCTCCTGGACTCACAGACCCAGCCTCCCAGCCACGCATCTCCGTGCCCAAAATGGGTGTCCGGGCGCGGATTGCGGAGTGGCCGCCCCGCCGTGCACAGTCCAGGGAGTCGCTGCTTGAAAACGGCCAGATTGGCAACAATCGCCATGGAGATGACGGCTCAAATACAATCTCCTCATCAGTTTTATCATCGGACATGGGGTTGGTGCGGGGAGGAGTTGCCAGGTTGCCAAAACGACGGTCCAAGGATGTAGAGTTCAGAGGGGGAATGTTTGGTGGTGAAATAGGTTCACCTTTGAGCCTCAGGGTGTTTCCTCCATTGAGACAACGCTCCAACAGTGAAGTCACTCTGAGCGAGCAAGATGAGAATGAGGTGAGTCGTTTTTAATCCACTGTTACACAACAAATAAACTACTATTGAGTTCCACGTCCTAAACTTAACTGAACTCTTCTGCCTTTTCTGCTCCAAGTTGGAGATCCGTGGAGGAGGCGGGATGGGGACCTTGTTCAGAGAGTACGGCAGCACTTCCTCCATCGACATCCAGGGCATTCCTGAGCAGAGCTTCTTCGATATGCTCAGCCAGTTCAACCAGGAGAGGCCTGACCAGCGTAGCTCAGCGCCTGTGCGCCTCAGGGAGCTGCTACGCGCTCCAGACTCCAGCACACCCCTTCCATCTGCTCCCTCACCTGGTCCCATAGGCGGGGACGACAGAGTGACAGGGAGGAAAGAAGGCGCTGAGAGAGTGAGAAAGAAAAGTGGAGGGACAGAGTCATCACTAGGCACCTCCTCTTTGTTCAGGAAACTAAGGAGTTCCAGTCGTGGTGAGCTGGATGGAGGTAAAGGAGAGACCAATGAGGATGGGTCCTCCTACAAACCGTGGGTTTGTCCTAAGAGCTTTGTCCACTTTGATGCTCAAAGCATCCTTTTTGACCTCCATGAGGCAGCGGCTCAACGGGGCTACGCCGCCCAGAGGAGGAACACCGCCACCGGAGCATCAGCTGCTTCAGTGTCCCTTTCAGTCTCTAGATCCTCGGCTGTGAATGACCCGGTTTACTCCAGCATAGAAGACCTCACCCTTAGCCCCGACCTTGGCTCCACTACACCCTCTCTTGGCATGGACCCCCTAGATGGGCCTCCTGGAGCCCACAACTCGAGCCCTCTGCTCCTCTGCTGCCCACACTTCCTCAATGAAACTGGGGGTAACGGGGAACGTAACATCAGCTTCCTAAGCTCATCGGCAGAGCGAGGAGGAGACGGAGGAGGGGATGGACTGAGAGGATGGCTGAGGAAGAGCAACGCTAGTGTCTCAGTGCTGGAGGTGCCTATTGAACAGCAGGTTACGAGACTGGACCGACTGAAACTGTACAGCATAGAGCATGTGGACCTGGGGGCCAGGTACTACAGAGACTACTTCCATGGCAAAGGTACGAGTGTGACATATTTACCTCACAGCTGATATAGATTATCAAGAAAATGTGTTGTTTGATGTTGATACCAGCTGTGTTTGTGTACATCTTAAGACTAAAACATACAGGATGCGTATTTGGAGCGTGGCAGCAGCATCGCGTATCACACATCAAATAGGTTGCCATTCTAATCAATGCAGCAAAGCATACAGGACGTGTATGAGCTCCGTCACAGCATCGTATTGAGAGCAGCACTGCTAAAGATACGCGACAAGTCTATTTTTGCTGCTCTACGCTTCTGATACACGTCAATCCACGCAGAGAAGATTGTTCTAGACAGGAATTCAAGCATGAAAACCGTACATGTCATCCGGTATTTCAAAATACCATATGTGGACTCCCGACTCATGCAGATGAGAAATACTTCCCGGTTATGGATTTATCAGTAACACAGAGCAATCCAATCTGATGGTCAATCCCTGATCCATGTGGACCCCAACAGGACTTTTAACTGCTAACTCTGTCTGAAGGTAACAGCACAGCATAAAGGAACATAGTTTACTTTATTAAACACGAGTAAACCTGCAAAAACCGAAAGTGTAAAATCATGTTGCTTTTTCACATATAGTTGAGGCTCAACGGTCACTGAATTATATCCAAATTAGCAGGAAATCAACCAAAGAAAGGAAAAACAACCTGTTGTGAGCATGTTGATTCCTCTATACTGAGCCCAGACGACCAGGGCTGCACTACGGCGCAAATACGGAACGCGGTCTATACGGATCCTTTATGTTTTCAGCTTTACAGAGTGAAATATGTTTAAAAGAAGTTATCATGTTTTTGTAATATTGCAGGAATGCACTGCTTACACAGATCTTATTCCAGTAAGAGATGCTTATAACAGGAGCAAAACAGCAGCAACTGTAACAGACTTGCACAAGTGGGCAAGAGACGATTTCATTTGCATGGCACCTTTCAAAAACTAACCAATTCAAATCGCTTACGCAAGTCAGAAAAACAGATATTACTGGTGCAAAAACACTGCAGACCTTTTAATTGCCTTGACTTAAATAAGATCTAACCTGTTGGTTTTATGGAGGCTGTAGGTCATGGTATCGGTTCATCGGTTCTGGATTTGTGGCAGTATAGAAGCCTGCGTATTTGTATCATCATCGGTGAAAAGAACAAACACTTTTGGCTCTGGACCTTTTTCACACTTCAACACTGATCTGATCATGTAACTCTGGGACTATGAGTCAATACTGGAGACTCTCTTTGCACATTTTGCAAATCAGTCAAAAAATTCTACAAGGAAAGAAGATTTAAAGCAGAGTAACAGGAACTGGATATAATCCCTGTAAGTTGCTTTTACAGTGTTTACTTTGATCCCTTTCATTCTCAGATTTGGACCCCTCGCTGTTATCTATCTGTGTGAATTAGGCAGCCTGCATATCGTCTCTTCAGTGTCATTTACCACATTTCATCTTGTGGCGGTTAATATCCAGCTGGGCGGGGGCAAAGCAAGGGGCCAAGCTGGCAAAGCTCCCAGAGGTTTTATTACACATGTACCTGCCTCTGGACTGTTGGCAGACTTTAAGCTGATGATACACCACCCGCCGTTCCGCACCATCACAAGTACCACTTAACAACATCCGCCAGAAGCTTTGTCTTACATCTGGTTTTAGTGTCAGGTATAACACCTCACCCACCTCACCTCTGAGTGATGTGTGCCCGTCTATCCGTGTGTTCATTCAGGCCTTTTTTTTTTTTGTTCCCATCACCTCTTCAGACAGTGCGGATGAAACTTCTCCTCGGCGGAGCATCATCTGGCCTCTTCCTAATTAATGACAGATGCCGTGGAGCACTCGGGTGCAAGCGAGCATGTGTGTGTTTGAGAGCGAGCATGCGAGAGAGAGAGGGAGGCACAGGCCTGCAGCCACACAGATAAAGGTTATCGTTCCAAAAATATGTTCATCTGCTCACTCGTTTTCAGCGTAGCCATCCAAGAGGACGTAGCTGTGATTGTGTACGTGTGTGCGCGCATTAGTAAGCCTCGTCAAAAAGCTGACATTTTCACTACAGGACGTGGCGTGGAAGCTAAGCAGGTATGGGTCTCCTTCCGAGCATGTTCACTGACCGGGTGGGGGATGGAGGAGAAATACTTGTCAAGCTAGATTCCTCCCTAAGTGTTTGGAGCGTTTGTCTCTCTCCTCCCTCTCTGCCTGAAGCGTTCTCATTACTTCTGCTTTTGGAGTTTTGGAGCTGAAGACGTGGGCAGTGCAAAATTTCTGAAAATTGTTTTCATTCATTTCGTTTTAATTTTATTTGCACGGTCGTGATCCTGCGGTATGCTACAAACAAACAAATATTTACAAATTCTTGCAGACACCATGGCGAGAATACAACAAAAGTCACTCAAACAATAAAAGCTCTATAGAAAGGCATGTCGTTTACAAATGAGGATTTGTCTCTGATTAGTATAACAAAATGAGTTCATACACAAAGGAATGGGTTTTATATGAATCATACTGAAGTGAACTTGTATACATTCTTTCACTCAAACAAAGTGTATCCCCCCCAAATGGCTGTTATTACAAACATTACTGATCCCTGATTTGTCTGAAGCGCTGTCTACCTACAGAGCCAATTAGTCCAGTTCATTCATCAGTCATGATTGTACACATTCAAGTTTCTTCACAGTTCTTTCATATAGAGCTGATCTGTATTTAATTATAAAGTTTTCTCTTAATGTCTTCAAAGTACATGATCTCATTTCCACTAATGTTCATGTATCAAACTATAGATTTGAACACTAAATGAATGACCACCTCACACCCCACTCTGAATCTCTCTTTGTTCTTCACCAGAGCACTCAAACTACTTCGGGACAGATGAGAAGCTGGGCGCTGTGGCCGTGAGCATCCGCAGGGAGAAACTGGACGACACCAAAGACCTGAAGGACCAGTATCAGTACCGGCTCATCGTCAGAACCAGCGAGGTGTGCACTGTTCTTTGTGTATTTGTGTGTCTGTGTTTGTTTGAGGACACTGATGAGTTGGTATGAGTGTGCACTCTTAAAGGGATATTAAAAGTAAAATTAAGTTCGGGTCAAGCACCTTAACTTTGAGTTAGACACCCTGTCAAGAGACTAATGTTGCAGACCGCTTGCTTTTCTAGTTATATCAACTTCAGTAACAACCGCAGGATAGCAAAAAACAGTGGTCCCAGGAGCCACGCGTTCCACCAAAAAGCCACTCTATAGCCACAAATAATGCTCAGAACAGCACCTAACTTCATCAACAGTACATATAGGGTCCCAGTCATAGCACTAACCACCAAACATCTTTTTAGCTCTGCCTGTTTTCTTTAGCAAAGAGACGAAACACAACTCACCTACTCTCGTCCAGCAGACGCTTGTTTGTACAGAGGTCTCAGGTGAGTCCATAACTGGAGCGGGGGCACGTAGCTCAAGGAAGAACATTTATGATTAATTCTTCATGGAAATGCAATCACACCAAGATGTTAAGGCAGAGGAACTACTGCGTCTGCAGAGCAAAATGATTAATATGATGATTATTACTTCAAGGAAATGATAAATTAATGATCATAAATGTTCTTACTTGAGCTGTGTCACCCCGTTCGAGTTATGGACTCACCTGAGACCTCTGTACAAACAAGCGGCTGCTGGACGAGAGTAGGTGAGTTGTGTTTAGACTCTTTGCTAAAGAAATAGGGCAAAGTTAAAAAGATGTTTGGTGGCTAGTGCCATAGCCGGGACCCTATATGTACTGTTGATGAAGTTAGATGCTGTTCTAAGCATTATTTTTGTCTATAGAGTGGCGTTTTGGTTGAGGTTTGTTTATGGCTCCTCAGACTGCTGTGTATTGCTATCGTGCAGTCTAGAAAAGCAAGCGGTCAGCAACATTCATCTCTCGAGGGGGTGTCTAACTTGATATATTCCTTTAAGGTTAGTCCCTTACCTGCTTTCATTTTACCCAGCCTACCTGTGTCTCTTCTCACCCTCTCTCTGCCCTGATTCTAACCTCCCCTCCTCACCCCCTCAAACCCTCAAACCCTCAAACCCGCTCTCTGCCAGTGGAAAATTCCACCTGCCCGTTCTGAGCGCAGAAAAGCCAAACCAAACACTGGCTGCTCTGCCCAAAGCATTTGGCTGACTCTCAGAGGGAGCACACCCAACCACTTTTCCACTCTGATGGATCAAATACTCTTAATGCATTAAGTGATGGATTGGCGGTCATGGTGAATCAGTTAACGAGCTTTAAGATCTTTTCAAAGACTCAACTACAAAGAAATTATTCATAACCATCAACTTTCAGAGCATCAAACACTTTTCCTGATCTGAAGATTGAAGATTTATTTGAGTTTCCATTGAAGAAGAAAAAACAATTTTCACCATTTCTTCTTTTTTTAAATGCAGCTTTTTTTAATCTGATGTGGTTTGTCCTGATTGTTAAAGAAAACCAGATATAGTTTGGTTGTTTTACAAATCATTTGCTTTTCTCTCAGTTCTTTCTGTCTCATCTGTTGGGGTCAGGGAGGTCACTGTCACTTTGACCTACTTAGTACTCCTGTAGCACCTGTCCATCATTCCTGAAGTCACTGCTTTAACAAACAGCAAAGTCTGCCGCTCTTCTTTGTGTACATGTAGTGTCTTGCTCGGTATTGCTGCTGCTGCCGTGTTGTTTTTAGCAGGATTTCATGGCTGCCTGGCCTCATCACCTTAGCTCTGCAACAACAAAAGAGCTTCTCCGCCATCTAAGTACACAGAGCTCAGCTAACACACACACAGCTAGCACGCCCGAGCCTGTTGTTCCCACACGGAATAAAAAAAGAGATTGATTGCAGACTTTATACTCCCCCATTCGAGCAGCAGCTGCTCTCAAATATCCACCGCCCCAAAGTCCGTCATTTAATTCTGTGCAGCAGTGCTGACACAGCAAGGTGGAGGGACTTTCGCTGTCTTCGATTCTCCCCCCTTCATCACATTCTTGCGCTCGCATTCCTGGCCTGCATGTCACAGTCGCTCACTCTGCTGTCGCACTCAGGCTGACGAGCTAAAACGACAGCTCCATAATTTACAGCTTGGTGTCAATCAGGCTTCATGTCTGTGAGAAACACCAGAGTCTCTGAAGTTTAACTGTCTCTCCGGCCCCTGCCAGCTCCAGAGTCTGACATGCATTTTTAATGAAGCCGTGTTTGTGTATGTGTGCGAGTGCAGCGAGTGGGAACAGTCTGCTCCCCTCTCTAACTGTATCTCAGGTTATTACAGTCTTACTGTTTTGAAGCAGGTCAATTTCCTCTCACCGGGGAGCAGCACTCTGTGGCGGCACAATACTGAGCAGAATATTAATTCACAATACTGCTCAACTTCAGATCATACACACAGGGCACCTTCACTGTGTGTGTGTGTGTGTGTGTGTGTTTGACAGGGAGAGTAGCTTGAGGGCAGCGGTGCACTTTTATGAGTGGTGAGACCATCCCTCATCTAATGGACCCACATTAAGCTTCCAGGCTACTAATCATCCTACCTCCATTTGCAGAGGCGAGGCTCTTGAGCTAAGCCGCACCCCTGACCTGATCAATAATATTTCGACAGTATTTTTATTGTGTTTTTACAGGTGAATCAAAGAAAAATCATATTTTATGGGTGACATAGACACAGTGTTGACTATAAACATGATACACAACTAAAATATGCCCAAATTAAAAAAGATTTTACTCATACAATCAAAGGGCGAGGATCAGAGAGAGTTCAAAATGAAAATTTGTGAGTAAACATTTATTTTGATGTAGGGAAAAAAGTTTAATTTCACTGAAGAAAGGGAAGAAAGAGAGCACACGAAAGTTGATCTATGCAGAGGGAAAGTGAATGTAAAAGAAGTTGACTGATAAATAACCATATTTTTTTGCACTATAAGGTGCACCTGATTATAAGGCGCACCATCAACGGACGCGTCTATTTTCATACATGAGGTGCACAGGATTATAAAGCGCATTAAGCCAAACAAAACAGTCAGATAAGTCAAACTTTATTTAACTCATTCAATAATTCCGCGAGGCTACGATAGCTGCAGTGCTCCGACAAGCCGAAAGGATTCTAAGTGCGCCTTATAGTGCGAAAAATACAGTATATAGGAGGACATTATTCTTTGTTTTTAAGATAAGATAATAATAAGAACTTTATTTATCCCAGAGGGGAAATTTGATAAATGCAAGAGGATTTTTGTTTTTTGAAGTGATTAAAACACAACAGAAGCTTTTAAATAGACTGAAACTAATACTCATGCCTCTTTATGACCTTCAGAAACAAATGAGACCATCGGTAACAAGGCTGATACTTTCTTTTTTCATCATTTGTAATACCTGAAACAGTTGAGGAGGTAGATTTTAGACCATACCCTTGACAGCAGACTGAAGAAGAAACTGTCTTTTGTACTTTTTCAATGACTGTTACTCAAAAAAGATGAGAGTTTGGTCTGAAAACACTCCCACATGTACTTTAACCAGATGAGGGTTAATGTGCCAAATGTTTTAGTTCTTTTAAACAAATAATTTCCTCTTAATTCTGCACCAAAGAGACCTTTTGATTTTTTAAATTTTGAGTATTTTAACTTGATTAAACTCTGATCCCAGTTTAACAACTTCACTCCTCTCTCCACATGCAGCTTGTGACCCTGCGAGGTTCCATATTAGAGGACACTGTTGCATCTACAGGAAGGCACGGCACAGTGCGGGGCCTGCCGCTCAAAGAGGTCCTGGACCAGGTCGTCCCCGAGCTGAATGTCTCCTGTTTAAGACTCGCCATCAGCACACCCAAAGTCACTGAGCAGCTCCTCAAACTGGATGAACAGGGGGTGAGTTCTGCGTCTGTACGTAAAGATGTCTGCTTCTGTTCATCAGTGAGGAGAGGTCAGGCTTGTTGAAAGGAGCGGTCAGCAGAATGATAACTCATGAGGTTGCACTGTAGGGTTTGGTATGCCATGATAGCCTATTATAAAGTTTCTCTTATCTGTATGACACATTTAACGATGGAGCAAAGGACGAAGTCAGACTGTGGGCAGAAAGCTGAGTGAAGCAGGAAGGGTGTGGTTGTGTTTGAGCATGAGTGTGCAACCATAAAAGCTTTAATGATTAGCCATTTTATCTCACCTTATTATTTAATGGAGGATGAAGTGCAAGCCTGGGTGTGTCTTTTACTAGCAGTTGGTCTGTTTGTGTTTGTGCGGGCGGTTTAAGTGCATCCAGATATACATTATCTTTAACGTTTGTCACTGAGATGCCTGAAAAGCACAGACACTTCTGTCGACTGTGGCGGTGTAAGTAATGAAAACGTTATCTCTCTCTCTCTTTTCTGCCTCCTAGTTAAGTCAGAAGCACAAGGTGGGCGTACTGCTGTGCCGCGCAGGCCAGAGCACAGAGGAAGAGATGTACAACAACGAGGAGGCGTCACCCGCCTTCTCCGCCTTCCTGGCGCTGCTGGGGGAACAAGTGCTCCTCAAAGGATTCACCAAATACGCTGCACAGCTTGACACTAAGAGTAAGGCCTCACAACTGCTCCTTTTAGGACACTGTTTACACTTCTTTAATGTGTCAGCATGTGTCGGTCACATGTGTGATTAAGCACCTGAGTCACCGTGATAATCTCTGTCGCACATGTCCAAAACCACGCTCTAAGTATTTTTTATTGAGGCTAAAGGATCACCATCACAATTTTACTGTCTCCGGTTTAATATTATAAATGTACCACCTGATCATCATCTTCTTTGCTTTAAGTAAATCCAATCAGTTAAATTAATTTTAAAACCATGTGAGTGAGTCTGTTGTCTCTGTTATCTTGCGGTTAGCTTCGAGTATACACATGTTGTTCAAGATGAATTATGTGAGGAGACACAGAAGTTAAATCAGATTCCAGAAGTTTCTCTCTATACAGACACTCAAAAAGAAATAGATTTGAATATTAACAATGAGAGGAAGAGGCTGGGTTCATAGGTAGTTATTAACGTTGAATCCTTAAGGGCACGGTGAGCCGTCCGCTCTCTTCCCCATTTTCATGCTTGAAAAAGCTGCAGGAACAGTTTCTGTAGAAGACATCCGAAGTTCAAAACCCAGAGATGAAACCACATGTAAGTTCACATGTGACACTTTCCTTTGTGTCTCCAGCGGACTCTACGGGCACCCACTCCCTCTACACCACCTACCAGGGCTACGAGGTCATGTTTCATGTGTCCACCATGCTGCCCTACATGCCCAGTAACCCCCAGCAGGTAAGAGCTTCCAGGCAACCCCAATCCACATCCAGCACTTTCACCTTCGCCCGTCAGATGGCTTTTTCTGTGGATGGGGAACACATCCACATCCACATCCATCCACATCAATCCATTTAAAGTCTGCCTGTGGTTACTCCTTAAAAAATTTTCCAGTTTGCTGCCAGTTGTAAACCACGGCGAGAAGTCTCCAAGTGGAAATTCATGACTTGCACCTCCTTTTCATTTCGAGTCTTTTTCCTCTTTTATTTATTGCTCGTGTCTTTTATTGTCTTTGTTCTGCGTGTTTTGACTTTTCCGTGCTCTCTCTTGCTTTTTATTTGCTCTCTCTCTCTCGCTCTCTCTCTCTCTCTCTCTCTCTCTCTTCTCTCTCTCTCTCTCTCTCTCTGCCTTTCATTCTTTAACTGGATCAGAGCTGGGTGGGGTTCAGTAGTGAGTAGTTTCTTTATTTTCTCCCTCTTTTTTTTTCTAAACTTCTCTAAATAAAAAAGCCGTCCCACACAATCTCCTGGGTGCTACTCTGTGTTTGCAGCGTGGGCTGCACCGTGTGAGTGACCTATGTGTACGATAATGCTCTTTATGTGGGTACTTTTTAATAGTTTGTGTAAGTGTTGAAATAGAAGCTAAACACGTGTGCTCAGATTATTGTACACACTTGGTCATGTGTCGGCTCCTCACCACAGATAACATTTGCTTTTCTACGAAGTTATATGATGTAACTTTTATCACCTTACTAACAGAAATTGTTTTACATTGTAAAAAGCTGTTCGACTGTTATATCATTTCATTAAGCAACACAAAAATGTGACTTTGCACCCCCTCAATAGAGTAAGTGAACTTTCTCTGTATAGGCTGTATCATTATCAGCGTTTGAATCAAGAAGTTCACGATCAAAAGTTGCACAATAACTCCATCCAGAGGTTCGGAGACCATAGCAGCAAGAACGTTTATTTGCTCAGATGAACCTCTAGAGGGCAGCATCTGACATGACAAAAACCTGCAGCGGACGAAAGAGAACAGCAGGAATGAAGAAAAGACATAAACACGTGAAAAATCATGCAAAGAAAAAGCAGGCCAGCGAATCCTTTACAACCACAGAAGGAAATGATACTTAGATCGTCTATGTCAGGTCTTAAAGATGCATACTCAACAGCCTTTCCTCTGCATTCATCCGCTCTAACAGATACTCTTCATGTTGTCAGGTCAGTGAGAGTCCTTTATATAAAAGTGCAGTCTCAGTATATGTCCAGGACACTCCTGTGGCATCATGCTGCAGAGTGTGCATCAGCGTCCAAACAGTGGGCTGGATTACATAATCGGTACTTTCACACTTCTCTCTGCAGATGAAGAGGGAATTGGCAGGCACCACACCACAGACACACACAGCCTGGACTCTGCACCGTGTCTCCTACACAAACACAGAGAGACAGACAAACCGGCGTGCACACAGACACAGATAGCCCACACAGAATCTCACAGAAACAAGTTACATAAAGAGCTGTTGCTTGGTGTCTCAATCTTTCATTTTCCTTGTCAGACTTGTTAAAATGCATGATATCATTTCAAAAATTTGTCTTTTTTTGTTTTTTTTTGTCTCTCCTGTCCTCTCAGCTCCTGAGAAAGAGGCACATAGGCAACGATATTGTCACCATCATCTTTCAAGAGCCCGGAGCGCTGCCTTTCACTCCTCAAAACATTCGCTCACATTTCCAGCATGTCTTTGTTATTGTCCGGGTGCACAACCCCTGTTCAGAAAACACCTGCTACAGGTAAATGAAACAGAAGAAGCACCTTTATAATCACACAAACATGGAAGAGAATCGATACTCATACTGCAGCTCTTTTACTTTCAGTGTTGCTGTGACAAGAATGAAGGATGTGCCTCCCTTCGGTCCCCCCATCCCTAACGGCGTCACCTTCCGAGACCCAGAGACCTTCCGTAACTTCCTCCTAGCCAAAGTTATCAATGCGGAAAACGCCGCGCACAAGTCAGAGAAGTTCCACACTATGGCGACACGGACGCGACAGGAGTACCTGCGCGACCTGGCTGAAAACTGCGTCACCAGCACGCCCCTTGACTCGGCCGGTAAACTCAACAACCTCATCTCCCTCGCGTCCAAAAAACGCGAGCGGTCCAAAGCGAGAGAGGGAGCGGAGCTGGGAGCTGCAGGATCGGTGGCCTGGAGGGTCCAGGCCCAGGACTTCAGTGGAGGGGGAACAGAGCTCCCCTGTGCCTTGGGTTTGTCCGCTGAGTACATTCTCCTTTTAGACTGTTCTACCAAAGAGGTGGTATTTAACTGTTTCTGCGCTGATGTCATCGGATGGACGCCGGAGCGGCTGGCGTTGAAAATCTTTTACGGCAGAGGAGACCACATTGCTGTGCGGGTACCAGAGGGCTGTGCTCAGGACATCAGGGAGATGGTGCAGAGGTTAAAGGTGAGAGCTTGTCTGGGAACGAAAGGAGATGAAAGTTTAAAACTTGGTGGCTTTATAGTCACTGAAGTAAGGAGTTATGGTCTGATAATTCAGCATTTCATATCCATATTACTAAGGAACCTCTATCATATTCTAAAGCAGATCTGGGCATTTTACGGCCTGAGGGCCACATCCGGCCCTTTGGATGTCTCTGCCCGGCCCTTCGTGAGGTCCATTAGTCAAATCATCAACATGCTCTAGATCTGCATTCGTGAACAGAGTCAAGTTTAAACATCAGCAAAATATTCGTAGACGTCTTAAAGTTGCCAAGTCTGCTTATTATAAAAGATTTTAGGCTTGTTTCTCTCAGAAGTTGCTTGTAAAACTCATGAGTCCCGGCTGCGCTTTTTTTGGGCTTGTTTTTAACTAGTAGTTGCTTATTTGGGCTTGCTTTTCTGTATGTGTGAACCCCCCTGATTTGTAGTTGAAGTTATCGTTGGTTCGGCCCTCCAACACAGTTCAGGTTTCTCATGTGGCCCCATGTAAAAATGAATTGCCCACCCCTGCTCTAGAGTCTCTATTTAATATATGGGAACATGATTTTTCTACAATTCAGCAAAAACGACTTTTAAATATTTCTAAACTTACACCTGGGTTTATTAGTTTGTTAACATAAACGAACACATGCAGACTTTCTGTGCAAACCCTTTAACTCTTTTTTTTTCTATGAAGTTATGCAACAGCATCCACTAGCTGATGAGATATTTAATTTTGGGATAATCCCTGTAAAATTTGATGAATTAAATTTGAGCAGCAGGAGATTTTCCGAACTCCAGTGAACTCTTTTAATAATCCAACCAAAAAAATTAAAATGAGTTAATCTCTCTAAAACTACATCCATGCTTGGAAAGTGTCAGAAGATGTCTGGGTGGACTGTAACTGGTGATCACTTGTTTCCCTGTGTGCCTATCGATGTTATCATTGATGGTTATCAGTTAATTAAAGGCTGACTGTCTGCTATAGATTGTTTTCATGCACACAGAAAGAAAATTTAATCCAACCATCTATTTCTATCAATTGTATTTCCTCTCTTCAACAGTCGTTGACCGTGGGATGTGAGACCGTGGATATGACTTTGAGAAGAAACGGACTGGGACAACTGGGCTTCCATGTTCGCCTGGACGGCACTGTGGCCGAGGTAACAAAAGAAGGCCATCTGCTCTGCCGGGTCTGCCCTAAAATACTTCTCTGTGAAGATTCTTGGCCGCACATATCCGTCCTTTTTGAAGGTATTTTTGTGTTTTTCTCTCCAGGTGGAGGAGTACGGCTTCGCCTGGCAAGCGGGACTAAGACAGGGCAGCCGATTGGTGGAGATCTGCAAGGTGGCTGCAGTGACGCTGACACACGAGCAGATGATCGACTTGCTGAGGACATCGGTCACAGTGAAAGTGGTCATTATACCTCCGTATGAAGAAGGAGGGCCTCGCAGGTGTGTTCAGCGGGCGCGCCGTGTTTCTTTGAAAAGGAGTTAATGATAGAGGGTTGATTTTTTTGGATACAGATGTTGAGTTAGGACGCGACTGCACAGGTGGGCACAGAGTGTGAGCAGGCAGGAGTGGAAAGATGAGAGCGAGCGCGGGACACTCCCCACACCAGTGCACAAAAGCAGGAGAGAGAGAGAGTGGCGAGACTCCAATGTTCTGAGAGGATTCTGTGTGGGAGTGTGTGAAAGGAGGAAGCGAGCGAACGGAGTGAAATAACGGCGTGGGGTTTAGGAGGAAACAGGCGAAACGCGGGCTGGAGACAAAAAAGAAAGAGCTGCATTGTTTAAACGCGAATGCTTCTTATCTTGTCATCTCGCGAAAGCTCACCGTTGCATTGTTTCCCCTTTTTTCCCACAATCCATTTCTTCTCTCCTGCAGTCTTCCTTCTTCAACCTTTAATCTGCACACAAACGGCCTTGACAGGGAACAGAATAACGAGGCCTTGTGAGACACTGATTCGGTGTCACAGAACGGTTACAGAGGTGAAGAAATAACCACAGCGTGTGCGTCTCTCTGACTGAGACCAGGGCTCCTAAATACAGTAATCGTGCCTCACTGTGTGATCGCACAGCGGTTAGATTTCTTTAATGGTAGAGGCAGTTTAATTACACCAAGTTAAATCCCTATGACACGCACACACATGGAAACACACACACATTTACACACATTTCTCCCTCTCTCTCTCTCTCAAATAGCAGCTGATAATTAGAGTCTTGTATCCCCCCCGTCCCTCCCTCCCTCCCTCCGTCCCTCCTCCCTCCTTTCTCCCTCTCTGTCTCTCTGATTCTGTGTGTGCCAGGCAAGCAGATTGCATGAGATTAAGGCCTGAAATCTGCAGGAGAAAAAAAAAAAGGAGAGAACAATAATAAAAATAAATAAATAAATAAATCAGTGGAAGTGATTAATTAAAAATGCATGCCCTGCGCGAATAAAAGCAGGACTGAAAAGAGGGAGGGATAAAGAGATAGCGAGAGGGGCATGGATGAGTGTATTTAGCTCAAGAGGCAGAGAGATGATTGGCGAGGAGGACGCGTTTCAACAGAGGGAGAGAAGTGGGTGGAAGAGAGAGAGAGAGAAAGGAAGAGGAGAGAGAGAGGAAGAGGAGAGAGTTGGAATTGCTTTTCGTTTCCTGTTCTGAATCCACCGCGCACATGCAAGATGGACGCATACAGCGGAGGAGAGGTGTGATGCTGTAGTGTGCCTGGCTCGGCGTGTGTGTGTGCGCGCGTGTTCATGCGTGCGTCGGAGAACTCCGCCAGTGTGATGGTAGAAACGCCGCACATCAACATGTGTAGGCTCCGCTCACTCTGAGGTCTGTACGAGCTTTTTGTTGCGCGAGTATGTGTGTGTGTGTCATGCTTTGTGCATGTGCTACTGTTGTGCAGCAGCTGTATTGATCATGATTTGTGTTGCGTTGTGTTCACATTTGGCGCGTCATTATACCTATGTTAACACACTGTCATCAGTTTTCTACTATTTATGTGTCATAGCGACACGTTACTGCATGTGTGTGTGAGTGTGTGTTATATCCACGTGTAAAACTCACTCAGATAGATGTCGTCATGTGACCAAACCTCATACAAGAGCCATGCAAGATTTCTGCTCCCGCTATAATATAGTTAAGGTTAATTCAGTTAAGCGTATTCTGCAGGTGTTTTGAATGAAGCCGTCTGTAAAGGAAATAAGCCAATCTTCACTTAGTTATTTAGCCATAAAAAGGAAATTCTTATTTGTTTGTTGTACGAAGATTCAGAGGAATCTGCTCCAGATGTTTATATTTCTACTCGTACTCCAGGTTGATGTTTGGGTTAGAGAGCAAACTAATACTTTCAGGCTCTAAACAGCTGGTCAAAACGATTATATAATGCAACATCCGTAATAATGTCACAGGAGGTTTGGGGAAATTGTCTCCCAGAAATGTTGTTGGTTTTGTTTATTTGTTTGTTGGTTGGTAGACCACATGATTCAAAAGACAATGATTACCCGATGCCCTAATTTTACAAATCAGCCTCATTCAGTCTCTGCTGCCTTTTATGGTTTTAAGTCAGGAGGCTTTTGTGCTCCCTGTCTCCTGTTTTACAACTCTGATTTCATTTTTCAGTGTTACTCCGTTGCTCTTGTCGCCCCTTTTCTTTCTTTCTTTCTCTCTCACTCCCTCTTTCTCTTCCTCTTGGCATTTATCACATCTTGAACACATCCCTCATGCATATTTGATGCCTCCTGCCCCGCTGTAATAGCCTGTTTGAATGAAATAATGATGATGTGTAAAAGATACGTGCTGGGTATACAGTAGAGGCCACTATGAGTCTGAGAGTCGACTTGAAATACCTCCAGATTGGGGGTGGGGGGTCACTTCGACTTTTTTCTGCCCTCTTGATTCAACAAACCGTCCTCCGTCTGTCTGTTCAGGGGCTGCACAGAGGAGTATGAGATGAAGACGATGGAGCAGAAGCCAGAACCTGAGCCCCTGGCTGTAGGCTACAGACCCTCACCTCGACCGACATGGAGATGGGACAGTCCTCCCATTCCTCCGGGGCTCCACAGTGCGCCTAACCCACAGCGCTGGGCCCCCATGGGTCCTCCGCCTCCTCCACTGCCACGCCCGCACAAAACCCTGATGCCTGTTCCCTACAGGGAGCCTCAACACCTCAACTCGAAGAGGTGAGACTCCTGTACTTTGATCATATCTTACCATAAATAGTTATTAGACAGATTTTTATAATTAGGCTCCACACATAGTTCATGTTTTGATACTACAGCTGACAATGATACGTTAATAACTACTTCACTGGATATTTTAGGCCAATAGGAAACTGTCACAATTATTAAACTTCAAAAAGATGGAGCGCCAGATCCTTCAGCCGCGCGTCTTCCTCCACTCTTTACTACTCACATTTCCCATCTCCAAGGCTGCTGCGGTTCAGAAGGCAAATTTAGTAATCAGGACCAGGTAGATGCTGTATAGGTGCAGTCCATCTACACCTTAGATCAACAAAATCCCAGTACTGTTTCTCCACAGGCTATGTCACAATCTCTCTCTCGCAGACTTACTCATATCTTAGGTTTGTTTTTCTCCTGGTTAACCCTCAATCTCTTTGTTCATCCTCCAGGCCCGTGAGCTACCCAGAGAACCACTACAGTCTGTCTCCTGTTGGGGGCGACAGAGTCCTGCCCTACAGGAACCCCTCAGCTAGCTTCTCCTCCCCCTCCTCAGGCCTGGTTGGTCTTGCCACCTTAGGGCCGCCTGGTATCACACCAGGACCCTTTGTGCGCTACAAACCCTCACCTGACAGGTGTGTGTGTGTGTGTGTGTGTGTGTTCTTGTGCTCTCCTCGCTCCCTGATCCACATGTACATTGTTACTCATCATCATTTCTTGCGCTCGAGTCAGATTGCATCTTTTCTGGAGATGAGCCGAATACTGTGGTGCATTCAGGTCTGAATTTAGACGTGTATGAACACTCTGTCTCCTAGAGGAAGGATCTGTTGTGTGGGTGGCTCTTCCTCACAGTGTGGAGGTTGATAACATCTCACCCAACCAAGGAATTTTCTTTTTTATTCACCGCCATCAGGATACAAAACAAAAACACAAATTCTCCTCTGCTCAGTCAAATGTAAACAGTTCATCCAAAGAGCTTTCTTTGTTGGGTTATCTTTGTTTTCTGTCTTTGTTGTTTCGTGTTTTTCTGATAGTACATGTTTGTGTTTGTTTATCTGTCCTCTGCCCCTCTGTGATCTTTCTTTGTAGATACGGACCAGGACAGCGCCCCCTGCTGCCCTATGAACCCCACCTCAGTGTGGACATCACCTCCAGTGGAGAGTCTTCCTCAGGCTTTACTAGTCAGGAGAGCACTATGGAGCGCTGCAAAACAGGTACATCAGCCTGGAATTACTGACCACTAGTTGCTTTTTTCAAGTTGTGTGTAACAAGGAGTTTACAGGCTGCATTACTCAGAAGTATGTCTAATTTAGATGGTCAGTGATTCTGCGATTTTAGCCCCTCGCAGCTGCTGTTAAAAAAACTTTGTACATGACCTTATCACAGGGCTCCTACACAGTTGGAATTTCCATACTTTTCCATACCCTACTTTTTTGAAATATGTTTGGAAATACCTATTTTTCTATTTCAGAAAACAGTATTTTAGAACTGTGGTAATAGTCTGGAAACATAAATATAAATACTATGGAAGACCTGGAAATTGATCAAATTTATTTCCATACTTTTTCATACTTTCCATAATAGCGTAGGAACCCTGTTATCAGCAGTTGACAGAAAAGTTTGAGATTATTTAGTGAACAGTATGAACCATCATTGTTACAAAGGGTCCCCTATGGAGATGATAGGGAGCAAAACCGGAGCTGAAGGTGTGTCAGTTTTTAACTTAAAGTGATCTAATGTTCAAATATATGATCCAATGAGAATGACAAAGCAGCACTGGGCCTCATTAATATCAATAAAAGGCAACTTTTCAAGGAAAAACACTGAAAGTATTTTATTTTTAGGTTTGAGTTAAAGTCAAAGTTTTAAAAACAGCCACAGTCTTCGCAGCATTTTCAGCGTGTGTGTGCTGCACAGTGGAATAAAGACAACACAGTGATTTTTGTGCGTTGCTTGGTGGGTTGAGGTCAGTGTTTAAATGTGCCATAAGTATTTAATCCTCTTCGCCGACCATGGAGGTTCAGTGTAATTTGCTTTAATCCTCAGAGTGTCTGTGTGTGTTTCTGTCTAGAGCCCCTCTGGCATGTCCCAGCGTCATCCTCTCGAGGTCCGGGTGGCGGAGGGGGGCAGAGAAGGCTGACCAGACAGGATGTCCCGGGGAAAGACTCTCCAAACAGACACTCGAAGGTCAGTATTGTCAGCACCTCGTGTGAACTGTTAACGGTCTTGTTTCCTCTTTTCTCTGAGTCGACATCTTGCTCTCTTGTCCTCTGCAGGGGGAGACTCAGTACTCAAGCCACTCCAGCAGCAACACTCTGTCCAGCAACGCCTCCAGCAGCCACAGCGACGAGCGCTGGTTTGACGGAGGACCCGGAGGAGAGCGAGGAGGAGGAGGTTGCCTTATCGACTCGGCTGACCCTGACCCCGACCTTCTGAACAAAGGGGGGTCTAACGACAGCGGCATCGACGCCTCAACCCACTACAACAACTCCCGCCACGGAAACGTGTCAAACAGCCAGTCACACAAGCCCGTGCACTCATTCGCAACGTACAGCGGCATGCAGGAGTTGTCGGTAGGAAGGAGCAGCGGCGAGAGAGAGGGGAGGAGAAGGGAGTCTTCGCCGATTATTCCACCGGCGGCCAATCAGAACAAAGGGTACCTGACGAGGACTTTCCCACCTCCTGGCTCCAGCACTGAAAAAATGGACGCTTTCAAACCCAGGTAAGAGATCATGAGATGCAAAATAACTCATATTAAGTGGCAGACCAGATTCAGCTCATTCACAGGGGGAGCATTTCATGTATATATCTTCCACTTTAATGCTGCCTTGATAAAGTTTTGGATAATCTTTAGCGAAAGATTCACCCGGCAGAAGATAGTCTCCAGCTCCACATCCTACTAAGACTATAGTTTGATGCATAGGAAGGTATCTAAATGGGGAGGAGGGGGGGATTAAAGCAGCCTTAATCCGTGTGAAACATACAGATCATCATGTGATCTCCTCTACTGGAGGACATGTCACCACCACCCCCCATTTTAATAGATACCGATGCAAGAAGCACACACGGAGTTTTAACCAGCCTGTGCTGGATTAGAGCAATCTGTATCAAAGCCCAGAGTACCGTAGACTGCTGCTGCCTGTGCAGGAGGAGGGTTGGACAGAGACATAGACTTGTAGCAGGAAACTGTAGGACAGAAGACGATCTATCACAGGTATTGTACACAGATGGAGCTGTCACTGTGGATGTGGATGAGATGATTTGTGGTGCATGAAAATATTTCTGGTTGCTTGTTAGAAGATGATAATTGAAAAAAATGCATTCTCTTTACCTTTTATTATTGTTAGTGTTGTTTTAACAGTCAATGCACAGAATTTGCTATGTAAGACCATCTCCTAATCAATAAAGATTAGTCGAGGAAATGTTTGCTTGAAGAATAAACTCAGCTAACACACAGCATCAAAAATCGGGGAATATGTTTATTCAGTGCCAATGAGGAGATCAATAACAATCTCATGTTAGCGCGATGCTCAGACCAGCTGGTGACTAGCTTAGCTGAGGATAAAGCTCTGTCCAAATGTTACAAAACATGCTCTTCTAGCTCCACAACTTCTCATCAGTTAAAGCACTGACGATGAGATGCTGTTAGGCTGATTGCATGTTTCAAAAAGCATTTCCTTTGATTCCTTTAATTTTCAAGAATAAACCATTTCAATGCACATCCCTGTAGAAATAGTAAATCTCTCTTATCTGAAATTAGCTCATGAAAAAGCACGTCTCAGACTTTGCCTCAAATATGTGAAATGATATGAAGAGTTCCCTCCTGCACAGCTCCTGGTCTCTGTGTTTAGGTTTTTCATGACCTGTCAGAGTAACCCACCTTCAGCCATCGACTACCTTACCACCTTTTCCTGATTAAAACTATAACACACCCACATACTTGGCTACCTGTGTCACATCAGCTGTCCTACATGTTATCGTTTCACCAGAAATGATGTTTAATTTGATGCTCATATTCTTATGTATCTTGTCCTGTTCCAGGGCCTTCACACCGCAGGGTTACAAGACCCCAACAGCAGAAAAGGCTCGGCCCATTCGAGCAGCTACTACAACACCAACTTCAGCTCAGCTGGGCTCCACCCCTCTGTCAAGTTCCGCCCCCAAGTCCTCTTACATGAAGAGCAGACCGACTGCCTGGCAGGGTGACGACAACAGCTCGTCTCCTTCAAACACGACCACGACATCGAGCTCAGACAGCAACAACAGCAAGAAGTGAGTGTCTGATTTGAAGGCTCACCTCTCATTCGCAAACAAAGCCGAGGTCGAATTAGCTTTTAAATTTCAACAAAAGGATAGACTGAGACATCTCAAGTGCTCTCATACGATTCCTTTCAAAGTACCTTTAAAACTCAACCTCAAATCCAGCAGATAAACTCATGACAACATAAAGCCATCAAGAAAATCTCTGAAGTGAAGTTAGCTTTTTTAGGCCTTTCTAAACAAGGAATACAAACTACAAAATGACTTTATTGGTTATTTAGGACATAAGTTAGGAAGTCTTGGTAAATTTGGCCCTAAAGATGGAGTCTGTGACTTTTCTGACTTTATGCTCATATTTTCTATCTTCAGGCAGGTGGATATGAACTCAAAGAACGTGTTTGGACAACCTCGACTTCGAGCGTCTCTAAGGGACCTGCGCTCTCCTCGACGGACATACAAAAGCACCATCGAGGACGACCTGAAGAAGCTGATCATCATGGACAATCCAGGAGAGTCACCGCCAAGAGATCCGGTGAGGAAAACACCAATATCTGCAAACCATTTCCATACGGCTTCAGTCAACAGTCCTCATGCCATTACTTCATCTGATCTCTGTCACTTCTTCTACCTGTAGTCTCCCAGACGGACCTTGCAGCGCACCTTTTCAGACGAGTCGCTGTGCAGTGGGCGCCGAGAGGCGAGCTTCGCCAACTCTGAGAGCCAGACGGCTCCCACTGATGTACTGTTCACCTGCACGCTGCCAACTCGCAGACACGGCGCCTCCTCCAATCACATGCAGAACAAGAAGAGTGAGTTCAAAGTCCAGACACTGCTCTGATTTCAGCTGCCAAGTTTTATCGTCAGTATTCGAGATCGTCATTCCCATTTATTAACTAGACTCATGACTTGCTGCCCTCTCCTGTCTTTCAGTGCCTCTGTCAGCCTCTGAGCTTTCCCTCACTGAAGTCCGAGACAAAGTTCCTCCTCTGAGGAGGCTGGATCCAGGACTGATGCCTCTTCCTGACACAGCATGTGGGCTGGAGTGGTCCAGCCTTGTCAGTGCAGCTAAAGCCTATGAAGGTGAGGGGGGAGACTCTTTGGGATTTAGCTTGATGGACGACAAATGATAAATAATTAACAGTCGGGCCAAAGAAAGTAGTCTAGAAAATTCAAGAAATGCGAGGACAGGATACAACACAAAAGTAAACAGAATAGAGGTGATAAAAATGGATCTTCATTGGCAGTGGATTAATAAATAATAGCAAAAATAAAGAGATCATGAGATTTTAAAAGCACTAAAGAAAAATGGGGATGCTTTTTAATCAACCAGTTTGAAACGTTGAGCGAGATTGTAGAATCTGGTTCACCCTGTCCCAGTCCCTTCTGTCACTTGATACTCCTGGGAACGAAAGTGAGATCTTGTTGTTCATCCAAGCCTCATACAGCTCTACAAAGACCACCACAGCACAGGCAAACACTCTGCCAACACTTGATCCATGGCTCCACCAGCTGCCAGGTCCTCCTGTGTGGAAGCATGATTGTGTCCCGAACCTCAAGAGACACCTGAGTTTAAAAAAAGTCTTTTCTCGGCTGCGTTTTGAAAAGTTCCTTTATGTGACTCTCTTGCAGCACAAAGAGCAGTTTCCCTCTTCTCGCTGAACGAGCCTCAGGTCGGAGGCCCAGACATGAGACCCGTCATCAGTCCGGTCCAGTTTCACACTCCTCAGACGCCGCGGACCACGCCCACCTTCAGCTGGTGTGTAACAACGCCAGTTTTTGTTCCAAAGTAGTTCAGTCAGAGAAAAACTTCATTATTGTTTCCTGTTTTCTCTTGAATTTACCACCACTGCCCCCTTGTGGTAGTAAAGTTTATAAACAGTTTTCAAACTGATCCTGTTATTTGCGAATTCATCTCTGCTGTGTGTGTTTACAGCGATGAGGTACCCAACGATTTATCTGGTCGACTCTACCACCTGGAGGTGATGCTCAAACAGCTCAATAATGACTTGGAGAGGGTGAGAAGTACTAACTCTGTCAGATTAACTCTTAAAATATAGACAGCGACATCTGTCATTTGTCACTTATAGGCAGAGAAATGTAAAGTAAGAGTTTATCCATGTTAAAGTCACACTCATATCATCATACCTGTTTTTCTCACCTCATTTCGCCGTCTTCCTCCCACCAGGAGAAGCAGGATAAAGTCGTCCTGCTGGCAGAGATGGCCAACCTGAGAGAGAACAACCAGCGGCTGCAGGAGGAGAGCCTGACAGCCAGCGAGCAGCTCCGAAAGTTTAGCCGTCTTTTCACCAACATCAAGACTGACAGCGACCACGAGGCTCACTCCTTAACACACGATCATGACTCACAGAGGGAGTGACGCCAGCACCTGCCGGAGGAAGAAGAGCGAGAGCGAGAGATTCAGGCTGTGATTCGTTGAACTCAGTGGTAAGAGAGGGTCGCAGTGACGTAACCTGACAAAGCTTCCACTGGACTGCCTTAAAGCGTAGAGAGAGCGAGAGAAAAAAACAGACTTTTAGGATGAAACACTCCGAGAGAGTCTCCCAGATACCCTCCCTCTCAAACTCTGAGCCTGTTTATTTTTATAAACTGAAGTCCAAACGTCTTATATACCTGTCCTATATATAAATCCTTCTGCTACTATGCCAGAGGAGCGAGTGGTGGAGAAGAACCCGACTGTTTAAGAGAACACTACATCACCTGGAGAGGCCTAATACTGTTCCTGCAGCAAATCAGCCAAAAACTAAAGACTCATTACAGACTGCATCTCCCAGAATGCACTAGAAGTAACGGCGGCTCTACAGACATGGTACTGTAGATCGATGTGGTACAATTCTCATGTATCGATATTACTTTCATTGTACTGATATTGTATAACAGTTGTACAAAAGAGGTGTGTGTTTGTTTGTGTGTGTGTGAGTGTGTGTTTACAGGTGGTACTCAGAAGCAGTACAGCACAGCAGTGTTTGTGCTTGTTTTATTTCCCTTCGCTGTGAGAGTGTGAGTGTGTTGGGTGTCTGAGTGGAGAACAAACTGTAGTTTACTGTTTAAGGACACTTTTGGGCCTCTTTCTCTTTCTTTCCTCTGATAACACGGACAAACATCGGCCCTGAGATGTGAAACAAGCCATGAGCGAGTGTAAAGAGTCCGTGTCCAAAACGCTCAGTGAGGGAACTAAATCATATCTTCAGTGTCGTGCATTATTTAAGATTTAATCGTCACTGTAAAGAGCAGTGTGGCATCATCTCAGACCTTTTCCTTTTTAACTTTGTGACATTTTTACGCTTATATTTAAGAATTTGACGTTTGAGGTCGAGTGCACACTCTTCAGTTTAATATGAAGCTGCTTGGCCTAGCTCAGCATAAAAGCTAGAACCAGGTCTGAACCCTTAACCCTATTCAGCCAGCTTTACAGCTGGATGACCAACAAAATACCACCAATGTTTGTAAAACCTGTGATTTCAGGAGCGCTGGTTCCACTAAGCAGTGTTAGTGCAGTCGCTGGTTCGACTCCTGGTCACAACCTCTTAACATCCCACATCTTCCCTGTCTCGCCAAACAAAGACAAAAACGCCTCAAACTTAACGTCGAACCCTGAGACCTGATCAGCTGTCTGAGCGTGCTGTGGTGGGTGGATTTTTATCTGGTGATGTTTTTTAACTCTTTTAACTGTTTTGGTCGCTTTAAAAATACAAATCTTTGAGCATTCTCATATAAAAGAATCACATTTTGACTCTGAAACATAAACTTCAGATGTGCCAGTAGGTGGATTTGTTTCCCATTATGACTTGTTCTTATGCTAAGCTAAGCAGCCTCATATTTAACAGACAAACGTAGGCGCGGTGTTGATTTTTCTTCAGTCTCTCCTTCGGGATCATTCGGGGCATTTCCCACAGGAATCAAACTATTGTTCAAACTGCATCCTCTTTGCATAGCACCCAATCGAAATGAAGCTGTACAGGAAACTCACTGGACAACACTGAAGCTCTTTCATATCAGAACTGCTGCGTGTGTGTGTGCGTGTGTGTGTGAATGTGAAAATGAGAGGATTTGTCCCCCGTGTTCTGTGATAAAACCCCAATGAACACAAACTACACTATTTATACAGCTAGCTTGTACTACAATATTGTCTACTATATCTATTTTTCATACAGAAATAACGCGGGGTGTTTTTTGGACGCTGATGCTGAAAGGACGGGTTTGAAACCAAACTTTTAGTGTCGGCGTTGGTTTTTCTGATCAAACTGTACTAAATGATCATCTCCTGCTCTGCTCTGTGGATCAGCCGATTCTTCCTGGTTTGACTGGAACTGTTGAGTTTTCACTCCCCCTGCACTCAGGTTTCTGCAGATACTGTTAAAGACACTCACCATGTTGACACTGGGGCTGGAGGCGGATACCTTGTCATTGTAATATTTGACCCTTTAAACGTGTACTGGTCTGCATAGGGGCTTATTGTCGGAAAAGCTGCAGCTCAATCAGCAGTCAGTCATTGTTGGATTTTTTAATTTAATTTCTAATTTTTAAGTATTTAATTTGCGGGATTTACCAGAACAGACAGTCTCTCTGTTATCTTTTATCACTGATTATACATTTATGTAACCTGATGAAGGGATTCAATGGCAACACTCACTTCCAACATGACAAAAAATTAAAAAAAACATCTATCCATGTGAACTTTTGTACCTGTAAGATTTAATCTTGCTTCTATTTTCACCTTTTACAGTCCGTCATAAACAAATTCAGACTTCACTAAGGTTCAGCTCATGCTCAGCAATTTCCTGTCTTCTTGCAGCTTCGCGGGTGTCGCTGTGACTTAAGTATCTGCCGGTCACTAGATTTGCTTTTGTAAAATGGGCAAAAAATTTTGTTTTTGATATGAATTTTGTTCATGTTATGTGTACTGTAAGCTATTTATAGCATACACCAGGATTCCTGTTGAACAAATTAATATTGCATTATGGTTAACGGTAATATTGTATGCTTAGGTTTGTTTTTGTAGATGTTAAATATTTTGATAATTTATTTTTTAACACATTCCCACCGTTGCAGACAATAGTGAAGATTAAAGGGTACTGTGTTTTATTTGTGTATGCGGTTTTTCCTCTGATCCTCTACAAAAAAAAATGATTTGTATGATTCCTCATTGTTTTCTATTTCCTGGCGCCGCCGGTCCGCTTTGAGCGTCGGTGCTTTCTGCGTGTTGCAGAGGTACAAGACGCACAGACGAAAAGGTTTGATTCAGTATGTTTCCTTTGGGTTGTAATAATGACTTGTACATTTAAGACTGTAAATTATGTTTTCATTATTTTATAAAAAATATATTAAAAATAACTATCTGAACATGGGCTGGCTTTGGTTTTTTTTGTCAGTGTTTTTATACTGAGGATTACATACGTGACTCTACAGATCCCTGAGGTCCATCCTGTGGTAGAATGGACAAATTCTGCCTGTCAGAGCTGCAACAAGGGTTTATAAATATGACATTATAAGCCAAATTTATATTAAAAAGTGTACAGTTGTTTTACATGTGGATCAGATTAAAGGGATATTCTGGTTGTTTAGAGCCAAACACACTGAAACACTGAGTTAGACACCCCCTCAAAAGATGAATGTTGCAGACCACTTGCTTCTCCAGTTATACCAACTTAACAACAGCAGGATAATCCAGAGAGCCATGCGCTCAACCAAAAGGCCACTCTATAGCCACAAATAATGTTCAGAACAGCACCTAACTTCATCAACAGGACATATAGGGTCCCAGCCACAGCACTAGTCACCAAACATCTTTTTAACTTTGCCTAATTTCTTTAGCAAAGAGACTAAACACAACTCACCCACTCTCTTCCAGCAGCCACTTGTTTGTAGCGAGACCTCAGGCCAGTCCATTATAGACTACAGCGAGGTGACGCAGCTCAAGGAAGAACATTTATGATCATTTCTTCAGGGAAATGCAATCAGACCGAGACGCTGAGGCAGAAGAACTACCGCGTCTGCAGTGCAAAATGATTAATATGATGATTATTACTTCAAGGAAATGATAAAAAAAATGATCATAAATGTTCTTCCTTGAGCTGCGGCCCCCCACCTCAGTCGATGAAGGACCGGTCGAGGTCTCACTACAAACAAGCAGTTGCTGGAAGAGAGTAGGTGAGTGTTTAGTCTCTTTGCTAAAGAAATTACGCAAAGCTAAAAAGATGGCTAGTACTATGGCTGGGACTCTATATGTACTGTTGATGAAGTTAGGTGCTGTTCTGAACGTTATTTGTGGCTATAGAGTGGCGTTTTGGCTGAGGTTTGTTTATGGCTCCTCAGACCACTGTGTATTGCAGTTGTTACTAAAGTTGGTATAACTAGAGGAGTGGTCAGCAACATTAATCTCTTAAGGGGGTGTTTAACTCGGTGTTACGGTGTGTTTGACCCTAAATTAATTTTACGCCGGAATATCCCTTTAAATTGGATCATCTGCATGTTAAAAAGCTGACTCCAGTACATCCAGACATGCATATACTTCATGGATGAAGATCTCATACTCTCCTTGGTGTACATAGACACAATTTGACAACTTGGAAGAAAAAGTTTTATTTAGTATGAAAGGTTAATTATTTTCATTAAATATATCTTTCAGTGAGTTGACTGAACACATTTATTTCTAATAAAATTATTTAAATTCTGACCAACCCACAGAAGTGCCCCGAAAAACAATGAGTGAAAAAACGGCTAAAGTTTTTTTTTTTGGAACTGTTACAAACTATCATGTGTAACATGAGGCAGATAAGCCAGAGCGTCAACATCAAGTCACAGTAACACGAGTAAAACGAGTTCAAGATCCACACATTAGGCACTCGTCGCGGTTCTCCAGAGAGCACACCATGGCGGCCATGTTTTTCTCTTTGATCTCTTCCTCCGTTGCTTTGACCGTCGTCTCCGGCGCCTCCTTCAGCTTCTCCTTGTTCAGGGTAAACTGGATGGGGTTAGCTGCGGGTTTGGTCCGCAGGTAATACATTCCTGTTTTGAGCCCCTGTGGTGAGAGAAGTTAGTTAATTTAACATTTCACAGTCATGATAAGACGTCACTCTCAGTCCTGTCCTCTTTTTCTCACTTACTTGTTTCCAGCCATAGAAGTGCATGCTGGTCAGTTTGCCGTAGTTGGGCTCTGCGATGTGGATGTTCAGGGACTGACTCTGGTCAATGTAAGCGCCACGGTCAGCCGCCATCTTAAGCACAGTCTTCTGGGAGATCTCCCAAACTGTTTTGTACAGCTGCTTCAGGTCATCTGGAATCTCATTAATGGCCTGAGGAACAAAGAAAGTCTTATTTAACATCTTAAATTATGTTCATGAAGTCTAATCAGCGTGATGAAGAACCACAAAAACTGTTGTTGCTGATCTGCATCCTGATTGGTCATTACCTGAATGGAGCCGTTGTGCGCGATCAGCTGGTTCTTCATCTCCTCGTTCCAAAGCCCCCTCTCCGTCAGGTCTTTGAGCAGATGAGGGTTGACGATCTGGAACTCTCCTGAGAGGACTCTGCGGGTGTAGATGTTGCTGGTGTAGGCTTCGATGGACTCATTGTTGCCCAGGATCTGGGCGGTGGATGCAGTGGGCATCGGGGCGAGCAGCAGGCTGTTCCTCACGCCGTGTTTGGAGATCTTCTCCTTCAGGAGCTTCCAGTCCCAAAGGTCTGTTGGAGTCTTCTCCCACATGTCGTACTGCAGAATGCCCTTACTGACTGGAGAACCTTCGTATGTCTCGTAGGGTCCGAGCTCAGCGGCCAACTCGCAACTGGCTTCCAGGGCGGCGTAGTAGATCGTCTCAAAGATGTGGATGTTGAGCAGTTGAGCTTCGGGGCTTTCAAATGGATACCGCATGAGGATGAAGGCGTCAGCCAAACCTTGGACGCCGAGTCCAATTGGCCTGTGGCGCTTGTTGGACTTCTCAGCTTCTGGTACAGGATAGTAATTTATCTCAATGATCTTATTCAAGTTTTTCACAATGACTTTGGTTACGAACGCCAGCTTTTTAAAGTCGAAAGTCCGCTCAGGGGTGACGTACATGTTCAGAGCGATGGAGGCCAGATTGCACACAGCTACTTCATCATGGCTGGTGTACTCGACGATCTCCGTGCAGAGGTTGCTACATTTGATTGTGCCCAGGTTCTGTTGGTTGCTCTTCCTGTTGCAGGCGTCTTTGTACAGCATGTACGGTGTGCCGGTTTCAGTCTGCGACTCAATGATTGCGTGCCACAGCTGCTGAGCTTTTACCACGCGCTTCACCCGCCCCTCTTTCTCATAGGAGGTGTACAACTTCTCAAACTCCTCCCCCCAACACTCATCCAGCCCGGGGCACTCGCTGGGACACACCAGGGACCAGTCCTGGTTGCTCTCCACCCTCTTCATGAACAGGTCAGGGATCCACAGGGCGTAGAAGAGGTCTCTTGCTCTCTGCTCCTCTTTTCCAGTATTCTTCTTCAGCTCCAGAAAGTCAAACACGTCAAAGTGCCAAGGCTCTAGGTACATGGCGAAGGCCCCTGGTCTCTTGTTACCCCCCTGGTCGACATAACGAGCCGTATTGTTGTAAACTCTCAGCATGGGAACGAGCCCGTTTGAGTTGCCGTTGGTGCCGGCGATGTAGCTCCCCGTCGATCTGATGCAGCTGACGGCTACACCAATTCCTCCGGCTGATTTGGAGATGAGGGCGCACTGCTTCAGCGTGTCATAAATGCCCTCGATGCTGTCGTCTTGCATGGCGAGCAGGAAGCAGCTGGACAGCTGTGGCCTGTTGGTCCCTGCATTGAAGAGAGTAGGGGAGGCATGAGTGAACCACTTCTCCGACAGCAGGTTGTAAGTCTCAATGGCTGCATCTATATCAGATTTATGGATTCCCACAGAGACTCTCATCAGCATGTGCTGCGGTCGCTCGGCCACTTTGCCGTTGATCTTCAGCAGGTAGGAGCGCTCCAGAGTCTTGAAGCCAAAGAAGTTGTAGGAGAAGTCTCGGTCAAAAATTATGGCAGAATTAAGGCGGTCTTTGTTCTCAAGAACTAGGTCAAGCGTCTCCTTGGAGATCATGGGCGAGTGGCGTTTGTTTAGGGGGTTGACGTAGTTGTACAGGTCCTCCATCACTTCGCTAAACACCTTCTTGGTCTCTTTGTGAAGGTTGGAGACGGCAATACGGGCAGCGAGGATTGCATAGTCGGGGTGTTTGGTTGTGAGAGTTGCAGCGATCTCAGCTGCCAGCGTGTCGAGCTCTACTGTGGTGACTCCGCTGTACAGACCCTGGATCACTTTCATGGTGATCTGAGTCGGATCCACAAAGTCAGCGTTTAGGCCATAGCACAGCTTCTGGATGCGAGAGGTGATTTTGTCAAACATGACGCGTTCCTGGCGTCCATCTGAGGGAGGACAATAAAAACATATCTGTTTAGCGCCATTACAAAAACACCAGAATGTACAGAAAATTTCAGTCATGGACAGAATACTTCTTAAAGATATAAAGACCAAATTACTCTACAAAACCTTAGAAACGCTTGAAGAAAAGCCCACCAAACTCCTGGGTATTTAAACTAAAGCCCAACAGTATTATCCTTATAGTATTTAAGGTCAAATCATGATGATTAACCCTAGAACACTATCGCCGGGTGATTTTCACCCAAACAAACATGTTTACATGATTTTCATTATGTTGGGTTTGTCTGAGTATCATAGGTCCCTGGGTAGCTTCGGCATTGCCTTTGACATCTTTGAAGGCATATTTGTTTTCCTGATCCAAAACCTGCTTTTTCCTACAGGCATGTGTTCACAGGGTGATTTTCACCTGGTAATAGTGATAGAAGGTAAAGTAGGTTTGGGTGGATTTGATAGCTGCATATATAGGGAATAAGGTCACTAAGAGTGGTCCTGGAATTTGCATGCTATTTTTATTTAGCGCAGTGGTTATGAATAATATTTATTTAATATTTTAGTCACTTAGTCAATCTGCCATATTTTGGTTCTCTCTCCTGCAGCGGTTATTGTGCCAAGGACCCAGAGTCTTCAACAGGAAAGACTGACATGCCTCAGGAATGGGTGGAAAAGAAACTAAGTTCACAGTTTCTATATTTTTTGTTCATGAATGCCTAATCTCAGTTATTTTGTTGCATTTTTATATGGTCCCCTAATGTCACTGTTATTCCTCCCTTTGGACATTGCACAGTTAAAAATAAAAGAAAACTACTTTAATTTGTCATGTATTGTACTATTTTCATGACAAGTACTTTTTCTTGGGTATATTATTTCGGGTAAAAATCACCCAGCGATAGTGATGGTGTTACTAATTTTAACGATAGTGTTCTAGGATTAATAATGGTTAAGTTACTAAACAACTAAAATGGGCGATGATATGGTGTAAAGAACTCTTTTAAAAATTGTTGGACTCCTGCATCCACAATTTCCCTTCAGTTAAAAATAAGAAGTATTGCCCCTGGACAATATGCCCGAAGTTCAAAAGATAAAAAATATGATTATATTGAACCCTACATTTTATAGCCTTGCATAAACTATTGCTGAATGACAGTGAATGATGTTGTCACTGAAATGTTGAGATGATGCAAGGTTGCAGGAAGGTAGCCTTATCTAGAGACACTATCCGCAGTGGCTCATAAAAACTGAAGCATGAAGCAAAACTTTTGCTTCTTAAATCTATAAGGATGTAGTTGTATATTTGAGTCAGACTCAGGTTTATAGATAGATAGATAGATCGATCGATCGATAGATATACTTTATTGATCCTAAACTGGGAAATTCCCATGTTACAGCAGCAATAAAAACACAAAATAAAATTATATATAAAGAAGAACTATGTACAATACAGACTAAATATATACAATAAATACAGACTAAATATATTAAACTTAACTTATTGCAAAGTAGAGGAATTTGTCTTGGTGTTTTGGTGATTAAAATAATAAAAGAACACTAATAGAAATAAAGACGGGAATATACAGTAGAAATAGAAATAAAAAAGGTTGTATTTGATTGTAAAGATAAACATCTTTACCACAGTAACATCAGCTTAACTTAATCCAGGAACAAAGAGACTCATGTGTCAGTACTTTTAAGGAGCTCTTCTCTGTAGTCCAAGGGTTCACCTGGACTCTTAAATCATGGCTTTAGCTCCTCTTATCCAGCCCCATGAGCTAGATGACCCTGTTATCTTGGTACCAGAACCAGAATAAGGTCCAGTCCGGCTCTCATAGTCGACCTGTGTCAGAATTTTGGCGCCAACTAACACAAAGAAAAGCGACCCAGCCTATAGAAACAGCAAAATAACTTCAAACCTTCTCCATAAAATACATCAGAGTGAGTGTAAGACTAAAATCACATGCATTTTCCGCTTGTCACTGAGTCGTTTTCTCTTAAATAATCTGAATTTTCCTCCGAAAGGCCCGATGATCCTCGACATGGAGCAGGTTAAGTAACTGATTAGCACATGCTAGCTTAAAGTTAAACATCCTAGACAGATTTATGTTGATAAAGTTTCAGTTTCATCTTTCAACACCTATAAGTCTGAGCAGCAGGTGCAGCAGGTGCCCCTTTGTTGTTTGATCCCCTAAGGTGAATTTACAGTGTTTACATTAGAGGCTCAGCCTGCTAACACTAACACCAAAACAACAGAAACTCACCTCGCTTGATAACGTGCATGCTGGCGGAGTTGGAGTGTTTCTCGTGTCAGGAAACCAGCAGGTTATTCAGCTCCGAGTTTATCCTCTCTGCGGTGACACAATGTGTGTCAGAGAAACACACACCCTTCAGCCAGAGGAGAGAAAGCGCGAATGATACCCGAAAAACCCGCTAACGTCGCATTTGTACAGAAGGCGTCGCCGAAGCGGGTAAAGATTGACAGGTGTGTTTACCAATCAGAGGCATGGACTTGTGAGTCTTCGTGTCTGAGGACCAATCAGAGGGACTTGAGGGCACTGCTGTGAGAATCAGTTTCCTTTTCCGCTAATTTTCCCGGACGAAAATCTGGCGGGATAGAGAAGTAGGTCATGGGGTCAATTGTGATAGTGATGGGCAATGCAGTTCTTTAATATGTACTGAATCACTAGAACCAGTTCACTAAAAAGACTCGTTCAAAAGATTCGTTCATCGAATCACCGAATCATTCTGTCTCCAACCTCCTGTACTGATACACAGCTGAACGGTTCAGGATTCGGTTCAATTCATAGCTTCTGGGACCAGGAGACAAGAGTGTTTGGCTGTGTTGACATGACAAACAAATTTGTAAAAATGAACTTGTTTATAAGTCATGATATTTTAAGTGTACTGTCCTTTGTTATGCTATTTATCAGGTCTGCTCAGTAAATTGAACTCAGTGAGTGATTCGTTCACTGAACATTTAGAAGAATCCACACTGAACATTCACCATTCCCTCGCAAACCACTGCAATGATAGGATGCTGCGGGTTTTATGCACTACTTGTTACATACTGCGTCCTATTGTATGAAAATTGTTGTGGTGGCAATTTAGCTGTAAAAAAAATTGCATGATTCATGCAATGAGTGATTCCTTTACCAGGTGATCCTTGCATTGGTGCATGCGATCCCTCATTCGGCGGCTGCTCGCCTGGCAATGTAGCGTGCTGAGCCATCTGCCCTGCTGACAGCTCAACTGAGGTGAAAAACGAACAAATCACTTGAGGAAGCGATTCGGTTCAGTACTTCACTAAAAGATTTGGTTCTTTTGAACAAATCGTTCGCTAACGACACAACACTAATTTGTGACATGTTGAGTCTTGCCCTGAATTGCAGCATCCAAAGTTCATGGAAATTATAAGAAATAAATAAAGCCGTCTTTTTCACAAAAGCCAAAATTCAATAACATAATAATATCAGTAAACCATAGCTCTAAAGAACTTCTGTTGTTGAGCTCAATGACAGAGAATTAATCAGTTAAAAAAACAGACTAACTTTGACTAACCTCCTGGAAATGGGGGGGTCACATTTATTACAGTGGATAAAATAAAGTCTTTGTATTTTCATTTTAGTAGTGTAGTTTAGTGATCTGAAACATAAAAAAATGGCTCATCTTACCCCACACTCTCCCCTACAGATGTAAATGGATTTATTGGGTTTTGAATGCACTCTCTGTTGTTGCATCTCTCGCCCACTGGGTGGCTGCCGAGCACAACAGAGCACCAAACCCACAAACACAACAGGAGCAATACCATTAGCTCCCATGTGGTGGCAGTGGTGCGCTACAACCTCTGCTAGCACACAGTAATAAATATGAAGAAGAAGAATGTGAGTCAACGAAGATCTGCTGGTGTGTGACTGCAGAAAAAAAATCACAATATTTACTCTGGATTTTTTCTCTGAGAGAGTTACACGAAGTTTGTTGCATGAGAAATCTGTCGCGGATTTTTCACCTTGACAAATACGTTCAATAGAAGGACACAGACAGCTGCAAACCTTAATCTGCTTCTGTTATAATAACAATGTTTGATGGATTAACTTGATCAAAGCAGACAACCATGCACTCAAAGACCCAGGCTTACAGACCGGCACCGAGGATCAGGACTACAAAAGACTCTCTGTTGAACACGGGGGACTGAGTATGATGGTGAACCCGGACCACCAACCAACAGACCGGTATCAAGTCTGCTTCAGATCAGAGATCCCTCGACTTCCTGTGTGGATTTCCCTCCTACAGGCTCCACAAGTCAGCTTGTACACGTAGCTGTAAGGGCTGCCCGATACCCACAGCAGACACAGTAGCTCCACAGTCATGTCCCGGTCCAGTCGTCGGTACAAACCCCTGCAGCAGCAGAGCAGCGGCGGCAGCAGCGTCTCTCTCCCCGGCTGTGATCGTGTACGGCGGCTGCCCCGAGCCCGGGTCCTGCTGCTCGGTCTCCTCGGGTTTGTGGTTCTTGCGGGGGTGCTGGGGGTCTACCTGTCCAACGAAACCACCACCAGTGGACAGGTGAACCGCATAACAGCGACAGATCTGAGCAAAGACCGGGTAAGAATAACAGTATTGTATTCTGCAGACAAAATATTACCAAAGAACAGGGGTCTTTAATGGACCCTGAAGTGTTAACTGAGAAATAACCACTAACAGATGGTGTTACTCTGCCAATTCCACAGACATGTCAGTGTCTCTCTCACAGTACAGAGAGAACTTATAAGATACTAATATAGTAATATCTGCCTCATGACTCCCTCTCCTTACTGTAAAAATAAATCACAACTCTTGTTTTCGTGGAGAGTTACAGAGCAGGCATGCTGGTCACATGTTCTCTGATGGGATTATTAACCACTGACAAATCGATAAATGGAAGCACAGCTGCTATTTTTATGTGCAATTGATCACCTAGTATGGGGGAGAGTGGGGTAAGATGAGCCATTTTTTCATATTTCAGATCACTACATCAAGACAATCATAGTTTTGTCTCTAACTAGTGTATCTGCATATATTTCAGACACAACAACAACACAATTCTAATAAAACTTATGACAGACTAAATTCACTTTCAATAGTGAATGATGTTTTTTTGTAAATAAATGTCTAACCCCTTCACTCATGTGCTTCTAACCTTCACAGACTCCATGAATTGATGCCCATCTCCTAAATATTTGGTCACATGATCAATTTCTTTTACTATTTCCAAGAAAGAGAGGGTGGCTCAACTTACCCTTTGGCTCAACTTACCCCAGTCTCCCCTATATCTCTCAGCCAAGTACCAACGATTATCAGGTTCCATCCATGACCATCTGCAGCTTTTACTCCATTTAAATCTCAGTTTTCATTATTAAGATTTCCATCAAGGGCAGCTTATAAAACTCCATCTCATGCTGATGCCAACAGTGGAAATTTTCTTTTCTCTGTCTTAAAAAAAAAGTTCAACACCTCTAGGAAAACATTTCAACTACCCTAAACTTGCTCCTCCTTTCCCATCAATAAAAAAAATCACTTAATCCTTAAATGTATTTTATTTTGGACATTTAAGTATCACACAAATGCTTCCTTATTCACTCTTCTCTTGTTTTTGCACAGAAAGTTTTAAGTTTTCTCAGTCTTGTGAAAACTGCATTATCACCCACAACTGGTTTCCAGACTCCTTGTGTGTGTGGAGAGCAGCAGTATAAGTATTATACTTGAGCTGCTCTCCTTAACCTGATATCAAAGACAAGCTGAGATAACTTTTCCTCCTCAGCCAAGAAGAAAACAGCAATCAAGAGTCAAACGCTGCACAGTTTAGCTTCATTATTCGACTCGTGGAAAAAAAGCAAGATAAATCGTGGACTGGAGGTGTGAGTGTCTGACAAAACAAGCAAACTCATTCTTCCATCTTGGACCTTATGACATGGTTATAAACTTTTTTGCACTATTGTTGGCTGAACCAAAAAGATCAAGAAAACTTCTGGTGAATCAATGATCCAAATTAAAAGTATTGATTATTTTCCTTCTTTCACCAACATAATTTCAACTAATTAAATTCTCAATTTACCTTTTTCCCTTCAGTTTCAGACCTTCGGTTTACTCTCTAATTCCACAAAAGGTTGAGCACTGTGCATGAAAATGTCTTAAAGTTTGATTGTTTTTATTTAATTAAAATCGTGAGAAGAAATTTTTATCAAATGTTGGAAGGGTTATCACATTTTTGCGTGCTTAAGAATTTTAGTTGCTCAACAGCAAAGGGTCTCCAATTTGATATTTTTCAATTCATACGACACCAGCTGTTGAGGGCAAAGAAGTCTTCAGTTTTTCTATTTTCTTGATCACTGTTACACATGGTTAATTCTTGGGCTGATGCAGTTTCAACCTACTTAAGTGGATGCAACAATAAACTGTGTTCACAGACATGTTTTTTCAGGAGTGATCTTAAGCACATGCAGCGATTTCCACTTCAGAGTCATGCCTTTTTTCCAGGCAGTGCCATGTAAGGGTCTGATGATCATGGTCATCCATGTCTGTCCCTTTTGCACAGAGATTTGTCCAGACTCTCACTCTCTCATGTACTGTTACACACAGTCATGTTACTGCAGATAAACGCCTATAGCTAGGATTTGTCCCAGTCCCTATTTTTGGACGTGTTAATAGAAAGACACAAAAACCTTGCATGGGAAAATTTCTTAACTTGCTTTATGCTTAATTTTTGCTGTTTAACCTCCTTCTAATTGTTCTTTTAATCCTGATCTTACCCTTCACCCTTCTAGTTGTCCCACAAACCCAGTAAGTGCTCCCCAGCCCAAATCCGCCGTTTGGCCTCTCAGGTGGACGGTACTCGCCTGTGGGAGAACCACCTGAGGCCCATCCTAATCGAGAGGCTTCCAGGGACACAAGGGAGCCTGGCTGTACAGCAGGTGTGTGTGCATATTTATAGTTTCTCCCTCTCTGTGAGAAAAGTTTCCAGGCTCATGTTAAACTCTCTCTCTCTCTCTCTCTCTCTCTCTCTCTCTCTCTCTCTCTCTCTCTCTCTCTCTCTCTCTCTCTCTCTCTCTCTCTCTCTCTCTCTCTCTCTCTCTCTCTCTCTCTCTCTCTCTCTCTCTCTCTCTGTGCTTTCCTTCAGCACATTACCTCCTCTCTGTCCTCACTGTCTGCCAGCTGGGCCGTAGATTTAGACTCATTCCAGTCTTCAACACCTCGCGGTCAAGTCACGTTCACGAACATTGTAGCAACCCTGGACCCCTTGGCCCCTCGGAGGTTACTCCTGGCCTGCCACTATGACTCCAAGGCTCTACCTCCAGATCCCCGGAACCCTTACAGGGTGTTCCTGGGGGCCAGTGACTCTGCTGTGCCTTGTGCCATGATCCTGGAATTGGTCACCTCTCTGGATGCCCAGCTGAGATCATTTAAACAGCAGGTTTGTAGTAAAGTGATAATATTAGAGGGGTTTTCTCAGGTTTGATACTTCACTCCCCGCCTTCAAAGCAAACAGAAAAGCCCGAGATGCTGATGAGTATTTTTTTCTCTTACACTGACTTCATCCTTCTGCCTCTGTGCCTGCAGCACAGGCGAGAAAATGCTGACTCCAGCTCGTTTCTTTCTTTGCAGCAGTCATCTGTAAATAGCAGTATCTCTCCTGGGGCAGTGATTTATGTAGTTACTGTCAGAACACACCGCAAAATTACCGCAGAAAGAGAAACCGGCATCACTCGCTGGCTGCATCCTTTTTTAATTAAATTTCCTCTTCTTTTTCTTCCTTATACCTGGTAGAAACTTCCAGTGACTCTTCAGCTGGTGTTTTTTGATGGGGAGGAATCATTTGAAGAATGGACAGCCACAGACTCGCTGTACGGTTCCCGTCACCTGGCGGAGCGAATGGCCAACATGCCGCATCCTGCAGGACACACACAGGCCACCATGCTGCAGGCTGTGGTGAGGAGACTGTCTGCTCAGTGCAGCTAACACACTGCCTCCATTGTCACATGCTCGCCTCCAGACATACACTAAATTATGGATGAGGAGGCTGAATTTAGTAAACTCCTCTTGTTTTAACCCAAACTAGAGCAGGCCTGTCTTTATGATCTGAATTTAAGTTTTATATACAAACATTTTAACAAATCATATGCAGTGTTTGGATCACACATCTACTGAGAAATTCATACTTTTTGTTTGAGTTGGAGAAGATAAGGGGACATAAATAAGACGATATCCTTTAGATATGAATATAATCGGCACTCTACTGCCGCTACGTATGAGGGATTTCATGGCAAAAAAGTCCTTCAAAAAGTAGTTTCAGAAGCATCATTTGATCCCCTAGAATGTTCCTAATCTGTAAATGCTGTTCTTTGGGAGGACGGGCAGTTTTGGTGGGGCTTACAGCACTGATTATTTCTGAACGGTTTAGTCTTTTTTGGACATTTCATTTCAGCTACATCTTCTGAAAAATCTGCAAACCAACAAACTTAAATGTGAAAAAATGTAGCTGATGTGTAAGAGCAAAAACTGCAGTTCCCCAAGTGTCCACTTGAGGTTCATATGAGTCCATATTACACTGTCCACACTCCACTAAAGTTCAGTCTTTTTAAAGCTGAAGGGGTTGAAAATGGTTCCTCGTTCTTAGGGTTGTTGGTACTGTTGAGTTCAGGTTTCAATGACTTTCCTGTCCAACTTTGCCATCCACTTCTGCTTTGCCTCTTATGCAGTCATGTGACCACACGTGACTGCTGTGTTTCCATCTTCAGACCTCCTTGTTTTATAATCCTCTATAGGACCTCTTTGTTCTGCTGGACCTGCTTGGCGGTCCTGATCCACTGATCGCGAATCACTTTGATAACACGGCACGCTGGTTCGACCGGCTCATCGCAGCAGGTAATCACTGCCTGTAACCACCTCATGAATAATTACTGTTCTTCTCAGATGTGCACCCTAACTCTCTCCTTCACCCCTCACTCTTAGAAAAAAGACTCCACCGGCAGGGGCTTTTGTCGTCTCACCCCTCAGAGCAGACTTATTTTAGAAAGGATGTGTACCTTGGACCCGTACAGGATGACCACATCCCATTTCTTCATAAAGGTTGGAGACACATTATAAAAACTTATCCAACTTTGTGTGATATTTTTAATCAGGACTTTAGTTTTCAAGACCACCTTCCTCTCTCCTCTTCCTCTCTTTTTTACAACATTTTAGGGGTCGCTGTGCTCCATGTCATCGCCACCCCCTTCCCACAGTTTTGGCACACGCTGGACGACACAGAGGACAACATGCACCGACCCACTGTGGTGAACTTGACCAAGATCCTGGCTGTGTTTATAGCAGAGTACCTGGGCTTCTGAACTCCAAACACTGACATTTGTTTGTGTTGAAGGTCCACTAAAGCACTCTCTGACCCATACTGGAGGACTAGCACTATTGGTCACAGTGAAGACACTTTTATTTAAAGAAAGAAAGAAACAAGCACAATGTGAACAAAAGTGCAGACAGCAGGAACATGGAGACGTAAAGTAAACTGCGCTCTTCATCGAAAAACAACATTACCAAAGACTTGAGCCCTGCTCGACCTGCTTGTGGTTACCTGTCTGAAGTGTGTTACAGCCCCTGTCTATTTGTGTAGCCTTCTGAAAGAGAGAGTCTTAACCAGAGTGGTAAAGAAGGTACATGAAAGAGAGTTCAGTAAAGTTCATTTTGTGAATTTCCTTTTTATTCTTGCACTTTTCCTGGGAAAACTTTAAAAATTCTTGCATTTAAGTCCCATATGGATAAGATTAAGTTGCACTAATAATTTTTAAAGACTGCTGTGAATGCTGTTAATACAGTGCTAATGGTAAAGGACATAAGAATACATCTGTGAACAATCCTGTTGAGATTTCCATCAGCAATGAGGATCTTTTGGCCTTGTGACCTGCTGTATTTAGATGCTGGATATACTCTATGGTTATCCTGCGCGGTATGTGTGAAAATCCGACAAATGTTGACATGAACCAGGCAAAAAGTGCATGAAAACATCTACAGGTAAGAAACAGCGGTTTTATTCAATGTATCTTAATATTGATGCATCATGAGGAAGTCAAAGACAGTAAAACCTGATGTTATCACAGAAGGTGTAGCAATTTTTCAATAAGGAGAACACTATGCCAGCATGGAACCATGGCGTCTTTATCAACAATGCCTGCACATTCATGTTTTGGTAATTATTTGCAAATAATGTTTTACTGGTGGTAAAATGAATTGATTTAATTCAGAGGTTGAAAGATTTCATCAGTTTACACAAGCAGGTTAAAAGGGGACAGACTCATTTGAGGGCTCTGTTTATGTGATGCAGAGAAGGTGGTAGGTGACAGAGAGGTGGTGGTGGAGGATGTGGGCTGCGAGGAGGTGAAGGGTCGTTGTCAAACGAAGAGCAGATTTCCCCCAACGTTCTTACCGAGCAGGATACCAAACTGAATAAAGAGGTGGAGCACAAGAAACATGTAATAATTATCTGATTTCATCCAATAAAACACTGAAACATTGTTTTAATTTAACCACATAAGGGTGCTGCTTTGTTATTACTCTTGTCTTGTTTCTTCTTTCTTTTACATCTAAAACTAATAATGGATCACACAAGCCGGTGCTTAAAAATTATTGATTAATTTTTAAAAACAGTTTTGCTACTTTTAACTTAACATTTCTGTGTATGCCAATCAAAACCAGCAGTAATTGTTTCTTACTGACCCGTCAATATCCGTCGCCCGGTCCCTCTGCCTGCGGTTCTTAAACCAGTTGCTGACCTGTGTGGTGGTCAGTCCAGTGGCCGCTGCCAGCTCCTGTTTCTCCCGAGTGGATGGAAAAGGTTTAGAGTTGTACCACTCTCTGAGTATACTCCGTGATTTCTCCTGCGAGAAAGTTGAGTCCATAATCACAGAGCCATAACTTACTCAAACACAAAATATACAAAGACAGAGAAGCAGACAAGTGTGTGCTTATTAACCCAGCTAAACAGGGCGGTTGTTAGGAATTCTGTCTTCTTGGGAAAGGTATGACTGTTTTGTCCTTTTTACATTTTACAATTTGAGATATTCTTTAGTTTCAGGACTTACACAACAAAAAGCTGTACTGTATGGTAAGTTTTGAATAAAATTTAACCTAAAAAGCCAAATAGCAGGTGGAAAAGCACATCCAGGATCACCCAGAAGATGAGATTTTGCCTACCTTAAAACAATAACTGGTCTCTTCTCCATCCCAGATGGTGTATGGAAGAGGAAACTTTCTCCTCACACGATACTTCCCCACAGCTCCCAGGGGTCGGCCCCTTTGCCTCTCAGCCTCGATGTAGTGGGCTCGGAGCCAGAGCTGCTGCAGGAGTGGGTGGCTGCATGTGGAGAAGGGGAAGCCCTCCAGCAGGGTGTAGAGGTCAGTGAAGCGGCCTTGGTGAAAGGCCACTGCAGCTTTAGCTTTCAGCACACTCTCAAGCTCCCAGGGGTGAGGGGTGGAGGAAGAGGAGGAGGCGCAGGAAGAAAAGGGAGAAGGAAGAGCGTGCAGAAAGCCAGCAAGGCGATCCATGCAACCGCTCTGCAGAAGAACCTCACAAACACATGCCACCTGCTCTGCTGTGAAGATCATAGCTGTGGAGAACCAGGATCTGTGCAAAAATACCTTCAAACAAACTTTAAATTTGTACCACAGAAAGCTAAAAGCTCTGCGGCTCATCTATGGATGATCAAGTACAGGTAAATTTGTGCTTATCGTTCCTCATCATGCCCTGACAGAATCAAATCACAGGTAACCTGACACCATATGGGTTATAACAACACACCAAGCATCCTTCCTCATCTTGTACAAACACACGCACGCACAGGCTCACACACGCCGAGAGCCTTTGTGTTTTACTCACAGGTCAGAGAGGAGAAAAAGAAAACACATTTGCATCAAATTTTCCTGCCAAATTAGAAGCAAAGCTCCCACGCTGAAATCACAACAGCTAGCCTTTCTGTAAATGTAGTTTATTACAATATCAGGAAATATAAAAAATAGAATGCATTTGAATATAAAAATGAGAAAACATGAACTTTGAATGTCAAACACAGATGATCCCTTTCAAAACTATCAAAAAAGTGATAAACACACATTGTCTTTGGTTAAATCGGGAGTCACTTACATTACATGTCAGGTATGGAAGGGGTTAAAAACACAACTCAGGGTACAAACATACGTGTATACATGTGCGCAAGCCCAACAGGGCTTTAATGTCTACAAGCTTTGGTATGAAATGGCTCATATAAACAAAGGCTACCATATTTTTACATTTAAAAACATTTCCCTTTATCCCAAACTAACTTAAATATCGGCGAAACTTAGACTAAACATTGATTTGTCAACGCCATTGAACATCCTCCCTGATGGCACAGGGAACTAATGACAGTGAATGTATAAACCGAGGGTGACCTACTTTATTTGAATACAATTCTGTCATTGGAGCTGATTTAATATCTCAAAAACCTAACTCAATAAAACAATATGACCGTACAGGTGAAAATAAAAATCACTTCCTAGTTGTGTTTCTCCTCAAAGATAAATTTTCTTTCAGTTACAACTAGATTAATAATGCATGCTTTAAATAGATTACAAGTACAAAAAAGACAAACAACAAACTCATTAGAAAACAAACAAAAAAGGCCATTATTGTAACCAGAGGCGACACTGACGTGTATATTTTATGTACCATAAATGGCCAAAAGTTTAACCTCTACCTGTGTTATGACAGTGGAGGACTCACACGATGAGGAGTGTTAAAGACTACGCAGGTCCATTTAACGATAGGACATTTGAAGAACTGCGAGTCCCACCACTGACGCAACAACGCAGCAGGCCAGCGTAAACATTGTGTGAATGAAAAGGTGCAAAATAGACGAGCTGGGATCATGCGAACAAAACTGTCACATTACGGCGTGATGGAGATGAGCAGGTACAGAAGCGTGGACATTCAAAAAAAATTACATTAAGTGAATCTCAAAATTTGGTCAGGTGTCGACAGATGAAAAAAAAAAGCAAAACAAAAAGAAAGAAAAATCACACTTGATGAAAACAACAAAAGTAGGAGCTTACACATAAGGCACTTATTAATAATAATAATGAACAGGTGGTTAAACTGACAACAAACATCACTATGTGGGATCACAGCAAACATTTAGTGTAATGCACCGTCATGCTTCAGTATTCAAAAGCTTTTCCCCCCCATCTCCCAAGAGTACTGATATTTCACAAACATAGTGTCCTATAAACATACAAAACATGTATTGCATAGAGTAAAGACCCTTTTAGTTCCTCTGTTATATTGGTGCTTTTGGAAGAAAGTAATTCAAAACAGTCCTCTGATAAAATGCAGCTGTGGCGCAAGCTGCATCCCAGTCTTCAGTAACTTGTAGCAATAAAACACTGGTGTATAGCTTTGAAGCTGTGTGTTTAATCATGGTTTCACATACCTCAGTTCATACAGATGAAGAATATCATCTGTGGTGTTTTGCAGGAGTGTTTCAGACAGTGAACGAGAGAGCACCAAGAAAAACTCAGATTTCTACTGTATATCTTTGTCTGACGGTTCAGGTACACTTCCTGTAGTAGATCCACAACAAACCAGATACGTTTCAAAAATGGTCTGCAGAATTAAAAACTACAAAGTGGAGCTGATGTAAAAGCCAAAACTAAGCTGATGAGCAAAGTATGGTCTTTTTTTTTTTACATCTGCACCCAAGCAGAGAAATCTGTGGTAGTTTTTCAGTCTGGATTTAATAAATCCGGTAAGGCACACAAGGCTTTGAGATGAAAAAAGGAAAAATCAGAGGCATCTCGTGTAAGCCTGTTGGTCAATGTGAAGTACAGCTGTAGAGGATTTTGTTGAAAAGTGCCAGCCAAGACCGCAATTTGCTGAGAGGGCAACACAGTTGGGCACACCAAGACCCAAACACATTATGGAAGACTTGGAGGACAAACCTCAGATCGTTAAAAAAGCAAACTCTAGATTCACTTAACTACTGAGTGTTTCATTGTTTTTGTTTTTAGTGATATCAGGTCGGCAAACAGCGATGTAAACAGACTACAGGCCCAGCTCATCGTCCACAGGGACAGACTGCAGCTGAGTCAGGATCTTGGAGTCCCCGTCTATCCCCTCTGGATTCCCTAGCCCTGAGTTGGCTTCCACATCCTGCTCTGACGTGGGACTTCCCAACAGCAGCGACTCTCCTCCAGGTAGGCCTAACAAAGCCGGGTCTACAGGTAGGTCTCCCTTGTTGCGGACATCAAACAGAGTCAGACCAGCTGAAGTGGAGAGGAGCACGGGGCTCCAGGCTGGTTGGGAAAGATGGGTGTTGGGTGTCATGCCGCTGTACGTGGGGCTGAAGGTGAGCAAGCTTTCTGGAGTGAGTATGTTCGAAGTTGTGGGGGTGATTGATTGGTCCAGTGTGTGAGGGGAAGGGGCGGCAGGTGTTCCTGTCTCTGGAGCACAGTACGGAGGGGAAGAGTTGATGAAGTTTAGGGGAGATGATGTGAGGACGCTTGGGGTCGGGGTAGAGGTGGTTGATGGCTGGGGGACAACTGGGTGGTTGGAGGGGCTGAGGATGGGACTCAGTCCATTAGAAGGAATGGGTGGAGCCTCTGGGACTGGTTTCAGTATACTGGTGAGTTGGATTCCAGCTGGTATGGTCAAAATGAGCTTGCCTTGCTGGACACTCAGGTAGGGGCTTCCACCGAGGAGAAGGTTACCTACAAATGTTGACAAAGGTATGAGAAGACAGCAATCAGGACTGTGTAACAAAAGGAGCTGAATAAGAAAAAGAGTTTTTATCAGATAAATAAAGTTCTTTAATCTTTCTTATAAAAAAATAATATCTAATGAATTGAGTGTACCTGGAGGAGCAGAGGGCAGCTGAATGATCCCAGAGTTCAGGAGTTGTACACCAGGGGCCACACTAGTTGGAGGGACCACACTTTGGATTGGCCTCAGCTGGTTTATCCTCAGAGGACCTTGAGAGACCCCAGCAGCCGCAGGGGCTGAGGTCAGGATCTGTAACGGCACACCGGCAGAGAGAGAAGGACTGGCAGGAACCACTTGTGGAAAGGAGATGGTGGATGAAGTTTGGATGGGGGAGACTGGGACCAGCTGGGGCATGGATGAGGAGACTAACTGTGCGAGTGTGGTGCCCTTTGCCTGTGGGACTGGGACCACCTGTGTCGGAGAAGAAATGGAGATAACCTGTGGGACCTGGGCTTTGTTGGGTGTCGAGTTTGTGGTTTGGTCCCCTTGCTGGGGCGCCGTTCTCTGTGATATCTGGGGGATGGAGACGATTGTTGTCGTTCCCTCAGGTAGAGTTGCTGATGCATCCTGCAGCCTGGCGCCCGTGTTCACTGTCTGGCTTTGGAAATGAGGCATCGGTGAGGCGAGAGGGGATACCGGGACCAACTGGGGGCACTGGGACACCTGTGCACCAGATGTGTGCTGCACCAGCTGAGATACTGGTTTACCGTGGATGGAAGGCACAACCTGGGGCAGAGAGAGTATCTGAGGGGCGGAGCTGCTGGAGACAACCACAGAGCTCGAGGGGTTTAACTGGGAGGCAGAAGATGTAAGGACAACATAGTCTCGTTGCGGACTGGAGAGAGGCATAGAAGACGGCACAGAGGCGGTGAGGGACGTCTGCTGTTGGGTGTTTGGCGTTAAAACCAGTGAGGGCAGACTGGTCGGGGAGGATAAAGTTGGTGAGGAGGGGGATAGAGATGAAGAGGAAGAGGAAACTGTGTGGCTGCTGTCCTCTGATTTGGTGACAGAGATGAAATCTATTGCATTGTTGCTTTCTGTCTTAATTTGAAGAGCAGAAGAGATGATGGATGGAGGGTTTGAGGCTGGAGTGGCGTTGGTACTAAAAACAACAGCTGGAAGACTACTCTGGTTGGCATTAATGGCTGAAACCCCCTGATCCGCCACAGACACTGTTTGCTGCTGTAGGCTGACGCTGGGTTTAGTTATTACCTGAGCCCCGTTCAGTATCAGAGGAGAGTTAGTTCCAACAGGACTCAGCGTGACTGTCTGACAATCCCCCAAGCTCAGCCCGTTAATGATCACACCGGCTCCGTTACTAGAAATCAGGGAGTTTCCGTTAAGAAGTAAAGACTGAGAGGATGTGAGGAAGCCGCCGGAGCCATTGAGGATCAGCTGGCCCCCTGTGCTGCAGGGGACAGCTGAGAGAGAGATGATGGAAGCTGTGGAGCCGGGGGCCTCCTCTGGTTTGTCAGGAGTGTCATCCATGGGGCTGGCCTCGTCATCTGTGCTGTGGTTCCCGTCAGACTCACTGAAACAAGAAAAATAGGTCAGATGTAAAGAGAGAGTTTGTTTTTCTTCTTTGCTGATTTTTTAGAGAGTGCTGCAGGTTCTTGCATTTGTCAACAGAGCAGTCAATCTCCAGTAAATAACTAATTTAAACGAAACTTCTCTGAAAAATGAGCACATGGAAAACATGCTAAAATAAAATGCTTGCACACTTATAGGGATATTCCAGCATAAAATTAAGTTAGGGTCAAACACACCGTAACACCGAGTTAGACAACCCCTTGAGAGATGAATGTTGCCGACCACTTGCTTCTCTAGTTATACCAACTTTAGTAACAATCACAGATAGCAATACAGAGAGCCATACACTCAACCAAAACGCCACTCTATAGCCTCAAATAATGCTCAGAACAGCACTTAACTTCATCAATAGTACATACAGGGTCTCAGCTATAGTATGAGCCATCAAACATCTTTTTAACTTTGCCTAATTTCTTTGGCAAAAGAGACTAAACACGATTCATCTACTCTCTTCCAGCAGTCACTTGTTTGTACAGAGACCTCAAGGTGAGTCGATCGACTGCTGCGGGGTGACGCAGCTCAAGGAAGAACATTTATGATCATTACTTCATGGAAATGCAATCAGACCGAGACGCTAAGGCAGAAGAACTACCGCGTCTGCAGTGCAAAATGATTAATATGGTGATTATTACTTCAAAGAAATGATAAAGTAATGATCATAAATGTTCTTCCTTGAGCTGCGTCACCCCGCAGCAGTCGATGAACTCACCTAGAGGTCTCTGTACAAACAAGCGGCTGCTGGAAGAGAGTAGGTGAGTTGTGTTAAGTCTCCTTGCAAAAGAAATTAGGCAAAGTTAAAAAGATGTTCGTCGGCTAGTGCTATGGCTGGGACCCTATATGTACTGTTGATGAAGTTAGGTGCTGTTCTGAGCGTTATTTGTGGCTATAGAGTGGCGTTTTTGGTTGAGCGCGTGGCTCTCTGGATTGCCATTGTGCGGTCATTACTTAAGTTGGTATAACTAGAGAAGCAAGTGGTTGGCAACATTCATCTCTCGAGGGGGTGTCTAACTCAGTGTTACGGTGTGATTGACCCTAACTTAATTTTACGCCGGAATATCCCTTTAAATAAAACTTAAATTTTTCTTACTCTTTCTTTAGGGCAGATTTTTAGTGAATAACCACATATCATAGATGATAGCTGTGGAAGCCATAATGTTGCTTTGCTTATCGGTTATCCTGTGTTCAGTTACTTTCGTCTGGTTGCCGTTGGTTTCGCTGGGTTTGGGTCACGTGGGCACTGTGTTTGAAAGCCGGTAAGCTGTATACTGGGCGGTCTTACCTGCACTGGAGTGGAGTAATTTTTGTTGACCGTGCTCTATGTTCTTTTGTTTGCAATGACACACGTTGCAAAGTGTATTATTATTGTATAATTATTGGTCACTGTCAAAGCGTTTTTCTGTTATTAAAGCTCCGAAATTTTCAGAGAACTGTGGGTGTTTCTTTGGAACAGCAGTGGCCTGTCACAAAAATATACAGGACCTAGTTTGGCCTCAAGCAACTTTTTAAAAGGTACTAGGAAAGCCGCAATACAAGCAAGTCCCAATAATTTAACATTTCCTGAATAATTATTCAAGCTTTTGTGCAAAACTGGTCAGAATTAAAATAGTAGAAAATTAACTCAGTCCACTCAGGAACTTGGCTCAGATTCCAAGCAGCTTTTTCAGGTCATTCATTTTGTTAATTTGTGCAGCCCTAGTTAACCATTCAAGCTGACTGTCTGCCAGACCACCACAAACCCTCAGGCCTGATAAGATAAGTCTGCTGTATTCCCTCTTATCAACCCCACAGTGGGTGATGAAATAGTGGCGGTAAAAACTCCAAGATTTCAGTCCTTGTAGGAGCATATGAAGAGGATTTTCCCTCCTCTGAGAGTTCAGCAGCACCTCCTGTTTGTCTGGTTTAAGCTTTGACTCTAACCTCGGTCACCCTGCAGGCCCGAGGCAGAGGTGCATGGTTTCAGGAAATTTGAGCCACGGTGGGCGCCTGAATCTCACATTTCATAACAAAGCAACATGCTTCTGTCTCAGACCTGTGCGGGTTTACTGCTGTCAAAAGTCAGCTTCACTGTCCTCCACAGACGAAAGGTTTTAGATGTGGCACTTTGAAGTTTAATGTGTTTGTGTAGTTACATAGTTGGTCTACAGTGCAGTGTGCGGGCTTTGTTTACCATGAGGGTTTGGTCTGTTAGTTTCAGGGCATGCATGGAGTAAGTAAGTGATCACTGTTGTCAGGAAACACAACACAGACAAATGATTAATACAAGATAAATAAATAAAATTAGGTTCAACCTGCTCTCTATCGTAATGAATCTTTCATTTCAATTCCTGCATTGACTAGTTTTGCTTTTCTTGCCTTTTGCTGTGGGTCCCGGACGGGGTCCTGTCCCTCTGCCTGCGGTTCTTGAACCAGTTGCTGACCTGAGTCAGGGACAGTCCGGTGACTTTAGCCAAGTTCTTCTTCTCGTCCGGATTGGGGTACCTGTTGCTCTTGTAGCACTCTTTCAATGCGTTTCGGGACTTCTCCTTGAAGCAGTACACGGTCTCCTCCCCGTCCCAGATCGTTTTGGGCAGGGGGAACTTTTTCCTGAGCCGATACTTGTCCACTGCGCCCAGGCTCCGGCCCCGGGACCTCTCAGCCTCCTTGTAGCGGGCTTTCAGGTACAGGTCCTGCAGGAACCCATGGTTAGACGGGTGGAAGTCGTGGCTCTCCAGGATGGCGTACAACTCCTTGAATTCCTCCCGGTGGAAAGCCACCAGAGCTTGGGCCTTTAGTAGGGTCTCGTTGCCACGTAGCAGCTCGGACGAAGGAGGTATGGTGGATAGAAATCTCCACAAGCGATCCACATTGCCCGCCTGCAGGAGGGCCTCGCACAGACATGATACTTGGTCAGCGGAGAAAGTCAGCGCCGACTTTTGGAAACGTTTGAGCAGCTCTTCAGAAAGTATGTCTGCGTTTCTCTCCTCTTTGATCTCCGATGCCGTCGGCTCCTCTGGGCTGTTTTCAGATTGTTCTGCAGACTCCAAAGACAAGGAAGCCATTTTTACTTAAACTTTTTTCCTCCCCTAGTTCCTCCTCCCTCCCACCCTCTCTCTCCCATTCTCCGCCAGTCGGTCAGACCGTGAATGTGCCAGCGAAATACCAGCAGCCACGCCCCTTTTCTACAACTTAGCCACTTTCTTTGTTAGATATAGTTGTACCATTGCCAACATTTTGACCTTAAAACGCTGTAAAATAATCATCACCACATTTTTGCAACACTTTGTCTCTAAAACATTTACTCTCTGATGAAACTTTAGATGATGTAAGATGAAACATCTGCTTTAGATCATAAAGCCATTATAAAAAACATGCAATAGTGGCTTATAGACTTTTTTGTTTTTGTATAACTACATAAAGATGTGAATTTACTGGATTTAGTGCATTTTTTATCCACACAATAACCAAAGAATATGGTTGCAACTATCAATTTCTTTAATCATATATTAATGAACTGGTATTTCAAATTTTAAAAAGCCTATGACCTTTTCTGAGCATAAAAGCATATATTTACAAGTTGAAACCCTTGAACCAGTAAATAAATACTCTAACCAAATAGTTTATTTACTGCCTTACTGAGTAATTACAGAAACTTTTTGTAATCAGGTTAATCTCTGTTATATAGTTGTATCTCTGCCAACATTTTGCCTCTAAAATGCTCTAAAATAATCAGCGCCTCATTTCTGCAACACATCGTCTTTAAATTAGAGATTAAAACATTTACTCTCTGATGAGTCTTGTGCTGATGTAAGATGAAACATCTTGTTTGGATCACACAACCTTTATAAAAAAAACATGCAATAGTGGCTTATAGGCTTTTTTTGTTTTTGTATTTCAATTCTTATCCACATAATAACCAAAGAATATGGTTGCAACTATTGTTTCCTTTAATCATATATCAATGAACTGATATTTCAAAATTTAAAAAGCCTATGATCTTTTCTAAGCATAAAAGCGCAAATTTTCAAGTTGAAACTGTTAAACCAGTAAATACTCTTTCCATTGTATTTCTGAATAGTTTATTTAGCATTTACAGCCTTACGAAGTTATAACAAATCCTGTATGTAATTAGTTTAATAAGGGTAATTGTTTCTGCTCATACAGATACTTGACAGTCGCAACACCGATTTAATCCACAATAACATGGCAGTGACATTTCGCATTTTTGAAGGTGTATCTATTAATCACTTTATAATCAGTATCTGGTGTTGATTGATGGCCAAATAGCCTATATGAGCTGTGTGAAAATGTTCTGGAGGTTTAGGGGAGAGTGGGGTAAGATGAGTCATTTTTCATATCAGATCACTACATCAAGACAATCCTAGTTTTGTCTTTAACTAGTGTATCTGCATTAGGTTTTTGACCTCATGTTGTAGCTCAGAGATTACCACAATTGATGTATACAACAAATTTAAAATTATCTTTTTTTTTTTTTTTGTCTGAACACAATTCTAATAAAACTTATGACAAACTAAATTCCATTTCAAGAGTGAAAATGTTTTTTTTTTTTTTTTTTTTTGGGGGGGGGGGGGAATAAATGTCTAACCTCTTCGCCCATGTGCTTCTAACCTACACAGACTCCATGAATTGATGCCTATCTCCTAAATATTTGGTCACATGATCAATTTCTTTTACCATTTCCAAGCAAAAGGGGGTGGCTCAACTTACTCCAGTCTCCCCTACTGAGCCTATCTCTGTTAGCAACCATAGGAATTAAAATCTGCTGGATTTATCTCACCCCCTCTTTCAGTTTGGTTGTTAATCACTTTAATCTTCTTTTTTCCTGCCCGTACATGCTCTAGTTTGTTATCTATCCTTGAGTGATATCTCTCCTTCATTTGTAGGATGACTTCTTCTCAGTTAGGATGATAAAACAGTGAGTACACCACGACTGGTTCTGACTGGAGCTGGTAGAACCTTCCAGACGTGATCCTAAACAGGTAAGTGCTCCCTCTGCAGAGGTGTGGTTCACTATCATTTGTGCCTAAACGACATTGTTAAAAAATGGCGACATCTGCTGTTTAAACTGTTGACCTTGTTTTTCAAGAATTATAAAATTAGGGATGGTTTGAATAGCAAAAAAAACAGTGTCATTATCCTTAGTATTTTCTGTATTTACAGTCGTTTAATCGCTGATGCAGTGAAACAGGAACAGTCTGTATTATTATTATTACAGCGGAAGGCACGTCGGTGCGTATGACGTAACGAGCTGGGTCACTGGGGCGCCCGGTCACGTGATTTTTGGTGTGGCTAAACAACGCAAGGAAACCATCGAAACAGCTTGTTGCTTGACACTTCTGGTGGAAAAGGTATATTTTTATCATCGGGTTGTCGTGCGGGCGTGGTGTCGCTGTGGCTAAAGGCAAATGTAAGTAACTGTGGCCATTTTGACGTCCTGCGGATGGACCTCGTTGTATCCAACGTGACTCCGCTGCTGCTAGCCGCCCAAACAGTTAGCGTTGACGCAGACTAGATTCTGCACAACCAGCCTACATACGATTAGATTTAGCGAAACTTTTATTTCAAGAATTGCCTAAGTATTTTAAAAAGATTGAAAATAATGGATAAAACTATGTGAAGATACCCATTTTGATACCCGACACTGCTTATTTAGTGAAAACAACGTGAGAGAGAAAGTCATAAAGAAAGGGAAAACATTTATCTGTGTGTAAAACTTATTAAAACCTAAATGTTATCAATTTTAGTAAGCCTAATTCATCACATACTTTTGCATCTGAAAAGTACTCATTTAACTGGCTTCAGTAATTTAGTTTACTCAAAGGAATCAGCTTGAATTGTAAGAGACATACTGCTGAATATTATTATAAAATCCAATTTATATGTTGATGTTTTTCAGAGTTTGTTCATATCCAGTGTCCACATCACCAGCCTCATGGACAGCGGAGTGACAGTGGTTACCTGTCCCTATGTGGATGTGCGCTTGACCAGCACCATCTCCTCCTTCGAAGTGAAACGCAGATTCAACAGAGGGATTACTATAGCAGAACTAAAGGTGAGAGTCATACCGTACAACACAACAAACAGTTTGATCCTCAAAAGAGGCATATTTCTTTTAGAAATATCCAAAACTATCATCCACTCCACACTCAACCTCTTTTAGTTTTCAGACTTAAATGATGCTAATGAGAAGTATATTCCATTATGTTTACTTTTTGTTTGAATTGTATATCAAGGGGAAGCTAGAGATGATCGTGGGTTCAGCCTCCTCCAACATGGAACTGGAGTTGTTCAGCGTCTCTGACAAGTTCCTGCTGAAGATGGATGATAATGAAGCTTTGCTTGGTTCTTATCCTGTTGATGATGAATGCAGAATACATGTAAGTATCTGTTTGGCCCTGACCAGTGTCCTGTAATAAAAAATAACATAAACTGCAAATTGGACAAATTGTTCCATTTTAGTTTTAGGCTCAAAATCCAGTTCCCCTTTCTTTCCTGCAATACAAATACATTTTAAAACCAATTTGTGAAAAGTACAAGTCAGAACAACAACATGGCTTTTTAAAGCTGTTTTGTAAATCCTGTGTCTTGCCTCATGATTGTGTCTGGTGGTTTAATGACTCCTCTCGGACATGTTGGCATTAACAGACACATTTGGGTCTACCAACAAGGTAGAGTTTTTAAACCAAAATAACTTACAATTTAATTAAATTTCTACTATTCTGCAGACAAAGAAAATGTTAATACTCTTGGTCATAATGTCACCCTGTTCAACTACTATTGAGCTCCTAACACTGTCCATGTCTCATCCTACTTCACAGGTTTCTGACAGAAGTGGAGGCCAAGCGGACAACTTCACTGATGTATCAAAAGTGGAGAAGTTTGAAATTTCAGATCAAGCGTATAGTAAGAGAACAGGTATGGTCTAACAAACTGTCCATGTTTGGAATTCTTAACTTGATGCTTTTGTTCCAGAAGAGATTACATGTATTTTACTAAACCAGTTAACACGTTCTGTTAAAGCAGCATACTATTAATTTACTTCAACATTTAAGTTTATAGCTCTTGCAGATATGCAAGATAGCAGGTAAAGTCTATTTTCGTCCATTTGCCTAAATGAATCTGCAATATAGGGCATTTCTACCCTGCAGCACAAAACACTGGGAGGAGAAAATGCAAACAATTAAGTTTAAGCTTTGTAATTTACAAAGCCTGGATATTACTTTGGTCATTGTGTCTGTGTCTGTATATAATACTCATGAAAAAAAGGTGCTAACCCAGGTGCCCAGTGCACACAGATGGCTGTTGTTTTTTGGATGAAGTGTTGACCGGTTGCAAACACACATCAGTCTGATTTAAAGTCACTTCTTATAAGCTGTTGTGGGGTATTATTTAAAATTTCCATTCAGCTATCTTTGACAAAATAATCACTATGATTGAACAGGAATTTATTGTGGTCTCTATTTGTATCTTTCAGATTCTGCAAGGTCATTCATGAAGAACATGCGGGTCGGTCAGTATAATGAGGAGGAAGTGGCCAAGAAGAAAGCTGAGCTTGCTGCACGTAGAGAGGAAGAGAAGGCCGCCGCTGATGCCATTTCTGTTGGCAACCGTTGCCAAGTTCAAGTCCCTGGACAGCCCACAAAGCTTGGCACAGTTATGTATGTTGGTAAGTGTGGATAAAACCAGAGATGTACCATCAATCAGTCAGGTTGATTAATAAGGCAGACTAATGGGGTTTTAAAATGGTCAACATCCGCCTATGCCCACACAGGAGGCAGAATTAAAAGAAACAAATAAGCCATGTCTGCAGACACTGCAGGCTGCCTTTTCAGTTATGATGTGTTAAATAATAGAGTTCATTACTGCTTTTCACATAACCATCAGTCATGTTTAGAAGTTTACACCATTACCTATTGTACTTTTCTATATCATAAGTTCAATAAATTTCATCTAAAAATCAATGCTGGCAAATTTACGGTCATGACAAAAACAAAAAACTGTGATGGTTGATGAAGGGAATAGTGTTTCTTTATATTTTTTCCAGGTACAACGGACTTCAAGCAAGGCCACTGGGTTGGTGTGAAGTATGATGAGCCCCTGGGGAAGCATGATGGAACGTAAGAGCTGTTTAAAAATATATATTTTTTAAAATTTGCATTTTAGCTTTGCACAATGTTGATCCTGGTTTGCATTTAACCTTGTCATTTTCATATATTGTGTTTCCACAGTGTTGACGGCAAGCAGTATTTTGAATGTGAGGACAAATATGGTGGATTTGTAAAGCCCCAGAATGTGATTGTGGGGGACTTTCCTGAGGAGGATTATGGTTTAGATGAGATGTAGGACTGGGTTGTAACAAAGGTTTTTGTTTGCTTTAGTTTTTTTCTGTTCTCTACTGGAGACACAATCCAAAGAGCAGTATCTAGAGGTCTTTTAGGTTCATACCTTCACTGATGCCGACTACGCTTGATGCGTCAGGTCCCTTGGTGTGCCCCATGTCATGATCACACAAGAGGAGCTCAAACCACCCAAGTTTGAAAGATGGTTTTGTTGCATGTCAAGCAGCATATTGAAGGTTGTTATTTAGTCCTTCTCTCTGAGGAATCCCTATTAAACCTAATCTAGTAGCTTTTGCAGTGCTTGTTCTCTTAAGTTCTTCCAAGATGGAGTCTTCTCTGTAATGGATAGTTTTTTGATAGTTTGGACAAAAACAAACTAAACTCTGCTCATTTGATAATTCCAATCTGTACAAAGATGATTGTGTAAAATTGTTTATAGTTCACTGTAGCAGTAGAGTTTTTGAAGAATGTAAATTTCTGAGAGAGTTTCACAGATTGAATTTCTGTAAAATGAAAAGGCATTGAGTTCCTGACTAACACAAGATCTTTCTTAAACTGGAAATATTTTCCAATTGTTTATCAAAATTAACATGAACTCAATTCAGTAAGTTCCACACAAGTTTGACGTAATAATAATTCACAGTTAAGGGGGAAAGAAAATAAATCTGAATACATCATCTTCCCCTTTACAGCTGTTTGACCAATTATTCTGCCAGTTTTATTTCTTATTACCTTTTTGGTTTGCTTGATTTCATTGCTGTCCACATCAGTGTACAATGCCTCGGATAGAAATGTGAAAGGTATCTGTTTTTCCATAAACACTTTTGGATGTTTAAATTTCATTTTGCATTCACATTTATGTATGGTGTTAAGCAGTCTTACTTTTAGGTTATCAAGTAGATATGTTATATTTTTTTCCCCATTTATGCATTTCATAAATATGTCCTGTTTATATTGAATCACTGTCATAATATTTTTTTAAGTTTGAAATTTGAAATAGGGCTCAATATTTTGACTTTGTGAAATGTGATTCATTAAAACAACAGATGTGTAATAGTACTATCAAACTGTTCCTCTGAATACCAGTGGAGGACTGCAACCCAAAATAAACCCATTATTAATGAAACAAGTTAGTATAAAAGTGTTTGAAACCGGAGCATTCATGCTGTTTCCTCTGTATACATGTTTTATTTCTCCATCTCTGTATAAACAGGACACTAAATATTACTCAGCTGAAATACTGTCTCTGTTAGTTCTTTGCCCAATCTATAAATGACAGACATTTGTTCGACAGTGTTATTTCTATATTTGTTTTTTGACAGGCTCTGTAACACTGACTTAATGTGTCCACTGAACATCTATTTAAATATAGTACAGTTTGTCATTCATCTTCAATCTCCTGATCATATCACTGCACAGCTACAGCATCACTCTCCAGGAAATCAACTCTCATTCCCCTGCTTTGAATGCTATGCCTTATTTATGCTTTGTCAAAATTAATAATTCAAAACTGTTTTGACTTTGTGAAGTTTACAGAAGAAATATAAATTAATTATTTTTGTGGTTTCTTTTCAATGATTTACCACTACCACACAGACAAAGTGTTGTGTTCCCTCCTTCCCCTTTTTAAAAAACAACGAAAAAAAAAAACACTGTAAACCTCTATGGTGCTGTTGTTACTATGTGCCAAAGTGTCATGCATAATATTAAAAACAATTTGCTTGTACAGTAAAACGAGGTTGGTTCACTTATTTGTATCTGTTACATTGTCTTTTATATTTCCCCCTTTACTACTTGTTCAACCAGTGAATAACAACTATGTACATCTTTGGCTTGGTAAAGCTAACACAATGTACTCTATATACTATCTTGTAAGTTGTTGGACGGAATAGGGGAGAGTGGAGTAAGGTGAGCCAAATGGTAAGTTGAGCCACCCCCTGTTGCTTGGAAATGGTCAAAGAAAATGATCATGTGACCAAATATTTAGGAGATGGGCATCAATTCATGGAGTCTGTGAAGGTTAGAAGCACATGGGTAAAGGGGTTAGACATTCTGTAATAAGTTTAATTAAAATTGTGCTCAGACCAAAACACAAGCAGCTACTTTGACTTTTATTATTGGAAAGTAAAACTTTCAACCTGTTTTACTATCATTATTATTATTAGTAGTAGCAGTAGTAGGGGTAGTATTGTTAAAAAAATCTAAAAGCCTTTTGATTTATATTCCAGATCTTCAAGGGTTCTTAGTAACCCTGTTACAATAAATTACACAATACTCATGACCCTTACTCATCGCACCGCTGTCGGTAGATTCGCGTCATTCCTATGACGCGCACCTGACTTCTCGCGAGGCGAAGCGCAGTCTCCCTTCCAGCAGTGTGGTGTGTGCGCGACAGTGAAGAGGAAAGATGGCGACGCAGGAGAGCGAAGCGACCAAAGCTACCGTGAGCAACGGCGAGGTAAAAATGAATGACACGTTCAGTATTATCTTTACTTTCTCCTCCAAGTGAAAGATACCTACCGGTGTGTCTAACCGCTGTATTTGACACCGTTAAAAGTGAAGCGTGTTGGCGAACGTTACACGAGCCCCAGTGACGTTGTCAGTGCCGGTTGGTTTTAAAACGGACCCCCCCTCCTGCCGTTTTAAGATGTGTGGAGAAATCCGGTCAGCGAGCAGACAGATGACGGAGTGTGAGCTGTGTGGATGGATAAATCCCACCTGGAGACACACGGTTTCACACGAGTCTTTTGACGGTGACTGTGAGCTGTCTAACTGCTGCAGTGAGTCCGACTGCTAACGTTATCACAAGGCCTGAACGGGAGCACCGCAGCTCGGCTTGACTAACCAGGCCAGTCTCAACCAGCTCTCTCAGATTTTATTAACCGCTGAAAAACATCTCACTTGCGTTTTTATCCACGGTTACACTGGAGAAAAGTCGGGGCTAAGAGTCCTCACTTATAGTGACCGCCGTCAATGTTTATCTGACAGTTCATTTTAACATTGTCAGGTGAAGGAAATCAGGTGAAGCTATCACAAAGCTCTGCTAAGCCTTTTATTACGCTCTCTAAATTTTTATCACAGTAGTTATGAAGATCATTATGGTGGTATTTTATCAGCTGGTCAACGTTTCCCGAATGGACACAGGATTATTAATCTCTTAAAACAAATCTGTGCTCCGCCTTGTGATCAATTTAAAGCCCTTGGCCAAGAAAACTTGACCTTTTTATTGATACTAAACACTGATTACTATTGTTATTTAACAACTACATGTAAAGGCTGGGGCACATTCCTTCTTTGTGGTGTGTATACTACATGAAAGGATTAATCAAGTTCACTTTTAACTTCTCTAATTTGGCTTAAGTTTAATAAATTGATAGTTAAAGGACTAAGTTTGACACCAGTTTCTTTTGGTTTCATCATGACTTCATTGAAATCTAGTGTGCTCCTACCTATCAAATGCATTTCCCTTACTGTGAAGTCGTAAAGCCAAGCAAAGTTTAATCCCTGACAATCTCTAAAAAATCCCAGGAGTCCTTCCAGAGTCCTCAAAGTCATTTCAAACAATCTGGGTTTAAGGAACTGATGCAACCTCAGTAACGGGCAATGACATTTTTTTTTGCTTCTTGAAAAAACCTGGGTACTAGTGGCGAAATGTTACCAATCTTTAACTGTCTGTGAAGGATTTGTCCTGAATAAGAAAAGATGTCTTGGTCCGTGTTTTTAATCTATGGCAAATCACAAGCAGGAGAAACTAGGGCAATGGTACAATGTGAACTTAAGTGTCTTTAATGCTGTAAAATGTCTTGGTTTGGATAAGATGAATGTGCGATTAGTTTCAGATGAAGCTGCTGATGTTGATCTCAAGACTTAAAAGACAGTGTTAGTAAATCTTAAGACATTTAGATGAAAGTGGATGAATTTACCACTATTTTTTGCGATTTTAATTTCTTTCATAGTGATTCCATAAACTTGCATATCTGGAAAAAAACAATCACAGTATGTTTATGCTCTTAATTGCCAGTTTCTCAAACAAATAGACCAATAATAAAAGTAACAGGAAAATTATACTAGAAAGGAAATTTAACATTCTTTAATATGAAAACAAATATGTGTGCACAAATTAATTGATTTTGAAATCAGGTTTCGGAATATTAGCATATTGGCAATCAACAAAAGTCCAATGTTATGCACCCTCATTGTTGTTATTGTAAACATTACCATACAAACCTCCACTCACCAGTGAAAGACAGACCTTTCTTCATCTTAAACACATATTCATTGGCAGGTCAGAGTAAAGCATTTGCATCCTTGATGGGGTTAATTGTTAACCTCAGTTCAGAGTGTCTGTATTGTAAATTATTATCTTTGGCTGCAGTAGAGAACCTGTTTCTGTTGATTAGCACATTGGTCAACTGTCTGTGAAATGGTTATTATGGCAATCCCTGCAGGAGACAGAGATCTATGACTGTGATAATAGAACTGTTCCCAATTCAGCACGACAGGACATAGCAGGAAGTACGTACGCTCTGCTTTGAGTCACTTCATAGCCTTGAAATGTCATTTTTGTAATAATTCAAGGAATGAAGACTATCTCTAACCTGTACACTTTCATCGGTGACTTATTTTAAAGTCTTTGTAGGATTCTGTGTGAAGATTAAAACCTGATTAGGAGAAAACAGGTTCGCTCCTAAGTGTTGGTTCATTCTGGAGGCCAACCTCTGGTCTCCCTTGTGTTGGTGACAATGGGGGAGATTAGATGTTTAGATAGTGAATGAGTCTCATGACTTGGCATGCGCTTGCGTATTGTGTCACTTCAACACAATGCGGCCTTGCTGGAGGGTTGCAGGGTTTGCGTTAACACTATGATGCAAACGAAGGGCGGTTTTCTGATCCTTTTAACAAAGTAAAAGTACTTAAATGTATTAACACTTTAGTCTGCCTTCTTAGAAAAAAAGAAATTCCTGTCTTTGTTTTCTACATCCCCATGTGATGCTTTCACACAGCTCTATTTGTTTGATGAGATTTGTCTAAACCAAGTTTATTTTAACTCATTTAATCTAAAAAAAAACATGGATATTCATATTTGATATGGACATGTGTGTATGTTTGGTCTTTGTTTGCTATATAAATGACTAAGATAAATATTGTATTATATTGTCGTAATTAATATTTCAAAGCTGTCATGTCTCATTTGCCAAAGATGATTCATTCCAGATTTACTTGCAAATTTTTGGACTCCAAAGTATTTACTGATACAGCCTCACTTAATCATATTGTGCAGTGACAAATTACAACTGTAGTGTGATGTCGCCACTACTCTGTAAATCTGTTGAAAAACTGTGGTCTACTCTATCTACACTTCAACCATATGCTTCCTGTTTTAAACGGACATGGCATGAGGGTGAATGTGTAACCTACAAATGTCATTATTCACCCTGAACTGTCAGTAATGGCTGCTTTAGAATTGGGATACATTATAGGCTTCTTTTTGTAGAACTTTTTATTTTTGTTAAATGATATATCTCTTCACCATATTACATGAGTAGTCACATCGTCGAGGCTTACAAGGCAAAACTGACCCTGTGCGTGTCTTTTTGTCTGTTTGTGCGTCTGTGTTTGGTTGCAGGTGAGCAGCAATGGAACCGCAGCAACAACAGATGGCCAGGCTGTGCAGACAGCTGAAAATGCACAGGATCCTCAGCAGCAGCAACAGCAACAAGCACCTAACGCATGGCAGGTCATTAAAGGAGTCCTCTTCAGGTGAGTTTTATTTGGTATTTAAGCCTTTAGTTAAAATCTTGCAATTTATCCCACAAACTTGCTAATTTCATGTGACCAGTTGTATGAGAGTGAAGCTGAAATTAGACTCTCGGAACAAGTTTTTCTTACTTGATGGCTTGACAAGTGTCAGGTCTTTACATTTTGGTCTGTATTCACCATGTCAGTGTTTTTGTCCATCGTTCTTGTTATTGAAGGTTAATTTAATTCCCGGAAACAGCAAAACAAAAGACTAAACTAACGAAAGTTGTTTTTTTAAGGGTCAGCGTTTTAGATAAAAAATGTTATTGCGTTATTGCAAATTCATGCCTTTGACATCAGACTTTGTTGTACAGTTAATGATTTGAAAGTGTATGCACCAGAATTATATTACTGCCCCGCTCATGTAGTGTGAAGTTGCTCTCATGCGAACAGGATTTAAAATTCATTTAAATCAAATTAAAATAAACCGCCACTGTTAAAAACAACTGAGACTCATTTTTCCGCTCATTCTTCAGCTGCAGGTTTCTAATCTATTAGCCCGCTCTGTGTGGTCCCTTATAATATTGTTAGGAACTCTCAACTCTGTCACAAATAAATTGCCTCCCAGAAAATGAAACTGAACTTAATGGATGACTCTGCAGAGTCAGATTTTCTCAGGCTGGTGCTGTTAAGTAGAGAGGGCTTCAGTTGAATATCATCTTTGACTAGATGGAGGATGGTCATATCAAGATGGAGTGTAAATAAAATGCTGTTTGACTGGATACAGTTCAATCAGATAAGACTCCATCCCCCTGTCACATTCCTCTGCACCTGCATATGTAAAGCACCTTGAATTGTCCTGCTGCTGAAATGTGCTATACAAATAAACTTGACTTGACTTGACTTGACAAACTGAGTTTTGTTGTCTAAAATACACTATATTTGTCCATTTACAAACATCAGGGTGAATTCACTCATTACCTTTGCAGCTCTTTTTAGTTTTTATTTCTGTCCCTTATCAACCCTGTCTGTATTTGATTTAGTAAAATTTAGTAAATTTTTTTCCTTCTGTTTCTCCAGAATCTTCATAATCTGGGCGATCAGTAGTTGGTTCCGCCGAGGGCCCTCCACCCCTGACCCTAACACACCAGCTGGGGCACCAAGAGTACCGAGCAGGAACCTCTTCCCCAAGGACACACTCATGGTATTACACCTGTCCTCTCACTTGCTTCTTTATCTGCACAGTCAGCTGTTATTAAACCTTTTTCAATTGAGGCTATCCGTTTTCCAACCCCTTCAGTATCACAAGTGCAAACCTGTGTCATCTATCCCTTTAGGACTGACTCATCTGCTCACTCCTGACTGTGTAACAACATAAACACCTCTTATTTTCTCATCACACCTGTAGGACCTGTACGTGTACGTGTCCCAGGAGGAGGTGTTCACTGACTTCAACAATACAGAAGCCCTGTTCTGGTTCCACAGGGACCTGGTCTATGGAGACTGGACCACGGGGGAGAGTGGGGATGGCTGTTATGAACACTACAAGGAGATGGACATCCCTGAAGTAAGGATGATTTAAGGATAGAGGGGAGTTAATTTAGAGAAAGATGGGAGACAAACAGGTAGATGATTGATAAGAAGGAAGGAAAATACATGCTAATGATGTAAGTGACAGATTTTTAATATCGAAGTGAATATTTACCCCTGTTTGGTGTCTGCCTGCAGAAGGTGCAGCAGAATGGATCACTCTACATGCACGTCTATTTCACTAAAAGTGGATTCCATCCAGATCCAAAACGCAAGGGGCAGTATCGCAGACTGGCAACAGTGCATGCAACACGAAGTAAGTGGATAATTACGACGCAAATTGTGAACTGAAGTGTTCACCAACCAGCTGTTACATTCTGAATAATTATCAGCAATATAATTGAACCCAATCACAACATCTCTACAACAAAGTTAACTTTCAGAAAGCTTCAAATATTTCAGTTTTGTGAACGTGAACTTCCATGTAATTACTGGCTTTGTATTGATTAGTGAGGATGCAGTGGACTGTGGTGGTGTACTTGAAAAGCGTTCCTTATATTTCATCATTTACAAACATGACGGGAAATATAGGGAACACCTTTCAGTGTGATTCACTCCAGCACACCACCAACACCTACTGCATGGTCACCTGTCTGACCAGGTCAACAAAGATTGTAGAGGCTCTGTAAAAGTCGACTCTGTGGTGGAGCTATTGTATTGGGCTGCATTAGATTGCTCAGGTGTTATCGTGTTATGGCTGGTTGATTATAAATGTTTTAACATGTTTATTTGTCTATTTTTCTAGTGTTGAATAAATTCAAAAGAAGAAAGTTTCTGAAAACCAAGAATCTACTAACAGGAGAGACAGAGGCAGATCCTGAAATGATCAAGGTGGGTTGATTTTACCATCACTCACACTGTCACTGAGCTTGACCAATATTTTTGCATTCAGTGGTGTGTTTGAGGCAAATCCAAATCTTTGCATAAACAACCGATCAACAAAAACAAATCACATAAATGCCTTAAAGTTCAAAGTTAGTTTGAAATTTAGGTCACACTAAAAGAGTTTATAAACGGAGCAGTGCCAAGTTGTTCAACGTCCAGCTTATCCCAGGATTGGACTAGAGGTGCTTTGGGTCGATGTGGATATCTGGTTTATGCTCTTATACAATAATCAGTGTTTTTCCAAGATTATTTGGTAAAATCAGGGGTGCACTGATCGAATCTTAAAAACCACCTGTTTTCTAGTTAGCTAATAAATCAGGCTGATTAATGGCAATGAGGTGATTGATTTGATATCTCTTTCAAATCATGATGCAGAGACCCAACACTGGCCGACAAGAACAGTCAAGGGGATCAGAACACCGTATGTGATGTGGTAATCTGCTGTGTTAGATATGATTATTGTCAAAGCCACCAAAACATTAATAGTTTAAAACGGTTCAGGGTTTCCTGGTGTTTCATCTCAAATCGGAGGGATATCAAGAGAATTGTTTGAGGCTCATCACTTTCACACATTTGATGACATGTGTCTCCTCACAGCGGGCAGAGAGCCACGGTCCAGTGGAGATCATCTCTCATTGGCACCCCAACCTCACCATCAACATGGTGGACGACCACACTGCCTGGGTCAAAGGCTCTGTACCCCCTCCTCTAGACCAACGTGAGTTCCTCCTGTCTATTCTGAATACAGCACAGAACTGTACACACCACAGGTCCCAATAGTAATAGCAACGATTTTTGTATTCGGAGAAATTATTTTGACACTGAACTTCCCCCCTCTAACACCAGATGTCAAGTTCGATGCTGTAAGTGGCGACTACTATCCCATTGTTTACTTCAATGACTACTGGAACCTTCAGAAGGACTACTATCCCATCAACGAGACCCTGACAGCACTCCCACTCCGCCTAAACTACTGCCCACTGTCCCTGTGGCGCTGGCAGCTGTATGCTGCCCAGAATGCCCGCTCTCCATGGAACTTCCTTCCTGAGGACACCTATGAGCAGTCTGATGAGGACCAAGACTCTGTCAAGGTAAAAGATTAACGGTCATAGATTGAAATGATCTTGTTTGACTCTGGATATGAAAGTAGAAATCTCAAATGTTCACTTTGAGTCAAAGCACAGATCGAACACTGAAAATAAACTAGAGTCTGGTATGATCGATATGTACCCTGACTGCACAACAAATTCAAATGTTTGAATTGTGAGAACATAAAAAACTTCTCACAGATTACCTGAGACAAATCTGGCCCAGATTTAAAAAATTTGAACCATGACAACTTCATCACTTCAGAACAGAAAAGCGAGTGTCAAAGCTGTTTATAGTTAATGTGTTGAGATTGTACAAAAAGAGCAAGCCAAATGTTTTATTTCAATTAATTATTATTCAAGCATATACAGCTTCAGATATTGTGATGTTGTAGAGTTTGCTTGAAAAAAAATGCCGCACTGGATCACTTAAAATAAAAAACTGAACCTGTGCTTTTGGGCTCCAAATGTGGTTTAAGTCTCAGTTGTCAAACACCTTGTAGAGTACCTATTTTGTTGCATATCATCAAAAGCGAATGACTAATCCTTAGTACTTGAAGATTTGTAATTCAAATATTTATATAATCAACTGTGTGGGCATTTTCCAGGTTTGTGCTCACAGCTGCCACTGTTGGAAGATGAATACTGAGATGTTTCACTGAAAAAAAACAACCCTCTCTTTGTGTAGGTGGCCCTCCTGGAAACTAATCCATACCTGCTGGGACTCACTATTGTTGTCTCCATTGTGCACAGCATCTTTGAGTTTCTCGCCTTTAAGAATGGTAAGCTCGCAGCGGCGGCAGGTGTTTGTTGTCATTGTTGTTGTTTGATGGTAAGGAACAGCCATTGTTTGAGTGTCAGTGCAGACCTCAGCTTCAACTTGGCACTTTGTCTCCTCAGACATCCAGTTCTGGAACAGCAGACAGTCTCTAGAGGGCCTGTCGGTGCGCTCCATCATATTTGGAGTGTTTCAGTCTCTGGTGGTGCTGCTGTACATACTGGACAATGAAACCAACTTTGTGGTTCAAGTCAGCGTCTTCATCGGCCTTCTTATTGACCTGTGGAAAATCACCAAGGTCATGGATGTCAAAGTAAGTCAGACTAAGTCTTTAATGGAGCTCAAACATACCTTTTGAATGTGTTTGTTACATTTTGTATTACACTGCAATGACTGTATATATTAACCACCTATGTATGTGTTTCTTCCAGTTGGACAGAGAGAACAAAATTGCAGGAATAGTGCCAAGATTGGTATTCAAAGATAAGTCAACATACGTGGAGTCCTCAACCAAAATCTATGACGATGTAAGTTCATGTAATACTCAATTTGAAACTTTTAAAATGGGCTTTTCCCAGAAGTTTAAAAACGTCTTTGAGTTATAAGTGAAGGTACAACAGTTCCTGTGATTGACTAAGTGTACTGTGGAGAATGGCAGGCCAAATACCCAGTTTGTGGACATGGATAAGATTCCACAGGATTATGTTAAAGTAGTAAAATGAGTAGTATTTCATTTATTCAAACTGTGTAAATTTATTATGTCTGATCATTCTTGTCTTTGTCTTATCTACAGATGGCCTTTAAGTATTTGTCGTGGCTGCTCTACCCTCTGTTTGGCTGCTATGCTGTCTACAGTTTACTGTATGTAGAGCACAAAGGCTGGTACTCGTGGGTACTCAGCATGCTCTATGGCTTCTTGTTAACCTTTGGTAAGTTTGACTTTTTTTTTTTTTTTTTTTTTATAACTTCATCCCGACAGTATCTGATGAATTCAACCCCTTTTCTTACTCATAGGTTCCACTGCGAGCGTATGTTGTACATTTTGTCAGTCTCTTCTGGAGCTGTTTTGTGTCTATTCTAGTCACTGCTTGTTTCACCACAGGAAGCGCATCTCAGCACCATCCCAGAAGCTCCATCCCCTGCTCAGCTAAAGAATTATACAGTCTATTTTTGATGGAGTTTGTCATGTAGAAAAGAAAAGCCTTTTGATGATAGATATATTTTTAACATCCATGGAACAGCCACATATCTGTCATCCAGGAGTTTTAGAAGCACAAAAGCCATAGAATAATGTTCAAATGAAATAAAAGTAAACCCAGAAGATATGTAACCTGTTTTTATCCTCAAACAGACCAGATGCTTCAGCGCTAGTGCTCCAAACTAGATTGGGCAGGGTGCAGGCTATCAGATGGAGCAAAACTGTGGTGCTAATGAAGCTTGACATTTGCTTCCTGTGATACCAAGACTTTAGAGTCACTCTTATCCCTCCTTCTTAGATCAGTTTCTATTTCATTGTCTAGATTTGACTCTCTTACTGACGTGTAGTGTATTCTTATTACATCAGTTTATTTTTGAAAGTCAGAGATGAGAAACCATTGTCTTTCTTCTTCAGCGATAGTTTGTGAATGTGTACAGATCTGACTAATGTTTTCATACCTGCATCATAGTGACATATCTAATTCTTAGTGGCTTCCTTTAATGTGCTGTGTTTTATTTGCTTGCACACACAGTTAATGCTGTTTGCTAATGTTCTGCCTCAGGGATGAAACTGTTTCTGTCACTCAATTCATGCCTGCCTTCTTCTGTCTGCTTTTTTTTCAGGCTTCATCACAATGACGCCGCAGCTCTTCATCAACTACAAAATGAAGTCTGTGGCCCACCTCCCATGGAGGATGCTCACATACAAGGCACTCAATACCTTTATTGATGACCTGTTTGCCTTTGTCATCAAGATGCCCATGATGTACAGGATAGGGTGCCTCAGAGATGGTATGTCTTCCTGCAGCTAAATGTAGATATCTTTATTTTTATGGGTTTACATGTTGCCTCCAAAAAATTTGACTAAACTCTTCCAACAAATTAAAAAAGGAGTCATTATGAACCCGAGCGCTTTGATAGCCTATCAGAGGCAGACGGGTATGACGATTTGATTCGCCACGACTCGAGAAATGATTGAAAAACTACAGAATGTTACAAAATGATGTATCCGCGCTCCTGGCTTGAAGGGTAGAAATAATCAGCTGCACCGCCGGCTCGGAAGGTTGAAATGCGTACACGCTTCTCCCAGCCTGAAGGGTTGAAATACGCACATGCACCCGGCTTTCCGAGTAGAAATGCGTACATGCTGTCCCGGTTTAAATGGGATAAATCACTTGGGCAAGATATCGGTTGATGAAATAATAGTGGACTTGAATTGACTTGCTCTCATCTCCTTTTTCAGATGTGGTGTTCTTCATCTACCTTTATCAGCGCTGGATCTACCGGGTGGATCCCAACAGAGTCAATGAATTTGGCACCAGTGGAGTCGACCACATCCAGGACAATAAAGCAGCGACAGATAGCGCTCCTGCTGCAGCCTCTGCAATCACAGACAAACCAGAGGGGGAGAAGAAGAACGATTAAGCGAGGTGATGCCCTCACCTGCCCTCACCCCCTGGATCTCACTGCCGGGGCAAAGAGGAGGGGGGTCATTTAGCTGTCACAGATGCCACAACGAAAAAAAAAAGAAAACAGGCAGTTCAACTGTTCCCTCTGATTTCTGTGCGGATCCACAAAGAATCATATTCAGTTCTAGACTTGGGTAAATTCTTGTTTCTGTTCCCTGCCCTCTCGTTATGCAGTGCAAGTGAAGTAAAACAAAACGTGATGTACTGTTTTCTGTATGATTTCTCTGAGGGTGAACATGTCTCGGAATGAAGGTTAGGAGGGAAACGGGTCGCAGTAACAACTTTTATTTTGACATACACGTACAGGGAATAATGAAACCAAGTGAGACTTTTGTTGCTTTTTTAGATTCCTTGTGATTTTTTCTTTTCATTCCATGTGAGCGCCATGTTTTCAGATTGTCTGGAAACAGGTGAGTAGTTCTGGAGAAAACTGGAAAGACATGGCGGATGTAGAAAAAGAGACGAGATGGAAGACCCTACAAAACACTACCCACAAGGGAGGAGAACTACCCTCAGTTTAAAACAAATGGTTAATGTTCTCTTGAACATAAAAAATAACAGCCTTGTTGGTATTAATATAAATATATTAATATTGTCAATGACTTATTTTTTGTTTTCCAGTCACAAACATTCTTTTGTATGTCCTCAAATTGTACAGATTCTCAGCTTGTCATGTTAATAATGCCAATGTCAGAACCGTCTAAAAGTAGCTAATTTACAAGTCTGACTTTTACTTTACCCCCCAGCCCAATGTTTGATTTTTCAAATTGTTTCACGCTCCAAACCAGATCACCTTGACAGACACAGTGGAGACAGACAGGTGTCAGGTATGTGCTGGAAGAATTACAGTCTCCTGTTTTAATTTTGAGTGCTGTTGGTTCCATGTTTGGTTCCATGTTGGTACATATTACATTTTGATTAATTCATGTTTATAGTAAAACTTAAGTGTGATTTAAAATGTTTATGCAAAGGTTTGTTGATTTTACTCTTCTTCTTTTTTTTATTCAAACATATTGATCTGGGTTTGGGACACAAAATGGTGCATTTAACTTATTAATGAACAGTTCCCTTTGTTGGATTGTTTTGAAAGAATACTGAGGAACAGCCATCACAATTTTTCCAGCACCAGGGGGGTTGACTTCAAACTACTAATATTTTTTAGATTTAAATGTTTAAATGTCAAAGATATACTTCTATTTAAATGGCTAAAACTAAAAAATCATGATTCTTTCTTTGAAAAATTAAGGCTTAAGATGCAGCAACATTAAATTCCCCAACCCATTATTTTACTGCAATGAAAGATGCATGTAGATTTGACAGATAATAAAGAGGTCAGACTAAAGTAAGATAGTTTAAATCAAAACACTGCAGGCAGCTGCTATAATGATAGATCAAATGAGCTGTTTGATTCATTTTTAAGACAATGTTTATTACAAATGATATACTGTTCCCTTTTTTTTTTTTACTTTACAGTGTTTTTTTACTCTTAGTTGCTGATATCCATTATTATTATTTTTTTTATTATTATTATTTATTTTTTTTTTTTTACAGTTGTAGATCTCTCTATTTAGTCCTGCTTGGCTGGGCTGCTGCTTCCTCTAAACGCTCAACTTTCGCTTTCCGTTTCCTTGAAATCGTTTCCCTTCTGTAGTACCAGCAGGTGTCGCTGCTGCGCTTCATAACACCGAGAAATAGATGGCGGTAAAACATTACAATACGTCACCTTTGGGGTCGGTTCCTAAACGTGCAGAGAGGCCATTGGTGTGCTGCTGGAGGTTATTAATATTCATGATTTGAGGAATTCCCAGTCTGACTCCAAAGTTTCTCGTGAGCAGGATCTGCAGCAGGATCATGATGCAACTTGAAGAAATACCTGACTGGTCAGATCCTGTTGCGGGGACAAAATTTGATTGGTTGTGGAAGCGTGTGTGTATATATAGATATGTGTGTGTGAGAGAGAGACTGCTTATGGTGTTCATCAAAAGACTGTACACCTGTGTTATATTTAGGTACTAAAGGTGGTGGGAAACATTTGATAAACAAATCGAGATATGGAAATACGATGTTGCTATAAAAGACCATTCATGCGACTGACTTTTAACCATAGACTGTTACATGCCTCTTTTATATGGTTATAACACACTGACTCTAAAAATTACATAATTAAAATCCGCATTTGTATACAAATAAGTGACTGCGCTAAAATAAGATAAACCGTCTTAATGTCAAGAATTACCCCATCTGTAAAGGTTTACCATAAGAGATTTTTTTTAAACATATGCATCGGACATAAATATCGTCCTGATTTTAATGATCTCTACCTCTTGAATCTTGATATCATAGATATATATAAGAAAGGCTAGATGACTCGGAGTGGAGTCACCGGCGTCCCTCCACGCCGGCCATCTTACTCCAGTATACCACTCTGGTACGCGCTATGATAGCTGACGGCAGGTGAGTAACCTGCATGATTTAAAGTACTCCTAACTCGCTGAAATCTTGATAGATTTACAGACAATTTTATTTATTACAGACCTCAATAACGTGGCTATGAGTGGGGATGCTTGGAAATATTAAAATGGCAGATTTTCTTTTAGAGAAAAAAGACTTTAATCATAAAGCACAGTTGTTTCACTGCTATTTGTGTGTAAGGGCTATGTTTGAGTCGAGTTGCGGGAGTTGTCAAGGAAGACCATTATCGAGATTTTAATTAATGACAGCCTATTCATTTATTGATTTAGTTATTTAGTTAGTTAGTCGAAGTGACAGTCTTTGTGGATGTGCTTGTGTTTATCAGCTGTCTAACTTGGTTAACAAACAAAGTTGACCAAGCAATTTGACATTAGTTGGAGAGGCAAAAATGCTCTTTTGGCTCAACATAATTTAAGTTGCACATGATTTCCAAGCCGTTTGGTTCGTAAAAAACATCTAAAATGGCAACATGAGGTAGAAAATAATATTGAAAATAAATATTAATATACGTTATTGCAATATGTTATTTTAGTAATCCCTATAATAGAAATGTTATCAGTAAAACATACATGAAACCCTTTGAAAATCGGTTCAAAATAGCAAACTATTTTTATTTTCAAGGTACATGCACCGTAGACTGTAACGTTATGAGTGGGAGAGTGTCCCGTAGCAAAATGGCCGCCAAGCGCGGACCATCTAGCCTTTCTTATATATTTCTATGCGGTACCTGCCGCTCAGAGAGGGGCGGGGCTCAGATAATAGTGACGAAATACAGAGGGGATTTCCACGCGTAGAAGCAGCCAATCAGAGCGGGGGTGCTGCCCGAAGCCAAAACTCGAAGCAAAGTCTTCCTCAGACATTCAAGACACGGCATTAAGAGAAGGAAAATGAGATACGAACAGAGCACCACTCTGTAGCCAGTAGAGTCTTTTACAAAGTTTGTTTCTGAACTTAAACTCCAAACATTACAACCAGAAACGACGACCGAAACCGGAAATTGTCTGTTTTGGATAAAAGTCCAGAGCACGACTACTAACTCTCGTAGTCGTGAAGGACTTTTTTTATGACATGAAAGACATGGAGCTCTTCAACGATACCTCTGGTAGGTTTAATATCTAGATATTTGTGTTCAAGTTGTCTGACATCATCGGCAGGCATGTGATTTACGAGAGAGCAGCCATCACCATCAGCCGTCACCGGAGAGAGAGCACGCCTCCTCCTCCAGAGCTTTGACCTGCAAACAAACCACAAAAGTCTCATTATACTCTATTTACTTTACTTTCTGTTTTCTCTGCAGACCGAGGGATGCTAAACTTTGGTGAGTAAAGGCTTTTCCTTCCAATAGATAATCATTTAAGAGGGCTCTGTAAAGAGTTATATCAAATTAAGGGAGAAGTGGACTTATTGATGTGTTTTCTGATGAGTCATTATGAACTGTAATGTCTCACAAAACCTCTGGGTGCTTTGGAGATCTGGAGGTGCAAAAACAAAAAAAATTATGAACAAATCAAAGAAAATATACATGTTTAAGAGTCTCTGAGCTCAACCTATTCATTTTGCCACATCCCAACTCTCTAAATTATCAGTTATTTGTAGCTGATTAAGAATTTTGCATAATTACGTGTTCAAAGCTCAACAGTGACAACAGGAAATACATTTGTCTTTTTGCCGGCAAAGTGTGAGACCCTCAAACCTCAACCACATGGTTAAATCAGCGCCACACTGTTATGTCTGGCAGTACCAGGTGTTATTACAAACTTACAGACTTCCTTGTTTTTCATGTTACACGTATTTTGTTTGTTATATGGTAATCAGTCATGGTTTAACAACAATAATGCACCTCTAGGTGTGCTGATACACAAGATAATGGACCTCGCAAAGTCAAAAACACATTCAAGTCCTGTTATTCAATTTGCTGAGGATAGGCTAAGTGTTATACTCTATAAGAGGTACAGAGTTTTTGAGTAGAACCACGAAATAAACACTCAGCATATTTTAGGAGGGAATCCATGCACTTGATGAGATTATACTAATCTCTACCTAGCTCTTAATTTATTCTGTACCTCTTTATTCACAGACCTCTTACAGGACTTCATTGCTGATTACCAGCCTACTCTACCTGGACCCCCTCCACCGCCTGCTGACCTCATTGACAATGGGGAGGTTCAACAGCCCAGGCTGGTACCGAGAGGAACAGCATGTCAGGTGAGCGGAATAACAATACCTCACTGGGTGTCTCTTATACTCATGTGATGTACCTGCGTAGTCATCTGTGTAGTCGTGGTTAAGGTGGTGTCTACCTCTGTAAGCGGTTTCCTATCTAAGAATCATGGTTTGCCACTCCTAGAAGATGGATGTGAAGGTTTCGTGGACAAATGAGCAAATGTATACAGTACATACACACAGTTTATAAAGATTACGATGTCGTACTGTCTCCCTTTGAGCCTTATATCAATATTAAAGTTTTATTAAATTGGAAAAGTTTTAGAAAAATCACAGAGTAATACGATATCATTTACTCAATCTTTCCAGTTACTTGAAAAGCACATGAGACAAAAATATCTGAAATTGTGACTCTCTGCTGCTCTCCTAACATCACTATTATACATTTTTGTATTGGTGGTCCATTTATTTACAGATTTACAGCAAATAGACACTGCATATGCATAGAATACGACTGTTTTTTTGTTTGATAAACCACAGTTCACCATCACCGAGGCTGCATATTCTAATCTAAAACAGTCTCTAGCTGATGTTTAACAGAAATTCAGTTATGGTATATAGAATAATGCAGTTTAATACCCTTTTTTACAGTAATGTCAGCCACATTCTGAGACCAGTCTCCTCACCTAATGTAGTTTAAATGACCTGATGAAAATGTAGTTTTCATAAGTTATATTAAGTACATCGAGAACATGTCAAGGCCTAAGATAAACATGCATACTGGGTTTTAATACACATAGAAGTTTTTGAAATATGTCATTTTAGCAGGACAGAAATAAAAAAAAATCTATATGGCGAGGTGTTTAATTTTTTTATGCAGAAAAAGACAATGGGATTTCACCATATAACTATAACAGCCAACAGCTATCCTGCTTTCCCATTATCTGCATTGGTCAATAGAGAAGTGACATAAGTTGACCCTAATCTACAATGACATATTGATATGAAAGTGAGCTCAAAACAACAAGAGGCAGTGGAAAGTTTGCCTATTTTGCTGCCTAAATATTAAAACTAATATGTAAAAAATCGCAGAGAGCTTCTTCTCAGTTATTACATAGGAACAGGTGGCTCAGCTCGGCCGTTTTGAAGCTGCAGTGTAGCACGCAGGTGATTGTTTTGTTGTTGTTCAGAGTCGCAGAGTCGCAGGCTTGGCTCTTACCATAAAGCACGTGGTTTACAGACAGTGGGCAGGGCTGAGGAGGTGTAATCTGATAAGGCTGCAGAGATGCTGCAGCTGGTGCACAGGGGTAATTCTCAACACACTAAGTCAGGCACACACAGACTACTGAAACTCCTTATTGTCTCTTTAGTTTGCATCAGGCAGCTGTGGATTAGGGAATAAGGAAATTTGTGTTCCGTGTAAGAAGCTGAAACACTTCCTCAGTATGTCTTTGTGCAGAAAGCTGCTGCTGAGAGAGAAGGAGGAGGGGTTGGAAGAACTGTAAGATGACTCCTACTTTCAGTTTGCCTTCCTTTCTGTTTACAAGCCAAACCCACAGAGGGTTGAAGGGGTCACATTCTTCGTCCTGTGCTGCAACTCCTCATTGGTCGGTCCACGTCACTTTGAGCCGACTTCCTGCTTCCTGCTCTCTGGCTCGGTTCTGCTAGGCTTTTGTTTAGCTCTGGTGCTTTCAAGGCTAACAGGTATGCTCGGCATGCTAGCAGAGGCATAAACAGGAGCTCTCTGTGGATCGGCAGGGTATAATGATGTCATGCTGATGCATCACCCCGCAGCTACGCTTTAATGAGATCCCAGCCTGATAAACAGGAATACAAGCTTGAGAAAGGATCTGTACCACTTAGTTACCTGCAGGTTTGTTCTTTAACTTGTACTTCAGATACTCTTTTTTTGCTTGAGATACTTTTTTCCACTCTCTTTGAAGCACATTTGAGACATTAAGGAGCAGATAGAGAAAGTGAAAAAGGAGACAGACGGTTAGTGGTGATAGAACCACTAGATGTTCTGTGGTGTAACGAACTAACAAGACATCACAGTGCAAGAGGGGGGTTGGAAGAGCGCATGGCTGACTCTGCACTGATACAAAGCACATGTATGAAGGGAAAAATATGAGTCAGTTTTCAGTGCTGCCGTGAAGCAGGATGATTCACCTACATTGTCCTCTTCTGTAATGGATGACAGACGTCCGCTCTTTCGCTCTGTGCTGTTTATGTCCAGTTAACATGTTTTTAAAGGCAGTGGCATTTCGTAAAGTTACCAAATGTTTTTCATATGTAAAATTTTCAGTGAATTTGTGAAAGAGCCAGTAGATGCAACTATCAGACAAACGTAGGGATGAAGATAACAGTGTGTCAGTGTCAGTGTTTTTCCCTGAGGCAATATGCAAAAAAACGAACTAAGCAGGCCGATGTTTTGACTTGGAGATCAGATAAAAGTAGGCTAATGTTGCAACTACTTTTAAATCTTTAAAGCCAATAAAAACGCCCATATCTCCAATCTGGTTTTAATGAAAGCACTGACAAGAAAGAGCATCCATTTGAATCAAATAATGGATCTAAAACTTGTGAACTCACTAATGTTGTTTTTTGTTATTGTTTTTTAACCTCTAGTTTGATAAAATGAAGGTTAGACAACGTTGTGTTTAAAGTCATGTTTTTTTTTCCACCTCCACAGCCACCCCGCTCCTTCCCCCAGCCTCTACCGCAGTCGTGCTCCTCGAGAAGAATGGCTCACTCCTCCAGAGGATCCAGCTACCCTGCAACAGGGTCGAGGAGCTCCCCTAGCCTTTCTTCTCAGAACAGCGGCAACGACACCGAGATGCTGGAACGGATTCTAGACAAACCCAAACTGGTGGTTGTGGAGGAGCCGAAAGAGAGAGGCATGAGGTTTCGATATGAGTGTGAGGGCCGCTCGGCCGGCAGCATCCTGGGGACATCTAGCACTGAAAGCAACAAAACTCAGCCTGCTATAGAGGTAAACACCTTATGGTTTAGGGGATTATTGTCTCTAAGAGACGGTTGGAGTGGGATTTAACCACAGTTCCGTGTGTTTGCAGTCTACTCTTTAACCCCACCATGTCAACCAGTGAGGGCGGGTTGATTGTGTGGGTTGTTAGTGTGAGTAAGAAAGTACCCACGAATCCAGGCTCAAATGTGGTCAAAGACGAGGCGGATTCCCCCTATCTGCAGAACAACTAACACACCCACACAGTCACATGAACCTATTTACCCCCAACAAACACAACAAGGCCAATGCTTCAGGCTTGTAGGGATTCTTTTGGTTTCAAATCGTGAAATTTAATTAAACTCTTGCACAGGATTTAGATTTATGTCATTTTTTGGCATTTTTGGATTCTACCTCGACTCCCATCTGTGTTTTAATTGATGAAACCTGTTGACAGGGCATAAGAAATATGAGAAAAACAGTTTTCTAAACCAGAATATGGACTCACTATCCTTATTTAACAGCAATTAATCCCAGGTCTTTAGTTCAGTAAAGAGTTAAAATGGAAGTTCAAGATATCATTTTTCATTTCATTGTCTAACAGTTCATACAAATGTGGATAAACCTTCAGTTTGCAACAGTTGAATAAACTGCTCACCTTATTTTGATACAGAGGAAGGTGAAGGAGAGGACACAGTTGGCACAGTTATGACTCCCTTGTGTTTTTTTATTTTATTTTGTATACTTCCTGCAGTAAAATCTCCAGTTCAGTTCTGTTGAAGTAATTTGCTATCAGTGAATGAGGCTCATTGTTGTTAATGACTCTGTTTTCTCTCTTCTCTGACAGATTCAGGGCCCCATTGAACACATAAAGAGGGTCACAGTCACCGCTTCCCTGGTTACCAAAGACCCCCCACACAGGCCTCACCCGCATTGTCTTGTTGGTAAAGACTGTCCCAATACTTCTGGTATTTGTGTGGTCACACTTAATCCACACAGCAGCCGATGTCACAGGTACGAATCCATCTCTGAGTTCTTTAGTTTTTAACAGATGACATTTCTCATTTATACAGATGTTCTTGTTTTTGCATCTTTTTCTATTTTGTGCTGTTTTTAAAAACTTTCATTTCGTCTTTACAGCTTTTCTAACCTTGGTATTCAGTGTGTGAAGAGGAAAGACCTCGACTCTTCACTGGAAAAAAGAAGAAGCCTAAATATTGATCCCTTTCAAAGTAAAATGACCTCAACACATATTCAGATATCATCCATCGCTACATGTTTACATCTGATTATTAAAGCTGCTCTGTTTCTTTCCTCAGCTGGTCACTCAAAGGGCATTGAGGACATGGATATGAATGCTGTCCGTTTGTGTTTTGAGTGTGAGCTTGAGTGGGATGACGGCAGAAAGGACAGTCTGAGCCCAGTGATTTCAAATCCCATCTATGACAAGAGTAAGACATTGCTAAACACAAGCCTGTGTCCTTTTTACCACAGTATGACTGACAGGAAGAATAATGTGATCACCGATTGTTTCCTTGTTTTTTTTCCCACAGAGGCCACAACTACATCACAGCTGAAAATTTCCTGTTTAAACATCTACAGAGGCCCCTGTACTGGCAAGACAGAGATCTACATGTTGTGTGACAAGGTGCAGAAAGGTATGAGGAAGACTCACAGCAGAGTGAAGGTTTCAGCTCAGGTTGATTCACTGTGTTTTGCATGTTTTCTGATCTGTTTTCATGATTTTACAGATGACATAGAGATCATCTTCAGGAGAGGGTCCTGGAAGGCCAGTGGGGAGTTTGCACAGACGGACGTCCACCGGCAGATTGCTATCGTGTTTAAGACTCCCCCCTATCAAGACCAAGACATCGTGGAGGAGGTCGAAGTCAGTGTGGCTCTTCGCCGCCTCTCAGACCAGATGGAGAGTGAGCCTGTTTCCTTCACGTACCTGCCATACAACCCAGGTGAGGGCAGACTTCACGGAGCTAGGACATTCTGCCTGTAGGTTTTCCTGTTTGTCAGTTTGTAAGGAGAATGGTGGAAATATTTCTGTTCATGTTTCAGATCCATATGAGGTGAACCGAAAGAGAAAAATCAAGCCAGATGTCAACTTCAGAGAGAAATCTTGTGCAACAGGTGAGAACAAAACAATGACCTTGTAGAGGCACATCTGAGCTCCACTGTCCCAGGGTGTTATTTTTACTGTCAGACCACTGGACTACATGTTTTTTTTTTTTAAAGCAGGCCTTTCTTGGATTAAATAGCTCAAGAATAACTTTTCACATTTACAAGATTTACAAAACACTCCAGCTTTTGCCCTTTGTCCCAAAGACAGTAACCTCACTATGCTGTAATTCTTGCTCTTGGAAATCTTGGTGATAATTCACATGAACCCACCTCTAAAAATGCCTCACAGGCACATTTATAAAGCCTGAAAAATGCATCAAAAAAGGCTTTATAAAAATGCTTATAAGTATTTGTAAGCATTCATGACAACAGATAATGCTTATTATCACTCATACTATGACATTTTCAGCATACTGTACGATGACAATTTTATCATATTTAACTGACATTTTTATCATATTAAACTATGACAATTTTTTATCATACTGTACTATGACACTTTCGTCGTACTATACTATGACATTTATATCATACTATACAATGATATTTTTTATCATACTATACTATGACATATATTATGATCTTTTTTACATACTGTAGTATAACATTTTTATCATACTATACAATGATATTTTTTACCTTACTATACTGTGACATTTTTATCATACTTTACTATGACATTTTTATCATACTTTAATTTTTATCATACTATACTATGAAATTTTTTATGATACATAACTATGATTTTTTTTAACATACTATTCTATGACCTTTTTATCATACTATACTATGATATTTTTATCAAACTTAACTTTGATTTTTTTACATACTGTATTATAACATTTTTTATCATACTATACTATGATATTTCTTACCTTACTATACTATGACATTTTTATCATACCTAACTCAAATTTTTTTGATCATACTGTACTAGGATATTTTTATCAAACTTAACTTAGATTTTTTTTAAACATATTATACTATATCTTTTACCTAACTATACTATGACATTTTTATCATGCTATAATTTTTTTATCATACTATACTTTGACATTTTTATCATACTATACTATGATATTTTGTGATTTTTTTATCATACTTTAGTATAATATTTTTATCATACATAACTATGATTTTTTTTAAAACACTATCCAATGACATTTTTATCATACTATACTATGATATTTTTATCAAACTTAACTTTGATTTTTTACATACTATATGATCTTTTTACATACTGTATTATAACATTTTTATCATACTATACTATGATATTTCTTACCTTACTATACAATGACATTTTTACCATACTATACTATGACATTTTTTTTATCATTCTATACATGATATTTTTAACAAACTATACTATTATATTTTTATCATACTCTACTATGACATTTTAATCATACTTTACTATGATGTTTTTATCATACTTAACTCGTTGTTATTTAGCCTAATGGATGCATTTATCAGGCTATTAAATGTGTTTAGGAAGCATTTTAATAGGTTTATTTATATAAAGTGTAAAGCAGTGAGGATCAGAGGTCTATTATTTAATTTCTGTTCGGTTTATTATTTCCTCATAACTCTTGTCTGTTTTCTCCTCACAGCAGAAAGTGCCCCTGCAGTAGAGTCGCCATTGGTCTTCCCACAGCCTCAAACCATGACGTCTACAGATGATCTGCACTGTGCTGCCCAGCCTGGAGTTGCTCCTTCAGCGGAAATGTGTTTCCCAGGGACTCAAGATTCCAACAGTGACTTGGACTCTTTGGCCATCGTGACTGAGCTGCTAGAAAATCCTGCCTACATGAGAATATTTGACCAGCTAAACCTCAACCCCACCTTGCTCTCTGGCTCTGAGCAGATGCTTGATGTCAACGCCATGACCTCCAACATGGATGTGAACTTTAACCAGAGTTATGGTTCATACCATCCGGACTTCTCCCATTTCAGCGACTTGCAGTTTAGCGCGCTTTTCAATGAAAGCCAGACTCAGCAGACAGATGCACAGGACACCTCGGCAAACGTTGTTCAGGTGAAGACGGAAGATGAGTCCTGTTGTCAGCCTGAAGCTCCATCTGGGAGGCCACTCAGTTAGCCAGCTGCTAGCTTCAACAAAAAAATATGAAAAAGGCCTGAATTTCCTTAGAACACTGCAGTTAATCCAATAAACCTTGTCCCAGTCCCCTTCTGGATTCAGAGCCAGACAAGGTTTTTGTCCCATGTCCAATACAAAGCTAGAAACCCCCTTTTTTTTCTTGTGTAAAATGGTTTTAGACCAATAGGGCATCAGGACTCTGCTCTGTTGCCCTCTTACTAACCCAAAATCTTAATCATCGTCTGCATGTCTTGCTGGTCAAGGCTATAGCCAGAAGGATTAGGTTGACAATAGTAAATATGAGTTGTTAAAAGCTGCTAGCATTAGCTTTAAAGCCTAAAATTAGCAGAAGGCAGTAATCGCGGTCAGTGTGAGGCTTTAAAAGAGAAGTCATGGACCTTTTTAAATAGGGAACACAAGAGCTGTTGCTGTCTTAATAATAAACCATTAGACTGAAATGGGAGACCTGTTTGTGTATGCTCAGTTTTATTTGTTTCAGCACTGCTCAGGGGAAGCAAACTCACTTCCTATGGGAACTTGTCTGTGGCGTGAATGTATTCAAAACTCTGAAGGACAAAGTTTCATGTTTGCTTTTTCACTGTTCCTTTTTGTTATGACTCTGTTAGTGTTGCTGTCGCTCCAGCCAGCTTGTTTAATATTTAATCCCCACTTTTATGTGACTGAAACCTGCTCAGGCTCATAGCTTTGTCTGTGTCATTACCTGATGTTCGTAGCTTCACTCAGACTAAACTTAGGATTCAGTTTTTAGCCTCTTACAAGTACAACTCTGCTCCCTCACCACAGCACTGTTCTGTCCAGATTTTACAAAAGAAAAAATAAAATCAGTCTGTGTTATTATGGTCTTGGTCTTCCTTCCTCTGAAACCAGCTGCTGTTTTTGTCATGATTAGTGAGTCATAAAAAAAAACCAAAAAGACTGCAGTGACAGTAAAAAAGGAAGACGTCACCTCGCAGTGTGACCTTTCTTCAGCCTCTTGCTCACATGCATTCTTCATCTGCAGGCTCATTTAATGTTGGCAACAACAACACTTTTTACATGAGAACTGCAAACGTCAGCACCATCATTAGACAAACGAGTTATGCCATTTCCAGTTTTCTGACACCTTGTCTGGTTTGTTTAGTTTCGGCCTTTTTCTCCTCACACACCAAACCCTTTGTATTCCTAGATACTTGACTGTCACATTTTACCCAATCTCTACTTCTCCTTCTGGTTTTTGCGGTCACTGCGAAGTCTTGATGATTCCATGCTTACATGACGGGAAACTTACACCAGAAATTTTTATAGATTGAGACATAATGGGGAAGATCAAATTGGGATCAAACCTTCACGTAAAAAGGTCATTGTTGGGTTTTTTTTAATAACCTGTTGAGTCACACTCACATTTTTTTCCCCATTTTGTTTTTTACATTTGCAGAGGAATTTAACCTACATGATTAATTTTAGGTTTATCTATATCTTAAACAAAAGGCAGAACTTTTTTCTGGCTGGACTAATTATCGAAGTTTAATCTAGTCCCATATAGACCTACATTCATAGACCTGTTTCATTAAGCAGAACAACAAACAATGACCAGAGCCTCCCTGCCCATCTGTGCACCTGGTTACCGCCTGCTGTTGCTGTGGGTGTTAGTTACAACAGGCTCGTCACTGTTGACTTGACCTGAGCTGCTTTCAACAACTGGGAAACTCCACGCTGGGCTCGGGTCCAAGAGCTTTTATCTAGTGTACACACAGAGACAGACATTATTTCCTGTAAAATGGGGCTATTATTGCTCTTTGGTGAAACTTGTCAGGACATGTCTTCAGACTTAGTTCTTTCAAATGGTCATGGTTTTGACAAAAGGAGGGAAGACAGTTCATTATCAGGAGTGATTTAGTCGCCATCTCGCTCCACTGTGGCACAGAACAGACAAACTGGCACACACAGGCATGAGCAGTTATTGTAAAGCTTGAATATTTTGCTTTTCCAGGAGCTTCTTGTCCTCAAAAACCCCAACATATTGATTAAAATATCCATTTCTATATACTGTATCTCTGAGGAAAGTGTTTTGGAGAAGTATTTATTCACCTGTTCATTCTCCATGGACGATTAAAAGTTGAGTATCACTGTTGTTTTTCATTTCTTTTATGAAACTGGACACAGTAACTGCTTTGCTCAGCATAGATTAGGAAAAAGGGGAACCGCTAGCATTGTCTAATAAACCTGACTAAGCTTTTTAACACTCATGTGCCATAACCAAAAGATTTTTTATAACTATTGGAAAGACCCAGGCCTAAGTTCAGTATCGATATTCTCACCACACTCCCGGGGAAACTGAAGTTATCAAATATTGAACCATTCCTTTGAAGGGATGGTTTATGACCTGCTATAAAAATTATGTTTACAAGCATTACAGCAACGAGAGCGATAATCTCGATCAAAAGAGTCGACTCATAAGTTAGGCAATAAAGGAATGATCTCTATGAGACTAAATGGTCACATGAAGATGAAGTTTTAAAGGACAAGCCCGCTGACTATTGTATTTCAGGAGCTGTATTCTCAATTATTCGCCAGTATTTGGACTTTTGCACAAATGCACCTGAAAAAGGCTCAAACAAGAAGATGGAAGTGAAAAAAAAGGCCTAATTATTTAGAAACGTTTGTTATTAGGTAAAGGAGACCCCTCATCCCCTTGTTATCATATCAGACCAGGGTGTTTTTCGAATGTGACAAACTGTAGTTTCAGGTCTGGGATTGCAGAGGTGTTTGTGGGTTTGGGTCTCTGGGGAATAACTGAGTAGAGTGGTTGAGTCATGTGTGGTGGAAAATAATCAAATATGGTGATGTTTGTGATGATGAAGAAGAAGAAGGGGAGGTGGAGTGATATAACTGGAGGGTAGCCTAAATTATATTTAGCCGTTTTGCCCTCAGAAAGGCGAGGTCTGCCTTTCTGTGTTGTGTCAAATATGAAGTCATACCAGCTTTCCATTTGCACAGGGGCTTTCACTGAAGACACACCCACTCAATCGGGCGTTACGGCTCTAGATCAAGCTCTTCCTGATGAAAGACCCACATTCACAGTGAGTCACAGAAAGGGTATGGAAAATATGATGACTGAAAACGCAGAGTTTTCAGATAAATAGACCCCAAAAATAATATTTTTGATCAATTAAGCAAATGAAATGTAAGAAATATTGAAATATTCCTTTTATATTCTGCCATACACATTAAACAGAGGATAGGTTATTCTTTATTACAGGTACAACACAGTATAATTAATTCCTAATCTACAAGACTGACAAACACTGCAAGTATGTGAATAGTCTGCTAACAGGGAGCTCATTTTACAGACCTGAACTTTTCTAAAAGAGAATTAAGAAGCTGAGAAAATACTAAGGTTAACAGGTTCCACAAATAAATTTGACTTTAGAGGTCTAGAAGTCCCTTAAAATAATAAAAAGTGTCTCCTTGCCTTTATGTATCTTAGTCATCTCCCAGCCTTGTAATCCTGAGATTGTGGAGAAGCCTCATTTGTTTTGCCCACTCACCGAGAAACACACCTTCTACGAGACAATCTGAATCACGTCCTGTGGTGATGTAATGACAGGATTGAAGCGTGCATACACAACTATTCTCACCCCCACCTCTCAGTTTTGCAGAGTTGAGATATCAAGAGTGAGTGCAAGACAGGCCAACGGTGAAAACCAACACAAGTATCTCTCAGAGGACCAAGTTAAAAACAGTGTTGATATTTTTTTTACTGTTTGTTCGCTCTCTACAACCTATTTATTCAGGTCATCCTCTGGTTCAAAGTGGAGTATGTGAACAATTGAGCAGTCAGGCTAGTTTAGGCCAGTTTGAGTCTGACTGAGGTGTATTAATTTAAGAGAAATTAACCCCAACTGCATCATTTAGGTACAGTGTGTGTGAGCCTGACTATAAGAAATCTGATTTAGTGCAATAAGTCCATTTTCAGTCAGACTAAATCTTATTTTTCTGATCCACACAATAGGATTTTTATCATCACGTTGTAATCCAACAACTGTTTGTGACAGTATCAAAACTCTAGAGGTAGAAACTTACAGTTAGGGCTTGCTCTGTCTGTTTTGGTGATTTCCCGCCTCTGCGCTGGTCTGCACTCTTCCTCCTCAGACAACATTCAGGCAGCCAATCAGAGCAGCCCCTCAGCAGGAAAATCCATGACGATTTTTGCAATCGAAATTCAAAACCTTGCCCAATAGACAGTATGTTGTAATCAGCAAGTAAACTGATATGGGAACTTTAAACAGAAAACTGGAGCTCAGGTGCTTGACTGAGTAAACACTGACTGTGACTTACAGTAAATTATGGGAACAGGTAGAAATGAGAAGAAAAGATCATGTAAGGGAAACGCTCTCATTGAAAAGATCAGACAGAAGGATGTTACAGTCATTTAACTATAGAGAGCAGCTTCATATTCACTAATCCTGATACTGACCGATATTCACACCCTAATTTCATAAACAACAAAAACAGGTCTACCATCAGTAACTATAATCGCCTCTGCTCATGAGGGCAGTCAAGTGTGATCAGTTGGATGTTTATCAAATCTTTTCTCAAGATATCAGTGAACCTGTTTGTGAAAGGGTAATTCCACTATGTGGCTGTGAAAGGCATGAATCTTTGTGTTTACAGACACCTTGTATGGTTATTCTCTCCTCTGTTGCCAGGTTACAACACCCACGGGAGTCCCCGGCTCACTTTTAGAAAGCCGCAAACCACAGACGCACTCTACATGCAACTGACACGGATCAAAACGTTCAGGAAGTGTTGAAAATGAAACCAGGTGATAAACGGCTATTTTGTGTTTTCATAAATCCCCCTGTCTCTTTTTCCACTCATCGACACAGGCCCATAATAGGGAACCACAGCTATATATGGGCAGGTATCTAGTCTCTTAAAATGACGTTTTTGCCAGTAGTTATTCATTTTGACCAAGGAAATGTTGAGAAAACACAATATCTGTATCAGTTTCTTTACTTACTTTCATATTCACTTATCTAAAAAAAAAAAAAAGCAAGACAAAGACTGATTACAGGCACTTCTTCCACCTGCCAGAGAAGATAAGGAGTGCAGAGACAGTCACTTCTTGTTAGTCAAATTTAAAAACTCACTTTTACAGACTTGCTTTTATGTGATGCCGTCTTATCTTATTTCAACTTACTATCTTTTTAGCCTTTGTTTTACTTACAATCTTTTCCTATTTAACCTAATAGGCCTCTTATTGATTTTATTGTTTTTTCCTGCTCATTTTTGTTTACATATTTTTCATATCATTACCATCATTATTATTTTGTTATGACTTGATTATCATTATTAATATCGTCTTTATATATTTATGATCCTGTTTCCTGCTTTCTACCCCCTTTATTATTACTTTTTTTTCATTTTTTTTTTTCAAATAAAATTGGCCTTCAATTCTGATGCCTTGTTTTTAACTGAGCTTTTGTTTTTTACTTATTTTTATTTCCATGTGCTGATGTTCTGTGCTTAACGACTGTTTGTCAAATTAATTTGTAAACTTCTGTTTTTAAAAGTGCTATAAAAATACCGTTATTATTATTATTAGTATTAAAAATAAAGTTATTATTATCTCTTAATTATGTTAACATCGTAGCACACTAATGTGTAAAACAAATATGTTTAAAATATCTGCAAACTTGTATCATATTTATTTTAAGAAAATTAATTAGAGACATAAACTGAAGTTTCTCTGATTTTCTTACACACTAATGTATACATGAATTATTGTATGCAGGATCTATCATAGCTGTCAGAAAAACTCTACGCAAGCATGGAGAAGACAAGAACAGCACAGACTGCTTTGTCCACAGGGGGGCGCCAAGACTGACACAAATCAAATGTTCCTCACAGTAGCTTTAATCAGCCTATTGCATTTCAGTTCACTGACATATATCAAGTGCATCAGTCCAGTAATGTGTGATAATTTTCAGATCTGACACAAAATTACTGCAGCAAAGTAAAATCCAGCAAATATGGCAGAGATTACAAAGAACAGAAATAAAGTGACACTTGGTAGCGTTGACCAGCTGGTTACTGCCTTACTTACAGTACATGTAGAGGTAATTATGAGCTTCAGTCTGGGTGTGTTTGAGTTCCAGTATAGGTTTTGAGAATACTTTCACTATCACAGACATATTTCCCAAGAAGCAAAGCTCTTGCAAATAGGTATGCAAACTGTAACCAACAGTTTTAGTAACATTATTTAAAGTTGTTTTTTCACTTTAATTTTTACGACAGTGTCTGACCATGCTCACATTTTCAGCCCCTCACTTTGGCCCTGTGGTGACCGTGACTCTAACCTTACCTGTGGATGTTGGCTGAATGGTTGTTACCATAATCAGTTCTCGTATTGAGAGCTGCTGAATAAGCTTTCCCACTTGATGACCTGTCTTGACATGTAAAGTCAGTGTGGTCAGAATGAGAGTGGATTGTGGAAGTGCATACCATTGCCTCATTTTCATGATGAGCTTAACACTCAAACTACTAAGGCGGTCATTTTGACTGCTTTCGAAATTTACTAAGTCATACCTTTTTAAAAAATAAAACATACACCAGTCGCATGCTGACTTTTCCTAAATGTGTGTATATTTTATTCTAATATTGTTTTATCATTAAATTTTCAAAACAGAAAAGAGATCTGATCTGACTACCTCAAATGACCAAAGCAGTCAAATTAACAGCATGCTTTTTACAAAGGGTGTTATAGACAAAGGGTCTTTCTCCTGACCCATTGGATTAGCAAGTTCAGTTAATGATGTGTCTTTGTATTTTGAGGAAGGTTTTTGGAAATCTCATTTATTATAATTTTCATTTTGTGTACTGATGTGTTTTGTATCTATTCCACCAATTTATTATTAGTTTGATTATCCAAATGATATACAAATAAAGACTGAGCAGTGGAAATGACTGCTATGGTCATTCTTGTTGTTGCAGAATTTTGGTAGACTGAGTGCATGCCATATTGTTTTGCCATTTAAGGAAATATAAGATGCCTTTTTGTGTCCAAGTGAAACACTTTTTATATGCTGACCCCAACGTTTCAAATTCTGCACTGTGAGGGGAAGGAGCTTTTAGACTTGCATTAAATTTGCAACAGTGAACTACAGTATAAAAAGTTACAGTGCTAGGATACTCTGCTGATCTCTACACAGATCTTTTTTTTATGCCGCAGTTGAAAACAATTTATACATTTTGATGTAGCAGACTATCTTAAGTAAAACCAATTAAAGCCAGCAGAACTTTAAAAAAAAAGACTATTTAAAAGGTAACAGAGAATACAAAGTGCACTCTTTGTTTTAATAAAATGTGATTATGAAAGATTTTTTTCAAGTTGTGTTGCAAACTTTGTCTGCAACTTGAATCCCTCACAGCATTTGGCTCCATCTGCTGGTGTAACACACACATACAGTACTTATCTCACAGTTATTGTACTGTACCAAAAGACAGAATTAAAACAAATACTCAGCATCTACTCGTGACACTACAGGAAGAGCGCTTATTGCTTTTCTTTAAAGCTGATAAAAGCTTAGTACAACAGTAAGCATTTAGTTATCAAGGAGTGGAAGCAAATTACATTTTCTTTAAGTTGAGAGTAATTAAAATGTTGTTATAAAACTGCATTTGAAGGTTGGTGAATGTGCAACGCTTTCAGATATGGAGATTTGTGCTTCTTGTCTATCTGAAGAAATAAAATAAACATTTATTTCTTGTAAACTAAGAAGGGTAATGGTTGAGCTTTCCATAAATCACATAAACAGACTCTTTAAAGTGACAATATTACAACAGATCATTTTCTTTTAACACTTAAAAATTTGGAGTAAAACATGTTACTGCGTTATCTTTAGAGGGACTGGTAGATAAAATTATGGTTCGGATTTTTAGTCAATCCTGTGAGAAGATAAATTAAATAAGTAGCTACACAAATTATGATACACAGATGACCACAAATAAAGTTTTATAGGAAAGACATATTTTATTTCTTTAGATATCCCGAGACTTCAGGTGATCAGAGAATATTTACACTGGTGGACTCTTCTTCTTGGATCACTATAATGTCTTCATGTGGATCTTGATAGTAGGGAAAATAAATTAAACATCACTCCAGCATTACCTCTGGATTGGGACTCCTGATGACATACTGGTCAAAGGGCAGTAAGTTCTCTCAGATGCACTCAAAATGTGACTGGAGATCATGCCAGTTCAACCTACATCATTTTTCAGTCTTAGAAGCATCCTATTGTTTTGCAGAAACTGTTCAGATCTTCACTTCTTCTCTGTCAGGTGTGGCTCTAAGAGTTTTTGGATGCGCAGCTCCTCCACTAACTTGTCCACACAGGCTTCAAATAGTGGCTCGGGCTCCTGAGAGACAGAAGAAAACAAAGTCAGCCCCCACAGGACAGCTTCATCACAGACTGGACAGAGTTATCTTCCAGTCTGTCTTTTCTTAGGAATTCTTTGTCGTAAATCTTGTGGCCTTCATTCCAGGAGCAGAAGCGTTACCTCACACTTCAACTTCAGGGTTTTCTTACCTTGTGCTCGAGCTGCCTCTGTTTTTCCACAGCCTCCACCAGATTCAGACCTACCCACTCTGCCTCCTCCTCTGGAATCTCAAACTGCTGCTCAGAGAAAGAAAATATTTGTGAATTCTTGTCTTTTGTTGCATCTTGTGCAAAAAATCTCTCTCATCCAAACACCTTTAAGAACTTTCTCTGAACATATCCCTCCTACCTTATATTTTTCATAGACCTTCTCCTTCTTCACTGGGTCGTCTGGGTAGAGCTCTGTGTCTTTGCGTGCCAGACGAAGCAGCATGGCCCTCTTCAGGTCCATCCCCAGCTTGGAGTTCAGGTCTTCCTTTGGTGTCTGATAGGGGATGGAAGAAAGCTGGATTATAAGAGCCATATAAAAAGTAATACGCGAATGTCATTTTGAGACAGAGAAAGTATCTTCTTACTTTGAGAATGTAGAAGTCGAATCCATAGGCAGCATCGATTAGGTCCAGAGTGCGCCCTGTGACTGTGATAGTGAACTTGTGGTTGAGGATCTCGCTGTACAACTCCCTCTTTAAAAGCTGTGGCTTCCAGGTCTTCTTCAGACGAGTGGACAGCTACGGAAAAAGATAAAGAAGAAGACTGAGAAAAGTTAAATTAGAAAAATGGGGGCACATGTTGACCAAAACCATACAATTGAAAATATTTAATAATAGAATTTTTGTGATATTACTTAGGTCCAGGATTAAAGGGATATTCTGGTGTAAAATTAATTTAGGGTTAAACACACTGTAACACAGAGTTAGACACCCCGTCAAGAGATTCTCTAGTTATACCAACTTAAGTAACGTGATAGCAGTACACCGCGGTCTGAGGAGCCACACACAAACCTAGAGTGGCGTTTTGGTCAACCAAAACGCCACTCTAGGTTTGTGTGTGGCTCCTCAGACCGCGGTGTATTGCTATCACGTTACTTAAGTTGGTATAACTAGAGAAGCAAATGATCAGCAACATTAATCTCTCGACGGGGTGTCTAACTCGGTGTTACGGAATATCCCTTTAAGTCTTCAAAAGAAATCATGAACTTGCTGCTTACAGGATTGAAAACATGCCTCATAATCAGTGATACTTTGCCTTCAGTTTGATTTCTGATTGATCAAAAGAAAACGTTTTTGGACATGCACACCCTGCACCTTGTTTGGTCTGATCGCAGAGAACCAACAGGAAACTAAAGGAAGAAAATCCTCTTCTCCTTCACTCACTTTGTCGTTCTTGGCGTATCTGTAGCCTGATACCCAGCCCTCTCCTCCCCACAGCCCATCTTGAGAAACTGGGGGGTAATAGATGGGAATGGGGACATCCTGCACCCTCTCCTTGTGTCCTGTTTGTGGGTTTGCTCGATACTGGACCCCTAAAGGCCTCCAGTGGACCGGCGTGGGTTCTTTCTGTTCCAGGGACTTGAGGTAGTGCTTAGGCAGACGGGCGTAGATCCCCTGTTTCATCCTTAGGGCTTCCCAGACTTTAGGAGGATATTTAAAAAGAGGCATGATGGTCTTTCTTTAAAGTCAACCTGAGGAGAGAATGAGAAAATGAAACATAACTGTAAATTAGAAGATGTTTATCAAAATAATCCTTTTTATTACATGGATATTCATTGACGGTCACAGATGAGTTTCTTCAATAACCATGCTAGTTAGCATGTTGCTAACAAACAAGCCGACAGCAGAGTTTATAGACAAAGTATTTCAGAAACATAACGTCTGCGAGTTTGATACAGGTGTACGACTGTTTTTAAAGTCTCTCTTACCAGGTAATAAGAAAATAATTGTGCAACACCAATTACAGACTCGGTTTTTAATCCCACGTTCACCCAGAATCAAACCAGCAAGGACATCACGCATCCTTTAGCGCACAGACGGACTTCCGGTTGATTCGACCCGCCTACAACGATGAGAAAGATAATTGGCCGGCAGATGCCGTCAATCATTATTTTTTCCGGTTCCAGTGAGTGTAGTTTTAATTTTTGTAGAGTTTACTTATTTAGGCTCTAGTTTAGTACAAGTAAAAGTTATTTTTCGCATACATTTTCGCAAGTATGTGCAGATGTAAACAGAGTAAAAATGTTCATATTTTCACAAAGATTTTAATGAATTCTTCAGTTCAAAAGCTTTAAAAACGGGCCAACGTCTGGCTGTGGGTCCGTTTTTGCTATGGCAACCACGTAATGAAATAAATAGTAAAACACCGTAAAATAAAACAAATGAATAAAATTTATCCGCTAACTTTAGAGTAAAAATCAACAGATACAGAGAACTTTAATCAAAATAAAGTGGAATAAAAGAAACGAATTTACCCTTTAAATAGAATATGTCAAATAAAGCCCAGGTTCTCAAAATGAGCTTTAACACAGAAGCTTTACCTGATGACTTATCAAGTAAATCGAGGCTCTTTGCTTCAACTTCATATGACGATTACTGTCCACAGTATGAGTCCACAGTATTCTGTAATATTTGTGGGATAAATAAACGAGGTTTTACAGACAAAACCTTTCTCTTTTGTAGCCTAATTTCCGAGTTTTCATACTGGGATCCGAGATGGAGCAAAAAAAAAAAAACAATAACAACAAAAACAAAAACAAATAAAAACAGAAAAAGTAAGTGAGAAAATGCAAAAAGAATAAAGTAAGTCGCGAAGAAAATTAAAGCTTTTAAATAAGGACTTTTATTTTGAAGCTCATGGGCAAATCTTTGACAGGAAGTAGATTCAGGCTTGGTCAGGTGATCGTTGATGGAAAAAAAAGGATGAAAACAATGCGCAATAAAAGTACAACAGTACAGCATTTGTGAAGCGGCTAACATTTTACCGTACTGTCTTCAAACACATTTACCTTTTCCAACCAATAGTCCCAGCATGTTTACTTGGTGATTTGAGGATAGATATATTGCATTGCATCTTTGGTACTATTAACCTTGACGACAAGTACAGTCGCCCGAAAGGTGGAATTGAACCACTCTGCCGCTAGGCAGCTACAGGTTTGAAGCCTGCACCCCAGACCACTGAGGCTCATCCGGGCATTTGAAAGAAGGGAGATGGGGCACATATATACTTGGAATAAATAAGGTTATTCTCAGTAATGGTGTTACCGAGTTGGCCTAACGTCAAGTTGTTTTGGCCGGAAAAAGGTTGTATCGATTTAGTACAATCAAATGATGAACATAATTTTATATATTTTGTCCTTAAAAGGCACTAAAAGTGAAACATTGCCATCTCGCTGCTGTATTGTGAAACAAAGGAACACTGTGATTGGCTGTTTGAAAAATGAAAACATGGAGCTGCTGTACGTCATCGCAGGTAAGAGACTGTTCATAACAATGATAACACACACTTGTGGGTACGTGACAGAAGGAAAGGCATGGAGTAATTCTTTATAGTTATAAAAAACACCTACTGTTGGTGGATATGTTTGCCTTTACACATTATCACTGCATTAATCAATAACGACTTTAAATGTCTGTCGTGACAACTGAACGACTCCTCCCACTATTCCATTAAACTCTCACCTTTTCATATTACGTTCAATCAGTGAGCGACTATTTTTCACTGAGCTAATAAAGTTTGTCTTTGAATTCACTTTCCCTTTATTAAGTGTTGATGGCAGTTTTTTGTTGGATTTGCTGAATATCAACCTTATCTCAAAGCTTTTGCCTTATTATATACATACACGTTTTATTGAATATGGTTTATTGCCTATAGAATGACAGGAGAAGTACTTGAATAATGAATTGAATTGCAAAAACAATTACAAAAATGGTTTTTAATTTAAAGTGACACTAATATAAAGTTTAGCGTTATTAAAGGTACCCTGTATTTGTACCCTGAAACTGCAGTCATAAATTTCAATTATACACTGTGGGGTTAGGTGTATCTATATATTTTTGACTGTCTTAATCATTACATTGGCTTTTTACTTTAAGACAAAATACCCTTCATTATGTATGATTGATTTGAATTACTTAAACCTATGTGAAGGCTGTTTAGCTGGTTATGAAACAGGTTGAATTTAATTTGGCTGCATTTCATGTACTAAAAAAATGCAAACAAAACGATCCAGAAGACAAAAGACTATTTCCATTCAGTTATTTTTCATGTCATCTACGCTATGAAATTACAAAATATTTTACTACACAAGTAAAAAAAGTTTCATCTTAATACAGAAATAAGAACTTCAGTCTCAAAGTTTGTTTTTATTTTCGCACATACATGGCAGGGAATACAGAGGTCCCATGTACAAATAAAGAAACACAAGATAAAAATGACTTAGTTCACTCATGACTTTCACTTGGTATAAAATCTTTGGTTTAGCACTGAGTTAATATCACAAATCTATCAGAGCATACACGTATAATATGCAGGTAGTATTTTGATGAAGGTAAAACTTTCAATCTTCAAATTTTCCATCTAGCTAGCTTTCCTTTTGGATACGGATCCTCCACCAGTCAAAGCTGACGGTCAGAGGAAAGTGTTCTCGATGACCAGTGTTTGAGGGTCTTCTTTTGTTTCTCCAGCTGGTGGTGTAAGTGGGCTCATGAGCTCTTCTTCCTCGGGGGAGCAGCACATGTTTCCAGAGCAGGCTTTTCCACAGCCGAGGTTGCAGGCCAGTGGGAGCTGGGGCAGGGTGGGGTCCTCCCTGAGGACGACCGCAGAGGCATCACCTGAACTGCCCTCAGAGCAACCAGGGTAGGAGACAAACTCTGGCTGAACGGTGCAGCAGCTCACTCCGACACTCTGCAGGACCTTTGTGACCCCTGACAGCAGATCAGCACACCTGGATAAATGTGTAAAGATCACCTTGAGAATCATTCTGTGATATTTTTACTGTTGTCTCGATCTGGTGCATCCATTTATACCTTGATACTTTAATAGACGCCTTTAACTATCTGGTTACTTAAATTGAAACCAAGCAATCAGAAATGGAGAACTCTCAGTTACCATAAATGGGCAGAATCCGCTGTTCAAAAGTTCCTCATTTTCAGACTCACCTGTGTAATGGGAACCCTGCATGACAGTGTACATGCACTGAGGCTACAGTCAGTGATCCGCTTAACTGCCAGACATGGAGGTCATGCACAGCCTGCACACCAGGGACACTTGTGATCCTCCGCCCCAGATCAGACACACAAATATGTGGAGGTGCTGACTGAAGCAGCAGCAGTCCGTACCTGTGCACCTGGAGAGGAAACAGTCAGTAGAGTTTTAAATACAGGAATCAGAAATTGTTGTATATTAATCTTCTTAAATGGACCATGTTTATGTCTATCTGACCTGTGGCATGGCTGTAGCGATCAGTGTAATGACAGCCAACAGTGACAGGCCAGGATCCAGGTAAACCAGGAGACCACAAACTCTGGAGCTCTGCAGACACTGAGGGTCTATCAGCAGTGTCCCCAGGCTGTTAATCAGAGCCAGGAGGGGGGAACAAAGACCCTGAGTGACTAAGATGGGTGTCAGGAGAGGGACGGGCCCTTGGCGATGTGAGGATTTGCAGCCTGGAGAGGTCTTTGATGCATTTTTGCTGCCTTTAGCCAAAGAGAAGTAAAACACAGTTTTGTCAGTGCAAAATGTGGACATTATCTACTAACATAGATCTCTTGTCAGCTCAATAAATTCAACTATCTGCCTCCATTTACAAGCAGTGAAATAGGTGTCAAAAGTCCAGATAAGTTACACCCCAAAAAAGTTCGCTGAATTTAGATTTTCTCAGGTGACTTGTTTGAGGGACACTGAGATGAGAAAAGGTGTAAGTCCTACAGTTCAGACTCTCTTACCAAGATGTTCCACACAGGTATCGTCTTTGGAGATCTCTAGGATGTCTTGTGAAGGACTCAAATCTGCAGCACTGCTCGGCCTCTTGCTGTCATACTGAGGGGCTGCTGTGTGCAGACAGACTCCTGGCTCCGGTTGTGGGGTGTGAGAGTGCTCATCAGCGATACAGGGGGAGGTTCCTGGGTTACTGAGGACAAGTGCCCCATTGTGAGTAGAGTCTTCAACAGCAGACTGGACTTGGCTAACATCATCCAGGACTTGCACTGAATCAGTCCAAGTCTCGATTTCCCCTTTAGCCGAGACTGTGGGAGTCGAGCAGAGGAATGAAAAAACAAACATGGACATGGTTTGATGTTCCTTACAGCTGAATATACACTTAGCAGCTACTTTGAAGTGAAATAAGCCAGAGATACCATAACCTAGACAGTACCTCTATTTTTTTCAGTAGCCTTTGATGATTATAACATACTACAAGAACTAATGTGGACTTTAAAACACTTTCAAAGCATATGAAAACATAAAAATATTGACCATTCAAAGAAAAAAAGAAGATAAATTCATTAGGTTCTCCAAAATGGATCAAATCCAGCTACAAGACAGGGAAAGAAATATTAAAACATAGAATCCAGTGAAACGTCTGTCCAAATCCCTGCTGTATTTAAACCTGCATTAAAGACCAGCGGACAGACATGATGAGTCTGGGTAAATCATAGAGGAAGAAGAAACCACAGCTGCCCAGAAATGGAGGGCAAAGGTAGCTTTAGTCTGTTTTAATATTCATATATTAACTTTCACCACAACAGGACAACGGTCTGTTCAGACTGATATTTTCTGGGGATTGTCATCTTTCATTCATGACTGAACTTTTCTTGACATCTATATAGATTAATGTTTTCAGAGTTATTGTTGAGGTCTGTCTCGAGAACCTGGTGGAGTTTGAACGCAAAACAATATAGTGAAACACAATTTGACAATATGTTAGTGAGATACCAAGATTTTGCCAGTGTGTCCTCACATATTCAAGATTTCACAACCTGGAAAGGGTGAATTTTTGCAAAGCAGGTACAACTAAAATCAGGTAAGCCACACAGCTATGTTGGAGTCTGCAGTGCCATTATGTCACAGCTTTCTATCTCGCTTAAGGTGCTGTCAGGTGCTTAAGGTCAGTAAGTAAAGAGGGTTTATATGCAGGTTTACAGAAGGACCTTTAAACCTGATAAATTTCCCCTCTATGCAGATGACAGTGTGATGTACCCAGCAGCTTTGAGTCTTACGTTAATTCTCATGTAATTAAGGACTTTTTCTTGGGGTTATTATCACACAAACAAGAAACATCTAGCCTCAAAATATTTGTTTTTTCGTTTTTAAGATCTTGTAACAACTAGTGTTTGCAACAATATATTCATTTTAAAAAATTTTGACCATTTTTTTTACATTTATTTGTCTTTTTTACCCTTAATTTGTAACATTCTCTGCGCTGTGAAGCACCTGATTTTAAAACCAACTGCAGCTCCTTGCATTTAGGCAAACGTTCAAAAAATCTACTTAAAGAGCTTTATTTCTACATTTTTGTATGCAGGGTCATAAAAGGTAAACTTGACCTCTGACATATTTAAACTAATCTCCCGTTGTAGCTATCTGGTGCCATTTTTTGCCCCCTTGATAAGAAAAATCCATTATCTACTTTGACTTTTGCACTCATAAAAAAGTGAAAACTCTGTCAAAGGTAATGATACTTTTGTGGTTCACTTCAGGATGAGATTGGTTTTCCAGCTGCCTACTTGCATCAGCGTGTCCATCCTGCGTCTGACCCCAGTTCAGCCACAGTAGCAGCAGCATCTTATAGATCAGGCTGACAGCTCCAACTAACACAGGCAGCAGGGGGCGCTGTACAGGGTGTGGCTCCAGGGAAAAGCTGATGATTTCAGTGATGTAAGAGAGACACAGAGAGGCAAGGACTAGAGCAGAGATAAAAGCTCCCACAGCTGGAGTCCTGTAGGGGGGGAAGGACAGGCCACAGTTCAGAGCTGGAGGGCAAACTTCTGGAGAGTGGAGCTGCTGAGAGTTGACCTGTGACCCTGCTTCAAGAAATAGGTGAGGAGTGGGAGGCTGGATAAGCGACCCATCAGTGGAGGTGTGGGTTTCAAGGACTTCGATACATGGCTCTGCTGGGAGGGCAGAAGGAGTAGCAGCTGAGGACGAGGAGTCTGCAGGAGGTGCTGGGGAGTCCTCAGAGGAGAGGGGAGGTTTCCTAACACTGGAGGGATGAGGAGGAGGAGGAGGAAAAGCCATGCGCACAATGATGAAGACTGTGTGGAAGCCGTCCACTAGGACAATAAGGGTCTCGCACAACCGATGGGTGATGACCTGGCACACTAGCAGGAGGACTGCCACTCCCAGCATGCACCAGCGTGGCGCCTCCATATCTGCAACTGAGCGAAAAAACCATGAAATAAATTTTTATTCACATTCAACCTCAATTTCATAAAAGATAGGATGTTGAGAAAAGTGTTGATGATAGGAAAATTTCTTTCTCTGATAAAAATAAACTTATTTTAAATTTGATGCCAACTACTAATTTCAGCTGCTCGACAGGTCGGGGTCTCCTGTATTTAATTTTCATTTTATGATGTGTGTTCATTAAGTCAGTACTTCAGGCTGTTCAGTTTAGCACCAGGACTCTTCTACTACAGTGCCACGGAGTTGTAATTAGATCAGAATGGGGATTGACACTGTCTTGCAAAGTTTTCCCTGATTAAAGGAAGTGATTTTATGTAAATGCAGAGATTTTCACTAAACAGTCATGTTGGTTTTAATGCAGTGTCTCCCCCTAAAGATCACAGTTATCCATTTATGTTGTTAGGGTTTTCCCTTTTATACAAAGATTTCTTGAATACTTAAATGATATTGTGATGAAATCCCCAAATTCTTTGCAATCTTATGCTGAGAAATATGATCCCAAAGTCACCAAACTATTTCTTTGCGCTATTTCCCACACAGTGATAAACTTTTTTTTGATTATTTTAAACCTTTTTTATTGTGAAAAATACCTCCTGGTGTTTTATTAACTATTTCTGATAATGTATTACTGTCATCACATTTGATTTAATAAAGCTATATTTTTCAGCTTCAACATTTTACATGCTGTCTTTACTATATTTTCAATCAAATTTTGTGTCAAATTTTTGCAAACCATCAAAGTTTATTTCTACCAACAGTTTATACATCATCCCAATGTCTTTGAAATCAGGGTTGTTATTCAGACCTGAAAAACTATTATGATCTCAAAGCTGCATGCTCTTCAGAAAGATCAGATATTTGTGTTATTTTAAAACATTAAAACACAGGTGTAGATTTAAAGAAATGGTGGTGTGTGAAACTTTCAGAGGCCTGCTTTGAAAAGTCTGGAATTTTGACTCTCTAACCCCATGACACTGGTTCTGTGAAAAGAAAAATGACAGTCAAAAGATGAACTCTTCAGCTGCTGATGGTTTGGTTTACTTTTAATCAAATAGCAACATCAAGTTTATTTTCTGTCTGTCTTATAACCAAGAGCTTTGAAATAAAATGTTTGGCTGTTGAAGGTTAAATACAACACTGTATGTTTCTGTTGCAGCCCTTACACTTCAGATCAGCATGTTAGCAGCATCAGTCCATGGAGTTCACACAGCACACCCTTACTACTGTGCAGGTAATCTTTAAAATAGGTCACTCTTCTTTTAATGTGTTTTGAGAATTTCTGCTGTGATAGAAGCAGTACCATTGAAACAATGATCTTACCATCTGAAATGCTGTTGAATTTGAAGGTGTATTTAGTTACAGGTATCAAATAACTTGTGCATATGAACGTTTGGACTCTTGTGCAGCTTGAGTTTTAAAAGTAGGTTAAAATGAACACAGTCTAACTGGAATTTCATTCATTCCTGTGAAGTTTTTACATAAATGGTGCTCACATTGTCTTTCATCTGCAGCAGTTCAAAGGCTGATATTACAGTCGTCTGAAACAACTTTGCAGTATAAAGGAAAATATAATCAACAAGCTCATTTGAAGTGTTACTCTATTTTAAGATAAAAACATCATCATGTAGCAAAGCATAAAGTTACTCCAATTTTGCAAGCCACTACATTAAATATGATGCTTCATAATATGATACTATAACTTTTGTTATTCTTACTTGGTGAAACTTTAACTGCATGACATCTTCTTCTTCTACAGGATATTTCAGCTCTAGACTGGTCTTATTACTTCTACAGTTTAAGATTGAACTTCTTTACACAAATGAAAGCCATGAATGAAACATGTGCGAGGAGTCACAGGCAGCCTTCTAATTAAACTACAGAATCCATGAGTTAAAATTTCAAACTAATGTTACAAATAGTTTCAGTTTAAGATTGAATTACCGCAGAAAAGTGGACAACCCTCAGCCAGCAATCAGGACAGGTCTGGATCTTGGATGTAATCTGTGCAGTGGGATCTGAAAAATGTCATTCATGGTGTCTCCCCATTTCTCCCTCTCTCTGTCCCACCACACTCCTCCTCTACTCTAATCGCAGTCATGTGAATGAGGGAGGGGGGGAGTGGGTGAGTGGGAGGGTATCGTCCTCTCTTCAGCTATCCCTGTTTGCATTCCCTCCTCAGCTGGTTGGTGGGAGAGGATCGCACAGCCCACCCACCCTTCACACACTCTGAGCAGTTCGGGTGAAGCTAATTTGCACTAATTAAATCCCCATTGTGTCGTCAGGATTACAGATACCAGATCTGATATTACATAACCTGATCAGCTACAACACTCCATGAATGCAGGGAAAGCAGAATCAGATCTGAATGTTGTCACAAAATTTACCAGGTTTTCATTAGATCTGGTTTCATTTAGGTAATTTTTTTGTTTCTTTGGAAAACTGTAGGTGCAGAGCTGAGTTTTTATCAGCTAACGCTCTGCGAGTAATGAGAGGGCATGAGCTTTTATAACGCTAGCCATAAGGTTAAAGGTTAAAGGTCAGGCCTATAAAAGATTATAATCATTCTAACTTAGCCTGGAAAAATTTTAGGGCATGCTCTTTTAGAGCCGTGCTTTTCTTTCTATCTTGGACAGCATCAACAGTGTTCAACAGACACCAGCTTTAGCTCATAGAGGAAGTCTGCTCAGGTCATTTTGTACGGTGGCTGCAGCAAATAAAAAAAGAATGCAACAAAAAATAAATAAAAAATAAAAAAGAAGCCACAACAGAAGTTACCAATGCAAAAAAAGAAACTGGAGCCCGCTGCAAATAATGACGTAAAAAAAGTGGTGATGCAAAAAATAAAAAATAGTAAAAATTATAAAATAAAATTACTTACAGCGAAAATAAAAGGATGCAAATAAAAAAGCCACAACTAAAGTGAGCTGCTGGGGACCAATAATGAAAATTAGCGAGGGGTCTGCGCACTAATTCTATTTGTAAAGCAACCGAACCGTAAAGCTACCGAACTTGATACTCCTCTCCTGGGTGGTCTTTTGGGACGTAGTGGGTTTCCCGTGTTAGTCAAAGCTAACACTACACCGGCGTCCTCCAGTTCAACTTCATATCGACTCAGGCACTACATGGCCTTAACCAAATGACACATTGAAAAGTTTACGAAGCAAAATTAAACAATAACCTTTCCACTTACTTCTTTGCTCGTCTTCTCGCTGTCGTCTTCTGTGGCTAGATCGCAAAACACTGGTGCATCATCATTATTGGTCCCGGCAGCTAACTTCTGTTGTGGCTTTTTTTTTTTTGCAGTAAGTAACTTTTTTTTGTGTTGTTAACTTCCGTTGTGGTTTCTTTTTTTAATATGCACCATTTCTTTTTTTTTAAATTTGCAGCGGGCTTCGGTTTTATTTATTTTTTGCATGGTAACTTCTGTTGTAGCTTCTCTTTTTTTGCATTATTTTTCATTTGCAGCAGTGGCAGTTCTTGGCCACCGTAATTTTGTGACTCAAACCTGCTGAAATCAAGTTTTTGACGCGTGAAATGAAGATGCTTAGCTCAGATAGAAATGGCTACCATGACTTTGCGCAAAGTCCACAGCATCTGCACCGGCACTTCTTAAGCTCTTTAAAGCTCAGTTGAGGTTGTGCGACCTCTTTGTCCTCGCCGCGACTCTCGTGACCTCACAGATGATGGTGCGGGCCCATCAGCCCTTGCTCTGTGGTGCCAGGAGAGCAGGGGTTTGTTGCAGTCCACTGGGCTGAGAACCAACAGGGCAGATAGGGGCTGACACCACGGATAAATCCCTACTGTTCTACCAGCGGGCCAACACATTCCTGAGGCAGTGCTAAGCCCAAGAAAAGATCCAGTGAGGAAGCATCTGATCTTTCACTGTCCCCTCAACTGAAAGAGAGGCAATGGAGAGGCAGCCCGACTTCACCTTTTGTTTCCAAGGTTTATGGGAATGCCGATTTTCTGCCTTTGCAAGGTTTTTTGATGATTCAATTCAGCTGAAACATGAAAACCCCCAAATGATCACACCAACACCTCACTTTGATATTATTACAGCAAATAATTTTCAGTAAAGTGCCAAGGTTTTAGCATTATGGATACATTTGATAGTTTGTTAGAGATAAAACAAAACAAAAAAAATACTATTTCCATTTTCAAGGTACAGACTGGAGTAGATTGAAAGTATCTGAAGTTATTTAAATCATAAGTAAAATAATCATATGAAAAAACAAGTGAAATCAAACTGTCTTCTTTTTTAAGCTAAAGAAAACTTTAAACTCAATGTATTTATGTTATTTTAACCATTAAAATACAATTCAAGGCTGAGCTACTCCTTACCTTCAAGCGAATAATTCAAAGTGACTCGCTGTTGGATTTCTCTGGTCCTAACAAAACCACCTCACAGAAAGAAAACTTGACATCCACACACTCTTCACCCTGAGGTGCACCATCACATGTTTCATACCAATGAGGACAGAGACAGCCCTGGGGGGGTTTTCTGACCATATGAGTAGTAATGAAAAACAAACAGACAAAAGACAATGTTTTGTGTAAGACAGACTCGCACAGATATGATTTGTTGTTCTGTACAGTGTTTTAAAAGGCAGATCTCGTGATGTTTCTGTATGATCAGGAACTCAATAAAACTACATTTAACAGAAAAAAACAATTATGGTGAAGACAGCTTCAGTGTCTGTGAACAAAGACTTGGACTTGGAAAAAACATGGTTGTAATCATATTTTGTGCGATATGACACTGGAAGCATGTTTTTTTTGTAACAGGTGGTGAAAATATTACAGCAGACTAGTGCAGATCTGGTCTTAATTATTCAATGCATGTTGTGTTGGGAATGAAAAAGAAACACCTATTCCTATCTTCCAACATTTATCAACAAGACAAAACTTTTTAAAATCACCAGCGCCTCATTTGATTTTTCTTGGCTGCAAATGGTTGTCAATCAACCAATGTAAAATTATAAATGTTAATTAATCTGTGTCACACACCAAATGTGGAAAAGTGTTTCTTAGGAGTTTTGTCCTTGCCTGCTCAATGGCCAGATTGTTATGACCCATCTAGGGTTGGCTAGGACACAACATGAAAGTGGACCCATTTCATCCACCCCTCAAACAGCCACATAAAAGAGGCTTCCAAGAATTACACAAAGGAGTAATTTATGATCACCTCCTCAGGGTGCAAGTGGTAAATAACAATAACTGTGAAAAACTAGCGACTAACAAAAAGGATCTGAGTTTTATGGTGACATGGCCGTTTGGGATGAGGATGTCATGGGTTCCCCCAGCGCGGTGGTGACATAACTTTCCCTCCTTTAATTGAAAACCCAGCTCCACAGCAGCAGCCTACCGCCTGTCGCACAGAAGCCGGAGCAACCAATCGGGAGCATGAGATGGCACACCAAATTTACAGTAAAGATAGTGACTATGTCACATGATGGGCACGGCAGTTCTTTTGGATGTACTAAATCACTAGAATCAGTTCACTGAAAAGATTCGTTCAAAAGATTCGTTCACCAAATCGTACCGGATACTTACGGGGTATAAGTTACACTGTGTATATATATATAAGACTATATTTTAGATTTTATTGTCCTTTACGTGGATATTGTTTCCACCTCGGTTCACTAACCATTTTGTACACATGACATCACACCCATAGACAGTTTCTACACGTATTTACACAGAGGTGTCGTCGTAGCAGAACATGCACCATTTGATAAATCTCAAATGTGGGAACATAAGGCTGTGGGAACATAGGCATGGACCCCTTCTACTGATAGTAAAACTGGCTTTTGGAGCCTCAGTTTGAAAGACAAAACACCCCTGGAGTCAAAAATGTTGGACTCTTTTTGGTTGTCTGTAGCAGAGTTTCGGACTCTCTCACAGTCTCCACTCTCTGTACTGTGTTATCTGGTGGGAGTGGATTAGTGCAGTCTGGAATTCCTTCAGCACGCATACAGTACAGCTCCCACCCTGAACTCCAGGCCCTGCAAATGCTACACACCCTCACTGCAAGAGACATGGGTGTGAGGGTTTTACTTGTTTTTCTCTGATGTATTTAGTAGACATTGGTTTTTTTATAATAATCTGTAATAACAGCAAAAGTTTAGAGGAATTCCTAAAAGTTGATCTAATCCATGTCTCACTGCTTTCAGAGGAAATGCCATAAAATCTGTACAGAACTTAATGTGACATGATTTGATTTTTTTGTGATCTCGTGGCACCAATTTTAACAGATTTCAGTAAATTATCTCATAAACGTTCTCATGAACTTTGTTTTGCTACATAGTTTGGTAACACCATCACTGTAGCCCCTCGATGAAAACTTAAATAACAGGAAGCGTCTTTGTATTTGATCAATCTGCTGATCATCCACATTAGACATCAGGGTTAAGACATTTAAAATGAACCTGCGATCAGATTTGAAAGTATAATCCCTGTAATTTCCTTGGGTTTGGTCGCGCTCTATTAGGAGCAAAATACAAAAGGACTTGGCAGCCCTGGATTTGATGCCTATTCCATTATAGATCAACACAAAGTGAACGTAACCTCGTTTTAAGAACAATATCGGGCACTTCATTAAAAGAGAAGTGATATCTCGATTCAAACATCTTCACTCAGGATTTTATAGAGTACACTTTTAACAAGAGTGTCATGCTATTCAAAACCAAACTGGATCTTATCAGATTTATTTCCATATTTTATACCCATCCACCAAGTTCAGACACTTTGAATAGAAACATTCACTCATGGCATTAGTCATTACATGCATTTATTTGAGAGGAACTAATTTTGCCATACATATCTTTGTGATTACCAGCACATTTCAATTAAGTTAACAAATTATCATTAAAAATTTCTAAAAATTAAAGCATAACAAACAGTGGGGGTAGACTATCTGTTGGGTGGAGAGGAGCAGAAGGGTTGAATGGTGCAGCTTTTCAAAAGAAACGGGGGGAAAAAACAAGTCTCTGTTTGCTTCAGGGGAATAAACCAGAGCAGGATAACCAATCATCCTGTTTACATATGAAGCTGACTTTTCATAGTAAATCTCAGGACAGGGTATGGATTTCAACAGAGACATGACGCCTGCATTGTGTTGTTCATGATTTGCTTCGGTTAGAAAAGCCATCACAGCCATGAGCGTCCCCTTGTGGCCACAGCTTCACCCTGCAGAGTAGTGTTCAAAAGCTGAGGACTTGGGTGAAGACCGTGAAGTTTGCTGTTTCCATTTCTTCACCTGCATGATTCTACCATAATCAACCACTACATCATATTTATTTCCAACCAATACAGATTATCCCCCCCATCTGGAAAAAAACCCCCTAAATATTTGCTCTATTTGTATCTGAAATATACATCAAAAAGGGGATAATCTTTGAAAGCAACCCCAGAATGGAAATGAAGAGATAAAATTAGGAAAAAAAGGGAAATAAATGAGGAGGTCTCATAAAATAAATACAAAACAATTGATTTTTAAAGCAGCCAAAAGAAAAAAACCCAGCAAAGACTGAATCTGTGAAGGTGCATTTGAAGGCAACATGAAAGATGAGACGGCGCAGAGGAGGTGAGATGTGGAAAACTGAGAGACAAGAAGGGGAGGTGACGACAGAGCTGCTTCTCTTAAACACACAAAAAAAGAAACAAAAGTGTCTAAAGTTGCAGAAATCAGGGGATGAAATTCAGATTTTTTAAACAGTAAATAACTCACACAGAAGTATACATCTTGCTTTCCAACATTCAGGGGTTTTCTAGCTTGAGGAGCAAAGTGACGCCACTTTCTCCTCTGTGTCAGATCTGCGGAGACCGACAAGGAGAGGGGTGATGATTCCTGAGGGGCCAAAGTGAGCGGAGGGTGAGACAACATTGAAGTGGGAGGTCACTTTGGCAGAGGTCCATTCAGAGTTTATGCTCTTTCTTTCTGAAGCGGGGATAGTGGGAACACAGACATGACACATTTAAACAGACATGTTGATATCTTCAGCTGATCCACCTCTGATACAAAAGCCTCTGACGGTGACCTACTGCCACTCAAACAGCACAGCCGAGTCCATCACCATTATCCTGGATTGTGCCGTCGACCCAATCTGTTTAGAATCACCGTTATGTCTTTGTGTGTGTGTAGATGTGATAAAAACCTTCATACCTTGAATTTCCCAAACAACAGTGGACATCTACACAAGAAAGCAAGGAGCAGGTCTCAGAGAAAGATCTGTCTTTGGTTAGTGTTTTCGTCCACCATTCCTTCTTCACCTCGTTCAGGGACGACCTCTTGTTTGTAAAGATTTAAGATTGACAAAATGTAGTGATAACAGGGTGAATTTATTTCATATTCATTTTCCCTCTTCCTCATACTTAGTGTGCGTTTGTACGTGTTTCAGTGGTTGATGTAGTGTAGATGCAGAGGATTCATTCTCATCACAGCTGAGATCCTGAACTTGATTTTGTCCTTTTTGTGTGTTACCAAGATTTGTTTGTGTATTTGTGTTTAAAACCTCCACTGTGGCCCCACCTCTTCTGTCCTTTTCAGAAAGTTCGTGTTGGTGGTGAAGTCAAAGAAATGGCGAAAAATCTGAGGGTAACCAGTCATGTAGCAGGGCCAGACAAACTATCCAAGTGCTGTTTTCTCTGTCGTCACGGTCCCTGCAGAAGTACAGAGAGAAATTAGACTTAAAGGGATATTCCGGCGTGAAATTCATTTAGGGTCAAACACACTGTAACACCGGGTTGGACACCCCCTCGAGAGATGAATGTTCAGACCGCTTGCTTCTCTAGTTATACCAACTTTAGTAACAACCGCAGGATAGCAATACACAGCGGTCTGAGGAGCCATAAATGAACCTCAACCAAAACGCCACTCTATAGCCACAAATAATGCTCAGAACAGCACCTAACAGCAGACTAAACACAACTCACCTACCCTCTTCCAGCAGCTGCTTGTTGGTAGCGAGACCTTGGGCCAGTCCATCACGGACAACAGCGGGGTGACACAGCTCAAGGAAGAACAATTCTGATAATTTCTTTGTCATTTATCATATCAAAAATCATAAAAATAATCATTTTGCACTGTAGATGCTGTAGTTTTTTCTGCCTTAGCTTCTCGGTCTGATTGCATTTCCATTAACAATCATAAATGTTCTTTCTTGATCTGCATCACCCCGCAGCAGTCCGTAATAGATTGGCCTGAGGTCTCGCTACAAACAAGCGGCTGCTGGAAGAGAGTAGGTGAGTTGTGTTTAGTCTCTTTGTTTGGTGGCTGGTGTGCTGTGGCTGGGACCCTATATGTACTGTTGATGAAGTTAGGTGCTGTTCTGAGCATTATTTGTGGCTATAGAGTGGCATTTTGGTTGAGGTTTGTGTGTGGCTCTGGGGACCGCTGTGTATTGCTATCGTGCGGTCATTACTAAAGTTGGTAAGCAAGTGGTCGGCAACATTCATCTCTCGAGAGGGTGTCTAACTCAGTGTTACGGTGTGCTTGACCCTAAATTAATTTTACGCCAGAATATCCCTTTAAATGTAGACACTCATATAGCATGGGGGTTGATTTGAGCTCTTTTTATTGTTAATAGCTGGAGACATTGGTTTACCTTACTCCTCATGGTCCATCTCTTCCTGTTTCCAAACTAGCTTCTAGCAGCAGTTCCTCCAGGTCTTGTCCACAGCTGACACTCACTACATGAAGGACACAAAAAGCAGGAATTTTTACACCCACAAACTTCTCTGCGTGGATGATTTTCAGTTCAGTTGAGAGAGTGACGACAACTCACCGTGCTCCATCACACAGCTTCCGGGTTTGGGGCTCTCAGCTTCGAGTAGATGGAGGGAGAACTCCGGCTTTAAGCCGTTGGGCAGAGCTGAGCCAATCACCTCTTCCTCACGAGTCTCGGAAAAACACTCGTCCTCATCGGCAGAGCTCTCATCGGGTGAATCCTCCACTTTGTCGGGGGCAGGTTCGGGACTCTTTGAGACTTCACCTCCTTGGAGAACAGACTCCACAGCACCTTCTTGAGTGTCAGATGGTGTTTGTGTATCAGCGTGCGCAGGCAGAACAGGCTCTTCTTCCTGGTTTTCTGCCTCAGTTTGCTCCTTTGGACTTGACTCCTCTTGGCTTGGTGTGCTACCCTCCTCCTCTGTTAAACTTGGTTTTTCAGTTCCTGCTAAGTTGGCTGGTGTTTCCTGCTCTCCCTGCAGTGGCGATGACTTCTCGTCTTCTCCCTCTGTTTGGTTAAGAGACTGGGTCTCCTCTGATGCAGATGCTAGCTCATTCTGTAGCAGTTCATCAGCAGATGCTAACAGCGGCGGCTGTGTTTCTGCTGCAGCGACACTAGCGTTGAGTTTGTCTAACTGTTGACTCTCTTCTCCTGCGCTATCAGAGATCATCACCTGAATCTTGACCTTTTCGTCTTCCTCCTCTTCTTGCTTCTTATCTTCTACACAGATGGGCTTAGTTTGGGGTCTTTTAGTCTCCTCTGTGAGCTCCACAGACAGAGAATCTGAAGGCTGAGTTAAACTTGGATCCGCCGTCTCAGAGTCTAAAGTGCTAGCCGTCACATCTTGAGTGGGTGGACTGGTTGACTGGGGCTCTACTGTGTGGGTCAGTGTGGTATTTAGTGCAGACTCCAAGTGTGCTACAGGACTCTGCTCTGTCAGTTTAGAGTCTAAAGATAGAGCAGGTGAGCTCTCCTTCACATCCTCCTGCGTCACTTGTGTTTGAGATGACGGTGGTGGCTGTGTCGGGGGTGTGTTCACCTGTGGGGGCTTCTTTGAGGCCTCTTTCGGGGCACTTTTCTGTAGCTGCTGCTCAGATGGGCTCTCCACCCGGGTTACCATGAAGATTTTATGGCCCCTCCCAGGACTAGAGACAGATATACAGCGGCCAGGAGATGGAGGGGTGCCAGGAGGAGCCGTGGACTCTGTGATGGTGATGCCTGAAATGACATTCGAACCCCCAGGTGGAAGGGGCGAGGTTGTATTTGAGGCACTGAGGAGGGGCTGTACAGCCGCTATCTGGATTTCAGGGGCAGTCTGGTTTGAGTGAGTGGAGTCTGATGGGGAAGAGGACTTTGTAACCACCTCCTCCTCATCCTCAGTGTCTGAGTCCGACTCCAGGTTCATCTGGGGAACACCGCTGTCAGAGCTCTCTCCTGACTGGCTGCTTGTCTGTCCTGCATTGTCTGCAGTTTCCTCTCCTCCTCCCTCTTTAGCCTTTGTTTGGTCTTTCTCCTCCGCTGCCGGCTCCTCCTGTTCCTCTCTGGTCCCGTCCTCGGTGGCGATTTCAGCCATAGATGCAGACTGCCTCATCTTCTGCTCTGTTTCTTCCTTCTCCTTTGCAAAGATAAAGTTTCTCTTGCAGCCGTTCTGTATCTCGGTCAGCAGGGCTCGCTGGGTTTCGATGAAGCTCTTCACCTGAGGACAAACAATAGATCTTTAGCATGCGATACAAACCAGAAGAATACTAAAAAAACTCACCAAATCAAAGCTTCTCCTACAACAGCGTCACAACAGTAGCCCTCTAAACTCTGCTGCTTTAGTCAGTTTTATTCTATCACATAGTTTTCTTTAAATAGCTGAGCTGGGGGCAGCCAAATGTCCTTTCTCCTATCATTTCCTGTCCTCTACTATCTGCCAGCTACATTATAAAGGCATAAAGTTCCCTGAAAAATAGTAAAAATAGTCAAGGCTCCAATCATTATGAATTTATTTAAAAAAAATACAATAAAAGGATCAAAACCAAAGATGGGAGAGAAGGTCAGTCTTAGTTTGCTGCTTCTCTTCTCTTTAAAAACAGTTAAATAACATATCGAGTTGCAATGGGTGAAACTGGTGAAACACGAGTTATTAATCATCAAATGAAGAATAAGATTAACAAAAATGTGTGTATATATGATCTGTATTAATTGGATCAATTCTTTGATGTTTTTGGACTCAAACAGGTTTTGTTGACAAAAAGTTTCCTAAACAGCAGAAACCCCACTCAAGTTCACATTTACTCTATGTTGGTCCCTTTGTTGCCTCTCCTCCATCCCTTTTCTCTCCACTGTTTCCATACTCACAGTTTCTTTCTTTGGTTCCCGGTCCAGGTCGAGACGCAGCAGAGAGGTGTTGACTTTTAAGGCCAGCGACAGAGCCATCAGTCCGCCTGTCTTGATCTCGTTTTCTCTGAGGTCCAGACGCAGCAGCCGGGGGCTCTCGGCGATGAACTCGGCCACAGCCACAGCTCCTACAGCACAGGAGATGAAAAAGTCAAAACGGAAACATGACAAACAGATGAATAAGGCAAACTGGTGCCGAGTTCTCACCTTCGCAGGATAGTTTGGTGGAAGCGAGGCCCAGTCTGAGCACAGAGCGGTTGGCTATTAGTCCGTCTTTGAGCTTGTGAACTCCTTCGTTACCGACTGAGTTGTGGCCGAGGTTGAGAGTCTCAAGGCTCTGGGTGCATGGCTAAGAGGGAGAGAAAAACAGAGGAAGGGGCTCTGAGCAACAGTGAATTAAAACAGATGAGTTTGTCTTAGCTGTGGCAGCTTTAATCTACATCTAGTATCTGGAATAAAGGTTTCAAGAGCTAACAACTATAAATTGAGATACTCAAAAGATGGTAGAAAAGTAGGAAAGTACCCCCACCCTTCTAGACTAACACCTCCTGAGACAAATAAACTCATCTTGTGCATTTTCATGATTCTTAATCCTTCAATTATGTTTGAGCTTAGTTAGGCGTCTTCTACTTGCGTTACTTGTGGTAAATGTCCTGCATGGCTGTCTCTTAGTATTGTGCTAATCCTGTGAATTCTGTGATTATCTCCAGTGTTGGGAATCAGCAGCCAGGACAGCCATGTGATTACTTTTTAATCAGTGTGATTGGAGCTTTAAAGCCATTCCTGTGTGTTCTGTAACATCTTTGAAGCCTCTGATAAAAACACCATCAAAGAGATTTCTTGGAAGAGATAAAGAAAACATCTCCTACTGATCTGAAAGCAATAGCACCATGTGTTTCCACCGAAAAGAGGAGTGATATTTTCTATGAGTTCTTCGGAAACCTTTAAATTACACCCTCTCTAATAGCTGCCTCCATTCTGTTATTACTACAGTTTGACACTTTACTTGATGCCTATCTCTATAACCCATTACAAATATATGTATAATGCATAATAATCACATTATAGCACTGTATAACTTTAGTTATAAACACTCATAAATGATCATAATGCTTTATAGCAATAATTATAACACATTATAAAGCATTTTATCATGACTTACAAGGTCAGGTAATACAATGTGTTAAGCTTATTGTTACAAAGCCTTATGATAATTAATGAGTGTTTATAATGACACTTATACAAGTTTATAAGCAAGTTATAACACATAAATATATGCATAATGCATTATCTATGTGGGCATTGTCAGTGAGTTGTTAACAGTTATAACACAAATAATACCTGACCTTGTAAGTCATGATAAAATGCTTTATAATGTGTTATAATTATTGCTATAAAGCATATAATCATTTATTAGTGAAGTTAAAAACTATAGTTATACAGTGCTATAACCTGATTATAACGCATTATACATAAATTTATAACACGTTATAGAGATAGGCGTCAAATAAAGTGTTTCCAAATGAACTTATCTGATCTTCAGGGTGAAATACCTGTGCATTGTTTCTGTCTGCACAAGCTGTTCGTTTAAGAAGGGGCTGTGTGCAGAAATGGTAAAACTGTCACAGCAGGAACAAGTTTATCTTGGTTTGACAAGGCGGACGCTGTAATGACTCAGCACAGTTCACATTTAAACAGCAAGAACACAACGAGCCTGAAAATCGTTCATTATCACCAAACAGCAGTCGGGAAACCGTCTTCAGTGGTAATGACAAAACACTTCGCACAAAATCGGAGAGGGGAAAACATCTGCTCAGCGTGTGGGATATGAAAAGACAAAGTCAGATGCAAAGTGAGGGACTGCTGGTTGTATAACATGTCATTGCATCTGAATACGAAGCATGTAAATCTCCTTACACAGACTGTTTTTTCAGTCTAAATAAAGAAACATGCAGCGTAAAAATGCCAGCATGACGCATGAGATTTCAAAGATGACAAAAACTGCCCACATAAACCTGGGGATAAGGAAAAGGTCTGCATATTGGGAGTTTTGACTAAAGTGAGTGAATGTTTTTAGCATATAGATGTAAATATGGTTCATTTCCAGAGCGGCTAATTCTCAAAATAATACTTGTCTAACTGGACTTTGATTTCAGCATCATTTGAGTAAACTAATGAATAAAAGTGAAGCTGAAATAAATGATCTTACATACTGCTGAGAAGTTTGATAGTTCTTTCTTGTGTGTGTGTGCTTACCAGTGCAGCAGCTAGGTATCCCATGCCATTGTGTGTAAGCTGGTTGTTCCATAGCACCAAAGTGACAAGGCCTTTCCTCTGCTCTTTGAGTCCTTCGCACACATAGGCCAGACCTGCAACCGCAAACACACAGACAGCATAAGGTCATCTGATCCCAAAGTTAACGGGTCTGTTTGTTCTGTTGGTGTTGTTCGTCTCTGTTCTGCATCTCCTTTTATCCTCTGTCTACGTTTGCAGTAAGCTGCAGCAGTCTTAATTCATTGCAACATATTCGTATGTACTGTGTGGATCTACTTATCGATCATAAAGTAAACAAATACTGTGTGAAGTCGTGGAAAAGTCCAAGAAGTTATAAAATTTCTTCACTATTCAGATTAAAAGGCTCGGTCCACTTCTTTGAACATCTATATTAATACATCTTTCTTTAGTATGTATACTTGTTAAATTGTAAATCAAATATCATTCGATTATTACTGTATCTGAGTTTGAGGTTTGTGCTCAACAAACAAATCTTTTTACCAAACTGTTCCAACTTTTGTGTTTCTGTATTTGTTGGTGTTGCATCTCTGTTGTGTACCTGAGTCTAGGATGTGGTTATTGCGCAGGTCCAGGATCTGAATGTTGTAGTTAAACTTTAGCAAATTGCCAAGTTGGGCCGAGTCCTGCAGACCATTAAGCTTGTTATCTGCCAGGTACAACTCCCGCAGGTTCATATTCATCTTCAGAGCCGTAGCTGCAACGAAAAAAAAGGAACAATAGGGGGAAGGTGAGTGCAAGAGGACTCCCAGTAGTCAGAAATAGAAGACTGAATTCAGAGATTATGATACTTAGATGCTGTGGGCAGGGCTTCCCTTTGTCCCCTTCTTACCCAGTAACATGAGCGGTCTGCCAGACAGGCCAGCATTCTCCAGGTGGAGGACTGCCAGGCTGCCGCTGATCCTGAGCGCTCGTGCAACAAAGGGAGCAGAATGATCCAGCAGAGGGGTGTTGCGTGCATCCAGGTACTGCAGAGAGCTTGTCTGAGGGGGGGAGGCACAAAAAGAGATGGCAGCTAAACAAAAGTGCGCAAAAATAAGTCATTATTATTGTGGCAAAAATAACCAAAGAGAGCATGGTAAAAACTCTAACAAAGGCCAGCGAGTATTGCTGTATTATTGCTGAATGTAGCTGCGGCAGTATTATGATAAAAATAGCGTCTCTAAGCTGTATTTATAAACATTTTTTCAAAATGAGCTGATGTAACCGACATAGATGACATGTCCTCATCTCCTCGCATCAATGTTAGTGTTTAACTGATTTATCCCAGGCCTCCCTTCAGGGACTCAAGGACACGCTCTCGTCAAAGTGTCATCCTAATGAGATTCATTGTGCTTTCTTTAAATGAGCTGCTCAGACTTTTTATTGATAGAGTCCAGCACAAACAATCTCCAGTCGTTAGTATTTGTTTGGTGTCTCCTGGCAGCTCTTCATTAATCTTCAGGCTCTCAGTGCAGACAGGGGATGCCTCTTGATTCACTCACTAATTGGATGACACATCAGGTTTTTCACATAGTCATCGTTGTGATAAGAAGAGGACTTTGTCGTTGGTACATCTCTTATAAACGGTGCTTTTAACATTTGTAATTGTAATTGAAAGTCTGTTTCCTTTCCTGCCAGTTCAGAGAGTAATGAACTAGAACTTAATATACAAATTAAACTGAGCACAATGTTAATAAAAGCTGGAGGGTAATTGGTGGTTTTGCAGACAGATTAGTGCATCAGGCTGTGGAAACACCGCCAGGAAACCAGAAAATACTCAGACGAGCCACATAAAGCACAGAAGCAAATAGTAGCGTTTTAAAAGTTGTTTGAATTTTACCTTCGGCTGTTTTTTGTCGCTTGTATAATCTCACACTTTCAATTACACACTGAATGTTTTCTGAGCTCATGTTGCTACAGGAGACAGCCGAGTCAATAGGTCTGTTGTACAAGACTAGAATAGTTTGAATGTATTGAATCAATAGAGGCTTACGGTTCAAAACAACCTGTACATCTTAATTCTTGAGTTCCTCCTCAAATATTGCTCAAAAGTTGATAGATATATGTGTTTACCGAGCAACTTATTCATATTTATAAGACTGACGAGTGCTGACTGATGAAGAGCACACTTTAAAAGGGCACCACAAGACTTCAGAAGGATGAGTGCGGAAAAGCTGAATGTCTGAGTGCCGAGAGAAGACGGTGGTGCTGAACAGCTCAGACTCAGCCACAGACTAACAAAATATTTGTATAAATATGCACACACAAAAACAATGCTCATATCTCTTTTTTATGTTATTCTTTGGTATGGTGTGTTTTGCTAATCCATAAATACACGCACTGAATCCTTTTCTTGGCTTTCTCTGCAGATATTATTATCCACTGTGATCAGGGGTGGACAACCTCTCACCTTTCTCATCATGTGAGCCGCAGCCTGCCATCCCCGCGTGCCGATGTGCTTGTTGAAGGAGATGTTGAGATGTGTGGCTGACTCATAGTACTCAATCATGTCGAACAGAGCTGATGCTCCCTGAGAAGAGCGGAGAGAAAAAGTCAATGAGACAAACACACACACATATGTTAAACATATTTTTTTCAGATAACTCTAACAGTTAAGACAGATCGTAAAGGTGGTCAGGGTGTCAAAACCCTTTAAGTGATGTCAACAGACAGTGAAAGGCAGATGGAGTTGCCATGGTAACAGCCATAAAAGATAGGTGAGACCTACTGAGGTGTTTCCATGAGGGTTTTCGGAGAGGGGTGACAGAGGTGAAATGAAAAACGTTGCTGCTTCTATCTTGCAGAATTAAGAGTGAACTGGGTTTGTTTTGGTTCAACCTTGTTATTTGAAATGATTTTCTTTAGGTATGTAGGCGCACACAGTTTCTGATTATTCTACCAAATATTTCACTGAGGAATGTCAGTAAATAAATGTCATTTTAAAAGCAAAATAGGATGTTTTTATTTCTCTTGCAATGAAAAGTTCCCCGTCACAGAAATCCTTGAGTTCAAGCACTCAGGGATTTTGCTGAAAAACTTTCATCAAAGCAGAAATACACAAGTTTATATTCAGATACATATATATTTCTATTTGTTGTCTAGTCAACTGACTGATCAACACTTCTTTGAGGCCGATTGATCAAAAATCAAATAATTTCTCTCACAATTAACTGATAGTGAATGTACCCTTGTTATATCTGGATATGCCTTGAAAATGGAATTAAAAGGGTCGAATGAGTGTGAAGAAGAACTGTAAGAAAAATAAAGATAAAATTTAGCTGTGCAACACTATCAGTGCAGTTAAGAAGCAGATAAGGGAATACAGTCAAATGCCAGGTGATGTGGTAAGGGTCAAAGTGTCACCTGATGTGGTGAGTGTGCTGATCTCAGCTTTATTTAGGTTGGCGAATCTTTTTTATCCGTTACTAAAAAACTGACCCAGTAAATCTGTTGATGGCTCTAGAGATGAGTTCCACAGCTTAATCTGCTTTTCCCCAATCAGTTTCATAACATAAAAGTCATCAGCATTTTAACAAATAGAGCTTTGTGTGTTTTCCATTCAGAAACAGTTTAATCCAACTTGTGGTTATCACAGACGTAAGAAAGTCTGAAAAGCTGCTGCTGTGTTGCTGTGTACACTGGGAGACATTACTGAAAATACACACGTGTGTTTATCTACAGGGTGGGGGAAGATGAGTCACATTGAGCCCATTAAAAAACCGGCACATGTTACCGCTCCTCCTCAGGCTCTTTTGAAACACCTCTCCAATAAGTACTTTTTCTTTTTTCATCTCCCAAACAAGATGCCACTGCTGCAGATATGAACCTCTGCCAAATCAAGCCATCCGCTCTGCGACTCTTTCACACACTTCAAAAAGATGACTCCAACTATAATTTCCCCTTTCAGTTCCTTTTCAATCTGACTATCCTCCATGTTCCTCTCTTCTAGCAACACTTCCTCAATATTTTCTCCTTTCGGCGTCTGGTTTTCTCTGAGCCCAAGGCGGGACACTTGACTCTGTGAGATGCAGCACTCTGGTGACTCAATCACTGAATCATGAGTTCGTACGTCACTCTGTATTTTTGTTTGGATTACATGAGGCTTTTGTGTTTCTGCGTCTGTCTGGAGCACTTGTGTATTTTCCAAAACAAATAGCTGTTGAATATGTTGGGGCGATATTTTTCATGGATGTTACTTCTTGTATTCTGTTGTCTGTATGTACATTTAGGCGAGCCTGCATGATACTCTATCATTACATGTACAACATTAAAGTACACAACTCATATCGGGTTACAGAGATCTTACAATCTACTTATATGGATAACAATGAAATGTTATAATCTTCACCTCTGATTATTTTTCCTTATTATCTATTTATTATTGTTGTTATTGTTTTTATTATTATAATGGTTATTATTATTATTATTATTATTATTATTATTATTATTATTATTTTGTTGTTGTTGTTATTATTGTTATTATTATTATAATGGTTATTATTATTATTATCATTATTGTAATAACAACAACAACAACAACAATAATAATAATAATAATAATAATAATAATAATAATAATTATTATTATTATTATTATTATTATTATTATTATTATTGTTATTTACTAAACTTTAATATGGAAAAAAACAGCATCATACTGTAGAACAAACCCAGAGTAAGAAGTTTCAAGTGACACTTGTTCTGATGCAGTAGTCCAGGATACAACTAGGTCAAATCTGTTTTACCTGAGAGTTAATCATGACAGTATTATCATGTTTATAACATTTGACTCATAGGTTCTGTTTAATACACCTGATGTTTAGATTATTCTCCCTAACATGCAAATTAGGCACGATAGGCATAGCAAAGCATATATGTCATGGACATCTTTCTTCTCAGTCAGTAGTAAAAGGAAGAGTTTGTTGAACTTTTGACTGGCTGGAAAATAGGCATGCAGTCACATGATTTCGACCACAATTACAGCTGATGTAGATCTAATACCAACGTGGGACTGATTACATCCAAATACTGTTTCTGATCAAACAACTGTCTTTGTGGTTTAACCTTCAGATCGCCTGTTTTACACTTTCAAGGAATGTGTACAGTCTATTTCTCTCAGATATTTCCCCTCTATTTATGAAGCAAGTCTTGTGAAACACCTGCTGCTATCAAGCAAAACCATTAAACAGTTACAATTATTTGAGCCTGAATGGATAAATACACTCTGCCCCAGTTTGCAGGGATCTGTTTCATTTAAAAAAAAAAAAAAAAACAGCTTTAAAAATTTTGACCGTGTTTTGTCCATTTAAGATAGAGCTGCTCATTGTTACTCAGAGTCGCTTCATAATCAATTCAGACAGGTGCATCAGCTCTCTTCATATACTCCGCATTCGACTATATTCAAACAGCTGTCAGTGGCGAAGGTCGTTTGCTTTTGAATGTTGAATGCAGTTGTACCTGTGCAGCTGCATGAAATTGATGCAAAGCAGACTTGTACTAAACTGACTTTCATAGGCTAAAAATGCTTTAGACATTAAACTCAAGGCTTAGAGGGGACAATAGCGTCTAAAGTGTCCCTAAATGCAGAACTACAACAATCTTAACATCTCCATCCAATGTGAAAAAAAGAAGGACAATGGTGCCTGATTTATTTCTGCAGTTAAAAGGGGGAAATTCCCGATAGCTTTGACAGGCAGGGATTAAACCAGTTTTGCAGTTATTAAAAAATGACCCTGCCCACTCGCAAAAACATCTCTTGAATGACTGCAGCTCAAAGAAGAGTCTGTGTCCGTGTGTGATACAACACTGTGCAGTGTACCCAGGGCTGTGTGTGTGTGTGTGACAGGAAATGGTCTGTGTCCTTCTGCCCTCCGCTGCAGCTCTGTCTCTGTGTGTGCGTGTCTGGAGCCAAACGACCCTAATGGTGTTTACACAAGAAGACATCTGGAGTAATCAGAAAACCCATGACAAACACTCCACATCCTGCTAGTGCAGGAAGAGTGAAAAAGAGGATCAGAGTTTGACTGAAGGCAGGGAATTGCAGTGACAGACGGTAAGAAAGTAAAGTGGGCGTGAGCAAGGATGAAAGGTGGAGGGATGAAAAATGGGAATGAGAGAGAAAACAGATTTTAAAAGGCAGGATCTTCTTACATCTTCATCCAGGTTGGTCTGCTCCAGGTCTATCACTTTAAACTGGACTCTCTTCAAAATCTCCTCCAGAGATTCACATGCTTTGTAGTCTAGCTTCTCACCTGAAAAGAGACACACAGATGTCTGGTCATTTGTCTACAGTGGTGGAATTACATCACTATGCAAGTAATTAAACTGAGAAATCAGTAAAATTATTCCTAGAAGCAAATGCCTCTGAGTGTTTCAGTGCTCACCTTTAAGATCTAGGCATTCATTTCGCTGTGTCAGGTCCTTCAGTTCCTACAGAGACAAAAAGAAGCAGTGTCAGTAAGAGCAGAGTTTCTGTATTAACTTGTAAGAGAAAACTTTGCTTTTTACATTTTGAGTCTCAAATCTTAAATTAGACTTTTCATTAATAACAATTTAACTACTTCAGAAAGTCTTTTCTGGAAAATAACATATTTATAAAGGCAAAACTCAAGCACATTACAGCTTGTTTGTTGCTGGAATGTGTATGTTTTTGGCATTAGGATTTGTCATGACCCTTATAACACTGTGATGTAATTTGACACGATTATCACGTATTAAAATGAAGAAAAACACTGAACTTCTGACTCTTTTTAAACCTCCAGTCTGAATTACAACCACAGACAATACATACAGCGCTACCTTCTAAACTGACAATCAGAAAATCCCTCTCTCCAGCTGACCACTCGCCCCATTCAGCATAAACTCCATAACCTCTGCCATCATGCCACTCGTGTGTATGTGCTGATGGTGGTTGAGCTGCACATGGCTATTCATGGCCCTCTGAATGACTCCACAAAAAATTAAATTATCAGACAAATGCCAAAATCTAAAAATTACACCTTTAAAAACATTCAGATTTTTGAGAAAAGAACTGAAACTCTTTGTCATCATCCAGGTGGTGTTGAGAGCAAGACAATTCTCACCTACAATTAACAGAGGCACCTGTCGGTGAGTAGGACTTTATCAGTGTAAATACCTCTCTGAAAGAGCTGCCAGGACCAAAAATAGTGCATGACGCAAAGAGTGCCTCTGCATGAGTGGCAGATTGTGTGTGTGTGAGTGAGAGAGAGAATGTGTGTTGTGGGGGGACAGCATTGAGCTACTGATCCCCTTTTTAATGTTATTGAATTCAGCGATGACTCTCTTCACTGTATGTTCGGACTGTTCTTTTAGCGGGATTAGACGAGAGTGTGTTTCAGTCAAATTACCTGCAAGCCTTCTAGTTTGTCAGAAAACAATTTAAATTTGACATCTGGACTGGAAACAGGACAGAAAAATATGAGATGTTGGGGAAACCTTGTAGCTGCCACCTGTGAAAGGATCTTATGGCCGAGTCTAATAGAGACAAAATCAGAATACAGCTATTTTTGTATCTCCATAAGTTAGATGAGTTTTGTGCAGCTGTGCCAGAGAGGAATGGTCTGTGACCCAGCAACATATCTGGGCAAACAAAACAAACCCGCTGCTTAGAAAGTACTTCCTTGAGAGTAGGACTAGTTAGGCGCTTCCTCAAACTTAATTTAGACACAGTCACATACATTAGAAACACATGAAAGAACTCCAAAGTTACACAATCCTTCTTGTGAAGCTCCTTTGCTTTTTGTATCATTCCAGTTCAACCCAAGATGGCTCAGATCTGGCCTTTCAAAGATGGCATGTTGGGCTTGAAATAGAGCCAAACTAACAACCTCTTGAATATTTGTTCAGGGAGAAAAATGTTCAGTATCTCAGCCGATGGACATATTTAATCCCATCAATGTCACTCAGGAGGATCACATTCCTGCTATCCAAAAGACTTTTTTGGGGGGATTTCAACCATGAGTCTGTACAGACTGTTGTTTTATGGTTACCTTCTGTACTTATCCCTGTCTGCCTGTCTCCCAGTCTATATCTATCTCCCTTTTTCTTCCTCTTCCTCTATTCAACTTCCAAGGCCCATCCAGTGCAGGCAGATGGCTGGTGCGGCTCACGAAAAACAAGCTCTGTCTGTTGAAAGGATGATTTTTCTTACCACTGTTGTTGAGTGACAAGTGATAGGTTAAAGTGGGGTGTCTGAGTAAAACACGCAGAGTTTATGTTCACAGGACATCCACTTTGCAAATAGAACTACACTGGAGTAGATTTGCTCGATTTTCGAAACAAAAGCAGCTCTGTAGAAATCACAGTAGGGCTGGGCGACAAACTGAAGATTTACCGATACCGAAATTTATGACAATAACCAACGTCATTTTGCCCATACCAGTATCAAAAAAAAAAAAAAAAAAAAAGTCAAAAAAATAAAATAAAATAAACAAATCAAAGTTGGTTTGGGTGTGTAGGTAGGCTATGGTCTCATGTCCCTTTAAGACGCTGTCCTACGCCAGAGACGTGACTCCACCCCATCCAGTCCATAACAAAGAGGGAGACAGGTGAGGAGATGGAGGACGGTTTAAAAGTTGTAGCGGCTGAAGTAGACGAAGTTAATGTGGTAGGGAGTGAGCAGCTTGTGGAGTAGTTACCATCCATTTATCGTTATCGAGGTGAACTGCTCAATATATCGTGATATTCATTTGAGGCATATCGCCCAGCCCTAAATCACAGGGTATCTAAGTTTTACTGTACCCTGGCTTCATGCAAGGCATTGCATAATAGGGAAAATGCTCGTCCCTGCGGGATTGTAGCAGCAGAAATGTGACACAAGGCTACCAAGTGTTCAGGTCTCAAGACTTCGGGGGGAGTTACTGTGGAGCCGGCATTCAACATGCAGCTGCTAAATAGTGACCCTTATAAAACACACACGCACACACACACAAATGACTGGCTGGAGAAGTACATAGCCTATAGGGCCCCTGGCAGGCAGCCACGTGTACAGTGCAGTCGGACTTAATAAAGAAAGCATTTAGAGTGAAAGAGGAAAAACAGTAAAAAGGCTGAGCTCCTCACTGGCCAGTCATTTGGTCTGACTGGCTTGTTTATGTGGCTGGTTACTGTGAGGATGACTAAGCAAAAACGAGAGGGGGCGGATTTGGACCAAAAGACCACAGAGGTAGGGAGGGATGGAGCGAGGCCAGACGTTGCGAACACGGCCAATCAAAGAAAAAAGCTGAATATGAGGGAGGGAAGAATGGGAGAAAGGTGGGATATCTTTTTGATGGCTGGAAACCTCATGTACTCCCCGGTGGAAATGTGCTCAGACGGTCAGACTAAACCAGGCTCACAGCAGTGGTGTTGCAGAGTGATGTGCTTTTTTACATGTAGCTGAGATGTTAACTCCATTTTTCTCTCTGCTGACAAGGCATGTGGTGATTTTTTTTTTATTTTCAGAGTCTTCATCGCAAATCCATTTCCATCTGTGGCTTACTTTACATCACCCACACATGAAGCCGCACCCGCAGGTACATATGTGCTAAGCTCCAATAGAGAGGCCCAGTGAAGGGTTTATGTGTGTGTGTATGTGTGTGTGTGCACTCGGGAGGGTGGGACAGAACAAACAGGAGAAAGTGCTAATGTGTCCCTGCTGCTAAGGCAGGAGGCACTGCCAGCTCCTCCATCAGTTCAGTCAATCTGACAGGAAGGGGATCAGTTTGGTGACAGGATGTTCCCACACAAACACAGGCATTCATATGCTCTGTAATGACACAGAAATAGTTGAGCCAAACAATAGCTCTGAGTCTTCATCTTCAAGTGTCTCATTTGAACAAGCATGAATGTCTTAATACACCTTCAAATGAAGCTTTCTGCTCTATCATTCATAACCGTTTCACAGCACTTCGTTTTAAATGAGGGATAATAATCTCGACCAGGCTTTGCTGCTGCAAGTGAAAAAACACGACTATACCACTCTACTGTAGCTGATTACATGTACCATCCTGCAGTTTGGTGTTTTTCGAGAGTAATTAGGACCAGCTAATATGTAGGTAATGATTCACAACTTGAGAGCATCAAGTCAGGAGTTCGACACATTTTTTCTCTCCCAAATGGACACAGTCAAAACAAACATTTGAAGAAGTTAATGTGCACCGAATCATATGGTCATCAGAAATATAAAAAATGCCCCGAGGCTTCCCCCACTAGGTTCAAGAACTGCTTATGCAGAGGGATTATAGGACACATGACTGTGCTGGCTAACCCACAAGAGAAGGGGGGAAAAAAAAAGACATGAAACAACTGTCTGCCTGCTGGGAGTAAAAACCAGTACGGAAGAAAAGGACAGGCTCTATCCTTACTGGAAACTACCACGGTACTCGCTCAGAGTCATACCACGCTGCGTCATGTCTTGCTCTAAAACCACATTAAATACTTTCTTAAGTGTTTTCATCACTAGAAGAAAAGGTTCAGGATGTGTTTCTTGGAAACTAATTTGGTTTGACCTCTTGAACAAGACTTTAGAAAGAATTCTGGGTGGAGCTAACAGGTTTCCAAACTGTTCTCAGCCAGCTAATCCAGATCCTGGCTGCCCAGTGCAGCTCTATGCTGCCAAAATCTCCTCACTTTTACTGTTCTATATGCTGTATTGCCCAGTGATACTCGCAGTGATTTATACCCCTACAATTTCAGAGTTGCACAGGATGTACTCTACTACAGATGCAGCCACTGTACGGACTGTTTAAATGGATGTACACTATGATGTGTGGTATATATGACAGAGATTGGTACCCTGATATGGCTTGTGCTATCTCCAGTCTTTCACATAAAGAGATAGCATTTTTGTCTCATTTTAATATTTGTTACTTGATTCAATTAAGTAAAGCAACAAATTACTGGGATTTTACCCTACAAATACTAGCCCTGTTGAAGGTTCTTGTCTATGTAACTGTAATCGTAATTTTTGTTGAAGGGTCTTTTGTTGGAAACTTCGGGCTTGCACAAATTTTTGAAAAAATAAATCTGACCTCATGTTAAGCTTTTCCCGTCAAAAAGTATTTGGCAGCAGCATCACAAAAGCAACATAAGCGGTGACGACAGCATTACATGGAAATTGGCAACCCTAAACTGGAATATAAAAGGACCAAAAAAGGAGTTCAGCAGGCTGAAGAGTAGTGGCTTCAAACTCTGCCAAAGGATTAAACAGGGGATTATGATTTCTCACGAGAGGTGGGAAATAACCTAATTTCAAGTAGAATGGAGGTTCTCATTCAATACTTCATCCAAGACTTTCTAATTGGGTGAAATTAATATTTTCTTTTTCCAACAACAAATAATGGAGTTACAGTTAAAGCAATGTTGGAGGAAAGAAAACACAAAAAATTTAGTAATTTACGTAATTTAAGGTCTTTCAAATTGATCTAATGCAGAGGCGGATTTCAGTTCACCTGTATGACCTTATTCTTAGATGCTTTTGAATTGTTATGACACGTTTCTCTTCTAACCAAACCAAGGATGACTATATAATATTAACACTTCTTTCATATTGGACTGCGATTAAGTTTGTAACTATCAAACTGACAATTTCATATATTTGCTAGTGATGGATTCACCATAAGACTGTGTTGTTGTCAAATCTCACCTGTATCTGTTTGAGCACTTTGGGTATAGGCTTACAGTTGAGTTTCTGACAGGCTTGTTTGTATGAAGAGAGGATCTCCTCCACCGTGACATTCTGAGCTGCAAAACACAGACAAATAAAGAAAGTTAGCGTTGCTTTTTCAGCATCATTCAACACATCTGTATGGTAAACACACACACAAATCGGAGTTAATGAAATTATCAAACCACCTTCTGATCATGTTTTCAGACTGTCTTTAATACTGACTGAAGCCCTAGTATTACCTTGTCATGGATATAGTAACCTTATTTGTGCTTTAAGCTGCACTGTGCATTGAAACTAGTCATTATACTTGACTTTGAGCTATGGCTTTCATGCACAACAACTTTCATTGTTCAATACCCTTTTGTAAAGAAATCAGTCTTTTTTCACCCCTTGCAACACTTGAGTTCAAATACACCAAAGTGGAAAGAGTCTGATAAATGCAGTAGGTTTTTAATCCAGAGTGACTCTGCTTGCATGAGATGCTTGAACTTGTGATATGATTAAGTTAACGTATCTATTTTTGTGCCCCACAGTTCACACAAAGGTTACTTGCTTGCATTGCACTAAGTGCAGTGGCTACTTTTCTACAGCCACTTCTCCTGAAACTAACAAAGCATCTGAAATGGATTAGGTTTTTCCAGATCCTCCACGATGATGAAGTCTAGTGCAGGGACATAGGCTCTGTTATGTCACTTGTTTGTGTGTCTGCCTTGAGGAGCACTCTCTTGACAGAGAGAATCAGAAATTGCGGCCCCTTCAAGGGCTCGTCTACTTAAGTCAGCAAAAAGGCGGTATTGTTCTTGGTGTGTGAGTGGGTCAGCCGCTGCTGCCATCCCAGACTGTTGCAGAGGCTAACTCCAGTCAGATGACTGGGCAACATTCAAAGCCACTAAAGCTGAAGGACTGCTGGGAGATGAAGTGAGGTACTCGAGTGAAGAGACAGACGAATAATGCAATTAAGTGAGTCAAAAGACAAGAAGGGGGGCAGCCTGAGTTTCAAAACATCAGGACATAAAATTAGACTCAGAAAAAGAAATGATCATGTGAATTCTGTGCTCTGTAGACTTTATATGTAGGTAGTGTATCCAGACAGATTGATACCTTCAGAGTAAGCAGGGCAGATACAAAGAAAAGCCCAAAACTTATATTCTCGCTATAACAGTACTAATACATCGAGCTGGAGTGTGTGTGCGTGCGATTGACTTTGCGCTGCAGTTAGAATAGTTGTTTCTGTTGCCAAGGTGAGATTATTCCACCTCACTTTTCAAAACATATGAATACCATCATTATGAACATCAGCAACCACAAGAAAAATAAGAGAAGTTTATTTGCTAACCACTTGCAGAGGGAAATAGCCGAACAGACTGAAATGTGACTAATCATTTAAAAAACTGTTTTTCTAAGCAAAAAGTTTTAGTGTTGCCCTGGAGGTGACTATTATGTACTGTGCAGTTTCACATATGGTTCAGTTGGAGTAGTTGTGTAATAGTCTGTGTGTACAGCGACATAGTATAGGACATGCTGACCCCATGGTTTGGTGGATACGCCCCTTGTGTTTTTTAAGTAAAGAACAGAGTGAACAACTTGATGATTAGACAAAGAGGCATTTCAAACCCTAAAGGCAGTCATACATATCTAACTAACCGTTCAGCGCTGTCTTAATTAAAACACACACAAGTGAAACCACGACTGAAAATCATACAAGAGACAAAACTGCGGCAAGCTTGAAATAACACTGAGCTTGTGTGTGGGAGACTAAATAAAAGGGTGAGTCAATGCCACATGAATACAATGAGAAACCATATTTTACTTGTTTTGAAGCTCATACCAAAAAGACCATCTGTTGAAAACCAGCGAAGTCCAACAGCGGAACCTGGTGCATACTGGATGCTTATATATGAAATATGCAAAAAGCAAGAACACAAAAAGAAGCTACAGATAGACTCTTAAGTAAGAATCAAACCAATAAATGTAGACACTTGTGGCTATGTGCACAAACGTACTCTCTTCAATCTCAGCGAGCTGTAAATGCTAACAGATTTGCCATTATGTAGCGCTAACCTGATACTGACACGACTATAACAGACCTAAACTGAAATTCTGTCAACAATGAATCAATTTCCTGACAAAATTTTGGCCCCGACAATATCATCAGATTTCAGGTAAATAAACGTAACAAATGAAGAAGAAGAAGTAGAAGAAGGTGTATTCAAGATACATGATGCTAGAATTGGAGGAGTCCTTGGTATGAACCAGTTCTCCAGATTAGGTGACAGACTCCTTATAGGTGAGGAATGATGGTTTCGAAACATCTCCACCGTTAATCAACTTGACTGACTTTGAGAGCACCACAGGGACACGTCGATTCTTCATTGATATGACTGATTTGTTAACTCCCTAACCCCATACAGATAGATAGATGCGCTTTGTTGATTCTTCTGCACTGCATTATTCTTCATTGCAACACGATCTATTACAGGAACATTGTTGTTGTCAGAGTTTTCAGATGAGTTTCATGGCGTCCCTCCCAGTTCCCCCTTCCAGTCTTGAGGCTCCACCACCAGAGAGGATCTCAGGCACAGAAACAAGATTCAGATTCCTCTTTTGGCTTCAACTCTTCATACAAGTGAGACCAGGGCCAGTATCACTACCAGGAATCAAACTTTCTGATGGATGAGACCTTCTTTCTTTTCAGTTTCATCGCACTCATTACTGCTGTACAATAATGCGATGGTTCAGGGTTCATCCTGCCCTTCTGCCCTATTTTGGGAAAAACTGCAAGCAAAGTCCCACGGGGCTCATGTCACATTGGGTCACTATTACACTTACATTTTTGTTTTCCTCCTTTAAAAGGCCTGCTCATACACCCCATCTGTTGAATGAATACATTTATGCATATCTGTAATTTATGCAATTTGCCTGCAGCCTGAAATGCTAATACTTCTGCTCGGTTATAAAATATTGAATTTCAAAACACCAAAGACACCTGGACGCACATTTTCACTTTGTTTTAAAAGCAATTACATCTAGACATAAAGGTCCGGTTTATTACAGAGCTGCCAAAGAGGGCTTTTGCCCTTATGATGGAGTACTGTTATTATAATTCTTGTTTTGCCCTGCATCCTACGTGTAAATCTGACTTTTAATTACAAGAAAAAATGAAAAACATGATTTTCCCTTGGCTCCCAGGAGAGCCTCACTATCACCAGAACTCTCTTTTAAGCAGCTGTAATGCATTCCCTTTAATTTGTTGAGATTTTATATCTGTACCTTCTCCACATTAGATATTTGCACATAGAACTGTGAATTTAACATAAATGTCTCTGCTCCAAGAGTGTAAATTTGCCCAGTACAGCCTGTGCTTCCAGTGAACATTGTGTCCTTGGAAAAGTGTTATTGTGCAGTACTGCTGTGGAGCAAATGTGTGTGTGTGTGTGTGTGTGTAAACACTTCCTGAGGGAAAGGTGGGGTTCAGGGTCCTGTGCAAAGTACACAGTATTTTCACACATACTGTGGGTCACTAATAAGAGAAGCAGACCTGAGGGTGACGGAGGCTGCATATTAAAAAGTACATGGTTCTTCTTATTCATGAAAATACTCCATCTCTACTGTGTTCGAAAATGAAGGGAAACACAGAGAGGAAGCCTCTGCTGAACAGCAAGAATAAACTTGGTAAAGAAATGAAGTAACTGGAGGGAAAGAGAAAGAAAAACCAAACTGAGAGCTAAACGCACGCTGTTAAATCAAGGCAAGGGATGTGAGGTTCATTATGAGCTGATCTATAGCTGTTGCCGGCATTTCTGCTGGCTCTGTCTTTGTTTTATTTCACTCGCCTCCAGTGCTGCTGGTACATGCATGGAGGGCGTGGCTATGAGGAGTTACAGCAGAGAGAGGGAGGGAGTGGAAATGACTGCTCAAAAAAACACGTTTGAAAACCAGGTTAAAGAAGGTAGAGCAGCGATTGTACGTAGAATTTGATTAAAGTCAGTGTGAAAATCAACAAACTGGAGACATCGTTAGAGACAAGAGAGACTATATCACTGTTTTACAATTTAGGAGGTCACACACCTACAACCAAGCTATAGAAGTCTGTCAAACCAGGATGAGCAGGATCACATTTAAATGCAACAACATACACTTCAAATCCAAGATAAGCTGTGGGCTACAATGCTCTTTGTTGCGCTGTACCGTTTATTAATTACTGTCCTGACGATCCCTCTCCATGGGCAAAAACCTGCTCTTCATGTTGTACTGAAGGCAAAACGCACTCAGGGAAGGGCAGCTCCTTTCAAAACACCACAGATTGAGATTTCAGGTGTGGAAGGGGACAGGAGAGAAGAAAGTGAAGCAACCTGAAAGAAATTCATCTCGTCTGTGACTCGTATTCAGCTAAATGACACAAACAAGCAGAGGGCCTTGTGTCTTCTTGTCAGTTGATGTTGGCCACTATCCACCTTGCAACACATACTAAATCACTCGCTGCTCGCTTGCTGAGCTTGTGAGCAAAATAATAATAAAATCAGGATGCAGCTCCAACAGCGTCTGGCTTGCTGACTCAGAATAACTGAGGTAGATTTAGCTCTGTGGATTTTATGGTCAGGAATGATGATTGGCTTTTAACCACTATCTTACTGGTGCAGATGTAGCGTTTAACTAAGCAAACATCCAGTGAGCTGGGGTTAAACAATACAGTCATCAATTAATACGTCAAGATTAAACTACGTGGTTAAAGCAGTTCATGCACTAATGAGTTAAATATACAGATCAATATCAGATGAAACCTTTAGCTGCATTTTTTATTGACCTTATCTGCTCCCTGACATGCTTCTCCCCATGATTTAGAAGGAGTTCAATGCCTGGCATCAAAATCAAATCAATGGTTCATCCTGCACATGACTGCTTTACTTTGGAAAAGTTTGCATGCAAAGCACCACAGGGCCCACAATGTACTAGTTCATCATAACACTTATATTATGTGTTGTTTCTTATGTTTAATCTCCACTCTGTAGGTACTTGAATAAATCATGTCTGTTTTCACCTTTCAAATAATGGTTCAGTTGCATCTGTTTGACACACAACTCGTGGGATTGGTATCTTGGGGCAAGGAAAAACTGCAGGCAACAAGGGAGCTATACCTGCCATTAATAATAAATCAATTGCTCAAGCTGAACAACCGGCAGAACTGCGGCGAGTATAGACATGTATGCAGCGAGAAAGAGCTGCACTTACGGTGTGCCTTTTCAAGGAAAGAATGATTTTACAGTTAAGTATTGAATCAGAGCAGCAAACCTGCTTTTTCTCCTTCACTCCTTGAATGTAATGGAGCTTGAAAGTAGCAGGTAAGGTCAATGAGGAGAAATTAACATGTTATCTAACTCCAACAGTGACCAGGTCTGCTCACCTTAGATGACACACCTGAGCTCAGACTCAAATCTAACACGAAAACATTACTCAGAGAAATCAGCCTTTTCCTACCTTCAAGCAAGAGGATCGTATCAAGAACTCATCAGATCAGACTACCTATCAGACTGCTTCATATTTGAGCCCATAATTTGAACACCGCTCATAAATTGATCCGCCTCATAACAACAATCCTGTATGGCCACTGAATCACCACAGCCATATACTTGGAAGTGATCAATTTGAGCTTCTTAGAGCGTTTTCATTTATGTGTCTAACGCTTCTCTCTTTATAGACAACACCAATCACAACAGCAGGGCGTACAGAAATCCTTGCATGTCTTCATCTCCTTTGGATGAAATGTGTACTAGGCATAAAAAAAGCTCTTCCTCTGGACAGGCCATCACATTTTCAAAGCAGGAAAATGAATACCACTGCAGTTTCCTGACAAACTGGTCGGCTGTGTCTCCCTTTTTCTTCTTCTTTTGGTTTATGCAAATTTCTGACGCTGACAATTAAACACTGATGCTGACTGGCCAGCTAAAGCCAGAATCTCAACGACTTTCCCAAAATATCTTCTTTACTCTGTACCTAACTGCTTCTATCATATTTTGCGTTAAAGGGATATTCCGGCATAAAATTAATTTAGGGTCAAACACACTCTAACACCGAGTTAGACACCCCCTTGAGAGATGAATGTTGCCGACCTCTTGCTTCTCTAGTTATACCAACTTTAGTAACGACCGCACGATAGCAAAACACAGCGGTCTGAGGAGCCATAAACAAACAACAAAAACGCCACTCTATAGATATTTCTTCATGGAAATGCAATCAGACCGAGACACTAAGGCAGAAGAACTGATGAAGTAATGATCATAAATATTCTTAGGTGCTGTTCTGAGCATTATTTGTGGCTATAGAGTGGCATTTTTTTTAGGTTTGTGTGTGGCTCCTCGGACCGCTGTGTATTACTATCCTGCGGTCGTAACTAAACTTGGTATAACTAGAGAAGCAAGCAGTCGGCAACATTCATCTCTTGAGGGGGAGTCTAATTTGGTGTTACAGTGTGTTTGACCCTAAATTAATTTTACGCCGGAATATCCCTTTAACTGTACAGTAAAGGAAGCCTTCCAAGCACTATGTAAAATATGCAATAAGTACCTATGATGGCAATTTGATGGCATGTTAGGGAAATGAATTTTACTTAAAAAAGGCTGAACAGATCACCATCTACATTCTGTGATTCATAACATAACTGATAGTATATCAGACTAGAAGTGTTCAGCTATGATCTGATTCCTTTAATCAAAATTCAGTAACACTACTAAACCAATGTAACAATTAGCCATTTGTTTTCTTGCCATGTAAGTATGAGAGCTCATCGAAAAATAATGTATGGTTATTAACTGCAGCAGCTAAAATTATAAGGCTTCTTGTCTCCTTTGTGGCTGCACATCATTACACAGATGCAGTCAAAGCCTCCATCAACACCCACAAAAGGTCAGAACACATCCAGCCACAGAGCGCCCACAGTTTGAGTGTGGGCTTCAGTACCAGGCTCGGTTTGAGCTCGTCGTACTGTGACGGATGAGTGGACAGGTGATGGATATTTTCTGCGCTGTTAATATCACCATAGACTGCTTCAGACATAGTGTGTTTTTGTTGGTGAATACAAAAGCTAGTGTTTCCTTGAAGACTAACTAACATGATTTCTAATTATTGCAGAAATAAGGCAAACAAAAAGTTGACCCTTTTATGATTAAAGAGGGTTTAATCGCATAGTCATTATCACCTAGATTGAATAAACTACACCATGTTTGGATGTTTTTCAAATGCCAGTATGCTCTGAGGAAAATCACAACTGCCTGACAACCTCTTTGGTCAATTCTCAGCAATGTATTTTTAAGAGAGATATATGAAGCATCAATATTTAAAAATGGAGAGTGTGCTCTAAACACAATGCAAAAAACTGCAGGACTTGTGTAAACCACAGATTGTATTTCTGGTGAATATGACAAGGCCCATCAAAAATCAGATCCAAACCCAAAACAAGACACTGTAATGCTGAATTTGGGGAGTTTAAGTCTTCTCCTTATACTGCTGATCTTTACACTTTTCATTATTTCCAGAGTAACATTTGCAGAGATGTTATCTTTAAAGCTGTTGATCGTTCAATAAAGCATGCAACCCAAAGACCTTGGCGCAGACAAAGGCAAATACCATGTGAAATTAATACGACTGAGTGTATGAAGTCTACCAATTTGTTTTCCCCAGATTCAAACCTTACCTTACCACACCCCCTCACCTGACTGCGATATAACCTGCAGCATTATTGCTATCTCTGCAGAATTACACAGACATTGGGCAACAGCACACCACCCTTCATCTGGGCTCTCCACCACCTTCAGACGGATAAAAACAAATATCTAAAACCAAACACGTCAGGACCCTTGTGATGTTCTAATGAAGTTTTGTGAAAGCCTCTTGTGTTCGGACCAAGTCTTTTGGGCTTGTAAAAACATGTGATTGTTCTCTCTGGAGGTGCTGAAAAAAGCTGGCACTCAACCCACCTGGAAGCTGCTGTCTGAATAAACATGAAGAAGTTTTATTCCTGCACAAAATCACATGATGCCAGCTCTCAGGCAACATCATCAAACCAAATGGTTTACGTTTGGTAGGTGCTTTTCACCTTGCAGAGGCAAGAGTAAGGGCAGACTTAGGTTACTTTAATTGTTTGTGTACAGTTAAGGATCTTTCAAAGACCCTTAACCGTACGGGTCCATTTATCTACCTTAGCTTTGTCATCTCTGTGCCGTCGTCACTCACTTTTCTTTGTCAAGATAAGAGCAGATGAAGTGTGCAGGTGCTTTACCCTCTTCTCACTTTGGCAACAAGAGGGGAACAAGTAGAGGCAAGTGTTTGCATGCCTGCATAGGGCACTTTTTGCAGAGTCAGACAGACGATTGACAGACTTGGAACCAAGAAAGACCTCTGAAAATTCATGGCCTAAAACAGTGTCTAAATCCTCCCTATTTGACTCATCTCCACAGCCTTGTTTTGTCATGAGTTCAGAAAGCTACGGCACACTCTGTACCTTGAAGAGTGTCAGGCCTCTGCAAACAAACACCCAAACTGCTGCATGAACACATCAGGCTTTAGCCCAGGACAATAAAAAGTGGCATACAACAAACTCAAAGAGTAGGTAGAGGCTGGAAATGGAGGCATCCTGTTGACTGAACAGATAGCTATTGCTACCCCACAACAAGTGACAATCAATCTTCTTGAGGTTGTGTATGTATGTTGACAGAGGGAAAAGTAAAACGATCATTAGTTGATTATTTGAACAACTTTCATCAAGTTACAGTAACTGTAATGACAAGCAACCACCAAGAAAACAGTGTTAAAAGGTTACGTGATCCAAGCGGAAATTGTTCACAGCAAGTAGTTTTCAAAGCAGCACAGACACATGGAAGCCAGGTGTCCGACTGGCATCGCTTTCTCTCAGTTGGATACACTGAATTTACTGGATATATCAAAGTTGAGCTCTGTTCACTCTGCCATGTGGTCAGGTACAATTTTCTTTGAAATTACAACAGTGATTTTTGAAGCACAGGCCTCTTAGACGCTGCAGTTCAGCAACGGCACTGGAATAGTCCCACCATGACTACACCTTTATACTTACACACTTACAAACTGCACCTGGACCAGCGTAAACTTGAGAGTTTCACTGTCTGAATAATAGGGATGCACCGATCCAATATTGGCTTCCATATTGACAAATTAAATGGATCGGATATCTGATGAATGATGCCGATCCAGCGTTCCAATCCAGTCATTTTTTTTCCTTTTAATTAATATCATACACAGCAACACAGTGATTCAATTCGCTCTATATTCTATGTCTGTCTCTCGTTTTGCACCAAGTGTTTACATGGAAGTCTTACTTCTTTTTTCTGTGTGCTAATGTGCAATTTTTTATTTGTTAATAAATAATATTAAGTAAATTTATATGTGTTAATTTGTTACCTGTTTTTTTAACAAGGCTAATGTCAAGCCTGATGCCTTCACTTACAGGGTAAGGTATACAGTTCATTCATTCAACAGTAGTATTGGATCGGTACCTGATATCGGCTGATACTCTCAGACCAGGTATCGGTATTGGGCTGAATCAGAAAAAAATGGATTGATGAATCTCTACTGAATACACGCCACACGCTCTGCACATAGAGTGTTTTTCTGTGCTGTCAGCTCAAATGCTGTACATTTCCAACTTCAGTCTATGGGTGATAACAAATCTGATAACAGGTGGTGCACTGAAGCATTCTGGGGGATGTATTCTGCTGCGCTGTTTGACTGAATTGTAATTTACAGAGATGGCTCTTTGCAATTTTGTTGACCCTTATTAGTTTGGTTGAGGTGGACAAATAAGAAACAGCCAGTGCCACACAATTCAAACACACTGAAAGGAGCAGATTATGCAAAAAAAAAAAAAAATCAGGGTATGTTTTTATTAAGTTTAAAATAAATCTGTAAAGGCATCTAAGCAAAATTTAGAGCTACCTGCTTCACCGACTTCTGCTTTCACAAATTACCAACAATTTGAAATCAATCAGCTGTGATGTGAATAAGCCAAAGTGAAAACATGAAAATGACCCAACTTTTGAGATGACCGCCTTTTTACTGGACAACATGCATGTCTGAAATAACATGCCAAGCCTCTTGGCCAGCATCCAGACATAGATGCAAATGTTTGAGGTGGAACAGAGAAGTGATGCCAACTCCTACTTAACATTCAAGTGACAGTGTTCAAAATAGCCCCCCTCTCCCAGTCTCCCATCTCACTCCCTGCCATTTCACACTGCCTTGCTGTGAACAGTGACAGCGGCGTCATTCACACATGACAGCTGGCTGCCTGGCTGGTCAGAGGTGGGGCAAAAAGGCAGAGCCTGTGCCGCTGCTGCCGTGTGCCTCTCTCAGTCTGGATGAAAAGGTGGCAGCAGTGGGTAAATACAACAAGAGACGACAGAAAGAAAGAAAAGAAACGTTTCATGCCAGAGCTCTTTCTGATTAAAAAAAAATATGACCTCAAAGGGTTTCACAACCACCTAAACCCATTTGCATAATTGAACTCAATCCATAGCTGCACAGGCATGCCTGAGGGCAGTGGGTCAAAAGTAAACAAAGTAAATCTGATGGCTTTAATGATGTGGCTCAAGAAATCGCACCACTTTGCAGGAGTGTAATTAAACAAGCAAAAGCCCTGGAATCTATTTGAAAAGCAGATCAATAATTAACCGACCGCAGAGTGGTTAGACTGAGGCCAGATCTGACTAAATTACAACACCTGCAACCCCTTAGGCTTCCTACACAACAGTCACCGAAAACACTACTGGCAGTCACATCACAGCATAGATACACAAAGTCTCCTCTGGTTGAAATGAGCTGACACATTAACTGCAGACACAACATGTACTGTTTGACAATCTACAGTCTCACATCTTATCAATATGCGGTTGGGCAAGAAACACTATAATTTGTTATGATCAACAATGACCGGTAGCAGATAATTTTCAGTACAGCTAACAGTTTTACCTCTTTTTTTTAAATGATGAGGCGATTTGTGAAATCTGTGGGGAACAGGTAACTGCTCTTGGTCACTGTCAGCATCCTCAGGAGTCTGATGAACAGACGAGAATGGTATGTTTGATTATTCTATCAATAACTATTGATCCTAAGCCATGTGAGTAATTAGCAGAGGGCTATAGTGCAGACAGAAAAAAAAGGTGAGTGGGTTCCTCCTCTAACGCGCACAGATGGTCACTTCTCATATTTACAGGACAAATAAAGGTGCATGTGCATAGGCTTGAATGTATAATGAATGAACCCTCACACACTTGAGTCAGCCCAGAGGGCTGATGTCATCAGCGGGTATTTTTGTATCACAGACGTGTCATTATCAGAGTGTATTGTTGGTAGGATAGGAAATCTCCAAACGAAAACAAAACAACTCTGCAATTTCAAAACAGTGTCATCGTCACAGTTTGTCCAGGAGACGCTAATGTTTACAGCACATTCAAGAAGCTGTTTGACATCTGAGAGAACTGTGATATGAGACTGCTGGTATATAATCTCAGATATTTGATTATTGTGAAGAAAATCATCCTCGCCATCATTTTCAAATAATTAAACAAAACTATACACTCTAACATTCACAGTTTCTCTTGTTCAACCTCCAAGTGACCTCTTAATCTTTAGCATTTCTTGCATGTCAGGACATTAACACCAACAAAATTAGATCTAATATGAATGAGCTTTGCTTGCTGTGAAATGTGAACCCTGCCTGTGCGCCGGAGTATCTCCTGTGATCATTTTCAGTAAATGTGTGTAGATTCTTCAGGTGTGTTTTGATTGTTTTTGCCAAACCGATGACGCACTTGATATTTTAATTTGCCACGTTGTTAAAACAACAATTATGATATTATCTCCGACAATATGGACTGCACATCCCTACTCCTAAGTAATGGTGCAAGCTCACTTCATGTCTCACCACGTTTTAATGAGAAATAGGGTGTCAATGACATCAGTATGACAGCTGGCATTAACAGCTGGCTTTAGACAGCAGACTGGACTCTCAAATATTTGCACCCATGTCTGTTCCAAAAGGATGAAGACGGATACTTACGCAATGAGATGTAAGAGACAGGGATGTTCGGAGGGGACAATATACTTTTAACAATATTGATCACTTCATGGAAAGGATTATGAAATTCGACCTTTTAAAAACAAAATCACGTGGCAAATGATTTTAATACTCTTTTGCAACCTGAACTGACGTTAGGTTTTTCCATTCTGTAGACAGCAAGCTTTGCTGATCAGTATGTAACTTGGTCCACAGCCATAACACACAACATTTCATGGGTCACTGAGCCTCTAACAACCTGGTGCCAAGTGGGCCTAGGGTCTGATGACAAGAGACAGAGCTGCACGTAGGCCAAATACTTTGTTGGCTCGCAGGGTAAACAGTTATTAATGTGAAGGATTTGTCTGATTTGTATAGCTTCATCTGACTCATAAAAAGCTGGGTAAACAGCAGCAGTACTCGAGTTGTTATACTGCAACAGCATCTTATTATTACCGGTGCTTGCTGTAAAACACAAATCCCCATTATTTTACATGGACAGTCTTCCTTTATTTAAGAGTGCTTGAATAATTCATAAACCTGAAAAAGCAAACCGCTTTGCATATGCATTCAGTTTGACTCGAGGCTTTTTTGACACAGGATTGAACTGCACACGTACACTTAAGTTGCCATTCTGGGAAAAGAAGAAACATGGGAGTAAAGGGAACAGGGGAAGCAACACAGCATGTTGGGAAGTTCAGGAATCTCAGGATGTGATGTAGTTCTTGCCTGGGTCTAAAGGGAAAGCACAAACAACCCTGAAGTGGAGAGGTAAAAGGGTTTAAGAAATGTCACTCTTACTTCAAACTAAACCAAACTGACATTTTCTTTACTATTTTCTGTAAGCAGGGAGAGTTTATCTATAACTTGCACCTTTTACTAAAACCATACAAATTTTACTTTAATTCTAACAGACTTATCTGAGTGAAAATAGAGCAAAGACACACCAAATGTTGCAAGTGAAAAAGAAAAGACGTGACTCTGCAGTGGAAATCACTGCATTGGCTCAGAATCACCTCCAAAAACAATGTCTGTAAACACATTTTGTTGCAAATTAACGGTCCTTACACACCGGGACCGACGCAAATATACAACGCAAAATTACAAAATATTCAGGGGCGAATTTTGACGTGCCTGACTATGCACATCAAGCCTGATGCGATTTTGCGACTTCCGGGGGGAAGAAGACGCGTCCCGGGTGGAAGCGAGAAGACTGACACAACACCAGGCTGGGTGTTTTTCAGTTTTGATTAGACACTGGTGTTGAGGTGTCTGTCTGTCATGATAGCATGTACTGAGTCGGGGCCAGTACCAGATAAGCACATTAAACTATAATCCATAAACGTAAGGAAACAACCGAGACCTAATGGTGCTGTGACAGCAACACGATTGAGTTTGAGACAGTGAAAATACATATGGTATGTTCACTAAAGTGAAGGGGCAATTTTTCCTGTGCCAGGCTCTAAAGAGGAGAGGGATGCCCATACTACTTATCAGTGCATTGCATGGTAGCTTAGACTTCTGGAAAGGCACCATTAGAGCTGAACAGTATATTCACGTTTATGTGCAACATACGCTGCTATCCAGACAACTTATTTTATCAGGAGAGGCCTTGAATAACAAATAGAAGTAGAAGAGTCCAGTGCTTAAGTGGTCTGCCTGCAGTGCTGTTGTACAAAAATTACAACAAAAATCCCCCAAACTCTTGAGCACCAGAAATCCTTTTTGGGCAAAAATGGGACATCCCGCTTTGTACAATTTTGAATCAAATAGAGCAGGATTTAAACTATTAACTATAAACAAACCACCAAAATCTACTTTTATAAACATTTTACACATTGTCCCAACTCTTAGGGAATTGGAGTTTTATACTACTAAGGTAACTTCCTGAGGCAGTGTGGGTCTTTTACAAGACTTGTCACAAGATTCTGCAGTATTTAGAGTGCCAAGAAAGACATAGAAATATGACCCCCCCCTCCGAAAGGGCTCCCATTGTTCACCCAGCTCTGTTTTCTTCTGAACCCCGGGGGTTTATTTTGAATGGCAGCTATCTCGACTCCACCAAGCTAACGGCTAAGCAGGAGCTTACTTCAATACAGTAATCAAGCCACACATGCTGCATGTTGCTTAGCAGACAGGATATACTGTATGAAGTTTAATAACGTCTTCACTATTTCTTTTCTCTATACTCTTGCAACTGTAGCTCAGACTGTCTGTGGAAGAAGCTTGCGGCTCTGTGAGCTCAGGCTGTTATGTCTCTGACAGATAACATAAGACAGAGACCCAGAGAACCTGACACTTGCTCAGCACAAAAAGGCTCTGTGTGGATCACGAACCTATTGAGGCTCGATGCAACTAATGAAGCATGAAGCAGCCACAAAGATTAGATTCTGATATACCCCATTTCCTTGACTTTTATCCAGATATAAATACATAGAGGGATTTACGACGATAATGAGGTAGCATGTCCGCAAGAGAGATGGCAGATGCCAAACAAAGAAAATAATGGAAGTTAATGTAAAGTCATAGAAAAAAGGGGGGAAAAAAATTACTGAATGTGGGTGACTACATAACTTAGAGATTCAGCTTGTATATTTTGTCAACTCTACACAAAACAGAAGACCATTCAAACAGCTGTAACCTGATTTAACCTCAAGAACTGAAAAGGGTGTAAAAAAAATAAAGTTCCAGCTATGATTACCACCAGTGTTTTAAAATCCTGTCTGTGGGTTTTATAAACGTTTGCAAAGTGTTTTTATAAAGTGTTTAAACACAGCTCTGGGAAGGCTCCTTAAGTGTCACTGGGCAAGACACTGGCCTCATATCGCTCCTAAGGGCTGTGCTGCCAATGTGCGAGTGCATGTGCAAATGAGGGCATGTATCTGTATGGGGTGTAATGGCATGTAGTGTAAAGTAATTTGTGCATTCAGAGGTCTAGTTAATGCGCCATCTTTGTCATTTCAAGTTGACTCTGATGCTGCAGCTCCTCTGTAAAATTTATCTTATCTTACACATGTTGGACAAGATACAGACCGAGATGTGAGCTAAAATCTGCACTTAAAATAACCACTAAAACAGTGTAATTCTATCAATTTTATCAATTTCATCCCACCTCTTTTTAAGGCCAATAGTTCTGACTCTGGAAAAGGACTATGACATCTTTCAGTTGACATAAAAGAATGACTTGGGTCTCCTAAAACACAGTAAACTACTCTCAAAAGAACAAACATGAACTGTGTCAGTTATTTAATAATCTCATTTCTAAAAAAAAGATAATGAAAGTGAAAAATTCCCAATTTATTACATTAAATCTCTTCTGATGTATGTACTTAAAATAAATGTCTTTGCTTGCATTAAAATAGAACAGTCATCATGTGATTCACTCTTCCACCATCCAGTGTGTGTCCTCTACATTAACTGCATAATCTCTTGAACCTTTGGAACTTAAATAAACTGAACGATAAATGTGCTGCGATAAAATATCTGAGCCCACAATACAGCCGTGTAGATACTTGACTGTTCCCAGTGCCAAGTGTTTCACAAGGTCCTAGAATTCCTGGCTAACTGGCCTCGACTTTGCCCCCGTGAAGGTAGGTTTTGATATTTCATGTCCACTTTAACGCTTGGCATACACACTCAAAATGATCAATAATATTGAACCCTTGTAAAAGTCATGAGGTTTGATTAAGGACCACAAGAGGTGAATGCTAAATTCAAAATTAGATTAAGCTGGTAGAATATAATATAGGACCACAATTTGGTGTAAAATGTTTAAGGCTTTAGATCCAACAATTTACAGAAACAGCGCTGTCCATGTATATCCACCTTGATGCTTTCCCCTCCCCCCAGCTTGTGTTACTGCCACTTGCCTTGGTGTGGCCTACATTTTTGGTTTCATAGGCGACATCAGGAAAAAACACTCAATGGCTTAACCTTTGAAACACAGGTCACAGAGACAGTGAGATTGTACGGCCAGCTGTATAGTCATACAAGCATGCGATACGACTGTTGAATCCTGTCATGGTAAAGTGAGCAAAACCTGCAGCAACGGATGAAGACTGTCAATTGTCCACACCCCCAAAATGGTGTATTGCTCATCCAAAATAAGAAGTAAGAAAAGGCTCTATTAAATCAGTGTAAGTGAGAAACAAACAAGAGCATCTGGTACCGCATATTAATCTCATTAGCTTCAAATCAGGGTTATGGACAAAACACGGTCGCTTGGATATGAATTTGTACAATATTTTGCATTCCATTAGTAAACTGTCTTTACAAAGTTGAACTGCAATCTTCAAATATGCCGAGTAGACGCAAAAATACATTTGTGATATAATTACAGTAAAGTTCTTCATAAAATATCTACAATCCTGATATATCAGATTTAAGGTCCTTTCACATCGGGAGCATTTTTTTCGTGCGATTATTTCGGACGTCAATGTTTTTTTTGAACCCGTATCCTGTCAATACAAGCGTTCACATCAGCGACATTTTCCTGTCCTGCAATATTGCAGCATTTATTTTTTCGGATCATGGTCGATTTTTCTAAAGTTTCCCAATTCACCGGTATATCCAACATGGCTCACCAGCTGATTGTTTACGTGTCAGAGAACAGAGTGCTTTTTGATAAAAGACACAAATATTACAAAGATAACGACCTGAAGGACAACTTGTGAAGAGTCATAGCATTGTATTTCTCATATGATGATGGTTTGTATGCTTTTACAGTTTGCTAAACGTCTTTGTTTTAACTTTCATCTGTGCTAATGTAAGCTAACGGTTGTTACCATAGTTTCATGTGCTTATCTTATCGCCTCTGATCGGCTATAAGTGCTGGCCGTTTGGCTTGAGCATGTAATGACGTTTCCAGCTTTTCTAGCCAATCAGAGACGAAGGAGGCAGGACTTTCCCTGGCAAAAGTCTTCCCCGGGATGCGTCTTTTCCCCCCTGGAAAGTCGCAAAATCGTAACTGGCTTGATGTGTATAGTCAGGCGTGTCAAAATTCTCCTCATAATATTTCGTGATTTCACATTCCATATTTGCGTCGGCCCCGGTGTGTAAAGACCTTAAGTCATGTGATCTGTACTGTGAGAAAATGCTGTTTTTTAAACTTATTTCATATTTCTGCACACATTTTTTTTAACAAGCTATTCCTCATTTTTATTTTTTGGCATTTTTAAAAATTTTTTTTACAGCTGATGTATTTTGTGTAACTTCTCAAGATTTTGAAAACTCTTTCTAAATCTATGATTGATGCTATTCATTTTGAAAACATTTGCATTGTATTGCAAAGAATATAAAACTTCAACGGAAAAGGTAACATCCTATTTTATCCAAAAATCTGGTTCCTTGTTTCAACACAGTTAAGGCAGAGCCCTATCCTGTATGAGCTTCCTCTGGACGTGTTTTCACTGAACAAACAGGAACCTAGCGGCACACCTCAAGGAGTGGTGGGATCCACTCGCTAAATGGCAAACAGCACGGGCCTAGGCCTATATTCAGATATTGAGCTGCTGAGGGGAAAACGTCAGACTAAGTTTTAGTGTCAACTATTTCACTAACCAAACCATTAAATGACCTCCTGTTTGAAAAAGGGGCGGGGGCACAGGTGCTGCCCCAGGACTAAACAGGCTGCAGTGTTTACCTACATGAGATGACAAGCTTTGAAGAAAGGCACAAAAGAACATTCCTCTCAGAGACACACCTCTTGTGCATCACTGTCATCATCCTACCAATAATCACTTTTTACTCACTTCATATGAACTACTCTTGACGACCATGACAGAGCAGATTTGAGAGCCTCTTCAGATTTCAGGCTTGAAATAGACGCTGTTAAAATTCCTATGAGAATAAATCCTGGCAAACCATATTGAACTGGCGTGTTCGTACAAGTACAATAAATAGAAAGTCATTCACACATAAAAACATGCACAAACAAATTACCATGTCTCCAGGGGTCCTTGGGCTCCACTGCTCCAGAGACGATATCATCATCTGAAGGAAAAGTCACCCTTTTGCCACTTGGTTTGTGTTTATCATCCCCCTCCTCCTCCACAGTGGGGTATAGTCCAGCCTGATCTGTGGGGGCAGCTTCTGTGCTGCTTGTCTCGTTCGCATCTGACAAGCTCTCCTCTGTGCTGCCAGCTGGGACATCCTGAGACTTGGACTGTAGGTCTAAAGTACTGTCCAACAATGATGTGTTGCTTGTCGATTCGGCCTCTAGCACCCCACTCTCATCAAGACTCAGATCCACACCGATGTCCATGTCCCCACCATCGTCCCCTTCATCCAAAGCAAAACCTCCAGGCTCAGCATCCTTTTCTTCCCTTATGGCCTCTACCTCGATATTGTCCTTGTGCTGCTCATCATTAGAAATGAACAAGTCAGTGGGGCTCACGGCCGCAGGGGTGTCTTTATTAGTGCCTTTTGTATTTCCATTGACCTCGTCGATTTCCAGCGTGTTTGGAGCCTGGTGGTTATCCTCCTCAGCTGCCTGAAGGTTGTCTGTGAGCTGAGGCATCAGGTATGTTTCAGAGGCGTCTGCGGGGACAGTATTTTGTATTTCTGAGGTGCTATCCGTCATCAGTTTAGATATCCGGGGAGTGACCCCTTCTGTGTTGTTAGTAGTGTTGTGATCATCATCAACATTGCTTTTTGTCTTGACATTGCACACTTCTAGACACTGCTCTTCGATGTTCATGTTTTCATTTCCAGTGAAACGCTGTCTTTCACTGTGCCACACAGTCTAGATCAAGTTAAACAGTAACTAGGCACAAACTGACGGATAAGTCTGTCTCCTCAGGGCTGTGTCTAGAAACATATCACGATAGGCACATATCCTGGCCCTTTAATGTATATTTAAGTGCATTTACAAACTGTATTTCGACTGGTTTGTTTTAACAGGGTAGGAACAAAATGAGCAGGAATTTGGAGGTGTCTTTGGAGCACCCTAAAAAAGAGCCAGTTAAAGTGCAATTTTACACAAATATCAGAACAAGGAATGTCCGTTTTAGGGATTATTTCTGCGCCAGATGAGACAACTTTTAAACAAGTCACCAGAAAGGCAACCAGGGATCACTACCCTAACACAAACCGGGTCCTATGGTCCGAGAGAGAATCGACGACTGCCTCACAGGTCGTCAGCACATTACCACCAGTGTTTAAGAGCTCCACACAAGTCAATTACAACGAACAAGTCACTCACGGTGCCTCCATTATGCTAGCGAAGCGAGCTTAATGCCCGACACCAAACCGATTCATTTGCATGTATCTGACCGAGCTTGTTGGGGAGCTAGCTTGCTAAAGTTGTTGCTCAACAATGACGTCCAGGCCCGTGGAAGATCGCGTGCCTGCTTCTGTGCGCGAGTCCGTCCGTTTCACCCGGACAAAGTCCATTCTTCTGTGTCTGAGAAAATATCCTCCGTTTGTTGCACTCGTTTCACCGTCGCATCTCCAAACCCCTCGACCAGCAGTAGCCAGAGGAAAAACACACACACACACTCACAGCTCTCACACTCGAGCGATGAGCATGGTTTGGTGGCTAACGTTAGCACTATGGAACCGTTCCGAAAGCCACCACACCTGTCGGCACGGTTAGTGTGGATTAATAAATGGTTATTGAGGTATTTCACCCGCTAGGATCCCACAGGTTTGTCCTTTCCCAGGAGAAGTACGCCGAACCTGTTTTTGCCCAGCGTTGCCACTCGCTAGCTTGTTGAAGTCCAACAACTGTTTGTTGTTCACACTTCTACGTCAGCACGTCATAACCCACAGGGGTACGTTCAGCAAACGCAGTGTTACAAAGCGTTTCGAAAAAGTGTTTAAGGCGATTGTTAAATGCAGGGGTGTTATACTCAACCACAGCAAGGGTCATTGAGGTCTAACCTGAGGGCCACACAGGGTCAACAATTCACCAAAACTGTCTACCTCCTTTTCAAAATATAAATAACAAAAACAGCAGTGATTATAAATCATTTAGAAATTCAAAAAGGATAAAAAGATACATTTGAAGGCAATCTGAGATAGAAAAATTTTCAGAACATGATATAATAAATACAAAAATAATGCTTTTAAAGTATTAGAATAAATAAAACACCAAATATTTTTTCCCCACATTCTTGACTATTTATCAAATCTTTCTTACTCTTTAATTTCCAAGATTTCCGTGGCTTGTAAAGATTATGTGATGCATTATAAGAAGAACCTGAGGAGGACCATGCAACAGTGTGGACAAAAGTGAATAAATAGTCAAGTCAAGTCAAGCCAAAGTTTATTTGTAAAGCACCTTTAACAGACAGCAGTCAAACAAAGCGCTGTACATGAGATAAATTAAATAAATAGATAACAATAAAAAATAGAATTAAAAACAGTAGAATAAAATACAGACAGTTAAAGAATAAAAGCTACAGTGGCTCTGATTCCTGTGTGCTCATTTATTAAATGCAAGGGAGAAAAAATGGGTCTTTAAAGATGATTTAAAAGACCCTTAGGTCTGAGAGGCTCTAATATGGCCAGGTAAACTGTTCCATAGTCTAGAGCAGTGGTTCTTAACCTTGTTTGAGGTACCAAACCCACCAGTTTCATATGCACTTTCACCGAACCCTTCTCGAATTTACATGAGTCAGGTGTGTCTTGACCTCCGTGGCAGAGGCTCCGCCGAACCCCTGAGACTGACTCACCGAACCCCTAGGGTTCGATGGAACCCTGGTTAAGAACCACTGGTCTAGAGGCAACCGCTGAAAAAGCCCTGTCACCTCTAGACTTGAGCCTGGTTTCGGGACACTTGACAGTAACTGGTCAGAGGACCTTAAGGCTCTGGCTGGGGAGTGATGATACAGGAGCTCTGACAGGTGAGGAGGGGCAAGACCAGTGAGGATTTTAAAAACTATAAAAAGAATTTTTAAAATCAATGCAAAAGTGGACTGGGAGCCAGAGAAGGGTCACTAAATATATCAAATTGCACAAAAGACAAAAAAAAACAAAAACAAAAACAAAAACATGTATTTTTACTGCATACAGGCCACATTGATAAGAAACCGAGGAGGACCATGACATAACGCATGCCTTTCAAAATAAGCTGTCTTTCAAAATAAAAGACATGTCAAACAATAGATGCGCATTCAATATTTTTTTTGACCACCTGTTCGCGACCCATCCAGAAAGTGTTCGTGACCCAATTTTGGGTTGAGAACCACTGGTTTAATACTAGTAAAATTGCATTTCCTTGCAGAAAAGGCATGGAAATGCTGAGTGCTGAAAAAGCAAGGCAAACTGCTAATTAAAAATTGAAGGTTTAAATGTAAAAGCTGTTGAGGGGTGAAAAAGAAATAGAAGTTGGATAATTGTGAAAATGGTTGAAGGACAAATAGTATGAATATGCTCCATAAATTGAAATTTTATTAATGTTGATAGAGGCTAGAAAAATGTCTGAAATTGCACAAAGTCTGAATGAAGAAGTAAATCACCTTAAAAGGCAGGAAGGTGAGAAGTTGCACAAGTTTAAGTTGTAGTTCTAGTATTAGTTTGATAAGTAGTCTTAGTGATATTAGGCTAGTATGTGGGCTCCAAGATAATCAGGAATTACTCATTATCATAGAGGAACAGTCTGGATGAAAGCTGCTTAGGGCCTCTGAACTTTGGTGGAAACAAAGCGCTTTGATCAATGAAAGGTCAAATCTAATTTGCTTCTCGCGGAGAACATTAGAAACAGTTTTAATGAAAGACCTTTTGTCGTTAGGAAAACTGTCTCAACCTGCACAGGATCCCAACAGGGCCAATTTTTGATGGATAGAAAATTCATGGCACTAAATGAACTTGCAGATTTTTTTTCCCCCCTATATGCTCTAGAAAGCCCAAAGAGTTAGAAAATGAAGCCCTTCTGTGAAAATCCATGAAACCATCTGCTATGAAAGAGAGCTGGCTATCAAGACAGTGAGTGATAAAGCATTTCCCCCCAGCCCTGCCTCATTGAATAATTACAGGCCTCCTTTTAAAAAGAATAAAACACTTTAATATAAAATTTTACAAAGTCTATAGATTCACATTTAAAACTCTTGAGACTGGACATCTTTGGCTGTGAGGTCATCCTTGGGCCCTTTGGTCTTTTTGGGGAGAAGGCTCGCCTGAATATTTGGGATGACACCACCCTCTGAAATTGTGACCCCTGCTAGCAGCTTGTTGAGCTCTTCATCATTTTTCACCGCCAGCAGGATGTGGCGTGGAGCAATACGCTGCTTCTTGTTGTCACGGCTGGCGTTTCCGGCCAGCTCCAGGATTTCAGCGCAGAGATACTCCAGGACAGCGGCCAGGTAGACCGCAGAGCCATTGCCAACCCTCTCCGCATAGTTGCCTTTCCTTAGCAGCCTGTGGATGCGGCCCACAGGGAACGTGATCCCAGCCCTGGAGGAGCGGGTCATTGAAGATTTTGCTTTGGGTACGGTTTTCTTACCACGGCCGGACATCTTTAATCTGAGTTAGAGAAAGACCGCAGTTTAAATCACATGAACTTAGAACAGAGCACAGCGATATTGAGACTAATTTCATGTCAAGTACTATCATTGCACTAAATCAGAAAGAGGCCTACACCCTCTAAAAATGAACAACTTTTCAAAAACTCTCCCCACTTTTGAGGTCAAACCACATCAAACTCCAACACTCACCTGTATCCTGCAGTTTCTCAGAGTTGACAGGGCAGCTTCACTCCGAATCACAAAGACCAGCTTTTAAATGGTTCAGGTGGTCATTTGTTGATTGCTCACACCTGGACCTTCTGCTGCATGGAGCTGGCATGATCCAAAGACATTATAATATGTTTTAAACCAACTTTTTCTCTCCTATACACTGTGTTGAACTAGGTGGACCGTGTGTTTCTTGGTGCAAAGAAAAAAGTTGGTTTGGTTTGGAACAGTGTTGATGAATCATTTTCCTGGGGATAAAGTCAAATCAATTGATCACACACCTGTGTGAAATAAACACCCTTAAAGATGACTTCCCCTAAAACCTTTTTTGACAATTCATATTTTGTTCTCCAAAGATAAAAAAGTGCTGGTACAGACCATACTTTATTATCAAAAACCCAATGTAAAAATGGGATGAGACTGACCCCATCTTGTAAGATCAAACCCACTCCCATCCCATTTTCATCCACTGGAGAGAAGTAACACTTTGCAGCATTTTGAAAATCACAGTGGAGAGAAAAATCTTCCTTTGACAGGCAGAAACCTCAAGCAGAACCAGACTCATGTTAGACAGACGCCTTCCACCACTGTGTATAGTCAGGTGCATTTGGTTTAGAGAGGGGACAGAGGGAGATGCAGTAGGAGAGAGAGGTGGACAGAGGTGAGACTGATGCATGTAATCAAAGCAGGCAGGTCCACAGCAGCAAAACTTCTGCAGCAGTGATCCAGATAAACCTACGGTATGATGGAGCTCAGATACTCCCAGGTAAGACTGTGGAAAAGGGATCGTAGTGATAAACATGATAATCCACAGGAATAGCTCCAAGTAAATAAATCTATAGATACGACTAAGCAGTATCAAATTTAGATACTGTAGTTATGCAGTCAATCAAAGTTGGGGGTCAAAAATTGTTGAGGGATTAACTGATTAATTTGAGCAAACTGCATGGGCAATAAGAAGGGGGTCTTGCAACTCAGTGAAGTAAAATTAATGAACTTGCTCGGAATATAAGTAAAAGTACCCATCATGTCTTTATGAACTGTTATGGAGTAAAATTATGAAGTGATTGAAGTAGAAGTACTCAGTGTAGTGTTCCAAATTGGACTTAGAGAATACTATAAAGTTATGGTTACAATGCAGATCTTTTTAATGAAATCTGACAGGCAAACAAAAAATTGTTCTTAAAGTGAAGCAGAACTATTTCTGTGCATATTCTGAAAGTGCCCACACTAACAGCAGATGGCAGCACAGACCTCTCACTGACACGCTCACTGTTTCAGTTTGACCTTACTCTGTGTTTCACTTCAATGACTTCTTCTTAATGATGGAGCACTTTCCAAACCACTCTAAATGGTGTCATGATCCCTCAGTTTATGATGAGGTGATTAACTGTGTTTGTTTCCCTCAGCGCTCGCTTACCAATGAGCTGCTTTGGGCGATGTGATGACTCATGTCTTACCTCGGTGTACAACTCAGCATCAACACAAATAGAAAGGGATTATTTATGATTAATCCCAGCAGAGCACATGTTATACATATATGTAAATATGGGTTGGGTGGGTTAATTTTGTCGTGATCTCTTTTGACAAGGGTGTAAAATTACACTCAGGTTCAATGTTCAGTTGTGGTCTTGGTGCAACTTGTTCAAATACACTCTTTTTTTAAGTCAGTGTTGATAAATAGTCTTTTATTTAATTTGCTGTGGTGCTCACAGGCTCAGGTGTAAATATCAGAAAATATGAAACTAATTTTTCCTGCATAATAGGGGCTCAAGCTACCAGAGACACATGTAAATGAAGACTGACTGACAAAGAAGACCTTCCTTTTTATATAACTGGGGGTAACTTTGGCTGCCTGCTTTTAACATGTGTTGCCAGTTTCTATTTGTCCTTTGTACCACTTTCTTCCTTCCACCTGTACTAACAGTGAGGGATGGAGGAGGGACAGAAAGACATTTTGACTGTTTGGATTCACTTTAAAACATGGCCAAGGGCCAATTATGAAGCAGCGGGAAGACAAATTAAGCAGGGACCTTCCCAGCAGGTCGTCCTTGACCAGATTGGATGTGATTCAGTTCAACCTCTCAGCATCCTCCCGACACAAGGAGGACAGGAAGGGACTCACAAGCTGTCACTGAGCCGCTCCTGCTGCACGTCTCTACTGAGGTCTGACTTTCAGGCAAGTAAGGCCAGAGCACACTATTCAGCCAGTCTCCTAACACAATTTATCTGCACTCAGCGGAGAGACTGGATCATTGTAAGCTGTAGTTTTTCATCATCTGAGTTGTCATCATTGAAACAAGCCATTTGTTTTTTTGTGCAGTCCTCCTGGGAGTCTTCGTCTGGATAAAGGTTGAAGGCTCTCTGTATTTATTAGCAACAGTAGCTACTAACACTGAAGTTTGCAGGCTGCTGCCGAGTGAGGAGAAAAGATGAAAAGGGGAGCGGAGGAAGCAGCGAACTGATCCAAGAATACGATTAAACTCAAAGGTTGAAGGCAAAACCAGACATCAAAGCCCCTGACAAGACCCCTCTTTGATATTCAGAGCAGAATCATCATAACTTGTACGATATTTGTCCTAAAATCAACCTTGAGATGAGACTTTGCATCAGAAACATGGCCAGGTAAGCAGTGACGGCAGAGTATGTCACACAGAGGGCCCCCTTTCTCTTTTCCCTGAGCAGCAATATATCTGAAGATGCGCCTTTTAGGAGGTTAGTGCTGTGACTTTCTCTGTGAGTTTTTCCACTTTCCTCAGCTTTGAGGAGACTACAGGAGATTGTGACTGATCCACAAAAGGCAATTTGTCTTCTACATGAAACAAAATCAGAGGTCAACACTCTCAAACAGGAAGAGAAATGGTTTCATGTGGACAGATTGGTGGTCGTGTTTGAATTACAGACAATTTTCAAAGGGCAATTACCTCACTGCAAACAACCAAATCTGAAGAAGTTTTTCATCCTCACTGTTCGGCTCTTTCAATAGATAATAGCCTATTCTTCACCAGCTGATTTCGCCTTGCTCATAAATTGGAACACAAGCCTTGCATAGTGCACTGACAGTAGAGAAAAGGTGTTGGATACATGTTGCCCCCCGTGTAATCTTAAGTTAATTAAAACATTTTCAACACTCAGTAGTTGGATTGTGAATCATTCTCTGAGTGGATCCACTTTCATAATGAAACCTGATAGACATGTAGAGTAAAGCACGCTGTGGCTGCGATAATTTTCCATAACTTCTTCAGCATCTGTCAGTAAATAAAAGCAAACAACACCAAACTCCAGTGAGGAGTTTTGAAGTTGTTGTGACTTAAATTAATACTTATAACCCTAAATAACCTACACAAGCAAAACAGACCACCAGCTAGTGGGCTGATAAATGCTGCGTTCGAGTTAACTCGGAAGTCAGACGTTGGAGTTGGAAATGACGTCACACCCGAGTTATCAGCGTTTCAGTTACCAAGTCGAAAAAAAGCAAAATCGGAGGCGGAAACAAGATGGCTACATCTACGAATTTTATTTTAGCGCTTTAGTTATTTTAAGTTATTTTAGCACCCCTTTCGTAGATGTAGCCATCTTGTTTCGATTTTGCTTTTTTCTGACTTAGTAAATAATACGCTGGTAACTCAGGTGTGACGTAATTTCCAACTCTGACATCTAACTTCCGAGGTAACTGAAACGCAGCAAAATTCTCTACTGTAATTTTCAGTGCCTGATGCCATCCAAAGGGAGATGGTATAGAGTCAGGTGATTTGCAGCACGCTGTAAAGAAGCCACCTGTTTGCATCCTTAGCAAAGATTTACAATGAGTGACATAGTTGACTGTCAAAACAGAGCGACAATTTATTCTTTATTGTCAGGAGATGCAACTTTGGTATGAACAGAGTGATGACATTTTTTCTCAGAAAGCAAAAGTTGTTTAGATGGCAGGATCAGCAAAGAGAGAGGTACTGCTTTCAGAGGGGGGCACCAAAATTGACCCAAGCAGAAAGCACCCCACTTCAATAACAGAGCAGACAGATAGTAGGTGTACTTTCCCAACTCCAGGATTCTGATGTGCAGGCCAACTCTCTCCTTTCACAAACCTCCAGATCCACCAACGCACCCCTGTGATGTGGGGAAAAGCTGGAGAACCCCTTTGACACTTGCGCTATTAGAAAACATTACAGTCAGATGTTAACCCATTTAGGCTGGGGTTTTCTCCGTCACTCTCTGTGTCAACCTTTGAGGCCTCAGAATTTTTCTTTACCTCTGAGAGTAACTTTTACACTAGACTTAAAAATCAGGCAAAAACATTCTCTGAACTGACTTTTTCTAGATCTAAATCATTACAAGGATGTACACGGCAGAGTCATACAGGGATCCGATCAAACACAAGGACACCAGAGGACGCTTGTGTAAATTGGCACCAACAGAGATTACTGATTATCTATTATTTGGAACAGAGAAGAAGAATGCTCTCTTCATGTGTTTCAGCTGTAGACAATGTTAAAAGTACACCAATGATGATAAACATGCCACATTATTAGACCAAAAGAATCCAGGAATGCATCTCATTTAAAACTAGAATTGCCTGGTTGTTACCACAGGGGTCTGAGCTGTGCTTTTGAAACAACACATGTGACTTTTCATGTGAGCAAGGAATATAATGTTGTTCTCACATGAAAGTTATACTTTAAAATTCCACTGTCAAAAAAGGGGAAGGAATTGGGACTTATAAAAGAAAGCACCAATAGGCTAATAATCTGTGGCAAATTTTGTAGTTTCTATGAAAGGATTCTGGGTTGTAATCAAAGACAGCTCATCTCTACGTTACTGCTCTTGTATTACATTTAAAGTTGTGCATAATGAAAGGTAAAATCAAAAACCTTAATCAACACTCAGGCTCAGGCTTACCTGTGGTATAGTGCTGCTGAAGGTCCATGTCTTTCACTCAAAGATTCTTGGTTTAAATCCTGGCCTGTCCATGCCAGGCACAAATGGACCCCTCTACTCTAACCTTGAAAAGTGCTT